AGAAAGATAAGCTAAAGGCCTACTAATCCCTATGCTAAGTAGTAATAAGTTACTATAGAAGAGCCTACTATAGGTCTACCTTTAATAAGTAAAAGCTGCTAAGAACCTTAATATTTTTAAGAAGACTAAGCAAGAATAGCTATAACACCTCTACCTATATACCCTATACTAACTATAATTCTATAATATAGCATCTAACGCCCCTATACTTACCCTACTATAATTTTTATCTATAACACTAATATTAAATAGTATTAATATTATTCCTACCTACTATAAAGTTATACTACTTTAATTATAATAAATAGTGAGAAATGCTAGCCTTATAGATTATATATGTTGCCTATCTTTATATATTATTACTAGTAGCTACTATATAAGTATGCCTTTAGTAATAATAAGGGCCTTAGCCCTATACCTTGTTAGTAATAATAAATAATACTCTACTAGACTACCTAAGATACCCTATTATTGCCTAAACTTACTATAATCTAAGCATATAATTATTATTAGCTATAAGGCAATTATATATATTCTAGGGGAAATTTAGCCTCTATAAGAGTAAAGAAGAAAGATATATAGATCTAATATTACTAAGCTAGCTTATAATTAGGAGTAGAGCAGTAGTAACCTTATAAATTATAGTAGAAAGCCTATCCTAATATTATTTTAGCTAAGGTTATTCTCTACTATATATCTAGAGTACTAGAGCTATATAGCAAAGTACTTTAGTAAGATAAAGGTAGATACCCTAGTAAAGATAAGGTTTAACTAAGCTAACGTTCTTAAAAGCTAGTATACTACTACTACTAGTTATATATAACTAAAGAGGCCTTTTAAACTAACTTTTTAGAGTAGAAATAGCTAGCTAATTAGTTAATAGTAATAAAAAGAAGGCCCTAGTTAGGTATAGTAATACTAGTATAATAGAAGTAGGTAGCAAAGGATAGGGCATATATAGCAAGGGCAAGGTAATAATATATTAATAATTTTAATAAGTAATTTTTATATAGATAGGGAGGTATAAGGAGAGTATATAAAGAGCCTACTAAAATTATAGCTTAATACTACTAGTTAATAGGCGTGCTTAATCTATAGGTAGATAATATAGAAAGTAATTAAGATATACTATAATCCTAATTAATTAGGACTAGTATATCTATAAGCTAGACAATTATAGAAAGTAAGCTAATATACTATCTATACTATTTTAAGTAATATTAAATATTAGTAAAACTAATACTTCTATTTAGAATTAGAGAGGTAGAAGATATAGTAGCATTTTATTAAATTAATAACTAAGCTATATGCTTTTAAAAAATTATACTACTACTACTATATAGTATTTCTTATTAAAATTTAGAAAATAGGCTAAAGATATCTATATCTCTAATATATAATAGGATTTTAGATAATTATAGTATATTTATAAGTATATTTATTAGAATATATATAAATATTAGTAGAGAAGATATTTATATAGGAATCTAGATTCTCTATACTATAGAACTTTACCTTTTAGATTATAAGTAGTTTTAGATATTTATAGCTATATAGCTTAGTAGAAATAGGAAGTTACTAAATTTTTTATAGGTAAGGTTCTAAGTAAACTAATTAGATTAGTAATTTTTAGTTATAGCTAGAGATTCTAATAAACCTTAATTATTTTGCTAGATTATTTAGTAATAACCTTAATAATTATATAAAATATTTATTTATTACTAATTATTAGAATCTCTAATACCTATTGTCTTAAAGATCTACTACTACTAGTATAGCTAGCTATTATATTAAGAGGTGCTAGCTAGTATCCCCTTCTTCTATATATAATATTAATATTACTAGTATTTAGTATTACTAGCCTTTAGTAATGTTAATATTTTCTAGCATAAAGCTTAAAACTCTAGCCTAAGGCACTAGCTAGCATCCTCTTCTTCTATATATAATATTAATATTACTAGTATTTAGTATTACTAGCCCTTAGTAATATTAATATTTCCTAGTATAAAGCTTAAAGCCCTAGATAGCTAGAGGCTGTTATACCTTATAACCCCTACTAAGGGTTAAATACTAAATTTACTAGCTTTCTATATAAAAACCTTAGTTCCTTTAATATTTTAGACTGTTAGTCTTAAGGGCCTAGCCTACCTACTATTATCCTATACCCCTACTCCCTGCCTAGGGTTAAACTCTCTACTAACTAGCTTTTAGCATAAAGACCTTAGTCCTTCTAATATTCTAGATTACTAAGCTTAAGGGCCTAGGCTATTAGCTACTATTCTATATTATTACTACCCTCTTATACTAGGCACTAAGCTAACTAGCTTTCTAAATACTAACCTTAGTCCTTTTAATATTTTAAATTACTAAGCTTAAGGGCCTAGGCTATTAACTACTATTCTATATTATTGCCTCCCTCTTATACTAGGCACTAAGCTAACTAGCCTTCTAAATGCTAACCTTAGTCCCTCTAATATTTATAGTTGTTAAGATCTAAAGACCTAGCTATTAGCTACTATTCTATATTATCTTATTAACCTATACTAAATCTTAACCTTACTAGATTTCTAGATATAAATATTAGGATTTCTAACTAATATTATAAGCTTTCTTAGTTATATATATTGCTATAGCATGTTATACTTCTAGTAATTACTATGCTAATAAAGTATAACTAGTATGTTATTTCTACTATTCTTTTTAGCTAATACTAGTAGGTAAGTTAACATTAGAGCTTAGTCTTAGGGTACCTAGCAGCATGCTATAGCAATATAGGTTATAAGCCTAAGTTAAGGGACTAATAATAGTAGTAGTATAGTAGGAATTAATTAATATAGATATAAAGCTTAGTATAGCTAAGCCTTATACTATATAATTACTACTACTCTACTTATCTATAGGTATCTTATATAATATATAAGTATATATTAGTTAACTAGTATTTATCTCTATATATACTAAAAACCCTAATCTTCTATATATTATATATCTATAGCTTTAAGTCTAATACTAAGTTATATATATATTAGTATTACTAATATTTACACCTATATATTATACCTACCCTCTAGTCTCTACCTATAACTTCTACCTTCTATATATAATATATTAGACTTAGTAATACTAAATATTTAGGTATATAACCTTATCTATTCTAATTATATCCTCTCTTAGTATTAACAAACCTATATAATCCCTACTTAAGTTCCTAATACTACTTTCTAAATTATAGTCTATATTATAGAATATTAGAATTATTAATATTCTTTAACTAATTCTGCTATAACTTTAAACTTTAGTGTCCTATTACTAAAGTCTTATAAGTACTAATATATTTTCTACCCTCTATATTAGCCTTTCTAATATTCTATAAGATATATATTATAAATATAAGTCTCTTTATATAAAGTTAGAACTTATAAATAAGGCTCTATATAGGTATAAAGGTTTTAGCTATAGTTAGTAGCTAAATATTATAAGCTATACCTTTTTAAATATTAAAATAGTTAATAAATGTTTAAGGAAACCTTAATATATCTATAATAGGATGCCTTAGGATTAACGCTAGTTATAATTAGCATAGGCCTAATAGGGCGTATCTTTCTTAGTAGGATTATTAGGTTATAATATTACTAATACTAATCTTACTATATAAATTAAGCTATAAACTTAATAATTTCCTTAAAATTAATAAGTATAGTTATAAAGGACATAATAGTATTATAAAGTATTAAGAAATTTATAGCAAGGATATATTATAGAAATTATTTAATAAAGAGATGCTAAGACACTAGTATTACTAATGTTTAAAGCTATATTTATCTCTACTACCTACCTTATTCTACTAACCTACTGCATTTCCTACTATTTCTCCCTAATCTCTTCCTTATTAGTTAAAAGAACTACTACCTTAGTCTAAATAAGTTATAAACTTAACCTATAATTTAGATTCTATTTATTAGTTATTCTAATATTTTATTAGTACTACCTTACGTCTCTTTAGGTGCATCTTTAGATTCTACTAGTAATTTAGAATCTATTTATTAGTTATTTTAATATATAGATAGAACTATATTATATCTCTTCTATCTCTTAAGTTTTTTACTAGGTTACTTTAAGAGACCCTTATGCTTAAGGTTACTTAGTGCTTTACTACTCTAGTAGTAAGAGGTATAGTAGAAGATAAACAAGTTTTTAGATTATATTAGTTAGTACTACTAATATGTCTATTTAAATTTAACTACTCTCTAGGCACCTATAGACATAATAGAAAATAGTAGTATTTTATTATTATCTTTAATAAAATTATTAAAGGTTAGTTAGTACGTTATTATATATATTAATAGTTAGCTGTTTCTAGGAAATCTATAAATCTACTAATAAATGTTATAAAAACAGTAATATTCTAAGGCAGAACTAGAACTACTAACTCTAACGCTATAGCTATATCTAGGTCTAGGAACCTCTAGCAATATAGCACGTATATATTAGTAATACTAATGTTGCAATGCTAGCATGTACTAAGCCACTAGCGTGCCTAAGCGTAGTAACGCTAACATGGCGCTAGCTAGCTAAAAACGTTACTATTGGGGTAAGAAATCAGCTTTACCAAAAACTAACTAAGCTGTTGGTGATCACCTACATACGCATACCTAGGTACGATATACGCATACGCATACGTCTTAGAAGATGCCGAGGTGTCCCAAATAACAATCTGTCGCTTTCAATACAATAAAAACATACGCGAGTAAATCTTGATGCGGTCAACGGCGAATTAGATTGGAGGGAGTGTAACATCTTGTTTCACACGCTCGCGCCATCCACAACGATTGACGTAGGTGACCCCATGGCGGCGGATTGTATACGCATCAGATTTTCCCCAAAAGCTAAAATCGATCCTGGCCTTGCTTGTAGTACATCTTTCCTAACGATCTCTGTCATTTTCTACACTTATTCACTCGTTTGCTACAGCTCAATCACAACGCTCGATTCGTACCGAGATGGCCGACGACTATGTTGATTTTAAGCTTTATCGCTATGATCCGTCCATGGCAGCGGCCGTCATCTTTATCATCCTCTTCCTGCTTGTAACAGCAATCCATTTCTATCAAATGATACGCACAAAAGCCTGGATCTTTATCCCTTTCGTCATAGGCGGACTTTGTAAGCTTGCAACAATCGACTATTCTATCGCGTTTTTGATGAGCTAACGCTGCTGGTCATCCAGTTCAATGCATTGGATACATAGGCGTAAGACAACCTAAGAAACGGATGGCATTCGTACTAAAATCCTCTCCAGAGGGCGAAATCGTCGGCCGAATCACCGAACTGGACGGTACCCACTTACTCGATCCAAACGATCCTCTTGCTCGTCGCTCCGGCCCTATACGCAGCGAGTATTTACATGATGCTTGGACGGATAATCCTGGTCACTGACGGAGAGTCTCATTCTGTCATTCCGAAGAGATGGCTCACAAAGATCTTTGTGACTGGAGACGTAGTCTCTTTCATCATGCAAGGTGCTGGTAAGTCTGTCACTTTTTCTTCTGTAGTTATGTGACTTGCACTGATACTACCAAACAGGCGGAGGCATAATGGCGAGCGGTACAGTCAGTGCCTTAAAAACAGGGGAGAACATCATCATCGGCGGTCTGGTAGTGCAGCTCCTCTTCTTTGGTTGCTTTGTGGTCACAAGCGCAATCTTTCACATCCGCATGCGCAAAGTCCCTACAACCAAGATTCTTGCGCAGAGTATACCGTGGGAGAGGCATCTGTACGCACTGTATGGTGCCAGCATGCTGATCCTGATTCGCTCTCTGTTTCGGCTTATAGAATATGCACAGGGCAACGATGGGTACCTGATTTCGCACGAGGTTTTCCTTTACATCTTTGACTCGACACTCATGTTGGCTACAATGGTCTGGCTGGCATTTATTCACCCGAGCGAGATAACAGCCCTGCTCGGAAACGGAAAAGGGAAAGCAGTACGACATGTAATTTCGCTTTACTCGCTTTAGGTACGTTATGACTTGTGTCATGGCTAGAAAGTAGCATGACTCATGAACAAAGACAGTCGGAAGGCAAAACGGCGCCACAAACCTTACACAAGCATAAATATCCTCAATTCCGTCGTTAGATATATGGCATGTGAGCAAGGCCATAGCTGTACTATAGTCTAAAATGTTATCACAGAAGTTATCAATAAAAGGAGCAGCGCTTGACAGTTCTCAACGCTGTTATCATCTCTGTCCATCTCCAGAAGCAGAGCACCCACTGTTCGATTTGAGAACTTGATCAATCGGCTACATGTTAATGAGATACAAGCTGTTCTCTTCATTCAGCACGTTCCGACTTCCATTCTCAAACTTATCACTCATACTTTACACAGATTACCATACCGCAGACCTTAAACAGGGCTTCAGAGAACATGGATGGGACAAGGAGCAAAAGTAACAAGAATCAGACAGTAAAGCTTTATGACAGAGGAGTATACTCCCACCTTTTAGCAGTTGTCGATGGCTGGTAGCTCTTGAATAATTTCAATTTCGCTCTCACATGTAGAGATGCACAAAATGCACTTGCAATCATCAGTGGGTATAAATCTGAGCCAGGGGCGCAGAAAACCAATACAACAGTTCTCTCCTTTCGGTCAGCTGGCATATGAAGCTAGCGTCGTCTTGTGGGTAGCGTCCACAACAGGGAATGTGACTGTTTCCAATGTGGTCTTATCTGTTGTTCGTCGTACGAAGCAGTTTCCGAGAATCTCAACCTTAGAAAGAGTACACCGCCCCTAGAAGGAGGCGCGATGATTATCCTTTGGCCTATTTGCTAGAAACGGTTGGCAATGTAATTTAAAGTCCATCACCGTGAAGTTAGTGTTTTCCAAGCACGAGTATTGGAAACGTGTTTTTGCAGAACACCAAGGTACATCACAGAGAGTCAATCCGATTCAGTCCAACCCCAATATGTTTTGCTCTGCATAAACTATCAAATTAGGTGCACTACGTGTCATCCACAGGTCTGTAGCGACCACATAGTATACACGTGGTGAAGGTCCGAGCGACGAGCTCTTATACAACATTTTGACTGCAATCCGGACTCTGTCGCGCTGAGCGAAGTCGCACTTCTCCCATGGTAAGTGTAGCGCGATTTCGGACCTACTGAGTCTGAGCGACCCAGTCCGCATCGATAGCGGAAAGGAATGCGGTCAGGCCATCGATAAGCTGGAGCCCAAAACCTTTCCCCCACCAGCGATCGTGTGTGTAGAGCAGGAGTACACCGTAGTGCAGAAAGATTAACTGAGCCATTGGTTCGCCTTGCTCAAACAGTTCTACAAGCTTCTTATCGATCATTGTCGGCCAAGCAATGATAGGACCTAGATGGTCTGATGTTGCAACACGCCCAAAGACCAGTTCCAGGCGATCGATACCGGAGAGGTATACCCCATATCTGTCTGGCTGGACATATTTGGTGACGGTGCCTGCTCGCTCGCGAAGATCGAGCATAGCCTCTAGGACGTCGGGAGCTGGCACAGTTTGCTCAAGGTTCAAGGGGATTCCATGAAAGAGAAGTCTGAATTTACCGGTTCTCAAAGGGTCTTTCGATTCCTCACTGACTATACGTACGCCCTGAAGCAGTTCAAACATTGATACTAAGCTCGCAGTACAGTCAGCAAAGGTCATCTGCTGATGAGATACAGTAACGGCAAGTGCCATCACGGTAGTGATGTCCGCGTAAGCGAAGATCGCGTGATTATTATCCACGGTGATACTTTCCAGAGCCTTTGCATATTGCCGAAGCCCTGTGTTCTGATAATGGAAAGCGATCTTGGTATGTCTTTGCTCCTCTCCAGGGTCCTTGGATGCTAGGTGGAGCGAGGAGAGCGCAAGGAGTCCGTCTATCAGGAAGTCGTGTCGGACAGCCTCTTCCGGAATACAAGCCTTCCAGACAGCGAGATCCGACCCATGTGACATGGATTGGCATGTGTTGTTCATGTAATGGATCATCAGACCTAGTTCCTCCAATCTTGTAAGTTCCACAAACAATTCAGAAGGTGAGACCCGTGCAGTCGGCCGATCCGTTCCATAATTACATGCAGCAGACGTTGGGCTTCCAACTTCCCCACTGCTGTTTGAGATCTGCAGGCGGCCGAACACTATACACGCATCTCAGCTGGTGGTCAATGCATCTCTGCCATGACGGTTGCTCTTCTCCACACTAGAAGGATCTTTTTAGCAAATCGCTCAACAGCACAATTTCTTGGACTTGGCGGCGATGGTGAGGCTAATCATCACGGCATAAATGGTTGACAAAGGCGGCTTTCCTTCCAGCTTCAGCTTGAAGACGAGTGTAATCAAATCATACTGTGACTAGTAGGTTTCGGCATTCAACACCTTCATCGTCCATGTTGATCTACATACTTAATTCGGGGTTCAGCGCTAATGCAAGCTACACTTGTTGCGCGTTGAGGCATCATTGGGGCTCGGAATTTACATTGACAGCTTGGCGTCGCTGATTCCGCACATCGGCGACGGAACGTTCGCCGCAGTACGTAAAGAACGGGACATGTCAGGAAAATGTATCCGGTCCCTCCCCACATGCATACACTTTAAACCATCACACCGAAAAGGTCTTTATCGTTACTCACTACAGATCTAATTAGCAGCACGGCTACCGACGATGCGAGACGTTCCAGCGGCTACTACTATACCTTTGGCAGGGACCGCAGACGCAAGCCGAAGCATAGACCAGCCTGATGCTGACGTCCTCGTGTATGTTGCTGTGTACGAACGGTTTAGTGTGCGCAATAAGAGACTGATGACTGCGACGTTTGCCTACTGCGGCTTGCTTGCTAATCTTTCTACTACCAGCATCCTGGCTGCAGTCCCTGAAGTTGTGGACACATTCGAATCTACTCCTAATGTAATCAACATCAGCAATTCAATCTATCTCCTGTTCATGGGAATATCGTCGTTACTATGGGGTCCATGGGCTGACGCACTTGGTAGGCGGCCGGTAAGTCTAGATCCAGCTTCCCTTATCCTACATACCAATGAACCTAGGTCTACCTTGTAAGCACGTCTATGTTCACCCTCGCTTCTCTCGGAACTGCACTCTCGCCTTCGCTACCGATGTTCTTTGTATTCCGAGCTGTAACTGCATGGCAAGGGACAGCCTTCCTGATACTTGGGTCCAGTTGTATATCCGACATATACCATCCGGTAAGTCAGAAGCAGTGCGTTCGTCTGAGGTGGTTTAACGCCGGCGGACAGACTGAGCGAGGCACTTCTCTTGGGTGGTTTCTGAGCGGAACCATGGTCGGTCCTGCGCTGGGACCGGTTATCGGCGGCATTATCGTGACGTATGCTTCCTGGAGGGCCATATTCTGGATGCAGACGGCTCTTGGAGCATTGGCGACGATTCAGGTCATACTTGTACTTGAGGAGACTCTTCAATCAGCCAACTCGCTTGTCTCCAAAGACCTGGGTCTTATCAAATCTATACGATTTGTTGGCAAAGCGTCTAATCCGGTTCGAGTTTTGAAGCTCTTCACCAAACAGAATCTCGTCTCAGTGGTACGTCTCCTCTCAGACAAATATGGCTTTACTGAGCATGTTTCAGGCGTTCGCCTCGTCCTCAATGGGATGGAATATGTATGTGCTACTGACACCCCTCCGCCTGATACTGAACCCGCGACTACACCTGACGACTCCCTTGCAATCTGGTCTTCTTTACATCGCTCCTGGCGCGGGCTATCTCATCGGCACCCTGGCTGGAGGCAGATGGGCCGACTATTTCGTCAAACGATGGATCGAGAAGCGCGGTTCTCGGCTACCAGAGGATCGACTCCGGGGCAGTCTGCCGCTTCTCGGGGTTGTCCTGCCGGGCCTGATGGTTCTGTACGGATGGACCCTCGACAGGCGCGTTGGAGGCATACCGTTGCCGGTCATCACCATGTTCTTCCAAGGCGTCGCGCAAACGATGACTTTTCCGAGCTTGAACACGTATATTCTCGATGCGTTCCAAGACAAGTGCGCTGAAGCATCGGGTAAGTAGCCTTGAGGACTGATCAAGTACCAAGCTCATGGAGATCACAGCTACCCACTATCTCATGCGTTATTCGATCTCGAGTCTTGCTACGGCTGTTTGTCTCCCGCTGATCCAGGTCATTGGCATTGGGTGGACGTCTACCCTTTCGGCAGCAATCTTTCTCGTTAGCACTGTGCTTGTTCAGTTCACAATACAAGTAGGGCAAACATAGCACATGGTCGGATAAAAAAGGTTATATGTGCAAGGACGAGTTGTTCTGGTTACGTGTTGTGTATTTATCAAGTAGTACAAGTGTGATTTTGTTAGAATAAAAGTACAAATAAAATAGGTATGTGGTAGGAAAGAAAGAAAAAGAGGTCAAGTCCTCTGCCTACAGTGCACGATTAGCTCTATTAACTTGCCAGTTTGGGTTATAATACAATGTCCCCAGCTTGCCACCAGGGGCCAGCGATACTCTTATCTCCAGAAATACGCAGCCCAAGGAGAAACCGACTGATTATCTGTTACGCTCCGCGACTTCCGGAACGTGATGGTGCTCTGTATCAGCTCCTGGACAGCCGTTAGTAGAGCGGTATAGAGGAATGGAAGTGCGAAGCTAGAAAGTGCGCGAGAAGCATCTGTGATCAACAATGTGCAACGGCTTCTGCAGGAGCCCCTGGTCCATCGCGCTACGACCTAGCTCGGTAGTGCACTGTCGCTCGACTTTATTCTGGTGCCACGTTGTTGTTATTGCAGGTGCTACACAGCGAAAGCTAGTTAAGAAATTGATCATGCCTCGAACAAGGATGGATTCGGTAGTTGTAAGAGACAATGCAAGAGTGCTTGCATTCGCTGAGGTAGTGACCGTATGTGGCAAACGTTTCTGCGTCGTACACAAAGTCATCTCTTAGGACACCGTTCGTAGGGGCGTCTCTCAGCTCGTGGAAGTCTAGAGCGTGTTCACCGGCTTATCCTCTCAAAGTGCCCAGCATCTTTCTGGTAGAGCCATCAGCAAATCGCATAATCACATCCGCCTCGCCCTTTTACAACATAATAGCTATATTATTCTCCAATATTCTTCCCTCCATCGACCAAAGGAAACGTGAGGCGGTACGTCGATGCTTTTGGACTCATGTATCTGACTGTGCCTAATTGCATTAAAATCGTCGCGAAAAGTTTGCAGCCTCGATCTGCCTGGACCCTCTACAGTGCTCAACAATTTCATCCTGGCTGGACAGATGTATATTGTCTCTTTCCAATGTTGATGGTCCCGGAGTTCTCCACAATCTTCGTGGAGTGCCCTGACATTGCTCTCGGCAATGGTAACCGGTTCTGTGGCAACATTTTCGTTAGTGGGTCGTTCCCGCAGAGATTGGCATTTGTCGCAAGGCAATTCAGCATGGTGGAGCGTCTGCCCACATTTGATCATCGTGCTATCCCCGTCATCTCCCAGGGCAACAAGGAACCCTTCGCGCATCACTCCCCCAAACTCTGCCTCTAGGCTGCCGAACGAGGCTTGGTCGTGTCTCTCGTCAGCGAGAAGAATGAACACAACTTTGCGCGTTTGGTAATGCTTCATAAGCTCTATTTTTGGGTTCTCAAATTCGTGCTCCGATATCTGTGTCCAGGTCGCACTCGGGTGGGAGATCAGGTCTGCCTCAATATGGAACATCACTTGTTCCAACGGAAGCATCGGATCGGAACCCATATCGAATGCGATTGTCATAGCTCCGAGTGTATCTGTCACAATATTCATGTAGAATCCGTAACGTGTTGCCCCTATGCAATGTTCAGACCGAGGCATGAGCTTGTATATCTCCGGGGCTGGCGCGAAAGCAGGGGCTCTCTCGTAATGTAGTAACAGTGATTGTGGAGCCCAACGAAACCCAGGGGTCTGCAGACGCTTTGTCTTGAGAACAAACAGTTCGAACGAGTGCGTCTCAATCATTCGCCAGAATTCGATCATACGATCCTTTTCATCCAGCGGAGCCAAGCGTGAGAGGTCGAGGTCCAGAAGAGCGGCTAGACAAAGCGGTTCGTCTGCCGCTAGAGTTGAGGCTCGCAACCGTACCGCCTTGACTGCATCGCTGAGCTTGTGGGTTAGGCAACAACCTTCTCTGTAGAATCCACGCAATTGTGTGTACAGACGATCAATACTGCGCTTGAGGGTATGAATGATGAAGATGTCTGTCAGCTCTCGAAGACGAACCATGCCCACATTAATGTCATAGACACCATCTGCGAACTGAAAGAGTAGTTTCTGCGCCATTGCTCCTTCCTGAAATGTCCAAAGTCGAGTGTTCCACGGTGAATTGAGGATCCGCATCAGAACTTCGGCATCTGACAGACGCTTGTGTGGCATAGTCATGAGCCACGCGTCTAGTACAAGCACCGCTGTTGCTTCAAGGAACGACTTGCGGATGAAAGAGATCGCCTTTTGTTTGGCTTTGCGAAACGACTCGTCACCAGGTGTTACGGCAGTCTTTCGAGGTATGCAAAGGGTGTCCATCCATATTGTATCCACCGTAATGTTTGAATCTGTGAGTCTCCGGACCATGTTCGAGATGTGCTGGAACTGGCAATGATACAGAGTGTTATCACTATCATGGCCGAGTCCATCGACCAGACGTGCGATATTGCCACGTAAAGTTTAGACTATTTCTCCGTTGATGACGTGTAGACTATTTGAGTTTTCTCTTTTTCGTCGCAGAGCCTGATCAATGGAAGTCCCCCGTCATGAAGGATGGCAAGAAGGTCTGACTGGCTAGCTACAAGATCTTCGCAGATCTCTCCGCAACAACAGTCGAAATGTCGACGGTGGTAGTGACCCTCTTCGATGCTTGTCAGTTTGCATTGGCGTATGGGACAAGTCCTATGCTCGACGTTCTTGCCCTGCCAGGCCCGCATGTTGATGAAGTAGAAGTATGCTGGAGATTCCAACCTCGAATACAAGCGATAAACCGTAGAGGGAAACTGCCCCGTGATGTTAACCAAAAACTCGAAAGATCTTTGATTGGTAGCGATTGGCTTCAATTTTGTGATCTCTGAGAACGATCCGCTGGGTGTTGGCGTGCTGTCGCTCGCCCGCTTCTGCCAAAGAACGGACTCAAAGAACACCAGAAGTATGTCGAGGAGGACACGATCGAAATTTGGACGTGGATCGTGGAAATCGAATTCAGTAATCCAGCTTTCGAGGGTGTATTGGAAGGCGCGCTCTTCGTCACTTAGGTACCGGATGTAGCCTCCCTCGCCGTTTGTGTCTAGTTTCGAGTGGATGCGCTTCACTTTCCACCAGCACCGTCTACGCCTAAGGACCTCTTCGTGGGAGCCAGGCAGGGCGTTGAGCTGCTCAACCAGTGGTATCAGCATTTCTGGTGTCAGTACTTGATCGGCAGGAATCTTTCCCTTGCCACGAGCCTCGTGTTCTTCGGGTATTAAGTCTGCTATATTGATTGGTCTCTGGAAGATAAAATTAAGAAGTCCTGACAGAAGCCATATTTGCAAGAAAGCAGCAAAATGTTGATCTGTTTTGGAAATTAGAGATTTCCACTCCTCCCCACTGCGTGGCAGCCAACTAGATTGCTCAGGGAAGACTTCGAAGTCTGATCCATCCAACGAGCCAGAGTAGATCGCAGAGGGCAGAGTCCATGGTATCTCCGCCACCATTGACTCGCCATCTGGTCCATAGGGTTGTGGTATGAAGGCCATTGCGGGGCTATGGTGTAGTTAAATTGCTTTTGTCTGAGTTCAGTGAGAGTTTGATTCCAAGACAGACATACGGACACACTGTCTGCTTTTGTAGTATGCCAGGCAGGCGGCAGGATGGGAGCACAGATGCAGCCCGACCCTGCTCCGTGTCTGTGACAGCGTCATAGTCTGCTAGACTTTCTTGTTCGCTGTTCAGCCGCAGACTATAGTCGGATCGATAGTGCGATGCATCGGCTGTGCTCGCGGAACTGCGAAGAGGCGTCTTGCACACGGCACGACCTCGGAATGTTGGTGGCTGCGGCTCCGGAGCTGTTCCGCCTCCATGTCAAGCTTCTTCGAAGACTCGCTTCTGTAGGTTAACCTTGCAAGGAACAGCGTCCCTGTACATCATACCTTGTACCCAACGTGAATGCGGCTAAGGATTGGCTAGAGAGATGGCTGAAGATGTCGCTGGCAAATTGTTGACCGCAGGACGTGGTGCCTACCTAGGTAGGTAGACAAAGCCACCAGCGGCACCAACACCGGCAAACAGTTTCCTTGTCGACTTCCACGTAGCATCCCATCTCTCAGAGTGTGTACACAGAATGAGTACGTTTGTGCGGGAATCAGGGCACATAGCATGCCAGAGGTCTTGATGTCTCACGTCTTTCGCGATTCGCTGTTCGCTGTTCGTCAGGTATTCAGCTGAGGTGGGACGGGTCTTTCAGCTGACGCCAAAGGCGCAGCTTGCGTTAGCGAGCTCGATCGCCCTGCAGTCAGCAGCAACATCAGGAAATAAGGTTAAAACTCACACGTACCTCTGGTCTTGAGCTCTTGCTACCCTCCGTAGCATCAAGGTGCGACCACCCTGCACGTAATGGCTCCGATTGCCAGCATCCGCGCGCTCGCGCAGCGCGCCGCTTTCAACCTCCATCTACCATCCAGCGAGTTCAAAGACCAGCTCACAAATCCCGGCGATGTATTTTCTGTGCTTCTCATCCTCGGCGGCGACGTGGTGGGACGCGCGCTCGCGCAACTTGCAGGCACAGGGCTGACTCCCGTGACCTTCTCTTTCGGTGCGCCTGCACAGTTTTCTTGCAACTTTTTGACCTGGAAGCTGACAATTCTCCAGGTTGGGTCGCATACGCTGTAACCGCCGTTGTCTCCGCCGTCGGCGCAAACAAACTCATGCCACCACCAGATTGCGATTGTATTGTGATCAATGGGAAGTCGGCGTACAGCCGTAGTAACACTAGTTGGATTTTAGGGCGTATTGTGCGCGATTACGAGAGCTGGACGCATTCTGATGTGCGAAAGGGAGTCGACCAGATCATCAATGAGAGGTGGGAGCTGGATAAGCAAAATGCTGAGGCAAACGACAAGGGCTCGGGGGGTTTGCAAGAACGACCTACGCAAGCCGGGCTGTGTATTGCCATCTACCGCGCCAAACCTGCCGAACCGGGTCAGATATCCCGGGACGCTCTGTACTGGAGCTGTTTCGCCGTTGTCGTCTTCCAGCTTGGGGTCGCTGCCATTCCATTCGGGATATGGGGAGACTGGTCCATTTTGCTTATAACATTCGCGGGCATTGTGCTCGCCTTCCTCTCTGGATCGCTACGACAATGGCGGACGGAGAAATGGTCGTGTCGCCGTCTTAAAAAACCCAAAGATGTGATCATAACCCGTGGTAACGGTGCTCAGCACGCTATCATTGTTCGAGATCCAGGACATGGTTTAGACCTCGAGAGCCTTGCGGCGGGCCAGACGAGCGTCGACTTCACCGCTTCTCTGACTACACGCACCATTATCGTCTTGCTCGCTGTGCTTTGGGTTGTTCTGCTTATTTGCGCCTCGGGAATCAAGACAAACACCTGGTTTCTGCTCGCCGTGGGCGGTATCGGGATAGTGCAGAATATTGTGATCGCGGGTTGGCGGCGTGATCCATCTGCATACGGGTTACCATTGAAGTTTGAGAAGGTTATCTCGAAATCGAAAGTCATGCCTGCGCTGTTTGCGATCGAGGAGGAAATTCCAGGTATTGGGAGTAGTATGCTCGAAACCTTCTTTCCGGGAACACTGAGGAGAGACGAGCAAATCAAGTGGGATAATTACAGAGATACTGCTAGTGCCAGGAGCAACGCTGTTGCTATTCCTTAGGCTATGTTACAGTACTTCGTAAGCCTCGTCGAGATTAGACCCTGGTCGAGACGGCATATCTCTCACCTGCTTCACGAGCCAATGCGCGCTCGTTGAGAGTTATCCGGTTGAAGTCATCTATGATTGTCACGTAAAACTCCACACGAGATGCGCTAGAAGAAACCGTACTAGCTGTGGCTCATTGTCAAAAACCATACTGTGGGCTGCAGACTATATCGGTGCTTGAAAGAATGTGCAGACCCCCTCAACCATGGAGCAGAGATGCATCTATAGGTAGTAAAGGCCTCTGATTGGCTATAGGAGTCTGGTAAACCGTCCTGCAGGGCGACAACGTGGGAATTGACCAATAAGAGGATGATTTGCTGCTTGCTACCATGGTACGTACCTATATCGTGTAATCTGTTCCATGGTTGTAGGGGTCTGCACAAATTGCCAACAACTATACTCAAGCCTTGTATTAACTAGGTAGCTTAGTAGCTTAATGTTATTCTATAGAACCACTGTATCTGTTTCAAGATCTACTCTAGAATCGGTTGTTTTACTCACATCTGGTGACTATGGATTGCACATATTCCGATACAGTCTAGAGCCTACTTAAAAGTCTCCGTCGTAGATCTTTACAACACCACCTGACACCCAAGAGTACACAGCACCATCCGGTCCTAGGGCGATACCTTGATAGTTGTTATTGAACAAACCGCCAGTGCCAGCGCGTACATACGCGCCAGACTATCTCGCCGGTACGATAATCAATAGCTGTAAAGTACCACGCGTAAGAACCGTTGAGAGCTTGTTCAGGATCCTGACTATACTGGTACACAAGTCCAGAAGCAGTAGAGAGAGTTGGAATACCAGTTGCGCGTAGATCGACTTCCCATGTAGTTTTGCACAACCCAGTCACAGGATCAAAATCCACTCGGGCGAGACCTGAAGCGGGCATGGAGACGTTTTGCGATGGGGAGTCAACCGATGCTGAAGAATTGTAGGGCGAGATGACTGTTGGGGCTCCATACATGTTCGTGACGAAGACGCTGTATGTTTCGCCATTAAAGTAGCCACCAATCGCATTGTCGGTCGAACTGGCGTTGACAGCGAACATGGGGGCCTTGCACACAAGATTGCTCCCACTGGAGGTTTCTTTTACCTGTTTGAAGAAGAGCGTGTTGATGCGTCCATTGGCATTGTCAGTGAATGCAACGTATTCGTCTCCCAGGAGGCCTGGCGAGGATCCTGATCCGCGAGCAACACCACCTGGTTTGACGCTGTCGCCGGCATCGTATTCTTCTTTGTAGATAATTTTGACCCCGTCGCCTTCGGAAGTTGCCTGGAGAGCGTATAAATGCCCTGTCGCATTCGCATGGTCGTTACTGCCTGCGGGCCCAGTAAGGACGTATACGATAGAGCCGCTCAAGGCAAAGGCATTTTCCACGGAAGTGTTCGGAAGATCGATATAATGAGCAACTCCAGCAGGAGTGAGATACCCGATGATGACACTCGTGACAATCTCGCCGAGCTCAAACCCTGGGAATCCTCCTGTAGTGAACCATAGATTTCCTTCGGCGTCGAACGCGGAGTTGAAAACCTGACTGTTGTTGCCAACGATACTGGACAAATCAGTCTCACGGACTACCTGGAATTCCGTGTGGTTCCCGGAATCTGTGCGCTGGATCTCCAAAACACGAGGACCAATGGCTGGAGTTACGAGGCGACCTTGGTAGAAACTTGAGTAGGCCAGGTAGGGGAAAAAAATCTGCGAGCCGTTTGCTGTTGTGCCCATCCATGTTGCCTTGATCTCAAATGTGTCTGGATCCAGAGCAACTATGCAGTCTGTGGTCTCATTACATACTCCTCCAGCAGTCAGTCGCCCTTCGTCATCCCAGAAAAGGGGCGAGGGTTTGATAATCTTGGTGGATGCGACTTGGATGTTTTGACCCAGTGGTCCAAGATAGTCGTCGGTTCGAGTGTTTCCGGAGTCACGGTGGAATGTCATAGTACCCGGACTGTACCGAGTCTTCGGCCTCAGAGGATTGGCCTTGGTTGCACGCCCTTCAAATGCTGGCGCGGCAGAGGGATTGAAGGGCTTTATTGGACTATCCCATGCTCCAATACTTGAAATGTTCGACGTTCGCTTTTTGTGTCAGCCTTGATATCACGTTTTGGCTCATTTCACAACGTACAGTGGACAAAGTAAGTACGGGCAGGAGTAAGGCCAACTGAAGAAGATAACCAATCATAATTCGCAGCTTTCGTGACGTTGAGAGATGGATGGTTGCGATGGAGGAGTTGTTTAGCAGTTGCAAAAGGACATGATCAGATTATATACTGCGGAGCTGTTGCAAGCTCTACACGCCACAGCTTGGACTAAGCGGATCTTTTGCATCTTGGTATCGCTACGAATGAGGCGACTCGGAGGGTCGGACATGTACGGAGGTTTGGTCGTTGCTTGTCGTCGTCATGTCCTGAGAGGCTTAGCAAAACTAAATCTTCCAACGGATCGCGGGTTTCCCTTCAGCCGACGAGGTAACAATCCTACACCCAATCAAAGAAACATATCTATCTAAGCCTCGAAACATATATATCCACTGCATACCAGCTCCAAGCGACACCGTGAAATTACCGAAATCTGGTGGTGGCCTGTATGGTGCATTGGAAAGGTCCTCGGCCGAGGCATGGCTTGGCCTGGCTTGGAAACACAAAAAGAGACCGAAAGCACTAGGATGCAACTTAAACTAGACTGCCAACTGTTAGTCCCATGGGTGTCTTTTTGGGATGGGTATGGTGAGCGGGGCCTAGCAGATATTCCTGAAAGACTCCGCCCTGTTCGTACTTGGTAGCGAACAGTCTGCAAACTACCAATTGAATTTGTGGCCAACCAACTGACATTACTCAATCACTTCGAACGATATCTTACCCTCCCTCAGACTCCGCGTATGCGGGTCCGTGTACTAAATGAGTTAAGTCTTTAAGATTCAACTGGTGTTTCTATAGCCGAGACATCAGTGAGAAGACTCGCCATGAGCTACAATAGAGGTCTTGTCAAAAGGATTCCGCTCGTTTCCAACGTATATCACGCACTCGAATTCTGATAGTTTTGGGTGTTTGTCTGAAGGCGGAGTCTCGTATGTGAGGATGATCCGGGTTCTGAAGCATTTCGGCCAAGAGACTGACGATGCTGTGGAGGATGCTGCGCTCGTGATGTAATATAGAACGCAGCAGTACTCAAAGAAACAGTGTCAAGATATAGTGTGTATATGCGTACGGTTTGCTCACATACAACCATAGGACTTCAAAAACAAGGCTTCCTATTGGCTCAGCCTTATTCAAGCAACGCACCGGCTGACTATGACAGAACCCTAGCTGTTGTATGTATTTTACTCTTCTTGTTGCTTCTTTAATCGTGCCTTGGAGCTACCTAGGTAGAAATGGGGCTACTCCGGGGTGGAAACCGGGCTCGGGTCGGAGGAGCTGCGAAGCACTTCATTCTGGTAACAGTGTCCACACCTGCAAAAAGCCAGTCGGAAATCAAGTGACTAGGCAATATTGAAAACACCTAAGGAACTCATTTTCACGAACGTAGTCATGCATAATAATGAGGATCCTGTTCTATACCTAGCATTTGAAAGAGTTAGAATACATTCCCATGAAGCTAGCTGGTTGATAAGGCGCGGTATGTAACCCATATACCTAGTCTATGTAGAGAGCTCCTGCCCTGGCATTATCGCTGTTCTACGAAGCAAACTTCTCCTACGCTTCTTCTCCGGGTTCTTTACCATGGCTTTGCCCACGGCTTTGCCTTCTCCGCCGTCCACTCCTTCTGTACCTTATCTAAAAAGCGACAGAGATCCTTCATCTTGACATCGTTCAAATCCATGGCCCCAAACAACTCCTCCAGCGTATCAATTGGCGAGCTGGGACGAGACCCAGCTGGAGATCCAGGTCTTGACTTGGGTCTGCCCTCGCACCACCTATCGTCGAGCAACTTCAGATACGTGTCCATGTCGTTGTGCGTGCGCTTGTGTGCAATGGCGAACCGCTCGTTCATGTACTGGTTCCACAATGCTCCCAGGTCTTGCTTGACCCACGGATCGATTGTCTTGTGGCCATTGGGAGGCGTGCGTGGTTTCTTAGGCATCTCCTCATCAATGGCGTCTAGCATCTTGCCAATCTCCTCCTTTTGCTTTTTGAAGATGGTGCTGACCGTCTTTGATCGCATGTACATGCGGGCGCCCATTAGGGCTTTTAGTTTCAGTAGGGCGATTTTGGCCTTGTCGACGAGATCGGCGGATACTTTCTCGAGATTTTTTCCCTTCACGACGGATTTTTCTCCAGTTATGTATTCGCGCATTTTTTCGGCGTTGTAGAGGGTTCCCGCTCCATCCTTTCCTCCTTTATAAGCCCACATCTAAAGGAGAGTTAGATTTGTGTCGTCTACCTTGACATTACGATCATACTTACGTTGCTCTTTGCTGGAGTGTTCATGGTTGCTTGCAGCCACACAAATTCTTCTTCGCGGTTCTTTACACCGGGAAACGCTTGTGCCATGTGGTCAAGCGGCTTCAAAGTTTTGCCATTAATGGTAAGGTCTTGAGGATAACTGCCTTTCCACTGTTCCTTGAAATACTGGCAAAAGGTCAACTGTGCTGGAAGTTTGTTAGTTGTGTCTGGATTCTTGAATGTCTTTGAGGCCGCTTCTGATGTACGATCCACCCATTCAAAAAACTTAGCAACGGTCTGCCATTCTAGTATGTGTTCAATATGATACTTCTTCGCGCCTAAGACTGCTGTTTTAGTCTCTTGGTATTTAATTGTCTCGCAGAAATTGTCTGGGCTGTCGATCGAAAAGAATGGCGCTGCAGCAGGCTGAATTGGTCCAACAAGATCAGCATTAGTCGGTAAGCGAGACGATATACGACCGCTGTTATCTTCCGAGGAATGATACGTACCATCGACTCTGCTTTCGGATAACTCAACGCATTAAACGTGATTCCGCACGCGGTTCCCTTTTTGGGACGTCCTTCGTGATTGAGTGTCGTATCATCTGCACCAGGCCCGTTCCAGTCGTCATCATCATCACCAGGAGCCCTCTTTCCGAACTCTTTCTTGGTATTGACATCCACTCTGCTGCCGACAAATCCACCCCGATCTTCTTCGATATCGCGAGAGAGCTTTCCTTTTTTAGTCGACGTCTGCATAAGCAGAGCTAGTTGTTTGCAGTCCTTTGTTGGGCCAATCTTAATCGTCTTTGCTGGTGCTGGAGCCGGTGATGGTTTGACTGGGGTTGGTGGCGGCTTTACTGGAGCAGGCTTCACGGGGGCAGGCTTTACTGGAGCAGGCTTCACGGGAGCAGGCTTTACTGGAGCAGGCTTTACTGGAGCAGGCTTTACTGGAGCAGGCTTTACTGGACCGGGCTTCACGGGAGCAGGCTTTACTGGGCCTGGAGTGCGCGCATGGTTCCAATGGTGCTCGTCCGGACTGCTTGAATACACAAGATAAGTGATGCCCGCCTCTGCGTGAGACTCACCACTAGAGGCCTTGTCTGTTCTGATACATTGCGAGATAATAGCAGAAAATGCGACCTGGCATTCTTCGACATCCTGCATCGCTCCACCGCGACGCAATTCAAAAACAACCCCTTCTGATTTCTCGCTAATAGTGCCGACTTCTCCCAATGGAGTGTGACAAAGAGCAGACACCAGACGAGCGTGTAGTCCCGAGAGTGAAGTCATTGAGGTTGCCGGTAGAGGAGATTCAGGGTTGCAAGTGACAAGTCCATCGATAGTAATGGCGTGCAGCGCTGTAAGCGCTGTAAGAAGCGACAGACCAGCTGTACGCATGATGGAGGAATGATCGATATAAATAGGTTCAATGAGTGCTTTATGTCGATAACTCAGAAATGACTGTATAAGAAAAGGGATACTGAAAAGATGTGCAGAAAGGAGTGTCTGTTTTGCTCTTCTAGTAATTGAAGACCTCAGCATGTATTTATGTTCTAATGCTCTACTAACTACCATCTGAGCCAGCCATGCATCGGATCTCCATATATCTTGGCTTGACACCGCCCCAGCATTCTCCGGCTCATTTTCTCTGATGTTATACAGATAGAGACAGGTCACTTTGCATCATGAAACACTGTATCGGGATTCCTTTTAAGCAGTCCGAGGAGTGGATACTCTTTTTATCGCTCTCAAAATATCCACAACGCCCCAATGAGCCCCGTACGATTATACCGATACGAAAACATACAACGAATGTGCTTCCCTGAAGAGTTATCGCTTGCGTGGGGTAGGTGGACAGTAACGTGAGATGATTATAGGTAGGAGCCTTCATGGTGCAAATCTATTCTCGGTTGTTCCCAGTCCGAACGTCTTGGCCGCGTGCTTGGAGGTCTGAACGCCAAACACCTGGTTCGTAAGCCCTTGGGCGGACCTCAAGTCTCTACTTACTCTCTCCTCTATAGATACGATGTGCTACCGGAAGCCGCTGATACGAGCAATTGTAGACCTATGCAGGACGTCAAACAGCCTTGCGCCAAGGAGGTGTTAGGCGGCGTTCAGGCTGCGGTGGATACTCCTGTGACTGCCGAAGGGCTGTGCGACACCTTGCAAAGCGCTAGTCCATATCTGATAAAGTCATACAGGACATAGGTAAAACAGCCTTGCGCCAAGAAGGTGTCAGACGGCGTTTAGGCTGCAGTGGTACTCCCGTAACCGCCAAAGGGCTGTGCCGCTGTGCGACACCTTGTAAAGCGCTAGTCCACATCTGATAAAGTCTCCGGGTATAAATACACCAGCCTCCCCAATGCCTGACTGTCGGTCATCAAAAGGTGCGGTTCAGCACTAAACGGCCTTCGAAGATTCGAGATGGATCCAATTGTCTCAGATCATTTGCAGGATGTGCAGGAGCTGGCTCTTCGACTGCTCGCTCTTGACCAACTTCTCGGTCCCACCCCTTCGCATCAACAACAGGATATTGATCTGGACACCATCACCTCAGAAGATGTCAACTCCGAAGCCGTGGTTTGGAAAGACATTGAACCTTCCAATACAGCGCCCTTGTGGGATGTGATTGAGTTGTACAAAGTCGCGGATACAGTGCCCCGATTCGATCGCATTCCAGCAACTCTTGTCGACATCTGCAAGACATCGTGGCGAGGCAGAACTTATCAGAACACGTACCTCCATACCGGCAATGAAGAATCCCGCGACCCCACTTGCTCAGAAGTCCTACAGCTACTCCCAAGGCTTGATCGACTTCTAGAGATATCTTTGCACGCCAAAATCAATGCCATCGTGAGCTTGGGTATGTAGCTAATAGTGCCAACTCATGTGAGCTTAGGCTGACTACCTCAAGTGCCGCCTTTTCGATTCCTTGATCTGCCGACTGAGCTTCGGTTGCATGCCTATGATTACATACTCCCGCGCCAGCCGTATCTCATCCTGCGCAATATTGAGCCCCGCCGACATGCACTACCTCGTTACGATCTTGACGCTCTGCGAACTTGCCAGCAAGTTCATCGTGAGCTGGTTGATCACTTTTACAAAGACCAGGTGTTGGTTATGAATGCGTATGATCCGCGTAACGATTGGTGGGTCTTCAAGGGGAACAGTCCACGAGACCGGCTCATTGCTCAGAATATGAGGGAGGAAACACGATCCTGTTTCAAGAAACTCGAAATTCGAGTTCTCGATACAGACGAGGCTAACACTGACCGAAAGGGGCCGTACTGGGAAGCAAACAAGACAGATGTATGGGAGTGCGATGGGTACTATACAGAGACACTTGAAGCGTTCCCTAATCTTGAAAGCGCCACTATATCTTTCGAAATAGGTGAGAATAATCTCGAGTACTGGACAGGCTGGTACCATTCCCTCGGACATATAGCTCGGTGGCTCATCTCAAAAATACCCGAACACATACAGATATTGTGGGACTTCGAGCCTACCTCTGATCCTGACTTACAGGAGCTTGCTAAGGAATCAGAGGAGATCATGTATGAGCTCAAGAACGTGGTCGCCGAAGAAACAGCCAAGAGGGGAGGTACCGTCCAGCTGGGTACAAGACTGATAAAGGAACGTATAGTCACGCCGGCGACACTATGACTTGAGTGGCGATGGTTGTTGGGAAAAAAGGACAAACCAGTGCCTCCTTTTGTATGCGCTAAGAGAATGCTACGTTCTTGAGTTTCACGTACCAGACATATATTCCTGACAGACCCTCCTACAAAGCCTGCTCAATTGTCATAATCGGCAGAGGGCAATAGCCAGTATCAACATCGAAGAGCAGGAATAGGCCGCGTGACACAAAGAATGGGGAGTACCGGTTAGACAAAGGATGCAGAACAATTCATTAGAGCGGCCGCGCGAGTCTGTGTTCCGGCCCCTAATCTCATACAGAAGATATGTCCCCGTGTTCCTATTCAGATTCTAGGCATGACTTTGGATACGAGCGTTATATATCCGTTGTCAGCGTTCATTTTGACCCATCATACGCAGCGAGTGCTTCCACAATGTCGAACTTGCGTAACACACTTACAAGCCGACTACACTAGCCGCAGTCAAGATGGCTTCCAAAACACCCCTATCATACTCTTCACAAGCACATCTGAGGGAGGTATCCAGGCCGAGACAGCTCTGGATCTCTGATTCCTTAGCTCGCGCTGTGTGAGAACGATGTGTTTCACCGACATGCATCAAACGCCGCGCTCTTAGTGATTGTAGAGCGTCATATTCGTGGCTTGTATGACTGGTAGGCTGGTAGAGAACACTTTTTCTTAAGGCTGAGCGATTAGAGTAAGAATTTCATTCGATCGAGGACGGTAATCTCTATCTCGGCTTCTCTATCTCGGCTTCTCTATCTCGGCAATACACACTCAAAACCAAGTCTCATTTTTTCACTTACAACTACAAGACGTAAAAAAAACGCTTGCGATTTGCCCCGCCTCGTCCAACTAATATGCACATATTGTAATTGGATACCTCCTATTTTGAATGTCGTCGAAGCACCTCAGAAAACGACTCCGGCTGCACAGAGGGGTACTTTGCGTTGTCTAGATCTTCACCAAGAACAAGCTTCCCAGTCAGCACGAAATAGATCGAAGCGCTGTGCAGAAGTCACAGTGTTAGCTTGAGATCTAGCTACATCTCAGCATTACGACTTACGAGATAACGTTATTAATGTTGCCGGCGCCATCCAACTGTGTGGCTAGATCAGCGAGCGACCCATTGCACACAAGCGCAGGCCTGAAGCCGAACACAGACTCGACGTCTTCGGCGATATCCATGGCGCTCTTGTGGTCGGCTCGGACTAGAGGATGCATTGTTAATACTGTGGACTGAGTGCACGAGTCGATCAGACGGCCTACATTTGAAGAAACCAAACGCATTTGGATCAAGAGTCACAGCAGCGACGTAGTCTGCGCCTGTCTTGTACGAGATAAAATCCCACTTCTCGTTTCCGGAGCCCCAGTACCGGACTTCCTTCGCCTGCGGGTTCCAGAGACCTATGTAGTCGAGAAATGTCTCGATAAAGAAACCATTCAGTATGTGCACGCCCTTGACCCTGGACTTCGTAGTCAAGTAGTCCCTGACTTCGAGTGTGAAGTTCTTGATGTCCATATCAGTCGGATCGAGCTTGCGGAAGTCGATGGTGTAGTCGCTGGCGATGTAGCGCGTGATGCCTTCTTCTTCGCACAGGTCGATTAACAGCTTTTGGCCGTCGATCATGACTTCATTGCTCGCGAAATAGCAGCACACGACTGCATCGGAGCCGTGCACTACTTTCCGTAATGTGTCGGTGTCGTATGGTCCGCTCTGCACAAGGGTGACGCGAGAAGAGGACTTGAGGTCGTCTGGGAGCTTGGTGATGTCGCGCGAGGTGCCACGGATGTAAACATCGGGACGTTGCAGCAGTGATTTAGCGACGAGAAGTGCCAGGGTACTGCCGATACCAGCAATTGCGATTGTCGTAGGCATTGTTGGTAGTCGGGGGAGGGTGTTAGCTATAGGTTGAAGGGGGCGGAACAGGGGAGCTTGGTTGTAGAGACCGTTGTAAAAATGCACATCGCGCTTTTATGTTCATCTTCAACCTTGTCCGCAACTCGTCCGAACATCGTAAGTTTACTCTTGCCTGCTATCTGTTCCGGCTCTGGAGCTCTGTCGCAATATAATAATTGCACAAGTTACCCCCACATCGTACACTGACTAAGCCAAGAATCGAAGTGCACAATTGGCATCCAACACGTTTTCCGTTCACCCTACGGACGGACTCGTATGGCTCAGCCTTCACCACTTTCAGTGGCCAAACTGGGAAGTAGTGCTTGAATGGTGGATATTTTGTCGCAAAGGACACAAAATTAGCCTCAATCCTTAGGCCTTCTCTTGGCGTGCTACGTTGCAATTGAGTATCATGGGAATCGCTCCAGCATATCGACTCCAATATTGAATTGTCCGAGTTGTCCAAGAAAAACGTATGGGTACGGAAGGGACAAATATGATGTTGATGTTCGAGATCTACACAATTGTAATGTTCTGGAAAATGCCATCTTGATGATTACAGTGCATGAAAGTCCAGGGAAACACAGAAGAAGGAAATTTTTCTCCGCGAACGGATCGCAGTGTGCCTGTTGAAGCTCATTACATGTGTATAGTTGCCTGGTACTCATATCCATCGAGACGAATTCACATCGTAGCAAGCCCCTCTCAATGTAAGAGAGCGCAACGATAGAACCTCAAAAAACCGCGAACGTCCGTAAGGGCAGCGAGAAAACAAATTGATGCACAAAACGAAGGCCAAGAACCTTTTTCAGTTGCGCCCGGCGAAGTGTTCTTGCGGTGCGCTGGCAAGAAGATATGTTGATAGGAGGTCCTGTGTCGGTGTCAACCCATCCTTGAGCGTAACAGTACGCGCGAACCATTCCGATCCGTTCGTACTCTCCAGGAGAGCGTTCACAGAAGACGAGCCCTTGCCAATGACTGCCGTGGTAGTTGCGGGTGTGGCCAAGGAACAAGATGGAACATTGGGTTGTCCCTGCTTCTATGCTACTCCAGCTGCGAGGGCCGTCGGACGTGACGTAGTCCGATTGGAACCAGAAATCACATAAATTTGAGTATCCGCAAGCTCGTGAGTCGATGTCAATTTTGAACACATGGCGTGATTGTCTGGCAGATCTCCTCAAATATGCATTGACGCTGCGACCCCGAACCCTGATGCTGGCATTAGCCACGTTGCCTATCTGCGGGTGGCTCACACGGCGGTACGTAATGCCTAAACATGTCGCTGAAATAAAGGTCAGAGGTTCAAAGGTTATGGCGCCTCGTACGTGGACCCAAGACCATGTTGGCACCGGAAGACCGGACCTAAGACCTGGGAAGAACCCTTCATTTAATGAGTGCCAATTTAGGTCTTGCATCAATGTGTCCTTCCACATTCCTGCGACATATTCATCGTTTGGGCGAGATCGCATTCTCCGCGCAACGATCGCTGACAATGCCGGCAGTCGGTCTTTGGCGTATGTCAGTTCGAGTTCCGAGTATGCCTGCACAGTCGCTTGCCAGCTTCGCGCGGTATCTTTTATGGGCATCTTGAAAGGGATTCTTGATGGAATGTCAGTATGCAAAGGGTCTCTGTTGGTCCAGTCCAAGTCTAAACGTTGGCACTCCGACTTCCGCATTGAGCGACATTCCCATATGAGTTGGTGTTCAGCAAAGTGCACCACTCGAGAAGACAAGTGACGCTCTTGGAAGACCCAGGCTCGTTCTAACAGCGGACAATCACCGAATATGCCCGCATTTTGGGTAGATTCCTTCCTCGGCCCGTAATTCTGGCGCTGAACAACGTGCAGAATAGACGTCTTCAATCTTCGGGGCAGATATGGACTGCCCTGATCGGAGAAGAGTCCCCCGCAGCTGTCTTTGGACGCCGTTGCCGCAATTGTTAGGAAGGCGTCCTCGTAGATTCCAGCCATGGTAGCGACGGCCTCTTCCCAATCTTCAACGCTATCCTGAACAATGCCTGAACAACATTAATGGTCTGCTTTGATCGCACGGGATCTACCACGACTTACACAAGGCATCGATCCACAGGAACCTGAATCCAAGTCGAAGACATACCAAAACTGCGTCCCGGAAAGTCTTAGGCAACGCGGATATCGAGACACTTGCCTTTAGCATCTGAATTGTCGAGGATTCCAATCTGAAGGTCACGCCTTTGGATCCCCAGCAATGGCTCAAGCATATGTATGAATCTTTCGATGCTAGACGTTCTCTCAGAACCACGCGAGAGCCATATATCTCAAGTATGCGTTTTGGAAGATTGTATTCGACAGAAGCGCCTTTGTGAGCTGTGGGCTTCCTATAGGCGTCTCTGCGGCAGTCCGGATGATTTTGTGTACAATCGTCGAGCCACTGAACTAGGCATCGGGTGGAGTGGAGAGATGATGTGTCACCACCGAATACATGATCGGTGGGAAAGAGATGTTTCCTTACAATGTCTGCGTAAGAGGCATGCCATCCTGTGTCATCCGTTAGAAAATGATGTAAGGGGTACGCATGCATGAGAAACGCACCTCTTGGCTGAAAGATGTCCAACTCAATTCGCCCACCACTATAACCTAATAGCTGTAGTGTGGAATTTGCGTATTGTGAATATGTAGAACGATGTTGGATTATGACCATTACATGTCTGGGCACGATTGAAGCTCCGAGCAATCTTCTTTGCCCAGGACTTTGCTGCCAGGTCTGAATAGCGTCGAGAATCGTAGAGCAACATTGTCGCCCAACGTTTGCTCCTTCTTCGAGCTCGACGATGGATGCACTACCGGAGTAATCCGAGGTCAGCTTGCAGACTCGGCATTGCGATTCGTGAAAAGCAGAAAATCGGTGCGCATCGACAGGTATTCCCCTTGAACGACGAGACCGATTGACTGGGATCGTTTCGTCCTTAGTGTCAGAGTATTGAGCATTTCCAATATGGTGAAGGGGATTAGCGAAGGGGTAAGATTGGGGTTCCGAAGCAGATGAGCTTCCGCAAAAACTGCTCTCAGCAGCCTCGCTCTTGTCGCATTCGTGTTGCACTCCGTCACACTTAGCATCCATTGTACATTGATTGTTGTCTGTGCTGCCATGCTCCGATCGGCGTCCGAGACCTTGTATCGGCATCTCGTGTGTAGTTTCAGGGGCTGCACTGGAGAATTCGTCCCATTGTGACTCTGGGGCTGAGGGACAAGTGAAGTTGTTACTGTCTATGTATTTGGAGCGCCCGTGATACTCATAATCTTCGTCATCGTCAGTGCCTTCATCCATGGTGCTACCATCATGGTCGTCTTTGAGATAGGATTGCCAGCGTTCCAGTAGACTTGCACGACATCTTTGAGCGAAGACGCGTGATTGCAGATCTCGACAATTACTTAGGACATGCGGACTGAATGTTCGTCGAACCGTTGGCCGCTCTTTCATTGTCGAAAGGGTCGTCAAATGCGAAAGAATGACAGTTGGCGGTTATTGGGCCTGGCTCGAGGGTGTAGGAAGTATGCGCAGCGTCCGCTGGTGACGGCGTGTCGGATTGATGTGCTGATGCAGCTGCCGAATTGCGTAGTAGGCAGGTGGGGTGTAAGCCGGCTTCCTTCCCAAAGCTGACAAGGCCGCGGAGGCTCTTTCGCCTATACTCGTTGTAGCCTTGTGCATAGAGCTCGAATTCAATCATGTAAAGCATGATCACATATATATTGACAAAGCACTCGACGACGCTATCAACACCGACCAGGATATACAACCCAACTTAACGCACTCACTCGCGCTCACGCACCCCCCTCTCGTAGTCGTCCTTAAACCGCGATGCAAGCTGCTCGCCACGCCACTAACGCTATGAGCCAAATCATCCCGCCTCATTGTGCTCATAGCATCCTGACATTGTCGAGCATTCAAGAAGAATGACTACCTCCAGACCGCCGGAATTGTCCTGGTGCCTTTCCCATGGGCGGAAGGTCTGAGAAGTCCGTAATGTCTAAAACGGCGTGTGAAACTTGAACCAAGGAGAAGACCCTCCAACCGTCTGACAAGAATGATCTATAACAATTTGACATCATAATAAGTTAATTGAGTAAAACCTTCACATACGACCACAGGACGTTGAAAACAAGGCTTCCCGTTCGCTCAGCCCTATTTAAGCAACGTACCGGCTGATTAGTACTCAGGTGGGTGACCACTGGGGAATCCCAGCTGTTGTATGTAGGATTATTCTTTTTGCTGCTTCTGCCGACTGGGCGTGTGGTGGCGGTGATGCTTATCGCGAGCATCTTGGTGATTGAGGCTGTGCAGACGGAGCGTGTTGCTGAAGGAAAGAGCGATGCACGCCCCACGTGACTTCCTTTTGCAATCCACATTCCCATTACTGCCAGAACCAAAGGACGTATCCAAACTTTTGTGCGTAATCGTGATAGAATCGTCACTGCGCATGACCTTCGATCTGCCTGACCTGGTAAGCGCCACTGCGCAATTTCCATGCCGCGAATTCAGCCTCCAGGCAGCATACTCCCGTTACAGATACTCCTCTCACACCCCCACATCAACAACATCCTGCTCACTCCCCACCCACCTCGCACTCTCCCACGGCCTCACAACCGCCAACACCTTCGCCTTGACGAGCCCCAACGGCAGCGGCCCAAAAAGCCTCGAATCGCGACTCCACTCCAGATTATCCCCCGCGAGCCAACAATGCCCCTCGGGCACCCTGACAAACCCTTCTTTCACATTCGCCCAATCCCCCTCATCCCCGTCCTTTTCGATATCCCCGTCGCGCCGCGCCGCGCTCACCACCGCGACCACGTCGCCCGGCATGCCGAGCACGCGCTTGCAGCCCCGCTGATGAGGGAAGAGTGGGTGCGTGTACGTCACGATGTCGCCGACGCGGATCCCGCGCCCGCGGCGGTGGAGCGAGGAGTACAGGATCCAGGGGCGCGTGGTGTAGGAGTCTGGGATCGTGGGGACCATGCTTATGCCGCTTGTGGGGCCGAGGAAGATCAGGTGCGTTGTGACGATGTGGTAGATTAGGCTGCCTTTTAGTACTGTCTTGCTGGCCCCTGGGTGGGTTAGAGAGTGGAAGGGGTATTGGGGGAAGGGGACGGACACCAGAGGTCGCGCGCTTTGGGGCCGAGGAACGACATTGCGAGGATTCGCGTGGAGGTAGCTCGCGTGGAGTTGTTTCGCGTAGAGGTAGTTCACCGGGTACGCATGGCTGGGCGGGCGCGCTGCGGTAAAATACTGCGCAGCTTGTTGGCGGTGTTGGTGATGGAGGTGGAGCGACGATGGATTGAAGCTCGAGACAAGTCCGGCGCTAGCGAGCTTACCTCCGGTCTAGCACCACATGGGGCGACGTCAAGTCTTGATCACGACTCTGCGTTCAAAAAGATGTTGGTCTCAGATGAGGTCGTTGGCCTCAGAGACGCAGAGCAGGCTGCTACAAGGTATAGTGTGCTTCGTGAGACTTGTTCTGAGCACAGGCTGACCGCGTGAAAGGCCTGCACCAACGGGTCTCGCTGCGGGCGCAACCTTGGACGATGCTGTAAGAGGTGCATCCAATTCTCATATTACTCTCTCGATAAACCACTTGCCATTCATGCATTTCCCAATTGTAACATAACCTCCCCTTCTAAGCCCTCCAGATCTCATAACAACCTACCACGACCTCAACCCCTCCACCATCGACACCCTATACTCCGACCCCTCGCCCCTGGAATTCATGCGCTACGTCGCCCGCAACCGCCCCTTCGTCATCAAAAACAGCGCCGCAGACTGGAAAGCCCGCCAACACTGGACCGCCGCGTACCTGAAGCGCGCCATGGCCGGCCACTCCGTAAACGTCTCGCTCACGCCCCACGGGAACGCCGACTCCGTCGTGTCGCTCCCGGGCGGCGGCCACGTGTTCGCGAAGCCGCACGAAGCCACCGAAGACTTCGCGGCTGTGATTGATGCCATCAGCGCCCAGGGCCTGCAGTCCACCACCGAGACTCCCGCGCCCCGCCACATCCGCTACGCGCAGACCCAGAACGACAATCTGCGCGACGAGTACGCGCCACTCCTCGCAGACGTGCCGCCCAGCATCCCCTTCGCGCACGTCGCCCTCGACCGCGCGCCCGACGCGATAAACCTGTGGCTCGGCAGCGCGGCGTCGCGCACCGCGCTGCACAAAGACGCGTATGAGAACCTGTACGCGCAGATCCTGGGGCGCAAGCACTTTGTCCTCTTGCCGCCGTCGGACGCCGCGTGTGTGGGTGAGCGGGGGGTGCTGGCGGGTACTTATGCGCCGCGCGACCCCGAGCGGGAGGGGGCGGGGGAGCTGGTGCTTAAGGTCGATGAGCCGGAGGCGTATGTGCCGTGTGCGCTGTGGGATCCGGAGACACCGGAGGTGAATGCGACGAAGTACTCCAGCTTGGCGCGGCCGATCAGGGTGACGCTCGAGGAGGGCGATGTGATGTATCTGCCGGCGCTGTGGTATCATCAGGTGCGGCAGAGTTGTGACGACGAGGGGCTGTGTTGCGCAGTGAACTACTGGTATGATATTGATTTCGCGGGCGGATTTTGGAGCACGGCGGGGTTTGTGAGGGCGGTGGGTGTTCTTGGGGAGGAAGGGGGGAGTGGCTAGGATTGCGTAGGATTGTGTGTGGTGTCTCCCCAAGGTCACCCCCACTGAAACCTCTCCTCATCGACCATGGTGCCTTCCACCCAGCACGTTTCCACCCACCCAACGCCAACCATCCGCGCCATGCTCGAAACCCCTGTACTACTTCTCTGATTACCGTCTTGAACGATGACATGTGTAACGCTCTCCGCGCCACAATCCACCACTGCACCCCCACCAAACCGGATATAGTTCGCCGCGATCTTCGCCTTCAGACTCCAAACCAAATCAACACTATCCTGCACCGCAACCCTAGTACCCACAAACATATAGCTCTTCAGCCGCGCCACCTCGCCCCCATGCCCCTGCAGCTGACTCACAAATGCGTGCCTATCAAACTTCTTCGCAGCCGGCTTCTGCATACCATCCAGCAGTCTCCGCATCTCCGCCACATCGCCGACGTCTCGCGCATACGAGTCCCCGTTCCTATCCACATGCCCCTCAACAACATCCAAGTCCTCGTTGCGCAGGAAGAACATGTGCCGATTCGGCTCGAACGGCAATAAGTACGGGAGTGTGTTCGCGTCGGCGGCGCTCTGCGCGATGCAATCAGCGACCCACAAGGGCTTGAGGATGTTATTGGTATTTCGTTTCTCGAGCGCGGCGACTTTGATAAGCCGCTTGTCGGCGATGACAACGAGGTTCTTGTCCGGGGATGCGCGCTGGACAAGCGTGGCGCCGTGCGCTTTGACGAGGGCTTCGAGGGCGGGTTTGGGGGACTTGGTGGGGAGGAGTTGGTCCGTCATGATGTAGAAGGACAGACCCTCGAAGAGCTTAGACTCTGGTCCAGCGTAAGGGGTGGTGAGAGTCTCGTTGCCGGCGATGACGAGGGGTTTCTTGGTGATGCGTGGTTTCTTGCGGCGGTTCTGTTCAATTTTGAATTCCTGCTGTTTCTCTTCGAGCGTCTGCTCGACGTTTTCTTGCAGTGCGAGCCATTCCTGGATGCTCAGCGCTTGGTCCCAGCGCTTGTCGACGCGCAGGCGCTTGAAGCGTGGGAAGCGGAGTGTGCGGCCCATGCGGAACTTGTCACTGCCCTCGACGCTTGCTGCTTTGCATTCGATAACAACGGACTCACTCGGGAGGATCCACTGATCGGGTCGTTCGTACTGGCGGTTTTCTGCATGGCCCCCGAGCTCGATGGTGGATGGTGGACGTCGCGAATCCCAGTCTCTCCATTTGCCCTCTGTGCGACCTCGTATGGCGGCGTAGTCCTCGCGACTGAAACCTCCGCCGACTTTGAAGAATGAAAAGCATTTCTCGTAGTCGGGGTCATCCGGTTTGGCATGTTGCTTCACGCGTAAGCCACACAGGAAGGAAGAGTGAGCGCCGCCTCGGTGGCCTGAACCGAAGTAGCCGCCGACAACGACGCAGTCCAGCGACTCGCCGTACTCGGACATGTACTCGGGCTTGACTTTCATCCAGTCATTATTACGCTCGTTGAGACGGTACATGGATCGGGGGTTTTTCAGCACCAGGCCTTCTGAAGACTCAGCTACGACCTTTCGTAACGCGGGCTCAACCTCGGTGTGGGAACTCGCGTCGATATATGGATGGATCTCCAGACGCCGGTGGACACTCGTCACTGCCCCCTCGAGTGCCCGACGGCGGTCTCGCAACATGTACGGCGTCAAGAGCGTGTCGTTGAGATAGACGCAATCGAATACGCGGAAGAGCGGGCGTTGGCCAGTCTTCTTGTCGGTCTTGTTCTCCTTTTCTGATATCGCCGCAGTCTTCAGCGTACCGAACCCAACAATGTGGTCTGTGTCCATGTCCCAGGTGATCATCTCGCCGTCAAGTATGATGTTGCGAATGTTCTTACCAAACGCGTCCGTAATGAAACGTGTCAAAGCACCGGCTTCCTCGCCTTCGAGGTGTTTGCCGTAGAGGTAGGCATAGTCTTTGGCTTTGCGCGACCAGAAGCCAAAGACTCTGCCGCCTGGTGCCTCTGGATCCTCCATCATGTGCAATTGCATGCGCTCGCCGTCAAGCTTTTCTTCGATCCAGAAATTGTCATCGTCGGGGTTTTGTTGAAATCTGGACACGATCTTCTCGAACGAGCCCCCCTTATCTTGAAACTGCGCAAGCTGGGGCTGGAAGCATTGCATCACGCTGAGACCTGTGTCGTCACCTTCAAGTCGATTCTTCGTGTCATACAGCTCCCAGCAAACCCGTCTTAGACTTGAGGAAATGTTGAAGAGCTGCTCGGCATCAGGGTGCCACATGTCGAGGATCGTCTTCTCAGTGGCTCCAATCTTCATCTGACGGAGGATCATGCGGATCAGCCAGGTCATCTCCTCCGCGTTCATCCTCCGATAGAATCTATTAAAGATCTTGACTTGTTCCTCTTCTGAGCCGACTTGCGACAGCTTGTCTAGGGCACTGTTGACCTCAGCAACACTCATGTCACTATACTGAGTGCGCATTTGGCGACTGGAAAGGACCTCATAGCAGCGACCGGCAAAATCACCAGCTGTCGATGACGAGGCTTTGTATAGCTGACCGGGCAGCTTCCAGTTGAGCATCTGCTTTGCGTCGTCTGAGTCCTTACTGATCTTGGTGAGTTTGATCAGGACTTTGGCGATAGCCTTCTCCTTCAGGCCGTACATTGCGCGGTCACGATCCTTTTCGGGTATTATCAGCCGCATTGCTGGGTAAAAGTCGTTGCCGACGTTTTTGCGCCAGTCTTTGATGTAGCGTTCAATAATGTTCCTCTTTGCCTCGTGCGGCGAGAGGTTGGAGTGGCCTTGAGGGCCGGCTTTCCTACGCGCGCCTACTGGGTGCTTCCTCTTCTGCGTGTCCATCAACGGGTCGAAGAGATCTGTAAACAGTGTGTGAAAGGGCGGCGTCTTGTGCTCGTTCAACGGCCGTGTTGGGTACTTGTCATTGAGCTTTTCCTCCTCATGGCCGTACATGAGGGTGCTCTCGCGCACCGCCTCGGCGTCGCGCATGACAGTATCTTCGCCCATGGTTGAAGCATTGGTCTGAGGCGACGAGGGCTGTTTATGATATTGCAGTTGAACAGGCAACGGCAGGCAGACGCGCTTACTGTCGCGCTGTCACGTGTGCACTAAGACTACGCCGGGCCTAGCGCCGTTCTATTCTGGGTGGACCCTGCAAGCGGACATGGGCATGTTGTCGTAATGTTCCACCTGCACTTGTTCTCTGCTCAGTCGCTCGTTCAGCCTTGCTATTTCTGCTCCTTTTGTCTACAAACGCTCCCACCGCCGCGGACGAGGCCCTCCACACCACCACGCAAACTTCACAGCGCTGAGCTCAATGGGCGCCAAATGAGCAGCTCCGCCCGTAGCCGCAGCGTCGCTCCGCACTCGACCGGCGATACGCAGTACAATGTCCGCGACGCCGCCCTGATTGGAGCCGCGTCGGCCTTCGCCAGGCCACCCGCCAAACCTCAGCACCTCAGCAACACATACACGGGCGGCGGCAATGGGGCCCTCCTTGCTGCCACCAAAGTAGCGACAGCGGCCGGTTCTCCTGTGCAGAGAGATTACACGGGCGGTAGCTCGCGGAGCGCCAGCCGTCCCCACCCCTCGCCCGGATACGTCAGCAGCTCGAGCTCCCTGGGCGTGCCGGACACCCACGTCGACCGCGCACCGTCGCCGTCGCACACCGCGGCCAAGCTGGCGGCTGCGCGCCTCAGCCCTCGACGGCCCGCCAAGGCTCCCGCCATGGTGAGCGAGCGGGACGCCAACGAGCGCGATGTGCTGCCGCCCTCGGGCAGCGTGGGCAGCGTGCTGGCCCGCCTGGAGCAGCAGCGAGCTGTGCAGCAGCCACGCGGCAGGAGGGGCAGCACCGGTTCACCATCTGTCGCCGATGCAGCCAGTGCAGCGCCGCGCGACAAGCCCACCGACGACACCCCGATCCCGCCCACCAACTCCCTGGTCAAGATGTTCGAGCAGAACCGCCCAGTCACCCCAACGCCTGCTGCTCCATCTATCGTGAAGAACTCCGTGCCCCCCGTCAAGTCGCCCAAGCCCCGCCGCAATTTCACACTGCCGCCTGAACCGGTTGATGACGCTCCGCTTGCCAAGGCCAGGACGAGCAGCCCGCCACCCGTACCCAAGACAAAGCCCTCGGTCGACAGTCAACGGTTGCAGTTCACTGACGGTACGCGCGACGCCCCTCGCTCCGTCATGCCCCAGTCGCAGAATGCTCCATTGAAGTCTCCGCCCATCAAGCAGAAGCCAATACAGCTGGCCGCGCTCAACACCAAGGCCATCTCCGGACCTGCGGCATCTGGCCAGGGGCGCCCGAAATCGCAAGAATTCAAGCGCTCAGCATCCTTCCGACGACTGTCGACATCGGTGGAGAGCAATGCCCCGTCTTCGCCCGCGTCCTTCAAGTCGGCTCAGGAAGAACAAGAAGAGGGTGAGAACATCAAGCTGGCCCTCACACCTCCAATCGAGGACGAAGGCAAAGAAAAGCCCGCCCTTCCTCCGCCAAGGCGATCCAACACCCGCAAGGCCGAGTCCGTCCCTGCTGATGCCAAACTGCTGAAGCCCTCACTGCCACCCCCTCGACGGACAACGAAAAGCTCCTCGCCCCTCCCCCCAACAGACCGCCTCCTACCACCCGAACACTTCTCGCCCCCCAGACCGTCCTCTGCCACCGGCTCTGTCTACCACAAGCCCTACCAGCGCGAATCCGTCAAAGCCATCACCAAGCACATGACCGGCGAATCCCTCTCCAGCGCCATAATGGGCGCCGCGCTCGCCTCCTCACGCAACTCGTCCCCCAACCCCGCACCCCAGGACCTCTTATACCCCCGCAAACCCCCACACCACCACCACACGCCCTTCCATCGCTCGCCCTCACCCCCGAAATCCCAACCGCCCAAACATGCCCCCGGCAAACTACGCACCACAATGCGCAAAGATCCCTCGCCCCCCTCGTCCTCGGACTCCGAAAACGACTTTAAAGGCAAAGGCAACCGCCGCCTCGGCCTCAAAGTGCGCAAACACCCCAACAAGCACCACGAAGGCGAGCGCAAGCGCTGGCGCGACCAGATCTCCGAGCGCGAGCGCCGCCGCTACGAGGGCGTGTGGGCCGCCAACAAGGGCCTGCTGCTGCCGCCTCCCTCTAATACCGCAACACCAGAAGACGACCCCGCGCAGGACGTCCACGGCCTCGCCGTCCGCGAGATCTGGACACGCAGTCGGCTGCCCACGCACGTGCTCGAGGAGGTCTGGGCGCTGGTCGATGGGCGCGAGGTTGGTCGGCTCGCTCGCGGGGAGTTTGTGGTTGGGCTGTGGTTGGTGGATCAAAGGCTTAAGGGGAGGAAGTTGCCGACGCGGGTTAGTGAGAGTGTGTGGGCTAGTGCGCGGGGGGTGGGGATTAAGGTCAAGGTCAGGGGGTGAGAGTGCGAGAGGGGGGTGTGGGTGGTGTTGGTTTGCTTTCGAGATACCCTTGTTGAATTGTTATCTTGTCTTTTCTGTCTGTCGGTCTGTCGGTCTGTATGCCTCCATGTTACTCACACTCCACCACCACAGCCCCCTGAGTGCCCTGTTGCAATTCTTGTTCAATGCTGAGGTCGACAATAGCACTCTGTATCCAGATTACGCACAGTGTTCAGCGATTCGGGTTTGGAGATGTTGTTAGTGCTGTTGTTTCTCAAGGTCGGGAAGGCGAAGTGCAGACCGCATTGTGGCTCAGCGCGAGAAGGATGAGCACAATTGGGGAAAGGTTACGTCGTAAGGAGACTGCGGTCGTCAGCTACAGCGCCACAATGCTCTTACCTGACAGCCATCTTAGCACGCTACTGTCGCGAAATGACGCATGAGGCCGCGAAGGCAGCCAACAGGACGCTAGCCATGGATAAGCGCCACTTACAGTGCTTTATACAATAGACCTACTGGTGCACTACTAGTATGTAAGCCCTTATACTAGTCTTGGGAGGGTTCGCATAGTTTCGAAAGCACTGATACACGCGTTCAATACATTAGCGGTCCTGTTAGTTCACTTCTCGATCTGATTGGTCCGCTCGCACTATTCGTCGAAAGCACATTAGGCGCATTCGGGTCGCAAGCTTTGCCTTATTGCAATTGGCCTTGGGTGGCCTTCGTGTATATAGGCCCAAATGGGACAGTATTTTGTGCATAATGCAGTATCGATTCGACTTCCTGAGAAATCCAGCCTGCGCACAATATGCCGATTCAGTCAGGCTCTGAAGGCAGCACTGCTCAAGATTGTGTTGAGCAACATCCTTCTTTGGAGCGAACACAAGATAATAATGGAACTACTTCCGGAATCAGTCATACAGCTTCCGATGGCATTTCTGCAGATGCTGATCTTATCAAGACCCCCGGGGACATGGACGACAAAAGTCCGCCTGCCTACGGCGACATTTATGGGAACGTCCAATACAATAACGAAGAAGGCCTGGATACTAGTACTTGTGTCGCTGACGACGGCCGTGTCAACATAAGGATCAATCTCCTTCATCGCCGTTTGTCACGGATCTTGACTCCTGCCGTGGATCAAAAGCTACGGGACGCTCAGAATCAATCGCTCGCACCTCTGCCTACTGCGTCCCCGCCACGCTTAAATGTCGTAATGCAGGTTGTAGGATCGCGTGGAGATGTTCAGCCTTTCCTTGCGCTAGGAAAGCTCTTGAAGGATACCTACGGCCATCGCGTACGTCTTGCGACCCATCCCAATTTCAAGGACTTTGTTCAGGAGCACGGCTTAGAGTTCTTCAGCATCGGAGGTGATCCAGCCCGCCTAATGGCCTTCATGGTTACCAATCCTAGTTTGATGCCAAGCATGCGCAGCATAGCAAGCGGAGACATTGGACAGAGACGAAAAGATGTCGCGGAGTATATCCAAGGCTGTTGGCGGTCTTGCTTTCAAGCTGGCGATGGCATGGACGAGAATCACTCAGAGTCCCAGGCAAAAACCCATACCTACCCCGGAGTTGTTGCGAAGCACTTTGTCGCCGACCTCATCATTGCCAACCCCCCGAGTTTTGCCCACATCCATTGCGCCGAAAAGCTGGGCATTCCACTGCACATCATGTTTACAATGCCTTATTCTCCGACGCGGGCGTTTCCCCATCCGCTCGCCAACATTCAATCCTCCAATGTTGATACGCCCCTTGCCAATTACATCAGCTTTGCTTTGATAGAACATCTCTCATGGCAAGCTCTAGGAGACATCATCAATCGTTTCCGCGCAAAATGCCTACAACTGGACCCTGTGAGCGCAATCCGAGGCCCTTGCGTGCTCCAACGTTTGAGAGTTCCTCATACCTATTGCTGGTCGTCTGAGTTGATCTCCAAGCCGAAAGATTGGGGCTCACACATCTCCGTCTCGGGTTTCTGCTTTCTCAAGGCGCCCGACTACACTCCTGCTGCTGAATTGTCGGAATTCCTTAGCAAAGGCCCAGCACCTATCTACATAGGATTCGGGAGCATCGTTCTGAAAGACCCTGATGCGATGACCCAACTCATATTTGAAGCCATAAAGAAGACTGGCCAACGTTTCCTCCTTTCCAAAGGCTGGGGCGGTTTAGGCGCAGACGAACTTCAGGTTCCTAATGAGGTTTTCATGCTGGGCAATGTACCGCATGACTGGCTCTTCAAGCATGTTTCTTGCGTTGTGCACCACGGCGGTGCAGGCACTACGGCTGCAGGAATTGCTGCGGGTCGACCCACCTTGATTGTTCTGTTCTTTGGGGATCAACCGTTTTGGGGCGCCATGGTCGCGCGTGCTGGTGCAGGGCCTGATCCTATCCCTCACAAACAGCTAACAGCTTCCAAATTGGCGGATGCTATTTCCTTCTGCTTGCGTCCCGAGACTTTAGATCGTGCAAAAGATTTGGCGAGAACGATTGCCGAAGAGCAGGGCTGTGAAACAGTCGCCCAGTCCATACATCGGTCTATAGAGCCTGACCATCTTCGCTGCTCCCTCGCACCATCGCGGTGCGCTGTGTGGCGTGTTAAACGTACCACGATCAAGTTGAGTGCCTTTGCTGCTCATACACTAGCTCAAGCAAGCCTTCTTGATCTGCAGGATATCAAACTCTCCAGACCTCGAGAGCATTATGTCGACGAAGGACCATCTGATCCGATTTCTGGAGGGTTTACAGCTTTTTTAAGAGCGGTCAGTGGGATGTCAAAAGGTTTATACGATGTTCCATCAGAGACTTGGAAAGCAACGCAGATCTCGACTGGCCGGAGTTCCGATGGTATCCCTGATTCGTCGAAGACTCATCAAGATTCCAGGCAGGACAAAGACAGCCAATCGAGCCAAACTCCCAGCGACGAGCGTGACAGAATTCGGCCAACTGGTGTACACGTAAGCAAAGGTGCTGGACGATTCATCAAGGCTGTTGTCCAGGGCCCTGTTGACATATCAGTCAACCTCACCAGAGGAATGCACAATATCCCCAAACTATGGGAGGATGAAAGCGTACGACCCCAGGAACGAGTAAGTGACCTTAGATCAGGCTTCAAGGCATTAGGACGAGAATTCGGATTTGGATTCTACGACGCCATCACGGGTCTCGTCACTCACCCTATAAAAGGCGCTCGGGACGGTGGCGCTGGCGGCCTTATCACGGGAATTGGAAAGGGTGTAGGTGGGTTTCTTCCAAAGCTGGGTGCGGCTTGCCTGGGCATACTCAGTCACATGTTACATGGAGCTAGTATGGAGGTACAGAAGCTGTTTAGTAGTGATGTACAGAGCTATATTGTAGCCTCAAGGGTAGCTCAAGGGCACGAAGTGTGGTTGCGTGGCTCAGATGCTGAACGGCAAAGTGTTATAACGAACTGGAATCTCATACAGGGCCACGTAAAGGGAAAACACAAAAGTGGATGGTTAGATAATGTTACAATTCTACCACCACGCAGTCTTACGATTGAGGTTAAACGTTCTTTCCCTCTAGTTCGATCTAGCTACAACTTCACTACACCTATAAAGTCCACCTCCCTCGTATTTGCTATATGCAATCCAAACATTTCCCTACGCTCTCTCGTCTTCTTCCAGCAAAATGTGTGCTCATCAGCCCGAACATGACTTTTACTCATGATACTGGTTCCTTGCAATTGATCTTCGAAACGATAACTACTTTTGTCATGTCTACTTCTTTGGATTCTTGTGCAGCCGCCCGTGCCATAGCCTTCTTTTTCCACCTGGTTTTGAGCTTGTAAATATCCATTCTTAGGATCTATACAAGATGAGCAGTGACGCACAGATATTAGAAGGTAGGATGGCTGTGGGTCGCATGCGTATCGCGCTTATTGAGTAGATGGGAGCATATCCGCAACTGGTAAAAGTCTTAAAACATCAGCAGTATAGGAGTGGCTTTCATTGCGTCCAATCATCTTGAAACACGTAGCCAGTCAGATCAGGCAACCGAGGTGTGCATCTTAGCGACAAAACTGACATTTCTGCAGTCGGAGGCCGCATAAGATCACGTTTTACTGTACGTCAATTTTCGGACGAATAGCATTCGAATTGTCACCACCACGAACAATTCCATACCTTCATGTAAGGAGTGGACGAATCAAGTTCAGACTTCCGAGAACATGATGGCAAGTGCAAAGCGATGCCCCATCTGCGACAATCTCCAGTCGAGCTACGAGCCTACCGGAACCAGCCATGAAGTACGCAGGGACATTATCCATAAGAGAAGCTATGGACAATTCAGGTTGTCAAGTAAACAGGGCTGCTCGATGTGTGGATTTATTCAGGATGCGATCCAACACTTTGATCCGGATTCGAAAGATGCTTCGTTAGCATTACTACGAATTGCTCACACGGGTGCTTGTGTCATAAGTATGAGTAACTCTAGTTCTACTCTACAGGTCTATACTCCACGCGGTGAGCATCAGTTCCATGTAGAAAGTGGGGTGAAGTTAATATTTGACAGGTTATCCGCCAGCCTGGCCTGGCGTTGTTAGAGGCGATCTACTGAGCTCGTCCGCTGGTTCCCAGGAGGCTTTCGAGTTTGCTCAAAGATGCCTACAAAAGTGTGATACGTATCACCCAGAATGCAAAGCCTCGACTACGCAACTACCAACACGCCTCATTGAGATCTACCAGGACCAAACCAGCTACGTACGGCTTGTAGAGGCCAAGAGAGGTCATAGTGGATCATACGTAGCCTTGAGCTATTGTTGGGGTGTAGGAGACAATGTCAAGACTACACTTACAAACTACAGCCAGATGCTATCCGCCATTCCAGTGGCAACACTACCTCAGACACTACAGGATTCTATCTCTATTACCAGGCAGCTGCAGCAAAGATATATCTGGATCGATGCCATATGTATTATTCAAGATTCTGCCAGTGACTGGGAGGCAGAGTCTGTAACAATGGCGACTGTGTATCGCAATGCGTACCTGACCATAGCTGCAGGAACAGCCGAGGCGGCCACAGAAGGATTCATGACACACCAGTATCCAGCTGCCGACTTTCCTGCACCGTTTCAGATACCTTGGTGTAACAAGGATGGTGTTCAGTCTGTGCTAGCTGCTCGCATCATACCGGGTTACGAGATGCATGGTGACGGTGTGGAAGGTATTCCCTTGGAGACCAGAGGGTGGTGTTTGCAGGAACAACTGCTGTCGACTCGAATTCTCACCTACCGAGAAGAAGAATTGTATTGGACTTGCCTTGCTTCGAGCTTGTGCGAGTGCAGCTTGCGAGATCACATGGCGAGCCAGCAGATTCGCACAGCCGGAGATAGCCGTATACCTTACGCGTCTTTATTTCAAATCACAAAAGAAGAAGCCTGGGATAAGTGGAGATATGTTGTAGAGGACTTCATGCTTCGCTCACTCACCAACGAGAGCGACCGGCTTCCGGCCATTGCAGGCGTGGCTACAGTGATACAGGCAATCACCGGATCAGGTTACTTGGCAGGACTCTGGACCGATAACCTGCTGCCCGGTCTGATGTGGGAATCGGCGCGCCTAGGCTGCTCGACTCTCTCGGCGGAACCCTGTGCCTCGCGTCAATACATAGCGCCTTCGTTCTCTTGGGCAAGCTCTTCCAATATCGCACAGTATGGTAAAGCTGTGGACTCTTCGCTGGAAAATCGAAACACGACTTGGATCTTCAAATGCAAATTACTCGATAGTGGGTGCATCCTGCGAGGCAGCCATTCCCTAGGCCAGGTGGAAAGTGCTTTTATTCGATTGACAGGACCACTTTTGCGAGCCACGCTGCGGAAGGAGAAAGGCATATACACTCCAAATGGCGATAAATGGATAGTGTTGTGGGATGATGTCTCGCTCACAGTCCGCGCCGATGCGCGGTTGGAGGAGTGTGAGGCCACGAGTGCAGAAGGGCTTCTTGAGAACACTGTTTGCAGATCGCCTCACGGGTCTCGGAAAGAGATCGCGCAGGACGGCGCACCTGTATTTGTTCTCTATCTTGGGAAGAGGTCTGGTAGCTACGCCGGACGAATGAGGTGGTCTCGCATGTTCCTAATCCTAGGAAGATCGCCTGTACAGGTCGGTGCATATGTGCGGTTAGGTTCCACTGACCAGGGCGGCTACGGTGATCCAATAAAGTTGAGGCGTCGCCAAGTTGGGTTTCAAAAATCAGAGATAACCTTGATCTGAGTTTGCGTAGCTGCGTTGAGCATGGTACCTAGCTAGGTACTGCACCTTCATCTCTTTACCGAGAGCTAAGCTCTGTTCGCAAGGCGCAGAAAACCAACAAAGCTTTCAGCGCTGCTGTTTCGCTGCTTTAGATACAGGATACTCTCTTCAGTGTTGCTTGGTCGTCGAGCAGGCCGCGCAGGCCACTGTAGGAACCAGCACCGTATCCGCGGTCGCTCGCTCCGTTCGTCGGGACACTGACAACAATGTCGCCCAGCAGGATGTTATTCTTCTAATTGGTAGCATCGTCGCCGATCCCAACCATTAACCCAGTGTGAACGTTTGCGAAAAAGCCAAACAAGTTCTCGAGCGCTTCCTTTGCTCTCATTAGGTGCCACAAGCGCCTGGTCTGGGGCCGGTGGATGACTGAGTGTGGTCTATCGCCGGTTCGGCAGTGTTTTTGACAGATTCTCCGTTGACCTACGAGTTCGTCAGAGTGCTCTTTTTTGGGTTGTTAGACGAGCAGCATGCACACGCAGTCTCCGTGATACTTTTGTGACTGTACGACATCTCCACTCGCAGCCATCATATCTACCAGTCTCTCTTCAGGCTAACGTACTGCCTAGTCATTGCCTGCTCGTTCTTCTGCTGTCATCTCAGAACACCAGCTCTTCGGGGGGTACACCACGCTCAAGCATTCACTGACTCCTCTATCATCTCTGACTGTGCCAGACTGATGGTGCTTCTCCAACGGGACCCTGCTTGACCTCAACTACAAAGAGTTTGCACTAACATATTCTAGGAGTTTACTTTTAGGTCTATTATCTACTTTGCGTACTAATAACACTGCTTAGTCTGCTTTTTGTAGGGTCTGGTTGCCTTGTATCGCCCTGAGCTATTGGATCGGGCTCATCGACGTCTATCCAGGTAAGTGGATACTCGTCTTGCGTATCCCTCTTGTGCTTCATTCTACGGTCAGGAGCAGCGCTACCAGAATAATCCACGTTTTCTCTTGTGCTTCCCCTCTTTGATGCCCATAGACGACTTGGTGAAATAATTTTCAACAGAGGACGCAACGTAGCGATGCAGCAGTTGATTATAGCAATGGCAGGCTCGGCAACTGACCAGAACGCAGCGTGATGCATCGAGTAGGATATGTCAGTGAAGTCGACGTGCAGTAGGACAACGATACGTATGATAGTAATCGCAGTGACACTGTTCAAACGTCAGCTTGTGACGCTGTTTAGAGAAACTCAACGCTTACAAGAGGCCGATGCCGAAAATCGCCACAAGCCCAATCTTTGTCCCGACCGCCATTTGGATTTTGCGGATAAACGGGATTGGCAGCAGCATGATGATTAAGTCTGTGATCATGTTGAAGATACCAATTGTAACAAAAGCAATATTGTAGCTTGCACAGTGGCCGCCAGGTATAGATGGATTCCAATTCATCTCAAAAGGTCTGCAGATGAGGAAGATTGTAAGCATACTTCCTATCCAGTACCCACTCACAAGACTCATGCACGTCCAGACCCATTTGCGAAACTCCGGTTGGGGGAAGATACGAAGATAAAACCAGAGGTAGGACAATTTTACGCTTGCCATGGCAGCATAATACACGGCTTGATAGGCTATCAGCTGTTTCCCGATGAATACTGTGTTGGCAATTGGGATCTCGGAGATATGGTAGCCCATACCATGATTTGCGTAGGATATATGCATTGCGAGTATACCTGGAAGCGCATCAGTGAATGTAGCTTATTCGCGACGAATTTTGACTGACCTGATGTGAAAAAGAGTGAAGCGACTGCACAGACATCATCCCACCTGCAAATTCATTAGACCTTCGACGGTCGTAGCTTGGACACGGTAATTGACTCACCAGACTTTTGTCTCGCGGACTCTTCGCGCAACAAATCGCAGTATGACCAACAGTGCGGCAAATCCCACCAAGAAGAAACTTGCTGCAAGTTGCCTAGTTACTATAGGGTGATGGAATATGCTCGTTCTTGTCAATGGGTCGGTAGATAACATGATTAGAAGAACTCTCGTTTCCGTGGGTTAGGTTTTGGGGAGGGCAAGAGCGTGTCACCGCACCCTGTGGGATGTCGCCTTGCGTACCTACTAGGTAATTGCAAAGGAGCTGGCGAACAGGTTAGAGAACCCGACACTATTGGTAGGATTTCAGTTCTAGCCCACTCAGGTGAGACGGTCCGGTTAGCTCTGTACGGGTCGGGTGCGGACCGTTACCGGCACGCGCTATGGACACGAGTCAGGAACTACTCATTAAACGCCCCATCGTCGGTCTCTTAGCAATGATCCTTCGTTGCTGTGCCACAATAACCATGATTGTCAGATGACACTGGTTTTTAATGTGTGCGCGACCCCGTCTAGATCTTATGCCTCTGCATCCTCTACTTGCACTTTCTTCCACTTGTGGCGGTCGATACATTCAATTGCTCCTCTAAGAACGAAGCATTCGCACAACCACCAAAATGTTGGCAAACCATGACTGTGCTGCGACTTCTAACGACGTTCCCATGTGGGACCCGGACTTCATTGTAATTGGTGGCGGCATAGGAGGTTTGGTGATTGCGAACCGTCTCAGCGAGCACGCAGACAAGAAGGTACTGTTAATCGAAGCCGGCGCAGATCGCCGCGGAGACCCGAAAATCGACACTATTGGCATGCTGTCGACCCTTTATGGGGACCGTGATTATGATTGGGATTTCATGACAGAGCCTCAGGTGAGGTGCCAACATTCACAGGCCCAACTCAATGCTTAACACGGAACAGACACATGTTGGTGGAAGACAAATCCCGCAGCCTCGAGGAAAGGTGCTTGGAGGCTCTAGCGCCATCAACTTCGGTGCTAATGTGTATCCGTCTAAGGCCAATTTTGAAGCGTGGAGAGCCCTCGGCAATGAAGGGTGGGACGCTGCTGGGCTTGCGCCGTATCTCCGCAAGTACAGTCGCTTCACGCCTCCCAGTGTCGAAACAAGAGACTTGCTCAATATTGACTACGTCAACGAGGAGTTGCATGGCAAGGAAGGTCCTGTTCCAGTGACTATTCCGGATGTCTATGGCCCATTCCAAGCTTTGTGGACCAAAACACTCGATCAGCTCAGCTGGTGTAACAACGACGATCCGATAGAAGGCAAAAAATTAGGAAATTTTGCGTGTGGTCTCACGCTTGACCCTGTCACCAAAACCCGTGGTTACGCAGCGTCGGCATATTATACTCCGGAGGTTGCGCAAAGACCAAATCTTCAGGTCTTGACAGAGACATCCGTGGAGAAGATCCTTACAAAGGCAGTTAATGGCACTGTTACAGCAACTGGTGTCAGAGTATGTACGAAAGACGGTACACACCAAGACCTGTTAGCGAAGAAGGAGGTCATTCTTTCTGCGGGGGTTTTTAATTCACCGCAGATCCTTGAGCTGTCAGGTATAGGTCAAAAGGATCTCCTCGAGAGCTATGGCATACCTGTGGTTCTCGATAGCCCCGGAGTTGGTGAAAATCTCCAAGATCATGCCATCTCAGCTCCTTGCTTTGAGATCGCTGATGACCAGATGTCAGGGGATGTCATGCGGGACCCGAACATTGTGCAGGCTGTGCTTGAGCAGTACTTGAGCACGAAAACTGGTCCGCTGGTTGGAATCCCGATCTGCATGACTATGCTCCCGCTTGTTGATTCCAATGGCCGTGTTGGTCGTGATCAGATCGCAGACCTAATCAAGGAGCATACCGATGAGCCGAAACTGTCTCTCGGACAGCAGAAGCAAAACGAGTTGCTTCGAGATCAGCTACTGAACCCTACAGAAGCTGCAGGGTACCTAATGATGCTGCCGCTCCAGTTGAACGTCTCTTCTGGGCGGACGGAGATGAAGAATTTGCTGGCACCGACAAATCCAAAGAACTACATTACGATCATGGCGGTCAACAACCATCCCTTCTCCCGCGGTACATGTCATATTCGATCTGATGATCCAAGAGATAAACCAATTCTGGACCCGCGATATCTGTCGCATCCGCTAGACCTAGAGATCTTAGCGCGCCAGACGCAGTATATCGAGACAATCGTCAGAACTGAGCCCTTTGCGTCCCTCCTAAAGGCAGGCGGGCGGATGCCTGAGGGCAAGCAAGCTACAAGCCTGGATGCAGCAAAGGAGATCGTCAAGGAACGGCTGTTGAGCACATTCCATCCTGTGGGTACATGCGCTATGATGCCGAAGGAGCTCGGAGGTGTGGTGGACAGCAGATTGAAGGTATATGGAACAAAGAACCTGCGAGTTGTTGACGCATCTGTTTTTCCTCTAGAGACACTGGGGAACATCCAGGCTACGGTGTATGCTGTGGCAGAGAAGGCGGCAGATCTTATAAAAGAAGATTGGGCACAGCTCAAGTAGAGCGAAGGGCTGTTCAAATCTGAAGTCAAGAACCATAATCGGGTCACACCGCCCAAAATCGCTCCCGAACAGTCGTATCGAACGCAACGAAGACCACATTGAGCGTCCAACACATCATGGTTGCATTGAAAAGAACACTTCAAAGTTTGATATGTTGTTGCGACTGCTTTTCGAGTGGAGGCGGCGGTGTAATCGGAATACTACGTCCTGTGACGACCAAATTGCCACACTGGGTTCTCCGCAATGGTATCCACGTCAGTGCCGCGTTGGTGTTGGGCTGGCGCTGCAACGCGGTTGTGACGTTGCCAGCTTGGGGTGGTTATAGCACTCGTACCGGCGTTAGGCGCGACTTGAATGCTTTGCGTGATCATCTTTCTCGATCAAGTAAAGATGGCCCTTCGAGCGGAGGTTCAGATAACGTTGTGCTGTGATGTGGAGGTTGCGAGGCGCTGCAAGCCGGGAAATGCGCCGAATTGTAATGTGACCTGTCTCTATCTCTAATCTACATTCTGCCTAGCGGGTAACCAGCCTGCTCCGTACACACTGATCTGTCGCTTGGCTTCTTGGCAAGATTGTGCAGTGGCTGGTATCTTTCGAAATACAATACAATACAGTAACAAAAAAAAAGAACCGAACCAAAAGGAATCAAGATACATACAACAGCTGGGATTCCCCAGTGGTCACCCACCTGAGTACTAATCAGCCGGTACGTTGCTTAAATAGGGCTGAGCGAACGGGAAGCCTTGTTTTCAACGTCCTATGGTCGTATGTGACATCAAAGTGATTTGAGAAGTATATATTCCTATTGCTGACGAGGCCTTACCTATTGGACAAAGTGCTACTCCACCACAAGTTCGACTTCGTTCGTAATAAAGGTCTTGCCTGCCAGCGGGCTCTCGACGTATCGATTCGTATCCTCGTCCGAGACCTCGCCCTTCGACTTATCCCAAACGCCTTTGAGCAAGCCCTCAGCCTTGACTTTGTATTTTGCCGGCTTCGTCTCCGGCATCCACGGCTTGTCAAATACAACCTCGATACTTTCTTCCTCGCCCGGCTGCACGCACGCAAGCTGCGACTGCCCCGGTGGCATCCTCCTCCGTATCTGCAAGATAGTCTGCTCAACCGCAGCCCCCTGCGCATCGATGATCTTGAATACGCCTGTGCTCAGCGCCGCGGAGTCGAGCGGCGTGCCCCACGTTAGAAGTGTGTAGGGTGTGTCCGGGCTGTCGTTCTTCAGCGTGACGCGGAGGGTTGGCGGGTCCTTCGCGATCTGAGCCAAGGAGAGGGACAGGCCGGGAATCTCGCTGGAGGTTTGCGACATGGTGTATGTGCTGGGGCTGGGAGATTGGGAAATGTAATAGCCTCCGAATAGGGTGAGGGTAACGGCGGCGATAAGCGTATTGCGGACGTTGAAGTATCTTTGAGAGTCGGCCATGGGTTGGTGTTGGGAGAAGATTCCAAGTTTGGGTCGCGGTGCTTGATGTTGCTGCCTTGATAAAGTTGGTGCGAGGTCGTGGCGGGATGTTCCTGGGCGGCGGGGAGGCCAGACCGATATTGGCAGGCGGCAAGCGATGTTTCAGCACTCAAGTACCTGGCCACCAAAGCATCATGACGCACAGTGTTTGTTTCTCAGTGCCTAAAGTAAACGCGGCTTTCGCTCGCCCAACGCTCGCTGAAAGCCTCAATGCGGCTTTCGTGCGCTGCCCCGAGTTGACGACAATGACGTGCTATTGTCATAGCATCGTAACAGAGCTCCGCCGCAAAGCCTTGGCACAATTACACTGACACGTCGGGGTGTTGATGACAGGCGAATGGGCATGCGCCTTGCGACTTACTCTGTTGCTACCTGCCTTAGATGGTAAGGGCTAAGTCCGAAGCTTGCTAGTATCCACCAGCCGTGAGTTCAGGCTCCGTGATTCGTCGGGCGGATGATCAGCTGCCGAGAGATCGAATGGCAGTGAAGATGATTGTGTTGGCCGTTGCGATGTTTCAAGACTGGAGTCTGGAGCCCCGGAGCGATGGCTCTTTCCCGCTGCCACAACCGCCAACCTTCTCTTAATGTGGTCTAGTGCCTTCGCACGTCCCCGATCATTAACTTCAAGTCTTTCCCTCCTGCCTAATTTCACAACGCCGACTGGCCAATGGCTTTTAGCTCGGACACTTCGTTGGGCATCTCGCCGTGTTCCACCCGTACAATGGCTACCGGCAACTGAGACTGCCAGTCTCTGCCGAGGAGTCTGTAACGAGGTACCATGCACAACGTTTACGGGCGATTGACAACCTGATCAACCTTAGCTGATGACCACTTGATGCATTCCTCCTTGGACTGATGCTAACAATGGTCAAATTGTATGCCAGGTTGCCATTACGTCTGTCACTGGTGACTGCGGAAAACCCGGATGGTATTTCCACACGTAGACACCAACCATGACGCTTGCTGGATGGCCAAGACGTTCTTTAATCTAAACAAGAGTGATCGACACAGCCAAGACGTCTTGGAGATTGTTGTCGCATTGTTTTTGCATCAATTCTACACCTCCAGGAATCCTTATCATTTAGTACTCCAGATAGTCCAGCACTACCTTCCTCATACACGTCTGGATCCGCTGGTTGACCACTCATATCGCTCTCGTTCTACGGCCGACCATGGTTTTGACTCCACTTGCGTTGTCTCCTCCCGTCTCTGGAGAAGATATCGACCCACAACACTGTAAAGGAGACTTGGCAAACCTAAGCTTCGCGCCCAGGTGCGACTGCAGCTGCCTAGACCAGTCAAGCTCCTATCGAAGCTTGTGCGAGGCGAATCGTACCCTGGCTGATGGTGAAGGTCAGCGGAGACCTTCAGCAGAAACATAGGGTTCGAAACAAGTATATATATGGACAGGATGAGTACCCAAATGTCCTTATCAGCTTCAGTTCAACAGCTCTTCCTTGTCTCCTCAGCTTCCAGCCAATCGCTTACGTCTTGATCCTCTTTGGTCACTCTTCATACACTCGCCATCATGAAGTTCCAGCTTTCCGTTGCCGCCCTGGCTGCCGTTGCCTCTGCCGCCTCCGTCGATGTCAACAAGCGCGCTACTCCCTTGAGCATCAAGCTCGAGAGCGTTGGCAACTCTGAGGTCAAGATCGCGGTGACCAACAACGGCGAGAAGGTCCTCAACCTCCTCAGCAAGGGTACTTTCCTCGACGAGGTTGCCCCTGTCGAGAAGGTCCAGGTCTACTCTGCAGCTGGCTGTATGTACATCAACGTCATCTCAGCCAACTTGATTGCTAACTTCACATAGCCGCCAAGGTCCCGTTTGAGGGCATCAAGCTTCGTCTGCTGACTTCCGGTCTGGCCGCTGATGACTTCGTTGCTCTGAAGGCCGGAGAGACCAAGGAAGTTACTGTTGAGGCTGCCTCTCTCCACTCGCTCAACGATGGTGGTGATTTCGAGGTCTTCGCCAGTGGTCTCATCCCATACGCCGAGGAGAACTCGACTGAGCTGTCCGGAACCCTCCCATACGACTCTGAGAAGCTCACCATCACTGTTGATGGTGCACAGGCTGCTAAAGTCAACAAGGCTCTGGATCTGTCAAAGCGTACTTCTGTTCGCTCCAGCTGCACTGGCACCAAGCTTACTGCCATCCGCACCGCTCTGAGCAACTGCAACAAGCTTGCCACCTCTGCTGCCTCAGCAGCTACCGCTGGCACGAAGCTCACCACCTACTTCAAGTCGACCACTACAGCCACCAAGAACTCTGTCTCTGGTCGTTTGACTGCCGTCGCACGTGATTGCGCCAGCACTACTGCTACTACCACCACCAACTGTGATGACCAGTACAGCGGCTGCTCCTCCAACGTTCTGGCCTACACGGTCCCATCCACCAGCTACATCACCTACTGCCCCATCTTCTTCTCCGCCCTCCCAGCTCTTAGCTCCACCTGCCACGCCCAGGACCAGGCCACCACTGTTCTTCACGAGGAGTGCCACGCCAACAGCGTCTACAGCCCTGGTACTGATGACCTCGGCTACGGCTACAGCGCTGCCACAGCCCTCAGTACCTCTCAGGCTCTGAACAACGCCGACTCCTTCGCTCTGTACGCCAACGCTATCTACGTCAACTGCTAGACGCTTGGAAAGGCTGGGGATTAATGTCGCTTGAGCGACGATGCTAGGTTGATGGTTTATGTAGATACCTTTTTAGCGATGAACATATGTTGAATGCAATACGAAAGTTGAGACTCGATGATGATGCCCTTTCGCCTAGTGCCCTTTCCTTGAACATTGCAAAGCGAAAAACGATTCATCGAACAAATTTATGATATCAGGACAGTCAAGATGTCATTTACGTTTCAAGACGCATTCGGAGCTGGAGATTTGCTGCTGCGCCTCGCTTGGCTGCGCCAAAACGAAGATCTCGGGACGCCTTACGCTGACGGTGACCTCAACGCGCGAATCCCACACATCGTAGGAACAGCACAAAGACTCTCCATCAACAATTGCATGATGCGCAGCACATCAATGCGCCTGCGCAATGCCGAACCACGAAAGTAAAGCACCGACACATGTCGCGATGTCTGATCGCGACATTTCCTCCACAACCACCGAATTCCAGGACACCCCATCACTCCGCTCCAAACTCCACGGCTTCCCATGGCGCATCCTGCTCATCGTCTCCCTCCTCCCCCTCAGCCTCGCGCCCATCATCATCCTCTCCGCAATCGCGGAAATGGCCTCGCAGAACTACATTCGCGGCCGCTCGTGCTACCCAAACGGACTGTGGAAAGAAGCCGCGGGCGCGACGTGGCGCATCATGGACAGCACGTATTTCTTCACGCCAAACCTTAGTTTCGGGGCCATGACGTTCACGCAAGTCAAAGTCATCGATGTCGCGTGGGATCTGGTGGTGGGGCGCGGGGGACAGATGGGGCTTGCGTGGGTCAACTGGGTCGTGTTGAATGAGTGGCTGACGTACCATCTCGAGCGATGGCGCACGAGTTATAAGATGTATACGACAGTTGCGCTACAGACGACGAGTTGGACGATGTTGGGGGTCTCGGCGAAGGAGTTTTTGTGTTTTGGCGGCAGGAGCTGGAGTAGGTTTTTTAGGTGGATTGCTATGTTTTGCTTCTTCATTTCGACGCTCTATGTGCTGGCTTTTCCGACGCTCATGGCTGCTATGACGGGTTATATCACGACTTATGAGCCATACATGGAGGACTACGATCGGAATTTGATTGAGTGGAATCAAGTTGAAGAGGTTGCGGCCATTTTCCAGGATGCAAATAGACTGGGACTCGGATTCGAGAAGCCTCTTCTACTTGTACCGGCAGATGAAGAGTTGTATCATGCCTGGCAAGATTGTAAGTGGTACCGTCCTGCTTGTACATGACTTGTGTGTCAGCTGACTCCACGATGCAGACCTCGAAACTGCAAACCTTGCAGACAATCAGACCAGGAAGGCAGACGGCAGCATAGACATGATCGTCGATTCGCCCACAACATGGAAGATGGGCAACCAGACTATAGAACTGCCGGCACCGAGCCTGAACGTGACATCGCCAGTACGCGGCACACTTTTGCAAAATCTCGTCGATCCTGTGCAGCGATATTTTGCCATCGGCGGCCGCCAAGGTACCCTCTACAACTCTTCCTATGTCAGAACCCACAGCTCCTGCAAACCGAGCGAAACCTACCAATGGGGATTTTCTTACATCTTTCTATTCATGGTTTCTATTTTCAACTTCATCTGGTCTGTCATAATGGTATGTATGTGGCTGGATACACGGCGCGCATCGCGAATGTACAAGAGTGGGAGAAGACCTGGTCTGCTGAGGAGTGTCTTGGATCTGTCTGCTGCTATGCGAGAGGAATTGGGTGCGGAAGCCGAATACATGGAAGAAGACGAGCTGCGGGAACGCTTGACGGATAGCGGAGGAGCAATGTGCGTACCGCAGGACGAATTGAGAGTGCGGCGTGTTGCGGCTGAGGACTACAAGATCAGGAAAAGAACATGGACAGGGACTTTGACTAGAGGGAGCACTTTCTGATAGGCGTTGTTGTGTATAGCACCGATGATTCATGAGTTCCATAGACGCGATCCACTGTATGATAAGGTAAATGATCACATCGAACCAATGCTATCGCACTCAAAGACCGAAGATGCCAGCTCCGACTGCACCAGCTGCACCAAATAGCATCTCGCGACGAACCACGCCCATACCTTTAGGAGCTGCACCGGCAGAAGCAGTCTCTGCAGGGGTAGAACCCGTAGACGAAGCACCTGTCGGCCCTGACAAGACCGGGGCGGTGACAGAAGAAGACCCCATAGATGACACAGAAAGACTCGTAACTGACGAGCTGCTCGTCTCGATAGTCGCAAGTCCCGCCGCCTCATCCTCGAGACTCGCAAGCACTATTGAATCAGCTGTCGTCCTGCAAGGATGTCACGTCCACTCACAAGTCGCAGGCACATTCTCAAATCCCGCTGTCAAATTCACAGCAACCGGCGTCATCGTAGTGAAATAATCCAAGAACCCTATCAGAAGCCCGTCTTGGGTGCCGGGCGCAATATAGCTCCCGAGCGAGTTGGTAACACTCGTGCAAGTTTTCGTCTTCTCGCGCAGATTCGAACACACCAGACTCTTGCCCTGGGCGCTCCAGTGCCACTCGTCCGGACTCTCTGTCACGGTAATGACCTCGGGTACATAGGAAGTACCGCACACGTCGTTGAATCGTGTCATGGTGGTCCAGGGTGAGCAGGATATCGCATATACGAACGTTGTGGAGGATATGGCGGTGATGAGCGAGACACCGTAGGCTCGTTGGGTGTGTCGCATGTTAGTGTCACTGCGGATGGGGAAGGGCGGATAGACTGCGATCTGGGTCACTGATGCTGTTGTGCTATTTTGTGCTTGTGTGGCAGCGACCAAGAGTGCGAAGATGGTGAGGAGCATGATGGATGTGAGTACTGTTTCCTGTGATACGACAACGGCGGATAAGTGCAAGTGTCAAAGCTGGACAGACGTAGTGAGGAGCTGCGTTCCAGGATAAGGTAGTCGGCGGATCTATGTATCGTGAGGATAACGCTCTACGCTGTCTAAGTTCTCGGTAAAGGGTACTGCGCCTGGCTTGGCTACCCCCAGCCACCCACACTACATGCCGCTTACCCATCTTGTGACACCACTAGAGCATGAGAGGTAAAATACGAGGGAGTTAGCGCAGAGATTCAGGTATAGTGCGCAGAGGCTTCGGGTAAAGCGCCTCTGGAGGACGTGAAAACATCATGCAAAGGTTGTAGGAACTTGATAGAACCAAAAGTGCTGGCTTCGTCAGGCCTCCCATAGCCGCGGTTGTATTGATAAGGGACAGATGCAATGGCCAACAATATGGCTGAGTGCACCACTCACAGCTTTGCCCTCTCATCGAGTAGCCTCAACCCTGTTGCTTCCTCTAACTCTTTCACTGCATCCTTTGTTTGTGCCAGGTTGACCTTGATCGTCCTCAATCCAGTCTCCTTAGCAAACTTGAGGTTGATCCCTATATCGTCCAGAAACAGCACATCGCCCTCAGTAATCTTCCCTTTCCCCTGCCCCTCACTGATCTTGCTCATCTCCCTCGTTGCCAACTTATACGCCTCCGGATCCGGTTTTCGAACACCTACCGCCGCGCTGCCCAAGAAGATATCGAAGTTCGTGGTAATGTCGGTCGAATCATTGGCATATGGGTTTGGATGAGGGCGATGCTGCAAATCCTTCGTAAAAAGCACGCCTTCATCGTCGAGGATGTCGGTAGGAAAGGTGATGTTGTTGCTGAAAGCACCAAGAACAAATTTCCCGCTCTCCTTCAGCTTGCGCAGTGCAGGGTACATGTATGGGTCCGGCTCGCGGGAGATCTTCATCATGCGCCAGAAGAGCCTCTTCGCGTCTATCTCTGGGACCTCAGGAGGGGATCCGCCCTCGATCGCTGAGCCGCCAGCGCCGCCGAGGGTTTGCTTCTGCGCGAGCCTGGCGAGGTATGCGCGCCAGATATCAGGTCGCGAGAGTTGTGCTTTGAAGGACGCGAACCAGTCATCGTTCAGTTTGACTTCGCCGCGTTCGATGAGCTGCCACGCGCCCGTGTCGTGTGGGCCTTGCTGAATCGCGTAGTTTATGTAACCGATCGGGATTTCGTTCTCGATCTCATAGTCAAGAATTGCCTGGAAAGGACTTATCACCTATTAAGCTAATGTCAGCTACCTAGATATGCACTGGTCGCTTGGTGAGGTACGACGGATGAAGAGGGACTTACAACGACCCCTCCAATGTCGAAGAGAACGGCTTTGGGCGGTTGGGCTGCTAGAGGCATATTTGCTACAGACTTGAGAGAGCTGTAGCCGCTACGAGCATATCATGGCGGTCTGAAGTAGATCATGGTGTTGAGTGCCAGTTCACTAAACGTACCTCGGTAATGAGGAGAAGCCTTATCGATAAGACTAGCGTTCACCATCAGCCGAGTCTCAGAGAGAACGGCGGATAAGCGGCCTTTAAGCTGACCAACTTTATAAACAACTCGTTACTATCATAATACTAAAAGCTATGACCTATTTAAGAACTACCTATATTGTAGGCAAAACAGAATTCTATATAGTTTTCGTGCATCATTCCTCCGTTACTGTCGCGTAGTAGAATATCCACCTCATACGCTTGGTCCGCCGTTCATCCTGCAACGTAAGAGCCGAGTCTCTTTCAAATGGAAACGTCCACGGGTGCAATGTCCATCTTGATCGCAAACACATGAATACGAGTACATGACGAGAATAAAGGCTCCACGTACTTGTATCTGAAATTCAGCACCCAAGATGATGCTCATGGAACCGTAAACGCGAAATTCCGTCATGCGATACTAGACATCGAAAGGAGGATGCTCGGAAACAGACGTTTTGAAGTGATTAACGTCTGCACTTTCTTACAATTGCACTCAAAGCTAGGAAGACACATTTTATAATGTAGGGTTCCCGCACGGCATCGAATGCCATGTCTAGGTCGTCCAGGCTCAGGATCTTCTCTGAGAGAGACGTCGTGGATGGTGCTCTAGCAACTGTGTACGTATAGCCGCATTCAGTGGCACGACGTCCCTGCGTGGTTGGCGTGCGAAATTCCTTACCCAGAAATCGACAGAAGTAAGGTTCTCCTTCAGCTTGTGCTGTTGAAACGACCGGATAAGTGTCGGAAGGTATCTGAACCCCCATCTATCACCTTTCATGACATCCATGTCGGTGATTGCCCCGTTGAAGCGTAATTCTCCTGCGAAAGTTACGCCTTCCAAGCCGACGAAACGGCCAACCAGCGATGATGTGAATACGTCGTCCCAAAACGCGGGGAAATAGTGCGGTGCAAACCAGACGTAGACATTGAGTCTTCGAATGTGAGGAATGACAGGTTGTTTTGACAGCGCCAATTCCCGGAAACTACGGGCGTCATTGACTTGAAATCTACACGATGAGAGGAATACACGTGAGGTCTCGGCCCAAAACTGTCGACATACAAGCTTTGGCTTAGGCGAGGACTCGGCCGCATTGTGCATTGCTCCAGACTCAGCTTTGTGTCCAGAAGACGTGCCAAAACACTGGAAACTGAGATTGCGGCCATTTCCATCCTTACGGCGACGATAAGACACGACAATCACTTGGTCGTCAAAGGCAAGCTTCCAGATAGCTTCACGTAGTTCCGCAGGGAGGCATAGAAGAGGCGAGTGTACAGCATTTCGCGCTGTCCTGGAGCAATCAGTTTCTAGTCTTCATGTGCGTGGGTGACCTACAAGTCAACAGTCGGACTCTTGTTTGGCGTCATTTGTAGTTTCTGGCGCTTCGCCCTCCCAGCCGTCGACGGTGTAATCGCAGCGCGCTTCTTTGGCGGCATCGTAGTAGGTGACTTGTGGTAGATGCGTTGCAAGGATGCAGACGAGATTCAAGGGAGCGAAGAAGTCGCTCGTGGGGTGTTACTGGTGCCTGGAGAGACAAACGGCAAGCGAGAGACAATCGCTCCTGTCACGTGAACTGTGGGACGGTAACGTAGCACACACCTCGCATACGTTCAAACGCCAAATTTACCAAGTTTTCGCAATCCTTGCAATGCCATCTCTTATCGCCCAATCCATGCCGTCATCCTTAATGTATCGCTTCTCTTCGATCAACACATCACCCTGCACGCACCTCAGAAACCGACTTAGCACATAAATATCCTTGTATTCTTCAACATTCCAGCTTTTATCAGGAGATTTCAGCCCCATTGCATCATATTTCCCGTAGACCACAGCACCGTCACAACGTGAAAGGTACTGCTGCAGCAATAGTACATGCTTGCAAGACTCTGTAGCGACATTATCGGCGTTAGATACCTCATAGACAATGTTCTTGCGTCAGGAAATCCTCTCTTCCAAGTTTAAATCACTTAGTAGATCCCTTATAGATCTGTACTTATAACATAGTAGTAGCTAGAATTAAAATAGCCTTAGATATAAGTGCGCTAGTTGTCAGGCCTCAGTACCGAGCCACTGAGCCAGGCAACCCTCCAAAAGGTATCACGACTCACTCTGATGAGTGAGCCCTTGCTCGGTACAGTATATATTGTTGTTCCATCCCAAGTCACATGAGATGAAACCTGACACTAGTGTTACGCTCTAGACCTAGGAGCTACTAACACTTCTTCCTGCTTTAAAGACTAGATAGCTAAAACAACATTCCTACATTGTTAAGAAAACTAAAGCAATCCCTAAGATTTCTATATTCTAGGAAGTTTTGCAGCGCATGAGACGCTTTAAACATGTCTAATTGTCAACGCGACAGCAGTGTGCGCCTCTCATGTTGCAGGATGAATAGCGGACAACGACGTATTTTACTACTCTACAGCAAAGTTCAGAGACTATAGGAAACTTTCACATATTATTATTTTACCTACAAGATAGATAATGATCAGGTAGGTTGTAGCTTTGACTATACTGATTGCTACAATTCTATCAAGAACTTGGTCCGCTTGAAGGTTGCTTCTTCACCGTTTTTACTGGAACGCGAGAGTGCACGTTGGGCGGCTGGCTCAGACTGGACGGCTCGCCTCCGCGGTATACCGCGCACTGGTGCTTTACGATCCCTACAGTTCTGGCAGGCTTGCTTGACGTACTTCTGCCGTTTCCGTCCTGGTTCAAGCGTCTGCGTGTCTTCGGTGTTGGAGTTGCATTGGATTGTTGGACTCGTGGCCGTTGGGTTTGGCAGATCTTCTGCTTCTTGGGCAATTTGCTCAGATCGGTCTTCTCTGTCTTGGTTGTTCTGCTCTGGCTGCAGGAATCGTCTGCGTGGTATGCCGCGCAATGGCCGCCACTTGCTTTTGATTTCGGTTGGCAGTATTTCTTCGGAAGATTCGTCTTTGACCGATCGGAATTTTTCGCCAAAACCAGCAGGGATCCTTGGAACAAATCGTGTGTCAAGCAGTCCAGCCTTTTGGAAAGACGACATAATTTGGTCTTGAGACCAATTTTGCATGACAGTGTCTGAGATTCTCTGCGCAAATGCGAAGAGTTGGTAGTGTGACATCTAAGAGACGTGGCGAGACTCGTGGTAGTAGGGAGGTGGGGCCAGGGAGAGAGCATCTAAGATTCTATCGAAGCGTGCATCATCCCAACAGCCAGAAAAGGAGAATACGCTCCTGATTGTGATGCTAAACACCTCTTGCGCAATTTGTAGCTCAAGGGCTTTTGATGCCATAAGGACTTCCAACTCTTTTTCTGTGATAGGCTTGCAGCCGGTGTCGTCAAGCATGCGGCGACACTCGTTGCGCAAATCCAGGAACAGAGTTGGATTCTCCCCGTCCATCTCAAGTGCATGAATTATACGGTCTGTCTTGCAATTTCCTTCGAATTCAGGCTTCAGACAAAATCCTAGGACCACCATAACGGACTGTCCCTGGAGCTTGCGTAACTGGGGTAGAATACGGCGGTCAAGTTCCACCCCTTCTGGAAGGATATCTACAACATCTGCAGAGTTCTTGCGACGATTGAACGCCTCAAATAGCGGCTGCATGTCTTCTATCGTCCGGAAGTAGTATTCAGTCGGGGTTCGTCCATAGATGTTGCGAGTTCCATCATCGAGTAGTAAGCGTTGTAGTCGAGGCGTTTTGACTTGTGTGAAGGCGTATGAGACAGAGTCAAAAACATTCCCAACGATTTTTTTGTTTTGGGCAAGCCGCTAAATTCGAGGAAGTTGCATTTGATGGTTTGAGGCAAGAGAGCTCCTTCCCTACACACCAGAGACTCCCCCACAGGGACCCTTGACGACTTCCGGCAGCTACGGTAAGTTTTTGGAAGCCGCGCGTGACATAATTTCGGGAGGCAGCGCGTGATGAGGACTTTCAGCAACACAGGCCCAGTGTTACAGGAATCCTTCGTCAGGTCCTAGGTGCGCAATCCAAAGATTACGTGTCGTCGTGTTATGATTCAGTGGTCGAAATTGCATGCTGCCCTCGAGATTTTAGCACGCTGGAGTCGCACCTTGAGGTCGGTTACTATCAACGCTTGACTTCGAAGAGTAGCCACGATTTAGAGTTTGTAGCTGTCATGTGATCGGATATTATCACGTGAGCGGATGTAATCGGCTGCCCGCCTATTGGTCCGCAAGCGAATATCCTTACTCAACGCCTTGTCACACGACCACGTTCTTTGTGAGGGTGCGATAGCGATGGAATGCAGAGACGTGGTGTTGATCTTGGTACCGTGTGGAGTCATGAACTCATTTTTTTGGATTTGATATGCGGACTCTGTGTGTGGATTACGTAGAAAAGAGTAATTTTTGGAAGTCGGTCAGGACAACGCAGCGTGTTTGCTTCAGTGGTGGATAGCACGACAATCAACAGATATTATGATAATTAAAATGGGTGGTCTAGTTTGGACTGCTATAGTCTTCAGCCAGGTGTGATGAATCTGCTGCCTCGAAGGCCCCAAAAGGCTGCTGCCACAGCATCGTGAGTCTTGGCGTCGATGAGGTCGCTGAGGTCGAAACCATGGAGCATGTTGGAAACGTGTGGAAAACGAGGCCGGGCATTGCAGGAAGTGTGCGGATGTAACATAACGCTTTAAGGGCAAGTGATCCAGAAATTACGTATCCTTATCTTCCTGCGGAATTAACATAGCAGTGGCCGGAATCGAACCGGCCTCGAGATATAAGCGCGCTGGAGTCGCGCTTTGGAGTTGGGAACCATCAACGCTTCTTCCCACTTTGAAGACCAGCCACCATTTGGAGTTAGTTTCCATCACAACCAACCTTCTTCTGTTACCAGGACCTTTGACAGGTCTCTCTCATATCCATCATGGCTTCTCCAGGCTTCTCCTTCCCTATCATGGACGACACCAAGCCCGATGATCATTCTCTTCCCGCCTTCATGGTGTCGACGTCTCGTGGCTTCTTGCCGCGTGCCAACCCCATCGTCGAGTTGCCCAAGGAGTTTGCTGCTCTTGAGTCATTGCTTGAGCGCATGCCCATCAGAAGGCTTGATGGGTCTCCAGGTCTGCTTGCAACGTTCGAGTTCGGTGATGCAGTGCTGAAGGAGCTCCCTGATCTATCGGATGCAATCGAGATGTATCGCGATGACCTCGTCGTCATGAATGCACTGTACCGCGACTACTCCTTCTTGGCGAGCGGATATCTCTTCGAGCCATGCCATGAGAGGCACATGAGGGGAGAGGAATACGGTCTCGGGCGGCAGAGCTTGCCGCGTTGCATCAGTCTGCCAATTGTCAAGGTTGCTGAGCTGTAAGTGTTCCTGTCCTTTGTTATACTTGTACCCCTTGCTGGAGAAGCCAATGCTGATGTGCGAAATATAGTGCTGGGTTCAAGCCTTTCATGGAGTATGCTGGCTCTTATGCACTATTCAACTACCGCTTGGTCGATGAATCAAAGGGCCTCGAGTACGACAACCTTCGACTAGTCCGTGCTTTCGAGTGTGGGTTGGACCCTGAGTCGTCCGAAGCAGGCTTTGTCCTAGTGCACATTGCCATGGTAAAGGAATCTGGCGCACTAATCGAGGGAGCGTCTGAGATGCTTAATGGCTGCACAGGGAAGGACCGTGAGCGGTTCGACAATGGTCTCCGGACCTTGGTGACTGGTCTGCGCAAGGTGAACTCAGTCATGAACAGTAAGTGTTTCAAGCAGTGGGAGAGATGAACACGTGACTAACTCTGTTCAGCGATGTGGAAGAAGAGTAAGCCCAGCGGCTACACCAGCTTCCGTACCTTCATCTTCGGCATCACCTCGCAGTCCATGTTCCCTAACGGGGTGGTTTACGAGGGAGTCAGCGAGGAGCCGCTCTCATTCCGCGGTGAATCTGGAGCCAACGACAGCATGGTAAGTCCTGCTCCAAACACTTATTCCAACGCATCTCATATATGATAGATCCCCATGTGCGACAATCTGTTGCAAATCTCGATGCCAGAGACACCCCTTACAGAGATCCTGAAGGACTTCCGGCAGTACAGGCCTGGTAACCACCGCCAGTTTTTGGAAGCCGTGCGCGATTGTTCTGAAGAGTGCGGAGTACGTGAGTTTGCCAAACAGGACTCGGTGTCCGCTGCGCTCTATCTCCAAGCTCTTGATCAAGTGCGCGACTTCCGCTGGCGTCACTGGTGCTTCACTCGCGAGTACATTCTTAAGCACACCGCGCACCCAACAGCTACAGGAGGCAGCCCAATTGTTACAGTGAGTACTTCAGCCTTTAAACGAAGCCATGAACTGATTGTTTGCAGTGGCTGCCAAACCAGCTGCGAGCTGTACTTGCACAAATGACTGAGACGTCCGAATTTTGCAAGTCGGTTAATGGAGTCAGTGACATTATGGAGACGGCGAATCTGCAGCGCGAAACACTGGCGAAGGAAGTGGCTAAGTACTGCGGTGAGCGCGGCGTTGCAGCAGCGTCCTAAGCCTGAGGCATCAGGCCTGTACGTGAATCATAGGAGATGGTGAGACGGATAGATGTTGAACCGTGGTACCCTTGCAAAATATAGAGAAGATCCACATTGTTAGCTCCTCTTCAGCTTTGCGCCCTTCGTGTTGATGGTACTGGGTGGCTGTGGAGTCGTGGCATACGACCGAGAAGTAGTGCAAGGGCGCAATTGGAGCCCGTAGCAAATCTGTAATACGAGCATATTCCAGATTCAGCGCCTTCTTTCAGGCCCCCTGAGTTCTTCGTGACCAGTCGTGTGGTGAGTCAAGGCGCCGTTGTGGTTCTGAGGGTGGTGATGGAAGCGTCATAGCTTCCGATGACTCGTGCCAAACCCAGCTAAATGCAGCTCGCCGCCATCGCCGCTGCTCGTTCTGGGGCAATTCAATCACCACCTCTGCAGTAGTACTCTCTGCGCCTTTCAATGATCAGGCTAAGCTATCCCATGGAACATTCACACCATAACACACGATTACGACACGTCTCATTACTACGGCGAACCCTACGAAACACGACTTGACATACGGACAGCTTGCCCCACACTAACACATCACCATGAGCTCACGATACGCACCCAAACAGAACCCCGTCGAGCGTCGAAAGGGCGAGAGTGTACGTGGGAATGCGAGTATGCAAATTCGAGTGCTAATATATGGCAGGCGCTCAGCGAATTCGCCGAGTATGTGCAGAAGCAGCAAGCACTCCGACGCCCCGGCCAGGCGGCCGCGACACATGAGGATCACGATGAGCTGAGCATTCTCGACGAACTGGGCCTCACCGACGACGCAAAGCCACACATCCGCCTGAAGACACTGCTCACAGACCCTGCCGAAGAGCACGTTGCCGCACTAGGAGAGCACATTAAGGAGCGCTTGGCCGAAGGCCATGGCGAAGTCCTGTTCGATTTTGGGCTAGAGGATAACGGCGAGGGCATGGGCTTCACCAAAGAGAACTGGGACTTTGCTCTGGAGAGGATAGGGGCTGTCTGCGAGCTGATCAAGGCCGACTACAAGATCCTGATGACCAGGAACGTTGGCGGTGACGTCGAGGTCGGTCCTCGAGATGCAAAGGACACGAGCCTCAGTGGCAAGATGATCATAAGACATCGTCCCAAGGATGTTGATGAGGTCATTGAGACACGAATTGCTGTCGTGGGCAATGTCGATGCTGGTAAGAGTACCATGCTGGGAGTGCTTGTCAAAGGAGGGCTCGACGATGGACGTGGAAAAGCACGTGTCAATCTCTTCCGCCACAAACACGAGATCGAGAGTGGGCGTACCAGCTCTGTCGGCATGGAAATCATGGGCTTCGACAGCAAGAGCGAGGTTGTCGTTTCGACCACCGCTGGTCGCAAGCTGACGTGGGAGGAGATAGGTCGTCGTGCGGTAGGTGCTAGCTGCTGCCGCGCGTTTGCCTCTGCTAATGATTACAGGCAAAAGTTATAAGCTTCACAGATCTGGCAGGCCACGAACGCTACTTGCGAACCACCGTTTTCGGTCTGCTGTCCAGCGAGCCAAACTACTGTCTGCTGATGGTGGCTGCGAACAATGGTCTGGTCGGTATGAGCAAAGAGCACTTGGGAATCGCTCTCGCGCTGAACGTGCCTGTCATGGTTGTCATTACCAAAGTTGACATCTGCCCGCCAAACATTCTCGAGCAGACCATCACTCAGCTGAGCAAAATTCTGAAGTCACCCGGAGCTCGGAAAATTCCGGTTTTCATCAAGAACAGGGAGGAGTGCATTAACACTGCTACACAATTCGTGTCCCGGCGCATCTGCCCCATCTTCCAGGTTTCCAACGTTACAGGATACAATCTCGATCTCGTGCGCACCTTCTTGAACGTGCTACCTCACCATGGCAACTACGACAGCTCGCTACCACTTGAGTTCCATGTCAACGACACCTTCTCAGTGCCGTTCGTTGGTACCGTAGTATCAGGAGTTGTGAAGTCGGGCGAGATCCATGCTGGCGATACCATTCTAGTTGGACCCGATGGCCTGGGCCAATTCACGACAACGAAGGTGCGGTCCATTGAGCGAAAGCGAATACAAGTACCAGGCTGCTCTGCGGGGCAGTCCGCCAGTCTTGCGCTTCGAAATGTGCGACGTAAGGACGTCAGAAAAGGCATGGTCGTTCTTCACAAATCGGACAAACCTGACGAGAAGACTGGTATCATACCGCAACCCAAGGTCTACCGCGACTTTGTTGCTGAAGTTCTGATCTTGTCACACGCAACGACTATCAAGACGAAGTACCAGGCGATGCTGCATGTTGGTCCTGTGTCTCAGACATGCGCTATCATTGACATCGATCGTCAGTACATTCGCACTGGTGACCGCGCACAGGTCGCGTTCAGATTCGTGCAGCGTCCTGAGTACTTGACAGTCGGCGATCGTATTCTGTTCCGTGAGGGCAGAACGAAAGGGCTTGGTATCGTGAAACAGGTTGGGTACGACCCGAAGAAGCCGCTGAACCCCGAACTGCAAAAGGAGCAGCAGGCCAAAGAGTCAGGTGAGAAGAAGACTGCTGCATCATGACATGACAGACGTGTAGTTTGTTGGTAAATGCCCGATTCTACGAATGTCCGACTCTTGTCTCCACCTTTCCTTCTCATCTGAGCGATTTATTGCGAGGCTCGGTTAGTCCCACTTGAGAACAGTAGCTAGAGCCTATCTACAACACGGATGAATTGACGTTGCCTACGACAGAAATGCTAGAAAGTCGGTGATATTTGCAGATATTGTCGTACGTCTGTGCTTCTGTACAGCAAGTTGCGTTCGCACGAAACGCAGGTAGAGGCTCTTGTACCTGGTGCGCCGACTAGGTTCACATGCTAGGGCAAGTTGTCCGGGCCTTAGTAGGTATCCCGTCACCCCACCCACTTTCCTCCACGGCCGCACCCCACGAACCCCCGGACCGAGTTAAAAACCACCAAAGCTAACGGTCAAAGCGCCCGATCCCTGTAACACCCGTTGCGTGTTGCCCAACCCGCATCTATCTCGTCAGCCGGAACGCGCAAGTCGTGCGGCTTGATAAGGCCAGCATGCCCAGACTCACACACCTCAGAGTGCATTCCACTCAATTGATTTTTCGCAGCTTTGTCTGCGCGCGCGTTCCTTGTGTTAATACTAATAGAAGGAACGGAAAAGTAGGATGAAGGCAAGACTGAAGAGTGTCTTCTCACATTCTGCGCCCCGCTGGGAGCCGTCAGACATTCGTTCGCAAGACCCGGGACAAAGATCACACTCAGACGCACGCCATGCAGGCCCGCACGATAAGCCAAATGAGCGCGTAACTTTTCACATCAAATCCACGTCGTCGACAACCCCTCCAACCCGTAATCAGAACACCCAATTGCTCAAACCTCGCAAATCAGCAATAAGTCTGACCTCCATCCCGGACCGCGAGCTCGATGCGCGCACGAACTTCCAATGGCAGTCGACATTCTTCGCACAGCTACCACTGGAGATCAGGCGCATGGTGTATGGATATCTGTATGAAGGCGAGACAATCCACCTCACGGTCGGCGAGAAGAAGGACAAACTCGGCCGCAGCGTTCCCAAGTTCCGCAACTTCATCTGCACGCAGGTGCACATCGGACAATGCACATGCCGCGTCGTCGTCACAGGCAGCCCTCTGGAAAACTCGCTGCCGCAGCTGGAACCCGCGCAGCTGGGCCTGATCCGGAGCTGCCGGAGACTGTAAGCGCCCCTGCCCCCGCGAAGCTCCAACGACGCGCGCCGCCGCTAACACGCACGCCCGCAGGTACTCAGAGTGCATCTACCACCTCTACGCACACCACACCTTCTCGCTCCTCCACGCAACCCACCTCCTCGCCCTCCCCAAGCGCATGCCCGAGCAGCGCCTCAACGCAATCCGCGACCTGCGTCTGCGCTGGCAGATCCGCGCGCTGCCGTACCTGCGCCGCGGCACCGGCACCAAGTACGCGTACCACGAGGACACGCTCAACTGGGAGAAGGCGTGGGCCATACTGGCGGGCATGAAGGGGCTGAAGCGGCTCAGCGTGGTGCTGACGGACCCCAGTGCGCACGCTATCTGGGAGAATAATTGGATTGAGCTGGAAGCGCTGATTCTGGCGCCGCTGAAGAAGATCACGGTCCCGGAGTTTGAGGTCGTGCTGCCGTATGAGCGGTGTGATGCGGAGAGGGATATGGGGGCATGTGGGGTGAGGTTCAGGAGGCCGAGTGAGTTTGAGGAGCGGGAGCAGCCGTGAGCGTCTGAGATCGTCTGAGATCGGCTGAGATCGGCTGAGATCGCCTGAGGTCGTCTGAGATTGTCTGAGATGAGGAGGAGCGTAGTGGTGTCAGACGTTGTCATTACGGCTCATTATCTATCTATGTACATACGGCTCCCACACAGCTTCCATCTACAAGCCGAAGCAATTGGCGTAATACGTAACCGTCGCCGGCCAATCACTGAACATCGCCTTGATCCCCACCTGCCTCGCCAGCACATCCAGCACCTTATACATATCGCCGTCCTTTCCGACCACGCTCTTCACGTAATCGTAGTAGTAGCCCCCACCGCCAATCTGCAGCCACCCGGAGCGCTCAAAGCTCCACGCCACGATCTCCAGATTGTTCTTCTTCGCCGCGATGGCGTACTCGGACGGCACAATCTCCCCCGTCGCGTTGTCGACTTTCGTCAGCGCAAACATCGCCGGTGCCATGATCTTGACTCCGCGGGCTGCGAGCGCGGGTAAACTGGCCGTCGCGTTCGCGTAGCCCGCGGGCGTGTCGACGCGCTCGTCGAGATAGACTGCCTGCGCGCCGAACGCGGGTTCGTTATCGATCCAGTAGAAGACGTCGGCGGGGAGGAAGGACTGGGGCCAGACGCGCTCCGGGGCGATGTTCTTGACCTTGAAGGCGTCGATCATGGCCTGCGCGTACTGCTCCTGAGTGAAGTTGTTGAAGGGCATGGGGACCTCGGGGGTCTTCAGCTCGGCGGTGAATTTCAGGTCCCACGAGTCGACGAGGTCGATGTATTCGTTCAGGGTCAGCAGTTTGGGGCAGCCGGAGGCGTACAGGTCGGTGCGGAAGTAGGGCGTGCCGTCCATGTACTGGCGGATGGTGGTGCCGTTGGGGTTGAAGCCGTCTTGTTTGCCGCACAGGGTCTGGAACTCGGCGAGTGTGAAGTCGGAGGTGCAGCATTTGGCTGAGGCGGGGGCTGTGCCGTTGGCGGGTGTGAAGGGGGTGGTGCATTTGGATGCGAGAGTGGTGTTGAGGATGTTGGTCGTGGTATGCAGGTCACACTGGGCATGGCGGCAGACGAGCTGCAGGTCCTTTGTGAAGGCGACATCACACTCGATGACGCCTGCACCTTGACGGCGGGCAGCACTGTAGGCTGCGTAGGTGTGCTCGGGGTACTGAAGTGACGCGCCACGATGCGCAAAGACGAAGTCTGAAGGCTTGAACGGCCCTTCTGAGCAGCTCTCGAGCTTGTCCTTCAGCGAGCCCTCGTCCATGTCGTCGACCAGAAAATAGGGACGGTCGCCAACTTGGACGTTGAGCTTGGTGTGGTTGTGCTTGCTGCCATGCTTCTCAGGGTAGTGGTGTCCAGTGCGAGGCAGCACAGCGGCAGAGGCCAAGCCCAGGACGAGCGAAGAAGCTACGAAAGAGCGCATCGTGAAGGAGCTGGAGGATGAGAACTTGGAGATTGAGCCAAATAACGTCCCTGCAGTTTATCTACCTGGCGACCGGCCCTTCTTATCTGTACAAGGACCATGTTCGAGCTTACGGCTTCAGTCGGTGCTCCGCGCGCTCGGGTAGCCCTCCATAGGTTCTACCCAGTTTATCAGCTTGCCTGCTGCACGTGGGGACCCTACCCCGGCGGAACCTCTTGGTCTGAGAAAGAGGCTGACGGGAGACTGTACGAGGTGAGTGAAGAGGTGGGGAGCTGTGCAAACACGGCTAGAGCGCCAAGTGCCAACATCGTGCCAAGTCGTATATTCCAGCGCACGTTGCGTAATGACGGAACGAGATTCGGAGGTTCAGATTGTGTACCTGCCGAGCTGAGCTCGAGGTTCGCTTGGCGGATCCTTCTGTACGTCACCATATCAGTTCCCTTCTCTTCACATACCCGACGCAAGCACCGTGTTGCTGGCCGCTGTCGCTGCAACCATTTTTTTGTGATCCTGTGCCGCTTTACATGTCTGTGGTAGGTAAAGTGAGACTTGTTTGTCTGGCAGGAAATCCAGGGCTCGTCAAATTCCAGGACCCGTCAAGCAATATCCAAAGTCGGACCGGATTCTCCGCGAACAGGAAGCTGAAGAACACATCTTGAGCTTCCCATGTCCACATTGGTGGAGCATCTTCGATCCGGCAGCACGAGGATAAATGTGCTTGGTGCTGTGATAGATTTCACTGGATCCAAGAGCTCCAGCTCATGTTGCTTCCAGTGCTCTTCGTAGCAGTCGACGACCTCACGCCACCGGAAATAAAGAACGATTCTTAGCTGTCGTACACCGGTCATAGCATGCAGGGCGCTCCAGGATTTTTTCCATGCTTCGAAGCTGTGGCCGCCTGATGTGACTTGCAAACGACGGTTGTAGTGGAAGCTGTCCAACTCCCAATCGATATGAAGTTGGCGTATCTGGGTCAGTCGATGCGGCAAGAAGTAGTAAGACAGATAATCCAACGTCGGCTGTTCGTCATCCCAAGTCGAAAGCGCGAGAGCATTGCTGGTATACAGAAACTCGATTGCCTCTGAGTATCTGTAACGACGTCAGTCTGATCGTCCACAATACTTATAGCATGTCATTGCAGCTCACATCTGGCGGCAGGTTCTTAAGAGCGCAAGGCCAAAGTTCAACTCTCTAGAAAGTGGGCCTGCACTGTCCTTGCGGGGACAGCTGAAACGAATACACCGTTGAGCCACAGGTTTTCCGTCAGATGTTCTCAGCTTGATAGTGTGTCCTCCCAACGCTTCGGTGTAGATCATCCGCCGTATCTCTAAAGGCAATTTGTGAATAAAGGAGGACTGAGATTGGTCGAAAGTCTTCTGATTAGCGTGCTTCTCGATAAATGGTATTGAGAGTCGCCGTGGCCGAGGCGCTGGTGGTGTAGGTCTGAGTGCATCGCACGGCACATGTCTGACTATACAGCTGCTTCTGGGCTTGATAAGACAGATTGCGCACAAAAGAAAAGGCCCGCAGCACACCCAGAGGAGTCCTTTGCAAGCAAGTGCTCCGAGCCTTCCAACGGCCCTGCATGCCTTTTTCCCAGCTCTTTTGTAAGTCGGGGGTTGTGTCATCGCGAAATCTGATGTTGATGGGTCGAGAGAGCTGGAAGGTGAGGTGGTGTGGATTCAGCTACTGTCTGACAGGATGGCCGGTCCGTCCAATCAGAGAACAGCACTACCGGTACCCCTCAGGGTAAAGTCCCCCGGATTATGGGCTCACGCACCCTTGTAATCGTGGGCACAGGACGTAATCAATACCCCTGATCCAGAGGAATCGTGAATTCGCAGCTATCTAGCCCAGGTGTGCCTCAGCCTCGATCTCAATCCTCATTGTCGAGTACAATGCAACCACCTGCACGCACGTCAGGAGCGGACCGTGGGTCTTGAATCGCTCCTTCATCTGCTCAACAAGATGGGCCATGATCGCTTCGAGTGGGACCGTAATGTAGAAGCGCAGCTTGTAGACTTGTTCCAACCCTTTGCCGCCAGCCTGCTTGAGAGCATGCTCTACGTTGTCGAAAGCCTGCCCAACCTCCTTCTCGAGTGACTCGGGGATTTCCTCAGAGATGCGATCCCAGCCGCCTACAGTTGATCAAATCGAGTTTTCACATAAGCGAATCTTGTTTGTACCTTGACCAGATATTTCGATGCGATTGTCGATGCGAACAGCCTGGCTGTAGTTGACGTCCCTTTTGGAGCGGTCGCCAAAGCCTGCATAATCAAAGTATTGCAAATGGGACATTTTTGTGAATAAGAGTTGAACGTTCTAGTAGCTGTTGCTCAACATGAGCCTGATATTTATGTCTGTATCCTCACACCACTATCCGAATAGACAACCATCTGCCAATCTCCGCCGCCTGCCAAGGTACATTGGTCAGCTTACCTCAGATATCCCACACCTTCGTGCGGAGAAACGCTGGGCAGATCGGTTTGGTTCGTGCTTTGTATCAACTAGGTATGGAGATGGAAGAGGCCAAGACGCGGTTTGCTCACCAACCCAAAGGTTGAGCCAGCGCTGACAAATAAGTAGGGTGCTCGAGCATATCTCCGTTCGACGTATCTCAATCCAAAAGGCTCAACAGAACCTCCCGTTTCTTGTTTGCAAGTTAATCTTCAAGATGATTGTTGCGTTGGCAAGGCTATGCATGCAGCGTCGCTATTGGCTGACTCAAACGGGCAAGGCAGACGTCCAGATCACCTGCACGTCTGACTGTTCGCGTCACGGTATTGACATGCACGTCGCCAGAGTCCATGTACGCGTTTCCGTGAGAATATCGACGCGTCTTGAATCCAGCATACACTCCAACAGCCCTATTGTGTGAAGGAACGCCTAGCTTGGATTTTGTACGAGATGACGAGCTCCAAAGACCGGTACGAACCTCGTACGCTGATTCGGAGCATTTCGCCTCCAGCAAAACGGCGACGGACGACTTCGAAGGACGACATACGCGTAGATACGCCAGAAGCTCTAGAACGAAATCCGTGGGAACGAACCCCTCTGAGCCCCGAGCTTTCAGACATTCGGGTCCTGAGAATTCGTAAAGACATAAGTAGCGCGGCCATCAGGTGCGAGTTGTTGGTTGTGTCTTTGGATGATAATCCCGACTTCGAAGTGCTCTCGTACGTTTGGGGGGATTGCAGCATCACCAAGTCGATACATGTTGATGAGGTTCGGTTCAACGCTACAGTCAACCTGTTTGACTTCCTTAGCGCTCTGCGACTCGAGTCACAAGATAGGATCCTTTGGGCTGACGGCATCTGCATTGATCAGAAAAATGAAGAGGAGAAGAGCCATCAGATTGGCCTTATGACAAGGATATATCGCCAAGCAACAGAAGCACACGTGTGGTTTGGTCCATTTGATGCCCGGACTTGGTCTCAGGAATTCGACAGTGACGAAAAGTACACTTCAGCGTCCAAAATGACACCTGAAAAATGGAAGCAGTACCAAAGGAAAGGCACAACTTCCCTCACATATCTTTTAAAGCAACCGGGCTTTACATGTCTGGAACAGTTTGAGCTAGAAGAGTTCGCAGCTCGTTGTCGAGACGACATCTTCCTGCAGACCTTAGCCATGCTCGACGAGATGGCCAAAGGCGATCATTTGTACACTTACCCTGTCGTCGCACTCACTCACTCCAGCGAAAATGGCTCTCAACATATACTCAATGCATCCTGGCTTACAGTCATGGATTGCATTCGCTGGCTCATCACCCGTCCTTGGTGGTCTCGTGTTTGGACACTACAGGAGGCCGCGCTTCCGAGGGTTGATCCAACAGTCCATGCGCCACCATACACATTCCGGCTCTCGCGGCTGCTGAATGGCGTCGATTCAATGTGGTATCACAATAACTCCATTTGCTGCAAGTGGTTTGGACAGCCAATCACGACATCAAACCGCGATGACCATGAGTACGCAGCAGAGTACACACAGTGTCGTGCTGTGCATGGCCAAAGAAGTATTCTCGCAGAAGCCGAACAAGAAGGGCTCGGTGTGCCGCTCGACATGGTTGTGGGCGCGACGCAAGGACGCAAGGCGACTGAGATCCGAGATCACTGGTTTGGTATCTTCGGATTTCTGCCAGAGAGATGGCAGGAACAGTCGAAACTGTTTCCGGCTCATTGCACCGTTACTGAGCTCTTTTCTCAGTGCTCCAATTTGCTGTATCTGGAAAGTGCGGACTTGACACAGCTTGACGCAGCTCGGCGGTGCAAAAAGAGTCTTGTTGAACGTCTCCCGTCTTGGGCAATCGACCTGTCCGACCCTCGTGACGTTCATGAGGAAGACCATCGTTGGACGTTGTTTAACGCTTGCGGAAAGGCCACATACAACCGCAATACAGAGTGGCCCGAGTTAAGGAGCCCTGAACTCAACATCAACGTGATACATGTCAGCAGCGTACAAGTATGCTCTGCGAGTATCCTACCAGCTCCACATGGTCCCGAAGATCTGCGAATTCTTGTCAATGACTGACTTACCTTGTATCGTAATAGCGCTTCGCCCTTCGATGCTGATGCGTTCTGGAGAGCGGCATTCATGGACAGAAACGTCCAAAAACATTGGTTATCGAGAAAGCGGGGCCCTCTAAGCTCAGTCCGAGTCAACGAGATCAAGCAGTGGTGGGCAGCATGGAACAGAACACGCGATCATCGTGACCTCACCCTTGATCGTAAAGCAGGGGGGACTATTCGAGGAAAATACCACCACAAGGAACTGAACATGAATGCTGAGAGGACCAAGTTCTTCGTTACTTCTCAAGGTCTTCCCGGTATGGGCCCACACGAATTACAGGCTGGTGACGATATCTTTGCGGTAGCCGGATGCAAAGCGCTGGTGATTCTACGACCAACCCCAGAAGTCAAGCCCACGGTGGTTGGTCTCTGTTTTGTGGATCGGTGGATGTATGGAAGAGCTACGCAGGGTGGGGCCAAATGGAAGACAATGAAAGTTTTCTGAGCATACACAAAAGTAAGATGTCAGCGACAGAGCTCGGGGAAGGCAAAGTATTGTAAGTGTTGCTCAAATCATATGAAAGAGATGTAATCCATTCACTTGCAGAAGCGAAGTACAATGTGTACTTGATATGATATAATTCTGGTTTAACTGGCACTTCCACGTTTGGAAATGCGTCTTGGATGATACTCCATCAATAGACTAGAAATGACCCTACGGAGCGGATCAGTATCAACGAAAGCAGTTCCGTGTCTCCGATGGATCACTGTTACATTGGTGCGGTTGCGTTGCAATTGGTGCTGCTGAAGAGAGCGAAGTATCACAGGCATCTTCAACGCCTTCCAGCGCGGATCTGTCATCACATCAGTTCGTGTAAAAAGCGGCGTATGAGCAACATCAAGCACAACTTCGAATTCTAGTCCCTTCAATCGTTCCAGTCGGCCCACGATAGAAGACGTGAGAACAGCAGCCCAGCGCGAGATGCTACACAAATGTGAGGGTACGGTGATGTAGCACCAGACACGGATTCTTCGGATCCTACGAACCAAGTCGCGGTTGGACAAAGCGAACAGTCTGAAACTCGCGGGGTCTTCAATGTCAAATATCGACGTTGAGGCAAAGACATGTGAGGCCTCAGACCAGAACTGTCTGGACACGAGGCTAGGACCGTCTAGCTGGGCACCATTCCGTTCCTTGGTTTCTCTGTCAGGGTAGATTGAGTATTGGACTGAGGGGGATCGGTCTGCAGCACCACGAGGTGCTGTGGCGGTGACGCTGACGTCTCTGTCACCGAAGGCAAACCTCCAGATCATCTCTCGAAGCTCGGCAGGGAGTCGCAGAAGCGGCGAGCGCACCGCATTCAGTTGAGTGCTGTGGACAGTCAGTACATGTAGGTTTCTGTGCAAACACGTACTCACATATCAGTGGTGGAGATTGCGGCTACTGTTGGAGCAGCAGCTACTGCAGGAGTTGCAGCTGCTATAGAGGTGGGGGCCACTGTCAAAGGTATAGATACTGTAGGAGTTATTAGCGAAGCAGGAGTTGGGGTTGCTACAGGAGTTGCAGCTACTGCAGGAGTCGCAGTTGCCGTAGAAGCTGTGGCTACCATAGGATTTGCAACTACAGCAGCCGTGGCGGCCGAAGTTGCGGTCTTGCGCCGTTTCGCGTCAGTAGAACTGTCAAGTGCTGGGCGCTTGGGAGGCATGTCCAGTGATAGACAAAATGTAACTATTTTATTTTATAGCTACACGCAAGCCCATGATGTAAATGCAGAACAGCTACAGCATTCGACCTGAATCCTTATATGGAGCTCGACAACTGCGTAAAGTGTGTTAAGTCTTTGAGTAATAAACTCGTTGTGCAACTTGAATGAAATTGGACATTGTGAAGATAAAAGAACGAAAATAATTCTTGAACAAGCGTTTTGGTATCAAGAACAAACAAACGCCCGCTATAATACATCAAAGGGAACAATGCTATCTTTTTTTCTTTCTTTCTTTCATTCCTTCATGCTCTTCTCCTGGATCTTGGCATAGGAAGTACCGCCTGTTGCCTCGTCAAACGCCAACAAATCGTCTAGTCCGCAGACCTGGAAAAGCTCTTTGGGTCCATATCTCCTCCCGTTCTCTTCCGCAGGCTTTACATTGCCGAGTGTCTTCAGCTGCTGTACTGCTTTCCTGACAGCAGGGTACACCATTTCCATTGCCAGACATGGGAAGATGGCAAGCTTGTATCCAATCTCTTTACATTCTTGGACTCCAAAATCAGGCGAAACGCCACCGGGGACATTGTTGAACAGACAGGGTGTTGGCGCAAGGTCTTTGCATGCTCGCTCAGCGTCATCGCGTGTCGTAACTCCTTCGAGGAAGCATGCGTCCGCACCCTCAGCAATGGCGGCCCGGAGACGTTTGATAGCTTCATCGTAGCCGAACCCTTGAAGAGAGTCGGTCCGTGCGATAATGACAATATCGCCGTGCTTTTCCCGAGCCAAGGCAGCGGCCTTGATTCTTGATGCGTACTCAGAAATTTCCACTAGTTGCTTGCCTTTCAAATGACCACAGCGCTTGCTGATAACCTGGTCCTCGAGATGCAGGCCAGCTACACCTGCACGGATGTATTGCGCAACTGTGCGACCAGCCATGACGGGGCCTCCGTATCCGGTATCTGCATCTGCAATCAGAGGTACGCTGGGATCGAGATTGGCAATCATCTCGGCGTTGGCCTTCATGTCATTCATGGTCGCAATACCCATGTCTGCCATGCCCAGCATGCTCATCGTGGTACCTGCGCCTGTCTACATGTTACTGTTAGCCCTGTTCTTTGGCAGCTCTAGTAAAGCAATGACAACGTACCATGTACAGGCAGTCAACGCCTTCTTGCAGCGCGATGCGCGCCGTGAAACCATCATATACTCCGGGACATGCAATGAACTTCTCTGGGTCTGCCAGCATAGCCCTTAACTTCTGGACCGCGGTCATTTTGCTTGTGCCGTTGGTAATTGAACCCATGTCTGGAAGTGCACCGATTCGATCTTGGCTTGCGAATAATGTGAGTTCAGTTCCCGAAGTGTTGGGTGCCGTTGGTTCAATACGACACTGTGGTTATGACGTCTGTCTAGCAAAAGAAGGCGGAACCAAGTAGGATCTATGCAACCCGAAGCTAAGGGATAATCGACCCGAACTTTGTTCTTGGTGTCACTGTTGATGTCGACCAGATGCTATTTCGGTCGGCGCCGAACCGCTAATTGAGTGGGGATTGTCGCTAGTTGCTCTCCTTCACGCGGCAATGGCAGGCATTTCGTTCCGGAGTATATGTCCTTGCGAAGAATAGTCTTCAGCCTTCATCTAGACCGAACTGTGGTGCGTAGTTGCCCTCAGAGCACACCCCGCAATACCAGTGACGTAGTGCACAACGCCGATATTCGCCGGTTCTTTCACCGATGGATGCGCGCCATGCGCGATCACTGGTTCGAAGTCGAGAAACGTGAGCGCAGGAGTTCTTGGTATGCAGACATTCGCCGATTGACAGCGTAGTTGTGCATGCGAGGGGCCAGCATGTGTGGGGTATCGGCGTCTTTCCGTGGGATGAGAACCTAGCTCGCGGCACAGCGCGAGGATGGTCCCGTACTTAGGGCTGGTGAGCTGGCCTGGGGAGGAGGCGTCAAATGATGTCGAAGTCGTGACACACTTCAACATCGCAGGGATGCTGTCATCGGAGACATGAGCCAGATAAGTCGGGAACGGTACGATTATACCGAGTGCTCTTCAAGTCACTACATCGTAGTACTGTGTTTTGAGGATGGACGTTTGTCACCGCATCCAGCGCAGTCAATTCCCGTCGCACCGACACCAATCAAATCTGCTGATACGTTACTAGGTGCATGGATAAAACGTGCAGTTCTCACCGTTCTGATCAACAAATCTGAATCAGCTGGCTCCTGCTCGGTACCCTGTCTTCGGCGGACTCGGCCTCACTTTTCAGTCATACGGTACCTATAAACGACGATGCCCCCGTGCTCTTAATTAGTGTACATCACACAGCCACTTTCTCGACCTTCGATGGGTATTCTTGCAGTTGTATTCAAATCCTAGCTCCTTCGGGTTGCACCAGCTGGTGGACAATCGTTCATTGCGACTCATGCTGACCTAGCGTCCTATCGAGTACTGGTCGAATCCCAGACCATAGCGGAGTCGATGCAAGCAAAACCTTCGTGGTTGCTTCAACACTTTGCAAATCCTCTTCCGGGAGCCTCTGCACTTCAAAGCACCTCATCCTGTGATCTTGATATCGTCCGGTCTTTTCGCCAACTCCCATAGACGCTCGAATCCGAGGAACATCATGTCTTTCAGTGCGTGGTCTTTACACGCTCCATCAAAGCACTTTCGACAAGAGCGAGTAGTGCACTTCGTCTTCGGGTAACGCCCGATACTCGACAAGTGTGACAGCTCCTGCCAATACTTCATGGCGAATCGGTATACGCAGATCTGATCTGCTTCGGTATGTCGGTGCGCATTCAAACTCTGGTATTCGAGCTGGCGACCGGCTTCCATCTTCTTAGTCAAGCATCTTTACATGCGAGGATGGCATCATCAGATGCCGCTCTCCAGTGCTTCAGCCGAAAGTATATCCCATGTTGCCGACGTTCTGAGGCATCATGGGTCCACCGATCGGACCTAGGGAAGCATTAGGAAGATCGCTGTTCGTAAACTCGAAACCAGCAGCCCAATCGTAATCGGGAAATTGATCCAGCATCGGTGGTACGCTGTAGTCGGATCCGTCCCAAGTGTCGAAACTCATTCCTGCCGCTGCAGGATTGACTTGAAGTTGCGGGTTGATGAGGCTCGGATCGAATTTTGTGAGAGGTTGTTGCGCTGTAGGTAAGGTTGATGGAGTAGAATTCGACACTGGAAACTTCTGGTTCTGGTTCTGGTTTTGGTTTTGGTTTTGAATGTAGGCTTGATCCAGGATCAGTTGATGGCGATTAGAGTTTGAGAAAGTTTGCTTACGAGGTGTGCTAGGTTGCGTCACTTCATGCGACGTGCTGAGAGCTTCATCTCCGTTATATGGGTTCTGCATGTTGCCGAACTCTTCCCGCCAATACCAGAACATATCATAGCTGACGCTCATGCTCAGTCTGGTTCGCAATCTCAATCCGAGCGACTCAATCCGTCCGTCTTTCCTGCGAAAGACTTTGCTGCTGTTCCAGAGGTCGTGCATGATCAGGGCTGTGCGTATTCCGATGTCTCCAGGCTGCAGGGAAACGTTTTTGAGGAATTGAACTGCTTGAAAGAACGCTTGTTCGCCGATAGCGAGATCCAAGTGCTGAGCAAGAGGACTGCGCACAAGCCTCAGGATGGTGAAGCCAGCAAGGCAGATGGTCCTGTCGACAAAAGACTGTGATACAGATGCAAGGTTGACTGTTTGGGCCATTATGGTCGCAGTGTTGATCGTTGAGACGCAAAGGGAGAAGAACCGAGACAGGCCATCCGCATCGGGGCTCATGGGATGAGCGAAGAAATGGAAAGACATTACGTGAATACGGGCACAGTTAAGCTGGAGCGTATCTGGGCTAGTCAGTTTATGTTGTATTCATGCTGAGCGCAGAACTGACCTAGTTCACTAGGAGAGGACGGTGCCAGGCTCAGAAGCTGAGAATCGAAAATGCTGATAAGTGATCGCAGCACGCGAACGTCGCACTTAATTGACTGCAGATTAGTCTTCCCCATGGCGACGATGGCACGCAAGAGGATGATGTAGACTTTGTGAAGGAACTGCAGATCAGAAGGCAGAAAAGGACTCATATCTTCGCGGTCTCGCTCGTCACAATCGAAGAACGACTCTGCCAGAGGTGGGATGCCTTCAGCGCAGCTTGTCCTACGTTGTGTCAGTCGATTGCCCTTCGTTGCTGATGTTCACCATACCTTATGGACACAATGACGCAGCACAGCCACAATCTTGCCCGAAACACCTTCTGTTCTTGATCCTTCTTCACGGGCATTCTGACAAAATCCTGACCTACCCCTGAGATGTGGAGGCCAATCTGAGTGGCCAGATGAACTGCAGATCCACACATCAGGTGAGTCATGTCCTTGTACATGGAGTTTGTTGGCAATCGCCATGTACAAAGAAGGAGGAGACCTTGGATCACTGGCATCGGGGATGACCGCAGCGCCATTGAAGAGAACGCCAGAGGCGTGATGAGTTGACTCGATCTGTCGAGCACGTTCGGATCCTCGGAATATCTTCTCGATCCAATTACAATGATGGTCCAGAAAAGAAATGGCGACGCCTCGTAGTAGTCATTGGGACCTAAAGATGCATCAAGAATAGGAAAAAGAGGATGGTACTGCGTAAAGAATCTGAAATAAAAGTCAGAGAGAAACAATAGAGGATGGTGGGGTGTAATACAGCATGAAGCAGTCGTCGATCCGTTTTGGGTCCAGGACGTAGCCGTCCAACATACGTGGAATCGTACCGTTAGACCCAGATCCTTTTCTTGTTGGTGGTCTTGATCCGAAAGCTGGTGACAATGAATGCGAACCGTCGGTCTGGCCGGAGGGATCCGAGTATTGGTCGTGGTCCATATCCATATTCGGCGATGCAGTTGAATGGGGGTAGTTGGATTCCGTTGCGGATCCTGGTGCCTGGCTATTTCTCATGTTCCATCGCAGCTCTTCCAACTCTCTCCGCATTTCAGCCTTGGTCTGACGAAGATTCCGGGTTGATGTAGGCAGGATCCTACATTCGAGACCCATCTTCTTGCAACGACCGCAGGGGTCGTGTGGTACCTTGTGTTGCTCAACATCACATCGGATCTAATCCATCAGTCATCTCGTCCATTGTCGGATGTAGTGCAGATGGTGGGGAGGGGTCATACCTTTTGTTGGCGACACTCGACGCATGCTTTCCGTCTGGGGGTAGTCATTCCGGGAATCCTTCGCCTAAAGTATCCACAATCGGTGTGTTAAACTGCAACGGCCCTACAATGCAACCAGTTCGCTCTCAATCGGCGAAATAAGGCACATATGTGTAAAGAGGAAGCTCGCCCTGAAGCGGAGAGGGACCGCAGCGAAGAAATTAGCTCTCTACGTCGTCATAGGACCAGCTGCAACCGGTGCGAATCGGAAGGCGGGGAACAGCCGAAGAAGGACCGCTAGGGAGATCTTTGTTGTGTATTTAGTTTCGAATTTTCGGTGTTCTCGCCCTGAGCCCCAGAAGTTTCTCTTATAAATCTGATTGTTTAGTGTTGCGTGTTGGAGCTAATGAGGCTTTTGATTGTGTGTGGTTGATGCTTGCATCAGCAGTGGATCACAGCGCGAAAATCCCCATGCCCAGAAATGCCAAACTTGAAGTGTTCTAGCGCGCTTCTCGTGGTGCACGTTCGCCTGAGCTATGGGATTTAGATGAGCGCGTTCTTACAATGTGCATCATGCCCATGGTTGTTGAACTACTTAGCCTTCAATGGCCAGGTACGTCAGATTAAAATGTGGCAAAGATGCGATACAGGGCGCGGTTGTTGTTCCGCCGCCACCTTCGCACCTCACCTTCCGGTGACCCTCGACATTCTTACCGCCATGCTCCCAGCAAATGCCAAACGTGTTCGGTGGAGATCTGAAGTGCAAGCGTGCCTGATCTTCCTCGCTGTCCACACGGCTTGGCCGTTTACAGCCTAGTAATTGCCTGGTACCTGTGTAGCTTCACTTTACCGCCATCGTGAACGGGCACTACTTGGGTTACACGGCTAGCAGCGCTTGGATCAAGCCATGAATCTCGTACGAATCCACTCAGCCACCAACCGGTGTCGAGACAGATGCGTTAGAACGGCAGCTCAACCGGGGCGCCACACCTACTACAGCCATAGACCGCCCCTGACCAGATGATTTGTACAAATGTTGGCGTGTTTGATGCACTCTATCCACGTGGTGGATGACAACGGAGCATCGAATCACGGTCTGCATAGCTTGGCGGAAGTTTTCTCCTTCGACGGCAACTGGGCAAGGTGGAGTGACCCTGTCCACACTCGCGCTTGGCGTGGCCAACCATCAACTCAATGTTGAGCCTCGAGCAAGCTCCGCGGATATTCGCGTTTCCGTTGTCTCTGTGGATAAGGCTGCTCTTGTCACCGCTGTCTTGCATAGAGGGAATGGCAAAGCGCTCAGATCTAGACTCTAGCAGAAACGTCCGGGCGGGACACCTGAAAGCATTCTAAACCTCCTTTCGTGGGCAACTATTCGCAGATGCGTCTACTGCTTCAAGCAATTGTACGATCCTGGACTATCGTATGATCAAAGCTTCGGCACATGACTTCCCTTCTCTAGGCGCGCTCCTTTTGAGACGCAACCTTCATCGTCGGCCCTCACCCTCATTGCTAGCTCAGGGACTTCTCCACAGACCCATTGCGGAAGGCAGGTTAACCGTCGCGTCTTCCATGTCTCCGTGTCCATAGGGACTCCGCGGATAGGCGAATGCAGCAGGGCTTAGACGCGGCCCTTGGACTGCGTCTACTTCGGCCCCAATCAACGTCTGGCGTAGACCTCGAGCGTCATGAAGTACAATGTAGACATCGCAAGATCAGCACTTGACCTTCCTTTTGCAGCAGCCAAATTTCCCGAGGACAAAAGGAACATCAACCCTGAATGATCGACATGCAAGTCTCATCCGAATAGGAAAGAAGTGCTCACAAGATACATTGACCACGAGAAGACTGCGAGTTGAGGAGCACATTCCAGACTCATACTCCTGGTCGCCTGAAAACCAAGCTGTTCGCCCTCTATAGATCGAGATCCTTCAATCAAACCTTCAAAGCCAACAAGCCTCAGTCCCCAAGCAACTCACCGTGGCGACCGCCTTCAGCATTCGATTGACCTGGACGACTCGGTAGTGCTTTTTCAGCCTCGCCATACACTAATGTGGCTACCCCGATATCAGCCCTAATATAGGGTACCGCGCCAGCTAACCACCAAAGCTCATACTGGCGGAATCATACCGCCCTCCCGAAAAGATCATCAACTGCGGTTGATTCACCGCGATAAAGATGATTTGAGTCCTGCAAAATCATCAAATGGCCAGTTTAACATGCCTGGGTGCAGAATAGCTCTCATCACCGTCGTTAGCGACAGGGAGATATCTAGGAGAAAGATCGGACCTCGCGACAGCATCCATATCGAGCCAGCATCCAGCATCAACGCTTAGCGCCATCAAGCAGTACATCGACATCAGAGCCGGGAGCAGTAACCAGCTGTATCGACGATCCGGCACGCGTGGCACTGACCGCAGCAATGCGCAGTGCAGGGACCTCAATGTAACGGCCCGATTCGGATGCCGGGAATACGTCAACGCAAGCTGTCTTGCATGTGGAACGCGTGCAGCGAACGCCTCACAATTGCAGCAGAACACGCAACGACACAGTCTTAAGCAAGTGCGCTCTGACGCTGGGAGAAGCGGAAAGCTTCTTAGTAGATTTCTAGATCAAGTTTCTATATGGCGGTCTAGGATATCGTAGTTGGCGCTCGAATGGCCGTTAAATGGTAGCTGCAGTCGCAGCTATAACAATTGTCGCACAGATCAAAGAATCCTTAGCCCTGCGATAAGGGCTCAAAAACCACTGGGACCCGCCCAAGCAGCGAGACACTCGCCGTTGCCCAAACGTGGTTGGTGTAGAAGAGTAGACGCACAGGAACCGCTAAACCAGAACGCCTGTCCAGCGCAAATATTCTGGGCAAACCAAAAGTATGTATGGGTGATGTTTACAAGAAAGGCAGTATGACGCCCTTCCTCATCGGACTCCCACGGCCGTCCGCCGAGGATGCACTGTAGCCGGAATCGCGATCAAGATCATCACTATCGATGTCGATGTCGAACGCAGCCTCAGTCTCATCCCCCTCTTCTTCATCCTCATCGCCGTCCCAAGCCTTCTGTTGAGCACCGCGGTTGTTCCAGCGCAGTGTGCGGCTGATGCTGTCAAACCACTCAGTGGGCTGCGATAGGACGGTGGGGAAGGGGTACTGCGACGCCGCGATAGTGACGTGGTCGCCCTGGCGGAGCTCAACGCGACCCTTGCCATCGAAAGCACAATAGGCAGTTGCACGTGACTTGAGGGGTACCGCAATCCGAAGAGCCATGCTGTCGTTAAGCAGCATGGGGCGGAAGGAAAGAGTGTGCGGGCAGATGGGTGTGAGGAGGATCGCAGGAATATCGGGGTGCACAAGGGAGCCGCCGGCAGAAAGCGAGTACGCTGTCGAACCAGTGGGTGTGGAGAATATGCAGCCATCTGCCTGTACGACTGTGAGGAGGTTGCCATCGCCGTACAGCTCGAGATTGGACACGTAGGGTGATGGGCCGCGATCAATGACAAGCTCGTTGAGGACTTCGAACTGCTCGGCCTCAATGTGCTGAGGTGAGCCAAGGGCTGCGTTCTTTTGGTACCTGTAAACCGTGCACGTGAAGCGCATGCGCAGATTCACACGCATACCAGCATCGCCCATGATCTTGTTTAGTGCCCCTTTATACTGCTCAAATTGGAAGTTGGTGAGGAATCCGAGGCTGCCGAGCGAAAAAGATAAGATCGGCGGAACAATACGCTGGAACAACCATGACGTGAACAGCACTGTGCCATCACCACCGAGCGTCAGGACGAGGTCAAATTTCTCGGGCGTCTCCCAGCACAGATCTGGGGTCCAATAGCGCAAGGACTGCTCGAAACGCTTATCTTTGGCTAACAGAGAGGGCGCATCGAATCTTTTCGATCTCTGAAGCTTGTAATCCACATAGACGTTTACGCCGACATCTGACCCGTATCGTGGTGTTGTGAGTAGCCACTCCGCCAGCTCCCGAGTCAGATGTACCAAGGCGTTATCGCGTGCTTTGGTCACGATCATGACGTTTCGCACAGTCATCTTGATTGGTCGGCGCTGGAGTTGTTTGGAGACCTCGCGCACGCTGAACGCAGTCTGCATGAGTCTCGAATGCGATATCGAGTCGTCGTCGGCTATTTCCTCTAATACTTTATCGAGGTTTACGGCTTTGTCAAACTTCTTGTGGAAGTAGCATGGCGATGCGAGAGCAGCCATCTTGCTGACAGCAAGGTCGCCCGACTCTAGGTTAAGCTCAGAAAGCGCATCGGCAAGCGCTTTGTGGGTGATGCTTTTTGACCGCCGGGTCTTGCCCTCTGCTGCGCTCTTCTTGTCCTCCATGACCATGGAATCGATTGATTGTGCCGTGGGGGGTCGTGATTGCAGAGCCTTCAGGATCGTCTGGCGGGGTATGGAAGAATCGAACGAAGCTGCGTTCTTGCGATGCTTCCGGATGCGGTGCTCACCAAAGGATGGCAGCTGAGGCAGGACTGTGAGGTTCTCAATCGACGACGAGTTGCTGATAATAGCCGAGTGTTCGTTCCGAAGTGACTCGTCCGGTGTCGCACAGGATGGTATCGAGTCGGATGCAGTTGGCGCACCGACTAGTTCTGTCGTTGCTACCGAAGAAGCATTATCTTTGAAGCCTTGCGGCAAGTAAACACTTGTCTGCGGAGGCGGCGGAGACTGTGCAGGGGGTGCGAGATTTATTGGTGATGCACCGGCGGCGTTAACGGCGGAGATGTTATCCCGCGGCCTTTGTGGAGACAGGAGCGGATGAATTTTGGTCGGTGAGAACGGCTCCCCATCCTTGGTTGTCCTCGGCATCATTGTCGCTTATTAAATAAATTACTGAACAGCGCGGGATGCGATGGCGCGAATGACGACGATATTTGCCGGAAATCGTCTCTCGGAAGGCAGGTAGTGCCGCAAAAAGCACCGACGGTCTACGTTTTGTTGGATGTTGAGTGATATGGCGATGCAAACGTAACCAGACGTTCAATCAATTATAGCGATCCTATCAAGCTCCAGGCTGGCGATGAGAAATGATACAAGAAGGAGCCGAAGGATTGCGGCTATTGCATGGGAGCGACTCGTGGAATCTCGATCGGAGATGTGACGGGCGCGAGTAGTGACTGTAGGCTGAGTGCGGCGTGGTGTGATGGACGGCGGAACTTCGTGACCGTCGGTGGAGGTGATGCAATATAATTGAAGAGACCGGCTCGATTATTGACAAAAGCAAAGCGAATAGTACAAGGGGTGTGGGTTGTTGTACCCAGGTGCAAAGCGCAGACAGGGGAAAGAAGGACGTGAATCTCACGGCGGTACTAAATGCACCTGCTGCATCTGAACTATATCTCATTTTGACATCTGCACAACATCGATATTACCAGCCTGTCCGATAAACCCTCGAGCCACATGCAGGCACTGTTCTGCACGCATGCCTCAAACGCAGGTACCGCAAGTCCGTGGCGGCTAGTCCGCTGAAGGGGCCTGACACCCGCAGCGTTTGAGGCACAAGTCAGCGTCGGCTTTCAGTCCAAAGTTAGGTTGAACGTTGGTCAAACCGCCATGCCGCAGCAAACAAGACTGTCAGGGCGCGTGCATTCGCGCGTGTTGTCAATTTGCCTCCCCAGGCAATGTCCCTTTTCAGGTCTTTGCGCTGTTCAATTGGCAGCCTCCACAGCGGTTGTGGCTCCACCTCGACCGAAATCTCACACTCTTAGCGTTCGACAAACGGCTGCCCGTAACACGCCCATTCATTTGACACTGAGCGCCGTCTGTACCGACATAGTGTATGGAGATAGCATGCTATCCTGCACCAGATCTCGTAGCAGTAAAGCCGCTGTGTCCGCACCTGTCGAGGACGAATGAGACCATTTCACGAACACGAGGGCGAAACGAGCCGAGAGTGCATTAGCCTGTGCAGCGTGTAGCAGGAAGCTGCAACCTTTTGCTTGACACATGGCTATCGGAGACGAGACAGATCGAGCCTCGCCAAAGACGAGCTGTCAACCAAATTTGGGACGCATTAAACTCGCTGCCGCCCCATGCCGATGCATGTGTGAATCATACACCTCAGAAACATGTATCACGAATTGGGGTCGGAAATGCGGGAGGTACGGCGCGGGACGTCTGTGAGCTGATGCAACCATGCCTGCTTCTGCGTGGTTTTCGTCCGAGACCTGCGCCGCCCCATATTCGCCTCAGACAGACTGTAGAGCGCCGTACGTGAGAGGTCAGCAAGAGTCTCGAGACGCGATCCAATGTACTGTAGCGCTGTGTTCACTACCCACAGCGAAGTGCCGAGAGACGCTTCCGCAGTGACAGCCTGGAACGCTGCATTGGCGCGTGGAGAAGCAGGCGTAATGTGCATCCTCGAATGCTACCCGCTTTCTCCACACCCATGTCTCAGTGGCTTGTTGTGGCTGTGAACCATGGACTTCACACCATGGCGACTCATGTAGCCGCCCTGCAAGTGGGCAATGAACGGCAAACTGAAGCATTAATACCTTGAGTTAATTCAATACCCGTCGCAGAGCCCGTCACTGAAGCGCATATTGTAGTCTGGCGATTTATTGGCGCTGAACATGTGGTAAGTTGTGCTTTTGAGGTTCGTTGATATGTCGTGGTATCTAAAATATCGGAGCATGAGAAAAAGATTAAGCTTGGAAGCTCTAAACTGAAGCAAGAGCCTTGCGAGCGAAGGTGGGCAGTACGAAGGATGCCTCGTGGATCTCCTTGCTGTAGTACTTGCAGAGCTTGTCCTCCTCCTCAGAGGTCCAGCTGCGAAGAGGCTTCTTGAGGTTGCGCTCAGCGTCCTTGGAGCAGACCATGAAGCCGATCTGGCCAGAGGGGTAGGTGGGGATGGTGGTGTAGGCGTACTCGACGTTGGGGAAGACAGCCTTGCAAGACTTCTTGAGGTCGGTGATGATGTGGAGGTGCAGCCACTGGTTCTCAGCTGGATAACAGTCAGCATATGTTCAAAGAATTGCTCGACAAGCGCGTGTAGCGGTTCTCAAGTCGATGCAGCAGAGAGATAAGAAGGGGGCGTACAACCTTGGGTCGTAATCACACCACCCTCACGGAGGGCACCGTTCAACAGCTCAAAGTAAGGCTTCTGGAAGAGAGCCTCGGCGGGGCCCTCTGGGTCGCTAGAATCGGTAATGATGACATCGAACTGGTTCTTCTTGTCCTCGAGGAACTTGAAGCCATCGCCAACGATGGTCTCAGTCTTGGGGTGGTCGAAGCCAACGGACATGCCGGGGAGATACTTCTTGGACAGGCGAATGACGGCCTCGTCAATGTCGCAGAGAACAGCCTGCTCAACGCATTCGTGCTTGACGACCTCACGGAGGACACCACCGTCACCACCACCGATAACGAGAACGTTCTTGGGGTTGGGGTGAGAGTTCATGGCAAGGTGGGTGATCATCTCCTGGTAGCTGAAACACCATCAGCGATCCGACAAACTCTACAATTGTGTTATTGGGGCTTACGAGAACTCATCGCGCTCGGTGCACTGAATGACGTTGTCGAGGACGAGGACCATGCCGTAGTCGGTAGACTTGAAGATAAGGACATCCTGGTACAAGCTCTTCTCGTGGTGGATAACCTCCTCGACCTTGAGTGTCATGGCCTGACCAGGCCACATGCCGGAGATCTCACGGAACCAGCCATCTATACAAATTATTAGTCTCGAAGTATCACTCGTGGGGCGCGAACAGGAAGTGAATCGCGTATAACATACCCTTGATAGTGGGGTGCTCGATAGCAGGCATTTTGAATGTGGTGTTTGTGAAAAGACGAAAAGTCGGTTTGCGTGTGAATGATGGAATGCGAGAGATGACAAAAAGGTTAAAAGGCCGACAACGATTATATATGGGGACCTTCAGGATTGCGGTGTCAATTGGGCTCTTCGAAAACTTTCACGGTGCCTGGGCAACAATTTTCAAGCTATGCAGGCGCGTCATGCCCCGCGCTCCACGCCAGAGACGCCTTCCCCTTCTCGGTCTAGTGCGGGGCTCACGAAGTGGGCACAGAAGGTGCTACCGACTCCGAATAGCTGCCGTTCTTGGACATGCCACCAAGTATCCATAATATGGACCGCATATAGTCATGACGGTGCTGCGCGCGATGCAGAATCGCTTTCTACTCCAAGCCAACTTATACTTATGTCTGAAGGACAAACGGTGTCCGTAGGACATGAATTGACGTGTAGACTGAAGCGGGGTTAGGCGTACCTTGAGCCATTTCATGTAGGAGCCTGTTAAGGAAGCTGACGTGACGTGGGGTACTTATCATCCGGAGGTGCCTATAAGAATGCGCTGTATCCTGCCTGTTGGTTTTGTATTCTCCAGTAGCAGCTTTGGCTTGATCTTGACTTACCCAAGTATCCCAACATGGCAGCAAATGATATTGAACAGTTCTTGAAAAACAAGACCTGGGTCGATCAACCTGAGGTCTTGCCGTGGTACGTCAAAGACCTGGTCGATCTTCCACCAAATACCAGAGAGCTTTTCGAGACGTACAGTAAAGTGCCATCAGATGAAGTCGTCTCGCACATCACACAGATCAGGGATAAGGCCTTCAAGATCGTGAGTCTACGATCATGTAAAAGATCACTCCAAGACTGATAAAGCGAACAGTTTCCGTACCCGTGTCTTGGACATTGGGGGTTCCTCAACCTGAACATCCAAACCTCGAACGCTTACAAGGAGGTCGTTCCGCGCATTAAGGCTGGCGAACAGTACTTAGATGTTGGCTGTTGTATGGGTCAAGACATACGGAAGCTGGTGTACGATGGAGCACCCTCGGAAAACCTCTACGCATCGGACGTGAAGGGCGATTTTTGGGGCCTTGGCCAGGAGTTGTTTCTGGACGAGTCGTCCTTGAAAGCCACCTTCATTGCGGCTGACATCCTCGACGACAAGTCGCCTCTGCAGGAACTCACCGGCAAATTCGACATCATCCATGCAGCTTCGTTCTTCCATCTCTTCGATTGGGATGGCCAAGTCATAGCAGCCAAAAGGATGGTTAGCTTGCTTAACCCTGCATCAGACAGCCTCATCCTCGGCCGTCAAGTTGGTCGTACAGAAGCGGGCGAATTCACAGCCGGCGTCGAACGAGATAAGAGGCGATACTGGCACAACCTTGAATCATGGACCAAGCTGTGGGATTTGGTTGGCGACGAGACTGGCACGAAATGGAAAGTCGAGGCAGAATTCGATAACTCCCAGCGCAATAGGAGCAGTCTGGCGGACTTCATTCCCAAGGACTCTAGGTTCATGAAGTTCACCATCCGGAAAGCGTGAGCATGATGTATAGAGTCGCGTGCGACTTGATTGACTGCGAGTCATATTTTAGATCATAGACCGAATCGCATTTTTCGTTTAGACGTGTCGTTTCAAATATCAGGTGCAATGCCTTGCAATAACAGTCGAAGCCTTGTGAAAGCCTTGGACAGCAGAGTCCAACCAATCAACTGTATCCAGGGTCCAAAGCAAACAAGCCAAACACAATCGTGGCTTCAACATCACCACCATTCACTTCCTTTACCAGTACCTAAATACCCATTGAACCTTTGCTTTTGCGTTTTTACTCGCAAGTTATCGCCATGGATCCTTATTCGCCAGAAGGAGGCATGTCATGGCCTCCGAACAATCATGCCACCTCCTGCTAACATGAACCAGAGCTCATCAACATCCACACAGCGTTCCACGCTGGCGCATACCAACAAGTCCTCGACTTCGACACTTCCTCATTCTCCTCCAGCAATGCGCTCCCTGTCCGTGTCCTGAAAGCACGCTCGCAAATCGCTCTTGGGCAAGCACAGGCTGTCTCCTCCGAATTCGCCAGCGAAAAGACACCGGATCTCGTTGCTGTGAAGCTTCTGGCGGACCTTGAGCAGGGCAAGGATGTCACTGCTGCGACAAAGAAGCTGGCAGAGCAATACGGCCAAGAGAATTTGGCTGTGCAAATCATTGGAGGCATCATCTTGGAGCGGGCAGGCGAGACAGAGGAGGCTCTTGCACTGCTGAGCAAGCACGAGGGCAGCCTTGATGCGTGAGCTGAGCCGAACCAGGAGACTGAAGTCCAATCAGCTGACACATTACAGTGTCGCTCTTATTGTACAAATCCACCTCCAGCAGAACCGCGCAGATCTCGCTGCCAAGGAGTCTCAACGCGCACGGAAATGGGCACAGGACAGCCTCCTCGTCAACATCGCAGAGTCGTGGGTCGGCATGCGCGAGGTATGCTTCACGCACTACAGATACTTATAAACAATATTCTAACACACCATAGGGCGGCGAGAAGTACCAGTCCGCTTTCTACGTCTTCGAAGAGCTCGCCCAGACCTCGCAATCACAGTCGCCGCATTCGCTCGTAGCACAAGCCGTATCCGAATTGCACCTCGGTCGCCTGCCGGAGGCTGAAGCCGCTTTGCAGCAGGCGATTGAGATCGATCCCAAGTCAGCAGACACCATTGCTAACCTGGTCGTTTTGAACACATTGCTTGGGAAGAAGGAGGAGACAGCGCAGCTAAAGCAGCAGCTTGAGAGCACAAACGCCGAGCACAGAGCGGTCAAGGACTGGGCAGAGAAGAAGAGCGAGTTCCAGAAGGCGGCGGCGAAATACACACCGAAGTTTGAAGTGGCTGCTTAGAGAGGGAAGGCGGGGAGATGAAGAGCACCAAAGGTGTCACAGGACGTGGCTAGTTTTGATCAGCGCGAGCATTTGGCTTGAGAGGACATGAGGCACTACGATCAATGGATCAACCAATACATGGCCAAGATGCACTGCATACGCACACTATGCAACTGCTTACGGCTAAGCTCAGCAACCAACTAACGATGATTATTCGAGAAGTTTCAAACGTGCCCAGCTCCCGTCATGACAGCTCGCCTTTTTCGGTCCCAAGATTTGGGGATCTGTCTTCCCGAAGAAACAATATGCGTCAAGTTATAGTGTACCTGTGCTATGACACTGACGGGAGGCATTTTGCCGAAGAGACAGTAGAGCTGGAAGACCATACGGATACCAAAGTCAGCGACCGAGACATACAAAAGCGGCATACTTGCTGCGCACATCCTCTTCCCAGCAAACCAAAAGGCGTCCAGATGAGTAAAGTGAAGGCCGTTAGCACCCCACATGCTCACCGCATGTGTGTTCTCGAAACTCACTTTCGGAAGTAGCACCTCCCGAACAGGGTCCAGCTGCAGCACGCAAGCATAAACATGCACAAAGACGTACAAACCGTCCCACAGCAATCAGCTGCACAGTGCGTATCTGGCGGCACGGCACAGGAAGGACGCAAACGGTTGTGGTGTGCGGCGTGTGGCTGTCGACATCTCGATGTGCTCCAGGCCATGCTGAGCCGTGCGCGTGCCGCAACACGCGGGCGCAATTAACGTTGTCGATCAATCCAGACTGTCGGATCCTTTCAGCCCTGGCGACCGCGGTCATCCTTCACCCTCTCATCTCAAGCCGTATCGGCATCGTGGGCGCCTCGCTGTGCAGTCGCTCACCGATAGCTGCGCACTACTATGCAAACACTATGCGGCAGCGCAGCTGACACGCAGAATGTCAGCGCGTGGGGAACAAGGCCGCGCATCTTGCTGCAACGGCTTGTGTGTGGCTTCCGGGACCTGATGCATCCGAAGCACTCTTGGAACAAGCTTAGCCCTAGCTCAGCACCCAATGAACGTGGGTCCACCGACCAAAGTCGCAGGTCTTGGTCGCAGCTGCGGTTCCAAAGAAAGCAATGTACACGAGGACTCCGTTGCGTGAGACTCGTGCTTGGATTTGTGGACTCGTTACTTGCGGCGTCTTGCGGCGCGAAAGCACGGTGCGCTGCGTAGAGATTTCAGGCCGAGCGGTTTGTGGTATGGTGTGCAGATGAGTGATCTGCTGGAGCCCGCTTTATTTGAGATCGTTATGCGATTGCAATCTGTGTAATCTCCGCACTTCGTGTATACCGCGCTCTTCAACCTCTACTCTGAACTCTCCCTCTGTGCTCTGACATACGTGCGTCCCTATCCGGTCGAGTTGGACATTCTTCCGCCCTCCGCTATCTCCGGCGCGCCATACCACATCGAACGATTTGCATGCTGTCGTCATAAGCATGGTCGGTATACAAAGTGAGGACACGCACGAGGTGCACGAGGCACAGACACCGATTCTAGAGAACATGGTTATTGGAGTACCGCCTGTATTTGAGGGCTTGACGAAGCAGCTCGACAAGATTGTCGAGCAGCCGTTGCTCGGTCCAAAAGCCCAGTTTCCTCTAGGTACTTGCGTTCCTCACTCGGAGTAGCCGGAGATAAATGCTGACACTAAACAGCGAGCTTTGCATACGCACGGAAGAATGAAAGTGGAAGGCGGTTGCCGCAGGCGATCGCGCACCGAGGCTTCAAAGCGAAGTTCCCTGAGAACACCATGGGTGCATTCAAAGGAGCTGTAGAAGTTGGTGCTGACGCTCTTGAAACGGATGTTCACTTGACAAAAGATGGTGTCGTTGTACTGTCGCATGACAAAGATCTGAAGCGTTGCTTTGGGCGAAAGGAAAAGCTTCTCGACTGCGACTACGAGTTCGTGAGTACACTGAGGACATTGAAGGAGCCCCACGAATCGATGCCGAGATTGTCTGATCTACTGGAGTACTTGGCACAACCTGGACTGGAAAACATCTGGTTACTGCTAGATATCAAGGTGAGCCGTGCGCCCAACACATAGAGACTGTGCGCTGACGTTGTACAGCTCGACAACAATGCCGACGACGTGATGCGTCTAATCAGTGAGACTATTCGAAGTGTGCCTCCCTCGCCGGCAAAGCCATGGCAGAGTCGCATTGTGCTGGGCTGCTGGGCGGCGAAGTATCTGCCACTGTGCTCTCACTACTTGCCCGGTTTCTCAGTATCACACATCGGCTTTTCGGTGCTTGTCGCATCATACTTTTTCACAGTGCCGAACGTGTCATTCAACATGAACCAGGCAGTGCTGATGCCGCCATGGGGCAAGGCATTCATTCGTAAAGCGCAACGTGACGGGCGACCCGTGTATGCGTGGACTGTGAACGACGCACGGAGGATGAGGTGGGATATCCAGCAAGACTTGGACGGTGTCATCACAGATGATCCAGAGCTGTTCTTGGAGGTGCGCCGGGGATGGCATGAGGGGACTAAGAACGGCCTTCGAACCAGAGACTGGCTGGATATCGTCAGAGTGAACTTCTTCGCTCTTATCTTCTCGATACTATTCCAGCTCATGTTTGGCTTCGGGCTGCCGAAACCGAAAGCGAAGGCGAAGCAGGCTATATAGGAGCGTCGAACAGCAACGCAAGTGCTGCAGCTGTAGACAGAAACATTGTTATGACATACAAATGAAACACGTTTGACTGTTGTGACGATGACGTGATGTTGGATTGAAGAGCTCCAGGATTGGCACCTTTGGGCGTTCGTCCCTTGTAAATTTAGGCGCGTTTGCGGGGAGCACGCGTCAGGTCAACAACCCAAACCCCACGCTCACTCACTACACACCACCATGCCTAGGTATGACGAGACGCAAACCAAAATGACGCGCCTGCAAGCTTACTAACATGCGCCAGGGAAATAATAACGCTGCAGGCTGGCCAATGCGGCAACAGCGTCGGGCAGCAGTTCTGGCAGCAGCTGTGTCAAGAGCATGGTATCAACCAGGACGGCAACCTCGAGGACTTTGCGACCGAAGGCGGCGACCGCAAAGATGTCTTCTTCTACCAATCAGACGACACTCGTTACATCCCGCGTGCCATTCTCCTCGATCTCGAGCCTAGGGTGCTCAATTCTATCCAGTCGAGCGCCTACAAGAACATTTACAACCCCGAGAACTTCTACATACACAAGTCAGGCACCGGCGCAGGCAACAACTGGGGCATGGGATACAGCATGGGCGAAACAGTCCATGAAGAGATTCTCGATATGATTGATCGCGAGGCCGACGGCTCAGACTCGCTTGAGGGCTTCATGATGCTGCACTCAATTGCTGGAGGTACTGGTTCAGGTCTGGGATCGTACATGCTGGAGCGCCTGAACGATCGCTTCCCTAAGAAGCTCATTCAGACCTACAGTGTCTTCCCCAACACTCAGGATGGTGATATTGTCGTCCAGCCATACAACAGTCTTCTCAGCATGCGTCGATTGACACAGAACGCTGACTCAGTCGTGGTCCTGGATAACGGTGCTTTGTCGAAGATCGCCGCAGACCGGTTGCATGTGCTCAACCCCTCCTTCGAGCAGACGAACCAGCTCGTCTCGACCGTTATGTCAGCTAGTACAACAACCCTGCGCTACCCGGGCTACATGCATAACGATCTGGTCGGCATTGTTGCGTCGCTCATTCCAACACCACGCTGTCACTTCCTTATGACTGCATACACGCCGTTCTCAGGCGAGAACGTAGAACAAGCCAAAACTGTCCGCAAGACTACGGTGCTGGACGTCATGCGGCGACTCCTCCAGCCCAAGAACCGCATGGTCTCGACCAACCCCACCAAGAAGAGCTGCTACATGTCCATTCTCAATATCATCCAGGGAGAGGCCGATCCTTCAGATGTAAGTCAATCTCGGTTTGGCCAAGTCCATGTGCTAACGTTGAACAGGTACACAAATCACTAATGCGTATTCGTGAACGACGACTGGCGACCTTCATCCCTTGGGGTCCTGCCTCAATTCAAGTCGCTCTGACCAAGAAGTCCCCTTATGTACAATCATCGCACCGAGTATCTGGCCTCATGCTTGCAAACCATACCGGTATTGCAACACTCTTCAAGCGTATCGTGGCGCAATACAACACGCTCAGGAAGCGCAATGCTTTCCTCGAAAGCTATAAGCGCGAGGCGCCCTTCAAGGATGGCCTCGGCGAGTTCGACGAAGCTAAGGAGGTCGTTCAAGGCTTGATCGAGGAGTACGAGGACGCAGAGAACGCAGATTATCTAAGCAAGGAGACACCCCCTGTCGACGAAGATGGCGACAAGCGGGTTGGCTGAGTTATATTCTGCAATAGCATGGACGGCGTTCGCATACTACTGAAATTCCTGGAGTTCTCTGGATATGCCCCTTCTTGGCCGAGGTGGCGTTTGGACAAAGTACCGCTTGTGTCGTGGAGCGATACTTCAAAGATACCAATTACTTTCTTGCAATCCCAGCCAGTTCTGACCAAGCCTTTGGGTTCTATTTTCGGGTGTTGTGTTTGCTTGGTTGACTGTGAACTGTGGTTTTGCTGACCCTTATCAGAATAGTTCAACAATTGGATGGACAATTTCCCCATCCGAACCGGTCTCGACATACGGTAAATGAGACACAGAACCATGGAACGACAATTGGGAATATTATTCTATGTGGCTATGTAAACCTACTCACGTTCTTCCTACAAAGCTTACCATCAGTCCCGCTCGGCTCCCCAACGGTGTACACTAAAGTCCGCAGAACATCATCCGCTACCACAAGCACACATCCAAAGCATATTACAACCCTCAAAGATACCCGATCGCACAGTCAAAATGTCTTCGCGACTAGTCTCAACCGCGCTGTCTCTGCGCACCGTCACACGCGCCGCAGCTCTCGCAGCAGCGCGTTACGCACCTCCTTCAAGAATCGACAACAATCGCAACACCACCTACTTCGCGGCCTTGAACCGCAGCACACCGACGCCTTCACCTCAGGTGTCGTTTTCACCAATTCTCGCTCGCGCCAAGTCGCTGAGTCACGAGATCGAAACCGCTGCGCCGGCATCGTCCGGTCTGTCGTGGCCTGTGGACGTTTTCGCCAAGGCGTTCGAGGAGGATAGAAGGCTCGATGCACTAAGCAAGGCGTTTGTGTCAGGCGAGAAGCGTAGTAAGATGTCTAGGGTGTGGGAACCAGTGGAGAAGGAGTTGTGGTTGGAGAGATATGGTGGGCCGGGTAAGAGGTTGGAGAGAGTCGTTGGGAATGGGACGGTGGTGTTAAGGGAGGCTGCGCTGGATGGGAAGGGGTACCTGAGGGTTCTCATATAGAAAGTAAGATGTACTTATCTAAATATGCCCGACTTTCTCCGCTGTTGGCGCTGCACTGGATTGCTTAAGTGGTTCTATGTCATCTGGGAGCACAGTTCGCTGTCAGAAGTTGTGCCACCTCTTGTCTCAGACGTCTTGGACATGCCAACTGTACGGAAAGACTAGGACCAGGACAGGAAAGATCAGAAAAAAGAAACATCTAGAACGTGGGAGGCGTCAGAAGGTGCCAAGAATCGACAAAAGAAGTATGCGCAGTCAGATCGGGGAAAAGAGGCAACGGCGAAGAAATCGCGTCAGAAAATCCAGATACGCAATACACAAGAAAGCATATCAAAGCACTCCTACATGCATTGTTCGTCTGCTAACTCGCTGCCCAAAAAGGTAGTGGTGTTGCTCAACGTGCCTATCTTCACGTCTTGCACCGCGGCCAACAAAGTCCCCCTTGCTGTGTTGATACACACATAACCAAACACCCATAAACATTGAATGCAACACAACCGCCCAATAGAACAGCTTGGCACCGTCTAACCAAGCTGGAGGTACAGGGAGACACATGCACAGAAGAATACAATTTTTGCCATGTAATTGAACATGCGTGAAATGTCAAGTTAGATCGTCAACTCCAAAAAAAAAAGGTAGGACGACACCGTGAGGGAGCATATGTACGGGGTGGGGTGTCAAGGCACATCGCGCACTGCGTTACGCCACCTGAAACCCACTCAGGCACCAGAAGCGAGGTAAACGATCATTATGCCAAGTCTCCTCGCAAACTGCGGTTTTGCGCTTCGGTTTGCCGCCATGGTGCTGAAGGGGTTAATGTGCGTCATCTCAAGGGATACCGCTAGGAGCGTATCTATCAGCGTCGATAGCAAAGGACCAAACGCCAGAGGACTTCCACGGCAACCAATGACACTAGACAAGTGGCAGTCGATGTGTACATTTTCCTCTTCAGGGTCTCCCAGCCGAGCTACGTGAAAAGATCTAGAGCTCGTATCTGGCGGAGTAGTTGTCCTGACACACAGATTTCTTGGTAAATCGAAAGACTCGTTTTACAGAAGCATTTGCGTTGACAGCCTGCAGGAGAAAACGCAGAGGCTGTCTACTTACAGCGTGACTTCCACTTCAGCTTCACAGAACAGGCAACTTCATGCGTATACTGGTCTAAGTTCAATAGTCCGCGCATTTAGAAATCATTATATAAGCATTGTAAATTCATTGAGAAGTTAGTACTTCACTTTTGCCTCTTATTTAATCAAATTAAAGAGGCACGTAAATTAGAGCGTTGTTAATGTTATCCTAATGAAAAGAGCTCTTGAGTCTTGCCTCAGCCTTGCGGGCCTGATGCGTTGGCTGCGAAGCCCAACGCCTTACATCAGCAAGGCAATATCTGACATGCATTGCATCACCCCCATTTTCTTGTTGTTTAATTGGATGTCTGAGACGACATGCCTTTGGCTCGTGAACTCAGATCCGCGCTACCCGCAACCAGGCTGAAGCAGGTATTGTATATAAGTCTCTCTAAGATCCCAGACCGTGGAGACAGTTCCAGGTTGATTGTCTCGAGCACATCCATACATCTCCACACACCTGACCCAGGAACAAACAAGGAACCCCCCAACAGGACCCCACTGCTTGTAACCAAGGCCTAAGACCATCTCTCCAACACACTTCGTCCCCAGCCTCGCTCCTCATTCAAACTTTCATAACAGCCAGCCGGCTTCCATCCTACTCTAATCCGCACCGTTCCCCTGTCTTACCGCAATGTCTTCCTCCGTCCTCAACGCAGGTAACACGTCGTGCTCGCACGATATCGGGGGCGAGGTGTTTACGCGCATCTGCGGCAGTCGCTACGTAGGCTGGGATGACAGGCTTGCGACGTGTCGCAACAGTCTCAAGGGGGGTTACTGGAAGTGTGGGCGTTGCAGCTATGCGTATATACAAGTTGACAGGTGTCCGGATGGACATGCGGCGGTGCAGTACGAGACGATGGAGTATCATCAGTAGACGTGTGGTAAGGGACGGGGAAGAGGGTGTTCAGCGCGCGCGGTTTGGTTGAGGGTGTGGGTCTGGAGGGAGCGAGAGGGCTGGGAGACCGTTCTAGGAGATCTGTAACGAGGCTTGGGTTGTATAATCCGACTTCTGCGTAGCTAAGGTACTTGACCGAGGCTTGGGTGAAGACTACATTACTCTTTACTTTAACGAAGGCCTGGTTCATTGCTCAATTGCCACTATCCAGCACACCAAGTCTGGTCCGCAACGGACTTGTGCAATCTGACTTTGCCTCTCTACAAGAGTTTCGTCGCTCTGGGCTGGACCATGCGTGCCTACGCTGGAAGCCAGTGTTAAGATCTAGAGTCGACCGGGTGGGGAGGTTCTCTCTGGTCATATGTTGGTCGTTCAAAGCATTTCATAAGAAGCTGATCGTACTGCACAGCAACAACTGTCTGAGTATGGCCATGGGCGCATCACACAAGACCATACATGCCAACGAGGTAATGGTAGATATCGTTGTGCGAGTCTTCGATTTTCAACACACCCAAGGACTGCAGTTAGCCAATTGTTGCGTTATGCTTGCTGAGACCAACTATCGTCTTCGTTAAAGCCACGGCCATAACCGCAGCCGGCGTCGCGGAGTACGTACATGTCCTACGGTGGCATATTGGTCTAAGAGCGCATGAAGTGATGCCTAGGATAGAAGTAATGTTACCGTCATTTAGGGAATTGCCATGCTGAAGATCTCCAATGAGCGAGTGAGGTCGACTACGCATGTGACGACCCGAGAGGTATGACGTCAGAGCCATTGCAAGAGCACCGCGAACGACCCAAGTCTTAGTCTGAGGATCAGGGTCAACGGGTAATTCGAGCTTGATATGCTGTGCAGAATCCCGAACCAGCACGCGATTCAAGTCCAGATCTGGACCCTTTTGTGCGCGACTCAAAGCAGGGTTGCAACCTGGCGCCATACCACGAGCATGCCGCAGCGCGCCAGACCATTGGCCTGCAGGCGTGGATTAATTAGCACATGCAGGCACACGACGAACCGCGCCCCGCTGTGACGCTCGTACGTAGTTGTCCCGCAACCTGGCTTCGCGGGGTGCCTGTTTGTTTCAGATACGTCATCGACGAGCTGCCATAACCTCTGGACGCCTGCGCGTTATAAGGGCGCCCGCCTACGCTTTCACCTCGCGACACCCAATTCCCACAAGAATAACGCAAGCGAATACAATATGGAGACTATCAGCAACATCGCGTCCACTGCGACGACCACTGTCTCGAACCTCATCTATGGAAGCCCAGATGCCGCGAAGACCAACGAGACTGCCGGCAAGGAGCCCGTCTCCGGCGTGACTGGCAAGGGTACTGCCGATGAGCCCTATGATCAGGGCAACTCTGGTGGGTTTGCTTGCCGCGTCCTGTAGGGCACGTGCTGATATCAAGCAGAGTCCGCTCTTGAGAAGAACACCACTGCTGGCACAAGCACGACAGTAGAGCCCACTGGCTCCACTCAGTCGCCTGAGGACCTTCTCAAGGCCTACAAGAACGAGGCTGGCACGTCTACCTCAACTACCGCTGGCACAAGCAACACGGTTGAGCCCACCAGCTCCACCCAGAAACCCGAGGACCTCATCAAGGCTTACAAGAGCGAGGCTACAGGTGTCGACGTTGTCAAGCCTTCGGGCACCGACCCCGTCGTTCCTGCGACTGGATTTGGCGCACAAGACAGCATTGACAGCTCCGGCAAGGACACGCTGTGGCGGGGCGTTGATGCCTACAAGGACACTTCGTCCACAGAACCCGCCACCACTGCCATCAAGCCCCTCGCCGGCGAGTCGACAACGAGCGGCCCCAAGGGCGCCGTCGACCCGGAGCCCAAGAACTACTCCATTGGCGACCTGACCACGGGCAAGGAGACGCCTCCCAAGCCCGTCGGCGAGACCAGCGCTGCCACTGCCACTGCCACTACCACTACCGCCACTGAATCAGACTCCAAGACTGGTGAGTCCGCTGCCAGCCCGCCCGACCTGAGCACCACGTCCCCCGGCGACAAGCCAGACTACAGTGCGGACACCCACAAGCCGTCGGCCCACACGGCGGGTACGTGGACCCACAAGGTCGGAGACATACTGAACCAAGCTGACGGCGTAGCAGGCATTGTGGGTGAGCGGGCTGGCCACGGCGGTCCCGCGACGGCAATTGAGGAGGACAAGAAGTCGTCGTCGGTGTCGCCTACGCGTGACGACGATGAGAAGAGCGGCAAGATGGACAAGCTCAAGGACAAGCTCAAGACGAAGCTCCACATTGGCTCCAAGGACCACTAGACGTGAGGGATGCACGGGCGATGACGAGGAACGAACATGATACCACGGGATGAGGCGCGATATGTAGGATACCCTTTAGCAGTGCATAATGACTTGTTTGCAACGCTCCGCCCGAATCGTGTCCATGCTGATACTTTGGGTGCATGTTAAATGACACGGACGCTGGCGCGGAGCAGCCCGGCCTGTGATTGGCCCACGCCGCACTCCCTGCACCCACCCAGCCGATCACGACCCCCTAGCCATGCAACACCCAAAATGTAGATAAGACACGCACGACCGCCACCCCCCCCAGCAGCAGCCGCCGGCACCATGCCTCGCTTCTCCGTGCGCAACGTCGTCGTCGCCGTCAACCTCGCCCTCCTGGTCCTCCTCGCCCTGCACCTCAAACAAGTCCTCTGGGACCCGGACACGCCGTTCCCAGACCTCTTTGCCAGCGACGACGACGGCTACGGCGGCGGCAATGCACACGATCTCGATGCGGAGCGCGGGCTCGACGGCGTGCGCACAGACAACGAGTGGCGCTCCAAAGACGGCAAGACCCTGCAGGTCAACGGCGGGTCGACGAGCAGCAGCGTGCTGGACGCAAAGGGGCGGGCGAAGGAGAGGAAGACGGCGGTGGTGGTAGCCAGCCAGGCGGGCGAGGACGCGGCGTGGATTGGCGCTGCGTTTCCCGGGTGGACGACGCACGTGTACCGTGTTGATGAGCCCGGGGCGAAGCTCACAGTGCCGAAGAATAAGGGCCGCGAGAGCATGGTGTATCTGACGTGCGTCACCCTAAATCACATCTACGGTTGTATTGTATCTGTTGTACTGACCCCCCGCAGCTACATCATCGACCACTACGACAAACTCCCCGACAACATCCTCTTCCTCCACCCCACCCGCTTCCAGTGGCACAACGACGACCCCGACTACGACGGCCTGCCCATGCTGCGCCGCCTGCAACTCCCCCTCCTCGAAGCCCAGGGCTACCTCAACCTGCGCTGCGCCTGGCAGCTCGGGTGCCCCGCCGAGATCAAGCCGCTGGCCGAAGAAGGCGAGCACCGCGCCGCCATCCACGCCGGCGGCGACTACAAAGCCGCCTTCGAAGTGCTGTTCCCGGAGCGCCCGGTGCCGCGCGAGGTGGGCGTGAGCTGCTGTGCGCAGTTTGGCGCGACGCGCGAGAAGATCCGGGCGCGGCCGCTGGCGGATTATGTAAGGTTTCGCGCGTGGTTGCTGGATACGCCGCTCGCGGACAGTATCAGTGGAAGGATTTTCGAGTACTCGTGGCACAGTGCGTTATCCCTTTTCTTCTTCTTGAGACGAGCCGTGACTGACAGAATCAGTGGTGTTTGGTAAGGAGCCCGTGCACTGCCCCAGCGCGAAGGAGTGCTATTGCAGAGTCTTCGGACTGTGCGACTTGGATTGCAGGGAGGAGGGGAGCTGTGAGGGAAGGTATATTCTGCCGCCCTTTTCGAGTCTGCCCCAGGGGTGGCCGCTAGTGGGGTGGAAGGGTGAGCCGAGGAAGAGGATGGGGAGTGAGGGGTGAGAGGGCGGGTTCGTTGCATGATCGTTGGGTGCGAAGGTGGCTGCTTGTTGGCTGGAAGCCCGAGCCAAGAGGATGAACGGCGAAGAATGATCGAGCCGGTTTCTTACTTCGCAGCGTTCTTACTTCTCAGGCATGTCGCCGTCGGGTACGAAACCCTTCGCAGTCTGCAATAGGGATGGCCTCGTTGGCCAGGAAGGCGAGCTAAGGCGAAGGATGGGCGGCAAGAGTGATCTCTGGATTTCCTACTTCTCAAGCGTCCCTCCGTTGGACACGTCTCACGCACTCCCCTCGGACACGAAAACCTTTTCAGTCTCTCGCAAGGCTGACCTCTCGCTAGGCCTTTCGTTGGCTGGAAGGCCGGCCAGCCAAGGAAGAGGTGGGCAGCGAAGATGATCTTTCGGGTTTCTTACTTCTCAACCATCTCTTCGCTGGACACGAAGGCCTTCGCACTCGCAACCTCCCCACTCTTGCAACACGCTGCATCCCTCCCAGCTGAGCGCCCTGTATTGCTTCAAAGCCTGTTTAGCCCCACCACCTCGATCATTCGGCTCTCCTCTTGATGCGTTGGCACGTACTATCCACTGTACGATTCTTATCGGTGAAGTTGCCAGCTCCAAGGATATCGACCCACACGAAGCCGCCCACGTCAAAACGGTCGCACGAAACCCTACTCGCGTGGCACGACATCCCATTTGTCTGGAAGTACTCTTCCCAGATTACTCGGACTGGGGTACTTCGCAATCGCTGTACTCACTCGTCGAGATCACGTGCCTTTCGCATCGCAATCCTCCAATTTGGACCCGTTTCCCCGCGAAATGCTATTCGCCAATTCCTTGTAATCCCTCGCAGTCTAGACTAGGACCTGAGTTCTGGCACGGACAGGGCAAACAAAGGGCGATAGCAAGAGCGGGGGATCGCGTGCGTTTCCGGTCACACAGGTACATCTGCATGCACGTTTACCAGGGCACATACAGGGCAGGGAAAGTGAATTAATCGATCTAACCCGGGCCGGGATTAGTCAGATCCTATAGGCTGGCAAGATTACTCCAATGGCTAGGCTGCATCAGCGTGCATTGCAGGACTACAGCATGCATACATAACCTCAATCCATGCCAATTACGTGGCGCCGCAAACCCAATATCCTCTTGGAGTAACGCGGCACAGCATTCTACTCCAAACACAACTTTACGGAATGATCGCCAACGAGGCTGAGTCAAGGGCAGACTTCCCATGAATGTTCGTTAGCGCAGGCACTTGTTCCTGATTGGTTGTGATGCAGCAGAGCCGCAGACCTCACGGGCCCAACCTCCACGTATGATGCGATCAGGTGGACTGTCAACACCATTCAGAAGCATCGTGACTTCTTAGCTCTACACAAACACACACGTTTACTCCACATGATATATATCGGGCAGCAAAATTTGCGTCGTGCTTTCAGATTGCTTCACTGGTATCGTCTGGCCACAAGCCGATCTCAGCCTTACGCTAGGTATTGCAAGTGCGGCTATCTCAGCCTTCTCTACGTACGCAACGTTCCCTTGCACACCCTTGGCCCCGTCTGCAGAGCCTCATTCGAATTACCTCAAGTTGCTGCCACACTACACAATGCGGCCAACGTTGAACTCGAGCATCTCCATGCACTTGCTGGACGCGTCAACCTGCATTGAAAATTCGCCTCGTTGGCATTAGTCACTCTGCTCACGCCCTCGATTACGCCCGCCCTTCCTAGCACCCGTTTCCCGTGTGTGTTCCTCCTCCCCCGGCCTCGTGGATTGCAGATGCACACCTTCCAAGCGCTTCCCTTCGACGTATTCTTCGAAATATGCACGACCCTCGATCTCGAAGACATTGTGCACTTGTCGCTGGCATGCCGGCACTTGAGAGCCCTGCTGCTCAACCACACCGTGGCTCATCGGGCGGTCGAGGTGCGTATCACTGATTCAGAGGGAGTGGGATTGTGGCTGACTCGCGTCCAGACGCTGCACCCGTACACCGAGGAAGCGAGACAGGCACGCAAGGGCGAGATGACGTACGGACAGGCTTTGTGTGCTATCTATGACAGACGGCGGGCCTTCTCGGACGCTCATCCTTTCTCGGCTCGCGTTGTTGGTCGGGGCAGCGCTTTCCTTTATCGACAGGGCGTGCTGTGTGTCCAAGATGACAACACTGTAATTGTGTCGAATTTGCGCTCTGGAACACCTGCAGTACACATCAACCTCCCCCGTATATTCGCTGCGACAGATCCGGGGCCATTGCACAATGCTTATGAGTTAATGTATTACAGTGACGGCATTCTGGCAATTCACGTCACAAATGAGGCCTGGCCGGAGGACGAGAGCCTTCTCCAGTTTCTTAAAACTGCGGACAATCTGCACGATTCCGAGAGGCTGATTAAGTGGGTCCCACTTGAGGTGGACACTTCAAGGCTCTTTGTTCGGCATACGGCAGAGTACTTTTGCTTTGGAACCCATACTGGAAATGGAGGCGATAATCACCGCAAATGGGTAGTTAAGTGTTTCGATTATAAAAACAATACGTGCGAGGAGGGAGATCAAAAACTTCTGCTGGAAGATTTCCATGGCAACGATATCGGATCAACAGTGGCTTTCGAAGTCCACGATGGCTACTTCTACGCCGTCTCAAATCAGGGCACGTATGAGGTTGAAGAGGTTGATTGGACGTCTTTCTACCACTGCGTCCGCTTTCCACTCGATAACCCCGTAAAGGACGCTTTGCAGAAGAACAAGACAGTATACCGGCGCCAGCACGCCGAAGGCGCAATCCACGACTCCTGGACCGACCTCGCCCTCCAACACGACGAACGCACCAACAACCTCCTCATCGTCGAGTCCCGCCGCGAATGGATCCGCGCGTCCTCGCGACAAGCGCGGACCTTCTACACCTCGCACATCGCCTTCGACACCGGCGCTTCTCTAGACTCCCCCTCCCCCTCAGCCACCGGTCACCCCTTCCCCCTCCCAGACAACGACATCCTGACAACCGCCCTCGACTCCTCAAACGCCCCAAACTACATGCCCACCCCCGCCCAGTACAGCTGGACGCAGCACCCGGAGAACGCGCCCGTACACTCAGCCAACCAGCCCCCCATCCCGCGCTCCTTCATCCTCGCCCGCACCAAGTTCCGCGCCTACAACGCCTCGTGCGCGACCTTCATCGACCTCGTCGAGGACGACGCGTGCTGTCCGCGCCGCGCCCCCACAGAACAACCCTGTCTGCGCCTCCGCATCGGCAGCCGCCGCGCCGCGCCCGCCGCGTCCCCTTCCTCATACACCCCCTCCCCCACCGCCTCGCCTGCGCCGCTCCCCCGCTCAATCCCCCAGGTCCCTTTCAAGGACTCAACGACCTACCGCCACACGCCCACCCGCCTCTTCCCGCCCCGGCCCACATGCGCGTGCACACGCCGTCTGCACGCCGTTATGAACCGCGCGCGCTCGGGGGGCCAGAGGAACGTGGCCGCGGTGTGCGACGAGAGGAGCGTGGTATTCATGGGCGTGGCGATGGGGGGCAGGGGGGGCGAGATCGTGCTTGTGGATTTTGGGCGCGGGGTTGGTGAGGTCCAGGGTGCGGCCCAGGGTGAGGTCCAAGGGGAGGGGTGGACGGCGGCGCGCAGGGGGGCATGTGCGGCGGGGACGTGTTAGGGGGGAGCGGTGGTTGGCTGTCGGTTGTGGAGTTGAGCCGCGAGGCAAAGCACGGTGGTGTGCATGTTTGCGGACTACGAGTTGCCTTGGGCTGCTATGCGGGTGCGGCACGGCACGGCACGGCGCGGGGTGGGTGTGTTGGCATGTCACGAGGCGGGTTGCGAGGCTGACCGGCCTGGTGGCATACTGACTGCATGGTGACGGCATACTGGCGGGTGCAGCGGCGTGAGGTATTTTGTTTGCGAAGACAAAAGCGAGGGCGTTGGGTGTGCGTATTGATTTGCCCGTGTTTGTGCAAGCAGCGGCGTGAATGACATATTGGTCAGTCACTGCTTCAGACGATCATCGACGGACAGGTACTTCGTTCGTGATTTGTGTGTCCCAAAAAATCCAACGTCAGATATCCAACTTGCCCACAATACAGTATCTACGTGTAAATCTCCTCGGTCAACGCGTTCAGCCCCACGCCCTCCTTGGCAATATCCTCCTCCTTGAGGAACAGCAGCGGCATCTCGACCAGCGTTCCGCGGATGGTGCTCAGCACCTCCTTGACCTCCTGCACGCCCTGCTCGCCCTGGCTGAAGTTCTCCGCCACGACGTGACCCCACTTGTACAGACTAGGTTTCTTGTTCTCCTTGTCCTGCTCGCTCTGCCCGAAGAAGCGCGAGTAGAAGTCGTCGTACTGCTTCCAGTTGCGCACCTCGTCCGAGGGCACCGGGTGGAAGACCTTGCCGAACGCCTGCGTGTTGGTGTTGGCGCGCCAGTTCCACAGGCCCTGGAACTCGTCGCTCACGGGGTCGGCCACCTGGCGGTCCATGTCGGAGCCCCAGTCATAGACCTGCGGGACGGTGACAGGCTGCCAGTTGTCGTCGACGCCGTCGACGGGCTGGTGCTTGAGCAGGCCGAGGTGCTTGCGGAAGATCTCGCGGCGCAGCGAGGCCGCGAAGCGGGAGACCTGGTAGGGCTGGCCGTCCATGGTGGAGTCGATCATGTCGGGGTCGCGGATGATGATGGCGATTTCCGAGTCGTGGTCGCCAAGCTGCGAGCGGTCGTTCAGGTTGGCGGAGCCGCAGATGACGGTGGTGTCGTCGGCGATGAGGAGCTTGGTGTGGATGTAGAGTTCCTCGCTGACGAATGCGTCCATCTCGTCGACTGCGCCGCCCTCCCATGGGACGTTGCGGATGTCCTCGCCGTTGAGCATGTAGCACTCGCAGACTGAATCCCAGCGGCCGTCTCCAAGACCTTGACGACCACCGAGCTGCTGGGCTTCCTGCTGGTACCGGTTGTAGTCAGACTGCCTTCCGTCGTTTGGAACACCGCCGTCGTAGCCGGCATCCATCTCATACGCCTCACGCGAACGCGAGCCTTCGTTAGCCGCGTCGTAGCCTTCACTAGCTTGTCCGTATGAGACACCAGAGCGCTGCTCGGCGTCCTGCATGACCTTGCTGGCGTTGATGCGGTCGTAGCTGCGGAGGTTGTAGAACCTGATGTAGTCCATTGGGTTGAAGCCAGCCTTCGCAATCTCCTCGTAAATTGAGTGCCCGCCACGGTTGATGGAATCGTATTGGAACTCCATGATAGCTCGCGTGCCCAGGGCTTCGTCGAGCTTAAGGTCACCAGCAAAAGCCGGCACGGCTGGAATCACAATAATCATCTTGTACTTCTCGCCATTGCGAGCAGCACGGACAATACGCTCAACAATAGCCGCACCAACCTGGTTCTTGATCGGACGCTGCTGATCTCCAGTAGCTGTGATGAAGAACTGGTTCTCGATGTAGACAAAGTGCTGACTATCCCTAATGGTCTCGACGTAGGCATTTTGGATCGAGTGCTAGTGCTGTCAGTGGACGAGTGCGGTGAATTATCAAGTGCTGCACTAACCTCGGTTGTGATGTTGTGGCTCCATTTCGTAGACGAACGAGTAATCTGGGCATCCACATTGGCCCGCTGAGCTCCATGTTCAGCGTGCGACTGTTCTTGTTGATATTGCTGCTGCTGCTGCTCATGGCCGCCGTAGTACTGCTGGTATCCTTGGTTGACACGTTCGTACATCTTCTGGCGAAACCCGCCGTGGCCAAGTAGGCCTCGCTCACCCTCCTCGCCATCGCCGCCGAATCCTCGAGAGCTCTCCTCGTTTTCATCGTATCCGCGCTGCTGAGGTTGTTGCTCACCACCTTCTTGAGCACCGCTTTTGGTATCTGGGAGCCTCAGGTACCTGGTCGACTTGTGGGAGTACTTTTCGTCGTAAATGAAGTTCCAGCGCTGTGTAAAGTGTGTGCGGAGATCCTGGACTACAGGTCCGCGCAAGTTGAGGGCTACATCAGACCATCCCATGCGAGAGCTCTGGGTCCTATCGAGCTTGTTCTCCTCCCAATGATCAACATTAGCGAAGTCTAGATGGCGTCAGCTCACAACATGTATACGTGTGGTCCAGTCGCTTCTTACCTAGCATTCGAGCATTGTTGAAATCCTGTCCTGGGAACACAACACGATCAAGATTGCCAGGATGGGCATCTGCAATTGGATGAGAGTTGGTATCCCAACGTCCGTAGCACAGATCCAATCCTCCCATGAATGCAATTGCGCCATCGATCAAGCAAAGCTTCTCGTGATGAGCCCAGTATAACACCGTACCGTCAGTGGAACCGTATACGCTCTTAAGGCCGTCCAGCGGCAACTGTGCAAGCTTCGCGGGCGAGAAAGTCATGTTCTTCATGGTGTTCAAGAATTGACCCGAGAGGACCGAGGCGTCGGGAGTATGGTCAGGATGTCTGAAAACACCAATGTTCTGGTGAAGCTCCTCCAAGTGATGCTTTGTGTGTGCACTAGAGACTGTAATAGGTGGTGCGATCAGCGGATTTGTCCTCTCCACTTCTTCAAGAGATTTGAATATAACGTCGAGACCGAGCCGTGTAAGGCCTTTCGTAATAGGGTCCGTAGAGTGTGGCAGAAGGGAATGCAGATAATCGGGCACAAATGGATTAAACTTACGCGTCAAAGCCTGGGTGACTTCTTTGTAGACTATAACGTTGACCTTAACTCCGCGTTCGGCGGCAGCCAGAAGCAGGCGGTCGACTCGGTACTGCTGGTTCTTGGCTGGAGGGCGGCGGAGGTAGAGCTCTGGGGACAGCCACCAGTCCAAGATCCAGATCGACTCGCGAGCTTGTTCCAATGCGACTGACACAGCGTGCATGTACGAAGCACCGTCGACATACCACTTGATGTCGTTGCCATGGCGCTCAGGAGCAAAGCTCATGAACCGATGCTGGTTGTGGTATTCTTGTCCTGGCTGCGGTTCGCCTTGCTGCTGTGCCTGAGCGGGCGCATCGTTCTTTGCATTGAAGGAATCTTTAATGTCGGCGCTGATCTTGTGGACCTCCTGGTGGATCCTGTCAAAGATGAAGGACATGCCGCCAGAGTTGGACGAGCTTTGCTGAGGTTGCGAATTCTAGGGCGAGGTGTTAGACAAAGGTCCTGTGTGGAAGGGAGAACGAGCAGCTGACGATAGCTGCAGCGGGAGCACAGCAAGGATAACAGCAGGCTAAGCCGCGAGAAAACGGGGACCGCGAGGGGCTAGCCAGGTTCCTCGACGCCTCTGCTACCCTTGAAACTGTGCATCATGCACACCGTGTACCTATGACAGCATTGTGGCCCATGAAATGCACATACCTCTTGCCTGCCTCCAAAGAAGCGCCGCCCCATGTCTCCGATCAAGCCCCGGTCTCCTTCCTCACCCTCCCGCTGACCGTGATAGTCACCGTACGCCAGGTCATCATCCCGACGGGACATCCTGGAGGATTGAGAGGCTAGCTAGTCGTGCGAGTCCCAGATCTCAAAGGTCTCGCGGGTGTTGCGCGTTGAGCCCAAAGGCGGTGATGACGCGGGGTCATGGCCCTGGAAGGTGGGGCACCAAAATCAACAGGGAAGGCGCAGCTGAGACATACCAAATGGACTGCCAGCACACCTGGGTCCGCACTACTTCGTACGAGAGATCAGAGTGTGGAAACGGCAGATAAAACGTTATGCATATTTCTTAGTGCTGCTCTTCTTCTACAACCCAATTGCGTTTTTTGATGATTGGCTCCCAAGCTTGAGCCCTCCCCCCGCACCTGGATAAGCTCCCGCTTCTCTGAAGCTCCTACGAGCCGTCACCCCGTTAGCCTTGCCGTGGGGGCTTCTCAAGCGCCGCGGAGAAGAGTCTCTTCAGGGCGAGAGCCTCATCATTAACCTACGAAGGTACAGATTCGGACTGACGGATCCAAGACGTTGTTGGTGCGGAGATAGTACGTCATTGTAGATCAGTCAGACATCCCGAGCTTCTTGTCTTATCTTCCCCTCAGTAGCACCTGCAGCTGTACAGTAGCTATCTAATTGAATACCTCCGTGAACATGTCTTCTGCTCTCCGTCTTGCACGTTCTGCCCGCTTTGCGTCTCGCGCAATTGTTCCCGCGACAGCTTCGTTGCGACCAGCAGCTACCCGGTGCTTCCACTCGACTCCTGCAAAGATGTCTCAACACCCGATTGCTACCCTCCAGGTAAGCAACAGTCACGCTCCCTATACTCGAGACATAATTGACACCTCTCAGGAAGACCTGATCCCCAAACTCCCCCCCTCATCGCCCACACTCTTCGAAGCCAAGAAGAAGAAGAACCTCAGTTTTGAAGCCATTGCGAAAGAGGTTGGACGTGACGAAGTAGCAATCGCTGCCCTTTTCTACGGACAAGCAATGGCCTCACCAGAGGACATTCAGAAGCTATCCAAGGTTCTCGACATCCCTGCTGAAATCCTCGAATCGCAGCTCTCCGGGTTCCCAGATCGCGGCCGAGCGCTTGAGATGCCTCCCAAGGACCCGCTCGTCTACCGATTCTATGAGATTGTGCAGAACTATGGTTACGCGTACAAGGCTGTACTGAACGAGAAGTTTGGTGACGGTATCATGAGCGCTATTTCATTTTCGACTAAGGTCGAGAAGGAGACCGACGAGAAGGGCGAGTGGGCAAAGATCACATTGAGGGGCAAGTGGTATGTATAGTCTTGGTTGAGGTGTTTGCTGATATACTGACTTGCTTCAGGCTGCCTTATTCGCGATTCTAGAGGCTTGATGATTAATGAAGCATGTCAAACCCGGCCCGTAGGATATAGATACGGCAAAGGCCTCTTGTTGGCCATGCGAATCTAATTTAATATTCTATAGGATGGCAATGTGGGGGAATATTGACTGCCCAACGGATTGCCTTTCATACCATGGTCCTCACTTACATTGTGTAGGCTGTTACGTGGCAGGACGGTCCGCCCGATATTGTAGCAGGTACAAATATGTGTTCTCTCACTGACAGCGCTTCACAATGTTCTTCATCAATTTCGCTGTGCTCATACTGCAACACGCTCGGCGCTCAAAGCTGGACCTAGCCGCAAAATACAAAGCCGCAACTCCACCGCTCTTACCTCAACACACGCCACTCTCACATTGAGTTCACTCTCACCTCGCACCCAACCGATACGCGGCCCGATAAGAAGGTGCCCAAGTATTTGATCTTCTCACCATCACTTCACTAATCTCCAGCCGTGCACCCTCAATTGCTCCGCCACCCACTCCAACCAAGCAGGCTGCACTTTCCTTTGCCCCGCCACGTTGTTCACTCACGACACCGCACACACAGTCGTCACCGTACACCAGGTGCTGAAGAGCAGCACGTCCGTCTGTAATGTACGTTGTACTTCATTCGCACAAAACAGTATTGCTGACTGCGTAGAGCAGCTCCACAAGCAGCCCCGACACCCATCATGCCAACGATCGTGGACCCAAGTAGAGTCAAGTGCACGTTTGCCCAATGCGACCTCTACTTTAACAGCAAGAAGGACATGCAGCGGCACAAGAAGCTTGATGACGACCATGACTACTGCCACAAGTGCGACGAGGACTTTGAGACCTACGACGACATGGCGATGCACAAGATCTACAGGCCTGACATGCACAACAAGGCCTGCCGTGTCTGCGGTCAAGAATTCAAGTCCGATTCTGGGCTGAAGCGTCACATCGAGCTGGTAACTATACGATCTTCACTTCAGAATGACAACGCTGATGGACACAGACCCACAAAATCGACCAGAAGCTGACTTGCATTGGCTGTCACAAGTCTTTCTACAGAGCTTGCCTGTTCATTGAGCATCTCGAGTTCAGCTATTGCGATGTCATCTCTGCATCTCAGTTCCAAGGACATATTGTTCACAAGCACTTGATCATGGCACTGTTGAAGGACGGCGATGCCATCGCACGCTTCCAAGCCAAACAGGCCAAGTTCGAAGCCGCTCACGGTGATGAAGAAGAAGGTGGTGTTTGTCTTGACGATCCCCTGGACAAAGATGAAGAGATTGGAGATGTCAGTTTCGCTGCCATTCAGCCTGACGCCTCCACTACGTCTCTTCCTCCTGCTTCAGCTGTTCCATACCCACCTCTGCCGTCGCATGCTCGAGCCACCAGATACAACGTCGAAGAGGTTGCTTCTAATATCGATGCAATGTCAGTGAACGATGACAACGAGTCGATCACTGTCGTGGGATCGCAGAAATCTGCTCCTCAGTCTACCGACAGAAGCTCATCTTATGCGGGTTCCACATCGACAGGTCACCAGCTCAAAGTCTGGGCCAGCCGTGGCGGAAAGCCAGCTAGTAGCACCCTGTTCCCTAACGCCAAAGCCACACCAGTGACTGAGGAGTTCTCCATTGCTGCACATGATAAGAGTATGGAGCAAGAGCACGGCATCAACATCATGAAGACACGCTTTTGGGATCCACAGAGTGCCGACTGGAATCCCGAGCGTTTCTACGACTCCGTCATCAACAAGTACAACTGTCCTTTCGTGTGTGAGGTTACCCTCGATTCACCTGGCGACCTTAACAACCACATCAACTGCGATCACCGTCTTACTCGCATGAAGTGCCCATCATGCCTGAAGTACTTCAAGTCTGCAACTGCACTGATGGCGCACTGCGAGAGCCGCGGGGCTAGGTGCCAAATTAATAAGGCTGACGACTTCGCTATCTTCCTGGATAGCTTGTCTGGCGGTTTCCTTGGTGTCAACGAGATTGTTCGCCCCGATCATCTCAACAACCCCGAGTTCATGATCACGAACCCAGATACGGGCCGGATCGAGCCATACAGGCCCCCGGTCGCCTCCTACCTCCAGTACACGGTCACTAAGCCTCCGGACTGGAAGGAGCCTGCTAAGCGTGGCGTTCAGATAGGGTATGACGTGAAGCAGAACCACTGGCAGAAGTAAGGGCTGGGGTGGTACGAGTGGCCGGAGCCGTATGGCAGGACTACTACGGTATATTGTCAAGGAGACATCATGATCTCCATGCAGTTTGACGATGGTAATTCGGTGTAAGGTGGTCAGGGTTGTGGTTAGAGACTTTTTCCTTCTGCTTTAGTCTTCGTAGCCTGATATACGAGACGTCACAGTAGGATTCTGGCACAGGTAGCTGTGGACTTCGGCATCGAGAGCAAAGGCTTAGCAGCCACAGCAAATGCTCTATAGCGAAAATAAAAACCTTGACAATCGATAGCAGTCCCTCTGCCTACATAGTTGATATTGTGCATAGGATGTTCTAATAAAAGAGTATTCGGTAGAAAAGCGTATAAAAAGGGTGTTTATCGATACTCGTCGTCAGGATATGTGGACCCCCATGCCTGGACCCTTCTACGGGCTGTCCGTGGAACGGCTGCATATGTACTCGTGAGTAGCTGGCTAACATTGGTTGACAGGTCGCAGGGCGTGCCGACAGATAAGAGCCAATTGCAGTGCTGTCCACTGTATATATATTAGTACGCTACCAGTATATGCCCGCCTATACCAGTCTTGCGATGAGCCATACACATCCACAATCACCGATACGACTAGCAAAATCTTGTACCAGCACACCACACACCTCACCCGCCCCCAGCCAACCGCCTCGACAACCGCCGCGGCGTATACTCCAACAGCCCCTGCGTCAACTCCCGCTGCAACCCCACCCACTCCGCATACCCCAGCATCCCAGGCCGCATGTGCACTCTCCTCGTCCACATGGCCCCCATCGGATCCGGGCCCTCCACGACATCGCACAAAACGAGCTCGAACCGCGTCGCCGCAGCCTCCAGCTCGAACTGCGCAAACGCGCGCACCACGCGCCACAGCCCCTTCGCCGCGTGCCCACGCGGCACCCACCGCCCGTTGACGTGCTGCGTCAGCCACACGCCGCGCAGCCCGCGCAGTCGCCCCAGCAGCGAGCACACCAGCGCGTCGTCCCAGTGGTGCGTCAGCCGCTGGATGCGCAGGCGCGCGACGCGCGGGACGCAGGCGTGGGGCGCGAGGGCGAAGGCGCGGAATGCGTGGGGCTCGGTGAAGAAGAAGGTGCTTGTGGCGTAGAAGGCGGCTGTGGTTTCGGCGTGGAACTGTTTGCTGACGGTTGGGGGGAGGCGCAGGGGCGTTTCGTGGTACGGTAAGGTTTCGCTGAGGCGGGCGGTGTAGGAGAGGTCTGGGTGGCTGGTGGCGGCGGTTTTGTTGAGCGAGGCGAGCGCGACGTGGATGATTTGCGTGCCGTATGCGAGTTCCCAGATTTGGTTGCGGAGTTCAGCTGGGAGGCGGAAGAGCATGGGTGGTGGTGTTGGGAGCGTTCCGCTGGAGGCTTTTGGGCGCTTGCTTGTTGTGTTGACTGTCTCGTCCGTAGCTTTTCTTTTAAGTTTACGTGAACCCATGGTGATGAAAGTGCTTGATGTATTTATTGAACTCGCCCGGAAGCTGGGACTGACTGAATAAGTATCAACCGGATTGATAAGTGCGGTCCACATGTACGACACGCTAACGTGCATCTGCCTGAATGGATGGCCTTGCCAAGCACTGGTGCCTGAGGTGCCCCGCAAATATGTTGATGCCCCCAGAATATAGGGTGTAGTTCCCCCGGCTGCTATCTCACGAGAATTTGGCCAATACAGAACAGCTACGACACTCTCCTAGGGCTTCTGACTTGCTGAATGCATATCACGCCGGCACACTGTATCAACCCGACGTACGAACCCCTGTAGCCATATCACGATGAACTGCTATGTTCGCGTGATTCCTCCTCTAAGATCCGTTTGTTTTCAGCTTCCCAGTCCGGGAACAAGAGACGAATATTTTGAGCAAGTAACACAGCTTTCATCCTCGCTTCGAGTTCTTTTTTCCGAGCAGCTTGTATGGCTTCGTCTTTGCGCTGTCCACTATACGGATCCTGCTGCCACCTGCGGTCTTTCTCGTGGTAAACCGGACTCTGTCTCTGTTTCTTGCGGTCGATGAGGGCGACTCTGGTGAGAGCCGGCTGTAGTTGGTGTTGCTGAAACGCGCGCAGGAACAGGGGAAACCAATTCCTTTGGAGCTGCCATTCGTAGCCTTCCAACCTGCTCCCACGGGTAACAACTCCTCCATTGCTGTCATAGCTGATGCAAGTGCCAGTATAGTTGCTGTCGTCCTCGACCACAAGACCTATCAACAGCGTGAGACCTTGTAGATTTGCGAAGTTAATAATTACACTATGACACCTTGCTGGGCTCCAGATCCGGTTGTGATGTCTAATACCAAAGCCGAGTTGAACCTCAAGGTTGCGCACCCGTCGTACGCTCTGCTGCTGTGAAGAGGCAAGTATGTAGAGATCGATGCTACTGCGAACCTTGAACGCTGCTGACTTGTAGAAGGTTTCAGTAGTCTCGGACCAAAACTGCTTGCTGACAATCGGCCAGAAGAAAGGCGTGCGTTGACAGCCAGGGCAGCAGTCGGGCATCCTCGACGACCCCGAGGATAAGCTTGGCTGCTGACAGAGTTCGTATCTGAAGGCATAGTGCCCTGATGTCGTCATCTTCTGATCACTGCATGCTGGCTCAGCATGTATGATCAGGTTCCCGTATGCGTAGGTCCAGATCCTATCACGTATGTTTGGTGGAAGCTGAAGCAGAGATGATGATATTCCGCTCATTACGGTCTTGGATGTCTTGTTTAATGTAGGAGGATAGCAGGGGGCCGTAGATAATGTCGTTGTGTCGTGCGTTGTATTTAGCCACGTTTACATGTTGTAGCCTGGAGTCCCCACTTCACGTGATGCCACTCGGGCCTACTGTATGCTTACTGCTGAGCATTGCTGAGAATCCAGTGAGTTTATTCCATGTTCAGAGATGGCCGTCTGGTACATGAGAATACTGTTAGAGTCCAAAGGTAAGCTCTTACTCTTCCAAGATTGAACGATTGGTGGACTAATGCGGAACATCCAGCGGTTCTTCGTAATCATACCAAGACGAATCCACCATCGTTCGCCTGCAACGATAAGGGCTGCATTCACTCGATGCAGTCTCCAAGGCCAGTGTTCCACCAGGCGCTTCTTAAGAGCCTGCACTCGGCATGGCGCCAAAGATCTCGCTCCACGGAACGCCATGTCTTGCAAGTGCAGCTCGTCATCAGCAGTGGGATGACATGGTAGTTGCACAATGGTACAGCCAGCTCAGCCCGCAGTCCGTGTTGTTGAAAACCCTCGAAACGAGGGTACTGTCGCGTTACATCAACGTCTTGATAATCGAACCACGACTCCAGACGCAAGTCGTCGAAAACAAGACCTGCATTCGGTGTCGATGCGCGAGTCGGCCCTGCGCAGGCGACATTGCTGTTGTCATTTACTCAGCTCTTGATGCTCGGACGCCGGATCGACCCCTCTCCGTCCTTTGTTCGTTGTGAACCTCCAGCCTCCATTACCCAGCGTCGCTTGAACCGCCGCACATGACGTTCCTTTTCGCGTCCAGATCCCGAGTAACTTTCCATACCATGTCAGGCCATTCAAGCCATTGAGCAAATGCGGGTCGAATCGTGATTCATGGTCGAACGAGCGGAGATGATGCGCTTGTCGAGCAGATGCAGGATTTGTGTTTCAAGGTTCCAGGCGGAGCGCGCGGAGCTCTTTCGAATTCCATCAAGCGCAAGTTCCACCCCGCAAGAAGGCCCGATGGGTTGGGTCTGTGGACGCAATACGGCAAGCGGAGGCGAAAGTATGCGAGATCAGGTTCCCAAGGATCTGGCCAATCAATGCGCTACCATGGGTCATTAGGCTTGGCCCAGGACGTGAGACATCACAACAAATCTGAAAAAGGTTTGAGGAATTTACTTTAGGCAAGATCCGGAGGCAGGCAACCTCGGATTTCTCATTGTTTTACTGACTGCGACCACGCTGGTTTGCAGCCAGTCCCTTGAGGGGCTATCTACGTTTCTTCGTGCGGGACCGTTTGGTCTGAGCTGAAGATGGCTCGTGTGTAGAAGTACAGGGTACGCCGATGATGCTGATGTAAAGAAGTCGGCACGTCTATCGGCCAACAATATGCACGCTAAAACGCTAACAAAAAATGCTCATAAACCAGGAAAGATCGCTAGCCCCCAGATGTATGGCTGCGGAAGTTTTGTACAATGAAAGTAGTCCTCAACGGAAAACCGGCTGGTGAGGGACGGGAAGCTGGTTGAACTGGTGCTGCTCAGGCCATGCACTGTGGTCCATGTACGGCAAAGGGCCAGCTCGACGATCCGTCATAGGACGGCCGAGGGGATGGTAATGCATCTGATCTTCTGAGATGTTGCGAGCTGGGTTCTGAATGGATGCCTGCGGCGGAGGTACCAGCAGGGTGTGCACGCCGCGGACCGGACGGTATGGCGACTGTCGTTGGTTCAAGAAGTAGGACGGAGACAGTTGTCGTGATCCAGTGGGAAACGATACACTCGTAGGAGACGAATTGTTCGAATGTGTGAAGGGACTGATTTGACGAGATCGATCCGCAGTTGGTGTGTGGTGTGTGGAAAACGGAGGCGCAGCCGAAGAAGTTGGTGTGCTCACTGGTTGCTGCCACTGGACCGGTGGTGGGTACACCATAGCCATGGAGCGGTTACCCGGAACAGGCAATGGAAGCTCTGACCAGTTTTTTAGTTGTGCAGGAGGCATGTGCTGTTGCTGCGGAGGTGGAATAGCAAGACTCGGCAAAGGGGGCAGTCTGTTTGTGGATGGGGGTGGCTCGAAGTACTTGTCTACAGGCAATTGCGATGTCGGTACAAGGGGAGCATTCGAGTAGGGTCCGGGTGCGAATCCATGAGCCTGTCTCTTCATTGGCGGTTCAGCGGTGTTGTCGGTACTTCGCTTGCGTTGCACAATAGGTCCTAGAGGAGGGAGAGATCCAATAGGAGAGACTTGTGCGGACGTTGCCTGGGGCTGCAGAAGTGGTGTGCTGTTGGAGAACGCCAAGGGATTGGGCGAGTACAGTGTTGTTGGTGGGGAGGTTTGGTTCGTTTGTGGCGATGGAATGGAGTTTTGTGGGACCGCGAGCGAGGGGCTGATCGTGCCAGCTGCAGGGACCTTTCGGGCTCGATCGTAGAAAGTACCGAATTTGCCAAGGACCTTGTGCCACGCCTCCCATTTCTCTTTCGAGGTGTACAAGCTGTACCGCATGTTGCTGAGGAACTCGACCTCCATGATGTGCACCTCTTGCACTGAGATGCCAGAGACTTCCGCCCAAGTCTTGTTGGTGTAGGTGTTGTCATCCAGAAACTTGTTGCCAAGCATCAGAGCAACCGTCAGAAGACGGTACTCGCTACCTGGCTTGCCCTTCACGCTAGGATTGGTCTGCTTCAACTTCCAGACGAACAGGAGAGCCAGCAGGATGACGTTTTGGGCAACCTGAGTTGTTGTCAAGATCGTTGCTACCCACTTGCGGAATCCACTGGTCGGTATCGCGTCGGGGACAAGGGCCTGAACATGCTGAATAGGTGATTTTGAATCTGCAACGACTTGGTTCAGCACTTTCGAACTCTCGAACCAAAACAGGCAGGTAATCTGTATCAGTTAGTTTTCAATCACCTGGCATAGTTTTAGTTGCACTCACCTCGGCCGCCAATTGCGGAAGCCCCTCTTGCGGTGTGTTGATGGTGGAAGGAATTCGCAGATTGGGCGAGATAGACCACTTCTTCCGTGGCGTTTGAGCAACTTCTTGTGAGTGTTGCTGCTGTTGCCTTGACGTGGCAGGGCTCGTTACCACTGTTGCTGACCTGGAGTTCCCAATTGCAGGAAGCTGGTAGCCATGCTGCTGGCCAGCACACTGACTCGGCGGTAATGACATGACCTTGACCGCTGAGCCTGTCATCGCGGGAGGCGTCAAGGGCCGCCTGGGGGCGGGCAGCTCGTAGCCAGTTGACATACGGGGGACAGGTAGATGCATTTGAACGGTGCCCGAGTCGAACCTGGTGGTGGGTCGGACGGAGGATGAGAAGTGGAAGTCGAAGGAAGGCTCCCGGGGGAGAGTGTGAGACATGGAGCGGGGGAGCTGTAGCTCAAGCATGTGGGCGATGAAGGTGAGGCGGCTCGGTTAACGGTGAAGGCGATGTGGAGGTGAAGCAGCGGCGACGTTACGTATGCCGGGGAGCATGAGCGAGGCAGCTGTGCTCAGTATAGCGTGGCCTTGGTGCTTGCAAACAGACGCTACCGGACCGTCACCAACGGGCGTGACAAGGGAAGTGGTGAGCGGCGAATGTTGTCAAGCAAGGAGGCGGTTGACAACGAGGTGTTGTAACTTGTAAGAAATATGCGAGCACTGAGCCTATGAATGCAACCTTGGTTCCAGGAGAGGTGAGCCACGGTCGCGAGCGTCGGGCGTTGCGTGGTTGGGCCCTAGTACGGTAAGGCAAAGGGGAGCGAAGGGCACATAAAGAAGATGCAAGAAGTCAATGGGCGAGAGGCGGAGGGGACGAAGTGGTAGTGTATGGTTTGGAGGCGTGACCCCGGCGATTGGTATTGTCTATAGTCAGGGAGGCGGATGGTCGGCGGGCCGCTCGCAGCTGCTTGCGCAGACATGGCTTTTGGGGCCGTTGGATTGATACATAATTCCTGTGAAGGTCGGAAAGATCCAGGCAAGCCCCAAGAGCTGATCCAGAAGGAGAAACAGCTCTGACATCAACCACGCCCCGCGCAGACTAGCCCCTGCACAGAGCTCCAAAGCAGGCGGGCCACACAAACGAGCGCGACGCCAAGGGCACCGGGGTTAATTATATTATGGGACAAAGCCTCAGCGCTGCATCAGCGACGGGCGATGCGCAGATGCCTGTCTGAACGCGCGCTCGGCGGCGTGACCACTGGCCACTGACCAGGGACGACCAGGAGCAGGGGTGTGGCTCGCCGCGGCCATGCTGGCTCACACGCAGCGGCGACACTGGGCTGTGGACTGTGGACTGTGGACTGTGAGCGATTGACTGGTACTGTGGCCAGCAGCACAGCTGGCACCGCTGGCACGCTCAGCACACGGCCGTGGGTGGTCGTCTGAGCGCTGCTTGCAACACGCACAGCCAGAGACAGGGACGGCAGGCGCGCAGTCGCCGGCCCCGGCTGCGACTGCGACCGCGAGTGCTGCAGCTGCAGTTGGTGAGCGCTGGCGGCCGGCCGTGTTTGAACCACACGCCGCGAGCACCCATGGTGGATCGTCGCAATCAACACGGGTCGGTCACGCCTGACGGCACAGTCTGACTCTCGCAGACGGCTGTTTCGCGCGCTAGAGCAGGATGTGAACTGCTCGGCTCGACGAATCACAGCCGCGCGCGGGCGGCCAGCTGGGCCAGAGGCCGTGGTCAATGCAGACACTGGCCGCTCTCGAATCTGGCACTGCTGCAAGCGCTGCAAGTGTGCAAGTCAAGTGCCCGCCAGGGCTCGCCGCGCCTCGCCGCCATGGACTGGATTGCTCACGGCCGGCGACCGCCATCTGACCCGCAGCACATCCACATCCCCGTCGTCGTCCAAGAGTCACGGCCTGCGAGGTGGTGCTCTGGCGCTAGCCCGGAGCGTCGCTCGTCCAGGACGCCCCAAGGAGCCCCAGCACCAGTGCTGCGCCGCTGCGACCGGCGCGCAGCCTCAGCGAGCACCGCGCGCGCCTATTGGCCGGCTCGCCCGCGCAAAGCAGGCGATACCTCAGCCAGCATTCATTCGACACCACCGCTGCCGTTGCAGGCGGCTGGCCCACTGCACACGAAAGACTGCTCACAGCCGGCCTTCGTCTGCCACCGTCCGTGGGACACCATCAGTCCAGAAACGATAGCGCTGGCGGCCTCGTCAATTCGCTGCCCAGTAGGCCTGCGCCCCGAGCCTGCGGTGCCAGTCAGAGGGCGCTGCGAAGAGCGTGAGCACTGAGATCCCTTACGCTTGCATCACGGCCTGCTGCACCGGCCAACGCGGGCGACACGAGATGATGAGGACACCTCCCTGCCAGCCCCAGCCACGCCCACTTGTCCATCGCCGCGGTAACTTTGCCAGTGCGAGCAGCCCTCAAGTGCAAGTGCAAGTGCAAGTGCAAGTGCCAATGTAAATGCAGCTCCCGTTGCCGTAAGCGGCTGAGAGCTTGGCCCCGTGCAGCCACCACTGCTCCTCGGACAGCGTCGTGCAGCTCATGATGATGTGCCCACACGCGTCCCAGACACGGCGCGAGATCGCTGCTGCGTCCATCGATGGCTGTCAGACACCCTCACCCATGCCGTGCTTGGCCGCTGCCCTACTCGCCCACTCGCCCTGCTGCACGCGGTGCACAGCTGTTCGCAAGACGACGCTGAGCCCGCCGCGAATCTGCGGTGCTGCCGCCATCGGTATCAGAAGCAGCGATACGAGCATCGAGCCGCCAAACCGCTAGCACTCGCTTGTCCACCTACCGCGCAGCAGGGTTGTCGTCTTACTTTGCCCTAACCACTCCCTAATTCCGAGCCCGATCCCTGTCCAATGCGAAGTTTGCAGGCTGAGGTTTGGCCAAAGTGCTGATCTTGCAATCCTCTTCTTGCAAATTATGCTGCGTCGCCGCTGCGCCGAATCAGACGGTTGCACCTCAGCTTGCATCCCTCGCTCTCGCCGCTTTTGGCGAATCACACCTCTGTCTGTATCCCGACGCTAGACATTCTTCAATAAGGCCAGATTATGTGGTTCCAAGTTGAGGCAATCTGCACCGCAGGACCGCTTGCTCAACGCCCCTGGCGAAACACGTATCGACCTACCGTACGGCGTATGCCTGCCTTTTGCTGCACTCTGCTACCGTCACTTCCGGGCCTTCTGCGTGCGGTTGAGGCCCGGCTTTGATGACCGCTGCCGCTTCTCACGTGCCCATTCTTAGATCACCTCTACAAACAATCTGATGCCGCCCACGCCACGTCAAGTGCAAATCGCACCCAGCGTCCGTTCGAGACCCTGTCCCTGCACTAGCAACACCATGGTGAAGCGTCGCTGCTCCTCAAGACGCGGTGCTCGGCCGGCAAACGGCCTGGTCGTTGATAGGCAACGCCTCTGGTGAGGCCAGCAGCGCTAAATGTGTAACCGTGACGGGGATGGTAATCGGAGGCGCGACGCAAGGGAGACGCAACATCCTGGGAACCACAATCTGTCTTCCGTGTCCTGCTGCCGCCGGTGATCCTGCTTGACGACAAGTTTGTCGTTGGCATGGTGGAGCAGAAGGCGAGACGTCTTGTCATCATCCCAACAGCGACAGGGATGCTGCGTTCGCCCTCGGCGTCCACGTAAGCAAGCCTGTCTTTGTCCTGAAAGGACCGGCAATATACCTGCCCAACACGGATAGCCGCCTCCCACCTCAATGAAGGGGCTGACCCCATCAGGCTGATGGCATGCTCGGCTATTTGTGCATATTTGGCAAGGAATTGAAACCTCACATCACATCTGCAACCCTCAGCTCGATGCAATCAACCTCAGCACACCTGCACGACTCCCATAGTGAGTCGTGATACAACTTGATGTTGGCGTGAGCATGGCCTCATCAAGGAGCTAACCTCGTAGCGGTCCACCAGTCCCTTTGACACACACATGCCGCATGCAATTACGACGTCGATCCCGCAAAGTCCGAATGAGTTGTGGAGATGACGAATCTGGTTCCGATGCAAAGAAACGAAAGTAATTTTCATCAGGATTAGTGGGGGTGATACGGATGACACTCGGCATCGTCTGCTTTACGAGTCGTTGCCCAGCCGTGAGCAAGCGTTGGGTGCGACTAGCCTATGCCGTGTTTGGAACCATTATTAGTTCCTCCATGGCGCGCTGAGACGTACCGCGCTGAGACGTACCGCGCTGAGACGTACCGCGCTGAGACGCGTCCATCACATCACGACACATCCTGAATCAATACGGCCTATGCCTCCAACCGTCGTCTTTGCCGAGGAGCACCACGGCATGTCCTCTAGCGCAATCTACTCGTGTGCAGCAGCCGACACACTGTGCATTAATAACTTATTACGCATCAGCTAACCAAGCCCTAATGAGTATCGAAACTGCAACGATGCAAGCCTCTTGCGGAACGTCAACATGTTGGATGTATTTAGCCTCCTCGTGTCGATCTGCCAACTTAGGATTGAGTCTATTACACCAGGATTGCCTCTATTACCGGTTACGACCTTACAAAGGCATCATCTGCGATTGCGGTGCGCTTCAGCCTGTCATCCGGAACACGACAACCACATCCTGGCTCCGGCAATTCGTGTTTGCCAAATCAGGCAGCAGGGAATCCCACCGACCTTGCGCGAATGCATTGCCCTGGGTCATATGCAACGAAAGAATGCTCAACAGCAAATCTTTTGCATGCGCGAAGGCTGTACCTCGGAGTCTGGAGACCCCTTCCCTGGCCAAACCGCAATCGCGGGTTTAAGTTTAGCTCCTTTACACAGCGTTTTCAGGTTCTTCCACTTTGATGCCCCGCCCGGGCTAGAAAAAGCAGGTAAGACGACTTGAGTGTCGACCAATGGGGTTTCGGCCACATGCCCACACTCCACGTCCTCTCCAGAAGCTCCGAGCCCGACTCCAAGGCATCCCATCACCGGTCTCGTGGAATGTCGCTGTGCCCCAATTCCTTGACTTGCGCTGGACCGCCTGTGTCATGATCCTGAAGGATGCAGCGTGTTGAGGAGTCCCTTCCTATCTGCCCAAACCCGGGCACTATCGCACAAGGCACACTTGGACGTTCGAACCTTGTCAGCGCAATGGACGCATTGACGCCGACGTGTAGCGCGGCAGTAGCACCTTCTTACCGCTCCGACCGTGTACCTACGTCTGGTCGCTGAGTTGCGGTCTGCATGCCTGACTGCCCGTACGCGTTGGGCACTGTACAGCCTCTCGAGGGATTTCCCGGCGCCACAGCTCGCGTCCGCAGTCGCAGCAACGCGCTGGTTCGTCGCGCCCTCGAGCCCGCAAAACAGACAGCCAAGGCGGGGGCTGCAGGTGTCTCCATCCAGGCATCCGCCGACGCGCCCCCATTCGGCGCCTCGTCGCACAGCACCGAGGCCCTCCTCCTCCATGTCCTCGCTCCTCCGCGCTGCTTGCAAAACAGACTCCCCGTGTCACGTCCCGAAACAGCAGACATGTGCTGCTGCTGCTGCTGCTGCTGCTGGCCAGCCTAGCCGCACCCCGAACACGAACCGCGCCCCATCCGACTATCCGCGCCCCGAGGAAAAACAACAACAGCACCCCCAGCCGTGCAAACGCATTCCCGGCGCCTGTAGACTCGCACTCCCACCACCGCCCGTGGCTGCGCCCCGTCGCTGCAGAGCCCCGTCCGTCTCGGGCCCCGGTGCTGTGCTCCTGCGCCTGTGCGACTACGGCCCAGCGAGCGAGCGGGACCTTGTGCTGTCGTCCACCGGCGCTTGCTACTGCTGGCGTGGGAGACGCTGGAGACGCTGGAGACGCTGGAGATGTAGTCTGGCGCGGGGGGGTGTGTGGCTTCGCACGCCCGTGTCCGCGGGCAGCGAGCGCAGCGCTCGTCGCGGCCCGGGGGAGGCTCGGGGTGCAAGTGTAGGTGCGGTGCGCGGCGGGCAGGGTGTTCGAGTCGTCCCAGCGGGATGTGTGCGGGCCCTTGGTTCTCGCGCTGGAGTGTCTCCTCGCATCCACACACCACCAGCGACGACACCACCAGCGACGACACCACCAGCGACGGCACCACGGCGTTAACTCGCCCAGCTAAGTATCCCAGCCACTGAGCGTAAGCGGCGGCGCGCGTTGTTGTGGATGCCTCCGCGCTGGAAGTGACGTGCGTCTTGTCTGGGTGCGCAGGAGGAGCTGCAGCACGTCTGGGAGGAGGGAGGCGTGCTTGGCTTGCCGCGATGGGGGGTCGTCGTGCGCGAAAGAGTGAGAACACTCGAACGTTGCGGGCGCGGCGTGTGCCGTGCTGTGAAGTCCGAGGTGTGCTCTGTGAGGTCCGGTGTGTGCTTTGTGTCTAGATAGGCAGGGTAGTCTCTGGTGCGTGATTCACGTGTCGAGAGACGAGATGCCGTGGGCTCTCGACTCGCATACGTACATGCGTGGAGGTGGAGGCAAGAGATGCTGCAGTGCGTAGCATTTCGGTTGCAGATTGCGTCCGCGAGCTTGAAGTTGTGGGTTGGTGATATGTAATTCTGCGTTGCTCTGCATGCTTCCTACATCCAACTCATACACCCTGCGCCAGCACCCAATGTACACAGCTATGATACAATCCACGATTCCCCCCTCCACCCCCGCTCCCCGCTTAAAACAGCCTGTTCTCCGCCGAAGCCTTAGCCGCAACCCTCTTCGCATTCCCGCCCTCCTTCCTTGCCGCGCCCCCCGGCGTCTTAAAGAACAAACTCGGCGACTCATTCTCCTTGAGCGTCCACGCCAGATAGCCCCTATGCGCGGGGTCCCTGTAGTACTCGATATCCTTACGGCCCGTGGCGTCGGGCAGGCGGTACTTGTACTGCGCACCCACGCGGCGCATGACAGCGGCGAGCGCTTCTTTGCGGGCCGCGCCCGTGGATGCGAGCGCGTCGAGCACGGGGCTGGGGATTAGCGAGGGCGTGGAGGAGGCGGATTGCGCGATTAAGGCGGGCGAGGCGTCGAGCGAGATGGTGGGGTGCGAGTCCGAGCGTAGCACGCGCTTGATCGAGGTTGGTGAGTAGAAGCGCGTGGTTACGCTGCCGCCGAGGGCTTCGATGCGGGAGATTGCTTCGGCGGAGGCGCGGGAGACGACGATGTGGATGGGGGTTGTGAGGAGCTCGGGGTTCTGGCGAGGGGTTAGAGACGGCACGCAACAGCAGTGTGTGTGGAGGGTACGCACCCGCGCGAGCAGCTTGACGCCGTGGCGCTTGACGCCGTGCAGGCAGCGGCTCTTGGCGAGCTCCTTCATGGTGATGGGTTTGGAGGCGTCGAGGCGGCCCTGGTCGATCCAGCTCTGGATGCGGTCGAGGTTGACGGGGCTCATTTCGACCTTGAACGGGTTGTACTTGCCGCGGCCGCGCTCCGGGTTGGTGATCCATTGCGGCGTCTGGCCACCCTCGAAGCCCGCGGGCACTTTGCCGTGCGCATGCTGACCCTTCTGACCGCGTCCGGCTGTCTTTCCCTTGCCCGAGGCGGGTCCGCGACCGCGCTTGATGCGCTTGCTGTAGGCGCCATTGGTGTCGGAGAGCGCGGAGAGGATAGAGGCGCAGCGTTGTTGGAGGGGGAGTGCAAATTGGACCGTTGGCCGTGATGTCGAGAGGACCGGGCGGGCGAGCCGCAGGAGCTGTAACCGGGGCGGCATGGCGGCGATGGCTGTGGACTGCGGGTGGTGTTGCGGTCGGGAGAGGTGCGGCGATGAAGAAATTCTGTGACTAAGCCATGACTAAGCGGCGGCGACTTCACACTACATGTTCAGACATCCACATCGCACGGCTGAACGCCTGACTGATCTTGTGTGTTTATTCGATGCTTTCGCTGCCTAGTTACATCCATCAAAATCCTGAAGATATTCAAGTACATGTGAGCTGTACTACAAGCTTTCTCGCCCGGAGCTGTGCTGCCGCAGATGCGTCGGAGTAGCCTCTCTGCGTACAGCGGAAGCGTTGGGCTGATACAGTGTACCGGCGTGGCATGTATCCAGCAAGTTACATGCTCCAGGAGGGTGTCGCAGCTGTTCAAGGTCGGCCAAACTCTGACTGAATAGCCGTGAGCCGCTCGAGGCCGCCCTATGGACTGCTCATGCGGCCTCTTCCTCGCCTGGAATACCTCCGAGGCGTGTGCTCCAAGAGGCGTCTACGCAACTTGTCGCTCAATGCTGCTACGTTGCCAGGGAAGGGATAGCCGGTGTAGTCATGGATGGTGACAGTTGTCAGATCCTCCCTGAGCTTGTGCTGCTGGAACATCTCAACCATCTTTGCGAGCTGCAGAGACTCCCACAGGGTATCGTGGTTCATCTGTGCAAGCAGCTGCGCGTCCTCCTGTTCCACCACCATGCTCCATTCCAGTCCCTTCAAGCTCACAATTTTGCCCACGGTAACCATGTCAAGCTTTCCATGTAAACCCATCCATTCATGCTGGCGGAGAATGAAGCCCGCGAGTCCGATCCGCTGGATGCGCGAAACGAGTGGCTGATGAGGAAGCGACGAAATCAGTCGGCGAAGCCTCGTCACGTCTCGAAAGTGGAACACTGCTGACGAAAAGAACACAGCCATCGACTCAGACCAAGCCTGTCTGCAGAAAGGCTTCGGGACATGTACGGGGCGTTCCCAGCTTACGGATAGCCCAGGTTCGCGTCGGAGGATACTAAACTCCATGTCGAAATCTTTCCGGTCCCACCGACAAATGGCAACCTCGAGGTGCTGGTCGCCGTAGAGGAGTTGCCAGATCTTGTTGCGTAGCTCAGCCGGCAAGCGAAGGAGCGGGGACTGAATTGCGTTCTGGGCAGTCCTGCAACTCGTCAGTGTGGCGCGCGCCAGGCTGTCGGAGAGCCTACAAGTCGATGGCATGGTCGCCGTCGGAGTGCTGTTGCGGGGGTGGTTTCTGCCACTTCGCCTTGCTGGTAGACTTGTGCTTTCGCGGAGGCATGGTGTTGAAGTCAAGTTGTTGGCACACGGTGGAGTGGTTGTGGTGAAGCGTTTCTCGACCTTTGAGTGAATGTGGGCGCCAAGCGCCGTTGCGATTACATGCTTGTTTGTGGAAGGTGCAAACGGAGTGAAAAGACTCATTTAATGGGAATCGTACATAATGACTTCAAAATCAGAATTGCATTGCCTCGAGCTCAGTGTTGTTACATGACTGAAGTCTGCTCATGCGCTGAAACATGCATTAGACGGCTCCACCTCCCGAGATGCCTCCCTCATTCCTTGAGAAGATACCTGTTTCTAGCATATATGTCTCCTTGGTAGTCTAGCAGGTGCATGCGAGCTACGTTCTTGACCCAGCAGTCGGCGGGAACGTTGGTATCCTCGAGCCCGAAGGCGATGAGTTGGTGACGGGCGTCAACGAAGGTACGTTCTTCCTTCAACTTGTGCTGCTGGAAGTATCTAATGATCGCGGGCAGTCCCCGATAATCCCAGGAAGCCATCATATCCTCAATTGCATCTTGATCTTCCTCCCCCACATAAAGATCCATTTCCAAGGCCACTCCTTCCAGGCTCTTCAACTTCCCTACAAGAGACTTGAGCGAGAGCACCTTTGCCCATTTCTTTGCGGTATCGGACGACTCTTCATCGCTCAACTCAAAGTCGATCGAGACTCTTTGTACGTGAGGGACGATAGGGTCGCCAGACTTCACAAATGCGTAGAAAATGACTGGGTCACAAAAGTGGAAGGTGCATCTCGCGAGAGCATACGCAGATGTCTCGATCCAGTGCTGCTTGCACACGAAGCCCGGGGGATTGCCGATACTGTCACTCCTCGGGCTATAGCTGAGAACAAGCGGATCAGAGAGTCTCATGTGGTAACACTTCGGTTCGATGTCGATCTCTATATCGTCGTACGCATACCTCCAGATCTTAATCCGAAGCTCAGCAGGCAGTCGAAAGAGCGGAGAAGCTTGCTGCGAGTTGTGCGTCGTTCTGGCCATCCATATTAGCTGTATTTACCAAGGTACATCAGACCGAGCCACGATTTGAGAGTGACTACTTACAGATCGATAGCAGTTAACTTTGCGCCGGAGGTGTCTGCAAGGTCTCTGAGGACCTTGCGCTTCTTTCGGGGCGGTGCCATGCTTTCTCGTGACCTGAAGGGCGCGGTAGATTTCTTCAGTGACGAAGTGGTGTTGGCGTTTGGTGTGGTTGTGGTTGTGGTTGTGGTTGTGGTTGTGGTTGTGAGAGTCGAGGCGGGGTAGAAGCTAAGGTGGGGTAAGGGTTAAGGTGAGGTGAGAGTGACGGTGAGGTAGAGAACAGAGTGAAGGCGGCGCCTTCCAGATGCCGATTTCAATAGTTATGACGTAAACGCTCACAACAAATTTCATCAACTGTTTAAGCACTTCATTTCCTGGCCTACATACACCGTGTTCAGTCCATCTATTGGAGACGGGGCAGTTTCAACTACCTCTCGCGCAGGACTTTGTTTCGCTTCTCGATGGGCCTCGTGTGATTTTCCCCAGAATGACAACTCGACGTACCCTCTAGAAGTGCTCGAACGATTTTCTGGAGTATGCTTACGAGTATTCCACCTGTACATCCATGTTGCCAGCACACACGATGTCTTTTTCATTGGCACCTGGTACCTGAAGCACCCTGCTCGTCTTCGGACAGCTCGTCCTCTACCCTAACGGTCCCTACCTTCAGGGGTATTGGTGTCCGTGGTCTAAATCCAGACTCTTTTCCCCGCGCAGGCGTGCTCGTATAGAGCAACATACATGCCTACGGAGCGAATGTTCATACTCGATTAGGAGAAGGAAAGCCAGCTGTCCTAGCGAATGGCTTCCAGCATAGTGGGTCGATCTTAGCATAGATATGCGTGGAAAGGCCTACTGCTCTATGTAAATACACCCAAACACATCAGTAACGATAAAAGGGGTACACAAGATACAGGAGTAGGAAGAAGCGAGCAACAAGGACACAGATTTCGATTTTCGTGATAGGCCTGCCAAAACTTACATGCCTACCCAACATTTCTTTAACATGTTCTCCACACTCAAGCATTCAATTTCGGGAAATCTCTCATTCAGCGTCCCCTCCACAAAGCTTACATTCTCGTCCGCCGTCCACCTTGAGAAGATGCTCATAAAGCTTTGGAACTGCGGCTTGGGAATGGCTCCATAGCAGTCTACCTGAGCCGGCAGTTCCGTCAACCTCCCCTCTTCAAGGTCACTGATCGTGTCATACGAGACATCGAAGGGCTCGCCTGCACGCGTCAGCTCGTGTATCTCTCTCCACTGGCCGGAAACACAATACCAAGAAGCTCTTGAGCAGTACGCACAAACGCGTTCCACGTCTTCACGTCGCCCGCCACCTTGCTAACCTCCTCCCATTCTTCTTCGTCGAGCATCCGCACCACAAATCTCGCCACGTCGAAACTATACGTGAATGTCACCCTCGTCTCGCCGTCGCCCGGAATCGCAGCCCGCCTGTGCTGGACATCAACCGCGAACGGCGCGGGCGACAAGTGCGTCTTGATGTGCGGCATGCCCCAGTAATCCAGAAAACAGCCGTTCAGGAAAATGGTATACTGCAAACGCGACGTCTTCAGCAGGGAGATCGCAGCGAAGTAGTGCGTCAGCGTCGGGAGATGCTTGACAGAGCTACGGGTGTCAGCAACGTTGACTCGTGGAACAACAAATAAGATTGTGAAGCCCTACGATTCTGGGTACGCGATGGCGAACGCCGACGGGATAAAGCGACGGGTGGATGTGCTTGCTACAGCAGCATGGATAAGGTTTATCTGCGCGACTTCGAGCGCGTTGCCGTGGTACCCAAGCGTACTAATCACAGTATCAATGCGATTCTCCTCCAGGATCCGCGCAAGTGATTCGACGTTGGTGTAGTCAACACGCAACACATGGGCATTGGGCGTGGATTCTGCGGCCTGCAAAGTGCGTCAGACGGGTGTTGACACAATGCACGTCGAGAGGGTAAGTATAGCTAAAGCTTATGAGGGAGGGGGGAGATTGACGTACCTTCTTCCTGCTAAGGGTAAAAGTCTCATGCTTGCCCTGCTCAGCCAGCACTTCGACGAGTGTACGGCCGAATTTACCGAGGCCACCTGCGATTGCTACGCGCGCCATTGGTAGAAGTACAGAGGGTGCCTTGTTGTGTTTATAAGAGCATAGCTTGAGTCTAGACTGGCTCGATATTGCGGCATTGTGATAACGTGTTAATGCTTCAAGATGGTACCCGACTAATGTAGCTGTGGGGCAAGTAAGCTAGTATATGCGCGGCGATGACAGTGCTTTAGCGAGGTGGGTCAGAGTACAGGGAGGTTATATGTACTACATCATTACCTTACAAAAGTCCTATTAACTTACTATACTATACTACTAAGGGTTTAGTATATATCGCTAACGATTATATCGTTAAAGGAGCCGCCTGAGATGGAAGGATGATGATCAGAGGTACCGCAGTCTTTGGGTGAGTGCTGTGCGGTGTCTGGTGCCCCCGGTAGACGGTGGAGTATGGTGCTGGAGCTAGACGCTCAGAGCGCCGGTGCGGTAGTTGGTGTGATTGCGGACGGTGCTGGCGTATCTACCCGCAAAGCCTCGTCCATGAGTGTAGGAGTGGAGCGGTAGGGAAGCGCAGAGAGACCAAACCGCCCATCCCCATCCCCATCGCCATCCCCTCCCAGCGACCTTCTCCTCAAACCACCTACCTGCCCACCTCTGACTTCCACGACCTCCACCTCGCCCCCAGTACCGCGGACAAACAACGCCTCAGCAGCCACAGCACCCTCCTCAAACACCACCAACCCATTCTTACCCAGCCCCTCCTCAAGACTCGCCGCAACGCGCACCCTCTTCCCGCACGCCCGCTCGCCGAGCTCCCACGTCTCCGGTACCGCGGGCGCGGAGACAGGACCCTGCGTCTCGGTGGCGAACTGGGTGCGCAGCGAGGAGGCTGTCTGGTGGTGGTGAGGTGTGCGGCGGAGTGTCGGCGTCAGTGCGGAAGGTCGTGGTGCTGGAGCTGCTGTGGACGCAGGGGGCTTGTATTTACGGGTTGCTGGCGGTTTATTGGGTGGATTTGCTGCGGACCTGGTCGCCGGACGAGCGGGTTGGTGTAGTTCGCCCGCGTTCTCATACGCGTGGTTGTCACCCCCAGCGCTGTTTGTGCAGCGGCCACATGTCTCAGCATCGAAACCATTCTTTGATGTGAGTGTCAGGCCTGACAAGCGAGGACGAAGCGGCGCGAGGGGGGGACTGTTGTGCTCCCTCCCTAGTCCTGGTCCATGTTCTTTGTCCCCGTCATCTCCCACCCCATTCTCGTGGTGGTGCTGTGCCTCGTCTTCAGTATTGCAGTGCCCACCACCACGCAGACCGCGGGTCTCGTACGCAGGCACGCCGGCTCTCAGCGGCCGGGGCGCGCCCCGCGATGGTGCGTTGTCTAGCACGGGCAGGAGTTCTTCTGCCTCCTCCTCTTTCTCGCCATCTCTATTTTGCTTAGCACAGTAACACCCCAGATAACATCCCAGAAACGACTCCCGCAGCCCAACGCCCCCCCTCCTACTCCTCCTCAGCCCCCGCCCGGCCACGCTCTTCGGCTGGCGCGGGATGTGTGACTCCCCGTCTCCCGTGGTTAGTGAGGTCAGTGAGGTCAGTGAGGTATTGGGATGCACGACACGGAGCCGCGGGCGCGGGGACAGGGTGTGTGTTGCCTCGTAGACGATGCTGGGTGGTCGTCTGTTTGGATCTGGATCTGCGGCTGGCGAGGCGTGTGGTGGAGTGGATGGTGGAGTAGAAGCGTCAGTGAGAGCGGTGCAAGCCACCCCAGCGGCGCCGTCGATATCAACGTCGATATCAACGTCGATATCAACGCCGATACCAACGTCTCTACCAACCTCGAAATCGGCATCACAGCGCTTATCGCAGTCCCCCCCACCGCCGCCGTTAAAGCCGCCAAACCCAACATCACCACGCCCTCGAACGCGCCCAGATACCGCGCGCTCAACCCGTGTCCCCGAATATAAGTGTAGAGTCTGAGTCGCTTCGTACACGCCGCCTAGCACCGGACGTGCGGATGAGGCTGTGAGTAGTTGCATGGCCGGAGCAGCCGTAGCGGGTGTAGCTTGTGGACTGAGCGTAGCAGCTGTATCTCTCGAACTGACTGTAGCGGCTGTAGCGGCTGTATCTCATGAACTGGCCGTAGCGGCTGAACCACCCGTCGTCACTGCACCGCGTCCCTCGTATCTGTCCGCACCACAGTCCTCGAGCCTCGACAGCCGTACGATTTCGCGCGCTCTTAGACGCCTTGCGCTTCTTGCGGTCCCTCGGCGAGCGCGAGCGTCCAGTGCGTGATCTGCAACGTGAGGTAGCCAAGCGCGGTCCCGACCTCGGGACTCCTGTGTCGGGTTTCGCGGCTGGAGAGGAGCGGGGAGGAGTGGTGAGGAAAGGAATATGTAGGCAGCACGGACAGAACGCGATGTGCAGCGATCCTCGTGCAGCGATCCTCTTGCAGCGATCCTCTGGCAGCGAGACACGGGGTGTGGTGTTCAAGCGCCGCGCGGTATGGCCAGGAGACGGAGTGAAGTGTGGAGGACCTGGGTTGTTTTCACTAGGTGCGTGGGCACTGCATGGCGACTGGTAAGGTCACTGTGCATTCATCCTCTATCCTTCATCCTTCATCCTTATTCCTGTCTCAGCTTCGCACCGCCACGCTGCCTTGGAAACACACTCACACTCCTGGCTTTGAGGGTGCCTCTTTGAGGGTGCCTCTTTGAGGGTGCCATGCGTATGCTTTGTCCCTCGCGACGCCACGGCGAGATAATACCCTGGGGACAAAGACCCGCGCCGTCGACCGGCGAGTCCTTTGTTGCGGGCTGGGTGGGGGGGCTTTTGGTCTGCTGTGCTTTGCGTCGTTTCACTTCTTGCATGACGCCGCTCTGTATTTTTGGCTCTTGACTTGGGGAGGTAGGAGGGGCCTGGGATGGAGCATGGCGCGGGTGTGGAGGTAGATGTAGGGAGGGCGCGGATACGATGCACTGCGGTCGTGGAGTTGTTTTGTTAGTTCGCAGATGGTTTCTGGTGGTTGGACGTCAGTAGATAGTGATAGAAGAAGGGGAGCGGTGATGTAATTGCGAATTGAATAAATACCCATTCCCCCGCCTACAACATACGCAAATAGCCACACCACCGTGAAAACAGAATTCCCATGCGCCGCACCACGCTAGATGCATGTGTCTCTATGGATCCGTTCTACTGGCGCATTTGCATGTGCTTGATGACATGCGCTGTGTTAAGATTCGCTGCTTGGGGGGGTTAGTTGCTGGCTAATCTTCTCCCAGTCTGCATACCAGTCTCCATGTTAAATCCTGTTAAATCCCGTCTAATCCTCCTCCACGCCCTCCAGCAGCGTAAACTCCAGCACGTCGCTCAGCGTCAGCACGCCCCTCAGCTTCGCGTCCTCGTCAATCACGATGAAGCGGTGCACGCGCGACTTGCGGATCGTGTCGTAGATGGTCGACATGCTGTCCTGGACCGAGCACGTGAAGATGCCGGGGAAGTCCTTTGGAGTGTGAGCAGCAGCGCGAGGGAGAAGAGCGGAGATACATACAGCGGAGCGCTTGAGCAGCGCGTCGCCGACCGTCAGGTTCAGGTCGTCGTAGGACCCGCCTTTGATGAGGGCGATGACGTCGACGGACTCGAAGACGTTGAGGACCGTGCCTGTGGGTGTCAGAGGAGCTCTATTTCACTGCACAACGCGACGCACCCTGCTTGTCGATGATGGGCACGCTGCTGATGTTCTTCTTGACCAGCATGTGGATGACGTCCATGACGGGCGTGTCCATGTAGCACGTGGCGATGTCGTCGTAGGTGCCGACGTTCATCTCGCGCAGCGGCTTGCGCAGCTTCTGCGTCTCCTTGACGTTGACGGCGATGAACTTGAGGATGCGATACTGGGTGATGACCGAGACGACCATGGTGCGCTTGGTCTCGTCGTCGATTTCGACCACGGGGATGCGGCGCGCGCGCGACTCCAGCATCTTGCGGCACGCCTCGTAGACGGGGCGGTCCGGGTGGCACGATATCGTCTCAATGGGCTTGACGCCTAGGGCTTTCTCGATTTCTACGCTGTCAGCGCGGTCACGTGGCGGGCAGGGCCGGGGTACCTCGCAGGCTGCTCAGGCGGAACTTGTCCACCTTCTGGAGGGCATCGGGGTTCTGCCAGTAGTATTGGATGACGTTGATGTAGTCGGCGGTGGTCAGCAGGCCGGCGAAGGTCGACGTCTTGGAGTCCCATAGTGGCGCGGACACGATGCCTGGGCGGTCAGCGGCGTCTCCTCGAGCGACTACAGCGCGTACCGTTCTGGGTGAGGATGTTTAGGCTCTTCTGCACGCGCAGGGCCGTGTCGAGGATGATCAGACGGTAGCTGATGGGCAGCACGTCATAGCTGGTCCGGGCCTTGAGGAAGGCGCGGATGGTGCGCTGCGGCAGTCAGCTCTGCGCCGGCGCCCACGTCACGTCTCACGTCTCACGTACCAGGCCGTCCAGCTGCTCGCGGTCGAGCGCGGTGAAGGTGCGCGGCGGCAGGATCGGGCGCGCCTGCTCGAGCAGCGTGCGCGGGGAGACGAAGGTCGGGCGGGCTTCGTTAGGGCGGGCTTCGGTGTCGCCCGACATGGTTGCTGCGATGCTCGCGAGGTCGGAGCCAGAGCCGCATGGGGGGATGTGTGCAGCTCGCCGGCGTAGCGTTGACGGTGGGTCGGCGTGGCTTGATCGTGGGGAACGTCGGAGCTCCTGCAGACACGACACGGCGCACGGACTGCACGCGGGGCATCCCAGTCCGGTAGATAAAGCATGGTGTGAACTCGCAATTCTTAGCCGGTCTAGTAGATAAACACCATGAGTGGGAATAGTCAAACAGCACGAGTGAAACTGTCAATTCTCAGCCAGAACGCCTGGCTTCACACAGCTCAAACACAGAGCATGCATACAGGAGAGACCAGGCCCTCGCGATGCCTTAAAGCACATTGCCACCCCTCGTCTGATATATCTCGTCGAGCTAGGAAATCTAAGCTGGGTTCTTCTGCGCCGCCTTCGCTGCATCCAGGTTCAGCTCCGGGCCCGGCTCTGTCTTCTCTTCTTCTTGGATGATCTTGGCGGCCGCGCTCTCGACACTTTGCTGTGGCTCGCCAATCGACCGCCTTGCCTGCGCGACAATCGCCTCGGCCTCGGTCATGTTGCCCCTGGCTGTCAGCGGGTCGCCTTCGACGCCGATGGCGCCCTCGTTCTTTCGTTGCCGCACGGCCTTGTTGTCGAAGCGCACTACCATGCACGACAGGTTGTCTGTTGAGAAACGAGCCAGGGCGTAGTCGACCAGTCGCTTGGACGCTTCCTGCGGATCCTGGATCTGGCGGACCAGATCGACGGCCTCCTGGTCAGAGCAGACGTCCCACAGCTGGTTGTGTTAGCACTGGTATGTCAGTAGTAGGGACTTCACTTACGCCATCGCAAGCTAGAATCAGGAATTCGTCTTGATCTGCCTGGATCACCGTCTCTGTGGTGTAGGGATGGCCTGTGACCAGGTCCTTCATATAGGCATCGCCGAGCGCACGTGTGACGGCAAGTACACCGTTGACGCGGTTGTTGAGAATCAGCCCGCCAGCGCTGGCCACGCGGCGCCCTTCGTTTTCGTCGCTGCCCTTGTGGTCGTACGAGAGGCGGAGGGCCCTGCCATTTCTGCAAAGGACGATACGCGCATCGCCAACGTTGGCTGTGTATAGCACTCGCTGACGGCTGGCCTCGCTCTGCAACCGATCTGCGACGGCATGTGCCTCAGCGGTCTCCACCTGGGCACTCTCCCCAGCCTCAGACTTGACAGCCGACGCAGCAGCAGGAGCAAAGAGGACCGATCCAGTAGAAGACTGGGCGTTGGGGATTCTGTCTTCCCACCTCAGAACCGCAGTGATTGCGGTGCATCCGCTGTTCTTGAGGGGCAGCTTTTCGAGCTGGTTGTCGACCGCTGTAAAGGTCTGGTCGAGCAACTCCGGGATCGGTGTGTTGGGGTTCTTCTTGATCGTCTCTTCCAGAATCAAGTGCAGCTTCTTTCCACACCAGTCGGCAGCAAAGGTCCCGGCATGGCCGTCGAAGATGGCAAAGTACCCGTTATCGGTCTCGGCAACTTGCTGATTGGTGCTGTCAGATTGCACGGAGCCAGCGTCGGACGTCGAGCCTCTCTTCTCGCCGCCAAACGAAGGCGCAGGTGTGCTCAGGAAGTTGTACAGATATGCGTGTGTGTCCTCCATTGTGCGCCTGCATTTCTTGTTCTTGTCTTCTGTCACACCAACTCGGAACGTCGACCGCGGTGTGGGCGCAGACTCACCCGCAGAGTTGTTGAGAGAGCCCTGCGGCACGCTGAGGGCGGCGTCTGATTTCCCGAGCTTCTGCATGGGGGTCTCGTTCTTGGCCGGCGAAGAGCCAGGCGCAGCGGCGGCGTTGGGATTGGCGCTCAGGTGCAGCGACTGCTTTGCGCTCGAGAACATGTCCCGCGCGCGCGACACGCCGCTACTCCGCCTCTTCTTGTCTGTGTTGGGGTTTGAGGCATCGCTTGACTTCCGGTCCAGGCCATTTCCGGCGGGCGCTCCTCCCATAGCTGAGTCGTGCGAAGCCGCGGGCGCGGGTCCTCGGGGGTCGGTGGTCGCGGAGCTGTCGTTAACAGCAAGTTCGTCGTCTTTTCCAGGGGAGGTGCCAAACATGCGATTCAGCAAGCCTCCGTTACTGGAGAAGCTGCGGCGTTTGTTGCCTGCCAGGTTGAACGGCGTGCGGTCGTGCGGTGACAGAGTGGCAAGATCACAATCTGGTCGTCACCGTGGATGTCGCTGGTTGGAGAGTCGGGCGTTTGAGGGTGACGTCAACGACCTGCGAAGGATCCCAAGTATCAGCGCAAGCTCTCAAGCGAACGACGGCACGCAGGGCAAGCAAAGAGGGGCAAACGGCGCGAGTCCGTGCGTCGTGTCGTCAAGCGGGCAGGTACATACAGAATACACGGTGAGCCGAGGGCGATGTCGACCGTGCGGGCAGTGAGGTTGGGGATTGGGAGGGGACGTGTTTTTGTTGTGCGACAATCGAGGAGCTGGAGTTGGGCGCAGGCGGCGCTGTGTGGAAATGACGTCGGCGTTACCGGACAGGGCACAGCGCGGAGTTTGCTGCAGCAGTTTCGCAGAAGCGGAGAGACTGCAGAGTGAGTAGGGTCTAGGAATGACGTGGAGGATAAGAGTGTGCGCGTGCGTGCACTGCCTGCTGTCTTGGAGCAAAGTGCGGGGACAAGGCTTGAGGCGCTCGTCCCGTTGTTTGATGGCTGCCTCTACCCCGCTGGTGCCTTACAAATGTGCAGAGCTGGCGGTGCTGGCCGTCGTGGCTGGACGACCCTCGGCCGTTTGGGGCCTTGTGACTTGCTGCCGCCCCAGTGCATGCAGCTTCCCGCTGTTTCGTTTTGCATGCGTAACTCGAGCATAGACGATGGATGATCAGCAGTCTGGACCCTTCGGAATGTCCACCGGCTCAAGGGGTGGAGAATGCAGGGATATTCAGACTATGGTTCATGTAACTAAATCCTAGTCGGCTGCACGAGAGACAGACGGATAGAGTGCCTCATCGAGCGGGACACAGCACGAAAGCAGCGCAGGAGCAGCCTCGATATCAACATTGACACAAACGAGACATTGTTCTGCACCTGACCATGCTGTAATTCAAACCGGGCGACAAGCACGTTGCTGCCACCTTGACCGGTGCAGGCAGAATCAGCTCAAAGATGGGATAACGGCCACACTCCGCCTCATCTCCTCAGGCTGTCCAGTCGTGCCTGGAGGTCGTCGTCATCGGGGTCTGCACCGCCGCCTACTGCCTGCGCCACTCTGCCCTCGGGCACGGCGGCCTTCTGAAGACCGCTCGGCGTCTCTCCCATCTGCTGAGTGTGAGCATGTTGTTCTACCATACGAGCGGGGATACCCACAGCTTGGCCGAGGTCGATGCCGATTTCGTCCAAGACCTGGTTCACGACGTCCTCACTCTCCTCTTCGTCCTCCATGCCAGTGGCATCGTCGATGGCGTCGTCCATCATCTCCTGGCGCTGGTCCATGATGTCGTTCTCCTTCTCGAACTCCATGGCTATGCGCTGCAGGGCCGGCAGGTTCATCTGCCTGTTCATGCTTCCTAGTAATGCTGCATGCTGTTAGAGCTGCGGTCAAAAGCTGGTGGCGCACATACTGGTCGCTCCCTTCATAGACTGCATCATCTGCTCGTTACTGCGGACGGTCTGTGTGCATTAGCCGTGAAGCTCGCAGCAGGGCGAGTGGCGCACCTGTATCCGCAGCGAGATGGCCTGCAGCTGTGTCCTCATCTGGTAGAACTTCTGGATGTATCGCCTTGTGCGCACCAGATCCTTGGCCTGTATGCGCAGCGGTCCCATCTGGCCGTTCTTGGCGCTCTTCTTGATGTCGGCCACGAGCTTCTTCTCCTGGTTCTCGAGCTTCACGCGCTCGCGGTCGAGCTCTCGCTGTGTCTTCTCGAGCGCGCGCTGGTGCTTGCGCAGACGCTCCGCCGGCGTCATGCGCTTCCCGAATGCCCATTCTACAATCTGCGTCACTTAGCCATGCGCAATTGCAGGGTGGCCGTACCTACATTCATGATTGCTAGGCAGCGGGGTGGGAGACTCAGAACGGTGCGCGCTGTCGCGGCAGCGGACCGGGATAGCGGGTCGCAGTAGTGCTGCTAGTCTTCTGTGCGAGCTCTCGAGCTGGCTGTACGATTGGGGACTGCGCGTGGTGGTGGACGTGGAGCAGCGGGTGGGTGATAGCGGGTAGGGCTCGGCACCGTATGACGCACGCTACCGCGCGGGAGCCGTCAACCGCACCCAAGTCGCTCTGTCGCTGAGTTGGACGGCGCCTGTCGCGCTTGTGCCGGTGCTGAAACCACCACCGGCCAGGCGCGAGAAATTGCAGAGCGTCCGCAGCCAGTCAATCCGCGCAACGGGCTCGAGATTTGGCACCGGCACGTGTCAGCGGGCTGGCAGCGCGGCCAATCCCTGTCCGCTCGGCGCTCGGGCGCCACGCAGTGCATCATCAATCACGTTACGACATTTCTTTTCTCCCAACGGCGTCGCCTCCTGCCACCACGACAACCCGACACCACGACATGCCCGCGCCCCGGACTGCGCGCACCCCCCAGCCACCCCGATGAACCACGACCACCGCGCCACCGACCCCTCCACGCCGGAGGAGTCGTCCTCGTCCTCCCGCCACAATGCCTCGACCCCCGACCCGTTCGTCCCTCGCGTGCCTGGCGCACCCGGCTACATGACCGTCGGCTCCGGGTCGACCCCCGAGGCCGCCGCGCGCCTGGTGTCGATGCTGGACGACGACTCGGGCTACGGAGGCAGCCTGCGCGACGGCCAGAGCGCCGGCCCCAGCTGGCCCGCGGCTATCGGCGAGGACCAGCCGTCGCTGTCGCCCACCACGCTGCCCGCCGCCTCGGGCAACTCGGAGCACGACCGCCAGCGCAGCCACGTGATGCAGCTGCGCTACAACCAGAACAAGAACGCCCTGGGCCGCGCCATCCACGGCACCATCGAGACCCTCAAGAGCTTCCAGGAGACGAACCTCAAATGGCCCGCCGACTACCCGTCCATCCAGAAGGAGCGCAAGCCGTCACAGAGCCGCGACCCCCGCCCTGGCATCCACCACACACAGTCGTCCATCGGCGACTTCGACCCCGCCATGCGCTCGCCCGAGCGTCCTCGCCCGCCGCGCCGCGCCGGCACCTCCATCGGCGACGACCCCATTGTCGAGTCGAGCTCGGCCGCCGCCGCGAAGCAGAAGGAAGAACCGCGCCTGGTCACCCACAAGCTCGCCCAGGACTTCTCCGTCCTCAAGCTGGAGCTGCGCATGGGCAGCCGCACCCAGACCGACCTCGTACACTCCCTGGAGAAGTCGTCGATTGCCTCGCTGCTCGACGGCCAGATCCAGCAGAGCATCCGCCACCTGTACTCCATCAAGGAGCGCATTGAAGACACCTCCAGCAAGGTGCTTGTGACGGGCGATCTCAACGCCGGAAAGTCCACATTCTGCAACGCTCTGCTGCGGAGGAAAGTGCTGCCCGAAGACCAGCAGCCGTGCACGAGCATTTTCTGCGAGGTGCTGGACTTCAAGGAGAACGGCGGCATTGAAGAAGTGCACGCCATCCCCATCGGCTCAAAGTACAACCGCAACAACGAGGCCACATACACCGTGTTTGATCTGAAAGATCTCGAGAAGATCGTCATCGACAACGAGCGCTGGGCCCAGTGCAAAGTCTACATCCAGGACATTCGCGACGTGGACCAGTCCATTCTGAACAACGGCGTTGTTGACATTGCGCTCATCGACGCTCCCGGCCTAAATGCCGACTCGCTGAAGACGACTGCCATCTTTGCCCGACAGGAGGAGATTGACGTGGTTGTGTTTGTTGTGTCTGCAGCCAACCACTTCACCGAATCTGCGAAGAACTTCATTTTCAGCGCTGCCCGCGAGAAGGCTTACATGTTCATGGTCGTGAACGGCTTTGACGTCATTCGCGACCAGCGTCGCTGTCAAGAGATGATCCTGAAGCAGGTCTCTGGCCTCAGCCCGGCCACTTTCAAGGAGTCAAGCGAACTGGTGCACTTTGTTTCGAGTAACGCTATTCCTATGGGCGCGGGCGGCTCACCACCAGGTGGCGATGGCGACGACGACCCATCAGACAAAGGAAAGGGCAAAGAGGCAGAGAAGATGCGCGACTTCAGTGACCTCGAGACCTCTCTACGACGCTTCGTACTGGAGAAGCGCGCCCGGTCGAAGCTGGCACCTGCCCAGACCTACCTCCTCAACGTTCTCGGGGACCTGCACAACCTCGCTGAGCACAACCACAAAGTCTCCAAGGGCGAACTCGACCGCGTCACAAAAGAGCTCCAAGCGCTCGAGCCCGAGTACGAGTCCTCGAAGAAGGCCCGCACCGAAGCCGGCGAGCAGGTCGAGCGCACCGTCGAAGACACCACCGCCGACGTCTACAGCCACACCCGCGACACCCTCAACACCTGCATCGCGCGCATCGGCGAGCACGACATGGGCATCGAGTACCCGGGCCTGTTCTCCGCCTACCAGTACGCCGAGGACCTGCGCGACTCGATGCTGCACGAAGTCACCGAGACGGTGCGCCTGTGCGAGGAGCACGCCCGCTCGCAGGCCGCCGCCGGCTACAACGGCCTCAAGAACCTGGGCATCATGCACCTCGGCGACGACATCCACGCGGGCGTCAAGTTCCTCCCCGAGCGCATGTTCAGGAAGAACATGCATGCGCTCGCCCGCCAGGTCGACATCGACATCGAGCTGTGGGACTTCTTCGACGTCGCCGGCCTGTGGGAGCGCCAGGAGAAAGTCGCCGGGACCAGCATGGCGCTCACAGTCGCCGGCGTCGTCGGCGGCCGCCTGGTCGGCGGCGTGGGCTGGCTGGACGGCGCGCTGGGCGCGGCCAAGATCCTCGGCTCGAAGAACATGCAGCGCCTGGTCATCCCGGGGCTGCTTGCCGGTGGTACGTCTCCCTCGCCCTTCTCTTCCCTTCCATCCATTTTTTATAACACCCTACTAACCCCACCCCAGCCGCCCTCGCCCTCTCCTACGTCCTGACCTCCGTCCCCTCCTCCCTGCCCCCCCGGCTAGCCACCAAACTCGCCCACCAACTCGCCGCCATCGACTACACCCACGCCACCGCGTTGCGCACCAGCGCCGAGATCCGCCGCGCGCTCAAAACCCCCGCCAACGACGTCCGCATCGGCCTGCAGCGCAACGTCGAGAAGCTGCAGCGCCAGAGAGAAGAGAACGCGCGGTTCCGCGGCGAGGCTGAGGTCGCGGTTAAGTATTTTGGCAATTTGGTGAGGAGGAGTGGGGAGTTGAGGCAGACGGTGCAGAGGGTGGATTTGGAGGCGCCGGTGGTGTGAGCGTGAGATGGTGGGCGAACGCTGAACGAGTGCCCAGTGCGTAAGCGGTAGATATTGTACAAAAGGAAATTCCGGCGTTCAGAGGCGCGGAGACAGAAGGGATGTTTATGTGTTACGGTCGATGGTCGATGATGGGGAAACGCTCTACATATTCTTATGGGAGATGCTGTATATGCCTTAATTCTATACCCCTCTTGCTTTACCGGACGGCTTTTGCTTTGCTACATGCTTCTTGCTCTGCTATCCGCTTCTTGCTTTGCTTTGTGCAGCGGTGGTGATGGGGTGGGGGTGTGCGTTGCCGTGGATGGGAGGAAGCGTTGTCGCATGTCACCATCTCTTGAAGAAGCAGTACCACCTAATTTCCTTCACTCCCATTCTGTCCGTAAACTCGCCTCGCATTACCCGCCGTCCCCCATGTCCCCAAGCGAAGACCGCCCATCACCCCTTCCACGGCCACACCCTCTCCCACACCTCCCTTTCCTCCGCCGTCTTCGCATACAACCCAACAACCTGCTCCCGCATCTGCTCCAGCGCGTCGACAGCCTCGTCGTACACCTCGTGCCTCACGACCCCCTGCTCCGGGAACAGCGTCCCGATACACTCGCGCATCGCGCGCATGGCGTGCATGCCCCTCAGCGCACCCTCAGCGTCAGCCTCCATCTCAGCGCGCTCGCGGGCCGAGAAGCTGAACGGGCACGGCGCCGTGGTGTCGGCGAAGGCGGGCCATTCGTCTTGCAGCTCGGCGACGCGGGCGAGATAGAGGGCTTCGCCGTGGATGGACAAGTTGCGCGCGAGCACGAGGAGGGTGAATGCGTCGGTGTCTTGGTACGTGAGGGCGGCGTGCAGACGGGGGTTTGTGTTGTGCGTCAGCAGGGCGAACAGGGAGCAGAGGGATTGCTGGTAGTAGAGGATCTTGGCTTGTCGTTTTGCTTCGGGCTCGAGGCTGGCTAAATCCTTTCTTAATTGCGATCGCACTAGACCGTCGATGGGCGGGCCGCTGTAGTCGATGATGAGGGGTTGGCGGGCTTGGAAGTAGAGTGGGGATAGCTCTGTTGACTGCCAGTCGATGATGGCGACCACTTTGGTGGGTTCAGAGGGGTCGACGAAGATGTTGGCGACGTGTAAATCATCGTGCCAGAGATGCGCTGACGATAGTTATTCGTCTTTCGGAAGAAGGTGTCTCATGAAGTCAAGGTAGCAGCGCGGAGCTTTCAACTTCTTTGCCCTCGTTGGTAGATATGTTCCTGGACCGCACAGTGTGATCGGCGACTTGGGCAACTCGGGAAGTTGGTTGACACATGCTATCTCGCGGTTCCCAATTGCAGTATGATATGCTTCTAGGGAACTCCCTTGCTTTTGTCAGTTGAACAGTCTTCGTCTTTGTGTGGCAAGATCTTACATGGCCCTCTGTCAAAGCTGACTGTTCCTCTTCCCTGATCGAAATTCTCGCGTCCTGTTGATGGGCCGACAGCATATCGCGTGTCAGTGATACGATCGCCATTTGCATCCACGTATAACGGCTGATCGCTGGGTGCCTCTTCGAGGTCTCCTGGAAAGTAGAGGCTTCCATACTTGGTGAACGAGACTGATGTCCAGGACTTTTGGAACCCAGCGATAGCCCGAACAACAGCAAATTTTTCTTCAATCTTCATACTTGGCCAGACTTGTTCTATTTCAATCCCTGCGACCTGCTCCATGATGATGTATTCAGCGCCGACAGGAGTCTCGTGCGCCCGTGAGCACCAGGCTAGAACCTTGGGGACTGGCGTTCCAAGAATGTTTCGCGCCTGGATTATTAGCTAGACAAGTGCAGAGGCTACTAGAGACGACTTACGAAATCCATTGTCGCAACTTCACTCGCCGTGGTGAAGTGAGGTAACCCAGCATTTGGATTCGGAACTTTGGCTACAACTCGAGAGCCGTTGTCCATAGTAAGCAGCATGCTCTTGTTATACATACCGTCAGGATACTTTGAGATGCTGACACATGTTTTCGCTCCAATAGCTTCGGCTGCACAACGCGCAAGCTCATTGACATTGAAGCGGACATGGCGCTGCGACATTTCATATTGCTCATTACTGACAAAACGCCCTCGAGTGTAGTTGAACAGTTCCTCATTGTATTCAAGATCTAACTGAATCAGGATCATGAAATCCATTCTGCGAGTGAACTTACCAGGAAGCAATGCTCGTACGACCTGCTGAGGAGGAGCGTGACTACTTGTCATTGTTCTGCGGCTTGCTCTGGTCCAGCAGCGTGTGTGCCGGAACAAAAACATGCCTTTCGGATTCGTGTGTGTTATTGAGGTTTTTAGACAACGCGACCCAGCTGCTGAGAGCGCAGCGAGCACGAAGGCGTTCTGTGGGAGACTGTCGTCGCCAAGTGGCTTCCCGTTCGGGTAAGCGCGCACCCACTGCCTTCACCCATGCCAACAAGTGACACTGCGCCCAGCGCCTTTAGGTCTCCAGATAACGCGAGACGACTGAGCTTAGATGTATCCAAACTGCTATATGGCAAGACTCGAGATCAATTGCGATGATGGAACAAGAGCTGGTCAATCCCATCTCTACTCAGTGCTCAGTGAAGAGGTAAAGAAGAGACACTCTTCCACTACACCCTCATCGACACCCATCTAAACATCCGTGACCACCCTCTTCCACGCCCACTCACCCTCAGCGCCGCAAAACCGCCACCACAAACCCAAGCAAAAACCTACCCATCTTGAGTCCATCTCAACACCTCGCTATTAAAGGTCTGTCGAGTCCGCATACGCAGCGTAAACGCCTACCGGATAGTGCAATGCAGTGCAGCGCAGTGCAGCAAACGCAATCGAATCTGCGCGTAACCTCTCCATGCCGTGCTAATCACCACATCACCAGGGCCGCACTTAACACAGCCTGTGCCACTTAACGCGCACGCCAGCCACGACCACTACACCGCGGCGCCTGCGCTGTTGCGCGCCCCGTGCAGCCTTGCGCAGGAAACCCCGCGGTACAACACACCCCAGCCTTACACAGATCCCACGTCCCCAGCCCATGACGTCGGGCATAATAGTTCTATATCCACGCCGTCCTCACCACGCGCACCTCACCTTTACTGCGTATGCACACCTCACTTCTACTGCGTACGCACCATACCGCTACACACGTTCCCGTTTCACCCAGGCCCCACCACGACCGCGGTTTCACCCAGCTGTCATGTTTCGCCGCAGCGCATCATGCCTTGCGTGTTTCAGGTGTGCGTGAGGGCGCGCGGTGTGTGGGCGGCGTGGCAGGTTGCGTGCAAGGTTTGGGCTGCGACGACGGGGGGGTTGGGACGAGGGGTGGTGTTTGGCGGTTGGGCGTTTGGTGGTGCGAGGGAGGTGGGTGCTGCGGTGGAGCGGGCTGAGGCTGCTGGCGATCAGGCAGGTTGAGGCATCTGGTGATCAGGCGGGTTGAGGCATCTGGTGATCAGGCGGGTTGAGGCATCTGGCAGTCTGCGGCACCTGGGGATCACGGGTGAGGCATCTGGAGGTGCTGCAGGTGCGTGCAGGCGGGAGTGCGCGGGTGGTCTTTGTGGGCAGGCCCGGGCATCGTGGGCGTGCATGGTTGGGGTGGACGAAAGCAGACGGAGCTCTAGTGTTGTGCGAACCGTGCTTGGGGGAGTAATCAGCTCTAAGAGGTGCAGACGAGGCCGGGCGATCCTTTAATATCTACCAGTTCATTCAGCTGACGCAGAGACCCTGATCGCCTTGATTATGCGGATGGGCGCATGCAGATCTAGTGCACGAGGCGGCTTCCTTCATACTGCGAGCACCCGAACGGGCACAGGTTGTTTCCACCTCGAGGGTGTTTGCTGGTGGTGAACCCAAACATCAACGTCTTCCGCCAGCCAGGCCACGGGCTGGAGACCAGGACAGGTAGGGAAGCGGAGCAGCTGATCGTGCTCGCATGGGTTCGTCACCCCTGCCCAATATAACGTCGACAATGCAATTTCCTCCGCATTGCGAACTACAGAGCCGCTGCCTCAGCTGGCTGCGGGAGCGGAGGGTACCTCGTAGGGCCGCGCATGACATCTGTCGGACGTGAAACTTTGCGTTTATTCGACGCTGCGCTTAGGAGCGTTTGGTAGCGAGCGGCAGTTGGCGGCAGTGGGCCTGTCCAGCCCTACGCACATCTCAGGAGAGATCAGCAGAACGGCGACAGTGATGAGGGAGGGGTTTCAGGCGAGTTCCAGAGTGCGAGGCCTGGCGTTCGCACAAGTCACGTGAGAAACTGTCACAGCACGACCTCGGACACTGCACGAACGAGATGTGCTCAAGGCCTGCGAGCAAAGCTTTCTCAGCCATTGCCTCGGGGATCGAAACGCAAATCCAACCAGGACACGCGCACGTTTCAGAGGCCCAATTTGGGCCGAGGGTCTACATGCGGTGCTACCGAGATGAGGGAAAAGAGCACAGACCGCGTAGTGAGACGTTTCAGACGTGATCAACAGGGCTCTCCCGGCAGCAGAACGGACAGCGAGAATACGATGAGGCCACGCGAGCAGACGCTGGCTGGCACAGTGCGGCGTTGAGGGCAGACGCGTAAGACGGCGAGTTGCGTGCCTGACGCGATGGCAAACATTGCTGCCAACATTGCGCGGCGGCGACGCGTGTGAAGAAGCTTGTTAGCACGGGAGGCTGCCGGCCCCGGACGGTGCGGAATGCATTGCAGATTGCGCGTGGAAAAACGGAGTCTAGCGAGGGTGCGGTGCTGACAGCGACGGTGGACGGGCGGTCCAGTCTGGCGGCTCGGCGCAACGCGCTCTCAGCGGCCAGCCTCGTGCAGCTATTCAGGGTCTTGAACACGCTGGCGGCAGTGCTGGACGGCCAGCATCCACACAGCGCGGACCGCAAGCAGCGAAGCACAGGTTTGGCGAAGATGGGAGGCTTATATTTAGAAGGGAGAGCAGCTGTTCGTGGCTGACTGCGGGCAGACGTTGGCCTGGACACTCGGCGGCCAATAGAAATGGGCGAGCGCCATGGAGCCGCCGTTAGGACCGCCCAGGCTGCTGGCCGCTGCGAATGACTGGACGTGGCCGCCAGACAGACGCCATCGACGTGGTGGAGCGCGTGTTGCGGTGTGCGAAGGCCCGGCTGCTCGAGCAATGAGCGCGCTGGCTGCTCGACAAAGCTGCTAGAGCGTTTGCCCGCACGCCCTTGCTGGCCCTGGCCGAGAGAGGGCCGCGAGGGCGAGGGGTGCCAGAGCTGCCACACAGAGGCTGCCCGCGGCAGTAGCTGCTTCGGGCGGCGGCGTGGGAGGCTCGCAATCCACGGCCTCCAGCTCGCAGCACCGCGCAGAGAATGGCACAGAGAATGCACTGCCGCTGCACAGCGATCAGCGCAGGAGCGGGCCAGCAGGCGCTCATCCCTCGCCATCTGCGCATGGCTGCCGTCGTTTCAGTGTCGATGCACCGTGTCAGGGGGGCCACTATCGAAGTGGAGTTAGCCGGCTGCACGCTAGCCGCTCCCTGCACACACCCAGAAGCCAGTCGGCATCAAATAGTCGCGCCCGCTCGCCTCTCGTCGCCCGTCCGCTTGTCACCTTTTCTCCTGGCCCTCCAGCGCTCGCCTTCCCTCCGACTTTCACTCTCTTCTCTGCCCGTGCAGCTTTGCATCTTAGTCCGTTCTTGGGACAGCTTATCACCACCTAATCGCCGAACCCCGAGCGCGCGCCAGTCCCGCCGCTCTGCCTGTGAGAAAAGAGAGCCTCGACGCCCAGCCGCCCCGCCGTTTGTCCTGTGCACTTCCAGTCCTGCTCCGCCTGCCATCTGCTATCTGCCATCTGCAAACGCGCCTGCCTCACGCACCTGCCTCTGCCACCCGCACTTGCCGTGTGCAGCTAGACGCCTGGACCCTGCCTTTGACAGCCGCCTAGTGGACCGCGACTGAAGCACCCTTTGTTAATAGCTCCACCTGCATTGCATTGCCTATCGGCCGGACTTCGATCATAACGCTACCTTACCCACGATCAGTACGATCCTTAATCACGTAATCGCAACTCAATCCTTGCGCCCGTCTCCAGCGACTCATTCCACTCGAGACTCTTCCATTCTATATCTTTTCTGCTGTGCATTGCGCATCTTGCCGCTGCAGCCTTACCCTTTGTTCCCCACCCAAACTACACAACCATGAGCATGGACGCTGGCGGTCTTGCTCAAATGTCCTACAACAACTTCCAGACCCAGGGCTTCGGCAACCCGACCTCGAGCTTTTCGTCTCGCGGCAAGGGCGCTGCTTTGAAGCGTCTCAGCGTCGCCTCCCCGCCCAAGGTCGCCTCTATCGCCGAGAACGAGGTCCAGACTCCTCGCACCAGCCGCTCTCATCTGCTGGCCGGCCTGCGCACTGCTCCCAAGACGCCTTCGTCTGCCCAGCCCCCTGCGTCGGCGCCCTACAACCAGCGCCAGCACAACATCGGCGGCAACCAGACCAACCGCCTGTCCAGGAACTTCAACCAGAACGGCCCGCAGACCGCCGTCGGTTCCGGCTTCAGCGGTGCCTCCCAGTACGGCCAACAGCAACAGCAGCAGCAGCAGCACATGCTGTACGACCAGGTCCTGGCTCCTCCTACGATGCAGTACGACGACGGCGAGATGGATCCCGCTGTTGCTGCCCAGCTCCTCGCCACTGAGGCCTACCTTGCCCAGAGGCAGCAGCAGCTCCAGCAGCAGCTTCTCGCCCTCACCGCCCAGCAGTTCGGCAACATGGGCCTCAACGGCATGCGTCAGCAGCAGTACCCTGCTACGCCCTTGACCAACGCCTACGGCCAGCAGTTCCAGCAGAGCGCTCCTGCTGTGCAGGAGACCGGCCAGCCTGGTGTCTACCTCGTCTTCAACCAGTTGACCGGCCAGTACCAGTACGTAGTCGACCCCATGTACCAGCAGGAGGAGAACCTGTCGCACTCCCCGCCACCGCCAACTCCCGGATATGCGCACTCTCCTCCCAAGGTCGACACTCCTGTCCTCCACGTCTCTCCTCCCAACGAGGTCAACCCCAACCCATGGGCACGCAGCACCTCGCCTCCCAAGAAGTCGTCGACACCCCCTCAGGATGTCGTTCCTCTCCCGCCGCCATCTGCGAACGCCTTCCGCCGTGGCCACAAGAAGCAGCCCTCATCGCTTGCGATTGACTCCAGCGCTGAAATGCCTGCGGGTCCCAAGTCTGCCTTCGTCCGCTCGGTTGGCTTCCCCGCTACTCCCATGACCGGCACCTTCGGACCTGGTCAGGCGCGTGCTGGTGAGCACCCCGTCCGTCAGCCCCGTGGACCACCTTCGATCGAAGAGCTCAAGGCCAGTCCTACCTCCAAGCACGAGGGTAGCAAGAACTTTGCCGCTCGCCAGCGCCGCCAGGCAATCAGCAACCTCGTCCGTGCCGGCATCGGCCGTCGTGGCCAGCGCACCGCCAGTGGCAGCTCTTCTCCGGCGAGCGAGAACTTCCCCTCCTCAGACAACGATTCAGACAGCGTCCGCAGCGGCGGCAGCGGCAGCCTTTCCGGCAGGCCCAGCATCGGCAGCCTTCGTGCTGTTGCCAACGGCGCCATCGGCTCTGAGCGTCAGGCTTCGAAGGAGCGCTCTCGCGGAACCTCCATCGACCGCTCTTACACTGCCACCAGTGTGAGCAGCGAGGAGGGCTTTGTCGAGGTCCGCCCCACCCTTGTCCAGCGCCGCTCAACACCCAAGCTCATCTTCACCAGCGCTGAGAAGCGCAAGAGCACCATGTTTTAGACGTCTGGAAGATACATCACTAGGAGCCAGCTTCCTTTGTGCATATCACTGAGATATCTTATGATGTCACAGTCTTACGGCCCGTTACGACTCTTTCCTTTTTGCATCAGGCGAAGTGCATACGCTGGACTCCGGATCTGCTTTCATTTTTCACATACTACGATTACCATTCGTCTCTCCTCCAGCTCTCTGCAGGGCTTCGGGAGATCTTCTTCAAATTCTTGTTTCCGACCTTTATGCAAACTGCTTTTAATGAGCACGCAAATGACTGTTTGTTGTTTGCACGTTTTTGGAGTATAGTATACTGGAAAGGAAGGGAACTACGCTTGACAGACAACGAGCTCTGCGCCTGTGGCTGGAGCTCATTGCACTCTCTGAGCTTTTCTTTTTTACCTACGTCGAGAAGTGTAGGATGTTCATGCAAGTACGACAGTACGAAGGATGGGTGGACTATATAGGATGAAAACCTAAATATCACTCTTTTACTTAACACATGAAGTCTACCTGCTATCTGGACATTGTAAGCCTGTGCGTGTTGTGACCCAATGAACGCCTTCTCGAGTCCTCGTGGCTCCCAAAATGGTTAGCGCACCCGGAAAATGTCTTGTCACGCGCTAGTTCTCACACCCTCCTGCACCACATTCGTACTATCTTGCAGGTTTGAGGCTCTGTGGGATAGTCACACGACTGGATCACTACGTGTGCAGTATTGTGCGTCCAATGGTTATCAGGTGAGTGCGAATCGGTTTGAATCATTCTGCAAAGTATCATCCTCTCTGCCGTGTCTACGCCACTACATACTTGGCGTTGTCTACTCCTCCTTTCCCCTGCACAAACATGCGGATCTCAGCCCCGTGCTTGCCGCCCTTAGCACTCCCGGTCGGGGTCCATGCCATGTCAGACAACAGCATCGTCTGACGAGGTAGACATGAGAGTAGCCTCGTCCAAGCCTCACCCCCCCCCTCGATGCTTGTTAGAGCGTTCACACCCATCCCACATCTGCTGTTATTGTTATACATCTAATCTCGCACTCCTCATCTTGCTTTATCAACCAGCCCACACAACCACCATGGGCAACATAGGCAACGAGAACCGGGCTTACAAACCCCACCACAGTCCCAACACCGTCGGCGCCGGCTCCAGCCCGACAGCCAACCGCATCCACCTCGACCAGCCGGGTCCCACCAGCGCCTCCCCCATGCTCCGGCGCGCGGCTGGCCGCATCCCGCACGTCGGCATCGTGGGCGCCGGCGTCGCGGGCCTGCGCTGCGCAGACGTGCTGCTCAAGCACGGCGCCAGAGTGACCATCTTCGAGGGCCGCAATCGAGTTGGTGGCCGCTTCTGCCAGGGCAAGGTGGGCGAGCACCTTGTTGACTTGTAGGTCTTGCACGTGGTGTGGTGGTAAGATGCTGATGTGCCCAGGGGCCCGAATTGGATCCATGGCACGGAGAATAATCCGATCCTGGACCTTGCCAAGGAGACGAAGACGACGACTATGAATTGGGACGGGAGGCAGGCGGTGGTTGATGCTGCGGGGAGGTATCTGTCCGACAAGGAGGCGGCGGCGAATACGGAGCTGGTGTGGGGGATTGTGGAGCAGGCGATGAAGTATTCGAATGAGCACTCTGCGACGATAGATCCGCAGACGAGTTTGTACAATTTCTTCGAGGAGGCGGTGGAGAAGATGTTTCTTAGTGAGAAAGAGGAGGACGCGAAGAAGAAGAGGCAGACGATTCTGCAAATGTCGGAGATGTGGGGGGCGTTTGTGGGCAGTGAGGTCCAGAAGCAGAGTCTGAAGTTCTTCTGGATGGAGGAGTGTATTGATGGCGAGAATTTGTTTGTGGCCGGCACGTACAAGAAGGTGCTTGAGAAGGTTGCCCGGCCGGCGGTGGAGGCTGGTGGTATTCGCTTTAACTGCATGGTGAAAAAGATCATCTCGCAGACCAGCGAAGAGGGCGCTGATCCGTCAGTGACTGTCGAGTTTGAGGGTCCTTCGGGAGCGGGAAGCGAAACATTTGACGAGGTCGTTATGACCGCACCACTGGGCTGGCTGAAGAAGAACCTGGACACGTTCGAGCCCGCGTTACCGCAGAGACTACAAGAAGGCATTCACGCGATCGGCTACGGACACTTAGACAAGGTCAGCCAAAAATCATCCCAACATATTAAGATTCACGTCACTGACAGAACAGGTCTACCTCACCTTCCCCACCGCCTTCTGGAACACCTCCACCGCCCCCAACCCACCCGTCTCATCCACCTCCACCTCCCCAACCCTCCCCAACATCCCCGCAACAACCGCCCCCGTCCACCAACTCGGCGCCGCCGACTCCCCCGTCGACCCCTCCCACTACCCCGGCTTCACCTCCTTCATCGCACCCGCCTACGCGCCCCCCAACCCCTCGCACTGGAACCAAGAAGCCGTCAACCTCGCCGCCCTGCCCGGCCCCACCGCCCACCCCACCCTACTCTTCTACACCTACGGCGCAACGAGCCAGCACATCGCGGACCTCGTGTCAGCGCACCCCGACCCCGCAACACTGAAAGACCTCCTAGCGGCCTTCTTCCACCCGTACGTCTCGCGGCTTCCGAACTTCGACCCGCAGAACCCGCAGCACCGGCCGTCGCACGTGCTGGCTACGGCGTGGGCGCGCGATGAGCTGGCGGGCTGCGGGTCGTATGCGAATTTCCAGACGGGGCTGCAGCGGGGCGATGAGGATGTCGAGGTTATGCGCAGGGGCGTGCCGGAGAGGGGCGTGTGGATTGCGGGGGAGCATACGGCGCCGTTTGTGGCGCTGGGAACGGTGACGGGGGCGTGGTGGAGTGGGGATGCGGTTGCGGAGAGGGTGTTGGGGGGGTGGGGGGTTAGGGTTGAGTGAGGTGATGTGGAGAGGGGATGCAAGATGGGGCCGAGATGGGGGCGAGAGGGGGGCGAGAGGGGGGTAAGAGGGAGAGAGACGGGCTGGATAGTAGACGCGTGTGGTCACGTTGTTATACAGCATACAGCAGTGTTGTGCAGCGGATTCATCCTATAAATCACCCAAAGCTACCAGGCGTCTTCCACCACGCCACCATCGATACTGCAAGACCGTCCCGCAGCCGCCGCTTAATAGTAGTATCCGCCAAACCCTCCAAACCCGCCGTACCCGCCGTACCCTCCATACTCAGAGCCCAGTCGCTGACGCAGAAGCGAAGCCAGCACTTCGTACTCGTCGTCGGAGCTGTCGGAGCTGTCGTTGTCGTACCACGCGTCTCGCCTTGCAGGTCTCCTTGCACCTTGACCGGCGCCTGCGCAGCACGGGCCGTTGCATCGACGTCCTTCACGACGTGCTCCAGGGCCACGCTCTCCAGGGCCACGGGCTTCGGGATCACGGGCTCCAGGGCCCCGAGCTTCAGGGCCATAGCCTGCGGGACCACGACCTGGGGGACCACGGCCTGGGGGACCACGCATTTCAAGATCTCGACCTGCGGGACCACGGCCTGGGGGACCACGCATTTCAGGTTCTCGACCTGGGGGACCACGACCTCCAGGACCACGACCTGGGGGACCACGAGTCCCGGGACCACGCGGTCCCTCGTCTTCGCTGTCGCTGTCGTACCTTGGCCTGGAGCCGTATCCAAAGTCGTTCATCTCATCGCGGGCGCGTGGATCTCGGTCACGGGGAAACATTTAGTTGGAGTATGAATATGTTTGATAGATTGGTTGGACTGTGTTGTTTTGGTGGACTGGTGGATTGGTGTTTGTTTGTTGCTGTGGTGGGCTCTGTGTTCTCTGGAGAGGAAGAGGGGAGTGGTTTATATGTAGAAGTTGTGTGAAGTGCGATTCGTATGGCGAGGAAGGCGAGCGGCTTGAATGACTGCTGGCTGTCTTAGTGGCGAAGGTCTGGTGACTAGAGATACTCGCATTCTATCGTCATTGTGCAAGGTCACTTCTTCCTGGAGTGACGTGGTGGTGCCTTCCATGCTGACAGTGACGCTGCAAACAAGTAGTACTCAATTCTACAAACAATTGAAACTTGTGCTGCAGTTTTCAATGCGGTATCAACGAGAATTTTTTCTTGTAGATTCGTAATTCACAAAAGCATGTCACTTACCGACGTTGTACAGGGAGGCAGTGGGTGTATATCAGCACCCACATCGCGCGCCCCATCGGTCTGCACAGAACAACAACTTCCAAGACTATCTAACAATACCGATCTCGAATAGAGACTCAAACATCCATACCAAATATCCACTACAAAGTTTCACTGCACAACAATGTCGGACAGTTCGACCACCAGCTCCGCCTCCTCATTCAGACCAAGGTATAGATTCGCTCGAAGCGAGCCTACCTATCGCAACACCTCAACTACGCAGCGTCCAAAGCGCGGTATATCCCTCCACTTCGATAAACCGCAAGATTATCCTCAAACTCTCCTATCTCCAGAACGCATCAGATACCTGCGCAGTCTGCCCGAGTTTCGCCATTGGAACCATCCTCTGGCTGGACGCCGGGCTATGAACGACGACATCTGGTTTCTCCAGACCGGTGTAGCCAGCCTGAATCACCTACTAAAGAGGGGTCCTGTTGCGTTCCATCTCCAGACAAAGCAGGAACAGGCACGCACTCTCGCAAACTTCCGCAGGAATGAGAGGAGTCGCACTATGAAGCAGCAGGAGAAGGCAGATACTACGACCCCCGATCAAAGCACGGATGAAGAATACCCCGTAGCCTCGCTCCAGGCCTTGCAGAACGCGATCAAGCACTACGAGCGGCAGATCTACCAAGCCAGACGCGAGATCGCACGACGCACGTACGACACTTCACCGCACAGCACCTCACCCGAGCACGGCTCCAGCACCTGGAACACGATCCTCCGCGCCGCCTGCGCCCCGTCTCTCTCCACCCGCGGCGCCATACCCATCTCCGAGCCCCCTCCCTGCATCTTCCCCTGCCTCACCACCCTCACCAACATCCTGCCCGACACAGACTTCATGGCCACGCTGCCCGAATTTGCGCACTGGAGCGACCCGCAGGCTAGAGCCCAGGACACGGATATGGTCGTCTGCGGCCGCGTGTCGCTCCCCTACTTGTTTCTGCGTGGTCCGATGCTGCCCCCGTGGTACGTGGATGCGGATCCCGCGGCGGAGGGGCCGCGGGATGCACACAGGATACTGGGGCGCTTGCCGCACAATTGGGCGCAGTACGACAGCGTGATAGGCGAGGTGGCTGCAGATATCCGCGAGCTCGCGCGCCATGCGGCGGGGCTGTGGCGGGAGCATGGCGGCATGGAGGGGTCCCCGGGCTCGTGGTCGTGTGGAGTGTTTCTCCCGCGCCGGCTGCCTCCTCTGGATGAGACGTCAGATAAGGACGAGCAGGGGGTGTGGGGGAGCCAGAAGACTGCGTCGGTACGCAAGCCCACTGCGGTTCCGGCGGAGCTGGACACTGTCTGCGTTGTCTTTCCTGAGCTGACGTCGCCCAGTGCAAGCACCCCGTATCAGCCGCCAACGTACGCGGGCCCCAGCACAACCACAAGAGCAGGACCCAGCAGAACTACAAAAGCAGGATCCAGCACCACCGCAAAGGCGAGGCTCAATACCACTAAACCACCAGCCCCCAGTTCCGCCCCGCCCACCACTGAGCTCTCCTCCCCCCTACCCCCAGCCCCCACGCCACCCCCCAACCGCACAGCAGAAGTCATCTCCCTCTCCACCACCGACGACGGCGCGACGGACGACGAAGCCGACAGCTCATCCTACGGCGCAACCAGCGAGTCAGCAGGAGGCGTACCCATCCCGTCCGCCAAACCCGCGACCAACGAACCCTTCCACATCACCGAGCTCGAGCGTCTGCGTCTCGACACCCAGGCGCTGGAGGAATTTGCGCAGGAGTTCCGGGCGCAGTATGAGAGTGCGCGGGGTGCGGCGGGTGAGGGCGAGGGAGAGGGGAAGGGGAAGGGCAAGGAGGTCGTCAGGGACGTGTGAGGCGTATGCACTCCTACGTTGGCCTGCGTCTGTATTTCTGCGTCTGAGATAGGTGCGTTGAGTAAATATCGTAGATAGAGAGAAAACTGTCAGTGGCTGCAGGGACGTGCGGATCCTGATGCGTTGGTATTAGTGCTTGTTGATACGTGCTGATCACCCTCTGTAGCTATAGCTAGCTTGGTACAGCATACTGTCACAGTCGCGGGTTAGGTACTCACGCATCCTAAGTGGCTAGATGGCTGGAGGATGCGTGTGTAGGGTGTAGGAGAGGACTAGACAGTATATGTAATAGTAGTGCGGGGTGCCTGTAAGGGGTAGAAAGACTAGAGTTCTGTATACCTAGATACCTACAGTGCTGTTCTGCTAGGTACCTACTCAGGTAGCTATTCGTAGAGGTCACAGAACAGTGACAGTGTTGTTATAGCGCTTCTACAACGTTACTAACTTTAGGCTAGGTAGAAATAAGAAGAGTCTTACTTGTCTACAGATACCGAGGAGAAGTCTAGCACCTTTACCCAAGACACTATACACAGGAGGCGCTCTAACAGTAGGGCTTCCTATATGATACACTAAACCAGGCGTGGTCTGCACATTTCGGCCAGCATTATATAGTGTGTGCCAGAACCACAGACCTCGCTGCGCGTGTGGTGAAGATAGGGTAAGTGCTGATGACTACGAGGCAGTGAGGGGAATAGGGTGGTGGCGGATAGTGTGCAAGTGTGTGTGCGGGAGACAGACAAGTTTGACGCAAAGTGACACGTGACATAACACGACAGGACACGATATAACAAAACCGCACTGTGGATTCATCCCATATATCCATCCATAATCATACACACAACCCCCTCTCATCCCAAAGCTAGACGAAAAAAAAACACGCCGGGGTCCAAGGGGAGCGCGCTCGAAACCGTAGTAACCCTACCCGGCCACCTTCTCGCACACCATCATAAGTCGTCATTCCAAAAAAAAAAAAAAACAGCCTAGGGTCGGAGGGGAGACGAGCTCAAACCCTGCCTAGGCCGCGTTCTCGCATTCCATGGACCAGGGTCGGAGGGGAGCGTTGCTCGGACCAAAGAGGTACCCTGCCTGGTCCACGGTTCTCCTTCACCGTCACCACTGCCACCACACCGCCGCAGAACCGCGCTGCGCTGCGCTTACAGCCTCAACCCCCTCCTCATGCTCCTGCTCACGCTCCTGCTCACGCTACGCTTTGCAGCCCCGCCAAAGCCGATCGCGGAGTTGAACAGATCCGCGGTGCTCTGGTCCCGGGTCCCGGCCGCTGCGACCTGGGCCTTTGCATCCTCGCACTTCGCGATCGCGGCGGCATTGGCGCCGCACACGTTAGTAAGCTGGTTGCAGAGAGCAGAAGTAATAATATTGGGGTTGAGGGCTTCTTGCTGGCCGCCGCGGGCGAGGGGGTCGGTGATCTGGAATGTGAGTTCGTCGGCGGGGCGGTTGCCGCGGCCGCCGGCGAGGTCGATGGTGGGTGTGCACTGGCCGAAGTCTGCGGCACCGCCGGCGGCTGCGCCGTTTGCTGCTCCTGCTCCTGCCCCTGCTCCTGCTCCTGCGTTGGCGTTGTTGTTGTTGGCGCCTTGGTTGTTGTTGTTGTTGTTGTTGTTGTTGTTGTTGGCGGCGCCTTGGTTGGCATTGTTTCCAGCATTGTTACCAGCATCCTGATTCGCGTTGCCATTGCCAGCATTGCCATTACCAGCATTGCCATTGCCGGCATTGCCGTTGCCAGCATTGTTGTTACCGGCATTTCCATTACCAGCGTTCTGGTTGCCTGCATTTCCATTGCCGGCATTACCCTTGTTGTTACCAGCATTGCTGTTGCCAGCATTGTTGTTACCAGCATTGTTGTTGCCGGCATTTCCATTGCCCGCGTTCTGGTTGCCACCAGCAGCGGCGGTTCCGTTGCCAGCGGCTGCGTTGCCAGCATTGCAAGCAGCACCGTTACCAGCAGCAGCATTGCCACCAGCAGCATTGCCTCCAGCAGCGTTGCCTCCAGCAGCGTTGCCTCCAGCAGCGTTGCCTCCAGCAGCGTTGCCTCCAGCAGCGTTGCCTCCAGCAGCGTTGCCTCCAGCAGCGTTGCCTCCAGCATTGCCACCCGCTTTGCCTCCAGCATTGCCAGCACCAGCATTACCAGCACCAGCATTACCAGCACCAGCATTACCAGCACCAGCATTACCAGCCCCAGCAGCACCCGCAGCAGCCCCACCAGCCGCCGCCTGCGACACCACCAGATCGCCCAGCCCAGCCGCGCTCATGAGATCGAACACACTAAGCCCATCCGCATTCAGCGGGCTAGCAGCCGAACTCTTACTGAGCGCCGCCGCGGCACCGCCCGCATCGACATCGGGATCAATCAGCGGCGTGATGCCCCTCAGCTCCGCGGTCGCGGGCAGACTGGGGTCGCCGCAGACGTTCTGGACGTTGCCGTTGGCAAAGGGGTTGGTGTTTTTCTCGGCCGTCACGAGGCCGATGGCGGCGGCGATGGCGTCGGCGCCGCCGCCGAGCTCGGAGACGACTTGGTCGGCGCGCTGGAGCTGGGGGGTGTGAGTTTGGGTGGTGGCTACAGTGGGGGGGGAGGGGGGGGTACCTTTGCGCACGAGTTGGCGGCGCCGAGGAGGTCGCTGATGGCGGCGCCGCTGATGGTGCCTGCAGCGCCTGGTGCGCCGCCCTGGACGGCTCCGATGGCGGGGATGGGGATTTGCTCTTGGCCGAAGCGGGCCTCGACGTAGGCGATGGCCAGGGTGATCAAGAGGAGTTTGGAAACCATGTTGACTAGTACCGGGAATGTAGTAGTGGTTTAGTAGTGAACGTATAAGGTATACAGTATACAGTATAAGAATAAAGAATGTGAGACTAGCTCGGGATTGTAAGATGGACCAGCCGGTGGTAGTGGATAGACTAGAAAGAATGTAAAGCGCGAAGAAAGAGAGCACTACTGTTGCTGGCTGTGAGAGGCGGTTGCTGGATGTCAATGGGAGAGACAGTCCTTATGCTTTATACAACTGCGAACATTTACCTATTCAGCCGTTTGAGCGGGAGCATGACGCCAGGCCTTGTCTCAACTCCATGTCAAGCAGTTAGCCGCCGGGCGAGATGCGCTTGACTCTTGGAATGAAGATGCAGGATGTTCGGCCAAGCGTCCACGTCCGGCGGAAAAATGCTCTGGAGTGCGTGAGAGCGTTTGATGGCCATAGGCTGCGACTTTGGTACGCCTGAGGAGATAGCCGAGTTAGGAAAGCGGGTGGGGCATCGAGGCTAGTGTTGGGGTTGCCGTGCCTGCCTCACTCGGTGTGCGTTGCAGCCGGGTTTCATAAGGCAACATGACACCCGCAGCCGCTGTTGCGCCAACGCTGCGTCAATGCGTTTCGCTCGTGGACGAATGCTACACGCGTGGTTAATGTGAAGTTTCTCGACGAAATTGCGGGCGGAAACACGATGCAAAGCTGGAACGCGCGTGATATGAGGATTGCGTGCTGGTATTGGAAACGGAAAGGCGGGCACGGTCGCCGCGCGCCCAAATCTATGCTGGCGTGCACCAGAAAATGCCTGAGAACATGTATGTAGAGTAGGAGATTGTCAAAACGCCGACTCGCACCAACTACAACCTGTCCAGCTTCCTTCGCAGCAGACGCGTCCGCTTCATGAGCTTCTTGTACTTGTGCTTCTTCATCTTGAGCTTGCGCTGCCTCTTGACGCTGATCAGCAGCATGCCGCTGCGGCGTCTGCGCACGTGCTCGCGGAACGTCTTCGAGCGGCCGCTGTGCGTGGTGGGGAGGGTGGCCTCCTCCTCGGCGGCCAGCGGGTCGAAGGGCACGGGCGCGGGCGGCGGGCGGAAGGCGTAGCTCTCGAGCGACTCGGGCTGCGGCGGGGCAAAGCTGTCGAGGTGGAAGGCGTCCTCGGCGGCCTCCTCGAGCGCATCCAGCGCCTCGTAGTGCTCGGCCGAGGCCTGCACGCCCTGGATGAAGTCGGCCAGGGTCTTGTGGGTGGTGACGATCAGGTCGGACTCGCTGCGCTGCTGCGGCTGGAAGACGGCCTCGAACTGCGCCATGGACGCGGGCATGGGCACCGACTGCTCGGCGGCCGGGCTGAGCGCCATGGGGCGGTGCTGCGAGAAGAGCGCGGACAGGACGAGGTCTGCACAGTCAGTAGGCTCTCCACGGCGCGCTGGGGGAGACACAGGGCGACGTACGGTGCTCGGTCAGGTGGGCGGTCGGCTTCACGAACGGGATGTTGCGCGCAGCCGCGGGCGCAGACGCGCTGGCGGCCTTGGACTTGCTGCTCCGCCTCGTCTTCTTCTCCGCCGCCTTCAGCTCTTCCGCGCCGTTCTCGGTCGGGCGCTTCGCCTTGGAGTTGTCCGGCGGCGGCGAAGGCTTCGACGACGATAGGCGCCGCTGTGGGCGGAACGGCTGGTGCGCGGTGCCGATCGCAGCGCGACTGACGGCGCTGGCCGGCGTGGCCGCGATGGCGCTGGTCGAGCGGAACGCTCTCCCAAGCGCAGGAGAGAACATGGCCGGTGGAGGTTGCTTGCGGTGGTGGTGATGGCTAACTGGCTGGCGGCGGCTCAATCTGCTGCAGCGTCACGCTTTGCGCTAACCACCCGGACCGTGCTCTGGCGGGCGACTTCGGGAGAGCCACCACCTGACATGATACTGACCAGGCTGATACTGCACCAGGCACGTCACCTGTCACCTTGTAGGATCCAACTCATTGTTACACAGCCAGTAAGCTGCACAGTTCTAATTGTACGACTCTTTTCAAACGCCCAGAAGAGGTTCTCGTAACGAGCGTACTGCCTATGCAATCATCCTTCTTGATGTTACATGTTGCTGCAGTATAGTTCAGTAGAGTTCAGCTGTAAGCATTCTGGCCTAAATATAAACCTAGCATATTAGTGATCTAGCATAACACTCGTGGATCCAACATATGGCCTGGTCATTAGTCATGCATGTTTATACTCCTTCAACTCGCTCAATCTCAATCTTGCATCACTCATCACAGTCTCACTCTCCCATTCGCTTTACAGCTTGTAGCTTGCTCATTGAATATCTTATTGGCTAGTCGTCATCCAAACAGCCGTGCAAGTATAGGGTATGGCAGTAAAATCGCACAATATCCACCCGCTCATGCTAGAAAAGCGCAACCACCAAGGGCCCGGGTGACCAAACGCCAAGAGTGGGGAAAACACGTCCTCGCCGCCGTAGCTTCCTGGTCTGTCGACACTTCTGCTCTGGTCGAGCTTCCAACTGCGCTCGCTCGGCTGCTGCTGCTCGCCTGCCCGCCTCCTTTTATGACGCTGATCGATGAGGAACCAGTCGAGATCGTCTTGGTACAAGTAGAAAAAATTACGCGGTTTGAGTAGTGGGGTATAATGTTGGAACAAGGCGCTGAAATCGCTTCTCAGACTCGCTGATGCTGAAAGGAGCGCCAGTGGCTTTCTCGCGATGCGTGCATTGTGGTGGTATGGCGGGGCTCGGCCGTGCCTAGGTAAAGCTGCAGCTGAAGCTGGTCCGCCACAACCGGGCCTGTCGGGAAAGGGAGTTTTGCTTCGCCGAATCAGAGTATTAAAGCATTCAGGTTGCGCTGGACGATCATGTCCTGAACAGAGGCCATCGTCTTCTTCAGCAAATCCGTGTCGGTCGCGTTGGTGTAGTGGACGTAGACCTCCTTCTTCGGTTGTCGTACGAGGTTGCGGAACTTGTTAGCGAAGAACTCCTGTCCAGCGTCGATGTCATTGGGTCCTCCGGTATAATCTGGGAAGACCTTGTTGATGGGGCTCATGCCACCCGCAATCTTCTCGCGGAACAAATCAATCTTGTTGAGGAAGAGGATGAGAGCCGACTTCTCAAAGTACTTGGAGTTTGATATCGACTCGAAGAGCATCAACGCCTCGTGCATTTGATTCTGTGGCTGCGTCAGTAGAGTTGCGAAATCGGTCCGGGATGATGCTTACCCCATTCCTGTCTTCCACCAAAACGTGATCGTAACCGCTGATGGCTACCAAGAAGAGTACAACTTGTACATTGTCAAAGACATGGATCCACTTCTTACGCTCTGATCGTTGACCTCCAACATCGACCATCTTGTAGGTGAGATTGCCCAGCTCGAAAATAGTCTCGGAGATACCAGTTGTTCGCAGTCGCGTGCGCAGAATGTCCTGGTCGGTGGGGAGGAAATCTTTCATGAACAGTCGGTCGATATCCTGGAAAAAGCTGTCTTGGTCAGCACTGCGCGGTGTTTTGGACTTTTCCACTCACTAGCTCAGGTTGTCGTGCAGCGCATACTGGTTGCCCTTCAGGATGGTCAGTTGCACACCCTTGTCGGCCCAGAGGGCGTTGAAGGCGTGGAGGTAGTCCTCGGGCATGGGCTCCTCGGTGCCGATATCTGGTGCTGTGTTGACCATTTCAGAGTAACGCTGTGGGCGCCCAAGTCAGCATCTGAGCCGTGAGCATCCGGGCGCGTGGCGACTTACAATGCACTCCTCGTCCTCGAAGTCGGTGTCGTCCTCCTGCATCGCTGCGTAGATGGTCTGGAAGGCCGACACCAGGTTGTTGAAGATGGTCGCTCGCCATGTCTGGCGCTCGTGCTTTCCAAATCCGCCGGCGTTGATGATGCGCATCTGCTTCAGCACCGTCGACTTTCCACTCTCACCAGCACCTGTTGCGTCTCAGTAAATATTATGCCGTGGGCCAGCGTGCGTCATACCGAGCAGCAAGAGCTTCACCTCGCGCTCCGCCTTCTTCCTGTCCAGGCGCAGGTTCTTTTCGATGTCCTCATTCTTCCGGGACTTGGGGTCTACAGGTTTCCTTCCAAAACACATGATCGCAGATGCCATGTAACAACGTGGGAACGCAGCTGGGCAGAGAAGCTGGATGGCCGGAGAAGTGGCGGTCCACTAAGTATAGGCTGCACGCATGCAGTAGCGTCGCGGTTTGGAACGACGGCCACTGCTAGAGGGCGATCCAGGGTCTGACGTGCAATTGAGCCGGGAGGCAGGCGTGCGGTGGAGCGTGGATGCTGGACAAACGTGCACGCGCTTGGCGATGGCGTTTGCAGCCAGGGAGGAACACCAGAGCACAGTGCGGGGGGTGCAGCAGCGGAGGGCGAGGACAGAGCACAGCAGCAGCGGGCGTGCAAGAGACGATACGGAATGGCTACGACCTGGGGTGGAGAAGACTCCGGCGAGCCGTGTGAAGAAGAGTTGCACCAAAGAGCCTAACTAACGTCCAAGACTGCGAATGCGCCATCCGAGAACATCCCTGATGTGCAGCAGGCAGACCGGCCTGGGGGAGTGCAAGCGTGGAAGCACCTTGCCAGACTAGTGCTGCGAACCTTGCCGGCCGCAGTTGTGCTTGGGATGCAACGGCAAATTATTAAATGTCTCTGACGCACCCACGCAACCCGCCCCGTTCTGGCCACGATCAGCGCCCGCCCATGCCCAACACAGCCGCAAAAACGTGAGTGTCACCGGCCAACCCACGAGCAGACGGGTGCCCAAAGGAGCGCTCGGAATCGGCAGCGCGTCCCTTGGGGCAAGGCACCTTAGCCCCAGCTGTCCAACGGCTGCCATTTGCTGCTGCTGCACGTAGTCCCGGGCTACATGCTTCTTCTGCAAACCCTCCAAAATCCGCCGCTGGGGATTTTGTGCGGCCTGCAGGCCTTTCGCCGCTTGCGCCTGCCATCCGCAGGCCACCGTCCCCTGCATGTCGTGTGGTTTCACTGGGCGGTCGTGCAACTCTGAGCTGCGAGCAGACGGAGATTGCTTGACTTGCACCCATCATCGCAGCCACGCACAGAACATCGCTGCGCGCCACTCGAGCCGTCCGGCCTGCGGTGCATTTCGATCACAAACTCCAGATCACGACGATTCGCGGCCACAGCAGGCGATCTCGCGCTGCACCTGTTCAGAACAATGCCCGGTTTCAGAATGGGCCCACATTTACTTCGGTTCATCCCGTTCCAGCCACCACTCCATCAGCTCGCCAACAGCAGCAAGAGGTGGCTTTGACGAACGCAGCTCCCCATCCAATCTCAACCGTTTCCTACTTTCCTGGTAATTGCTTCTTTGTCTTCTCTAACCCAGGTCCTTGACAGCCCTCTGGATCTGTCGTTACCGCACGGCTGGGACAGACATGTGGACGGCCACATCACACCGAGGGGCACACTACTCCAAATGGACGCCGAGGGGGTGAGATCCCAGCCGATACCGAGCAACTGACACCACTATCGCCAAGGCACCTTCATCGACACACTGGCGATCCTGCCTGAAGCAGCTTGCTGTCTCGCGCATTCAAACATCCATCCTTGCGTTTTGTCGGCCTCACTCAGGCCCTTCAGCGGATATGAGAACGTGCGCGCTCGACACCAAGCCCCACCTCACCTGTCCCTCCGTCCCGTAACCTCGGATTTAACAGATAGCTCTGTGGCGTCGACTCTTACACATCTCGCAGTCTAGTCCCCGGCGGCATCTCAATGCGTGTGAAATGTTTGTTGGCGTAGGTCTTTGCTTTTTCGCCTCTCGCCTTTGAAAGGGGTCCGCTAACGGCGATTCGTCGTGTCTTGGGCGACGCGACGCTCGCTGACGGAGAGCTGGATAAGCGAGGTATGTAACCTGGAGGACGACGGGGATGCTGGCAAGCACGAGCCTGAACTTGTATGCTGTGATGAGCGCACTGTTCAGCATGTAGATATGCGCTGTCGACGTTGTAGTCGCCAAGTCATTACGCTTACTCCTAGTCGCAGGAGACGTTCTGCATTTGTAAGTACCGTTCCCCTGTGATTAGGTCTTCTTGGCGAGCATTCTCCTACACTGAGTTCTACACGATACTCTATAAGCAGTTATTCCGCTTGCCGGTCTCTCGTGTGGCTTTCTCCCGTATCAATCATTTCGTCGGTGATTTCAAGTATCAAAACTAGTAATGTCACGCTCTCAAGTCCGTGCTTCCAGTCATTTCTTTCAACAGCCAGAGGCGTTTCGCCCGTAAAAGGGCTGTCCGTTGCTCATCAACACACCTGGACCTAAAGCTCTAGAACAATTTCTTTGATATGCAGTACTCCGCGTGTCCTGCTGCCCTTGGAAAGGGACAGAGTGAGCTGTCAAACTCGACTGTGAGCTGCAGTATGTGGGGCCTCACTTCACCACCACTGCACATTGGCGCCCTTTGAAAGAGCTGGAGTAAGCTGACTGCTCGGCTGCAAGCGTTAAGTAAGAAAGTTCTGCTTTTACCATCACTGCGCGTTGCTCCCCTTCGAAAGAGTTGGAACGAGCAGACTGCTCAAGTATCATAGTCCTAACTTCACCGTCGCCATGCGTTCCTAGTACGACCTGGACACCTGGGTAGGTTCGTAGACTGTAGTAGGTTGTTGCTGTCGTTGTTGTCGCTGCCCTGGACTATGACTGCCTTTTTCGTGCCAAGACTTTGCTCTCGTCAAACGCCTTCTTCACTCTGAACCAGCTCACCCCGCACCTTGCTTCGCCCTGCTTCGATAATACCGCGCGGTCGCCAGACGTCGCAAGTGCCGTTGGTAAAGTTTGTTCTTTTCCGCAAGCAATCGCAAGCTTTGTCAACTCACCACCATACCGTGTGTCAAGCTCGCACACGACCAGTTCACCCAAGGTACTGATAACATCCAAGGCTCGCACAGAGCTCTAACTTCATCTAAAAGCTGTCTGCTAACGGATAGTCAACCACTGTCTGCAGCGATGGCACCCCAAGGCGTGATTCCACCACCCTACGAAGGCCCGAGGGCGCTGGGCTTCTCCAAGTACGCTGATCCTCCGCAGAGGATGGCTTTGTTCTCAGCAGCTGCAGCAGTTCCTGTTTCAACTTCTCCCACCCCAGACAACGCCATCGCTACCAAACAGCAGATTGCTGCCTCGCAGTCCGCACACAGGGTCGCGCCAGCTGCTGAGCTCGCTGTAGACCAGGGCACAGCCTTGAAGAAAGAAGTTGAGGCTCACACTGCCAAGTTCTCTCAAACCATCTCCAGTGCTATCGTAAACACTCGCGAGCTGCTAAGCCTCCTCCGCGAGTCCACGCCTGGATCAGAAGCGGTTGACAACCTCTGGAAAGAGCTTGAGCAGCTTTTCAAAGCGGCGAACAACAGCAACGCTGCTCTTCCAGAGTTCATGAAGAAGCAGCGCGACAACCTGAGTCTCTATCATTCCTCTATGATGAACGAGACGATCCGCGACACTCAGGAGGAGCTGCGTTTCCAGCACAAGAAAGTCAACACGCAGCACGACCTGATCCTCGAGCAGCAGGATGCTTTCCAGAACTACAAAGCGCAGAACGCCTCGAAGCTGCAGGAGCTTGAGAATGTTCAAGAACGCGTCTCACGTCTCACGCTCGAGAAGGGTAACTTCCGCACCGAGGTCGAGAAGTACAAGGAGTTGTTAGAGCAAGAGAAGACGAAGAAGGCGGAGAATCTCAAAGCTGCCAACGCCCTGCAGAAGGAGTTCGAAGCATCTGCGTCCTCAGCGAAGCAGCTGCAGGCGGAGAACGACACTCTCCGCAAGACGACCACTGAAGCGCTTGAGCAGCTCAAGACTACCGAACTGAAGGTGACTGAGCGCTTCGCCAAAGAGTTGGCGGCCAAATCCGAGGAGCTCCAGAAGGAGTCAGCCAAGCTCACCTCGCTCAACGCTCTAATCAACACTATGAAGAGCAGCGAGGCTGCCACCAAGAAAGATCTTGAAAAGATCAAGAACGAGCATCGTCTCCTTAGTGTCAAGTACAACAACCAAACCACAGAGCATGCAGCGGCGTTTCAGGTGCGTTGAATATCTCTGGATCTACTAGTGCATCGCTGACAGATTGAACAGAAGGCGAACGACCAGACCAAGATGATCGAGGCGCTCACTGCCGACGTCGACCGTCTCCAGAAGCAGAATACGGACTTGCAGTCCAAGGCCAAGAACGCTGCCGAGCTTGCGAAGACCAACGACGAGCTATCAAACGCCAAGAAAGCCATGGGTCAGCAGCTCGATAGCCTCACTGTGCAACTGAACCATGCGAAAGAAGATATGACGGCTGCCCAAGACGAAGTGCAGAAGCTCCAAGTCGAGGTCGCCTCCAAGGTTGCCGCCCCAGTTCCTGCCACCGATGAAGATCTCCTCCAGCAGGTTAAGGCTCTCGAGGAGCAGAAGATCACCCTCGAGGGCACGCTCGCAGAGTGGACCCAGCTGGCAAAGGTACGTTTCTCATTCGTCACACTATCGCTATGAGATTGCTAACGATCTCCAGCGTTCCTACAAGGAGTATAAGGAGATGGTGCCCAAGTGTCAGGAGGCCGATAAGCTTCGACTAGATGCTCAGGAGAAGGAGGAACAGATCATCGCCCTCAAGGCACAGCTTGCTTCCGCCAAAGGCTCCAAGCCCAACGGCGTCGGTGCCGCTGCCCCTAGTGCCGCCGGCGGTGACGCTGCCTACTGGAAGGAGAAGTACGAGAGGCTCTTGTCGGAGCTCTGAACGCATCCTACTGTTCCATACTCGCAAGGCGGTGGCGTGGAAGAAGGTTCGTGGCATGACAAGCGGGTTTGACAGCCAGCAGCGACTGCGCGAAGGAGGCCATGGCTCGCATCTCTGTGAAGACATGCAGAGATGACATAGTGAACAAGATAGCGGGTGTATGCCCCTCGTATCAAAACGGGAGAAGAGTGAGCTGCACTGCCTCGAGCGCAACTAGTGCATCGATACATCAAAGTTATCAAAGCCTCTTCTGATATACCACAGTCACAGAACCCAGTTCCCGCCATGTGCAAACCAGTTCAAAAAACCAAACGCCCACCTCTCCCTACTTAATACTCCGCACCAACTCCCTCAAATCCCCTCCCTCAACCCACTTCTCCTCCCCTCCCCCTCCAACTCCCAGCCCGCCGCCCGCGCCTCCCCCTCCAACCCCCCATCCCTCTCCAACCTCCCCCACAACGCGCGCAGGCTGCCCGCCCACCACCGACCCCGACGCAATCACCATGTTCGTCGGCACCACGGTGTGCGGCAGGATCTTGACGTTCTCCTTGATGATGGCGAAGGGCTGGATGGTCACGTGCGCGCCGATGTGGACGTGTGAGGATATCGAGATGGCGGAGATTGTGCAGTTGGGGCCTGGGTGGGTGTTAGGCGCGCTGGGGTGCGGTTGTGGGGGACTGGTGGGGGGGTGGGTGGGAGGTAGATTGCAGGTAGATTGCAGGATAGAGGAGGGACAGAGGGTGTAAACGCACCAACAAAAACATTGTCCCCGATCTTGATCGGATAGTAGTGGATCTCGCCCCTGCTGATCCGCGCTGGCGGCTTGATAACGCTCCCCGTGGAGATCACGGTGCACCGCCCGATGATGATGCTGGTCGATACGGCTTCCTTGCCCGACTGCGTGGCCGATGAGCGTGTTGGGCGCAGGTCGCCCCGGAGTTGCACGTCCGCCATTATGACGGTGCGCCCGCCGAGGGTGATGTTCGCGGTGCCGGTTATGGCGGCGCGGCGGGATACCTTGTTCCCGGAGTCCTGGGGGGGTTAGGTGGTATGCAAAGGGGATGTGAGACGGAGGAGTAATAGTTGGACAGGAAAGAATTCAATGGGTTTGAAGATTGGGTAGTGGGGTTATGCGGGGAGTGGTCCGGTTTTGGCAACAGGCGTGGAAGACAGTGGTGTATATCTGATACATATAAGGAACTCGCTGCTCACCGTCTCGATATACTCGCCCTTGGGCGCTGCCTTCTTCGCCGCCGGTCGCGACATGTTGTCTGCAATTACTATATTACACGTTGATGTTTCAAAAGCTTCAAGTGCGGGTCTCGGTGCTTTTGCGCGTTTGCGATGTTGGTTGTAGAAGTGATGGTGGTATGAAGGTCGGGACGCGACCAATCAACGCGTGGGCACGTGCCTGGATGCTGAACGCTCAAGTGTTGCTGGGTCAGTTCGTTCGCAAGGTTCGGAGTGTTCGGCAAGGACTGGAACGTGCGGGAAGGTTTGGAGTGTAAGGTTCAGCGATATTAAGTCGATGTACGTGATCATACGCAATGCAGTGCATGTATCAGATTACACGTGGTGTTAATTTCGGACTTTTAAACTATGCAAACTCCACGTGTCAAACTGCCCAGGGTGTGTGTCTTTGTGAGTCCAGACAAGTAGATCGGCGCTCCGAGTTTCGTCATAGGTACTGCATGCCCTGCGTTCTATAGAAGGTTATGGTGTTGAGGGGCATCGCGGGGCAACAACCTCCATCATCAAACCGTACACAAAATTCCTAGCAAACACACCGACCACCGAACCGCGCCGTACTTCGTACATCATCCCTGGAGGGCCCGCCCCATACCAAATTCCTCGAAACCATTGTCCCCTTCTGCGCCGCAATGACAGAACCCGCCCCTGTCCCCGCGATCAACCCGCCGCCAAACCCCCCCACAGACCGCCCGCTGCACACACTCCCGCCGCCCTTCTCGCAAGACGCGCTCACACCCATCACCCAAGGCGCTGAAGCCCTCGTCTACAAAACCACCTTCCTCACCCCGTCCACGCCCGCCGTCGTCAAATACCGCCCGCCAAAGCCCTACCGCCACCCCACCCTCGACAAGCGCCTCACGAAATCGCGCCTCCTCGCCGAAGCCCGCAGCCTGGTGCGCGTCAAGCGCGAGGGCGTCAATGTGCCCGGTGTGCTGGGCTGCGACGCGGACGCCGGGTGGCTGGTGCTGGAGTACGTGGACGGGCGCACGATACGGCGGGTGCTGGACGCGTGGGCCGCGGAGGTCAAGGAGCAGGAGAAGCGCGTGTTTGCCGAGGGCGGCGATGTGGGGCAGCTGGAGCGGGGAGGCGGTGATGCGAGTGAGATTATGGGGCTGATGGGGAGAGTTGGGCGCGAGGTGGGCAAGCTGCATGAGTTGGGTGTTTGTCATGGGGATCTGACGACAAGTAATTTGATGTTGAGGGTACCTGGGGGGCAGGGTGAGGGTGAGGGTGCGCGGCCGACGGGGAAGTTGACGACGAGTGCTATGCGCGAGGCGGCCATGAATGGGGAGGAGCCGCCGCCGCTGAAAATGCCTCAAGAAGAAGCTACGCACCAGTCGCTGGCTGGCGATATCTTCCTGATTGACTTCGGTTTGACGTCATCGACGATCCAGGACGAGGACCGTGCAGTCGATCTGTACGTTCTCGAGCGCGCGTTCTCGGCCACGCATCCTGCCGCCGAGCATCTGTTTCATGAAGTCCTGGATGCGTATGGCAAGAGCTACAAGGGCGCTAAAAGTGTGCTGAAGAGACTGGAGGGTGTGAGATTGAGGGGCCGCAAGAGGAGCATGTTGGGCTAGGACCGTCGAACACTACAATACCCACCTATTATTTCGACGACACTCGAACACCATCAAAAGTCAAAAATGCAGGTGAGCTACTGGTGATTATAAGATATAAGACAAAAGTGTAGCTTTGTCGCGTGGTTATCTCTGTGCGAGGACGCTGCTGTCTCAGACACTTGCTTTCACCTACCCTCCAGCCAGTCTGCGAGCGCCGAACAATGGTAACAGCTCCAGAGGAAGATGTCCCAGACGACAATGGTAAGTCGAGACAATGCTAACCACGATTTCAACTTGATATAAACCGCAGCACTCTCAGCTTCAACTAATAAACCAACCTCTGACCACACCCACGGACACACACCTCAGAGGACATACACCTCCAACTTATCAACCATCCGGCCAACCAGTGCATACTCACACCAAGTATCCTCGGACCAACCCTCACACACCAACAATGACTGCCATTCCAGAGACAGCCACGGTCCTCATCGCCGCTCTCCTCCAACCAACCACTTCCTGGCCCACCTCAAACACTTCACACCCGAGCGACATTACCCAGCCAACCGCACTTATCGCACGCCCTCAGCAAGCCCTCACCCAACCTACCGTCGCGATATCATCGCCGACGAACCCAATCACAGACGCCGACGCACCTTCCTCCTCGCAGACGCACACCACCACAGCGAAGAAGCGGGTGTACCGCCTCAAGACACGTGGGGATGCGTTTTCGCCCACGAGGCTCTCGACAGATGCTTTCTTGGCAGATGGGTCTGCAATGGCGGTCTTTGGCGGCGCGAGGGGCGGGAGTATCAGGGGGCCGCAGTGTGCTGTTATGTGAGAGGATGAGTAGACAGAGAGGTCTGAAGGGGGAAAGTGGTGAAGGAATAGATGGTGAGGGAATGAAGGGGTGTGGGGGTGAGATGATGGTAGAGGGTAAGAACGACTGATGCCTTGTGTGTGCGGATTTGTGCTAACAGGTGGTAGTAGGGTTTTGGTCTTGACACCTTGATATGGAGAGTTGATAGAGGGAGGGGCGACGCGACGCAATGGCTCGGTATGGAGCGGAGGGCTGAACTCGACTTTACCAAAAGTGCTGCGTTATTTTAATATTCATTGCCTCGGGTCACGTCACGTTGCTCGCACATCCATCTCCTCGAACCCACGCAACACCACTGTGACAGATCTAATTCGTGCAATGCTTGACTCATTCGATTGAACATTTCTCATGACAGCTGCCCACTGAACTGCTGCAGCGTCGTTTCCAGCGGCACCACCACGCCCTCAAACACCGCCTGCTGAAAGCTCTCACTATCCAGGCTCATATCCGACCGGTCAAAGTCGCAGCGTATACACCGCCGCACTGCATCCGCATACCGCTTCCCAGCCTCGAACTCGAGCTCGTTGTCTACGAGCCGCTCGGCGGTGCACCACGACACGCCGGGCGTCCCGTCGCAGACGAGGTCAGCCGGGGTCTGGAGCTGTTCGATGGCCTTGCCGTACCAGAGTTCGATGAGGAGGATGCCAAGGCTGTAGAGGGTCTGATTTCGGACGATCCTGTATTTGGTCTGTGCTGCTTGAGTGTTGGTGTTGGAGAGGGTTGGTGCGAGTTGGCGGTACACGTAGGGGTGCTCGTAGATGGCGAGCGGCTTTGCGCCGGGTTTCTGCAGGAAGTAGACGTCGTTGTCGCCCCAGTGTTCGTCTAGCCAGGGCGTCTTGTATAGCTGTAGAATGCTTGATGAGAGGTCCAACGCGATTCGGAGTTTGTCGTGCTGCGTTAGGCGCTTGTGGGTGTTTGCTTGGTCTGTTAGGATCTGGTGGAGTGAGAATGCTACCCACTGCTGCTGGCCGCAATTGTAGAGCCCAGACAACGGATATATCCCGTGTTTACGCTGCATAGTATCGAGCATGTAGCCCATACATATGTCTTTCTGAGGTTGTTGGAGTTTTCGAAAAGCCACACAGAGATTCTGTATATGCTCTGGCCTCGTGTCCTGTACCAACGTGACTGGTCTATGGACAGTAGTCATGGTGATGCTTTGATTGGAGTAGCTCTGTGCTGCTGTGTCGATCTGCCCGAAGCGCACCTGCTTCTGGGTCATGCGCGATATTGAGACATTTGGAGACAGAGGCAGAGAGAGAGTCTTGTCGAGTATACACCGTATATCAGCCTCTTTCCATTGCGTAGGCGATGTGTGTGTGAAGACTACCCGGAATTGTGTTTTCTCTGGTATATCCTCGTCGCTCTTGAAGAGTTGACTTCTTTTTTCCAGGCGCAATTTCACGGCATGCTCCTCTAAACACCCGCTCGTGCAATTGAAGCCGGATCGCAAAGCTTCATACAGCTCCTTCGCATAACTTCGTAAGCCTTTGAAGTTGGGGCAAGTGCGGTTCTTGACCGCCCTTGTTGGTTCTAATTCCAACGACTGTTTGGTTAGCCGTATCAAGGCTTGGTTGAAGTTTCTCAAGTCATTTATCTGCTCGGTGTACTCGGACTTGCTGATGCTGAACTTTAATCGCTTATACTCCTTCTTGAACAGGCTAGGATCCGAGAATTGAGGCTGCGAGTAGGGTGAGCATTTGTAACATATGAAGAGGTGGCCGAGGTAAGGGGTGTTGACCAACGTACTTTCCCCTCAGGGTCCAGCGCTAGCTTCAGCATCATCCGTCTCAATGCCATCTCCATGCCTCTTACGTTCTCAACATAGATCTCATACGAGCCTCTTAGCCTGTCTCTCAACTTGCTATCAAAGCCGGCCTCTCGCCAAGCTTGAGCGCCCGCGCTTGCCACGAAGTCAGTCATCTGCTCGATTCGCACAATCCCAGTGAGGAGCTGCTCCACGGTATTGACCAAAATCCCCCTTTCGGTATTGATTTGAAGTATTAGCATCCTCAGTTCGGTCTTGTATCTCCAGTACCTCTTCGCGGTGTTGACGCCGTTTGCATAGTGTTCCATTGCCGAAATGATGAGCGGCAGTGCACCCAGAACAACACCTGCAACTTCGAGCCCAGACATAGCTGGTTAAGCTAGACGGTGAATATTGACAGTTGACAGTAGAGTTTTGGAGAAGATGGAGAAACTGCACGATCAGCTCACGGCTGAGGCGTTGAGCACACGTGCCGAAACCCGACCCCGCCTCAGGCTGCCACTGCAGGCAGTAATTACAAACCTCCGTCGCTGTACACGACCGCATCTGCACTCGACTACGATAAATTTCACAGTCAATATCTTTCATTCATTACTCACTTTCTTTTTGATACAGACGTGTCTCTGCGCGGAATTCGAAGCTCTGAGTTCCGCGGCTGATGACAATGCTCTCTACGAACCAACAAGACGTCTCAACTATCGCACAACGTGTCCACAACTGCCTGAACAAGTTCCAGGAGGCCTTAAATGATCTTCTGGTAGCAAAACCACATATAAAAGCGAAGCTACCCGCAGGCGGACTCTTGGATGAGCTTGGTCGCTTTCGCATCTGGTCCGGCAATGTTGGGGCGCATAGGAAAGGCCGAGGCTCGTTGGACTTTAAGCTTCGCGAAGCATCACACATTCGTGAAAGAGTTGTTGAGCTTGTTCAGGATGCGACTGTTGTTCTTGGAGAGCTACAAGCTCTTTTTACCGGAGCTCGAGTCCCATGGGAAGATTTGTCCGACTCCGATTCTGATACATCTACAAGCTGCAGTGGAGAGCATCAAGAATCGACTACTGAGCTCTCTCAGCTTCTTTCAAATATTGCAGAGATCAACACCTGCTTGATGCGGCTCTCCATGTCGATCAGGAACCCGGCCCCACATGATCAGTTCAAACAGTCAAAGCATATTGGTTCCAGTCATTACGAAGCCTTTGATGTAGAGCATGTGCGCGAGAAGTTTCCACATGCTGCGGATTACTTGGTTGTTCGACTGGGTCATGCCATCTCACGTCGTCGGCAATTTTTGCGCTACCGTGAAGAGCATCGTAGAAAATACCAACAAGGTCTGTCATCACGGGGTCCGTTGCAACCAGAAGCCATCCAAGCATCTGCAGAAGGCAATTTACAGTTGCAGCCAGGCACAGCAGCCACAACTTCTGAGGAGCACCAAAGTACTGTTGCATCGTCGATCCCCTGGGCCTTGAAAAACATAGGTTCGATCCAAGAACTCGACGAACACGATGATCTTATAGAAACATTGTCACAGACGACATACGCTGCATCGACTGGTACCTCGACCAGGCTTCGGCCACCGCCATTGCCGGCGACAGGCGGTGATGGTGGTCAGCCGTTTGAGTGTACTGTCTGTTTTCGCATTACGTCCGTACAAGATACGCTCGCATGGCACAAACACGTTTATAGAGATTTGCAACCTTATGTAAGTGTAGTGCGACAGATACGTGTAATGCCTCCGCCTAAGTCTCACAGGTTTGCACCTTCCAACACTGTGAGATGCCAGATCACACCTATGAATCGAGACACGAATGGTTCGAACATGAATCTTCGGTGCACCGAGGATACTGGGAATGTCTTGAAGATTGTAATAAGAAGTTGGATTCGGCCGACAGCTTACAGGAGCATCTGAAACTCGAGCATCCAGATCTCGCGAGTGCTACGCGAGTCGCTGACCTCGTTAAGACATGCTATAGGCCAGCGCAGGATCAAAAGGAGGCCGAGTGCATACTCTGCCAATTTGTTTGTCCGTCACTTCTCGTCTTACGCCGCCACCTTGGCGAACATCAGGAAGAGCTCTCACTCTTTGCTTTACCATCATATGCCAATGAAGATAACCACGAAACCTCCGACGATGAAGATAGCTCACGGAAAAGTGATGTTAGTCGCAAATTGCCACAAACGACGGATATTCGCTGTTCAGAGTGCAATCTTGACTTTGAGGGCAGCGCCAAAGAGCAGCGCCAAACCCTGGACGATCACCTCAAGAAAATTTTGCACAGCGATGCGACTAGGCTAAGGTACTCAAGCTGGCGTCACAGCCTCAATGCATATCTGGATGGTTGGGGAATGTGGGATTGGTGTGATGGAACAAATCAAATGCCACGACCCTCCCTGCTAATCCCAGAGCCTCACGAAGAGCGTGAATTGAGGCTGGCCTGGCTCAGTCAAGATGAACAAGTCAAACAAGCAATCTGCATGCGATTGTCAGAGAAACTGGGTAAGGATATCCTTCCATCCTCATCTTTGAAGCCTTATGTCACGGCGGAAGAAACACTGGTAGCGCTAGATATGCATTGGGGCATGAATGCAACCGAACCGACCCATGACGGTCCGATGAATGAGGTCAGATCCTCGCTGGAGAGCGAAAACGAAGATCCATTGGGAACTGAGCGCGATTTAAGCACGGCTACAAGAATCGAAGGAGCGGAGTCTGAAACAGCATTCCAAGATCTCGAGATTGATTCGGACTCAACATCTATGTTCAATGATAGAAAGCCTTCCTGGCAAGAAGCAGGACGTCTTGTAGAGGCAAATGGCGGCTCCCGTTTACTGGATGAGCATAATTTATGGGCCAATCTTGGCTACGACTTGGACCTTGGTCGCGAGTTAACAGAATCAGAGATTACTAAAGTCAAGACGATGAATCTCTTGTACAACTTCACTCCGTATGGTGGTCCAGATACAATCGGAGAGCAGCAAAGTCCGGCAGACCACGAATGCATCACGTGCGATAGACGATACGCTAAGCAAGAAGTGTTTACTACACTGGATGAAGCTATGAGCCAAGCTCCAGGGATGTATGCACAGCAAGATTGGGCAGTTTCAAAACGTGATGGGGGATGGAAACATTACTTGAGTAGCATGAGTAAGGTGTCTCTAAAGGCCGACCTCATGTGCGCTCCCTGTATCCTCCGAAGTGTTTGTGAGGGTCAACGTTGGCCACTCTACGACATAGAAACAGGATCCTGGGGAGTATTTTCATCGTCTGATCAAACAAACAGACCCAAGGGCCCTGAAATCCAGCCATTGTATCATACTATTCTGGAGGAACTATCAGAGGCACTATCGTCTGCTCTCACCGAACCCGAAACCCAAAAACAGACTGCTATCAATGCGTCCTTTTCGAACACCACGGCATCTGGAAATCCTCGCCCCCAACCTGAGCTTGATGTCTCCAGTCCAGCGGCTAGCTCAGAGAGTCATCATTCTTCGCGACACTCTGTGGTGTCTGACGAGGGACATACTAACAAGAAGAGTGTAGATCCTTCTCTACTTTACCCGTGGGATCTAGATGCAGAGCCAGATACTGAAGAACTTTTGGAAGCAGAGTCACCGGCAACCTACAAGTTCGAATGCCCTGTGAAGAAGCAATGTCTTATGACTGGGAGGCTGCCTGACTGTGATGGTCTGAGCACCCCTTCCTTAATTGCTGTGCGACAACACCTCTCCCACGCCCCTCATAGGTACACGGAACTTGATATCTGCAAGACTTGTGGCCAAGTGTTTACCACCAGACATCTGTTAGATGCACATTCACCAACGACATGCAATATACGAAAGCCATGGGTTGATCCGATGGAGCGATGGCGAAATCTATATTGTGCGCTTTTTCCCAACGTTAACGGGCTTCCTGATCCACGTAGGTTTATTCCGCGCATGATAAGAGCATGCATTAACTTCAACAGGAAATGGTTGGACGTCACGAGCTGAAGCAATTGCAATGTACGAGGCAGAAGAGGCAGCGGAGCTCATACATATCATAGCGCAAGAGGCGTATCTAGATATGGAGATCCAGAAACTGAAAAGCGAAGAGAAGGACTCCCCGACAGACGAAGGAGTTCGAGCAGAGCTTGCCGGGATGATGCATATGCGGACTCTGAAATCTCACGAACGTGAGTTATTCGAGACCGATGACGAAGATAGGAAGCGGGAATTGGAGTTCGATATCGAGCAAAGAACACTGCTTTGGGACGAGCGGTACCCGGAAAGCAGCACGAAGACGATCGATGCTGAACTCAGGAAAGCAGTTGACGACCTCCACTCGGGCTTCACAGCTACACCGTCTATTCACTTAATCACTACGGACAATGACACGGCTATTCTCGACCAATCTTGCACACCTTCCGATTACCAGCCAGTTCCTTCCGGTGAAATTACGTCTCAGCCATCGCACGACGAGAGTTCTCAATCTATATTTGGAACGGAGGTGGACAGACTATCACCCTCGACCTTGGAGCAAGACGAACATCCTGTTTCGGAGACAGATGCATTTCAAATCAGAAATGAAACCGCTGCTTACAAGGAAGCCACCCCTTCTACACTTAACGAATATCGGGTATTGCAGGTTGAGAGCAAAGTTCCAGCACACGCCGTGCTTCACCTCGAGGCCTGGCTTAAAGCAAACAAACACCATCCCTACCCAAATGCAGAGACGAAGATAGCTCTGGCGGAAGCATGTGGGATCTCCTTGAAGAAAGTCACAGCATGGTTCACCAATGATAGGAAGAGACGTCTGGCGGTTTAATAGATCTATGTTCCTCCGTCGTAGCATTGATCTGCTAGTACCGTCTCCCAGGTGGAGCTGTTGTGAACGCGGCATCGTAAGCTCACTTGACGATTACTCCATTTATTAGCGTCCAAGCTGCTGTAGAGTACACAAGAAGGACATGGATAAGATTGAAAGTGCACAGAGTTTCCGTCCGTGGAGAGGCATGTCTCACAGCTTGCTCATCTTCTACCAAGACTCGTATCTAATCCCACAGCACTGAAGTCCTTCCCAAACAGCATAGGCATACCCAACAAATATCTAACCCTGCCTGTCCGGCTTTGAGGTTACATGCATTATGTCCGCTCTCAACCTCGCCCCACAATGTCCCGAGTCTCACCGGCCACCACCGCGCTCTTCCAGCTTCTGCATCCAGCGGCGCCGACGCCGCAGTCGCCCAGAATCCCAAACCCCAGGTCTTAACAGTAGTGCTATACCACCCTAGCGCAGGGACGCCGTCACGCTCCATCGTTCATCTCCGTTTTGCGCCATTGACGCGGCTATACTATGGACGTACCCAGGTATATCGAAGTGTGCGACAGTTGGTGATGCGGCAGCTTCTCGGGAACGGACAGTTGCGCGCGGCTCTGGCGTGATATGCAGACAGTTGCGCCGGGAACAGGTCCGGCGACAGCGATTCCTGGTGCGAGGTGGGCTTTACCCGGCTAGCAGAAACTCGCCTGCGGCGGTGCTGTGCTGCCTGGTATTTGTGCTGAGGTGTACCGTGCCACCTGCACTGTGCTGTGCTGTGCTGTGCTGCATCGACATTAGGTACCCATCACAGATGGCACCACACGCCCCACGAACCCCATGCACGCGCATGCATGCTGCAAGGCGCGCATGCTCGCACGCTGCGCAATGTGGGCCCGCGGAAACATTGTTTCTGATACGAGCTCGGCAGCCGCACGCCACCGCTGTGACACAGGCACGTAGCGTCCAGCGCGCCGCTGTGTATCATGTCTCGTGTATCAAGTATCGACACAATCGTGTGTTGCGCATCATGTGTCGAGTGTCGTGTATCGTGTATCACGTTCGTCGATCATCAATAAACCTCCCCACCACAGTGCGTACAACGAGCGGACCAAACCGCACGCCGAGTCGCAACGTAATAGACCTGCTCCTGGTGTTGATGCTTCTCCGCGCTGTGCAGAAGTAGTACTCGCCGCGCTGTGCATGCACACCAAGCCTCCAATCTACAATCATGCCATCCGCAATCTGCAATCATGTAATCCGCAATCTGCAATCGCCACCCCAATCTTGATCCGCAGCGAACAAACCACCAAACAACCCCTCCACAACCGCGCAGCGCGGCACCAAGAGACCCTTCAAACAGCACCGTGTTGACGGCATCGCCACGGCACCGCAACCCCTAGCTGACCAACCGCCCCGTGCCGCGCCGTGCCCCCGGCCTTGCCCTCGGCACCACAACAAAACCTCGCAATATCGCCCGGTGCGCTCCCGGGTGCACAGCCGACAGATGACAGTTGAGTTAAGCACGCCCAGCAGCGCGGCGCGGCCGCTGTTCAAACCATGTGCTGCGCCCCGGCAGCGAGGGAGTCGCAACTAAGCCGTGCCTAGTGCTGGCCATCGCAGCTAGTCGTGGGCCAACCAGACGCCGTGTGTGGTTAGCGGGTCGCGGCGCACAGCGCAGACGCAACTCGAGCCGAAGCCAAGGCGGCGGGTGAGCGTGAATGTTTCCAAGCAGGAGATTTCCAGGTGGATCGTGAAGTCATACCAGCGTCCCAGGGGCGTCATACTGTGAGCGCCGGGCGCCGCTCGGTGGGGAGCAGAAATTGGGGTGGGGCGCGGTGGGGAGACGCGAGGCGTTGGGTGCGCAGGCAATATAGGTAAGTAATATGGGAGATAAACATAGGCAATATATTATGTGGGCGCGGCGAGACTTGTTATGTAACCCGTCGCGGGGTGCATGAGTACCGTTCTAGAATCTAAGTTGTATGTGTGTGTGTGTGTGTGTGTGTGTGCCTGGAGCACAACAATTCTCCGGCGCGGCGTGCGGGGAGGGGATCTCTGAAGCGCGCAGCTGCGCGCAGCCGCGACGCCCGCCGCGCTGGTGATTTGTTGGGCGTTGAGATGCAGTCGTGATGCCCGTCTGTCCTGAGCGTCGCCGCCTCGCCTGCCCTGCTGCGTCTTCTGCGCCCCCTGACCCTGCTCTGCGCCCCACTGGCCTCCGGGATCCTCACCGGACGCAGACTGCTCCTTTTGCTGACTGGGTCGCCTCGCATTCGCGCTCGCACAGGCAGGCGCTGGGTTGTTTGTCACTCGTGTTTCCGAGCCCGGTGGGTGGGTGCTGAAACCCGGGTTTTCGTGCATGCGAGATGCGTGTGGTGGCAGTGGTGTTGTGTAGTGCGACCTCGGAGAGTTTTGTGGGCGTGGGAGACGCGGTTTCACGATATGCGGTGTTGCGTATCTGTATACGTGGCGACGCACGCTGGTGGGTGCTTGGGGGCGTCGTGTGGTTCAGCGCGAAGCAGTGATTTGGTGCGAGGTAAGAAAATGACTGAATTGAATTGAATCGTGTATCTAAACCATCGACTGCGGATTGCGTTGGACTTCGACTGCGGTAAGCTCGAAGTCCTTTTTGGTGTAAATGCCCTGGTTGTCCCAGGAGTCTGGGCTCGAATCGTCGCTGACGGTGTCCTTTGCGTCAGAGAAGGCATTTGCTTTGTGGTTGGTTTCGTCCATGTAACCTGTGGGCATCTTGCTTCGACGGGTGCCGTCGGCGTGCGATGCGAGTTTTTTTGAGGTGAGGGAGGTGTGAATGTCGCGGATGAGAGGGCGAAGGACCGGGATGCACTGGACAATGATGGTGCCAACGATTTCGGAGGAGTACCACACATTTGAGTGCGCGTTGCGCCAGAAGTACCACTCGTCCTTGGGGTTGCCGCCGTCCTTCCAGCCTGTGCGGATTGCGGCGATGATGGCAACGATCATTCCAAGACTCATGGTCATGCAGAGGCCGACCTTTTCAACTTTGCGCATATCCAGGTTCCAGGTGATGAGCCAGGGGAAGGTGGCCATAGTGAAGTCCATGATGATGTTGTACACTGTCAAATATAAGCCAGGGGTCATTCAAAGTCTCGAGTCTTTGCTCACCATTGCCGCCCTCCTTGAAGTTCTCACGGAAAGTCCAGTCCAGGTAAAACGGCAGTCTGTACCAGACATCGTAGCTTGGCTTGTCGATGATCCTCGCCCATTGGAAGAAACACTTGGTGATCATGTAGGCGTTCATGGTGACGATACAGAACCAGAGAATCCATCGGGGCCAGCCTTTAGTGAGCTTCAATAATGTCACAGCAAAGGCTGTTTTACTCAGGGCCTGCCCGATCAGGGTGCCGCAGGAAGTCACGTTGATGAGAATCTGCATGCGGTCGTCCCACTTGTCGACAACATATCCAGTCGCATACTCGAGGGTGATGAGACTGTTGTTGATGGAGAGGATGATCTTTCACGATGTTAGTCATTGTCGCGACGCTCAGTAGAGACCACATACCCAAGTTACCAGCAAGATCCAGTCATCCCACCACAGGCCGTGTCGCCTCGTGACCTTGATCCATACGCGCAGCGCGAGGAAGAATGTAGCGCCCGCATACAGAAACCACAGGCCCAGATTCAGCGGGACCTCTGGGTTGACGTACGCGTGCGTCTGATCTTTTTCGTGATTCCGTGGCGAGAGCATAATTACATGTTTGTCCAGGGCCCAAACATGCGAAACACAAATGGGAGTGGGAAGGGAATGGTAATAATGAGAGGCGGAAGGTCGGCTGTACGAACGGTAATATCAAAAACGCAAACGAGGGGGGGGATGGAAGAAATCGTCCCAGGCGCATGGCCATACGCGGATCGGTGGCTTTTCAAACTCGATGCAATGCCCGCAGTCAGCAGACAGGCGGATTCTAGACCAGGATGCCGAAATTGGGCCTCGCGGAAAAGGAATTGGTGGAACAACCGTTCCTTGCACCTCGGGCCTTGTCGTACTAAAACGATAGCTTTCTCCGAGATCCTGGGGAAACTCGTGGATGACTAACCAAATGGAGCAGCGGTTTGTGGACTACCAGGGAACTCGCTCACGCGGCATGTGGGTTGTTAATCTATCCCTGGTATTTAGGCCCGGCTCGGGCTTGTCCGTGGTGATGCTTCACCAGCTCGGGCGACAGCTGCACTACAGCTGCCACAGGTGTCAACTGGTCACGCATCCTCCGTCGGAAGAACGTTGTACGGCTCCACGATCTGCATGGTTCAGCCAGCCCTACAGAAGTCGAGTCACGGTCACAGGAGAGGCGCGGCGCTGTGACGCATTTCAGACATTGGCGGATTAATCATAGATGAGCTGCGCCGTGATATTGGCTGGCAGGCGGCGCAGGGTACGGCCGAATTGCGCGATACCGGTACCGTCTCAATCGCATGATGCCGAGTCTGGTAGTGCGAGATCCGATCTAGGAACACCGCTGCGGCGCACCTGCAACGATGTTGACTTTGGGGCTGCGTACGTGGTGGGGAGGGGTGTGCGACAGTAGTGAGCAACCAAAGGCGCGAATCCTGCTAGACGTTTCACGTCGCAACGCTGGCGTCAAGGCGGGCCCAGGAACGGCGTCTACCCTGCTTCAGGAAAGCGCGGACGAACGGGCCTCTTGCAAATCCCGGTTACGCTCGCGCTACCACCACGCTACGCCATGTCTTGATTGTCAAATTCATGCCTCGATCCTTGGGCCTCTACGCCAAAGAACGCTCTGACATCATCCAGTTGGCCGCCGGTGGAGATTATGTTTCTTCTAGAACCCGCGTCACAGAGCCCAATTTGGTGCCACAGCGCGCCGCGCCATCTCGAGGCCCGTGGCCGCGACGGGATCCTCGGGGCTTTGGTTGGCGAAGCATATCAATCCTTCGGACCCGTCCTATTCCAGGAGCTTAGGAGTTTAGGACTTTGCGAGTTTTGCCTGCTTATCCCCTTTTGCCCAGTGCGTCGAAACAGATCTTCGCCAAACGAACCTCGCGGGCCAACGTGAGACGACCCAGAGAATCTCAATACCGCGTGAAACCCTCGATAGTTTGAACGAGGATGATCGATTTTTGCACCGTGTGTCGAGAGACGTGTCGAGCGACGTGTCACTCGCAGGGCGGCCTAGTAAGGTGTCTTGTTCTTGATTCATGGGTGTTGGCCTCCGTAAGGGAGGCCGTAATAATACTACAGGGTCTATCTATTCAACCGCTTCCCGCTGCGCCAGTGGTATATCTCCAAAAGTTCAAATCATGCCTCGTGTGGCGGTTGTGAACCACGCCGTTCTATGCTAATGCCGATCACCGTGTAACGCCTTTAATGATCCTAGGAACGCAAACCGGCAAGCTGCCGTCAAATCATGTCATCATGTTTATTCCGCCTCAGGAGCCTCAGGAGTCTGTGCTAGACCCTGGCTCATCGCCTCCGGACTTGTCTCACGTTCAACCACCTCTGTGTTCGATTGCGCCTCCATCGTCTTGGGGCTCTCAACTGTCGCAGAACAAACCTCTTCTGTGTCGACAGCATCTGTGGCGACAGTGTTTGTGTCGGCAGCATTTGTGTCGGCATCGTGTGTGTTTGCCGTGTTTGTATCAACTTCGTTTGTGTCGACATCGTTCGTGTCGACATCGGTCGTGTCGGTAGCGCTTGTATCGACAGCGTGTTCGACAGAGTCTGTTTCTTCATCATTGTTGCCAACGACCTCCTCAATCATTGAAGCAAAATCCACTGTGATGCCGCCAACAGTCATCTTGAGTAGGGTAGTCGCGCCAGGACCGTCGCTCTTGTCTGAAACATTCTTGTCTTCGTCGAGATCTAGCATGACAGCATCGCTGCTGAACATGTCTGGATCGGGCCAAAGTCCCGCAGATGATGTGCTAGGATCTTCGTACAGATCAAACCCAAGTCCCAACATGCCAGTCCCTTCCGGCGAACTCGATGCAGGCATGTCGCTGGACAAGAAGTCGTTGTTGAATAGATCTGAGAACTGCGCCCCACTCGCGCGAGCAGGGGTATCGAAGACAGGAAAGGAAGAGAAGTCGAAAACTTGCGAGGGAGACGAGTTGTTTGCATCAGATAGCATTGCGTTAAGTTGTCGAGTGAATGGCGTTTCCGGCGCAGCTGTGGCAGGACGCATCGTACGCGGCGTGAAGATGCTTCGGGAAGGTGTCATGGCCTGCTCTGCGTCATCGTCGCCTCGTCGTGGGGTCAATGGCGGGCGACGACGGGACCCCGGGGTAGGAGTCTTGAGGAGGTCAGAGAATGCGTCGTCTTTCCTTGGGGTGGCCTTCCTTGGGGTAGACTTTGCAAGCCCCGGGGTCTCAAACAGGTACGCCAGATCGTCGTGCTCGTTGTCGAGCGCAGGCGGTGGGCAATTCTCTTTGTCGGTTTCGCCGTCGTCCACAGTCGCAGGCATTGGCACATCAGGGTCTGCAGGTGAAGCAGGCGATGGGGCCACAGCAGATGCGGCACTCATGACCGGCTCATCTGGAACCCCCAATGAATCCTGTGCACCAGATGGTGCAGGCGATGCGGATGCAGCACATCCGTCGGGTGTAGGGGCCGCTTCCGCAGTGGGCTGATTGGGATTACGCCTGTACACATCTTTCCTCATCGTAGCCGGGATGCACTCATCAAACTCTAGTCCCTGGACAACGCAGCGGCCACATGGTCGCTGACGATCGCACAATTTCTTGAGTTTCCGGCACCGCTCACATCGAGGATTTTCAGGTGCCACCTCTCCTTTGTGGATCACTATCCGATTCGATTTGTCGATCTTCTCTTGCTTCAAGGCAAGTGTCTTAAGCTCACCATTTTTGCGTGGAGATGGGAAGAGCAGTCGGCGTGTGGGTTTGGGAGTCAAGTCAGGATCGACATCTACTGAAGAGTCTTTGCTTCTCCGGAACCCAGCTGGGCTGGATTGAATCGCTCGTTCGAATGCAGCCTCAGCCTCAGCGCTGCCAGAGACATCGTCTTGACTGGCAGCATTGCCGTTCCCTGAAGGTCTCGTAGACGGTGGAGGCATGTCTTTTTCGGCTTGACTGTCAGGCTCTTGCTGTTTCTCTGGATCTCCAGCATCCGAGGCAATATCGTCATTCTGTGATTGGGATTTGCTGCGGGTGCTTGGTACCCGCTTCCGTCGCGATGCCTTCGACGCGTCCTTGACCCACAAATTTTGTGGTCTTGATCTGCCATTCTTGGCAAGCCACAAACCGCATGGATTACACAGATTCATCGTCTCGAACAGTTCAGCCTCCCTTTCTCGCAATGTGAGCTTGTTCTTGTATATGCGATACATCGGCTCCTCGGTTTCTGGATCTGTTTCTATGACTTCGTAAGCCACGATGCCAGCAGAAGACAATACGATGTCTTCCGGGATGCCGATTTCAACGCGAGTGTAAGGCTTCCTCCATGTTGGAGTCTCGATCTCTCCACAGTTATGACAGTGATCGGGCATGTCTCCGCTTTTAAGTGCACTTTGAAGCCTCTCTTTGATGTATTTCTTCCGCTTGGCGTGTGACCCGCTTCGTGGAGGTCGTGGATCGTTAGCTGTAGATTCAGATGGCGTAGGAGCATCTGACATGAATTCTCCTATGCCGGACCACGTGTTCGATCGGGGTAGACCCTTTGTTCTTGGCGCTACGGGTCGTTTGGCGGGGCCGTTTGGGGTAGCTTCGCGGCTATAGACCTGTCCCGCGGTCTCGCTCTCGGGTGAGCACTGTGAGAACGGTGAGTCGGGAGATCCAGCTTTGCTGACCGTTTGTGTCTGCTCAAGGGGAGGAAAGGGAAACGAGTCCGTGGGCGGCTGTCGTGGTCTCTTGGAAATCACACTAGCGTCTGAGTACTCCTGAAGTGTTTGAGATCGAGGCAAACCAGGTGCCTTCGTCATCGAGGGATCCGCGCGGACTGGCTTCTGATTGCACGTCTCGGTCTCGATGCTCTGAGCGACCTGCTTATAAGGCTCGCGTGTGAACGATCTTGGAGGCGGGATGTAGGTCTGGGGTAGGCGCTCCGCGGGACCGGGATTGACCTCTTGCCATGGCTTGTGTGATTTGTCGTAAGGGGCGACTTCCATGCGCGCAAGTTGTTTGCGGCGTCTCGTTGCGTCTTTCGTTGCGTCTTTCGTTGCGTCTTTCGCCGTGTCCTTCGCCGCGTCTTTCGCCAGGTCTTTTCCTGTGTCTTTTCCTGTGTCTTTCGCTGCGTCTTTCGCTGTGTCTTTGGCAACATCTCTTGCTGTACTTTTTGTTACCAGGTTACTGTCATCTGGCACTGTACTACCAGCTTCAACATTTTCCTCCTCTCTGCTCTGGGTTACGTCACTAACGAAGCCTGAATCCGTTAACTGGGGAAAGGTCGGTAGAGGAGGACTTGACGGTGTAGGAGAAGTGGGTTGGCGAACTATGGGCGGCGAGGACGGCATGTTTCGGGGTGTTTCGTCGGGACTGCCATCTCTTTCGTCCTCGCACGAGTCCATAGCCGTGTCAGAAAAGACACCCGTCTCATACGGCGATACATATGGTCGTCCAGCATCCATAGATCCATGGCGCAAAGCGCTTGGTGCGGGAACACGGCGGTATTGTGGTGCGCCAAAGGCTCTGTCACCTGGCCGCGGTGTCAGCGCCCGTGGTTGTGACTCGGCGTCAGCAAAGGTGGAGGCCGGATTTGCAGCGATTGGCCGGTGGAGCCAAACAGATGAGGCTGTGGCGGCAGTCTTGTGCAATGAGTCGCTGCGAGCTGTGAGGGGGGTGTTCCGTGGTCGAGTTGCCTGTGTGATGCGTGCTCTCTTTTTCGGTGGCCCATCCCCTTGCATTTCGATAGTGTAATGTGGATCGATCGGGCCTTGCGGCGAATGTGTCGACATGTCGCTTCGAACAGATGCTCGTGAATTAGGACGCGGTTCGGGGTTGTACGTGACATGGCGCGGTTCAGGTTTGTACGGGATGTGGCGGAAGGGGGCACCGCGTGCCGGGCTGGAGGCTCGCGACGGCTGAGACCCGAAGGACGCATTCGACTGCTTGTAGAAGGATTCGTTCCTGACGGGCTCCTGAGAAGGACTGTGACGTGTGAGCATCTGGTGGAATGGCTCGTAGCCACCAGTGGATGGGCGGGCTGGAGGCTGTGTAGGCGGGGTGAACGGCACTGGTTGGGCCAGCTGACCAAGCGTGGGATTCTCTTTCAGGAATTCAGACCATGCGGTGTAATCGAAGCCCCCGGGTATGATCTGGCTCAGGCTGTGGTAGCGTTCCATGTTCTCGACATACTCCTTCTGCATGGACGTCGGCACAGGCACAAGCTTGAGTTTCACCTCCAATGTCTCTTTGATACCGTTCGAGAAGAGACCCAGGATGTTCTTGCACACACGACCCGTGACCATTGTCTGCGAGTCTTCAGCGGGGGCATTGGGGGTGGCCGAAGCAGAGGCCAGGATCCACGAAAGCATTCCTTGGCCGACCAGAGGGGTTTCGTACTCGGAGAAGTCGTATGCGTACACGGTGTAGTCGTGGCCCAGCTTCGCGGTGAGTTCGGGACTGTGGCTGTGAGTACTGATCTGCGACGGTCAGACACTGTGTATGAGCATACCTTGCAGTGACAATGGTGTCGATACATGTCTTCAGCTCGATGACGCCGACCTGGGTGTTCTCGTCGAGAGATACGACCGGGATGTTGAGGACGTCCGGCAGACGTGCCAGGCAGTTTGTCTTGTTCTCGTTGTCGAATGTGTAGAGCACCTTCACTGTAGGGCCCACAGGTTAGACACAATCCATCGTCAGTACTGCACATGCTTGCCTCGCATTGGACGACGCGGTATCCCGCCCGTGTCGTCGTCGTCGTCGGCAGCAGGCGACGCCGGCGTCTGCTGCATGGCCGGGTTCCCCACTACCATGGCAGATGAAGTCGACATGGCCGCCGAGGGGTTGGCCGTGGGCAGTCTGGCCGTGCTGTGGAGACCGGAGGGATCGAAGGCGCGTTTTGAAGGGTGCACTCCACACTAGCTAGAGGTGCGAGGTTGGCGCTCATTTGCTCCGGCACGCGACGTGAACCGCGCAGCGCGAGCAGAGCTGGCGACGTCGCGAAACTAACGCGGAAAATGGCCCGGCGAGCTGCTCATGGGTCTGCGGGGTCTGTAGAAGCTCTTGCAAGCAGCGACACGCGCAGAACCAGCGATCGGGGGCGTGCGACTGCCGCGATGACGCTTTCGTGGTTCTTGCACAGACGCGGTGGAGCGACGCGTTGATTGGCGCGTGTCGCTGACTAAGGAATCCACCATTGCATTTGCGTCGGAGCTAGCTGACTTCAACTTCTTGCCTGACGCCCGCAACCGCCGAAACGACCTCATCCAAGCCCGTTGCCGTGGCATCTCCCTGTCTAATCGCTGGTCAGTCCCTCGCCCGCCATCTGCGCGTCACGTGCGCTAGTCTTCAGGCAGCCGCGACACGTGCACGACAGGCCCACAGCTGTTCTTCACGGACAGAAGCTGCAGTTGCACCAGCTAACACATCTCCAGACCTGCTCGTCGCATACACACCACACCGCCCCCGAACCCCTCCCACTAGACACCATGTCCGACCCCAAGATTCAGTGTGTACACCAGCTCCCCACTCCATTGACATGCGCTAACACATCTCACAGGGAGCTGCTCTCCAAGCCTAGGTCAGAGTTGACGTATGTCCTCCCTACAACCCTAATTCCTTCAACCCAATCCCCTTCAATCCAAACCCCCTCGACCCAAGTCCCTACAACCCGAAAAAATCCAGACTCACAACTTGACAGCGAATATGAAGTCGCCCAGGTCGAGGAACACGAGCTCACCACCGGGCCTCTGTCCATCCTCCAGACCGCCGTTCGCTCGCGCACACAAGTCCTGATCTCCTGCCGCAACAACCGCAAGATCCTCGCCCGCGTCAAGGCCTTCGACCGTCACTGTAACATGGTCCTCGAAAACGCGAAAGAGATGTGGACCGAGACCCCACGGTTGGCAAACGGCGCCCATGGCAGGAAGGTCAACAAGGACCGCTTCATCTCGAAGCTGTACGTCATCCCCGTGCGCTTATTTTCTGGCTGCTAATCATTGCAGTTTCCTCCGCGGCGACTCCGTCATCCTTGTATTGTTGTCTTAAGCGCGTGAGGGTCATGGCGGTGGCAGAGCTGGGACGCGACAACGATCACGATCTTGGAGTTTGGAATGCATTAAAATTTACATATCGATCGCACCGCCTGCGAGCACCACCGAACGAATCAATCGATACCCCACCTTTACTTCTTCAGTCCCTCGCTCAGGCCCAACAGTAGTTCAGCGAGTCCATGCGCCCCAGGATCTGGAACCTCCTGGAACCCTTGGCCTCCAACATACACGGTTCTGCCTAAGCTCGCCTTCATACCCTTTGTACCTTGCGCGCCTTCTTGCGCGGCCACTGCAGCTTCTTCGATGCTTCCCGTCTTCGACAACGTCTGGACAAAGGGGTGCAACGCATCTATTAACGTTCGATCTCCGGGCTGGGCTGGCGTGTACTTTCCGAGCGCTTTGAGAGACGAGTCCAGCGCTTTGGCCCAAATTTCGGGCGTGACTGGTCCAGGCGAAGAGGGTGCGTTTTGTCGCAGTCCATGGGCGAGCGCATTCAGGAAGATAGCGTAGATGGCACCAGAAGTTCCGTCCATGGACACCTCAACAACCTGAATGATATGGTTGAGAAGGATTAGCAAGTCATCTGTGCTCTCCGCTGTGCCTAGCATGTCCAGAATCGCTGCATTGTGTCAGTCTAGGCTGCAGACCACGTGATGCGTGACTTACATTCTGCGCCCCGCTTCAAGCCAATGCCACAGTCGCCGTCGCCGACTATCGTATCATATTTAGTAACGTCAGGCTCGACTGAAATGAGCCGATCCAACGCCGTTTTCAAAGCTGACTGGTATACTGTAGGGTCCACTGGGAAGTGTCAGTACCGGCCGAATAATTTTGCCCTAGAACGTACCCCTAAGAGTGCTGGGTTGGATCTCTTCATAGTCTGTCTGCTTCTCTTCGGCTGCTGCCTGTCCTCGCTTCTGCCACGTGCCGCTGCTAATTGCCGCAGACCAGCCACTGGCCTCAGCCGGCGCATCTAGCAGTTCCAGCATTGAAGGACCGCTGCCGAGTTGCAGATCAGTTACCTTCAGCAAGGAAATGCTGAAGCCAAGGCCGTTCAGACTCGTCATGAAAGTTCCGGAGAGGATTCGGACCGGGTTGATCTTGAAGGTCCCGGCCAACTGCTCCACGACCTCGTTCGTGATCCCGCTTAGTTCCAATGGGCTGACGCCTCCGAGGTTGTTGACGAGAAGCACGACCTCGTCTTTTTCGTTGATGCTCGAGAAGCTCCGATCCTGGTCCGCCGTATTCAAGCAATGCTCCAGCATCGTCTTCACCAACCCCGGCAGATCTGTCGACTTGCGCTCCGATCCAGCTTCGTTGTGAATCCCCATCCCGATCTCAACCTCGCCCTCCTTCAACTCGTCCTCCTCCGGCTCCCTACGCCCCGGCACATGAACATGCGACAGCGACGACCCAATCGACACGGTATGATCCGCCACGATCTGCGCCACCCTCGTCACATCCTTCAGACTCGCCCTGCACACCATTAGCACGCCCCTCACCTCGCCAAACCACACAACACTTACCCTCTCGCCGCCAACGCCCCAGCAACCTTCTGCACCAGCACCGTCCCCGCAATTCCCCTGCGCCCCACCTTCCCCCCCTTCGCCCGCCCCACGCCCGCATCGTCCCCGACAACCACCATATCGACTTCGATCCCCGCAGCCCGCGCCTTCTCCACCGCCATCCCGAAATTCAGCACGTCGCCCGTGTAATTCATCACCACGACCAGCACGCCCCGATCGCGCCGCACGCGGTGCAGAATGCACCTGCGCACCTGCTCAGCGCTCGGGGACGCGAAGATGGTGCCTGCGACGGCGCCGGCGAGCAGGCCGCGGCCCACAAAGGACGCGAAGGAGGGCTCGTGGCCGGAGCCGCCGCCCGACACAATGGAGACGCTGGGCGCGGCGTCGCGCAGGTAGATGATCTTGTTGGGGAGGTCGCATGCCACGCTGGGGTTTGTAAGGGGGATGCTGCGCAGCGCGGTGGCGACGAGGTGGGTGGGGTCGTGGATGAAGTGTTTTGCTGCGCGGGTTAGCACTCACACTCCCTCCGTATTTCATATACTCTGCATAATAGAAGTAGAAGGGAAACATACACGACATTGTATCTGTGTGCTTCTAATCACTGCAGTAGTCTCGAGCTCAATTCGTCTTGACAATCAATTGCGTGGTGTCGACCTCAAGTACTCAAACCTCGAATCTCATGCGCGCGTCCAAGCAACATATAAGCCCCAACAGCAGCACTATTTCCTTTTCAATCACCCTCCGTCGCTCCTTCCATCCACCGACCGGAGCCCCCGCCGGTGCCTGACCCGCCCGCGCAGACAGCTGCGTGAGGGGTAGCTCTCCAGTTCCCGACATCCCCGCGCTGTCCCGATGCGGTAGCGGAGGCTACAATTACCGGATTGGGACGCAACACCAGGAACGTCGTCGTGTTTCGGTGCTTAAAAATTGTGTATAGCATCGGAATTGGGACTTTCTATGGACGAGGGCGAGGTCGGCCTGGGGGTTCTGGAGGAGGACTGGGCGGCTCGGATTGCTTGTTAGAGGAAGTTTTGGCGCAGTTGCTTTGCGCTGCTGTTTGCGGTTGTGTGCGCGAAAGAGGTTTGGGGGTCGTTTTGGTGGCAGAGAAGAGTGGCTGCGGAGTGTTTCGGACTGTGGATGAGGCGGGTTACCTGTTTGGGGACTGCCTTTGGTTGTTCCCAATGTGCCGTACCTTACCATGACAGACGTTGCTGACCTGTGTGCGTGTTTATGGTATTGCTTGCTGTTGCAGCATTACGAGACCTATTTGAAGCACCTACTTAGGCGTACTTGTGTACGTGTATCTTACCTCCCTTTGAGCAGTCATCTTACGTATTGTAAGGCCGATGAAAGACAAGACTTTGCCGAAGCACAGAATAGTAGTACATTGTCCTATCTAAAACCTCAAGTTAACGAAGCAGACTGCTCTAGTCATAGTTTCGCGTTCTGCTGATACGTCCGGGCCCAACATGCATTGATGCAAACGCAACATGGCCAACATCCGCATCCTTTTGCACATCTCCAACAATAACACGGACGTCGCGAAGTGCTCTGGATGCCTCCATTCCGTCAAGGTACGATGGGACGTGCTCCTGCAGATACGGGTTGTCGCGTGCAAGTGTTGATACGTAACCCAAGATGTCTGGCGCCCTCGTCACGATACCTAGGACCACCGAGGCCACAGCTGTCGCAAAGAGCAGGGACGAGATGACGATAGTGAGAACTGCAAAAGTGGTATTGCACACATATCGCTCGGTGTCGAACTCAACGCCGGTCGCTTCCGTGCTGTTCCATGGCGCCTCTGTGTCCAGCCCAGCTCGGTAGTCCACGCCCATCCACGAATCAGTGAAGGTATTGATGACCATCTGCAAGCGACGATTGAACATTTGGGTGGTCAGATTCTGCGCAGGATTTACTCCACCCCACGATCCAGGATAATTCGTAATCAGATTTGTGAGGTATGGATCCGTCATCCACTGTTCAACAAGCTCGGAGACTCGCAATTTAGAAGTTGAGCCCAGATCAGTACCGGGAAGGAACTGAGTAATGTAACGTACAGTGTCCCAGGACGAGGTGTTGTCAAATATAGGCCACATATCCCGATTTGAAAGACGCATGCGCTGCACGTCGCACACGCCTTCAATGCAACCGACCTCGGAGTGCACCGCTCGCATCTCGGCTGTGCAGTTCGAACGTATAGCCTCTCGATAGGATACCCTAGTTAGGTACTCGAAGCCCACGGTTGTTGAATTCTTGCCTTCATCAGGCGCGTTAATGAGCATGTCGAATGAAGTTTCATTCTGACCAGTCCTGGTATCGTTGATGAGACTTAACGAAAAGTTTGCAGAGAACGGATCACATAGGATTTCCCAATATCCGGTCTCGATCTCGAATGTGACATTTGCTGTCATTGGAACGTCCCTGATAGGTGATCCCAGGAGAGAGGTGTATGAAACGGAAGGAGTGTCTTTAACATCATACCAGTCATCAGAAGGCGGCGTCGTGTCCTTGAAGTGTTCCAGAGAAGTTATATCGGGAATTCTAATGTTGCCAAAGAGATCCTTCGACCCATTAAAGTTGTCTCGGGAGGTCTGGAGCGTGCTGAGAAACAGGGGTGCATATGAAGACCAGTAGTAATCTTCAAGGTGCTCGCCATACATATTCCACCTGCCAAAGATATCGACAGCATGATACCGGGCAGGAGTTTGAATAACCTTTTCGGATACCGTTGTTGATAGAAGTCTCAGTGACGATTGACCCCCAAGAGGCGACAAAAGCCACGCTACCACGATTCCGATTCCTAGCAGGTTTAGTCGGCGCATTCCAAATTGCCTCTCCACGCTTGCAAAGAACGATTGACTCCCTAAAAGCTGCTCCAGTGTCTATAAGCGTGTCAGTTTGCTCGCTTGTAAGAGTCGTTCAGGCCTATCACTCACGCCAACAGAAGAGCTTCGTTCAGCTTTGAAGAGCGCAACTCGGCGAAGGAGCTTTCCAAAAATCGCTGCATACACTATTGGGAATATAGTAGGTGAAAGTAGCGTTATGGCTTTGATATCTTGTCCATAGGTAGATACAGGTTTCTGGTTCAGAGAAAGGCAGAGAATGGCGATCACTGCGCTCACTGTCAGTCTTGCTACATTTGGCATCAGCAGACCACACGTACCTAGAAAAAACAACGGAACCAAAGACATGAGTACGTCGAATATAGTCGACCCCCATTCGTGGACAACACCTCTCTCCAGTGTCGCGTATGTTCTGGACTCATGATGCTTCGTGGAGCCGTCGGCTTGCTCGCTTGAAATATCGCTGGTCGGTCGACTGATCCCGATCGAGTTTGGGGCTTTCAAACCACGTACATCATTCATAGTTGTTGGTAAAGCTGTATACGCGCTGGGATTCGATCGATTAGCAGAGTCCTCGAATTCAAAGGCAGATGGCTCTGAACGCGCGCGGACGTACGGTGTGGCTTGCGCCATTATGATGGTCAAAGTGATACACGATGACAGTTGGGACCCCTCTCTGAGGCGCGGTGATAGTCATATACTCTTCCTCGATCTCACTACGTGGTGCGTGCTAAAACCTCGCTTGGCACTCCTTCGCAGCTGTTGGTAGCACACAAGTGTCACATTTGTTGCCAATGTGCTTTTCGTGCAGTGTCTGAGGGTAAGCGGGGCATTGTACACCGCAATTTGAGGAGCGGCTACTTGTCAGCGCTTTCCGAATTCTGATCGACAGCCGTGAATTCACGCATCTGTTATTCAAATCAAGACAATGCTACAAAGACAGTGACTTACTTGCAAGGCTTAGATGACTGCAATCTGCCACGTTGGGGGCCGTAATGCAAGTCGATAGGTCGAGACCCATCAATACCCTAGCTAGGTGGGGGGCCTGACGCAGTATTGGGCGCCTTCAGTTCCTCAGCCTCATTGTAGAGCTAAATTTGAGCCTCAAGTGTATCAGCTGCACAGTTCGATCATCACCTGGTAAAGTAGATAACTCAGGCCAATGACATTTGGTGTATGCACGCAGACGTCAAGAACATCAAGGCCTACTAAGCCGAATCCCTACACCTTGTGGAGCAGCTGCCTATAGGCTATGCAAGGGCTACAGATATAGCGGTAGGCCAAAGTTTGCCTGCAAATTCACTTGACACCTTCTCCGAGCTTATGCAGGGCTTCGCTAGATGGTCGTTGTGGTACTTCTTGATACACAGACCAATTCTGTTAATCGAGGCCTGACTCTTAAGTTGTCGAGCATGTCGAACGATTTCAACCGACAACGAATGTTCTTCTGAAGTGCGGCCGTTTTCCAACTGCATGATATCTCCAGCCTACACTGCCTTAACTCTTTCTTTGCGTCGCCGTCGTACCAAGTTTTTCCAGTGCACAACAGCATATATTGCAATTGTCACCCACCCGAATGGATCGAGTACTTTGATGCGTTCGATACCATGCCAATTGATTTTGCGAACCCCGAGCAGGTTCCTATGCTCAAAGGTCTTTGCGAGTCGTGTGGCTAGGTGCTCGGTTTGCTCTTTAGTCAAGGTCTCGTCCCGGATATCGAAACTCAGAGTCAGGCGACCTCTTGATTGTGGCACCACAGGCGTGTCCGGTGATTTCTTTTGACTGCGCATGCGCGCAAGAAGGATGTGTTGGTTATTCCGTGACCCGTGCCAGAGCTGTGAATTATGCCGATCTATACAGAGACGCTGATTAAGATGGAACGTCGAGAAAGGTTTGTCGTCGTAATCCAGCAGAAGAGCCCCGAGATTATTGATGAGAGATCTGGTGAAGGAGCGGGGGCCTGGCGCTGGAGTTGTCTCGTCTGATGGACCTGCGCTCAATAGCTCAAATTTCCTCGAGAACTCTTTGTCGCTTGAACCCTGACTCTTCGTTATGCTTCTTGAGTAACATGCATCAAGAATAATTAGAGTATCAGAGTCTAAATCATCCGCTGTGAGGATCGCTTCAGCTTTATTCCAGCTCGCTGTCGTGGTGTTGGTGCTCCCTGCTGTTAACTGGAGATCGTTTTCCAGGTCTCTCCAGATGGCATGTCCGTTGTAGAACACAACGATTAGGTTGCCCGGTTCGTTATATTTTTCTGCAAAAGACGATATGCGACTGTTCAACTGTAGTTGGGGCTTCTTTGAAGTCAATTCAAGAATGTCAGTTTCGAAACCGAAGCGCTCGCGAAACATGGCTTCCAGATCGTTCACCTGATATATTGTCAGTGTCATCAAGCATTGAGATATCGCAATGTTGACAGGCATGAAGATTGGAAGTTTCGTTTTTGATCTTGTAACTCACCTCCACCGCCGTTTGAAGCTCGTCAATTTCATTTGCCCACTTGAAAAGCAATACTGCAACCCGAGAATAGGCCCTCGGAGAACCGAATCTGTTTGCGGCCGCTTCATCCCACCAAGATTGCGTCTGACGTGCCTGCGCTTGCTCCTGGTCAAATCCGGTGTTGTAGCGATGGTCGGGAACGCGTGTATCCTCAAGAGGGACATCGACGCTCCCTGCAATTAATCTGTCCGCATGTGTACCTTGTGCAACCCGTGCTCCGGTGGCATGCGAGTACGTTGTTTCTGGCCTGGCTTGTCGGCGGACAATTTTCAGCTGATGGTAGGTTGAGTCTTCGACAGCCTCCTCAGCTACCCTCTTCAGTACATTTGGCCTCGTGCTGTTGTCCGGGATGATCATTACATCATCGTCTCTATCAAACTGCTGAGCCTGAACCTGGGCAAGAATAGCGTTCAACTCCGTCGGATCTTCTTGATCTTTCTTCAACTCTTCATGAAAGCGCCTGAAAGCCTTTATGCGACCTTCTCCGTACAAGAGTGACATGTGCACATTGAAAAGGCCCAGCAGTGAGTAGCACTGATCCTCCTCTCGGGTCTTTTGTCGATTTCGTGCCCACCGTAAACGGTCATTGACTGGCACTTGGTACAGAGAGAAGACATCTCCGCGAAGTATCTGAGGCGGAATTCCGGTGGCTTCGTTGATGTCTTGCCAAAGTGATTGCTTGTCCCCCAGGGACGCGCCTTCACGGGTGAAGAAATTAACTGACGTTGGAGCGAGAAGTTCCTGAAGAGTCCAGCCTCGAGTGAACCACCGACTCTGTCGAAACGCAGACCTCCAGCCGTGACTAGCAAGGGCAGCAGCTGAAGTATGAAGCGAGACATCTGTTAGGTAGACATAGCATTTAGCTGAATTCTGGTACCATTTAAACATAGAATTGATCGCTTCTTGCAACTCTGCACTGCTTGATTTGTCAATGCAACAGGTATCAATCCAGAAGTAGTCAAGCTTGTCGTGAATAGCTTGTTTTGCGCAAAAGTGCAGTTTATTATAGCCGCGCTTATTCTTGCCTCTGCCTTTCATAACGTCTTTAAAAGTGACTTCGTCTTGCGTCGCAATCCAAGTATGCGAAAGAATAGCGTAAGATGGTATGTGCTCGCCATACTTCTCTACCAGGCTGAACTCGCCTTCGGTGTCAACCTGCAAGAGGTACATTGGAGAGGAATTCTGGCATGCGGTGGATATATAACGCTTAACGTCTCCACTGTCTCATCGAAAACTAAAGAAAACTATAAGGTGCTGATGACAAGTGATGCGTAGTGAGCGTGGTGGGGTGAGGTGGCTGGTGTCTTACGACACGTGACTGCCCTGAATGCCCGCCGCGCGTGTCTTACACTGTGCAGCTTCAACGTACCTATCGAATGAGATTGGATATCACCAGAACGATCACGAGTACGAGCGGAAACAAAGCTCCTTTCGCTCAGCCAACTCTATGTAATGGACAGGCGAAATGTACTTCGCAACCAAGTGGGTGAACACAGTCGGGAGAGGCGGCTGGCGCGGGGTTGGGGTCGGCGACTGATGCCACCCCACCTTTCCATCACCGCACATCAACACGGGAATTCATGTATCCAACGAAATCGCTTACTGTTCTCCTTTCGTACAATAAATACAACAATCGCGAGGCTGTTGGCTTATATAACCCGACTATACCAACGAACTCTAGCATACGCCATGACACTTCTTATGCAAAGCGCATACTGACAGCAGAGCAATATGAATATCAATAACAGCGGCAGACAGATTCGTGCTTGGGCTGCGGTCGGAGCCATGTCAAATCAAGCAATATTTGACCGTTTCGATCAAGACATAATCGACAATCCTCCATTTTCCCCTGAAGAACTTAGCGCGTTAGAGAGAAGCTTCGAGTCAGCCAGCGACAACACTGGTCATGTCTCCAAAGCAGCATTCACAGGACTCGTTCTTTCTCGGGGTGACATTCCGCCTTTGTTTACAGAAGCTGCTGGGATTCTATTTGATAGCCTCTGCTACCTGAGCACAGCACCTCTGCAGACCACTTCACCGCCACACGACTATTTAACGCTCAAAGGGTTAAAGCGCGCCCTTGTATGGTCATTCCCGTACAAAGTACTTTCTGCAGTTACAACGATCTCTGGATATCGATATCGATCCCCAGCAGATCATCGGAGGCTTATTTTCCAGAGCCTAGCAACCTTATACCATGGCCGACGCCCGCCATTCGACAAAGAAGTTGCAAGAGCGCTGGCAGCCGACAACGCAAGAGATCTTCCGCCGGATTTTAGAGGTGGCCCAGTTGACGATGCTGATGTCAACTTTGACGATGATGGAGACGAGATGTACCATGATGTTTTGGATTTTCTTGCTTTAACACAACCTTACGTACCGCCAACTTTTGCTGAGCCGTGTCGCGACGGCTTCCGTGATCTTGCAACGAAGTTTCACAAAGATGCCCCGTCATTGTTGGACCTGGCCATACCCAGGCCTCGACTAAAATTGTTCCTCTCACTGCTACTCGAAACAAACCTCAAGAACCGAATAGTAGACTGCGCCGTGGACGCTGACCTGGAGCTTCAAAGTGCGGCACAGTCTATGGAGGCATGTTTCTATCAGTCTTTGAGCTTGGAGACTCAGGGGCCCAATTCCCCTGCAGGAGATCTGCCTGGACCTTTTGATGGGTGTACATGGACAATGTTCAACTTTGCCATCTCTAAACTGCTGGTGAGTTTACTGCATATCTGAGAATAGTGTGGTTAACTGACCTCCATAGCCCCATCTCTTCGATTCTTTCTACAGTCTACTGTCTACTATCTTCTTCAATCAACCTTGCCGGTTCGATGCCAATACAGGGTACGCCAAGCCTGGTGCGATTCTTACGCTTCCTCGTATGGTTCAGGTGGAAAGCTTTCTGTACAACTCGATTTGCATGTCGGAGATTCGTCGTTTCGAATGCAACACAAGTACCGCTGGATTGATCAAGGCTATCCGGAGCATTGACGAGTGCGCCTTGCTTGTAATCTCCGGTCACACAGCAGCCAACAAGATGTACGTTTTCGGCGTCTTCATCGCTCGGCCGCCCGTAGATGGGCCCTGTATACAGAATGGTGGATCCGAATTCGATGAAACAGCTTTGCTCTTCCAATTGAGTCCTACTCACGATGTGTTTCGCGGGAAGATTGGCCTACCGGCATGGCATTCGGACGATGATGGCTGCATCTTTGGCAACAAAGATCACGGTGCCGCCTTGGCTCTCGATGCCTCGTTGATGAACGCTCGATTCACGCACAGGCTCTTTGAAGCTGACGCAAAAGCTGTCTATGCTCCCACTGTACATAGGGGTGATTTTGAGACGTTGTTGTTTATTGATGGGTTTGAAGAATGGGGCGAATGTGTGTAACACGGAGAGACTCATGGAGGAACCCCAATCGGAGCTCTTGTCCCGAACTGCTCAAATCCTGGTACGCGTGTGGATTCCAACCGGAGATCTTGAAGTGTTTGAGGACCGTTACGACGTTGCAGGAACCCATTCAGTTGGACTGTGTTTACATTTTGTCAGTGTTCGTGACGTTGGTAGGAGTGTAAACATAACTGTGGGTGCTTCTCATTGAGCATCGTCGGTTCTTGGGCGGTTTGTGTCCAATCAAGATGTGACATAACTCGTGGAAATCAGTCCTCCTGTCCGACTCACTATCCGTTGTGGTACGATTCGAAGTCCATGCCGCACACGTTCCCGTGGCTGTTTCAACTTGTTCCCTCGGGTGATTACCCGTGCAAAGAATGACAAAGTCAGTCCACGCTGTGTACAGGCATTTACTTGGTATCTTACTATACCGGCTAATACAATTGCCTCATACTAATGTATTCCACAGCTGTGGTATCCTGGGTGCAGCCACTCGTGGCCCTCGCGAAGCCAGTACCATAAACTTCCTCTGCTTTCGTTCCCATCTTCAAGTAAAGGCAGTCTTAAAGGCGGGTGAAGGTAGCGGTCAATGGACCTTCTCTGCACTCTGGGCTCTTCGTCGTCCAAAGATCTCCACCAAAATCTGCCAAAAGGGTCCTTGATCGAAGCCTCAAGCGGATCTCCGTCTATGGCAGCCTGTTTCCCCAAAATCTAACACGCGGTTCAACACTTAGGTAGGTGACTACTACGTGTAGCTCTAGGGGTGTCTTCTGAAAAGCGTTGTTATTACTAATTGAATATCGAAGTATTTAGTTCAAGATTGCATACAACAATATCTAGCAGCCTATAAGCACTTTATCTTCGCCCCTTTACTTCAGCTCTTCTGAATGGCTGATATAGAGCTACTGGGCTTGCACAGAACAATCCGAGGTATCGTCCTCCCCGAAGACAAGCTCTGTTGTTCCCCTAGTAGCCGTGATTTTGTTTCTCTTGCCATCAACTCGCCTGTATACCTTCTTGGCGTATAATTGAACAATGCTGCCGTCCCCTTCTTCTATTGGCTGACCCTCTTTTTTGATTGTCACCTTTTCTTTGGTGAAGGTTTCCTCGATTCCCGCAAGTACATTATCGTAGCTTGACATTGAGCCGGATACGACGGCGAAGTACGAGTCTGCGTCTGCGTTTAAGGCGAGGTCTGCTGCTTTCTTACCATCGGCCTGTTCGTTAGAACCGCAGAGAATGTGGAAAGCGGAGGGGGTCTTGCTGTAGTTCCAGAAGAAAACTGCGGTGCAACCGCTCAAATTCCAGACAGTGGCCGAGGCCTTAGATATGACGAACTGATGCTCATTGACCTTTTGGGGATCTTTTCCCAACTCCATATATCTGCGCTCGAGGCCACGGGGGCGTTTAGGTGGGCATGCTTTAGGTTTCCCAGGCTTCTTCACGGGCTTCTTCGCGGGCTTCTTCGCGGGCTTCTTCGCGGGCGCCGTAGGTTTAGGCTCATCTTTTCTTGCTTCAATGATAATGGGCCCGGTAACACTATGTAGACCAATGGCGATGTCGTTGATGTCGCGTGCATCGGAAACAGTGACACTCAATTCGCTGCCTGGGAGGGGAACTGCAATGACTCTGCCAACGACAAAGAAGGTTGCAACGAGTAGTCCTTTCAGACCCACCATCTTGGACACGTATTGTGCTGTGGGTAAAAAGGCGGGATTGAATAGAGTTGAAAGTAGATATTGGCGACGATAGTGAATTTCGACAAAGATCGGGAAGTTGGTGTAAGTGAAAGATTGGATAGGAGAGATATCTGAAAACGAATGTGACAACAAGTGACAGCGAACGTAATTGTAACCAAAAAGGAGGACAAGAGGAGACCAGCTCCAGAGGAAGACGTATTTGTTGTTTAGTCCAGAATTATAAGGCCAGACCGCCGGATTTAAATAATTCAATAGACGTATTCATCTTGTATGTGCTCCTCTTTTCTAACCGCAGCAATGCTACACACAATTGACCATGATCGGATTTGAAGTGGAGCTGTCTTTCCTCGGACTCCGACTTTACTGCACACGCCCAGTGGGTTTCCATGTGTTAAATGAGCCCAGGTCATCTCAGTACCCGATATTGATAATTCATTTCCTGATGCCTTGTAGAAACTGTACGGACTCCGCGTCAGGAGGTTCATCCGCCCAGTGTGGATAAGGTTTCGTGTGTTACCTTATTGACACAATCTCCGGGGAGTATGTGAAGAATTTGTGGGGAAGAGTCTGTGCTTTGGCTTAACTTAGTTAGCGCTGATGCCTACAGCACTACCTAGGTAACCCCGTAGACTTGGTGACTTGTTAGACTACTGTGTACTTCGTCCTTTCTATACTTTGCAGACCTTTCACAGTCATATTAGTTTCCCCCAACGGCAGATACAGCGGTAGCCAAATCGACATGCCTTTGATCTCTTTGCCGCTCGAGATACTGCAGCAGATAGCAGACATCGTCAAAAGCGAGCACCGGCCCAGCCTCTACACCCTCAGCTTGACCAACAGTGCTTGCCATAGAGCCGTGGTGCCCCTCATATTTCATCATATTCAGATAAATGTTTCTCATCCAGAAATACTGCAAAAGGATATCGCCGGCCTTAACGGAGCACTCTCGCGCACGGAAGCTGCCCGTCATGTCCAACGCATCAGTATCAAAGGGGATATACGTGTTCGAGCTCAAAATACAGACACTGATGTTCCGATTGCCGATAAAACCGAGCCGCCAGACGGTGTTGAGGAGATATTGGGAAATGACACAAAAACCGGTCTGAGACATTTCGTGGTTTACGATGAATCTGTCATTGTTAAATCCTCTGACGAGGATATGGCATGGGCTCCCGTAGTAAACCTGCTCCAAGCCGTTCCTTACTTGAGAGATTTGATATACGACTGCAAAAGCCAGTTTCCACCAAGCCTCCTTGAATTTCTTCATCAGCAACGACCTAGATGCCGGCTTCACCATCTTACTTTTCGATTTCGTACGTTGTTGTGGGGAATACCTTATCCTTACGAAATGGAGCTTGCTACATCTCCTTCTCTATACAAGTTACATGTTGATTCCGCCTGGAGGGATTCAGACGGCGACGATGACTTCAATCTAGAGGCCGTAATGGACCTTGCCTCAGGGCTAGCCCCTAATTTGAAAGAGGTCTCAATTGCCCGACTCTGGCCAATAGGCTGTTGGAGAAATGATCTCCGTCGCCGAGAACCATGGCAAGGTCTCCCAGGGCTCACCGACAAAGTGGGAGGATCATTGACTTCGTGGACATGGGTAGGACGCGACGACATGGTGGCGCCAAGTCTTAGGACAAACTGGCGCAAGAATATAGACTTGACCCATCTACAACACCTCAACATCGAGCGCTTCCACGAGTCAAGCCTTGGAGTCTCTGGCGAGGAAATGCAGTGGATCGCCCAAAACCGGTCTTTCCCCCAACTAAAGACACTCTCAGTGGCCGTCACTCGTAATGACCTATACGAGGACAGACCAAATTACGTTGAAAATGCAGTTTCGTTCTTCCAGGCATTTAGACCTCTTGAGGAACTGTCTGTTTATGGACCGAATGATACACAAATCATAGAAGCCATTTTTTCACAGCATGGAAACGCGCTTAGAAAGCTTATTATACACCCTGACGAAAGATGGTTTACGGGAATCCATGGCCGTAACGCAACCAATCCTCCTATGGAGCTTACCAAGGAGCACTTCTCTCAGATTGCGGTTCTTTGTCCGCTGTTAGAAGAACTCTCTGTACCAGTCAGGCGTAACGGGTCCTGTGCATCTGAGGTCGAGTTATACAGATGCTTTGGGAAGATGAAGCACTTACGAGACCTCTTTCTCATTCTCGACTGTTCCGACCGGAGAGTCTACGTGGGAGACAACCAGTCGTCTACACCCTCCATAATAGGAGATGAAGAGAAGAAAATCTTGATCAATTACGCAGTGGATGAGTCGCTGGCACGCTCGATATGGAACACGATCAGTCAAACCAAAGAAGGCAGGCAGTTGGAACGTCTCAAACTGTGGCCTAAGGGACTTGACTACGGCAGGGTATGGGGTTTCTTCACTGTCCTCGTGGAGGAGGTGTCTCGGTCGTGGTTGCTTGAACGCAATCCTCGAGATGACCACGTAGATCCCCTTGTAAGGGAACTTGGTAAGCTCTCGAGGGAGTACCGTCAAGTGCACTGGCACTGGAAGAATGATTTTAAGTGGAAAGCAGAGGAGCTATTTCGTTCCATCTGGCCCTGCAAAGAAGGTAGCAAGGATTGGCGGGACGACTGGTCGAGCTTCCCTCTTGAAGTCTAGTAGAACTAGACAATTCCCTCTGCTGATCTAATCACGCATCTCCACGTCAATGCATTGAGCGGTACTGGTGATCTACTGACTGCTCACACCGACTACCAACTTTTCGGATCACCGAAAGGTCCATTGTTGTCCTTGTCTCATCAGAACTCCGCTCAGGAATTCAAGCAAAAAGCGAATGTTCTCAACGAGTACGTTCACTGATCAAGTTTGCATGGCGTGTGGTCCAGCATTGAAAGCGGATTTGATTGATCAGAGTCTGTGCCAGAATAAATCCAGCACTTCATTCTCGAGCTACGCACAGAGCTGCTAGGTATATCTCAGCCCAAGCGTCCGGTAGATTGTCCTTCTCGTAGCTCATTCCATATCTAAAGCTTGCAATATTCTCGGCCGATCTAGCACAATCAAGTGCGCTTAGATCTGAAGCCTCTCGACCTTGTCCTTGAGGGTGCGGATCTGGCCCATGAGGTCAGAGGCCTCGTTGGTGGTGATAGAGCAGGCGATGACGGCGCGAGCGACACCGCAGGCGCGGCCGAGAGCCATCTTGGAGGGAACGTAGACGTAGGGAACGTTCTTGTCTTCGCAAAGAAGGGGCAGGTGGAGAAGGATGGCCAGAGGGCTGGTATCGGCAGCAAGGACGATGACCTCGGAGATACCGCGGTTCAGAGTCTTGGTCGCCTCGCTGTTGTCCTGTTAGCGAATGCTTGCTACAGGATCGGAGGTTTGGACTTACTTGGCACCCTTCTTCAATTGACGGTAGTGAGTAGCCTGCTGGACAAGGTCAAGGATCTCTTGGGAGAGAGCCTGGTCAGCCTGAGGCCACGCAGCACTGTCCACGTTAGATTTTGGCAGTCGTTCGGTCGCGAGGAATGACTTACGAGGTGTCCGCCATTTCGTAGGTTTTGGTTGCGAAAGTTTCGTTGAAGTAGGGTTCACTGCTTAGCTCGCCCGTAGGTTCACTGCTTTGCTCGCCCGGTGAGAATGTGGAGGAGTGAGTGGGTGTTGGTGGTGAGCTGCAAAAGTTCGCGACAAACTGAGAATTGGTGCGCCGACATTTTTTGGAGTAGTCAGCAAATCGGCTTGGCGTACGTGGAGTCGCCACGTGATGCGGCTAACACGTTCGCAGACTAGGCGAAACCAGCCAACCGCAGCAGTCTTCGCCAACATCGTCACCACCGCCATCGACTCTCCAACGCCTGCGTCGCTTCATCCACCCCGTCCGCTCATCTCATCAACGATCAAGATCGTTCTCTCGACCGCCCGTTGATTCATCACACAATCGCCAAAATGGTTTCGGAGTCTTGGTGAGTGCCCGTGAAGCTCCCCTTGCTCAGGCCGCTGCCAGCTTCGAGCTTGCCTTCGCGGCGATAGCTCGAGGTGGGACGCGTCACTGCGACATTGGAGTGGCCGTCTGTATATTTGGTTAAGAACAGTAGCTAATATGACCGCCTAGCCCCGTATATGCCGTAAGTTCGCAGCCACGCCTCCGCTTCGCCTCTATGCGCAGTCAACAGCGCGACGAATCTCCGCCATCGTCATACCTCGCGACATCGCCCGCAACAACACTCATTACGATCAACATGCACTGACCTTCCTCTAGCCCTTCTTCGGCGCGATGGGCTGCACATCAGCCATCGTCTTCGCCTGCTTCGGTGCCGCCTACGGTACTGCCAAGGCTGGTGTCGGTGTCAGCGCCATGGGTGTCCTCCGCCCTGACCTGATTGTCAAGAGTACGTCTCACAATTCTCATTGCGCTGCATTGGCTGCTGCATTTTTCCCCGCGATACAGACATGGCTAACGAAGCGCAGACATTATCCCCGTCGTCATGGCTGGTATCATCGGTATCTACGGTCTCGTCGTCTCTGTCCTGATCTCCAACGGTCTCAAGCAAGAGGCTTCCCTCTTCACCAGCTTCATCCAGCTCGGTGCCGGTCTCTCTGTCGGTCTGTCTGGTATGGCTGCTGGTTTCGCCATTGGCATTGTCGGTGACGCTGGTGTACGAGGAACAGCCCAGCAGCCCAGGTTGTTCGTCGGCATGATTCTGATTCTCATTTTCGCTGAAGTCTTGGGTACGTGTATGCCACGCACAGCAACAAGCACACGCACTAACTCGAACCTCAGGTCTTTACGGTCTCATTGTTGCCCTTCTTATGAACTCCAAGGGCGCCGAGGGTGTCTGCCAGTAAATGCCACAATTCGAACCATAACAGCAGCCAACGACAAGTCACCCCCACCGAACAAACATTGGCATCACTTTGGCTCGACACGTATACCACAAACACATCTCGCATGGCGCTTATGAAAAGCATGCGCGGCATGTTGTACGTCTACCTTTTTGTGTATCTTCTTAGCGGTGTCCAGCCACACCCGGGAAATTGAGCGACGCGGACGGGTATGGGGAAGAGTAGATAATGGAGTCGAGGGACGGCAAATGCGATCCATTTGACGGCGTGTATTCTAGGGTCCTTTTTCAATCTCATTGCACTTAGAAACGAATGCATTGCTTTCTCAGGGCTCGCAGTGCCAAGTGCATGCACGGTGCTCGATGACGTGATACAGTGGTCAGGCTTCGACCGTGTTGTCCAGTCTGACGACTCGTTATTCGCGGCATCGACTGCCTATCGGCTTGTGCTAACTACAACCACAGATGTCGCATGAATAGTATCGTTGAAACTGTATCCGACTTCAGCATTGTTAAGACTTGACCTAGTACGCATAAGACACATCTTTGTAAGCAACACCAAATTGACCAAGTATCTACAGAACTCTCCAATACGCACACTACAGTGTTAACAAATCCCATACCTCCCTCCTTCATAAGCACGGCATCGTCAAGCCCCAAAAATCTCCCTCGCATGGGACCTTACCTGCTGCTCAGGCGCATCAACAATCAAACCCCTCGCCTGCATCACCGGCGCCGCCCCAAATTGCTCATTATTCCGACACTCACCCCCGCCACACGCACGATAAATACTCATCGCGGCCGACCCGCCACACGTCTGCGCCGGATTCCCCGCGCACTTGGCCACGCAGTTGCCCATGAAGCCGTCCCTGGGCGCGTACTCGGGCCGCAGCGCGTTCGCGCAGAAGCACTCTCTGCTGTACTCAAGACCGGCGTATGTGTAGCCCTGGCCGGCGCAGAAGTCGACGCACATCTCGACTGTGGCGGCGGCACGGCTGTACGAGGGGCCTGGGAAGGCCCGGTCGGCGATGTTGTCGCGGCCGCAGCCGACGTAGGACCACTGCTTGGTGGTGGTGAGGTCGACGTAGTTTGTTTTGCGGATGCCGAGGGCGACGTTGTCGGTGCATTGGCCCGGGGCTGAGGGATGGGGTCCGTGGGTGACAGGGTTGCAGCCGGGAAGTTTGGTGAGGAGGCCGTCGTTGGTCTCTTTGACGCCCTCGTGAATGCGGCAGGACAGGCACTCTTCGTAGGTGAACTGCGTGACGGCAGAACAGCGCTCGACAAGCCCGGAGTCATCGGTGCAGGTGTCGACGGCGCGCTGCAGCGTCGGCACGTCCCATCCGTTCAGGAAGTCGCCGTGGTATCCGTAGCCGGTTGTATCGCCCTGCGAGAAGACGAACGGGTGCTGATCTCCGTCCCATTGGTCAAGAAAGGGCGCGGTGTCGTAAAGGACTTCAAAGAAGAGAGAAATCATATGCACGGGAAAGTCTGGTGGACAGGCGCCGGTGTTATACTCGCTGCCTACGGGATAAGCCATGTGAGACTTGTGGTCCGGGGTATCGAGGTCTCTTCCATTCCAGCATGCTGGGAAGAAGATTTGTGCGCGCAGACCGCCAGGACAGTTGAAGTTCGGCATGTTGTTTGTCTCAGGGAGGCCTGGGCCACCGAGACAACTATAAGAGACGGCTTTGGCGGCAGAATTGTTACCGAAGCTGCGTGCGGACGTATCGCCGGCGAGCATGCGGAAACCTTCAGGGAAGGCGTGGAGTTTCTCGTTTGGATCATTGCCGCGGCGTTGGAGGTAGTACACCGCCATACCGCCAGTAGTGTCTTCTGGGTCGCCAATCTGGGGCACCGGCAAGAACGTGCTGTTCTTAAACTTGACATACAGCTGAGGCGTCCAGTAGTTCGACATGTCTTCCTAGAAGATATCAGAGGAGGCGCACTGTAAGTTTGTGCGAATCCGCTTACCTTGATAGTACACGAGGAGCATTTTGATGCTCGCATCCCCTCGTAAGTCATCGTAGGAGCGAAAGCAGCTCCACCCGAAATAGTGTGAACGTGACCGGCAACGCGGCCAGGGGCGACAATAGGATCGAGTCGCATTCGAACCACTCGACCCGGACATGACATGCGAAAGAAGGCATCTGATGAGCCCGCAAATGCAGTAAGAGCTGAAAAGTACGTGATGCGCATCGTTGCAAGGAAGCCTGTGAAGTCGATAATGTTAATGATAGCCGGCGGTTCGCAGTATAAGTAGACGAAGCGAGAAAGGCAAGATGGCGCGAGACAGTCGTTCAAGCCTCAACTGATGGACGAAAACAATCGTGGGCGTTCGTACAACCAGATGTCAGACACGAGCATGGTCTCGCATATCCTAATCTCTTTGTCTTGAGGCGTCGACGGCCGGGCGGATATATCAAAGGTGGAGCTTTAAGAGGAGGTTATCAAGCTGGCTTCAGTGGGCCAAGTCAGATCACCACGGATTCAGACAAGTTGGTGAGAAGTGGCGGCGACGGTGCGTCCGGATGCCTTTTTTTGTGTGGTGGAGCACACCCTCCATGCAAAGTCGTCCACTTGGCATCGTTAGCAGACCCTCAGGGTGGTGCAAATACTCGGCTGTGGTGTATTATTTTTTGCCTGCAAATTGGTGGTTGTTTGGAACAGGAGCGGTAGAAGCTGGAGGCGATTGGTCCAGCTTTAGCGGACACATGTGTGGGACTAGCGTCGAGTACCAAGTGACTGTTGGGCACGGAGGCACGTCTGCATATGGAAGGAACAGATATCAGAGATCTTCGCATCTTCCGCTGACTTCATTCACAGGCAGACGCCTGTCATCTGCTGTGGCGTTGTGGTGTTTTCATTCGTGCTGCAGGGGTCTCTCTAGGAGTCTAGAACCGTGCCACGGACTGAAGTACCAAACGCCAACTGAGTATCTGCAGTGCGCCTCAACCTAGGCATTCAAAGCCCTTGCGACTTCGAACAGAGACCGCAGCCATGTTGACTGTGGGGAGATTTGGCGCCTGGAGTTGAAGCTCGATCAGTGACGTACGTTGTGGTTCCGTCTCCCTTTGGTCAGGGACCAGCAAACACTGGTCCTCATGCTGTTTTGGGAAGCCTTTAGCGTTTAGGCCCTCACATCTACCATGGGTTCTTCATCTGTTCAGGCTATCGAGTGGAACAGCACCACCGTTTTCTTTCATCTTTACTCGAAAGTCGTACAGCAGTATGCAGACCCGCTCTGAACGTCCAGATGCAGATGACATGCATAAAGCAGTTGAAGCGCCGGCAATGCGTCAGCTTACGCAGGTCTACACGAGGCTCCACGTTTCAGCTCGGCACTGACCGTTTTCGTCACCTGCTTTGGCGCGACCCGGGATCATGATGCTTTTGCAGACGTTCTGTCACTTGGGCGGTGCCGATGTTGCACAGGGCTTTGAGCAGGCGCGGAACCAGAGCCGAGAGCTCTGAGCATGTTACACTGATGATGGTGAACGTCTTTGAAGGATTTTACAGAGGGCGGTGCCGAGCAACTCTAACAGAGACACTGAGAAGGGTGACGGCTAATACACCAGGCCTGTGATGCAGTCATAACTGTCGGAGAAGCATTACAGCCCTGTAGATCTATCTTGCGATCAGATTTACGCATGCGTATGAAGTGATTGTAGTACGCAAATATTGAAATTCCCCTCGTGAAGCGTGCGAGACGCGGTTGACACTGTGAGTATGGCAAGCGCGACTGTAATCGAGTTGTTCTCCTCCAATCATGTTGTAGATGTATCAGGCAGTGTAAGAACACGATTGCCACTTTTTGGACAGAAATGTACGTCATCAAACGCCGATGGTGTAGTCGTGTCATTGTCCTCGTCCTTTGTCCATGTAGCAGCCCACTAGAAGTCACTAGAGATGCTATCTGCCAGGCTCAACACGTCTCGGGGGATCGATAGAACCGAACTACGACAACATTCATGTTAGTATATGCTGGAGAATTTCAGTAGGCTCTGAAATGAACGGCGCTCCGGAGTCACTTCGTCAGATAGGTTAGGGTCGTGTTGTGGCACCAGCGAATCTTGAAGCGAGTTCTCATTCATCTGACGGAAGAGATGTAAGAACTCAAATTCCGTGTAAGTCGGGCGTCGATAGACAGAAGCCACAGCTGAGATGAGACACAATCGAATCACCCCTTATTTGTCGCCGGGATAGAACAGGCCATTGTCCTTCCTAACCTTCTCCAGTACCCTCAGAATCTCCCTCGACAGAGTCTCATAGTGCTTCTCAGCATCCCGATCCCTGTTATTGATGACCCTCGCAAACTCCTCAGCCTCCTCTTGCAGATTGAGCTTCACCCTCGTCTCCGGGCCCGCCAGCTGCTCCCTCTTCTTCGTCTTCGGGTCCCACAGCGTGACCGTCTCGATATCCGTTATTGTGGGGACGATCAGTGTGCCCTTCTCGCCGTACACTTCCGACGGAGCGTCGCTGTTGTAGGTCTTGCTGTGGCATAGATGCACAACGAAATTGCCATAGTCCAGGACGAGGCGGCCGCCACCGTCAGCGCCTGTGGCGATAATGTTGGGCCAGTACTTTGCGTCTTTGGGGGCGCCGAAGAGATCAATAGCGGCTGACACGCAGTATACACCCAGATCGACAAGCGCGCCGCCACCCATCTCCAGATTGAAGATGTTTGGCGTCTCTCCGGCCAGGACCTTCTCGTAGCGAGAGGAGTATTGCGCGTATGTGAGCGAGGCACCGTAGATGGGGCCAAGGTTACTGATGGCTTTTTTCAGGGTCTTAAAGTTGGCTTCTTGGATGTGACGGAAGGCCTCGATGAGGAAGACATCTTTCTCACGTGCGATCTTGAATAGATCATCGAGTTCTGAGACTCTGCTGCACGATGGCTTTTCTAAAACGACGTTCTTGCCTGCATTGAGTGCGAGCTTAGCTTGTTCATAGTGAAAGATGTTGGGGCTGGCAATGTAGATGGCGGACAGGTTCGAGTCGTTGACAAACTTGTTCAGATCGGTGTGCAGGTCGACTTTTTGGCTGTCGTACTTCGCAGCGAATTTCTTTGCTGACTCTTCTGTGCGAGAATAGACAGCAGCAAGATTCCACTTGCCGGTAGCTTGAGCACACTCAATGAAAGAGTCCGTGATCCAGCTTGTGCCGATGATGCCGAAGTTGATGGGTGCCATGATGATAGTGGTGATGTGAGGTATGGAGACAAGATAGTCAATTCGTCTTGCAGCGTTGATGTGCGGGGGCGAATTCTTATATCAATGCCTTGTCTTACGTGAGCCTTTCTGTTGGGCGACTCTGCTGTCGAGGGGCAACCGCGATTGACCCCACTAGATGGAGCTTTAAGGATGTGATGTCAGAGCGCGCACGATTCTCATTGGTCAGTTCAGACAACTGTTATGATTGCCAGAAATGGCTAAGGCAAAAACGATGAAGACATTGCACGATCAAGTGAACTGAGCAGAACGCGCCGAGTTTTGCCAAATGTGTTATATTGCCGAGGCGGACACGAACCGAAACCTGGCCTATGTGGTACTTGCTATTAAATTCAGAGCTCCATAGCGAGGAGGGTATCATGCTGGAAACGACATAATTTGTCGTGGAAGTATCATACCAGATGCGTGCAAAGAGTCCATGAGTCCGTGAATCCTCCTGAGATGTGTCTCGGGGGTGAGAGGCGCTGAAGACTGAAAGAGAGACTGCTGATGCGCCTGGGGAAAACGAACGCAGAAAACACCTAGCTAAGCAAGACCAGAACGCCAAATATGCTGTGATGAGAAAACCTCCAACTATGCAATGTATGAGCAGTACAAAATCGCATGGGCAACTTGGACTCTCTGTCTGCAGCCCTCAGTCCTCCCAGACTGTGCCGAGCGAGAGGTCTACACGTCTTTCGCCTCCACAGACACTCCAGCGCTTCCTAGCGTCTCTCTTTCCAGAGTTGAAGCCACGGCCGCGACCTTCAGGCACATCCAGACTAGATCGGCGAAGATCACCACCGTCTTCGCGGTCGGCTGCTGCCTTCAGCTGGGCAATGCGTTCTGATTCGAGGGCCATATCCTCGGCATCAGGGCTGTCTTCTATTGTTTCGAGGGATGAGATGGAGGGACTGCGAGAGCGCATCGAGGTTGGTGTAGATGGGACCGACGAGGAGGCGAAGGAGGACGGGTAGTGCTCGTTGAACTTGGAAGGCGCTAGCATGGGGGAGGATGCTGTAGAGGTTGGTGTGCTGGCAGAAGGGGTGCTGGTCGGGAGTGCGCCAAAAGGTATGGCGACGTTATAGAGGGGAGATGCTGGCCGCCTGCGCCTAGACAATGAACCAGCGCTGCTGTACAGGCTGGATATGCTGCTGCTGCTGGTGGCGCGCGGCGTGAGCTCAAGCTCTGCATCCTCCGCAATGTCGCAGACGCTGGGAGCTCCTTCGAACGAACCCACAGAAGCTGGACGTATGCCAGAGCCGTATCGTTCCTGCATACCTGTGGTTGATAGGCGCGGCTCGACTGTTCGTGGACTGCGCGGCTTGGGCGAGCGGAGGGGAGACGAAGGGCGGTCGAGTGGCATGGGCGAGGGCGAGAGTGTGAGGCGGCTGATCGACGGCTGGCGCCCTGGAATGGACTGCATAACAATGGGCAACGAGTGCGCTCTGGTCATCGGGGGAGCGAGTGCACTGTGGCCGCTCTGAGAACGCATGTGGGAGCGAGCGTAGGGCGACCGGTTGCGTGGCTTCGTCTGATATGTGGGAGTGATGCCCGGTGCAGGATCGGTTTGCGAGCGAGGCGTAGAGGGCCGGCGTGAGGCCATGCTGTCGTCGGAGGTGTTGCTCGACTGGTGGGCGAGTGTGTTGGCTTCGCCCATGCTTTCGCTGATTTCAGGGAGTGTGCCTGGCTGCTCGAAGAGTCGGTGCAAAGGGACCCTGGACGGCTGGTCGGCGGTGAAGTGGGACTCGTCCTGGTCGTCCTCTTGCTGGCCGGGCTGGGGTGAGTTCCTGCTGGAGGGTCGGGCCGGGGCTGTTGGTGCTGAGCGGGCGGTAGAGCGCAGTTCTATGGCTTCGAGGCGCTGGAGGAGTTCGTCGTACTGCGGATCGCCCTGCGCTGCTGGCGAGGACGAGAAGTGTGTGGCGGTCATGGGGGCGAGCTGCGCAACGGCATAGTCTTGCTGCAGGCGGTCAGGCTGAGGTGCTCAGTGCCCAGTGTCCCGGGGATGGCGTTGGCGAGTGCAACAGGGGGCTAGTCTGTGGTTGTTATGGACGCAGGTTGCACCTTGCTCTTGTTTCAGCTGCCGCGAGGTCAAAGTCCGGCGTGGCGATTGGCTGCAGCCAGGCCCCTCTGTTTGGCAGCGCTCGTGCCGCAAACACACAGCGAACGGAAGCTGTGCGAGAACGCGCGCAGCGGATGCTGCTGTTGCTGATGATGTCGGGCCTGTGAACGAGGAGGGCAGCAGAGCGCACGCTGAAGCTGCACTGCGACTGCGACTGCCTGCGACGGGCCGGATCGGCGGCCGTGCCTGCCTGTCGACCCTATCGGTTGCGCGCTGGGCGGTAGTAGACTGACTGCTCAAAGGCAACCCTGCAATGTAATGTAAATAGACGACCGAGGTAGTACTGACAGAACCCGCCTGTGGGGAATTCACGGTCAAGATATTAACAAGTCCCCGAAACTGGCTGGGGAGTGCCTGAGTATTCGGGCGACTCCAGCGCCGCCCTGGCCCAGGTGAACCGCTGCCGGGGAGGCGCCTAACCGGACCCTGCATATCGACGTTTTCGTGCTAGCAGGGCGAGTTCTCTGGGCCGGCAGACTCTTCGCTGGCCGTGACCAGGCCGCTGCGAACTGCTGCCGTTCCATTGCTGGGCTGTTCTCGCCCTGCCGTCAGCCGCATGCGGATGCCACTGCGGATTGTGGGTGGACTGGAGTACCATATTCGAATCCGCCAGCTTTGATGACTTGTGGGCGTTCATGCGGTCCTTGAGGCCCAGCCAAATCATGTCGCTGCGGAGAAATTGCTGCGCCAGATCCTGCAATAAGCCTCTAGCTTGCTCGCCACGCCACGATGAAGGGTCCACGCATGACCTTCCCTCCTATCATTTGAAGCCTAATGCTCGTACCTGCTTTAACTATGTTGCCGAACCAATAGTCACCATCAGGTTGGCTTTCCACTAGCTGCAGCGTCTCCACCAGCTCCTGCAGTATGCTCTCGGCTACTACTTGATGGAAGTGCTCGTTGCCACGACGAGCATCCTCCATTCCAGAATCATAGTACACGCGGCGCCTACGGCATCTCCACTCTGTCTTTTGTTCTGATGATGTGGTCCGCTAAAGACCTTCCATCCCTCTCATGATACGGTGTTCCTTTGACTAGGTCGTGTTTGCTACTATCGTTTCAATGGCCACGACGCCTTTCGTTAGTCGTGGCGTTCCTTGCGAGTCGCCGATTCTATCATCGGGTCCTGAATGTGCCGGATCTCGACCTTTTTCCATGAAGGGGCTGATATTGCTGGAGCACAAACCGAGTGTGTTAAGATTAGACGAGAGGATACACAGGAGAAGAAGTCTCTTCCGTATAGAAGTTGTAGGCTGCTCTCTAGCATAGGTTAAGGGTATGACGTCGATAAGCTGCCGCGCAAGGCTCAATGTAAGGTTTCGCGTAGCTTTGTATGATCGCATTACTCGTGTTTGCAGGATATATGGGTCTGGAATGTCGGAGGGCAAGTGACTTCCCTGTCAGTCGAGATGGAATGTCATCACAACTCGTTCGACGAATCTGGACGACGACAGTCAGGAGCTGCTTCAGGGTTTCCAACAAGGTAAGATGTTGGGTCTTGACGACACCGATCAAGGCTTGCAAGTGCAACTTCTAACACCTTCTCCGCCTTGTGCATATAGTTCAACGCGGAGATTGCAAGCAACATGAACCTCAAAAGGTGACAGCGACCTGGAAAACTGACATTTTGCCTGTGATGTCTAGTCTGGAAAGATTTGGGACAACGGGGACAACGACTCGTAGGACTGAAGATCCACTGTAGTTCAGAGCCGCTTCATCCGAGTAGGCGAAGACCTACTACGCGTCTCCATCATGCACCACAGACTTGCTAAATATCTGTGCCTGCTAGAGGCAAGTTGAAATCCTACCCTCTATCAGAAGATGGCATATACGTCAGACTACTCACCTCCTTCAGCTTTTCGGATGACTGACTTTCTCTAGGTGTGTACGTACAGCACTACAAGCACCCAAGAATGGCCGAGTTGCCACCGACGTAGCTGCAAAGCAGGAAACGAAGGATCAGTGACTTCAAGACAAGGCTTCCTTATTGGTACAGCTGCGCCTAGGCGGAGATATGCGGTCGTAGATTTGGAAGATCATTGGCCGTGCCAAAGAAGTGCGATCCTTCAAAACTGCCAAAAGGCAACTCGGACGAGCCTGCGACACGTCTCAAGGCTACAACAACCCCAATTGAACCCACTGGCTAAGAAGAGATTGGTGGAAATATGAGCTGCGAGAGCATCGGAAGTACCGGGCATGTATTGAAGGATGTCGATACGTGGTACGTTTCGCTCCTGCGACGATCTGTAGACGTATCTGGCGTACGTACCTAGGTACCTAAGTAGTCTGCTGACTTTTGGTTCTCGACTTTTGTCTTTGAATTGCAAATGGCAAGCACCAATGCGAGCCATCACAATTTGCAACTCTTTCGGATGTAGACGATGAATGAGATTGCAGAGAAGAATTTGTCAGCCCTGTGTCTCGTTCAGACAGTCAGAGCCACCCAAGCGATTGCAGTATAGTGTGGTGTATTCGCTGCAAACGCAGTATTTATAGCTCATACTTCTATGATGTTAGTTGTAGATGCGCAGCTTGTAGCTTCTGTGAGACCATGCTCCCGAGAGACGAATTGTGACATCCATGAGGCTGGAGTGAGTCAGAACATGAGACTATTCAGACGCTCACTCGCCTACCGGCGGGCTGCGTAGAGCCTATAGAGACCTCAATGTACGGGATATGCTTACGATACCCACCGTTGTAGAGATAAATGTATATTATGAAGACAGAATACATAGGTCGCTCCAGGAAGAATCTCGGTTGTGTAATAGAAGGGCATATACAGATGCGAGCAGATACGGAATTTATGGTTTGCTCCAATTGCTAACATTCAAGGTTCATGCTTGCTATCGGTGCTTGAAAGAATGTGCAGACCCCCTCAACCATGGAGCAGAGATGTACCTATAGGTAGTAAAGGCCTCTGACTGGCTACAGAAGTCTGGTAAGCTGTCCTGCAGGGCAACAACGTGGGAATTGACCAATCATAGGATGATTTGCAGCTTACTACCATGGTACGTACCTATATCGTGTAATCTGTTCCATGGTTGTAGGGGTCTGCACAAATCGCCAACGACTATAATATATCAACATGATCTTGCCGAAGCTTGATCACCCGTTCTCCGGAAATCTTCTTTTTTGACACTTGGACGTTGGGGTATGCAGGATACCAAAAAAAGCCACATCATAGCTCGAGGATCTTAGATAAGGGAAGGCCTCGGTACTTAGGCGTACGAGAAGGCTAATTTTTGGCCTCCAGTTAGGCAGCATCTTTACTAGGGTGCCCAAGCAGCTCCTGCGGATGCTTGCTTCCTGAGACAAATTACGGAACAGATCTAGCAACAGCCACATATTCATTGATAGACGGGCCAAAACGAGCTCCGTGGTAGCCGCCACGGACCTTTGGCCGGCCTCTTTACCATCCAATATTTGCTTGTTGCCGACTCCGCAACCGCTTACATGCCTCAGATGTACTAGCCTTCACTAACAATCCGGTGTTTACCCAGCGAAGATGAAAAACGTGTTGTGCGATTGGAAGAAGCAGGCGGTATAGATTGGGACTGCGGCGATGCGCGGCAGCCAATTGTCATCTTGTCGGGTTTGACTTCTACATCTGAAATCAAGGGTCATATACTAGTACCGTGACCTCGAATCGGATGTGATAAAAGCGCAGAATTCAGATTACCGTTAGCAGTCTTTCAAAGAGGCCGGTTCCTTCCGATCTATGTCATCAGATCTGAGGTGAAGTCAAGCTGATCCAATCGCGAATATTACCGACCCCGCTGCCGCTTGAAAAACCACTCTAAATGGTGGAGCAGATCGTTTATGAACCCATCCTCGTTTTACGAAACAATACCGATCCATACAGAAGGACTGAACGATCCTTCCTTCCCTGTGCCAAGTACAGAGTGGTCTGAGGTCAAGTATTCGAATTCGTGGACATCTGCATCCAGCTAGGAGATGCCGTACCCCGCAGCGAGTGACAGAAGGGCGGAGAAGGAACTGATGCCACCAGCTGACTGTCGAAACGCATCCAATGTCGTTCAGTCAGAGTCAACTGAGAGGGTCTGATCAGATGTTCAGGCACCCAAAACTGAGCGAGCTTTTACATACCTACACTCTGGATACAGACCGAGCGACTTGGGCTAGGATGTAGATTTACACAGTTGCAAAGGTTGAAGAACACGAGGGACGCCGTAGTCAGTGCAGACTGTCTTGGAATATGGATGTTGTAAGTAGCTGAAGTGCAGATTCCTTGCCTGGCCTCGCGGATCTTTAGCTTATGCAGGAGGTATTGCAGCCCGAAAGGTTCATGGTCTACGCGCCACGCGCCTCACAAGTCGTACCACAAATGGCAGCACAGTCGTATCGGTCATGGTTCATGGTCTGCTCTACAGAGGATCGGAGATGTTGATAAAGTTAAACTGTGCCGTCAAGCCGATTTTCGAGCCCGGTACTCCAATTGCAGACAGCTATACGAGTGGACACATTGTCTAGCAGCACATCTAGACACGCAATACGCAACGGATGTCCAATCTCCCCATGAAGTAAAGTTAAAAAATCCCATCCTGATTATTGTTGGGAAGAACGTACAGAAGACTCTCACTTCTGATTCTATATCCTTCCGAAAGACTTCTGCATCGTGGAATGTCGCAGCGATCAGAGAGAGTCTGTTGATATTATTTAGTTTTCAGGTGTGGTGTTCAGCTTATGTGTTTACCCGAGATGAGATTTTAGCTCGGTTAAGTATCACGCATTGCAGGATTCGTTAATCGTGAGGTAGAATTGGGTACCAGCCGCCGATCAAGAATGCTTGCGGAATCATGCACAACACTCCATCCGGTGATCATCCGTGAAGTTGAATCATGTTGAGATTTAAGCAAGTTTGCCGAGTTCACCTGGGAGCTGCGCAGGAGCCACTACCGGACCTTAACTCCGCTGGCTGTACCGCGGTCAGCAACACATTCCCAATTTCCTGTCTTGCCGCCTGTAAGGTACGAGCTCATTGGTCTACGGGCTGCTTCAGCAGCAGCAGCCGCTACTAGGACCTTGTGAATTTCGCAGGGTGCCATGCAAATCAGGACGCCGTGTGGCCATCTAGAGCGCGCGACATGCGCGCCCCCTAACATCCTTTAGTGTACCCGCTCCAGGATTGGGCTCCTGGTTACCCAACCAGTCAGCGCACACGGAGTTGCCAGCGACGTGCTGTCGAGCTGTTTCACACAGCCCTGGACCTGTCACCTCCGCTTCGATGATTCCGGGCTTGAACAAAGAAGAAGGCAGCTTCCAACACTCTTCCCGTTGCTCATGGCCTTTTGGGATATAGTACTGAGCTCGGCGAACGCAAAGCTATATGGAAGGCGACTCATTCCGAGTATTGTCGATGACAATGCAAGACACCAGCCAGAGAAAATATGTTTCTCATTTCCTATCTGCTATGCTACTTTGAGCGAGGGTTTCCAGGATGTCAGCTGGAGATGCGTACGTATGAAATGCCTCTGATCGAGCAGTACTGACAGTTCTAGTTTGCCAATGCCATCGACAAGATGGCACACTTTATCCAAAGAAGAGTGGGCGTCAGCACTGAGTTCGACACGATCATGTACATGGGATATCCAGATATCAGAGCATTCATAGTGCTCGTTGCCGCGTAAGCTCCTGCCTAAACCAACCCCCACCTTGTTGAATTAAACTGACGTGCTCTCACAGTGTGAAGACAGGCCACAAGGTACGATATGTTCTTTCGAACAGCGAGCGCGTTTCCCTAGGAGCATATTGACACAAGATAGACCCTTTTCAGCTCTCATCGAAACAGCCTTGTGGGTCATACAAACCTCATTGAGCAGACCAACTGTAAGATCCTACTACATACGGCTGGATTCCCTGTATCAGGCATCCTCGAACGAAATCGGCTCGCATCCTTTCAAGTACCGGAACTAGCTGCTCTCCTGGACAACTCATCATGCGAACCCTTCCCGTACCGTAAGACATACGAGCAATCAAAGCATGAACCATGCTTCGTCATACACACGTCAGGCTCTACCGGACTACCTGCCCCAGTAACGTGTTCGCACTGGTCTACCGCCACGACGGACCGACACCATCTCGTGGATCCCTTAGACGGGAGGCCTACTGTATGGGCTGATCTGTTCGACGCCAGACGTCGCAACTACGTCGCTTTGCCAATCTCCTCGAGCTCAGGGATCGGTTCTGGCATCTCAGACACATGCTATAACAATGTCACTGTTGTTCTTGGCCCCCCCGAGCAAGCTACCGCGGAGACCATGGTCGAGATGCTACAATATGGGGACATCGATGCAATGACTTGCGTGCCCTCAACGCTGGAAGCGTTCGCAGAGAAGCCAGATGTTCTAGTCAGACTTCGAGGACTGAGGAACATCGCTTACATTGGAGGTATACAACGTCCCCTATCCTGCTATGAGTCTTACTGATACTGTGCAGGGTCTCTGTCCCAACATGCCGGGGATATTGTCTCCCGATATGTTCAAATAGTGACCCTGATGGCATCGACTGAGACTGTCGGTGTGGTACAGCATGTCACCGACCCCGAAGACTGGTCTTATGTTTGCATAAACCCCATCTGGAACGGCATAGAGATGCGACCCGTCGCCAATCTTTTCGAGCTCGTCTACGTTCGGAACCCGGAATGCGCAGATTTCCAAGCAGTATTCGGAGCTAATCCTCATCTGACGGAATATCCCATGCGCGATCTGTATTCTCAGCACCCTACGAAGCCACATCACTGGAAGCATGAGGGTCGTAAGGACGACATAATCGTGTTCAAGAATGGCTGCAAATTCAACCCGATACTACACGAGCGACTAATAGCAGCCCATCCGAGAGTGCGTGCCTGCATGCTTGTCGGCACTGGCAAGGAAATGCCTGCAGCAATTATAGAGCTGCATGCACAATACTATACGGAAGATAAATCGATACAGAGAAATTTGATAAAGGAAATCTGGCCCCAAGTAATCAAAGCAAACGATGTAGCAGATATCCATGGCCAGCTCGAGGAGCGCTACATTCTTTTTGCTACGCGAGAGAAGCCTTTTGTAATGGGACTGAAGGGCACAGTCCAAAGATACAACACCAATCGTCTTTACGCGCAAGAGATTGATGCTCTTTACACATTGATAGCTGAAGGAGGCATGAGTACACTTTTTCGGACCGAATCCTCAAGAAATTAATAATTGTTCACTAATCACGAGACTGTATCTAATCTTCAAACAACAACGTGCCTTGGCATGTAAACCAACATTGACCTTACTGTGTACATAGCTCGTGTTAACGCGGTGTATTGGATACACCGACTCCGGTTGGCTACTGTAACCTACCTACACTAAACTACCTTCGGAACGGACTTCCAGCTCAGGGATTCGGCTTTCGGAATCCCATCTGGCTTACTAACAACGAAGTTCATTTTCGGAGCCCCGTTACCTTCTATGCCCGTCGATGACCGATTCATGGGACATGTGTGTGGCAGATCAGGCAACAGACTACCTTCCATTTCCCTCCCTATTATAGTTTCGGGGCTGAAGAGCGTCGTATAAATCAGCCGTACACGCCCACTCTCAGCTACAACAATTAACGAGCAGTTCACACATCTTTACAAAACTCACACAAAACACCCATTACATTTCCAAAAGCCAATTTCGACAGCAACATGGCTCCCAAGTCTCTTCACGCAGTCGCCTTGACGCCAATCATCCTCGGCCTCCAGAATGCAGCTGCCGTGCTCCGCAAAGGCGAAGCACATGCCAAAGCCAACGGCATTGATTCCAACGACTATCTGACTGCACGTTTGCACTCCGACATGGGCGATCTCTGCTTCCAGGTGTACCGGTTCACCGACAGTGCAAAGTTTATCGTGGAGCGCTGCAGCCCGTCAGCCCCCACCATCAGCAATCCCGATGTGCAGAAGACCTTTCCCGAGCTTCTAGAGCGCATTCAGAAGACGCTGGAGTATGTCGAGAGCATCGGACCTGATGCCTTTGAGGGTAGAGAAGATGAAGAGGTTGTGCTTCTCATGGCGAGGAATGCGCCGAATGGTCCCGCCGAGGTTCGACTGACTGCATTCAACTACGTTTTGCAACAAGCGCACCCGAACTTCTGGTTCCATGTTACAACCATGTACGATATTCTGAGGAGCAAGGGCGTGCCGGTAGGAAAGACGGACTTTTTGAATGGAGCTGGAGTCATCCCTATCAAATGGCTGGGACAGAATGCGTAGATGCACATCGGACAGTGGAAATTGGAAATGCACAGATCCTATGGGTAATAAAGTTTCTACAGACCACTATGACCAAACGCCCGCTTTAATGCATTCGTTACTTCGTGCCCTGTCCAGCTCCTCCCTGGCCTCATATCCAAACATTACAGTGTCATAGCGGCAACAAGTGCATCCATTGCACTCGAATGTGTACTCGCGTTCGCCGGACTAACAAACGGACCAGACCATACCACACTGAGCGTGTTTCCCTGCTCTTCGTCCCTGTTGTTCTTCCAGATACTATCGGCATTCGTCCGGATCGAATCCGCAAACGCATCGTCTGGCGCCGCTTCATGGAGAAGCTGCAAATTGCGCATGAAGACACCCTTGAACTGGTTACCATCACCACCGCAATTGGGCTCGCAACCATCATGGATGACGCCGTTGTCGTCTGAGAGCTCGGCAATGGCGGCTTTGGCTATCTTGGTGGCGAGGGGGAGGTAGGTGTCGTTAGGCGTGGCCTTGTTGAGCTCGACTAAGCCACCGAGAATGACGCCTTGATTGTAGGACCATGTGTTCTGAACCTTGTTAGACACGCTCACACAGATTCCGCTAGCAATAGAGACTGGTTGTGTAGTACTTACATAACCGTTGTTCTTGCACCCTTCAGTCAATCCGTCGTTGATGGTGCCTTGCTCGTTGATCATCCCGCTATTCAAGAACCAAGTGAGCGTCAATTCCGCCCATTCGACATAGGTATCCTTATTCTCAGCACGGTTCGCCAGATGTGCTGCTGTTGACAAAAACAGCTCATTGGCGATGGCATTCATGTAATCCTTCTTCCAGCTCCAGAAGATGCCGCCATTGCCGCAGCGCGTCGGCCAAGCTTTGGTGACTTGACCGAATATGCCCTCCGCCAGTTGGAGATATTCGATCTTCTGTGTGACGTCGTAGGCACCAATCCACGCCAACGCCCACCACAGATCATCGTCGTAGAAGCCATCGAGCCAGTCTTCAGGGTTTGGTGTCGTGGCTAGGGCGACTTGAGTTGCCTCATCCTTTGATTCCGATGCAAAGCTGGGCAAGCTTTGTATGTCGACATATTGACCATCATCGGCGTCCCAATCGGGGGGGAATGTCGTAATTGGCTCGTGATTGCCCCCTGGGTTAAGGCTTTTGAAGTACCCTGATTCCGTACCGGTCTCATTGAACAGTACGAAAGTGCCATTCCCAGGGTCAACGTCTCTTCTCCTGTTCGCCTCGTTCTCAACACCTGGCTGTGGGTTCTTGGCGGGCGCTTGCAGCAGCGTGTTTGCGAATACTCTTGTCGCAAGGTTCTGCAGCTGTGCGTTGTTCGGGTCGTTTTTTGCGAGATTTGCGATCATCGTCATAACGTTGGCACTATTCCACCACCCTGTTGTGTCCCAAAGGCCCGTTCCGGCATCGTACCAAATTTGTAGCGTCGAGAGGGCAAATTCTGCCCGTTTTGTCGGATCAGTGACGGAGTCGTAGAGACTTTGTGCAGCCGTGTTAGGAATGAAGGGTACACTGAAAAGCAGCGATTGTAAAAGAATGGAAGTATACATGATGATGCTGGCGAGGTAAATCCTTCCTCGATACAAATAGCGATTGACAATGAACGGTTATGAGTATTATGGATATAGGACAGCTCAGTACCGCTCAGAAATGAGTGTGAGAGGAAAGGAACCTCGACGATCTTGTGGATGAACTTGTGGCGCGACATCTTGTACTGTACATAGCGACAGCTACGCGCCGTTGCGCTTTCTCCATAATTTCGAGGCCTAAGGCACCGTACCTGCCAACCATCCGTTCATTTACTCAGGAACAGTCGAAACAACCAACAGAATCGAATAGCAGGCTGTCAAAAGAAAGTGGGTATGGATTATGAAAATCGCATGGCATACCTTAGCGCTATTTTTAGGGGTACCTGCCCTGCGACGTGGTGTCGTTTCACACCTGAGATGGCCTCTCCGACGATTGGAGCTTGGTGCAATCGGAAAATTGAGGGATCCCGTTTTGGTATCCAACAGTATGCGCTCACACTCATGAAGCCTAGCACAAGCCTTGACAATATGTTATGCATTGCAGGCGCATGTGTACCTGGAGCTAGCCCTGTCAAGGCGGCAGCGATCGCCGTGACGCACGGGCTCCAATGCACAAATATGGAGCTGGAATATAAGTCCGAGCTTCAATAGGTCAATAGGAGACTGACGATCTTTGCGAGTTGGTTGAGTGTCGAGTTTTGCGATGAGGACTTGTCCAGTAAGTCAAGTCTAAGACAACCCCACCACCAAGACCTCGGGAGAGATTCAGGTAAGCCACGCACGTGGAACCCTGACTGCGCAAATAACCTTCGTCCCGTTCGATCTGAGTTGGCAATAACAAAACGATTGCTAGCGAGCGGACCAAGCTGATCTCTGTGACAGTCTCTACAGGACTCTTCCCGATTCCGTCGATGTAGAACAATTGCTTGTTGGCAACTCTTCAGTGCGGTATACAACCTAGTCGCAGCACTGCGGGGGTGGAACACTCCAGTATTCCGTGTCGTGCAGTGATCAACGATATATTGTAATCGATGGCCGGCAAGAAGACTGGCGCTGTAACAGTACGACGTGGATGTTCAAGCCCAGGATAGCCGCCAGGACCAGCCAAGATGAAAGCCAAGCTCACGCAATGAGAACATCACCACCAAGTTCCTTCACTTCATCGACCCAACAGTTGTCTGCACCCGAACCTGCTCGATCCTTACATAACCAGATGGTCTCTAGGACTCTTTTGACTGTGTGTAGGTAGCCCCAATACATCTCACTGTACAGCGTATCCAACGTGTTCATGATCCACTCGCGTTGCCCGGGGTCCTCAGACTCAGCGCCAGCCAAGAACAAAGGCCAACATATGCACTTGAAGACTGCGTCACCGGGTTTGAGATGTGAGATATGGTGAACGACGTCGTTGGCGAGAGCTATCAAGTTGACGATTGCCGTATCGCTGGAAGGGTCTAGGAGGGGATGCGTACAAGGTAGTACGCGAGCAAGGTAGATACAAACAGCAGAGCGGTGCGCAGAAGCAATGCGTACGCGTTGTTTGAGATCCTCGAAAGGTGAAGCAGGCTCAAAGTCGCATGACCATGCGATGGGATCGAAACTGAGCGCTCGTTGCAAGAGTACACCTACCTGCTTCTGGATGTTGTCTCTGAGGTTTCCTGAAGATCCGTCGCGAGAGTCGGGTAGCTCAAAGGATTCGAGCATGATGCGAAGGAGAGGTGATGGCATCGACAGGTAGTTGTTAGTCTCTGCGTAACGTAAGATTGGATCCAGATCAATAGTGTCTGGTACAAATTTCGACATCGTGGAGAAAGACAGTGTAGATCCCAAGACATAGAATACCAAGAGGTCGGAAAGAATGGTCAGCCGCAGTCTACTCATCGGTCGCTGTATGTATGACGGCTCTCCCAGCAACTTGATCAAAGACAATGCGCCATCGACGTGGACCTTCCATTTGTCTTTGCCAGACTCCACGAGAGTGTAATTGACGAAGAGTAAGATGGTTACCAAGACCAGATCAATGTTCGAGGGATTGACAGAAGCAACGTCTTTTGCTAGCAGGGAGAGTGCGTTAGTCTTTGCAGTCAACGCATCTCGATACGAAGACTGCAGTGGCCCGCCGAACCGGCTCACTGCTTGGTAATATGCGACAAGACACGAGCTTTGCTGCGCTTGATAGGCTGACTGGCCCATTGGGTTGCGCGATATGTTGAAGACATGAAAGGCTGAATTGGCAACGATGATCTGCAGCAGTAATGGATACGCAGAGGTCGCGGGTATGAGATCGCGAATAGGGTTCTGTCCCGGCATGTCGTAGACTACCATGTCTTCACACAATTGCGTCGCGAAATGGTAGAGGTAGTAGCGCGAGTGGCGGTCTAGATCGTTAACCAGTGGGTCAACTAAGGGTCGGTGAAGGACCATCTCGGTCCCGTCCTCGGCTCCCGGTCCGTGAGCGGATCCATGCTGTACATCTTCGGCTGCCGCACCGGCCGCGGGCTCCGACGAACTTTGTTGTGTGTGTGCAACAACAAGATCAGACTCCCATGTGATGGCAGGCGCATCGTGAGGCTTGGCTTCCTCTTTCAGGGCTCGTTCCTCATATGACTTTCCCATCATCTTCCCGCGACTCGCAACCCCGCGATTCCACACAAAGAGCTTCCCGTAACCCAGGCATTCGGTACCAGATGAAAGACATTTGTGGCAGACCGGTGAAGAGCGGTCGCATTTCCAGCGACGTCTACGACAGTTGTGGCAGGCTTTTGTGGGGAGGTTGAGCAGTGTTGAGCTCATTGGACAAGCTCCATGCAAGGTCTGTCGAGTATTGACCTTGGTGGATTGTGGATGCTTAGGGAAGACGCAGATGATCTCGGGGCTACTGACGGTTGTCGTGTAGCCTGACTAAAGATCCCCAGAGTTGTTGCTGGCCACGAAGTCCGCTACCGAAATGTTGCCGGTGCGCGTCCCTACGGCGGGCTGTATCGGCCGGACTCGCTCTCCTCGGCACATCCACCATTCAGAGCTCTCCATTTGCTGACAAAGACCCGCCTCCTGCGCGTTTGGCTTGTTTGCAACTCTCCTAGCTTTGGACAATCGTTCTCCCAATTCAGGGGGTGCTAGCTTGAACAGGAAGCCAAGTTTCATCTCTTGCATCTCTTGGTCCACCTCGTCACTAGCATCGGCACAGACGTCACAGACGCATTCGAACCCAGCGGCTTCTCTTGATGGATTTCTCAGCCAAGATGTCAGTCACGTTGACATCCAGTCATATTGCAGCCGTCATGGCGACGGACTGTCATGATATAGAAAGAGGTTCTGTTGGAGACCATATGGCACTTGGTCCCCTGACTCCTCTGTAGGAGTATTAAGTTTACAGCGACAATCTCGGTAACTGCCTATCACGCCTTTTTCGGCTTCTTTCATTGCACCATACTACATTGCTCGAAAATCCTCATCACGCCGAATTGCTTTTAGCTGTATCGATTTTCGATGTCTAGTAATTCTCCCTCGCCCCAGTGCGACTCTTCGGTCATGCCTCCTCCAAAGGAGGTCGAAGATGGCCTCCCTCAATCGCGGGGGGGATACAGCCCATCAGAGATCGAGCGACTTGGACGAGAGCGGCCAGCTGTGTTCACTTCAATATGGATGGAACTTGGTTTCTGCGTTGCCTTACTAGGATCGATGTTTGTCGCTGAGTATCTCATTTCGGGCTTCAACATCCTTCTGCCCTCGTTGACTCCGACGCTCAACATCCCCAAACAAGCGGAAACATGGCCTGCCAGCGTCTTCTCTCTGGTCACAGGCGCGTTCCTTCTACCAGCAGGTCGGTTGGCTGACATGTACGGCGGGTACATTGTTTTCGTCAGCGGGTTTGTATGGCTCCTCGTATGGACAGTCATCGCAGGATTTAGCCAAAACTACATCATGCTCATCTTTTGTCGAGCACTTCAAGGATTTGGCCCTGCAGCTTTCCTTCCTTCTGGAATCATGCTTTTGGGTAGCATTGTGAGCCTATATCTCTTGACTTTGCAGAAGTTCGTACACTGACATGTCATAGTACCGACCTGGACCACGGAAAAATCTAGTATTCAGTCTCTACGGCGCCTTTGCCCCCGTTGGCTTCTTCACTGGCATTTTCTTCGCTGGTGTCTCCGCACAATTCACGACATGGTCGTGGTTCTTCTGGATCGGGGCTATCATCCTTGCCCTTGTTGGTGTCGTGGCATACTTTTGCGTTCCAAATAGGCCCGAGGACAAGCACGGAAAAGATGTCAAGATGGACTGGTGGGGTCTGGTCACCGTGGTTCCAGGCCTCATTCTAGTCATCTTTGCCCTCACAGACGGAAGCCATGCGCCGCAGGGATGGGCTACGCCTTACATCCCGGCCACATTCATTCTCGGCTGGATCTTCCTCGGCGCATTCATCTACATCGAGGGGTGGGTAGCCGAACAGCCTCTACTACCCGGCGATATGTTTCACGTCAAGGGTATGAAGTGGCTTGCGACAGCCCTGTTCTTTCAGTACGGCACTTTCGGTATCTTCCTTTTCTACGCTTCCTTCTATATTGAAGAAGTTGTTGGCGCCAGCCCCCTTTTGACCGCCGCCTGGTTCACACCTATGTGTGTCGGTGGTCTTATTCTTGTTACTGTTGGTGGTCTCGTTCTCCACTTGCTTCCAGGTCGTATCCTCCTCCTCATTAGCGGCACTGCATACATTCTCTGCAGTCTGTTATTCGCCATCGTACCGGTTCACTTCAACTACTGGGCGTACGTGTTCCCGTCGATGATCTGTGCCACTCTTGGCATCGATATTACATACAACGTCAGCAATATCTTTTTGACAACGTCGATGCCCAAGAACCGGCAGGGCTTAGCAGGTGCCTTCATGAACAGTCTGCTGTTTCTCGGTATTGCTGTTTTTCTGAGTTTCGCAGACTTGGCAGTCAGCCAGACAGAAGACCGAGGACCGCGAGAGAGCTACAAGATTGCATTCTGGCTTGCAACTGCGCTATCTGCCGCTGGCTTGATTCTTATGTTCTTGGGCGTCAAGATCGGCAAGGCGCAGAGCGATTTGACAATTGAAGAGAGGCAGGAATTGGAGAAAGAGTTGACGAGGAGGCACACCCACACAAGCGAGCAAGAATGAGTAAGGTCGCGTAAGGTTGTGTTCCATTCCAAGTTATTGTAGCGTGAACGATAGAGTAGAGTTATACCCAAGTCAAACTCGTGACTGCATAATAGCATCGACTTATTCCTAAGCTTTTTCTTGAGTCCAAGGACTTCATGCACTTAGTGAACATCAAAACCTATTCACTTCTTCTCATTCTTCGTGCCGCGCTTGAGCGCATCCGGCACTCCATGCTTGAAGCCTTTTCGAGTGGTGGCTTTCCACTCCGCAGTATCACGAGGTAGACCTTGTTGGATGTTGATATCGTCTTGGATCAGGCGATTGCGAACTTCCTGTGTGTTACCGATACCGCTAAAGATCTGTCGATCGCGGCAGACAGCAAGGAGTGCGAAGTACTTGTATTGCGAATAGTCCTCGCCATCATGCAGGGGCTGTAGTCGATCCACCCTAAATGCCTGCTTCCGAACCGACGACTTTCGTGATGGTTGCGGTGGTGCTGGAGTTGAAAGAGACGGTATGCGGCGACGTGTGGGCATTTGTATGAGTGCTGGATCTTCCAGACGGGCCTCGAGCTCAGAAATGTCCGTCAGTTCCGAATCATCGCTATCGCCATCGCTATCAACAGTGTCAATGACATCGTCTTGGGAAATGGGGTTCCCGTCCTCATCGATCCTGCCAGCCTTGAAATCTTTGACAAACTTCTTCATCTCCATGTCTCGCTGCTTCTGATGTCGATGTGCGGTGGCGACAGTGGTCATCTCGGGTTGGAAACCAGTGTAGTCTGGGTGCGTTCCGAGATATTGCTTGGTGTAATTTCGATGCTGAACGACTGGCTTCAAGAGCTCTGCGGCCATAGCATCGTCGATGATATGGTGTGTATGAAGGGATGCGACATGTTCGGCCATCATCTGTGCATCTCGATGTGCATGCATGTCACCATAGACAGATCGGAGTTCTGCATTCCCGATGTTGGATATTGATATCCCGGACGACACCTCGAAATTCATGGTGGTCCAAGTGCGTAAAAGTTTAGGTGGTGCAATGTGAGCGAACCAGTTTTGAGATTCTCAGGGATATGTCATTGAGTTTTACAGCCAAGTGAAAGATCTTTTAGAGGTGAAAGTGGAAAGCCAGAGTGAAACGCTTTGCAATTGATAATGTGTCAAGCCACCATGCACAGCTAACTCGACTACTCTCAAGCTGACCTCTTCTCAAGTTTTCGTGGTTGTTTCCGGGAATTATTGGAGTGCGCAGCGGGCGCACTTTCGTTGTTTGAGCCGCTCTGCAGTTTGCGTGGCTTCTTGCGGCCCTCTTTTCCAGTATGCAAATCCTTCGATTGCGCGTCGACAGCTTCCTTCGGGTCCGTTTTCTGATCTATCCTATTGGTATCTTGCTGATCGCTTGGAGACGAGTCTTCAGACTGCGCCGGAACAGAGCCTTCAGGGTTCGATTGTTTCGACAGATCATCCCCCTTCCCTTCTTTTTCTGAAGACTCATCTCGTGTAGCAGGCATTGACGGCAGTTTCGACTGTAACTTTCCGAAGGCCTCTTTCTGGTCGTCACTAACGCTCCAACTGTCCAGCTCGTCCTTGCTAGGTGCATCTTGTTCATTGATTTGACCGACCATCTTCTCAAGTTGCTTCTTCTGGCTTTCAGTAGCCTTCCACCCCGGTAAAAGTCCTGTTATCTTTTGAATCCCCTTGCCAGCTCCCTTTTGCATGTCCCAAAAAGGCCCATGTAGCGCACCCGTCGCGGCGCCAATGCCGGCACCCAATCCCCCTAAAGCCGTCGAGGTAACGCCACCGACCAAAGTTCCTGTTATGGCACCTAATGAAGCTCCTGGAGCAATACCAAGGCCTGCACCGACGGCCATGCCCTGAAAGGTGCCTGATTGCAGGTATTTGGCTGTCTTTCCAAGGGATTTCGATTGGATTTGTTGTTCAAGAGCTTGTTCCATGAGCTTCTGGCGTTCTTCTGGGTCACCCGCAGCGGCCGCTGCGTGCAAAAGCTCGGTAGCTTTGTCGTGGGCTTCGGCCGCTTGTTTCGCGACTTTAGAAGACTCCTTTTGCGCATCCTCATCGGACACGCCCTTGTGCTCAGACTTCTCTGGCTCCTGCTTGTTTTCGGCTGCCATGATCAGTGGATGTAAGGGGTTCTCATCTGCGATGTTGATGTTTTCCAAACAAGATACCTCAAAACATACGTCATTGGCGCTGAATGGGTGCTAGCTTGCCCATGGCTGCATGTCAGCATGGATCCACAATGAGATGATCAAAAGATCAAGATGAATTCAGCGAAGATGTAGTAAAAAGTGTTGGCTCACTGCTCAATTAAGGAAGTCACCTCCCGTTTTGGCGAGAACCTCATCGTAGTACCCCTGAAACGCAAGCCATCCTTTCTCCGGCGTACCTACTTGCTTGTAGCTTTCTGCTGCTTCTATCTCGGGAATAACCTTCGGCTTGTGACCGTTACCAGCAGATGCGGCATCAATGAGCAATTGTGCCTGGCACGTCTTGTCCAGGCTCAAAAACCAGAATGCTGCTTCATCGACACTCTGTCCGACTGTCAGAATCCCGTGATTCTGCAAGATAGCCGCTTTGCCATTGCCGAGCGCATCTGCGATTCTGTCGCCTTCATCGCCCTCCAATACTACGCCGCCGAACTGCTTGTAGACACCATGGCTTTTGAAGAACCTAAGCGAGTCTTGTGTGTACATATCGAGCTCTCGCCCGAACGCACTCCATGCCTTTCCGTATACGCTGTGCGCATGGCACGCTGCGTGCACGTCGGGTCGTCGCCTGTGCACTGCACTGTGAATGGCAAAGGCTGCAGCATTGATCGGCTGCTCTCCCTCCACTACCTGGCCCTGCTCATTCACTAAGATCAAATCTGACACCTTGATCTGGGAGAAATGTGTTGACAACGGATTCAGCCAGAAGTGGTCCTCAAGAATTGGATCGCGCACAGAGATGTGTCCGGCAACACCCTCGTCGAATCCACGCATCGCAAAGACACGATAAGCTGCCGCAAGATGCTGCTTCCGGTACACGCGTTCTTCCTCGAGCGAGGAAAAGGTCGGGTATTTACGGATTTTGAGGCGAGAACCGGAAGTAGTCAGTCCCATGGCAGTGACCGACTGATTGTCGGTATGATCATTGTGGTTTACAGTCTGGCTCGCTGCTACCGAGGCGTGGCGCGGCTTCGTTGTCGTTGTAAGAGCACGAGCTGGGCGCTGACAGAGACACGACTGTGCTTTTGGCCTCGGCAAGTTCGGGCGTAAAATCGAGCGAGCGACGGGGCGTACTTTGTTCATCATGATCACGGTCGTGTATGGCCAGCATTGGAAGTGCAAGAGCTTCTGGAGTGAGCAAGACGGCGCTAGAGCTTCCCCGCAGACCGACCCGCAGCTCATAGCCGACCATTAGCCCATCGTCGTATCTAACAATGTTCAGTCTCATCACTCCCAGCTTCAGTGGGACGATGATTTCTGTGTCAACATTGTTGTCACAGAAATAACGAAGGCGAAGTACCGCTGCGTCAAGTACCAACGCATGCTCTCGAGGCGCTTACCTCGTCACAATGACACCGAACGTCATTCCGTGATTGTTCCTTCGAATGCGCGCTCAAATTTGGAACAAACTATCAACATCCTATGGTTTCCTTCTTGGTTGCCCTCGAGTTACGTCTAGGCTATGAGGCATCATTGCAAACTTACCCATGAAGGTCATCTCTGGTTGTCTGAGGGCACAGCGAAGCTTTACTTCACGATACAAGCTCGGCTTCCAATCGGAGAGGAGATACAAAGTGCATTGTGCGGGTCAATTCAAGGTCTGGGTTGGTAAAAGCTGTGGTCGTGCAGAACTGAAAACAGGTTTGAACATTCACTGCCAAACTGACTGAATGCTGCTCAAGTGAAAAGGCATTAGGTGGTTAGATCAGTGCGCGCTCCGCTTGTTTCACTTCGATTCCCGTCCCGGGTGGTATAGCTTCGCAAGCCTTCGAACTTCATTGCTTGTTAACACGACTACCATTCCCATTGTCAATCCACCTGTCCTACGATCCGATCATGTCTACCTCACTTGAGCGGTAGGGTTCAATCTATGTCTCTTAACGACGTAATTTCAACTAATATCGTCGTCAGATCAGCCCCTGTAAACCTAACGCTTTTGGTGCCTTACGCTTCCTACTCAGACCCTTTGACTGGTACTGAGTACAAGGCATACAACCTGCATCCAGATCTGCTGACAGCACCTTACTTCCTCGAGCAGTTCACCGAGCTCTCGTGCGACGACTTGCAGGTCATCGTCTTGGACCAAATCCTCGTTGAACACTTCGACGTCTACCAACACTGGCTTCTGACAGGCGAGCTCCTTTTCACTGACAAGGGAGGCGAAGCCAAGAGCGTCGGGCCTACCAAGCAGCAAGCAAATGAAGGATACAACAAGCTGCTCCACTGTTGCAGCCTCGCCTGTGTCCTTGGAGACGACGTCTTCCTCGATGCCCTCGCCAACAAGCTCATCATCACGCTCCGCCTAGGATCCAACTTCCAGTCCGAACTCATCCGTCTTTTGACCCCTGATTGAATCAAGTGTATGGCCGCAGAAGCAGGCACCCACTCAGGGCTGTTCAAGCTGCTCGCTCACGCATATGCTCGCTTTGCTTCCGTGGATGAAATTCGAGTCCTCGCGTTCACCAAATGCAACGCCTTGTTCAAATGCCAGGTTATGCAGAGCATGGCTAGTATGCGTGCTCATCAGCACATGGATGGCAACGACGCGCGTGACTTCGTGGTTGGACCATGTCATTATCACACGCATAGCTTTTACGCGGGTTGCACTCAGAAGGAGTGATTGGTTGAGCTATCGAGTATCCGAGAAACTTTTTCTGCATAACATGTTTCTCAAACTCATTGGATGATGGGCACTGCCTCTTCCGGACAAAATCACAATCTGCGAAAGTTTGTGCTCCATAATTTTCTCAACTGCCCATCGTCCAGAAACTCGCTCATCAGCTACCTGATGTCATGTTTTGCCTGCACTCTAAATCCCACAATAGTACGAGCTCATGTGTTCTGCGTCGCAAACAGACCAAACCCGTTTCTATGTCCCACCATTTCAAATTCGAACATCAAATATGTTGTTCTATTTCCTTCTGAAATATACCAATCTGGACCGCATGTGTTCTGCACCCTAAAACTACCAGGAGAGCGGATATGTCCCGCCCCTTTACCCACAAAAGAACCATCACATGTCCTGCCGTGCCTGCTCTGCCTGGGCTCTGAAATCCTTCCATAAACATTTTATGTTGTCTGCGTCCCGCACCGATCAGACCAAGCGAGTGGCTATATTTTGCCCTCCTGAAGGCCTTTCACAATGATTCAATCCGGGCTGTCTGCCCTGCACTTCGACACGCGAAGATCATGTTCTGCCTTGCCTCCGCCCTCCCTCTCAACTCTACATTGTAACGCCTTTGGGTACAGTCCGTCCTATCTGCGCTCGAAACCAATACCCTCGGCACACATTTATGTTCTGAATCCCCAGACCTAAGACTCTCTTGTTGGCCACGTATGTCTCGGCTTTGCTGCTTTGTCTAAGCTCTAGAAACGTAACGACACTTGCTCATGTTCCGACCTGCCTGCTCCGAAAACAACAGCATTACATCCTCATGTTCTGGCCTCCAAATCACCGTCTTAGTTACTATATGGCCTCATATGCCCTGCCATATCTAGGTACGCCTCAAAGAACAGGCATTACACCTATATGTCCCGCCCTCCAGATAAACTACAAAACCTTTAAAGTTCTGGTCTGTTTGACCTTTTCACCCTCCCGGGGTCTATAAATCACTTAACGCACCGTAATGTCCCGGCCCGACTGACTCAAATTGCTGCATCGTCTGTAGATGTGCCCCCCTAGAATCCAAGCAGATTGAATTGAAGTCCCGCCATGACTGCCATAAAGCACGCCAACAAAGGAGACATATCCTGACCTCAAAACTTCTCCCCATGAATTCACGTCCAGGCTTGCCTGCTCCGTCTGCGCTCTGAAATCGATACCCTAGCTTCCGTATCTTGGTTTGCATTCTCTTAAACCCAAGAGAAGGAACTCATCTATCGCTTTTCGATTTTACATCCACATCTTTGCATGTCCCGGCCTGCCTGACCTGTCCATCCTCCCCCCGGCGTGTCTGCTCTGAAATACATTGGCAAGAACGTATGTGCTGCCACCGAAAAACAAAATCAGAGTGACGATGTGCCATGGCTTGGTCTGCGTGCTCTGAAACAAAGACTCGATGCATTCATGTCCTGCGCTCCGAAAACGGAAGAAAGGAGATTTATGTCCCGGTCTGCCTGCTCCTGAAATTACGACCTTGTATCTTACTGCCACGTCCTCGACATACCGGACTCAGACTGTTGCAGTGCGGCTTTGTGGACCGGTCTGCCTGCTCTAGAACCACGCCTGCAGAGCTTATGTCCTGCACTCCAAAACGCAATCCACGAACATATATGCCCTGGTCTGCTTTTGCTCGAACCACCACCTTCCAGCTTACTGCCACGTCGCTATACGCCGGCGTTAAAGCCTTACAGTACATACCCGTGTGCCAGCCAGCCTGCTCTAAATGTATAGAACGAGAATCTATGTTCTGCTCTGCGCTGCTGTCTGCTCCCCGCCACAACATCTAAAAATGTGCCGTACCCAATGCATGGCCGGCCGTGGGGCAGAAGATGAGCGATGACCTATACTTCGTACAACGCTCACTCCATGACTTCCATCACTTACCTCATACTCCGTACTCTGTTTGCTGTATCTTGCGCTGCCTGCGCTCTGAAACCAACATAAATGCCACCTAATGTCCTGGCCTGTCTGCTCTAAAAGCAAGGCAGAAAAGGGGTATGTCCTGCTCTGCGCTGCCGTCTGCACTCCATCCTGAACCCCGAAAAACCAGGAAGCATGCTGTGATGACCTGCTGTGGGGGAGGAGAAAACTTGTAACACAGTACACACCCATCCAATACCACTATTCTACGCCCTATGATTTCCACCCTACATCCTCCATGTTGCACAGTCTGCGCTCCGAAGACCGTTGAATGCCACGTCATGGCCCGGCCTGTCTGCTTTAAAAATTGGGAGTCTGGGGTATATGTTCTGCTCTCGACCTGCTCTGTTTGACATCCGAAGACTCGCTATACCTACCTATGACATGCATGACTGGATGTGGGAGAGGAGACGGAGTACACGACTCTGCTTTACACTGTAGCCACACTCAACAAGCGTCTGGCGCTGTACCTGTACCCTTTTATCTGCGCCACCGGTGCTTGGAAACGAGCAACTGGCAATAAAATGTCCCGGCCTGCGTGTTCGAAACCTGGCTTCGACTCACTCATGTCCTGCGCTCCGCCGCGCTCCATCAGCCTCTCGCCTTGAAACCCGAAAGGTCGCTGTCTTGGCCGTTATCGTATGCTGCGGTAGAGAGGTAAACGCACACTCCATTCTACTACACCACACCACACCACACCGCACCCAACAACCCCGCTGTATCCTTTTCTTTGCGCCACCGGTGCTCAGAAATAGACAAGGGTCTCCAGAATATGCTGGTCTGTCTGCTCTAAGCACCGGAACGGAATATTGATGTTCTGCTCTGCTGTCTGTCTGTTGTCTGTCTGAATTCAGCATGGCTGCGATCATGGCCTGTTGCGGGGGAGTTGCGGTGGTTGTGGTACACTGCGCACTTCGCTGCACTGCATGGCGCGTACGCACTTCACGGCAGCAGCGATGGCAGCCAAAACAAAAGCTTGACACCTTCACCGTGTTGGCGCCGGGCGGGGTGGAGCATGACCAGGGCAGTGCTGCTGCGTATGTGGTGTTAGTATCGTCAGTTCGCCGTCACCACACATTACAGAACATCCTACATCACTTCACAAAAGTGCCGTAACCCTCAAACCCATGAAAAAAATTCATTAAAGCCAGCCCAAAGCCGTGAAAAAGCCCATTCTCCCTACTTTTGCCCCAACGCCTCGTGCCTCGAATAAGCTGACTGTAGAAAAAAACCCAGCAAGGGTGCTGCAGCAGACGCGTGCCGCTCGCGGGTTCCTCGCGATATCCAAACTGGACGCGAGATATGCGTGCGGTCGTAGCGCTCGAGCGCAGCGCTGGGGAAGAGGACGGGGCGGGAGCGAGGGTACTGGTATCGTGTTGGAGTCCCGAGTAGTAAAGCCGTAGCAGGATAGTCGCGAATGCTCATCCCGCAGCGCGCCTGACACAGCTACGCTAGAGCTCCGTCTTGCTCGCGGTGAAGTCCCAAAGCATCTTGATCAGCGAGTCCGGGAGCGTGTACAGATCGACGTGGAACTCGCCGTCTACGTTGCATTAGCCCACACATCATGTTCCTGTAGTCCAGGCAGACTCACTCTCAACGTCGTTCTTCGTGTACGTCTCGCTCGTCTTGTTATCGTGCACCATGGTGACCACGTGCAGCAAATCGTCCTCGCTCAGCTTCTGCAGGCCGTCGGCGAGCTTCTCCATATCGACGGCCTTGTCACGGCGCGCCTTCTTCTTGGATGCGTCCTTGCCGCGGACACCGTTTGCGTCGGCGGGCGCGGAGTCGGTGAGGAGTGCTAGGAGCTCGGGCTTGGGGTTGCGGAAGGTCTGGAGGTGTTAGTGGGGTGCGAGGACAGAGAGCTTGCGGCTAGAGAGCTCGAGGTGAGAGGATAGAGGGTAGAGGGATAGAGAGGAGGAAGACGTACGACCTGATGTTTCGCCTCGTAGCGCTCAGACTGGAAGTTCAGATCGTGGCTCAGCGTGTGCTCGCCGCCCTTGTGCGCAGCCGTGAGGACAATAGTCATGTCGAATTCGCCCCAGCCCTCCTCGTCGATACGGAACGGAGGCTTCTTGAAGGCTGTGAGTATGTCAGCGACATGCCCGTGCATCAGCCGCATCCCCAGGCGGGGTGTCAAAGGTCTCCACGGGTGTCGAATATGTCCGTGGTGTCATAGCACTCACTCTGCTTGTTCTTGGGAAACGACGGATGCAGATTGTACACCGCCTTCTCGTACACAACCGGCAGCACCTCGTTGCCCTGGTCATCGAGCAGCCAGATCTCGATGTTCCACGACCGCATCGGGAAGCCCTCGACCTGGGACGGCTGGTCACTAGTGTTTGTTAGTTGCTGCTGCCCAAACTACTCGTTGCTTGTAGCTATATCTATAGCCATCGCCATCGCCACGAGGTGCGAGTGCGCGGGAGGGCGCTGCCAGGTGGGAGGGAGAGTGCGCGCGACTCACTTGGGCGCCTGGTGGGTAATGATCTTAACCCAGCGCTTGACCTGCGTGGATTAGCACTCGTCGCGTCCGAGGGTGTAGAGCGCGCTTACGTCAGGCATATTGGCGGTAGTGTGTGAGTGGTGGTTGGGTGGGTGTTTGAATTGCGCGTGCAGGCGCGTGGAGAGCGCGGGCTTGACGTTCGCGCGATGGGTGCGCGGGCGGAGCGGGACAGCTACAGCTCGAGGGCTTGGCGGCAACGCAGCTAACGGATTCAGGTGAGAGAGGGCCAGGCAGCTTTGGGAGCGAGCTTTGGGGGCGCGTCGGTGTGGCGCGCAAAAGAGGGGTCGCGCAGGTCGCTCAAGACTGCCGGCCGCCTGTTTGTGTCCGCCCGCGTCGCCTTCACCGCTGTATCACCTGCGCGCGGAATATTGTTTGGGGAATGCCGTGGACTTGGAGTCGGGCCAATTTAGTACTATCTAGTATGTGCAAGTGTGAGAGCTTCTATCGCCGTTGTGGTTATGATACCGTCCCAAAATGTCATCGCTTCGTGCATGATCCTCATTCCTCCCTCCACCCACTCACGCCTTGCCTTACTCTGATGACTTGCCGAACAGGGCCTCGTTCTCCTGCTGGGCCTTGATGAAGGCCTCCTTGAACAGGTTGGCGTCTGGGGCACGTTAGCAGACATCGCTGTCGGTGGGAGGCTGCACTTACTCTCGCTGTTGCCAAAGCGGATGGCCAGCGTCTGCGCCTCGGGCTCGCCCTCACTGACATCAGCGGCGGCGTTCCACACCCAGCTGCGGTCGCTGCCGACGTTGGGCGACAGCTTCATGTCGGGTACAACTGCATCTTCTCAGTATAATCCTGCGCCTGTCGCAACGTACTATACATACCGTAGTGGTTGGCACAGACCTTGAGCGTCTTGTCTCGTCGCATCACCAGGCGGGTCTTGCCGTTCTCCTTGTGCTTCAGTAACCTGACGTCGCCGGTACCCCTCTCCTTCCACTCTCGCGACTCGCGGTCGAACTTGAACAGCTTGGCGCGCATCTTGAAAACCTGCTCCTCGAGCTCCTCGTTCGTCTTGGTGTCGACCTTCTCGGTGAGGTGGACAACGGGGGCAAACTCGACGTCGGGCTCCTGCGCCTCGGGGTCCTCCTCCTGTCATGTGTTAGTAGTGCTTGCTGTGAGGATACCCAGAAACGTACAGTGGCGCCCTGTGCCTTGGACGAGCCGGAGCGGTCGTTGACATCGTCGGTCTCCTCCTTCTTCTCCTTCTTAGGGCCGCCGCCGAACATGGAGAAGACGTTGTCCTTCACTGCGGCTGCGGCCGAGGTAGCAGCTTCTGTCGCCTTCTCAGTGACGGGCTTGTCGTCGCTGGTAGTCGCAGGCTTCTCCTCCTTGTCGGCAGCCTTGTCGGTGGTGACCTTCGCGGTCTCGTCCTTGACAAGAGTTGCGCCGGGGTTGGCCACCTCAACGGCGGGGTCGGGCTTAGCGACGTCAGACATGGTATGTGAGATGACTGAGACTTTCTGTGTGGGTTCGTGTGGGAGACACTGTAGAACAGGGTACAGAGATGTTTGTGTTGTGGTTTGTCTAGTCTAGGAATTTGTGGGCGGCGGCAATGAGGGGCATGTTTAGCACGGGCACAAACAGTAGCGCGGCACCTAGCGCGCACAAATTCAGCCCTAAAGTGCAGGCCGCAGACAGGTGTGACAGGCACAGCATCCATGTCAGCCTGAAATCAGTGACGGGTATGTATTGGACATCTACTTAGACAGGCGTGATATCAAGCCCTTGACAGAGAGAATAGCAGCAGCCGGACGCCAACGTCGCCCCGTGCTTGGTATCTGGAAAAACCCAACAAACGCCATACCGTCATCAAATCGCAACCCCTGCTTCGATAATGCATGCGTCTTCCAACCCTATGCTGTAGCCCAAACGCCAGAACCATCCGTGAGAACACCATCAACCAGGCACAGCCTACTGCTGGCCACTTAGACCCCCACCTTCTGCTGAGCCAGCTCGCTGCAAGCCCGGCTAGGCTGCTCAGACACCTTCAACCACCTTCCAGAAGCTGTCTCCATGGCGCAGCGTGCTCGGAGGGCGTTCGTCCTGGCTTTCCACATCGTCTGCGACAGCCGGACAGGAGCTGTCGCCTTCCTCAGACCCGTCCAGGTGGTCTCGGGCACATGCTTAATGAGCTCGGCACCGGACTCAAGGCCTTCTTTCGCGGCGCTGTGGGCAGCTTGTTCCAACCGACGGCCTTCTTCGATCCACTGACTAACCTTGGGACCAACGACGTTGTTTAGCTTAGCCTGGACTTGCTCCGCAGCTGAAGAAGACGTTTCCAGGAACACGGTACGAGCGCTCATGGCCTTCTGCATGGACAGTTCAACCATCTGATCGAACCAAGTCTTGTTGTGACCCAAGCTGATCGCGAACGACTGACGTAGTAGAGGCTTAGAGTAGCTTGCAATGCTGACGTTGAAAGCGCCGAAGGAGTACTCGTCTTCAAGATCCACAAAGTACTCGCCGAGGATGGTTCTGACATAATGTACAGGGACCAAGGTGGCATCACGGAAGACTTGGATTTGAAGCTGCGGCTTCTTCCTCGAGGTGACCAGCTCTTTCGAAGGAGTGAGAATGAACTGCTTCTCGCCAGCTGTCTGGATATCGAACCCACTGAGCCTCTCGACTTCTTTCTTACTTTGCTTTGGCTTAGTCCTTTTGGAAGCTGAAGGAAGAACCGTGAGGCCCTTTGGTCCCGCCACAGACGAGGAAGATAAAGGGGAGATGGAAACAGAGCTCGAGGAAGTGACTGCAGGCGGCGTGACGAGTGGGCTCGCTACCGAGAGAGAAGGTATCGCCATTGGTTCAGCTACCATTTCCGTGGGCTTCGGAAAGACAAGTGGCATGAACATTGGGCTGAAAACGAAAGCCGACACCATCGCAGTAAGTGCAATAGAGATGAGCAGCACCTTGGTGGTAGCTGGTGCTCCTGTTCGTAATTGCTTGCCGACGGCGCGGACAGTGTCACCCACCGCTGTAAGTCGCGTCTTTGAGGCGGTTCCGATTGTAGGCGGAGCCAGGTGCGGACTGATTAGTGCCAAGTGGCGGTTGACCTGGGCCGGCTCCAGCTCGCAAAAGCTGTACGTGTCCAGAGGGAGCACCTCAAGCAACTCAAACTCGGCCTTGTCGTCGCTGCGACCTTCAATACAAACAGCTAAGCTCCGCGTATCGTACGTCTTAGCGCCAGAACCGTATGGCTTAATGTCTGTGAGTTCGATCAATGGGATTTGATGCTGACTGAAAGCGGTACGAAGTGAATCGTATGCCTGCATGTCAGTGGCGGTCTCAGTATGGCAGAGGATTGCAAGGTCAAATCGTGGCTTTGATCGACGCTTGAGCCTGAGGTGCTGCCCGTTCTCCATGCGAAGTGCGACATCAGGACCAGTAGCTTCAGCACTGCGGATCTCATATTGCAAGCAGCGCTGAGCATCGATGACAGTCCCGAGGGGCTCCATCTGACCTCGAACCATTACTGACCTTGTGTTGCTAGGTGACAGCCTTAACGCCGCATGGATGTGACTTATGATGTCGTCCTGCGCCCACTTCTCGGGCGAACCAAGGAAAAGAATCTTGTACGTCTCCGGCGTGGAGAGATATCGGGGCGAGAGCGCCGCTTTTACCAGCAACCGTACTTGCGGTTGTCCGTACACTTCAAGTACCTTGGGCAGCTCTTGTGTCTGTGTAGGAAAGGCCCGAAGAACGATGCTGCCCAACGTAGCTTCGTCGTTCTCTGTGGGCTGTTCCTCAAGTTGTAGCATTCTTAAACCCCCGCTACTCTCGAGATGGTCCGGCACCATCGTGATCATGCTGTCGTCTCCGCTCGTCGCCACAGGGGTTTCGAGATCATCGTATGTGGTGGTAGCATGCACGGATGGAATGCTCTCGTCGAGTGCTCGGTGATGGTCTTCAAAATCATCGTCGTCATCGTCGCTAAACGTTGAAGCATCGTCGGGCGTACGGTCGTCAGACGTGGACGCAATCGAGGCAGTGTGGGCTTCGTCGTCAGACAGCTCGATGAGACTGTCGGTCAGCATTTCGTAGGTACTATCGTCCAGAGAGCTGTCGAGCTGCTCTGGCAGCCGACGTGTGGTCGACTTCATCATGAGTGTGTTGAGGTCAAGACTGGTGAGTGAGCTGTCAGCCTGCACCGGCGGATACTGGAACTCCGGAGTTGCTTGGGGATCACTTGGAGGCATGTCAGCTGGTTGTCCAAGACAAGAGTGTTAGAGACTCCGGCAGTGGAGGGGTAAGAGGGTAGGAGGCCGCTCGGGTGAAGGTAGGTGCGGACGCTGCCTAACGCCGAGCGGGCCAGGCGCGTGAAACGGGTGCCTTGCTGGAGACGTAGCAAGCGGGGAAGCTCAGGCATACGGCGTACCTTTGAAACGCCGTGAAAGGCAGCAACTATTACGTCTTAATGAATCAGTATTCACGGTCAGAGCTTTGATCAAAGTTGGGCGAGTGAATGCGTGCGTGTGCAATGTACAAAGGCGTCATGTCGTGAGCATCTGTTCCCATGGGTGGTGGAGGCCGCGGACCAATCAGAAGCAAGACACCCCGCGCCCCGCTCCCTTATCGGTATCGTACACCGAAGTTGATCAGCTGCATCATGCAAGATCCGCTGGAAGTGAAAGGGTCAAAGGGAGATTGCAATATTGAGTGATTGCAATGTAGTAGCTCGCGCTCGTGACTCTACGCAGTCCGTGGGTGTAGATCGCGCGGCACTTTATATGTACAGTGACTGTGAACCTTTTCTGACAACGCCTATTATCGTGGCACCGGCTCCCTTGGTCCAGCCAACATGTGTCGTAAACACCACCGCGCCGTGTAGAAAGCTCAAGCAAATGCTGGCGCCGCCCAAAATGCTCGCCTGAAGGTAATGCAGAACAAAAATAACAACACCAATCATCAGAGTCAAGGCGATGCCCAGCCTCCAGCGACTTCTACCCACTCTGCAAGGCAAGACCCTTCTTTGCCTTCTACATCGACAATATCAGTATCGCATCTGCAGCGACAACCAACACCGTTCTCTTTGGGTGGGTCTGCGTGTGCCCAGTAATCGTCTTCCTCCTTTCGCGCCTTCTCGTCCAGTGTGGTCTCCTCGAAGTAAGGGATCCTTGGCAGCTGTCGCGCGGGGGCGTTTGCAGGACAATGTTGGATCGTGGTGTGCCGGTACCCAAAGTCGCGGAAGTAGTGGACATCTTGGGGACCTAGGAGGATACCTGCAGCGAGCGAGTGGATCGGTGCATCACCCCACTGTAATCTGTTAGTCATGTAGGTTAGTGTTGGATGGTGGTACTTACTCGTTCCATCCAGAAGCCACCACTGCGATCCATCATTTCAAAGAAGTCGTTGTACTCTTTGCTGCGGTACCAGGCCAGATTGACAATCTCGAAATTGCTCCAGAAGTGGCACATGTTGTAGTTTTCGCCTTCCATGTTTTCAGGATCGATCTCCGGGAGTGCGCCAGTCCCTGGCTCGGAATTCAGGATCTCTTGCGGTAGAGGCTTCTTGTACTTTGGATCGTCCTTTGGCAGTTTGTCCTTTGGCTCCTCCTTCGGCTTCTCGACAAACATCTCCCACATCCCTTGAGACGTGATGTTGTTCATCCTCTTGAAGGCTGATGCATAGCGGAAGATATTTGGCACGGTTTCGCGCAGCTCCTTCACTGCAATGGTGAATCCGTAGGTCTTCTTGTTCCGTATCATGTGGATGAATGGATCGTACGTGATGTCGCAGAAGTAAGTGATCTCCGGCTCCAGGCGCCAGTACCATTCGTACTTCTGTAGCAGTTCGTGCTTGTAAAACTGACTTCGAATGGTTAGCATGTTGAACGTGTGAGCATCAGACGTAACCTACCCGGAGTAGAATCGGCACATGTGGTGATAGCTCTCCAGACCGCCATACATGATCGCGCGATCGCCCTGCTTCGCGATGCCCTCCTTCACAACTGCAGGATCAGCCCATTCGGGGAAGCCCCAGTGCTCGGGCGCGATCTTGCCCCACTCGACCGTCGACTTTGTGTGATTGCCGACGGTCTCTTTGAAGGTCGAGTTGAAGTCCCCGTCGTTGAGGAAGACGTAGGGGTAGTTGAACCACCTGTTGAAGTGCCTTTCGAACGACTTGATAGACTGGATGACACCATCGAGTTCCTTATTCCTCGCCAGGACCACGATTGCTGCATTTGCGCGAGGACCGTTCGTCTGGGGCTCGAGACAGCCCACCGCGAAGGGCTTGTCGTACTTGTCACTGATCTTGCTACAAATTGTCAGTCGTCACTTCGAAACCACCAGCTGCCAGCGCGCGCATACCGTATCGAGGGCGGCGGGCCGCCACCAGGCATCATTATGCCCTGTGAGTCTGGCGACCGCACAAAGAGAACCAGTATCAGGATGATGACGAGACATGGGAACAGCAGGACCAGGCCCAGCGGCAGCGAGATGGTCGAGTTGCCCTTGAGTCGTATGCGCCGGCGGAAGAAGGCTAATCGTGGGGAGACCTTTTCTGCGTGTCGCGATAGGTCGTCAAACTTGTCCAGGCTGTCTGTAGAGGATGGCAGCCGCCGGGTGAGGTCCTTCAGGAAGCCCATGGCCGCGCTCTAGCACTCGCCCTGAAGGCGTTCTGTGTCCGCCGCGGCAGCGCTCCGCTGGTCGGGCCTCAATGGCAGGCGGTCGCTCGTGCTCGGGAGTGGAGGCGGTGGATAGGGGCACGGATAAGGCGTTTTATCGATATCAAGGCGAGTCTACGGGCTACGTGGTCACGCAGGTGCGCGTGCAGGTAACGAGCGGCCGGAGGTTACTCCAAGAAAATGCGTGCTACGTCTGTATTCCGCGCGATAGAGTGCAGCGGCCGTGTGATTGTGATGTTGAGTCTGGGAAATGAACTGAAAAGCCTGTGATGGACGCGCGATTGCGTATGTCTCGAGCTCACCGCGATTCATGCCCGCAGGTGTGGGCCCTGCCAGGAAGAAGTTGGCCAGTCGCGCACGGAAGGTGCAGCCCTGCGGTCGTTGCCAAGCTGCATCGGCCGCCGCGCCCGTTCACCACTAGGTGACGACGCCGACATCTGTCTTCTGAAAGGAAGAGCTGACTGAGGTCGGCATCTGGGTCCACAGCTCGTATTGTCGGTAATACTGCGCCAAGGGCAACGAGCCGCACGACGCATCTCCCGGCCTTGGAACGATCGACAGGCGTCCAGCCACAGCCTCGTGCTACCTGCATCATACAGCCGCAGCTTGATACATCTCGTGCATAGCGCTATAGTGAATCATTTGCCGTTGTTCAAGATGAGTTTCAAAGCAAAAGACCTGCATTTTGGTATGTATTAGGCGGTTACTACGCCACAGCCTGCGCTCATAACGCCAGACAACTCACAGCCTGCTTTTCTGCAGAGGCTTCGAGGTCAGATGCAGGGTGAAGACCCATCACGCCATGAACGCCCAATCCAAAGAAACAAGAGGATGAAGCAGGATGACGAGGACGACGCCCCTACATATGTACTAGAAGACACCAACCAGTCAATGAGTAAGGAAGAGTACGAAGCTTTCGTCGCAAAGGACGACTCCAAAGAGGACACCGAGCAAGATGTCACAGAATCAGGCAAGGATGGCGAGTCCAAGTCCAAGGATAAGATCACAGAAGTCGGAGCGAATGCGAAGAAGCGAAAAGCTGCCAAGATCATCGGTGATGAGCAAGCCGATAGCAAGGAGCAGCCTAAAGGCGCAAAGGAGGCAGAGAAGAAATCCGTGAAGAAGCCGAAGAAAAAAGCCAAGGCCGTCAAGCTCACCTTTGGTGACGAAGAGGAGGGATGAAGTGGCTTTCTCAAGCAACTCGGCCTCTCTATCGGCGCACTCTACGCATCTGCATCTGTACAACGTTGCGTTGTCTCCCTTGATCGCAAGCTGATCCAGTTTGACCAACGATTCTGTAACACACCACTAGCAACCAGAGGTGTTCTTTGAGCGTTGCCGCATGATTTCTGTGCGCGACACACTCGTCTTTCTCGAGCGCATCTCTGGAAATTAAGACGTGACCATCGCTAGGGTTGCATGCAACGCCGCCAGGATTGAATGGCAAGCTTGTATCAAATCATCTGCGCCACAGGTCTCGGAAAATTAGCGGCTTCAGTAGCATGAATGAAACATCTGCGAACAAACGCAACACTGAACGCATCTCATGCCTCAGCCATCGGAACCGTCGGACCACGCTCGGAACTTAGCGCAGTCGTTAGCGTGCTGCAACTCCATGCATTGAGGTGAAACACAGACCTCCGCACTGTACCATACTACACCATGACCAAGTTCTCGCTCGACGTAAGAGGCGCCTTTCACAGCCTAGTGCAGTTCTGACACCCGTTTCAGGACTTGGACAGGCACATTGACAACCTCCGCGCGCAATTGCAATACCTGAACGAAGGCCTCGATGCGACCGACCACAATGCACCCGACTGGCTGGCTGCTGATCTGCTGTCGCTGCGCAACAAGTCCGGCAGGCTGCAAGACGACATGAAGCGGTTCCGCGATCAGCTGGAGACTGAGGGCTTGGCGACTAAAAAGGTGCGCTGGTGTGGGCCATACTGCACAGGGAATGCTCACGCGCATAGGCCAAGAATGCCAGTAAGCGGCTCAGCATAGAAGCCACAACGGCGCAAGATCCTCCCCAGTCCTCAACAAAGAGGGTCAGACTCAGCATACCGGGTGCAGAGGACACGTCCGAGGTTCGTCCCGCGGACGAAGAGTTGACGCAACGGCCGAGCTCAGCGCACACCGAGTCGGCATACATCGTAGAGCACATCGACGTCACAGAAGAGGTCAACAGAAGACTACAGGAGAGTCGACTGCGCCGACTTATGGAGACGCCAAGCACCGCACAGAAACGGAAACGCGATGACGAAGATACGCACATGGAGAGCAGCACAGAAGCAGAGCTGACTCCACGAACTGGACGCAATGATAGCAACGACGACCCGACACCAACGAAACGCATGAGAATGAGTGGTGGCTTTGAGCAGGCCGGCAAGAGAGCGCGGGATGAAGGCGAGAGGCCCCGTGCAGCATCGAACAGCTTCAAGCGGCGGAAATACTCATGGAAGTCTAATTGAGCGCTAGAAGGACTTGGTATGATTGAACGGTTGGATGAATGGGTTCATGAGCAATTGAATAACGAGCTCACGAACCATTGTTTACATGATCGTTTTGTAATAGCACCCCAATTCCTTCCCGCTCTCAAACGGCAGGATTAGCCGAATGCGCATCATCTCGCATCATCGAACTTTTGCGGACCTCCGCATCACCAACTCACCACTACACAACGCAATCGCGCCACATCTTCTCCACATATTGCCTCTTCCCAAATACACTCTCACCCAAGCCATCGCATGCGCACACCCCCATCATGGCAACTCCCACCCCAATCCTCACCCCGGAGCAGCGCCTCGCCGCCGAAAACGCCGAGCGCACGACGCGCATAATCCGCAACGTCGCCATCGGCGGCGTAATAGTCTGCCCCATCATCGCGCTCCTGCCGCCACGGAAACTCGACCTTTACACCTTCTCGCTCGGCGTCGGTTTTTACCTCTCCGCGGACCACCTGTGCGAAGCGCGCTACGGCCGCGGCATCGTCAGCCAGCTGAGTCCGTTCCGGGCCGCGGGGCAGCTGCCCACGGAGCGCGCGCGCGAGGTACAGGAGCAGTTGCGTGTGGCGCGGGAGGAGGAGAGAAGGAAGTTGGGGAAAGACGGGGAGGGGGATAAGGAGGGGGTGTTGAAGAAGATCTGGATGGGTGGGGAGACGGAGGGGTGGAAGGAGAGGCGCAATGAAGAAGAGAGGAAGGCTAGAGAAGAGGGGAAGGGGTTTGCGGATCTGATTTATGAACAGATTTGGGAGGTGTGGAGTTGGGAAAGGAAGGGCAAGAAGGACGGGGAAGAGGGGGAGAAGAAAGAGTAGGGAAGACTGTGTTGAGGAAGATGTGCGGTGTGTATGATCAGGATGGTGTATGACATGGGCGGTGTATAATATGTGTGAAAGAACGACAACATACCAGGCGTTGCGGATGCAACGACAGCAGGGGCTTACGATTATCATGGCACATTGCTTGCGGATTTCAATCTTATCTGATGGCATATCTGGTGGCTGCTGCTCTCCGTGTGCGTCCTCGTCGCAGAGCTGCCATTAATAGCTAATGTCTCAGTCCTCCACACCAGAGCAGTCAGTGCCTTGCCCCCGACTGACTAGTCTAAGGCGCACGATGCAAACCAGGCTGGTGGTACTCACCAACGACAGCCATGTATTCCAGCCTCACGAGCACGGTGCGGTGCTTCTCCCGTTCTTCTAGAACACTAGGGCCATTCACAGCCGTCTCAGACAGCAGAAGCTTAGGGCACTCAGTATCAAGCACCCGCAACCATTCGCCGAGCAGCCACAAGCCGAAGAGGTGATAGGGCAAAAGTCATCGCTACGATGTTTGCTCTACACGCACGTCCATACACAAGCACCGACTGCATTGTTGGACGTTTTCACGATGCAGAGTCGCCCCTAGTCTAGTCTCAGCTCTGGCCAACGCATCTGCAGCGTGACCACTATATCTAATCATCTGTACTCCCCAATCCATCTTCGTGTACCACCCTCCCGTCACTCACGACTACAACGCCCATCACGCGCCCACACATCCGTCAGTCTCGGCCCCGCAACATGTCTCACTCCGACGCAAACGCCGATCTGGATCCCGCGCTGCTCACGCAAGCCCAACTAGACCAGCTCTTCACCGCCATCGGGAGGAGAAGTCATAGTCCCAATCCGCAAAGCAATCAACACGTCGATGAGTCGGGGTTTGAATTCGGTGACCCATACCCTACACCTCCCGATTCCAACGCCCCTTCCTCGGCGCCTACACCAGAAGGCTCGTTTCAAGACCTGGAGTACTTCGCGAACGAGTACCCAACACCAGTTCTCGATGCTCCGCATCCGTATCCTGTAACCCAACACTCGTTCTTCTCCTCGAGCCACCCCGTCGAGGACTATCCCACCAAGCTCCAGCAGTCGTTCTTCACCTTCGACCCACCAGCCGCACAACCCGACTACCCCACCCGCCGCCGCTCCCTCAGCACCAGTGCCTTGGACCATTCCGCCCTCGCTCACACCCAGCCCCCAAACCCGACATTCATCCGCCTCCAAGCCCCGCGCGCACGCTCCACAACCCCCGACCGCGCCGCCCGCCGTCGCCGCCCCCAGCACAGCCGCCACACCAGCTCGACGAATGCGAGTCCGGGGGCGCCGAGAAGCACACCGGCGCTCGTGCCGACGCGCATCGGCGACCCTTTCTACATACCTCCTCTCGACGGGGAGGTGTTGTTTGAGCATCCTCCGCAGACAGAGCGTAGTATGAGGGTGATTCAGATTGGGGCGCTTGCGGTAAGGGAGGGGGCGGAGGGTGTGGTTTTGGGGCTGTTGGAAGAAGTGGAGGGGGTGCTTAGGGGGTCTGGGTGTAAGGTGTGTAGGGAGGCATTGAGGAGGGTTGGGAAGATCAGGGAGGTACTCGAGGGGAGGGACTGTGACAATGATGGCGTTCGAGTGTTTTGATATACTGTTACGATGTAGGTGAGGCAAAGAGCAAAAGGCGCGATTCGGCTTGTACTAGACTTGATTGTGAGGAGTTGAAGGCGTTTATAGACAGTGCGGGTACTTTTGAATCTCAATAGACTATGTACACATAACCCACGCCCGCGTCTCTCACCCACTTCAATCACTCTTTCCCCCACCCACCACAGCCGCACTCACAAATCCGCCCCTCGCCGCCTCCACGTCCCTCCCCTCCTTCCCCTTCGCAGCCAACCCCTCACCCCCCTGGGCCCCATATCTCTCCCACCCAGTGACACAAGCCACCACGCCCGCAACGAAAACCGCCAACGCGCTGAGAACCACAACCCCCAGCCCCAAAACCCCACTGCTTGCAACCGCCCAGACCCACCTCCCCCACCCCCTCCCCCAATGCCCCAAACTCCCTTTCCTGCCATCCCCATCCCACTCGCTCATCATAACCACCCTCACCGGCCGCTGACTCCCCTTCTTCTCGCGCTCCGCCAGCCGCACATTGCCGATGACCCACATCACCCCGTCCGCGGGCGACAGCAGCAGCTGCGGCATGAGCAGGACCTCGAGCACGGGCTGTGCGGAGGCGTCGAGGGTGATGGGTGGCAGTGAGGGCGGGTGCAGGGCGTAGACGTTGAAGCGGAAGACTAAGGAGGTCGTATTGGGGAGGTGGTGGAGGGTTGTGCTGTAGGAGAGGGGGAAGGGGGTGAATGGGGGGGTATTAGGGGGGGAGAGGAGGACTTGGGGGGCGGTGATGAGGGGGGGTGATGGAGACGGCGTCAGGAGGGAGGCGTTGTTTAGAAGGAGGTGTGTTGCTGTGGAGGCGAGGGAGATGTTGAAGAGCTGGGGGCGTTAGCTGGGTGCGTGGAGGTTGGTGTGAAGTGCAAGTCACGTGTTGCGGCTCAATGATCGAAGATTCGGCAAGCGCATGCCAGGATTGGGGTGAAGGGGATGTGGTGACTTACTAAGGCGTTGTCGTCGACACGGTCGATCCAGTGTCCGTCTTCGCCTTCCGTCGCATCCTGATACAGGTACGGGCAGTTGATACAGGGGAGCTTGGCGATGTAATGGTAGCCCTCTGCTAGGGTGGTGATTGCGGGTTCGTTGCCTGCTGACACGCGTGTCAATACGCTGAGCAGACTAGTGAGGGCGGCGATTCTCAGTATCATGGTGGCTATGATGTTCTGGAGAGGTTGCTGAATATGGTTTTAACTCGAACGTCGACACGGTCAGGGTGCTCCGGAGGTGGCTCCATACGGGCTAATTTTAGCAATACGGGCATGTGACTGCGCGTTAGTTCTGTTTGTTGTTTGGCATTGCGCGTGGATCCCCGTGCAATTTGCTACCTATTCCGGGTACGATGGAAGCAATCATTTCTTCTCGAAGCAAGAGATGATGCTTGCAGCGCGTAACATGCAAGGAACTGCCAAGGGAGGATCGGATCACGCTAGTTGAACCTAGCTGCCGCCGCTACTGGTAAGGCTGTAGCGCGACATTAACCATCGCGACATCCATGGCGTCGCATTTACCTATTGTTGAGGATCAATGCATCCGCATCTTGGTACTCAGGCCTTCGTCACGGAATTCCACCTTCTTATGTCGTAAGACCCTTTGCGGCTTGATCAGTAGCATAACGCAGTGGTGTAGGTGTGCTGGCTCTTATTCGGCCGATAACGTTCAAAGTCCTACTTCCTAATGATGATCAGGCGCTTCCGTCACACTACAGAGCCTTGTTGTAGGTATGAACGTCGTTGAGGGATGAGGATACTCGACTTACGTTGCTAGTGCATAGGTATGATGTATACGAACTGGGTGCATATCCCTCGTGCGGCTCGTTTCGACGCATTCGGAGGACTTTCCCACCAGTATGCATGATGAAATATACTCACAGGGTTATTAATCAATACAGCGCTAGCAGCTAGAACTTGGGAGTCAGTGTGGAGGACGAAGCTCTCCGGCAATGGCCGAAGATCAGCCGCAAGCGAATCGACCCGTGGCTCTTCCGGACCATCTCCTTTACCATGAGCAGAGCGAGAGCTTATCCTTCCTGCCTTTGCAAACATCCTTATCTTGTTCGCTTTTGACAAGACACAGTGAGAGAGGTTGATGACTGCTATGGTGTACTGAACACGTGGAACATCTCTCTTCAACATGGCCGTGGTTTTGTTCGTCATTGCCGCCGTGGTGATCTTGCCATTCCTGACCTATTATGTGACTTCGGCATTGTTCTTTCGGACAGCCAATAGCACCATTGATGGGAAAAAGCCTGCGACCGTCCCGTACTTCATACCCGCCGTCTTCCATTCGTTCGGCTTCCTCCATTGGGGCGCCCCAAAATACTTTGCCGAACTCATGTAAGCAACATACAGGCGAGACGATCCAAATGTCCGTGCTAATCAGATTCGTAGTAAGGACTATGGCTCTTTCGCCCCGTTTAGGATTCGAGTAGGACTCCGCTCAATTGTGATCCTGCGAGATCCCACTCATGTCAGCAGGGTGTTGAACGCGCCTGAGCATTTGACTGCAACTGCAAGCGAAGTCGAGATACTCGACAAGATATTTCGTTCGCCAAGAGCTGGGAAACATCTTCAACAAACCAAAGCTGATGATTCAGAAAATGGCGACAAGAAAACGCTTCCCTTCGATATCCCGGACGCTACCCTTGAATCAACGACTGAGGCTTACATATCTATTTTGTCTGCGAATATGCAGGACAAAATGTTCCAGTCTAATACTTGGACTAGTATCGAGGATTTGTGGTCGTTCCTCCAGCTGGTATCCCTTCGCTGCACCTTGGAGACGTTCTTCGGATCTGCGCTATTGAAGAAATATCCCCGGATTTTGCGCGATTTCGTCATGTTTGATGCTGCCATCGAGGGATATGTACACGGTATGCCTCGCCTATTGATATCCGGTGCTTCAAAATCACGAGACCGCCTATACCAGGGCGTGGGGAGTTGGTTGAGCTTTGAAAGTGGTGCAGAACATGCAGATGATCTGGTGTGGAACCAAGTGAACGGCATGGGATTTATTCGCGAGCACTATCGTGCCCTCAAAGTCGACAACGACGAGGAGGTAAATCTTAAAGCAAGGGTGGCTGAGGTGCTCAGCATCATCCACGCGTACGTCATTCTGTTAATGTGAATAATCCAGCGCTGACGATTCAACAGGACTAACACTGCGCTCGTTTCCCCAATATTCTGGACGGTTGTCGAGACTTTGCGCAAGTCTCATCTAACCCGCAACATGACAAATATCGTAGATAAGCACTTGTCGCCGAAAACACGCAAATACGACATTCCAGGGCTCCTCCAAGAGCCTCTCGCAAAGTCACTCCAGACTGAAGTGCAGAGGCTTCGGACAGCGACATGTGTAGTGCGCACTAATGAGACAGACGGCTATCCTCTAGACAAGCAGTGGTCTCTAGGCAAGGGAGCCACGGTGGTTATATTCTCCCACGACATTGCTCTCAATAAAGACTTGTGGAAAAAATTGCAGCCCCAAGCTCTCGAGAGGCCGCTTGAAGAATTCTGGGCAGAGCGCTTTATGGTTCCCGACCGGAAGTCCAAGTCCAAGAAGGGCGTCGTTACGACGGGCGACGTCGATGCAGACAATCTGGGAGATTTGCTCACAAGGCTTACCGTAAGCAATCAGTACCCAGGGTCTCGCCTTGTTTCGTCTCTACGAATGGCTACAGTGGCGTTGTTATTTGCCGATTTTGAGATAGAATTGTGTGAGCCTGAGTACGTGGACGCGATTTTACCTCTGAATGGTGAGCTTGCTTACGGCCATGTGAAGCCGCTGGACAAAATCGTAGTGCGCATTCGGAAGCGCAAGCACTAAAAGCATGAGGACTTTGAGCGAAGTCGTGTGGTACTTATTGGGTATGTCAGAAACCTGTCGTTTCTATTGGCTGGAGTCACCCTTTTGTGAAATGGGGTTCATTCACCAGCAACCAACATGAACCACAGTAGTATAGCAAGCCAATTTCTCAGATATAAAAGTTCTACGCACCATCTCCTGCAAGCTTAGAGATCATCGCAGCAACTCAAATCTGAAGCATAGTTCCACCCTTTCCACAACTCGATCTGCACGCTTCCAAGATGTCCCAAGACCACCAAAAATCCAACTACCTCGGCGGACTACCACGAGAATTACTATCTCAAATTGCCGAAAACATAAGCAACAAAGATCTCTTTAGCCTTCGAGGAGTATACAATCATCAGATTGTAGCTGGAACTGACTACGTTTTTGTAAGTGCATGGAATATTGTCGTCGGTTTATTCAGCTGACTCATCCTCACAGGGCAAGAGATTCTTCACTATAGTCAGGTCGAAGATCAGCGAGCGCGGCTTGAATACCCTCCTAGGATTGTCACGATCTCGATATGCCGCCGCCATTAAGGTTCTCAAATTCGAGCTCGCTCTCGGATCCGAGCAATATACCTGGCAGAAGAGCAAGCACAATCGAGTTCAGCGGTACATAATTGCTTTGGAGGAGCAATCTTCCACTCTACTCGTCGACCTCTCACGGATCCTCTCGAAGCTGCCAATGGTCAGAGGCGTCTACATTTGCGCACCTAAAGCGATCGCGAACTTACCGGGCGGCCTGCCAAATTTCAAATGGCAGCCACATTCTCGCTCGCATCTGATGGGGCCACCGATTTATGAGGACGACGTGGACATGAACGGCGCCTCCAAGGCCATCGACCAGATATTCGAAGGCGTGATGCAGTCCAAACTCCAGCTTGAGGAACTGGGAACTCTTGGCTTCACGGGTAAAAAGTGGAAGGCAGCTTTCATCAAGGCTGTTCCCATCACGAAGCAACTGATCTGCAGCCCCGTCAACTGCAGATTACGATCCCTGACACTTGAATTTGGCGGGCCCACCATCAACGAGCACAGTGTTGAAGATCCGCTCGCGGCAAGCCAATTGTTGGCAATCGGTATCAACAAGTGCTCGCGTCTTAAATCTCTTGTACTGTCATTCAAGTCTCAGGTGAAGACAAAGAACGAGGAAGCAGCAGGGTTGCTTCAATGGCAGCCACTCCTGCACATGCTGGCGACCAAAGCGACATTCCAGCTCTCAAGCCTTGAGCTTGCAGGTGTTGGGGTTGCCCACAAACACCTAGATCAAGTCATTGCTAGGCATTCCTCCAGCCTACGTCGGGTTGTCTTGAGTTCGGTTGTTTACCATTGTTGCTGTGCGATGCGAAGGCTACTCGTCAATATCGCCAAAACCCGCATCGATTATCTCGCACTCAAACTCGTTGAGTTGCAAACATCAACCCTCTCGATCCTTGACACGCTTGCTGAGGATGAGGAGGTCGGCGAAGGTTTGGGGGTTCAGGGAGATGAGGCCTACGATGGCTGGGAACTTGTTAACTTCACAGCAGATCCAGGCAACGTGAGGCTGATTTGGAAAAACACGGTTTCTACTCAAGAGAGGACGAAAGACACCGTGAACAATATTATTCAGCTTTTTGATTTGGGGATTATGTCACAACTCTGGCTTTGGGATAGTACCTAGGTATGATAGGACTTTGTATCCAGAAGCTTGTAGAATGAAAACAATGTTGGAAATCCAGGTTGCATTGTAGACCACAAAGTCTCTTTAGACAAAATCGTGTTACACACAGAGTTTCTTGCACATGTCCATGCTTAAGTCTGCAATTGCTTAATTGAGCTTGGAAGCCACCAATAATGATCACAAACCATTTGACTTGACTTTATCAGAGAGATGAGGGGGTCTGTATTTGATTACATTTATTCAAAGAATCATGTTGAGACTCAAGTGCTCTTAACGAGTATCGTCATGTGAGTGACGCGTCAACTTCGTGTTGGCGCTAAAACGCGTGGAGCGTTTCCGAGGCTACCCCTCACTTCAACGACCACGTTACGCTCCGCCCTGGAGCAAGCTCACTTTCTTTAGCCTTTCTCCATATCTGCTTTTGATTTTGCTTCGAGAAAAAGATTCAGACAACATGCGAGCTTCAATCTATTCGAAACCTGCGGCCGAAGCATTCGAGGACTTTTAAAATATCTGTTAAGGTGTCTACACAACAAACTTCCCGATATGTTCGGGCCCATGCGATTATACAGACTGTCAAGGCTACTAATTCGAGGACAAAATGCAGACCATCGATCAATTCCAGTATCAGAAAGTGTTGACAGACACTGAGGCGAGAACCACGCTTGCTGCATACACCCAGGTCATGTTCTCGAGCCAACAAGAACTACGCCGAGTCCTTCAGCATCATGGCGAACTTATCCCGAGCCGATGGCGGAAGCGAACGCAACCTAAGTGTGCAGCCTTGCTGAAAGAGTTCATGCCATGCCTGAAATGCCGGAGCGCAAAGGGTTCTGGGCGTAGTTCAGCGAGACTGGCAGTTCAACCTGGCAGGAATCTCGCAAGCAACGAACATATTGCCTGCTCCACTTTCTCGACATCGATACGTTAGCCAAGAACCTTACAGCATTAATCGGTCTTATCAATACTCGCACGAAGTCGCATCCATCGTCTGCTTACGACAACGAACAGTCACGTGCCATGGGCGCCTGGGGCGTTAGTAGTGAACTTCAACGCATGTACTGTCATTATGTTTGGACCCAGCTATGGCAATCTTGCCAAATTTGACAAGGCCGCCGTCCACCGATTTGACGCCATTGGGTCACCCTCGTGGTAATATAATCATTGAAGCACAATCCGTCCTCATGAAGTTTCTCAAGGATGCTTCTTGCTCATTACTTGAACCTATACCAAATGAAGAGGCTCATTCCAACGTGAAACGGATCGAGTTAATACACACTGGCCTAAAGATGTCTAGTGAGGTAGCCACATGGTTGACCTTTGTAAATCGGCCTTTCACGTCACCGCCGACATTAGACACAGACGCTCTTGTCAAAATCGCGCAGGCGCGCTTCAATGATACAACAGATCATCTTTGGCTTTTACAAACCGAACCAGCGTATTTCAAGCGTCACTCGAGAACGATTGGCCAGTTACATACTACTGAGATCACAGCTAACAAAGAATATGTTGCAATTGCCTTGAATGGGAAGATCGCTGGTGACTTTAATCTCCAACGGTTTTGGCGCTGCGCAGTCATTGAGCTGTATGGGACCTCTCAAGAGTACTGGAAGGTATCCGCCGGTATATTTCGCGAGTCTTACGAAACTCATCACTGCACCGAAGAAGAAGCCGATGTAAGCACTGAATCCTTGTTTTTCTGGCAAGACTCAGCATACACCTCCTTTTTTGGAGGCAAAGAGACAACGGATACTGCAGGACATGCAGAAGCCCAAACAGCCTCAAAGCGAAGATGTCCTCCTTCCCTTACCAAGTGCAACAGACACATCTGCCAAATTGAGTACCCCACTCTCCAAAGCCAAAATTAAGACGCGCGGCGAGCCCGGAACTCCAGAAGTTGGCAACACCGATGTAGGTGACCTCACAGTGGACTTGGAGAGCACAAAGATCGATATCAAGCTACCCAAGCGCGCGCTCGCAACCTTCCGTTGCATGTTCCCCGCAACAGTAGAAGAGCACCAGAAGAACATTGACTGGAATACGTTTGTGGATAGCACGTCTGATGCTGGGTTCACTGCGAGCAATGGCGGCGGATCGATGGTCACATTCGAGAATGTTGTTGGCAAGATTATCTTCCATCGGCCTCACCCTGAGCTAAGTATTGATCCTATTATGCTGCAGTCGATGGGTAACCGGATGAATGTGGTTTGGGTGGCAGCGGGAGCTCTTCGTTTTGGCGAAGAAGTAATGGTTTGGATATCTTTGAATCAACAACATCTACGCGCCTATTATACAGCGCGATATTAGAGCACATCACGATGAGGATTTCTACAATTGTAAGTTGATCATTGGTTCATTCATTCATATCTCATCCCCGCCGACGTAGAAGCCAAGCATGTGGCCATCCGTTCGTTAATCAAAACTTTCGACCCAAACGCCACACCTCAAAACAATCGCACTGATATCAGAGACATCTCTCTATTTAGCAGAAGAAGGCGTGCCACAATCCTAATTAGTCGTATTCGCAAGCCCAGCATGGTCCTTCTGATCACGCGTAACAGCATCGTTAGGGATACCGCTCAGCCCGTCCTTGCCCTCGCGGCCGGCTGACCCCACAGCACTGGAGTCGGCTGCCGGACCGCCGGACCCGACGTTGACGGTGCGCGCATCAGCAGAGTTGAAGTCGGAGGCAACAGGGGGCTGCTCGGGGAGCGGCAGGTTGGCCTTCACTTCGTCGACAGTGGCGGGGTTGGCTTTCATGTCGACAGTAGTCGGGGCGTAGCCTTGCTGCGAGGAGACCATTTTTTAGATTGTGTGGAGGGGCTGAAATGGGTGTCAGGCGTTGTTGAAAGAGAAATGGGGGACATCTAAATGCTGTATGAGGTAGAAAACTTACATTGAGAGACTGTTTAGGAATTGGATCGAACGATGTTTGGAAAGGTGTAAATATGCAGTGGTGATGGAAAGGAGATAATTCTCCTGAGCGCGTTGGGGATATATAGGTGTGGTGTGGCGAGCGGAGACAGTGACATCATGTTGACATAGAAAAAATGCGATGCGCATCGAAGATTCCCATGCTTCACCAATCACTATTTGGTGGGGCGTTGCATCATCCGACGGGGATCTTGTGCAGGATTTACCAATGCTGATGTTGTTGCAGGGGCCTCGAGGAAGTTGGAGCCGCATTTCCCCGGCGTTCGGTGGAGTCGCAGTGTCTGAGAGGGATTCTTGACCATATTGAGCCTATCCAGGCTCCGTTCGATTCGAAGGAATTGATCGCGCGCCCTGCTTCAGATTTCACATATTGCATCATTGTCGGCCCGCACGAGTAGTCCTGTAAGTGGATATCGCGATCGCAGTCGTGCGCAATTGACAAGGAAAGAAGACGACGATCTGAATTTACGTGGTTGAATGTTGAGATATCCCGTTTCTATTGCCAGCCTGAATCTACGTCTTAAAACAATCTAGTGAAAGAGAAATGCGATGAACAGTGAGTGATGAGGTAATGAATCCGCAGCAAATGACGCCCCTGGAATGGGGACAAAGTGATGCAGCTGCTTCTGGTACTTCGGTCAGGGCACAGCAGCCCAAGAATGCGAGAGCCAGGCCTGAAAAGAGGTAATGGGTATGTCCGGGTACATGGTGTTCAGATAACCAGGCGTGACAAAGTCGTAACGTCCTTCAGCCGTTGCCAGGTGCGCTGCAACGCGTTGCTGCTGCGTAACATCGTGACTCGCCGCCGCAACACTGAGTTGATACTGTAGACCTGCCATACGTTTCAGCATGGGGAGTTAAGTGAGGTCGGTGATCAAACCTGCAGGGTTTTGCCAATCAATGGGGTGCAGAGGACGACCTGTAGCGAGTCAGTTCAAGATGAGTCGGATTGAGATTCGGACGTACCTCTGCATGTCTTGATGAGCTCGATGAGAGCATGCACGCTCATTCTCTCACCGCACATAGACATTTCTGCCGGCCACTGCGGGATGTCCAAGGCGCGGACTACGAACTTGGCGGCGTCGAAGATCGATGTTAAGCATACGTACGATAGGTTGCCCGCAGCATCATATACCGGTGCGACCGCAGTCATATTGCGAATGTCCGCAATGAAGTCTCCCTCACCACTTGCGCCATTCGCGCCCATCTGCTGCGCTCGCAGACCACCCACAGCAAAGCGTTCGTAAAATATGCCGCATACAAAAGCAGTTGACTGGATGTAGGCAGCGTAGTGGTGGAGGCGTGTGAGCGCCGAGCTCTTGCCACGATCCAGGATGCTGTTTGGCACGCGTTGTCCTGGTTGTCCTTCAAACTCGGCTGGAGCGAAGCGGCGGACGCGACATTGAACGGCCGCTTCGATAAGCCGTAGCTGAGGCTTGCCGGTCACTGTCGATATGACGGTGTCCACTCCCATTAAGGCGTGCTGGAGACATGAATTACTTTTGTAGTCGACGACCTGGCACTGGTAGCCTTGCGATATCAGGACCGTCTGGTGCTGTGTTGTGTTAGGCGAATGTGACAACGCAGTTGAGATGCTAGCAAATAGAATCGCTACTCACTGTTCTCGATAGGATGATAACGGAGTGGCTGGTCGACTCTTGTATCTCTTGTGCAATTAGAAGTGCTAAAGCACAGGTCCCGGCCACAGCTACTCGGATTATGGCCATACTGTTCCGTATGCCTCAGAAGAGTTGTTTACGTTGCAGTCTCTTTCACGTCGGTCTGCCAGGCTTCATTAAGGACTTTTTCCGAAAACTTCATCTCCACACTCACGCGCCATCACAGTAACACAAAGCATTGATGCCCATGATCCAGGGGTACAGTAGAGACGGTGAAGGAACGTGCGATTGTGTAAGACCGGAGGTTGTGCTCACTCTAGGAAGGTTAGATTTTCGGGGTGGGGACGCTCATACGGTCCCAGCCGACGACGTCTGATTTGCACTAGCCAATAATCATCAATCGAGAAGGACGCAACCTACGTTGTCATTGGCACGCGTTGCAAGACTGTCACAGCGGCGCGCGGGATGGAAGACACGCCCACCGTCTTTTGAAACGCGCAAGTATAGCCGCATGCAAGCCCATTAGGGAGAAACAGATGACCAATAGCTGATGGGTGTTCTAGGGTGACCTTGTGGTTGCCTGCTTCCGACTAATCTCTTATGACCGTTGACGAGACTCGTCACATACCAGAACAAGGTCTGATTCGTTTCGGGCTGGCAAAGAAAGCTCTTAGTCTAGGCTGCGCTATGAGCCGTCTCGATATACTGTGACTGTACATCTGAGTACGCGTGGTGAGTGGCTGATCTTGTCTGTCTTTATAAGAAGTAGTGTCATGCTAGAGGAGATGCAGGTGACGTTAACGATCACTAGATTGCCCATAAATTGAGGGCGGCAAAGGAATCCGCGGTGCTTCCGTACACCCATTGAGCCTCCATGGTACATCACATGCCTAAAGCCCCCACGCGGTAGGTAAGAACCCCAGGAGTGGTGTGCATGCAGACGCAGGGACGTGTGTAGTATTGTACTTCAGAGCCCAACCGGTTCAAATCGAGCCGAGTGAGAAGGATCAGTAGGAATGCGAGTAGGGCTAGCCCTATATCGCAAGTCGCCTCGGCCATACCTGAAGTTTGTATGGGTGCACCTACAACATCGGACGAGGATGGCAGGACTGCATTAGTGAGGAGATGCCGGACATGCATGCATAGCGACTGTTCCGATATGCAGTCAGAGATGTTCGCGTCGTAGCTCCACCAATCAATCAGTAGTGACAAAATCTGAAGCTGTCAAGGGAGATCTGCTAGGACCATGGGGCCAAAAATCCGGTGACCCGTTCAAGACGTCGCTCTGCCCGATAATGCCTCAGGAAGGCAAGCTCAGACCCGCCACCAAGTACACAGTCCCGGAAACATGCGTCTGGGTCGATTCCAAGATTGTTAGATCATTTCCGGAGAGTATTGGAAAACGTTTAGTCTTGCTGCCCAGTGCGCTTCAACAAGCCTGAGGCCTGCGGTGGCCGCCGAAGAGATAGTTTATGGAGGTGGCACGACGATGACTGGTAGCTAACAACCGTCCCAGATACGCGGATCCAGCTCTTGAAGCAGTGGTTTCTGCCTGGAGGTGACTTGAACTTCACCGGTGCTGGTGGAGCACCTGTTCAGGTCAAGGGCATCCAGCGTATGGCATCTTGCGGACGGTCAGATGTCGGTACTTCTAGTGCTTTAGTCCTTGCAGGTGCGTTTCGAGGACGTAAACGTCGGCGTGAAGTTCAGCTCGTCTTACGGTAAAGGCGCCAAGGCAGTGGTGGGCGGCAAGCAGTAGCGGGAACTTTGCCTAGCTGTTGCCTTCTCAGAATGTGGAGATGGCACCGGCAGGTCGAGTCGAGTGGCGATCATTGAATGCAACACAGCAAAGTCGAGATGCGTTTTTCCCTGAATGTGGAGGCTTGGGTGAGAGATGTTGGAGGTGGGGCTCGGAAGGCCCGTTGGCGGCTTCCCCGGTTCCATTTGCCACCAGCTTTAAACGGCTAGTCGACTCACGTGACGGCGCGACAACGTGACCTTGGGACAAATGATAGCCTGGAAAACCTAGCAATCGTCCATCGCCGGCGACGCGACAAGATGCTGAAACAGCATCAGGCAATAGCTCTATGAGCATCTCTTTGTAAAACGGTCTTCTTTGCGGTGCCATCACGCAAGGAACAGATCTGCAACTTACGCGTCGACGGCAGCCATAACACGGACGCGCGGAATTCAGAGTGGCACGATATGAATCTTACGCCTCTAGTATTTCTCATAGATCTTGGATCATGATGGATACGAACCACACAAGCAACGCGCGAATATTCACAAGTGGACTTGGGACGACCCAGGATCACACTGTCCAGAGAGGGGGCAAGAAGGACCCACTGTGGTTCCGCGACGCGTTCTTCGCGGTCCACCATGGTTCATGTTTGTACCCGAGCTCGTGCTCGTGCTCTGGTGCAGAATCGGAGGATCTACGACGCGTCGGAATGCTCCAGCATCCCTCCGAGCTCTGCAATCCAGAACATGATAGTAGAGGCTTGTGGTTTAGCAGAAAGTGCATAAACAAGGCCATCAATGAAAGCAGAATCAGAGGTTGTGTTGTAGCAGCATGAGGTTCAAAAGGAAGGCGCACGGACGTTGATCTCAACCAGGGAAAGTGCAGGGCGATGTCTTGCATCCGGCGCAACGCGCTGGACCAACGCGTCTAACATTCCCTGCCACCAATTCATTTTCTTCTGCTTCCCTCAAGATCTAATGCCAATCGATTTTTAACACATTCGCTCTTGCTCGCCCTCAGTCAAGGTTGATGCTCGATATGTCGCCTTCCTCGCCACTCCCAGTCGCGTCTGATCCTATTGGCAGACGCGCCAGCCCATCTACCGGTACTGTCACCACGGATTTTGCATTTCTCGTGCACTCGCCAGAAACAGTCGCGAACAAGATGCCGCCAGATGTTGACAACAAACCGCTGGCACGTCAAAAGCGCAGACGCACTTCGTAAGTTCTAGGATCTTTATGTCGAATCGTCTATCTCTCGTGTTGAGCATTCGAGACGCGATGGAACGTGCTACGGAAGGACTTCGGTTGGCGCAATGACCCCACCAACTCCGCAACCCGTCCTATGTGCTGACCCCCATCACAGCAAGGAAGACGAGGACATTCTTAAGGCGGAGTACTTGATCAACTCGAAGCCAGACAAGGCCGCGCGTCTGGAGATTGTCAGCAAAGTTGCGCTGGGCGAGAAAGAGGTGCAGGTATGTTGTCCACCTGTTTCGGTCCACGTCACGAGGGAGCGCGCCTAAACCCACCTACAGATCTGGTTCCAAAACAAGAGGCAGAACGACCGCCGCCGCTCGCGCCCCCTCGAGCCATCGTCGTCTGCATCGCTGATGTCGTCATCCTCCACCATGTCTGATCCCGCGACTGAAGATGAGCACGCGCACGAGAGCGGCAACGCGCCGGAGCCGGGGCCAGAGCCGCCGACGACCGATGCACCAACGACGCCTGAAGCCACCTTAGACGAGCCCGTGCCAGCAACAGAACTGCCCGAGGTCCCTGCAACAGCTGCCGACGATGATGCGCCGACGACGACACAGCCAATAGTAGACTCCCCCACCGACCATCAGCCCATCGACATCGCGCCGGCAGAGATCAGCAACTCCCAGCAGAGTGCATCGACACCGCAAGGCGCGCAGCCACGCACATCATGGATTTCGAACCGTCGCAGCGCGTCCTTCGTGCGCTCCGCCGAGGACTACGCGCCAGAGACCATCACCTTTCCCAACGCTCCGTCCAAAGCTGCCGAGTCTCCTGAGGGGCCGAGATCGGCAGAAACGCGTCCTTTGAAACGCGCACATTCCTTCGTACGGATAGCGACGAACGAAGATGGCTCAGCACGCGTGGTCACAGATCTTGACAAAACACCGTCGCCTCCTCACGCGAAGACAACCCCCGTCTCCTTCGCCCGCGCCGCTGCGGGTCTACGACGAAGCTACAGCGCCGCAGGCCTGAACGATCGCTTGTTTGCTGCAGCGCGAGGAGAGCCCAGCCCCAAGATGGCCAGAGTGTCGCCCAACATCGGAAGAAGCAGAGATTCTAGGGCATGGGAATTCTGGTGTGATCCTGATACACGGCACAACACAAGCCTGACAGCGCGTGCTGAGCAGGAGGGTAGTGGAAGTGCAGCAGATGCTATTGGTTTACTGCGGGCAAACAGGAAGATCCTCGCCCAGAACCAGGCACGCCAGAACACCCCCCTGAAATCGAGGCAGGGCTCGCACAAGATCATTGGCTCATCGGGAGCGAAGAAGCCACGAGGATCCATGCAGCGTGCATCCACCTTCAACGTCTTCTCGAGCGGGAAGAAGCTGGGAGATAGCGACGAGACCGAGTCGGACGAGTTTCCCTTGACAGAGTCTGACAAGGAGAATTGGGAGCCCGATCTGCCGAAGTCGGTGCGCAGGCGGGGCTTCGCTACTCCTGCTTCAGCGACACGGCCACGTCAAGTCCTCGGTGAGAACACCAACATTATCTCCCAGAGCGCCAGTCTTAGTGCTTTATTAGCCAAAGCGAAGAGAGGAGGCAAGAGTACTGTCGATCCGGAGCAAGATGACGAGTTGCGGACCTTCATGAATGGCGAAAGCAGCAGCGCACGACCAAACCTGAGTTCGGCAGAGGAAGCAGGGTGCGTTGAAGGGTTGTTGGCACTTAGTCAGGGCCAGTGGAGATGATCAGTAACAGGCAGAAGCACTGTCAGAGTGGATGTCGCGACCGTTCATTTTGTTTTGTCACAGCATTTAGCGCACTGGTGTTGGTCTCGTTGTGATGGTGTTGACATTTGATATGGCCGGCGTTGTACAACCTACAAAGAGGTATACGGAGTAGAGGAGTTGAGACATGCGTCTCGTTGATCACTTATTACCAATGCAATTTATTCTGACCAGTTGCGAGTCTTCTCGCAGGGAACACATTCGATATGCCCGGGATTTACATCAAGCTCAGAGGTTCCGCAATTTCACTTCATTGCCCCGGTTGGTAAAAACATAGTTGGTCAGCCTCCAACTATCTTCCATCAAAACCGGGTTTTCTACGCCCGCCACAGTGCAGCCACCTGCAAGTGCGCCCTCGACATCTGCCACTGCAGAAATCGATCCAGGCTCGCCGCCGCCTCTGTCAGTATTTCTCTTCCGCGCCATGACTGAGTCGATCGAGTCTCCCCCGCACACCTCGCTCGAAGGCGCCCCACTTGGCCAGCCACCATCAGTTTTGCGCTCCCAAGCAGAGTTCTTCATGACCGGAGTTATCCCTGTCTTCGCTCAGTCCGAAACCTCATGCAGCACCTGTCTGGAGCCGCTCACTGACGATGTAGTGCAAATGGTGAGGTGCGGCCACATGTACCACAGCACATGCATCTTGTCGTGGTTTCAGGGCACTAGCTCCCGGCGAGGAGCGTGTCCAAACTGCCGCACAGAGCTGTTTGAGCCAGAACCGTGTGTACCATCTTTGACGTCCTCCACTGCTGGTAACTGGGACTCTCTCGTGCCTGAAACTCCCCTCCCTCTGACCCTGTTCAATCTCCGCCTCAATACCTACGACAACCCGGTAGGTCTCCGTCTACGCAGCACACTTATACACCGTTCTTGCAGCGAGCGCATCGTGATCAGAGTGGACTCGAGCGTCTCGGTCCTAGGCACGGTCGAGATACGACGCACCATATCACACACAATGGTTTAGATATATCTGCCTACAGTAGACGCCCGCGCATGGACGGTCTTCTTCAATCCGAGGAGTTCCTCTATCTCCCAACAAACCGTCGTCGCCGTCATCTTGACATCGAACCTAGGCCTAGGACGATAACACCTGAACGGCGTTTCCTTGGTGTCCAACCGTACTCGTCTTCAGCTGAGGATCGTAGACACCCACTGTTGCTCAGCAGGCTCGAAAACCTTCATCCTTGAGGCCCTAGGGCGAGCTCGATAGGTTTTGGAGAAGAAGAGCCGCATGTAGAAGGTGCGGCGCCGCCAGCAGCCCCATCTGTGGAAGAGGCGGGTGGGGATAGCGAACGTCCGGTCAGCGTGAGGTTCAAAGATCGAAATCTTTCGTACTTCGTCGGAAGGAGCTGATTGCTCTGAGGCACTACGCTTGATCGCCAGCATAGCTGCCCGAGTGTGTGGATCAGTGCGTTCGTTATGCCGGTCTTGATACTGTGCACAGTGTTCAGTCAGCTAGAGTCACGCTCCATCTACTCTTTGCAAGTATACAGTGTATAGAGTTTGATCTTTGCTACACTTCTTCGGTTCAACTCATTGTTCTTCTGGTTTGCCTCGTCTCTTCGCTTCTCTCTGTCCCTTAGCACACTGCATCCTGAGGTGTCGCTTGTCTACTTTGCACCTTCCTGTTGCCCCTAACTATCCTGTTCCTGGTCCCTGTCGTTCCACGCGTGTATATGACACAGATCTAGCAAAATCTCAATGATAGCGATGTGACTGGCATGAAACCGAAGCTGGACCTCGCCAATTGGACTACCTCAATTCCCGATACAGGTGAGCACCCCAACCTCTATCCCGTATATTGATGTTGAAGTCACAGTTGCAACCTCGAACCCTCACATGTACAGTAAGAAACCCACGCTGTGATCCTACCTGCGTTGGGAAGTAACGCTCAATCTCTCACCACGTTACTCTCCAGCAAGCCACTGAGGCTTAATCCTTCTTCGGACGGTATCCGCGCTATCGCATCTCCCCTCGTGTCTTACCTGTATGGAACGCGATAGAACGTCTATGGAAGGACGCCAAGTGTGGCAAGGCCGAATCGAAATGATGTCTTGCAACACTGCTTCCTAAGATGGAAGTGAAACCTGAGGTCCACATGGACCTGTGTACTTTGCGGGAGGTGTAATTACAGTTTGTGACTCTGTGTGGTGACTTCACGGTTAGACCGGTGTAGTTGCAGCGATGTGTGTTTTTGAGGGCAGTACACCTGCCACGATGTGAAACAGAGACTCCCCCTAAGGTCGAATGCAAACGATAAAAGCAGCTTTTTTGTAGATAATGCGGCTCTTTCAGGTGTCTTGGATCTCCAGATCATGCTAGATACACATCCAGAAAGGCCTGGAGCGATAGTCTGTCTACAGTCTACTCTGTACCTAGGTACACAGCACTTTATTTTCGAACAAGTGTAACGTCAAACCAAAACCATCTTTTTTCTTATCTTTGAGCGCATACCAGGCTGGATATCACGGTGTCACTTTGTCGCCCAGTACGAATCTAGATATGCGCGCATTGGGAGCGCGCATACTCTCCTGTAGTCGATATTTAGTGTCCGTAAATCTCGTACAAACCAAACTAGTAAGTCCTCAAACCGTGGCTCGTGTGATCAAGTTTCTCCATATGACCTGCTCAGAGCCGCCGGTATCGAGCGGTGTCCGAAAGGTTCCATGCATGGCACCGGACGAGCGAGCGCGTACTTCGGAGATCAGGCCATGAAATGCACGTGGTCTCTATCGAGATTGTGTTCCTGGTGGTGAAGACATTCTGTTCTATTTTGAGTTACATGTCCAGTCATCCTTTCTTGTCTCAGCTGCAACCGATTTTGAGTGTCTCAGCTGCGCAGCGCTTTTTGCCTACTCGTCTAATTCTGCCTACTTGAATTTGGCAACTCAGTAGAATGACAATCTGCACGAAATTCCATTGCTGCATACTTTATCACCTGCGTCGCTTGACAAGCGAGACAGTAGTAACGACTACGTCGTACTGGGAGGCTCTTGAAGTCATGTTACTGCAACAGCAGGGCAAGAGACTTGTGGCGTTTTGAGAAAGCTCTCTCCACCTCAGGTATGCTAGGGTGAGATCTCCCAAAGCTTCAAGCATGATGGTGAGCAAACAATAGCTGAACGCTAGAAGGCCCGATGCTAAAAGCCCCCAGCCATGATGTGTGTCCTCGCCATCTTGTACAAGCTAGACGCTATGTCATTCCAACAGGCCCGCCATGCTCGTCTGAGTGACATTTTCCATTGATAGCTCGCTCCATATTCAATTACTCAAATACTTCCAGGCTTACATGGATGATGGTGGCTCCCCTGTAGATCGTATCGATAGATCTATCCTGCTGCTCCCACAATTTGGTGAGCCGCTGCCGATTGACTCTGCCTTATCGCGCTCGTTGAGGAATGTCTTGCCCTACACTGCCGCCATATCTGGAACCTGGCCTAATGCGGTACAACAAGATTTCTTTTCGGCAATTGATAGATCAAAGTACGGTTCTGAGTTGTATCGTGTAGATTATCGTCAGAAGAAGCTCAGTATGGCACACAATAGTCACTGTGGATGTCAGCATCCAGCATTAGTCATTGGATTTTGGTGTACACACAATCAGTGCCACCATATCAAACCATCGATACTGACCACCAATGCGACTCTGTCGCCGACTAAGCCTGCCTTGATGCCCACACTGATGCCTACTCCACTGTCCCCCACAACGAAGATATCACGCCTCACGTCCCCTTCTGTCCGAGCATCATAGCATTCATCTGGTATATAGTCCCTTTTCAACACCGTCTGCCATGCGGCCCTCGCACCTAGGCCTTCCGGCGCAACATAGTCTGGCACTGCTTTGATCCAGTAGTGACACGTCGCTCTATCGAATCCAAAAGCAACAGGAAAGCTGAGGGATTGCGCATAAGCGTGATTCTGCACCCTCAATAGCAACACTCCAAACGCCTTGGGTGCTGATACCGGGATCCGCAGCTCATGTGTTTCACTATCCCACAGTTCCCGCGGGAAGGCAGAGATGATGCGTACAGGCGGAATGCTTTGATTCGCGAAGCGCCGGCGAATATGAAACGATGAGAACTCGGGCGTCGTGAAGTCAGGTGGGATGGAAGGGTTCTGGCGGACGTAGATCGTGCGGAGTTGACCTGTAGGCCAGTCATTTATGGGAGTTAGCGCACCAGCGTCGATGCGTGCATATTGCGATAGGCCATCGAGGCATTTGAGAGTGATTGCGATCCTTTGATTCAGCGAGTTGGAGGCACGGATGAGAGCTAGGATGCGGGTTTTGTCCTGCGGATGGGGAAGGAACTCAAGTTGAACATGCAGGCCAATAGGCGTTGGATTGATTGGGAAAGTGGCCATGCTTTCTTCGCGCTCGAAAGATTGACAGTCGCGGAATTCGATGGGCGAGCGAGCGAGGAGGCCGCGGTAGATTGATGGAGTGGAGTCTTTGGCGCGCCAGGCGAAGACAGAGTAGTCATCCGTCGTCTTGAGTATCTCTTCCTGCAGCCTAATGAAAGCTTTATTACCTTCTCCGTACAGTAATGGCATTTGGATGTCGAAGAGCCCAAGGAGACAATATGCGAGGTCTTCGACACGAGTTGTCTGACGATCGGCAGCCCAAGACATACGTTCAGCAACGGAAACCTCGCTGATAGAGCGGCTATCCTCAAGCACAAAGACAGGTATGCCGGTAGTCGCTGAAAGCTCTTGTATATACTCCTCTTTCTCGCCGAGGAGTCTCCAGTTACGGAGATAAAAGCGGCAGATTGGTGGAGCAACAAGCTCTTGGAGAGTCCATCCCCTTTTCGTCCAGCGACTAGTATCAAAAGCATTTCTAGCGATTTCTGATGCAGTTTGGCCTTCGCCTGGCCCAGCCTCGGACGGCCAGACGTCTTCAAGGTAAACGATGCAAACCTCCGAATTCCTGTACCAACGATACATAGAATTGATGGCTTCCTGGAGCTCTGCGCTTGACGATTTGTCGATGCAGCATGTGTCGATCCAGATGTATTTGAAGCCCAGGTTTTTGGCTTCCTTTGCGGCGTTGACAATCTTCGAGTACCCTTGTCTTCTTAGGAGGTCCTCCTCTTTAACACCGCTCAAATTTGTTGCAAAGCTCGTACTACTTCGCAACATTGTCTCCATCGCAGCCAGCATGAGCGACGAAGACTCATCTTGGCTACTGAGCGAGGCGATTGAGGACGAGGGTGTCTCGTAGCTGGCTGTGAATGCCTTGATGCGGTTGATCCACACTAACTCCTGGTAGCTCACCTCATCTGCACCCCATGTATGCGAAAGAATTGCATAATCGGGTATTTCATCGTCATTGAACCATCGAAGTTCAATCGTGCGAACATCGATCAGCCGCATGTCACGCGTGGTGCAAGTCGATGTTAGTGTCAAGGTGGCTGGAGTGGGGTGAGACAGCACATGAGCTACGCCGAATCGAGCCTAGAAGCACTCTAAAGACCCAATTCCGGGTCAAGTGTCTCAGCCATGGTAGTGAGGTTCTGCGTTCGAATAGACCAAAACTGTCAGATTGGCAGACTATACTAGAAAGCGGCTTCTATTTTCTATGCTTATGTGCCCTTTGTTACTGCTAAACAACACAACGCTTCGTTTCTTCGTGCAAGATAATTCATTCTCGAAAGCCCATCTCTGTAAGATGTTCAGAGCTCAATCTGCCCGGGTACCTAGATAGCGCGACTAAGCAGACGATGAGAGAGTGGTGAAATCACTCTGAGACTGGAGTGACGAGGGCTGAAATGTGCCCGTGGTGTGTCTCTTGTTCGTCCAAATACGGTGGCGTGGTTATGAATGGGCGGTTATCTGCGTCCATGTAGAAAAGGTAGCTCGCCTGCTTCGAATTTATTGTACACAGGGGTCGGGGTCGAGATGTTGGCGCTCGCCTGGGGTACGTCTGCGAAGGGAGGCTATACAGCTTTGGTCGACGTAGTTCAAAGCAGGAGGATGAATCCACGCTTTCTCCATCTCCATATACTTCTGAACGAGACGCGTTCGTAAAGCGTTCAATACGGCGCCGGCAACAGTCGATGACATGCTTGACTCTTCTTCGTGTTGCTTCACTGTTGTGGGAACTCTACGACAACCAAATCAGCCTAAGCAATTGTGCTTGAGAGATTGTGTATCTTACATTCGAGCTTCGCAAGCTTGGTGGGCTCGAAGTCATGTCTCGGCTCGCTGCCCTTCCGCGTTTTTCAAAAATGGTGCTAGTCATCTCTAATGACTGTATACAGCTTGTTAAAAATTGAGTGTGCAGTGAGCTTGCAGTGGGGGCCGGAGGTGTTAATATTTTGATGTTGCGACTGTCTCTTGGTGTGTTGCGAAGGTTGACAATGTTATATGATGTTGCTATACCTTGACTGTGACAAGGATGCATCACACCAACCAATCGAGATTTCCTTTTTTGCAAGACAAGTCCGCTTGCGGGCGTGTTCACTTGCGTTACCCTGGAGGCTCCCGACCGTTTGAAATGTGGTCTCATTCGAGTAGCCGGGTACCATAGAGCCTTACAGCCCTACACCTAGCGGCTTTCTGTAGTATCGACATGGTTAACATTGCGATGCGGTTACAACATGCGCCCCTTCCAAGTCACATTTGGCTCACCCAGTTTGTCTCCCCGTGTGAGTTCGTTCTATCATCATACTACATGACACTCGGATTTCAAATCTGATCGTTGTTAGGCTGGAACCTGGGGTTGAGCAAGCACCAGATAACGTAAGAGTGATGGCGTCGGAGTTCTACAATATACCTTGGTGATCTCGCGCTTGCTGTCAGCACTAAGAGCATTCTTTCGGAGATCGAAAGTCAGCAATGACTGAGCTGGAAATTGTGGCGCAGCGGGGTCAAAACAACGCTAGCAACACGCTTGCAATTGGTAAGTCTCCGACCTCGTTGCCATCGTCCACAGCAACAACACCACACCAGCATGGTGTGATGCAGTTCGTTCGATAAGACACAGCTGTATAGCCACTTGACACCAACATGCCATGATCAGTAGGGTCCGGATGCCCTCTCCTGTAGCCAATCACTGGCTGTTCTTTCAGACTGCTTCGATTCACCTCATCGTAGCTGATCCAACACAACGTCGCAGACCGCAAAGACACGTCAAGGCGCAGCAAGCCGAGAAGATGGACGTCCCAAAGATATGCATGCGAGAGATTTGATAATTCTGCTTCCAGCGATGGCTTTCTCAACATCCCATGGCCTGCTAGCTGGGTACCCTGACGACTTTGTCTGTCCACCTCGCCACGCCCGTAGCGCTATAAGGCGCGACACAAGACATCCGAGAGCTCGCCTTGCTACACTATATGGGTAGGCCTAGGTCTTGCAGTTTGATCCCTACAGCTACAGTCGAAGCCCCACTTTGCAGCGTACTGGTCTGCAGCGTCACCAGCCGCTGGTGCCCAACTCCAGTATAAGCTCTCACGATAACGAGGACAACTCGATCCTTTGTCCTCTCTCTGAGCTGCCTCAAGGCTGCAGCTGGTTTCATCCACCTCAAGGCTGCAGCTGGTTTCATCCACCTCAACGTGCCACACTCTGTAGGACTGAGCATCTTTAACAGTCGCTGATTTCACAGTCCATCTCGCAGTCTGGACTGTCTGTACGGCAAGACAACAGGTAGTATCGACTCATACTCATCTTCGTCACCAGACGTCCGTCGCAGCATTACCTCAGCTTTCGACTTACCGAATCTTGTCAGGTATATCTTACAGGATCTGCTCCGCGGTAGTGTACTTTCGCCACGATCAGATCTCCCGGTGAGGCGTCGGAAGGCTTTCCCGCAACTCAAGTCAAGCCTTTGAAGATTTTACGCTACCCCACACCGACCATTGACACAGATCTAGGGATGAGGGTGGCAAGAACGAGGGCAAACCAATCATCTTCGCCACCTGCTGAAACATATGCCGATCCTCCACTATCAAGATCAGTAATTTCAATCTGGACCTAGGAATTCTCATCTCTCAAAGTTCTATCTGTTCCATATTGTCGTCGTCGACGTCTTAAAAGATTGCCGCTTTCAACTTATACCCACAGCACAAGTACGTAGTACGCCACAACTCGCGATGCAGAAGCCGTTCGCGTAGAGCGAAAGCTTTTATCACCCAGCGCAAAACAAGTGTTGCAAATCCTTGTAGAACAGACCGTCATCTGGGGCTAGCAACATCACATCTCGTGATGAAAATCACTACCGAATGACTCGACGCAAAAATCGGAAATTTTGCCCTGGCAGAACCCTTCTGGATGTCGCACCTACATAAAGCTACTACCAAGGAATTTGCAAAGATCAACGCCACCAAACTCGTCAGCTATCTGATAGGTTTACATGCTACGACCGACTTATCCAATACCCCCAAGATGGCCCTCTTCTTGACATTGAGTAACAAGGTTCGTTGAAGGCAGAGTTGGCTACAAATGGATATTTGGTAGCGGAGAGACCGACAAGAGGCCTGTAGAGGCTGTCACTGAGCTCAGCTTGGTCCGCTCACTGACAAATTTCTGTTTGCTGCCAACTCTACTCGGGGCTGGATAGGAACAACGATGACTATGCATGGGCTTGGCTGCTGTAGATGCACAAAACAATCATTTCCAGACAGACAGTGACTTTGGCAAGCTCGGGGTTCTAGAGTACAGTCATCGCACCATAGCCTCTCTGTCTTCATTTCCTTGCGAAAGTTTGATTCGGAGTTCAATGTACGCCTTCGTCGCAGCTTGATCGACTCTGAACGCTCCGAAACGATGGACACGTCTACCGACACCACACTCCATGATCTGGTCATGAGCTGATGAATCAGATGAAACATATTCGTTACCACCACAGCAATCAATGCGCTCAACGAGTCCTTTTGCGTGCATGCTGTGCTGTATACATATTGTTTGTCCTTAATTGCAATTTCACTTTCTGCATCCCCGACAGCGCTACTAGCCAGAAAGGCATTAGTGCTTCGACCGTTTGCTGGTACTTTGTTTTCCTGCTGGACCTCCAACCTTCTCTCTTCACCTTGGCGAGCCAACTGCAAGATTGCAACCATCATGACGAACGCGTCGAAGCGACCAGCCGCAGCGTAAGTGCCAGTCTTTGGCCCAACTAGCGCGCAACGAGACACTCACTGACTCTTTGCGACAGGCTTTTCAACAACCCCATTCTCTCCGATGTCAAGATGAAGCAAATCTCCAAGGACGGACAAGTTCGCGATTACTACGCTCATAAGGCGGTGCTGAGCGCAGGATCGCAGTACTTCTTCAACGCCTTCACAGGCAGTTTTCGCGTGGGTGTTACGTAAGAAAGATTCTTTGAAAATGCAGCAGCTGACTGTACGTTAGGAGGTCTCTGAGTCTGTGATGGAATTTCATTACGACGACCCGGATCACTTTGAGTTCTGTCTCAAGTTCATCTACACTCAAGACTACGACGAGGACGCCATCGCAAGTATGGGTGAAGGGGCTTCTTCTGTCCTCGAGAGAGTGCTCTTCATAATCGGTGTCTATGCTATGGCCGACAAGTATGATGTCCCCGTCCTCTGTGAACATGCCACCAAAGACGTTCAGCGATATTTGATCGAAAAGCCCCCTAGCCAGCGGGACTGGGTCACCATTATTAGAAAATACTACGACAAGGTGGCTACAGCAAATGGTCCATTCGGAAATGCTCTTGTCTCTGGAATCCTCAAAGCCCAGTCTGCTGGTGGCTCTAGCGAGTTCTTCTCACTTATTGAGAATCATCCCGCCTTCGGGGTCGACGTGGCTTTGGCACTAGCTAAAAAGCAAGGTGTACTTCAGGCTGCTATACACAATTGCCCCAAGTGTAGTTACCCCATTCTTGTTCAAGCTTTGGATACTTTTTAGAAAGGTCGTGGATTATTCTGGTGTGAATCGTGCGGAATGCCGAGAGACTCATCTACGTTGGAAGAGCCACGAGTGCGCTTCTTGGCTGCGTGAGAGGGAGGCTGTAGCATCTGTTGATGTTGGATTTGGAGTTTCCTTTGGTGTGAAGAAAAATGAAGCATCAGTGAGTATTAAACCGACCCAGTATGAATCGACCAGAGAGGGATAAGAACGCACTTCGTTGTTGAAGGTCTTGAATACTATCCGTATAGACTAAACAACAATACAATGACAACAATGCTGAACTCTCTGCGATGCTTGTACAAGCTGCTCAATCCCAAATGCAAAAGTCATACGTCATTACCTTCCTTCGCCAACCCATGCAAATTTCCCATATCCTACAAACTCCGTGCCAATGCGTCACTCGACCGCATAGTCATCATTCCTGTCGCTCTTACTCACATCCCTGAACGGCATCGGCCGATATCCTTGCCCGTTGAGCGGCGCCGCCCCCTCCGTCTTCTTCTCTGCCGTCCTACCATGCTGAATCACATCAGCGACCTGCAAATCCGGATTCCGATTTTTTAGACTCGCAATCTGGCTCTCCCTGAACTGCTTGAACGCCACGGGATCCTCGGCCTCCAGACTCTGTAGCTCCTGCGCATTCTCCACGACGCTGTCAAACGCCTGCTCCCACCCGAGACCCTGGATCTTATTCCGCAGCTCGTCGCCGGAGAAATTCATAAAGTACTCTCGCAGCGCGCGCAGGTGCTCGGGCAGACCCTCGTCGTCCATGGAGCCGGACAGGAAGGCCTGGTCGCTGTGCGCGGACGTCGGGCGGCTGGGATTGAGCAAGCCGGTGCGCACGCGGTGGCCGAAGCGGTGCAGGGCGCCTTCCTCGATGGCCATGTTGCGCGAGGCGAGCGAGACGTCGGAGTTGTGGCGCGAACGCAGCAGGCGGGGCTCGTCCTCGTCGGATTCATGAGCCATGGGATCCGTGAAGGAGTCGGACATGGTGGGGACGGAGGATAGCGGGGGAGACGAGCTGAGGATGGAACTCGTACGGGAATGCAGGGAGGCGGTGTCCGGTGGGGATGGAACGAGGCGGGTCTCGGGGTACTCGTCTTCGAAGCGTTGGATCATGCCTTCGAGGGTTTGGTCGAGGAAGAGGAGGCGGCCTGGTAGATGTTAGTAATAGTCTCGTACACGTGCGGAAGAGAATACGTACGGTGTTTCATGTCGTCGCCGCCCTTTGCTTCGCGTATGAGGGCTGGCTGGATCCTCGCTCGTGTGTTGCGTGCGGTGTCGAGTAGGTTCTTCGACATGGCTCTTGCCTTGCTAGGCTCTTCGGCAGCATCAATGTGGCTGCGTGGAGTTACAGTGCCACTAGCGATCTGTGACCCTCTACGTAGATCGGCGTCCTTGTGCGACAGGCAGTAGCTCAGGGCTTTGACGATACCTGTACCACCGACAATGTAATCGTTGTCTGGCGCGGTCTCGATCGAACCATCCGCAAGGTGGTCGTCAGTGGGCCCTACGAGGTGCGCAAGCACGCCGGGCAACTCGACGTCCTTTGTAATACCTCGAAGCTCAGGCACCTCGTTGATTAATTCGATGTTACGCAGGCAGTATGCTACGACCTGCTTAGCAAGGGCTCTGACAACTTCATTCATCTCTGGCGCAGGGACGTCAATGTCGACGCAAATTAGGGTCCGGGACAATTTAGCAGCAAGCGTCAACGATGCAAACATTGCTGCAGCTTCCTCTTGCGTCTCTTCATCTGTCGAGATGGCTACCCGGGCGATAACGGGGTTCTCAAGGAGGTTGACGTGCGCGATATGTGGGCAGTCTGGCAAGATCTCGGCGATCGCAATAGCGTCTGCAGGCCCGAGACCGACGTTCTGAAGATGTAGACGCTTCAACTCTCGGAATTGAGGGATGTACTTTCGCAGTAGACACAATGCAGTTTGGTCTGCAAAAAGGTCCTTGTTGCGTGATAGGTCCAGGAATCTTAGAGAGGGCACATTGACAAGTGTTGGGAACAACATCTTGAGGTGGTCCTTGCTCAGACCAGTGTTGGCCAGACATAGAGCCCACACTGTGGAATGTTTATCAAGGCTTTCGCACAGCTGAGGTATCCATTCTCGCAAGTCGTTGCCACCAAGATCAATGCCTTCGCAGACACCCGAACGGATGTAGTGCTGGACATGCCCCAGGCCTTCGCGGTCGATGTCGTTGTCGGCAAGACTCAGTCGTTTCACTCCACTAACTACGCAGCCGTCGACGATCTTTCTGATACTCGATGATGTCAAGCCGCAATCAGCCATGAGTAGCTCTTGCATTGTTGAACCACCCAGTCGCTCAGATATAGCCTTCGACAAGATATCAGCAATATCCTTGGTTCTCGTATCCTTGGTAGGTGACGTCAACGGTGTTCCATTCGTAGGTGGTGAAGTGGCTGTCGGTGGAGCGACCTGAGTTGTCTGCTTAGGAAAGGGTATCATCGACACGTCGATCGCCATGATAGATTTGCACATGTAGGTGAAGAGCGCAATGTGTTTCCATCCCTCAGTCGTGATCTTGGTGTTGTTCTTCAAAACAAGCCTTTTGATTGCACAACCATGTGTGTCTTCCATTCCAGCATCCGTTCCATCTGTTGCGGCGCCGCGACTTCGTGAAGTGTGCGGCATCTTGGCTGCTAAGAGTCCAGCAAGGACAACCCTGATCTTGTCATCATTCAGGTCTGCGTCCTCCATGAACAGCTTCTTCACTGGCACGATAGCGAGCCAATCCGATAACGTTACGAAATCAGCAAGCTGTAACCTTGACCCAGTGAGGTCAAGCGATGTGACCATTCCTGGGTTAGCGGTTGAGCATGCAGACGGAACGGAGAGCTGGTCGCTGATGCGCTTCAGAATGGGCGATTCGCGTAGTTGGCAACATCTTCGGTATATGCGTAGAGGGTCAATGGTTGGTCGATCTTGGGCCCTTGGAGGAGTATTGGTGCCCGGCACAGCCCCCGCGCTATCTGCGCTCACGTCGCCTTCGTCTCTGGTAAGCTCCATGGGTATCGAGCCATTCTCCTCAGCCTTCCGGCGCTTTTTCTCTTTGCGCTCCTTGCGCTCGACCTCGGAGCGCTTCTTTTTCTCCTTCTTCTTGCTTGGCTCTTGCTTGTCGTCATCAAGCACAGTGCCCTCTGGATTCGGTTCTTGTTCGCTTCCAACAAGTTCCTGCGCAGTGGAGACGACACCGTCGGCTTCTTTCTCCTCTACCACGGCAGCTGGGTGCTTCAGCGCTTCACCTTCGCCGCGCTCTTTGATTTTGTTGTCTTTCCGCTGCTTCTTCTTCTCGTCCTGGTCTGCATCGTCCTTGTATTTGGGCCCTCCAGCGATCTCGACGTCGACACAGAAGGCTACTTTACGGAGTTTACTCTGATCCAGTTCGGGCATAAGGCATCGAGCGCGGTGGGGATCGACGTTCATGACCTTTCTAGGGCACATGCCGCCGTTGGGATAGACTCTGCCCGCCGTCCCAACTTGGGACCCCGAGGATAGACGTCGCAGTGCATTGGACAGAAAGTTGGCCTTAGGCTGCTGAGGCACGTATGGCTCGAGGCCTGCGTTGTTGCCCCCAGTAGCAGCCTGGATTCCATTTAGAGCGCCGTTGGCTGATGGCGAGGTTGATGTGCCACTGGCACCTGCCGGCGACCCTTGCGCCTGGGTGTGTGTCGTCTGCGCAGGGGGGTTCTGCGACGAGAACTTGGAGCTTATGCTGGAAATCCACGAGTTGCGCCGCGAGTTTTGCTTGGAGTCTGGGGGCGTGGTGCCGCCATTCCTGGGCTCGCTACCTCGGCTAAGCATCGTTGGTCGCTTGGGGGGGATCTTCCGGGGCATCGATGTCGCAGACGATGCGGATGTGGGCGCAGGAGGCGAGGCAGGTCGCTGGACTGCTGGCGCTATCGCTGGCCCAGATGCGGCGGGCGATTCATGTTTCTGCGACGGCGTGGTGGGCAGACCGCCATGAGACGACGTCTTCGGTGGCGCATCTCTGCTCAGGCCCGGCGACGACGGCGCCTGCGTGCGATGGTGGTGGTCTACAGCGCCTCAGATGTTAGTCAGGCCCTCTGTGTATATGGGCACTACTTGGTCCGGTTGAGCCGGGGTGGAGCGCCCAACGTAAGCGGATCTCTCTGACATACCTCTCGTCGAGTTGTGCAGCCATGAAACGTCAACACCATGGATGTCTTCCATCGCAGACGTCTGTTCGTGCGATTGCTGAACGGCGGTCATTGTTGTTGCGCAGCTGCTATCGCCATCCGATGGAGCGCAATGCGGTCACAGATCACGGGAGTTGAGAGGCGGCGCGCCTTCGTCAGCGGGGTTTCGCGGGACCTTTCGCGGCCAGTTGATTGGAACGCAGCCAGACAGGACGGCGCGGATCGTGCGGGCAGGGTGTTTAGCGACTCGTCGTACGAAAGTCAGCCGACCAGAGCAACAAGTTTCTGCTGTTTGCGATATTGACTGCTGCGTTGACGTTATGCCCTCTAGGTATTTACTGGCGGTTGCGGATGACGTGCGGTACCGGCTCCTCACTCGGTCCACCCACTCAGCTCACGGAGATTGTCCAAGATCGACCGGACTATTTAGATCCTAAATACTTTTCGGCTGCCAACTGCACTTTGCTCGGAGATTCATCTAAGCATTCTGGTCTGAGCATTTGAATCACCTAAGCACAGCTATCATAGTTTCAGCTGCTTAGCTGACGCCGCCACGCTGAATAAATAGCTGCTGGAAGGAGCTTCGCCTCGCCTATCTGCGCTAACCGGACCCTGCCTCCACCACCGAAACAGCTGTTCGTCTGGCCAAATGGGACTCTCCGGCCCACAACGCCTGAACGAGCACGGTGCTCGTGGATCGGTCGATATGTGGTCTGTCGGCCGATGTCTATCAGAACAGAGAGGAGACACATGGCACATCTAACGAGAGCAGCTTGTGCTTTATGCTTATGCCTCAGGGGGTCGGCTCCAGAGGCAGATTAGTGGGCTGGGGCAAGGCAACGAGAGTGCATCGAAATGGTTCACAAAAATGATCATTCAAAGGGTATCGTAATGTGTTGGGCATGGTGCCAACTGCAGCTGCCATTTCATCATCTCATTCGAGCCGTGAAAGGCTAAGTACAGTGCCCTGCCAGAACAGGTCTCATTCCCCATCCATATCCAGACGCCGAGAGCCGTGCTTTTGTTCGTGAAATGCGAAGTCATTTGAAGGTGCTTATGCGGTGAGCTCAGCAATCTTGGTCTTGACACGCTCCTCCTTCTCAGCCTTGGTGAGCTTCTTGGACCTGTACTTGAGGGACTCGGACTTCCAGTGGTCCTTGGACTTCTTCTCGCCAGCCTCCTCATCCTTCTTCCAGGGGTCCTCGCGGATCTGCGAGTGGGCCTCCTGGTAGAGCTCCTCAAGACCGTCAGCCTCAAGGTCATCATCGATGTAACCAGAGAACTGGGACTTGTAGCGCTCCTCATCGTCATCGGCGAGGGTCTCCATGTACTCAGAGACGTGGCCGGCGAAGATGTACTTGCGGAGGGTCTCGGCATCGAGCTCCTTGGACTCGATGTCGAAGCCGGGGAAGCGGTTCTCGGAGTGGGGAACGTAGAGACCACCGTCGGAGGCACCCTTCATGGCACCGAAGACACGGGCACCAGTGGAAGTGCGGGTAAGACCGACATCAAGGAAGACCTTGAAGGGGCGGCGCTCCTCACCGTCGATCTCGACGGCCTCGGTGATGTTGTACTCACCGTCGGCCTCCTCGACACCGGTGAAGTGCGAGTCGAGCTCGAGCTTCTTGAGGACACGGCGGGCGAGCAGAAGACCGGTGGCGTAAGCGGCAGACCAGTTGGTCAGACCGTGGGTGATACCGTAAGCCTTGAGCTCGTGGGCGTACGCAGCCATGAAGACCTTGTCGCCGCCAATCTCAGAAGTGACGATCTGGGCAACGATGTCCTTGTTGGTGAAGCGGACGACGAGGCGGTACTTGGGCGCATTGTACTTGTTCTTGGCCTGGGTGATAAGCCTCTTGCGGGCATAGTAATCAGCTGCGCGCAGTCAGTATAAGCAGTCTGCTGAAGAAATTGCGAGTTGAACATACTCTTGCCCTGCCTGCGGCGCTTGTACTTCACCTGGTACCTCGAGAAGTACGCATCGTTCTTTTGGAGCTTGGCCTTTTCCCAGAGTCAGCGATTTGCGCTTCAAACCCGCATTCGAAGCAACTCGCAGAGACTCCACACAGTTCGCGGGGAGGACCTCATATTGAGGCTGTTCGAGCGTTGATTCAGGGTGTACTTACGGTAGGCATCTTTCCTGCTGTTAGTCTTCGTTCCTGAAGCTGCGGAGGTCGAGTATGCGCTGCGAAATAGTCGTGGGCACAAGTGCGCCGCCAAGAGTTTAGCGACACCTCAGTCGCGGCTTCCGCCTGCAAGGTGGGTGACCACCGCCTCAGCAGCGCCCCAAATGGGTGACCATCAGAACATTACAACGAGAATTGAGGCCAGCTGTGACTGCAATTAACTCCTGCGCAGTGACCTCGAAACCTGAATTTTGTACTTCCTTCGACCTGGGTTGAGAACCCAAAGGCCTTCTTGCCCCTCTGTCGTGATTACCAGCAGATTCTGGACCTACATAGAGCATCTATCACTCCAGACAATACTCGGATTCCTGTAAACTTGCTCCCCAACTTTGCAATGTAATATTGTTCTGCTTCCAAGTCGAGGCATGGTCAGCCCGATTCGGAGCTCACGCTGCGCTGCCCCACCAGGGGGCTCGTGCTTCGAGCGTGCGGCGGTGACGACCAACTGTCCAGGCACCGCCGCACCAGAGCTTACAGTCAACACTCCGCCTCTGCACTCTCCATTCCAGCCCCTGTATCTCGTGTCGAGCTCCAGCAAAGATGGCGGAAGCTCCAATTGGTAAGCGTTGACGCCATGCGCCATTGGAAGCACTGCTGACACTGTATCAAGTCCTCGACGGCGGCACCGGTTTCCTCAAGGTTGGCTATGCAGGACAGGTACGCTCTTGCCACGGGAATATAACAGTGCGTCTTCATTGGATTCTGACGATACGACTATAGAACTTCCCAGAACACCAGTACCCATCCATCGTGGGCCGACCGATCCTCCGTACCGAAGAGCGCGATGGCGGTGACATACAGCTCAAGGACATCATGTGTGGAGATGAAGCAGCGGCAGCGCGCTCTATGCTTCAGATCACGTACCCTGTATGTTACAGATCACACAATACGCAACACGGCAGGGGCTAACGCGTGTCAACGTAGATGGAGAATGGTATTGTCAAGCGCTGGGATGATATGACACAACTATGGGACTACACCTTTGCCGAAAAGCTCCAAATCGATCCCACAGGCCGCAAGATCCTCCTCACAGAACCACCGATGAACCCCCTGAAGAACCGCGAGACCATGTGCGAGGTCATGTTCGAGCGCTACAACTTCGGTGGTGTATACGTGGCTATTCAGGCCGTGTTGGCCCTGTACGCGCAAGGTCTGTCCTCTGGTGTCGTAGTGGACTCTGGTGACGGTGTCACACATATCGTTCCCGTCTACGAATCGACTGTCCTGAACCACCTCACTCGCCGTCTGGACGTCGCTGGGCGTGACGTAACCCGCAACTTGATCGCGTTGCTGTTGCGAAGAGGATACGCGCTGAATCGAACCGCCGACTTCGAGACTGTCAGGCAAATCAAGGAGAAGTTGTGCTACGTCTCCTATGATCTTGAACTGGACCAGCGTCTTAGTGAAGATACAACGGTCTTGGTCGAATCATACACATTGCCTGATGGTCGTGTCATTCGTGTTGGCAGCGAGCGCTTCGAAGCACCCGAGTGCCTTTTCCAGCCTCACTTAGTCGATGTCGAGCAGCCTGGTATTGCCGAATTCTTGTTCAACACCATTCAAGCAGCAGACGTCGACGTCAGGAGCAGTCTGTACAAGGCAATTGTTCTCAGCGGTGGCAGCAGCATGTACCCAGGTCTGCCCAGTCGTCTGGAGAAGGAGCTCAAGCAGCTATGGCTGACAAAGGTTCTGGGCGGTAATCCCGAGCGTCTCAATGTACGTGCAGATCTGCTACTGACATGGCCTCGGCTGACAAAGGTTCTAGAAATTCAAGGTTCGCATCGAGGACCCGCCCCGGCGACGACACATGGTCTTCCTCGGTGGTGCCGTACTTGCGAACATCGTAAGTCGAGCATGCAATATCACTCGTGAACGACTACTGACTTAGTGCAGATGGCCGACAAAGAGAACATGTGGATATCGAAGGCAGAGTGGGAAGAGCAGGGAACACGTGCGCTGGAGAAGCTGGGTGCGAGATAACCATAAGAAGATATCCTGCATCATATGGCACAGTGATCACCCTCCACAACCTGAACAAACAAACGACAACTACAAACATGCAGCTACGACTTCATACAAAGTCTCATGTCTTCTTTTGCTCTGTGTCGTCTGAGTCAGACTGCTGCTTGTGCGACTCAACAGTTTACATCAGGTCCCCTTCGAAGTGGACGTTGTGGAACATCGGTCCTTCTTCCTTCGCGTCTCAACAGCTCTGCAGCATCTCATCGACATTACGTTGCATGCTGCCAGCCGTGCGGGCGGGTGCATTGTTGAGCGTATGAGGCTTGCCATGGCCGACACTTTCCAGCACTGATGAACCGCCGCAATCATCAAAGGGTTCCGTACGCGGTGCGTTGCCTCCACCTAGTGGTACTGAAACGTCAACTTCACATCAAGATGACCTTGCAATGCCCGTCCGTAATGTTCATTATGTTCTTTTAGCAGAAAAGCGTCCTGTGTCTTCTCCTGCAATGCCGTCACATCAGTCCCACCGGTAGAAGTCGCGCTAAACTTGCCCGGCTTGCATTTTCCCAACCCTCGTCCATCCGAGGTTCACGATAGGTGGAGAAGGGCCGACACGGTAACGCTTCTCTAGCCCGCACTTTAAAATCAACGACCGCAGCTATGGGTCATGATGATGTCGTGTGCATCTGGAGGGCTTAGGAGGCTTGCGTTGGATGTTTCTAGCCAGCACCAAGTGAGTAGGCAGACGTAGCCCCGCGTAAAAAGTCACACAACGGTCGAGACGACGCTAGCTTCACTTGTGCCGGGGGCATTCTGGAGAAGCCTGCAGTACTCTCTGGTGGCTGGTGCAGCTTGGAATTATTCAATCCTGTTTGAGCCGGGGTCGATTGTGGGCACTGTGGAGGATCGCGATCAAAGCACATCGACGGTTGCCCAGCCAATAAAGAACCTTCCCGAATTTTGAAAGAGTTGTCATTGAGCCCCAAATCTGGTACCCCAGGCACAGGTACCAACGGCGGGGATATTTTCGCAGACGACACGACTTTGTGCAATTCAGAACTCCGGGCGGGTTCAGTCATTGATGTTCTAATTTGCCACGATCGCGACTAACCTCGGGCGCCGAATCGTTCACGCAACAAAGAACTAGGTCGCATCCATCCAATCACAGCGAACCTCAAGGTCGGCCGTTATAGGCAATGGAATTTGTGATTTCCAACGCGGGTTCCCATCGCTTAGCGCCCGATCCGCACGTGAGCAAAGTGCCGGCTTGCCGTGCTCACTACCTGCGTCATGCCCCTGCTGCACAATGGAGCGTTACGAGTTAGACAACACAATTCGCACCACTAGTGGTCCAAGGCCCCTGCTGTTTGGACCAAGGCCAGTTTGCTGTTGATGACGCCGCCCGCACTCGCTTGGCTCAGAGCAGAGGCATGAATGTAAAAACTCCCTGTTCCCGTGCGGTTTTGGCGCAATAATATCGCTCTGCTATCCGAGATCCCCAACACGGCTTTCACTTCGAAACACTCGATCTTCAGCGTGCGACCCCTTAGTCGCTGCACTCCAGCGTATTTACTTTCGAATTGTGGAGCTTCACAGCGCATCGCTCCATCAACGCTGGTCCGCCGCTACACGTTGCACGTCCGCAGCTCTTGATAACCATTTTGCCCGCCATTGACAGGCGTTGGTGCCCCCAATCCCAGCGCAGCGAAAGAAGGGTCCACTACCGTGCATCTTCCCCATCCTCTCAGGGACCACCGTAGCACGGCAGCGCACCACCAGTCAGAGATCAACACCGGAATTTCCAATAAGATCTGGGTGCGTCCCAAGCCTTGTCCTGACACCAAGCATTCCAGGACCTTCCCGCTGCTAGATATATTAGAGGCCGCCTGACTGTGCACCTGTGCTCGGTACATTCGGCACACCTCTCATACTCTTTCCCACCTTCACCATCAAAGGTGATCAGGCAGACAGTCTTAGTTGCTCGGTTGTTTTTCAGTCCAATTTTCCAGAGGTCCCCGTACCATCACGTCATATGAGATCACCATCGCCTCTGCCTTCGGCACGTTCGACTCTCTCTCATCTTCACAACTCTCACAACCAAAATTCTACGACCATGTCACCCGCACGCAACATACCCACTGTGAGCTCACCTTTGTCGTCAAGGACTGAGCCCTTGGCTGTTCCCCCGGGCCGTAGACGGCCCCAGGTCCAGTCTCGCCAGTCGTCGACCAGTGGCCCTGCCATGCACCTGCGACTGCCCTCTTTGCCGCGCTTTCACCCTGCCAACTTTGGCACACCGACTTCAAGTGCGTCCGGCACGCCGGTAACCGGTCCTAACAGTCCGAATCCTCCAGTCTCTCCCCGATCAGGCAACAATGTCAGTAAATATGAGGCTCAGAAGCAGATGTATCTCTACCAGCAACAGCTCCAGGCCAGGACGACCAGCCAGGTTCGTGGAGCATTGTCGGCAAAACCCACCAGTCCCCGTCTAGATCCTCTCGCCAGCCCTGGAGCCGTTACTCCGTTCGAGTTGGAGGGTACTGACAGCTACTTGACTGCGGGAGTCAGCCCCCACGACGCTGCTTCGCATGTCGAGAGGCTGATTCGTGACGAGGCCAGCCGTCGTGGTGACATTTCCCCTGGTCGCACCACCTCAGTCGGCGGAAGGTGACTTACCGATCCAAAGCAGACTGAAAGCGCCCGGGTGGGCAGAAAGACGCAAGCCCAAGCGAACCAAAGATCACAGCGGTGACACATTATCACGACCCATTCATGATTCTCAACATGTCCTTTCGGAGTTCTTTCGCGTACGGAGTCGGAGCATCATCGGCGTTCTATATCACCACACCGCACATCCAGCACGACAAAAAGTGGCTTCAGCATCACCTCAGAGTTTCCACTTTTCTTTCTCCCGAAATTTGCAATGAGGCAATCTTGCACATTGCAACATATGGACATCTTCACATCACAATTTCAACAGAATGATTAGACGTGCAGGAGCTGGTTACTTTCTAGATCTCAGGTGGAGTTGATGTGTTTCCCTTCCTCTGTTTTGCACATTGCCCACACCCAAGCGCTGGAGTGTATGGCCCCATCAGTCGCTCATAGATACAAAGTATTTCGCATACTTTGCAATAGCATGGATTACACCTCGTCTGACCTAGCTTGGTACCAAGCGCTCCGCCTGCTGGCGTTGAGCAAGACGAGTGTTACTCCCAGATAGATGAAAAAAAATAAACAAATCTTCAGAGCACAACACATCACTTGCATCGCGCTGTAAGGCGTACCAATACTCCATGCACCTGGGACGAACTTTCCATTTCGGCCTCCACCAATGTGTCTTTTCAAATAGCGCCTTCCCATGTCGTCCTTTGCCACTGCCGGCTGTGCCGTGTAACGCAAATCTACTGGCTTCCAACCACACCTTTCTCGTTCAAACAGATCCACTTGCACATCCTGACCGGAACAGCAACGCCTTGAGCTCCAAACCGTAACATGCGCACCACTGCCATGATTGGTATCCTGGGCCACGTTCTTTCTCAGGCAGCGATGGTGGGCAACGCGTCGGGCCGCATCCACAACACCATCCTCCATCATCCCCTCAAACCTGCTGCCAGCCCTCCAGGTCAGTCACTATCGACACCGCGCCTTACCAGCTTTTGCGATACTTCAGGCGATCAACGTCCGAGAGAGCCCCGCCAAGCCAGTGGTGCTAAACACCGCTTAAGGGACTCCACAGCCGCTGGCACCTGGCGCTCCATAATGCGGCTAGGATGAGCGGTGCTCATGAGATCGTCGCAGCAGATCCTACTTTGGGCTCAACCCGCTTGCTAGTGAGGTAAGGGCAATCTTGGCGTAGGCGACTTGTTTGTCAAGATTCACACTGCACAGTGAGGGGAGATTGAAGAGTGGATACGTGCACGACGTCGCGGTGCATGGTGTAGATGAGGCGCTGACTGTGATACATACGAGTAGAAGCAAGCATGTGGCACTGCATTCAGAGTGATGCGGTATGATTATCCACGCGAACAGCGAGCCGTCAAAGTAACGTCAAGATACGAAGGCGATCTATTCTTGCAACGGCAAGCGCACAGACAAGTTTGCCTGAATGCGAAATGAGGATGAGTAACCGACTTCCGAGCGTGCTTACCCTGCATTGCATGCAGTGCCACGAGCGTGGTGCAATCCCGACAAGGTGAGAACCACTTTTGATTGTGGCATTGAGGTCAATGCATTCCTTTAGTGGATACCGATACTTCTGTATGCAGGGCGACCGGACAACCGCCCCCGGATTTCCAGAAGACACATTCGAGAAGGGTGGCGGCTGCTCATGCAAAAACAATTTTGGTATCCTTCGTTTGCTCGGTGGCTCAGGGTCACGGTATGAAAGTCACGGTATGAAAGCATGCAATCGCGACCATAGCACCCTAATGGGCCGGCAATGACTCGCCGAGTCCGAGGCCGCATTTCTCTACGGTCGCTCCACATCCTGCTCGATGTACGGACATGCGCTCTACCTAGCATCAATCGGTGCGCTCAGTCACCGCTCTCTCCTTTTGCAGCCAGATCGGTGTCAGCCTCCGGGTACCGATGAAGTGCATAAGCCAGCCAGGTGACTTGACAGTATCAGGGCAATCTTCAATGTTCTCCACTCTTCTTAACTTCATACATATCAATGTGCTAGAATCAGCAGGCGAAAGACGTTTCTATGCCGCGATCGATAAGATGACCTCTCGTGTCATCGTCCCGGCGACAGACAAGATCAGTACCTAGAAAATGTAACACCAATCGCAGCCACCAGTCGATCGTGATCAGCAGGCTGCTAGCAAGGTGTCCGGGCAATTCAGCCGAAGCAGAGTGTTGACGAGAAGGATGCCGCCTGGCTAGCGGCAACCGCAATTCGTGTCAACTTTCTCCTGGACTGCGCCGCGGTGACCAACCCGGATGTGGGCGGCTAACGTCTTGGATATCGAATGGCATTGCGGTCGTCCGACAGATTTTCTCATGCAGAGCGGGCGGTCACCCTGGTACCAGCCAATGTATCTCGTGAGCCTCATCGCATGGCTTCCCTTTCTGGCAAATTTCTCTGCTCCGTGCGGCCCCACGTCGATTTCATGCACGCCAACACTTGATGAAACAATCTTGCACACAGGAGAACCTGAAATTCGATGTTGAGAAATCGTTCGGTTATTACGTCAGTGGCGTAAGAAGCCGTCTTCTAGCGCGGATCTCGAGCACTAAACTGTATATGGACTGATGCATGTGGGCTGGTCTTGTCACCCCCATCTGGCACTTGCAGTGCAGCTTACCTCGCTTGAGGATATTTGTTGACATTTGCAATGAGCGAAGTAAATGCTGATACTCCCCTCGAAAACGGACTGTTTTAGCTATGGGAATAAGACTAAGCAAAGAATCCTGATCCTCTAAGTGAGCAAGCGGACCGAATAGTCAACATGCGCATTCGTCACCTTTTCGCATACCTCATCTCCCCATGTTCCGACCCCGCTTTGGAAGGAGGGGGACCGTTGTTGTACGCTGTGTCGATCTCGGTGGCGAGCATCAAGCACTCGTTGTCACAAGAGAACGGATACACTAAACTGACACGCAGATATCGCTCATGCGCAGCATACAGGTCGGCAAACTAGCTTCAAAGAAAGGCAGGCTAGCAGCTATGACCACGTAAAGCGTCCGTTCTGTATCGAGAAGGGTGGGAATGGAAGGTGTCACCATCTGCGCTGTCACCGCGACATGCGCTCATCTGTCCGTGGAATGGGTTTCACATGTCACTTTGGACTTGGCTTTCCATGTTGGGCCGCAATAATGCAAGCCCTTGCTGGATACAAGCATTATCGACAAGTGGACTGCTGTATTAGGTCTCGATAAGACCGGAGACCACTACTGTACGACGGTGTGTCAATAGGGCGCGTGTGATCTTGTAACTGACCACGTGGGCATGCATGTCATTCAGTCAACGTTGAACGGTGAGGGAGATGCAGGTACAAAGACACTTCGCTTGTAGCGGTAGAGGGTAAAGGACGTAACTCAGAGACGTGCAAGCGATGTTGCTATTCCAGTGCATCATTCATGGAGCCAATCGAAACCCTGGAAGCTTATGTGATCATGTTGTTCCGAAGTGCAGAACTCATGGGCCACGGCCGTTCTAGAACTTGCGATTTATGGTTTTCATATTGCTGTAAGTGCAACTGACGTTCTCGATTCTATTTCTCACATTAGTATTCTGACTGCTCGGTCTGGACTCTGAGTGGGACTGAAGACAACGGAAAACGTGGTTTGTGCTATCTTAAACCGAAGAAAAAGGGAAACTTTCACGATCGTCATCAGGTAAGCCTACAAGAACAGGAGCAGAGTTTGCGAACGATCTACCTTAAGGTAAAAGGATCGCGTAATTCTCTTATATTGGTACTTGCTTGGAACCTTGCCAGACAGACGATCTTTTCGGACATCTCTCCTGACCATCCAGTTCTGTTTGTCTTGTATAGTTTACCATCCTTGTTCCTCCTTCAGTTGATCTGAACTTCCGACGAAGTGGTCAAATGCAACCTTCTTCGATAACTGTAGGGCCAGACATGCCCACAGGTTGATACCATCAGTTCAAGCTGCCAACAGCTTCGGTTTGGTTTATGGTTTAGCCTTTGGAAACAGCGAGGTGAACCAAGCGAACCCTTTCGAGTCAAAGAATTTCGTGTTCACGGTGTCGCGTGCAAGTGCCAACGCCATATCCGCCCCAAAATTAGGGTGAATACGAATCAGATGCTGGTATTCCTCCGTCTTGATGAACGCACGACTACCTTCGAGAACACCAGATGCAATAAGGCTGCCCATCGACCCACCAGTGCTTGCCGTAGATCCATAGTGAGCGTCTATAGCAGCTCGGAGGAGCTCGAAGTTGTTGGGGTCCAGTCGATAGCGCAGATCGTCCAAGATGGCCTTGTAGATGCATGGTACATCGTACTTGTCCGCAATTGCTTGTATACCGATGGGTATAAGCACACGGTTGACCGCATCTCCAGCCGCGAGCTTGCGGATAGCTGCCTTGTCGTACTCGTACGTGTAGATATACTTGAGCAGGAACTCAAAGTGATCTGGATGGTCGTCGTGGATCTCAATCACGGGCTGGGACGCCTCCTGTGCGGTGGTTAGCTGCAGTAAGGTGCTCCCAGATGGTTGACTTGCCTTGAACTCATCGGTGAAGGCTCGGAAGAAGTAGCTTGAGTCTGCGCTGAGTATGGCCTTGTGGGCGTGATACTCTCGCACCTTGCCTTGAGCAATTTGTTTGATGGTGACATCAGACAAGGTGGGGTTGTTGAACAGCCTAGAGGCGATCAGATGTGCTCTGAGAAGGTCACTAGGAATTACTTACGCCACTTCCGCTCGATCTGCTGATCTACGCATGGTATCGGTCGACCTTGTTTGTGATTTCGAAGTTTTCGTGGTGGCGAAAAATGTGGAAGTAAATGCGCAAGGTAGCAATCGCAGACCGTTTGCTCTAGCTAGACTAGTACCGCAATTGGAGATGGAAGTGAAGAGGAGCTGAAAATCAGGGAATGGGAAAGAATGTTCAATTCATATTCGGCTTTGCTGTATTCATTATGTCTCTCAGTTTCTGGATTGCAATGATCACCAAACTAGTGACCTAAGTAACATTGCACATTTGCCATTAAACAAATACATATCTCATTTGAGTAACCATGACTTCGTTTACAGTTCTATCTCTTGACTCGCAAGACTATCAGTGTAATAACACCCTTTGCTAGGGGGGACGCAAAGGTCTCTTCGGCGTTTATTGGCAAGTGGCCCTGGTTCAAACGAATACATGGACGTCTAGACGGCCAAGTTTTTTCATAGCCATGATGAGATCAACGCTGAAACTTGGATAGCGTTGAATCAACACGTCGAACTCGTCGGTATTGGTGAACCCCAGCTGATCGTTCAGAACAATGTCCAAGATCAGATCACCCAGTTCTGGGGGTGACTTGGCTTCGTACCCGTAGTGCACTCCCAGAACGTGAAGAGATGTGCGGAAGAAGCGGGCATGCTCGAAGAATATGATGTTTACCAAGATATGCAGACCTTCCTAACTTTGGTACACGTCTAAACCATACAGGCTGTCCCTAGGTGCGAACCAGTGTCCACAGTAATTGCTGCCCTGCACGTAAGGTACAGGCGAGCACTCGAAGCTCTACCTTGTTGTGCCAGGCTTGGTTTGGCGTAGTCTATTTGACCTGTCTCCGCTTCACCTTCACCGCAACGCTCACTAGCGTCTTGCGCAATAACTTTTACGAGACCAGCTCTTCGATTTCCCCTCACTTTCGCTTTTGAACCCGCCACCTTCGCTCGATACAACACCATTCACCGCCATGGATGGGCCAAAGGAGCTTTCGCAGTAAGTGCGGGATTGTGCGTATCAGTAGGCGCGTTTACTCACCTCCAGGCTCTTCAACAATCCTTTCCTCTCCGACATCAGAATTAAGCAGATATCAACGAGCGGCGAGATACGTGAATACTGTGCCCACAAGGTCGTTCTCTGCATGGAATCGCAGTACTTCATGAACGCATTCAAGGGCGGATTCAAGGTAAACCACTCAGCATCTGCATAGTCGTGCTATATGAAACTAACGGCTGTACAGGAGGCATCTGATAGCGTCATTGAGCTGCACGACGACGACCCGTACTATTTCGAAATTGTCCTCAAATCCATCTACTCCCCTGGCTACCATGCAACTGTCTACGACCGCACTTTGGACAGCCCTAAGGAGAAGGTACTCGCTCAAATTGGCACCTACATTATCGCAGACAAGTATCTTGTCACACGTATGTGCAATGATCTTCCTATTGACTTGGCGGGCTATATGAATTCAGAGTTTGTCTGTCCTGAAGCGTTGGAGGCTGCAGTCGGTGCATGGTATGGATCAGTGGCAATTATTGGAGATAAAATGGGTCACGAAATCGCACGCGCGATTCTAGGGCTCTGGAAATCGTTTGATAAAGCGACTTTCGGCAAGCTAGTGCAACAGTACCCGGCTTTCGGTGCGACGTTCACTCTGATGATGGCGAGGCAAGGGAAGATGGATACTGGTTTAAAGGATTGTATGCATTGTCGTCCCTCGTGGAAAGGGCTTTTTCGTTGAGAATTCGGCCTACTAGTAATGCCTGTATTGCGACCAAATCAACGTCGAGGCTATGTAAAGATTTAGAGCACTCGAAAAGTCGATGAGGGTTATCGCGCAGCAATATGGACGTAGCAAGCCAGAGAGCAAAATTCAATCTTACCCACGGCCTACTCCTACCTTTCCTCTTTGTCCCACTCTTCATCCGCACCGATTATCACTGCCATGATGCAGAGCACTCCAGAAAGACAAATACGGCTCAACTGATAGGGGCAAAAGCTTGTTGAGACGAGTCGCGTTGTGACAATTGCTCACACCATCGAGAAGCTAACCGCACTTTTGACACATGTGATGAGCGTATTAGATATCCTTTCTTATTTAAACCCATATAAGAACCACTTGTATTGCCTGCATTGCGGCGAAGGCCAATTCGCGGCACCCATGTAAGGCTTTAGAGCAGACTAGAGAAATCGGTGAAGTGCATTGCATGCGCAGGCTATCCTAGCAAGTCAGAGCGCTAAGATCGAATCTTATCCACGCTCGCTCAGACCGTTGCAGAACATATTAATAACACGTCTCTTCAATGTTGAGAGAGGTGGGGCAAATTCGAGAATAGTGATTGTTGGAGGATGTTAGCCTCTTAGCCGCTTACCTTGTCAACACCACAACGACGTTTGCCGCCATTCAAGATGATGGACCCAACACAAATAATAAGGGCGAAAGGCGGTTAAGACTACAGCCGATGATATAAGAGTCAAGGTGACAAGCTGAACTGCACTTATAACACATGTAGTGGACGTATTAAAATATATTCATAGTTATTCAAATCAACACAAAAACCGCTGAAACAACACGAGAAGCTGGCAGTCTACTGTGACGATCCACCGGAAATAGTCAACACTTGTCCGTTAACCCACCCTCCATCCTCGCTGGCCAAAAATGCAACCACCCGCGCCACATCCTCGGGCACTGCACACCGCCCCAAAGGACAGTGACTCGCCATCAAGCCCTCAATCTTCTCGGCAGGCCATTCAGGCGTTCCCCCCGGAATGTAATGCCAAGCATTCTGTGTGAACATGTCGGACTTGATACCACCTGGCGCGACGCCGTTGACAGTGATACCACGCTTGCCGAAGTCGGTAGCAAACGCCTTGATGAAACCAATGACAGCCATCTTGCTTGCATTGTACAGCGCGTGGTCCTTGACGCCGAGCAGGCCTGCGGCAATGGAGCTCATGAGAATGATGCGGCCGTTGTCCTCGATGTACTTGTAGGCTGTCTGACCAACAAAGAACTGGGCGCGTGTGTTCAGGTTGAACACATGGTCGTACTTCTCCTCTGTAATCTCCTCTGTGACGTCCCACGACTCGGTGCCAGAGTTAGACATGACGATGTTGATTTTGCCAAAGGCCTTCTTGCCCTCTTCAAACAGGCGGTTGATCTCGGAGACTTTGCTGACATCGGCTTGGATTGCAACAGCCTTTGCGCCGTTGTTAAAACCCTCGATGATCTTGACGACTTCCTGTGCTGGCCCTTCGCTGGATACGTAGTTGACGATGACGGAGGCACCACGCTTGCCGAGCTCAATGGCACAGCCACGGCCAATGCCGCGACCAGCGCCGGTGATGAGGGCAACTTGGTCATGGAGCGAGGCGGTGGGGACTGTGACGACCATATTGTTGATGTAAATGGGGATCACGTGAATGTAATTGTGATAGTCCTATTCGGTAGTTGTATAAGTGGTGCAAAAGAGCTGTAAGAAAGCCCTAGTGTTGAAAGTTGTCGGTAAATCGAAGCAGGCTGGATATATCAATTCAAACTTCCATCGAATGCGTTTGTTATATATGTTCATCATGATCATGATGTTTCGGTGGTCTTGTTTCGGTTCCTCACTCACTGCCTCACCAGCACGGGCACGGGCGGGGAGCCGAACGCAGATCCGAAAATAGGTGCCTCAGGGTTTGCGGCTCTTCGACTGTGACACCGGAGCGTGTATCGCGTTGCTATTCGCAGCGATATGTCCGATGCCGTTTGTTTCCGCATGTTTGACCATGTCGTGCACACACGCTTGACTGCCGGCTACGGAGGTCGGGCGGAGGAGGGGCCATTGTAGGCACCGGAGATGGCACGGCGACGATGTGTTGAGACAGGAGATGAACAACTGAGCCGACACCGTACTGATTTTACATTTCTGCGTGCTTCCTGGAGACACGACTGTTTTGCCACATAATGGCAGGCTCCTTTCACGAATTGCAGTTGTTGACCTTCGAGTTGCCAGCAACATCATGACTCGGGGTCTTTCAAGTTTCAGAAAAAAAGGCAGACAAATGATCTTCAAATTGTAGCTATCATAATACCTAATGCTAAGATTTAGTTAAGCATCACCCATGTTGTGAGCAAGAAAGTACTCTACAGAGGTTTTGTGCATTCTCCATACATTACAAATATCTGGCTCACATCCTTAGTCCGCCGTTTATCCTGCAACCTGAGAGGGGGTATCTGATGTTCAGGTACTACCGGCTGACTATGCGACAGGCCTCAGAACATAGGCAACACGCTCAGCATGTTGGACTTTGGCGAGTGGTGAATGCGCCGTGGTGGAAGAAAAGCAAACGGCTGGACCGCCGGGATTGATTCCGATCGGAACTGCACAGCACGTCACCCCTCCACAGCCCCTCCAGAGCGTTGTCTTGCACAATAAGAATCTCAACAACACCAATTGCGCACTCAGATCTCAAGATGCACATTCTCGTAGGTCTCGAACATATGAAACACACAAGAATACAACACTAACGAACCCAGGTAACAAACGACGACGGCCCGCCCTCAGACCAGTCTTCGCCCTACGTGCACTCGCTCGTCTCGACACTACAGAAATTCGGCCACACGGTCAGCGTTGTCCTCCCGCATACACAACGCTCATGGATCGGAAAGGCTCATCTCGTGGGTAAGGCTATCAAGCCTACGTACTACCGCCCTGCGCCACTGCAGACGACGAGCGAGGGCCGCCTCACCAACCACGGCACCACCCATAATACACCACTACCCCCCAACTCGACCGAAGAGGAATGGGTGCTTGTCGACTCAACGCCCGCCTCGTGCGCCCAGATTGGCCTGTTCCACTACTTCGAGTCGCGAGGGCCAATTGACCTGGTCGTCAGCGGGCCCAACTACGGCCGCAACAGTACGGCTGTGTTTTCGCTATCATCCGGCACGATTGGTGGCGCCATGGAGGCCGCAGTTTGCGGTGCTAAGTCTATAGCCCTATCCTACGCCTTCTTCGACCGCAACCACGATGCCGCCATCATCAGCGGCGCCTCCGATCTCAGCGCCAAACTTATTCAGTACCTGTACGACAACTGGGACGCCAACACACATCTGTACACGGTGAATGTGCCACTCGTCGAGGGCGTTGGGGAGAGGAAGATCCTGTGGACCAACATGCTGCAAAACCAGTGGAAATCTGGCTCATGTTTTCAGGTCGTCGAAGTCCCCTCTGAAGCCGGCGACTCGCCGGCAGACATCGAGAACCAGATCCGCAAACAGGAGGAGAAGCTCGGCAAGAAGGAGTTGCGCTCAAACAACGACCTTCTACCGGAGAGCCAAGCAGGGTCAGGCACGGCCACGCCGAGCGGCCAGCCGCATATGCGCTATTCGCACAAGCAGTTCAAGTGGGCGCCGCAATTCAAGGATGTGTACGAGAGCGTGGAGAACAGCGAGCCCGGGAATGATGGTTGGGCTGTTGCGCAGGGGTATACCAGCGTGACGCCGCTGAGGGCGAACTTCATGCATGTTACTGCAGACAAGTTCAAGGGGGAGATATCGCTATGAACTGGAGCGGGGCACACAGTAGAGTGAACAGCAATGTCGCGGGCAATGGTGCCAATCAGGATCTGAGGAGTGGCATCATGCAAGCTTGATAGAATCAATAATCAAAGGCATTGATGAGCCAGGGTCGCCACATCCGGACCCGATACAGTCTGCTCCCTCACATGCGAGACGGGATATACCACCGAGACCATCACGGGATCTACATGTTGTAGTACGTTTGTCTCTATACCTCATCTCACTAAGCTGCCTTCTTGGCGGGCTGCTCGTTTGCTAACAGACCTTGCCTTCTCACTTTCACCTCGACACGCTTACCCCGCTCGTCGGGTACAAAAAGTCGGCTCGTTGCCTATGCTATACCTTCTTGTCGCAACAATCCAATATGGCTCACTCAGCACCACCACCACCTGACGGAATGTCCACGGAAGAGCTTGCGGAGGCGATTATGGTCGTCATGCGCGATGGCGACTTTGTACCAACGCCGTCGATAATGCGCCTAGAAGAGCTTTGCAGTGTTGCTATCGCTAACATGGACGATGAAACTTTCGAAGCAGCTCAGCGTGGTGTATTCGAGATGGAGAAGGGGTGCGTTGGGCGTTGTGCGTGTAGTATCTGTCTCGCCTACTTCTATGACCCGAAGCACCAACAGAGTGGTCAATGCCAGTACAGGGCGTTGATGAGTGCACCAGAGGCGTCAAAACTTCTTAGCGACCACACCGAAGATATCTTTGCGAGTCAGGCATATCTCCGACAGACGATGCAGCAGCATGGCGAAGAGATCCTCTGCTACTGGCGAGCAGCCGATCAGCGAGCACGCGCAACGCTACTACGCTCAGCGTATCCCGAAATACCGCAAAGCAATAATTTCGACGTAGGAAAGTCTTTGGAGGAGATACGGCGCTCAGCAAATCGAAAAGCTCTACTCTTGCCATACCTCGATTTGGAGACACTCGTGAAGGATCAAGAAGCTCTCGTTGGTCTCGTCCATCACCGAAAAGAATCTCATCCACAAGAGTGGGCACCCTTTGACAACGAACAGTTGCGCAGGTCTTGGACTTTGGGGCTCTATGAGTCAGATTTCAATCACGGTGCCGTCACTTTCCAAGGTTCCAACTATGGACAATACACAAGCTGGCATGCGGACGCCGCCCACCGACTCGACATAGTCGGCTTTCCTCGTGGAAGATTAGTCATCGAGGCTCAGGCTACACTAATGCTCTTCCTACGACATGTTGTCAGAGAACTCGTCTAGGTGTCTTGTGGAGTCAAGATTCCAGCTAAACGCACTCAACGATCTTCTGTGTCGCTGAAAATTGATAGCACCTGGTCTGGAATTGCACGCAAACCGTTCGCCGCGCCGCCTAAGTTCGATCTTGATGACATGATAACGCTTGTTGAAGGTAGGGCAAATGCTATAAATGACCACTTGTGGCTTCTGCAGATGGATGCTACCTATCTTTGAAACCATCTGCTCGATCTTAGTTAAATGCCAAGGGCTCAATCTGCTGAAGATTAAGATATGCGATCTCGCGTGATGTTTTGGGAGCTTTGTAGCGAATTTGACGATTACGAGTTCTGGCTAGCGGCCTTGTACGAGTTGGAGAATCTGGAGACTGTCTGTCGGCAGTCTGATTATTCCATCACACTATTCGCCCAGCTTCCCCACGATGTAGACGAAGCTCTCGCTGCACTTGAACTGTACCTGGAAGGAAGGGCGAGGCTAATGAGTGCTAAATTTCTAGTGATGGACCTGTCACAACGACCCCAGTTTCAGCATATCTACAAGCATGGTAAGGTCTTGCGTATGGGAGCGGACGGCTGCTATTAACCAAGCATAGATATTGCGTCCGCTCTTCGAATTTCTGCTAGCGATGGCTTTGAGCAAGCTAGATTGTACCGTAAAGAGAAACTCTGGTGGTTACTCAACTAGCTCGCGCAATCTCTAGACAACAAGACTCGCTTCAGCCACACTATATTGCTGAGTGCCTTGAACGCTTACCTTGCAGACACGTCCGCAAAGCAACGTGGGGCATTGGACCAGATCCTATACGAGAGACTTTCTGATTACATCACCTTTATCCAGCTACTATCAGCAGTGCGGATGCACCGTCCGAACTTTACTCCCAGAAATCCGCTTGATTTGAGGCACAGTCAAGATTGTTATGCGTGGCGCACATTTAATTTTAAACGCCTGGGGGAGCGCACGACATTGGAAAGGATTTACATAGCCCTATAGAAGACAATTGAAGCGCTACAGGAGTTTCGCCTCGCTAAAGCACCTAGCGGACCACAGAATGGAGCATGGCTGGGTAAATTCAACATACAGCATGCGGCAATGTGGACGTTTTGGAAGGAATTCTTGAACTGGAGACGAAATGGCTTTCTGGAGGGCAAATACAGCAATTCTGACTTGGAGATCGCAATGGCATCGGCCTCCTTCTGGGATGATCCAGATTTTCTTGCAAGTCTGGATGTTAAGCGTGAAAGCATCCTTTCGGGTATGGTTAAGCTGAAGCTAGCCAACATCGACCATGCGTTCTTGCCTCTTCTGTCTACTATAGATCCTGGCAACGACCGAGCATACACTGTACCAGAAACCAAACTTAACCCCAAAACTAAGGGCACCGCTTCTATAGCTGCTCTCTCTACTCTAGAAGTCTTGGAAGTGCTAGAGCAGCCCCGTCTCACTACAGTCACCCTCTTGAGCAAGCGCTCCATCACCACCTTCTGCGCCATGTTCCCCTCCACCCCTTAGGAGCTTAAGACCAAGATCGACTGGAACACTTTAGTTGACAGCATGGCTGATGCCGGCTTTGTCGCAAAGACCAGCGGCGGAGGCTTAGCCGTCAAGTTCGAAGAGAGCGGCGGCAGTGGCAGTATTGTGTTTCATCGTCTACACCTAGACCCGTTCGTTGAGCCACACAAGCTGCAGGCTATGGGTTTGTGAATGGGCAAGCACTTTGGGTGGGTGAGGGAGATGTTTGTATTGGGAGCAAAGCAGCCCACGGTGGCTTGAGAGGGGCTTGATATTGGGCGGGAGGACGTTCTGGACTTGAGAGCCAGGCGGATTGGACGACACGGTGTGTTGGTTTGGCGTCTAATGAAACTGGACAGCGGTAGTGGAGCGTTGAAGTGTATCACACGCGCACGGCATTAACGCATCCTTAACTAGCGATGTAGGACTGTTTAGTACAACGCGCATCCACGACTATAGCCGCGAAGGACAGTACACCTACGCGAGAGAAAATGGTCTCACTTAGAATCCGCCACTGTACAAGTCCAGTGACCTGGAACATAACACACAAATACAAAAGCACCAAAAACAAGCTCCACTGAACCATGCGTCCAGTTTCTTCTAGCCGTACGTCCAATGATACCGTTGATGCGATATTGCCGGTTTGGGAAGGTATGCGTTTCGCGTCGAGCGCAGTACAAAACTGTCGCAGAATTGCATCGAACTGCTATTGGGCGGCTTAGCAAAGTTGGCCAGGTACGGGAGTTTACGGAACCCTCTGAGCCCATCTTACCTGATTGGGATGGGCACGGCCGGATGTGCCTAACCGAACCTACCCGTTTGGGAAAGTACTCGTCAACCGTTGAACCCGTCCCAGTGTTGTCCCATCGTAGAGTAGAGTCAATCGCAAACTAACCCAGTTTGGTATGTAGCTGCTCAAAAGCCGTCGAGCCTCCCATCCAGCGCAAAGGCGCCATCGGCGTCGCACGTGACTTGTCCCTTGCGTACAAGAAACCCAGTGCACTGTGCCGCCCGGGCTTCGTAGACTGTTCACGGGACCACGCCGGGTACACAGCGACCGTGTCGTGGTGCGTGTAAATCTCCACTGAATGCAGGGCGTCTTTTGGCACTTCCGGGGATTTACTAGGTTTACTAGTAAATACGAAGTATACTCAATAAATCACTATCTCATGTTCGACGCTTTTCGATGGGTTCCTAAGCGAATAGTGTCGTACAAAGGTGGTGCGGGTTGCGTGGCCTAGGGACCTTGCACAGGAAGTAGTTGCGCGTGAGTCGAGCGGTGCGAATTGGTGTGTTGAAGTCCTTCTTCCATCCGTACTGTGTCGCTGCGATACTCTCACGTTTGCAAGGCGGAGACAGTATGTCAATAAGTCAAGAACTGTGATCGAATTCGGCATGCCGCAGCAGCACGACTATCTAACATCCGCTAAACGCAGCAGTAAAGGAAATCTATCCACCTCCGCACGCCTACGCCGTCGTTCTCCCAAGCACCTTGCCCAAGTCCTCCTCCTCGACACGCTCCGGCGTCCGACTCCCGGTCTTCTCGGGATCCTTTGCGCTCCTGCTCTTGCTCCGCAGCCGGCCCCAGCTCATGCTACGCCTGTCCTGCTGCTTGTTATGCTTGATGCCGTGGCTCCAGCGCTTGCGCATCGGCGGCCTGCTGTCGTCGAGCCCCAGCAACGACCTCAGCTCTGACACCTCTGCGTGTCCGCGTGTGGTCTTCATTCTGTGAACCCATGTACACTCGCCGTTCTCGAAGAGGAACTCGCCGCCGACCTGCTTGAAGTCGCCGCCCTTGAGGGCTTTGCGGCCGGTGGAGAGGCCCTGGAATATCGACTGCACGCTGTTGATCAGGACGTTGGTGTGCATGTATGCGGGTTTCGAGCCGAGGTCGAAGGTCCGCGTCATGCCTAGGTGGTCGTAGATCTTGCGTGTGGGTTCGGCGTAGATGGGGAAGGGGCAGCCCGTCGCCTCGACGTACATGGGTATCAGCTCGGGGCGGCCGCAGCCGATGACGGTTATGGACGTGGGCGTGGGGAGGGCAAGTAGGTCCTCGGGTGTTACGGAGGAGGCGAGGGTGCGGAGGTATTCCTGGCAGTTCTGCAGAGCATTAGCATGTGGTGGGACAACTAGCAACTGGCTAGACTCACTCCGCAGAAGAAGTGTCGGATGAAGATAATCAGCTGGCGAGGCGCGACCCCTGAGGCGTCGTAGAGCTCTTTGAACGGCCGGCTCTTTCCATCTGCATCCAGGATAAGGAGATCCTCGACCTTCTTTAGCTCTCCCTCCGTTGGCAGGTCATTAGTGACGTCGACGGTGCCCTCGAACTCCTCCTGCTCCTTCTGCAGCACCGGCGTGTCGCTCGCGGGCGAGAAAGGTGGTGTTGCGTTGTCATATGTGTCTAGCGAGGGTTTGGACAGCGTCTCGCGCCCGGACGAGGGTGGTGGAGAAGGCGGCGCGGCGGAGCGCGGCGCAGGAGCCGCAGTCGATTGGGCGGTGTTGCTGATATCCACGGTCGCCATAGTGTCTACAGATATCGAAAGAAGTGCGCGCAAGGCACACTCGCGTGCTAGGCAGAAAGGCAGTGCTGGCTTTAACGGAAGCTGTGTGTCCCGGAGCTAAAGTGAGGACGATCGCACAAAAGAGGCTGAGCAGCGAAACGAGAACGAGGTATATGCGCGCTGACAGCAAAGCACGAGCGAGCGAGTGTCAAGCAGTCAGCAGATTACAGGGTAAGTGAGCGAGACGCTGCACCCAAGAGCAAACCTTGAGGCAGTTCAAAGACGCGCGACAAGTTTCAAGATGCAAGGAGCGGGCGACGTCAGTGGCGGCGCAGCCCGGAGTGGCTGTCCGCGGCCTGTGCAGCCCCAGGGGGAGACTGGAGGTGGCATGGTTTGGGCTAGACCAGCGCAGTCGATCAGTGACTGCGCTGCGACAATTCGTCGTGAGAGTGTCGGTGTGGCCACGCCTGCGCCGGTGGTTAATGCTTCAGAGCCGTCTCACATGCACCGTCGACGCAGGGTCGACCAGGGTCTGCGCCAACCGCCTAAGCGAGTGTCAGTGCCGTGGCCTCCTCACCACCACCCATCACGACCGAGGTGGAGGATAGCCTTTGGTAGACCGGACATGGATTGCTTTGGACGAACTTTGACAGCCTGTCAATGAATCTTGTGCACCCAAGCTTCTGAACCTTCCAGCTACCAGTCTAAGCCACCCGGCACGCATGTTCCTTAATCCTGCCAGCAGTATCCACAATCCTCCCAACACGCAGTATTTCTAGGCCTTCCAGTTCTCCGTCTCGCCCACCTCACGCCTCCTACTCGCCTTGATCCTCTCCACAGCCTCCGCATACTTCTTGTAATCCGGGAAGTCGATGCCTTGGCAATCCCTCTTGACCAGCAGCGCCTTCTCGCCCGCCGCAACCCCCATCTTGTAGTCACGACCCACCTCGCACACCAGCGCGATGTCCAGAAACACCCCCGCAAGCCGCGCATCCCACGCGCCCTCCTCCTGCAACAGCACCGCCATCTTAAGCAGCTTATTCGCAAACTCGGGCTCCTTCGCGCCGTCCGCCAGTCTCGAGCCCCGGAGGAACCGCGTCTCGCGCTCGAGCTCCTGGATCTGCCAGCGCCGCTGCGCGCTCTTGTACGCGGGGCTAGATTCCTGGTATCATTAGCGTCCCTTCGCCTGTGTGAACACGCCATGTTATGACATGTCCTGAAGTGCAGTACTCACATCCTCCTCATCCCCACACGCCTCACACCCACATACAAACCCATAATGCCGCAGCTCCCACGCGCGCAGCCGCTTATCATGCTCCCCATCCACATAACTAATAAGCACCTCCTCGCCGGCCTTGATGTCGCGCATGGTATGGATGTTCTCGCGCTGCGTATCGCTGTTCCACGAGAAACACGCGTTGGGGACACAGCTATGATTGAAGCGTGCGGCGTGCACGAACACGCCCGCCCCGGCGCCCATCTCCATGCAGTTGGTCTGGAAGATCGAGATGTGCGTGGGCTCCGTGCCGGTGCGCGCGCCGTGCTGCTCGATGATGCGCCGGCGCTCGAGCACCGGTACGCTGGAGTGGATTTGCGTGGGCCAGGCGGAGAGCGGCTGGCCATGCGCAGAGTGTAGGGTGTAGTAGAGGACTTGGGACGCGGGCGGGAGCGCGTCGAATATTTTGACGATGTCGCTTTGGAGGTAGGCTGCGACGGGGACGCTGAGGAGCGCGGTGTCGCTGAGGATTCGCGTTCCGCGCGGGATGTCGGCAAGCGCGATGCACCCGTAGCCTTTGCCGGGGAGAGCGCGGATCTCATAGAAGGGGTTTTCTGGGTGCATGAGTAAGGGCTTGCTGTACTAATATGAGGGGACTTACCAGGTGCTACTGGAATGATGTTGGCCGCCTGCACGGCAGCGCTGTGGAGAGCGGACATTGCGACGTAGAATCCAATTGTGAGGTAGAGAGGTACTCAGAGGCAGAGATCGCGAGAAGTGTCGTTGTATATCCAGAGGTAAGCGGGCGTTTGCTGCAGCAAGCACAAACGGACTGTGTCACTCTCACCCAGCGCACCCAAACTCGAAGAAGGTAATTGTCATTCATAGACCGCGATAGCCGCGCATACTCAAACAATAAAAAAGATAAGAATATAAAAGTGTGCAATGAATGATGCAACGAAAGATGCATCGTAGAACCCCAGATAACGCCGCGCTGTGTCTGCATCATGCAAAAGACTCGTCCAAAAGCAAAAAGACTGTCATTCGGCAAGAGCCGTGGTTCGTACCTTCCCTCTACGCTCCAGCTTCTCTTAGAGAGACCAGACAGATTTACCGCCTCTCGAAATACTGACTGCGATTGTCCACCTCGAAACTGCCTTCCTTGGGGGTAGCCCACGCCTCGGGGCTCACGATTTCGCTGTCTTCAGTAGCTTGCCGGCGGGCTTCGTAGCGGCCCTGGCGCGGCGTGGGCACGCAGTCCTCGGTGCCGGGGCGGATGCTATCCGGACTGGGCGTTGGGTACTGCGGGCTCGTTGTGGCGACGGTAGTGCGTGTGATGAGCTTGTTGACCAGGTCGTGGAGCGCTTGGACTTCGGTTTGCAGCGTGACGACGCGCGATTCAAGGGCCAGGCGGGCGGTGCGCTCCGACTCGAGGAGGGAGTGCATTGAGGCGAGGTCCTCTTTGGTCGTTTTCTCGTCTGTGTGTGTAAGGGGTGGTGAGGGCGGGCTTGATTCATATGCGAGGTTGCTAGTTGGTACGATCGCGGGAGCAAGAGGCTCGCGCTGGTGGATGCTGACCGTAGATATGGATCGTGAGGTTGAGCGTGTGCGGGTTCGTAGGTTGCGTGGTGCCGATTCGAGAATGATGGTTTGGTGTTGGTTGTGTTGTGAGATGCGACGGAGAGAGGACTCGAGTGTGTGGATGTTCTCCTCGAGGTTTTGTACACGATCCTCGACCGAAAGACGTTTCGGACTTCGGGAGGGTACTGGTGGCCCCTCTAGCTGAGCGAGAGTCTCGGAGTGCTCATGTGAGCTGTTGGACTCCAAGTTGCCAAAATTGAATGCTGACACAGGTGGATGCTCAGGGGTCTCCCAGTCGTGTGGTCGAGGCGCGGCCTCAGGAGTGCTGGGTGCTTCGGCTCGCGGTGTTGGCTCGTTCGGCGTCAGGTCATCTGGCCCAACAAGCGTTGCGCTCATGGCCTCATGGATCGACTCCGCCTCCTGTACAGTAGGTCCCTTCGGCTGGACGCTCCGCACTGTCTCCACCGTTCGGGCAGTCTGAGGTCTGGTGCTCTGACTGTACATGCTGGCTGAAGCATAGCTATCTCTCCAACTCTTGATCACATCAGTCCGACTCTGGTGGCCGTCATGCGAAGGGCGAGGTTTTGCTAGTTCTCGCAGGGCACCAGCGCTCCTAGATCTGCGCCTGTCTCCAATGGAGATACGAGCAGCGTTAGGGGGCCCTGATAACGCAATGCCAATGTCTGACGATGGCATGGGTTCTTCCTCAGTCTTCTCTTCCCAGGTTAACAATCGACCACGCGGTTCGTCGAGACTGTGTCGCTGAGCCTTGTCACCTGGTAGATTTGGCAATGTCGCTCTCCGCGCACCAATGTCAGTTCGTTGGAAATCGAATCTCAGGTACTCATGTGGTGGGCTTTCTGGTGGTGCGTTGACATTCATAGGGTATGGTAGATTTATCAGTGGGTGTGGCGGTTGCAGCTCTTCCACGGTCAGGTTGGAGATCCGTTGCGCGTTGGGGGTCTGTGCCTGCTGTGTCTGCGCTTGCGCTGGTGGTGCTGTCTGCGACTTTTGTAACAGGCCAGGGTCCTACTTTTTGTTAGCAAGAGTAGATTATTGAGTGCCTGCTGTGACCTACGCTGTGGTGGTAACTATGCCCCCGGCGAACAGGCTCCTCATCACGTTCTACATTGCGCTCCTGCGACTCTTCTCGATCTTTGCGACCGAACATCTTGCGAAACACACCCCGGATGCCGCTCTTGCGCTTCTGTTTCTTTGCGTTCATAGTCGCAGTGGAGTGAGGGATACTGTCTGGCGTCGCCCGCAACGGCGTTGGCGGTGTATGCGATCTTGGTTGGAAAACGCTTTCCCGTTGTCCAGAGAGTGTGCCGTCTGTCGGATGCATACCTAGTGGTGACCTGAGCGGTGACCGCGCTGGATGTTGATCGCGAAGCTCCAGTTCCTGCCGTGCAAAATCCTGATCCCGACTGAGTGTCTTGGTGGCTTTCTCTTCATTGGCATCCTCCGGTCTTAATGTTCCTTGCGAGTTGGGAACCTGTCGTATTGTGTGTGAAGGCGCGGGTACATCCAATGTATCCTCGGCACCCTTTTCTCCATGCCTCTCAGCATACTCCCTCTCTTCCTCATCACTCAGTGGCGTATCCTCCTCGATCGGAATTGGCCCACTGATCTTAAGATCACCCCTGCGAATAGCTTCCACCTTCCAGCTCGCACTGCGAGGGCGCTGTAAATTTCCCTGCACACTCATCTTGACAGCGACAGAGTTCTCGCGCAGGTGCATGCGAAGCGGCAGTCTTCTGCTCTAATAGAGCAGGCTGTGGGGAATACTAGCAGATGATCTTATGCGGACGAGATTACGCCTGCGCAGATATTGCAAGGTTCACCCTGGTGACAAGTGTAGGACAAACCACCGTTTCCCAGCATCACCGACGCGCGAGTAGTAAAGTTACTCTTGGTCACCGCACATTAAGAGGGAGATCCCAGCAAAACGGAAAGGCCCGAGCCAGAAAATGTCGACGTCGTGGTTGAGATGAAACAGTTGGTTAACAATGCGCAATGAAATGTCTATGTACCCTACTTTCTGTCTTTGAACACAATTGCGCAGTTTTGAACGCGAGAAAGAGGCCAAGAATAGGACGCTGAATTAAGGAACTGGGGAAAGAAAGGCGGAAATAGAACAATAGACGTCGGGAAAAATGAACGGGGCGCTGAAGGAATAAGTATCAAACAGCAGTGTCATGGAGCAGGGGCCGTGGGCGGGGTGAACAGTATCGATAGGATGAAAGAGGGAGCATCGCCGGCACCTGCGACATCGTCTTCTCTAATAGTAGCGGCGGCAGAAGCCATGCAAGACCAGGCCTTGCGTCAGCAGCGCAGTCAACGGCGCACCTGGACAGGCAATTTGCGTCGGTTCGCGTGGCCCAGCACGGTGCGAGCCATCTCCAATCGACCGCTCGCACAGACATCCACCAGGTCGGTGGTGCGGACGGCGGTAGCGAGGCGTGTGCTATCGACATCTGAAACAGCACGCTGCGCCCAAAGCAGCGCGGTGCGGAGGCCAAGGGGGCACTCCCACGCCTTTCAAGCAGCAGCAGCACGGAGCGGGCCCCAAAACATCGACGTGGCGCCACATCTCTCACCCTTCACGGGTTCGCGCAGGCCTGCGCGTTTCGACGGCTGTCCCAAGACAGCAGTCTGAGTGGTGTATGCACGGTGCTAGTGCACGTCAGGAACCTGGGACTACATGGACTGGGCGTTTGAGTGCATGCACCAACGCGCCATGCCCGCGTATTGGCCAGCCCGTGGCCCCAGGCACCGATGACAGCCTGAGGAACAGGAGGAGCGTGGGCCGCTTATTTCTCCTCAACGGCAGCGCTGAGACGCGGGTCAATGACAAATGACGAATGCTGCAGCCGGAAGCGGCCGTCTCGATGAAGGCGTGTTGGTGAGAGCGCAGAACGTGGCCGCACAGGCGTTGGGGTTCAACGGTCAATAGGTAGCAGTGGCGTCGACGGACTCGACTTTGATGGCTGCCACTCTTATTGTGTAATTGAACATGGTCCGATTCTGATTCAGCGATTCCATTGGCAAATCTCTAGCGTACCACACATCAGAAAGTTTTTAGACAGCCTGAGCTTGAGCTTGAGCCTGCAGGCGTGTCGGCTCAATGGCTTCTCGCTTCTCCATAGGCTCGGCTAGCCTCTGCAGGTAATCTTTAGCGCTTCTGCATCTCTCACCTCCTCATCACAAGCAACATCGAGCAGAGTCTGGCTTGTCTGAATGTGCCTATCAACAGTCCTGCTGGAGCTGTCTGACTTGTACACCGGTATATCTGACAGGCCCGACCCTCCACCCGCGCTTTTACAGCTGTCAGGCCCACGCATGCGCGGCACCATATACCAATCAATGCATATTGTAGAGGCGCTGCCGATCTGCGCGGTCCACTTTCATGCAGCATCTCGGCCTGTCTCGCTTGACTTCGCCTCCCAACAGCCTCCACAACTTGCTCCTCTTGCTTCGCTGTCACTCTCCACTTACTCCACGATGCAGCCGTACCGCAGTCTCGCGCTCACCGTCTGGACTACCTACTGATCGCCTCCATACACATCCGTCAGATTGGGGTATCTTAGATCAGCATGCTCCTCGAGATGCTCCATCCATTGCTTCAAGAACGTGCTGCCCCTGACATGTGCGTTAGCAAAGTAGAAAAGGAAACATATTGTGCATGGTGCCGCGACATGGCCAATACGGCAACCGTGGGATCGAAGGTGTGGCTTGCATGTGCGGGATGAGCCTTGTTAATTGCACATGCACCTCCGCATCTCTTCGTGGCCGCTTGTTTCAACTCGCCTTTCAGCGCGCCATAGATGCCTCTTTCTCCACCTCTAGATTGAACGACAGGATGAAGGTAAGCAGGGTATACGTACTTGCTGATTGTATCGCTATCCCCGACGATACAAAGATGCCTCTTCGGTCGTGTCATGGCGACATTGAGCCGCCTCTTTTCGCCCAGGAACCCGACTCCATGTTCGGAGTTGCTGCGCACTGTACTCACGACGACTGCTTCCTTCTCACGGCCCTGGAAGCCGTCGACGGAGCCGAGCTCCAGCCGCGGATACCGTTCTTTGAGCAGGCCAGCTAGCAATGCTAACTACACCGTTGAGCGGTCAGCCAATGAATCTATGACGGTGTGCAGGCAGGTTTGCCGACAGGGGTCCCATCTCCCAAGTCACCGATCCGGGTCGGCGCGGCAGTAGCGTCTGGCAGGGGAGAAGAGAAGATCTTAAGATCGCATGAATACACGAAATGACCACGTACCTGCGCATTGTAAGGCGTAATCACTGCAATATCCCCTTCCTGCACACCCGCGGCGATCAGGTTGTTAACGTGCATCATGACCAATGCCGCTTCGGCTTCGTTGCTTTTGCTATCGCCGAGACTCATGCCCTTACCTCCTTTGCCAATCACGCCCTCGTCCTCGATTTTCTCGGGGAAATCACCGCCCTGCGTGTCCCAAAATACTAGAGGCTCTTTTGTGTCCTCAGTCTCTTGCACGTCGTACGGAAGACCGGTAAGCAGACGCGCTTTGACTGACTCGGCGGCCATGAGTTGGGATTCGTAGAGTGCATCAGAAGGAAAACGCATAATGGCTTCATGCATACGATATTGGGTCGTCAGCATGCGTTTTATGCTGGGTCCATGAAGGGCGAGTAGACGATCGAAGAGGGTGGTCTCTAGGGTTTTACTGATACCTGAAGCGTCCGTCCCTGCACTCATAACAGATTTTTTCCCAACCTTCGACTCTTTTGAATTCAGCGACTTTATGGTAGGTGGGAGTTGGAGATGATCGCCGGCAAGCACGAGCTTGTTTGTCTTGACCCATAGGAGAGGAACCCAGCATTGAGCTTCAAGGGCCTGACTTGCTTCATCCACGATGACCACGTCGAACTCTTGACCTCTGAGATGAAAGCCGCCTGCTCCATGTAGTGTTGCGAGGACGACCTTGCTGCCACCAACGAGGTTATTAACGCAGCCTTTCTCACGCTCTCGATATTCTTGTCGCAGCTCTTTCAGTTCAGTGTAGATCTGTCTCTTCTCTCTGCCATTACGAGTTTTCCGAATAGACGCTTGCTTGTCGTCCATCTCTTTGCGTACGTCCTGAACCAAGGCTGCAGCTTCTGACGTGCGGGTAAGGACATCAAGCGAGTGATTTAGAACAGATGGAAGGAGTCGAGCTGGATGACCAAGTCGCACCATATTGACCTTGTGAGAAGCAAGCCGTTCGACTATGTTGTCTACTGAAATGTTGGATGGGCCGCAGACAAGAATACGTAGCTTCTGCTTCAACAACTGCAGGATCAGCTCGATCAGTGTATGCGTCTTTCCTGTGCCTGGTGGGCCGTGAATCAAAGCAACTTCCCGTGACGCTATGGCGAATCTGATAGCTTCCTTTTGACTATCGTTCAAGCTCGGGTCGCTGAACTCCAGCTTGTGCAACGGATTCGAGGGGTCGTTGAGGTCTGATGGCAGGGGAGATGGCGAACCCTGTCCAAAGAGCACTCTCATGAAGGGTGTGTATTCCTGCTCGCTGAACTTCTGCAGCCTGGTCATGGTCTGATTCATCCTGTCACGTATGAGCATGCAATTGAGATAGGCGCAACGCTCTGTATTGCTGCGAATGCGTACCTCTTATAGGTGACATCATTCGCCAACTTGACTCTATGGTGTATATCAGCCTCCACAATAGACTCGTGAACCTCCAGTATGCGACTAACATCCATAGCTTGTTTCCGCCCGGCACGTCCGCATCTTCCTTATCCAGCACAACCTCAATGTTCTCACGCCTCACTCGTAGTACCACACCCCCTGCACCTTTCTTCTCCAGCTCCTTCTTCTCCGTCTTTTTTGCGCTGCCTGCCGGCTGATCTGCAACTGCCACAATATCTCCAACCCGTATGCCGTGCTCAGGTATTTCTGGTTTCGCACCTTTCGTGGCTATTGCCGGGTCCAGAGCAAGCTCGACAATGGTCTTGCCACCCATACCGGTCCGTACGGAGGATACATTGAGATTCAAGATGGCCAGGCCGCCACGAGCGAGCGCTGTCGGAGTGTGCGAGGAGAGGAGGGCGTCCGTTTCCGAGAGCTCAGCCTTGAGCTCAGCATCGAGCAACGTCAACTGGGAGGCGGCAAAGGCCGGAATATCTGTCGGGTTCGGCATGGCAGTCAATATCAGTGCAGTTAGTGTGTGGTGTTCAAGACACAGTGTCGAAGCTGCGTAAGGACTGTAGCTGTAGTGGGGCTGCTATGACGCGCACAGAGTGAAGCAAACATGACCTGCGCATGCCGACCAAGCTCGCAACGACCATCTCACCGTACAGAAGGTAGCATTGTGGACCTCGACCTGCTGACTGTCGCAGGACCTGTAGTCGGCTATGTCGACATGAAGCTCATAGATTCCCTTGCACTGACGCGTCGGCACGCTAGTGATCACGCCAAGCCTTGCTCTTTCCTCTTGCTACCCTCATTGCAGCTGGACAAGTACTTATATATCAAACATCGGCCTAGAGACCACGTGAATGTCGGAACACTATCGTACACACCTTAAGTAATTGCTGGATATACATAGAAGTTCTGGCGGCATGGCTTCCGATCTTGCGGAGTGAACTCGGCTCGGGATCTACTTTGAGAAGCAGCGAATATTGTTAATGACGATTGCCTGCTTCGTGCAACTCGAAAACGATAGAACATACTGCAGGTCACTATCTGGTCCATGCAATCGTACACCTGCCCCAAGGCGGTCATTTTGTAGAGAACAGCCGTGTTCCTCAACCAGAAAGGGCAAGTAAACCCGACGATGCTTTGGATGCAACGCGCTCCTGACGCGCTCTACGGCTCCCGTTCCGCCCACATGTGGTTAACAAAACCGGTTGCGCTGCCCAGCCCGACTAGTTGTCGCAGCGGCATTCGATTGCTCAGCAGATGCGCCTGTCCCGAGAGCGGCGCGAGATTCAGCCTCTTGACGCGAGCATCGCGCGAGCCATGCGACGGAGACCGAGCCTGAGCCGCGATTGAGGGGCAGCCGGCGGCGAGGAGTGGCAGATGACGGTGCCGTCAGAGATACCCCACACCTTCAAATAAAACGGCGGGAGTCCTTCCACAGCCTAGAGCTGCTTCGACTAGTCTTCCTCTCTTCTCCTCACTTTTCCCTGTCTCTGCGCTGTCGAGACTGTGTTCCTCACTTTAAGATACCCATTGAACTCATCGCATCGCTACAATGCCCGCCGATACCGTTGGCAAGGTACGTCAACACCACCACAACAACATAACTAAGGTATCATGAGCTGACAATTGCATAGACAATCACCTGCAAGGTACGTTCTGAAGCTTCTGATGGTTCAGATTCGCCGCCAGCACGCTCGTTGAGCACCTCTGTCCCTCGTCTGTGACGGCATCCCAAGCTTGGCGCTTGCGGATCCGCAGACGAGGTTACAGGCATTGCGCAGCGGAAAGACGCGGACACGGAGGGATTGAGGAGGCAATTGACCGAATATTTGTGCTGACTGAAATAGGCCGCTGTTGCCTGGGAAGCCGGCAAGGACCTCTCCATTGAGGATGTCGAGGTCCTGCCCCCTCGGGCCCACGAGGTCCGCATTGAGATCTACTACACCGGTGTCTGCCACACAGATGCCTACACACTGTCCGGCAAGGACCCCGAGGGTGCCTTCCCCATCGTCCTCGGGCATGAGGGTGCTGGTATCGTCGAGTCCGTTGGTGAGGGCGTCACAAACGTAAAGCCTGGTGACCACGTCGTTGCGCTCTAGTACGTGTCTGCGGCCATTAAAATGCCTCGTAGCTGCTAACAGCATCTAGCACACCAGAGTGCAAGGAGTGCAAGTTCTGCAAGTCTGGCAAGACCAACCTGTGCGGCAAGATTCGCGCAACCCAGGGCAAGGGTGTCATGCCTGATGGCACATCGCGCTTCAAGTGCAAGGGCAAGGACCTCCTCCACTTCATGGGAACCTCCACATTCTCTCAGTACACCGTTGTCGCCGACATTTCTGTCGTTGCCATCACTGAGAAGGCCCCCATGGACCGCACCTGTCTGCTTGGCTGCGGTATCACAACCGGTTACGGAGCCGCCGTCATCACCGCCGGAAAGGGCGGTGTCGAGGAGGGCTCCAACGTTGCTGTCTTTGGTGCCGGCTGTGTCGGTCTGTCCGTGATCCAGGGCGCCGTCAAGAACAAGGCCGGCAAGATCATCGTCGTCGACGTCAACGACTCCAAGGAGGAGTGGGCCAAGAAGTTCGGCGCCACCGACTTCGTGAACCCCACCAAGCTCGGCTCCCAGAGCATCCAGGAGAAGCTCGTCGACATGACCGACGGCGGTTGCGACTACACATTTGACTGCACAGGTAACGTCAACGTGATGCGCGCCGCCCTCGAGGCCTGCCACAAGGGCTGGGGCGAGTCGATCATCATCGGCGTTGCCGCCGCCGGCCAGGAGATTGCCACTCGTCGTACGTTTCCCTTTCTATTGCATTTAGATAACTTTACTAACACTCAACAGCCTTCCAGCTGGTCACCGGCCGCGTCTGGAAAGGTTGCGCTTTCGGCGGTGTCAAGGGCCGCACGCAGCTCCCTGGCCTCGTTGCCGACTACATGAACGGCGACCTCAAGGTCGACGAGTTCATCACGCACCGCCAGCCGCTCGACAAGATCAACCAGGCCTTCGGCGACATGAAGGCGGGCGACTGCATTCGCTGCGTCGTCAACATGCGCGAATAACTACGCTCGGGCCCCCGCAACCAGGTTTTATCCGCTAGACTTTAGGCTCGTTTGAGCCGGTGATGTGCGCGGCGATGTGAGAGAGGTGAGGTGAGAAAGTAGAGAGAGGGTGTGTGTGGCGTTGAGGTCGGCGCTGGGAAATCTGGTATGGGTTAGGGACGGTGTGGTGTTCTGGCGGTTACGAATTTACAAAAAGTCTACAATACGCTTGCCGTGTGCTGTCTTTGTGCTTTGTGCTCACGTATGTGTTGCGCGTCCATCGCTAGTCGCAGATGGCACGACTGAGCGTCTTGGTGGACGTGTGTTGATTGTCTTCTGTTAACGCATTTTGTGGAACCAACGGGAATTCGGACGTGTCGAAGGACGCTCAACAGGCGACCGGGGCAGAGCATCAACATGCAGAGGCTTTCTAGAACATGTCGGGACAGGCTCTTACATCCAGCACATCTTGAAGTCACATGGTGTCACGCCATGCCTGAAGACCGAACATGGCGAGTGAACGAACGCGATACTATGCTGAAAGAGTGTATTGGTGAGACTAGCTAAGAGTATGATTTTATTTTTTCTGTTTCTTGCGTGAAACATGTTCATATGAACGGCGCTGACAGCAAGTCGCGATCGTGAAGGAGAAGGTGCGGTTCAACACGACGGCCCCGGTAGCTATAAGGGCTGCCTCTCCTGATCCGCCCAAGCCCTGACGGCGTGCACCATGACCAACGAGGTCACCGAGGCCCTGTTCCCAAGATGGGACGCCAACAGCTCCACATACGTGAAGCATATCCGGCGGCCGAGCATGCTATCGATATTCATTGCATCGTTGGTTGAGTCCGCGCCGAGTCTGGAGCACGTGGGTCGGCGTGGACCGACCAATGGACGTACGTGCACAGCTATGCAGTCTTGCTTGACAACGGCCATCTTAGTGGATTCCAGACATCAGTCGGACGGAGATCGTAGGCCCCAAGGAGGAAGTGCTCCTGAGGTTCTGTTAGAAATGCAATCAATCATAGTTGCCGGGCCCACCGATTTGACTAGCAAATGCAGTGGACACGCTGCGTGCATCGTCGTCATCGAATCCAAGACCGTTACGTAGTCCACGGCCAGCAGCAAAGCCACCACCCATGTTGGGACCCTGGCGAGTCGATTCGACGAAACGGCTTAGACGATCCGACTGGCTGAGCGACGTCGGCTTGTTGTAGTCATTCAAGTTGAGACCGGAGAGGCTGATACCGCCAGGAGCATCGCTACGTGTATCCGTGAGTTCGCTTGCAGCGATAGATTCGCCAGCGATACTCTGAGGTGGTCGAGGCTGTCCTCGAGGTCCTTGACCATTACGACCGGGTAGGGGCCATGACTCCTGGAAGTTGGAGAACATGGGCGGGTAATTGGAGGGCACACCACCCAGCGCAGATGAATGAACTGACGACACATCGTCAGGGATGTAACCAACGATCGAGCCGTTGTCGTTGAACTCTTGGCGAGCCGGCTTTCCGCCATTATAGCTGCCTTGACGGCCAGAGGTCATAGCGTTGGCATGCTGATAAGCCATCTGGTAGCGTTGCGGTCCGCGGTAGGTCTGCTTAGGACGGCTGAACTGCAGCAGCGAAACTTGAAGGTTCGATAGCGGTCCCTCGACAAGGCAGTTACGCTCCTTGAAGTGAAGCAGGAGGTAATGCCACAACGGATGCTTGCTGAGAACCTTAGGGTTTCCGAGAATAACAAGACCGTACTTAGCACGAGTAAGGGCGACGTTGAGACGGCGAGGATCGCTCAAGAAACCGATACCTTGGTGATCGTTGGATCGAACGCAAGACAAAATGATGAAGTCCTTCTCACGACCCTGGAAGGCATCGACAGACGCCACCTCGACTTCCTTGTAGTTCTCCTTCTTAAAGCTACCAGTCGCCTGCATGGAGCTGACAACGTAACTGCGCTGACCTTCGTATGGCGTGATGATGCCAATGTCGCTAGGCTGCACACCAGCCTTGAAGAAACGTGTGACAATCTTCTCGACATTCTGGGCCTCCGTTCGGTTGAGGTAAGACGTACCGCTGGCCGAAATCTCCTCGGCGCCGAGGTTGGACCAAAACATCATGGGGTTGTCGGCGACTGGCCATGGGAAGTCGACATCGCGACGAATACGCTCTTGCATGGTCACACCATTCTGGAGCGAGCCCTCGTAGAACATGTTCGAAGGGAACTCGGACAGACATGGGTGCATGCGGTACTGAACCTGCAGGCGAATTGGAGAGCATCCCAGGATAACGAGACGTTCGAACAAGGATTGATTCAATCCAGCAGTGGCAGCCTTCTTGTTCATGATGACGGGTCCAAGCTGCTGATGATCTCCAACAAGCACGACCTGCTTACATCCAAGGACGAGAGGGATCATGCACTCAGGCTCAGCTGACTGCGTAGACTCATCGATAAGGACAGTACGGAACTTCATCTTTGAAAGACGTGGGTCGCCAGCGCCAACGCAGGTGCAGCAAATGACATCGGCAGCATTAAGGATCTCGCGCTCAGCTGCACGTGTGAGCTGCTTGAACTTCTTCTCGTCTTGGCTTGACAGTTCGCCGACGTCGCTCTTAAGCTGGTTGAGCTTGTTCAATTCAACATTGGTGTCGTTCATGCGGACTTGCTCGTGAAGAGACAAGAATCCTACTGGCGACTCTACATCCTCCCTTGACTTTGCGGTCACGCGAACCGTCTTCAAACCTGTGAGATGAATGCGTTCACACAGCTGATCCACAGCGACGTTAGACGGCGCGCAAACCAACACCTGGCTGCCACTGATCTTGCAAAGGTGGTAGATGATGGTAGCTGACGTGACGGTCTTTCCAGTACCCGGAGGACCTTGAATCAAGCTGAGAGGCTTCTGCAGAACGCTCTTGACCGCGTTGATCTGACTACCGTTGAGTTCTGGCAAGCCAGGCACGCTGAACTTGCGAGGTACTGTGATTTTCATGGGTGCAGAAGCCACCTCATGGCCCAAGAGGCGATGGAAGATGTAGCCTGAAACACTCATCTCGTCGATGGCGAAGGTTTTCATGGCGTGTTGCATGCGGTCGAACGAGGTCGCCTTCCACACGTAGTCTGCACTGAAGTTGTGGGTACACTCAGTTGGAACTGACTTGTGGTCGCCCTTTGTGCGAAGCTCGATAGTCACCTCATCAGATTGGTTGTTTGGAATCTTGATGACGTATCCGACGCCTTCCCAGTGCGGACGTAGTTCTCCAGTATACCGCAGACGCATCTCGTCTCCGACAGCAAGCTTGACGTCACCCAACTCGAGCTTGGGAAGTATAAAGCTAGCAGTGTGCTTATTGTTCAGCGCCATGTCCCAGCGAACAATCAAGTTGTCCTGCGACTGCGACTCCTTCAGCTTGCGATCATAATCAGCCTCGATCTTGACCAGAGGGCCAAAGACGTTCTGATACTGGAACGCATCGTCGTAACGAAGTAGCACCTTGGCGATGACCTCCTCCTGTCCAGCGCCCTTTTCCAGATCTGCGATTGTAGCATTGGCGTTGTCCTTCCACAGCTCCTCGAGCTTCGCGATTGTCTGCGGACTAAGATGGCGAGCGCGGAGTTGCTCCTGGTCGGTCGGTGGGGGCACGAGCCAGGGAAGGAAGGAGCGGTCTTCGATCAGCGGTTGCCAGCGTGAGGTGTCCCAGTTCATGTCTTTTTGCGATGGCATGGAGGCGCATGGCTGGCGGCAAAGAAGCACAACGACGGTATCCGACTTGGCTGGAATAAAGCCAAGCAGGAAGACGTTCTTCACGCCGCAGCTGTAGCATTCGAGGGTGGTGTCGCCGAGCGAAGAAGCTGGATGCAGCTGCACCTCCTTGTGGCGAGCGCGGACAAGGTGGTTGATGATATGCGACGACGAAGAATTGCCGCGGGCGCTGCAGAACCACTTGTTACAAGCCAAACATTTGACCACGCTGCCTGCGTTGTGAATACCGCAGTATGCGCAAGCATGTGCTGGCAGCTCGACTTCCTCCTCTTCCTTAGCCAACTGCTGGCCGTTTGCTCCTGCAGGCATGTCCATCATGCTCTCAGCATCATCGTCGAAAATGTCGTCCTCCTCGTCATCAGTCCTGCGGCGGCGAGCGCTCAGCCCGGTGATCTCGTCGTCGCCGGCGCCAGCATTGATGGTGGCAGCCGAGTCGGACACCAGGTGGTTGCCCATATGGGTGAAGGCGCCCTCCATGGTGGCGGGCGTGGTGGTGTCGGTGCGCTCGAGATGCGTGCGGTGTTTATTCGATATTTAGTTCGCGAGTGCGTCAGAGTCGGTGCGGCGAAGAGTGCCGGCGGTGTGGGGGTGTGGGGGTGGAGTCTGTGGCTGTTCACACCATATCCAGCACGTGGAGTTCTCGTGCGCGGTGTGATGCGCGCAAAGCGTGTTGTTGTCGTTGTGGCGACCAAAAGTTCGCTGCGAAAGTGGACTGGTTGCCGCTCGCAGCTGCACAATCGGCGGTCGGAGCAACTTGTGCCAAGGCGACAGCCCCTCCACGAGGAACCACGGGCAAAGGCTTCTTACTTCGCCAACATCGCCTACGATCTGCTTGGCTTGATTGTCTTCGCTCTTATCGCTGTAACCATTTTGAAAACCAGCAACTTGGGTCACCTCGCATCGCGTTGAACTCGTGTCAAGAAAAGTCCTGCAACTGCCCGAGTTGGCGACACAGAACTTCGTTCTTGGACCACGAAGACATGGAAAAATCAACAGCTACTGGTGTGGTATTGTATGTAAATTCAGCGGTCCCAACGCTGGCAAGTAGTTCTGCTCGAATACACATCATGACGGGGGTGAGATGTGCAGAGTGATGTATAGTATGATGAACAAACTCAAATCGCACAAGATGAATGGCCGGTCTCGCTTCAACTTCATCATGAGTTTACTCCAAAGACTACGTGTGGCGTGTATTTCCTTACTCGAATCTCAAATCTGAGGACATATCACCCCGCCTCGATAGCTACTGTCCTTATCTCATACCTGCTCAACTCCTGGTGCCGGGCATCCGGATGTCACGGGAGTTGACGCTTCACATCAGTGGATCGTACTCTCGAAGGTGTATCGTACTCGTACTCGTACCATCCAAGCCTCACTTGGCTGCCTCAGTATGTATCTGAAACACGATCACTTTCTTACTCATTTCATTGCTCCGTGCGCGCGATGGTTGCGCGATCATTCACGGCAGTTTCCACCTCACTCCCGCGCCTCGTCACACTCGAACGTTGCGTGATACCACGCGTACGTATCGAAACAGCGGGCCACACATCCGTCCACTATCGGTCCAGCGGGTCAAACGCCCAATAGGCGGCATTTAACAAGCCGATGTCTCGGGCCCGCGTACTATGGGGAAGAACAGCCGAGTGGGTCGCAAGGGCTGCCCTACCGTACTTCACATTCGCCTTCGATTCACTTGGCAGGGGATGGCGAGGAACACTGGGTCAGGGGATGGAATTCTCCGAACTTTGATGATGGGCCGTGAAGATGGAGATTGCTGGACCGTGAGCCGCGTAAAGGTTACCCTTGTCTATCACACAGACGATTGCGCAGGCTGCCCCAGATCAGCGAACGCTGGGATCGTGTGGTAGGATTAAGCGCGCGGAAATTTGAGGGTGCGTGCTTTTGGTATGTTGAGAAATTGGGTCGGATAGGTACATGTGGATGCGGCGGGTTTCGAAACTTCGATCTCGAGAGATTGAAGGCTCGATGTCGAAGTTTGGATGAAACCAACGGCTGGCGGGAGAAGATCGGTACCGAGGATGTGAATGAAACCTCAAGGTACGCGTGACTAATTTACTGTACATGACCGAAGTCGTACAATGTAGATCGTAAAATCATGTTGGAACGGCGGGGAAGTTTACACACACATTGCAAGATTGGAGAGAGTGAGTTTAGTCTGAAAGTGATGCATTTCACGATCTATCTGTGACAGCTACCTCAGCTTGTCTGGTATCATAATACTACTGTTCAACAATCTTTTCTTTGAAGGTCCTAGGCCAAGAAGGGGAAGAAACCAAGAATTCCGAACGCCAAAATGCTATGCCAAATAAAAGAGAAAAACGGGATGTGAGAAATTGCCTACGAGGGACTTGTTAATCCTCAATCACACCAGCAGCGTACATGCTTTCTCGCAGCTGCTTCTTGTACTCGCGCTCCATACCATGTCTGACAGCGTCGAGGACAGTGTCGACGGTAGCCTTGGGGGTGAAGTTGGGTTTGGTGCCGGCTTGGTAGACACCTGTCTTGACAAGAATGCTGTACCAGTCTGCATCGTCAGTGTGCTTGTCGAACTCGTTGGTACCCCTGATGTCCGACTCGGGGGTATCGCCAACAAAGTACACTGTCTCAGGAGCCGCGTTGATGCCGTGTGTGTCCTTGCGCCACCTCTTAAGAAGACGGGTCGCAAACTCGAAAGTACCAATCTGGGGCTTGCCAAAGGCGGTAGTCTGTAGCTCTCTACCAGTAACGGCCTTGTACATAGCCTCGAGAGAAACACGAAGAGCGCCCATGCCGATACGGGTGAGATCGTGCGATGCGCTCCAGACCACGTCGTTGTGGGAGAAGAAGACTGGTGGTCCCTCGTTGAAGGTCTCTGATCGGGTGCCGAGACGACCGTTCTTGGACATAAGCAAGTCAAGAATGATTTGCTGGTCAGACGCCCAGTCACGAGAGTCGGCGAAAACAAAGATAGCCTCGATATCGACCTCAGCAAAGTTGCGGGTTCGCGAGTTCTTGTACTCTTCCTCAGTCAAAGTGCGGAAGGGTGTTGTGTCCTGGTTGTCCTTGATGATATCTCCCGGGGTGACGACATCCTTGAACCCATATCCTTCAGCGACAATTCGACACTTCTCGCCTTCACCGCCGACGACGAGGACTGTGCCAAATTTCTCGGCCATCTCGCCCATAGGGGTGTGGCCACAGATGAATTGCCCAGGTGAGACTTCCATCTCGAGCTGCTGGCTGAGTTGAATGCAGCGCTCAGCCTCCGTCTTGCCACCGCCATTTGTTACGAAGATGTATGGTACTTTGATACCGTACTCATTTTCACCGTTCAGCATCTTCATGGCTTCGATAGCCTCGGGGATTGGGCGACCACCGCGGATGAGGACACCATCAATGTCAAATGCGAAAGCATATTTATCGGTGACAGTAGTCTCGATAGGTGTCCCTGCGGGAGAGGATGTACCTGAGTCTGTGGAGACGTGGGAATCTAGACGATGCCTCGCCTCGCCAAACCCAGTAGCGACTTCTGAAGCGGCCGAAGGGGCCATCAAGTGCTTAGGGGGCACAACGACTGTTGGGCCCATCTGCACACTTTCCCTGGTCGCATCGTTCGATGACAGACGTCGCGCATAGCGACCTGCCTGGGGCACCATAAGCGAAGGTGCCGACATGGTAAGAAGATGGAGAAATGAACTGTTTGTGAAAAAGTCAAAAGACAAAAGAAGTTTGTCTTGAGTTGTGATGATGTGTGCAATGATGTGGGTGATTATGGATATGATCCGCAGGCAGTTGTGCTCCTCTTATAGAGAATGGTTTAGGCGACCCCTTGTCTGAGCGGAGAGAACAGTGGGTACGTTGTGGAGGTGGGTAACTGGAGGTGGAATTGTGGGTAGTGATTGTGGAGACTGGTGACAGGAACCTCGACTGTTTATACACAGCCAAATACCGCAACCACCACTTCGTCATTACTCATGGCTCTCTTCACCTGCAAGTATAGCGGTCAACCCATCTCGATTGACATCGATTTGCCGATTTTCTGCGTAGAACGCTTATCAGTTGAGCTCAGCGAGACCGCGATTTGGCGGGGCCATTGGCGTCATAGTCTGCGTTGAACAACAAGCCCAGGACCGTCTTACAACAGCACCTTGTCGCAATTAACGCTTTTGGCACAATTTCGGCGGTGGTGCTGCGTTCCTCGGCTTTCATTCGACAAGCTGTTCGCGCGACGTTGCAATATAAGTGGGTATTCACCGCAGCAGCCCGCGCTGCGGCCGCCTGGATAGTCAGCGCACCTGCCTATGACAGCTTCATGCCGAGTGAGCCTCTGATACGGCCGCGCTTGACAGTCTTTGGTGCGGAACGATGTTGCAAAAATTGAGATGCCGTATGCATGATGACGCCACGGCGTATTAGAAGCGCGCCTCGCCAGAGGAGCCTCAACGCGGGCCAAGCAGCGCCGAAGAAACGCAAGGGGCTGATGTCGCCGACCCAATCACAAGCAGGTTTCGGACGGGCCTTCTATGGTCAGTATGGATCGCCATGACATCGTTGTTACGGCGAGAACAAGCCGGGCACATGTTCTCGTCGCCAAGACCCAGGGTCTGATCTTGAGGCTGAAGGACCAACATCCGGCAGATGTTCCGTGCCGTTAATATTCGGTGCCAGTCCTCAACCATCGACAAGAGGGAACACATGGCCTCCACGTGCGGTTGATGATCTCGTTTGCCTCGCCAGCACGAGCGATGTGCGACAAATCGCCAGAGAGCGTTGCTCTGCCAGCCATTCGGCATACCTATCTCTTATCTCTGTTCACATGCTGGATCCTCGACCCTTGGTCTTTCGTCAGACTGCATGACACGGCAGACCAGGTAGAATTATGTGGGGCTGTCACCAAACACCGTTTCTAGGCATCTCCCAATATGTACTACGTACACCGCTTGATGTAAACTTACTTCTGAGTGTCTCTCCATTCGGATAGAGGAAGTCACACTGCATAGAATAGGATCGCGTTGCAGCTGGAGAAACTTGGCCGAGCGACACAATGCATTGAATTTCGATGCAATGTACGTACAATCTTAATTCGCAATAGCATGCTACGCTGAGCTCGTGTTTGGCAGGACTTTGTGTTCATCGCTCACATCGACAAGAAAATCATGTGTTGTCATTCAATGTGCAACAGCCGCAGGATGCGACCGTATGTTGAACATTAGATGACTTGTGGGCCTTGTTCATGCTATGTCAACAACGTCTGGATATCGACATCCGCCAATCCTTCCGCTCCGCCCTTGAGGCGAAGTACATAAGAAATATGGATACTCCGCCAGACTAGACAAAGGGCATTCCGATTTTGGAAGGCCAAGACGAATGAAACAACCACTGTCCAGGGGCAGGCGAATGCAAGACACCAACAACGATCGGATGTAACAGCCGGACTGTACATCTAATGATTGCAGCAATAGCATACGAGGTTATTGTGCCGCTCTAGCCGAGGTATGATTAGGTACGCTCAGGTACTCCCGCATGTCATACACATTTGAGTAGCTGGTCTTTAAGGTCAATGAAGGTGTTCAAGAGGAGCAATAACCAAGTCCAATCCTCACTTGAGATTATCTCCCGTACTATGGCAAATGCGTTGGGTACGGACATGACGATGTGCGGTCGAATTTCCGGCAAAGCGTACTGGTTTCCAGAAGCGTCGACGGTCCTTCTGGCAGACACCAAGTGCTGTTGAAGAGTACGTCCGCGTGCGAGCCCTAGCGCGAATGATCAGCGACCCTCCTCCACGGGGTTGAAAATGACCGCTCCCCACGATTCTCCACAGCTGCTGTGGAGGAAGGCATGAAGACTCCGTAGTGACGCCGACGCGTCGCCGAGTGTAACGATATCGACCGTCTAGCCGATCTTTGAACACTTCAATCAAACTTTAGATCTCGAGGATGCGTGATGTCCGCGGTGACGATGTAATGAATGCGCATTGTTCTTGTTAGCTGATGACAAGGTAGTTGCGAGTCCAATGAGATGGAAGGCGCGTGCGATCGACGCGCCACGACTGCCTTTGCGCGACTCAAATGGCACAGTAAAGCGACAGGAAACGCTGTGCGAACTGCGAACATGAATTGGACTGGGGGCACTCTGCAACGCACCAGACATGCTAACAAAGGAGTCATCCAAAAACAGAAGGCCTACTTCGCCCGCGCTCGTGCGAAGCTGCAACAGAGCCCGGAAGCCGCAACCACGCCATTTCACCCTGAGTTCCTCCAAGATGGTGGCGTCTACGGACTCGGGCGTCGCATTTCTTCGTCTGCGTCAGGCTCGGTGAGTCATGCTCGCCACTCAGCTAGGAAGCGCCGAGTGAGAGATGAACACCATAATTCGCCAACAGCACGGGGATGGAGACGCGCAAACGACCTGAGATTACAAGGGGCCAGCCCCCATTTTGAGCAGGACCGATACAGGGGTGAAGTTGACAAAGGTGAGTGATCTGGAAGGTTACGTCCAGGTGATGACTGACATACCCCAGAGAAGCAACGAGACCAGGGGAAGAGGGAACCGCCTCCTGATACCGAAACGCAGCTCCTCGAAGCCAACAAGAAACGATTGTTGAGGCAACAAGATTGGATTGGGATTGAACTCTCGAAGCCTGTTGACCTGCGATGTCTCTCTACCACAGAAACTATTGCGATCGGAAAGCGCAGGAAGCCCGACGCAAAAACCAGAGAAGTGGCTCGTCGTGCGAGCCCTGTCACATTCGTGCATCCGTCCGGTAGAGATGAGCTTGACGACGGGGGCAACGCTCTCATGAGTGGCGCTCTCCCCCGACTTGCGGCTGGGGATATTCGAGTTCGCATTGGATCAGATGCTTTGACGACAGCTGCATCGATGCAATTGATCGACTACGCCTCGTCACAGACTGACTCAGACCCTATGCTCTTCGATGAAGAATTTGATGGCGCAGTACGACGAGAAATATTAGAACCTTCACAGGGCGGACCCTCTCTTGGTCGCAGACTCGCGGCAAACCCCAGATCGACTGTCGACCGAAACTGCTCGCCGCAGCATGGCCCACCTGCATACCATAATCTTACGATAAGCCCAGCCATGCATGTAGACGAGTGCATGCGGCACACTGCAGCTGACCCCAATGCACTTGACCGGTTTGTCCAACCGAGCGAAGCGACAGACCAAAGCTATCGACTGACGCACCGCGCGGGAAGCATTGAACGCCCTTTCAAGCTGACTTTCGGAAGAAGACCACCCCATCTCGATCATACTGCATCGGCGACCAAAAACTCTAGTGAGACGCAGCGTGTCCATGCAAACTTCAATGCTGAAGCAACCGAGACTGGGAAAGTACCCCGAAACGTTGAGAGATCACTACAGGACGTTGTCAAGAGGCACACAAACCCACCTTCAAGGGATGGTGATGAACCCTGGAGGCCGTATCTGGATACAGGCACATCAAGCTCTGACCATAATGATGATTGGACTGCAATTAATCAGCCTCACGCACCTGCGCGAAACGCAAGAGCTGAACTCTCGAGCTGCCCACAGCGTACCACTCCGGTTAATCTTACACACGTCAACTTGCTAACAGTACCCGCCTCTTTGCCTTCGCGAATTCGATCAAATGCACACCTACCAGACGCACGTACCATTCTGCGGGCCGGTGCCGATAAGGGGTTTGGCAATGATGAGGCGTTCTGGCAATCGTGTGCGCTTGGAGCTGATCCGCAATCCACAATGGAGACCGTCCGCAGTCCCGACGAAACGAGTGAGAACTCAACGTCGCGAGCGACAAAGGGCTATGCTTCGACGAGATTGCCGCAATCGACTGCTGTCACTTCTGTCAGCTCGACACCATTCCCGTCCACACCGTTCAGGTCACTATCTGGACAGGCTTCTCGCATAAGCGACGGTGTACAATATACGCCACACTCAGGGTCCCGGTCGATCTCTTCGGCGGCTCTGTCCTATACGGTATGGGGTGGCGCCGAGCCGCCGCACGGGGAGGACGTCCCGGGTGAGGGACAGGGCGGGGAGACATCTGCAGGTAGCCAGTTCTGCGAGCTGGTCACCTACGCCTCATTTCGGAACCATGCATCTCACGTCGATGAGGTGATCAGTGATACAAGGACGTCCCGCAGTGATCTGGACCAGCGTAGCCGTGCGCAAGACGATGTTTCGAGGCTGGCGCAGGCGAGTGGAAGCACCATCTGGTCGCGGGAGGACCAGGCTTCATCTATGCGCAACATGACAGACAGCGATGATGTGGGTATCGATCTTGTTGACCCAGAGAGGTTGGCGTGACCTTGTTTCGTGTCGGGTTGTATCCTGACCTGACATGGATCGCGATTCTATGAGCGGGGTTTCTCTGTAATGTTTCGACGTGTCATGAACGGTCAAGGTCAAGGTTCAACAGCAGGACGTCCATATGTGTCGTTTGACAGATGCTGTGTCACGGCCCTACATGGCATGAGCTGAGCTGATATCCAAATCAAGTACTTGGTCGCTTTCGGATACTGCTTGCCATTGGTATGTGGGGGTGGCTGTGATGTACAGGTCGAAAGAATGACGGGAGCCTACACACCCTGCCAGCTTTACCGCAGATCCTCCGTAAATGTAAGGGAGACAGCCGGATACGTAGATTCAAAAGCAACGCAGAGGTCGGAACTCAATTCGTGCGCCCTGCATCCCTTACGATCAGGCGTCTATTGCGTGTCATGGATCTCATCTCGCAATACGGCGAGGCAGAGAGGGATACGTGCGGGAGGCTATTTTGCGAATCATCCCTGCCATTTGCGAAAGCCACACTTTGTGCACCAATGCACCGATTTGCAGGGCTGAATCGGCATGTGCCGAGGAACTTGGACACGAGAAGGACAAAGGACGTGCTCGACAAGCGCCTGGAAAAGTTTGACAACTCATCGATCGAGCTTGTTTCTTAGTGAAGAAGTTCTACTAATCACTGGATGATTGGGTGCTGGCTGCTTTGGGAGAGCAGATATCACACCGCCAGCAGGTCACATGGTCATACCCGGATATCGATGTGCGGGGAGAGTGGCCTGATTCGTGAACGGCTTCAGGGGCGGGCGCAATCCTGCTGCCAGCTTCTCGAAAGCGGCGCGGAAAATCACGCGACTCATTGCATTGCATGCGTCTGTAGAGCACGCAGTGCCGTCTTGCTGCGGAATAGCCAGTGTGTCAGGAATGCCGCGTGAGCCTTCTTACCTGTTGCCTGCTACCTGCCCAGCCTTCCCTTACTGCCGAGTTCTCTCTTCGTGGTCATAGTAGCGTGTTGTAAGGTTTGCAGATACGAAGCGAGTCGCAAGTTTTGGGCAGTGTCGAAGAAGGTGGTTGAGGCTGGGTATCCCTAACTTGTTGCTCTCGCGCCGCGGCCCATCAAACAAGCGTGGGCAGGGATGATTGACAGGGGCAGAACTCAAACCGCTGTGCCGGCTTCGCCTTCTCGTTTCAACACAACGGAGGTCCCGCGCCACGTGTAGAGAGGGTGGAGGGCAGCCACAGTCGGCTGTCACGACATTCAAAATTCGCGACGCGCTGCAGCGTGCTGGAAGCAGGCGGTGTTGCGGTCACCGCTCCACAGCCTGCATGCAACAGGCCGGATGTAAGATGCATCGCTCACCGCACTGCCATGAGTCTATTGCTTGCTCTGTAAGATTGGGGCCGGCAAGGTCGGATCCAGTGCAAACAACAGCCACGTCAAATGACGAGCGACAAGAGAGTGATGAGGGGTTTCTGAGGCTACCACTGCAACCAAGGCGCGCGACTAACTGCCTTCTGTTTCGCAGCAGTGCCAGCTCACCACAGCAGACAGCGCGCCACTGCTGTCCATGTCGCAGTGCTGCCGTGCCTGCCGTGGCTTCCGACAATGAATGGATGGATGGATGAACAGTATACTGTGGATGCCTGATTATGTGTGTAGCAAGGCTGAGTGAGCACTGGCAACATGGCAGATCCTGCGTGCAATAAGCGGCAAACGCACGTCTGCTCACCAGGGCAGTGCATGCCGTGAGAGCCACGGCCGTTGTCTAGCAGGTGTTAGGCTGTTAGGCTCTGTTAGCAGCGCTGTCCTGGCTGCCTGATGATGGCACTGTGGAGAGAGCCTCCGGTGCTGGTGTGATTGGCGCCCACCTGGGGCAGCGACGGTAGAGACGTCATCTGCGAGCGTTTCATTGCTGGGGCGTGCCCAGGTGCAGGTGCCGGTGCCGCGGCTCTCCAAACCTTAGGGCGTGGCTAGCAGCTCGCCAACAGGGAAGAGGCTTCGCGAGTCTAACGTGGCCGGGGTGGATCGAATTGGACGGGGCGGCGTGGAGCCCGACAACGACACGGTTAGGGGCAGTTCAAGGGATGCGCAGGATGAGCGTGTGCTGGTGTAATGTAATATTAGCAAAGATTTTTCAGCGGGCTTGCCTGTTTCCAGGAGAAGCGCGCCAAGCCGCTCGCCGTTTCTCGACACTTGAGCGTACCTGCCCTAAGACGACCGTTCCTTCCACAAGAGCTATCCGTTCCTGCCGTGCTACTCTACAAAGGGAGCTGGGCACATTTACGACTCACACTCACTCCGCACCTCTACCTGCTCGCCTGCGACCTTCGACCATCACCGCATTTGCATACTGCGCCGACAACGAGGTCGTCAGTGTTACACGCTGCATTGATTTGTCCTGCCATTTTGTGCGAACGACCGCATTCGGCAGCACCTAACCCCCACGAGCGGCGCTCCGTAGCAACTACCCAAAATACACCACCCCGGTCACGTCTGCGTCTGCACGTCGCTGCAAGAAATTCAACGCACCTGTCCGCCTCACCAGCTGACCTGCGTCCACACGTTCACGTCCTGCGCGCCCGCCCAGCGCGCTTGTGCACCCCGAACCGTCGTAGCCGAACACGCAGCGCAGCCTACCGCCAATCTCACGATGCACGAAAGCTCGTAGCTCATGCTCACTTAGGACCCCAGCTGGCTGTTGATCCTTTTTTTGCTTTTATTCCCCATTGGCGCCCGTTCGCCGCATCCACTCCTTCAGTTCTCTCTCTGCGCCATGAAGAAGCACTAGCGCTGCCTCACCCTACGCTATCTGCAATTAACCACACATCATGTCGTTGCTCAACGACTCACTCACGCGCCCGCGTATGCCGTCGCCGTCCCCCAGCTTCGCTCGCATGACGGCCGCTATCAGCATTCCCAGCTCTCGAGGCAGTCCGGCTTCCACGCCATCCTACCTCAATGGCTCACTCCAGTCGACACCGGAGGGCATGGTGCCTATGATCTCGAGCTCGCTTCCAGCCGTGCCGTCCTACAGCCTTCCCGAATCACTTTTGCCGCCACCAATGTCAGCGGCACCCACGTCGTCCCCGTCTGCCATGGCTGAGGCCCTTAGCAAAGGACCAGGGTTGATTCGCCGGGTCAGCCGCGGTGCACAGGGCATTCCCAATAGGTTCCGTCGGAATAATTCGCAAGCACACCGAGACAGAAGTCAGGGACCAGTCATTATGCGCCGACGCAGTGACAGCAGGACTGCCGCCGACGGCGAGGCCTGCATCTCTGACTTTGATGCTTTTGAAGAGGAAGAGGCCATCGACGACGCATACGGCGAGCCCATCAACGCGCTGGGCATCTCAAGTAGCCAGCCCAGTGTCAGCTCAATACCAGACTCCACCGTTGTAGCACCGGTGCGCAACTCTCGTCTCGAGCAGGGCACTGTCTTGAGGAAGGTCACAAAGAAAGAGAAGAAAGAGATCAATTTGCGCCTAGATCTGGAATCAGCAAAGGTTTTCTGGGATCCTTCTCGGCCGTCCAAGTGCTTCTACATCGACGATGTCAGAGAGATTCGTTCAGGTCTTGAGGCCAAGCATTACCGCGAGGAAGTCGGCCTCTCAGAAGCCTGGGCACCCTATTGGTTCACGATCGTATACACCGACACATCACGAACAAAGGGCCGCATAAGGACCATGCACCTGATAGCACCTGACATTGGTGTGTTCAACATGTGGACTACGACACTCGAGTCTGTATCTCGCAATCGGATTGACATGATGGCGGGTTTGCTCGGTTTTGCAGACAAGAGTGCAAAGCTTGTTTGGCAGCGCGAGATGAAGAAGCGACTCAATGGTATGGACGGTCCGGACTCTTTGGACTTCCCTAGCACTGTTGAGCTGTGCCGTAACCTACACATCAACTGTACCGAGGCGACTTTACGCATTTACTTCAACAAGGCCGATACCCTGAACACCGGCAGGTTGAACCAAACACAGTTCCTGTACTTCGTAAGACGTCTGAAGGAACGCAAGGATATCAAACAGATATACAAGACGTTCCAGTCCGGATCGAAAGTGGAAATGGATAAACTCGCTTTCTTTTCATTCTTGAGAAATGAGCAGGGTGTTGACGTGACCGAGGACTCGGAGTACTGGTCAAACACCTTTGAGAAGTTTGCACGTGTCACCAAGACTAAAGCGACCCCACTAGAAGGCGGCGAGATCCCGCTGCCTCTGACGATGAGCTTCCCTGCATTCCAAACGTTCCTGACATCGCCTGCGAACTCTGTCCTCAAGCCAGTCGAAAAGGGCCTACAGCTCGATCGTCCCTTGAACGAGTACTTCATCTCTTGTTCTCACAACACCTATCTTCTTGGACGCCAAGTTGCTGGTGAATCAAGCACTGAAGCATACATCACAGCGCTTCAGAAAGGCTGTCGGTGCATCGAGATCGACTGTTGGGATGGTAGTGATGGAAAGCCGGTAGTCATGCACGGTCGCACTCTGACGTCGAGTATATCATTCCACGACACTATCAAGGTTGTCAACAAGTACGCGTTCGTCGAGTCCGAGTACCCCCTGATTCTGTCGCTAGAAGTACATTGTACCGCGGATCAGCAGGCTTTAATGGTCAAAACCATGTGCGAGGAATTTGGCGACAAGTTGGTTCTGCAACCGCTGGATCTCAATTCTCAGACTCTACCATCGCCAGAAGAGCTGAAGAACAGGGTCTTGATCAAGGTCAAGGCTGCATCAGAAGAGCTGGACGCTAAAGCTTTGACCAACGAACTCACAACACGGCGCAGGGAACGCAGCTTCAGCTCTCCTTGGTCTCGACCTATCCAGATGAACGACATGATCATCCCCAACTCACCTCTCATCTCCAGCACGCCATCAATGAGTCCTCCGGAGCATTCAGCCATGTTCTGGACATCTCCTCGCACCTCAACTACCTCAACAAACAACACTGTGCCCACCTCGGCCCTTGTCAGCTCAGCTGAAGATAGCGACAGCCCGCAAGTAACCGCAGCAGAGGAACGCAAAAAGCCCAAGAAAACCAAGACTAGCAACATCACAAGGCTTCTCGGTGATCTTGGCGTATACACAAAAGGGTACAAGTTTACCGACTTCACAACCAGCGATGCCCAATCGTACAATCACATCTTTTCCGTCAATGAACGTGCGTTTGAGAAGATGACAAAGCCTGGTTCGCGAGAAAAGCATCTTCTGGAGGCACACAACATGCGATGTCTGATGCGCGTCTACCCTCATGCTTTCAGGATCAACTCATCCAACTTCGATCCTTTGAAGTTCTGGAGGCGCGGGGTGCAGATGGTCGCACTCAATTGGCAAACATACGATCTCGGACAGCAGCTCAACGAGGCTATGTTCGCAAGTGGCAACGATCGTACAGGTTATGTTCTGAAGCCTGCGGACTTGCGCTTGGAACAGACACCTACGCAGGGTCACAACAAAGCTCCAAAGAAGGAAGTCAAGTTTGCTGTCAAGATCATCTCCGCCCAGCAACTACCAAGGCCCCGTGGCCTGGCACAAGACGCCAACATCAACCCTTATGTCGAGTTTGAGATGTACAGTGCCGAAGACAACGGAGCTAATGCTGTCGGCGTTGGCGGGCAGGACGCTTCTGCACGCAACGGTCACTCAGGTATCGGTAACCCACTACGGAAACGGACGCGCATTGTCGAGGGCAACGGGTACAACCCGGTCTTTGATAGTGAACTCCAATTGACCGTTCGCACCCGCTTTCCCAGTCTAGTCTTTGTGCGCTGGACCGTCTGGAACTCACTCGACGCTCGCACTACCAACCATGCTCCGCTAGCTACTTTCACAGCCAAACTCAACAGCATCCAACAAGGTTACCGCCATCTGCCACTGTTCGACAGTAATGGTGAACAGTACCTATTCTCGACTCTATTCTGCCAGATCAAGAAGCAGGATATCGTTGATGCTCCAGAACAAGTCCTGGAGCGCACGGGCTCCCGCAGGTCTTCAATCGAGCCGGCCAGTCCATCAATTGAAGCCATAAATGCCAACCCAAAACGCAACTTCGTCAGACGTCTGATAAGCCGAGCTCCCAGCGAGCGCACCAGGCGCAAAGAGGAGCGAATCACTAGCGAATCTCGCGAGTCAGACCTGGACTTCATAAGTCGCTCAAGCACGTTCGAGCGGTAACTAGCGCCTGTCAAAGTACCCCACCCAGCTGACGACGACATCTACGACACCGCAGACCATCGCCACGCGTCTTCACTGAAGGCGTCTGTTGCATCGTACACCCCTCACTTGTACCATCGTTTATCATGGAGTTTGCCGGCGTTTCGGACCCAGCTCAAGGCCCTGTCGTAGGTCACGCCACGGCAAGGGTCGCGGCCTCACGCTTCCAACCTACCATTCTCGGACCTACTACCTACATTGAGTGGCCAGCGCCGCACGCACATCGTCCTCCCAGACGATGTCATCCATTCGCCTTCGCAACCTGCACACTGCTCTCAAGAACCACTCACATGGATGTAGGGCATTAGTCCTTCGGATCAGTCGACAACACGACGATCCTTGTTTGCTTCACTTTGCATTTCGCATATACCCTTTCCTTTTCTTGCATTTGCGGTGCATTGGGGCTATTGTCACAGGGTCACATAGGAGCTTCCCTGTCACCTTGTTGTCACAGCAATACTTCGGCGATATCCTAGATGTTTCTTTCCCTTCCGAGCTTCGTTGCTCCGTCAGTTTGACACCTGTTGTATTCTCGCTGTTTCCTTTGTTTACTTCTGTACATTCACGAAGCTACGACTCCACTTTCGATTCGAATCTGCACTTTCCATTTACCCGGACCGCTCGCTCGGTGAGCAGCCAAAAGGGCATTTAATCAGTGTCCTGTGGTTGGCTATCTGTCGATCTTCACTTCTTCCTCGTCGTGGGACCAACCCACTCTGGCGCACATGCATGCAGGACATCTCTTTGTAACAGGAATTGCCCATCCCTTCGACTAGGGTCGGGCCGGCCTGGCTGATCTGGATGAGATGGACATTGGCAAATGCACGTCTCGGCCCTTTTTCAGCATTTGTGAGGATTTCACTTTCGCAAGGTCACATAGGGATAGATGAACATGGAGGATACAAACTACGTAGCAGCCCAAAGGTCAAAATAGAAACGATACCATTAGGCTTCTTCATGAACGCCGCACTTCAAATTTCCGCCTTCTCCACCTTCATGCATTGCATCATCACGGTTTGCAGGTTGCCATGGGACCTACTAGTGGCCACCTTCCCATTCAACGCTCGAAGCCGAGACATTGTCCGAGTTTTTCACCTCAGCTAAGCACGAGCGATGTTTGCATGTTTTCCGGCGGGAGCTGCCGTGCAATCGCTATCGAAGATTGCATTGACGTGTCTAGCCTCCCGTGCTATTTCCTTAGTGTCAGTTCACGCGCTCACTGCCAACGAGGCAGCTCTTCTGCACTAACATAGCGCCGAGACCACCGCTTGACCAAGGCAGTAAGCGGAAGGAGGCAAGCCGCATGCTCACCCGACCGTGCAAGGCCTCGACAACGCCAAAAAGTAAGGCCAGAGCGCGAGCGCAAAACTCTGCAGAATTTCCGGCCAACTATTCCGCGCTGCTGGTCGCGAGCGGGAACCGTTGTTCCCCCGCACCAGGCACGTTCTGGACGCACAAGGGGCGGGTTCTCCGCAAGCCACGCGCAAGCGCCCCTCGGCTGCCGATTGCGATGTGTGTTGCCTTGTTGCCTACTTGGCTGGACGACATCGCCGCCATTACGAGCTCCAGGACAGCGGCAATTCCTTTTGTTCGCAGAAGCGGGGCAAGCGTGCTTTGGGACCCACGGCTAAAGACAGCATGTGGCTGTAGGAGCGGCATTCCAGCTGTGCTTGTGCCATACGAAGTGAGGCTTGGGGGTTAGCTGCATGCATGCGCATGTCGTGTTCATGGAGTGATACGATGGAGCCACCCTGGTTGCTATGCTGAGTACCCCACGCACAAGATAGACAGCTTTATGCATGTCGCGCAGGACGCATGCACCTCTCCGCTTTGCGCCACCTGTTTGCTCGAAAAAAATTAAGTTTGACCATTGCTGACATGGAGATTGGATTCGCTAATGTGAAGGATGGCTAAGCTTGGCCGCATGCAATGCCATTTACATACCAGGGCGTACAGGCACAAGCCGATGATTCGGGACTACTGAGCTTTGTAGCTACTCCGGGTGCTGCGAAACTCCTCATAGGTCGGTTTAGGCTGGTCAGGAGGATCGTCCTGTACAGAGTACACGGTTCGCAGCTAGTGTGCAGTGCGTCTCACACTGCTGATTATCACTCGACACACCGAGATGGTTTTCCCCGGATATGGAAAAGTGCACTATGTTTTGGGCCTTTGTCCGCATACCGGAGATGTTCGCCAGTGAGAATTACGTGCATATGGTCGATATCAGATCAGATTGTGTCACGCTCTGATCGGCGAGGTAGAACGGTGAACTGAGTCCCAAGATAAAGTCGATGGCGTATCATGATTGCTCTGTAACCCACAAATGAAGCGACCTTGGAACTTGGTGGAGGATCCTTAGTGCGAGATGGACTCTCCTCAGTGTGATGTTCAGCGTATGTTAGACGCAGAAGTGCAACCTCCCACAACATGGAAGGTCCGAATTCTTCTGTGCAACAAACGTACAGACTGGTACGTGTCGATCCCTCTGACGAGCTGAACATGCGCTTGTGGCTTGCTTACTCATACTCATTGTTCTGTGTAAGTTGGCTGCATTCGTCAGAACATATCGCCTAGCTAGCTGAATAGTTCCGGTCAAGCACCTCACTTTACGGAATTGGAATTGCTTGCATACTACAATATCCACTGATCAGCAGTTCGCATCGTTTGTCTGCAGATGAAGTATCCATGCCGAAGCATTCGGTACTTTGTTGCTATTCGCTCATCGTTTTCTCGAGCTGACGGTGCTCTGCGTTATCGTGACCTCACGAAGCGCGAATTGCGGCATGCAATATAAGGTGGCAGCCCTCGTTTCCGGTAGAGATCTCTAGAATGTCGCCGAGGTGGCGAGTCGTTCAACTCCTTGGAGTAATAAGGTATGGCTGTCCGCTGTTTTGCCACTTTGTCGGCAGAGGGAAGTCGCGTTTGGCGCTCGTGCCGCTGGAAACATGTCTTACTTAGTGCTGTTGTTTTGCTACTTTCGAGTCTCCTGATTGCACATAGAGTGCCACTGCAGCACTTTTTTGCATGCAACTCACGAGTAGGCGTAGAACCATCTGGACTGGTAGAGGTGGTTGCTAATCCACACCATTATTTTTCAGCCACGGCCCGAACTGGGACTGGTCGATTTGGATGTTATGGTCTAGAAAAAGGACCATTGATGAAAGTACCTCTCACGTTTCAGGAAAAAACTGCGATAAGCAACCACCAAGCTCATTGACTTTGACACAGAGCTTGTAGCTATCATACCTAAAGCTAAGATTCAGTTCAGTATTGCCTATGCTGTAGGCAAAAGAACATTCTGTAGAGTTCACTTGCATTTCTTAGCTGTTGCGAGCCGGCATAATCGTGATCCATCGTTGTTAGCCATATACATGGTGTGCTTCGACGCAGCAATGTAGAGGGTATCCATGATTCTAACGGATTCAAGGGTGTTAGATCAGAAAGTTAGAACACACACCTGAGAGACATGAATGCGTTGTCATAAAAAATCGTTGTCGGTAATCTTATGTTGGTGATGTCGTTAGCCCAAAATTCTCAGCCGAGGCACGATACTGACGCACAGATCGCACATCACAAGCAAAAATCTGAGCGTCGAACATTGATACACCAAATCAGTAAAAAGAATCGTATCTCTCCGACGGGGAATCGAACCCCGGCCTCCTGCGAGCTGTCCTGTGAATGACAAGCAGAAATACTGACCACTATACTATCGAAGATATCCAACTTGTAGTTGGGAAGAGATGTGATCGATGGAATAGTGACGGCTTGGTACGTATATATATACAGTCAAGGAGCAATGAAAAGCTTTACCTTGATTACCAAGCGGGCAGAGATTATTCCCATGCTCATTCATATACATCTCACTCATGGCAGAGTCAGTCAGCTGCACTTTCCCGCATTGAAAACTCTGTTGTCGTGTGAGGAATTTTTTTGGAGGCAACATCACCCAATCAACCACCTGAATTACGTTGTTAGATGAAGTTGTTTTTTTCTGCTCATGAGTTGCTGGGGTCAGCGACGTTTGATCATCATAGCGCAGGTTCACATCTATTGTTGACAGAGGTTAAAATTTCAATTTCTGGTTACCTTGGATGCTTGCCTGCCCAGCACGCAAGATGGAATGGAATACTGTACAGTTTCATGGTCAATGCTGCACCTACAGGGGGCTGACTCTCCCGCTGATATCTCACGGGTAGTCATTGAGAGTTTGGCCAATCTTGAACAGCTGCGACACTCTTCTAGAGCATCTAACTTGCTGAATGTATGCCACGCCGGCACACTGTATCAAACCCCCCCCCCCTGTAGGTACATCTGATCAGCCACTTGGCGCTCTTGTGGAGTCTGAATCGGTCCTATCACAGTCCAGAAGCCACAAGACTACTACTAAGTGGATATGATTTAAAAGCTTTAACTCTAGCAAGAACCGGTTTTGTGAGATTAGCCGTCCTTCCGTCCCGATGCTGCGTTTTGCCAAGTAGCTGAGTTGGAAGTAATTGGGTGCGGTGATAAAACTGGCAGATTGTGGCTCAGCTTCCTCGTTCAATCTGGGCCCTCCTGAGTGAGAAATCTTAATTCCCATGCACTGTTGTGAATGTTGTGAAGAGAGTCAGAGGCACGAAAAGAAGATGTGACCCCACGATCACTGGGTCCTGACAGTGATGATACATAGCTAGTGGAGAGGCTGGAGAGGCTATCGGCGGCGACAAAGCATTGAATATCCTGGTCAAATAGGACATGAATGTATGCTGCGACCCAGCGCGAAGGAATCCAGCAGCTGATGCTCCCATCTCAATATTAAAGTCACCCGGAACGGAGGAATAGAGGAATAGAGGAACAGCAGAAGCTGTCTTCTACCAGAGCGCACAGAGTTGAGTCAGATCTGCGAGCTTTGCAGATCACAATTGACATTGGTCCTATAGCGGTAATGATCCTAAAAGCAAGAAGCACTAGTAGGTCTGTTCTGTAGCTTTGATGCCAAGAGGCATGCTTCAGACCAGGATAACTGTACCCAGATCCCACCTGCCGAACACCGGGTAACAAATCTGTTGCCCTGGGGAACTGTTTCGCCCTGGGTCCTCTTGGTCCCGCAAAACCCACTCCAAATGGTTGTTCTCACGCGACATGCGTGGTGCTTCGCCCCATCGCACACATATTATGTACAATCGCGGACTTTGATATGATTGCCCGAGTATCGGGTGAGACGACAGCGTGCCATTTTTGTTGCATTAGAGATCGTCGACTTCGTGTTGCGACCAATACAGCGGAAGAGCCAGATCTGCGAGTGCGCGGGTGGAGGAACTCACAGCCCGCATGTGTATGCCGAAGATGCAGGTCATTCGTCCACAGGCAACTGTGACTTGAAGGGGTGAGTCTGCTCCAAGACAGATCTCCGCTGGGGAAGATTGATCATCGAGACCAAACCGGCAAGCACGAAGTTTGTCGCACCGGATGGTCGACATGGATGTCATTGATGACACGTCCACGATTCGCTTTCGTTTTGCAATCCATTGGCCTGCTGGCGTTTGCACAATCGTCAGCTGTCCTAGACCTCTCCAGTCAGAGTATCCTCGGTTTGACCGAGTGGTACGCCTTACACAGGTTGTGTACAGCGAGTGGATTTACCGTAGTCAAGACTACGAACTATGACGACAGCCTCAGTTCAGGTGGGTTGGCCAGAGCGTAAAATCTTCCCCAGCATCCAGTGTGAGAATCTGAGGGCCGGCATGATCATCGCAGCTACAACTCGTGAAATGGCCTCGTGTAGCTTCCAAAGGATGGTTTCTTGGAGCTGATCCGCACTCATCTCTTTAACCTCTTCAATCTGTTCCCTGATGCGGGCAGCCTTGCTAGGAAGTTCCAGCCCAAGAAATAAGTAGAGACCGACGACGATGTACTCCATGATTACTTGCCTATCACAAAATGTTAGCGACAATGGATGGTTAACTTATGCGTATTCGGGAGGACGATCGCAAGGGACCAGATAGAAGCCGTTGCAGCTCAGAGAACCTCAAGTCCTGGTATCTGATGACAAGCAGAGTAGGTGTGGTGGCGCTGATGGGGCAGGTACGTACATGCACAATTGAGTCGTAACATCGCCGGAAATAACGTTGAATCGCATGTCAGAAGTTTTGTCGACCCAGCTTTCGAATGCGAAGCATGTCATATAGACGATATCGACGACGAAGAATGGCAGACTGAGGACAACAGTAGTCAGAATCTTGACTTCTTGAGAATCCGCGAGATAGAGACGGGCTGAGATGACTGCTGTAGCCCAAATAAGGATTAAGAAACAGACGATGTAAAGACCGATGCCAGCCTTTGTTGCCTCCGTTGCCGAGAACGTAGGGCTGTTGTCGCGAGAGTCCGGATCAATACCACCAGCTACTATGAGGATGAATGAAATGATGAGAGGAACGTGCACAAAAAGCAAGATCCATTGCATACGGCGTCCTTTCGGTTTGGTCGTCGTGTTGAGAAGACTGCTGGTTGACATGAAGAGTGGTGTGAGGCCCATAGAGGTAAGAATTGCAACGCCGGACGAAACGCTTGTATTAGAAACGTCGACTGCGATGGGCGTGAGCTGTGTGGTCGCCAAATCCATGGACACCTGCACCAGCCGGCAAACACATAATGCCGTAAGCCAGACCCATGGCCAGCTCCGCCCCAGGCCTTGGCGCAGAATCAGGTAGAGTGAGGTTACGAGGTAGATGAAGAAAACGACGAGAGTGACGATGTTGACGATAGCGGCATAGCGGAGCGATTTAACCATCTGTGCTGTTGAAGAAGCATGGTAGACGCCGTGGAGAACAAGGAGATCAGATCTCAGGAAGATGACAACCTCCCACTGAGCTTGGACTGTTAGCGTTCTGGGCATCTTGGCACATGGTCACGTGTTGTAGCTCCCTATCCGCGAGCTTCCATAAAGCGAGTGCACGGGTATTGAAATCTTCGTGATACCATCGTTCCCTATCTTTGCGTCTCTCTGGAGCTTGCAGCGCTTTGTGTTGCCTACGAAAGATGTTCGTCGACCCGTGAAGTTTGCCACCGTTCCCGGCTGTGTCGCGGCTGTGCTAGCCACGGACCATTGCCGGACGTCATCTCACAGTTTGCATGATTTCCCTGTAAAAATACCGATCGTCGCCTCACCGACAACGGTCTACCTAGTCGATACAGGTGGGTTCGAGAAATACTCCGAGAATTTGTCTTCAGGCGTATTCTCTTTCAATTTTCAGCAGAATACGATGTACGCTGTGTTTACGTGAAGTTTTATTTGTGCCTGAGGCCAACAGCTGGATTGAGACGAGACGTGGCCGCGAGCGCATGGGCTGTTAAGTGCGACCTACGCAGACCACAATTTCTTTCGCAAAAAGCGGGCGGTTGTATAGCAAGTTACCTACAAAGTGCCCAGTGGATATTCAGGGCTGACGTTCTCCTTGTTTGGTCTGACAACTGGTACAGATTCGTAGTGTACTACCTCCACGACCTCCTTCGTCCACACTGGTGGCCTCCTGATCTTCGTCAATTGCTCGATTGCATATCCAATGCCCAGTAATTTCTTCTCGTCCCAATGCCTACCCATAATCTCCATACCTATTGGCACACCGATCGGTGCGTCTTCGCTCGGCTCACTGAAACCCACAGGGACCGTCACCACCGGCACGCCTGTAAGCGCTGCTAGAATGCCGTTGCGACCACTCTGCGACGGAGATCCAATCTTCACAACTAGGTTTTTTTGCTCTGGGTAGATGATAGCGTCTAGAGTGTTTGCAGCGAAGGTTTGTTGCAATGCGAGAGTTAGATTGCGTATACCGCTTTGACGTTGGATGTATGACTCGTTGCTTGTTGATGATACTAATGCGGTGTTGACATACTCGTACTGGGTCGGCAGTACAAGGAACTGACCGCCAGACCCATTAACTGCTTTGTGCGAATATAGCTCGTTGAGCGTTTTGGGGTGTCGACCGGAAAGCGAAGGACGCTGTAAATACTCGTCCATCAATTCGCGATACTCGTAGCGCTGAACGTCGAGAGCAGCCTGAATGGCTGTTGCGTTGTATATAGTCTCATCAATTGGAACAAAAGTGACGCTCTCCACCTCTAGCTTGGACATCAACGCATCCATGGCGGTATTGACCGGGGTGACCTCCGCCGAATCGGTACGGTTGAAAAAGCCATTGAGGACCCCAATGCGAAGTCCACTGAGCTTAGCGATCGAAAGTGACGACGCATAGTCAATGTTCTGATTCGTTGAGGGAACAAGTGCTGTCGCGTTGTCCTTAGCATCATAGCCAGTAGAAGCCATGACTGTCAGAGCCGTAGCGACGTCTTTCACCGATCTTCCGATTGGGCCAATGGTGTCGTGGGTGTATGATATGGGTAAAATTCCAGTGCGTGTGACAAGGCCTCTTGTAGGACGAATGCTACACAACGAATTGGCCGATGCAGGGCTACGTAGTGAGTTGACAGTGTCTGTGCCAGTGCCGAAGACGCAGAAAGAAGACGCAACCGCCGCTCCTGTGCCACCAGAGCTGCCACCAGGCGTTCGTGTGGCATCATACGGATTGATTGTTTGTCCACCCAAAGAGGATACGCTAATTCCTTCCAGCGCGAGCTCATGCAGGTTGGTCTTGCCTAGAATGATAGCTCCTGCATTCTTGAGTGCCGTCACGCTGGGCGCATCCTCAGTCGGTTGAGATTCTGCAAGCGCGATACTAGCTCCTGTCGTTGGCATATCTTCGGTGTCGTAGTTGTCTTTCAGTAGCACAGGAACGCAGAAAAGAGATCCGGTCGCATTCCCTGCCAAGAGTTGCTCGTCGAGAGCGTCCGCAGCTTTTAATGCATTAGGGTTCAACGTGATGATGGCGTTCGTCCGGTGGTTGTGAGCTTCGATGCGGGCAATGAAAGCCGAGACCACCTCTCGACACGTCGATAACTTGGTGTAAAGTGCATGGTGGACTGAGTCGATTGTCGCCTCGCGAGCGTCGAAAGGCATTGGTGTTGTTGCTGCCACCAACGTTCGGCTACAGATCGCAGCAATGACCAACCTGAAGGCAGATACCATGCTGGGAGCTTACTTCAGCAATTGTCTCGAAGGCCGGATATATGCCATTACCACTCGCAGCACAGAGCTGCTTTATATCATCCGACGTCCACTTTTTAACGAGTGCAAGGCCCAGGGTAGAAGTCGTAGACGCTCTTAGCTGTGCTTGGCTTGCGGCAGGTATCGCGATATGTAAGCTCAGTCATTGACCTTGGTAATGCCTGTGGTACGTCTACGCTTATCGTCGTGATGAGAAAACACCGATAATCGGAGTAGGAATGACGTCGTTGGCACCTGCCTAAAACGTGCTCTTAGCGAAGTTGCCTGATTAAGATGCATGTTGAAGGTCGGAATACAGCATAGACACATCAATTCTCAAGTCGTTATATGTTCAGTGCTGGGCCAGAGGAGCCATTCACTGATAATGCCTTGAAACCGCACCATTTCAATCTCAGCAATATTATCGTCTCTCAGGCGCAATACGCATACACAATTCTTGTGCCTGTGCCCACATTCTCCAAATGCCGAGAACCACATCGCTATACGAGTCCTTAAGCTGTCTGCAAGTCGTAGAGCTTTATGTATGTCGTAGCATGTACATCGCACCTCGTGCTGCGACGCAGCTCCTTCGATCGGATAGAGGAGGGTGCGTGCAAGGCAGACCAAGCGTGATGTGCGAGTCGTCAGGCTGATTAGGTCGTTCTTCGATCGGACGGTCTACATAGCTATCTATGCATCTTAGGGAGAAATTGCAATCTGCTCAGAGGCCAGCGGTTTGTACAGCGCGGCGGTTCTGAACGTGCGCTCAGCAATAAGAATCATAGAACTGCTCGCACCGAGACACAGAGACCGAGAAGCGCCTGGAAGGCCATCTATTGCTATCAGCACTCACCCACGCATCTGTGAGAAAAGGATCTTGACGCACACTCACTCGCTATTTAGGCGCACTTTCCCTTCCTGGCACTGTATGCAGCGAAGGGATTTCAAGTACACAGATGAGTAGCCTGTTACCCATGATGTTTGTTTACGATGTCGACGAAAGTGTCGAGTTCGATGCTTGCTGTGTTTGGCGCGTGTCGACGATGGTGTTGTTTGCCAAGATCAGCGGCGGAGCCTTGACTCCTTGAGGCTCACCAAAACCCCAACACCACACGCCAGAAACTTCACCGTCTGGATAAGATCCACTTAGCACCTCTCTACAGCCTGAGCCACACGATGCGCGACATCCAAGGCCGGAGTGAGGCTTGCCCGAGCACAAAAGCTTCCCCAGACTTTGCTATATCGGGGCTTGCGAAACTTGCGACGTGTCACCAACCCAAACTCTCTCCCTAACTCGGTACAACGAAACTTAAACCCACACCTAACCGCGGTGGGTCGCGCATCACCATCTACAAACACAGACTCGGCACGAGTAATCCGAACATCTTGCATCGGGGTTTCTGCGTGTACCATGCCATTGCACGATTGGGACTGCAACAAGCTGGAAGACGTCTTCTCGACATGTTAGGGGTATCAACTATTTGACTGCAGGAAAGGAGCTGGACTCAAAACCAATACCATGATGCCCATCCTCGTTGTTTGTGATCGTTGTCTGTGGCATTCACCGAATTCTCGCCGGTCGGAGCCAAGACGTATTGCTCTGTTTGCCAACACAGCCTCGCTCAGTTTCACGAGCCTCAGGGATTGATCAAGCAGTCTGCCAAGCTTTACCTTTTGAGACGGCCTGAAGCTTAGGCACCGCCAAAGATAGAGCGAACCGACACTCAAGCGCAGCGGATCTGCAGACTGCATGTGCTCATGCTTGCCTCGGGTACTGTTGCTGGTCCTTGGTTTCGAACAATCACGACTCTAGGACGTTACAGCCGATACCCTACATCTCACCGTCTCATGTTACTTACAGGATCGCATCTATAGGTCGCTTTCTGGTGCAACACCTCATCGGCATGGCGCATTCCGGCACAATCCATGTTCAAGAACCCCACTGAAACAAAAGGACGCAGGTCTCCTCCGATGGATTTCTACCTCATCCGCGTTTCGTGCACCATCTGCAAGACCAAACCTCAGTAACGGTCTATGTTTTCGTGCCTCACTGTCCTCCGCGAAACCTTATCCTTACGCCTTGGCCAAACCTCAGCGCCTCAGCACGTCTGGACTAGTTTGTTGCCGACACAAGTCTACGGATGGCCGGGGACAAGTCTGCAATGGCTCACAACTCGCACTCAGGTATAAATGAGACTTGGACCGCGACTGGAAGAAGAGCATCAGCACTCAGGTTCCCAACCCAGCTTCTACAATAATCACTACTTCTCTTTCATTCTATTAATACCCCTTCTACTCTATCACTTAATCACCATCTGACCGGTTCAGACTATCTTCATCTTCACAATGTACTTCACTACTTCCTCCGTTGTTGCTTTCAGCCTTCTGGCTTCCTCTACCCTTGTGGCTGGCCACGGAGCAATCATTGCTGCCACTGGCGATGCCGGCGGCAATGGCTCTGCCATTGGTGTTGATCCTACAACTCCTCGTGACGGCACCAACCGCAACCCCTTCCAGCAAGACTCCACCCGCTTCCGCGGTGATGCCGCAGCTACCTGCGGTGAGACCCTCGGTGGAGGTGCCAACGATATTCAGGCCGGCACTGCTCAAGTCATGCAGCTTAGCGGAGGCGCTCTTCCTCAGGTCTCCGCTGGCGGTGCCCTTATGATGACCGTCCACCAGGTCAACTCTGATGGTGCTGGTCCTTACAAGTGCATGATCGACGCCACTGGTACTGGTACCAACTGGGTCCCCATGACCGTCACCCAGAACCTTCAGGGTAACGACCGCGGTCGCAACCGGGACACTCAGTTGCAGGATCAACCCCTCAATGTCCAGGTCGCCGCTACTCAGACCTGCACAGGAACTGTTGCTGGACAAAGCAACGTCTGCATGGTCCGCTGCGAGAACCCCGCTCGTGCTGGACCTTTCGGTGGCTGCGTTCCCGTCCAGATGGCTGGCGCTGCTGCTGCTGCACCCGCAGCCGGTGCTGCTGCCCCTGCCGCTGCCGCTCCTGCTGCTGGTGCCGCAGGTGCCGCCGCCCCTGCCGCTGGTACTGCTACTGGAGCTACCGGAGCTACCGGTGCCGTCCCCGCAACCGGCGCCGCCGCCGGTACCGCTGGCACTGCTGGCACTGCTGGTACTGCTGGCACTGCCGGTGTTGCCACAGGCGCTACTACTGGCGCTGCTACTGGCGCCAACTCCGTCTCTTCTCCCGCTCAGCGCCGCAAGGTCACTCCTGCTCTCACCGCAGATGATCAGGAGGAGGAGCTCGAGCTTCTCGAGGACGAGGAGTAAGCTTCTTAGCTACTCTATCCAACGACAACGACAACGATACATGTACGCAAGGCAACGAGCGAAGGGTGTGTTTGACTAGTAGTGTAAATACCAAGCAATGTTTTATTAGTACATGAGGATGAGCGGTGGAGTGCGATGTATTCCTGCTGGTCTGCGACCAGAGGATGGCACTGTATGAGGTGGTGGTAGATGGTAGTGGAGAAGTGGTTGCGTAGAGTCTGGATTGGGAACCCGGTCTTTTTCGCTCCTTTGTAATAGTTATTATTCAGTCTATCAAATGCTGTTTCCTATAATTCTTGCACATGCGCGATTCTACCCTTTGCACATTCAGCTTTTGAACAAGCAGGAAGCCAGCATCTACAGCTTCATCAACTCCATTTTACAGCCTGAGAAACAAGGTAGTCCAGCTAAGCTTTGATGCGCATTGTGTGGCTGAAGCCTGATCTGAGGCATGGATGTCACCAGACAGAGTTTCAGACCGTTTCACATGGACCCCCAGATCCGTCGCACAGACCGGACGATGTCTTAACAAACCACGGAAACGACTTGTGAACGCTCCCGTTCAACACCAAACCTGAAAAACGTACCGTAGTTTACGAGCGCATAATTATTGTAGATAACCGTCCTGGCAGTTGCGGACGAGCAGTCGTGTATGCGGAAGCAACATGATTTAAGACGCAGCACTAACAAATATCTAACATTGTGATTTGAGAACACTGACTGCTTGTCTCTGACAAAGTTTATGCATAATGGCTTTCGCTGCCTGGGTATGAGTGTCGGCTTGTCAAGAATAACGGAAGTCTCATCGGTAGCTTTTTGGAATACCAGAATAAACGATAGGAAAGAGGTTTCAAGCAGCAGAATCGAGCCCGTTTTTGGCTTGTCCTACAGTCTGTGATAATCAGCGGTCAACCAGGTAAATTGCACACTTGGAAAAAGCGACGTTGGAACGTGGTGGTCATCATCCTTCTGTGAGAATCTTTCGTGACGTCCTAGCGGGCGCGTTCTGATGAAAGACCAGCTTTTTGTCTTATGTTTGGGCGGTGAGCTTCTGTTATGCGCGCATGCATTCCTTACTGCCCCCAGGCACGTCAGGCCGGTCACTTGGCGAAATGCAGCATCAGGCAAGGATAATCACAGAGCGATCTCGTCAAGGTGGTTCCCTGTTGGAGTGCATGTGCGTCAACGGACTTGTCTTTTGGCTTATTGGCTACGATGAAGATGGTCTGGATTCTACAAAAGTGTCAAGTGACTGGTCAGATATGCCTTGGTGCAGGACACATGATGGTCACAAGCATCAAGACCAATGGAATTTGTCTACCACATGTCTGGGTTTTGAAACGCATTAGGATTGACCATTATTGAACTAATTGTAAAGACGGTAAGTGTGTTTAAGACGCTGATAGAGTGAACAGAGCAACCATATATGAGACCAACCATCCCGTCCAATAGCTGTAGCGATAGTCTATTCGTGACTAACATTGCAGCACTTAGTAGTAGAAGGGTTTGTTAGGATCAGTCAGGTCAAAGATAACAGCGCTATGAGGCTTCGCGCCGCCCCTGTTGGCAAACTCAGTGGGGAAGTTGATGCTGCGATTGAAGCTCAGGCTGCCGTCGGGCAAGATATCAATCCATTGCGCCTTAAAGTCTGCAGGCGTGTTGACGACGCCAATCTCACCGGTCTGAACGAAGTAGTCAGTGACAAGCAGATTTTTCTTGTCGGGGCTGATCTTGACGTAGTGCGGTCCGACGATGCCCTGGTCCTCATCAGGGTTGTCCAGGCGCTTGACGTTGTTGAGGTCTGAGATATCGAGCGCAGCTACGTGGTTGCCAAGGGTGAGTGTGAAGTAGGCGAATTTTCCGTCATCGGTGATGTCAGAGTAGATGGCCAGATTTTCGCGTGCACGCGGGCCAAGATCGAAGAGCAGTTCTGCGACACCTTGGTTGCCGTTGGCGTCTTTTCGGAAAGGATAGATGATCCAGACTTGACCAGGGCCTACGGCAGTAGCAAGTGCGGCGGATTCTGAATTCCCGGGAATGAATTTTACGTCCTGGATTCCCTGGCCGTCAGGGATCGTGATGGTAGAGATGATCTTGCGCGAACTGAGCTCCCAGAGACGGAGAGTGTCGGCTTTTTGGATGCCAATAGCGGAAGCAGGCTTCAGGATGGTGACAGGGACGACGAAATCGGAGGTCAGGATGATGTTCTTCTCAAAGTCGATGCTCAAGCCGTGTGGGCTGAATTGCTCCCCAAGAATGTTTAGCGTCTATTCATTGATTAATAATCGCAGGAAGGGTATTTGGGATATAACGTACACCTTGCACATCCTCAGGCCACTCGTGGATAATGTTAAATTCAGCATCAGTCTCTACGAGACGCCCAGGAGAGGTGCCGGCGGCAGATCCCATATAGGTGATGAAAAAGCCACCGTCTGGCTTAGCGCGAATCTCATCTGTGATGGAAGAGAGCAGAGCGCGGTTGCTCTTCTTGAACTTTGGTTGATATGGATTGGTGGTGTCCTGGTGTTCATTAGATGCAGATAACTAACAAGGCGGCGATAAGAAGCTCACAAAGTAGAAGGCGGTATCCTGAGTTTTCAAGAGAGACAGAAGACCGCCGCCGACGAGCGTCTTTCCATCAAGAGATGGGCCCAAGTGGTGTGGTGAATTGCCGCTAGAGGGTACATCAGTGACCCACAAGAGGGTACCGAACGTGGCATCATCAAGAGAATAGGTCGCCAGAAAGTCCTTGTGATTGTTGTCTCCCGCTGCAGTCCAGAAATAGCCGATCTTCTTGGGCTTTAGGTTCTGGTTGCCGACAAATGGCGGGCTCTCGAGTGGAGGCGTTGGCACCTGCAAGATGGGCAAAGGTGGCGCATTGGTAGACAGAGGCTCAGTCACACCTGGGATAGATGGGATGAGAGGTGGTAGAGACAGAGCGCTCGCCGTACTGGCAAGGAGCGCGCAACATAGAGTGTTGGAGTGCATGGCGTATAATTTGCGAGCAGCCAACGAGGAAGCAGGACGTAGAGGAAAGAGCGAAGTCGGTGAGAGACTTTGAGCAAGTTGTGAGCTGGTTTCTTCATCACAGTCTCGAGGTCACTACTTATACTTCGTTAGGGTCATGGAAGCTCATGCATCGCTTTGCTGGCCATAGAATTCTCCCCACGCTTAACCATCGCTCATCCTCATCTTCTTCCACTGCCAACGATGGTATCATCCAGGCTGAACTGACGACGAATATCGAAACTATGCCAGGTGTTCTGGTCGATCTTACCTGATGTATGGTCGGATCGGCAGGGGTTTGCGCATGAAGGCTCAGCCTTGGAGCATTGCGGAAGTTACCTCAAGCTCTACAAGTCTGATACCAAGACTTGAGAACCGCCGATATGGTGAGGATCGTTGGTGAAGGTCCCATCTCAGCCGTGCCATGCGGAGAGTGAGCACGGGATTTTTGATAGTGTCTCCGCTTTCGTCCAAAGAGGTCAATTCTGGCAAGGCGTAGAGCGTGTGAATTCCTTTTCTACACTAGTCGAACTCTTCAGGTATGTGTCGAACAAAGTCGTGCTCGAAGAGGTAGATCTGATCGCCTACAGAGTTTGACCTGTACTAGGATGTAGGACGTGAGCTGCATGCTTTCTTTGTTGAGATCGTCTTCCACAAATCTCAATCGCCGCAGATCCTCTACTAATCGCGATTCATTCTTGAGACGTGAAGACGGCAGTGTCGATAGCCGAAGTGAGTCCAAGGTACTGCAGAGCACAGACATGCTTGCCAAGAGATGTGAGTGATGAGAAGGCACTACCGATCGTTCTAAAGAGATGGGCGCAAGTCCAGTCAGCTCTACGATCACCCTCGAAAAATATCAATCCACCTCCTTCAACGCTCGTCGATGCTGGACGGAACAAATAGAGCGAATTCGAAGATGTTAGAGATGTACAAACGACGGATACGTACCCAGTGATCCAAATCACCAGAAGAGAGATAGAGGTTGGCGAGACTGCCAGATCCGATTTGAGATTGGATGGTGATGCCAATTTGATGCGCAAATGGTGTGATCGAACTAGCGCACAAACCTGGGGTTGATCTGCAGGCTCAACACCACAACATTTGAATACCAAGCATCACGACATCTTATCCAATGCTTACGACCGTAATCATTATGAACTAAGCCGGGAGCGTCGCCAAGACCTGGAAGAAGATCGCCATCCTACCTAATAAACCAATAGTAGCAGAAGTTTAATTAGGGATCAGTAACGTAGCCCAATGGCGACTCGCAGAGTAAGGTGGTGACCTGCAAAACATCTATCCCGTGGCGGGAGATAGGCTGGTGAGATATCCGGCCTCATGCCGTGCTTCGAAAGCAGACATGGGCGAATGCGCTATGAGTTGCACCGCAGGAGCGGTTCATGACTTCATAGAACCGTGTCATTGTGCGCATATAAGAATGCGTGCGATTCTTCAGAGAAGACAGAAGCAGGCACTCCTTTCCCTCTTTGGAAAAAATGAGACTCAGTACCGCAGTCACTGTGTTTTTTGCAACTTCTGCCTTTGCTGCTGTAGTGAAGCGACAAGCTCCCGTGCCATTCTCAGATGGTCAACCCATTGACGGCAAGGGCAAAGGTGCCCCTATATTAGGTACGTTCGAGTGTCTCCCAGACGCAGTGACAAAATATGTGTTGACATCAAATAGGAGGAACCAATCGTCAAGTGGACATCGAGAATCCTTCAAACTTGGGCCAGCAGAGCACTGATTCAGGAACTGTGCCCAATCTGAAGTGGCGCTTCTCTGATTCGAAAACGAAAATCTTCCCCGGTGGCTGGGTGCGAGAACAGGTGGACAACGACCTACCGCAGAGCCATGATATCGCAGCAGCACAGCAGCACCTTAAGAAGGGTGCTATTCGTGAGCTACACTGGCACCGTGTCGTATGTTGTACCCATCAGCCAAGTTGTGATTCGATTGCTGACGGCATTTCCAGGCGGAATGGGGCCAGGTCCTGTTTGGTCGTGTACTCGTATCGGCAGTAGATGAGAATGGGCGCCATCAAGTGACTGAGCTCGGCTTTGGGGATATTTGGTACTTTCCGAAGGGTCAAGCCCATACCGTGCAAGGTCTGGACGATGAGAACGAGTATCTGCTAGCTTTCGACGATGGAAACTTCGACGCTGCTGGGTATGTTGACGATGATTAATGAGTGCCAGCCCACTGACGACGTCATAGAACAACTTTCAACCTTGACGACTGGCTTGCAAAGACGCCAAAGGCGATTCTTGCGAAGAGTTTCGGTCTGCCTGAGTCGACCTTTGACAATTTGCCTAAGACGAACCCGTACATTCAAAACAGTACGACCGGTGACGCTGCAAGACAAAGGAATATTACAGGAGGCGCCGGCGAGCTGGTAGCTGATGCCTCATATGTGTACCGCACCTTTTCCCACGCTCCTGAACCTGCACCCGGTGGTGCTGGTGTCTGGTGGAAAATTGACTCGACCAACTTCCCGATCTCGAAGACGATCGCGTCAACGTACGTTGTTCTCGAGCCGAGGGGTATAAGGGAATTGCACTGGCATCCTACTGTAAGTTAGTCGAGTATCTGGAGTAGGTCGCTATGCTAACAGGTAGCAGTCCGAGGAGTGGCTGTACTTCCACGAGGGCGAAGCTCGTGCGACAGTCTTCACCGGTAATAGCAACTCACGTACTTTCGACTTCGGTCCTGGAGATACTGCTGTTTTTCCGGACAACTCTGGGCATTACATCGAGAACACTTCGGAGACCCAGAATCTGACCTGGATCGAGATCTATAAGGCAGATCGTGTGGCTGACGTGTCTTTGACTCAGTGGTTGGCTTTGACGCCCGCAGATATTGTCGCTGACATCCTCAAAATGCCGCTCAACGTTGTTGAGGGTTTAAAGAAAGAAAAGCAGGTGCTGGTTCATGGCAAATAGACGTTGTCATCGCTGGTATTACATATCGGCCCGTCGGTCAGGCCTCTACGCCGCTTATCTCTTTGATAGAGGCGTTTGTGTATGTTCAAGTATTGGCGATTATCGCCTGGCGGACAATTAGCTCGTATGGTTGGGCCCAAACGCGACAATCGCGTCAACGCTTGTCCGGACTGTTAATATAGATGGTTTCTTCTTGATTTGTACCGTTGATGGTTCCGCTTTACACGCTGTGCTGCTGCTGTAGCTTGCACGATAGGGTAACATGCTGCTACCGACGAGGCGTGGTCTCAACGAACACGACACACCTCACAAACCGGATGACTAAGCTCGCATCGTACCGAAACTCTATCATAATGCCAAGCCCTGGCGGATTTCCTTCACTATAAGTCAACCAACCATCAGCATCCACATCACATGCACGGCTGCAACTGTACCGTTCCAGTAACCTTTTGAAGCGTAAGGTATCCTCGAGGGCTGCATGTGGTACGCATATCGGCCGACCACCGATCCTGCGCTGCCTGGACTGATCTATCGGTTGCGAGTATCGTTCCGCGCGCTCGACTTCTGCTTCAGCAAGCCGTTGGACTGCATAGTCCACCACTCAGCGCTAGTTATATGCACGAAGACCGAGACCGAGTGGCGGGCGGAACGTCCGGAAGGGTTCCGTATTGGTAATGCGTCCCGAGCAGCCAATCTGAGGGCCAGAAGGATAGCTGCGCCGTCTAGTGCTCGTGGGTATGCATGTCAAAGGACGTCCGTTGTGTAACTTAGTGCGCTAAACGACACGATCATGATGGTTACAAGGTAACCTTGATGTTGTTGGGTTAGAGCGGCCTTGCGCAGTCTGGGTGGACTAAACTAGCACAGGGATTTGAAAAGCCTTGACAGCTGCTCCTTTCCGTTTCCGCCACGATCGTCGAATCTTGGGTCGACTTACTTATCAGGCTCAGCTTCCAGCCCATTTCCGAATGCATATTGTGTGACAAGTCTTCACGGTATTGCCCAGCAAGAGGTTTGTACCTGGCTGTCATGCGGGCTCACTGTAGGCTCGGGCAGGTTCGGTACTATTACCCGCAACGCGTTGAACAATCTCGAGTTGGTCATCAGTGCGCAAGCAGGCCTCGGCTGGAGAAAGCAAGCTTACCAGCCGTATCTGCGCACTATACGTCTCATGTTCGCAGGGCCTGTGACGGTTAGACCTCATTCGTTCTTTTCTGCGCCGGCCGTGTCTTCGTTGTGGTTAGTTCGCTATACCTCTGCCTGAATGAGAAGCTGTCGGGAACAGCCTTTTCATATAACTGGGTCCTCCACTCACCACAACAGGGTGCCACAGCAATCGAAAATCTGCCGTACTACCCGCCGTTGGAAGGCTCGTCCCGTTTTCTCGCATAGTGTTCACGCCTATTCCAACTGCTTTTACAGTACGCGAACGAGCTTTCTTGTTCTTGTATGACGCACATACCAATGCAGCTCTTTTGACATGGCAATGGGCGAGAAAGCAGCGGTCGAGGTAGCCGCGCAAGACTGCGGCAGCAATGAGGCTGGTGTAGTCAGCGTTGCGCTACCAAAGCAGAACTACCTGCTCAGAATGGACTTCCGTCTCATCCCTGTCCTAGGATGCACATACACTGTCCTCTTCCTGGACAGAACTAATAGTAGGCTGTCGTTCTCTACGTCGATTCTTCAAGCTGATATGTGACAGTCGCGAATGCCAGGATTGAAGGACTGGAGAAAGGCCTCAACATGCCGTCTAACGGCTATAACACAGCCTTATGGATTTTCTTCATACCTTTCATTCTGATCGAAGTTCCTAGCAATTTGATCATGGGGCTGCCTCGCGTGCGACCAAACATCTTTCTGGGTGTCAACATGTTTCTCCTTGGTATTGTGGCTACTTGCCAAGGTCTGACTCAGTCGTATGGTGGGCTGCTCGCGCTGCGGTTCCTAATGGGGATATTTGAAGCTACGCTACCGGCTGGTCAGTAAACCACACCATCTGATCAGGGATATTGAACGTACTAACACAGCTAGGGGCTGCGTTCCTGATCAATGAGTACTATACTCGAGCGCAGATGTCACTTCGATTCGCGTGCTTCTTCTGCTTTGGGACTCTGGGGCCTTGCATCAGCGGCATACTAGCTTATGGCATCCGTAATATGCACGGTATTGCTGGGCTAGAGGGATTCAGATGGATCTTCATTGTTGAAGGCCTCGGTACCATCCTCATCTCAGCCTTTGTATTCGCGTTCGTGCCTGACTTTCCCGAACGCACTAAGATCTTAAGTACCACAGAACGGGAGCATCTCCTTGCGGTACTTCAGCAAGACAAGGGGGATCAGAAATTGGACCTCAGAAAAGTGGAATGGGCCAGGACTTTGACCGACTATAAGATCTGGTTCCCGTAAGCTCAACTCATCGATGTTACGCGGCCGTATACTTACTATGCCAGGACTATGATATTCTTTTGTTGCGATATGACAGCAGCGTCAATATCTTCCTTTACTCCCACGATCTTGACCGAACTCGGTTGGACGGCCGCAAAATCGCAGGCCATGTCTGTGCCTGTATGGCTCACCGGAATGCTCTTCCAAGTCACCGGCGCTTTCTTGAGCTGTCGAACCGGCTGGCGTTTTCCCTTCATCCTCTTTGGTGTGCTCTGCGCAACGTGTGGATGGGCCATCCAGATCGCGTACTCCGAGCAAGGCAATGTGTCCGCTGCCGTGCGCTACTTTAGCCTATTTTGTATGAGCGGCGGCACATTCTTGCAGATGACCATGTCCACAGCATGGATGTCGAACAATCTGCGCGGACGTGCTAGTGTCGCTGTCGGTACTGCCATCGTCTTAGGATTCGGCAATTGCGCCAACTTTGTGGCGACAAACGTGTTCATCAAGGCCCAAGCACCTTACTATCCAACTGCTTTCAGGACAGGTCTAGTAATCACAGTGGCAGGCGGTGGCTTCTGCCTGATCTATGCAGGGCTGTTATGGCGTCACAACCAGAAATTGGCAAGAGAACGGCGACAAGACGGTGGCGAAGATGATCAAAGAAAGTACATGTACCAACTTTAAAGAGGATTGGGGGTTTCAGCAAAGAATGAGTTATGCTATCCCTGCTCAAATACCGAGACAGCTTTTATGAAAGCGAAGAGAACGTCGGGCGTTCAATTTGAGTCGCCGAGATCGTCATAACTTGGACCCTGAACCTGGGTAGTTATGACTGGCAACAACACTAGTGAGGTCTCATCGGTGAGCAAGCGTTGCTGCTAAATTCCGCGTCTGTACTCGGAGCGTGTGTTCAAGGTATCAATTCGCGTGTGCCTCGCAAGTATCCCCTTCAAAGTCAGCTGCCTTCTCGGTTTTCATATGCACAGACACACGTCCCTAAAAATACCGCTGCTTTATGGGCACGGTATCAGCGAAAGCATCGAGACCGGATAGCAAGCGGGCGTATGCCTACGAGGGAAGCTGCACACTCACGTACTCACCATATACACAATGTCTGGAGCTTCTCGGATATCAACTCCTTGCAGTGCAGTGTGGAAGCGGAGTGAAAAACCGACAGTGTCTCTGTTTACCGTTCTTTCCCTTTTGGGCGACGGCCCCACATTGCACGATATGCGTTCAAGTGAAGCCGCTGCACATGAACAGTGAACTTTCACACGCTCACTGACTTACTCTTCTCTTCACTCGCACTGCACCCGACCTCTACCGTGCACCGGTTTCTTGCGCAAAGGAATTCAGTACACCAATCAAGCTCGTTCCCACTGCAAGTAGTTGCACGTCGCAGCTGACATGAAGCTACTCTACCATGCTCTTCTCCTCCTTCTCGCCGTGGTCGCATTCGCTCACGATCCGACTCACCAAGATTCGACGTTGAACTCCACCCAACCACAGATTGGTATGAACGCCAACTCTTGAGAGCAATGCGTTACTGACAGTGACAGGGCCAAGCGATGTGGTGTATCGATATGCTGATCTGATGAATGGCCCAGAGCCCGAGTCTCGTTACGCGAACCCGTTCCGCCCTGCAGTTGGAGAGGACGACAAGGGCCGCTTGTTGGCGTCGTACCAAAACGTGCCTGTCATTCGCATGAGTACTGTCAAACAGCATGTTGGCGAGTTCGCAGGACAACGACTGTTCAATATCATCCATGACGCCCTGCTGAAGATATGCCCATATGAGCGTGGTCGCATTGGATGTTATCCCAACATGCCTGGCGCAGGCAGGCCGCAGGATGACAATACATTGAAGCAGCCTTACAAGTACTACGACAGGTTCTGGATTCTGGATGTCCCCTACATCAACGACAAGGGCGATTACGCGACGAATGCCTGGATCACTATTACGGCACAAGCGATCTTCCGCGATCAAAAATATCCAGGTATAGCTGCGGCTACAGTGAGTGTGAACATGTTCATACAACGATACCTTCTAATTCTGTACTAGTATGAGATGGCTGCAGGTGTCTTTGCACGCGTGACTGAAATTGAACGTTTCAACACTCTGCTCAACTGTTACATAGAGGAGTTCAACAAGGACTCCCGGCCTTACACGTTCTGCAACGTCCCTGAACATGTTCTGGTAGCACTTCCCGCCAACGATGATCGGGTCACCGAGTCTTGGTTGAGTGTTACCGTCAAGTTCAATGGCATGACTGCCTTTGGTAACTACGACTGCTATGACAACATAGGAGGCGTCAAAAACTTTTGGGATGACACTGTCCTCCCAAACGTTGTTAAGAGCATGGGCCAGACGATGGATGATTGGGGTACCACATGCGTAGAGTGCTGGAACGAGAAGGAGCGCTTTGATGTAGAGACTTGGCGCCACCACCACACGTGTGACTGGCTGGGCTGGCCGATGAATGGTTGATAGATGCGCGCGCTCGGTTCCTATCTCCTAGGGCTTCTATGTAGCACACTCCCCAAGACTCGATCTCGGAGTTGATGAATGAAGCAAGCTGCTCGAATTGGTGCACAATGCCGTCGGCTTCGATTTACACTTCAATATGCGTGCGCACATAGTCGCCTTTTTATGCAGCACATTCTTCTCCATTGAGCAGCTACAGTCGTCAGCCACAGTCCCAAAGTCGAAGCGACGTGCTGACACTCGTTCGATGTTTTCGTCTCCCACACATACGATGTAACACCGGATATGTCGTGCCGCGTAGGAAAGTGTCTCCATGCGAGCAATATTGTATGAGCAGTAAGTCACTGGAACATTTTCGTACGACGATAGCTGATATGGTAGAGAACTCAAGAGCAAAGCACGAGTCAGGAGAGGTCGTACATCTGAGCGTACAACGTGGCGCTAAGCCTAATGTAACGCGTTTAGGCATGTTTGAGGGTTCGTACATCTCGTACAAGCAGATGCCGAGACAGGTTGAATTCCCGTGGATTCTGGAGAATGTCGATTGACCTAGGCAGTTTAGAGGATAGCTCATAAAGGTGATGATATGGTTGATTGGCTTGCAGTGGAAGGGTCCTTTCTGCCTGTTCAGTGGTAAGGAGCAGCGGGAAAGTGATAGTAGCAGGATTTCTTCTTATACCTCTCTATATCCCAGGGTTACATGCCGAGATTTATCATCTCAGATTATGCTTGCTAAGCCTTCTATTCTGGCATCATGCAGTTAGTCTTCCTTTCCCTCATAAATGTGCTGAACGTTCACTCAATTGATAGTTGGTGCTCGGTACAGTCTACGGTACCAGGTATACAACAAGTGTGTTTGAATGGGTCCTGTTGAGTAGTCAATGCCTTTCTGTGTCGATTCACATTAGACTCTGTTTTTGGTAAGGTTCTAGTTTTCCATTTCGTGCAGATAACTCCCTGTACATTGTCAAAAAGCAGTTGACAGGGCAGGTAGGTTCAGATCGGCCTGCTGGATTTCGATTCTTTACTGGCGTATTTGGGTTGCGAAAAGCATCCGCACAATTGTGGAGAGAAGCGACAAGAGTTGTTCTGGGAAACGCGATGAAGCCGATTGCAATTCCAGGCCAGATCGGGTTGTCGTACATCTAGTGACGCACGCTGTTCGGTAACGTTTCCCTCACGGCTCCACTGCGGACGCTAGCACTGTCACCGTTATCGGATCCAATCTTACGCGTCGTGGCGCATTGTTTAGAACATATTGGGTATGCTTCTTGCCCGGGCTGTCTCCTTCCAGCTAAAGGTTGTTTACCTAGGTAGGTACCTAGGTGGTTGAGTAAACTCAGACCTTAACTTCACTACGGACAAGCAGGCAGAACGGTGATTATGCAGCCGCTGATCCGACAATTCTAGAAGCAGTGTGCTCTATAACCAGAGTGCGAAGTAGTTGCTTCGGCATCTGCACTGTCGTGCCGGATATGAATTTAGCACGCTGCACCAAGGAACATCAGAGCCTTCGTACAAAGAATGCTTAAACCCCCATGTCAAAAACTTCGCAAGGTGGATCCCAAGATCGTGCTGCAGATTCAATCCGGAAGGTCGGAACAACATTACCACCCGCCACTGCACACACGTAAATGTCGGTATTCTCGAGCGAAGGACCGTTCCTACTCCATACGGCGCCTCCCGGCAAATGGCACCAATGAGTGCCTCCCGCTCTTCATGCTTGGTTAGCAAGTAGATCCCAGAGCCGCCGTTCTACTAATTGCAAGGATGATCTCGGCCTTGAACTGCACACACCAGAATGGGAAATGACGCCGTTGCAAGTATGCGGCCAGTGCACGGCTTTCCTGAACCACCCATGTCTACAGACTGTTGATCATGAAGAGGATGTACGACCATGGCTGCGGTGTCAAGGTCATATAAAAGATGAGGTCCACCGCCGATGAACATTGTCATCCACATCACTACGATCGTTTCTACAGTCACTCCAGCAGTCCTTTTACAGCATGTTCCCATTCGCTTTCGCATCGCTTATCGGCTTAGCAGCATGTCTTCCATCGAGCTCGCAGGCTGTGCAGAATAAAGCGGTCGGCGATCTCATCGTGACTCAGGTGCCCGATTATGTCCGTCCCTATATCGTACGCGCATATGCACTCGATGGGTACCGGATTGGAACTCAGGTGTATCGTTTCCCTGTGACCGGCCCTTCGTCAGGCTATGCTTTCTCGATGATCAGCACTGCGGCCCCGGCTAGTACAGAGCTCGGCGTGCTTGCTCACGTAAGGCACTCTTGATTATTTCACTCGATATCAAATACTGACGTTTCTGAAGACCCATAAGACCCACTTTGAGAACTTCTATTGCCTCAGGGGTCGCTACGCACTCTGGACTGACAAGGACAATGTCACCTCAGGACGTATCCTCACACCCGGAGACTATGGTGCTGTCCCTCACGATACAACCCACACATTCCAGATCCTCGATCCTTTCGTAGAGATGGTGGGCGTCATACAGCCCGGTGGCTTCGAAGATCTGTTCTACTTCCTCGCAAACGAGAATTACACCTCATCTAGCTACTCACCTTTTCCACAAGGAAACTTCTCTGACCCTGGTGGCGATTCTGACACCATCACTAAACTCCAGAGCTACGATGTGTATGCCCAATTGAGCTTCACTCCTCCCACGAACTTCGGATCCAACAGCGCGACCGAGGAGGATGCGATCTGGCACAACGGCGCCAACGAATTGGCCCAGGACTCCAAGACACCGTTTTTCATTGCCAAGGGTTACGGTCCTAAATATCTCGCTGGTGATGCGAAATCCTCGTACGCTATCGTCGAGCCCTTCGTCACATCCCAACAGTCTGATGGCAATTTCACCCAGGGTACCATCACCTTGTCGAAACCAAGTGCTGGATCTGAGCCTGAGAAGTACTCGCTGCCTGGCCACACTGCGCTCGAAGTTGTTGATGGGCTTGTCAGCGTTGATGTCGGTGGTTTTGATGGGACGACCACACTCTCTATTGGCGACGTTGTCTTCGTGCCGGCCAATACGACATTCAGTTTTTGGGGCGCGGCTGCGTACTCGAAGGTCCTGTATGTCGGTGCTGGAAATGATACCATTGATGGAAAAATCATCAAGGGTGCCAAGGAGTGGGATTCCGCCACATGGCCACAATGAGCTGCTGCGACTTTGCAAAGTGGATGACATAGCCGCATCAGTTACTGTATCTGCTTAGCATCTAGTCTTGTCGCTTAAAGTAGTGTGCGGAGTTTGCTCAGCCGCTAAGACTGTTATAACAAGTTGCTGTAAGCAAGGAAGGGTGCAGCGTGAGGTAAAAAACTAGCGACTTGCAAAAAGCGGATACCGCAACTGCAAGCGACTGTAGTGGTTTTGCTAAGATGATATAGAGGGTGGCAAGAGACACAGATATCGGCGCCCTCGTCGGGAACCCGTTTTTATTTGCATGACCCAGACGATTATCCATGTGTGGTGGAATCGGGAATCGGTCTGAGAGCGCTTATTAGATTTATGTTCAGCAGCCTGTATGTTGACTTTGAACGAGCTCCAACATTGAACATCCATAGACGAACTCCCCCCTCTGCAAATCGGAAAGTTGTAGCGCTAGTTGTAGCGCTAGTTGAAGCCTTTATTTCTCCTACAAGACGCATTTCAAGGCATATGGAAACAAACACAGCCAGCCCGCAGAATCTACCAACGGACCTTCGCATTTAAGGCAATGCAATCCAGTTTCTTAGCCACCTGCTCCTGTTCTCTTTGCACAGAGCGTTGTAAAAAGACTGCAATTTTTTGTGATGAGTAACTTTAATGTACACATCCGTTTAGAGCCTTCTGCACCAGTTACACAAGCACAGAATGGTGGCGCAAGAAAGTCCAACGGGGAGCATTCGCTAGGAAGAGGTACGATGTCTGCGTCGGTCTGTGATAACGAGAGCGCTTTGTACCGAGAGATGATGGCTTTGCAGACTGGCGTCCGGGTTTGTGGTAGTCGCGGAGGTTGTGCTAGAGCGTCTTATAGGGCACGACGCTTCTGCATGGATTGCACAACAAGTGTCCGAATTCTGGCAGACGGGAGATAACGTTCGGAATTTCCGGCTCTGCAGGCTATTGAATTGTCAGCGGGTGAAGGACTGGGTGGAGATCAAGGACGCTGCAGCAGCTACTCTACCCATATGCCTCGTTCTTTGCAGGGTCGCCCATGCAGACAGTCCAACAGGAAGGCGTAGAGCCGCTGTCAAGAGGCTGTAATTTCTCATAAACGACGTAGACGGGTATGCAGTGTCACAGGGAAGAAAGGACAGCAGAGACAAAAAGCAGAACCTGCCACAGGTGCAGTGTGTTTGAGCATACACGTTCGTGCAGAGCGGAACTAGATCGGAATAGATCACCAAAAGGGGTCGACTCGGGAGTAAGGCTAGAAGCGGGCGAATCAGGGCCGAAATCGTACACTATACCAAATTAGGCGCGAATCAGGCCCAAGTCGTGATGTTCGCGTGTAGGTAGGCAAGGGTATAGCAAAAAGGGTGCACACAGCACTTCTTGGCGGAGTGAGGCGGTTTTGTCCTGAATTACCCTTAGAACAGGCCCTATGTGGTTAGTATCATCCGCTTTATGGGGCTGCATATGCTACGGCACTACCCCTGCGAGAATGACGTATATTGTGCGCACAGTCGATATGCCCCGCAGCTATAGTAGCTAAACATGGGTTGCAAAGCCTACTTATATGACAAACTCTGTGCGCACAGCCTAGGACTCGATAGAAACAAGCTTCTTCGTACACTATGTATTAGTAGTGTAGCTATTTGCAAACGACACCTTTTGATCTTATCCATTTATATCTGTCCCGAGATGGCTAGAATTACAGATTTGTCCACTGAACTACTCCTTAATATCATCTTCTATCTCAGCGCAGGCGGCGCATGTGACGTCAGAGCACTATTTTATCTATGTCACACGTCACGCATGCTCTTCGACGTTGCACAGCCAGCACTCTATTCATGTGTTCGAATAGTCGAATCACCAACGGATCCCCTAGTTCATCTCAAGCTCTTCCTCAGAACTTTGATTGAACATCCATTGCTGGCTCAAAAAACCAAAGAGCTGGCCTTGTTCAATGACCGGGGAGTGCGTTATGAATGGCCTGCTCTGGAGCACGATGCAATCTTCATGGAACTTTCAGCGTTGATAGGAGGTCATGCTTCCGAAATTGAACCTGACCTGTGTTACTACCCGCTTGCTGTGCAAGTCCTAGCTCGGTTGCCTAATTTGCAGCACCTTCAGTTTACGGCTCAAATCGAAGCACCACGATCTTTGATGCATCGTATTCATGAGATGCGAGCTGATCTCTCAATCTTATCCAAGCTGAAGACTTTCCATCTGTAAGTGGTTTCAGTAGTGATGCCTACCCTATGCGAGACGGATCATCGGTTCGGTTCTTGGTCATGTAGACTTTGGGTAAACGCAGCTAATCTGGCATCTCTAGGCACAAGCAGTACGAGGACGGACCAGTCAACATAGAAGACTATGTACCTCTTATGCGGTACCCTTTGTTCGAAAAGTTCTCATCTGAGAGCGATGTGCCAGACACTCTGGATGGCTCATGCGCAGTCAATACTCTGACACACACAGCTGCAGAATTATTCTGGTGCATAGGGCCGTTAATTACGATGGAAAAGCTACTACAAACATGTCCTCGTTTGACTATTTTTAAGCTTATCATCCCTGACGGAACCCGCTACAGATGGCTGTGGGATGTAGGCTACAAGCTGTTAGTTACGCCACGGGAGCTTGTGAAGGCGTTGCTTCAAACACACAAGCAAAACCTGCACACCCTACATTTGGACTTCCATCACCACTACAGCCTCAGTGACCCAGAGCTTCGAGAAGAAATAGAACGCCTCGAAGACTGTGTTTACACATATCCCTCATTCCGCGATTTTGAGAGTCTCACGCACATGGCCATCGAGTTCGAAAAGCTCGTCAAAGTTCAAGATCTCCCAGCCTCGCTGGAACAGCTGGACCTGCGCTATTGCCATTTTGCGGACCTGGACAAGGCATTACTTCTTGATTTAATACAGTTGAAGGAAAAATGGTGTCCGGAGATCAAATCAGTTATTGTGAGTGGCCGTGAGAAGACCAGTGAAGGTATTTCTGCAGTGCGGGAACACGCAAGGACGTTAGACATTTCTGTGTATGTTACTATAGATGGACGTACGCTGACTATCCTGGGTGGAAGCTATTGCTTAACGATAAAGAGCCTTGCACCTCTGTAACCAATATCACCAGACACGGACAAAACACAGAGATGATGAATGTGTAGAAGTCTTTTACTTCAAATTAGCAATTAGTAAACAGAAAGTACAATCACAACCTGATTAAGTTAGCTAGAGAGCAGAATATATTCTTCTACGGCAGAGTCTACATGCACAAAAAGTTTGTATATAATAGAAGCTCTATAGTCGCTCATTTCATAGAGAGGAGAAGAATTCTAACATGAAGTTGTATAGAAGAAGCACTTTTTGCAGACGCTCTTCGACTATAAGCATGAGGGAGACCCTGCATTAATGTGTCTTCACCAATGATATAGGGTTGCCGCTGACTTTAGTGTCATTAGCTACTCTGAGAGTACTCAGGGCATCGAGGTAGATGGTGTGAAGGTAGCCGGATATTCCACATAATCTCTGCTACTGTAGAGTTGATGAGCTAGGAAAAATGCTTAAATTATTGGTCTCGTTTGTCTTTGAAGCTTGCTACGAATGAATTTATAAATCACTACTGCTTTGCGACTGAACAACCTTATTCTCACGATTCCAAGCATTTCTAAATCCTTCTACAGATCCTTCGCCATCTCCTGAACCCCTTTCATCTTAGTAACATCTATCAAAGTCTTGCCAAAAATGTGATTACTGCCTTTACATCGATGTCTTGTAGCACCTGCAGTACCTGCAGCCTACCGGACGTGTGTTTACTGGGTTCGTAAACACGCAGTTACCTGCGTCGCTGACCGTGCACTGTTCATTCGGCGGGCACACGTTCTGCGCACAATCGTGGCCCGGCCGGCTAGTAACCCCGCAGGTGACCATGCCGGCTTCCAGAAGACTTGGAGTACCGACCGTATCGAGTCCATGACCCGTGGAATTGTAACTGAACTGTGTGATGCTGTGTGGAGTGACTGTGTCGGCTTGAGTGGGTGTCGGGGCGCCCAGAGAAAATGGCACCACGCATATCAAAGCGATGGTGAGGAGAACGTTGCGAACCGAGTACATGATGACGATCTTGATGCACGTTCTTTCGAGGACAATTCAAAAGAAGGCGAACGTTCCGGTTCTTGTGTAATGGATTTTTGATGAGATGGTAGAGATGCTTGATTGACTTACAAGAGGCATGTTCAGACACTTAAATATGTGCTTTACATCGTCATTTTACATACACAGCTCGAGCCTTTCGACGAATGTGGCATGATCTCCTCCAGCTCAGCTGTTGAGATGCTACATGGGTCTTTAGCTATCTAGCAGGGGGTTCATGATAGGACGCAAAATATAGACTAGTAAGGACAACATAACTGCAAGCACAGACTCTTGAGAGAACTACTATGTTTTTGTACACGACTCTGGAAAAGAAATGGAGATACAAATGGAGATGTTTCCCGTGACTGCATGAGTTCGGCTGCCGCTGAATGCTGTTCGATGAAGCTAAATGGTGTGATCTGCACGCCTGATAGCCACTGGTTAGTACAAAAGTAATTGGTGTGTACGGCAATGCTAGACTGGAGCTGATAGATCTTGTACGGAAGAATACAGACGTGTCTTTCTTGGCAATTCCGGCAACTCCACAAATATTTCGGCGTGTATATCAGAGCAAGTGTTGTTATTGTCACCATCATGCGCGTGTGCGGACTTGAGAGAGCTGTTTTGAGCAGGTGCCAAGTAGTTATATTGATAGGATTTTAGAAGCATACCTAGGTACTTGGAAAGTTCTGGTCTTTTGGTTATGTGTGGTGAAGTCAGACGATAGTTACGTCAACTGTGTGTTAGATGACATCAAGTAAAATCTGCTTCAATCGACTACCGCTTCAACGGTACTTAGCCTCTTGTTATACGAAGTCTCCTGCATAAGACGGAACAAAATGCAGTGACAGGTGGGGCATGGGAGCCAATACTTATAACCAAGCAAAGAAAGGATCGCAAACGATCCACGTGATGTTATCAGTGGACCATGTAGACAATAGTAAGCTTCATGCCGTGCGTACTGGTCACTGTGCAGGGGAGGCGTACAGAAGGTGCTAATAGTAAAATTCAGAGACAGGCTGATGGTGAGCAGTCAGAATACTGTTTTGGTGTAATGTACAGCATGTAACGTCAGAAACACGCCACATTACACTTGTTCTGCAGAGGAGGACGCTTTAACTTCTAGACCAGCTTGGTCTTGACTAGCAGATCTAGATAGCCGCTATCGATTACAATACCCTAAGACCGTTGCTCGCTAGGTGCAATAGCCTGCAGCAAGAATTGCCATAATGTTGATCGTTCTGTTGATCGTCTGATAGTTAGCTCTTTATCAGTACCTAGACATCGTGTGCCAACCATTAGGTTACGCAGTGTACTTGTCTTGGGTATGTCTTGTGTAGTGTTGGGGTGTGTTTTGAGTGGTGCCCGCGTTGTTGTGTCGTGTTGCTGTGCCGCAATAAGTATTGACTGTTGCTGTGCCGCAACTAGTGGATGGGCAGCTCGACAACTAGAATATGCGATTGGCAGAACCTAAAAACGTGTTCGTCTTAGCGCAGCACAGAGGTTACGAGATCAGCCTTGATAGCATACACCTACCAATCAACACAATGGTAACAGCTAATGTCTAGCTGCGAGAGCTCTCTAAGCTCAAGCTATCCCACCTGCCAAGCCACGGTCATGAATACAGGGACGGAGAAATAAGCAAGAAACATTGCTCTGATTTGCTAAAACATGGCGAGTTACAAGCACGATAACCAAAAGACTTTAGAACAATACTCAGCGACTGGGCTCCAATCACAACGACAAAGCAGGGGTTTATTACAGTAGGGGGCAGTCTCTACAAGTAGCGCAGCTCACTGGTAAGATGATACAGACAGTTTTGCAGCAGGAAGGCTGAGCATCAGACGCTTTGGTATCGACCAGCGTGCGCTACGACCATTTTTTGACTAGCCATCTGCTGTAAGCATAGCGTTACATTACCACGTTTCTGCTTCTTCCTTGGCTGGGAGCCTTAGAGAGCTGTTCTCTTGCCTTTTTGGGACAATTTCGGAGCTTTAGCAGCGTTGCGAGCTTCCTGATCCTTAGCTCTTCAAGCTTTGCGTGCATTAGTTTGTTAGCGCTCCTTAGCTTCGCTCTGCTGCCTCCTCCTTCCGACGTACAGCTCCCTCACGCTTCTCTTCCGCAAGCTTTACCCCAAGTAGCCTGTTAGACTCTTGTAACTCTTGCCTTGTTATTTTTTAAAGCTCGTTATTACCCTCCTCCTTGTCAAATTTGTCCTGAAGCTTGCTTGCACTTTCAAGAGCACGAGGGGACCAACAGTGTGTACGCGCCTAAGTTTCCTTGCGCTGAACCAGTGACAAGGGCTTGCCTTTCTTTAGCTTAGCCCTCTCGTTGTTAAGAGCAACTTGTAGGCCATCTCTCTCTATTTTAAGCACATGATTTTGAGTGTGTAGCGAGTGGAGAGCCGCGCGCAGGCTTCGCGACTCTGCTGTATCAGAATCCTTTACTGAAGCTTGCAAAACTCTGTCAACTGTACGACAATCGTCAGTTGTAGCCAACGAGGTTGCTACCTCTTCTCCCCGCTCCGATTTGGTGGACCTATCAAGGATTTTGTGCCGGTCCTATGGAACCAACCCAGTGGCCTCAAAGGCGCTGGACACAAGCTCTGGAGTTAATGTTTCTACCTAGGCAGGCCGGAATATCTTAAATAAATTGCCTTTCTGGAACGGAGTGAGGTGTTGGCTGGTATAGAAGTGTTTACTGAGGTGTTTTGAGTAGATTATAGCCAACGGAGAGAAGCACACAACGTCCAACGGCTGGAGTGCTCGAGCGCTGTGTGATGGATATATGGCCAACAGTATACGATACTTGATGCAATACTTGATGAAAGCCATCGTTATATGTGAGCTGTGGCCACCCAATATAAGTAAGCGCTATTGGTTGTGTGCCTTACGCAGTGTCTGGGGATTGAACACCTGCCCAAGCTACTTAAGCCCGGCGTCGTCGTTTGACTAGCCGGAGGAAGTAACATTAGTATAGACGGAGTGCTTCAGCTCTCCACATCGCTTAATCAGATGCTCTGAATGTTCTTGGAGTCAGCAGCGTATATGAGGCTGGGTGGGAGAGCTGTCCCGTCGGCACAAATACAGGCTACAAGGGTAATCCACTCACGACTGCCATCGTGAGATGACTGACGAGCGTGCTTACGCCTGTATGAGGCTTTACTGAACACTCTTTCCTGCCTGCCAACAAGTCCAGCCATGAAGGCCTTCTCATTCATATTGTATGTGTGCTCCGGCGCCACATCTCACTCCTCTGTTTTCTGGGCCATTACGTCAAAGTACTCGCTGTACTTTTAATAAGAATCAGCGGCGTGGCGATTGGCGTCCATGGGGGCATTCCAGCGGCTGAGAATGAGGCCGCCGTGTTGGTGGAGAAAGCGGGTAATCCAGGTCTCAGAAATCTCAATTTTGCCTATCTCAAGGGCAAGATTTGCTATTATTTTACGTGTAGGAGGAAGACGACGGATCTTCATGTCATACATGCGCAATCGCAAGCCCCAATCCATCAGACTGGGCATGCCGCCGTAGCTGGTCAACGTCATGAAACGTTTGGTGCTTTCTTTGAATAGTTTGAAATGGCTTGTAGCGAACTCTTTGGCGTCCTGGCGGGGGTGTCCCTCTGTCTCCATGACCTTGGTCACGCAGTCTTGTTGTGTACAACGCCAACATCCGTGCAACGGTGACGACAGCGGAGATGATGGGCGTATACGCGAGCGGGTCTCGATACCACCGGATTTCACATTGGCCTCTTCATGAATTATCTCGGTTTCGGCGCCCCACACAATGAAGAAGAGGCTGTCCACGGCATTGCTTCCGAGTGGCCTGTCGTTTGGGATATGAAAAACATGAAGGCCAGAATCCCTTTATCTCCTGAAGGCAACATCCCACGCCTTTCGCTCACTGAGATCAGTGATGTCGGCCGCTTTACCGCTGCAGGGTGCCCGTTGCCGAATGGCGCCTGGAAACAGGAGCTCAACTTCGTAGCCGACACAATTCGAATGGACGAGGTTGTCAGAATTATCGAGAAAGTGCGAGGACAGAAGATGGAGGTTACTTATCGTCCCTATGAGCAGATTGTAGAGGAGGCGGCGAAGGAAACGGTGGACTGGCCGAACAAGTTTTGGCTCCAGGTTGAGACTGTGCACGCGCTAGACCAGGTGGGGAATGGGGTCGTGGAACCCGTACACAATGATTTGGTGCCTCAGGTCAAACCAATATCTGTTGAGGAATATTTGAGGAAGTTCTGGTCACTATAGTGATATCTTATAAATCCAAGATGATATACCTAAGGTCGTCTGTCATATTGTATTGGCAACGCTGGACCTCGGAAGTTGCTCAAGGTGGGGTCGTTGGAATGAGACCACCCAAACCAGACAGCCATCGCCATCCATCCTTCACTAGGTAAGTAGGTACTGTATGTTCGAGCGTCGCAACGCAGGGGAACAAAACTAGCTCCGTTGATGGAAAGCGGGAGTTTAGGGATGACGCAGCCTTCTCCCACGCACAACGCTTCAGGTCGCGTACGATCGCCGTTAGTTAGCGCCATCAATGCTGTTGGATACTTGACGATGGCACACTCGCTGGACGGCCGCTTGGAGACATCGTCTTCGTTCGTTGTACACAATTAACTAATGATTGAATTAAGCAATGCTACTGGACAAGTTTGACGGTTACCTGTGCCAGTCGCATTTCTACAAAATTACCTAGGCCCAGCTCGAGTTGTGTTTGGTTCGAGATGTACACGCCGGCACCAAATGGTCTCTGACAGATAACGGCGCAACCCATGCATGAGCGGCATCAACGCCAGGCCTGCGCTCGAAATTATCTAGATTTAAGGCCTTTTCACTCGAATGTTTCGATCTGTCACTCAATCTGATAGGCTAGAAGTGGCGGAGGAAGGCAACGCCCCCTGCAGTGGACGTACGTCGCGACAGTCTAGATGAAGGAGTGTACGATCAGCCGCCGTTGAGCAGGTTCCCCGCATTGTGTACGGAGTACGGACTTGGGGCGAGTATAAGTATGTCAGCGTCGCATGAGTGAGGCGCTGTATTGTCTCTCGTCGTCTTTCATCCACCAACATATATTCTCTCAGAGTCTGGTCACTCGCTTTGTTCTCTATCTTTCATCTTAGAAGTTTTATACCCCAACATCTCCAACATCTACTCAATTAGTTTCCTTTTCAAGATGAAGCACACAATCATTACTTTCGCTCTCATCGTTGTGGCCTTTGGCGCCCCTGTGCGTCGTCAGGCAGGCAATGCCCAGACCTTCACCGGCGCCCTCGGCGGCATCGCAGCTACGCCTGTCGAAGACTCTGGCAACCCTGACCGGCCGTTCCAAGTGAAGGGCGATGGATTTGTGAATATTGGGGCTGCATTGGCACGAAGCTGTGACCAACAATTCAACGCTTGCGCGAACGCTGCAAACGGAGGGGACGCAAACTTGAGTGTGGCTCAATGCTCGACCCAGAAAGGTACGTAACAACCAGAAGTGTATGACTTCAACTTACCTTGTCGTAGACCAGTGCAGTGCGAGTATCCAAGCTAGTACAGCAGCGGCGCAAGGCAATAATCAAGCAGGAAGTGCAGCTACTGGTGGGAATAACTCTAACAGTGCTAATGGCGGAGCTGGCAATGTCGCATCATGCACTTGATCTAAATAACGTGGATGTTTGCCCTCCACTGAGGTCAGTACATGACAAGTGGATACTGGGTCATGTAGGCCTGGTACAGAATACGCGTAGTCTCAATCAACACGATCACATATCAAAGCAGTTCGTGATCGTTGGCTTGGTGTGAATTAGGAACCTGGACCTTCTCACATCTCATCATCCCCCGTAGCTGCAAAACACAACTCGTTACCCAAGAGTTGGATCTTTCATGAGAGCTCACACATATTCAGGCATTACACATCAAAGATAAACGATACACAATACACGATATTGGTTGGTTATCGTCTCTGATCTAATTCTGCTGAAGCTTGATGCGACTCACGATCTTTTAGGCAAAAACCATGTCACTGTACAACCCCAAGACTTCGGCAAAAAATGATTCGACCCAGACTTGAACTGGAGACCTTCAGTGAACTAACGTTGTTAGACTGACGTGATAACCAACTACACCATCGAACCGTTGACGCCTTCTGATTGGCTGATGAAAATCTCCTCTACCGCACATTATATGTACCAATTGTCAAAAAGTGCTGAAGCGTCACACTTGCATGAAAGACACAAACCTTTATATGCCATAGGTGTCTGCTCTGCTAGGAATGGACTCCAGACAAATAGGCGTACGGCTGTAAAAAATCTGCATAGTGGGGCCGTGGAACGCATGGACGAAGAAGCCGCTCTCAGCGACTCAGTCAACTTCGCCGAGCTTATACAAGCTGCAATAACCCTGAAGCTCTTCCAAAAAGTGTCTTTGAGATATGATTTGCAAAGACTGTTACGCATAATCCAACGCCAGTCGCACACAAGAAAAAAGTCCAGACCATAAAGTACTGCACACAGGCGTGTCCGACCAGCCACTTGGCACTTTTGTAGGGTCTTAACTATCACATTCGCAGCTAATCAGTCGCAGAGATACTACCAAATAACTCCGTTCAGGCGTACATGGTCCAATAAGAAAGACTCGATATGACTATTCATCGTTGTTGTCTGATGCTGCATTATGCCAAGTGGCTGGTCGGACGTGAATCGATCGAGGCACACGAGCACTCTTCTCCAAACAAGGCCTCGATTGAGATCTTCAAGACGTTAATGAGCATAGAATACTGCCGTAACAGCATACGCAAGCCTGATTGCTCTTCTAGCTTGTCCTCAGCTTGCCCATGAAGCCAAGAACATGCTGCGACAGCCTTGGCTATCCTGGTCGTCGGGCTCGGAGGCTTGTGAATACCGGCACCAGGAGCTGTCTGCCCCGTACCAAGAGTGCCTGACTTCTTGGGAGCCGATCAAGCTTGTGAGACAGCTGGGCAGTGGATCTCAACGTCTTCCAAGAGATGCCAGATGAACCCTATCGGTGACAGTGCTTGGTACCGCTTACTTTTTGTCGTCTTGCACCAACTCTCCGACCACGATCAAAGGAATTGGAGGTGTCTCTGATTGCCGGAAGCCGGATATAGGTCAATCGAGTGTCGTATTGCCGCTCGGTCTTATTGCGTCAAAACACGCATTCAAAGGCACCGTAAATAGCATGCTATTGCCAAGTCACGACCGGTCGTCGCTGATGATGAGTGCCGTGCAGTGGCGAACCGCGCTTGTGGTTCATTTTCGACCCCTCCACACTCTAATGCCCAATCACCGTTCCACCATAACATTTTGTCAACTTCAACACCGCCGGTGCAATGTACTTGAGACTGTTCTCTTACTTGAGATTGCGGGGAAGCCTACTTCGCCAGCCGTTCTATGATGTTCGTGAAGTTGGTACCGGTGAGACGTGCGTCAGGCTTCAGCCACCCGTGCTCGCACCTGCCATTCAGCAACAAGCATCGCCAATAATGCACGGTGCTGATCCCACAAAGGATGCACCCACCGACTGCGAGCACGCAGTTTAACCCGCCAAGGCTGTGCTGTCGCATCTGCGTTCGAGCTATCGTCCTGATCGGGTTGGTCCTATCTGATTCGTCCTGATTGCCTAGCGCAGTACCAACCTCAAACATCGCGCAGCAATTACAGAGCCACCTCCCCAGCTCGTACCTCACCTAAGCTTCTGAAACCCCACTTAACCATCACATCGTTTGTTACAACAGAAGCTTCGCCATTCAGAACATCCATCCCCACACGAACGTTGCGGAGAACCGTCCGTTGCCAAGGAGGTATCTGTTTTCTACCCAACAGACTCTGAACGACGCTGAGTTTGTCCAATGGCAAAAGCTGTCGTCGCACCTGGTTGCTGTGAGCTTGGCAATGCCAGCCTAGCGGGACAACTACAGCCTTGGAAGTCAAGCCTTGCCCTGCAGATGTGATCGTAGCACGTACAGAGCTTAGCATTGCATGGCATCTATCACTGCAGAACACACAGTTCGCCGATGCGATGAATCGAGAGTGCGATTCTATGACGGTCCTCTACGGACAACTATACGGACAACAATTACCTCCGAGCAATTCAGTCTGCGTGCAAGATCTTGTCCACAGAGGACCTGAAGCCGTTCAACAAACCCGTCGTCGTTCTCCCATGATGCGGCAGACGGATGTGGTCTCCACCCTTGTGGGATATCGCATGCGCTCCGCTGCACCTCAACATGGACTCCACGCTTATCATTGCTTGGCACCGCATCACCAAGTTTCAAGCATACTTCAGACGGCGTTGGAAGCTTGAGGGGACAGAGGCATCCCCTGTCGTATGCTTGCATGGTCTTGAGGCTCTTGGCATTCGGTTTCAACTTCACCCCAAAACAGCCGCACGGTCTTGGCGGGGTCGGGCTGGCCCACTGCACAGATCAAGGCTTCGTATACATGTTCAAATGTATATAAAATCTCGAAGAATGCACTTCCTCAATTCTTCAGTCCGGTCACTCCATTCACTTCTAATCATCTATTCATCCATAACAGTCGCTTGCGACCTTTCAAGATCTTCGATCCAATCACGTTATACCAAACCAACCATCGCTACCCAAAAACCTAATCCTCCAACAACACCTTCAATATGCTTCCTCAACAAGTCCTCCTCGCTGTTCTCGCAGCCGTCTCCGTCTCAGCCGCCCCACTCAACATCAATCTTGGCGCCTATTCTCCTGCGCTGGTAGTCGGTGATGGAGAGATCTCGCTAGGATCCAAAGAATCAGCCTCGGAGCTGATGGCAACGCTCGCTTCAGGAGCAGCTGCTAAGAGCGGCGAAGGTCAGCAAGCACAGCCGGCAGCTGCTCCCGCGGCCCAGCCGGCAAAAGAGGGAGAAAAGCCCGCTGAAGAGAAACCAGCTGCCAAACGATCAATCAACCTCCGCCGTGCGGTCGACCAGCTTCTCGGAAAGCGCGATCCCACACCTGCTGCCAACCAGATGGCTGCTGTCGAGGACGCCATGCAGTGGATCAAGCGCGACCTGCAGGGCTTCAACGCGGCTCTCGGTTACGCAAAGGAGGCAATGAAGAACTCGCCCAAGATCGAGATGGGCTCAGAGGGCGCTGGTGTTGGTCTTGTTGTCAGCCCCGGCGTCAACGTGCCCCAGAATTCCGCCGCCAATGGCGCACCCGCCGGTGGCAAGAAGACCAAGCGCGCCGAGGTTGAGGTTGCAGATGAGGACGACAGTGCGCCTAAGGTGACACTCGTTGCCATCACCGAGGTCTGAAAGATACCCTAGGAGAGACAGAACAATTATTCGTCATCCACATGATTTACTTTTCTTTGTCGGTGCGATTTTCAGCGATGTTAGGATATGGAGTTTTAGTAAGACCAGGCCTCTCAGTTTGCAGAACTATAGATATTCAATAACAGTTTATCTGATCGATCATTCTCACATTCTTCATGGATAACATTTTTGAAAGTGTATGTACAGCACGAGGCTGGAGCAGGCATGTTAGAGTCTGGGTCGCCCCGGCCCGTCCCACTCGTTCGAGACGGCTAGGAGCCAAGTTGCCACGCGGAGCTCCACTCCAGCCATCTAGAATCGAAGGAGGCTCAATGCGGCTCTACTTAAGCACCAGCCAAGTCTCATCGGGGTCTCAGTGACAACTTGAGGCACTTGGCGTTGCCTGAGGCTTGTGCGCGATTTGAAACGGCGACATGCGCGAGCACATGGCGAATGGAACTCGAGACGATTGGCCAAAAAGCCGCGACTAACTCAGTCTCAATCCCCATTACTGGTCACTACCATGCCGAGCAGTGGCCGAATAGATGGTGTACGACATGGATACAGTTGGTACTCGTGTCGCGAAAGCGAAGAAACAACCGTTTGATTCGTTACACCACCAACATATCCTTTTCAGCGAAGCTCCCGACGTTTTCCAAATACCAAAGGCTTCACGAATGGCAGAGCAGGGCTGATCCATTTTAATAGTCGGGTCAAGGTGCAGTTTTCATTGGGAGACGATGTCGAAACATGTGACGCATCGATGTTGCTTCATTCTTGTACATTTGAGGAGAGATTACGCCGAGAACTGCCAAAATAGATACTGTCAGTAAGTGAGCTGGATCATACCGACATAAGAGAGACATCGATGCTGTATCACCCCGCTCCTTGTGTCCACAAGTTCTCGAAACAATACATATATGTCGTGCAGAGATAGAGATGACACACCCCACAATCAAATCTTCAGAGCGTAGTTTTTGATTTCAATGCCATCTACCGGGTTTCGATCCGCAGTACAACGGGCTTACTTGAGCTTGAGCCCACAGCTTTCTAATGGAATTATATATGTATAGACTAAGACAAATGCGCCTTTGACTACCCAGCTGTGTTTATCAGTTAGGTACTCCTTCGTTGGTAACAGCACATTGCCCAAGAGCTTATGTGATGAGGCCATCTAAGACCGAAGACCGAGTAGCTGACGCAGTGAGTCTATGGACACCCACAGCTGAGAACATGACAGACGTCTGGAGAGGTACCTAAATATCCACAGACGAAGGATATTCGACAATACACCGTTAGTATGTTGAAGATAGTAAGGATGAGTAGTATAGAGCAATATACACCAGAATGCGATATTGAGAGAGAGAAAGAGAGTGAAATTGCGGGTGCCTGGAAGTGTTTCACTCTCACCTTGCCCGACTGCGCTAATTCTGCCCCAGCTCGAATAACTCGAATCGACGCTTCCGAGATTCTTTCAAACACCTGCCCAATCTCAACCGATGATCTGAATGACAACGTTCTTGCTGCTTCAATTGAGGCGAGCATCCTAGGTTCGTTGTTTGGGTACTTGATAAACAGGAGAGATTCCAAACTCTTGCCCTGTGCGCGCTCGTGATAGCTCAGGATCTTTGCAAGATGGCCCAGGAACCTTCCTCCGAGGCGACGCTACCTCCGCTCAATGACAACGCGTCACCTCAATGCAAATCTTGCCAGATGATTCTCAACACTGCGGTGGACCGAATGAAAACAAAAGACAAATGGTGGACAAACTGCTCGGGCTGTCGCAGCAAACGTACCACAAAGGCCCATAGCAAGAGAGAGACGGGTCCTCACAAGTCTCCAAGGCCACAGAAAAAGCCACGAGCTTTGACAGCGCGAGAAACAGCTGAAAATCTTCAGCCTACGCACGACTCTGTATCAAGTCGACGTAAAGGTAACCCACCAAAGTCATCGAACGAGCTCAAAGGTTGGCGAGATATAGTGAGTCTGACAACGAGTACGCCAGCTAAAGCGACAGATCTCCGACCAGAGAAACCAACATCAACTATTGTGCCAGAGGAAATAGATTGTTCTATTTGTGCAGAACCAATCATGGCGAAAGACCTTTCCGCACTTTCAGCATGCACACATGCGCCAGAGGTCTGTCACGAGTGCTTCCTGGAATGGCTCAGGCAGCAAATGGAATACAAATCTTGGGAGCGCCTCGAATGTCCTGTCGCTGGCTGCAACAACACCGTCACGCATGATGATGTCAAGCGGCTTGCTCCAGATGATGTCTTCGCCAGGTAATTAGTAGCACCAGGCCTCGAGGGAACTAACATATTGATGTCTGAGTAGGTTTGATGAGCTCTCCATAAGAAACATTCTCAGCAACGATCCAGACTTCCGATACTGCCAGGCCGAAGGATGCAGCTCCGGCCAAGTTCATGATACCGGCACTGAGGGGTACATATTCCGTTGCGCTGAATGCAACCATCGCATGTGTACTATATGCGAAGTGCCGTTCCACACAGATGAGACCTGCACCCAGTACAAGGAGCGTCTGGAAACGGAAGTAGCAGAACGCGAGGAGGAGCTGCGAGTGAAGCGAGAGCATGAAGCAGCAAGCTCCGCCGAGGTGAACAAGATATCCAAGGAATGTCCTGGATGTGGAGCCAATATACAGAAGACATCGGGCTGCGACCATATGACATGTAGGGCAACTGATCAGCGCTTGCTTGAGGTTTTACTGACCAGCGATTAGGCTATCGATCACCGTGTCGCTTTGAGTTCTGCTACATATGTTTGGCACCATACCGAGGCACACAAGGCATTAGAACGATCGGCAATACTGCTCACACACCAGCATGTAAGTATCACACCACGAGGCTGGTAGGCTAGGTTGGTCCTCATGGCCTTACCCTCGGATTACAACGGCATGGCAGCTCCAGCCATCACATAGCTCTTTCGCCATAATTGGGAGGACCATCAAAACGTAAGTTCCGTACAGGGCTTTGCTGAAGATGAGAATGCTCGAGATACATATGAAAACCTTATCCCATGATCTCTGGCATATCGTTTGGACGTCTCAGCGTGCTTCCTCATTTCTTCTATTCTCGTGACCGACCTTTTCAACGCATGGTGACTGTGATTGAAAAATTTACGATTTTGGGATCGGAGAAGCCACTTTTCAGTGGTTTACCGTTCCAAGATGCTGCTACTGTATGAGCGTCCTGATCTCTCAGACCTGAAGGCGCTGATCAGTAGGCGAGAGGATCCAGTGTTTTCCGCACAGTCGTGATTTGCGAAGTTCAAGACACCCTGATGAGAATATATGTCGTTGATCTAACCTGTCTGGTTAAGATGTATGCGCGTAGATGTTGTTGTAGACCACGTCTTTGCAGAAAAAGCAGTCGGCCGCCAGCCCCCGCCACAACCTCAAGATTTTAGGCGCCCAACCCCCGCCGCACAGCCCCAGCACCCTCGCAATAACACCACAATGCACAGCATCCGCAGCACAGCGGCTGGGTTACAACAGGTTGCTTATCCGCCCAGCAAACTGCGCTTCAATTCTCGGACTTTCATAACAAGACTGATATCACGGAAAGGGAGGCGCAAGCTGGGCAGACTGCATGCCTCGCCGTAAATCTTCACACGACCTCAATATTAGACAAGTAATGACACAGTGCTACATTATAAAGTTGAGTAATCTACCTCCGTCTCTTATGTCTCTTGCCAATCGCGAAATCATCATATTTTGGCAGGAGTTCAGCATTCACGTCGCGGTCGAACGACGCGCTGTGTTTCAAGATCTCAGTCGTAGCGATGTCGTGTAGCTCACTGAAAGTCTTCCGAGAGTCAGGATACCAGTGCAGACAGTCTCTTACCAGCTGCTTCAACTCGGGGCTGTACCTTTCCGCGGACGGATAGAACCTCCATGGCGTTGGAAACATCGAGTCGGCATCCAGGTCCCTCGTGTTTGATTCCAGCGTCACACTCTGCTTCCCATAAAATCCATTGCCCGCGTCGTCTCGGAAAGTGGCGTCTTCTCGCATCGGGTGGTCCGAGTCGCGGCTGTTGGTTATCATCTCCCAGATCAACGAGCCGAGCCTCCACACGTCCGACTTCTCGCTGAGCTTGGTTGGTGGACTACCCCACATGAACTGGTGCTCGGGTGGATGGCAGAAGTGCCTTTCATTCCATGTCCATTCGTAGGGGTTGTCAGACCGCAACGGTTCGTAACCTTCTGGAACGGGTGGTGCGTCGCGCTCAATGAAGCCCATGCCCAAGTCAGCAATAACGATATCCGCAGACTTCCCGTCAGGATGAGGGTCAATGAAGGCGTTGCTTATGTTGAGGTCCAAGTGCATGATGGGTCTCCAGTCCGGGTCGGTTTCGGTGCGACTTGTCGTGCCGTGCTGCAGGATGAGGTAGCCTGACGCACAGTTCATGATGACGTACCAGATCAAGGCTTCCGGGACTATGGGCATGTCCTCCAACTGCTCTAGTGACAAGGTCCTCAGATCTTCCAAGCGAGCAAGTCCCCAAATATTGAATCTGTCGGTGACAAGCTCACCAAGATCACTGCCTGCGTAGTATTTCAGGTACAGGCGATATCTCCGCCTACGCATCATCAGACGATACCCAAAGTGCTCCACGACATTGGTAAAACCCTTGTCATTCGTCTCGTCTCGCTTCCTCTTCCTATCGATTCGCCGATGCAATGCTATCTCCCTCGGCAGCTGATCGTACCACTCCCTGGGAGTGCTGTACGTCGTCCTGGTTTGGGGACAGTCCTTGACGACCATACGCTGTGAAAGAAAGTCAGACACACGTTTTGAGTGGTTCTTCATGAGAGAAGCCTCTGCACTTACCTGTACGATGTTGTTGTTCTCGTCAACCCTGCACCACAACCCCGCGGCCCCGTACGACCCGCTGGCAAGATACTTGCCGGCAGTCCAGGTCGACTCGTCTACTCCAGCCATCAGTGTCTTGCTATTCATGAAGTTATCGATTGCAGTCTGCATGAGTCCCTGGTCGTCGTGCTTCTTCCTGATGTTTTCACTAGGTGGAACTTCGCTGACGTCCGGATCATGGTCCCACGGTTGGGCGGGCCAAAAGTCAAAGTGATACAGAGAGTCTGGAATAGCTGGTACTACGGCTGGCTCTACGACTGGTGCTTGAGCCGCGGGAGCTGTTGCGCTTGGGGTGTTTGAGCGTGGCGGAGTAGATCCAGTAGAGGGCGCTTGGGTTGGTGAAGTCACTCTGATACCTGGAATCGACGGAGCTCCAGGAGGAGTCATAGGAGAGACCGCAGGAGGAGCGGGAGGAGCAGGAGCTTGAGGGGTATGAGGAGTAGGGGGAGTAGTAGGAGCCGTAGGAGCCGCAGGAGCTGCTGGAGCCACAGGAACAACAGGAAGAGGCGGAGCCACAGGCGGAGCCGCCATCAGTGCACCATTTGCATCTCTCTCCCTCGGCCTCAGCTTCGTCCGCTTCGCCGCCGCCTTATCCGCAACCCGATATGGATGCAGCGGAATCTGCACCTGGTCCGGCACAAAGCCCGCCAGCGCATTCGCATTCGCACCGATCTTGTGCGCAGAATACAGCGCCCTGATGTTGGCATCCCACCACAGCGTGTCCAGAGTGAGCTCAACCTGGGCTGGGGGGTGTCAGTGTCACGTTTGTTTGAAAGGGGAGAGCGGTGCTGACCTTTGCTCCATGTGCGGTTCGCATCGATCCATGGTTTGGCGTCGCGGTTGAAGTAGGTCCTTTCGACCTCGAACGGGGGATTCTTGACCATCGTGACTGATCGTATTAGGTATTGCTGGCGATGGTAAGGGAAATCTGGGTTCTGAACAATGTACGACAGCGATCTGCGTTTGTTTTGTACTGCGGTGTGGCATATTTGGAGGTTTTGGCTTTTCAGACGACAAAGGTGTGCTCAAAGGCAGGCCTGAATGAATTCGAAGGGGTTGAATGGTCATGAAAGAGCTTGGTGGCATATTGTGGCGGAAGCAAAGGGGTGACAAAGATAAGACAAAGGTGAGATGACAAGAGCTGTAGCCACAAGCCTTACAGCGGCAAACCGTACAGCAATAATTTTGACAATGACAAGTCAACCAGCGGCAAACCAGACAGCGATTGTTCCACAGTGACAGGTCTGGCGGCGGCAATCCTTACGGCGGCAAACGTTGCAGCGACAATGCATACAGCGGAAACTGATACAGCAACGAGTCTTACAGCGATAGTCTCACAGAGACACACGGATGTAGGGGATAAACTGAAAATTCTAGTTCGAGAATTGGTCGAATAACCATCATACATACGATACATACACTACAACAAATCCAGCCCACCCACACTCACTAAGTAGCCCCCACAAACGCCGCCCCAACCCTATACCGCTCCATCCCCCCATCCACACCAACCCACAACGCGCCCTCCCCCTCCTCAGCCAGCGCCTTCGCCCTCGCCATCTCCGTAATCTTCTTCAACTCCCTCACGCCCACCCTGTCCGCCGGCATATACTGCAAACACGCCCTCACCGTCGAGCGCAACAGCTTGGAATACGCCATTGGCGCCTCGAACGGGCGGTGCCCCGTGAGCAGGAACCGGTTGAGCTGGGTCCGTGTGTACGGCTGGCCGTCGTTGAGGCGCCGCGCTTGCCGCAGCCCCGTGTGCTCGCTCGCGTGGTCGAAGAAGGGCGCCGTGAAGGCCGTGTAGGTTGGCAGGTTGAGCAGCAGGTTCCACATTATCTGGCCAATGGACCATATGTCTGTGGCGCTGGTTTGCTTGGTGAGGGTGTGGGAGTGGGTTTGGAAGGCCCAGGAGGTTTCCTGGGGCGGTTAGTACGTGGGGAAAGGGGGGTTGGTGGGATCTCTGGGGATGGAGAGATGGGAAGGGACTCACGGGGGGATAGCGGGCGGCGAGCTCGGGGGTGGAGTCGCTGCACATGTAGTGCAGCGGGTTATCCTGGTACTCGTCGTCGTCGTTCTGAAGGTCCCAGAACGCGGTGTCGAAGTCCGCGAGAACAATGTCGGGGTACTGTTTCTGTTAGTACTTGGGATACCTACTCCAATGAATCATGAGCTTACCTCTGTTTTGGCGAACTTCGCAATGCCGTCCTCGGGCTTTCGCGGGTCGGGCTTGCGCTCCGAGCCGTACGCGCCCTCTTTGCTCGGCTTGACAAAGATGTTGCCGAGATGGATGTCTCGGTGCACAATCTCCTTCCACTCCTTCTCGCCAACGAGCGGGTCGGCGCCTCGATGCATAAGCAGTGCCGCACCCGCTAACTGGCCGAACACCTGCCACAGAAACGCCTCTGGGATGACTTCGGGGAGGTCGTCGCTGATCTCCTCCTTCGCACAGTCCTCGAGGTCGGTGAGATCATCAAAATGAACGTCCTTATGGCTTTCGGGATTCTCTTCTTTGGCATCGAGGTACTCGGCCCACACCCTAGCCCTCGCGTCGCGCACATCACGCTTCACCTGCACAGCACTGCCTCTCCGGCCGAGATCTCGTGCATTGCCGATCTCAGGATGGGCCATCAGCCAGCGGTGCTGCGTGTGGCGGCGGCGCCAGGCACGCGAGTAGTACTCCAGAGCGCCAGAGAGGTTGCCGAGATCGCAGACTTCGTTGTAGACGCGGTAACGGCGCTTCCAGCCATCGATGCGGTGGCCGTAGTAGCGGTGCAGGTTATGGTTGTAACCTTGCTGCTCGTTCAGGCGTCTGAGTACGGCGATCTCGGTGGGCAGCTGGTCACGCCATTTAATGGGGTTGATCCACTGGTCTTGATGCATGGTCGCGATGTCTCGGACCGCGAGTCTCTGTCAGGGATGTCAGAAGATATCATTGGAAGGTGGAAGTAGCACACTTACTTGGTCGATGTTGTTGTTCTCGTCCGTTCGTACCCAGTGCATACAGATGCCTGTTGCGCCCTGGCCCAGGAAGTGAGTTCCATGCCATCTCTTAGCTTCTGGCTCTTTATCGGGGTCGGCCAATCCAGCGTCTATAAGCTTGCGTTTCCCATCTGTGCTGAGCGGTCCCTCGTCGGGATCGAAGGCTGGTAGCTCCATGCTGATGTTCTTCAATGGCGGCATGTGGGAGAACACGCGGGTTTTAGGCGGAGCAGGCGGGGCGGTAGGAGCAGTCACTGCAGCAACAGAAACCGTAGTTACAAGCACCGCAGGTCCAGGAACAGCCGCAGGTCCGGGAATCGCAGCCGGCGCCGGATCCCCCGCCGCCCTATGCTCCGCCGGGATCCTCGCATCATCCGCGTTGAACGTGTTCTCTCCACTCTTACTCCTGAACAGCTGTTCACATTCATCCCGCTCCGCCTGTGTGGCCACATGCGTCCACATCCAGTGCAGCGTGGCATCTCTCTCAGCTGTAGCAACATTACTGTGGTGATACGAGGAAGAGAGTGAAGAGGGACTTACCGGTCGACCAGGTGTCTCGGAGTTCCTTCATACGCAGACGGTAGGCACCCATGTAGTAGTAGCGCGCGGCTTTGTATAGGGCTCCTTTCTTCTTGGCCATGGTGGGTTAGTGAGCTGGTTGTTTGCTGGAGTGGGTGAGTAGGACTGAGGGTATGGACCAAGTGGATGGTACGAATGCAGTCGATGGGATAAATTGAGGAGCATGTTTGGGCCGGGGTAGATGTACTCGCGCCCGCTTTGTTGGGTCGTGTGCCATGGTGGACGATGGGACAATGGATGGTGATTGACAATGGGACCTAGTTCTTTGACAAGCTTGTCACTGAATTTGGGCTGGAGGCCGGACAAAGCAGGATCATGTGTGGCCGTAAAGGTTTCTGTCTTTGTTAAGCTCTATGGGATCAGGCACGGATTTACGGGAGCGTTGTGAGCGGATTTGGTCTATGATTTGCAGAAACAAGATACACTAAACAAAAGCAGTAATCAAGTAAAGTATGTGTAAGACATACCACGTTCCTCGCATCAAGGCCCTGTTGCAAACGCAAAAAGTGGTCAAGTAGCACTACAGCCCGGAAATACACCTATTTAGGATGGCGGTTGAACAACCAAAGGCGCACCAATTTGCCATCCAGCGTTATCTGGTATGGCTAGCTCTGTGCTGCCGACATCCATGGCTTCCGCCAAGTGAGGATTCGCTTGAAGATGTTTGTTCACATCAGACAAGATGACCTGCAGCGACGGCCGATGCTCTTGATAGTACTTCAAGCAGCTCCTCACCAAGGCTTTCAGCTCCTCGCTGTAATTGTTCGACGCCGCCCATTCTGCGGTCCCTACTAGCACCTCTTGATCGTAACGATCTTCAGACGCCGTGTTTTCTGTCTGAAACGCAGAGAGCGGCAGTGCGCAGCCCTTGCCATGGAGGATGGGACCGCCCTCGCGCACAGGGCCATAGTTCCAACTGTTGCGGTTGACAATGAGGAACCAGGCTACGCGGCCAATTCCCCAGACGTCCGTTGACTCGTTGAGTCGGGAGGGAAACCCACTGTCGTAGTGGTGGTGTTCCTGCAAGTGGTCAGTAATTGCACCATGCGGGCGACAGCATAAGGAATTTACTTACAGGAGCATATCGAAAGTCAGGAGAAGGTAGCAGGAAGTCATGGGGGTTCTCATCTAGCTCTGGACATTGACTGAAATCCAGCTCGAAGAAGGATTGACCGAAGTCTGTAAGTTGGACTACGATTTGCTGATCCTGAGAAGCGGGAGTAGTTGCGCTGGGGTCTGTTGCTCTACTGCTTGCCTCGTCCTCGGTTGGACTAGCAGCACCCTTACGTCTCTTACTGGGACCCGCGGAAGGCGGATCTTGTTCATCGTCTGCAAGGGCTTTGCGCTTCTTGCTCTGCACATCAAGGAGGATGTTGAAGGGCTGAATGTCTAGATGTACGATTGGTTTCCAGTTTTCCAGGTATTCATTGCCTAACGTGCCGTTCTGCAGAAGAAGGCATGCAGTCGCGAGCGCCTTGATCGTGTGCCAGATGAAACCCTCCGGCAAGTAGGGCCTAGGCTTTTCTATATCCTTTCCTTTAGCCTTATCTTCACCATTGTCTCTAGGAGTTTCTGGAGGTTTGATTGGGTTCCATTTATCGACATAAGGTGTCATAGCTCTGGACATATCACCGCCTGATGAAAAGTCCGTGTAGAGACGAAACCGGCGCTTCGACATGAGCATACGATGACCCCGATACCTAACGATGTGCTGACACGCATCAGGCTCCGCTGCTCGTCGAGCTGCGATACGTCGAACGACTGCGATCTCCCTTGGGAGGCGATCTCGCCAATTCTTGGGGTCGCGCCATACGTCTCGCTCAACAGTGGCGTTTTCCTTGACAACCATTCTTTCGATTACGTTTCCGTGCTGGTCTACCTCGCACCACAGACCCACTGCGGCCGATGCTCCATGACCAAGGTACTTTGTACCGTGCCAGTGTGTTTCGTTCTCTGAAAGGTGGGGGTCTGTTGCCAGGAACCTGATTTGTTTCTCGACAGACACATCCCTTGCACCAGTATCCGGTAGAACAGGTTCTTGGTTCCACGGATAAGCAGGCCAGTGCGCGTACGGTGGGCTACCTTCAGTGTCATCTGCGGGCGACGGGGTCTCAGGGAGCTCGACCTGGGGCTCGACCTGGGGATCGACCTGGGGATCGACCTGAGGCCTCATGATAATGATGCGTAGCGCACCAGGTCGAGCAGTTGGCGCAATAGGCGGGACATGTACTGCGGCAAGGTCTCTAGGCTTGACTGCATGAGACCTGGCCTCAACAGCGTCCTCTTTTGAGTATGGATGGCGTGGGAAAAATGAATTCAGAGTTGGGATTTCCCCATCGTTGTTGGCATAATATTCCCGGACTGTGGGCTCCGTATGGTACACCACAACAATCGTATCTTGACGCTCTCTCGAGCTCCATGTATGCCGGCTCGACTTAAGGTGTAGCGTGGCATGAACCAGGAACTTCTGGTAAGGGTTTCGCACCATGGTGAATATCTGTTGATGGAATATTGATCGTGGCAAAGGGTGCAGGATCTCTCTATCAACGTGGTGTTCTGAAGGTCATGCTGTAATGTCAATCCCTACGTGCCGGGACGCACGGTGTAACGGGACAGGATCGAACTTCGGACCTTCGCCATCTTTCGTCCGCAATCATGCAGACCTGTAGTTAGCGCGATAATGCTATGCAGTCACATCTCTATTGGCACATCGGTCTCCGGCGCGGATTGCCATGATGTTAGCCTTGCTATCTATTGTTTCGTTAGTGCCGTCAATCAACCTTTAGTCAATACCCCCCTGTCCGTTCGCGACCCGGGAGATCTAAGCAAGAATCGGAGGCTCTAATAGGAAGTGCAGTCAAGGAAGTTTGCATCTCCTAGCCCTAGAAGCTCTCTTGACTAGGAAAGTGTGCAGTTCGGCAGTTTCGCCGGTCGGCAACGAAGATCGCAGATTGCGACCCGACGGCTTGGAACGCGCTAGTCTCGCTTGCTACGCGGCAGGCTGCATTAGCGCGCAGGCAACGGCTGTAAGATATCGTACTGTATTTGGCGCTATACCCACTGCAGATTGGTTGCTGAGACGAGCTGTGGCGCAGGCCGGCGGCTTTCTGTCTGTGTCTGCGAAGGATGCGTCAGCCTAGTTGCTGCGTCGTGGCATCATCAACCACAGCGCTGAGCCGCGCTGCCCGCAGACGTCTCAACGCGCTCAACGCGCTCACCGCCGTGCGCAGCCGGCTACATCGCGACTGTAACAAAGAGGGTTCGTATAGTCTGTAGGTGGCAGATAATGAGAAGTACGTCGCAATGAGGGCGTGGTCATCGCGAAGATGCGAAGATGCGAGTCGTCGGGGCTGTGCCGCGCCTGCATGAGCGCAATCAGCCCCCGCCTCAAGACCTCTCGAGCATCCCGCAGAACTCAGAACATGGTACAACACAGCAGCTCCAGCCTGCAACTTTAATATCGCTGCTTCAAACGTGTAGCTACCCTGGGCTTTGTGGCCATTCGTACCTCCTCCGGAAGCTCGTCGTAGAGACGAGCCGCCGCGCTCTCGTCCTACCAGGCTGCCGCGTCAAACCTCTCGCGTCTCCTCACCGCATGCTTCTGCTACGCAACCACACCAATCGATGCGTCTTCTACACTACGACGAACAAGGCGAGGTGCGCATTGTAAGCTTTGACGATCGCGCGATACCGCCTTATGCTATACTGTCACACACGTGGGGAGCGGATGCGGAGGAGGTGACCTTCGCAGACCTCCAAACAGGCCACGGCAAGAACAAGCCAGGCCACAAGAAGATCCTCTTCTGTGGAAAACAGGCACAGCGCGACGATCTCCAGTACTTCTGGATCGACACGTGCTGCATCGACAAGGCTAACAAGGCTGAGCTCGCCTTCTCTATCAGGTCGATGTTTCACTGGTACCGCAATGCAGCTCGGTGTTATGTATATCTGTCTGATGTTTCTACTCAGCCTCTACCGGTTACGCCAGGCTACTACAACTCACGATGGTTTCTTTGGATCTGGACACTGTCTATTCTCTATACACTGTCAAGATGGCACAGCAGCGTGATGCATCGCTACTTCTATACGCGCCATGTAGCACGCACTGCAGTTAGCAGCGATGTTGTGCTCAGCAAGCAGACGCCTGAGTTCACGTTCAAAGAAAGCAGATGGTTTACCCGCGGATGGACGCTGCAGGAGCTGCTCGCCCCATCCACGGTAGAGTTCTTCTCTAAGGAAGGTGCCAAACTTGGCGACAAGTTTTCGCTGGCAAAAGAAGTGCGTGAAGTTACAGGCATTCCTTGCTCAGCGTTGCAGGGCGAACCGTTGTCCGACTTCAGTGTGAACACGAGAATCTTATGGAACGAACACCGGGTAACGAAGATTCCGACTGACCGCGCATACTCTCTGATGGGAATCTTGGGAGTTAGTCTGTCGCCGTTCGACGGCGAGAGTCCAGCTGAAGCGATGAAACGAGTCACAGACGAGGCCGAAAAGCAGGACAAGTGCCTTCGAGACATACACCAGACAGATCCTCGGAACGACAAGAAGCGCATCGAGGATACCAAAGGCGGTCTTCTCGCAGACTCCTACCGCTGGGTGTTTGCCAATCGGACTTTTCAGCAATGGCAACAGCGCTCGGATAGCCGACTGCTGTGGGTCAAAGGCGACCCTGGCAAAGGAAAGACGATGCTTCTGTGTGGCATCATTGACGAGCTGCACAACTCGATGCCAAGGTCCACCCTGCTGTCGTACTTCTTTTGCCAGGCGACAGACCCGCGCATTAACAGCGCTACAGCCGTGCTACGGGGCTTGCTGTATATGCTTATACACCAGCAACCGTCACTTGTATCGCATATCTGTAAGAAGTACGATCATGCAGGCAAAGCCTTGTTTGAGGATGCAAATGCCTGGGTCGCCTTGACGGAGATCTTCATGGACGTGCTACAAGACACTCAGCTGAGAACTACATACCTGATCGTCGATGCGCTGGACGAGTGTGTCACTGAGTTGCCGAGGCTGCTTCACTTCATCGCAAAGCAGTCTTCTGCCTCTTCCCATGTCAAGTGGGTCGTGTCGAGCCGCAACTGGCCAGAGATCGAAGAGCAGCTAGAGCAAGCTGGGCACAAGGCCGGGCTGAGCCTTGAGATGAACGCAGAGCATGTATCTGCAGCTGTCGACGTGTTCGTCCAGCACAAGGTGACTCAGCTGGCACAGCAGAAGAACTACGACCAGCAGATGCAAGACACGGTCTTGGAGAGGCTGACGGCAAACGCAGATGGCACCTTCCTGTGGGTGGCGTTGGTGTGTCAGGAGCTTCGAGCAACAGCGAGACGGAACGTGCTGAAGAAACTGGACACTTTCCCGCCTGGCCTAAAGGCGCTTTACGAGCGGATGATGCAGCAGATCAGCGTGTCGGATGACGCTACAGTCTGCAAGCAGGTGCTGGCTTCAGCCGCGCTCGTGTACCGGCCAATCACGCTGCAGGAGCTAGTGGCCCTTGCTGAGCCGCTCGAAGATCTAACCGACGAAGCAGAGGTGCGAGAGATCATCGGCCTCTGTGGATCGTTTCTCACTTTGCGAGAAGACACGATCTACTTTGTGCATCAGTCTGCAAAGGACTTTCTCTTTGCAAGTGCATATAACGAGGTCTTTCCACGGGGCGCTGAAGCCACCCATCACGTGATCTTCTCCAGGTCGCTCGCGATCCTGTCCCAGACATTGCAAAGGGATATGTACAGCCTGGAAGCGTTAGGTGTTGCTATCAAAGATGTTCAACCGCCAGAGCCAGATCCGCTTGCAGCCTCACGCTACTCGTGCGTTTACTGGATCGATCACCTGTACGACTCGAAACCTAAGTCTTGGGCATACAGTGTTGGTGACCTGAAAGTCACTGATGTCATTGATGAGTTTTTGAGGACACAATATCTCTACTGGCTGGAAGGTCTCAGCCTGTGCAAAAGCATAGGAAAGGGGGTGATTTCGATGGCAAAGCTATGCTCTCTTGTTCAGGTACGATTTACGAAGACGATACAGCTGTATGATCCTCCTACAATACATGCTGACTATTTCAGGAGATGCAGGATACGAGTGAGCTTACTAAGCTTACTAAGGATGCCAGCCGATTTGTCATGTACCACAACGGAGTTATTGAGAGCTACCCTCTACAAACATACGTATCTGCTCTGCTATTCAGTCCGACAGAGAGTGTGACTAGAAGGTTGTTCCAGGACAAAGAGCCAAAAGGAATCACTATCAAGCCAGCAATGAGCGCTGGCTGGAGTGCTTGTCTGCAGACGCTTGAGGGCCATAGCAGCGAAGTCAACTCTGTAGCCTTCTCGCACGACTCGAGCAAGCTGGCGTCGGCGTCATGGGACAGGACGGTCAAGGTGTGGGATGCGAGCAGCGGGGCGTGTCTGCAGACGCTCGAGGGCCATAGCAGCATTGTCAGGTCTGTAGCCTTCTCGCACGACTCGAGCAAGCTGGCGTCAGCGTCAGACGACAACACGATCAAGGTGTGGGATGCGAGCAGCGGGGCGTGCCTGCAGACGCTCGAGGGCCATAGCAGCACTGTCACCTCTGTAGCCTTCTCGCACGACTCGAGCAAGCTAGCGTCAGCGTCATACGACAACACAGTCAAGGTGTGGGATGCGAGCAGCGGGGCGTGCCTGCAGACGCTCGAGGGCCATAGCAGCACTGTCAACTCTGTAGCCTTCTCGCACGACTCGAGCAAGCTGGCGTCGGTGTCAGGCGACTGGACGGTCAAGGTGTGGGATGCGAGCAGCGGGGCGTGTCTGCAGACGCTCGAGGGCCATAGCGACTGGGTCAACTCTGTAGCCTTCTCGCACAACTCAAGCAAGCTGGCGTCAGCGTCAGACGACAACACGATCAAGGTGTGGGATGCGAGCAGCGGGGCGTGCCTGCAGACGCTCGAGGGCCATAGCAGCACTGTCACCTCTGTAGCCTTCTCGCACGACTCGAGCAAGCTAGCGTCAGCGTCATACGACAGGACGGTCAAGGTGTGGGATGCGAGCAGCGGGGCGTGTCTGCAGACGCTTGAGGGCCATAGCAGCACTGTCACCTCTGTAGCCTTCTCGCACGACTCGAGCAAGCTGGCGTCGGCGTCAGACGACAACACGATCAAGGTGTGGGATGCGAGCAGCGGGGCGTGTCTGCAGACGCTCGAGGGCCATAGCAGCACTGTCACCTCTGTAGCCTTCTCGCACGACTCGAGCAAGCTGGCGTCGGCGTCAGGCGACCGGACCGTCAAGGTGTGGGATGCGAGCAGCGGGGCGTGCCTGCAGACGCTCGAGGGCCATAGCAGCACTGTCACCTCTGTAGCCTTCTCGCACGACTCGAGCAAGCTGGCGTCGGCGTCATACGACAAGACGGTCAAGGTGTGGGATGCGAGCAGCGGGGCGTGCCTGCAGACGCTTGAGGGCCATAGCAGCACTGTCACCTCTGTAGCCTTCTCGCACGACTCGAGCAAGCTGGCGTCGGCGTCATGGGACAGGACGGTCAAGGTGTGGGATGCGAGCAGCGGGGCGTGTCTGCAGACGCTTGAGGGCCATAGCAGCACTGTCACCTCTGTAGCCTTCTCGCACGACTCGAGCAAGCTGGCGTCGGCGTCAGACGACAACACGATCAAGGTGTGGGATGCGAGCAGCGGGGCGTGTCTGCAGACGCTTGAGGGCCATAGCAGCTATGTCAGGTCTGTAGCCTTCTCGCACGACTCGAGCAAGCTGGCGTCAGCGTCAGATGACAACACAGTCAAGGTGTGGGATGCGAGCAGCGGGGCGTGTCTGCAGACGCTTAACATCGGCAAGGCTCTCTACCATCTATCCTTCGATCCCACCAGCTCCTTTCTTCATTCTGAGATAGGCTCTATTGCTATACATGGCCCGGGAACTTCCAGCGAGATAGCCGTCGTGGAACCTGCACTTCCTCAGTATCTAGGCACGAGCCTTAGCTCTGATAGCATATGGATTAAGTATGGCGGCAGGAACTTGTTGTGGATACCGTCAGAGTATCGACCGTCACGCTCTGCAGTGTGCGGGAACAGAATTGGGATGGGCGTTGCGACTGGCAGAGTGTGGACCTGCAGTGTTGGCCCAGACATCCTTACGTGTATGCTCAGCAAGTTGTAGACATGAAACAGTTGCTCGCTGCTCAAGATTGAGCTTCTGAAGTCGGCTTCTTAAGTGGCTATAAGGGCGTATAGAGCTCACGAATTGCATAGCAAAGTATAACATGCAGCAATCTGGAAAAAAAAAAAAAAAAAAAAAAAAAGACTGACGCTGTGTGATTACGACTGAATCTTGCGCTCTGTCTTCTAGCTGTTTTAAAGTGCGTCCCTACGTGCCGAGACGCACGGTGTAACGAGACAGGTTCGCACTTCGGACCGTCGCACCTTCTTGTTCACTTATTTGACAGACCTTGGCTTGATATACAGCATTCTTTAGTCAACTCTTCGCCAGTCCCTTTGCCTCTGAGAACGAGTGCTGCCGTGCTGGCTCTGCTGTCGATTGCTTTGTCAACGCCGTCAATCGACCCGTCGTCAGTGCCCCCCTGTCCAATCACGGCTTAGGGGATACCTGTGGAGATCGGAGGGGTTAGAAGGAAGCAAAGTCAAGGAAGATTGTATCCCTAGGGATCGGAAGCTCTTTTGGCTAAAGAAGTGGGCAGTCCGGCAGTTTCGCCGATCAACAGCGAAGATCGCAGATTGCGACCCAGCAGCTTGGAAGGCGCTAGGTGCGCTTGGATTGCAAGGGGCTGCATTAGCGTGCAAAGCGACTGCTGTAAGATATCGTAATGAGTTGGTCGCTATACCCGTTACGGCTTGACCGCTAAGACGAGCTGTGGCGCCGCCTGGTAGCTTTCTGTTCGCGTTAGCGGCTGATTAATCAGTCAGGTCGATGCACCGTGGCCTCAATCTCAGCGCTGAGCCGCGCTACCCACAAACGTCTCAACCCGCTCACCGCCGTCTGTGGCTGGCCACCTTGCGGCTGTAACAAACAAGATGAGTTGTGCCAGTAGACGCTCGATGATGAGAACTGCATCGCGATGGGGGCTGGTCATCGCAAAGATGCGACTTGTTGGGGCTGTGCTGGGCTTGCATGAGCGCATTCAGCCGCGTCTGCCCCCGCCTCTAAATCGTCTGAGCAGCCTTACAGAACGCAGAACATGGTGCAAAACACCAGCTTCAGCCTGCAAAACTAAGATCGCAGTCTCAACTGTGTAGCTACCCGGGGCTCTGTAGCCATTCTCAACTTACCCTTCTCTGTAAGCTCATCGTAGAGACAAGCCGCCGCGCTCATCTTACCAGGCTGCCGTGTCGAGCCCTCCCGCGTCTCCTCACCGTACACGCCTGCCACACATCCACTCGAACCGATGCGTCTTTTGCGCTACAACGAACAAGGCGAGCTCGGCATCGTCAGCTTCAACGATCGCGCAGCTCCGCCTTACGCAATACTGTCACATACATGGGGAGCGGATGCAGAGGAGGTGACCTTCGCCGACCTTGCAACAGGCGGTGGCAAGGCCAAACGTGGCTACAAGAAGATTTGCTTCTGCGGACAACAAGCACAACAAGATGGCTTACAGTACTTCTGGGTCGACACCTGCTGCATCGACAAGGCGGACAAGGCTGAGCTCTCTCACGCCATCCGATCCATGTTCCGCTGGTACCAGAACGCGGCGAGATGCTATGTGTATCTGTCGGATGTATCAACAGGCAAGGGAGAATGGGACCACATGCTCGGCGAGTTTACGTGGGAGCCTGCTTTCAGAGCAAGCCGGTGGTTCACGCGCGGCTGGACACTTCAAGAGCTGCTTGCGCCAAGCACTGTCGAGTTCTTCTCTCAAGAGTGGGCGAAGCTTGGTGATAAGATGTCGTGCAAAACGTTGATCCATAAAATCACCAGTATCACACATGATGCGCTCGACGGAGCCCCTCTTTCTCAGTTCAGCGTCGACGAGCGGTTGCGGTGGAAAGGTGACCGGCAGACCAAGCGCGAAGAAGATGGATGGTACTCACTGTCAGGTATCTTCGATGTTGAGATAGCGCCGGCGTACAGCGAAGGGGCGGCAAGTGCGTTCAGACGCCTTATGGACGAGATCCACAAGCTGGACAGATGCGTTCAAGACATGCGCAGCACAGATCCAAATGACGATCAGAAGCGCATCGAGGAGACCAAAGGCGGACTGCTAGCTGACTCCTGTCGCTGGGTTCTTGACAATACCATCTTCCAGCAATGGCAGCAAGACTCACACAGCCGACTGCTATGGATCAAAGGCGATCCTGGAAAGGGCAAAACGATGCTACTCTGTGGCATTATCGACGAGCTGAAGAAATCGACAAACAACGTCTGCTTCTTCTTCTGCCAAGGTACCGATTCCCGCTTGAACAGCGCCACCGCTGTGTTGCGCGGCTTAATCTACCTGCTTGTTAAGCAGCAACCGCGGCTGACATGTCACCTGCGGAAGAGATACGATCAAGCAGGTGCCTCTCTCTTCCAAGACGCCAACGCCTGGGTAGCGTTGTCTGAAATGTTCGCATGCATGGTGCAGGACGAAGATTTAAAGACAAGCTACTTGATTGTTGATGCTATGGATGAGTGCGCGATGGACTTGCCTAAACTGCTGGACCTGATCGTCCGTACCGCGGCGTCGTCAAGTCGTGTGAAATGGCTTGTGTCGAGTCGGAACGAGGGTCATATAGAGCAGAAACTCAAGTCGGTCGGCGACGAAGCGAAGCTGAGCCTGGAACTGAAGCAGAATGCGGACCAGGTGGCCCGAGTCGTGGATGCATACATCGACCACAAGCTGTCTTGCCTTGAGTCGCTCAAAGACGATGATTTGCGAGGGCAAGTGCGGGATGAGCTGCGCCGCAAGGCGAACGGCACCTTTCTCTGGGTTGCTTTGATGATGCAAGAGCTTGAGAAGCCGGAAAGCTGGGACCCTCTAGCGGTAGTAGAAGAAGCGCCAGCAGGCCTGCCCCAGCTATACGATCGCATGATGGACCAGGTCCAGCGGCTGTCGCCAAGGAATGCGGATATCTGTCGATCTTTGCTCTGCACTGCAGTAATCGCGTACCGCCCGCTCTACCTTGCAGAGATGGGCAGCTTGCGCAGCTTACCATGTCGGGCGACAGCCTTGGCGGAGACCGTGAGGAAGGTTGTAGCGATGTGTGGCTCGTTCCTGACGATTCGTGAGGAGCAAGTCTACCTCGTTCACCAGTCAGCCAAGGACTATCTGAGCAACAAGATGCGAGCTGCGGCCCTTCCTTCTGAGAGCAAGATGCACCATGACCTATTCACTCGGTCGCTCGAGCTTATGTCTAGCACACTAAAACGCGACATGTATAGTCTTGGTAAGCTGGGCTTCTCGATTGATGAGGCTGAAACACCCCATCCTGATCCGCTAGCAACTGTGCGCTACTCGTGCGTCTACTGGATCGACCATCTGTACGACTCGAAGCCCAGATCTTGGGCAGACGGTGTTGATGACCTAAAAGTCGGAGGCGCCATCAATGAGTTTATAAAGAAGAAGTATCTCTACTGGCTGGAAGGGCTCAGTCTGTGCAGAAGCATAGGAAAAGGGGTGGTCTCAATGGCAAAGCTATGCCTCCTTGCTCAGGTACGGCAAACGAAGATGATGCAATCTTACAGTCCTCTTGTTACACATTCTGACTCTTACAGGAGATGCAAGATGCTAGTGAGCTTACTAAGCTTGCGCAAGATGCTAGCCGATTAGTTATGTACCACAAAGGAGTAATCGAGAGCTACCCTCTACAAACATACGCATCTGCGCTGTTGTTTAGTCCAACTGGGAGTGTGACTAGAAGGCTGTTCCAGCATGAAGAGCCAAAAGGAGTCACTGTCAAGCCAGCGATGAGCGACGGCTGGAGTGCTTGCCTGCAGACGCTCGAGGGCCATAGCGATGGTGTCACCTCTGTAGCCTTCTCGCACGACTCGAGCAAGCTGGCGTCGGCGTCATGGGACAGGACGGTCAAGGTGTGGGATGCGAGCAGCGGGGCGTGTCTGCAGACGCTCGAGGGCCATAGCGATGGTGTCACCTCTGTAGCCTTCTCGCACGACTCGAGCAAGCTGGCGTCGGCGTCATGGGACAGGACGGTCAAGGTGTGGGATGCGAGCAGCGGGGCGTGTCTGCAGACGCTCGAGGGCCATAGCAGCCATGTCAGCTCCGTAGCCTTCTCGCACGACTCGAGCAAGCTGGCGTCGGCGTCATGGGACAGGACGGTCAAGGTGTGGGATGCGAGCAGCGGGGCGTGTCTGCAGACGCTCGAGGGCCATAGCAGCCATGTCAGCTCCGTAGCCTTCTCGCACGACTCGAGCAAGCTGGCGTCGGTGTCAGGCGACTGGACGGTCAAGGTGTGGGATGCGAGCAGCGGGGCGTGTCTGCAGACGCTCGAGGGCCATAGCAGCACTGTCACCTCTGTAGCCTTCTCGCACGACTCGAGCAAGCTGGCGTCGGTGTCAGGCGACTGGACGGTCAAGGTGTGGGATGCGAGCAGCGGGGCGTGTCTGCAGACGCTCGAGGGCCATAGCAGCATTGTCAGGTCTGTAGCCTTCTCGCACGACTCGAGCAAGCTGGCGTCGGCATCAGACGACTACACCGTCAAGGTGTGGGATGCGAGCAGCGGGGCGTGTCTGCAGACGCTCGAGGGCCATAGCAGCGAAGTCAGCTCTGTAGCCTTCTCGCGCGACTCGAGCAAGCTGGCGTCGGCGTCATACGACTTCATCGTCAAGGTGTGGGATGCGAGCAGCGGGGCGTGTCTGCAGACGCTCGAGGGCCATAGCAGCCATGTCAGCTCCGTAGCCTTCTCGCACGACTCGAGCAAGCTGGCGTCGGCGTCATGGGACAGGACGGTCAAGGTGTGGGATGCGAGCAGCGGGGCGTGTCTGCAGACGCTCGAGGGCCATAGCAGCGGTGTCAGGTCTGTAGCCTTCTCGCACGACTCGAGCAAGCTGGCGTCGGCGTCATGGGACAGGACGGTCAAGGTGTGGGATGCGAGCAGCGGGGCGTGTCTGCAGACGCTTGAGGGCCATAGCGGCTATGTCAGGTCTGTAGCCTTCTCGCGCGACTCGAGCAAGCTGGCGTCGGCATCAGACGACTACACCGTCAAGGTGTGGGATGCGAGCAGCGGGGCGTGTCTGCAGACGCTCGAGGGCCATAGCAGCCATGTCAGCTCCGTAGCCTTCTCGCACGACTCGAGCAAGCTGGCGTCGGCGTCAGGCGACCGGACCGTCAAGGTGTGGGATGCGAGCAGCGGGGCGTGTCTGCAGACGCTCGAGGGCCATAGCAGCTATGTCAGCTCCGTAGCCTTCTCGCACGACTCGAGCAAGCTGGCGTCGGCGTCATACGACAAGACGGTCAAGGTGTGGGATGCGAGCAGCGGGGCCTGTCTGCAGACCCTCAACATTGGCAAGACTCTCTACAGTCTATCCTTCGATCCCACCAGCTTCTTTCTGCGTACCGATATAGGCCCCATCGCTATACACGACCCAGCAGTTCGTAGCGAGTCAGATGCTATGGAACCTGCGCGCCCTCAGTATCTAGGAACAAGCCTCAGCTCCGACAACATATGGATCACGTACGACGGCAGGAACGTGCTGTGGATACCGTCAGACTATCGACCGTCATGCTCTGCGGTGTGCGGGAACAGAGTCGGTATGGGTGTTGGGACTGGCAGAGTGTGGGCCTGCAGTGTTGACCCAGACACCCTTATGCGTATAGTTAGCAAAGTGAAGAGTCAAAGCAGTCGCTTTCTGCCTAAGACTGAGCTTCCGAAGCCGGCGCTTAACTACCTTTAAGGACGTACAGAGCACAGAAGATGCATAACAAAGTACAATCTGCACTTAGAAGTGAAATTTGCGCTCTATCTTCTTGCTGTCTGGCCTCTAGGAGATGTAGGGAAATCCACTTGGCTGCCCGCGTGAGATACTACAAATCAGGCACATGCTTCAAGAAAGCCGCCAGCATGCGCCACAGCTCGTGTCAGCGGCCAGTCCGTGGTGGGAATAGCGTGTTATTCAATACCGTAGCTTACAGCAGCTATTAAGCACGCTAATGCAGCCCCATGTGCTCCAGGCTGCCGGGTTGCAATCTGCAATCTTGTCCCCTGACCGGCGAAACTGCCGGATTTCAGAGTCCCTTAATAAACAGAGCTTCTATGCCCAGGAACACAATTTTCATTAACTTTGCCTTCTATTGTACCCTCCGATCCTCACAGAGATCCCCTAGGCCATGAACAGACAGGGGGGTATCAACGAAGGGTTGATCGACGTTGTTGACGAGGCGATCGACAGCAGTGTCAGCACAGCAGCACTTGTTCTCGGAGACAAAGAAACTGGTGAAGAGTTGACTCATTTATGCTGCATATTAATGTAAGGTCTATCAATTAGTGAATAAAAGGTTCCGAAGGCCCGGAGTGCGAATCTGTCTCGTTACACGGTGCGTCTCGGCTCGTAGGGACGGACCTTAGATCGGCAGACCTTTTCTAGTATCACTGTGATTTTCTCACAAAGGCGCAAAGGAGCTTTGATATGGTGATGAGAAGGCGAGGACAAAGAGAGAACAAACGACTTGGAAACATTGTGGAAGACAAGGGACACTGGATGTCTTTAGTAGTGTGGATGCCATTGTTGCCATTGTTGCCATTTGCGAGTTTATGAGCTGTCCTGACTGGTGGTTGGTGACCGGGTGTGCTTTGTTTGACCCTCACCATTGCGCTTCATCGGCCAGGCTCGAAGTAGGCTATTCTTGTAGTCGATGTTGTGCTGGGAATGTAGAGTCGACCGCGTCGTGCAACTCACTTCGCATGAGAATGTCCACGAAGCCGACTGCGAGCAATGTAGAGTTCTGCCTTGATTCTTGGGCGTCGATGATCGCGTTGTTCTTGCTTGTGGGTCGGCAGCTGTTTGCTGATGTGTTTCTGCGCGCATACGCAGCGCCATCACCATGTCTTAGCCAGGTCCGATCTTCGGCATGTCGTGGTGCTCGCTCAGTCCGCTCAGATACTTGTTCAACTCCTCCACCTTTTCCTTGTGCGTCTTGACGCCCTCGCGCCTCATCTTCTCCTCCAACCTCTTCCTCCTGTACTCTTCATGTTTTTTCTCAGCGTCTGTCTTCTTTCTCCCACCACTCTCCTTGATCGCTTGTTCGGCGGCGTCTGGCGACACCGAGCGACCTGGCGACTTGAGGTCTTCAGGATTCGATGTGCGCTTAACAGCTTCGTTCGCGGAAGACTCGCCGGCTTCGGTGGACTTGGGTCGCTTCTTTTTCTTCTTTTTATCGACGCCTGCGCCTTTCAGCTTGAGGCCGCCGCCCGTCGTTGTGTAGTCTGAAGGCATTACGGAGGTAGAGAAATGGTGGATGCACGAGCTCCAAGCAGAACATCCTGGAAAACGCGCTAGGCGAGCTGCACGTGACGACAGGCTTCGCACTGGCGATCAGCGATGATGCACCTTGTGCAACTTACTTTAGTATTGTGAGCGTTATTATTCCCATGAGACTAACGGTCAGCGATATCGACGTTATTGCATTGTTATGAACCACATCGCTGCCATGGCATCAAGCTATACCATAGCACTTGAGTAGGATTTCGTCGTAGCAAACGTACTTTGCTCGTTATAGCATACAGCTACAGCTATCAGCTCTCTCAGAAAGGAAATAAAGCTGTCAAGTGGTTTGCATCTCAAGTGAACGTCGCCCCCCCCCCCCCCCCCCCCCCCCGGTCCTACCCCGAACTCCGCACACCCCCGACATCCCTGCTTGACATCACACCTCCGCGTATCGCGGCAACGCCACAACACCTGCACGCCTCGATGGCCCCCAACATAACACAACGCCCGCCGTGATGGAAGTCCGCCGCGACCCGCGCTCCTTCCTCTTCTTCATAATCCTGCTGCTGCTCATCAACTCGCCCGAGCCGCAGCAGCAGTCGTACAACACGCGCACGCGCTACGATGAGCTCATCCAGCGCGAGTGGGACCAGCTCGACGTCCTCAACCGCACCAACTACGGCGACTTCAACGCCGGCCGGAAGAAATGGCTGAACGTCAGCGGGTGCCGGGGCGAGGACAGGTTCGCCTGGGACATGCTGCCTAGCGTCCAGGCCAAGGCAACTGCGCACGGCGAGCGAGCGCTGGGGAACAGGTGGGGGAGTGTGCTGGATGGATCACTGCACGAGCGTGAGCTTGAGGAGGGCCGGATTCCAGTGTACAGGAATCTGTCCGGCTACGTGCAGGGCGAGTGGATGCGCGACCCCAGCAGTCGCGTGCGCCATCCTGAGGACATGGGCAACACCACGCACCCTGCGAAAGACCCGTTCACGAACTCGGCGATGGGATTCGACCGCAATCTCACAGGGACGAGCGGGCCGGTCAGGGTGCACATCACAGAGCTGGCGGACAAGATGAGGATGGACGTCAACAGGACCGTCTCCGAGATCAGCGCCAAGGTCGTGGTCGGGGACGACGAGAGCTTTGGCGGCAACTGGTGGGAGTTCTACGTGCATGGCGTGCACTTCAAAGACAGCGGACATGCGGTGTTGACGACGACGAGCGAGCGCTTCGCCGGCATCTTTGCGCTGCCGCATTTCCAGCTCTCACGGGGCCTCCACAACACCGCGAAAGACTTCCTGAACTGGACCATCCACGAGACCATCGACCGACAGATACACCGCCCGTTCCCTGTCTGGAACCCGTGGACAAGCTCGCCTGCTGGGTCAAATGATGATATGGTTGGCGTGGCGCATCACTGCGAATTTGTTCTCTACCTGCAACAACCCCCAAGCGTGCAGGGCACGGACATGGACTGGCTCGAGCACGAGATGCGCTTCCCTACCGGTGCGCCGTTGGGCCACCGCTCGCAGCTCTCCATGTCCATGGTGGGCTTCTCGCCGGATTGCGGCTACATCATTGAATCGAAAGGACCGCCCGACTTTCCCCCCTCAGAGGGCATGCACCTGGTCGGTGCTAAGACGGAAGAGTACAACGACCGTGCTAGACACAGCATCGTCGCCTTCGCCGTCGCCTTTGCTTTTCAATTATCTTTCCTCATCAAGCAGATGAAAGAGACGGCGACTCCTTCGATGCGCAGCCGCGTCAGTTTCTACACCATTGCCATGATGGCACTGGGCGACGGCTTCACATTTCTAGTCCTCATCTTCATGTACCTCTTCCTCGGCACCGCGCAACTAGCCATGTATAGCATCGCTTTTGTCGCGCTGTTCTCTGTTCTGGCTCATCTCCGCTTCCTGATGGATATCTGGTCGGTTCAAGCGGCTGAGCGAGCGCGTCAGGCAAGACAGCAAGCTCCAGCCCCTGCCGCGGCACCACCCGCACCGCCATTACCAGCACCAGCTGTAGACGGACCTCCTCCCGCGGCTGACGCATTTGGCACGCCAGCAACCGCTGCGAACCGCCCACCGTCTGGGCTTACTCTGCCCGCGACAGCACCCCGGCCTCTTCCTGCAGCCGACGCATTCGGCACACCAGCAACAGCTGCGAACCGTCCCCCGTCCGGACTTCCTCTTCCTGTGACGGCACCCCGCCCTCCGCCGCCTCGTCCCCAAACGCCGATTCTCATTGCGCCTGATCAGGACGACCCGCTGTCAGACGACGACACACCGCTACTGCCTACAAGAAACCCTGCTGCAACTACGACACCCGCACCTGCAGCGACAAATCCGCGTGCCGAGTTCGGCGCACTCTATTCTCGCTTCTGTCTTCTCCTCGTCATAACGTTCTTCGTGACGATCCAGTTCGCAACGGCGCGCACGCTGTACAGGAACGTGTATTTCAGCATCGTCTCCTTCCTCTACCTCTCCTTCTGGGTGCCGCAGATCTACAGGAATGTGATGCGCAACTGCGGGCGGGCGCTGCGGTGGGACTACACGGTCGGGACGTCGGTCACGCGTCTCATGCCCATCGCGTACTTCTACCTCAAGGCCGACAACGTCTTGTTCGCGACGACGGACTGGCAGACGTTCGCGGTGCTCGTCGGATGGGTATGGATCCAGATTGTGGCGCTGGCCAGCCAGAGCGTGCTGGGGCCGCGGTTCTTCATAAGAGAGGGCTGGGCGCCGCCGGCGTACGACTACCACCCGATCCTCCGCGAAGACGAGGAGGGGGCGCTGCTGCCGCTCAACGCAACTTCGTCGTCAGACGATGCGATTGACGGCGAGGAGAGCAGCAAGAGCGCAGGCGAGGCAAAGGACAAGGGCAAGAAGGTGTTCGACTGCAGCATCTGCGCGATGGACATCGAGGTGCCGGTGGTGCCTGCGGGGGCTGACGAGAGCACGGTGGCAGGGATTGGCGGGACGGGCATGGTGCTGCAGAGGCGCATGTACATGGTGACGCCGTGCCGACACATTTTCCACGCCGGGTGTCTGGAGGGCTGGATGCGGTACCGGCTGATCTGCCCCAACTGTCGAGAGGCGCTGCCGCCGCTGTAGATGTGTAGATGTGTAGATGCTGTAGATGCTGTAGATGCTGTAGATACTGTACAGGTCGAATCACTACTCATGTTCCTTCCGTCTTGCATGCAGCAGTCCCGTGATGCCAGTCCCGTGATGTCAGGCTATGCACGTCCCGGTCTCACAGCATAGGATGGTGCAGTACGCAACACTCGCAAGGATCGACACTGGACGGCGGCTTAGTGCAGCCGTTGAGGCCTGCCGCGTGGCGATCCACCCGGCTAGGACGCGATCTTCCCGGGCGTCACAGCATGAGTGACGTCCGCTGTCAGGCTGTCAGACTGTCAGACAGTCAGGGCCAACCTTCAACGGCAGCGACACCAAGGCCGTGGGCACGGCAAGCCGCACAGCGAGCAGGCGTTGGTTGTTGTTCACACGCAAAGATCAACACTTGCTGGCGGCGTAGATATTGTGGCTGGCGTGCGTTGGGTGCAGGCGCGGCTATTTAAAGCCACAAGATCGGCGCGGTTTCAGGGCGTTGGCCAGGGGTGTGCACGACAAGGCTGGAGGCTGTGCAACAAGCCGTACGGTGTGCGCTGCCGTCAGCCTCTTGAGCTCCACACCTCTCAGCTGCTGCGACACCGCGGTACGTACTTATAGGACGGCGTGCTTGGTGCCAGTCGCGCTCTTCTCGCGCTCCACTCGTTTTGCAGTGCCCTCGACTCGACGGCACTCGCCCACTCGCTCCGCTACTAACGTAGCCACCACCGCCAGCCCCGGATTCCGAGCGGCGTATACGAGACGCAGAGGCTCGCTCCGCTCCGCTGAGATCCCCAGCGACTGTGCGTGCTGAACCCCGGCGCTTGCATCCTGCGGCCACATCCCCGACCGCGACGGCCTCATAGTCTCGGCAGGCTCCTTTGTCCACACCCGGCTTGACGACCTCACGCACCCGCCATGGCCGCCAACGACTACTACAACACGTCGTACCCGCCCACGGGCCCCGCGACCGGCCACGCCGCCAGCCCGCTCGACCGCACCGACGCTGCCCTGCCGCCGCTGCCCGCAAAGCAGCCGCAGTCGGCTGTCTCGCCCGCGGGCTCGCCCTTTGACGACGGCACGTACCCGCCGTACCCTAACAACAACATGCACAACACACAGTCGTCCGGCGCGCTCGGCGGGATGCCCGACACCGCATATCATGGCCCGCCCGACACCGCATATCATGGCGCCCCCGACACCGCCTACCACGGCCCGCCGCAGTACGGCCACAACACGTTTGCCAGCCCGTACGACACGCCGCCGGCCCACGGGCGCAACGACCCCTTCGCCGACCAGAACGCCATCCCGCTGCAGAACAAGACGAGCGGCCTCAGCGGCGAGCCCGCGCGCTACAACGCCGACCCGGAGAACATGTACCCGCCGCACGACAACATGTACCCGCCGCGCGAGAAGCGCCGGCGCAAGCCCAAGAAGAAGGAGGGCTGGTTCAGCGGCCGCGTCACCTGGGTCGTGTACATCCTGACCGTCGTGCAGATTGGCGTGTTTGTCGGCGAGCTGATCAAGAACGGCATGCTCACCGGCTCGCCCATTCAGACCAAGCCCAACTTCAACATCATGATCGGGCCGTCGCCCTACGTGCTGATCAACATGGGCGCCCGCTTCACGCCGTGCATGCACAACATCGAGAAGGTCATTGTCAACAACGTGCAGTCCTGGCCCTGCCCCAACACCACCTCGCTCGACCCGGGCTCGCTGACGTGCTCGCTCGACGAGCTCTGCGGCCTCGGCGGCGTGCCCGACCAGAGCGGCGTCACGCAGTTTGCCGACCGCTCGCACGAGCCCAACCAGTGGTACCGCTTCATCATCCCCATGTTCCTGCACGCGGGGCTGATCCACATCGGCTTCAACATGCTGCTGCAGCTGACCCTGGGCCGCGACATGGAGAAGGAAATCGGGCCGCTGCGCTTCGCCCTCGTCTACTTCAGCGCCGGCATCTTCGGGTTCGTGCTGGGCGGCAATTACGCCGCCGACGGCATCACGTCGGTCGGCGCCTCGGGCTCGCTGTTCGGCATCCTGGCCCTGACCCTGCTCGACCTGTTCTACAACTGGTCCTCGCGCCGCTCGCCCGTCAAGGACCTGCTGTTCCTGCTGCTCGACATTGCCATTGCCTTTGTGCTGGGCCTGCTCCCAGGTCTCGACAATTTTTCGCATATCGGCGGGTTTCTGATGGGCATCGTGCTGGGCATCTGCCTGCTGCACTCGCCGCAGGCCCTGCGCCAGCGCACCGGCGAGGACGAGCCGCCGTACACGACCGTCGCGAACCCCGTGCACGACCCGCAGACCGACGCGGTACCAGCGAGCACAGGCGGGGTGGCGGGCTTAGGGCGGTTCGCAAAGCAGCCCGTGGCGTTCTTCAAGGGCCGCAAGGGGCTGTGGTGGGCGTGGTGGATTCTGCGCGCGGGCGGGCTGGTGGCCGCGTTCGTGGGCTTTATCCTGCTGCTCAGGAACTTCTACGAGTGGCGCAATACGTGCTCGTGGTGCAAGCATCTGACGTGTTTGGTATGTTCTCCTCTCCCCGATCTCCTCGACCATTGGAAGACTAACGGTTCCACAGCCGATCAAGACGGGTGGCGTCGAGTGGTGCGATATCGGCGGGCTCAATCTGACGACGACGAGCAGCCAGAGCTCGAAGCGCGATCTTGGGTTCGATATGGCGGCGTATGCGCTGGACAGCTTTGCGGCGTATTAGCCGCGCGTGGTGTCGTAGGCGTAAGGCGTGTTTGCATGCTGGCTTCTGGAGACGGAAGTTTGAACGAATTTTGCATAGCTTGGCGTGGGTTTGCTTTCAGCGTTTACACAGAGACAGCAGAGAGGGACGTGTCGAGTACACGGTGATGGGTCATGGCACTGAAGGAGAAGATGGATTGCCTCATACTCGGGGAGATGCATCGACACGCTAGAATCACTAAGTAGACACAGCGTATGCTGGAAGTCTCGTCAAATAAAACACATGACATGCTGAAATATCATCAGACATGCTAGAATATTATCAGTTGCAGTGTACATACTACAATATTATCAGTTGCAGTGTACATACTACAATATCATCGGTTGCAGTGTACATGCAAGGACGTCAGCTAGTGCATGATCAGCCGCGGCACGGCCCTCGTCAACTTTTTGGAGCTCCGTCGCATCACCTCGTTCACACCTCGCACCTCCTCGCACCGCCCACGCGATGCCGCCGCCCAAGTCCAAGAAGCTCACCGCGCAACCCGTGCGCACGCGCCAGTTCGCCGGCAAGCCCGGCGCCGTCGTCGAAGAGCCGTCGAGCTCGGAAGAGTCCGAGTCGGAGGAGGAGCAGCGCAAGCCGAAGCCGTTCGCGAAGCCCAAGCCCGCGCCCATTGCCTCGTCGTTCCCCAAGAGCGCGCTGAAGCCGCGCAAGCCCGCCGCGCTCCAGAAACCGGATGTGAACGAGGACGACTTCGAGACGGAGAGCGAGGATGAGGACGACGCTGCCCCGGACGCCGCCAGCGAGGAGAGCTCGAGCGAGGAGGAGTCCAGCGAGGAAGACGAGTCCAGCGAAGACGAAGCGCCGCGCAAACTCCTCCGCCCCGTCTTCATCAAGAAAAACGCCCGCGCCACCGCCCCCGCACACACCCCCGACCAGCTCGCCGCCGCCGACGCCGCCCGCCGCGAGGAAGCCACCCGCGCGCTGGTGCAGCAGCAAGTCGAAGCCCGCCTCGCCGAGCGCGCCGCCGCGAAGCGCGACTGGGACGACGACATCGAGGAAACCGACCTCAACGCCATCGACGACACCGACCGCACCGACCCGGCCGCCGAATACCTCGCCTGGAAGCTGCGCGAACTCACGCGCATCAAGCGCGCCCGCGCCGCCATCGAGGCCGCCGAGGCCGCCCTCGCCGAGCTCGAGCGCCGCCGCAACCTATCCGCCGCCGACCGCGCCGCCGAAGACGCCGCGCACATAGCTGCACAAGAAGGCGAGCGCGAGAACCGCCCCAAGGCCCAGTTCATGCAGAAGTACTACCACAAGGGCGCCTTCTTCGCCGAGGAGCTCGCGGAGTTGGGGTTGGATAAGCGGGATTTGGTCGGCGCGCGCTTCGAGGACCAGACGGACCGCAGTGCGCTGCCCGAGTACATGCAGATCCGCGACCTGACCAAGCTGGGCAAGAAGGGCGGGACGCGGTACCGCGACATGCGCGCCGAGGACACAGGCAGGTGGGGGGAGTTCGGGGACGAGCGGCGCGGTGGGGGCAGGGGCAGGGAGGAGTGGGGGCTCGATGAGCGGTTTCGCGGGGATGGGGGGAGGGATAGGAATGCGGAGGGCCCGAGTGGGGCGAATGCTGGGCCGTTGGGTGAGAGGAAGAGGGGCGGCGAGGAGCGCGAGGGCGGCGGTAAGAGGCCGAGGGTGTGAGGCGCGATACAAGGAAGACGCGCGGGTGTCATGCTGTGGATGGCGGTCTGCTCTCGTCCAGCTCGTCCGCGCTTCGGCGCCATGTCGTCTAAAGGCCTGAGATTCCACCCGTCGTCCGGCTCCCGCGCCTCGCCTAAACTATACCGTGTACGCGACTCCGGAGCCGCGAGATTTGTGCGCGGTGGGCATGATGGACAGCAGGCACGGCACAGCACAGACGGTAGGGTAGAGCCGTACGGCACAGCAGCACAGCACAGCAGACGGTTCGGCACAGTACAGACGGTACAGCAGAGCAGAGCAGCACAGCACAGCAAGCATGCCTCGAGGCACCTAAGCACGCACAGCACACCACACCACAGTACGTTCTCAACACCCGAGCACGCACAGCACTAGTCTGAGCAGCACACTGTCAACCAGGCCAGCACAGCACCGCACCCACAGCCCAGCACAGAACCAGCCAGTCCGAGCCCCCAACCAGACCGCCAGCGCGCAGCGGAGTAACGCAGCGGAGTAAAGCAGCAGACGGCAGTGCAACCGCTTCCACGCTGCGTGTCCATGCACACCTCCACCAGCCCGTCCGCGAAGACGCGAGAGGAAGCTGGGAAGCGGTGTTTGCAGTGGCAGGCTGTGTTCGTGTTCTTAGACTGCGGTTCTTAGACCGTGTTCTCAGACCCTGCTCTTAGACCGCGTTCTCAGACCGTGTCTGCGGGTTCTCAGACCACAATGCTTAATTCTAAGTACGCAGTTAGTTGAATCATCTTCATCAGCGCGCCTGCGCGGAATAGTAGCGCGAATTGGAGGACGGCATCGTGGTCTGGTAGGTGCTTGGGTGGTGCTGATAGTAATAATACTTAGTAATTGAAAGGGAGGTCTGCGACAAGGCGTGGTAAGGCGTGGTGTGAGGTGAGGTGAGGTGACGTCATCGCGCGGTGCTTTGGAGTCTGAAGCTCGAAGCTCGAAGCTCGAAACTCACAGTCTGAAGCTCGAAACTCACAGTCTGAAGCTCGAAACTCACAGTCTGAAGCTCGAAACTCACAGTCTGAAGCTCGAAACTCAAAAGTCTGAAGCTTTGTGACGGCAAAAGCTCGGATTACCGGGGCGCGTGGACACGGTTTCGAGAGGTTTCTCTACTGTACTGTGCAGGTTTTTCAAAAAAAAAAAAAAAAGAAATCGTGCTCCTGTGGTGCATTGGGGTGTCTGCGAGTAGTCAGTCCTGCTTGCCGGTTGGTCTCCCGCGCCGTTGCCCGGGGCTCTGCGGCTGCTTGGTTCGTCGTTGTTGTGAGACCCGTCTCACCGTGCCTCTAGACATTGATACTTCGATACTTCAGTACTTCAGTACATTGTTACCACTCTCTCCTCCACCGCACGCCCACCGCACGCCCACCGCATACCGCCCACCGCATACCGCCCACCGCATACCGCCCACTGCACTCTGCCTCCAACCCAGCGCGACCCAGCGCACCCAGCAGCAATCCCAAGCACGTCCCGCGAACTATACATTCCCGATCCCGAGCCCGATTCGGTCTAGCTCAGCCTCACGGCTAGCCGCACTGCTACAATAGTCTCGCTGCTAGCCGCACACGACCGCGCCGTGCTCCACTTCCGGATCAGCACGGCTGGGTGGGGCGGGTATGTCATCGGGATTGGGATTTCAGATTTCTTGAGTGAGGTGAGGTTTCGACTGGAGAAAAGTGCAAGATCTCTGCGCTTACTGCATACCTGAGCGCATCCTGAACACTACCTAGGGTCGTACGGTCGGTCGGTTGGTTGTGACGGTTACGGTCGGGTCTAAGGATACTACTACTTGGGTATACTCTTGGGTATACTATCACCTGGGTACTGCGGTCGTGCTGCGCGAAATTGGATATCTGGTGGTTTGTTACACGGTCCCGTCGCCAGCTCTGCGGTCTCACGGTCCCGGGCGTGCGGTATCTGCGTTGTGCTACACTCTACAGCCACACACACCGCGGCTTGTAGTCCACTCCCACGCCCTGCGTCCACTCACGCCCGTACCACGCCCACGGCACCACATCCCCGTCCCCCGGTCTCACGTCGCACAACCACCCACGATGGCCTACCAAGACCACCACCCCTCCTACCAAGACGACACGCCCGCCTCCCCCGGGCCCCGCGTGCGCTACGACGGCGAAGACACGCAGCCCACGACGGCGCGCGAGCTGCGCGGGTGGTATGCGTATCCGGTGGCGGCCGAGGTTTTTGCTGTTGTCGCTGTTGGTGGGTTGTCTCTTCTTTTTTCTGTTTGTACTCGTCGTCGTCCTTTCTTTGATTTGGGGTTTGCACTTGGATGTTTGGGTTTGAGGGTTGTATCAAGGGGGGGTGGGCATTGCACTTGGACATTCACACTTCAAGATCTGCATCTGGGCATTTACGTCTGGACACTTGCGCTTGGACGTCTACGCTTGGGTGTCTACTTGCATGTCTACACTTGGACGTCTACTTGCATGTCTACACTTGCATGTCTACATTCATGGTCTGGACAAATGACTGACTGGCTGATCAGGCGCCTTCCTCCCCGTCGTCCTTGAGCAGCTCGCGCGCGAAAACGGGCATCTGTTCTCCGATGCCGGGCGCTCGTGTCTGGAGCACGGCACCAGTAATGGCTCGTCTGGGAACAGTACTGCGGGCAACGGCCCTGCTGGAAATGGCACCGCTGGACTGCAGGAGCAGTGCATGGTCACCCTGCTCGGGCGCGAGCTCTCGACGAGCAGTTTCTCGCTGTACACCTTCTCGGCGGCGGTGCTAGGGCAGGCGATTGTGTTGGTGCTGTTCAGCTCGTTTGCGGACTACGGTGCGTCCTCTCATATATCGTGGGGGAGATACTAATACTACGATGTAGGGCCGTATCGCAAGAAGATGCTGCTGGCGTGTGCGTACACGGGGGCAGTCGTGAGCATGCTGTTCATGTTTGTCTCGCCCCGGGTGTTTTATCTCGCGCCAATACTTGTCATTGCCGGGGTCGCGAGTCTCGGGTTCTCGTTTGTGCTGCTGAATGCGTTTTTGCCGCTGCTGGTCGCGAATCATCCGGCGGAGGACGAGCTGAAGTCGGTCGCGTCCGAGGAGGATGTAGATCAGGAGCTGGAGAGCTTCATTCCGAACGGCGACAGGCGGCGGGCGCACCCGGACAAGCTGGCCAAGGACCTCAAGCGCTCTGCGGGTATCTCGAGTAAGGGCGTGGGGTATGGCTACATCGCGGCCGTGTTCGTGCAGGTCATCGCCATCGGCATCCTCTTCCTGTTCAGCAAGACCGCGTTCGGCAAGGCGCACCCCAGCTTCTCCATCCGCGTCATCCTGTTCGTCGTCGGCGTCTGGTGGGCGCTCTTCACCATCCCGACCCTGCTCTGGCTGCGCCCGCGCCCCGGCCCTCCCCTGCCCGTCGACGACACGTCCGCCACACCCTCCCGCACGCGGCGCTTCTTGTACTACCTCAGCTTCTCGCTGCGCTCCTTCTGGAGCACGCTCCGCCGCGCGCTGCGCCTGCGCCAAACGCTCCTCTTCCTCGCCGCGTGGTTCCTCCTCTCTGACGCCGTCGCCACCATCTCCGGCACCGCCGTGCTCTTCGCCCGCACCGAGCTGCGCATGAGCACCATCGCCATCGCACTCCTGAGCATCACATCGATCGGCTCCGGCATCCTGGGCGCCTTCGCCTGGCCGCGCGTCGCCGCGCACTACGGCCTCTCCCCGAAAGCCATCCTGCTCCTCTGCGTCGCGGGCATGGAACTCATCCCGCTCTACGGCCTCCTCGGCTTCGTGCCCGCCTTCCAGCGCCTCGGCGTCATCGGGCTGCAGCAGGCGTGGGAGATCTACCCCGTGGCCGTCATCCACGGGCTGGTCATGGGCGGCATCAGCGCGTACGCGCGCGCCGTGTTCGCGCCGCTGATTCCGGAGGGCCGCGAGGCCGCGTTCTTCGCGCTGTATGCGGTCACGGATAAGGGGAGTAGTGCGGTGGGGCCGGCGCTGGTGGGCTGGATCGTGGACCACGCGGGGAGCATTCGACCCGCGTTTATCTTTCTCGCGGTGCTGGTGGTGTTGCCGGCGCCGTTGCTGTGGATGTTGGATGTGCAGAGGGGGAGAGAGGATGCGAGGGTTTTGGCGGATGGGGAGGCGGTGGGGCGCGGGAGTTATGAGAGGGTTGGGGGGGAGTAGGTGTTGTGTTGAGGATGATGAATGTTGTAACGATGGCATGAAATGAGGTATGAATTTATGGTCTGAATTGATGGTGTGGTATGCCTCGTGGCGCCTTCCATAACCCGTGCCTTCCTCGTCTCCAGTGGCTTATCTATCCTCAGTGCTCTATATCCTCACTCCTGACAACCTCGATACTTCATCTATCTCCCTTATTAACCTATCCTCAACGCCTACCACTCACTACAGAGACGATCCGAGCACTCGCCATCTACAAGACCACGCCACGCACACGACATCCCTGCAATCCCAACCCAGCACCCTGACCACCAACCGCAATGCTCCAACCCCACCTCACAACCCTCCTCACCGTCTTCCTCGCCCTCTCCCTTACCGCCTCTGCAAACAGCCACAAAAAGCCCCACCCGCCGCAGACATGCGACAACACCTGCCTCCCCGCGATGCGGGCATGCACGCCTGTACGTAGCCCCACAAGAGTGAAACATATCTAACGCCCGCCAGTCGTGCAAGGACTCCAAGCACGCGCGGCATCCGATTGCGTGCGCGATTGCGTGCGAGTGCCAGGTCGCCAAGAACATCGCCTTTTGTGGGGAGGGGTGCGCATTTGATTGTAAAGGGGATTGGCCGGCGGGGGTGGGGGAGGGTGGTGAGTGGGAGGAGACGGAGGGGGTAGGGGGGGAGGCTGTTGGGGAGGCTGGAGAGGAGAGATAGGGCGAATGAAGGGAGGGTCAAGTCAGAGTATTGTGGGAAAGCAGTTCTATTACGATACTTTTGGGGCCTACAGCTAGGGTATCAACGGTGTCGGAAACTACGGACAGTCAAGCGGACAGTGATATGCGTTATGCCACCCATCCCGTGATCCTATAGTGCTCACGGCGCAGTGGTGCGGAGAAGTGCTGTGATGGTGTTAGTACTTTGACAGACCTACCCATGCAGATGACTGGGACATACCGGGGGTATCAAGCTCAACCGAGCCTGCTCTTCCTTTTCTCCTCCTTCGCCTTCGCCTTCGCCTCCTCCTCCTTAGCCTTCTCCTGCTCAGCCTTCTCCAACTCCTGCTTAGCCTTCTCCAACTCCTCCTTAACCTTCTCCAACTCCTGCCTAGCCTTCTCGTCCTCCTTCGCCTTCTTCTCCTCTTCCTCCTTCTTCTTCCTCTCCTCCTCCTTCCTCCTCTTCTCCTTCGCCTCATCCCCGTGCAGAATCAGCGGCCCCCACGTCTCGGGCCCAAACCACGACGGAGACGTCTCTTCGCAGTTGTACATGCACTCGACGCGGCAGTCCTCGAACTGCGCCGACAGCGCGCACATGCATGCGTTCATGCACGAGTACTGCTGCACGTCGTCTTCGCCCTCGAAGCGCGTGCCGATGCAGCCCTGGGATGTGTTAGTAAGGGGTCGGGTGCGGGTGGGGGACTGGTGGTGGGTGAAGGTTGGCTGGGGGTAAACGTACATCGTTAGAGCACTTCCTGAGCATGTTGTCGCACGACTCGCACACGGGGTCCTGCTTGCGCTCGCTGAACGCGGTGGTCAGGGTGGTGAGGGCGAGGAGGGCGGCGAGGAGCCGGGTTGGGTTAGTTGAGGGACGCATGGTTGATTATTGGTTATTGGTGGTTTGTGATTTTCTTGTGGGATTTGGTTTGATTTTGGTGAGGAGGAAGGGGGAGGCAGATGGGTTTTATATTGGCGGCACTGGTAAATGGGGGCGAAGTGAGGTTCAGCCACGGTTACTTGCGTCATGCATCCGATCATCCTGAGCAGAGTTTTTGTTCTGTTGGGCTTGAGGACCACGTAACTCTGGTTGAGCAGTCGGTTGTTGGTGCTGGTCAGGATCTGCGGACCCTGTCCACGAAATCGATGTAGCGAACCTGATTAGCGACATATATTTATTCGGCCCTCGCATGGAAAACGGGGGGATATACTGCCAAAGCTAAGTAACTGTTCCTTACCACACTGCACAACACATGTAGTTTTACCAAGAAGGCTTCCTGCACTTACCACCTACGACCACAATTCCTCCCAAACCCCCACCACCAGCCTCCCTACACATCCGCCCAATGCTTCCACAACGCCCTGTTTTCATCCTCCTCCCCGCTCTCAGCGCTGTTCTCACCATCACCCTCGCTGGCAGCGACAAGTCCTCGCCGGCCTGCCGCCCGTGCATCGACACCGTCCACACATGCGCCCAGGTGCGCACCCTTAATCTCGTGAATCTCGTCCTGCTGATGTATTTAGGAGTGTGAGGCCAGGCACGGCCGGGACCTGCAGTTCGGGTGCACGGTTGCGTGCGCGTGTGCGCTTGCGGGGGCGAATCAGTTCTGTCGCGAGAAGTGCGGTTTGGACTGCGAGGACAGGCGGGGCAGGCTTTGGATGTTCGGCGCGTGAGTGATTAGAGTTTGAGGCTGTGAGTGTGTTGCTGAAGTTGTAGCATGAGCGGCTGCATAGGAAATGCGAAGTCTTGCTGGGCTTGTGGCGAGGAGGCAGGTTGTGATTGTGGCGTCTCATTGGCGCAGTGGAGCGTCTGTCACCTGTGACGCTGCAGTGAAGTGTTTCCCGTTTACAGTGCTGCATTGAAGAGTCTCTCACCTGCGACGCGCGGCGCGGATCGGTAGGTCACTGTGCAGCTACAGTTCAAGAGGCAACTTCTCCCGCTCCGAGCCTTCTCTTCATCAACACACCTCACCCTCAACAAGAACAACCGCACTCAAGCACAACCACGATGGCCTTGCGCCTCACTCCTTTCTTGGGCCTCATGCTGATGCTTCTCGTCACCTTCACCACAGCCAACAGAGGCGGAAGCTACGACAGGATCTGCAAGCCGTGCCACCAGAGATATACCCACTGCCACGAGGTACGCTGCCATTGACTCGATTTCTCACCCACCTAGCAAAATCAGACCATACTGACAAAACGCAGATCTGCATGGCCAGCAAGGACGAGAAGAACGGCAACAAGGACTGGGCAGTCCCCTGGTGCAGCGACTATTGCTGCATCGAAGTGCGTGACAAGACCTGCAATGGATATTGCGGCTTCAAAAAGCAATGCAAGACCTAGATATCCCTTCCCAAAGTCTCATCTCGTCATTTGACGGGCAGGCTTGACGGACGAGGATCATTCAGAGTGATCAGATGTTCGATGAACTGGAGATGCTGGAGTTTTTCATGTATTTCATGGGCTTGGGCGAAATGACACTGTAAACTATGGTCAATTCTATGACGTGCTGATGGCTCACTGTGCAACTGCTGTATAAAAGGCAGCTGCCCCCCACCCCACCTTCACTCCTCCGTCAAAACACTTCACTTGCAACAAGCACAACCGCACTCAAGTACAGACATGCTGGCCTTGCGCCTCACTCTCTTCCTCGGCTTCATGCTGACCCTGCTTGTCACCTTCGTTACGGCCGGTGGCGGGCGCAAAGTCAACTGCGATCCGTGCATCAAGGAGTTCGACAAATGCATCGGGGTACACCGCCACTGGCTCCATTTCTCACACCAATCAGTAGCAGATCATACTAACAAAACATAGACTTGCCTGCTTAACAGCGATGTCAGCGGTGACTGGGCCGAGTTCTTCTGCAAGGGCTCCTGCTGCGCCAACATGAAGGACAAGTTCTGTGGAGAGCGCTGCAAGTTCAATGAGCAATGTGCTGGTAGCAATGTCGCTCCCCCGCCCAGGATCCCCGCGATCCCTCTCCTTCCCTCATCCAAAGTTCCCGGAATACCTCGCTCCTCGCCCTCGGTCCCCGGAATGCCTCACTTGCCTCACGGGGAGGCTTGACGGACTCGGATGGCTCGGGACGATTGGGCGCTTCGATAAACTGGAGATCCTGAGACTGTCCGCTTGATTGATGAGCTCGGACTGAACGAATCGCTGGCGTTATGGTGGATTCTATGTGTGACGGCAATTCTGCCTCACCCTGGCTCGATTTCGAACCCAAAATGTTCAGTAGACATAACACCAATATCATCGCTTGACGATTTCCTTCGCTTTTATTTCAGCTCCTTGTGTGTCTTCCGACGCGTCTTCAACCCGCTCCTTCCCTTGCTCCTTCCCTTGCTCCTTCTTGCTGCTTGTGCTGTCACTCTCACGGGCACGTCTCAATATCCGCTCCTCTCGATACCGGTGAGAGTAGAAAGGCTTACGTTGGTACTCAGCTAGCTGTTCGTCGCGCATAGCATCTCGCCTCGCCTGACGAGGTTCCAGTAACTTGTTCCATCGTCTTCTCGCAGCCGTCTGTCCAAATCCATATCAACGTGTTAGTCTGCAGTCGCGACTGCCGTTTGAACACGCACCCGAGTCAGATTCAGCAAGAGCGTCTTGCGCCTGCGTGGGTTCCTGCTTCACCACTCGTTCCTCGGCCTTCGTCTCCATAGCCCCCAGGCCCACGTCTTCTGTCTTTGCATCCGCCGCCTCGACTTTGACAGTTTCCGTGACACGTGGTACTATTCTTTACCTCGCTCGCCCGCCTTGGACGCTTCACCGGTGTGGCACCCTCGTCTACGGGAGTTGCAGCACTCGTGTGCTCACATTTACCGGGGTGAATCATGGTGAGAGCTACTCGGTGGTCGCAGGACGCGGTTAGGTATGCATTATAAACATGGATGGCCCCACGCCGGGATTGCGTGAGTGAAAGAAGGATGGTTCATGTGGAGAGTCGAGGAAGCAATTGCTGTTACCATATGGCAAGCAGTCTCGATTGAGGTCCTGGAGTCATGTTTTACTGAGCAAGCAGACCAGCCGTGTCTTCGTACGACTCGCCAAGCGGCCCCAGTGCTCTACCCGACTGCTCCTGTGGTAAGTCAAGAACCGCTTTGTCTCCTTTGTTCCAGAATCTAAACGCAATGGAGTTCACCCAGTCCCCTATTCAAAGCATGGTCCGGTTGCTGCCGTGAACACCATCTAGCGATGTGGTACTCGGCTTGATATTCTTCATCAGTGCTTTGCATAGCGGCAATTGCGTGTGTGAGTGATTGCTGAGGCGAAGACCTCATCGCGGCAGCGTTAGTCACCGTGAACAAGCGCAGATGGAGGACATCGTCCGGCAATGAAGTGCAAGTGGCACGACGTTGGTTTGGCAATCGCGTGAATGCCGCGTGACGTCATTTTTCGACCGTGACCTCTCTCGCGGGGATACTTATGAGTGTTTGCTGGCTCTGCAGCCTCACGATAAAGCAAACTCTGAGCAAAACTCTGCACATAATTCAATTATGGCGGGTGTGTATAGGCATCCAATTCTAAATCTATCTTGGCTCATGATCTTCGTTGCGGACCTCGCTTAATATATCGACCCGCAAGAGCACGGATTTCTCTCCTATTCACCATCATCTCCGTCAATCTCCTCGTCCAAGACATCGTCCGTTGGTTCACGAGTCGCTCGTGCGAGGTTCCTCCCCTTTTGATGCGATGTGCTGGGCGCACCGACATCCAGCATCTTGGGAAATCTCCGGGATCATTCACACCCATGTCAACTCCACAGGTTTGTAGGCGCCCAGCCCCGCCGGGCTCCGCTCGTGAGGCCCTGGTTGCCCATGCGACGCATCGCCGCGAAGTTCCGATACTTCGCCGTGTCGTTCACGGTAGATTGTCATGCTGACTAGGCATGCGTGGCGTGCAGTCCTTCCGTGCAGTCCTTCCGTGCTATCCGGCCGACTGCCGTCCTGAGGCTTGGCGAGTGTGCTGCGCCTTGATACCAGCCACTGCGACGTCGATGTAGATTGTCGTGCCTCCCAGAGGCGATTTGGATTCAATGAAGGCTCGATCGTTGCTTCGTGGAGGTCGGCTCATGTGGTCTTTGTAATGCCGTTGCAGCCTGCCCAGTCGCGCAGACACGTGTCGGCGCACTCATCGTACTCGATTGTAGCAGTGAATGTCTCTCGGTCGATGAACTGGGTCCTGCATTCTTCGACACAAGGAGTTGCTTTCATGAAGAGAGCGCAACACTGGGCATCCCCGATGTCCGCTGTACAATGAAAGTCCTCGAAATGGGCGAGAATCTTGTCAATCAAGGTATCCGTCGACTGTGTGAATGCAGGTACTAGTTGGTAGAGGAAGATTGGTACGCAAAGGGCGAAAAGTAGGGTGACGAGTAGCGCCCGTGGGCGTGACCGTGTTGAGGATGGGCGGACTCCTCTGTACATCTCCATCTTGAACATATCTATTTGTTTCTGAGATCGCAGTTCGAGTAGACGCAGAGGATAGAGTTTAATATAGCGATCGTTGGTCCGAATGCGGGGAAGGTAGGCTTGGGCTCGGTGAGATGGTGCGGCTGAGCTGCAAGTCAAAACCTTGGGGAAATGATACCAAGTGTTGTATAGTACAGGGTGTGCGGCAACTTATAGAGCAAAGTCGGGGACAGACGCAACGGTCAAGTATCGCGAAGACCCTTTCGGGGTTCATTGTGGGTATAAGCCTACGCACCGGACAACACATCTAAGCATGCCAGGTATACGGTAATGCGGCAGCGCTAGCGCAACTCCGAGGTGTGATACACCGATGCAGCATCAACTCTGTGACCCATGCTCCCAAATCGGCGAATCCCTGTCAAGCTGTCACGTTGTTTGCTCAGTCCAAACTTTTCACGGATGGAGGATATCAGACAACGTGTTGCTTTGCCGTTCTCTGTGTACGATGTGAGCTGCGGGAAGGGCTGAAAGTTTCCTGTCGGACCGTTGTTAAGGCTCGGTGTTGATACCGGTGTAAGGCTCGAGCGCTGACGTCTCAAAATAGTGATGACTCGAGGCGCACAGCCCGTCATCAAAGGATCCGAGAGAAGTAGGCTTACGGTGAGGTACTTTGGGGGCCAGTGCATGGAGATCTGTTGCTATTGCGGGCTTATGCTGCGGCTCATGCTCGATACCAGTTCGCTTGGCCTGCACTTCGGCCTTGCGATGTAACAAAAGCGCCGGGCGTAAGTAATCTGCACAATTTGTAGAAAATTGCAGAGCCGTGCGGGATCGTGTAAATTTTGTTAATAAGATGGAGTCAGCCCGCGTGGAACCTCTGGTTTGCAGTAAAGTGAAGCTCAAACTGAAACCAACGAAATCCCGGCCGCATTCGGAAAGCATTTGGTACACTATTGTGTATGACTGCGTGATGTACGCATCGTGAGTGATATATTTTGATATCGCGTGCGCAGGCGCGTTGGCGCCTGTCTAAATCTAATCTACTCGGTTCTCTCGACGAAATGCTTTTGATCATCAGGAAATGGTGGAGTAATAATTGTGCCGCGTGATACACATGGCGTCGAGAGTGGAGCCTAGATAGGAAAGCGATACCAGCATTGCTGGTGGCCTCGGATTTAGGACCAAGAGATGCTGCGTACGTGTTAGCAGAAGAAATTCGCGTGTGCAACAGCGTCACATACGCAAGCATGATGCCCGCACCCAAGAACATAGCAGCGAACTGGGTGAGGGTCTTCTTGAGCTCCTCGCTCTTGTTTGGGCCTGTTTCAAGCAGCTCAGGAATGACAGCCACTGTGCCGACATACAAGAAGGTGCCTGCAGTAAAAGGCAAAAGCATGTCACCCCACTGCAGGCTCGTCCCCCAAAGGCCAGTAACATGGGCATCAACTGTGGCTGCGCTGCCACCAAGTTCTTGTACTGCGATGCCAATACAGGTGCCAAGGAAAGCGCCCACAGCCGTCACAAACTGTGCGCCCATCGCTGCCCGCTTGCTGAAGCCTGACTGGATGAGCAGAGCAAAGTCGCCGACCTCGTGAGGGATTTCATGGAAGAACACAGCGACGGTGGTGGTGGCGCCAATGGTGGGGGATGCATAGAACGATGAGCTGAGGGCGAGGCCATCGGTGATATTGTGGGTGAAGTCGGCGATGAGGTTGAGGTAACCACCAAGCTTGACGCTGGCGTTGATCTCCTTCTCCTTCTCGGTAGCGACGACAGCGTCGTTGGCAGCAGGCTTACGAGCACGCACACCGTCCTTCGCACCCGTATCAACGCCAGTGGACTTGGCCGTGACCTCGACCTTCTCATGGGAGTGTCCGTGAGAATGATCGTGGCCACCTGCTCCACCCGTCGCAATCCTCAGCGCCTTGTCCATGGCCACGAATGTGATGAAGCCGACCATGATAGCCACACCCAGTAGCAGGTTCTTGTTTGGCTCCACCATCACAAATTTGACATTCCCAGGCTCATCTTCACCCAGGAAGATCTCGGGCAGGAGATGGAACAGTGTGTCGCCCAGCAGCCCACCAACAGCGAAGGCGACCATGACGGAGAGGGAGGAGGGGTCGATGTTGGGCGGGCATAGTGCGAGGAGGAAGTTCGGCGGCCCAGAGATGTAGAGGGTAGCGAGAAGGGCATTGACGGCCGGAGTGCCTGGGAAGAGCACAGCAAAGATCTGAGAGCTCAGAGATGACGTGGTGGGGTTGGTCGCAATCTTGTGCTCATTGAGAGCTTGAACCAGTGGGCATTCCTGTGGAAGTTAGCTTGATGTGAGCACGCGACATCATGGTGCTCGGCTCCAACGCTCTCACGTATTGCGAATGATGAAGACGATGAGGACAACGCTTCTCAATTGCACACAGAATGGACATACCTGCAACTGCTCCTCAATCTCGTGAACACTCAATTGCCCCACTGGCACGCCTCCAGTTTCGCCTTTGACAGCAGCGGCAGCGACATTCCAGGCGAGAACCCCCAAGAAAATTGATAGCGACAGAAGTGTCTGGTTGCGACGCGACACCATGATGGACACGTACTCACTAGCTGTATTCTGGCCAGGGTTGGATTGAGAGCTCCAGGGAGTGAACACCTTCACGATAAGAAAGGCACGCTAAGATAAGCGGGCGCTAGCGCGACTGGACTAAATTTTTGGGGAACCCGGCGAATCGAGTGGGACGGCGACAACTTTCAATCTTCACTACACACATTACTTTCAAACCCCTCGGAAATCATACAAAATGGGTCGCGAACTCCAGAAGAAGAAGAACAAGTCGTCGCTCCCGAAGAAGCGCCAGAATGGCCCCTCCAAGAAGAAGGTTCTGAGCAACCCTATCATCGCAAAGCATTGGTACGCACCCAGACAGGTTCCTCTGCACACTTCATGTTGCTGACTTGCTCTCAGGGATCAGAAGGAGACGCTGTCCCAGAACTACCGCCGACTTGGCCTTACGTCGCGTCTCAACCACGCAACCGGTGGTACAGAGAAGACAATCAAGCTTCTCGGCCTCAACGACCCCAAGTCCTCGCGTGCCGATACCGCCGCCGACAGCACCGCAAACCGTCTGAACATCGTCTCTAAGCAGCCTGTTCGGGCCGTCGAGATCGAGGAACTTGAAGTCGAGCGCGACCCAGAGACCGGCGCCATTCTGCGCGTAATAGGGCAGTCGGAAGAAAAGTTCAACCCGCTCAACGACCCCCTGAACGAGCTAGATAACGACGATGGCATGGAGTGGAATGGATTTGCCATGGTTCCCGAGCGCAGGGCGAACGAAGCGCAAAACCCAGTAATCAGTGAGCTGGAGGAGGCCGCCAGGAATGGTGCTCGCAAGGAGCCAAGGAAACAGAGCGAGAGGGAGGCAGAGTGGTTAGAGAGGCTGGCGAACAAGTACGGCGAGGATTACGGCAAAATGGCACGAGACAGGAAACTCAACCCTATGCAGCAGACAGAGCCGGACATCAAGAAGAGGATGAAGAAGTGGAAGGCAGCACAGGCCGCACAGGCCGCGTAGAGTACGATCCTAAAAGAGGTGGATGACAGTCTTGGCGAAGAGCATTGACAGGCGTTCTAGGCGTTGTGCAATATAAGAATTGGTTCGACAAGTACAGCAGAATACATCGTTCAGAAGTCCTAGGTAGCTGACATATCAAGTTATCTCGGCAAACAAGAATTCTCTTGGATAGGCGCAACGTGGCTCGGGTTTCCTGCAGTGCGACACCTTTGGGTCAATTCACCTGACCAATACGAGTGGTGACAAGTCAAGTTGCTCCAGCCTCCGGACTTGAACATTATGTCTGGTGCAAGAAGGCCAACAACTTATAAAGCGTGACCGTAGGTACGTGTGGGATTGGCTGTCTTTTATCACGATCTCGCCCCTCTGGCTCGCCTGTGCATCTATAGCATATGCATGAATTTATGTGCTATAGCCTCTTGTAGACAGCCTGACTATACCGTATCACAGAATTCGGATATTCGCCCTTCCGGACACTTTGGGCTGTTCAGGACATTCAAAAAGGGATTTCACTGGAGCCTTCAATGCCTCCCGGGCACAGCAGCATAGACGCTCCGTCAAGACGCCAAACACAGATATGACTTAGCATTACATGCAAGACCTCCTTGTGGGGAACTATTGCACAAACTAAATCGGCGATGCAAAACCACGGAACCACAAGTGTAAGGTTCATCTCACAACTCTTGAACTCGAACTCCACACAAACCACTCGCCTCACTACTTCTGTGGATCCCTTAAGCTTGATGAAGTCAACAAGCTATTGCCGTCACATCTAGCACCATGAAGAAACTCCAGTCCGTTGACTGACAGTCTCGTGACGCTGGCTCTTTCAAAGGCTTCCGGTTTATGCAGGTACCGGGCCAAGGTGATTCAAGCACGATTCGAAAGCAGTACTCCATCTGGCCCGATTAACTTGGCCTGTGGGTTATCAATGCCCGCCCAAGGTATTGCGTGACTGGGGAAACACGCTCCTTTGGCAGTCGCCGCCGCTACTGTCGAGTTTGCAACGGAGAACGACACATCCCTGAACAGATATAGTAGTGGACTTCTACATGTCGCACTATACATGAAGTACCAGTACTTGTGTGCATCATGATGGGCTGGTGAGAGCTGTCATCTGCTTTAACGAATAGCCTTGCTCGCATGATGGCGTCCGGGGGTCGCAGTACTGCTGCTGGTGTGCAGCGGGTTGGCGATCGTCCTGAGGGGATTTTCTTTACATGCTCCTTCTACAACATAATACCAATCTTCTTTCGCTGATAGCTCCAAATTCAACCCAGTACAGTTCCCTGGTCATGTCGCGCGAACCGTTGTAACATGACGTTGAAAGTCTGACATGCCCGACACGGCATTTGAATGCCAACTCTTGTACCTAAAGTGGCTTTTTGGTGTTCTGTAAGGGTCCTGGCCCTGCATTGTCCCAATCATCCTGGTGCTCCGAGGAATGCGACCGCCAACCGTTTTCAGTCTCGAACTGACCATCTTCGCGCTCACCTCATGCAGCACCACCATTCAACAGCAGGACGATTACACAAATTAGTACCAGTTTGAGATGGATGTTTTTTTCCTTGCGCGATATCTGAGGACACCAGCAGTAAGTTGTTGATAGACGTTGATTGTTGTCGGCGACTCCGGAGCATGATGACATCGCCCAAGCCTTCGCCAATGCCACCATCATCAGTTTATCAGATCAGTTTTTCACACCAAGGCGAAATTCAGCGGTGACATTTGGGCCCAATAGCGCAGTTTACAAGGCCCCCCGCTGCAGTCGCACATCGTCACACGGCACCCGGAGCTCGAGTCACTGGTATCGAAGCGCTCTCGCCATGCAACCACCGCTCTTGGCTAGCAGCGCCTTCCCCAGAGCAGCCTAGAGGCTACCGGCCGTGAACAGCTGAGAGCAACCAACGCCGATCAGATAAAAGTGATCGTCGCCATGTCTCAGCCTTTCCGAATCTCTCTTCTTTATATTGCGTTCTCCCAGAGTGTTCAAGACAGCAAATATGAGAACGTCAATGAGACCGGATGATAGACATCCTCACGACGAAGACGAGAAGGCTTATGATGTTAATCGACCTTCTGAGTCTCCGTCCGGCGACGACTTGGACAGTGGCCGTAGCAGCGAAGAAGCTCAAGCAGGTGTCAAGCGCATCGAAGCTGTGAGCAAGGCCTGGACTGTGACCAGTTTAACAATTGCCTATGTCACGTATGTTCTGCCATTGGATCACATGATATATTGAGAGAGGCTCTAATGCTCGACTAGGCTTATGCTTCTTGCAAATATCACGTCCTTGGAGATTCAAGTCACCTCTAATCTAACTGCCTACGCAACTAGCTCATTCCGCGCACATTCTTTAGTTTCTACAGTCGCCGTTGTACAGAGCGTTGTAAGCGGTCAGTTCCAACACAAGCCCTGCCTACTTCTGGATGATTCAACCTGACTTATTACCAGCCGTTATCAAGCCTCCCATGGGCAAGATTGCTGATGTATTCGGTCGCCTAGAATCATTCAGTCTTTCTATTCTATTCTACACCCTAGGCTACATTCAACAGGCTGCATCAAACAGCGTTCAGACCTACGCCGGTGCTCAGGTCTTCTGGGCTGCCGGCTTCAACGGACTCCAGGTTTTGCAACAGATCTTCGTTGCTGATACAACGGACTTGCTCAACCGCGCTCTTTTCTCGACCATCTTCGACTTACCTTTCCTCTGGACGACGTGGGCAGGACCTGAGGTCGCGGCCAGCATTCTCGCTAATTCGACCTGGCGTTGGGGTTATGGAATCTGGGCTATCGTTCTCCCTGTCTGCTTTATCCCTCTCGCTCTGAGCCTGTTCATGAACCAACGTCGCGCAAAATCGCTCGGTTTGGAAATACCAAGCCCCTTCAAAGGAAAAACAGTAGGCCTTGTCTTCAAGAACCTCTGGTACGACCTTGACGTCTTTGGGCTCCTCCTACTGGCAACCGGTATTTCGTTGATTCTGATTCCGCTCACGCTCGCTCCAAATGCAAGTGGACAATGGCGGAACGCCAGTATGATCGCTATGCTGGTCATTGGTGGCGTTGTTTGCATCATCTTTCCGTTCTGGGAGAGGAGTAAGAAGCTTGCGCCAAAAGCTTTCTTTCCACCAAATCTCTTCAAGAATAGGACAGTCGTTGCAGGTGTCGCGATCGCCTTCTTCTATTTCAGTAAGTCAATGAACTCTCAGGCTACACTCCACATACTAACACCTTGCAGTGGCCTTCTACATGAGCGTATTCCCGTACTTCTTTTCGTACTTGCTCATTGTTCAGAGACAGTCCCTGGTTACTGCAGGCTACATCACCCGTGTCTTCACGTTCGCTTCGACTGTGTCCTCTATCGTGGTGTCTCTGTTCATCAAGTACACTGGACACTACAAGTACTTCGTCACAGCTGGAGCATGCATCTACATTATGGGCTTGTGAGTTGTGCTCCATCGTACACGAAAATTGTGAGCTAACAGCCTGTAGCGGACTCATGATCGCCTACCGTACTGAGAATGCCTCAACATGGACTATAATTGGCACTCAGGTAGCCGTCGGAATCGGCGGAGGGTTTCTCAATGTCCCGGCCCAGCTCGCAGTTCAAGCTTCTGCGTCGCATCAGCAGGTCGCTGCTGCTACCACTGTGTTCCTTACCATCCTCGAGGTCGGAGGTGCTGTCGGTTCAGCAGTCTCTGGTGCCATTTGGAGCTCGTATGTTCCATCAAAACTTCAGCAGTACCTCCCGTCTGATCTTGCTCCGAATTACGCCACTATCTATGGAGATCTCACTGTCGCCTCCAACTACACACTTTACCCTGTCGGCACCCCCGAGCGCATCGCCATCAACAGAGCATACCAAGAGACTATGCGGTACATGCTTATTGGCGCGATCTGCGCAGCTGTACCAATCCTACCTCTGTCTCTATGTCTGAAAAACTATAAGCTGGATCAGATGAAGCAGCCCGTTGAGGGAAAGGTCATTGGCAATTCGCAGAAGCGCGAGACAACAAAGAGTTGGAGGTTCTGGGGACGGAAATCCAACACACCCGTTGTTTCTTGAGTTCGGATAAACTTCAGTACGTATTATAGTAAGACATATTAATTTGACTCCATGGATTGCATTGATCAGAAACCAATTGTCCCTTCCTAAGACATAAGAGCCGCCAGAACGACTGAGATAGATTACAGTTCAGAGGTGATCCGACCTGGCCGGCCTTGAACTTCCAGAAGACACCCTCGACAGCGAGATTGGAGCAAGAAACACAATTGTCTGGCCCCAAGATGACACTAGGCTACCACGACGAGGAAGTCAAGATACCACGCTGCGCAGATACCCACCTTCTGTAAATTGTGTAATTCAGCAAAACGAACAAAGTGGTATTATCGAGTGCAAGACCTGCAATCGCTGAGTGAATTCCAATCATACAACGAGGCTTACGAGCATGTAATTTCGGTCACTCCATCATGTAATCGCGCTCCGAAGATAGCTATGTCACCTGGGGCCGATCGTCTCTCTCACTTCCGTTTGTATCAATCAGACCTTGCACCACAGGCACTTCACACAGTGCTCCGCCTGCAAAAGCGCTCCTCTTCTTTACACAGACATCTCACAAGACTTGATCATCGTCCTTTGGTACCAACTCAACTTCCCAACCATGTTCCTATTCCGCCCCACTATCATCCTCAGCTTCCTCGTGGCAGCCACTTTCTTCAGCACCGCCATGGCTGGCAGGAAGAAGCGCAGCTGCGATAGCTGCAAAACCTCCTTGCACAAGTGCGAAAAGGTGCGTGTAGCCCCCTAAAGACCTCTTTCGCCATCCTAACTGACAAACCGCAGGTCTGCGAGGATTTCTACAAGGATCCTACTGCGTACGCGCTCTGCGCTCAGCACACGTGCGTCTGCGAGGTCGGCAAGGATAAATTCTGTCGCAATTCTTGCAGTATCGGAGGCGCTGGTTCGTTGTGCTTCTATTGAGTGGCTAATCAGGTTGGGATCCTGGTTTTAGAAGACATGAGGGCATTGAGTGGTATCGGTTAGGCTGACAGGACTTTCCTGGTTGACCCGCGGGATGAGAATGTCTTCGTTGGTGCATTGGAATCTGCCTGTTCTGAATTGTAAGGACTTTGGCATATGCGCGTTGTGAACGACATGTGCGTCGACATCTCACTTACATCCTCTGGGGTTGAACATATTCACTGATTCCTTGCAATATTACTGATTGATACATCACCTGCATGATCAGTGACTCGCCTGTGCGAATCGAGACTGGGTGGACGTTGAATGGACGAACGACGAACATTCAAGGATGCCGTTTCCTTGATTCAATGCGCAGCGTCTGCACTTTCCAATTGAGAGAATGCACGTGTGGCAAGTCGGTCTAGGATTCTATCTGGCAGGTTCGTGCCTTCCTTGCTCTCACCCCAGACGACTAGACATCCTCCTCAATTCTTCACCCCTCCACGCTACCTGAACGCAGCTGCAAGCCTCATCATCAACAGCAGTCTGAAAACATACTCTCACATCACCCGTCGACCAACAAGATGCATTTCGCCATTCTCTTCAGCTTTGCACTCGCGTTCCTCACCGCCAACGTTGCTGCTGGCTCAGAAAAACCTAAATACTGCTTGCAGTGCCGCGACATGACCGGACGCTGCATCAAGGTACGTCCCGAATCCTTTCTTCATGTCCGAGTCCAGCACTGACACATATAACAGAGGTGCCACGACGTTCAAAACAGAGAGAGGGGCTGGTGTGCGAACATGTGCAAGTGTGGAGTTGGCATAGACGATACTTGCTGGACCAACTGTGGATATGGAGCTGAGACTTACAAGTGCTAAGTCAGACTAGAGGGCTGTATTCAATTCGCGGTGATCGGTTTTATTGAATGTAGAGACGCCGTTTGTTGTGCGTTAGCTCAAAATCCTCTTGTGCGTTCACTCAAATTCACCTCATTTCTTCGGCTACGACTATATAAATTCCTTACCGACTTCACCATACCTCTCTTCACCACGAACACGCCACAAATACAAGATACCACCTTTCAGCTACTCATTACTACAAAGCCCTCAACCAACAACATGCGTATCGCCATCCTCATCGGCTTCATGCTCGCCGTTCTCGTCGCCACCGTTGCAGCTGGCTCGGGCAAGCCCTCCCTCTGTGATTTGTGCCGCGATGGGTACAACAGCTGCATGGGCGTACGTTCCAAAATATCCCTGCATTCAGATGCATCTCACTGACGCGCACGACAGGGCTGCAAGAAGTACAAGGACGACAAGGAATGGTGCGAGAAGACGTGCGACTGCCAGGTCAGCGAGCAGGACGAGTGCGAGGCTAAGTGCGGCTATGGCACTTCTCCTTTCTGCTGAGCTGGACTAGAGAGTTGCGGAATCCGCTTTCCGCCTCTGACTTGGGTATACTTGGTGAAGACAGGATTTCGAGGTTTTGATTGGATATCATGGGCTAGCGATTGGATCGCCTGCGAAGAGCACGACATAAAGACTCGGTCATGGACTTGATAATAGAACTCGTTCTATCCTCCTGCAATTAATTCCACACATGTGTGCCAAGAGATTGGACTCACTTCCTTCGCCAGTGTGATTTGCTTGACGCAGGTACAGAGACCATGAGGACGAGTGACAACTACTTTAGGAAAACAGGGCCTACTCAAGTCGACATCTGACCCGGACCGCACATGTGCCAGGTCCATTTATCCTTTCGCAGATGAAGCAGATCTGGGGCTCATTTCCGACACCAGAAAGGACAAGCGCACATATTTGCAGCGCTATCGGAGTATAATCACGTCACCAAAGCTGTCATGGCAGATTTGAGAAGAACAAAGGTTCTGAATGAGCCAGGATATATCTACCCAAGCAGTTGAGGAGACTTAAGGAACATACGCCTTGTGGCTGAAGATTTGGCAGACATAACGAAAGCGGTTGATGATTTGAAACAAGCAGCAACAACACATCAGTTGTTACAGGCTACATTTCAGAAGAACAGAACATTCGTGAGCCGTGAAACAATTTGTACTCGATGAATCATGCGCCAGCATCCAGGCAGCAGTCCATATTGAAATGCTGAAACTCTTTCGATTCGTGCGTGCTTGAATTCCAGAGTTGAACGACAGAGAACATGTGAGGAGCAGTAAATCCATTCTCGATTTCCAGATTTTAAGAGTTTGGACAAGGGTGAAAGCACACGGCATTTGGGCCCACCAGAAGTCGAGCTCAGGCTTTCAGGCAGGGGGGGAGCAAGGGCCATGACAAGCGTGTTGTCGCATTTTGTTGCCAGAATAGACACACTACTGGGGTTCTTTATGTTTGATCTCGCCAGGGCAGCGAGGCATCCATGGTGTTTGTGTTGAATTCAACTGGAAGAACATGGCCTCTCTCAATTTAGAGGTCTGGCGCACGGAAACAGACATATTCATTCACGAGAGAGGTTTTGATGCTCAGAGCCACGGCAGACATGTAACGTAACTAAACGTTTTCGAGAGATGATTTCACTGATGTTGAGTGAGTAAGAAGGAGAACAGGTAGGAAGACGTTACTTATATAGCCCAACATACCTAAGCCTCGCACATGCCACTCGATTTGAGTGAGCTAAGCCAGACATGGATTCCTCCATTTGATCATTTCTTGCCGCACCGTAACATTGACTACATGGGTTTTGGTAAATCGTTTTTCAGTTGGTATCATACACCACCACTACATCTCCCTCCCCCTCTTCATTCCTCTTCTGTATTCCCCCTCAAGCACCCCTCCCACCCCGCTCATCCTGCATCCCAATCGCTGGATCCGGCGCCTCGGGGAACTCCTGCTTCGCCTTCTCCTTCCCGCCCGCTGAGTCGCGTCTCTCCGTCGCGTGGCCGCCAGTCCCCTGCTTTGCACTGCTACAGGCTTGTTAGTGTTCCTCTGCCAAGCATATTTCCGGGTGACTTACTCGAGTCCGTCTTTCAGGTTGCTCGTCTGGATGTCGTTGTGGTCACCCTTCTTCGCCTTGTTCACGCTGTGCTCATCGTCGGGGTATGCGTCGGTCTTCGTCTTGCTATTGGTAGACAATTTGTCGGCGTGGCGGGTGGCGGAGACGGAGAAGGGGCGCGCGGCGAGGCGGAGAGTGCGCGTTGACCTGGCTGCGTGGGAGCGGAGCATAGTTGTGGTGTTGTAGTGTTGTGGTGTTGTGCTTGCTCAAGGAAGCAATTGGGGGTTATGTGGGTTGTGCGTGAAGAAGGAGAGGTGCAAAAGAGCGCTGGGCCGGTGCGAGACGATGCGGATTAGACATGATGCGTTTGTACGTCGCGAGGTAGATGTGATGATGTCAGAGAAGCGTAGCTGAGATGCCATAGCTCCCGCGCTAGTGGTGTGAATGTGGGGACGCCGCGGGGCAGCCTTGCGGTCGGCTCGCGAGCCTCAACTCTATCGATAACGATAGTTTTCACGCCCGCAACAGCAGACGAGACGCATGAAGCGCACTTACGAAGTCATGGCGGATACAACGACGTGGAAGCCCGAGGACTTTCCTTGCACACTGTACATCATCTTCTCCTCTTCTCTTGCGGGCCGCTGACACGCATAGGCAACTCAACATCCCTTTCCCCTCCGGCCACTACGCTTCAACCGCCCTGCGCGTGCTCTCTGTCGATGCCGAACTCTCACCCCTCGTACGTCGCTCGTTCAGTATTGGTGGTGATAAAGAGCAGAATATCCTTGTCGTAAACTATGCTGCGACGACAAACCGCATGCTGCGTGTAGCTGTGAACGGCTTCTTTGAGAGCATGGGCGTGGTCATCGGGGTCATGAAGGACTTGGATGTTGATGTGTTGTATGAGCCAGTGACGGAGAGCTTGGAGGGCGTGCAGGGCTTAGTTGTCAATGGACAGGAAGGACGAGGGTGAAGAGTGAGGAGACTTGGCTCGTGACCGGAGTCATAGGATGAAAATGGAACAATATTTTCCTAGGTCTGGCTGAGGATGTACCGGCTGGACGTGAGGCTATGGGCAACAGGAGGAGGCAATGCACAATGAGGCGTGAGGGCATATAGGTCGGCCCCAGAGAGGCAGAAGATACCCAGAGTTAGGCATGCTATGCTACAGATTTCAATGCTAGGTTGCGCCTCCAGTAGAGTAGCGCTGAGCTGCTTTCGGTGGATCCACCGAGTTGGCTGCGGAGAGATCAAGATTTACGCTTGCTTCTTCGCCAAAGGTTCGTCTTCAACGGCTGCTCCGTCTTCCTTTTCCAACTTCCTTTTCAGGCCTGAATTGCCGTCCGGCGCCATCATCGGAGCCAGTGGCATCATTGGTGGCGCAGGAAGCATCTGAGGCGGTGGTGTGCCAGGTGGCATCGGTGGGTAGACACCACTGTCCCGAACCTCCCAGCCATCGTGCTTCAGCTGCCTCCACTTCTCAGCTACCTTGAAGCGGATTAACTCGCCAGTCGTCTTTGCATCTTCAAAACTGTCGTGCCCGGCAGCACCGCCTTGCTGGATATCAAGGTCGAGCTTTTCCTTAGCAAGAGCGCGCAGGCCATGGCGAAGAGGTAGACCTCGTCTATGCGGGAAGAGTAGCACAGTATCGATGATGTTTGGATGGATGACTCTGAGGGTATTGAGATCGTTCTCAAGCGCATGGCCGAGTACGGGTGTGGTGGTTGTGACGTGAGCGAGGAACAAATCCCTTGCTGCGTAAGGCGACTCTACAATACGAAGATCATTTCGCTTGGGCTTAGGGTCCGCTGGATCGTAAGGTTTCGCGTTGAGGAATTGCTCTGTCGTGATACCAGAGAATCGTGTGTTCACATCTAGGAGATGGCCGATCGGGCGAACAAGCACATCGACTAGTGGCTTGTGGTGTGGCCAGGAGATGGCTGTGAGTCGCATAAGCTCGAGGCCGTGAGTTGTGTACCCCATCTCGCAGTCGAAGCAGACTGCAATATCTGTCGGTGCCAGGTCATTCACCGAGGTCTCGATGAATGGCATGACTAGTGATAGACGCTTCGGACCCGATATCTTGTAAACATGAGTCTCGTATGAAGTGCAGCCTGGTGAGCCTACAGGTTCGTTACAGCAGGAGAAAGTCGTAGGCTCCGGGCCAGCGTTCTTCGACCTTTTCGGATATATACGCTTGCCCCAGTGGTGAGTGCACTGCCCACCCGTAGTGAGTGCACCATCTTCCTCCCTGCGCTCAGGGAAAACTTGGAAGCGAGTGTTACAACGATCACATACCTCCCAGAAATCTGCTGAGGCCTGTGCTGATCTGGCTTCGTTCAATTCCTCTGTCGTGGGCAGCGTTGTGACATAGCCATGTGCGTCCAAGCCGTCTTGTGGGCATATCAGAGTAGAAAGGAAAACGACTTCTTGCTTCGGCGTGAGACCAGTGTCAACTCTCTTCGGCGGGGGCTTCTTTGGAGGCAGTCCACGCTCTTTTGCCCTTGCCTCAAACCTTTCTTTGACCCACTCCTCTGGTGTCATCTTCTTCAGTTTGAACAGTCGTTGCTTCAGCACGTTTTCGTAGACTGCGGGGTTCGCTTTGGCGATCCGCTCTTCTTCGTCCACCGCTAGCTTGTTGAGTTGATTCGGGTCCATATGTACTGCCTTGATCTCGGCCTTCACAGCCTTTGCAATCTTGTCGTTCAGCGGCTTCATGAAGCTATGCAGCATCTTCAACAGTGTCAGTCGCCGGGTGAAGATGGCTGGCTCCTTTACTAATTTGCGTGGCATCAACGCAACTGGACCTGCAGATGCGGGAGTAGCTGCTGCCACAGATGCCTTTGGCGGCGGTGATACTGGCCGTGTCGCCGACTGTGGTAGAGCGTCGGCGTCACTCTTATCATTTGTCGGCTTTGATGATGCTTTTGGAGCACATTCTGAGCCCTTGCTTGATACAACGGCCTTATCTTTGCTCGCTGACAAGCCAGTAAAGACTGCCCTTGGTGTTACACTTGGAGTATCGTCCTGGGTATCGCTGAGCTTCTGTCGCTTCGCGGCTGGCTCGTTTGCAAATGCATTACGGGCGACCACGTTGGACGGCGTGGTCTCTTGTTTGACAGCATCATGGCTGAAGATGCAGTAGGGGAGCTCACACTTGGTACCCGCAGGGCACGCGATGTTGCCAAAGCTTCTGAATGCGGGTACTGCTGGCCACATTGTGTATTACTGGTCTACAGCCAGACACTTGAATGTGGTGAGCAGGGAAGGTAATAAACTCGATCACACCCAAACATACCGTGTGAGCAGGTCGCGTGAAAGATAGAGTGGCGCTGCTGAACGATGATGTGGAAAGTTTGTACTCATAAGAAGGGAGCTATAAAGAGCGTCAAAGCCAAGAGGTAAAAAGAGTCGCTACTCTTACATGTCCCTTTACTACTTTCACCGAGGCTCGCCTAGCGCGCGAAGCTTCCACAGTGATGAGCCACGTCGCGCGGTGTTGGCTCGAAGTGAGAGGGAGCTGTGGCGCACGCGGCAGGCCGAACGCTAGATCGCCAAGCTGCAGGGTCGCGACGACCCCGGCTGGACTCACCTCGCTCCAGCCATGACGTTTTGATGCGCGCTGGACATCTTTAACTTGTCGCACGGTTGCAAAAGACTCACCAGCACTTCTCCATCTCGGAGGAAATACGAAGTACAGTCAGCGTATATATCCGCATCATTCCACCTGTTCACTTTGATTGGTGTAACGCCAAGTCGTGTCGCGACTGCGTTCCGAGCTCACGTCCGATAAGACCGCCAGCCGGACGAGATATGGGAGCCGATAGCTACAATAACAACCGCTTCGCCCCTTCCTGCCTGAAATACTGAATCACTTCCTCTCACCTCACACACAAAGCGATGGCTACCTCGACATCGACTAACACTTCACGTAACGTTACACACCTCGTGGTTCTTGTTCATGGGTGAGTTTAGCGTCATGGGGCGACTCTCGCCTCTCGCTTCTCACCAGGCAAACATCTTTGGCTAACGATTTCAAGTCTCTGGGGCAACCCAGCCCATCTCAAATACCTCACTGACAGCATCCGAGAGCGGTATCCTGATCTCGACGTTCTTGTTCCCAAAAACAACTCTGGCAGCTTCACTTACGATGGCATCGAGCTTGGTGGCGAGCGCGTTGCAGACGAGGTCGAGACTAGACTCGAGGAGCTGAAGCAAGAAGGGCACACTATCGAAAAGTTCAGCATCACTGGATATTCGCTTGGAGGCCTCGTCGCCAGATACGCCATTGGACTGCTGTACCACAAAGGCGTCTTTGAGCAGATCCAGCCAGTGGTATGCTCTTGCCAAATAATTGGCAATTGAATGTGACTGATCAGCTTATAGAACTTCACGACTTTTGCGACGCCCCATCTTGGTGTCCGGACTCCCTTGAAAGGATATACCAGCCATGTATGGAACGTTCTGGGAGCCAGGACCCTCTCTACGAGCGGCAGACAGTTGTTCGCAATCGATGAGTTTCGAGATACTGGTAGGCCCATCCTGGCAGTACTGGCAGACCCCAGTGCGATCTTCATCAAAGCTCTGGCGCAGTTCGAGACCCGAAGCTTGTACGCGAACATCGTCAACGACCGTACAGTGACTTACTATACCGCCGGTATATCCCAGACCGACCCGTATGTGAAGCCAGATGACGTGCAGATGAATTACGTTCCAGGTTATGAGGATGTCATTATCGACGGCGAGAAGCCGGTCCTGCCAAAACAGCAGGAGCCTCCACAGGCCCTCATGCGACGCTTGACTGCTTCCACGCGAGTTGCACTCACTCGGGTTCCTCTCTTTGCTTTCCTCGTCGTATTTATCCCCGTCGGTACTACGCTCTTCCTATGCAACTCTGCGATCCAGTCTGTCCGCAGTCAGCAGCGCATCCGCTTGCACGAGGCGGGGGCAGCTGGCATTGAGACAGACCGCTACCGTGTCCCTCTCATGCTCAACGCTGCCCGCAAGGAGGTTGAGGACATGTTTGAAAACGTCAACAATGCTCACGAGCAAGAGTATCTGGGAGTGGACAGTGAGGAGTTCGCCTCACCTACCCAGCCTACTTCTCCCAGATTTGAGGACAAGAACCCAATTGCCGACATCGAAGCCACCCAGGAAGCCAAGCCAGGGTCTCTTTCCCACTTCCCAGCCCTTGCTTTGCGGCAGGATCAGTTCAGCATGATCGAGGCTCTCGACAACGTTGGCTTCAAGAAGTTCCCGGTCTATATCCACAACCACCGTCACTCGCACGCAGCCATCATCGTGCGTATGGACAAGAAGTCCTTCGACGAGGGACGGGTTGTTGTCAAGCACTGGCTCGACAACTTTAAGGTCTGATCGGTTCGAGTGACCCTTCTGCATTTCAACACATCTTTCAGCACTCAAGCATGGCGTATTTCAACATTGAGAATTATGGGATGTTTCAGCATCACCCAAATCTCGGGAGTTTCTAGCATTTGGAGCAACAAGGTCTGACGGTTCAGCGCATACCCCATGGCAGTAGTATCTCTGCATTTTACACTTTATAGACAAATCCAAAATCGACTTGACCCTCGTTTCCATCCACGTTGCCAGTTGTATCATGGCTGTGAGCTTGAGATTGTTACACGGTTATCATTTGTCGCGCCTGCGCCTTCAGCCTGCGCGGCCCAGCACGCGTCCTCTCACCCAGACCACCGTCCCCACTCCCCCCTAGCACAAACCAGAATGCAGACCAGCTGTCCCAAAAGCTTAGCCCACGTTTCAAAAGCTTAGCCCTCGCTCCTCATCGTCCAACCACTCACACCGCCCATCGCACATTCCACACCCCCACCCACCGACGCACACGCCCACGCAGCCAATTTCCAGACTCACGTCACTCACGTCACTCCGGCCGTGCCGGCGCAGAACAGTGCCAGGGGATCCACGGCCGGAGATTCTCTCGGCGCGACGGGCTCCGGCGACGCGGGTCCACAGCCTCTCGGCGGCGCTGCGCGAGAGGCGCGCGAGGGTGCTCGGAGAGGGAGCATCCGCGGTTACGCAACGGGCGTGTTTCGGAAGGGCGCTAGGGCGGGGTGTGTGCGTGTGACAGGCGATCGCTGCGGGTTGGGGGGAACGGGTCTAGGGTTTTTGCGTGGTGGAGGGTGGAGGGCGAAATGGGGATGTGGGTCGCAAATGTGTTTGCTGCGAGGCTGGGACTGGAGTGCATGCGCATCGTGGTGGGAATCAACAGGTGCTGTACTGTAAACAGTTGGGGCAGGGCGCGCAGGCATGTCCGTGGCAGTGATGTGCAGGTGCGTTTCACCAACGCCTGGAGAAGCGGTGCGCGTGAGTGACAGATGTGGGTACTTGATTGTTAAAACTCTAAATCTACTGTGGTATCAATGCGGCTGTGTGTGTTCATGCTTCTGCTCTGAAGTGCAGTTCGAATCCAAGATCCGAGCGAAACCAAAAAAACCTATATGCGCCATATGTGCAGTCTTGCTGCTTGGTATCCGGGAATCATCATGTGGACATGCCATGCCCAATGGACGCCGTGAACTCCCTGGTGACGCCGCTATCGATCGCTAAGAAATGCTGCTGGTATGTTATATATACAGTTGATGTTATAGCTCAGTCAATGAGCTTGCGGCCGTGACCACTGCTCGGCTCCGGGCCTCTAGTCCATGAGCTTCTGGAGTGCATCGTCGGTTTCTCGTCGCCCTTCTTTCAGACATCTGCCTTCTCTGCCGACTTTCTGTTGCAAGGTGCGCAGTTCGTCGGTGTTGGTGTTGTCAAACGCGAATGCGCCGCTCCAAAATCCGCAGTCGATATTGGTCGTTTCGTTTCGGTAGAGGACCTGTGCTTGGCCAGCCAGATCGACAGGTGGAATTCCAGCCTCTTCTTCTCCAGCTCTTGCGCCGATTTCTGCAATCTCGCTCTGGCCTGGCATGTGGTGAAACAGCTCAGAGTTGAATGTCCAGCAGCGGAGACCCGGACTTGCGTACCTGTGTCGTAGATTTGGGTCGGGGTGTGGCTTGGGATTGTTCCATCTTACGGTGGGTGAGGGTGTCTTAGACCCTTTGTTGCACGCGTGCAGGAGCGAGACGTCAAACGCACGAGGTCCCTTCTTACGGAGCTTCGGCGGTGCGAGATCACTAAGCAGACGCTCAGCGGACGGGCGCGTCACAGCATAGCCGAACGAGCAGAGCGGAAATTTGGATCGGTGGAAGATGCGCGAGTGCGCAGGCATCTGTAGTGCGCCAAACAGAGCTTGCGTGAAAGGGTGCAGGTCGGATCGCATAGGCAGCGTGTAGTCCTTGTACAACACGTGAGGTGTGTCAGTCAGGTTGTAGCGCTTGTTCGTTGTTTTTGGTCCGTCCTCGGTGATTTCGTCGAAATAATCACCGCAATGGCCTAGATAGAGTAGATCCCACTCATCGTGATTGCCCCAATACTGCACGTGCTTACTGCCAAAGTTCGCGAACGGATGATACGATCGCTGTGGTGGCAGAAGCTGGCGGGCGGCGCTTGCGGCTAGCGGAATCTGAACGCTGCGAAGACGAACGTCCCAGTCGACGTCATCTTCGAGAATGAGTGCAGTCTCGAGTCCAGAGTCTAAGAACCTGCGATAGCGAATCAGCTGCGGCTCCGTGGAATGGAGCACGAGGCTGCAGCCAAGAAGTGCCTGCAGAAGGGAGCTTACCAGCGGAGAGCGTTGTGGTGACCCAACCACGCTAGTATTGAGCCTCTTTGAACGTTGTCTTGACCGTTGATGAAGCGTTCAACATCGCCCTCGGTCCACTGCGGCTGCGCTGGAATGGTGAGGTCCACGTCGGTGACGTTGGCAGCTTGCAGCAGGGCATGGCGGCGTTCAGAGCTCTCCTGCGAGACGACGACAACAGCACCAAAGCCAAGCGTGCTGTTCGCAGGCAGCTTCATGGGGTGCGACTCGATGGAGGTCGACCATTGCTGGTACAGACGGTCGGCACGGTCCCGATGGTAGAAGACGATGACGAGAACGAGCGCAAGGGCAGCCAGCAGCGGCAGCGGCCGCTTTCTCGTCGCAAGCATGGCAGCTGGGGAACGAGCGAGACTTTTTCAAAGGAGTGGATCAGTGCATGGCGCAGAGCGAGAGGGCAGGGCACGAGGCGGCGACAGAGAAGGAGCGGGCGGCGACAGAGAAGGAGCGGGCGGCGACAGAGAAGGAGCGGGCGGCGACAGGACTTGCAATTGCAGGCAGGACCGAATGGGCAGGTCGACGTTTAAGATGGCTCGTCGTGCAGCCATGTTGGACAGGGATGTGCAGGTCGATCAGCGGCTTGTATCAGTTGTGTCAAGCTACGTTTAATTTGAGCAGTGGAGACACTGGAGACGACGCGTACATAGGTGCGACTGTTACATAGTGTAGCCAAGGGCCAGACAGCTGATCCAAGCATCGAGGGAGCGGTGCGACAGCCCGGCACGCGCAGGCGCAGCCAGGGCGGCGGCGGTGCCAATATATCGAGGAGGCGCGCCGTGCTGTCATGCTGTCTGGCAGTGTCTGCGGTCTGCGGTCTGCGGTCTGCGTTGCGAGTCGCTAATTGCAGGGCGAGGAGCGGCCGGGCAGTCACGTGGGCAGGTTCCGTGGACCAGATCTGCGGCGGCGGCGCCAGGGACCGCTGGGAGCCTCCGCCAGTGCTGCGCGACTCCGGGGTAGCAGACTGCGCTGCACTGCACTGTCGCCGCGCTCGTGCTGGCCGCCCTTCGCGCCGCTGCGGGTGTGCCGGTGGCTGCGGGCTGAAACTGCAGTGCAACAGGCCCAGCTCAGGCTCCCGCGGCGCCGTCGCGCCGTGGGCTTCTACACGTTCTTCTCGAATGAATGGCCGGCGCTAGTGGCCCCATCGAGCTGCGTCGAACCCGTCCACTCCCAGTGCCTCCGCCCTCATGCTCTGTCTCGCGCTGCGCCGGTAACGAGAGCCCCGAAATGGCCACGCTGGGCTCGCCCTCCCCCCCGTCGTCGCCGTCCCGCGCCATGCGCCCGCGCGCCTGGGCCCGCAAGGTCGAGCGCTACTGCTGCAACACCATCACCTACTTCCCGCTGCTGTTCGTCTACGGCCTGACCTCGTGGGCCGCATGGGTCGAGGTCGGCATCGGCCTCGTGCCTGCGAAGAACGCCTGGACTGGTGCGTCCGCCCTCTCCCGCGAGACACCGCTGATCCGCTGACCCGCCAGGCCACTTCACGTCCGCGCTCGGCTTCGCCCTCTACTGCCTGCTCAACTGGAGCTACACCGCCGCCGTCTTCACCGACCCCGGGTCGCCGCTCAGCCTCCGCAATGGCTACAGCAACCTGCCGCAGCAGGAGGGCGGCGCCATGCAGTACACGTCCTTCACCGTCAAGGCCTCGGATGGCGGCGTGCGCTTCTGCAACAAGTGCCAGACCCACAAGCCCGACCGCGCCCACCACTGCTCGACCTGCAAGCGCTGCGTGCTGAAGATGGACCACCACTGCCCGTGGCTGGCCACGTGCGTCGGCCTGCGCAACTACAAGGCCTTCCTGCTGTTCCTGGTCTACCTGACGCTGTTCTGCTGGGTGTGCTTCGCCGTCTCCGCCACGTGGGTGTGGAGCGAGATCCTGAGCGACAACACGTACACCGACTCGCTCATGCCCATCAACGACGTGCTGCTGGCCGTGCTGTCCGGCATCATCGGCATTGTCATCACCGGCTTCACCTCGTGGCACCTGTGGCTGGTGTTCAGGGGCCAGACCACCATCGAGAGCCTGGAGAAGACACGCTACCTGTCGCCGCTGCGCCACGCCATGAAGCACAGCCTCAACGACCGCAACTACGTCGACGCCCAGGCCAACGGCCGCCTCAGCATCGGCGACCAGCTGCGCGAGATCCACGCGAACGCCCTCCCCGGCGTCACCCGGCCCGAAGAGGGCGAGACGCCCGCGCGCTCGCCGGCGCCGTCCAACGCGCAGGGCAACGGCTACTCGCACCCGGCCCACAACTCATACGAGTACCGCGAACGCCAGCAGAACCAGGACCGCTACGACAACTACCTCGACGAGCGCGACAACGAGCAGCTTCCGAATGCATTTGATCTAGGGTGGAGACGCAACATCGCCCACGTCTTCGGCCCCTCGCCGATCAAGTGGTTCATCCCCCTCGTCAGCACCACAGGCGACGGCTGGTCGTGGGAGCCAAGCTCCAAGTGGATCGCCGCGCGCGACCGCATCCGCGACGACCGCGAGCGGGAAGAGCAGCAGCAGAAGCAGCGCGAGCGCGCTGCCGGCTGGGGCCTCGACACCCCCACCGAAGCAGAATTCCGCCGCGTTGGCCGCGTGGCCCAGGGCTGGCAGCCCGGCGGCTACAAACAGCCCCCGTCCCCGCGCGTCTCCTACCGCCACGCCGACCAACCGCAGTACCTCAGCACCACCCCGCACCGCGACGGCCGCCGCAGCCCCAACAAAGCCGACCAGATCCTCGGCCGCGAACAGGGCATGTACGCCGACGGCGACGTGCCGCTGCAGCCGCTGCCCGCCAAGAAGAAATTCGACGAGTACAACTATATCTCCGACGACGACGACGCCCTGCCGTCTTCGTACGAAGACTCCAGCGACGAGCTGCCCGCCGACCGCCGCATCACCACCCAGACCCGCGCCCTCCCCGCCACCAAGAACTGGAACGACCTGCCCGAGGGCTTCCTCGACGCGCCCAAGAAGCGCCGCAAGAGCGCGAGTCGCGAGCGCACCCCGCGCGGCCGCAAGGATAACTGATTTACTTGATATGACGCCATGGCGATATGTACACATGTATCTGCATATACCCGGCGTACTCGCAAGTCTTGCATACACAGCGGCGTTTATTTGGAAGGGGGGAAGGGAGGGAAACTACCTTTTTTGTATTTTGCTCACTTTTTACTTCTTCACATGAGCGCTCCTCGGCATTGGATCCTCTTATATTACGAGACAACCTCACTTATTACTACCTACTTATATTTCTTGCTTGCATGCCCCATTCTTCATATACTCCTCATTCCTCAGTCGAGATTTCGGAACGGGAGCACGTGTAGCGATTGAAGCACCCGCACAGTCTGAGTTTATAGTGGAAGCGCCACTGTAGTGACTGCAGAGATGAAGCACACGCACAGTCTGAGTTTGTAGTGGAAGCGTCACTATAGTGACTGCAGAGATGACATTGTGGTATCTACGTCGCTGTGCATATACAGCCAGAAATCAAAAAAAGACAGTCAAAGCCGCAATGGGCAGTCCCAATCCCAAAGTGAAAGTAGCCGTACCAGCCAAGTGTGCCTCCTATAACGCCAGTGATCCATACAGCTTACTTGGTCCCTACATCCAAAATCGAAAAGAATAAAAAATTACGATGAAGTTTCGTCGTCGTTCACGCTCGCACTCACGTACCCATCGTCGACGTCTGCTAACCCGACAAGCGTCTTGCTCGTCTTGAGGCAGTACTCGACGATCTTGGTTCTCGCTTTGTTCGACAGGCCACGGCGACGACCAGTCTCGCGTCCAGCCCATGTGCGCAGCGCAGAAGCGATGCGTTCTAGACCGGAGCTCGTCTGAGCTTGCAGCGAGGCGTCCTCCATAAAGCGTGTAAGGACCTTGTGGCCAGCGACAAAGCTGAGTAATGTCGTGGTACATTCGGGGAGGAACGTGTTGTTGACGACAAAGACGGCGCGCTTGTGTGCACCTCGGTGTGAAGACTCGACAAGGGAAAGGCATTTCGCCAAAGTAAGTGCCTTGCGAACATCCACTGCAACAGTGCCGTCGCCAACGAGGTTCAGACCGGCCTCGCTTGCCTTGGAAGACGGTGGCTTAGGCAAGGCCTCCAGTGCCTTGGCAATACGTGCGTCGCGGTCCTCATCGAAGACAACGGCATCGGCGACCAGAGCTCGCATCTGAGCCTGCGAGTTGGCAGGTGCAGTCTGAAGGGCGAGGTCGAGATCGGAAGTCGAGTCGGACTTCTTCGTCGCGAGGTAAGTAGCAAGGCCCCTGTTCAAAACAAGGCTGGAATACCATGCTGCAAGTGCATCGAGCGGCGAGCTGATGGCAAAGTCCTCAACGACACCGTCCATGGAAGGGTCAACGACAGTATCCTCGGCGTTAGACCGGTTCCAGGCAAGGTTGTAGGCGCGCTGGATGATTGGTGCAACAAGCACCTCGTCACACTCTCTTTCAATGAGAGCGGCCAGGTGGTCAGGAAGCGGCTCTGCATCCGGAGTCTTCGAGTTACAGGCAATGCGGTGTTCGCTGCGAGCAGCATTCCAATAGCTGCGAGCTAGATTGGCGCTCAGTTCGTCCATCACCCACCATCCAACATACGTATCAGATGGACACTCCCAAAGCAGTACACGAATGTGAAGAGCCTTGAGCATGAGTCGTGCCGGTGTATCTGGAAGCGTTCCTGAGGCCATCAAGCTCAGTACAAGTCGGCTCTTGCTGATCTCTGCGTCGCCACCCGTAAGCTGAGCGTCCAACGCAATGTTCCAGGCCTTGACTCGGGCAACTTCCTGATCCTTCGTTGTGCCAGTGAGGTAAGCATATCCGTCCCAGCCAATGATCTTGCGTGTGCTGAGTTTCAACATCTTCAGGGCAAGGGCTGCGAGTTCGAGAACGAAGTTGTGCTGGGGTACCCAAACGGTCTGGATTGCAGTAAGCCACGCCTTGCGACGCACCTCAACTGGAGAAGCGAGAGATGGCGCAGGTGCCAACATAAAGGCCGGGAGAGATTTCTTCTTCTGCTTTGGCTTCGACTCAAACAGGGGAGCGATGATGTAGAAGAACGCGCCAAAGACAAGGAGGAGCTTTGCGATGGGTATCTGTGCGGTCGTGCTGCCGAAAGATGTGGTGGGAGATAGAATGGACGCGAGGTTGATGGGAAGTGCGAAGAGCCCGCGGCCAGATGGTTCGTCCTGCGACTGCTCTTTGGTGGAGATGCCTTCGAGAATCATCAGACCAGCGAGAGATCCGACCATGAGCTTGCCCATCATTGCGCTGCTTCGGCGTCCGTTAACCATGGGCGGTCCTTGAACCGGACGGCCCTGGCCAGGGTATTGGGGATAAGCATGGGCGTAGTGCTGCTGCGGTGGCAGTCCTTGCTGCAGAGCGCGGATGTTTTCCGGCACAGGTATCATTCCTTGTGGAGGTCCAGACATTGGCATGTGGTGCGCAAATGGATCCTCCTGGAATCTGCTACCGTCAGGGGTGCTGACGGTGCCATGCAGGGTCATAGGTCCGGAGATGGCCATCTTCTCGTAGCTCTCAATTCGGCCCTTTAATGTTGTAACCTCGTCTGTCAGGCGCTTGTTGCGCTTTTCTAGATGGCGGATATACTCAGTGGCCTTGGAGAGCACAGTGGCCTTGTTCAGCTTGTGTGCCGGTGTGAGACCCTCGAGGTCTTCCGGGTCGTCGTCCTCCTCGGTACCATTAGGTCGGGACATGACACGTAGACTGGGAACACTGTCGCGCAGAGCAGCAATTTTGTCGTTCAAATTGGTTCGGTAGCGCTTCTCAATCATGTTGTGCGCTGTCTTCTTGGGCGGCTGAGATCCACCCTTCTTGCTTGAAGGCGGATCGTCGAAGTCGTCAATGTCGTCTGTGGACTTCCTCTTCTTGAGATTAGTAGCGGGCTCGGGTGAGGAGTGCGACGAGGAGGTGCCATTGTTGAGGGAGCTGGGGCTGTGGTGGAGGCTGGGTGTCGAAGCTGGCGGGCCGGGCTGGGCGAACGTGGAGGGCGTGTAGAGCTGTTGCTGCGAGTGGGCATGTTGCTGCCACATGGGCGGCGAGTAGAAGCCCGTCTGCTGGGAGTCGGCGGCCGAGGGCGAGCTCAGCGCGTTGCCATTGAAGTCAAAGGCAGCGGGCATGTCGACCGCGCCGCCGAAGGTGAAGGGCACGCCGGGTTGCGAATACATGGGAGCGGACGTCGGCACGGCAGCAGGCGCGGAGGTCATCTGGGAGGGCTGCGGCTGCGGCTGGGACTGCGAAGGGTTCTGCGGGGCGGCTGCAGGATTGTACTGCATCCATTCGTTCCAGCTGGTGAGGTCGTCGGCCGGAGCGGGCAGCGTCATTTCGTCGCCGGCCGTGGTCAGCCAAGGGCCGCGCATACCGCCGAAGGGAAAGTCGCTCGACATCATCGGGTCTTCCATGCTACTGTCGGTCGCGGACCTGGGCAGCGGCGGGGGCTCGGGGCGACTGGTCTGCTGCTGGCGGGGACTGGCGTTGACACCAAAGTCTGCAACGCAATACGGGCCAACCTGCGGGCGCCATGTTAGCACAGCGATCCAGTGACGGCGGGCGGGCGGCGGCAGCAGCACGCACGGCAATTCTCTCGAGCTCTAGCCCGTCGTCGGGGCTGCCATAGGCGTCAGTAGCCATGGGGGTGGGGGCAGGCAGAGGCGGCGAGCGAACTCTACTGCGACGGGGACATGTGCGGACAACAACAACGAAAACACGGCTCTCAGCACTGCGCCGGCACCACAACAACAGATTGCCTAGAGGGTGTGTAGAAGGAGAGCGGCGCCGTCTTACCGTGAAAGGACCACAGGTCAGGTCACCATGCACACGAAACTGCGGAGCGGGCAGCGGGCAGCGCTCAAGGGTCGCTGCAAGCTGCTTGGGGTTACGGACGGACACGAACGGGCCAGCGTGCTGTGACTGCTATGCACAAATGGCCTGTTTGCAGGGGACTGAGCTCGAATCCAGTCGATTCTGTGGAAGCAGCTGCAGTTGTGCGGTGGGTATGGGCTGATTCTTCGAGGCCACGGCAGGGGAAGGCGCCGCCTATGTCGTACGATGTTGAGGCAGTCCGCCTAATGGAGCAGGGGCCAGGGGCCAGAGTCGGCGGGAGGTCGCCGCCAAACGAGCTGGACGAGTTGTGAGATGCTGCACCACGCGCGCTGAGACAGGCGGCCTCTGGATTCAGATTGTGGGGAAAAAGCAATCGACGTCGTCCAGAGGGGAGAGAAACACCAGCGGCCTGTCTTGCGCGCGCCTTGGCCGGCCTGAGCGACCGCACCATTAGCCGCGTCCGGCCTGCGTGCCCGAGAACTGCCGTGTCGCCGGGCAATTCTGCGTGCAGGCCTGATCCTCGTCGTGATCCTCGTCGTGATCCTCGTCGTGATCCTCGTCATGATCGCCGCGTCTCTGCCGTCGACGTCGCCTGCAAATGCATGCACACGCACATTCACAGACGCAATGCGAACCCCTATCGATAGCGATGCTGTCGGCCCTCTCTCCGGCTCGCACATGGCATCGCGACGGGCGATCTCCCGTGTGGGGACCTGCATTGCAGCTAGCGGAGGAGTCGAACCGTGGTAGCCGCATGTCAATTTGAAAACTGCGACACTGGCGGCGACGGCTACCACTCTTTGGTGCGCGCATCACGTGAGTACTCGTCGAGGCTGGTCGAGGCTGCGTCGAGGCTGCGGCGAGGCAGCCATCGACGAACGCGGGCAACGAGACAAAGACACGAGCAATACGGATGGCAGGCTAGCCGCAGCTCGTCGCCGGGCAATTTCCACACAGCCAAGTGCTGAGCGCAGGGACGAAGCAACGCGATCTACGCTCTGATGCAATGCCGACAGCAGCCCAGGTGGTCGGAGCACGTCGTCGAGCACTTTTTACACTTTGAACCGTCATAGCCGAGCACAGAGCCCGTAAACGAAACAACGCAATGTATGCTTCTATGCAACGCCGATCTTATGTACGCCATCGCTGTCAGTCCAACCCGCCATCTAATGCTACTGCATTACCGTCGTGAACCCAACATCTCCTTGCCCATGCCGTCACGCCCCTCTTCTTTCGTGATCTGCTCCGCGGCCTTGACAAGATCGTATGTGATTTCGTCACTGACCACGCTGTCCTTCTTGTACTCCGGGTGCGTCTGCACAAAGTTTCTTATCCACTTCGCTGCTGTCCAATACGTGCCGTTCGCCCTTTTCCTGATGAGGTCTAGATACGTCGCCAAGTCGCATCTTGTCTCGACATCGACGTTCATACTGTTGAGGTATGATTCGACGAGAGGGATGAGGCCAGGGAAGCCGCCGTCGGTCTGCTGTCCGTTGATGATCTCGTTGACACTCATCTGCTCGTATTCGTCCTCAACGGGGCCTGGTGTCGGTGGGCGGCTCGGCATATTGGCGGGTGTCGATGTGCCAGGCCCATTTGTGCGGCTCGAGGGATATGCTGGGAAAGGCGATTTGCGGAACCAGAATTTCTGGGTCGACACAGCGTCGCGGATGTGAGCTGTCTCCATGTTCTCCGATACGCGTGTGATAGGGATGTAGAAGTTCAGATTGAAGGACAAGATGGCGCGGGTGATGAGAACAATGAAGATCGAGAAAGCAGCATTCTCGAAGTCAGTGATCTGGATCTCCATCGGCCTGAATTCAACACGCCAGCCAATGTCCGAGCCAACGGGTGGCGGCTTGAAGCGCATGTGCTGCCAGTTGGTTGACTGAAGATTCTCGAAGTGATCGGCCTTGTTGAGGTCGAGTTCATCGAGATCCTCGTTGAAGACAACAATGGGATCGCGGATGAAAAGATGTGCAAAGTGAGTTGCCAAAGCATCATCCATACCACCCTCGATCAAACGCTTTTTGAGATCTTGATCCACAATAAGGTCAGGATCCAGGTACTCTTTTCGCAATCGAGGGTCTTGTGAGATGTAGGTTGAATTGGACGCGTAGCGAGACTTGGGCAGTCGCCAACGGTCGTTCTTGAGTGGCTAGCTCGGAAGTCAGTTGCGGTCTAGAATAGCAAAAATTGACACCTACTTTCTCTCCCAGCTCCTCTGGTGTGCGGTCGTCAACTGCGCGACTGATCTGGTTCCAGCGCACGTCTGTATCTGCTAGGAAACCCTTGTAGATAGGTGTGGCTGCAGTCAATGCGAGCAAAATGGGTCCCAATGGGCTCAGCTGATCATACATTGTTCGCCCTTCCTCAACATTCTTGGCCTGGAACGTAATTTGCAGACAACAGCTACCCATCCCGAAAGCCATGGCATCCATGTGGATAAAGTTGTCGGGGGCAGCACCGTTGCGGACATCATCGTCCTCGGGCCAATTGTGCAGGTCATAGTTGACGGTAGGGTCCTTCCACGGCCAAGGGGTATTTACGTCCTTGAAGACCGGTACGTTGACTTGCACCTTTCTGCCTCGCCGCGAACGAATGTTTGCCGCTAGCGTGGGGAACCGGATGTGAGGGTTGGCAATCTCATCCGGCACGAATTGAGACCGCAGCTTTGGTCCCGACGGCGGATAGTCTGGGATCAAGCAATCCTTGTTACCAAGTCGGGGGAAAGTTGTCAATGTAATGGGAAACTCAGATGCCTCCATGTGCTCCTTTGCAATTTTCCGTCTGCGCCAAACGTGTCAGTATACGTGCAACAAGATCCTACTCGATACCGTACCTCCACTTCATGTTCGGCTCTACGTCCAAGAGATCTTTGAACCCAATTCCCCATGGTTTTCCAGGGGTTGCTTCGAGCATGAAGCGTCCAAACTCAGGGTGAAAGACTGGCGCAGGGTTCGCAATACCTCTGCTATGATCAGTGAAATACTTTCAACCCCATTCAAATCCACTCACCTTGTGTCACCAGTCTGCACATCAGGGACACCACCACCTTCGGCGAGAAGCTTCTCATCGGTGGCTAGCGCCGCAAGGATATCTGCCTGTCGGAGAGACAGTCGGACCTTGCGATTATTCTGATCATAGCAGACCACCAGATACTCGATCTTGAAGCCTGTCAGCGATCGCGATCTGGTTTTTCTCAGTGTGTGTTTACCTCATCGCCCCACAGCAGTGCATCTCTTTCTTTGCCCTTGTAGTCGCGCCAAATCGCCAGTAGTTGCTTCAACCCGTGTTAGCATCAACGTTATCTCGAAAGACTAGCTCATGCCTACTTCGATACCCCATGATCTCACATGGCTGGCAACCTTCTTGGCCTCGGGCCATTCAAGCGGCGTTCCAATGGCACTTCAGCCGCATTAGCACTTTTGACCGAAGCTGATGGCACATGTCTCACAGTAGACCCATTCCGTCACAGCCCTACAAATTCAGCCTTCTTCGGAGAAAACAGCGGTCCGGATAGGTGCGTTAAACAGTGCTAAGTGGTTTTGCACGGTGGCGGGGTTGGCACTTCCGAAGCTCGACAGATCTAGGATTAGTGGGGCAGGGTTTGTGCGAACGAGTGGGATATCAGCAACAAACAACAAGACAAGGCTGGTTTTCCAGTGGGCGCAAGATCCTCGAGGACGCAAGAATTATGCTGGCGAGAACCTGAGACGCCAATATCAGATGTCAGGAGAAAATCAGCTGGAGCTGGTGGTTTAGCTGACAAATGTGAGGTTGGCCGGCGCTCCGAGATGGTAGCGACGAACCGGACAACTCATTAGCCGAATGTGGAGTTCGAAGAATACCATCACAGCAACATCATCATTGTCGACACTGTCACGCTGTCAGGGCAGACAAATGCACACTGAATTTTTCACCAGCGAAACGAATTGGGAAAGGCAAGCTGTCTGAATAAGTCTTCATTAGTTCACGTGCGGATCTCATGCAGCTCGTTGTCCTAGTACACGTTTTATCTTAACAAGCACGAAGTAATACGAGAAAACGGCACTGCAAGCTACAAGGGCTTTCTGTTTCGAAAACTCGGGCCGCATCTCAAATGGCACGGGCATCAGAACTTAACCGCAAAGACTGAACTGCCTGCCTTCTACCGACTAGTCCACACGAGAGTACGGGGGACTCTTGTCCGCAAAAGACCGTGAAACTAGCTCACCGCACCTCCGCAGCCCCACGCAGCCTATATTAGACGTGTTAAGAGTTCCCGGCGTCCGCAGGACGCCGGGAATCAGTCGTGGGTGTTTTTAGAACTAAAAGAGATTTTGTATTGTTGTCGACTGCAGGGGTATTTGGAAAGTGCCGGATGGCTGCTTCTCTTGTGTGCAAGAGCCGGGATCCTAAAACGGTCTTTACACATGCTCAGCATGCCCGTTTATATTAACCTTTCAACGTTCTTCCCGCCTTCTTTCGATTTGCCCACGTGTACAGGTCCCTCCATGCAGCTAAAGCCGCACGAACGCATGTTCCCTGAGCCATCGAGGGGAGCCGTCGCCACTCACCCCTCACATCACAGCCCCCGGCTCAAAGGCGCAACCCTGACATTCTCCGAAGCTACAACGCGCGGCCGCACAAAACTGTTGACATGCATCACCCCGCCCCGGGTATGCCTCGCCGTTATCAATCAGCGTTGCGGCCCGTCGATGCACGGCGCCACTGCGCTCTCCATGCCTCCAGTACCGAGCGGCTTCCGAGACGGATGACTTCCACATGACGGCTGCTTGACTGCAGCGTCCGCGGAATGGAGGACAGCGAAGGCGATGGTGTGTCATTAGCATGCAGCGTGCGCTCGTTCTGTACCACCCCATTTGTGCTGGAATCTTGATTCGCGATCTGAGATCTGCTTGCTTCGTTACAACAATATCCGTCTCCATCACCCCGGAATATTGACGATCGGCTTGTACACCGCATCAGCCTAGCCTTGTGTCTCACAGTCGCCCACTTCGCGCTGGCGAATGCTGTGACCCTTCGGTGCGTGGAGCTGTTGTGTCGTGTTTAGGTGAACGACGGGATTGCGCAGTTATCGTGCGCTCGCCGAATCGGGCACCTTGCAGGGTTGAGGAGAAACACAAAACCAGGGTTGTGCAAACTTTCTTGGTCAGATCTCCTGCCGTGATACAATGCGTTCTGGAAGTGGTCTGACAGCTTCGTTCCTGTGTCGCCGGCCGCGAAACCTGCTAGAGTAGTTTGGCCATGCGCATACGGGTTGCCGAGACATGTGAATGTAGTGTCTTGACTCGGTGTAATCTGCTGGCAGGCTCTCCCTGTGAATCGTGAGCAAAGTGCGAAAGATCGTGTGTGTGATCTCGGTTGACTGTAGCATTTATGTTGCTGGGCCTAAAAGCCGGGTGATATCTCTTCAAAATCTCTAACTGACTGGCGCTCGGCACTTCTGATAAAGTGCGGACCGTACAAAGATGCCATATAACAAAGTTCTCTCCCTCGAGAGCAAGTTTTTCGACCCTAACGCCAGCAAATGATGAATCCGCCCTGATAGGGGATCGGGTGTGAAGAACGCCGTTGACCAGTCGTGGGGCCTAATAGCCCTGCGCGTGTGCCACAATGCAACTATCGCGGGTATAAAACAGTCAAAAGAAAAACTCCCGCGCGATGATCATGGCCAGTTTTGGCAGACCTGACCTCGGCATCGTCGTAAGCACAGAACCGTTTCGAGTACTGATTGTGCCTCGTGTCCATAGACAGAACCCGGGCCGGTCAGCTAAATACACCATGGGTGCTCTCGCGTTCCTGAGCTTGCGTGCAACGGCGTGGGAGGCGAATAATATACTCCGGTCATTAAAATACGATGGCGTTGTCTCTGATAAGACAATATGTAAATGCAAACATAGATGTCCTTGCGCCGACGCTCCAATAAAAAGCAAGATAGACTTCGAATGCTTTCGAAAGATGCAAAGAAGAACTGATAACTAGGGGTGTACCAGTCTGTCCGGGGGTGGATCGTCGAAAAGTCGACCTATGTGGGACGGCAAGTAGGGTTCCCAAGAGAAAGGACTTTAGTTCGCTTGAACGGCAACGTATGATAGGGTGTCCTTGCTCATACAGCAGGGGAACCATGGTCGATCGATTTCGGGCGGAGATTCGAGCTAGTCATGGCATCCTTGCCAATCTTCCTGGTCAACTTTGCGTAGTCTGAGACGCATCAGTATGTGGTAAGAAAGCAGCGGTATATAACTTACGAAGACCACAGGCATTGCACAGAGTCCGAGCACCGTCAGGACCTCTGCGCCACTCTGGTGTTTCAGCACGATTGCAGCTGTGGCATCGACCAGGAGGGGCAGCTCGCTATGACAAGGTTAGAACGCGAGTGTGCGCCAACGTGACTTGAGAACTTACACCTCGTTTACGTGTCTTGTTGTCAGCGCCGGCAAATGCACTGTTGCTTTTCATGTCGTCGCCGTAGCTACTGGATGTTTCATGGTCGTATCCATTTGCACGTCGGTAGTGAGCTTCTCGAGGCGGCTCGGCCATACTGGCTTGCTGATGATTGAAGACCACATCTCGCATGCGTTGAAGAGATATCTGAACCCTTTCACCTTGCTTGATCATATCATCAATTTCCTCAAGTCGTGGTATCGACTGTGGTGTCATGCCAATGCGCTGGGCTTCATGCGGTCTGTGACGATAAGCTTTAGAAAACTCCGAGATACGCCCACATCCATCGGCCATCTGGTAAGGTTAATATCTATTACGATGTAGAGTTTTGGGAATACATGCCTCATTCAATGATGCTTCAAGGTCGAAGCTGTCAAGGTGGCGTTTCACGGACTCCCCGTACGGCGCAAGACTAGCACGATTGAGCCTTTTCTCTTCCAGACGGGCTTCGTTGTTGTCACGCAAAGACGTAGGGTAGTATCGGGGTGGCGCAGAGTAGTTCGAGTTTGAAGGAGGGTAGGCCGCAGGCAGTCCGCTTGAGGTAGGTGCCGACTGCCGATAGGATGCATGTTGTGCTTGCGAGTAGCCGTACTGGTGATTCATGGGTTCGGGTGGCTGAGGAGCAGCAGGTTCGTAAGCTGGTGACGGCGCTGGCGGGTACGAAGAGTATGGCAAGTTTGGTCGAGCGGCAGGTGGCGTTGGGGACTGCGCAGTCTTGATGGGGTGCAATGCTGGCAACCTTGGGTTGTGGTGCGATGTCGAATATGGAGGGCGTGGATCATATGGTAGTCGGTGTGTCGAATCGACTTGGTTGTGCGGTGGTGGTGGCGGGGGTGGTACCTGAGCGGCGGCGCTGACGAAAGGGCTGCGAGGGTGTGAGAACGGATTCGGCGGTCCTTGGGCGCTGTAAGAATCCGGTTCGAAAGGTCTTTTTCGTGAATCGGACGGGGAAGTGGTCGTCGCTTGATGATGGGAGGTCGGCGTCGGTGCAGTGGGTGGTGGTGGGACAGGTCCAGGGTATGGAAGCGATTGCTCTGCTCCCAAAGCTTCGGATATCGATGGAAGTGATTGTCGTGGCGCTGATTTGTAGACGTCCTTCTCGTCGCCAGATGTCCTGCGTGATTCCGGAGGTGATAGTAGACCGGCAAGCGAGCCGGGTACTGCGCTGGCGGGCGGCGATTGGTGGGTACCGTGTAGATACGAAGGGTGCAACGGACTGATCATGGCAGGTGTCGAGAGTTTTCGCTGGTAGTCACTTTCTTCCCGCTTGAACCTGCTGGCATCCATGTGATTTATCGAGGGGAGGCCAACGCTGCGAATGTGCAGTCAGTAAGCAGAAACTGGGACAAGTACAACAGCAGCAAGCTTACCTTTGCCTTGCGAGGTCTGATGCCTCCATCACAAGAAAGATGTGAGCGACGGCACTCTTCTGGTGTTGTTACAATGTCGAGATGGATCCGAGCCGCTGCAGAAATGCGGGTACGTGCCTTCCCGCGACTGAATCACAACTGATCGACGAACCCTTCAGCAAACAACAACACAACCAAGCAACTTCCTCCCAATCCGCCTCGAAGTATCGCTGTCGTATTCTCCAGTCCAGCAAACGGCGGCGAAAAAGCGATTTTATTCCTTGTGGGTCACGGCGTCCTCTTTCTATCGCATACGCTGCAGCGTGGGAAACGTTGATGGGTGGTATGATGACTGTCGCTGTTGCTCCTTTCGGCGTCGAATGTCGGTGGCTGACGTGGGGTGGCAGACAGCGGCGTGGAGGGGTCGTTTGGGGCAAGATGCACGAGACGACGGTACTTTTGGGAATCCTTCTCTTACAATGCGCAGCCAGGTCCTGTGGGCGACGGGATGTCAAGTGGTGTGGGAAAGCGTTCGACAGGTGCTACCAGGGCAAAGGCGGCGACAGCAGGTGGTCCCGTGATCTGATCTGACAGTGTGGTCGATGTGTCGATTCGGATCTCAGCGCCTCGTTTCGCCTGCAAGCATGGTGTGAGAGGGAAACGAGTAATGCTGGGGGCATCGACGGCTAAAGCAGATGCAATCGGAGATGAACCGTGCCGGCAGCGAGTAATCGCAAAGTGTGACGAGCCTCTGCAGTGAGAGGCAAGGATGTGCTCGACACCAGCAATCTGATGTTTGCCCCCGGCGCCATATGGGCGGCCAGCACTGCCTACTGGGCAATGATTCTCCACAGCTCCAGCAGGCTCCCTAAAGCGTCGAGTAAGAGGGCAAGGATATGCGGCACGCGAATCTGCCCTTGCGAGTCCTAGCTTCATCGGTCGCATTCGCCCCTCAATGCAGCACAGCACGCTTTCTTTGGCGTGAGATCAGCGCCTCTGCAACTGCATGAGTGCGCCCCTCGTGCACAGTCATGACACTTGCTGCACACTTGCTGCGGACACCTCTCCGCCACCAGCTTCTGGTGCGTAATTTGCGTTTGCTCACGTTCTTTTTCTCTCGATCCGACGCCGTTGCGGCCAGGGGTGGGCATCGTTGGCTGCATCCGCGCCAGTAGTGACGCCGCGGACACGAGGAGAGATTCGCCTATGCCGAATGAGGACCAGCCCGATGACGCGGGACGAATCAACGGGAGGTGCGATCGAGATGGCAGCCGAGCGCCCCACCACTGCATTACGGGGGGTTTGCATCCACGTTCGTCTGTCATCCTTCGCTTGGCCACGGCAGGGCATGAGAAGGCTGCCAGCGCCACCTGTGCAGGGCCGCTGATTTTCGCGGGCACAGCAGCGCAGCACCAGACGAGACAGGCTACGGCAGCCACCGCACGTTGGGCAGCAACCGCTAATACGCGGTACCTCGTCTAGCCAGATTTGCGAGCCCACAAGCCGGCGCTATCGGATATCTCCATGTGCAGCGGTCCTGCCAGGCCTGAATCGTGCGGCACGATCAAGATCAACGTCAGCGGGGGCGGCGGACGATGGGCCGGCCATTCGTCGTTGATACCGAACCCTTTTGCGAGCTGCCCGAGTCGTGGCCCCAGCTCCGCTATCGTTGTCCAAGCGAGTGTGTCAGGCCACTTTTACCAGGGCTTCTTAATGCGTCCCCAAAGCTGTGGAACCGCTCGGCTACGTCAGTCCATCACATGTGGCTCGCCGTAGCCGTCGGTTTTGGTCCAACATTTCGCGCGGTCCCAGTTGACATCTCCCCAGCATCTGGAACACTGCTGGACAAAGTGTCCATCATAGATCGCGCTCCATTCCTGCGCTCGGCTGCGCGGAGCCCTGTCAGACCGCCTTGGAACGTGAACCAAGTGGTACCGACCCAGCGATCGTGCCATGCTCCCGACAAGCCTCTTGCACGATTTAGCTGCATTCACGCTACTGACAGAGTGCAACGTCAAGATATCGAATTTTGAGGTCGCCGAGTCATATTTCCACTCACCGTTTAGATTATCGCGATACCCAATATCAACGTTGGACCGGGCCCACATTCACAACACGGACGTCCATGTGGCCGCTCAGATGATCCTTTGCACACAGGCTCATTGACGTTGACACTCGGTTTTCTTGTTTCTTTGAAACAGCAGTAGCCTCCAGGCTCTCCGTTGCACAATACCATCTTGTGCGACACACATTCAGTCACAACCACAACGGACAACATGACTGACCGCTCGCTGCATCGCTGCCACATCGATGTGAGCTGGTCTGATCTCACGAGGCCTTCACCCGGAGTGCCACAAGACTGGCAGCTGTTCATGTCAAGAACATGTCAGAAGCATTGGCGCTAGATCTGTGGCTTTCAACGTGGAACCTGCATGGATCTTTTGGTGGCACTGCTATTCTCGCTAACACTCTTCGCGCTGCTCATGATTCCGATACGCTCTGTGGTGTGGGGTTGCCATATCGTGCACGCGGTGAGTGACCGCCTATCGGAAGGAGCGTCGACTCTGTCGCGCAGCCAAAAGCTGCGCGTACACACAACATGGCACCGTGTTTAACAAGGCGGTTCCATATGTGAACACCGAAAGAGTTCGGGATCGTATCGCTTGCGCAATTCTAACTCAAGTCGATCTTACGTCCACGGCCTCATCGTACCTGATAGAGGCTGTCGTCCGGGTGTCGTGCAGGACTCCACCTCAGTGGACCGGAGCCAGATTCTCTTTGCGAAATGTCCTGACATTAAGTGTTTCAGGATACGAGCTTCACGTCGCATTCACCCTTTGTAGGCAAGGAATCGGCGCATGGTCGAAATCACGACCACGCATGTCGTTCCATAGTAAAGTGGTATGGTATTATCAGAGTGTAGTCTGCCACGCAGCGGACATGAGTGTCAAGCCTTGTGTAGTATGCCTGCTGAGATGACGCAGACTCTACCGACCAGAATGATCATTCAAGCGGTCTCCGGGAGCGGTATTTCAGAGACCGACTTGATCTCTGTTAAAGTTCTGTTTTAGCTTTGTACATATACCATCCCCAGGCATAAGAGACCGCAGAACACTGGCCCACAGCGGTGAATGCAAAGTCCGCGGAGCATTTTGGAACGATGTGGTCAACGCGTGGCGTCCGCCCGCGGCACTGTCTTTCTCAAAGTTTCCGTCAAGCTGCTGAGCAGCATAGCCTCACACATGTGCGTCTGGCTATTAAAGGTGGCCTGAGCAATACGGTCCCTTGTTCCCGGGTAGCCTGGAACATCGGTGTATCCGATAGGGGCAAGCTTGTTCCTTCACATGAAAACGCATGCACATGAGTGCATGAAGATACGGCGTAGTCGACTAGTCTTGGAACACACAGGAGCAGTTTGATTTACTCATCTACCTGAACAGCGTCGATGCTTATGGCTGACAAGGCTCGACGGGGATTGGCATCTGCCACCCCCGCCTGGAAGACATCTCGATCTTAATACATGAATACTCTGCAAGGAACCCAATCCTGGGTAATCGGCAGTGGGTAACGACCGAAACTTTTGTAATCCCGGGCCGCAGACAGTGCCTGGCTGACAGTTCAGTTGACACGCAATGGCTGTGTCGTGCGACTACCTTCAGTGAGCCGATTGTCCGTTCGAAAGTGTTTCATGACTTTGCATATACAAGGGTAGGCAATGCTGTCTCGATTACTGTGGCGCCTTTCCAGACAAGATCTTCGTACCCGCGACCGTTATGCTACGGATGTTGCAATTTCGAGGCGCGATGATCTTCGCGCGCGGCACAAGGAAAAGAGATATCGTTTTTTTACCAGCATTCAGGGTCCAGGCAATAATGAACAAGACGAGCATAGCCAGAATTCTTTTGGACGCTGGTGCCAGATGATCTTCATCGACAATTCCCCTTTTATTCTCTGCTGACCCGTATTAGGCTTTAGCGAGCACAGCAGAGTACCCACATTGGAGCGAAGCACCACACTGGTTTACAGATGCGTTGGCCGTCTCTCTTTTCGTATGCCCCAAATCGAAAGGTGCACTACCTGCCTGAGTGGCCAAAGAGCGGGCTCAGGATGCTGCCGTCTGCTCAGAACACGGCACAGCAAGTGAACTGTGCCGCTGCGTCACAAGGAGCTCATCTTGGAATTTTCCGACCAACAAACAGGTGCATCGTTCCCACCTTTCTCGAGGCGGCAGGTCGCGCGTCTAGGACTGGGACCATAGCTCGTGCAAATGACACCGACCTGATGCAGTTGACTCCACATTTCTAGTGCGTATGACTGTTCCCCTGTCAATGATAACACTTGCGGAGACATTAATCCGATGATTAGCGACGAGCGGATGTGCCGGAGGGTGCAAACAGTACACTGTATGTGCTTCTACGGAAGCATACTGGTTGGCCGAACACTACTCTATGCAATTTTCGAGTTTCCCATTCCATTATGTACGAATCGCCGCTAACTCTACAGAGCATCTCTTTGAAGCTTTGTAGGCCATGACATGACCTTTCTTGCAAACCGGCAGGCTGCATTATACTCAAGTTACTACTACCTAACCTTCCGACACGCTGTACTTTTTGTTCACTAGGGTTAAGACTCTCGTGCTCTATTGGGCTGCTCCTACGTATGTATGTACTCGCCGTCCTTATTCCTGACAAATCCTTGAAATGCTGTGACATGGCCTGCTTCCGCTTTGAACGGCTGCCTGCAACCTGTATCCAAGCTTGTCTCCGATTCGAGACATGATCTTCGTGCTGCTACAGACATGCTGTGCTGCGTTAGTGTTGTAGCAAGCGATCTAGTATGCACGTCTGGCAATGCGCGATATGTGTCTACCATCAAAATCATCCCCAGAGTCTGCCCCATTGCCCCAGTGCAGAACACTTCGTTTCACCCAATGCGGAACGCCCGCAAAGCGGTTTGCGCCCAAATCGCTTTTTCCATGCACGCCCTGCCGCCGTCGCTGCCACAACCGGATGTCTTTCGTTGTGCCACTACCCGCAACTACTGTTTACTTTTTCTAGCACTCCTGCAGATCGTGGTCTGGGCTGCGTGCGAAGGATTGATGAGCTGGACGCACACCAGGTAACAGGAGGCGGGGGCAAGCTCCAGTCACGATCAGCAGCTACACAAGGATGATATCGTCGACCCCAGAGTTCTGGGCAACGGATTCTGCATCCCCGGTGTGCGGACACCCAAAACAATTGTGGTGGTTGCTCATCTCCTCTAGGTCGCGGCCCTGCGTCAATAGCTATCCAAAAAGGAAGTGCGAGCACGAACTTGGCTATCTTCCACGCACAGGCTCTCACCCACACAACGGCTCAACCCGCAAGATCGATTCCGTGCTGTCAATCGCCTAAAATCCCCTAGAGCCCAGGCATACAGATCGAACATCTTTTGCGAGTCTCGCCCGGAGCAAGATCCGAACGCGAAGCCGAGGTAACTGGACATCGTATCAATCTTGCTCGGCTCGACCCACGGATGAAAGCGCACGTAGATCATCTATCCGCTGCACCCGTCCTCTTCTGTAAAGCCCGGCTTGTACAAGATTCGCAAAGTCCCGCTGAACGTCCTGTCATGCACGAGGTCTTGTCGTGCCATCTGTCTGCCGTGTTCGCTTCTCGGCAACTGCCAGTTTTTCCCCGATGCGGCAATTCGGGCGAGACTATTCATTGGCAGATCACGACAACGATGCAGCTTCATTCTGCCCAACACAGCGCTCCTAAACCGTCGAGGGCACGAGACAATGATCGTCGCACCGTCCGTGCTGCGATCTGGATTCTCCCGTTGTTCGTATGGCTGACGACATCTGGTTGATCTCGGAAGCACGGAGATGAGGATGAGCTCCGCAAATACACCGATGGAATGTCGAGGCTTATTGACGACGGATCTGGTACATCTGGTAGATCGTTGATTGCCATGATATTGCCTGTTTTGGCGTCGAGGCTGACGGCCAAGACCGGTGATTTTTGTGTCGGAAAGGCTTCTGCCGGCGCTTAAGGTTTCCTCCGTATCAAGGTACTACTGTCTCGCTCAAGATACGGCAACAAACATGTAATGCCTGCAGTCATCAGGAGCCTCACTCTGAAAGGAAACGGAACTGATACTAGCCATCATGGCGTCCAGCGACGGCCCTCTGGTCTTTCGATTCACCCATGTTGTACAGCCAACAAATCCAGGCTTGGCATCAGAACCGAAATGCGACATGTAGATGATATGTTTATTCTCGTTGTAGAAGTTACAGTGTAAAAGCAACTTCTCTGGCTACTACCTGTGTGCAACGCGCTCAGTCAGGTCTAGCTTAGATGTATACATATCTGATTAATTGGCAGATCGAACGGTACATTCCATGCACGCGACATTCCTGTTCTACAAAGCAGTGTATTTCCAATTCAAGGAAGGTTATGCCTCACCTGGCCACACTTCATCTGCAACCTCTCGTACCAACTGCAGTTTCTTCTTCATCCCTTCAATGTCAATCAAATTTCCCTCAGCATGGCTCGCAAAACCGCACTGCGGGCTGACACCGCATCTCTTTAAGGCGTCCTCTCTACTCTCCCCCTGTCCCTTCGCCATGACATCTGCTGCTGCATAGATCCTCTTCTTCAGCTCTTCCTTATCCTCCAGCTCTGGGAACTTGCTCGTCACAACTCCCAGAATGACGTTCTTATTTTTTGGCAAATGCGCAAGCGGCTCGAAGCCGCCGGCCCGCGGAGTGTCGTACTCCAGGTAATAAGTCTGGACGTTCATGTGCTGGAAGAGCTTCGTTGCGATGCGGTCGTAGCCGCCTTCGCTGAAGTGACGCGAGTTGACAAAGTTGCCTCTGCAGAGATGCACGCCAATGTGCATGTCAGACGGTACCTGGCTGATACAGTCATTGTAGAGCTGGATGTACAGATCGAGCAGTTCGTCGGCGGAAACCGTGTTAGTCTTATCTTCTTTCCAGCCATCGAGCATCTTTTCAGAGCAAAAGTCTGTCGAGAATGAGAAACAACGGCCACATAGGGTCAAGAGTGAACTTACAAGCCAGGTTCGGATCGTCGAACTGCACGTTCCGTAGTCCGGCCTTGTAGAGGATGTCAAGTTCGACTTGATACGCTTTTGCGACATCCGCGAAGTACTCCTTGTCATTTTTGTAGACGTTCTTTGGGTATGCCTTCCCATCGACATATCTGAGATGGTACCAGTTGGGCGCGGCAAGCGTCAGCTTCATATCGCCCCACCTTTCCTTTGGCAACAGCGTCTTCAAGTACTCCACTTGAGATACGTACGTACTCTCTCCGGTGTGCTTGATCTTACCAACGCAGTAAACACTTTCGCCCGGCTGATGTCCGCTCTCCAAGAAAGCCGCAATGTCAGGCACGTAAGTCCTGAAGGTTTCGAGCGGCGGATTCTGGACCTCTTCCATGCCTTCCAGGGTGGGCCAGAAGGTGCCCCAGAACATGTGTCTGCGGTACTCGCCATCGCTTATGCCGCAGAAACCGAGATCGAGCTGTATCTTGACAATGTCCTCGATGGCGCGATCCTCAAGGGGAGCGAGTTCGGAAGCAGATTTGTGCTCTTTGTAGCGTGCATCGAGCAACGACTGTGGACGCTTGAGCGAGCCCAAGTGTTCAGCACGGAACGGCGGGCTGCGGTGAAGGGAGAAAGACATGGGTCGCGATGGCTGCGTTGTAGCCTGTACAGTAAACACGGACGCCGTTGCTGAGTATAAGATTCGTCGGCTTCTGGGGGAGACAGAGGTCCTGAAGCTATCGGAGCTTCCATCGGCCCATAGCACTTATGTTACCGGGCATCGCTATTATCGGTCCGAGCCGTGGTTTTGCAAGGGCTTGGGGTATTAGTCGTATCGGCAGTTGGTGAGGTCGCATCACGCTGCTTCGTTGGACGAAATTGACTGCTTGCCCCGCATCTTCAAACATGGTGCCCCGCATTGTGACGTCAGCTCTGCCTGAGAAAGTTATGGTACTGTCGCCAATTCCTTGTGCTTCAGCTTTGTAAGGGATTATGGTGACGAGGTTGGAGTGCAGCCCCGTTTCTTTACATAGACTGGGTGAGTACGTACTGTGGTGGTATGATGTATGTATGAAGGGTCATTCTGGGGGTAATTTTCAACACCAAAACATCAAAAGGAACAACTAGTGGGGAAATAATCAGGAGACTTGCTTAAGGTACAGTGGGATATCAAAATGCTATGTGAAAGCCACGCTAATGTCCGATGTGTCATGTGCGCTGAGCATTGCCATCTTCCGCATTGGTTGCAGCACATGAGAAAGGGGAAATGGTTACAAGATCAGCCTGAGAGGGCTACGAAAGAGCAAATGCCAAATACTGAAGATTAATCAAAGTGCGCATCCATTTGATGGATAAGCTGCTTCAGACACGGTCCATTGGAATCGCCTCGCGGTGAACAGCATACTCGTGATCGACAAGAATGACATCGTCTTCGACCTTGCTGTGCGTTCCAGCAGGGTTGGACCTCAGTGTATCGAGACCATCGCCCTTCTTGGTGTATGCGCAAGTGGAACAGCTCATCTGGCGGCTCTTCTCGAAAGTGGCGGTGCTGTTCACTGTTGTATTTGGCGAAGAGCCTCGACCAAATTCGCTGTTGATCAAGCGATGGTGGGCGTCACGGCTTCGGTCAGCGACAGGAGAATCGTTCGCGACTCCCGCCCAGATGGCCGACAGAGGAAGGAAGATGCACACAACGGTGAGCACCATGTTGCCGAATTCGGGAACTTTCTCTTGAAGAGGCTCGTAGAACTGGATGACCGAGATGAGAGCTATTAAATGTAAGTGACGTTGCCATCTCGTGAGTGAAAGAGCTTACCTGGAATAAACATGGTTTGACACCCCATGATGAAGACTATCTGCATTGGTCCGAACTGCAGCATGTTGAGACGGCGACGCTGTACGATGGCACAGCCCAGCTTCCATGTGAAAACGCAGCTGTAGAGCAGAATGGCCACTGCTTGTGTGATCCATGACCAAGCGCTGAGTCTGTCTTGACCACGGTCGACCAACTGTACAGTCGCAATGTGTGTGGCGACCATGAACGCAAACTTGAACCCGAGGGAAATCAGTGCCATTGCGGTCGTGGCGCCCATAATAACAACGCGCTGTATGGGTCCAGTCGTGACACATGCCACCCAAACTTGGAGGCTGAGTGATCCCATGACAAGGGCCAATACAATGAAGCTCAAGGTGTTGGTGGTGATGGAGACGGCAAGGTCGGTGGTAGTAGCGCGGAAGGCCCCTGATAACAGACCGTACGGGTGCATAATGTTGCCAGTGAGGTAGCAGGCCGAGAAGATGGTACGTGCAGTGTTTGTGAAAAGGCAAAGGGCGTTGAGAATGAAGATCAAAGACTTCCTCTTCTCAGTTCGAGTAAGTAGGACCAGCACAAGCAACAGCATGAACGACGACCCGATCTGAGAACCAAAGCTGATACCACGACGAGCAGTATAGAGTCGGTAGAAGTTGACCATCTCCATGTTGACGACCAAGATGCTGCCATCTGGGGCGTACATCGTAACATTCTGGAGCCATGGGTCGAAAGTCGTGGGATCGAATGGTGCCGGTGGTGCTGGTGCTACCTCTGCCATGTCGAGGGTGACTGTATGAAGTTGGTAAGTTCGAGGATGTGGTTGGGAGACAGAAGCTAGAGGTAGGAGTCCTAGCAGGGACAGGAATAGCTTGATCTTGGAACAAAGGGAACCGCTTTTGACACCGAATGGTTTGCTGAGAGGAGCAAACAGATCGGAAGCTGGTAACCAAGGAAAGAAGATGGTAACGTAAATCAAGGAAAAGAAGCTTGAGAAGAAATAGTCGTGGGCACGATGTACACATATACAGTGCGTCTATCTTGAGCTTTCCGCTAAGTATTGTCGGCAGAAGTGATAGTAAGACGATAATAGTAGCGACAGCTACTGCAGTCAAACTGTGCGTATATGACTGTACCGGTGTACTTCTGCGAGACTGTACCATTGCCATCACATTCACTTCAGACATTTTCAGACGTTACTATTGTTCTTCGATCATCTTCACTTCCTGGAGCGAAGAGCTCAGCTCACGGTAAACACCTTGAGGCGGTGCGCACCCAATGCTATGGGAAACATATAGTTCTTGTCTCGCGGAAGCGTGCAACGGTAGCCGGCGTGGCCAGAGTCCGGTACAAGAGACGCTGTTTTTGGCTCAAACCGCGAGTACACACTAGCGTGGTGGAGCTTACTATTGTTTTCTGTTGCGCAGAGGCCAAGCATTCGAGACTTCTCGCCTGGATCCTTGTAAGGCTGACGCGAGCAGACGGCGAGGTTCATCACATGATTGAGACAGACAGCCGGACAAATTGGAACGCGATAGGTGATGGAAGAGAGGAAAGTGCGCATGCCTTGATATGGCTAGTGTAACGCTAGCTTGGTAACGTGACCACGCGCCGACGCGACCTGGAGACGCGAATCGCCGCCTTCTAGTATGAGCGTCCGCCACAGCGCGTTGAGATCAACAACTCACCCCACGACGATGGATCTAGAGCAGCGTACTTCAGGAGTTTGCCTGGGATTCACCGCCCCTCTTTCACCACATGCCTCGACTTATCTGGTTCGAAAGCATGGCAAAATCACGTTTGCGCCGGAGCATCGTCTTGCCTGTAATGAGGAGGACAAGCTCGGACACATTGGTACGCTTGTTCTAAAGCCAGTTCTTGTTTATATCTTATGCTGATGCGACTAGTCCTCGTACCTGGTGGCGCCAAACTGCAGGCCATACAAACGTTATACGTTCTGCCCTCGAATTCGTTGGCGACAGACAGGTACCAACTCGAGCCAGCTTCGGATCTTCGAGTTGAGATTCTTCTTCTCAGGCACGGAGACACTATCACATCTCCAGATGCTACAGACAGTGTGACATGCGTATCCCGTGCTTCCGAGGTGCAGGTGAATTCATCAGCCGCTGAACACGCAAAAGATGATAAATCTGGGAAGCTGGTCAGCGCCGAAGATGCGCTCGAAGATGAAACCGAAGATGAAGTTGCCTCAAATGGTACTGTTACTGAGGTTCCCGTCACCCAGACGATTACGCAGCCATCATATTTGCAACCGTCTGCAACCCCACATCTCCCCAGAGACAAGTCGGACGTTGTGCAGGAAACGCCGACTACGATTCGTATGGCAAGCGTAGAACGATACCAGTCCGTTCCTTCAAACGAAGATCAGCACATATCTGCCATGCGTACAATACCAATCGTTGCCACGGAGACGTTCTCCACAGCTCGGACTGGCTACTCACCCAAAAGTGTTCAACAAGACTCCGTTGATGGGGAGAGCACGACAGGTGGGCAGCGGCCACAGGGATCTCCTGAAGTCAGAATCAACGCCCCGCGCACAAGAAAGAGAACAGGTACAAATCCGTCGCCAGGTCTTGAGGACGAACACTCCACTGGAGATCGACCCGTAAAGCGCGCTAAGAAAGCACCAACCGCAGGAAAACATGGAGATGGCATTGATCATGCCAGTCCTTTGACTTCTGCTACAGTCGATCCCGACAACGCAACCCATTCCACGAAGGGCAAGGGTCGATCGAAGGTCAACTCAGAGGCAACACCCACGAAGTCTTCGAGAAGCTCACAGCGCTCTGGAACGGCAACGACAGCTATAGCATATGAAGGTGATCTTCCCCGGGTCGCTACCAGTAACTCTGCCATTAAGGAGGGAAGCACTGCGTTGAAGTTTCTGCGAAAGCATGGTGGTACATTTCTTACAACCGTTGGAGAGAGGTGCAACATCTTATGGTATGGTTCTCAGTACATCTCCCTAGTTCATTGAAGGCTGACAGTAGCCAGCGTCCGTGATGGAGGCCTAGCAAAGACTATGAAAGTCTTTCAAGCCATAGCTCTCGGCATTCCCATCGTCACTGACAAATGGTTGACCGATTCAGCCAAGGCCGAAAGTTTCCTTGATCTGTCTTCTTACAAGCCCGCGGTCGTCCAGCAGGAGAAAGAGTGGGGTTTTAGTCTCGAGAAGGTGTGGGGTACAGCGCAGACCCCGTTCAAGGGCTATTGCATCTACTTTACGCCTGCTCTCAAGAAGACGTACACCAACTTTCGCGAGATGGAAAGGGTGTGCCAGACTGTTGGTGCGGAGGTGACAGCGAAGCGGCCTAGCAAGAACAAGAACAACATCGTGCTTGCGATGGAAGAAGACGACCCGGACGCAGAGAGAATGATCCAGGATGGCGAGGCATGCTACCACAAGGATCTAGTGACCACCAGCATCCTCCGTGGAAGAATCGACCTCGGCGGGGATGAATTCAGAATCAAAGCGAAGCATGCAGGGCCAACCAGGAAGAAAGGGCCCAGAAAAACTGCCTGAAGCAACTGGTAGACTTCGGCACATCTTTCACGTTGTGACGACTATTATTTACGAAGCATAGCGAGCGGCGCATCTCAATCAACATAATAACAGACAGCAGGCGCTTAGCATCAGCAACATGCTGTTTAACATGTTTTTGTCCCGCGAATCTGTGAATTTAGTAGTGCAGGCAATGCTGCCAGTGTTTTTTACAAGCATACTTGCAAGGCATGTCTTGATTGCCCATGGTCAACGGTGATTGGCCACATAAGCGAGCATGGCATATGTGTGCACATCAACGAAGAAGCGCTCCTGTTGAAGCGGTCAGAAGCATGTCGTTGATGATTTGTGTCGCAATATCTAAGCTGTATCCGGGCCAGTTTCCATCAAAGCAAACAACAACAGTTGCCACTGATCACTTCGATCAAATCCTCCGTGGCGCAATTGGCTAGCGCGTCTGACTGTTATCCGTACCCGCTTGATGGCACATCAGGAGGTTGAAAGTTCGAGCCTTTCCGGGGGAGTTTCTTTTTTGCCCTTGCGATCTTCTCACGCGACACTGAGCGTGCTTGGTTCACGTGTTTTTGAGAACATGCTCCAACTCTCTTCTCACACCATCAACCACCTTACCACTGGATACCCATTTCATATCACTTTCCCATATATTGATAATAGCGCTTCATATCGAATTGACAACCCATCTTTACTTTGAGAGGATGAGCCTCCTTCTCTCGATCTTGTCCTTGATCAACAGTCATCGCCCAGACCCTGGCAGGCCTTCGTCGAGCTGACAAGACGTGAAGGACTCACTGACTTGCTTCAACCATGTCTCGCTTGCGCCAAACGCGGGATCCAAGATGAAGTCATGATCTGAGCCCTTCACGATACGACTGCTGTACCTTATGGCATCTGGGTGACGAGATTCCGTTATCTCCTCTCCTGTCCAAGCGCCGTCGAACCACGTCTGTCCATTCTTCCCTACTAAGCTGTCCGTCTCCGCGTGAAACGTTTCGATCTGCCACGCCCTCCTCTCTTCGTTCTCAAGCTCTTCCGTGCTGATGATTTGCCGAAGCTGACGTACTGCATCGTCATGATCATCCCAATGCCGCAGTGGTGTGCACCAGGGGATGGAACGTGGCTTGCGGAGGCAAAGTTGCGTGTCTTGGCCTGCGCCAGCCACACCCTCCGCAAAAAGGAAGGTAGGGATCAGCTCTCTCAGCTCGTTCACTACGGCCTGATTGTTCAGATCAATCTCATTCAGACCGTTGTTATCGATCTGTCGTGTTCCATCGGTTTGGGTGGCGAGTGGTATTTGGACATCAGGAGCGATCGACTGCGGCAGCGAGCTTCTGACACTGTTCACCACAGCACTACTAAGCCCAGCACTCATCCCAGTCAGAGGTAGGATACTATCGTTGACAAATTGCGCCAGGGACGAAAATTTTCCGATCAGACTTCCAGGCAGCATCTCTGCAGCTTGGAGATGTCTAATCCCAGTATGCTCGGGATGCACCCATGGTGCGAAGAAGGCTACATATGGTTTCCGCGGATGCAAGAGGTGAGGATACGCCAGCATTGTGTTGAGCAGATAGATCGTGCCAAAAGAGTGACTTGCCAGGGCAACATGTTCGATCCCAAGATGGCTGAGTAGACGAGGGACCATGTCAATGTATGTGGGTATCCGATTCTCGATCGTAGTTGGATCGCTGCCACCAACGCCGGGTCGATCGGGATGAATGATTCGCACGTTGTGTTTCCTGGCCAGTTGGTCCAGAGGTGAGTAGCTGAAGCGGGCACCCATCAGGCCACCGAAAAAGAGTATGACAGATTTACTGGTGGAATCTCCATAGTCAGAATAGGTTACGCGGCGTCTTTCATTCTCGTGGACGTAGGTGAATTGCTGGTGGAATCGCCGATCGCAAAGAAACTCCAGAACTGCGTCAGACTGCTTCGAAGTAGAGTGTGGCATCGGAGATTTTGATGTAATAACATGCACAGTATATGCTGAAGATAAAGTATGAAGGTGGAAGACTTGTTGAGTACGTGGGTTGTTGTATGCTGATGTGGAGTGAGACAATGGAATACTTGCACGTGCAATGAAGCTCAACACGCTAATAACAAGGCGCCCTGCGGTGGTCTCGATAAGCTGAGAATATTTGCTTAGTCACAGCGAAAGAGAACCTGCAGCTTTTCAGGTACAGGCTGAGCGCTTCCTTGAGGCTTGCACTCGTGCAGTTGAACCAAAACCACAATTGATGATGGTTTCGTCAATTCATCGTGTAGATTACCCAAGCTCGAGGACACCTGGGCAACATGCAGTATGCTATTGCGGTATGATCAGGCACGCTTTCCCAAGGAATAGTACATGAGGTGACCGCCCTCAATGAGGCCTCGTTCTTACTTTATAGACCGCAACCGGGTGACGCTGGCGTTGCGGGCGACGACGGACGAGATAGCGTATGGTTTGTTCACACTTAGCCTCGAAGGTTCATATCTTACCATATATGCAGTTGAAAAACTGGAGCTACGTGTATATGCTAGGAGCAGTGTTATGTTCAACATCGAGCGAACTGTGCGAACACTGCAAAGTATGCGCGGATGATGACGTCATCGCCGATGGATAAGATGTGTCCAACCCATGCCATTTATATACACTCCTTCCATAACCCGAAGTCTGTCTGCAAAGTTCGATCCGCATAACGGCTTGCACCATCCACTGGATTTGCACCGTATTCACTGCCGAATACTACCTACACTTGGGTAGCTCAGTACAACAAGGTTAATGTTCGGCGGTAGATCCGGTACAAGGCGGCGCGCGGACCGTCTTGCCGATCTTGAAGGGAGTGGCCTGAAAGAGCGAAGAACTGCGAAGGACTCTGGCATCGCTCTTGTTGCGATTATCCTGTCCACAAAGCTACTTAGGTATTTGAGCAATTGCTGCTCGCGAAGTTCAATGTGACTGCACATTTCCCAGAACCTCACGAGCCATGGCTTCGAAAACGACAGTGATGCTCACCACTGAGCCCCCCGCATCCCTGGGGCAGATTGAGCTTCAACCCATCCGTAGCACTGAAAGCGCAGGCCCTCCTCGATTGGCAGCAGAAGATGCGAACCAACTCACGGGCACAGGAAACAAGACCATATTCAAAGTCCTCGCAGCCAGTATGGGATTCTTCTTTGCTGGCAACAATGACGGCAGTCTAGGTGCTCTGACACCATACATCCTGCGAACCTACAACGTTGGCACTGAATACATTGCCTTGATCTATGGAGCCGCCTTCCTTGGTTGGCTGTTTGCAGCAGCTACCAACAGCCACATGTCCCGCTACTTAGGACTTGGAATGATCCTCACGCTGGGTGCCGCTATTCAAGTCGCTGCTCATGCGCTACGAGCCTGGACGCCACCCTTCCCCCTATTCGTCATTACATTCTTCATCCAAGCAGCTGGCATGGCCTACAATGAATCTCACGCCAATTCCTTTGTTGCATCACTGCAAAATTCCCACCGGCCTCTTGGATTCATACACGCAATGTATGCTCTGGGGACGCTGGTATCGCCATTTGTCGCCACAGGTATTGCAACGGCTACACCTACTCGTTGGGCGCTGTTTTATATCTACCTCATCGGTATTGGGGGCATAAACATGCTCGCTGTGGCAGTCTTGTTCCGTGACAGCCTCAGTATGCATGCCAGCCCGACCTCCGGTGATGGCCAACAGGCAGCTGCTCCAAGCAGGAGGAAACAGGCCAATCATGATCTGGTGGCCGCATTGAAGTCACCACCAGTCTACCTTCTCTCAATGTTCTACTTCTTCATGCTGGGTGCTGGGATCACGGCGAGTGGCTGGGTAGTCGAATACCTCATCGAAGCACGCAACGGCAAGCTACCAGAGGTAGGCTACGTACCTGCAGCTCTTGCAGGTGGTATTTTCCTAGGACGGATTGTCCTTGCCGAGCCAACATATCGTTTCGGTGAACGACGCATGACGCTCGCTTATTGCGTAATCATGCTAGCTCTGGAGCTGGTGTTCTGGCTTGTACCAAATCTCATCAGCAGTGCAGTTACTCTTTGCCTCTTGGGCTTCTTCTTCGGGCCTCTGTTTGCGACTGGCATGTCTGTAGGGTCGAAGCTTTTCACAAAGGACGAGCAGCCGACGGCTCTGGGGCTTGTATTTGTCCTGGCTCAGGCAGGCGGCTCATTCTTTCCTGCCATCACCGGAATCGTAGCGAGCCGTGCTGGTGTGAGAGTCATGCAGCCTATCTTGGTTGGCTTGATTGTTGCTACTGGAATGTCTTGGGTATTAGTCCCGAAGGTCAAGAGAAGAGATGTATAAAAGCTGAAGACGTATGAGTTGACTGCGAGACCAGAAGACGCTCGGCATTTCATTCAGCGACTTAAAGTCTATGCAACAATACCCACCCTATCGAAATCAGGCGCATATGCACTTCCGACACCCTTGATCACAATGCTGTTTGTTCCAGTGGTGCTAAATCCACTCAACTCAACGGCATAGCTCTTCAATATATCCTTGTCCCAGTTATAGCCCGTGAGCGGGAAACTGACTGTCTTCGCTGCACCACCATTGACACTAATCGATGCCAAGCGCTCGTTGTTGCTGCCACCTAGATAACCGACCTCGCAATTGATGTAGTCGAAGCGCACAACCTGAGTGGCCTGGCTAGTGCGGATGTTGGACAGAGTGAGCGCACCGTTCGATGCGCCACCGACGTTCCCGACCTTGTTTGTGGAAGTGCAACCCGAGCAGGACTGGATGTTTGCACCGGAGGCGAGGGAGCCGGTTGAAGCAGATACGTAGTTGTATTGTGGGGTGTTGGAGGCGCGCTTGATGTTGGACAAGCGTAGGGCGAGAGAGCCGCGGGCATTTACTTGCTTGGAGTAAGAGCCGGCATTTTGGGTTGTTGTGCCAGACCACAGGTCTTTGATTGTTGCAGATTCGATGCCCAGGGAGGAAAGCTGGACTGTGAGGGTACGGCGTGCGTTGCTGAGGTCTACGGCAAGGACGGCTACGTCGCCATTCGCAAGATCGCCACTCCAGAGATCGCGGTCTGAGGTCCAGCGCTGCTTCAGCGTGATAGGCTTCACGGCTGAGTCTTGATTGATGGCCAGCAAGTCTCTGTTCTGCAGAACCTTAACAGCATCGCTCGATAGGGCCGCCACGTCAGTCGAGATCATAAGAGCGGACTTCAGCATAGCCCACGCTGCGAAATGCGTAGCCTGCTCATCAAAAGTCATGCCTTGATTACCAACCTCGAGCAAATCGGCGTCGGCGAGGTGGCCGGGTCCAATAGCGCCAGACGCAGCAATGTGGACAGCCTGATTGTAGATGCGGTATACGTTGCCCCAGCCTTGAGCAATATCGTCTGACAGACGGAACGATGTCGAGATCCCCTTGGTCCAATCCTTGGGTCCTTGAAGACCTCCGGAAGAAGAGTATGGAGTTCCCCACTGGCAGATCAACATACCCGAAATACCGACTCGCTGCAGCTCCTTCCACATAGCATTGAAGCGCGACGGGAAGTCGGTTCTTGGGTCCTTTGGTGCGTTTTGGTTGCTGTTGGGGCCGTCGATATAGCAGTTGTCGTCTGTCAAGGGTCAGTGATATTTGCTCATCACGAAAATTCGACAGCTTACACTTGACATATTCTGTGTTCAGGCTCTTGAAGAGATCGGCATCCACAGCCTCGTGTCCCAACGATCCTAGTACAGGACTGGGCACCGTGGTATCACACATCCTCACGCCCGCATCTGAATACATGGACCACTTCATGCCTTTGCTCCTCGCCAAATCACTCAAGGGCTTTAGTCCATTCGGAAAGACCTGTAAATCGATCTTCAGCGCACCAGTGGACGCATTACGCTGGCCGTCATGAGAAGCCCATCCACAATCAATCTGGAAGTAGTTGTAGCCTGCGGCAACGAATCCGCGATCTGCAAGCGCGTTGATGGCCTTGGTGATGCCGTCTTGCGTCGGGCTGCATGCAACCTGATTGTATGAGTTCCAGCCGAGCACGGGCGTGGACTGGAAGGATTGTGCGGTAACGAGCGCTGCGCTCGAGAGCGAGAGGAGAGCGAGATTGGGGCCGACCATTGTGTTAGAGAAAGATAGAAAGGGGCAGATATGTGCTGAATGCTTGAACAGCACGATGAGCTGTTCTTATAGTATCATCTGTGAAGCCAGTCTCGATAGTTCTCCAGTCTGACAGCCCGGAGGATTATCCAGCTTGAGATCCGCCCGTAACTATCCCAATTGGGCAATAGTAGATGATGAAGGATTGGTCTAGTAAAGGTTTAGTCTTCGCTTGACTATTATGGTGTCTGTCTTGCGACGTGGGTCCCCGCAGCTAATTTGCATCCTCGTTTACTGTGCTGTTATGTGAAGCTATTGGTGAGATAGCTTCTGCGTCCTCGTGTTCATGCATGCGGGCTTGACGGAGCCAGGCATTGCGATAATCGGAACAGGATTGGTTAAAGAGATGTAGTAGAAAACGAGACGTAAAGAGCTCTCTGTGGTTGGTACGATGCAGAGAATTCGAGGGCAGGAACGAGCCATGAAGCTGATCGCCCTGGTAAGAGCGGTACGCTACAGCCTACTAAGAGACATGGGGACTTACTACTCGTATAATTCTGCGTCACTGACAGTCAAATGACAGTGATAGAACACAGTTCATGCTGGATACGAGCTATACTGACGGCGAACTTGATGTAAGAAGCGTAGTTGATGCGACAATATAGAAGGATCAACAAGTACCTGCTCAAAGCAGCTAGTGCGTATATTCACATAACTCCGGGGCCCCGCAAACATCGGAGCTTCACCGAGCTCAATGCGGAGTCCGTTTTGATTTGACGGAAGCGTTGCCTTGTGTGGACAAGAATGCTAAGGTACGGGTAACTGCCCCCGCTTGCCTTGGCTCAGGAAGTCTAATCAGTCCGCACACTGCAGAGAAGGAAGGAACCGTCTTTGCTGTAAACAATGTGACTTTTTTGTCAGGTAGCTAGATCCTGTGCACACTACAGCACCTTCACGACTTTCATGGCTTCGGTGCCTGCTCGATCTTCGCATACGCCTTCTTCACCTCATCCAGCCCCTTCATCTTCTCCAGCCACTTCTTCACATGCGAATACTTCTCGATTGACACCTGCGCGAACGCATGCTGCCTCACCCACGGCTCGTAGTGCGCGTCGACAGCCGTCAAGCCGCCGGGCAAGACACTCTCGCCGTTCGTCTTCTTCAGCTGGCCGTCCAGGACAGAGTAGCACCGATCAGTTTGCTCGACGTAGCGATCCAGCGCATCCTCGTTGCGAGTGGAGTTGTAGTGACTATATCCCGATTAGCTGCGTTCTGAACGAAGAAGGTTTATGATTAGAGTGAAAACATACCGGTACCAGTTCGTCTGCCCCGTCATCGGTCCCAGCGTGGTCAGCAAGAAGTACTCCCACTTCTCAAAGTCGACCACGTCCTGCAATCCCGGCGCCCCTCCGTCCTTTGCACGCGGACCCAGTTTCTTGCCGTCTGCATCGTACTGCCTCCGCAGGTAGTTCATGCATGCTCCGCTCTCCCAGCTGACGACGCCTGTGTTGGGGTCGTCGAGTGCGGGGACGCGGCCATTCTCGTTGATCTTCAGGAACGCGGCGCCTTTTACGCCTTTGTTGGGGTCTTCACCGAAGTCCCACATCTTGACCTCATACTGCAGAGAGAGGAGCTCAAGGGCGATTGCTAGCTTGATTGGGTTCGGCCCCGAGGCGTGTGCGTGGAGGATGAGGGGCTTGATGCTGGACATGGTGATGTGTGTGTGATTGTGGCTCGGTATGTTCGACTATTAGCTTTTCGGGACTGGGTCTGAAGTTTGAAAAGCTTGAGCAACTCTCAGCTCTTGAGTGTTTATAAGTGTTCAGTCGTCATTGGGGGTTACTAATAAGTAGGGGACCAATGACGTATTCGGTGTCCTTCCCCACCGGCGATCGAAGCGGTCTCATACACACATTAGCAATACATTGGACACAATTGCCCACTGAAACGTGTGTCTCCGCATGCGAGGCAGGGTGCTGTGTCTTATAATCGCCTCGTGCGTTCACATGCGTGTTACTGACAGCCCTATTACACACATACTCACCAAATACTCACTTCTGCAGAGCAGCGAGATCGGAATTCATGCTGTCCACCATACAGCGAGCAACGCTGCGAAGCTTATCCAATCAAGTTTCGGTTCCAAAAGCTAGTTTGTGAATTGATATGATCCGCACACATGTCTCGTCGTAGTTCCCATCCACGTACCAGGGTTGTATAGTCTGCATGCGGAGCTTCTGTTTGTAAGCCAGCTGCCTGATAGGTCTTGTTTCACACCTCTTCTTGAGTGAGGTATGCCATGCTATTTGCAAATTGATCCTCGCGAGCAATGAAATATGTAGGTTCGAAGGGAAGTACTGTGGTTGGGGTTCGTGCTTCTGTTGCAACACTTGACCGGTCTGCCAGTCTGTCTGGCCCCATTAGTCCTTTCGTTTCATATGAGATGCAACTCCTATGGAAGATCAATTTCTATAGATCCAGAAATTTCGAATCATAAATACTCGGGCTCCGTAGTACCTGAAGATGTCATCAACGATGTATTTTCGGAGGGCATTCTCTGGTGGTGGTGAGCGTGTGCTGCAGTTGACTGTACCCCAGGACCTGAGTTGCACGGTTGCAGTCTACTATAGATCGTCAAAAGATACAGTGCACTTTATCATTCTGGCAGATGTTAGGAAACAAACTCCAGCTCGCGAGGTGTTGCGTTGCATCACCGCGGCGTTCCTTTGCTGCGTGGCCCAAGCTCAAGAAATCTGAAAGCTCATCATCATCGGCACGCGCACCTCGCAACATCACACCGCGCATCGCAACCACCCCAACCCGCCCATCTCTCAATCGCCCTTTCGCTCTTCACCCGTTTAATACCACACCACCGCCAAGATGGTCAAGCTCGAAGAAGTCATGGACGAGGAGTTCGTCCGCGAACAGGAGGGCCCCCATGACGAAGACGAATGGGACACAGACTCCGGTACGCGCAGGACCGCCACTTTCTCAACCTCTGCGTCCACGCATTGTAGAGGGTGAAACCCCCATCCCGGCAACCCGCATACTTACACCGCCCCAGAGTCCGATCTCGAGTCCGAAAACTCCTTCGTCGCCGACGAGACACTGTACGAGCGCATCACGGCGCTCAAGGACATCGTCCCGGCGTCAACCCGGCGCTCGCTGCAGTCCAAATACGACACGGTGACGAGCTGGACAAAGAGCGGGCTGCTGTTTGGCGGCAAGACGCTGTGGGTCATCAGCACGAGCGCGCTGCTGCTCGGCGTGCCCTGGGCCCTGGCGTACAGCGAGGAGCAGATGATTGTCGAGCAGGAGCGCGCCGAGATGATGAACCAGCGCGCGCAGAACGAGGTACGTTGATGTGGCGGGGCGATGATCTTGATAGCGCGAGTGCATGCTGACAACAGGTAGTTTATGGCTCCTGGTGCCAACGATGCGAAGCCCGCGTTGTAGAGTGCGACTACAACTGGCCTGATGGCAGGCGCAGTCGCGCTTACACATCGATGATGAGGTTCGGTCGGCGTGAGAATCTTCACACCTGTTTTATTATGGAAGGGACACGGCGACGGAGAGACGAGGGGATACGATACGCTGTGCACATAGGATTCAGCGCGGCCGCACGGAACGCGCATTTGCATTATCACGATCTGTACAATATTTCTCGACTCATAATGTATTGCGTCATAGGACAAGGCTCGTGGATTGACGGTGAAAACGACTGCTGTGCATTGCATTGGAAATCAGTACAGGCGTTATACAGATCGTTCATGCCGCATGCTCTATATATACACGCGCAGACTGCACCACATTCTGCGCTCAACGCCCTTGGACATGTCATCTCGCTGGTCTAGCCGTTCTCCGTGACCCATTACATGCCATTAATGCGCTTTTTCGAAACGTCCAAACGTGCTGATGAAGCCTTAGATCCAATCCCCACAGACCTCACCGGATATCGTGGGATGGGAGAAAACGTGCGCCGCTTGCTCGCTCCAAAAAAGGTGGTAATACAGCCAAGTGGAAATTTATGGGATTATAGTCGGTACAATGCGTTTGTTACTGTGTGCGGAGGAGAGTCGTTTAAAAGGGGATGGCACCGGCCTGCTGGGCTGCGCCAGGCATTTCTTGTTGCTCCATAACAGCCTCGTCGGGTGCTTCTATCGCAACGGCAAGACCAAGCTTGGCGGCGCTCTGTGCTGTGTTAGCTGTGCACTGGGGTTGAAAGATCGTGGTACGTACTGTCTTGTGGTCAATCTCTCCAGAGAAGGTGATGCGGATGGGCGGTGCGATCATCTTCTCCAACAAGCAGCCGACAATGCCCTTGTTGTCGACCTGCGCCCTGAACGAAGTCGTGCGGAAGTCGTACTTGGCGCCGATGGTAACCTGCCCCTCCTTCTGGGGACCGGCCATTGGGCCACCAGGACCGATGCCAGCGAAGGCGAGGTTGCAGTTGATGCCAGTCTCGACCTTCTCGCTCAGCCTGCGCCAGTAGGAGGCCTCCAGCACGCCGCGGTCGGGAATGATCTGTCCGCAAGCCATCCAGTCGGCGGCCTTGTAGCGTGCAGCGTACGAGACATTGAGCTCGGGGGGGTAGGCGGCAGCCGGGCGGCTCCAGAAGGCATCAATGCCGAGCGACAGCTTTGGTGTGACGGCCTGGAGGTAGCTGGCCATGATCATGCCGGTGATGCCACCGTCGAGGACCGAGGGGTTGACGGCCTTGAGCGAGGCAGAGAAGTCGCTGCCGGTGTAGTCGTTCTCGAGCGAGACCATGTTGCCCTGCGATGTGAGCTGCACGGCCGTCTTGGACACAAAGGCCGAGGTCCAGCGCCAGTTGAAGCGTCCGGAGAACTGCATCTCGTTGTCGAGGTTGCCCTGCATGAATGTCTACGCCATGTTAGCCGGGCAGCAAGACTCGAGTACGACGGCGACTCACCCTCGGCGATCCGTAGAGGACCATGTACGAGTAGGGCGGCTGGATCTGCGAGCCCATGGACAGCGAGTGGGCGACCTGGAACAGCGGGGCGGCGCTGAAGGCCTTGGTGAGCTCGGCGCGCAGGCCCGAGAAGCTGGCGTTGTTCAGGAACACATCGCGCTGCACCTCGCGCGAAATGCCCTCGACGGTGCCCGGGTTGGACAGCCCCAATGCCTCTCTCCGCTCCTGGAAGGCATGGTACAGCTCGCCTAACCGGCCGGGCAGGATGCCGTTGTGAGAGATGACGCCGGCGATAGCTTCTTCCTTGGTCGGGCTGGCGACGACGAGCTGCGGTGGTGCGGCCATGGCGGCGGGCGGTGTGTGTGCGGAGTGCGGGTGAACGAGTCCGGCGGCGCTGCACGCGATGAGATGACGAGATGGGCGCGAGGGGGAGATGCGCGATGGCGAGTCGACGACGGTACGTGATGCCCGTCCAGACACAACTTTTCTCGCGCAGGAGCTGTGATGACATAACCATGCTAGTCGACGCTTGGGCCGGCGGATCGCTATCAGTTGGCCATCTCTGGGGTGCACTCTGCGCCTGCGCTGCTGCGTGGATCAACTGCACACTGCACCCCCAGCGCTGCCCTTGCCCGCCTCAGACCCTCCTGCGACGCTGCCTGCCGCGTTGTGGCTCCGTCTCCGTTGCTTGTTGCTCGCTGTCGCACGTCGTCACTGACCCTGCTCGGCGCGCGCAGACAGCTCCGGCACCCTGGTCCACGCGTGCTGCACACCTTAAACACCGCAGCGGCCCCAATTGACCTGATTCTTGCCCGCCCGTGAGCTATTTCTACCTGTTCGTCCTTTCTTTCGCCTTCTGCCGCCCAGCGCGTCACTCTTAATTTGCCATCATGGACACTTTACTGTAAGTAGCCGACCCCTCATTGGCCTTGCGGCCGCACGCCTCTGCAGGTGCCCGGACAGGTCGCTCACAGCGTGCAGCACAGCAGAAATCTATGCCAACTCGCCCCGCTTCAGGCGGCGGTCGAGTACGTTCGTGGATGCTATCCATGACTTGCCCGGGAAGGAAGAGATGGCGCCCGCTCAACTGTACAGCACAGAGTCTGGCCGTCTCTTCCACTCTGGACGCATTGTCATCGCTACCGTTGGCCTGCCAGCTCGAGGAAAGACACACACCTCGGTCGCCGTAGCTCGCTACCTGCGGTGGCTGGGTGTCAAGACGCACGTGTTTCACTTGGGCGACTACCGTCGCGCTACTCTTGGCCCTGATCAGGACGTGCCTGAGGACTACTTCTTTCTCAATGCAGAGCCGCAGTCAGTGCTGCTACGGAATAAGATTCTGAAGAAGTGCCGTGACGATATTTACCATTTTCTTGAAAACGAAAAGGGCCAGGTAGCCATCTACGATGCAGTGAATGCCATCAGTCAGGGCCGACGATCACTCGCCAAAGAATTTGCAAAGAAGGGAATCCAAACTGTCTTCATCGAGTCCCAATGTACAGACGAGCGTATCATTCAGGAGAACGTTCGCCGAGTCAAGATCTCCTCGCCCGACTACAAGGGCTGGAACGACGAGGACGCAGTTCGAGATTATCTGGCGAGAATCAACTCAAGAATACCGCATTTTGAGACCATGGAGGAGCAAGATCTGCATTGGATCAAGATGATCAACGCGGGAGAACGAGTCCATGTGAACAATTGTGCCTTCGGCTACCTGTCCCAACGAATTGTCTTTTACCTGCTGAACCTGCACATCAAATCTCGACAGACGTATTTTGCGCGTGCCGGAACCACACGAGAGGAGGACTCGTACAAGGCCGACGCTGAGTTATCGCCAGAAGGCCACGAATATGCCAAGCAGATGAGCGATGTGCTGTTGAGATACCGCGAGGAGGAACGGCAGAAGCTGATAGACCAGGGGGCGCCGGACGCTTCCTTGAAGCCGCTGACGATCTGGACGTCCACTCGCCGACGCACTGTACAGACCTCTGAGCACCTAGCGTCGATGGGCTACCGCGTCAGACAACGATCACAGATGAGCCAAATGAACCCTGGAGTATGCGAGAAGATGTCAGAGCGGAGGATCCGGGAAGAACTCCCAGACGAGGTTACCAAACATGAGGCAGACCCTTACCACCACAGATACCCACGTGCAGAGGTGAGTATCGTTCAACGCCCCAATGACAAGGCGCTAATGACATGCAGTCCTACCACGATCTTGCTGTGCGCATGGAGCCCATCATCCTTGAGCTCGAGCGCGAAGAGAACGATCTGCTCATCATTGCCCATGAGTCGGTCCTTCGTGTGCTCTACGGATATCTTATGGCTTGCAATGCGGCCGACATCCCGAAACTCGAGTTCCCACGTGACGAAATCATCGAGGTGAGTGTGCAGTTGGCCTGACAAGATTTCGTGCTAACGTTACGGAAGATCATTCCCTCGAGCTACAACAACGTTGCGAAACGCATCAAGATCCCTAACCTCCCACAAAGCATGGTACCCGGTAGCCCCGAGGACATCAAGATTCCTGTACCTCCTAGTGGAGCGGTAAGCCCTTTTTCCGGGATTGGGACACCCAACGTCAATTCTGGGACCGCGACGCCTCAGCATTCCGCTGCTCAACCGCTCAATGTGAAAACAACCCACGTTAACCCACTTGAGTAAGTAGGTTTGCTACCGTTTCCGATACAATTCGACGTTCGACAATGAAAGGGCCAGCCAGCAGACCGATTTCGAGTCAAGCCTAGACGGGTTATGATATTGCGATGAGTTACGATCTTGAATGTCGGCTTCAGTACCAGGCGTTTGTGTATACGACTTGAACGTGTAGACTGTACATACGATCAAGATCCGTCGATAACCTTAGAAACATACGGTCTTCTTCACGACGTTCCAGCTTTTTGACATGACTCGTGGTTCTGATGGGTTCCAGAGATTCTCCGTACCAAGCATTCTCCGGAGGATCTCTACGCGAGATACGATGCTGAACATTGCAGATCTGACATCATTTGTACAGGCGCTAGACAATTATGATTAGATTTCATTTGCCCTATGCCTGTTCCTACGACCCCGCATTAGCATACGGACACTTCGGTAACAATAGGCGGGGACCCCAGTCTCAGCATAAGGATATGTAATGGCCAAAGGTATACTATAGCGACTTCACGTGTTACACCTCATTCAAAATGATCCGTCCTCGAGTTTCCCTTCTCTGCACATTGTGTCCAATCTTCCTTCTCGCGTCCGCTACCGCAACGGAGCCATGGCATGCTTACAACTACAGTCCAGCGTCACGAACAGTCAGCCCAGTTGCGGTACACTCTCAGTTTGGAAATGTCTCAACTTACAACGGAACACATTACCTGGCACCTGGTAGCCGTATTAGCCTTGATTTCGGCGTCGAGGTTGGAGGTTGGATCAGTTTTGGAGCCAGCACCGTCGACTCCACAAACGCTTCTACACCGCACCTATCACTAGCATTTGCAGAATCTCCAGCATTCGTGCGCGCCATCTCCGACGATACCGGCGCAGCTATCACTCAGGATTGGGATCAAGCTCTCAATGTCACACTTCCTAGAAGTACAGTACTCTATACAACGCCGAAAGAGAGATTCCGCGGGGGGTTTCGATTCCTGACAATCAACGCTCTTGCGCACGTCCGAGTCTCCAATGTCACATGCGCAATTGGCTTCGCGCCAAACACGCCGGATTTGCGCAACTATGGCGGGCACTTCTACACGCCCGACGACGATCTGCTTGTCAGGACCTGGTATGCTGGCGCCTACACGGTGCAGACCAACATTGCCCCCAAAGACACCGGACGCTGGCTCCCGCAAGTCCGACCGGGCTGGGCTTACAACAACACCATCGGAGTAAGCGGTCCGATTCTCGTTGACGGCGCGAAGAGGGACCGAGCCATCTGGCCCGGTGATCTGGGAATCCAAGGCACGACAGCCTTCCTTGCGCTTGGCGCTGATGGATTGGAGTCGGTCTACCATGCGTTGGAGACGCTGTTCTACTACCAGAACTCCACAACCGGGCGCTTCCCCTTTGCTGGTCCGGCGACTGGAAGTTTCAGAAACGGAGCCGAGAGCGACACATACCACGCGTGGAGTCTGATCGCTATGTATAACTTTGCCACCTGGACGTCAGACGCGGAGTGGGTGGAAACACACTGGGCGAACATGACGCGAGGACTGGACTTCATCCTCCGCGGCCTCAACAACTCCGTCGGCTTGCACCAGCAGACCCGGGCAAACGACTGGGCGCGCCAGGGCGGCGGGGGCTACAACAGCGCACTGAACGCCCTCGACTACCACGCCCTAGCCTCGTTCGCCAGCCTCGCCTCCTCCCTCGCCCCAGACACTTCCAACACCACAAACTCCACCTCCCCCCTCCACGCCCAAGCATCCACATGGTCCACCGCCGCCGCCCGCCTGAAATCCGCCTACAACACGCTCCTCTGGGACGCCCCCACCAACCTCTACCGCGACAACACGACCACCGCCCTCTCCCCACAAGACGGCAACGCCCTAGCCCTGCTCTACAACCTCACCACCAGCGCCTCCCAATCCACCGCCCTCTCCTCAGCCCTCACCGCCTTCCACGGCCCCATCGGCCCCCTCACCCCGGAACTCCCGGACACAATCTCCCCCTTCATATCCTCGATCGAAGTCCTCGCGCACTTGGCCGCGGGGCGGCCCGCGCGCGCCCTCGCCCTCACCCGCTCGCTGTGGGCGTATCTGCTCGACTCGCCGCTGATGACGGGCAGCACGCTGGCCGAGGGGCTGGCCGCGAACGGGTCGCTGTACTACCGCGGGAACGCGGGGTACAAGAGCGATGCGGCGTATACGTCGCTGGCGCATGGGTGGTCGACTGGGCCGACGGTGGGGCTGACGGGGGGCGTTGGCGGGTTGGAGATTGTGGGGTGGAGGGCGTGGCGGTTTAGGCCGTTGAGTGATGGGGTCGTGAGGAGTGTGGATGTGGGGTTTGAGAGTCCGATGGGTCGGTTTGGGGTTAGGTGGCGGATAGAGGAGGGGTATGGGGGGTTTGGGTTTGAGGCGAGGGTTGAGACGCCGGAGGGGTTGAAGGGAGTGGTTGAGTTGGCGTGGGAGTGCGATGTTTTGAAGGTGGATGGCGAGGTGTATGGAGGGGAGGTGGTGGAAGGGGGTGGAGAGAAGACGGTCACGGCGAGTGGGTGTGCATGGGGTGAAGAGGATTGATGGTCCGTAAAGTCCAGCGTGAACAGACACTGAAGCACAACGGTATCATGTCATTACTCTTATGAAATTAGGTTAGGACGCAACGCTGCGTGCTCGGGCTGTTTGCCTCAAGTCCATCTACCCGTGCCTGAACGCCAACAATGCTTGTCCTGATCTATACCGCGCCCTGGCTGTCATCAGTCCTCATCGTTAGGATCTCTCTTCTTCTTCTGCTTCTCGCTTGCAGCCTGCATCTTGCCTAGCACGGTCGAACTCTTCGCCTTGGCCTCGACCTGCTCCGCGCGACTCAGGCTCAAGTAGAAGGACCTGACTTTCTCGTGTGCCATGATCTTCCGAGGATCGAACCTCAAGATCTGCAGACCCAGCATGCTTGTTGCTCTTGAAAGCGCAACATACGCCTGACCCTTCTCAAACACACGGCCGAGGTCGACGCGTACACGCTCCAGTGTCTGACCTTGTGCCTTGTGGATGGAAAGCGCCCAAGCAAGAATGAGCGGTATCTGAGAACGGCTTGCTTGGACTTCTCCGTTAGGCAGCTCGACCTTCCAGTCCTCGCGTTTGCAGAGCAAGTCTCGTGTTGTACCATCGGCAATGGCGAAGCGGATGAGGGGAAAGACCTGTGCAGTGTTGAGCCCCAAGACGGTCTTTGCCATCTCAGCCTTCATCTGGGCTTCCGAGATATTGCCTTCGAGCATGTCCTCCTCATTCTCCTTCCAGAAGGTGAACTGCTGTTCGGTCATGAAGCCAATGACTTTGCCGAGAGAGCCATTGACAAGGGTATCGTCCATGTTCTTGACCAGCATGACTTGGGCGCCCTTCTTCAGCTGCACAACCTCCGGGACCATGCAGTTCTGCAGGAGCCTGTCACGCTGCTCTTTGATCGTTACTGTGCCGCCGTCCCGCGCTTCGAAGCTGAACATGTCGCCGTGCAGCTGCTGCATGCGGAGGTTGTTTGCACGATCGACTTCCATGCGGGTAGGGAATAACTCCGTTGCTTCGATACTGCCTTCCGAGGTAGGTAGTGGTCGTTCGAGTTTCCTGAAGTTTGCAATTGACTCGGCCGACATGCGACCTTCACGCATCTCGTTCAGCATATTGGCAAACACAGGGTCCTTTTGACGGAAGACATGGTGGAGACCAATTGTGTGCTCGATGGATGTGTTCCAAGTCCCAGCATCGAACGCGAACTTGGAAGATTTTCCGAACTCTGGCACCGGTGGTAATTGAAAGAAATCTCCTGTGATGACCAATTGAATCCCGCCGAAGGGTCTCCCGTTGTTCCGAATGGTGCGAGCGATTTGCTCCAGTTTGTCGAAAAGGTCTCCGTCAACCATCGACACCTCATCCACGATCAGGACTTTGGTGCGCAACCACCGCTGCTTAGCCTTAGCATTTCGTCTGATCTTTTTGACGAGATCTTCTGCGGGCTCCTTGCCAAGCCCAATGCCTGAGAAGCTGTGTATGGTGACACCACCAATATTGCAAGCTGCCAGACCTGTGGAGGCTGTGACGGCGACTCGATCGGGCTCACGAATGAACTTTTTCCGCAACCCCGAGATGATTTCACGGAGTAAGACCGATTTACCGGTACCTGGAAATTATTAGTCATGCGTTTGCTTAATCATTACAGAACAACTTACCAGCAGAACCGGTGAAGAAGACACTCTTCTTGTGCTGAATGACCAGATCCAATACATTCTTCTGCTCATCACTCAAGAACATCTTGGCAATGACATTCTTCTTTTTCCGTTTCAGATTCTCCGTGTCATCTAAGCTTTCTGTGACTTTCGCCTTGTGCTGCTCTTTGAGAGCCTTCTGCTGCAGCTTCATCGCGCTCGCGGTGGTGTTCCACGGGTATTGCGACTTCGACGAGTCTTTCGGCAGGGGTGTGAAGGTGTTGTTGGTTGTGACCGTTCCTAATCTTTGTTTCTTGTTGGTTGCGAGATCCTCCTCTGGTTCTGGCGTGAGCTGCTGCTTAGGCTGGCTTTGCTGCTGCGACCAGGGCAGAGCACGTCGTTTGCTCTTGAGTGGTTGTGGCTTGGTTGGTGTCTTGAAATGCTCGACTGGAGAGGATGACCATGGGATGGGCTGGCTGCTATCCAGCTCGATCTTTGGCTGCATCGATTGCGGACGTGACGAGTATCCAGATTCGCTGGTAGCCGTGGTCGAAACAGGAGGGAGCTTGGGGTATGTGACGGTGCCTTTTGTCGCAGGGTCTTCAACGTCAAGGTCTATGTCGCTATCGAAGTCATCTTCATCAAACAGTGCAGTGGCTAGGCCGCCACTCTTAGTCCGGGACGGGGTATGGTAGGCAGAAAACTCATTCTCCTTTTCCAGCTCGGAGATGTTGAGCGTAGGGTATTCGAAAGTCTCCTCATGCGAACTCCATGACTTTGCAAGCCCACTCGACGTTCGTTTCGTCCCGTGCGACACTTGACTTGGACGCCGCTGCGCACCCGCGGCGTTCCTCTTGGCGATGGTCTCGGCGCCGAAAGGGGTCGGGCGCGTCCCTGGTCTCTGTGCAGGCAATGCGTGATTTAGGGTGTTGGCGAGCGATGGCTGCTTGTACGCGGGGTTCGGGGCGGCAGGCACAGCGGTGGCAACGGCGGCATCGTGTTTCTGTACGGCCTGCTTGAACATTCTCGATGTCGTGTAGGTACGGGCAGTCAAGTAGCCGTAGGGAGTGCGCGCAGCGGGGTGAGTCTGCGGTGGCCACCGGGGCAATGGCGAGAGGCGTGTTCGAGAAAGGTGCGCACGCGGGAGTGGAAGCTGCGGCCCTGTCGCAGAAAACAATCGTAGCGACGCACCCAATCTCGTCAAAGCGTAAAGCATACAGCACACAAAAGCCGCAACTAGAAAGGAAAATAGCAAAGTGAGAGTGTCGAGGATGCGCATGGAGTGACGGTCGGACCCACTCTACGCGTAGACGCGACCCGCGATTTCTGGTCCCGCACGTGACTGGACCCTGAGGAGACAGTCGCAAGTACACACGCTCTCAAGTTTCAGAAAAAACGGCGGATAAGACCCTAAGCTTACCAACTCTACAGAATACTTGACTTGTAGCTTTTATAATACCTAAAGTTAGAATTTAGTTAAATGTTACATGTAATGTAGGTAAAAAGTATTCTACAAAGTTTTTTAGTATTTTCCCTACCTTACTGTCGTGTGGTGTACTTGGCTTGATATCTCCGCCGTTTATACTGCAACGTGAGAGGCACAGTTGCTTTTCGACACGATGTGCTTCGCCCAATCTTCATCACAAAGTGCATTTCACAGAGAGCGCAGCGTGGAGAATGATTCATCCGTTCATTAATCTGATGAGTAACGTACTCTCAACGTGCTTATTATCTCCCACTCAAAACCGTTATCAAAATGTTTCTTGCGTAAGCGCAGCATGCACTCTCTAAGCAATCTCGTTACCAGAAATCGACCGTCTAGGTCATGCGCACACTTTTGGGTCGTCTCTCGTGAAATGCAGGGAAAGTCGTGGAAATCAAGTGAATCAAGTGAATCATGTTGGTAAGGAAGTACGGCCGTTACAACTCGCTCAGACAACAGGTATGGGTATGCAACGGGGCGCCATGCAGAGATGCCACATGCTTTTTCAAACGTCAAAGGAAGATCAGAATAGATCGAAATATAGGATCGACATCAACTTAGATAGAAGAGAGATCATGAAAGGCATCTGGCCCATCGTAATGAGAGCAACGCAGTGTAAGGAAATTCATTGAGCCACGACAGCAGCCCGTTGTGAATAAGCCCAACAAGACAGCCCGCCATGTTGGAGGGTGAAAAAACGTACAAAGGGTAGTCGCACCAGGAACCAGGACAGAGTCTGCCAGACAGAATAGCACACCGTTCGCCCATCTTGACAAAAGACAGTCTCCTTGTAAGGACATGATAGATAGCAGATAGAAGGATGCAAAGATCGGCGCTAATCAAGAAGAGCCTTGTAAACAACCAGGCATGTCGAAAGCAGAGGCTGGACGATGCGAAACATGACGAAGGTGAGTGGTGAGGGCCTAGCCCTGGTAGCCGCCAAAGCCGTTTTGTTGGAAGCCGCCCTGGCCGGGCTGGCCCCATTGTTGCTGAGGAGCGGGAGCGCCACGACCGTAGCCACCGGCACTGCCTGGCTGCATTTGCTGCGGCTGCATCTGCTGCGGTTGCATCTGCTGCGGCTGCATCTGCTGGTAGTTCATGCCAGGACCCCCAAAGCCGGCTTGTTGCTGGGCGAAGGGTTGTCCACCAGGGCTGGGTCCTGCCCGTGCATTAGATTGTGTTTTTCGGTACTGTAGCTTCCTCCGGTGCCGCTCACCTGAAGGTGACATGGGACCACCTGGTCCGCCACCGTACTGAGGGAAGAACGCGCCAGGCGCCTGAGCGTAAGCTGGACTGGGGCCGGCAGGCGAGTAGCCTTCGAACTGGCCGGTTGGTGGGCGGTCTTTGCCCCACTAGATTCAAGAGTAAGCAACAGAAAGAGAAGAAAGGAACCGGCTCAACCTACGCTGCACTTCAGAGGTCGGCCGTTAACGTTGTACCCATTAAGTTGGCAGATGGCCATGGCAGCGTTCTCGTGAGTGTCCATCTTGATGAAAGCAAACCCACGGTCAGACTGGAAACGAGTCTCGGTAACATAGCCAAAGTTTTGGAAAAGAGGAACGAGGTCAGACTGGGAAGTGTACGGGGTTAGGTTGCCGACATAGCAGGTGGTCTGCCACTGAGGAGTCTGGGCCACGACCATGTCGTAGCTCTGAACTCCGTGGGTGGGGAAGTGGTGGTGACCGAAGGGTGTGGTTGGGGTCATGCCCATCGAGGCCATGGCCTGCTGCTGCGAGATGGAAGGCTGGCCCTTTTGGTTGGCCCAGTTGCAGCGAATGGCACGCGAACCAAGCCACTCTCCGTCCATGGAGCTCAGGGCGCGCTCGGCATCGGGGCGGTCACGGAAGGCAACGAAGCCGTAGCCACGAGATCTGCCAGTCTTCATATCCCACATGACGCGGGCCTCGGACACAGGGCCAAAGGTAGAGAAGGCTTGGAGGAGCACCTCATCGTTGACCTCGTTGGACAGATCGCCAACGAAGATGTGGTAGTGGTTCGAAGTGTCCTCCTTGGCGGTGTTGTTGGACTGGTAGGCCCAGTTCACACGAATTTCCTACTGTGGGTCAGAAGTCGGTCCCGTGCACGTCCTCACACGACACTCACGTTGTTGTGGATACGGCGGCCGTTGAGAGTGGCCATGCCTCGTTCGGCCGCACCAGGGTCATCGTACTCGACGAATCCGTAGTTGAAGCCCTGCAGATGTACGTGTTAGTCTGGCAAGGCTGGAGCAGACAAGGCTGCTCGGACTTTGCGTCTCAGGAGAGCTTACGGTTGGCGAGCTGGCAGTCTTGTCCGGGATGATCTTGACGCTCTGGACGTGGCCGGTGGTCTCGAAGATCTGGCGCAGGACGTCCTCGGTGACTCGGGGGTCGAGGCCGCCGACGTACAGGGCGCGCTTGTTTGGCTCGGGAGCGGCGCGGCGCGGCGTGTAGGAGCCTCCAGCGCTGGTCGGAGACATGACGCCGCCGGACATGGGCGAGCTGATGGCCGTCGGGATGGGGTTCGTGTTCTGCGGGATGATGACGGGGGCGAGCGTAGGGGGCGCCATGTGCTGCGGGTTGCCCTGCTGGCCATCGTAGCCAGGCGGGCCAGTGGGCGGCGGAGGCGGCAGGTTGGTGCCAGGGGGTGCAGAGTCGGCCATGGCTGGTGCGAGCAGATGCGCGGGGACAGGTGGCGTGCGGCGGGGCGCGATGAGCTGTGTGGTTGCGGCGGCGGGCGGGGCGCAGGGCGATGCGATGCGGTCGGCGGCGGCGCAGGCAGGCGAAAAGTGGTGGTGAGGCGGGGTGGCAGCTGGTGGCACGACAAGGAAACGGAGCAGGCGCGAGGCAGCGGCGAGGGCGCGACGGAAAGGGAAGAGAAAGGAGACGGCAAAAGGAGATGCGGAAAAGACGAGAAACGGACCCGGCGCCAACAACGACAGGTAGCAGTTTCGGGGCTTCGTCCAACGGTGGGGTGGAGGAGTGAGAAAGCTGTCGAGGCGGTTGCGAGCGATTAGACCGGCGCCTGATGCAGCGGGCCGTCTAGCCTTGCGGCGAGCCACCCGCCGCAATTACAGCGCGGTGCTGCAGCAACGGTGCGAGTGCGAGGCCACGGGCGCGCCGGGGCCTGCGCGGCCGCCTGCGCGTCGCCGTGAGCAGCGCGCGGCGGGTGCAGCGTGGGCTGACGGCCTGCGGGCTGCGGCCTGCGGACAGCGCGCGCCGGGCGGCCATGCGACAATGGCATTGTGGTGGGCCGACTGCAGCGAGCCTTGGCTGTGCCCTGTCACTGGCACTAGCGGCGCGCAACGATGGGGGAGGCTAACGGAGACCCTTTGCGCGTCGTACAAGCGTCCTCGCTGCCCGCAGCCAGCACCACAGCAGCCAGCACGGCACCCACCAGCACTCCGCGCGCCCACACTCCGCGCGCCCGCACCCCCCATGGCTGCCGTCAAGCCAGAACCGCCGGCGTCTGCGCCCGCGCCCGCGCCCGCGCCTACGCCGGGCAACCCCAACCTCGACGTGCTGCAGGGCATGCTGACCCTGGTCGTGGGTACCTCTGCCGCCCCCGTCTGCACCGCGCTCACCACCGCAGCTCCTGACCGCCGGCCGCTTCATCAAGGAGCACCAGGCCGGCGGCGGCACCGGCCGCATGAAGCAGGGCCTGCAGCGCGCCGTGCCCGTCGCCAGCGAGCGCTTCCACGACGCCCTCGACGAGCTGGAGAACGACGTGCGCCTGTCCCAGGCCGTGCTGCGCCGCGACCTCGCCCTGCTGAAGCAGCACCGCCGCGAGCGCGAGGCCGCCGCGAAGCAGCACGAGGCCGAGCGCGCGCGCCTGGCCGCCGAGTCGCGTCTGGCCGTGGCCGTCCCCGCGAACCCCGCCGCCCCCGTCAAGCCTGAGAGCACCGAGCCCGCCGCACCGCCTGCGCCCGCGCCCCCGGTCGAGCAGCTCGCCCGCGCCGCCACGCCCGAGCCCGCAGCCACCGTCGACGAGCCGCCAGCGCCGCCGCCTGCAGCAGACCCCGCCGAGGCGCCGCCCGCAGACCCCCTGTTCGACGGCACGCCGACCGACTCGAACCACCAGGAGCAGGAGTTCGACTTCGACTTCGAGTTTGGCGACGCAATGGCCGCAGCTGGCAACGGCAACAGCAACAACGCCGACGACATGATGGACATGTCAGGCGACATTGACTTCACCATGGACGAGGGCCCCTCGCTGCTGCGCGGGCTGGAGGACTTTGCGAACGCCAAGAGCAACGACGGCGACAATGCCGCAGGTGCAAACGCGGACCTCGACTTCACCATGTCCGACCTGCCAGACTTGACCACCGACGCGAAGCCTGCGGCAGAGCTGCCCAAGCCTGCTGAACCTGCCCAACCTGCGAAGCCAGACCCTAAGCCAGTAGACGACACAAAAGACACCAAGCCTGTCCAGGAGGTGGCAGACACCAAGCCCACTGTCGACAGCAACGACACGTCCAACGACGAGCCTATGGAGACCATGACCACGGACAACCTGGACGATCTTTTCAATCTCGACGACTACGACAATCCCGAAGGCGGCGACTCCGCCTTCAACGACGCCTTCTTCAACTTTGACTAGAGCCATGACAGCAGTCATTGGAACGAGCCAAACAAAACCTTTCTGTACCCACGTTGCATCCGTGGATGGTGCAATGCTTGGTGGTGACGCGAATTGCTAGAGCCCTCGCCGACCCTGGCAGTGTTTGTCTGATGGAACACTGCTAAGCTCAATGAGCGCTCTAGCAATTTGCGTCACCACCAATCCGTAACAGAAGGTTTTGCTGCGACTCCAGCAAACAATACACAGCGACAGTACTTGGCAGCGGTATCTCGTCATCACTAACCCCACGCAAAGCGCAGCCACCTCGAGCAAGATTTCGCGACCGTGTGAGACCTGCGTCACATCGAGCAAACACTGCCACGTCAGACCCGACCGCACTGCACCACCACCTGCGCCTCGCCTTCTGGTCACGCAAGGCCTCAGACAGACCCCTGCTTCCATCAGATCCACGAACTGCGATTCCCTGCAGCATTTCTGTCCTGGCGGCCCTAGAATCTCTCAGCGGCGTGATGGAGCATGTACGCTGTAGAACTGGCCCGTGTATGCAGCGTGGACGGTGTCTGCCTTGCCCGCTGCCGTGTGTCTGCAACGGCAGTTGCACGGAGGCGAGCAAGCGGCACTGTCTAGGCTGCTACACTGCACAGCTCGGTCGCTGTATGGCTCCGCCGTGCAGGTAACCTCAAAGCTTGTTGTCAGCTGGTCGAGAGTTCTGGAGGTTCCAACAAGCCGGCTCTCGACGGCAGAATGCACGTCCTGTCCTCAGGGACGGAAGGAGTTCCAGCGAGATCGGGACATGGGCCTGCGTGGTCCTCATTTTGACGTGGGTTCAGGTATATTGCTCAGCGAGGGCTAGAACAGCAAAGTCGTCGGTCTTCAACAGCGGTGTAAACGGATGATATATGTACTCGTACAGGCATATACCAATCTAATTCAAACACATGAAGCATCCCACACACGTATGTTCCTACATTTGGACTTCGAGCATTGGACAAAGCATGTCTGTACCAGCCAGCATCTCATACAGCTCACACTCCCATCCCGTCCTCCACGGGCCAGACCCCCCAACGCCAGACCGCCGTGTATCCGCAAACAGCGCCGCCTCGCCCCTCGTCCCAACCTTCCACGCAACCACGCAACCCAGCCCGAATCCCCAGCTCCCAAGCCCCAAACTCTGTTCTCCCAAGCTACCACGCTCCCGGGTCCCTCCCCCAGAATCACCGCACTCCGTCTCCGCGGAGGCCCCGCGCTCCACGCCCATGATCCCATGACCGCCCGCCCGGGCACTCTGCCAGAGCCCAAGTCCCGCTAGCGCCGCGATACACACAGCGGTCGCACGTCGCAGCGCAACGGCGTCGACAGCCTCACTCGCTAGCGCTAGCCCGATCCACGCCCCGCCACTGCGTGCGCTGCGCTGCGCTGCACTGCGCGGCAGCCGATCGCTCGCCGCCACAGCGCCGCAGGCTAATGGCAGCGCGGCGCATCTGGATTCCGAGCGGCCCTGCAGCGTGCTGCTGGAGCGTGGGCAGGGCCTTTGTTGTTCGCGCGCGGGCTGGCAAGCCGCGGCGGAGCTGTGTCCGGTTGGCTGCGACGCCGGGGCGGGATGCGATACCGATCGATGATGGGGTTTCGAGGGCGGCGCGCAGCATTCGCAGAGCTTGTTTGCTGCATTACGAGGCTTTGCACGTGGGTCGTGCTCGGATTGGCGGTGCCGGGTGTCGATCTGATACACATGGTTTGGGGCTTGGGTGCGAAGACATGTCGCATAGTACAGTAGATCGCGGTTGATGCTGGGCAGCTGGAGTTGCGCCACAGCCTGGGAACTGCCGGTAGCCTACGCTGGACGTCATGTGTGTTCGATGACGCGCAATCCAGAGCTATGTCCGTAGCTCTCTACAGTGCCAGCGTTGCCCGTGGTCTGTAACATTAGCACACAATCGAGGTGTAGTTAGCTTAGAGCATCGAAGCAAAGACCTGAGCATGATCGGTAGATCATTGATAGTCAGAACAGCGCTCCAGAGCACAGTAGTGTCCGTTACTTCAGATAGCCATGCCTTCGTATTCTAGGCCAGCCTAGATGCCCATTCGCTGACATGCGAAAGCATCTTTGCGGCAGTCACCTGAATCTGAGAGCGAGAAGCAAACGAGGATTAATGGAGGCACTTCCGACGCGTTTCCCCAGAGGCTGAGTGGCGGACATGGCCGTTCACTCCCGCTAGCACAAGCGTAGAGTGGCTGGATCGCAGTAGTGCAGTGTCACTCGCTCTCTCAATCAGAAAGTCCTGGCGTGAGGCGCGGTTTAGAATGGCTCCGCATCGACGATGAAATGCATCCTCTGATACGAAGTACGTGAAAGTGAAACCACAATACTGACGTTGAATAACAATGTAAATTGTGATTGCGAAATGCCAATTCAGGCAACCTGAATCGACTTTTGTTCCTTGCCGTGTACGTAAATCCAAAATAACCCAAACACCGTCCGGAACCCAAAATCGATGAATCGTGATATCGTGGTGAACATGAACGACTTAAGATGGTCGAAACCACTCGCTAGCTAGTTCCCAGGAGACACATTTCCTTGCTGAAATCAAATCTTAGAGTTGCTTTTGATACATGCCATACTTCGCCGGGGCAATTGAAACGCCATACGCCGTCCCATCCCAAATGTGCGGAGCATAGGCTCGTGCTAGAAAGAAGGTTGAAGCTATCCGCGGTGTTGCGTGACAAAGCTTCGTAAAGGCTGTACAAGAATATCGTTACGAGATAATGGCAGTGTGTCCCAGAAGCTCATCTGCTCAATGCCAACAGTGGTGTATAACAAGCTGAGTGTAGTGTGCTGGAACGTGCAAGGCATATCGAGGTCAGATGCTGCGAACATGATATTGTGCAATTCGTGTCGTCGCTGTGGATGATGGTACGTTTGTGAGGCTGATTTTGTCGGCAGGTCAAGCTAGCAGAGAGATTCTCTACGAAGCATGGCCGAGGACCGAGTTCTCAGCCCGTTGGTTGATGCAATGCGCATGTGCCTCTAGAGCGCGTGCTTGCACTTGGGTAACTGCTGTTCAGTTTAGCTGTAGTTCCACGTGTTGCTGCAAACACAACTTACCAGGCCAGACGGCGGCTTTTGATAACATGTAGGAAGTTACCATCAACAACTTGGTACCAAAGCCACAACGACTCATTCCCGAGATGCCGGGAACAGAGTTGATGACATTGTTGCAGGAAATATCGTAAGCCATCTTCATGTCTGCATTGTGCAAGATGTCTGCAATCTTCTGCAACAACTTGATATCCTCCTCTTCAAGACACATGATCGCAGGAACTGTAGAGTAATCAATATCATCTCTTCCAAGCACACCAAGATAACGGCCGACACGGTCTTGAACTGTCGCAACCCATTCAGCGAGCACTTGCGCGCAGTCGAATGTGCAAAGTGCAGACGAGTTCGGCAGCTCTCGAGCGGTGAATTCGGCGTACGTGGCGCCAAGTTTGTCCGCCATTGATAGGGAGTCGGCGGCGTAGAAAGCTGCTTTTCGAAGGTGCCTCTCGCGTTTCGAAGACGGTTGGATGCCTGAAGATCCCGAAAACCCGACACTGTCCAGTTGTTGTGCGAGATGGCCGGGCGAAGCAGACTTTCCAGGATCAGACCGCTCCGGTGTACCGTCGGCCTGGGCTACAATATCGATGCCCTTCGCGAGCTCGTTCGCCATGCCCTCGAAGTCCCGCTGCCATAGGAGCTCTTTTGCCCGGGAAAGGTTAACAAACAGGCGAACGTAGGCCAGATCCAACAATGGTATACAGTCCGCAGACAATGGGCCGAATGGGCTAGGTCGCTCGATACTGTGGTTTGGATTGGCTCTCCAGGCAGCCTGCCAGGCTTTCAACGCGGGTTCGACTTGGGCGTGCATAGCCTCTGTCTCCTGCGTCTTCCAAAGACGACCAGTGTGTCTCTGTCGAGTCTCCCAAATGTAGACGTGTAGTGCGTTGATGAGAATGTAACAACCAAAGGTGCTGGGTTGTATTTCACTGTCCATTTGGTCGTTAAGCGAGCTGCCTCCAAACTGACCATAGTGTGAACGAACAGCGCCGCCTTGGCGAGTGCTTGCCTCGAGTAGGTATGTCATGGCGGCGTTGAAAGACAAGTTTCTGGACTGTGCAGCCACCGAACCCCCCGTTGCCATCCAGACTTGAGCGTTTTCAGCTGACCAGAGATCCTCTTCGCAAGGAAGGTCGAGACGGATCTCGGAATTCAGAATCCGTGGTGCGTGGGCGTATGCTGAGACAAGCAGGCTTGACAACGAGAATACAGCGTAGTAGGTTCGCTTTCTCTCCTCCGCTTTCTTCCATTGGATCCACTGGCTATACTCATTACGCATATCCACAGGCGAATCTGCGTGACCATTCGAATCGTCTGCCATTGACGTATCGTCACCATTAGTGTGCGACGGCGGACTCTGCGTCATCGTCTCTGGCGCCGCAGGCTTGTCTAGTCCTGCGGCTTTGGCAAGACTGACCAGGGCTGCGCAGTGAGTACTTGCAACTTCAGCTGCCTGTCGGTCACCGCAATTATGACCGAATATCAGGTTCAGCAACATGGCCTGGACCAACCACAGCGGAGGCTTGTTTATGGACTCACTCGCAGCGCTTGGACCGTTGACAGCAGCTGTCAGCCCAGCCCTACGGCGCTCGTCCAGGTAGTAGAGAATCAGCTTCTTAGCAGCTTCAAACAACTCCTTTGCCACAACCTGCTCAAATTCGTACAGAGCGCCGATTGCAGCCATTGCAAGAATGAGGCAGCCGCCACCACCAACCATGCCGTCATGATTGTAGTTGTTAGTAGTGCGAAGCTGGTACGTATAGGCTGGAGTGTCGAAGGACAGGGTCGGAATATGCAGAAATGGCATGTGTGGGTGGAAGTACAGTATGTATGCGTTCACGTAGCGCTGAATGTCCATGGTGCTTGGCAGCGTTGCGTTCTGGCTTTGCGACAAGGGAGAGCTGATCTGTGGCTGGGAAAATCGTCGCTGCGGGTTGCCTACCGCCAGCGCTTGTTGCAGGTTGACAAGCAAGGCCTGCCTTGTCGCCTCCGTAATGGATTCGGTAGAAATAGAGGTTACGGAGCTGTGTCTTGCGCTGCCGTTCATTGACGCCGAAGATATGCTGCCAGCATCAGATTGAAAGGTCATTGGGGCCTGGAAGTATTGGTTTGGCATACCCGGTATGCCTGCTGAAGGACTCATTGCTGCAATTGGAGGCGGTGACGCCATGTAGAAATCGTTTTGTGCTGCGGGATCTGCAAGCTCCTGCGTTCCTATGGTATTGATCATTAGTTCCGGAAATACAGGCGCCATGGCGTCGGTGAAAGCCATTGGGTTGATGTGTGAGTGTGTCGGTATTGGGTTGTGCCACATAGTGCCAGAGGTTGGCTGCCCTGACCCGTCTAGCATAACCTCATTGAAAGCACCCTGGCTTGCAGTGCTAATAGCGGATGGGGATGATCCCTCAATGGCGTTCTCAGTCGAAAACATCATCTGGTTTTCCAGACCTGCACTCCATGCGAAGTCATCCTCTTCAATCGGGTTGTTGCCAGCGAAAGGGTTGGCAAACTGCCTGAAAGGGGACTGCGGATGGGCGAGGCTGCCGTTGAAGTGATGCAACTGATTGGGGTTGATCGTGGAGCCGGATGAGCTGCCAAAGAACTTCTCCAGCTCGATATCATCAGGGCCCGGCGCTCCTTGTATTGGCGCAGTACGGAGCCCACCTCCGCCCATACCCCCAAAACCAATATGTGTGTCTAGCCGAGGTAAGCCGTGATGCTGCCCGTGCGAGCCCACCGCAGTGGACATGCCTCTGTAGTCGAACTGACTCGGCCCACCGAACCCAGATATGCTAGCATGGCGTGAGTGGCCTGGATGGACCCCATTTCCTGGAGACATAGTTGCGTTGTGGAGTGCAAGGAAGCTGGCATCGATTGCACCAATGGTGTTGGCGCGCGGCCGCATGCTTCCAGTGCCAGGAATGATACTGCCAGTATTACTTGAGATGGAGTTCTTGCGAACGCGGTTTGTGGCAGTGTTGGGTGGCAGACCGGTCGTGCTTTCTCGTCGTGCATTTCGCGGTCTTGTAGAGGTCGCGCCCTGCTGGTGCAGCTTCTGCTGATGGCGCAAGAGCAGGTCGCGCCGCGCAAAGCATCTTGCGCATTGAGGACACTCGAAAGGTTTCTCCTTGGTATGTGATCGCTCGTGGCGCTTGAGGTGCTCTAGTCGTGCAAATGAGCGGGTGCAGGTGGTGCAGACGTGCGGCCGTGGCTTATCGGTCTTTGGTGGGGGGAAGGTAGAGGCAGGAGGCTGCGTGGTCTCTGGCTTAGCTGTTTGTACGGAATCTGCGGTTGAATAATGTGGTTAGCCATGACCGGTCGCGGTGGTTGTTGTGGCTTACTGTTGCTGCTGCCACCGTTACTGCTTCCTGATTCGTCGCTCGGTAGGTTCACAGGCCCCGTAGGGCTGTTCTCCGCTCGCTGGTTCGACATTGTTGAAATATTGCTGATACAGTCGAGCTGTTTCGACGCCCACGGCAAGCTCTCTGGCGACACACGCACTGTCTTAGAGTCTCGAGTCGCTAGGCGAAGGACTACTAAGGCTGCTAAGGCTGCTATGCTGATCTGGGGTCGCCGGATTAAGTTGGGTCAACTCGCGGATCCGGGAACTCGCCGAGAAAGAATAGACAAAGAGTGGAATACTCAGGTCCCGCTAATCTGGGAACGTCGGTAAGTCATACATGTCCCTTTGCCAAAATTAAATGAGTGGGAGGCCATACCTTTTGGACTCGAGTTCGGGTGTTGAACGCACGCTGAGACGTGTTGAGTCCGATAACCGGGGCCGTGACCCAGTCTTTCAGTGCAAGGCAGGAGACGGTCCAAATGATGCAGAGATAACAATGCAGTCCAGTCCAGCTGCCTGAGGAGCTCCAATTGGGCGTGGAAAGAGGCTGCTGAAGTGAGAGCCGACGGTGGATTATGGTCCTCGGACTAGCGAAGAGTGTCAGGCACGGCTCGGACTGGAGGTCGGACGATAATGAATTATTGAAAAGAACCACGGGAACGGTAGTTGTCCTTGGACTAGTCGGCCCGCTCGCTGACTGAATGTGCAGTGCGAATGTGTGTTCACGGAAGGGCCCGGTAGCTGGTCCCAGAGTTGTAGAGCGCCCGGATGTACAGGATTCGATGCAGGCTGCGAGTGGGGACCAGCAAACAGCACGCAATGACGGCGAGACTGCTCACTCGCGCCGTTTGTGGTGCGAAACCCAAGATGCAACGCAGTCACAGCGTCAGTGAGAGCAATCGGCAAGCTCTCGAGCTCGCGGCACTGCAATTGGCCGGGAGTCCTGGAAAGCCAGTGGAGGGGCTGCCGAAAGCTGGGGTATTGACCGGGATGTGTGCGCCTTCCTCACTCAGAGAAACAGAGAAGGAACGATTGCGACTACGACAGTCAAGAATAACAGCGACAACGTCCGCACGAGGTGTGACGACGGAGACAGAGGTAACGTCCAGCAGACGGCGCAAGTCCCCAGGTAAGCAGATCGTCCAGGGCCAAAGCAGCGAACCAGAGGCTGCGCGCGCGGTTGCATGACACACCAACGCTCCAAGCTAGACCCCAGAGCTGTTCGGCAGCGGACGCCTCCAGCAGGGCTTGCTGCAGCACCAGGGCCATCGAGAACGGTATCGCGCTTTCGCCGTCGACGCTTAGCGTGACCAGGGTCTGCCTCCGTTGTCCGACAAGGGCCCGAATATGCACACTTCTCCTAGAGGCGGCAGCGATGAACAGCACTCGCTGATCCTCACGCTGGACGACCCGCTCGGAAGCCGGCAGGCATCGCAGCGCCTCAGACGGCGCGCAGTCGTCGCTGCCTCGCTGCTTGGCCACATCAATGCCACAGGGGTCTGCGGACGCAGGCCTCGGCCCAGTGCAGGAGCAGCGCGAACGCTGTGGGCCTCGTGTTGTCACGCACAGCAAAGACGAACAGTCGAGACTGACCGTCCGGAGCTGCTCGCTCTCACTTTGCCCCTGATTGCTCTGATAGAATTGGTCCCCAATATCGCCAGGCTGGAAGATTGGCAGGTGCCACCGCGTAGCGGGCCCTAAATTAACTCGCGGCGGGCATCAATGTCACTTGCCCATAGAAGTTTATCAAAGTACGCCCGGACGGGGTCGAGTTTTATGAAAGGCCTCAACATACACGGCACAACCCTGTTCTCAGTCTGGACAGAGTTGATGGTATCTAGTGCAATATTGAATACAGATGCCCACCATGCAACCGTGGCCGCGCGCACTCCCTCACGATCGCAGGACAAGCAGGTGTGGACGGCCATCAACAAGCGCCGAACTACAGTAGATACAGCCACCAGAGCCAAGCGCCATGAAGACGCGGCCAGGCGACTGCACAGGGCGACCGAACAGGATAATGGCCGCAACCGCCTACGCAGTACGTACCCTTACCTACTTCTGCAGCAACGGGACCGCTTCACCGATGTCAGCGCTGCGCGGGCGTCCGCGGGCGCAAAAGTCTGGGGAAGCTGGAGTCGCGAAAAATGGAGGCTGCGGAAACACACACTGGGGCCGTCGAGTGGCCCAACCGCTGCTGGACGCATGCTTTCCCCACAGTCTCAGAACAGCTTAGATCCGGCGCACTCCAAGCGCGCCCTTGATTGGCGCCGCTTACAGCCCACCTTGACTGCTCCGAAACGGCTTGCCAGTTCCTTTGAAGACCCAGGCCACGACCCTGGCCCGTCGCTGCAGCGCTGCCACACCACGGTTCGCTGACGCTGATCAGGGCCGTCTTTGCGACTCCTGCTCGGCTAGGTAGATGCCTCTGCATCGGCCTTCAATTGAGGTTCTTGGGCCTGCGCCGGAGCACGTTGTCGACCATATGGCCACAGGAGGGCCACAGCTTTGGGCCAGCCTAACAAGAGCCATTTTCGACGAGCCTGTAAGACTCGGAAACAAAGGACCCTGTCCAGTACACGTCTTGTATCAATGCAGAGACCCGCCAATAATGGATCTGTGGGTACTATTTTACTGCACATGACCCTCCAGAGCGGGCCCTGACAACGCGCTGTTCGCGCAGGCTGCGACGGCCAGCCATCCAGCATTCTCCGCCGTTCTCCTAGCTTCACCATTGAGACGTCATCGCGTTTGACAACTATTCTAGGCGGATGTTGCAAAGTCGCAGAGTGTTCCTCGCCGCATCTGAAGCTCCTGCAACGCCAGTGGGTAGCCCACTGTGTAGTGTCACGGCGCTTTGCAGCGACTTCCAATGTTCACGCTCCAAAATTGGCGCAAAAGGTGACGTTGGTCCTTGCGTATGCAGAATGGTCTGATGCTATTGTAATACATGCGTGCTATTAAGCTCATGAGATCAGCGCCGACGTCTCTTCTACTTCACCAGCTAAGCCACAGACTACGTCAACCCGGCTGGGCGACATGCTCTCCAGACTGCCCTGCAGAATAGCTGGCTCGATGTTGGTTGCTAATCAAGTCAGGAGCCGCTTGAATACTCTTTTGCACGTTGCAGAACAACTGACGTTTGAGATCTGCACTTGACTGCTTCAATCAATTGTCGCCCCACCTTGCGGCATGGAATTCGAAAGATCGCTCGCCGAATTTTAAGATGTGCTGACCGGCTTTACTTTCCGCAGAGGCGAGCCGCTCGCTACTCTTCTAAGCACGTTTATTGCTAGCAATACTTGACTTGCCGGTACGGCCGTGTCGCGCAATGGTTGGGCTCTTTCCACAATCGATACATTGACGAAGCCCGGCCAATACCTGCAAAGATGTTGCCGAACATGTCACTTACGAGGTATATGCGCACATGATGCAGTACCTTGTATCGCTGTACATGGTGTGCCTACGACAGCTAGCGCTGGTACTCGCGACATGACTACCTAACCATTGCCAGTCAGCGGATGACGTATCACCATCTTACGACCCTCGGGACGGAAGGTTGACGATACAAACTGCAAACATGTTCCGACCGACACGGAATCTATGCAGAGACTCGATGACGAGCGTCTGCGTTCTGCCGTCCGTACCATTGCTTGACGAACACATGCAACAACGGAACCAATTGTCTGTTTGGGTGCTTAACTTAGATGGGTAGCCCGGCGCACGTATGCCCCACTATCCTCACCCTTTCCCCAGACGCTTGCCACTCGTATCTTGACTGCTTGTGCATGCTACACTCCAGCCGCTGATCCTATCAGCGCATCCTGCGCAGGAGCCGAAGTATTCCACCTCGATCCCGCGCAGAAGTAAGGCAGACCGCGGTAAGTAAGAAGTGTGCTGATCGCGTCTAGAAGCGCAGAGCCTACAAATCCTCTGCAACGGCCTGCACGAACGAACGGTTCGCAGTTGTTATGTTGCACCAGCCTTCTGGCTTGACATGAGCATGTTACACATGCAGGCCGCAAGCGCTCGGGGCTCGAGAGTTGTAAAGTCAACAGAGCGCTGGGTAGGTCTTCAGATTAAAGGTCAATGGCACCTACGTACAACGCGCCGGCCCAGCTTTCCATCGATTGACTCCATCAATTCTTGGCTGTGCGTATAGCTGCCTCAGCGGCATGCATCCTGGTCTAAAGGTTCATTGTAAGTACCTCGCCACATCCTTCAAGAGCCTGCCGATTGCCTATTGGCCACCTTGCTCTGAACACCTTCCTGTGCGCCTTTGACCACCAGGTTACAAGGGCGCATTCCTGAGTCGTTGCGAAAACCGCTTCGTGCGTTACTGTACCATATGACGGAATCCGAGCTTCGCTTGCCAGTTAGTCGCTTTCTTCTTTCCGTCGCTATACTCCGATTCACTACGGGCTGGATTCCTCGGTTCTTGGGCACCACCCGTCCCGATGGCGCCAACTACCACTGTAACCGTGACCTTGCAGCTTTCCAAGAGTGCCAGCCGCTGAGTCGCCTGCCTCGGCGTTTCGATCGCCCGCTTCCCGAAACAGTTGTCCGGCAATTGCTCACAGGCGCTTTTGATGGACGTCTGGTGTCCGGCCCGACGCACACACTGTCAGAGCTGCAAAGACGCTGAGTGGAGAGCTATACGAAATGATGTCGCCGTCTTTCCACAACCCAACCCGGTGTGCATCGGTAGACGATAAATTCTGGAGTTGCGACTTAACACGCTCGTGGTCTGCCGCTCCTTAGACCCTTGAATTATCTCCAGGCCTTTAATTCGCCAGACTGAACAACGCATGTAGACCCTGTTTCGGTGACGTCGCCGATGTCACGATAGAACGATCTCCTCAGGTGTTTAAAACATGTTCAGGACAAGGATTGTCTTGCCATCGCGAGACGGATGCGACCCCAGTCGCAAGAACTGCCTTCAATTTCCGCGCCCCAGTGTCCACACCGGCTCCACTTAGCGGAAAGAGGCGAACTCAACAACGGAGACCAACCTCGCCTTAGCCAGTGGAGCATTCGCCCAACAGAACCTTGACTGCTCCTGTCGCCAGCAACATTTCGAGTGGGATTTAGGCTCTCCTTGTTCAGTGAAGGGCCCCATTCCAGTTTGCAGACTGCGTCTTCATCTGAAGCAGCCTCGTTTGTGACTAAACCTTATCACACACATGGCTGTACAGACCCCCACGCTGTTCGCACGTGTCGCCACGATGAAAGCAGGTCAACGGCAACATCAAGTCTCTCACCAGCTCACGATCAATGAGCTTTGAAGGCGGGACGGCCTTGACGATCTCCGGCCATGAAGCGCGGCGAAACACGTGAGCTGCACGCTTGACAAATCGTACTCGAGCCGCTGGGCAGAAGCACAGCATGTTCTACTGCGCGTAAGTCCTTAGTTCAGATCAGAAGTCGACTCATCGGTGGTGGTGGGGAGAGAGGTAAGCAACACTGCGTCAGCATCGCAACATATATCGGTCCTGATGTTTCATCTCTGGCCACGCGGCCCTCGCTGATAACAGCGGCTGGTGCCAGACAATTAAGGCTCGGTCTAGAATTGCTGTTCTAGTTGTCAAAGCGCACGAATCAAGCCCGAGGGTACTGTAAAGCGCTCAAGGTATGATGCAACATGGAGGGTGCAACTGGAGGTCAAACTTTCAAGAGACCTTACACACTGGCATCAATCACCAGTCAGAAAGATGTGTCAGGTCTAGTGATTGGTATACACTGACACTAAGCGTCTAACGAGAGGCGCTTGGGAGAGCATCACCGACAAGCACGATCATTGAGCACTTATTCCCTTTAATGTCTTAGTACATTGATTTGTGTGTCTCTCTGTTACTCTAGAAAACTGTCGAAACATATGGTATTCACGGTACGTAATGTGAAAGATCAATCCTTATGCCAGTACAAGCCGCGTGCAATGCTCGGACGATGGTAACCCAGTGTATGCACTAAAGTGGAAGGCGTACTTTGTCCAACCCGTGTCTGCTCCTTCCAGTCTCTCACTGCGGCTCTTTACACTTCTGGCAGACCATCAGATAGTCTCCTGCCTTAGTCCAAACGATCTTTCCACCACAATGATCGCACCGCATGCCAACGACGATCGAGTCGGCCATCTGAACTTCCTGGTCGGCCAGCAAGTTGGCTGCAGTGGACTCCACCGTGATACGAGTGATTTCTTTCTCAGCCTGGCTGGGGTCCTCGTGTGAGTCTTGCTCAATCTTCCTCAGTCCGTCCACGTCTTCGGTGTCAGTCTTCTGCACCTGGCCAGCGTTCACACCAGTCTTGTCCATACACGCAACATTCTCAGCGACCTCATTCTGGTTGTCTGGCACCTCGTCGCCGTAAGTACCTCTATCCATCCACTTCTCCACATCGTTGTGCGTGATCGTGGTCGAGATCCTGCGACCATGCTTCGCCGTTGTGACAGTCAGTGAGCCTGAAGACGAGGCATTGGCCAGAGGGTCCGTATGGGTGCGAGAGGATACGGATGTTGAAGTGGGGTCATTCAGAACTGTGGCCTGGTCGTTGCGACGAATCAGATGAAGAGATGGATCAGCGTTCTCCAAGGACATGCCCTCTACGCGTGTGGCGATGGTGGTAGTAACTCCAGCTTTTGGGGTCGGTTCGCGTGGGTCGAATGCGACATTGGGAAACACACTGTCAGAGTCTGACATTGTGGCTGCGTTGCGAGATGTGTAGTTGATGTTGGTGCAGAAGAACAGAAGGGGAGGGGGGATTAATAGAGCAGAAGGGTCGGAAAATCGAATCTACTTCAGACGGCATTGGGTGAGTGAATGGCTCGATCAGGTGCTATCTCGAGGCCTCCTTCACTGTTAACCAGGGTATTTTGCCCCCTTGAGATTGTGCACTCATTATGGATGATTGTCATTGTTGGCAACCTCACAAAGTGATCGAGGCTCAGCCACAATCATGGCATTGACAAGCAGTGTGAGGAAACCTGTCACGTTGCGATCTATTGAAGGGTTTGCAGTCACATTGTCCTTCGCTTGTATACCTAAAACCTCAGTGTACTTCGAAAAGCCGAAGCCAGATCTCACCATAATTTCCAACACAGCAACGAGACCCAAACTTCCACGTCCATCATGGGAGAAATTTCTGAAAATGCTGCTCACTGTCTTTATATTATGATGTTCCCAGAGCCCGCGAACACTCCCGAGTCGAGGAATAACGAACGGGCCTCAGGCGAACAAACAACCACGTGTACAGAAGCTGCAAACGACGAGGCAGGCACCAACGACCCCTCGCCTGATCAAACGCAGGAAGTATATAATATCGCTGAGCCCCTAGAAACGTCTTGTCCACTTCACCCATTCAGCTTCAGTTACCAAATACGAATCTCCACAGGACTGAGACCAGAACGCTCAACCTTCCCCACGCCCGAAGACTTCGATCCTCTCCACCAGCAACATGCACCACACACTCATCGCGCTCTCAGCCGTTGCTCTATCTGTGGCACTCATCTTTACCACCTCCCCACTCACACAAATATTGCATTGTGCTTCAAGTGTATGCGAATCGCTTAGAGAGATGGGTTTCTACGTCTGGGTCGGATTATACTGCCTGATATCTTGGGCATCAGTCGTCATGGGACAGTTTTGGGTTCTCGACATCCTCGGTGGACGCTCGGGACAACTGTGCGGGAACAAGTTCATGAACTGTCGACCTTGGGACTAGGGCTCTGGCAGATATGTGTGCTGCACGGGTTTGAACGTATGCAGCGAAGTCAACTAGACGTGGTGATACCAATGTTCAGTCAAGACCAAATGAATGCAGGACATCTCCCAGCGACTGCCTTTTCTAGTACATCGTGTCTGTCGTAGCCTGAGTTGCTTCTTAATCCTGTGTGGGGACCTCCTGCATCCCCAACGCTGCTGCTTCTGTTCTCAAACTTGCGAGTGACAGGCATTTCCTGGACGCTTGCTGCACCCGTCCTTCCTACCACAACGATGGTCAACTTCAAGGTGGCAATGTCGAGACCGAACGAACGTTGCCACGCTGTCGGTACTTTCCTCCATCATTTGCGCACCTTCTCCTGCTCACACTGTCTCCTTCCTATGTTGGCTTTGCCACATCGTCATGGATCAGGAATACCCGAGCAAAACTGATAGTGACGTGTGGCTGCGCAAAAAACACATGCGGCTTGGACGGTCAGATACAGTTGGAGGCACTCACGTCAAGGCACGCTATTTCGATACTCCAATCACGGTCGGATTTTGCTGCCATGATGTCTTTATTGATCATGTTAGGCTAGTGCACATCTACTCGGGGGTGACCGTAATGTCTTAATGATCATGTTAGGTCCACCTCATACCCTGCGTCGTCGAATACTTTTAACAATTGCCCCAAGCGTCTGCATGCACGCTCAGAAGTCGCAGGACTCGGCGAGCAGAATGGCCAGTTCCTCCAGAGCTGTTTGGTCCTCCTCGGTGAATCCATCCTCTTCTGCACAGTCGATGTCGATAATAGCAACGGCCTTGAATGCATTAGTCACACGTATCGCAACGCGGGAGCCATCGACTCACCTTTCCTTCCTTGATGATTGGCACAACGATCTCGCTCTTGCTCGCACCGTCGCAAGCAATGTGCCCGGGGAATTTTTCCACATCAGGCACAAGCTGCGTCTGCTTCGTCTGTGCTGCAGCCCCGCAGACACCGCGCCCGAAAGCTATGGTCTGGCATGCTACTTGGCCGTGGAACGGCCCAAGCAGAAGTTGCCGTGGGTTAGACGGGTCGAGGAAGTAGAAGCCACTCCAGTTGACGCTAGATGACGGAGCAGGCAGGGAGTGGTACGCGTGCCACAGGAGGGAAGCTGCGTTTGCGAAGTTGCTACGAAGCAGTTAGTCCTTGTTTGCGCGCCAACGCCATTGCCTCTGTGAGGCTTGTCGCGGTGGTTGTTGAGAACCCGTTCACATACCAGACCTGGAGGTCAGTCAGCACATTTTGCGATCTCAAGCTTTAGTCCGCGCATACCCAGTTTCTCTGTCCGTCGAACAGCGCCCTGGCCTGCTCCAGAACCTGCGCGTACACCTCTTGCTTGGTCAAGCCATCTGCAAAACTAGACGCGTCTGCATGAACCTTGACGTGGTATTCAGTATCCTGATCATCAGGACTCGCAGCTCTGAGGCGCGCATACCATTTTTCGCGGTTCTTCCAAAATTTCGCTACACGGCACAAATTTGGTGAGGTTGACTGGAAGGTGGAACACAAACGTAACAGGTGGGAAGGTCTTGCCGTGAGCCTCCGAGATCTTGACGTCTGCAAGCTGATTGGCAGCGAACTCACAATCTTGAACTCAGACTTGCGAAGGGCCAGTGCTTGCAAAGAGTAAGGCTAGAAGATAGTGGAATTGGCTGTGTGTAGACTCGCTGCTAAACGAGATGAGGCTCTGGATTGGGGCCCTTGCTACATTTGTAATCGACTCTAACATTGCGTGCTCAATCCTTGCACACCAATACCTCCGAGGCTCTGTCTTGAGAACGCGATCCCTGACTACAATAGTGAAGCAGCTGGTATCATGATATCTGTATATCAACCCTCGGGCCTTTTCTGCACGTCGGAGTGAAATCCCTGGACCCGTATGGAGTTCCAGCCCCTGACCCACTCAGCACACAATCCAGACGAGGGCACACGTTGACGAACAAAGAACGTCGCAACCACTTTGCCGAAATTGTCCTGGACACAAGCAGTGAAGACTGCTCAGCGTCTCATTGCTCTACTGAGATGCTTAGTTTATAATCGTTGTTGGATGCCGAAACCTCATCTCAGTATTGAAGACTCTTCAAAACTGGCCGGTTGGCGCAATGGTAGCGCGTGGCCCTCCTATATACTCCGTCTTCAGACGTTGGAATAGGCCAAGGTTGCAGGTTCGAGTCCTGCATCGGTCGATCTTTTTTTCGTTGCGTCTTTTTTTGACTCGTCACAATTGCACAATGAGCTGAACGAGAGAAAGAGGCAGGGTCGTGCTTGACAAGGCTGACAAGAATCTGCTGACAAGCCCCAACCGTCAACACTGGACGACGTTTGTCTTGCACTCCCACGATCAGCCTTCTCTATTAGCTGCACTCTTTGCATCTACTGCGTGCCTTGTTTTATACACACGTACCCACTGTGAAGCAGCCAGCCATTATCAAGGATAACATTTTGGGTTGTCCGTGTCGTGAGAAGATCTCGTGGTGGTTCTCTCTCATCTACACAGGCACCTAGATCACAAGGATCTTTTTACATCTTCACTCACTTCGTGCCTGCCATACTTGTCTGTAGACGTGGTGATTCACCCGCATAGTGCCAACACACGTGACGCTTTGTGCGAACAGTGTTTTTGCGAAGTTTCACCTCACTTGCAAACGCGACGTCGATGCTTGAGCTTTCTTACATTCAGGTCATGACTACACTAGCGTCTGCTGAGGTTTGATTACATCTTCTTCTGACCGCCCTCTACCCACTCGATAACCTTCTGGAGTAACCCTACATCAGCCAAGGCCTGCTCCTTCGCCTCTCCTTCTTCAACTACGGCACTTAGTTCGCCTCCTTCCACCAACTCTTTTTGGAAGCTCGCAGCAACTTTCTTCAACGTCTCAATGTAATGTGTGACATCGAGACTCTTGACGCCCAAGGGCTCATGCAGGTGCTGCGCCTGGAGCAAGAGGTAGTAGAAGTTGAGGGCGGCAACGTAGAACCCGAGTTCTTGCCGGAACTGCATCCATGAATCGCCAATGTCGACGCTCTTCGAGGCATAGTGGCCGCTGATGTCTGGCCAGAGATAAGGAGCCACGGTCTGTAGCGCGACGGGAGTTGCGAAGATGGACGTTGGAGTGTCGTCGTCAGTATTGGCCCGTGGGTCGTTTGCCTCGAGGGTCTCGCCCTTGAGCCATGACACTGCGCTTGCCTTGAGGTTCTCGTACGGGCAGTGTTCGAGGGTATCCCGGATGAAGGTCAGGCGGACAAGGTCATGGGGATGGGAACGCAGAGTGGTGGTCGTGAGGTAGTGCGCATGCCCTCGCAGGCTGGGGGAGGGTGTGTTGGCGGAGATGAGCGAGACGGTCTGAAGGTACTGTGCGAAAGACTCATCGTCTTGGGGCTCACCGATGTTGTTGTTATCGAGCGCGACGAGACCGAGGGCGAGTATGATGTCGAGAAGTGCTTCTGGCTCAAGACCGACTGTCTGCGGGCCAAGCGCGCCGACGAAGTTCTGGAGTATTGTCGCGTGATCCGGGAAGATGGGAAGCGAGGTCCTTTCATCCCCATGAGCCGCCGCATACAGCTCTTGCTTGACATTGCGTGCAGTGTATAAGATGAGCGCACCGGTTCTCGATAATGGTATGTCGGCAGCAGTAGCGGGCGGCTCGTCCTCGGTGCCTGGAATCCCGCGTTTCTCGATCTCCGGATCTAGAATGGTCGAGACCAGCTCCTCCGTCTTCAGCCCAAGATCCTGCGCCAAAGCTACCACCTGTCCGAGAATAGCAGTTCTAGACCTCAGATCTTCGTCTTCTGCAAATCGATCTGCATACTTCTGGTAATTCGGCTTGTTCGGTATTCTGCGCGGTTCGTACTTCTCCATCAACCTGCTGGCCCACGACAGACCTGGAACATCGTCGTCTGAGGTCAAGGAGAGGACATAGTCCTCAAGGATATGCGTTATGAACGACTGAAGCAAACGATTAACCAGCGTCGACTCATCGGCATTCGGTGCTTCATCCTGTGCCTCTGGGTCAGCATGAGCTTCATTCGTATTGGTACGGCTCAAAAGGTTGCCGCTGCTTCGTCTCGATGGTAGGTGTGGCCTCTTAGTTCCAGACAGTGTCTTGACGAGCTTAATTGCGGCCAATGTGAGCTCTTCTTGGTGCATGTTTGCCCGGTTAAAGGCAAGAAGGACGGCTTGCAGGCTGGTCGAAAGGAAGCGACTTGGGAGCTTGGTCTTCACCCTCCTATGCAATGTGGCCAACAGGTCGAGGAGAATCTCGAACTTGAGTACCGATAGGGGCGGCAGAACTGTACGTGAGAATGCAGGACTCGTGCTCGATTCCCCCACCTCTACGTCTGGTACTTTAAGATTTGCCCCGCCCTCCTCGACATCCTCATGTCCTTCCTCATCTGTCTCCTCGTGCAAATCTTGAAATTCCAGCAGCCGCAGTGCCTCTGTGACCTTCAAGACGCATTCCCTCGGATTGCCCTTCGTGGCAATATCCTGCAGACACTCTTCAGATGCTGGGAGGAGTGGGAGCAGCAGGTGGATAAGGTCCCAGCCGATGTTAGCCGTCAACTCAGGATCCTGCAGGGCCTGATGTAAGATTGGCAAATTCTCCTCCGTCAGATTATATTCCACAATGGTGAGATATGTGATCGGATCAGTGACCGGCGGACGCGCCCCCAAGATTGGGTTCTCTTCCTTTTCCTGTTTCTGCCCACCTAGCTCAGCCATGGTAGCGGGGCGGGTGTTAGTAACCCAAGAAACTGTCGTGAACGAGTGCGTTGTAGAGCTGGGCCGTTGATCAGGCGTGTGTGAATCTGGCGATAATGTGTTGCTTTTGCTGTATCCTGGTGGTGAGGTTGTTGAGACATCGAGCAAGTCACCACGAGCCTAGGCCTGACGCAATCCACTGCGCTAGTGGATAGATCTGGCTAGCTCCACGTACTCGCGAGGAAGGTCCCCGCGCCAAGCCGTGATCGCAGTTGCCAAAGTTCGGTGATCATTCTACCACAGCTCAACCCAGCAACACCAAGACGACAATGGACGACAAGGAAGAGACCAACGAGCCGCTCGATCTCGTGCGCCTATGCATTGATGAGATCGTAGTGGTCAAATTGCGTGGCGATCGCGAATTGAAGGGCAGGTTACACGTATGTTTGCTCATTGCGATTTGGTACTCAGCAGGAGGCTAACAGCCATTACAGGCATACGATTCGCATTGCAACCTCGTTCTCGGCGACGTCGAGGAAACAATATTCGTGGCTGAGGAAGAAGAGGACGACCAGGAGCCGCGCGTCAGGACGGTTAAAAAGCAGAGCGAGATGCTGTTCGTACGAGGTCAGTCTTTGATGCGCTCGACTACCTAGACACAGAGCTAACCTGGCGCAGGCGACTCAGTTGTCTTGATCGCACCAGCAGAAGCCGCATCGCAGTGAGTCGGCAGTCGAGCCTCCACGCAAGCGGAACACCTCAGCCAAGGAAATGAAGGAGGCAAAGAACCACGAAACGGCAGTTTTCAGTTATATTGAGATACCCGAGCGATCGCACGGCAAGGCAGAGTACCTTGGTCCCGATTGGATGTGGTCTGAAACGAGGGTTGGAACACAGGGCTGGTTGATACGGTGACGCAGTATGCGAATGCTGCATTAGGAACAATGAGTCACTGAGCACGCTCTGCCGGCCTGCTTGCGGGCTGGTTGACCTGGCGACGGTCTGGTACACGACCAGCCAGCATCAAGTGCGACTGCAGTTAAGTTTAGCAGCCCAGGAAGCCAATGCCAAACTATGAGTCGAGATGATCTTGTGCATGGTTGTCACTGCTGTGATCCTGTTCATTGTATGCCGCTGAGAGGTCGGGAATGTGACGCGACTGTTGGCATGTCAACCGTACAATCACTCCTAATTAGCAACATTATGTGTTAATGCAAGCGGTTTTGAAGGATACAAGCATTAATTAGCTTTTCTCGACTACTCGCCCATGGGACGATTGCATGACGCCAAAGCAGATTAAGACCCCCGGACGACTCGCACATAGCGCGATGTCTGTCTATACTCCTCAAGAAACCAAAACCTCCGGAACCAATGCGACAAGAAGCCAAGAAGCTTGTTAAGGAAATCTTTCCACGTCATGGTGTGGGGGGAATTAAAAACTGGTGTGTTGTGCTGATGTTCATGACTTCGTGTCGTCGTGACGCGTCCGCCATGCTCGCAATGCTGAAAATATACTTGAAAGGGAAATGGTGCTGTGATGGCGCTGTGGTGGCGCTGTGCTCGCTTTGCTGGTCGGCGAGAGCGCTTGTAGGGCAGTCTGAGATTTTCAGACAGAAAAGCCGTAGGTGCCAAGTGATTGTCGAGTTCCTAAGGGTAGTGGATGTTGCTGGTCGTGACCGTGTTCCGGGAAGCAGGCAAAACGTCTTGTGCTACTGTCGGGAAGCAATAAACAAGAATGAAGGAGATTTCGATGATGGCCATGTTGGTGATTACTGAAGGTAGTGACGTTCTGGTGAGAGATCAAGTGCGCTGTCATGCGACACCTGCAAGCTCGTCAGAACAAGTGTCAAAGTCAAGGGCCGGTGAGGAGGTAAGTGAGGAAGTATTCACTTTCGCCTCCAAGTCTGACCCGCAAGACTGTCTCTTGAGGCGAACGGAAGCTGGAACCCCTTTGCGATTTCGGTCTCGACGAAAACGGATGCGCGCTTGTAGCGCTTGTCGGTGTACTTCTCGTAAACAGCGGCGTGGTGCTTTTGAGGGTTGTCGCAGCACTCCATCATACAAGAGACAAGCTGTCGTAGCTGGCTCAGAGTATAGCCAGAGTAGTGAACGTGAGCTTGCGACTGGCAAAAGTTAGCATACATTCGAGCAATGTGTAGATTACCACGTACCCATTCGCCTTTCTTCAGCATGAGCCGGGCTAGGCAATGGGCGCCAGCAGCCACAAAGCTTGGAGCACAGCTGACGAAGCGCTCGTCCATGACGGTGATTTCAAGGAAGTACTTGGCTAGGGTGCGTGTCTCGAGGTCGTAGTCGTCGGCCTTGCTGATTCGGCGCAAGAAGCTCATCGGTCCCGGCCAGCCCAGCTCGAACTGTAGCATGCTGAGCATGAATCGCTCAGCCTTGAGGACTTCGTCTGCTGTGTAGGCCCCATCGACCATGTAGACAATCTCTTGCACCGAAGGACAATTGATCTCCTCGTATTTGGCAGCAACGAAAAGGGCAGTGGCGCCGACAAGCTGCAATTTGCCCAGAGAGACCACTTTGGCGGAAAGGAAGCGGTCCACGTAGTTCACGGCGAGGAAGAGCGTCTCGGGCAAGAGCGTGAAGCGATTGTGAACCTGAACAAGCCAGTCCATAAGAACTGAGCGCATCGACCATTGAATCTCGGCTTGGTTGTCCATGTAGTTGGCGTTGGGCTTCATCTTCTCTTCGAGAGAGTGCATGTACTCGAAGATCTCGTCGCCATATTCGGCAACCATTGATGTGTCCCACTGTTCGTCCTCGACATCCTCCGGTGATCGGTGCAACTCCACAGCATGTCTCGCGGCCTCGAGCTCACGTTGTGTCTTTGCTGTCACACGCGGTGCAAGCACCAATGTAACCCCACCAGTTGTGTTATCACCACGCGAACGAAGAGACCGCGCCGTTGTGTACCCGTCGGCGTCGTAATACTCTTCGTCTTCATCCTCGTCCCAGAACTCCTCTTGGCTGAGTTTTGCAAGCTCGTCATTGCGCTCCTGCTCAATGACACGCGCTTGCTCCTCAAGAGCATCCAGGTATTCATAGTTCTCTTCTGTATTGATCTTCACCGCCTCATCCTCTTCTTGCGCAGGGATATCGACCTCGGCCTCGATTGGGCGAACAGCTGATGGCTCTAGCGCACGGTCCTCAACGGGAAATGAATTGGTCCGGGTCGTCAATGCTTGTCGTGTCAGGACGCTAGTTGCGGTACCTGTAGGCCGAATCTCAGCCTTAGCTTCATGGAAGATGGTGGTTGGCTTCTTGGCTATAATCTTGCGAGCGTTGGTTGAGGCATCGATGGTGATCTGCTTTGAAACAACAGACTCGGTTGTTTCGACGTTGACTGATATGTTGGCTTTTGCGGCTGTGGTCGGTGGCGGACGCTGGGCAGGACGTAGCAATGCGCCGGGCTTCTCGAGTTCCTTGACTGCGGTCGCAGCGGGGTCCTTGAGCACTAGGGTATCCTTCTTCTTGCCAGCAAGATGGATGTCGTCTTTCGCGGTGAGTTGCCTTGTAGTGTTACTGACATCTGCAAAAGGGGCCCGCTTAGCGGCCGGCTTAATGGCTCCAGCAGGCATCGAGAGGCCGTTCAGCGCAGACACAGATTTGCCCTGCCTAAGAGCTTTTCCGGCTGGTAACTGAGGCAGCATGTTCTCGTCGCGGACACGAAGCCCCCGCAGAGGACGCTGCGGCTACGGAAAGCGAGTTAGTGACTGCCAGGGTGTGAAAAATCAAACTCGTGATATCAATATCAAGTCGTCGGTAAACATTAAAATAGTCGCTTGCTGAGCGACAGAGTGAAGGGAAGCAGGTATGAGCACTTACCTTTGCGTCCATTTTGCTGTGTGTCTTCCAATTGATGTTAATAGCTGCTTGGGCGAATGGTGGTCTCGGCAGCGATCGCGAACGGAATGAGTGTCGGCGACGAGCTCGATAGGGGCGGCGCAGGTGTTGAAGCGCTACGAAACAGAGGACGATAAAACAAAACTCTCCATCTAACTTGGCGGCAATGAGATACTCGAACAGCGGTTGTCGGGCGACACGAGACGTGGTGGTGACAACAGCAGCCGGGCTGGAAGCAAAGTATATATGGAGACGGATCGAGCTCTGGTAAACAACAAACAGAGACCTGTGCGCGAATCAACATGCGAGCTGCAGTTAATCACGCCTTGCCGCTTGGGGCATTAGCGTGCCTTCCCGACGGAGCAACCGCGATGTCATAAAACGCGTCTGCGGACAGAACAACGAGAATCCCATTATCAATGCGCTACCCCACACACAACATATCAAATCTTCATAACCTGTGCCAGACGCCCACAACGCACTCAGAAGTCACCCTGATATCTCAAAAGACATTTTTGACCCTGGCGCTGAGATTCGCATCGTTGTTGACTCGAGTCGCCACAGACGCGCCAAGCACCCTCAATCTGACGCCCCTCATCCGCGTTATCACGTGCGCCGTTTTTTCGTCTCTGACTCTTCGACAACGCTCCTTATTGCCCAGATGTGTTTCAGAATGGTGTGGTCGCACTCGCGAAAGTCCGCAAATGTCGTTGCGATCGTTGCGCCGCCGACTCCGCTCCGCTGAATAGGCCCACAAGGCGCAGCGACAGCCAACCATCCGGCGCACAGCCTCCAAGTGTCAAACTGCCCTCTGCACTCATTTCACACTGGCGCCATCGCTTTAAATCACGTCGTGAATGGCGACCAGCCTTGTCTTTACCTGGGAGCCCTTGCTGGTTCGTTGTTGTTGCGCATCGTTCGCGTGCTTTGTCTCCCCGCTGATGTGGGCCCAGCTTCACCGTTCACACCGACTTATTACCGATGCGGTCCGCTGCTCTGACAAGACGGCGCCGTGTCCACACGTCAAAGGCCGTGCCAGAAGGTCCCGCAAGTGCGCTTCCGCGCTGAGCTGGCTTGCGCAAAGTGCGGGAGAGCGACAATCATCACCCATGGCTATGATTGACCCCTCACCGTTCTCGGCCGGTTATACCTCAAAGCTACAAGTCTATCTGCGGCGCTACTCGCGTCTGGCATGGCTGCTCGCTCGCTCGCATGCAGGGTCGGAAAGTCCAGTAGCACAGTTGTTGGGGGTATGATCGCTGAAGTCGCATTTTCAAATGCTAGAGTATGGTGCTCATACAAGCGGGTCGTGCTGTCATTGTGTCACAGAATCGCCCACAACAGCAGGCCCAAGTGCAGAACATGCAAGTGGGGCGCATGCGCTCAAACACATTTGATGTGTACGGGAAGTTCAGGCGATTGCGCAGGCAATTGTCATCCAAACGAGCGACCCCCACAGAATAGGTTTCGGGTCGTCCGTTGCACGCGCCGAGGATCAGCTGCCAACGAAGCCCCAGCGCTTCCCTAGGCCTGGGGAATGAGAGGTGTCTGATCGGCCTATTATTATCCGAATCATGAGGCGACTCTGATATCGGATTCTTGGAGCACTTTAGAAGGATGTGATATTGCGCATCATGGTGCTCGTTCTGTCCACATTGGAGCTAGAGAACGAGCCACCAAAGCGGCGTATCAGCTTAGAGCCAGTTCCGAGGTGTTGTCGAGCACTGTGGCAGCGGCTTCCAGATGACTTTGCTCGGATGGTGTGTCAGTCCCTCCGCATGCTTCTGCTTGTGTAGTCACGGGCTCTTGAGGTTCAGCGCCTGGGCGTATATGTGCCGTGCTGGGACTCTGCGTAACGTCAAGTTGCTTGCCAGCGAAGCCAGAGACAGTTCTTGTGGTGGTAGAGTGCCATATCTTTGATTCTACAAGCTCTGTGTGCTATAATGGCCCGACTGAGCCTACACTGGGGCTTGGGGGCAACTGGGTCTGGCGCAGCGGCAGGTGCAGGAAGATGGGATGAATGCGCTTGGGCGGCGACGGTCCCATAGCAGTGCATACACTACTAGAATTGATTCTCATTGTGAACGCGACCCGCAATATGCCGGGTTGACGGCCGTAGGAAGGCTCGTTGTTGCTGCCCATGCATTCCCAGGTCGCTGGCGTCGTGGTGTTAGCGACCCCAACGCACTCGTCTTCGGGGCTTCCTCTCCACACCACCTCCCAGAGCCAGCACCACCACACTCCCGTAAGTCTACAGCACCCTCGCCTGCCCTACAGAGCGCTCAAACGGAGCTTCCGGCGCTCATACCGGCCCAATCTTGTCCGGCGCACTGTACGCTAACCGGTGCCTCAGCCAGCGGCGGTACACATCGCAACCCCCCAGTAGAGCCGGGTTGGCTTCGCATACACTACAACTGGTATGTATATTCCTCCATATGCCTGCGCGACCGCTTCAGCGCACGCGGCCGGCCCTGATGGCGGCCGCGTGGGCGTCGAACCCTGCTGTCACCGGCTGCCCTCAGGGCGGCCCACCCGGCAGCGGTGACGACGCGCCATATCATCAGAGCCATCAAAGCCCCCCGGGGCCATCATGTGGAGCGCCGAGCTTCATACAAACCGTCAATGAGGATCTTCTGCTGACACGACAACTCCCAGACTCGCTATTCGATTACCCTCCCCCCGACCGCTCTTCGTCCCGAAGCCCTTGCGACACCGGCAGTATCGGTCCGTCGCCCACGTCTATACACAAACAGCGTCTCTACAAGGGTTATAGAACCAGACCAGGACATCGGGAGCCGCGACATGCAAGCCTCCCACCTCGCTGCGCAGCCTCGGGTGTCGAGCGCAAGATCCACGGAGAGCGTCGAAGGCCGTGCTGCGGGCCCCCACCACAACTCAAGGCATTCGGTCCCAGACTACGATATGCTCGCACAGGAACGTGACTCGGGCATGATGGACGTCTATCCTAGCACGGAGACCGTCTCGGCGCACGATTCCCTGTCGCCCTCCAAGCAGGTGCCCTCCAAGCAGGTCAGCTTCGAGCTCCTGCTCCCCCAGTCCCCTCAGCACCGGGCTAGACTACCAATGAGGGTGAACATCTTCCCTCACGATTCGACTGATTCTATCATCACAACGGTCAAGAACTTCTACGGGCTGTATGAGCGCAGGGGCGTCATCTTCGAGGACAACCACGGGAACATCCTTATTGCGAGGTATGAGAACTTCGACCACGGCATGATCGTCTATGTCCGAGTATCAGCAGAAGACCTTGACGCCGACGACTACTCCCCTGCTCCACGACAGCTGACTGTGTCTCCTCGACATTCTCGTCACCTTCTGGAAGACGGCTTCCAGATGCTCCCTCCCACAGCCAATCAGCAACTGGGCTCGAGAGCAGGGTCCCGCTCTGGCCGTCAAAGCCAGTCTCCACACCCTCGTGGTAGGAGGAGTGTCTCGGCCGCGACGCACTCTCGTCGCAACCGCCCAACTCTCAAGAGTCGTGGGAATAGCTCCCACGGCAGCTTCGCTGAACGTCATGGAGAGTACAGTGACAGCGACGGAGAGGGCTCCGTGACCAGCTCGCGCCGCTCTCGAAAGGAGCCTTTAGCAAGCGCTGATATCAGTGTCGACAACATTGTCGAAGGTGGTCGTCGCAAGCGAGCGAAGTTTGACAGCTCGGTAAGCATTTCTCGCCTCGCTTTGCTACGAACATCTTCTAACACTAGCTCCTTGCTCAGGAGCTCCCTCTTTTCGTTCCTCCTCAGGTCCCTATGGCCAACTCCATTTCGTCCGTTTCCCCTCAGCGCCGAATCAGCGGCAACATGGCTGGTTCACCATACTCCACAAACCAGCAGACGTTCTCGTACGCTCACCCGCTGCCTTCGCCACAGAGTTACGGGCCGGGCGACAGCTCGTACATATCGAATGGACTCATCACGCCGTACTCGATGTCCAGTGGCACAGCAGGGTACAAGCCGCGCCAGTACACGCACCGCTACTCTAACAGTGGTGGAGTTTTGCCAACCCCTGAGCACACCTTGAGCGTCATTTCCGACGAAGATGTTGCCCGCCAACTCATGCGTTTGGGAGACGCCTCCAACTTCTCTACTCACGGCCGTACATCTACTTCCACTCTGGACGACACCTTCAGTGGCAAGGCAGATGCTGCTTCCTCTAGCGATGAGAGTGACGAGGGCAGTCACAATGGCAGCGAGCTCCCTCCTCTACCATACACGATGGAGCGGGCAAACAACGCTGTCCATGCTTACGACAACGCATTCAGCAGTGGCGATGAGTACGACGACAACAACGACTCGTTCAAAGGCGAGAGCGACGAGATTTCGCCTGATCAGCAGAACGATGTCCGTGTCCAGTTTGGGGCACCAAAGGCCCATTCTTCAGTCTCAAACAAATTTGGCAAGCCTACAAAGCCACGCTCGCTGTCTTCCAAGTCAAAGTCAAAGAACAACGGTAACAGCAAGCCGCCAATGTCTCCAACCTCGCTGCCTTCTCAATCGCGCAAGGCTTCAACTGCCTCAATCAACTTCCAGCATCAATTCGGTGCTGATGACGAGGACCTCTCGTCCAAGCCACGCTGCCAACGATGCCGTAAAAGCAAGAAGGGCTGTGATCGTCAGAGACCTTGCCAGCGTTGCAAGGATGCTGGCATTGGTGTTGAGGGCTGCCTCAGCGAGGACGAAGGCAACGGTCGCAAGGGGCGTTATGGACGCCACATGGGAGTGTCCGTCAAGACGACTCCAGCTTCAACCTCCATGGGCCCGCCACCTGTGCATGAGCATCACAGCATGCCCATCGACGCTTCGCACTTTGCACTCACAGCCAGCGCGCTCGACAAGAGCAAGAAGCGCAAGAGGTGACACGGCAATCAATTACTATCTGTACGACAACTGCATCTGCTCAGCGTTTCGTCGCTCTATCATTCTTTTGTTTGCCAGCCCCTACCTGGCGTTTAGCACATCGACGGCACAGCTGTTTGTTGCCTCAGATCATCATCCTGCGCTTGTTTGAATAGCTCGTTCAGCGCTAGCGGAGCTTTGTTTTTATCTCGTAAAAAAGCATCACTACACAACCTGATCTCAATATGTCTCAAGTTGGAGTTGTATCTGTCGGGGCTGCCTTTACATTGACGCTACGGAGGGGGAAGATTGAGTAGGGTGTAGAGGGCTGGTGGTATAGGACGAGGTCGAGAAGATTGTCGGATTGGCAAAAGTGCTTCGGCGGCCATTTCATTTGTCTCTCACCTACCGGATCGGAGTTTGCACCGCTGCGATATGTAGTCTGAGATACAATATCGAATGAATCCTGAACATTGAATGACGTCTGGATCGTGGTGCACGAGCGACCGGTGAGCTATTGACCAGTAACCGAGGGTCTAATTGGGCTTAGTGGAGTGTGTGCCACTCCAGGAAATACCTCATCAGTCATGTGAGATGTCCGCTCTATGGTTTGCTTTTTGCTCGGAAGCTGTTCATCAACAACATAGGTGCTGACAAGAATATGCTTCTGCAAGGCTGAAACGGTGTTGAGTTGCGGGTAGCAAGAGGTGGTATCTATTTTCGTCTCGGTTCGGTCTTGGGGATGCGGCAGGAACGGCTTGGGTCAGAGTGGGGCAAGCACAGCCACACCGTCGGAGCCTAGCTGTTAGCCAATGAGGCGCAGGCTGCCTGAATGATCCCGTCTGTACACCCCAACGGAGTCAGCCCTGCCATGAATCACCCACCTTGTGCGAGGTCCGCAAGCATGCTTGATTGAAGGCCTCTACGCCCGCTGCCTTTTGTGTTGCTTGCAGTCTCTCTTTCCCACTCAGCAGCCACACCTGCCAACATCTTTCTCTAGCGCAGATCGTCACTCCACAAAATGGCTGAAGTCGAGCCACAGAGCATCAAGTCGCGCATTGCGGCCCTTAACCTGGAAAAGGTACACGCGCCAACCCCTGGAGCGCGACCGACATACAGTTACGATGCGGTCACCGTTGCAAAGAAGAAAGCCCCTCCACCCCCACCAGCAAATCGGCCCCCTCAGCTGCGCGCCCAGACGTCGAACAACCCTCCACTTCTCGACAGCGCGTCTGCCTCTAGGCATTACATTGGCAACCAGCCCGACGCAGAGAAGGCCCCTCCACGGGTTTCACCTGCACTCCCACCGCGCCCACCGCCTCGGACCACCAGCCAAAAGTCGCCAGCTTTACCACCACGCAAGTCCTCCGACCGCAGTGTGACCCGGCGCGAGTCCTCTGAGTCCATATCCACAATCGCCTCTGGCGTTTCAACGTTATCACTGGGTTCGGTCAAGACAAATGGCAGTAATGGTAGCACATTGTACCAGGTTCGCGCGCCTGCGTACGACCCTTCAAAGCTGCCCCCTTTGCCACCAAAGAAGCAGGAGGAGCAGAAGAGTGCGACACGAGAGGCCATGACCTCAAAGCGTAGAGTTGTTTCCAGTCGAGAGTTGCCGCCTCAGATCAAGCCATCGCCTCCGTGTAAGTTCTTCAGATACCTCCACTATGTGTAATTGCATTGGCCATTTGCGTTGTAGCCAGCTGAACTTGACTATGAAACACGCCGCTGACATGCCCCAGCATTGCCCTCGAGACCGTCGCTGCCACCCAGACAATCTACGAATGCGTCCGAACGCTCGCCTGAGAGGCCAGTACCAGCACTGCCCGGCCGACCTGCAGTGGTGAACCAAACAAAGAGGGCCATCGTACCGCCACCACAACGCTCTGCTCTTGCGCTTGGATTCAACAACAAGGCTACAGTCGAACCGCCCCCCCTACCTTCGAGTCGACCTGCGCCACGTCCAGATGCAGGAGTGCCGCCCCCTGTCCCGATGTCTTCCAGGCCCAATTTAGATGCGATCATGGCATCAAAACCAAAAGCTGGGGCGGTCGCTCAGTGTCTTATCTGTCGCGACTTTTCGGGTCCTGACAGCCATGCTGCTAAGTTTCCTCGACAACAGCTACCCTCATCGAATGTCGGCTACCTCGCTGATCAGCTTTGTGGCCCGTTCTCGTCAGCCACTGACAAAGCGAGAGCGATCTTCACATGGTTGCATCATAATGTCGATTACGATACCCAAAGCTTCTTTGCTGGAAACATACAGCCGTCGACGCCTGAAGGAACGATCACAAATGGTCTTGTATGTGCCACAACCTATGAACATCCAACTACCTCCCAACTGACATGTTTCTAGGCAGTATGCGAAGGTTACGCTAGCCTGTTCGCAGCTCTTGCGCTCAAGGCTGGCCTCGAGTGTCTTGTGATCTCGGGCGCGAGTAAAGGCTTTGGGCACGCCCCAATGGGCCCTAACGATCCTGTACCACCTTACCAAATGACGCATGCCTGGAATGCTTGTCGAATCGATAATGGTGTGTGGAAGCTGATTGATCCATGCTGGGGTGCTGGCCACATTGGTTGCCAGCTCAAGAATGAAGGCTACAAGCGAGCCTTCAGCCCTCAGGAGTTCGCATCATCCAACATTGAATTCGGCATGAGACACTTCCCTGGAGACAGCTCTCAGCAATTTCGTGAAGACGGACGCATTTTGTCGTACGAGGAGTTTATGAGAGACGATGCGGGTGGCAGAGTGCACGTTTATGGAGGCGCACAGACTGACCATGGTCTTGGAGAGCGCACCTTCGAGCCGGCACTGCTCAACATCAAAGTCCGTGACCCGAATGGACCTCCCGTCGTCCGCTTCCAATTTGCTTCCGTCTGCGAGCACTGGGATAATGCTCGACACGGAAAGGGCGCGCCTTACGTTATGCTGCTTTCCATCGGCGGAGTCGACGGCCGGAAAGATGAACATCGGCCCTTCAACACCAATGGCCAGGTCTGGTGGCTCGATGTTCCCCGCGCTGAACTGGGCTGCGCCGGTCAGAAGGTCAGCGTATGTGCAGTGACAGAGTTCTGTAAGAAGGACGCGAGAGGCTTGACTTACGAGCAGTGGAAAAACAAAACAGCTTACAGCTGCCAGTTCGGTGGCATCTGTATGTGGCAGTTGGTCTGATGGAGCACTCGAGGCATATAGTGCTGATGATTCGAATACCCTGAGTTTAACATAGTTTGACATAGATAATCATAATGAATGTGTGGCCACAGATCGCTCAAAATCGTTAGCTATATACACCGTCACGCGTAGAGCGAGATGTGTGAGTCTCGAGCGAATCACGTGATCGGCGCAGGTGTAGTGATTTAATGATTCACTTGTTCTATATCATGGTCGCGTAAAACAGTCAAAGCCGAGTCGAGTCTTGTACCCCAACATCCGTCAACTATCTACAGGCTTATCAAAAGCTGTAATTAGAACCATGATACAGCAATTGTATGTGATCTTGAGACTGGCATATTGCCGACTTTTTACGGTTGTCGAGCATCTGTTGCATGCGGTGTTACATCACAGCCGTTGGTGGCTTGACTAGAGAAAGCTTGGCGAAATTGTTCGACAATCCCTGCGCGTTCGAGAAATGCAGATGCCCGTCTCGCTCGGACGCACGACCACACCTCCCACCGCCAGTTCCGGAGAGGTCGTCAAAACCAGCATCCCCAAAGCTCTCGTCCGAACGCCCTAGCAACCATGGCGTCGGATTTCATCGGTATCTCGGTCATTGTGACTCTGCAGAACCCGCCAAACACGCTCGTACACGGCGTGGTCGCGGCTGTTAACCCGCAGAATGCCACTTTGACCCTGCAGGATGGTACGTTCCCGTGTCGCCTCACACGCGCCTCTGTTCTGACTGTTCCGTCTAGTGTACTTTCCTGCAAGCGGCCACCGCCTCAACTCGTACAACGTCGAGGGCCACGCCATCGCCGACATCAAGGTCAACGTGCCTGCGCCGACGCCCGTTCCTGCCGCCCAGCACCATCCTGCGCCTCGCTCGAACCCCCAGTCGTATGCTCAGTATCCGTCGAGCCATGTGCAGCAGCCCCCGCGCCCACCAGCCCAGCAATATGGTGGCCAGCCGGTTATGCAACATCCCGCCCAGGGTGTCCGCCAGCCCGCGCCACAGCCCATAGCCCGCGCACAGCCAGCAGCGTTTGTCGACCCTGCGATTCTTAGCATGGGAAAGCGAGCGCCACAGGCTCAAGCCTCCAACCTCGCTGCGACTTCCTTGCCTCAAGAAGCGCCTGCCACACCCATAAAGCCTGCTACTGCTACCACTGCCGCGCCTCCAGCCAAAACCTCGTCTCCCTTCACTGGACAGGCAAAGCGAGGCAGCATCAGAAAGCAAAGTGCCGCGACCCTGGCTGGCCCGTTCTCGTCCCTCGATATCGCGGATGCGGAGGAGGCCGACAGCGAGACAAAGGCAGCCATGCCGACAGTGCGCCGCGCAAGCATCAACAAGACTAGGAACGGCAAGCCTATGGAGGACGTGAGCCCACAGAAGAACGATGATGGCGGCAAGAGGACGAGGAGGGGCGGCAAGTCCCGCAAGAAGGAGCTTGCGGCTCAGGAAAGGAGGAATGGCAGTGAAAATTCTACCAAGGGCAATGGTTGGAGAAGCACACCGATGCTCCAGTCCGTCGAGGAGCCACAGACGCGCACCCCAGGTGTGATCGCCGGCAGAGTTGGGCTAGAAGCAGCAAACGCCTCGGTGCGCAAGTCGCGGCGCCAGAGAGAGCTTGAGGCTACGAACGGATGGGCCACAGAAGATGCTACCGATGTCCAAGACATGCCTGAATTCGATTTTCAAGCTAACCTCTCGAAGTTCGATAAACGCACTGTTTTCGACCAGATTCGAACCGAAGACACGACCGCAGACGAAGACCGTCTTGTGAGCTTCAATCGACTCGCCCGACCAGGAACACATGGTGGCAAGAACTTGCACCCTACAGAGAACGTGTTGGACAGCGCGAAGCTGAAGAGCACAACGAACACAAGCTCCGAGGACGACTCGGATCTTGGCAGCCGCAACTCCCGACGCGCAATGTCCCGAGCTTCTGTTTCTACGAAGAAGGCGCCAACGCGCCAGGGCAGTGGCATTCAGGCCAGTCATTTAGAGATGCTGGGCTCGGGACTGCTGCCACGAACAAACCGCTCCCTCATTGGTACTCAGTATGCATCCTCACACGGTGCTACTGGAAGCCCGAAACTGGGGAAGATCGCCACGCCCCCAGACTCACTGTTCGATTCGAGCCTGAGAGGATGCCTCCGCCTTGTTACAAACAACCGCAAATGTCATACCGTCACGCCCGGTGGCATGCTTGCAGTCGAAGAGATGGCTGAAGTCGAGTTTGGTCTTTCTGAAGAGCTCGTTGCTGAGAGCGCCGGGCGCGGTATTGCGGAAATCACCCTCAAGGCTATCAACCCTGGTGGTCAGCGCCTTGCTCGTGAGAACCCCAACGCACGCCCTGTCATTGTCGTACTTGCTGGAAACCACCGTGGTGGCGCGCGAGCCATCGCGGCCGCGCGGCACCTCCTTGCTCGCGGACCGAAGGTCATGGTTGCCATGCTCGGCTTCGAGCGCAACGCAGACTGGGATCGCGACGTACGACGGCAAGTGGATCTATTCAAGAAGTTTGGCGGCTCGGTGCGCGCTTGGTCTGACACCGAGGGCGCACTGAAGCGCCTTCACGCACCGCCTGAGCTCATCATCGATGCGCTTCTCGGACGACACAAGGAGTTTGACGCCCTTGGCGAGACCGACAGGGCTACTGTCCTCAGCATTGTCGGCTGGGCAAATAAGTCTCGCGCTGCTGTACTTGCTGTCGAGACGCCATCGGGTGTCGCTGGATCAACGGGCGAGGTCGCCATACTGGAAGGCGAGCCACTGGAGGTCAGGGCCAAATACATTGTGTGTCTCGGTGCACCCAGGAGCGGATTGGTCCGTGCGTTACAGAACGGTGCTGGTCGCGATCCGGCATGGAGTATTTGGCTGGTTGACATTGGTGTCAACAAGCCATGGCGGAATGCTGGAATCAGCGGAGGGAAGGGGATAAAATTTGACGAGCACTGGGTTGTACAAGCAAGGTTTATGGAGGATAACGATGGCAAAGCCTGAGTTGGTGCTTTGTGGGGGTTTGATTACATACATTGCGCTGGCGTTGGGTGTGGGTTTGAAGCGTTGGATCACGCTGCTGAAAGGACGGAAACTCTAGATACCAAAGGCCAGGAAGGCATCACTAAGTAACTGCGACACTCAATATGTTTACTATCACGTCGCCTATTCGGCGTCCTCAAAGTGGGAGCTCGTGCAACCTCGGAAAGTGCCACATTCGTTTCCCACCTCGTCTCACTCATGTTGGCGTTGAACGTTTGGACACGTTAACCGCGCCTTTTTTGATCGCTGTTGAGGTCACATATTGGCTCCATCTTCGTTGTCAGGCCACCCCACCACTATCGATAAAGCTCGTCACGCTTGCTGTTGAGGGGCAACGATCCTGCAACCTTCACTTCTTCATCCTATCTTATCTGATTGATCAGATTCACATCAGCACGCCGACGACCTCACGTGCAAGCCTGATCGAATGCCAAAATGGCACATACAGGCACTGCACACAAGTACTCGGAAAAGCTCATTGCGTTTGAACATGCAGGTACACACTCTACGCAAGGCGAGCAAGCGCCGCATACGCTGTTGTGGATTGGAGGGCTCGGGGATGGGCTGTTGACCGTGCAGTAAGTGTGTTGACTAAGTGATGTCTCCAAAGCACACTTTGACAGCTATTTCTAATCTGCATGCTCGAATTATTATGACAACTGTGACCTAACCAACCCAGGTACCCATGCACTATTGCCTCGACCCTGACACCAGACTGGGCAATCGCAGAAGTCCTCCTGTCATCATCATATCGCGGCTGGGGCACCTCGTCTCTGCAAAAAGACGTCCACGAAATCGCGCAATGCGTCTCGTACTTCGCCTCCGCGCGCCCCGGCAAGAAAATCGTGCTCATGGGCCACTCCACGGGCTGTCAAGACGTGATGGAGTATCTGGTCGGCAAGGGTGTGTGTCCCCCATCCCTCTCGGCACACCAACTCACCACGAAGCTGATCTACCAGGCCACTCCACGCGCCCTCCCATCAATGGCGCCATCCTGCAAGCTGGCGTCAGCGACCGCGAAGCCTGGGACTTCCTGCTCGAGTCCCCAGCCGAGAAGGAGTCTTGCGCCGCGGTCCTCGCGGAGGCCCAGCGCCTGATCTCCCTGGGCAAGGAGAAGGAAATCGTCTTCCGCGAGGACAACATCGTGCAGAAGGAACTCGGCGCCGCTATCTCGGCGTACCGCACTAACTCGCTGCTAGCCAAAGGCGGTGATGACGACTACTTTTCCACGGATCTTGATGACGAGACGCTGAGGGAGTCGTTTGGCAGCTTGCCGAGCGGGGTGCCGCTTATGTTTCTGCTTGGCAGTGAAGACCCGTTCGTGAACAAGAGCACGGATAAGGTGCGATTGTTGGAGCGTTGGGCTGGGTTTGTGCGGCAAGGTGGGGGAACTGTGGACGAGGTTCATGGAGGGATCGTCGAAGGCGGTCATCATAACCTCGACGGCGACCCAGAAGAGGTTGTTAGTGATTTGGTGCAGCGGGTAGTGGGCTTCTTGGAAGGGCTGGGGCAGAGCGAGGGGTCCAGACTCTGACTGGATAGTGTTGGATGGTCGAAGGCGATGAAGAGGCTTGTGCCAATTGTACTGGTGTGAAGGGGCAACACACTGGCTTGCTCGACCAACGCATGGCAAGATCAGTGCTACACAGTCGATGCACGAAGTCACATATTGAACCATCAATGAAGTGCGAAAGAGTTAACACTAAGTGCTCGTTATCTTCGTTATGTCATGAACGTCCGCAGCTCCAGACCGCAGAAAGAAACAAGACAAGACAATATTGAGTGATGACCGATGCTGAAACTGAGAAGAGACTCGGGAAATTCGAATAGCACACCGTACGCCTGACTGTAGAAACCCAACCCGCAAGGTGCTGATCCTTGCAAACACCTGCGTGATCCAAAACGCCCTTTCATCAGAAGTTGTTTGTTGTGGAATATCGAATCGACAATGCGGAATACCCGTTCATGCCGCTGGTATCGCGCTGATATAGAGATGTCGGTGATGATGATACCCGTACGCCGTTCGTGCCTGAACACTGAAGATGCAGAAATTCAAATGCAAAGAAGATCGCTCACGACTTTGGGCGGACCATGGAGCTGCCGACACTGCCGACTCTCCCGCTGGTCTTTCGAACACTAGTCTTGCCCTCGGTGCTCTTTCGTTGTGGGCTCGATCGGATCTTTCCAACACTAATGCCGTTACCGCTACCGGCCTTGTCCTTTGGTGTCTTTGGGCGGCCACTGATTGTCGCCGGTGCGGTGTTCTCAGCGTCGCTGCCATCACCGAAGCCGTATGATGTATGCGTAATTGTGTGGACGACAGAAGTGGTGCTGAACGCGCGACGTGTCTTTTCTTTGATCGCGCTTGGTGTGCGAGCCGGCGATCGAGACGATGTCCTCCGTGCGATTTGACGCATGTGGTACTCCTCGTCAGACTCGCCATCGTAGCGGGTAAGGTCTGACCTGCCATCGGCTGTTTTGCTAAACGGCTCATTCTCATGCATGCGAGATGGAGAGTGTCTTGCGCTGCCGGTGCCATAAAGCTTGCTGGTCTTGCGAGGCTGGCCTGGAGTTGGGGCGGGGAGATTGTCTTCCTGAACGCCAATATTGGAAGGCGCAGCGCTGCGCTGTTCGTTTGACTCAATCTCTCCAAGAGCGGCACGCCTCTGAGAGCCGTTCGGTGGTGTGAAGGTCTGTCCATTGCTGGCCAAACGCTGCTTACGGGGCGAGGCTGTGGGAGTGGAAGGCATCATCTCAGCGAATTTGGCCTTCATGGTGTCCTCGTGCCACCATTCACGGAAGGTCATTTGGTTGAGGTGCAGCCAGTGCTGCTGGGGGCCAACAACCATGCCAGGACGCATGAATCGCATGTAGGCGATGATCTCATTGGCAGTGAAGCCGTGCTTGTAGATGAGGTAGGCACCGATGAGGCAGCCAGTCCTTCCAAGGCCAGCCTTGCAGTGCACAGCGATACCCTTCTTGCGCACAGTAATCATCTCGTGCGCAAGGTCGATGAACTGACGAACAAGCGACAAAGGAGGGCAGGTGCCGTCGTCGAAGATCATGTTGAGGTGCTTGATGCCCAGCTTCTCGAAGTAGGTCGAAGAGTAGAGCTCAGAATTCAAGCGGACGACGAGGCCGATGTTGCGCGCGGAGAAGTGCGACAAGACATTCTTGAACGGCCCGGGCAAGCTGGATTTTTGGACCTCGGCAATGTTGGAGGGAATTGCTGCGTACGACGGCGACGACTTGGAGATCTCGTGAGTAGGCTGTTGCTGAGGCGAGGCGAAAGCCAGGAATTGGGGAGTGACCCAGTTGAAGTCGCCCATGTCGACGCGTTCGAACTTCTCGTACTCCTCGAGGCTGAAGTCCTTGAGCCCGCAGAGGCCCTCCTCCTTCGCCTTCCAGACGCCGTAGATGACGTCCTGGATGTTGAGCACGTAGTCAGCCTGGCTGTATCCAGCATCACGGAACGGCATGCAGGGCGGGTCCATTTGCGCAATAGGCGCGAGAGCCAGATGAGGAGGCCAGGACTGGATGAGAACCATGTAGCACGCAAGGATGCACGCGGCGTTTGCGCGGCCTAGACGCGTCAGCACTATATCAGAGTCATTCAGCTCGCGTTGGCGTACTTCTCGAGTCTGCGCCGCTCCAGAAGACTACTGCGCGCTCCTCGTTGGCAGGGTCGCCGAGCACCTCATGCAGCTGCACCGCAAAGCGGTACAAGTGGCCGATGTGAAGCGGACCGAAGTCACCGTGGAAGGCATTGTACAGCAGAGTCTTGTCGATGCTGAAGTACACGGGCGGGAGCGATTTAGCGGCAGTAACAGTAGGGCCAGCCTGCGCACGCGACGAGCGCTTCGACGGCGACGCGTGCTGCTTGGGGTAAGGGAACGGTGTGTTCGCGTCCGGAGTGTGTGTGTAAGAGGCGAGGTAGAGTCTGTCTTGGATGTACTAGAAACAGCGCCTTAGCGTCCGACCTGGGAGCTTTGTTTTGGGCTTTGTTATGGTGCTAACCTCGATGACCTGACCATAGCTGGTCGCGCTGGCGCGAGGCGTCTTTGATACTCGTGAATGCGAAGACATGATGAACAGAACACTGCTGATGCTGGGGCTGCAAAGGACAACGACCGAGGACTACTTGCGGCTGCAAGCGTCGGGCACCACACGCGGGATGGCGACTTGGGACGAAAGGGCGAAATGGACCAGCGCAGAGGGATTGCGGGGGGTCGAGTCGTTATGAAGCTGCGAACGCGGTCGCCGAGTGCTTCTTGTCCTGCAACGGTCCGGGAAATGAATAACAGTAATGATGTCGAGTCCTGCGGTGGTGGTGGAGGAGGTAATGTACGGGCCGCGGTGTTTACATCCAGATGTCTTGGCGTCCGCTCCCATAACAAAGCTGCGCGCTTACCACTTTCGGATGGTGGATCCTTAGTCTAGACCGGGGATTCGGCTCGCCTTGACAACCACACATCAAAACAACAGCGACAGCGGCGCTTGGCTAGAGCTCTCGCACGGTTTGCGGTGAGGCCAGCCCTGTCCCCAAGACCTGTTTTTGTTTATTTTGCTGCTGCATCCACGCGCTCGTACTGCACGTCTCCACCCAGGCGCAAGCATCGTGGGAGATTGCCGTCACTCGGGGAACCACAGCAACATCGCTGCGGAGCCTTCGCTGCGCACATGACATCACAGGGTCCACCATCGATCTTTGAAAGTGCATCGGCTCTCAGTGCCAGCTCACGCGCGTACTGTGTACTGACGTAGTACCAATCAGCCTTGCCAACTCAAACCCTTCTCAGGCGTTGTTGTTGACACCACGTTGCCTGTCACGAGGCTTGTCATTGTCGCACCAACATGATCCGCACCGGCAGGACCGAGGGTTGGCTCAAGCAACCAATCGAGACGCTTCCAACATGGGCAACCTTCCATGGCGTTTCCTTCAATGGCATCAAGATCGGTCCATTGCCGGGTTTTGAAGACAGGGGTTCCACTGTCATTGCGGACCGTGAACTGGAAGGGGGCAAAGTGGAGCCTCTGCTCGTCGTCCCTAAAGAGCTTATTATTTCACGGCAGAACATCGAGCTGCTCGCCAAGTCTGATCGTCACTTACGCGAGGTTCTCGATGCTACAGCAGACTTTGGAAGAGTGCGACAATCCTTGCAATGCCTTTCTCCGCAACTGACACGGCTCGCAGACGACCAGAGGTGCGGTGTTGATTTTCCTTCTTGTGCAAGCCACCATCTGCTGTCCACACATCAAAGACGTAGGCCTTCTGAACCCTCTGACCGAATACACGAAGTATCTCCCTGACGAGCTTCTACCGACCTTCTGGTCAGAGGAAGAGCAGGAGCTACTTACAGGGACCACTCTACAGCCCGCAGTTCGTGCGAAGCTGAACAGCTTGCTGCGTGAATTCGAACTCGTACGAACGGCTACTGAAAACATTGATTGGTGTGCCAAGTACTGGTGGCATGAAGACAACGGCCTGGTCACCTTCGATGACTGGATGTGTGTGGATGCAATGTACCGTTCTAGAGCCCTAGAGTTCCCAGGTGTGGGTGATTGCATGTGTCCGTGTGTCGACATGGCAAATCATGCTTCGGGCGACGCTACGGCTGCTCTCTACGAAACAGATCAAGACGGAGATGGCCTGCTCCTGCTGAGGGAGGGTAAAAGGATAGGCAGAGAAGGAGAGATATCAATCACGTCAGCTCGTTCACCTTCCCCTCTATGCATAACTGACACGCGTGCAGTTACGGTGACGACAAAGGAGCGTGTGAGAACATTTTCTCCTACGGCTTTCTGGAAGACTCTATGACTTCGGCAAGGGTCATGTTTCTGGACCTAGACATACCAGACGACGATCCTCTGCGCCCTGCTAAGATGTTCATATCTACGGCTGCACCAGGCTTTCGCCTCTTCGAAAAGGCAGGAGACGTTGAATGGGAGAGCGACTTCATATGGCTCGTAATTGTGAACGAGGAGGACGGGCTCGACTTCAAAGTGAGACAGACCGTTGACGGCAAGCGTGAGATCCAAGCTCTCTGGAAAGACGACGAGCTGCACGATACTAGCAAAATCCGGCAATACTTGCATGAGGATCCTTTGTGGGAAGTGTACCAGCTGCGAGCAGCAGTACTGCTGCAAGGCCGTGTGGAAGAGCAAATCGAAACCTTGAACAAGGTAGGGACTCCTCAGAGAGAGACATCGATACGGGAGACACCATGGCGCCTTGCGGAGCGGTTGCGTGCTTTGGAACTGAACATGCTTGAAAGAGCTATGGAAGCCTTTGAACGCCAGGTAAGTAATCGCCTGTACTCCGCATCCCATCTCCAGTTGTTACATGTATCTCGGGCACTTGTACCTCAGCACTGCACCCTTTGGGCCAGGGCCTGATCCAACACTGTCCGTCTGCATGCTAGATTCGGTTCAGCCTTGACCTGCAGACTCTCCGCGGAACATCCACGCATTGTCACTAACACTCACCACAGAAGTCGAGACTCCTTGAGTCATCAGCCGTTCAGCAGTACTTGGGATTGGGCGTTGAAGATGAAGAGGTGGACTTCACTTGAGTCCACAAGTAGCATACAGTGTAAGGGGCTCTTTTGGCCTTATTTCACGTTGTTAGAGAGCGACGATTGAACCGTCGCCTACAATCAATAGCGCGAATTGCTTTCTCACGAGCCTCTACAACGACCGACATCTTAGAGGTGTTGTCAACTTATCACAAGGACTGCCAGCTCTCGGTCGCTCCGTGCTAGCTTATTATTGCGACAAGCACTGACTTGCAACTCGATTGGGAAAGCATCAGTTGCACGCGATAGACACACGACCGTGTACAACTCAATACAGCTCAGTGATTGCAATTACACCCATCTACTGCGTTCGCCGAGCGGCCGAGCCTCCATGACGGATGCCGGCGTTCAACCCCAGGTTTTGAGGCTTGGCCCTATCTATATCAGAATTGTGTCCAATCAGCGCACTGGCCGCGAATTAGGACCCTGATTCGACGGGGATGACAGATTGTTGGCTCATGTCACGTCAACCAGATTTTCGCCTCGACTGTTCCAGCTTTTGGAAGATTGGTGCGGTACAAGGAATAGAGCTCAGCCGCGAAGCACCAGGGCTGATTAGAGACAAGGTTGGTTGATGACTTGCGACCTGCGAACCAAGACGATCTCGCCTTGCGGTCATTGCCAGCATCCCAGTCCATAATGTCTCTGTCGCCCGCGTGGGCGAGGGAACAGTGCCAGCAACCGATCGCTGGCCGGGTCCCAAGCGCAGGTCAAGGCTTGACACCGAAATCGAGTCACTGCAGGTAATGATTTTCAGCATGGGGAATCACAGCGTTCGGGCTGGCGTCCATGGCAGCGCTCACCCCGCAAGTGGCTACGATAGTCTTGCGACTGCCCTTTGCTGCAACAATGAAGGCTGAGACGACGCATCTTTCCCCGCATAATGATTGATTGCGTGTTTGGGGAATAGCGGCAGGGAATAGACGAAAAAGCATCGGGCCAGTGGTGCGCTCAGGGCTAGGATGGATCTGCGAGCCCCCAGTTGGCCGGGGTCTCCACAAATTACAGCAATGACCCCAGAACCCGCTAACTTTTAGGGCAGAGACTGACCAACGGCTTACATTTGTCCAAGCCGTCCCTTCCTCCGCACGCCTTCTAAATCCACCCGCACCCGCCGCGTCGCCTCCCTCCCCACTGTCTTCCTGCCCCGACACCGTGACACTTGTACCACACGTCAACCACATCACACTCGAACGTCTTGTCGACCCATTCCCAAGGATCCGGATGCTGCCGGTCTGACACGCTCTTTCTGTGATCCCCTTGTGGGCCCCGCACCGCTCCGCGCAGTAGCACAACCAATCGATAGCGACGCAAAACCAAGCCACCGTCAACATGCCCGGAATACTACCCATGAAAGTAATCAAGGTCGGGTCGAGCAGCCAGGCCCGCATTGCACAAGCATGCGACCGATGTCGCTCCAAGAAGATACGATGCGACGGCGTTCGCCCCAGCTGCACACAATGCACCAACGTTGGCTTCGAATGCAAGACTAGCGACAAGCTCAGCCGCCGAGCGTTTCCCCGAGGTTACACAGAGTCTCTCGAGGAGCGAGTGCGATTGTTGGAGGGGGAGGTTCGCGAGCTCAAGGAGCTGCTCGACGAGAAGGACGAGAAGATTGACATGCTCTCGCGAATCCATTCACATTCTCCACAAGGATTCTCGCACGCACGACGACCGTCTTTACCATCAGCAGCCGTCTTGGAAGCTAGGGAGGAATCGCAAGAGAAAGACGACACTTTCAGAGTGCAACAGCCTCCGCTGCTCGTGGACGACGAGAACTGCGACTCGTACTTCGTCGGCAGCTCAAGTGGACGAACCTTCGTTGGTATGGTTGTGCATCTACTGTTACCCAGTAACTATACTAACTCACCACAGAGGCTTTCAAGCAAAAGGCACAGGAGACTGGACGACTCAGCGCCGATGTCAAGTCAGATGCCTTCTTTGGCGCAGCGGCCAAGGCCTCTGCATCCTCGTCAGAACGCGCTGTATCGTTCAAGGCTCCGCCTCGACTGGTGTCAGATCAGTTGATCAACATCTTTTTCCAGGAGTGGGCGCCCTTGTTTCCGGTCCTTCATCGTCCAACCTTCCTTGGCTTGTACGAGCAGTATGTTTCTAGCCCCGAAGAACTGACCGACAAGAAATCCATCGCACAACTGAACCTTTGTTTCGGTATTGCTGCGCTGTCAAGTGACGTATGTATCCAGCCTGCTCTAGCAATCGCTTTCGCTGACACTGAAAAGGCACGCGATGGCGAGGACGTTGCGTCATTTGAGGCTCAATGGCAAAGCGCTGTTGATACTTTCCTGATGGACAACGATCTTGCCACATTACAGTGCCTGGTTCTTGCCCAAATCCACTGCCTCCTCACAGGTGACTACTCTCGTGTGCTCAAGTACAAGGGATTGGCTGTTGGTCTATCCCAACGCCTTGGACTGCACCAGTCTCAGAAGCGCTTCGCACTCGGCGCACTTACTAGCGAGACAAGGAAGAAGGTGTTCTGGTCCTTGTACACTGTCGACTGGTATGGCTCTTTGCGCCGAGTGATCTTTCCATGGCTAACTCAATTAGCTTGTCTGCCGCACACCTTGGCCTTCCCAAACTAATCAGGGACGAGGATGTTCACTGCGAGTACCCAGTCGATGCAGACGATGAGTATGTCACAGAGAAAGGTTTCCTGCCGACCCTGCCCGGAGAGTCGACGAAGCTCTCGAGCGCGTTGGCTCTGTTCCGCCTGTCGCGCATACTTTCCCGAGCTTTGGCCGAGCTATACCCGACCTCGTCGGCACACGACATCGCATTCCGTACTGTGGCGTCCCTGACGGACGAGCTTGAAGAGTGGCAGAAAAACCTAGCTCCTCATCTCAGGTTAACGTTCGCACAAGATAAACCCAGCACGAACGTGACGAGTAGCAGGGCACCAATCCTAGTAAGCGTCACCCCAGATGGTCCTTCGCTGTGGTTACTGACATGCCGCAGTCCCTGGCATACTACCACATCCAATCTTTGATTTATCGCCCCACTGTTGTCGCCGATCTTGGCGACAAGGGCTCGTCTGCGCTGGTTGCCGTTGGCGATGCTTGCAAACACATTGTACAGATCGTGCAGCTGCTCGACGAGCGCAAGCTTAGCTTTTCCTTCTGCCTTAACCGCAACGAGGTGCTTGTTCAGGCTGGATTCGGTCTGCTTTTCCAGACTCTCAACCTTGCTCGCGATGGCAAGCTGATCAAGGATTGCAATCGTCTCGTCTGCTCTGTCATGGACATGCTCGATAGCGGCGGAGCCGCTGGCTCTATGGAGTTCCGGTACGTGAAACTATATTCATCGCGCAACCTTACTGACAAGTCCAGTCGTATCGGATGCTCCATGATCACAGTCCCGCGAGTGGGACCTACACTTTCTCGACACAGTTCGGAAGGTGGCATGGGTGCGCCAATGGACACCCTGCGTGCCACCCAGAAGACACTCAAAGCCATTGCAGCTCGCTTGACAGGTGCTACGAGGTCTGGCCGCCACGATGTACATGAGGCTCGACGCGCCACTTTGCCGACCCTCTCGCCCAATGTTGGTGTGCATGGCAACCCATCCTCTACCAGTCTTTCGTCCATCCGGTCGGAACCACACATTGCGCGATCTGAGCCCAACATGAGTCCACCGATCCACAACCGCGCTTCCTTCTCGATGTCTAACAAGCGTCGTCCGAATTTGACACCGCAGCCTGCTGCGCCCCGTAACATCGACTTCCTCGCGTTCAGCAATGAGGCTCTGGCGAATTACACCCTCGGCCCTACAAGTGTTAAGACTGAAGTATCAACCTCAGATTGGGAACGTCTGCTTGGCTCACTGGACGGCGGCCAAACTAATATCTACGATAACATCTACGGTGGCCCAGCGGCTGAGGCTCTACTCGACGTCGGCCCTCACTCTACGGCTACGACCACCGACAGCAACGCCAGCTGGTCACCCGACACCTGGGACTGGAACAGCTACGGAACAGCAGCACCTCCACAGAGTGTGCTCAGCTTCAGTGACGAGAGTCTGACCAGTGGCGAAGAGTTCAGCAGCAACCCTTGGGATTCAGGCACACCGAGTAGCGACAGGATGTACGCTGGCATCGTGATACCCGACATGAGCACACCGACTGGACTGGCAGGACTCGACGGCAACTTCGGATTATAAAGCAACGATACCATTTGACGACTGTATTGGAGTTGGGGAACTGGAGTTTCTGGACCGGGATGTTGGTTCAAGTTTGCTTCAAGTTGAGATACCACTTTCTTCGCAAGAGCGAGATATTATGCAATGCTGTACAGGGCTGGTGTTTTTTAATCTACGTAATCTTCTTGGATACACTCGGCAACAAAATACATGGGTTTGATCTATTCTACTCTTCACCTCCCCAACCAGTCCCAGCTCCCTCAAATGCAGATCTGCTATAACGTAGTACACACATACTATGACGCCAGGTATTATTCCAGGAACCGCGCCTCCAGCTCAAAGCTTACTCTGACGCCCCAACCCCCGCAGGGCAGTGACGCACAATACACCCTGTTCACGTCACAGCTAGGCGAGAAATAGTAATAGACTCCTCCGCGTAATCGCCGTTCTCGGACGACGATCCGTGGAACCGGACAGGTAGAGGAATGCACGCGCACCTCGACCAGGACACGACTCGCACCTACCGAAACTGTCGAGCCTGCTAGTACCTAGAGTTTTGCAGTGCAAACCCACGCCGCGATCACAGGGTGACTCGTGTTGTGCACCTGCCTTTCAGATCTCCCTCCAGTTCGCCACACCGTGTTCGCGACACCTCCCTCTCGGCGCAGCGGAAGTTTGCCCGTGCCCACCACGGCGCCCCACGCCGGTCTTGATGCGGGTTAGCGCTACCCCAGTGTGGAGCGGTGGCGCACGTGGCCGATTTGCGGGGTGGCCTATCTGAGGCTATACCTAACGCAAGGGATGAAGTGGTTAGGGAGGAAGGGGGAAAGCAAGCGCGTGTGAAGCATGCGAAGCGGGAGCTTGCGATGGCTTAACGCGGCGCGGCGATACGGATGCATGTTTTTGTTTGCTGTTTGTTGCTGCTTTTGAGGGCGTTCTCGTGGTGAGTCGGTGGTGGGGCAGCACGCGAAGTTGAAGTTCACGGCGTCAAGTGTCACGACCACAACGCGCAAAACGATCGCATGGTTGGTTCTATTGGTAGTGCTGCTTGTTACGCTCATTGTATGCGACGTGTGTCCAATTGCAGAATCGTGTATGCCGCCTGCACGCACATCGTGGGCTTGCGGAACCGCATCTTGCTGACGGGCTGTATGTGGCGGCTAGGCTAGACACGCTCCATGCAAGGCCACCAGACTGCCGACAAAGTGTCACGCCACTGTGGTCCGAAGCTGAAACTGCCGCCGAGGTGGAATCGAAGCTATCGACGATGTACCTTATGGCTGCATGTAGCAGAATGTCGGAGCAAGTCGGGTCGTCTTGGGAACTACATCCACAATGACAAGCATCTTGTCTCGGCGGCAGGGATGCAGCGCAGGCAGAGCCTCACACCGCCCGAACCGTGGACGGCGGTAAGGCTGCTCGGCGGAGTGGAAGAATCTATCCAGGATCCGCAGCTCCATGCATCTGAGCGCACTGGTGCTGTAAATAGGGCCGGTTCGCACAAGTTCTCGTGAGAGTCGCCGCCGTCTAGCGCTGGAATTCGCTGCTGAGAAAGTCAACGAAGACCTCCCTGATTCGTGCTTTTGACAAGCTGTGCGACCGGTTCATGGTGATGAACTGGCGGCGGATGCGCTGCAGCTGCGGTAGTGTCATTGGCGTCGCTGGCAGCTCCAGAGGCCGCTCGACGTCTTGCACCTTAATTTGTCCACCGCCCTCTCCAGCATGGTCCTTCTGGTACGTCGTTATCTGCGCGATGATGTCGGAAGTGGTCTTGTCCAGCTCGTAGAGATAGTTCTGCTCGGTTGCAGGTTTCTGAAAAGTCAGCAATGGCTGGTGGCCCGGCGTGTCGAGGTACGTACCAGCACCGTCGCCTGGTGAGGTCTGACAACTTTGGCCTTCCCGTCACTGCCTACGAGGGCGTCCCAGACCTGGTCGCACCAAGCAGTCTCATCTTCTTGCACCACGATGAACAGCGGACTGTCCCACCGTGTCATGCCGTTCGGCTCCTCGTACCTGAAGATCAGGTTCTCAAAATCGTCCTCCTCGTAGCCGCCATCCTTGTCCTTGTCGGCCAGCAGCGCCGTGTTGATCTCGCGACACTTGTCGGCGGGCGTGCCTATGTGCACCTCTCTGCGGTCAGCAACGGTCGCTCAGCGCGTGCATGTTCAGTCACTGACCACGCAGCTCGGCGTCGACACGGCCTTTGCCTCGCAGTACAGCTGGTAGCGGAAGCCCTTGATGTAGTTCAGGCCATCGGCGATAACTATGTCGTCGCGCGAGAGCACTCGCTTTACGGCAGAATATTCCTCCGCACGCGCATCCTTCTCGGCCCTGGCCGTGTGGTAGACGGTGCGCGAGACTCCCAGCGTCTGGTCGTTGATGAGGTGCACCTTCAGCCGGCTGGCGCGCGCATCGGCACTGGTATCGGCGATCTTGGACGCACAGTACTCCTTGAACTGGAGGGCGCGCGTGGTCTTCCCCGCGGACGGATATCCTAGCGCCGATTCAGGTAAATGTTTTTGGCACACACGCGGAAGGGAAGCGCACCTGAGATGAGGACGAGCTGCAGCGCATTAGTTGCGGGAACGCAGAGGGAAGGTGCATTGGGTTCCTACAGGCATGTTTCAGATTTTTGGTGTCTGTCGTGCTCTGGCTGCACGCCGCGGTCGTGAATGTGCCTGTGCTGTACGCGACGATCTGTGGTGCTCGATGCGAAGCCACCAGTAGAACGATACTCCGAGAAGCCGTTTCGGTAGATTTTCCGGCGTGGTGACGAAATTGCTGGTCTTCACAAGTGCCGCCCACAAAGACAGGAAGGCTGCCTCGGCTCAATCGCCGCCGATAGTGCCTTCCTATCTCTTCATCCGTCGCCGCACCTGCTCTTTATCCTGCGCCCGCCCCGTCCGCTATTCAGCCTCTCTACATATATTGGCCAATACATCCAATACCCCAGACGTGTACTGCAGCCGTTGCCATATTGCCTTGCTACCGCGCTTCGCACACGTCTCGGCGATACCACGGACCCTCTTAGACCACACGCAGCCGCCCCTAGCACGCCAGTGCGACAACATAGGCCGTAGTCCTCTCCACTCTTTCGAAACTTCTTCTTTTCCCCAGAAGAATCTTCGAAATCCTCCGAGCCCAAGACCTGTTGATATCAAAAACATGTCGCAGCCATTATCTGCTCGCCCAGCCGTTGCCCCCATCCAGTCCTCCAGCGCGCACATCTCCAGCTATAGCAGCAGCTCAAGCCTCACCTCGCCCTCTCCTCAGTCCGCAGCGCCTCTATCCTCGCCCACCATGTCGACTTCCCAGCAGCAACAGCAGTTGTTTGGCTCTTTGAACCAGCCTCAGCAACAGCAGCCACAGCAGCAGCAGCAACAGCCACACCCGTTGCAGCTCCAGAGACATCCTAGCTACGAGTACCAGCCCAACAGGCAGGGAGCTGGTTCCACCCGGAACGAGACCGCCGCATACCTCAATTCAGCCGCGCTGCTCGCAGAAGCCGCAAAACGTGCCTCGATACAAGTCGTCATGAGGGACATCGAAGAGATGGAACTCTGAGTGATGCACAAGCCATGCACTTTCGTTCCTCGCAATTACAACAATACCCCCAAGTCCCACGTCGCGGTAAATGTCGGCCGAGCTCGCACCACTTCCCACGCAAATAGTTGAGTGGGTCCACCTCAGGCATCGACATCACGAGATTCTCATACGACCCCGCCGTGACCGGACGACGGGTGCAATGTCCTCGTTCGCGAGTCGCATTGGGCCCTATCGCGATGCCCAGACTTTTGCATTGTTTTCAACCCAACTTTCAGCCCGATCGAAGGATTTAGTGGGGCACCATCACGACTTCACTTCAACTGTACATACTTTCCATTCCCAACTGCCATTACCACCACATCATGTATCTCTTAGCCAGGCGTTCAATGGTGCGTGGCACGCACCTGGGTTTTTCATTAGCATTACGCAGCACATTGCATGCCCATGTTATCAGGGCAGTCTCGTTGGGGAGACGACGATAGGCGTGCATCATATAGCGAACCAACAGATTTGATGCATCTATGTCTTCCTCGGTCTGTAGAGTGGTGATTTAGCATCCATTACTACGATGTCAATATGGCAAGCCGTACTATCGAAGCGGAGATATGGACTGGATGTGTCTCTCGAGCACCACCGATAGTTCCAGGAGGGTGCCAGGTCATTCGCGATGTGCAATCTTTTCCTGTTTCTAGTGTTGTGTTGCCACAAGTGCTTTCGTGCATCGCGGCCGAGCTCTCGCTTGGGTATTGAGCATTGTAGTCAAGCATGTACAGCCCTGCAACTGCCCGCGTAGCTCCTCTGGGAGTCTTACTGCCAGACATCCGGTCGAATGCTCTGTCTGTGTGCAGCTCATGACATCAACATTGCCGAGTCCTGGGCAGTCACGTCCGACTAGCCACTTGGCAACACGGCACCAAATTTATTTCTGGAGCGGAGTTGTTCAGTTGCATTTGAACGACATGTTGACTGCCATATGAACGACTTGTGCTATACAAAAGTGCTGAGTAGCTGTGCATTCGTGCCTTGTGGTAGTGCGAGGGCGGCTGAGGAGAAGCAGAAGATAAGACAGCGGATGATGAAGGAGGCTAGGGCTACACAAGAGGAGGGACAGAGCCACGGGCAGATGCGCGTTTGCCAGGCAATCAGGATGTCGGTGCTATGATGGTTAGCAAGCTCCTCCAGCCCATCCACCGCGACAGTGTCCTCCCCCGATTCAGCCATGACCAAATCTGCGCGAATGTTCTACAGGGGTTATTCTGGGCCTAAGTCTGCTAGCCGACAGTATTGACCATTTAAGCCCCTCCAGTCTACAGAAGACACGGCGCTTGGAGCCTTCCATATCTACAATACCGAGCACATCGAGCACGGCGGCATGATGTCTTTCGGTGGAAGTGGTGAGCCTCTGTTCTGTACCTGACATCTAGGATGTGAATCAACTGCAGTACGGAAGACCTGCACTAGTCCTGGAATATATCTGATTGCAGCGGAGGCATTCAGTTACGTTCAAACAACTTTTTGACGGCAATAAGAACGAGTTGGACCCTACAAGATTGTGGAGTGGGTGGTTATGCGTGTTTTGCGGCAGCACACTTTGGCCGAGTGTCTATGGAGCACGACCGAGTGCTGGCCTCGCAGTGCTGTGGAATCCTTCGCACTAATGGAGTTGCTTACACGAGACAGAGCAAGCAGAGTACGGTTGAAACAGAGGTTTCGATCAAGATCTACTGACCCAAGAAGAGGCTGAACGTCACCGTTCACGTCTTCTGCATCCACCTAATCCCGCTTGACAGACTCGTCCATCTCACCTAAGAAGAGGCTGAACGTCACTGTTCACGTCATCTGCATCCACCTAACCCCAAGAATAAGCTGAACGTCACCGTACAGTATTCTCTTACTTGTCCACCCAAAAATCCTCCCCCAATAGCTCCTCCATGCGCTCCACCGTGGCAGCATCCTCCGCAAACTCCTCCATGCGCTCCACCCTGGCAACATCCTCCATCAGCTCCGCCATACGGTCGGCAAAATCGGCAGTTGGGGCAGGCGTTTCGTCTTTCTTGGCCCTCAGCTCTTCGTTCTGGCATCGAAGAAGGTCAATGGATGCTTGCAAGGTTCGCACTTGCGCTTCAGCCGCCCGTCTCAGCCCTATCTCGACTTTCATGCGCGATACGGCATTGTTGTTAATCGTGTTCAACCTCTTGATCTCTTCATGGAGGTTGGACTCCTCTCCGAAGGCATCGTTGGCAGATTGCTTGGTGCCTGTGTTGAATTCAGAGGCTGGCATAATGTCGCGCACCCAATCGCATCCGAGACGAAGGAGGCCAGTGATCTCTACCTCGCTTGGGCGAAAGCGCATCTGCCCGTTGCTGACTAGCTGATCGGGGCAGCGCAGGTCAAACCCGTGCTTCTTGTACCAGCTGCGGGTGCAGTACAGCTTAGGGCAGTTCTGCGTATGTTAGCTCGTGTCTTGCCGTCGAGGATTAGATCATACTGGTTCATCGTGCGGTGTCGATGGGCATCGTAAGCAAGGACGACTGCACCTGTTTCTCACCAGATGACCGTCCTCCTTCGATCTACCGCAGCGCAAGCAGTTGGCAGCAGCCTCATCCATGCCCATTTTGCGGGCTGCCACCTCACTCTGGTCTTGGTAGCCGTGAGGTGGTGGCATGTAGCAGGCCTGGTCAAACTTGAGGCCGCCTTGGGCAGAACCTTCAATTGCTGCATTCTGCATGTCGCTTCGAGAGCCTGTGGGGGCACCTGATACTCCGGCACGTCGTCTTCCAGGAAAGCTACCAGCGTCACCGCTGGGAGTCCATGCACCTCGTCCTCCGGCACCTCGTCCTCCAGTGAAGCTACCAGCGTCACCGCCGGAAGCCCACGCACCTCGTCCCCCAGCACCTCGCCCCCAGGCACCCCCACGCTGCCCAAAGTTGGCATTGTAGCCACCTCGGTTTGGCCTGTTTGAGAAGGGCGGCCGCCCGTTGTTGTTGTATTGCGACATTTTTGTGGTGTCACGTATGGTGTGCGTGTGGAAGGAGCAAGTGTGCAGGTGAAGCTCGAGTTATAAGAGTGGGGCTAACGGGTCACGCTAGGCCAGTTCACCGTGAGCTGCGCTGATTGAGGACGCATACGTACAGGTGCGTGACTCAACGCGAATCATGTTCTTGAGCCTTACAGTCCACATGTTGAGCCTGCATCAGGCTAGTGCTTGGATGGTAGAGCTCGACACTGACTGACATTAGCCGCAACGTCCTTAGTACAGGCCAGCCTCTGAGACAACAGCTAGCGAAATGAGAGAAGAGCATGTGTATATGTGCTTGTTGATACCAGTCTATGAAAGATAAATGGCACAGGTAACTAGCAAGGCAGCATTTTCGGCATTCGTCTAGTTGCGAGCCGGTATGGCATTCCCGATCTTCTCCCAGGTACGTATTTCATGCAGCAGGTCCTCTCGTTGCGCATGGAAGCCAGTTACGAGCTTCATCAGTTTCTTTTCTTGCTCTTCCAGAGCCAGCACGCGTGCACTAGCAGCCAGTTCTTTGTTTGACAGTGCCTGGACGAATTGCGGCAGCCAAGTAGGAGCTCCAGATTTGAGACAGGCGACCAAGTCTTCAGTGGCACCCTCGATGCCATTTTGTTGGCTGTTGGCAGTTGTGTAGCTCAAAACCCATGTGCAGGTTTCTTCTACAATCTTCGTGTATTGATTGACGAAGTCGTCAACATCCGCCAAAGTCTCGACACGGCATCGGTTGCACGTTCGTCTGACAGCAGCAATGAGCCTCGTGTGCTCTGTGAGTTTCTGGTTCGCTGCGTCGAGGCCACCGTGACGCTTTATGTCCTCCATCTGCTTCCGGATCACGGCTGGGTCAGGGTCACTTATTGATTCGAGCATCTTGCCGAGCCCCAGGTGCGTCCGGATCTTCTCCGGGTTACCAAAGACCAAGATCGCCCTTGCCATTTCCAGATGCTGTTTGATCTTGTCAGTGTCACCTATCGCCGAGACCATTCTGCCTATCTCCATCTGCTTCGTGATCTCGTCGATGTCACCCACCGACGGGACCGCATTCTTCGTGATCTCATCGATGACACCCACCGATGGGACCGCATTCATCTGCTTCTTGATCTCGTCGATGCCACCCATCGACAAGACCGCCTCCCTCTGCTTCTTAATCTCGTCGATGCCACCCATCGACAAGACCGCCTCCATCTGCTTCTTGATCTCATCGATGCCACCCATCGACAAGACCGCCTCCAACTTCTCGTTTGCCTCCTCTAGTTCCAGTGAAACATCAATGTATGATCCGACAGCCTCCAGCAAAGCGGACTTCGGTTTGACTACCGGGGCAGCCAGCTCGGCTTCCATGGCAGCTATATCCTTTCGGAGGGCATCGTTCTCGGCTTCCTTTTCGGCAGACCGGCGGAATCGGTTGCGGTCATGTGGTGCATTGGCTGTGAACATCATGAGTTCGAGGTCATGCTGAGTCGTGACTACAGCCGACACCTTGTTGTAGTAAGGCTGTGACGACATTTTGTGTGGTGGGTGTGTCACAGTGTTGCGAGGTGAACTCTGCTGCCTGGAAAAGTTTTCGAGGGCCGAAGAAGATGAGGCAGGCACGCCTGTCGTCACACGCCCCCTGCTAGCCGTGGACCGCGCGAATATTGTGGATAGAAGAGACTGAAGAGTGGTTGCAAGGCGTTGAAGAGCAGATGGAAGACTTACGGAGGTCCAGCCACCGTCTTCAACGCCAGACTGATGAGCTGAGGGCCGAGACGTGCAACAGACCTGCCAATGCGTGTTCTTACCTTGATACACCAACTTCTAGACGTCAAGGTTCAACAATAAAATCCGCCTTGGTACTACATACCGGTATGTATGCGCCCTGGATCCGTACCACCATGCCCGTTTACCACGAAAATGCCTCGACATCCAACTCCCACCGCGTTCTCGACGACTCCCTCGCCCGTTGACTCACAGAGCTCCTCACCTCATCACACATCCCACCTGGCCCACAAACCACAACTCCGATCCTGTTCCACCCTTCGCCTTTTTCTCGCCCCAGCACAGCACCGACATCGAACCTTTCGCCGACGTGCACGTGTTTCTCCTTGATCCCGTCCATGAATGTTGCGAGATCATTGGCGAGCCCTTGATCAGCTGCTTTCAGACTCCAGTGGATAGAGACGTTGTGGTGTTGCGCGATGAAGGGAAGCACAGCTGAAATACCGATGCCACCAGCGATCAGGACTAAGCGATCGGTGCGCAGGACTGCGGCAGTAGAGTTATTGGGATACGGGCCATCCAGTAGAGTGAGGAGTGATTTGTGAGCCGCAAGTGCCTTCGTGATACCCGTAGATTTCCGAACGTACAGCGAAATACCAGATGTGTCTGTGGGTGCTAAGGAGTGGGGTAGACGCGCGTTGATGGCAGTTGCAGTGCCGGACTTCTCGATGTCGACAGCAGCCTCATGCTCAGAGCTTGATGAAGAACTACTCGCAGCTAGACTGTAATGACGCAACCGGAGGAGTGCAGTCGGCACAATACTGAATGGGTGGTTTTCCCATGGTCTGAGCGGGTTCACACTCGGAAAGTAGGCATATGTGTGTCTGCCCGGCGTTGCGTCCCATCGAACGCCCTTGATATCGATGCGAACGATGTCATGGGTGACTTGGGTGACCTCTGCTCTACGCATGCCGTTCTTCAGGATTCGAGCAACTCGCGCACCGCGGTCAAAGAACCACACTGCGCATGCAGCGTAGATCCAAAACTCGTATCCCCAGCGTCGACTAAAGAGCAGCTCGACATGGTACCAGCTTCCAGCGAGCACGAAAACGGCTAGGATGATGTGAATGATGAGGAATATTTCGTAGCTCTTTCTTCGAAACCACAGGCTCGATATGACAATCATGATCACGCTCGCGATGGTGGCGACAATGCCCCAAATCCAGTAGGGTTCCTTCTGCTCTGCATCCACGCTGCCTTTTCTTTTGTACAAGATAAGCTCGAGTATTGAGTGCAAGATTATCTGCAGCGTGAAGATACGTGCGACCCAGCGGTGCAGCAACATATATGTTGAGTGGCTCCAACTCGTAAGCCAGAGGAGTACGTTGTTACGGCCAGAAAACAGGATGACGAGAGGGGCAAGCGCAAAGGCAAGAACACCTGTGCGATTTGACATGTAGGCCATAATCTCCTGCCAGGCGTCGGGAAACCAGGCGTTCGCTGGGTATTGGAAAGATCGGTAGCCTCCAGCAGTAAAGGCTATATTGAGGACGAGAAAGAGGAGAATGTACCATGTCTGCCCTATAGTGGGCGCATTGCCAAGTGTGAAGGGGAGGGCGCGGACATGGTAGGTGCCCATGAGAGACGGCCAGACGAAGCGTGGCTTGAGTTTGTCGAGTAACAAAGTCATGTAAGGCAGATGGCCGAGGCAGGTGGTAACAATCGGAGTCGCGAAGCTGACGACTAGAAGAACGATTCTATGTCCTCGTTAGCGGATTGTTCCAGAGCAGGAGCTTCACTGCAAGCCGAGTTGACAACAAGTAGAGCGGACCAAGCTGGGCTGACAGCCTTGATGGGCCTTCTACAGGTTTGTTTGTGGCCAACTCTGCAAGAGATTCGCGAATGGCGACTCTTACCCATATCTCGAATGCGTTACCTCCATGGCTTCGAAGGACTGCAACGCGCCCCTAGTGCTCTCCCAAGTCTCCTCGTCATAACTCGCGGTGAAATTCAGCATCTCGTCTTCTTCAAGAAGTCTACTTGGTGGCTCCGTTCCCTGCATTTGCACCAATGTTTCCTGATACGTCCAATTTGGCAAGACTCCGGTAAAGCGGCCAGTAACCCTCTCTGTCCAGTATTTCTCAAGTTTCCATGGCGCGGTATCCGTACAGGTCATGTTGATGCAATTGGCGAGAGTGGTCAGCCAGGGAGTGTCACTTGCGTAGCATTCAGGCGATGTCGCGCCTTGCCCGTGCGAATGGGCGCCGGTGGCATGGTCATGGCCAGAGCAGGCGAGCATTGCGCCGGAGAAGATGTCGCGGCATGCGAAGGCGCAGGGAGGGTCATACACTAGATCTGTAAGTATGCTTCTCGGTGACAGACTTGGGAGCAGACTACTGACTCGATTTGCCATATCCGATCAAGGCTGATGTGGTACTCGACAGTGCAAGACCAAGTAGGCATGTTTTCTTCATGATTGCTGCGTTGCTAGTATTGTCTACCTGAGCGCGAATAGCTGGCACGTCAGAACAGAGTGTCAGATAGGACGTTCTATATATCTTTGCTTCGCGATACCAGGCCAGGTCCAGAACGTGTTGCAGAACAGATAAGCAAACAGCCCTGTCTCGCCATCGTGCCCAAGTGGCCTGGTGACAGTGAAACTACTTCTGATATCCCTGCATTGTTAGTCGCCCGTGGAACGTAAACTTGCTCACTTACACATTTTGCAACTTCTGTGCCGAGGAACGAATCAGAAAGAGGGTATAAAGTAGTAGCGTAATGCTCAGATGTTTCGAAAGCAACGGCGTCCCTAAATGTGCTCGAAATTAGCTCAGCTGCAGCGCTTGGCAATGCTTGATCGTCGCTTTCAACACAACAGTCCGACGTCTAGCATAATAATCCAACATGCAGAGTGACCATACCGTGAAGACTGGTAGCGGCGACAGATGACCTGTGAGTTAAGAGGAAGCTGGGGCGAGATACTGTGGCGAAGTTGTTGCAACACGCGTCTCTCTTGCTTTGGCTCATTCCGAGATGTGAAAGACACAAAGCTGTTTCCGACCTTGACGAACACGAGGGTGATGAATTGAAACTGTGACGTGCGTGGTTCTGTATGGCGATGAACGCTTTAGACCTCGAAAACGCCACCCATGCCGACTCTGATGTCGACCACATCCACTCTCCAGCCCTTCCAGTCGTTTAACCCTCTCTTGGTCTCCCTGATGCGCTCAAGCCTCTTCTTTGCTTCCTCCTCCTGCGCCTTCTGATACGCGCCTTCATCGAAGTCGAAGTCGTCTAAGCTCGGCAGACTTGCCAGGCTCTCTGTCCTTGGTTTTCCTCTATTCGCTGCATCGCTGCGTCGATGCGCCGGGTGTTGTGCCTGGCCGGTGAAAGCAGATATACCGGACTTGATGACGTCTTGGAAAGAAGAGTGGTTTTGCCCAACAGGGCGTGTAGGAGGCGCGCCATTCAGATCGATGTCGTCGAAGCCAGAGTTCGAGTAGGGTTGAGAGGGATCGGCATCGTCCATTGAGGGCTGCATTGCGGCGCGACGGTCGCGCCACACGCCGCGACGAAGCTCAAAGTTCTCTTCTTCCAGTTCGCGCACCTTGGTCATCAATCTATCGCGCTCTTCATCCTCGAGCTCTTGCACGCTTGTGTCTTCGATAGAGTCGAGGTTTGCCTTCCGACGGCGCTGCTCGGATTCGCGCAGGCGGGCATTCTCGTTGCTGAGGCCCGTCACACGGGTCCGTAATTCAGCAGCTTCGCGCTCGACTTTGGCGTGCTCTTGCAGACGTGCTTGGTTGCGGGTGTCATTGTCGCGGTGCAATTGTGTAAGAGTTTCAATCTTCTTCTCCAGCAGTTCAGCTCGCGAGACCGCATCTGATGCCTTCCGATTAGCAGCACCGAGCTCTGCCTCGACCTGTGCAATACGTGTCTGCGCGGAGTCCCGATCTGAACCCTCCTTCGCTGCCTGCTCGCTCGCCTTGTCCAGGTTCGCCTTCAAATCGGATAGTTCTGTCTTTGTGGAGCTACCTTCTTGTTCAGCCTTCTGCAGCGCTGACTCGAGGCCTGAGACTTTCGATTGCAGCTCGTTGTTTTTGTTCGTCTGCTCTGCCAACTGCGCGTTGACCTTGGAGATCTCCAACTCCAAAGACTCGATCGTTGCTGATTTAGAGGCAATCTGGGCGTTCAGATCGTCAATGGACTCGGTTTGGCTGGGAGAATTGGCCGAAGCGCGACGGGTAGTCTTTTCGGTCTGCGTTCGAAGCTGCGATAGCTGGCGCGTAAGGGACTCGACTTCCGATTTCTTTGATATATCAGCATTCTACTTCGATTGCTGGCTGTGTTCACAGTACATACCAGCTTGTCGGCCTCCTTGCTTTTCTCGAGCGCAATCGCAGCCTCCCCCTTGCCCTCTCTGAACTCCTCCAACTCCTCCTCATCTTTTTGCCATTTCGTCTTGTATTCCTCAACCTCGGCAATCAACCTGATTTTCTCCATCTCGAGTTCTGCAATCTTGAGAACCTGCTCGCGGTAGATCTCACTCGAGGCACCGGCCCCAGGTGTCAATGCGGTTGGTGATGTGGGCCCAGCGCCTGAACGATAGAAGGACTCAGACCTTTGCCGCGACTCGATAGCGACGGAAGGCTTGCGGCCGTGAGGTTTCTTGGAGACAGGCAGATCGGTGGGCTCGTCGTCGTCGGCGGAGTCTGGCGACGTAGGCTCCGCGGTCTCAGTAGGCTCGGGTACGGCATCTTCGGTCGTCTCTTCCGCTGTCGCAGGTGTGGCGGGAGCTTCAGCCTCGGCGTCAACAGCAGCCTCGGTGGCTTCCGCCTCTTCCTTCTTATCTTTCTTCTTTGTGCCGCCAGCTTTCTTGGCCTTCTGCTTCTTCAATTGCTCGTACTAAGCATCTAGTTAGCATGAATAATCTCAGCGGAGGTAGTTCTCGGGAGGCCAGCAATGCACCGCTGGTGCATGATAACACTAGCTTGATGTGCTATGTATGCTACAGGCATCGTTTTTTGTCTAACGGATGATTAAATTGAATACGTACGCGCTTCTTAGCTGCGGCAACCTTCTCGGCCTTTTCTTTGTCGTCGTCCGCCATGCTGATGGTAGTTGATGTAAGGTCGAAGATTGTGGGGTTAGGATGCACGCGGTGACGCGCTGTAAGCTCGGCGATGCCACCTTCCCTCCGCAAACCGCGCTAGCTTGATACAGACGAGACTGAATCGATGTCATCTTTGGCAGCATCAACGCAGACACTGTCGACATATATCACATTCATGATTAATGGAGTATCGCCATGAACAGACGATTTCTTTAATATGTAGGCCCGGTGTTGACTTCGGTCCAACGCTACTTGTCTAGTACACCTCTCAGTGTCTTGTGAGAACACCTGCAGGTAGTAAGAGCGTTCACAAACTTGCCGTGCTCTTTCGCCGGCAGTTCCCAGTAGACATCGACCACTGGCAGCTGCAGAGATGATATCCGTGTGCTCTTTCATCCATGGGTATATCTCATCTTGATCGCACGGTGAATAACACCTGGGCACCAACAAATACGTTTCGAACAGCGACACGTATTACTTCTGCTGTACCTTACTTCGAGTGCCCACCTCACATGATGCCATATCGCACAGTATACTGGCCAGCTTTCAGTAAAGTCTTCGACGGGTATAACTGGCAACATCGTGTACCGCTTTACCTAGCAGATCGAGCATAATCCAGCGAAGGATCGCTACTTGACGCCCATTTGTAAGCTTCACCCTGTAGGAGGAACTACTTAAATAGACACAACGCAAGTGACTTGCGGCTACTGCTTTCCAATAGATATGCAGCTTCTTTAGGTTCAAGGCCGATAGCATACTTAATAGGAGAACCGTGCAGCCTCACAGTCCGATAACATCAAAGGAAGGGAGGACCGAAAGCTCGGGATACTGATACAGGACCTGCAGAACAATAACCCGACGACTATTGCGTCGACAAGAACAGATATCGTCCGATACTCGACCGCGACCCCTGCCAAAGCCGCGTCCTCGATATTGCCCGATAGCACAATCGCACAACTTGGCTACCCACGACACAGACAACTCCATCAGTCAGTACTATTCGCAGGTGGAATCTCCGCTGCCTATCCAAATCCAGCACCTGCCTATCCTTTCCCCAATCGGCACCCAGCGCTTACCCCTCGTACCGCACGCCCCTCTCGTACGGTCCAACCCCACCAGCTCGTCCGCTCGCCATGCACAGCCACGTCGATAGTTCGCGGAGATTGCTGAGGCCGCTTCAGATCCTCGAATGCACAACTTGAAACACGAGATGAGCACAACTCTGCGACATAACTTATATGCAGGGACCAAATGCACGAGCAGGGCTGCTGTGCAAGGGCCAAATCTTGTGTATGGCGCAATGCATCAGCGGGTAGATCGTGCGCGTGCGTATGGCCGTTGCACTTGTGCTGCGTGCACTGGGGAGCTGTCGTGTTTCAGAGTAGATGAGCGGCGGGGCGGCGTGGGGTAGCGATGTGTGAGGTGCTGTGAGACGTGAGATGAAGTGAGGTGTCGCGGGTTGGAAGCGAGATGAGCAAGGCTGGAGGAATGCAGGGGAGGTCGCGAAACTACACGGAAGTGGAGATTTGTGTGAAGATGTGTATGTGTTCATTGCATTTCACCATGCTCGACTATCTGTCTATGTCGCTCCCTTGGTAGATCGTCATCCACCGCAAATGATCAGCGCCGCCCTAGATGAAATATTTGAAGTGAAGGAATTTGTCGTGTTGCGCTTTGCGCGCAAGGCATGTCTTGCCAACAGGCAAAAGAGTACCCAATCATGCCTTGAATATACTGAACGAGAGACAAAGAAGATACCGTCTCCATAGAGATCGGTTCGCCGCATGGGGCTGGTCAAGGTGCCGCAGATCAAGATTCGAAGCGTAGATCCGCGATTCCCGTACCCGCAAGCGATGGTTGTGTAAAGGAAAATGCTGATTCAACGAGAGTAAGAAATTCCGGTTCGCGTTCCAAGATAGCAAAGAGAGCATGCGCCATTAATAGTTCGTAGCCTCGCTGATAAACTCCGTGTCATGCGAGAAGGTGGTGATATGTATATGCTCAGTAATCGGTGTGGACCATTATGTCATGCCGTCAGCAGGTGCCGTCCGCTGGATTAGGGTACGTGATAATATGCAAGTGGCAGGTGATATTCGTAGAGTAACAGATTTATTGCGCTTGCGAGGAGGAGGATGCTGAGTCTTTCGAGGACCTCCAAAACTTCAGCTTGCTCAAGCGTCTGGGCTTCTTCTTGTGCTCCTTCGCAACAGGTTCAAGATAAGCAGATTGGGGTCGTTGCTCAATCGAAAGCTTGCTCTTCTCGCTACCGTAAGATCCATTGATCAGACGAGAAAGACTTGCAATGCTAGAGCGCTTGCGGCGGCGCGATTCGATCTCACTGGGCGTGGAGCAGAGCGAGGCCGAGCGATCACCTGCCCTGCGAGGAGGAGGGAGAGGGAAGCTCCCCTGTAGATTGCTTGTCATGGTTGACCTCGACGACGTCAAAGATGGCACGTCATCAGATGAGATGCGCATCTCAGGGCCAGGCTCTCCGAAGTTTGGTGATGGCATTACAGGATAGTCGGTGACAGACGAAGCCGCAGTGCCCACACGAGGGGTGTCGAAGGAGATTTGGCTCGATCGATAGTCTGGCGAGCCGAAGGAGGAGGTAACCGTATTAGGCGTCATCAGACTTTGCTGGGCAAGCGGGGCCGGTACAGCCATGGTCGATGGGTGGTCTTTGAACTCCTCCAGTGTTGACTGCGGTGTGACGGTTGAGTCTGAAGAGTGCGTGAGCGAAGAAGTACGAGGTTCCTCATAATCCTCGACTACCTCGACCTGCGGGCAGGCTGCGCTGGAGAAGGATTGAGGAACAGCATGAGGGGACAGTGGCTCCTCTGGAATGGGCGAGTGTCGTGGCTCAGCACGCGCCTTCAAGCCAAGACCATCATTGAAATTCCAGTTGATCGCCGGTCCGACCAGCTTGCTATCTGTTTCGACAATCTGGATCTTAGGCTCCTCAGTCTCGGGTTCCTCCGCAATGGAAGTGGAGGCCGATGCCCGCCTCGATTCGGGCTTCTCCTCTTCAGGCTCTTCCTCCTCAAATACATCGGCCATTGGGGAGGTGTTGGTGGCAGCTGAAGGCCTGAACTCGAAAGGTACCAACTCAGGGGCGCTCTCGGTCCTGCGGTGATTGGGCGTGAAGCCGCCAGCACTATGCATAGCTCGTCGATGAGCCGCGAATCCGCGTTTCTGCGTTCGCGGGTCGGCGCCATCTGGAGTATTGAAGGGACCGAGTGCCGCATCCATGTCAATGATGGGGCTCATGACATCCGAATCTACGCGTTTCAGCTGTCGCGGTTGCCACGAAGCGAAATCGGTGTTGATTTTCGGAGCAGGTGCGGCATCCGCTGTAGGCGAGACAATGGTGACAGAATTGTCATCATCAAAGTTGGGGCTGAAGTGGTCGAAGACAGGCTCATCAGAAGAATCGGTGTCTTCGCCTTCGACCAGAGCGTCGGGCTGTTCAGGTGTCGACGCTCTTCGCTTTGATTTTTTGCTGCTTTTGCCCTTCCTCGGGATGATTGAGTTTGCCCAGGACTTCACTTTCCGTGGCCTGTGGCTCGACTTCTTCGATTTCGATTTTGAGTCTTCAGCCGGCTCAGCGTCCGAAGGCGATGCTAGAGAAGACGTGTTGAAAGTCGTTGTCAGAGCTGGGTCGGAGATACTCAGCGGCAACCTTCGGTGGATCGACTTTTCACCCATCCTTGATTCCAGACGAAAGAAGCCTCGTCTCTTGGTTGGCATGTCAGGAGATGTGGGGCTTGGTCCAGCAGATCGAGAGCGTCCAGCAGACATGGGTCGCTTGCGGTCGGAAGCCTCCTCAATCAACGGGTTGCTCAGAATCTTGTCCAGGATAGCGCCGGCGGTGCCGGGTCGGCTCTCGTCTTCTACTGTAGATAGGGTTGGGGTGCCTGAGCGCGTGAATGGTGGGCTAATGGTGTGGCCGCCAACGATCGATGACAGGCTGTTCGCATTCGAGTGTCCACGGAAGAGTGACGGTTCGGTCTCCGACGAGATGGTCGAGAGCGGTCGAATGTACTCGACTTTGTCAGAAAAGCCAACACGCGCCCTCGAAGGTGGGCGTGGCATCGAGTCGTCGTCCGAGTTGCTGTTTCGCAGGCAGGGCTGCGACATGGACTTGTTCACGGAGTGTCCAAACTTGAAATCATTGAGGTTCTCGGCAGGAGTGTTGGGGGCACTGCCCGTTCGGGAGGGCATTGGGGGCACGGGAGGCACAGGAGGGCTCATGATGGCAGACAGGTCGTGGGACGAAATGGCGGCGGAGCGGCGATGGGCGTGGCCACGGCGGCCGGCAGGTGGTCCTGGCTGGAGTGTGGTGGTGGGCGGGGATAAGCTGTCCTTTGTGGGGCTGCTGCTCAGCAATGTCGCGCCTGTCCGGGCACTGCCGCCAATGAGCTCGCTGCCCCCGCGGCGGTGGCCGTGCATGGGCTTTGCCGGGGTTGTCGGCGCGAGAACGGGCGACGACTCGGGCGACGTCTGCTGTGGGGGCGGTGCGTTGCCTGCCGGGTTGAAGGAGAAGGCGGGCAGGGCATTCACGGACTTCTGGCGGGCGTGCGGCATGGAGCCGCGGCGGGCGGGCGGGTACTGCATGGACATGGGGCGAGGCTTGGTCGGCGACGCGTCGGGCTCGCGCATGGGGAAGGAGAAGTCGGGGTTGGGGACCATCTCGACCATGGCGACGTGGGACTGCTGGCGGCGCTCGTAGAGGGGCGAGCCGGAGGCAGCCGACTGCGACTGTGTAGCCTGATGGCGTGGCAGCGCAATCTGAGCCATGGTGAGGCACTGTGAAATTAGGGTAGCACGCGACTACGGCGGAGGGCACGGCGGCAGACGACACAAGCGCTGTTGAGGTACAAGACGCCGCGATTAGCACTAGCGAGCCACAGCGGTCAGCACGCAGGTTGCAGGCTGGCGGCGCGGTGCATACAGTGGACGAGAGCAGCGGTGCAGCAGTGCAGTGGGCGTGGCGGTGGGCGGATGGGTGCGGTGGGAGACGGGGCGGCTGGTAGACTGGTAGTGCGGTGGTAATGCTGCTGCGGCGCGAGGGTGAAGCCAGTACACCCAGAATTAAAGAATGAACGACAGAAAAGAGCGGACAGATACCGCACGCCGCCTCGGAATGGTGAGTGCGACAATGGGCTCCAAGTGTGGTGGTGAGAGGCCGTGACGGGCACGGAGAGGAGCGTGTGTAGATAGAGCGGGCGTGGTTTGCCAGGGCGGCGCGGCCGACGCTTTTGTCGCTGGGAAACGGACGGGAGCAGTCGCCGCACAGATGCCAATCTGACTGTCAAGCCAGCGGGCCCACCGCACTCGCGCGTACGGTAGGGGTATCGTGGCCGCACCCCTGCACCGCCGCCATCCTACTGGCGCGTCGTGATTGCGCTGCTGGCCAGCATTCTGCCTCTGCCTTTGCACGCACGCAGCACGGCATTGGGCCTGCAGACGCAGAGCAGCGCTGCATCGTCGCGAGCGCTGCTGGGTGCCCCGGCGGACTGCCAGCGCCCGCCAGCTGCCAGCGTCTGCGCAATTTCGGACGCGGCTGTGCCTGATCTCCATTGATCACGAGGCTCCCAGACTACCAGCTGGCCCGTCGACCGCGGCCACTCCACACTCGGTGCGCGCCCATGATGTCGACAATGACGAGCGCCGCCGCGGACAGGCCAGCTGCAAGTTTGTTGCCTTGGTGTGCCCGCCATGCGCGTCGTCTGTCCAACGCTCCGTTGCCAAAGCTAATTGTTCCTACTGCAGCTCGCCAGGGCACAGCGATTGCTGCCGAGCACCTGCAGCTTATCGCTGCGTCTGCATGAAGACTACACCAAAGCGTACTCGGGTGCAAAACCGTCTGCAAACATGCAGCATCTGCTCGAGTCAGCAACCCGTCCACCACTCAAACGTGCGCCCTCACTCGCTCAAGCTGCCTGCACGCGATATGCACCCTCGCCAGCTCCTCCAGATCGTCTTGGCGTCCTGCCGCAACCCGGCTGCCCTCTTGCTCTGCCTTTGCCGTCTCGGACGCGACGGCTGTGTAGTTTTATTGTCTAGTGCCGCTACCGAGTCTGCCTTCAGTCGTCCCTGTTTTCTCGAGGAAAATCACGGCTCGTGTCCCAGCCTCTCCACAAGAGGAGCCTGTTTCACACGCACCGTTCGAGGTGGGTCCTCCAGCTGCAGCTGGTGGCCAAGTTTGTATTTGATATGCCGCAGTTGGCGAACCAATCGAACCCTCGGCGTCGACTTACCCCTGCATGGTTAGCACCCTGCTTCCCAGAGCAGCGACACTATCAGCAGGCTTTACCCTATTAGTCAACCAAAGGAGCTCGTCCTCGCCACCATAAATAGTCCTGGCAGCGAAATGCGGAGAAGCGGGAGACTCGAACCAACCGTCTTGATGCTGCCTCGCCTAAGTGTGGCCAGCCTGTGCATCGAGATTCTTCTGGTGATGCTGGAGAGCCTTGGTGTTGAAGCTTCTTGTTTTGCTGCAGACAGCATCAACCTCGACAGTGCAGTAACCAGCCAACGGCCGCTCGCAGGAGAGCCGGGATGCTGCCTCTTCGGCACCGGGCACCCTGGATGTCTCGGGCTGCCCAAACAGAGCCTGCGTTCTCTCTGTACGACGCGTTCTGCAATGCACTCTGCACTTCTTCACCTTCTACAACGTACTGTACGGGCCGATTGTCTGCGCTTTTGCTTTTGATGCGCTCAATGCGCTCAAATGCCCTGGCGTGCCGATCTAGGCTCACTGCAGATATCTCTCGGAAAACGCCCCAACCGCTGCAGGCAAGCTCCAGGCAGTCTTACCGTCGCAAATCTAGCCGGAGAGTTTCGCAGCGGTCACGACATGCTGCTACACACTTCCAGGCCATGTCCGGCCCTCGTGACCCTTTCGCGGTTCTTTACCGACTGCGCCGGGAAGTTCGCGATGCTGAGACGTCACGAACATGGATGGCCTGTCTCCCGCATCGAAGACGATCTACAGGGACCAAAAAGCGTGGCCGGACTCCGAGACAGAGAATTATCAGCGCAAATCCTTATTTGCCTCGGTTCCACTTGAAATTGCCAGTCTCCCACGAGAATGACAGGCACCGAGAGCGAGCCGGGTACGAGGTTACGGCGTGCCTGAAAAAGTAGCAGGAGCGAGCGTCACACAACGCACTATGAAATCAATGAGGATCCGTGGAAAATCGCATAGCAACGGTTTACATTTGCCCCATTTCGCGCGGCCGACAGCAGCCTTGCACCGGCAAACATTTTGACCTTTCTTACCGAGCCGGCACGCGGAAAAATGGAACGTCTTCATCTCACAACCAGGTGGCTGTTCGTGAGATAACCCACGTGGTGAGCATGATTATACCATGCTGAGCAATTTCAAGGACCGTTAGTTGTTGCTTCGCTGCTTCGCGCAAGCGTCAAGCTACAACCACGGTACGCCGGTCGTCTTTGTACCTGCAAGAGCCACTCAGCAATTGCTCCGTCGCGCGCAATTGGCTTTGATTTACTGGCTGAATGCAACGCCGGGTGTCCGTTACCTGTCACCCATATGTCACTGTCAAAGTTTGATAGAAGAGTTGATGGCACGGCCCCTGACCGCCCTTGCAACGTTTTTCAGGCAAATTACTTGTCAGGCGGATGTGGCTGGCAAACCACAAGCAACTGCTTGCTGTCTACGTTGCTTCTTTCGAGTTCGTGCTACAGCGAGAGTTGTTTCTGTTGCTAAGATTGCCAATCTCCGACTCCTCGAATTCGCTCGTGCCAAAACGAGAAGGGTAATGATAAAGGCTTGGCGCTCCGGAACCAATGACAACCCGCTCACGACTGCGCATTCCTTGTGTCGAGCCAATTGCTTCCGACGTCACTAACGATTTGCTGTCTTGCCTGCAAAACACCGCTCCATTGGCCGTCACTTCCATTCCTGTTGTTATGACAGGGTTGAACTGTCACGGAGATTGCATAGAATCTCTTCGATGCGACAGTAAGAAGCTACCTCGCGGCCACGTTACAAGTTGTCCACCAATCTGTCTCGATATGTAGCGGTACACGCGTAGCTTGCGAATCCAGGTCCATGTATCCGCGACGCCGCCTGTGCGGAGCCTCAGCCTTAACAGCCACTCATGCGCCACGACGAGTGCGCCCCAGCATTCCAGCGTCCCAACAAAGACACATTTACGGCTAACTTCACCACTCACAGCTCTACCCGGCAGTGTATAGCCTTCTATTGGCTTTCGTCTCGGCAGGGGATGATTGTTAGATGGCTGCTCTCCACGAACCAGACGCGGGGAGCCTCCAACCAGATCCCTCGCAGACTTTCCGCGCTAGACTGAGCTGCATCCTGCAGCTGAGACCGGTCAAAAAAATCTGGACTCTATGCATGACATCGTCAGATCCTTGCGCGTCACATGCGACCTCAGGAGCGAGGGGCAGGGGCTGCCAAAGGTCACCACGCAGGATCCAGTAGCTGCATGTTAACAGCCGCGACAGCAAATGCCAAATGCGACTTTGGCAAGTATCACGACCGTGTGTGGCGCCTCCACAGCTCGAAACTCAGCTCGTGTTGGAAGCCCGCAAACCTAAGCTACCACAGCACGTAGCATTGCTCGTCAAGCGATGCCGTCAGCTTTCTGCACACCTCCATTGCAAGTTTGTCATCGGTTGTGAGCCGAATGCTACGATCACTCGATCCAGCAGCTAACGGGAGATGCAAAGTGTGGGAGCAATCCGCACTACGGCCAGCTAGACCTGCAGCAGAGCTGTGGTGCAATCCATCGACCCGAGTTTGCAAACCTACGCGAAGTCGGTCCTCGGGTCCTTTGTTCGACGGTGAACACCGGTGCCAAGTGGCTCAACCTTTCAGAGGCCGTCAAGCCTCGTCACGTCAGCTGACGTCCATGCTGCAGTAAGTTCGGGTATACTGACGAATTCAAAGCGCGTAGCGAAACCAGTATCTGCTGGAGGTGCACTGAAACAGTGAGGTACTGGCATATTGACGACTTGCGATCAGTTTCGAACTGTGCCACATGTTGCATCTGTCTCAATGCCAATGCGCAACACTGATCTTCGGGGACCTAAGGAAGCCCTACCACATCCCCTATGCCAGATTCCTTGCACTGGAAAGTTGATGGCAACTTACACCAACGTTATAAATAAGATGGTTCACCACAACCTTTCGAAATCTGAGAACAGCGACTGGGATTTCCTGCTATCGGTCAGATCACTATCACTCGAGCTGAACACGAGATTATCGGTGTAATCCATATGCAGTAGTTTCAAGTATTATGGCTCATTAGACTGTACAGTAGGATACTCGCTACGGAATTTGGCTTCCAACGCGCCGTATCACATCAGACATCAACCGGACAGGTGACGTAGATCCACCTTGCGAATGCTGGAAATAGAACAACACCGACACGAGCTCTAGAATTGGCGAGCCTCAAGATGACGAGATGCTGTTGGGAAATCACAGGAGCGAGGCCCAACGGTTATCTCCAAGGTACATGTCTCTCGCCGACCGTCTGCACCTCCAGCAAGCACATCCATGGCTCGCGGAGACCCAAGACGCTCCTAAGCTACAACTCCTGCGACCGTTACATCGACCGTTGTCAGATTCCTTGTCATCATATGAACTGCGCGTCAACAATGATAAAGTTGCAGTCGAGTTTCGAAAATCTTACATGAGGGGCATCTCTGGACGATAATAGATCGACGTCAATGTGGAGATCAACATACGCAGTATTGGCGTCTCTGATCTCGCACAAATGCCCAACGACCAGTTTGCCATCTCGTACGACTTAAGGTTGCGGAGACATTAGGTTCGTAAAGTGCATCTGTAACACTCAAACGCATCGGCCGCTGTGTCGGGACCACGTCGCCAGTCAAAAACTCTCCGACTGTTTGAGTCTGTATGTACCCGTCGTTGAAGCAAGCGTTCGGGCCGGTCCTCAACAGCTGTTCGCCCCGCGGACGCGGACACGGACAGCGAACTACTGCACCAACAGGGCGCTCGAGCCCGGCGTTCCACTACCACACGCCTAACGTCGAGTTGCGGTGCTATAGATGACGCATCAGTAGACTTGCAGGCCGCGGATGCTCGGCGAGTACAAGTGGCGTTGGAGGTGACACTGCAGTGCTCACGCGTCAGATAGAAGAGTTGAGAGCAGCTCGGTGTCAACCCTGTGCCCAGTATTCTCCTTGCTGAGCAAGCGGTAAGTAGAAAGCACTGACTTGACAGATCCGTCACAATCGTAGGTCCCTGCATTGAAGATTACCCAAACTCGATGTGTTGCAACCACAACGGAGGGCTTGTAGACATGTTTCGTGTTACCAGTGCCTGCAGATCTTACAAGCACACACCTCAGTTGCAGACAGTGTTGATAACTGACTGTCCAGTCTGGTCGTAACTTCACTGTAGACCGGAGTCGGGTCGTTGCCATGGCTTGAAATCACGAATAGAGGTGAACACATATTCCTGACCTGGCGGCTCATCGCCAATCCGTTCTTTTAGAGCTTTGCCAAGTGGCTTGCGCGGGAGTTGTCGGTGATTCTGCTGCACAATGATGGTCTGGCCCACTTGGACGAACGCACTTTGTCACGGCTCCTCGTCTCTCGGCCTTTAAGGCATCCCGAGGGCGACAGCGAGCGAGTCCAGCCACAAGACCGAGCTCCGCGATGACCCGAGAAGGTTGGTGATGATCCATCTACCCACTTCAATCGTTCGATCTCGCGGTCGATCACCCATCCGGAGGCAGAGCGTGACCGTCTTTGCGTATGAAGTTTCAGTAATCCAAGACAACTCGTCCTGCGCGGCAGTACAGCGGATGGTAGAGCTTGGGGCGATGAGGTGGCGGAAGTAGTTATTTGGCTGGGATGAGATGTGCCAAATTAGCAGCGGCATAGCAGGATTGACAGCAAGGTGTCTGGTGTAGTAGAAACGATCAGTATTTAATTGATAGCATCATGTGTGTGTAATGAGAGTGTGCCATTTTGAGGGCCGGCGAGCAGTTTGTGAGATAATGCTGTAAAGCCAAGAGAGAAGGGAGCTATATCCAGCAGACTCGAGAAGTGGATCCAGAGGTTGCTCCTTCTCGAACCAAGTCAAGGAGACGCGAGTAGTCAAAGGTGACGTATTACAGTCTGCGGGGCCTGACTGTTTGGAACAGGAAGGCTCGTGGGAGGGAGGTACGCTTGATTGGGGATGCAACGAACACTCATAACATCAAGTAACTGGATAGATCACTGCACAGGGCGAAGGTAGTTACAGGAGCTTGAAACACGCATTTGATTTTGTCTTTAGATGCTTCTACTTCCTTGTCAAAGGCTCTTCTGGGACAGCCGCTTCTGAAATATCGTGGAGCGAGGGAAGCAACAGATAGGTGAGCATATCGATAGTGTACAAAGTCATAGAGAAAACAGGTCAGCAGACTCTGAGCCTGCCGAGCCAACCATTGTAATTCTGGAAGACTCAAGATCGCACAGCGTTGTGTTTCCGTCACCAGAATGCTTAACCGACCAAAGTGAGAGGTAAACTTGCTCTCATCTACGTGTGCATGTATGCGAACACGAAGCCGAGCCCAAAAATGTCTCCCGAAGCAGTCACCAGGATAAAGACCTTCGGCTTTGCCTTGCGTAGTCAAATATCGACTCGTAAGCTCCTGGCCCTCGTCCATCTGTTTCACGGCCTCTGAGGTGATTTTACAACCATGCCTGATAGCTTACAACTGTATATGCCTAACAAACTTGATGGCTAGAGTATGTTCGTTGTGAATGCTGAAAGTTTTCACCAGCCATTTGCAGCCGGTGCTCAGAATGTTTCTCGATGCTGTAGATGAGCCACGATGATCTCTTGCTCTCGAGCTGCGGTGTGGCTTGTCTTGAGAACATGGACACGGCGCAGAGTGTCCGAAGGCGTTGAGTCATGACTGTGGACGCGAGCAGTGTTTGATAGCTCGGAGGCGGGGCGGTTTGCTGATGCGTTGTGGAGACACTGAGTATGGACAGAACCGGGTGCAGCGTTGTCGGTCGTAGAGTTGTAAGCCCGGTTTCAGTGAGGCGGACTGACGGAGAGCACGTGTGAATTTGAGCGCAGTTGTAATATAGGCAGTGTCTTGATATTCGAAGAACGTCATTTACTTGAAGCGTGCTGAGGGTATAGTTTGCAATGCAGCGTGAAGGTGGAGAGCGCCATTGAAGATTCGATGTTGGATTCGATTTGTCTTGTCCGAGCAAGGGTGGCTGATTTAGAACTGAACTCTGGTGACAGTCACAGTGTGTTCGTTCGTCAGAGGGTGCTGCTGTTGCCCGGAAGTGCCCGGGTTTCGCAAAGTCATCGTTGCGCCTCAGTCACCTCGCAATTCAGCAGCCGCGAAGTAGCCCTTGTTCTCCACCACGCCTCTGTCCTTGACCACGGCAGTGTATTTTACGACCCACTGTGGTGACACATCACCCTTCAGACCATCTTTATTTGATTCGCCCGCCAACACTCCCGAACCATCCTCTCCAGAACCCAAGATTTGCCTCAACGTCCCCCGCGGCAGGATGTTCGTGCAGTCATTGTGCGTTAAGAGCTCAATCTGTTGCTGCTTTGCGTACAGGATCAACGGCTTTGGCACAACACAGCAGTCCCTAACATTGATCTGGTTGACGCCTGGCTTGATTGTCGTGTGCTCCAGGAACTTCTGCAGCCGTGCCACGCCGAACTCAGCAATACCCAACTTCGACACCAGGCCCTCACTGTGCAGCTTTTCCAACGTCTTCCACGTTGCAGCCATTGTCTCAATGTCCTCCGGGGGCACCTCAGAGTCGTCGGTGCCTTCTGATGTCGACTGTGGGGCGGATGGCGGGTCTTCCAGATCCGAGTCCTCATCATCCGCATCGAAAGACATTCCTGGGAAACTGACGATCAGCAGGTCTATTGACTTGCTGCCCAGCTCCTTCAAGACCAGTTCGATTGCCTCTCTTGTCTGGGCGCATCGGCGGTCGGCGGGTATATTGGGAAGGTAGAATAACTTGACGGTGATATCGTATGATTCCCGAGGCTCGGTGAGAGGCGAGGGTTCGTGGCTCGGTATGTAGAGGCTGCTGTCTGCTTGCGTTGTCCATGACTTGTAGTCGGCGCCGGATGGTGTGGGTGACGACTGGTGGTTCGCGAAGTTGGCGCGCAGTGACGAGGTCAGTTCCGTGTTCGATTTCTCGAAGAAGGGACGCCGGACAACCGAGGGTCCCCCGGACATGATGTTACTGAGAAGGTTAGCTTTCCAAGTCTCCGTCGGTGGAACGGCAGACATACGAAGTGGATAGTATGAGCTTCATGGCGACGACAGTGACACGTTATTGCGGGTGAGAAGCTCTAGGATCTCGACTGACTCCTGGGTTGTGTTTGCAAGTTATAGGTTTCTTCCTTGTCTCCAGTGAAGTTTGTCAGCGGCTGCTTAGTTAGCGTCTCGTGCCACGTTCCCTGGCTGTGCACGTTGCTAGAGTCGTGGACGAATTGCTGCTGTGATAGCGATTGCCTGCGTCTTTACACTATGCGTCTGAAGCCAAAGTGAATGCACAGCAGCGCTGTTGGTCTCAATAATGGCGGGGTGTTGGCTGCGCGTGCTTTGACGTTTCGCGGGGCTCTCCGCGCCTTCGCCGACCCGCGACGCTCCAAAGAACACCGCATCACTGCCGAATAGATAGCACACAACCACCATGGCGATCAAGTAGGTCCCCCACTGCACGCGCCGCAATGCAACGTGATCGAGAGTAGGAGTGTGTGCTGACAGCGTACTTCAGATATCTCATCCTGCTCTCGCGACAGGGCAAAGTGGTTGGTGCCTCACCCCAGACTCCGTGACCATATGCTGAAGCTCGCAGCGTCTAGCCAAGTGGTTCACCACGCTTGCACCCAAAGACAAAGCCAAAATCGTCAAGGACGTCTCGCAGCTGGTCCTCGCCCGCCGCACGCGCATGTGCAACTTCCTCGAGTACAAAGGTAGGTGGGTCCGGCAGGGGTAGCTCTTCGCTAGGCTCACACAATCTTCCAGATACCAAGATCGTATATCGCCGATACGCCTCGCTCTTCTTCATCGCCGGCTGCGACTCCGAGGACAATGAGCTGATTGCCCTCGAGATTGTCCATCGCTACGTCGAGCAGATGGACAAGTACTACGGCAACGTGTGCGAGCTTGACATCATCTTCAACTTCCAGAAGGCCTACTTCATCCTCGACGAGCTGCTGCTGGCCGGCGAGATGCAAGAGAGCAGCAAGAAGAACGTGCTGCGCTGCATTGGGCAGCAGGATAGCCTTGAGGATATGGAGGTGAGCGAATTGGGCCCTTGATCTTCGTTCTCTCCCACACGCCCAGGCGCCCTGTGGCTGACGCTCGCCTGCCACTGTCCAGGCCGAGGACGACATCCACTCGAAGATCATGTAGCGTGTCGATTGCGGTCTGTCTCGAACGAACGATCACTGACCGTGTCGCCCCCCGGCACCAGGACGCCGAGGACTTCAAGGGACGCCTGCACGACAGCGGCATCTTGTAGCATCGCAGGGACAGCATTGCACGGCGTTTGGCGCATCAAGCACGGAGTTTTACGGCGCAGAGGACATGGCGACTGGAGAACGCACCATCAGTCATCCTGCCGTGATACGCAGATGACTATGGTTGCACTCTTTCTACTACAACTATACACCCCAGTCTGGCGGGCATTGGGCCCGTCCAGCAGGTTTGGCACTAGCGGTCTGTGGGACTCGAACGTGATTACAATGTCATGCTATCGAGATTGCTCCTGTGGCTTCCTTCCTTTTTCCTTCTCTCACTGCTTTAACAAACTCAACCCTCTAGCTACAGACTACAACTCAGCATACTGCACTCAATACAAACGTGACAGCAAGTGGTTCGGATCAATATTGGTCCACTCTCCCAGAACCCTAGCATCTACTCAATCATCTCATTGTTGCCGGGCTCCTTGAGAGTCCGCTACCAGGCAACCAATGCTATATGTAGCCTGTTGTCATGCTCTTTACTCCGTGCGCCGGCTATGGATCGCTCCAACACAGCCCACAACGGCCCATCAACTAACAACAGTCTGCGACACCACTCATGGGCTCTTGCCGTCCCATTCCGACCATCACCAGATGTTCATTGGTTGTCAGCGGTCGGCTGATTCGGGCCAATCAAGCCGAGCCACGCCAAGTAAGCTCCGCAACACCGCTCTTCGACGACGTACGACGCAATCGGCCTCACACATCACCCCACCGCATAACAGCTATATGTCCCTCGCCTGCTAGACAACTGTCTGGCCGTTCCAACAGTATCTACACCTCTCTGCAGCCAGCCTAGAGTTGTTGCTATCTGTTGCGTCGGTTCGCGCAGGCCCACCCCACGATAAAGGAGCACTCACAAAGCCAGCAGCGTCAGGACGCTAACACAAAGCCGCGAACCTCTCAGTATCAATCGCACCATCACCCATAACATACCGCGATAGCAAAAAACCCAACCCGGCACGATGAAGGTGCGTATCTGGCGTCCCCCGATGCAGGCGCGCGATGATGTAACTAACCCGTGCGATCCACAGTACCTCGATTTGTGCGCACTCCACGAGGTCAACCTCGCTCTCAACTTCGACACCCAAGACACGGCGATCATCGGTGGCTGCGATCTCTGGACCGTGAAAGCGGCCGGCAGCGATAAGAAGCTCTACAAACGCATCGAGAACACGCTCGAGGCCAGGCACAAGGATCATCTCGCAGCTATCGCAGATTTGTCAGAGCAATCCGCAGCGCAGTTTGCGGACGATATTGACGCCGAAAGGGATACGCCGTTCGGCAGCTTCAACGAGGCATCGAACAGGCACTCGTTTGCCTATCTTATCGCTACTTTGAATGCGACGCACATCGACTACGACTTCGCCAACACTCTGAACCCAGACGAGTTCCGTCGCGAGACCCAGCAGAGCTTCATGCACAAGGTCGACCAGACTATGTACTATTTGCGACCACAGGTGTACTCAGCTGGCCTGCCCGCCGGCGCCGTCACACCCCTCGGCTCGCCGATATGGAGCCCCCGTTCCTGGCAGCTGCTGGATAGCGAGATGGACATGACCAACTGCGAATACTACGCCTGGGAGCCGTCAGACGATCCGTTCGCTGACGATGGCGCCATCTGGAGTCATCACTTCTTCCTCTACAACCGCGACCGCAAACGCGTGGGATACTTCTACCTGCGTGGCATCTCCGCCCTCTCGCCCAGCCCGAGCATGTCCATGTCTCTCATGAGCAAGTTTAAGCAGTCTAACTTCGAGTCGAGTACTAATGCTGGGTCACGTAAAAGGGCTGAGTACTGGCTAGGCGACCGCGCGCGCAAGGGCCTTGAGGCGTACGGCGACAGCGACGAGCTGGATAACATGGTCATCGATCATCCGGGCGATGTTGTCGATGCGGATCAAGACCGATTTGTGCCCATCCGCGAAATGAGCATGGACGCCGACTATTACGAGAGCGAGGGCGACAGCGACGTGGAGAGTCTTGTCGAGATGCACAAACGCAAGAGGAGCGGTGTGCGCACCATGAGCGAGGGCATCATGGACCGCATGGAGCTATAGGATACCTCCACCTGCTCGTCCTGTGCTGATGGATGTTGTCAATCAACTTGACGGTGCATGGCCATGCACTTACGACTCTTTCTTTTGGGTAGCATGTAATGGCGTTCCGGTCTGATTTTTCACGCAACTAATCCACTGGGCGGACACAGCGTGTCCTAAGCTCGACGACTACGACAGGGCGTTACGGTCGGTGGGAGCGACGCGTTTCACGCCTTTGTATATTGTGTCTCGAGATACCCGTTTTCTCGCATTGTACTTTGTTTCAACGACTCGAGTCTGTTTTATAGTTATGGGATTTCTACAGATCTTGGATCTCGGTCTTCAGGCCCCCAGCCAGCAAATACATGTTTTACACACATCGTTATCAGCAATTATGCTGCTTACGAAACTGCAGGATAATTGTGGCCTGACTCAAATTGCGCAGGGTAGCTTTGACAGCAGCTTGTCACTCGCGACTCAGCGCCAGTAACATTCAAAGCACGTCCGACCACCTCCAAGCCTGGAGACAAAGCATCGACGGAGCGCACATTTGTAGGATCGTCGACAGCGGACCGAGCAGGTCAGGGCGGCCTTGGACTGTACTACCTTCTAAACCCACGGCGCGTACGCGAACGGAGCAGAGGTCTTCGCTGGAAGTTCTGCTCGGTCTGTGTTGCCGAATAGACCTGGGCGTCTACTGCCTATGGAGTTACCAAGCTGCTCAGTGAGCGCGCGCTAGAAGACATGCTGCCGACGATACACACTCCACGCAGATCGCGACCTTACCAACGACCTCTGAGCCTTCGTATGTATTCGCGAGTCGACGCACCTTCATCCGCAGCCACCCACACCACATGAACCTACCTCATCGCAGCTCATCCACTCCGAAACCACAAGAAAATGCGAGCAGCGCCCATGCCCCCATCAGTCCTCCTCTTTCCCCAGACCCCAGACCGCGCTGCTCGTTCCCAGTTGCGTGGCTCAGGCGCGCTGTAGCGCACTATTACACATAAAAACTCTGTGGTGGAGTCTTCCCCAGAGGCCCATGCGACGCTGTCGGCGCGCCCGGAGACCCACCAAGATTAGGACGTCAGGAAGCGATTGCTGGATCGCCGATAACGGCGCTGTTAATTCGAGTTGGGTGATTGTATTGCTGTACTGTATCGTGATGGTGTGCGAGCGCAGTGTTTTGGTGGTGTTTTGGGAATCGGGCCGTCTGGACTGGAAGGGCTGACAATGAAATCCTTTTAAGCGCATTCAATCCCCAGGTGACTGGGAAAATGTATGAGCACGAGGGCCCTGCAGCATGGGGGTGGTAGAGAGCACGAGCGAGTCAGCCGAGATAAGATGGGCGTGTAAGAGATTGGCTGCGCGTGAAGGCATAGTGGTAAGAAATTTCGTATGCAGGAGCCACGCGTAGTGTCTTCAGGGTGCACTCACGCTCTGTTGATGAATGTGCCAGCTTGATAGATAAGGGCTGATCTACGTTGACTAACAGTTGATGTGTACTTACCAATTGCTTGGATACCTGCAAAGCCCTTTCCAGAGATGCCACACTCTTCGTTGTTTGGAGCTGGGCATGTTCTGGAACTTCTATCGACCCCGGCCCTGCCAGAGCTGTCTGCAACGGATACGAGTCCACAAGTAATACCTGATCCTGAAAGGGACACAATGTACACTGCGCAGCTGGGTTCTCCAAGGGCGACTTGGTGGCGGACATGTGACGACCACAGGCGATGCTACAATGGCAGTGGATGGGCTCTCGTTGATCTTCTGCAGGAGACATGGACCATCTTCCGTTTGTCTGACCACCCGTGGATCAGCGTTCGTTTCAGCGAGGTCGTGGGCGCTAGACGCGGACCGTGGAGCTGCTCCTGCGTTCTCCAAGGGATTGAAAAAACAGTGAAGCTATACGATGGTCTGCTGTTCCCGCTCCTAACAAGGCAGGTAGTGTCTAGAGGCGCTCACTGCAAGGTGCGCAGAGGGGCGAAGTAAAGGCTGTCAGCGAGGCACCCAGCCGTTTTTCTACGCCTCGCGGGACAACCATTTGCGGATCAGTATTCGTGATCGTTTCAACCACTGTTGATTCGCGGTGCGTCTGCATCGCGGCTGCACCGAGTGACCGATGACCAAGGGTATCGCTGATATCGTGCTGCAAGGCCCGACAAACCACCCGCCTGACATTCCAGAAGGGTTCCTTATCAGGCTGACTGACCGACGCGTTTATGCAACCTTGGGCCAATTGATAGTGGCAGGTGTCTCCCGTGCATTGTAACTGGTTCGGAGGATCTGCCACCTGCCTAAAACGCCCAGACCGTACTAGACCGCCGCGCACTCTTACTGAAGCTTGTCTCCATGCCAAATTGCACTGTTTAGCGAGGTCGCAGAACCGCCACTGTCACAACGCGTGTAGGACGATCGCGTGCAGCGAGTTTTTGTTCGGCGGTCGCAAGGGCGCCTTCGACTTCAATGCGGCCGGAATAGAACAAGGAAGGACCGCACGGTGGCTCCACGAGGATGCGATTGCGACGAAGTGGAACCGAAAGCAAGCATGTGCAGAGGTCCGAGGCCTCAAAACCCCACGTTGCTTGTAGACCGTGGCCCTGGCTCTGGATGCACTCCATGTTGGCCCACCCTTATCAAGCGTGTAGAGAGGGTCTTACGACTTTTGGGAACCGGTGGCCGAATTGCGTGCGAATTGGCGCACCCGAGTGTCTGGGGCAGCACCCATTTGCTCGAGACATCCAATCTCGGCCCTCACAGCTAAGCGCTACCAGTTCGCGCGGCCGCTGCTAGTCTGGAAGCTTGAATCGCCGCTGTGAATGGTCACCGTGCGCTTGTCGAGTCTAGGATCGAGAGCAACACAAGGAGTCTAGGTCAGTGTTACCAACATCGATCTGTAGGTATAAGACAGCCTTCATATCCCCCTCCACAGGATTTTGTTTCAAGGGGTATCAGACTTGACTTCAACTTTGCGCGTGTGCGCCAGTCCTTCTCTATTCAAGATCTCTTTTCGGGTCCACCCTTGACACCATCTCAGGCCCTCCAAGATGGCAGCCATGAACGAAAAGGACCAGTATGTCATTGACGGTGCCGAGTCACCTAACCACGGCATCAAGGACATTATCCACGAGAAGGGCAACAACATTGGCGAAGCCGCCGATCTCTACGGCGATGTGCAGACGGCTGAGCAGTACGGATACGTCCAGCGTGGCCTCAAGTCGCGACACATCCAGTTCATCGCACTCGGTGGTACTATCGGTACTGGTCTCTTCCTCGGTATCGCCAGTGCTTTCGCCAACGCCGGTCCTCTGTCTGTCCTACTTGGTTACACCATCACTGGTGTTGCTGTTTTCGGAATGATGCAATGTCTTGGTGAGATGGCTACCTGGCTCCCTCTTCCCGGTGCTCTTCCTCAGTACTGCGCTCGTTACACGGATCCCGCTCTTGGCTTCGCTGTTGGGTAAGTCTGTCCCTCGAGATGTGTGTTACTTTGACTAACGAACCGTAGCTGGAACAACTGGTACCAGAATGCCATCACTCTTTGTGCTGAGATTTCTGCTGCCGCTCTTGTCATCAACTACTGGGACCAAGAGGGCAAGGTATCGCCTGCTGTTTGGATAACCATCATCATCGTCATCATCATCGCGCTCAACATTTTCGCCGTCAGCATCTATGGTGAGGCGGAATTCATCTTTGCGTCGGTCAAGATCATTACCATCCTCGGCCTCCTCATCGTCGCTCTTGTCATCATGCTTGGTGGTGCCCCAGATCACGACCGCCGCGGGTTCAGATACTGGAAGGAGGGTGCGATGAAGGAGTACGTCGGCACTGGCAGCACCGGCCGCTTCACTGGTCTGTGGTCTACCCTCGTCAACGCTGCCTTCTCCTACGGCGGTGTCGAGATGGTGGCCGTTGCCGCTGGTGAGGCCGCCAACCCCCGCAAGAACATCCCCAAGGCCGTTCGTCGCGTGTTCTGGCGTATCCTGTTCTTCTACGTCCTTGGTTCCTTCATGATTGGTGTCACCGTGTCCAGCAATGACCCTGCGCTTACCGACGACAACGCCAAGGGTGCTCAGAGCTCTCCCTGGGTCATCGCCATGAAGAATGCCGGTATCCCGGTTCTGCCTCACATCATCAACGCTGTCATCTTGACATCAGCCACCTCATCCGGCAACGCCTTCTTGTACTCCGGCTCGCGTTACATGTTCGCTCTTGCGCAGAACGGCCAGGCTCCCAAGTTCCTCCTGAAGTGCACCAAGACCGGTGTCCCACTGTACTGCGTTCTCATCACCGCCTCCATCAGTCTCCTCACCTACATGAGTGTCTCCACTGGTGCCAATACCGTCTTCCTGTGGTTCCAGAATTTGACCACCATTGCCCAGCTCTTCACCTGGTGCTCCGTCTGTTACACCTACACCCGTTTCCAGAAGGCACTTATCGCTCAGGGTGTCGACCGCGACACTCTGGTCTTCAAGAGCAAGTGGCAACCCTACACCGCCTGGATCGCTTTCGTATACTTCGCCCTGATCATTGTCTTCAACGGCTTCAAGGTTTTCACCCAGACCAAGGGCGGCTGGGGCTCCGACCAGCTCACTTCCTTCTTCACCGCTTACGTCGGTGTTCCCATTTTCTTCATCCTGTATGCTTTCTGGAAGATCTTCAAGCGCACAAAGTTCGTCAACCCCGCCGAGGCCGATATCTGGTCCGGCAAGGCAGCTCTCGATGCTGAAGTGTGGCCTGAGCAGGTCCCTAGGAATGCTCTCGAGAAGTTCTGGTTCTGGTTGTGCTAGAAGCTGTGTGCCAAAGGCATGTGTTTTGTTTCCCTTCGTAGCGAGCTCGATATCCATGAATCTATATTTGAACTACGACTGTTAGCTGCAACTTGTAACCATTCGAATGACTCTGTCGATGTGATTTGATATTTCCGGAAAGTGTAGGTTCGTAGGAGTACTGTTGTGACAGATTGAGATTCTGCGCTAGGACGCCCTACGCCCTACAGAGTACAAGCCGATGAGTGACTCATGTGGATCATGGTCGTTAGGCGTATACACTCGGTCCAACCAACGCATGAACTTGCCATAGGATACATTGCTGTTCTAGACGCGCGGATGTCTGTGAGACATGTTTTTGATGGGGTGTGCTCAAAGCAATATCCTTAGTGCTTGCACGCTAAGCAGTCTAGGGTTCTACTGCACAAGGCGTTGCAGGGGCTCTACATATACAGCGTGCCAAGTAAGCTTGACTGCTGGAATGCGGTAGACGTTAGCAGATTGTGTAGGAATCAAAGGTGCAGCGAGCGACGGTGCGGAAATGTTTCTATGCTTGGCTGCGAGTCTGAGCGGGTCGACAACGCCCGCACCGAATAAACATCATGAATGGTTGAGTGAGCGACGTTCTGTCAACGCTCGACGGTACGGCGCAACGATGACTGGGATAAACGGCGGAATAAGGACATGAGCCGGATATTCCACTACACGACAGTAACGTAGGGAGAATGCACAAAAACTCTATAGAATGCTTTCCTACCTACAGCGTAGTTTGCACTTAATAAATTCTGGCTTTTAGTATTATAATAGCTACAAGTTTTGTATTAAAGCTGGGCAGCTTGAAGGTCGCTTCTCCGCCGTTTTTCCTGAAATCTGAGAGGCTGAACGTACGCGGGTGGCAGTTGCACATCCCCGGACCAAGCCTGATTAGGCTGCCGGGGATCTGAATTATCCGCGTAATGCCTTCCGTCAGCAACATCCAACCAGACTTGCAACCTCATGCCCTCTGAACGCGTTCTATAAATCTTAACCTGAAGCCTCTCGCCGGTCGTCGAAATCCCAATAATTGCCATCCCCAGCGCCACGTCGTTCACGACCGGTACATCTGTCAGTTCTCTGGGCCTACAATGTGAAAGCAAGGTTGGCAAGAGCGAGACGATCTTGTGTCGCATCCAGCCGCAGTACAAGTGAATTACTGAGACCTCTTCTCGCATCTGCTTTCTCTTTCAGTGCTCGTCCAACCGGAACATGTCGCACGATATCACCCGATCGCCTGAACGCGAAGGAGCTGGGAATCTCTTGGCGATGCTCAACCAGCCCGTTAGCAGGTCAGAGGGGGATCAATCCAAGAAGCCTGACCAGGCGCTCAATAGAGCGTGTGAAGCCTGTCGGACGTCAAAAGTCCGATGTTTAGCCAATTCAGATCCGACTTCCAACGTTTGCCAACGATGCGCCAAAGCTGGCAGGACATGTATCTTCGCCGCACCCGTCAAGCGGCGACAACGCAAAAGGACAGATGTGCGAGTCGCAGAGCTCGAGAAGGAGATCAAGAAAATGCAATCGGCATTGATGAAGGGTGGTCGTCACTCGCCCCCTGCCACAAGCGATCACGAATCTGCGGATGAGGGATCCGAGAGGGACCATGGTGCAGAAGAGACTCCATCAGAAACGCAGAGGAACGGGAGTGATACGACTAGTCCATCAACATTCACGCATACATGGCCAAACGCTCTCGGTCCAAAGTCGCCAAGAGATGCCCTTGCCAGCACTGGTGCTCCCAAGGACATGCTCGGATCTGTTGACGATTTCATCGATCGTGGTGTTATTTCTGAGGAATTTTCAGAGGGACTGCTCAACGTCTGGCGCAATGATTTGACCGCTTCGAGCCCGGGGATTTATGTTCCAAAAGACTGGACCGCGGCACAACTCAGGGAAAGGAAGCCCGCCCTGTTCCACGCTATCATGGCGGCGGCGGCGCATTCGAAAGGCTCAGAACTTTCGGACAAACTCCATGAAGAAGCAGTATACTATTATGCTCGGACGGCATTCATCAACGGCGAGAAGTCTGTGCAAACAATCCAAGCTCTCCTTGTCACAGTAGCCTTCTACTCGCCGCCCAAAACTCCGGGCCAACTACAGATCTACCAGTGGGTCAACATGGCTGCCAGCATGGCTCTGGAGCTAGGCCTTGCGTCGAGGCCGCGAACACACCAGCAACTCCCGAAGCGGGCTATTCGATCTTTGCAGAAGATCTCATCGCCGGAGGAGCTACTTGAGCATTGCCGTACGGTCCTGTATTTGTACGTTGTGTGCGCCGGTTTTTCTATGAGACTCAAGCGACCCAATATACTGCTTTTCAACAGCTGGATGGAGGAGTGCCTGAGCATGCTTGAGAAGTCTCCGTTGCAAGCTGACCAGCGGACCCTGGCGTGGCTTAGACTGCAACGCATCGCTGACGAAGCCAACACAGCGTTCGGCTTTGACGATGCAAGTACTAGCTTCAGCCTATCGGAGCTGCGCATGCAGATGATCTTGCGTATTTTTGAGCGGAGGATGCACGATTGGAAGAAGTCTGTGCCGAAAGACGTATTGACCTTGACTCTGACAATGGAGTACCATCAGAGTAAGTCAATGCCGGCTCTTTGGAACGATGGGTAACTAACAGCTGGCGCGCAGATATGCTCTCGATGTGGGAGTTCGGCATGGACGGAGGTCGCTACGACGTGACAGAGTTCAGGAACAGACATCTCACACTGCCGGCACTCGACGACGACTCTGTTCAGCCCGAGTCCCTTCTGTCTCGCTCTGCACTCCAGATCAACGCTACGACCAAATGCATCATCGAAGCACAGGCCATTCTAGAGTGCTTCGTGGGGATATCGACGGACACGCTGAAGAAAGTTCCAAACCTGATCTTTGTCAGAGCGATATACGCTCTCGTAGTCCTCATGAAAGCAGACTACGCGGTCGGCACCGACCCTGAAATGGGCGAGATCCTCGACTCACAGAGTCTGAAAGTCGACCACTACCTCCAAGCCGTCCACAAGAAGAGCAAGAAAGCAATGGAGCCTGAAAAGTGTCGTATGCCAAGTCACTGGACATTTGTTCTCGAGCAGAAGCTGATGACGTGGCGAGATGAGTATCTAGACTGGAGGAAGGAAGGGCGCCATCTGAAACGGAGGAAGATACAGGATGACAGCACCGCAAACGCCAGCAAGACGAGATCGCCAATGCTTGCAGGCGACAACCAGCTGTCAAAAGCACTGCAAGAAGTCAATGTCCAGACGCAGGCCGGAAGCGACCTCGCAAGTCAATTGTTACAGCCGCAGCACGCGGCTTCGGAGCAAGGCACAAACTTCACCATCGCTAACCCGTACTCGTGGACGCCCGGTGGCATCTCGAGCGAGCCCCTCAGCGACCAGACAGCCTTCGCGCCGGACATGGGAGACTTCTCTGCTGCGTTTCAAAACGGCGATCTATATCTGTGGAACGACATCAACGACAACTACGGCGGCTGGATACCGCAAGGGGGCAGCTTGTACACCGATGTGGGTTTCCTGAATGGGCAGGACTACTGAGATTTCACGAAGGCGCGGTACGATAGCTGGATGTTACCTCTTGAGACACGGGCTGCGATATATTTATTATATAATTGCATAGTGGTGGCATTGAGCTTTCTGAGCGGCATGTTTAGCCCTCGTTTATTTTATAGATTGCTTTATTAGATACGGCAGACGACGGGCAGTCGGGGGGAGCGGGTGGGTTTCTAGACACCACTGCTGAGATGTAACAACAACCCACAGACGTATATATACACCACTCACAATCATCGCACCCAGCTCGACCAAATGCAGCCCCCCATCCCCCCAACACCCCCCTACGCTTTCCCACCCGTCAACCAAGCCCACACATCCTCCTCCAGCGTCTTCTCCTTCTGCGGCCTCTTCTCCTTCGTCGGCTGTCCAAACACACGCCGCGCGCGCGCCCCCTTCTTCACCACACTGTACCTCAGCTTCTCGCGCATCGGGCGTATCGCAGCGGAGAACGTCCGCAGCGGCAGCGAGACCAGCGGCGTCGTCTTGCGCACGCGGGCCGCGAGCTGGTCGGGGCGGCGCGACAGGCGCGAGCGCGGCGCGATGCGACTGCTGTGTTTTGTGATGGGGACGGGGGTGTTGGGGAGACGGGCGGCGGTCTGGGCTTTGAGGATGCGGATGCGGGCGATGAGGGTGCGGAGGGTGTGGTGTAGGTTTCCGAGGGTGGCGCGGACGTTCCGGGGGTCGGGGCTGGTGTGGGTGGTCTCTACGTGGCCTGCGGGTCCCGACTTGAATTTCCTGATGAGAGGTAGTTCATCTCCGTTAGGTTGGGGTTTCGGCATGACTTTTCTGTAGAGAGGTCTTTCCTTCGTTTGCTTTCCAGTGAAGTCGGCCGACGAGCTGTCCATGTTGGCCGAGTATGACACCCCGACTTTCCTTACGACAGGCCTTTTTCTACCACTAAGTGACGAAGCAGGATGTTCCATTCTGTTCCTCGCCCGCCACAGCTGGAGCCCTTCTAGTTGGCTCAGCTTCAGCCCTGTCAGGAGTCTGAGCTCCCTCGTCATCCTCACAAGGATCCTGCCTGAATGCCTCACATGCGGAGCGAGTACCTTTGTGATCATCCCAGACGAAGTAACCCTCCGTGGAGTGCAACCCCGACGTTTCTGCCGTCTTCGTAATGCAAGACGCCTCGCTTTCATTGGACCAGGTCTTTGACTAGCTCGGCGGATCTTCTTCTGGGTGAGCTGTGGTGTTGGCTTGTCTGATGTACGCGAGGCAGGTTGAGCTTCCTCTCCGACATACATGCTTTTCAGTTTAGAGAAGGTACTCTTAGCACGGGCTCCTAGGGCATTGGAGATCGAGCTATGTGTATGTGTGTGTTGTGGTCTCTGATCACCGAAAGGCAAAGATGTTCGTTTCAAAGAACGGGCTGCGACAGTTGCATTTGAGGTATTATACATCAACTATGTGTTTATTAGATATACGACGGAGTCTTGCGATTTCGCGACGGGTTACCTGCTCTCTCAACAGGTCTTGGGCGGTCCTTCCCTTGTGGAAGTCGCCAACCCTCCCAGTTTCGATCCCTTCCTTTGGGTGTAGTCGAATGGCTGACCAGCGCGAGAATGGCACATCGACCTTAGTGGTAAGCAGGTTTTTCCTGGCTTTCCCTGTTTTGGCTTGGATACCTAAGCTGTGCGTTAACGTCAGGCCTCGCTCAGTGAGAGCACCAAAACTGCCTCTGAACACAGCTATTTCTCTGGATTCCCCCGTGTGTTGCCATGAATCGCCGGGTACGGAGTCGATCGTGCTTGGAATTACGCCAAACTCCCAATTCCATGGATGTTCTTTTCTGGTTATTTCAGCTTCTTTCAGATTTTGAAATGCAGCAGCATCATCCTCCCCTTGAGCCGGTACGGGAGAGATGAAGAATTGAACGTAATCTCCGTCTTCAACGACAGGCTTGAGTGCGGTAGAGAATTCAAGCACACTGTCGTATTCATCCGTCTTATCGTCCATTTTACTATCCTCTTGTGACTGGAAAACGGGTGGGCTGATGGGCATGGGATCCAGTGACAGCAAGCCAGCCTTCTTGCCCCATCCACCACCGCCACTGAGGACTTTGTGCAGCCGAGCGCCGCTCGACATGGCTTCCTGAACCGTCGTATTCCACCGGGGCGGCTGTGACTGCCATAGAGACTCGAAGCCCTTCTGTTCCCAGATCGCGTAGGCATCGGAGCTTAAACTCTTCGGATCGGCACCCAGATTGTGGAAGACTAGCTTTTGGGTAGCTTGGGCGGCTACATCTGCCGTCTTTCTGGGAATAATCAGAGCCCAGGCCGAGGTGGCCTGAGCTGGCTCGCCCCGTGACTCGAAGTACCGGGGAACAGCCTGCTCTAGTTCGGTTGATGCTGTCATTCTGATCTCGCCAGCGCCAACGAGCCCGCGGATGATGTTCCCCATACAGCCGTCGACCTGGCGTGGCACCGTCAGAGGAAGCAACGGAACGCTCAAAGTCGGAGCCTCCCGATGTAAATGCGAGGGTAGCTCACCGTTCTGTACATCTTGGGAGGAGAGGTTGACGGCAGCTGTCTTCTGTTGCGATTGGTGTTTTAGCGCGAACTTGTTCTCGGCTGGAGACCATTTCCATGACGTCCTGATCAGGGTGCTGGGTTGGCCTGTCTGGAAGACGGTGTTGGCCAACGGCACTTGCAGTCTAGTGTAGTGCCTGCCCGAGACATCGGTGTGTGTATGTGCGCTAAAGTCCAAGCAGCCAACGTCTTCAACGCGACTGGAGTCTAATGCTGGGCTTGACTGTGCTTTGGATGGTAGCACAACGTAGGCAAAACCCTCGTGCCCAGTCCCAGCGACGGGCGGCTGACGTGTGCGGTCTCTGAACGCGCTGAGCATAACCTCGCGGCCACCATCTCCTGCGAGGTGCGTCTCGGGAAGTCTGTCAACAACAGCGCAGAGAGCGTTCAACGGGCTTGGTACTGTGCCCGGCGGGCAGTTCTCGTACAGCTTTCCAATTGCCTTCTCTGAGAAGACGGTGGGATCGAGGAGCCATGGAGCGAACGATGGGGTGGTGAGGAAGACAACGAAGCGGCCATTCTCCCAGGATGACTGGATGGGCTCGATCTTCTCGACGAAGTGGTCTGGCGTCTTGAGGAGTGAGCAAGCGCGGGCGCAAAGTGGCAGGCACACTTACGACAGCCGCAATGGATGCAGGGATGAGGATGGCGCTGTGGACTGGCACGATCTCGCTGTCCTTGATATCTGGCGTGAGCAGGTGCCTGTCCTCTGCCCGGTACAAATCCTCCGGTATCCGCGCGACGCGGCGCAATCTCTTGGCTTTGGTCGCGGACGTTGGAGCACTGGGGCTCTGTTGCTTATGGGCAGGCCTCGAGTCGGCAGCATGTGCAATGGCGCGTGTCGAGGTCGTGGCGGGCGGCCGCTGCAGACGCTGCCAGACGCCGACGGACCCGTGGGGCAGCCGCAGGAGACGGCATCGGCTCGCGACCAAGAGCGTCATGGGGCGGGCGCAATTACTGCGGCGGTGCGGCGGTGCGGTGCTGCCGTGGTGACAGACGATGAGGTCAGCACTGGTCGGGCAGTCGGAGTGCGGCGTCGCGGGCTTAGTCAGCGCTTTTATCGCGAGGTGCGACACGCAGCAGGCAAGGGCCGCGCGCAAGAGCAGCCACTCCTGACTTCTGCGCAATTGTTGAGGCAGTCCCACGCCGAACGCCCCCTCCCGTCGCCGTCCCCCCCCGCGCGCAGTGCCGCCTTGCCCCAGCCTTGCCCCCGTCTCCGAGCGGCCACCTTGCGCCCACATCGCCCATCGCCCATCGCCCGTCGCCCGTCGCCCGTCGCCCGTCGCGCCCACCTCCTTAGCCTCCGCCGCCGCCTCTGCTTCTGATGCACCGCTCGTAGACGCCTGCACCTCCTTGGCCAACCGCGGTCCGCCCCCAGCTCTCGCTCTCGCTCGCCGACCATGTCACGCTCGTTCCGCCGCTCGAATCCCATCACCCTTGTGCTCGCCGCCATCCTCTGCATCGGCTTCTTCGTCTTCTTCTTCTCCGGCAGCGATGGGCCGGCCTTCACCAGGAAGACGGGCTCCGCCGAGACCGCCTCGAGTCCGCTGTCGCCGCCCTCGCTGCCCTTCCGCAAGTCCAAGGCCAACGCGCCCCAGCAGGCCCCGCCCGTCGTGCACTACTACATGAACAACATCACCACCTCGCGCACCCCCATCGAGAACGAGGAGACGGTGCTGATCCTCACGCCCCTGGCCCGCTTCTACGACGGCTACTGGGACAACCTGCTGAAGCTCAACTACCCCCACAGCCTCATCTCGCTCGGCTTCATCATCCCCAAGACCAAGGAGGGCAACGCCGCCTACGCCGCCCTGCAGGCCCAGGTCGCCAAGACCCAGTCTGGCCCCAAGAGCAAGCGCTTCGCCGCCATCACCATCCTGCGCCAGGACACCGAAGTCCCGCTGCAGTCGCAGGACGAGGCCGAGCGCCACAAGATGCACAACCAAAAGGCCCGCCGTGCAGCCATGGCCAAGGCCCGCAACTCGCTGCTGTTCACCACCATGGGCCCCACCACCTCGTGGGTGCTCTGGATGGACGCGGACATCATCGAGACCCCGCCGACGCTGATCCAGGACCTTGCCGCCTACGACGTGCCCATCATCGCCCCCAACTGCTTCCAACGCTACTACAACGACGACAAGAAGGCCCTGGACCAGCGCCCCTACGACTTCAACAACTGGATCGACAGCAACGCCGCCAAGGAGCTGGGTGCTAAAATGGGCAAGGACGACATCCTGCTCGAGGGCTACGCCGAGATGGCCACATACCGCAGCCTGATGGCCTACATGTACGACGCCGCGGCAGACGCGGGCGCAAAGGTCAAGCTCGACGGAGTTGGCGGCGCGACACTGCTGGTCAAGGCCGAGGTGCACCGCGATGGCGCCATGTTCCCTCCCTTTGCCTTCTACCACCTGATCGAGACCGAGGGCTTCGCCAAGATGGCCGCGCGGCTGAACTGGGAGAGCTACGGCCTGCCAAACTACCTTGTAAGTTGCCGTGCTGATGTGTGTTAAGTGTACTAACGCGGCCAGGTATACCACTTCAACGAGTGATTGTCTACGGAGATGTCACGGAAAGAATCTCTTTCGGCGGGCATTGGGCGGCGTTTATATTGGGCCATATCCAGCTTGTTATGCGACGGCGAGCGTCGGTGTCAGATATGTTGCGGAGTTTGAGACTTGCTGGCAAGAATTAAGCAGCGATAGACGTTGAATTAGAAACATGCATTGTCATTCCTGCTGCACGTGACGTCGAGGCCACAGAGACGGGTGGAGTTGGGCTCCGCGGGAGTCCAGCGGGGGGCGTCCCACAAGTGCGCTCCACTGCTCCCGGCGCCAAAGTTGCGTCAACCAGACACGGGATCGCGCACTCGACACTAGCAAGCTCTCCACGATTGCAGATTTGCAGATTCGAAGATCGCGGCCCAGCACGCGAGCACGCCGACGGCTGATAACGCCATGCCAGGGATCCGCATAAGAGCAGCACCGCGCCCATGTCCGCGGCAGTCCGACGACCCGAACGCGAAGCCATTGGCGACGGCGTGAACGACCCCGATCGCGAGCGAGACAGCGCCGCCGAGCTCTCACGGCCCACGAGCATCTTCGGCGACGAGCCGCCCAACGAGACGGGCAACACGGCGCTGCGCTCCGTCCTCAAGCACCGCCGCACTGCTGATACCGACGCCATGGGCCCCTCCCCCGACGGCGCGCGCCTGCGCACCACCGAAGCCACGCCCATTGCGTCCTCGGCGCACGCCAGAGACTACGCGTCCATATCCGCGTCCATATCCGCGTCGTCTCTGCTCGACACCACCGCCGACACCCCCCGCCCCGCCCCGCCCAAGCGCGCCCCAACCCCCGTGCTGCAGCCCACCCGCTGGGCGCAGTTCTGGGAGAAATGGGGCACCGTGGAGCTCGAGAACAAGGGCAGCGTGGCGCGCGACCACCTCGCGCTGGGTGCGTGCACCTCTCTACACATGCAGTGTACATCCCCCCACTAACCCCCTCCCTCCCAGAACGCACGTTCCTCGCCTGGCTCCGCACCAGCCTCTCGTTCGCCTCCATCGGCATCGCCATCACGCAGCTCTTCCGCCTCAACTCGTCGCTGCAGTCCCACGCCTCCTCCTCTTCTTCTACGGCATCCCACTCCTCCTCTGTGCACCGCCTGCGCCACCTGGGCAAGCCGCTCGGCGCCACCTTCATCGGCATCTCGATCCTGATGCTGGCGATTGGGTTCCACCGCTACTTTGAGGCGCAGCACTATGTCATCCGGGGTAAGTTCCCGGCGAGCAGGGGGAGTATTGTGCTGGTGAGTGCTGTGGCCGGGGCGCTGATTGTGGGCTGTTTGGCTGTTATTCTGGCCGCGGGGGCGGGGGCGTTTGAGACGTAGATAAAATGGTGGGGAGATGGAAGATCGAGGGGAGTGGAGTGCTAGCGGTGTTGGATACGATGCTGATGTAGTATACTCTCGCAGCCCGAGACCTCGCGCTTCTGGACACAAATATGAATTAGATTCCTTCTTTCGTCTACCTCCAGGCGGGCCTTGGACCCTAACCTGGACCCTAACGCCGTCTAATATGCACCAAGAAGCCGCCCACCATCTAGTGTCTGTATGCACACCGATCCATGCACCCCTGAACGCCATAAACAAACCCAGCCAATATCCCCTCCCTAGTCGTCCGTCTCGCTCGGGCTCTCCTCGAGCTTATGCCGCCGCTCCTCGTCCATTTCCTTGTACGTGGCCCACGAGAGTAGTAAGAAGGCGCCGATGATGAGCAGGCCGCCGACAATGGCGGCGCCGGTGAGCGGCGAGTTGAGCGGCGGCGGGAGCAGCTGGTCGACGAGCGCGACGATGAAGATTGTGAGCAGGGCGGCGACGGAGGACAGCACGGGGCTGGTGAGGGAGATGAGGACGAGGAAGGAGCCGGAGAACGCTGGGGGCAGTCAGTATATACAGCAATAGAAACGCAGAGAAAGTCAACACGTACTCGCATTCGCCAGCACGCTGATGGCCATCATCCAGGCCTGCTCGCCGCGCGGCAGCTCAAACGTCTCCCAGCCCGTGTAGTGCAGGATGGGCAGCGGGATCCACAGCACGCACAGGGTGAAGGCGCCGATGAGGCTGCCAAAGGTGTTGGCGAAGATCATGCCCTTGTTGGGGCTGGCGCCGTCGGGCGGGCAGGCGAAGCGCTTGTACAGCACCTCGTACAGGCCGTACAGCACGCTGCCGACGCCGATGACGAGGTTGCCAAAGGCGCGGTTCTCGGCCTCGTGCGACGGCGGGGCCTTGTCGCCGCCCGTGCCGCCGCCCGACTTGGAGCCGTGCTTGGCCGGGGCAGTGTCGCCGTAGGCCACGACGAAGACGCCGGCGACGGCAATGGCGACGGCGGCGACCTTGGAGGCGCGCACCTTCTCGTGCAGGATGGGGATGCTGAAGGCGTAGGCGAAGAAGGCCGAGCAGTTGTAGATGGCGGTCAGGTCGCTCGCGGTGGTCTGGTTGACGGCGACGTACCAGCTGCCGCCGGCGAGGGTCAGGGCGCAGGTGATGAAGGCGGTCATGCGCACCATGTAGCGCACGGGGCTGACCAGAGCCTGGCGCGGGGTCGGGTGCAGGGTCTGGTGCTGGACCATCAGGGCGGTCTGGCGCAGCAGCTGGGTGTGGCGGCGCCAGAAGACGGCCCACGGCTGGTCGCGGTTCTGCAGGCGCAGCAGCAGCAGCTGGGCGGGCCACAGCAGCACCCACGAGCCGTGGGTCATGTACAGCATGCAGAAGGGCTTCTCCCACTTGAGCTCGTGCTGGATGTACACGGCCGTCTCGGTCTGCACGGTGAAGCTGATCAGGCTCAGCACCAGGAAGATGGCGGCGTACGTGTACTTGCGCCGCGTCTCGAGCGCGGCCTGCGTGCCCGGGTCGCGCTCGTGGAAGCGGTGCGTGGCGCGCGGCGGGCCGTCGATGCCCTCGTCGTCGCTCTTGCGGCCCAGCAGCGGCGCGTGGTGACCGTCGGCGCGCGCGCGCTCCAGCGAGTGTCTCAGGTCCGACGGCATCGCGGCGTCGTGCTCATCCCAGTCGTCGAAGGCGTCGTCGGCGTCGGGGGCGGATTGCGCAGGCTCTCGGTCGGACCACGCAAGGTCGCTGGCATCGATGTCGTGCGGGCGCGCGGGGGCTCGGGGCTGTGTGCGGAGCGGGATGGACTGGGGCTGCGTGCGGAGCGGCTTGGACTGGGGCATCGCGCGGGCGCGGCGGCTTTATACGGTGCCAGGCTGGATGCGCGGGCAGCTGTGAGGTGGGACCGCTGCAGGCTGCGCTAATTGGGGCTGCTGATACCGCGCGACATCTGGCATCAAAGACAGCCAAGCGACGGCTGCGGCCCCTGGCAGCGTGTCCAATCAGTGCCCGGCCTCTTCCGCTCTCCACCGCCGTGACGCGGCGCCGTCCTTAATCTCAGCCCTCAGCCCTCAACGGCGCGCGCTCAACACCAGCACACTCAACTCGCACTGCACGCACTGCACTGCACTGCACCACGCTCCCGCTCCACACACTCACAGCCGCTGCATGCAGATAACACTAGAGCCTGGGCAGCCGCCTAGCGCCCTGCTGATGCGCACGTCATCTGCGACCGCCGTGGGGTACGTACAGATGACTGCGCGCCCTGACTCGCCGCGTGGCTGACGAGCGCCCAAGCCCGGATGTCCGAAAGTGGCAGTGCGCGCCCGCACGCTGGTTGCCTGTGTACTCCAATGTCCTGTTAGGTAACAATGCTTTGGTACTCGACTTGGCTCCCGTCGTCTGCAGGTCTGCCGTTAGATACAAGCTTTGGCACTCGACTTGGCTTTCTTGTTGCGTCGTCGTCTGTAAGTCTGTGAGATGCTGCCGTTAGGTAAGATGCTTCTGTACTCGTCTTGGCGTATCGATCAAGGAGCCTCGAAGGACTCCTGACTTCAACTTTGTAGTCCAGCCACGGTCACGTGGAAACCATGCACGCTCAACGTGTCCGAGACAGTCAACACACCCAGCACACTTCGACTCCCACATGATCCCATTATTGTCGTGCTCATAAAAACATCCTAGTCAAAAGGCACCCGCCGCAGCCCCCGCCCGCCCGCCTTTCTCTCCTCCCCCTCGGCCCCAATAGCAGCCGGCACCCTGATCCCACAGCAGTCCCCCCATCCAATGCTCGCGTGCACGTGTCTCTTGCCCGCCTCATCAGTGAACACCCTGACCTCGCCGCCCTCGGGCTCCTCCTCCTCGTCCGGCACCCCCGCCTCTTCCTCTGTGCTCATGCCCTCGACCGCAGGAATCAGCGACCCGAACAGGAAATGCTGCATGACGGGCAGCTTCTCCAGAATCTCCTTGACAAACATCTTGCGCATCCCGCCCTCGATCTTGCCCCAGTTCTTGCTCGCCGAGATGTCGTCGAGCATGGGACTGTGCCACCGCAGGCCCTCGACATTCTTGACACTGTTGACAAACTGGATCTGGTCGAGGTAGATGAACTCGCCCGCCTCCTCCTCGAGCACGAGCGAGTTGTGGATGCTCTTTGGCGTGATGTAGGCGTGGTGCAGCAGCTGCGCCGCCCCGAACAGGAACGGCAGGAACTGGTAGTCGTCGAGGCCCCACACGCCGTGGCTGCCTGCGGGCTCCAGGTAGTATGCGCCCTGGATCTTGCGCATGAGCCGCATGTACGCGGGTAGGACGGCCAGGGCCAGCGCGGGGAAAGTTGAGGGCGGCAGCAGCGAGAGCCGGTTGAGGCAGAGCATCCACAGGAAGAAGTTCAGCTCGTGGCCCGAGCCGTAGTCGATCCTCCGCTTGTTACCGAACGAGTTGAGGAGGTAGGTCGATATCTCGTCAATCTGTGCAGCGTCCGTGAGACCCAGCTCTGCGTGCCAGGACGGGAGGGCTTCTTCGACCTTGTCCAGAAACGTGCGGAAGACAGGGTTGCCGAAGCGCGAGCCTGTATCCTCGGGTGGGCAGTCTTCTTGGATCTTTTCTGCCTCTCGCAGGATTCGCAGCACCTTGCCCAGTGTGTCGGTGATGTCGCTGTCCTTGACGCTTGACACGGCGCGGTCTTGCACGCTCTCGGCGATGTTGAAGATGAACGCTTGTACGAGTTTGCATGTTGGGCTCTTCAAAAAAAGCTCATGATCCTCAGGGCTTAGAATTCGGCGCGACGGGTGCGTGTAGGTGTGCGAGGAGAGGTCTGGTGGCGGCGCGAGCGCGGGCGTTGGCGGGGGAGGGGCAGCAGGCGGTTCGCGAGCGATCGAGTTCCGCTTGCGTGGAATGAGTTTTGGAATCTTGTTACTGACATCCGGCGGCGGAGACGCCCCTTGAGGCGCTGTTGTTGCGGGCATCTTGTGTGTGTGTCGTGGTGAAGTCGTGGAGCTTCTAGATGTTTGCTCGAACCTCGTTCCGAAACGATTCCGATCGTTCCTACCACCAACGTCACGAATGAATGTGCTGGCAAACTTACATCACACACAAACTTTCAACGTGCGTAAAGCACTATGTCTGGAGAGAATTATGTCTGATGCATCCATCCTGAATTTACCAGGAGGAAGTAACCTACCGTTTCAACACAGCCTCTTGTCTTGGCCATCGCAACATCACTAACAGATGCAACAGTCAGCATGGGATACGCAAATCCAAGAAGCGGCAGTTGAGTGTGCTCGCAGGCACTACATGCATATCAGCATTATCCTTACAGTCATAACTAAGCAAAAGCATCCCTACACCATTCCAGTCCCGAACTCCAATCCATAACACAAACACCGGGGGAATCAATGCTACAAGCAACATAGCCCGCGCAATTGCTGCGCCATAGAACCAAACCACATCGCGTCAAGACTACAGCGGACTGGCCTCCAGCCCCTCCGCACGCTCTTGCGTCTGCGCCTCCTCCAGCTCCCGCAAAATCTCCGGCAGCATGGACTCGACATCCTCCTCTCGCTCGCCCAGCGCCTTGGCGATAAGACCCTTGTACACGCCCTGCTTCTCGCTCATGCCGGCTACACTCAGATTCGCCACGACAGCGCGCACCAGCTCGCGACGCTCGAGTTGCGCGCGGTACAGCAGCAGACCGAGTCGGACCATCTCGTGGGGGTCGTCCGAGTGCGAGTTCTGCTGGGCGGGGTGGGATTTTGTCTCAGAGAGCAGTCGACGTAGCTCGGCTTTCTGCTCGACTTCGAGGAGTGACTCGGCCTCGTCGACCAGCGCGCGCAGCTCTGCTTCCTGCTGCATATCGATGGACTCGTCGTCGAGGCTCAGACCCCTGTTTTCGAGCTCGCTGACTTGCTTGCGCACTGCTTCCAGCTCCGCCTGTCGCCGTTTTACCACGCGGCTGGCGTCGAAGGACTCGGCTTCCTTTTCTTGCAGCTCGTGCTCATAGGCTAGAGCGAGTTCTTCGCACTTCTCGAACAGCGTAGGCGCGACTTTGTTCATTAGGTGGGAGGCGGTCTGGCTTCGGTACGTTCGTTCTTCTGTCCGCTGGCTGTTCGGCAGCGCGATGGGGAGGAGTGGGCCACCGTCCAGATCCCTCCCGAATCCGTTGAGACGATGTTCTGGAGGCGGCGCAAAGGGCGAGGAAGATGCCTGCCGTGGGCGGCCGTGCATGCGGCGCCGGGAGTTCAGGTCGCGGATGAGGTCGTCTGCGGTCTCGCCCTTCTTATTCGGCACGTCGACGCTGACGTTGCGGCCGAGGAGGGAGCGGACGCACTTCCGTGCGCCGTTGCGGGCAGCAATCATGATGGCCGTGTCGCCGTTCTGATCGGCGGCGTTCAGCAGGCGCGTGACCTCGTCGGGGATCCACGTCTCGGACAGCTTGTTGATGATGCAGTCGAGGTACCACCTCGCGCAGACGTACTTGTTGGACGAGGATGTGGTGGCGGCGATGTGGTGGAAGACGGTGCTACCGAACCAGTCGGTGCGGTGGACCGTCTGCTGGAAGATCTTGACCATGGAGGGCATGGTCTCCTTGTCGAAGTTGTTGGTGAACATGACAGCGCGCATGAGCGGCGTCTCGAGGTTGTTGGACAGGCAGTCTATGCGTGCGCCGCGGTGTATCAGCTCTTTCACAACACCCACGTCACCCATGGCAGCGGCCCAGTGCATGGCCGCGTGCCCCTTCTCGTCGATGGGGCGGTCGAGGTTGATGCTCGGCGGCGGCTCGGGCCACGAGTAGGCGTCTTTGTGGTCGAGCAGCATGAAGTAGTCGAGCAGCTGGTCGGCCCAGATCTGGTGCTGCTGGTCGAGCAGCGACATCTGGTCCAGACCGCGCTTGCGCTTGCGGTTGTCGATTGAGTACGCGGCGCCGTCGAAGTCGTGGTCGCCTAGCATCGACTCGGACACGACCGTCTCATTGTCGGGCGTGGCGTCGCGGAAAATGTGCGTCTGCAGCTGCGAGCCGTCGTCGTACGGGTCGTCGCCAGCCTGTGACTGCGAACCGACGAACGTCTGCATGGCCTCGAGCGAGTAGACGTGTGTCGGGTTGTGCGCAGCGTGGACATTGCTCTGGGCGTGCTGGGCGTGCTGGCTGTGCTGGCTGTGCTGGTGCTGGCTCTGGGCGCGCTGCTGGTTGAGCTTTGCCGTGCGCGCAGCAGCGGCGCTCTGGCGCGGGGGCTTCATGCGGTTCGACGCGGCCGTCGCATGCTTCGGGGCCGGCGGCGGGCTGCGGTCGCCCGGCACGAAGTCGAGGATGGCGCGCATCTTCTCCAGCACACCGTTGCGCTCGGCCAGCATGCGGCCGTCCTCCAGCGGGATCCAGGTGCCCTGGTACTTGCCATAGCCGCCCTGCACCTTCTCGTGCACGCCCTTCTGCACCTCGCGCTCCAGAATGCGCGTGCGCGCGGGCTTGTCGTAGTCGGCGACCTTGAGGATGTGCGTCGCGTTGATCCAGTCGTCGGCGCGGCGCCGCATGACATGGTTGCCGTTGACGTTCGCCTCGTACACAGGCACATTGCTATACGTCGCCGAGTAGACCTTGCCGTCGGGCAGCGGGGGCATCGTTACGGTCCGGCTCTGGGGCGAGTGGTGGGCACCTGATATCGCGTTCTCGCGTTCGACGTGGAGTTGGGTCGACGTGTCGCTCCTGCCACACGCGTTCCCGCCGCCAAGCCCGAGCGCCCGAGCGGAGCCCGCAGCTTGCGGCCGACGACATTCACCAGCACGCCGCACCTCGCCCGCCATTGCAGCGCCCCCCCGCCCGCAGCCACCATGACCGTCACCGAAACGCTGAAGAATGCCGTCGGCCTCGGCGAGCAGAGTGCGTGCTGACTACCCGCCGCCTCCCATTGGCTGCAATTCCTCGACGCTCAGGACTGACAACCTGCACAGAGGCCACCCGCGAGGAGATGAGCGCCGCCCGTCTGCCGCTCGCCTACCGAGACTCGTGCGCACACCTGCTGATCCCGCTGAACCGCTGCCGGCACGAGGAGTACTACCTCCCGTGGAAGTGCGAGGTACGCACCCAGCACGGACAGCTGTCATTGGAAGACTAACACACGCAGAACGAGCGCCACACCTACGAGAAGTGCCAGTACGAGGAGTTCAAGGTGCGCGTGGCCAAGATGGACGAGCTCAGGGCCGCCAAGAACGGGCAGCGCAGCAACTAGAAATCGAGAAAAAAGACGGTGCAATAGCCAGCGCGAGGGGTCCGCATGTATATACCTCGGCAGGATACGAAATGACACGGATTCGAACATTGAGACGGTGCTTCAGACCTGATGAGCAGATTGATGTCAGTGGAGCTGCAGAGCAGCTTGTGAAAGCACTCAATGGAGCAGCATGAGCATTGCGAACTCACCTGCGCAGTCTAGTCTGTCTTACAATGAGCAGTCTACAGCATGAACTAAACAGAGCACAAAGCACAGGCGTTGCATCTCCAGCACGGTCACGGCATGTTGAGAGATCCTTGATGCTATAATACGTCCTTTCAGTCTAGTCTACGCAACTGATTCCTCTACAACTTGGCCTTCGTGTCCGCGAGCGCAGCCTGCTCTCGCAAAACCTTTCTTTGGATTTTTCCAGACTGTCGAATGTGAGTATGATCCTCGTAATGTAGGATGACTGACTTACCGGGTTCTTTGGCACCGCGTCGATGAAGTGCACGCCACCCTCCAACCGTTTGTGCTTCGACACCCGCTCCGCAAGCCACGCTTTGATTGCCTCTGCGAGCTCAGGCGTCGCCTTGTCGGGATTTTGAGGCATGATGTACGCCCGGGGTGCTTCGTCGCCGTTGCTATGCACGGTTAGTTCTTCACATCCTAGAGTTGTACGAGGTGGGGGTTCTTACTGCGGCACGCCGATAACGGCAGCGTCCTGCACCTCCGGATGGTCCAGAAGCATGGCCTCAAGTTCTGCGGGCGCGACCTGCAGCCCCTTGACCTTGATGAGTTCCTTCTTGCGGTCGACGATGAAGAAATGCCCCTCTTCGTCCACATACGCGACATCCCCCGTCTTCAACCACCCGCCCGGTCCAAATGTCCCGCGCGTCGCCTCTGGTTTGTTCCAGTATCCCTTCATCACGTTCGGCCCGCGCACCCAGATCTCACCCCGCTCGCCCTGCGGCACTTCGACCTGACCCTCATCGTCCAGCACAATCTTGGCTTCGCAATTCGGCACCAGCTCGCCCACGCTGAATGAAGGGCTGTACTTGGATGGGTCGAATATGGTCGCCGCACAGGTGACCTCGGTCATGCCCCAACCCTGCTTGACGTTGACCTGGCCATTGGCCCACAGCTTCTCGAACTCCTGGCTGGCCTCGCGGCCTAGTGGCGCCGCACCCGAGCTCACATGCTCGACGGACGAGAGGTCAAACTTGCGCGTCGCAGGGTGCTTAGCCATGGCGACCAGCACCGGCGGCACGAGGACCAGGTCGCTGACGCGGTACTTCTGCACGTATGTCAACATCTCCAGAAAATCGAATTTTGGCATCATGTATACGGGGATGCGCTCTTTCGCGGCGTTGACACAGAATACGGCCTGCGCCATGGCGTGGTACATGGGCAGGAAGCACAGGAGACGTTTCTTGGGCAGCCTTTGCTTGTAGTTGGGCGACAGGGTTTGCATGTGGATTTGCTGCGTGCAGTTTGAGACGTAGTTGCGGTGCGTGATCATGACGCCTTTTGCGACGCCGGTTGTGCCGGACGAGTAGTTGAGCGCAATGACTCTATCGAGTTCCTCGCGCGTCTTGAGGTCCGGCCACGCGTATGTGTGGCCATTCTGCTCGGTGTCGAGGAGTGTGGTCCAGTGCCGAATGTGGCCCAGCGTTGTGTCCTTCTCTACCTTACGGCGGTCGAAGGTTGCGGCCCCGTCGTCGAAGATGAACACCTGGTCTGCGGATAGCCCGGCTTCTTGCGCTGCGGCAATGCCTGTGTCTATGCTAGTTTCGGCGCAGATCAAGTACTTCGCGCCCGAATCCTTGAGTTGGTACGCCAGCTCGCGTGCGACGTATGTTGGGTTTGCACCGGTAAAGACGCCCTCAGCCATGATCACGCCCATGACTACGGATGGGAAAAACAGTGTGTTTCCAGAAAATAGCAGCACGCGTTCCCCTGGCTGCAGGCCTGCGCGCCGCAGACCGGATGCGAATCGTTTGGCATAGAGGCGATAGTCTTCGAGCGTCAGGAAGTATTTCTCCGGCTCTTTCGCTGACAAGTACGCCGGCGTTTTGGGTAGCTCGCCGTGTGGGGAGTCGAAGATGAAGGTTGGAAGAGATACTGGCGGGATAGGAAGGTTCCAACGAGACTTGATGACCATGGTGATGGTGTCGAGCGGGGCGAGATGGTGGTGACAATGGCGAGTGTGAGGCAGGTCAACAAACAATACCTATGCAGAAGATATGTTTATAGCCGACCAAGGCTAAGCTCTGGGTACCGCGTGTCGAGTGCTGGCTCGGCCGATCAATACCTCGAGCTCCCGAGTAAGCCGTACCGACTCAAGACTCGAAGTGGAAAGTGGTGATGTATAGCTCACAGCCACGAACGCTCTGTCAGCAAGATTCTCTACAATTCTCACGGCTTGCTTTTACAATCCTCTTGAACTGGACTCTATCCACAGGCGATAGAGGCGATGTGAGCGACAGCATCAAATAACAGCTCCCCGGACCTCACGGCACTTCCGAGGTCAACCCCACAGATCCGCCCCCACAATGGGGCCTCCACATTTGCACAGGCCAGCAGCTAGCCCATTGAAGGTTGTTGGCATGTCCTTTGGGTTAGCGAGGATACTTGGAGGCGTTACTCAGGGTTGCAGAGGCTTTCGGGAGGTCTGGTGCGGGGACGATTGGAGCCGAGGCATGTCGAAGTGGTGAGTGTAGGCGAAACCTTGCAGACCAAGATTGCGACACGACAGCTGTCGTGGGACGTAAGACGTTCACATTGGAAGTATATGCAGTCTGCCACCTGGGAAAGCGCACGATGCGGCAAGCAGACAATCGCAGATGATGTTCATGGCCGTTTTGACAAGAAAGACTGGTGCCACTTGAACGCAGCATACCTACTTTCGGCTCCTTCCTTCAAAGATCTGCGCAGCGAATGCTGTCTTGCATCACCGCTGCATGGATATGGTGTGATCAAGAAAGTATCAGGACGACGAGAAGCCACGCCCAGTTTCCAGGACGATCCAGCAATCCCTAGAGCTTCGCGGTTTGGCAACCTCAAAATGCACACGTAGGCGCGACGCATCAGGAACCTTGACCACGAACACGGGAAAGTGCGAGCGGAAACGGTCTGACAAACAACAGCGGTTTGCTGCTTCCGCCGTACAATACGCACTGTCCTGTTTCTCTCGCACCGTCTCTGCTCTCATCGCATAACGTACCGAGCAAGACGAAGACTCTCTCCCGGGACTTTCAATAAAGTCAATTCGATGAATGGGCCGACTGGCTTGGTCCCTCGCACTGATCTATAGCCTTCAAAGCTACTCCCTGATCTGCGACCACCCTCAACATGTAATCTATCGTCCGTGTTAACCCTGGGCTAAAGCTGAGAAGCTCCTTGTCTTAACACGAAGACATTGCCGGTATCGTTTGGGCTTTCCAGCTACTCTCTCAACCGCAGCGACGACGATGATGGTTTCCGCAGTGTGACAGTCACCGCACAGCGGTACGTTATCGAGATTCACATCTCGACCTCAAATGCCTCGATGATTTTGGATGACGCTAGCGCGCATTGGCGTTGCAGTCCACCTCGAAGGCTCCTTGACATCAACACCACACCCAACATGTCACGCTGACCTTCTGCACTCACGAGGCAACAGCCAGGCAAAGATGCGGCCCGATAGAAGAGATACCGTAGGTTGTCAGGACAGCACTGACCAGACTAGCGCATGGTGTTGTGAGGGGCCTGCATGTGGCTGGAACATTCAACTGTCATTGAGGCAACATCAGGATCCGGATGCAATTATGAACCTCATTGTAGACTGCAGTGCTGCAAACCTGTAAGAGATGGGCCGTCAAGAAGATTCATCACCTCGGTTGAGGCTCTTCAGAGGCTCCTGAAACAGCCGAGAGGCTGTCAAAAGAAGACCGGTGAGGCTGTACAGCACTAGGCCATAACCGAGTTCAAACTGAACAGTTTCAAGCTCCAGTACTGAAACGCGCATCATGAGCTGCCCGAAAGGACCTTGGAACTCGGATATGGGTTTCCTTTCGTTTGCTGACATTGACGGTCAGCATATTCACCGTCACAACGTCATTGCCACAGGCCGACAGTGACCGCTGGCACGCGTGCCCCACGCATTACATCCTGCGAGACCTCGAACAAAACAATGCCTAATTCCTATGTTTGGATCGCCAAGTAAGATGGAGGCTTGGCTTCTGATACATTCCGAGTCCCCAGATACCAAACATCAATGCGCGCTCCGACAACGCGAAGCAAATCTACCAATACACCCCAGTACTTTCGGCGGAGCAGATACCTCTAGCCGCCTGGAGAAGATCTACCCGTTGTATGTATCCTACCATAGTGGGGCGTCCCGGGAGATCGTTCGACCAGTTTCGTCTCATCTCCCACCTCAGTCTGCGCAACAGGTATCATACTCACAGCCCTCACGTTTGGAAACCTGGCTCAACGCCACACAGCCTAGTTTACGGGAACTTGCAATGGCGAAGGCTTAGCACTGTCAAGCTTTGAGTGGCTGTAACGTTCCTGTAAGCGGTATATAAGGCAATATGCTCACCCACCGGGGAAATCATCAACATCCAGTACTTTCAGACTCGCTTTCCCATTTCTTCTTACTAATTATCTTCTTGCGCCGGTCGCTTGTTTAATCAGCTCGAACTCTATCACGCCCACCAGCAATCTTCAGACCTTCATTATCAACAGCTTTTAATAATCTTCAAGTCATCCAACCAGACCATCAAAATGCGTTACTCCATCGCCTTCGCTGCCGCTGCTCTTGCCAGCTCCGTCTCTGCCCACGGTGTCATCACCCAGGTCCAGGGTGCCAACGGTGTCAACATGCCCGGTCTTTCTGTCATCGACGGTACTCCTCGTGACTCTGGCAACCCCCTCTCCGGTTCTGAGGCCGATACCTCCATCATCCGCGCCAAGGAGATGGGCGGCAAGGCCTCTGCTCTCGGTCGCACCCAGGGTGGCGGTCCCGTCGACGCCGCTGCCGCTATCTCCACCTTCATGGGTGGTGCTGGTGGCGCTGCTGCTGGTGGCGCCGCTACTGGTGCCGCTACCGGTGCTGCTGGTGGTGCTGCTGCTGGTGGTGCTGCTGCTGGTGGTGCCGCTACTGGTGCCACTACCGGTGCTGCTGGTGGTGCTGCAGGTGGTGCCGCAGGTGGTGCCACTCGTGGCGCTGCTGCTGGCAACAACAACAAGCGCGGTCTTCTCGACGCTCTCACTGGTGGCGGAGCTGCTGCTGGTGGCGCTGCCGCTGCTACTGGTACCAAGACTCCCAAGGGTACCAGCGAAGCTGGTGTCGCTGCTGCCGCCGGCCAGGGCGCTTCCCAGGGTCTCCCCACCACTGCTGATGATGGCACCATCACCATGACCTTCCACCAGGTCAACCAGGACGGTGCTGGTCCCCTGACTGCCCAGATCGATCCCACCTCCGCTGGTACCGACCCTGCTGCTTTCCAGGACGCCACTGTCACCCAGGACGTTCCCGGCATTGGTATCGGTGGTCTCTCTGCCGCCGCTGTCATGGACTTCCCCGTCAAGGTACGTGCACATAACCTCTCAAACTCATAACAATGGCTAACAATCGCAGGTTCAAATGCCCCAGGGTATGACTTGCCAGGGTACCGCCGGTGGTGCCCAGAACGTCTGCATTGTCCGCATGCAGAACGCCGCTCTCGCTGGCCCCTTCGGTGGCTCCGCTGCCTTCACGCAGTCCACCGCTGCTCAGAAGCGTGCGGTCGAGTACAACCTCCGCAAGCGCCACTTTGCTCGCGGCCTTTTCAACAAGCTCGAGTAAGCTACTCACTCAAAAAGGGTGGATCGGTTAGAAGACGTTGGCAGTTGCTGGACAAGCCAGGATATGATCTGATAGAGGGCATAGCTACCTATAAGAGGTGTTGATACCCGTTGCTTGCTGTAACTCACTCATACCTTCTTTTAGTGCTTATCGCCGTAGTTAGTTTGGAGGATTGGGAACCTCATGGTACATAATATCGTATTAGTGTAAATATAGCGAGTCTGGATGTGTTCAATCTCTATTCCTCTGCCTTGCCTTGTGACGTCTCTGCCTGCCTTAGCCTTTCCGACTGGGTTCGACAACACATTGATGCATCAAATACAGAAACAAACAGTCTGGAGCCTGGTTTCGAGCGTAAAATTAGGCTTTCGGAAGCTCCACTTGGCACTCCTCAGTTCCGTCGGGACGGAGATCATGCGGAAACGGCGCACGTCTCACAAAGCTTATCGCAAGGCTTGTGGTGAAACAAGGACTCCAATGTTCCGAATCGTCGACCCCTGCAATCGTCATCTCCGTTTTTTGTGTTTGTTGATTCCTTCATGAGCGGTGGCTGGGGAAAAGCGCATCCGAGAGGTATTTGAGTGGATGGGGGCAAAACAAGGTCGTAGTTGCTGGTCTTCTCGGACACTCGCACTGCCGTCCACGCAAGCATTCGTCAGTGCAAACTTGTAGGAGGAATTCCTCGCAGTTTCGACTGATGGAACAGCAACGATACCAAGAATGTGAGTGAGCGAGCTCTTCTTTTGCACGAGCCTGCCATGACTTGATGGCTCCCGGGTCTTCGGGAACTCTGCCTGCAAGTCCTGCCACTGTCTCAATACCTCATGACACTCGGAGTACGCTTTAGTATCCTTTGACTCTTCACCACCTGGGTTGCCGACTATTGCGTTGAGGCTGAAGACTCTCCTTTAAGCTCCGATGCTGTAGAAGATGGGCTGCTGTCGCGGCACTATCCAGTCTACCGGTACGTCTCCCACGGTCTAAGTTATAACATTGTGTGCATTGCGGATCGTGGCAGAGAAAGATTTGCATAGAGTTTTCATCTCCCGTGTTAGACTGGAAGCCACGGGTGTGATGATACCCAATATCTGTTACTGGACTAGTCGTCACCCCATCATGATTGAGAAAGGAAGGTGCAAAGGCTGAGATGTCATGAAAACCACTTCGAGGGAAGTCGTAGAATTTTCTTATTGGCGCTTTTCGTGTATACACAGCATGCGCATAGCTTTTGATGATGTCCTGCATCATGAAGCCACGTCCGAGTCTGATGTCGTGACTTCCTGCCGCATGTTCCCAGATTCAAGGGTCAAGAGTAGCAGCGTTGAATGGAGGTCCTTCCTGGTGTGCTGCTGGTTCAGCTCGACCATGTAAGCTCATAACCGTACACTGTACGGCGCAGCAACTCGTCCTACAAATGAATCAGTGCACGAAAACTATGGCGTCTGGAACGAATGCTTACACCCGGGTCTTCCTCGAACATGACCTTATCCATGACCTTTTCTAATGTCTTAGTGACAGTGAAGCCAGCCTCACGGGCTAGATCAAAGAAAGCAAGGTCTTTCTCTAGAAGCCATGGCCGATAAGGTGTGAAGAATACATAGGCTTTGGACCCTGGTGCTTTGCTCAGAGTCAGCTCCACCGTCTTGACAAGCTTCGTGTGCTCGGAGTGGTTGAAAAGAAGATCTGCAAGAATGAGTACATCGAATCGCCCGCCAGACTCCAAATGGCTTGTCACAGTTTCGGTCGATGCACCCCACAAGTAGCCCTGTGATAGTCAGTGACGTTACTTGGCGCAGTCAAGACCCGCTGACCTCCGCAGCTATCCTTCTTGGCGTGGGCAATAGATCACAGTGATCGATATTGTACCGAAGATTTTCAACCAGTTCAGCATCAGGGTAGTCTGTAACAACCACCTGTGAGGCTCCATTGAGAGCACAGACAAGGCTAGGAAGACCAGCCCCTGCGCCAAGCTCAAGTACAGTCTTTCCCTTCACAAGGTCATCTGCATGCTCCTCTAGGTACGTTGATATCGTTCGCCCAGCATTCCATAGGAAGTGTCCCTGAACACGTCAGTGGCCGTGCCGTGATTACCGTTTGAGGTCTCAAGGGACACAGAAGCTTGGTCAGTATCTTAGTGTCTGGACGATACCAGTCATGGAAATCTTCTAGAACATGGATGCGGGGAAAGAAGGTGATAAAGTGAAGGTCCTTGCTTCGCTTCGAAACCATAGATTGTTGGAGCCTTACCCACAACGGATTATGTCCCACCAATCGCACCGTGAATTCTTTCCCTGACAACAGCTGGTGGGTAGCAAAGGTTGCCTCTTTCTCTGGTTCAAAGTAATCGGCTGGCTCTTGGAAGAGATCCAAACCTCCCTCGTCATCTGAAGCCATGGCGAAAGGCAAGTTGTGACGAGACGATCTTCGGCCGTGCGTTGTGCGCTCAAGGAAGGAGCGAGCCGCTAAATTTCATCAGCCACACAGTTGAGCCGCATGCCAAGAGAAAGAACACTATCACGTGCCAAACAGAGACCGGTCGCGACCGCTGTCCACGAACCAACCACTTAATATTTCCGGCGTGGCCACTTGCTCGAATGCGGGCAGGAATTATGGTTATGCAAATACCCCAGCAATAGCCGGCGGACAAATGTTTGGCTTGTGGCTTAAGTGTTTCGCCTAAGCAGGTAGCCTTCCAGAAAGCTGATCTCAATGGAACACCGACGTCAGACCCTTAGCAGCGCCCACAAGACATTGATTTGCTTTAACCTTTCGACACATGCCGGTAGACTGGTGTTTCTCCGGGTAGTAGCCCACAGCTGACCGGTAATGCTTAGGAGCCGTCGCCATCCTTCCCCACACGTTCCCTGGTTGTTCCGCACACGACTCCTTCCATTCTGGAACAGAGGCACGACTTCCTGGTCAAGTAATTGTCCTCCTAACTTTCACAAACAGTTTATAGTTCGCCCCTCCTTCCGTCGCTCATTCAGTACTCTTGTCCCGCTCCTTCAAGGCTATCTTGCCTGAAGCATCCAGTGTCCGGTCTCAGCAGACTAACCCAAAGGAGAAGAAACTTGCTCAACTAGCGCCGCCGTCTTCACGACTTGAGGTCAAGCATCTCACCACACGTTCGGGCAGCCCAACCAGCGAGCACCGTGCGTTACCGCTGCAGACCCGAGTCAATAGGCGTGCAACGAGAGGCTAAGAATCTCGAGTGTCTCGAAAAGCGCTTACCGCTCACTCCGCCGCCGCAGGTATCAAGGCACAAATCGCAGTGAACGACAATCGTACCGACCGTTTCCTGTAGTTGAGGGTCGCTTCTGGCTCGGTCCCCAGACGCCAGCGCCAAAGACAGCGAGATTTACTGGCTCAACGTGCCCAAATCATCCCACCCTTCAAGACTGCCCATCCGTCTGCAGTCCAGCGCCAGAACCGCGGGAACCCGTCGGCAAGTTTCCGGTTGCAAGACATCAGCCACACGGCACCGGACCCCTACGTGTCGCACAGGCCATATCCAGTCTCGAGCGGTTCTTCTTTTCTCGCCCACGCAGTATCTGCAGGCGTATACAGCAGGGCAAGTCGAGCCCAGCCGATCCCTTTGCCGTGCGACCAGGATCGGTGTCTAGCCCAAAGCCTGTCAGCAACGTCAAGCGACACGCCACTGAACCCCTCTGCAACATAATCTCCACGTGCGCTGTGCGCATCGACATTGAATACACAGTAGTTGGAATCGCCAATCCCGCTCATTACATCTCACTCGGCTCGTCGTCGGGTTCGCTGGCTAGAGAGTGAGCAAGTTTCGACAAACTCGTCTTAACCCCGCATCATGTGGGCCGACATCAACGGAGAACGCAAGAAGGTCGCATGGTAAGTTCGTCTCACTTCAGCCTTCTTGTACGACGTCTGTCCCTCGTCATTACATATCTACTATCAAGCACCTGTGGTCTTGCCAACAGCAAGGGTTTCGTGCAGCCGAAGCACCCTTGCTCCTGACTGAACGGTCTCTATTGCCGGATTTTTGATTGCCATTGTCGGTACTCTAAAATGGCAGTCGTCAGAGCATGCGTGTGGCTGGTTGTATTTCATCTGTTTAATCTGGACATACGCATCCCCTGCACCGTGCTGACTTGAAGCCAGTGGCCCTTGCATCAGAGGGCATCGTTCCTCAAAATGCGATCACCGAGACCGAGTTCTTGTTGAGGTTCGCAAACCTGGTCGACCCTTGAGCAGCTGTCCCCATCCTACTGGCTCGTGTAGCTGCGAGCGGATTGTCATCAATTACACTATTCCAAAGACCTCGGAATGTGCTTGTCCGTCAGAACGAGCACAATCAGTAGCAGTTTCCGGTAGTAGCCGAATCTCCAAACCCAAACGAAAGTCGACAGCGATACACCCCACATCGTTAGAGAAGGCCATCAGAGCTAGCCAAGAAAACGAGACTGACACATCGTCCTACAACACGCCAACCGAGAGGAGCGCCAGCAACGAGGCATCTCCTCCTTCAAGTGCAAGCTCGACCCCTCGCATGCTGCCTGCACAGAAAGAAGTGTCGAGCTGCTGCCAACCTAAAGCCGCACCTCCACCAGTCGCACAAACAGGGGGTTGCTGTAGTAGTAAACCAAAACAGGAGCCTCAGCCACCTGTTGTGCCTGTCAAGTCTTGTTGCTCTGGAAAGACCCAGCAGAACAATACCCCCAACATTCAGCACGCCGCGCACAATATCGGTCAGCACTTCCAGTTTCAGGTCCAACCACAATTCAGGACGCCTCAATATCAAAGCTTCCAACAGCATGCGTCACCAGCTCCTCCTTTCGGATTTGGTGCCCCGATATACAACCATGCCGCTGCAGCCTATCAACAGTCGATGGCGATGCCCCTAAACGGAGGCATGCACGGGTCATTGCCACATCAACCCAACAGCCATCAAATACCGCAGCATAATCCCGAGCACAACTGTCATTGTGGAGAGGGGTGTTCCTGTTTCGGCTGCGCAGCCCATCCGAATAACGCTACCATGATGGAATACGTTCGACTCATGGCCCAATTCCAGTACACCGGTGCGTTTGGAGGCCAACAAGCACCTCTCTATGACATGCCGACGTATCCACATCACCCCGGCTTTGGTGTCGAGGCAAGCCCGGTCGTGAACTTTTCGCCACTACCACAGTCCTATGCATCGCCAAGCCCAGCGCACATGCCGTTCCAGCCTAGCCTAGATGCGACCGTCATGGCCGGCACGCCGCTCACTCTTGCCAGCCCGTGGCGCCAATCATCAGTCTCAACGCCTTCCATCGAGCATCCCCAATTCCTTGACAGCGCGACACCCACGCCCACCGAATCGCAACCTAAGCTGGAAATGGCTCATCTGCCTCCAGCGCCTGCGGCATCATCACCTGTTGCCGAAAGTCCTGGCGGAAGCCACGAAGAAGAAACCCCGACCCTCTCGCCTTCATCTTTCTTTTGGAATGAGATGGTTCTCCCAGGCTGCAATGACGCGACTGGTACGTGTCAGTGTGGAGATGGCTGTGAATGTGTTGGTTGCTTAACTCATGGCGGACACAATGGAATTGTGCTCGAGCAACCGAGAGTCAGCGAGCAAGAGGCTTTTCCGAGTTTCACAGCGGATGCTGCATTGAACCTTGACCTTGGCGATCCTAACTCGTTTCTTAGCTTTAATCCTGTAAGCTGACAGGTTTGAAATCCTTAGTTGATGCCCGTATGGTATTCACACTTATTTCAGTGTACATGTTTAGGCTGCGTTATTACATATATGGATCGTGGAGGTATCCGATTAGAATTGGATGTTACGCATAGGAAGAAAATGGACGTGGTCTTACACCGATACCCATAGGATTTTAGTAGCTGTCGTAAGACAGCTAGAATTGACTCGCTTGACGACAATCGGTGCTTCTTGGAACGCAGTATAGTCACACCCTATTGTCGCTGCAAAGTGTTGGCGACGACTGTGGCATTCAGCTACTTATCGTGAATGAGATACGTAATCCCGAAAAGAAATCGTGAACCATCTGTAACGCCCTGCCATTTGAGTGGCTACGCTCGAGAATCCCCACCCAGTAATCCGAAAGAAAGTCAATTCTCCAAACTTGCCTTGCGCACAGGTCATCCGACACGAACGACGGCAGCAACACCCACCAGTATTTATCCCATGTCCTTTTCAGGCTGGTGTCCCAGAGTGTGCGGTCCGACACCCCGAGCGCCAACTGTGTGTTGAAATGGGAGAAGAGGATATGTTTGATACAGTTGAAATGGAGCCGTGTATCTGGACAAATGACGAGTCCAGCAAAAGATCATAGAGATCGAACCGAACATTGTCCGGCATGGTGAAGTATGAACCAAAATGTGAGAAGCTACAAAGGATCATTTGACCCGAAGTAAGAAACATGAACAGAAGAAATTTCGGTTGCGTCGTACACCGAGCGAGACCCGACGACGACTAGTCGTCCGTAAGGACGAGGGTAAGAGTGCTGCCTTCTGAGATGCCAGCGGTACAGCCTTCTCTGATGCTGTCGAACCACCTGTCGCCCTGACCGTACTGGACAGTGGAAGCTTTGTACTTGCAGGCATTGACGACGCCATCGCCAATAAATGTGATCGAGTAGTCGAGTCTCTCGTTCCAGTTCAGCTCGTTCTGCTTCAAGCTGGAGTAGCCAACACCAGAAGCGAGGTCATCGAAGGAGGTGCCAAAAACTGTTGGCGACCAGTTGCCAACACCCTTGCCGTCGTGGCCCCACGTGCATGCCTCACTCTCAGGTACACCTTGCTTGTTGACATAGTAGTGGGCAGAGGTAGCTTTACCATCCCAGAAGAAGTACTTGCCCTGGTCAGGGTTGGCGAGGTAACCGATCTCGCCGGGACCGACAGTTAGAGGGAAGGTCATGGACTCGGTACCTGTAGGGGTTAGTTGGGTCCAACGCTTCAAGTGCACCAGAAATTACCAGGGTAGTCGGTACGGCAGATTGACACTGGCTTCTTGAGCTTGTTTTGCACCTTGACAGTCATCTTGCTGGAGCCCTTGCCGCAAAGCGTCTCGCCGATAGAGCCATCAGCCATCTCTAGCATGCCCTGATCGTTGCAATACAGGCCGCCGACGGTCTGACCAGTCCTACCTTGCTTTTTGGGGAAGGAGAGTTTGAGGTATGGGTTCGGACAGCCGTAAGAGCAGTAGGTGCCTTCTGTGCAGCAGGTGCCGTCAGAACACGAGCCCTTGACGACTGTCCTGATGCTATCGAACCCATCGCTGCCGCGGTACACAGGATCTTGGATACCAGACCAACCTCCCAGGCCCTCGTGATGGAGAGGCATGGCGCCGTAGCCGTAAGGGAACTGGGTGCAGGGAATGAGACCGTTCGGGAATGGCTTATCGCAAGATGCACAGTTACCGTTCTCGTCGACTAGATCATTGGGGTTATCCGGCGACGCATCTGGTGCTACATCTGGGGTATTTGGAGCCACATCTGGAGCAGGTGCTTGTGAAGGGGCCGGCTCTGACGAAGCAGGTATGACTACAGTAGAAGTCTCTTTTGTGGATGCCACAGGCGGTTGCGTCTCGACCTGTTGAACCTGAGTAATTGCCGGTTGATCCTGGGCTGACTCCTTCACCTCGGTCGAGGAAGCTGGTGGGGTAGTGGGAAGCGCGACGGGACCTTTGATGGAACTTGAAAGAACGCCATCGTCGCCCCAGCGAAGAGTGCCATTGGCGATGCCGCGGCGAGCCTCTTCCTCGGAAATGAGGTGACCGTCCAACTCATACACAACCACAGTCTCAACTGGCGCCAGCGCAGACAAGGTACTATCTGGGCGAGCCATGCGACCAACATAAGCAGGGGCATGACGATGGAAGCGCTGGTGAGGCTTCGCTGCGGTCATCGTGGCGGCCGCAGCAAAGATAGCAATGTATTGATATCTCATCGTGAAAGGCCACTTGCAATCGCTCCAATTGAACTTTGCCGGCAACTGCAGCCACGCTCAGTCAGTGCTCAGTTGGCAATAAGAAGTGAGACAACGTACCTCTCCAGTACGCAGGTACGTGAGACTTCGCGTGGTGATCTACGCGGAGAGATCTCGGGGTCGTTGTATTGTGGTTTTGTTGTGGTTAAGCACGAGCCAGGAATGCGGAAGGAGCGTGTAATATATACTGATGATGTCGAAGGAGTGAGATGGAGGAGCTCCAAAGAGGTTGTGACAAGAAGTGGGTATGCGAGGCGCGAGCTACGACTGAGCTTCCCCTGTCGCAAGAGTGAACCTGATACTGGTAGAAAGGACAAGGATGAAAGTGTTTGTTTGTATCAAGCGTGTGCCAAGCCAAGGGTCTGCGGGCGTTTGTTGGAAGGCGCAGTGAAGGCGAGAAATGCGATACCTCCCGATCTGGACTGGCCCTGTGAAGCACTGCCCACGAAGGCCTTCGGTTGTCTGGCCGAATTCGGGAATCAATCTCTGCGTAGAGCGTATAGTATATGGCAACGAGCGTCGAGAATGCGAGGCAATAAATGATGGCAATGGAAAAGGAGTGACTCAATTCAAGCAATGTGAACAACAACGCCGGTAAAACTAACTCAGAGAACAGCTGTTGTATAGAAAAGGAGCAGATTGAGTAGTGCCACCAGTATGTGTCACTGTGATCACCAGAGCCAGGGCCTCTGTATTGCCAGTTTGTATACCGACTTCACACGAAGCCTGCAAGCCCTTTCGCCTCTCAACCACGCTATCGGGATTGCCGAACTGCAGTCGGTCTTCGATGCAATATTTAGCGTCATAGTATAATCTTGGATGGGGATCGAAAGCCGTTGATGGAGAGCGCGCGCGTGGTTGGCAGGGTGGTTCCGCCCTGCCTGCGTGTGATGCTGCTGTGCGACGCTGGGCCCCTCGCCAGTCTTCCAGCTAGCATTCCGCAAGCCGAGAATGTGGCACAGGAGGTGGCAATGACGAGACTTCTTTGGCCGAGTCCAGCTCTGCTATATTAGGTAGTCGCCCGCCGAAGAATGCTAATAGGCTTCGCTACACCTGTGAACCCCGGGTGGCATTGTTTGTCAACACACGAGTGTGGGACTGGCCAAGAAAACTATAGGAGCGGCTTCTATAGACCTACGGCTAGCCAATGAACTGTGCTGGTTGCACAGCACTGTTGCTCGTTGATCTCGTCTCGTGTTTGCCGCGCTTTTGGGAAGTACGTGTGCACTTCAGCGGCAACTGAAGACATCGCGAGGGTCGATGCTTAAGCAGATCGAGCCACACTGCCTGGTGGAACATATGATGAACCGAAATGTGAGGAAGATGGTAAAGATGGAAGACATGAGGTCGTCAAAGGCAAGACCCTGGATTTGGACTAAGCGGCGGAGAGCCCACTAGACGCACCTGCCAAAGACGGGCAGTGTATTGTTTGATCAAAATAGACGAGGCTTTGCAGTTATGAGGATGTTTTGATGATATATCTAGACGCTCAATATGCACTGCAACCACACTCTTGCACGACTGCGAGACGAGTGGTCTACACCTGCTGGATGTAGTTCGCAGGCACACTCCGTACGACACCGTCCTTCTCGACATCTGCCCAACCATCACCTGCTTCCATGTTGATCAGCACAAATCGCTCGCCCTCCGCCATTGAGTGCTCAACGTCACTTTGAGCGTTGTACTCATACAATGCTTCAACGTATTTGAGCTTCTTCGCACCACGCTTAGGTGCCACAGCTGGACCCTTCTTCTTGCCTCCGGTCAATTGAGCTGCAAGATTTGTTGTAGAAGCAGACGATGCAGAGTAGGTTGAGTCCGGGCGCGTTGAGGAGAAAGTGGATGCAGTAGTGGGTGGTGTCGCTGCAGCAAGAATCTCCACGTATGAGGCAGGCACAAGACCTTCCTTGGCTCCAGCGCGGACTTTGATCCAGCCAGAACCGTCTGTATAGTCCGTAAGCGAGATGTCCAGAAGATACTGAAACATGGGAGAGATGCTGAGAGAGGACCTACCATCGGTTTCCAGGATGGTGACGTCCTGCCCATCAGTCACCGTTAATTCGCCTGCGCTGCCTGCCTCATACGAGTAGAGCATCCTGCCCTTAACCTCTAGAGCGCTGGAAGCTGGTGGAGGAGCATCATCGTCTGCTTTGATATATGCCGCAGGCGGTGGCGCGACCACTCGGTTCTTCCGAGCTCCAGTCGCGGGTGCCTTCTTCTCTACCGGCGGCTCCTCAGCAGTTGGTGACATCCCTCCAGATATCGATCTGTGAGCTGTCGCAGAATAGCCAGAACTAAGTGTATTCATCGAGTTCACAGTGTCGCTTCTGCCTAGCCGCGGCATGTCAGACTGCGAGCCGGTGGCAGCGCCATTTGTCGATGTGACAGCATGCGAAGCCTTTTGTCGCTCATCCTTGAGTTTCTTTCTCTCTTCTTTTGATTGTTCCCCTGGGCAATCGGCTGGCACTTTCAGCTCACACTTGCTGTGACACGTGTAACCGCAATCTCGGCAGTCAAACCCCTTGGCAGACAAGCCCCATATCCGATCACCACACAAATCACAATTTGTGGGTATCTTGAACGTCTGAGATTTGAAGTTGTGGTTCCTTGCACCAATGCTGACATCACCAACGACCGAGGTGATTGTCGAGACTTCGACTTCAGCGCTGACCTTCTGCTTTTCAAGCTCGTGAGCAGCCTCTTGAATTGCGAATATGGCGCGGACCACATCGACTTCGTCCCTCTTGTCCTTTCCTTCCCGAATGTTCCTTCGTACGGCTTTTGCGTTTTCTACCTCTTTCAGTTTCTTATCGAGATCGCGTCGGTAGTCTCCCAGCGAGCCTTTGGTCTTCAACAACACGTTTCGTAAGAAGGTTACCGCAGACTCGTCTACAGCAAGATTCCCGTCATCGAGCCAAACCGGACTTGGTTCAAACTGGAAGTTACCAGGTTCTTGCCATCCACCCGCGTTGTGTCTGACAAACATCATCGAGTCGAGGAGAGGGTTGTTCCGAGGGATTTCAGCAGAGAGATGCTGGAGGTATTCCGTACTGCGCGTGAGGGTCTGGGTCTCGATCGTAGCGGCTAGGGACCAGATTGCATTCAACTTATTGACACGGGTTTCTGATAGATCTTGCATGCTCTGTTGCTAACATTAGTGCTGCCTTGGCGCTTCAAGAGGGAGAGTCTTACGTCCAACAGCTCCGGAACGTACTCGTGGTAGTACATTTCCTTCTGCTTGTTCGTGACGTTGATGCTGATGAGATACGTGTTCTTGATGTTGCGCATTTCGACCTGGTGCTGTTCGAAGGTATTCCGTGCCTTGTTCTTGCCATGGTCGAAAGCACCGTCGAGCTTCTTGCGGCGGTTCTCGACCTCCTGGCACACAGTGTCGTATTTGCCCTTGGTCTTGCGCAGATCGGCGTACTGTCCGTCCCTCTCCTTCTCGAGCTTTGCGGCATAGTCGCCGTGGAGCTTGCGAAGCTCTTCAGTGCGGGTCGCCAGTGTCTTCAAGGGGTCGGCAAGCTGCGAGACAAGGGCGGAGGCAAACTGGTCGTGTTCAGTCGCCCGTTGCTCGAGGGTGTTCAGTTGGACGCCCCATGTGGTCATGGAGGCACTGCAGCCAGCAATCAGCTCGTGTGTTTCACGTCGGACATTCAAGAGCGCACCTCTCTAGTGAGCCTGGAGTGACTGTGGGGGTGTCGCCGACGCTCAGGGCGCTCACTTTCCGGGCCTTCTTTTCATAGTATTTCTTTGCGAGGGCGCTGAGCTTCTGGGAGTACTCTTTCTCTATGGCGCTGCGTTCGCGGTAGAACTGCTGGATGTCGTCGAGCCACGCGATGCCTCCGGAGACCTGGCCTAGTAATCAGCACACGAGCAGGGCGGGCGGCGGCAGCAGTGGGAGCGCCGGCGGAGCGCAGTGTTTCACGCAAGGGGGTGCTGCAGTGCTGGGGGTCGTACCCAAGCGTTGACCGTCTTGAAGCCGTCCTGTGGATTGCCCGTGTCAGTGGATGTTGCGGCGGTGCAGTCGAGGGGTGCGGCAACCATGTACCTTCAGCTCAGCGCCGAATTGCGGCGCAATGTCGACCTCCATGATGCTGCAGAAGTCGGGGGCAGTTGCTAGTGCACGTGCGATCGGCGCATCGAACCAGAAAGGAGGGAGGGCTCGCAGAGAGCGGTGCTTGAGGGCCTCGGGGCTCCAGTGGGCGGCCCAATCCAAGTGGGGGTCGAATGGAGGCGGTGCGCGCCGAGCAGGGTGGCTCGGGATCTCAGCCGGAATCCCTCTGGCACCGCAACTGCTAGCAAAGCGTGCGGCCTGGCGACGAGCTGCCCGTCTGGGACGAAGCCATCGCGGATGACGACGCGCCGCGCCATGCTCTCAAATTTCAGAAAAACGGCGGATAAGACCCTAAGCTTACCAACTTTACAGAATACTGAACGTGTAGCAACCATAATACCTAAATCTAGAATTTAGTTAAGAGCTTCCTATATTGTAGGTAAAAAGGTATTCTATGGAGTTTTTGAGTATTTCCCCCACTTAAATGTTGTGTGGTGTACTTGGCTTATATTCTCAGTTCGCCATTTATTCTGCAACATGAAAGCCATGGTCCACATCTGCTCCATCGCAGCAGCTGCTGTCTGCAGCCTTGTCGCCCAACGTAGTTAGCGCGCTGCCCCCGCGATGAGCGCACCGGCACCACGCTTTTGTTCACGCAGCTTTGACCCGCCCAAACAACCACGCTTTCATTGATACCCACGCCACACCCGCCCGCTTTCTCTGAGGCTCTTTGAGGCTCTTCCCGCCGCCAACGCCACGCAATTGCCTTGTTCGAGCGACTGTTGGAGCCCGCCAGCCCTTTTCAGTGCGCCCGCCCCCACCGCCGCCTGCGACACTCGCAAACAGACGCGTTCGACCACAGCACCCCTACCCCCCACCATGTCGTCCACCGAAGAACCCACCGCAGCACCTCCGGCCGATGCGACGCCAGCAGAGGAGACGCCAGCGGAGGAAAGCTCGCTCGCAGAAGCTCAGGCCGACGGCAGTGGACCCCCCGGCAACGGCTCTACCATGGTCGAGACCGAGTTCAACGTCGAGGTGAAGCTCGCAGATATGCAGGCCGACCCAAACAACCCTCTGTTCTCTGCCCAGACATTCGAGCAGCTCAGGCTGTAAGTTGGCGAAGATCCACCTCTTTTCACCGTGAACTAACTTGGGCAGCTCGGAGGACCTTCTGCAGGGCATTCGTTCGATGAACTTCCGCAAGCCATCCAAGATCCAGGAGAAAGCCCTGCCGCTGCTGCTCATGGACCCGCCCACGAACATGATCGCGCAGTCGCAGTCCGGAACCGGCAAGACCGCTGCCTTTTCTCTGAACTGCCTGTCGCGTGTCGACCTCGGGCAGCTGAGGCCACAGGCTCTGGTTCTGGCACCAAGCCGAGAGCTCGCTCGCCAGATCTTGGGCGTCATATCACACATGGGCCAGTTTATGCAGGGTCTGAAGACAATGGCGGCGATCCCTGACCCATCGAGACGTGGCCAGAAGTACGGAGCGCACATCCTCGTTGGCACACCCGGAACTGTTACAGATATGCTGAGAAGGCGGTTGATCGACGCCACGGGCATCAAGATCTTGGTCCTGGACGAGGCCGACAACATGCTTGACCAGCAAGGCTTGGGCGAGCAATGCACCCGTGTCAAGACGTCAGTATCTGCGCATATCATTCACTCCTCATACTGACCAACGTAGGATGCTTCCCAAGGACTGCCAGACAGTACTGTTCTCTGCGACCTTCCCCCCGAACGTCATCTCGTACGCCAATCGCTTCGCGCCGAAAGCCAACGTCCTCACCCTGGCCCATGAAGATTTGACGATTGAAGGTATCAAGCAGCTTTACATCGATATCGACAAGGACAACGACAAGTTCGGGACGCTGCTGAAATTCTACGGCCTCATGACCCAGGCCTCGTCAATCATCTTCGTCCGAACCCGCAGGACCGCCGAAGAGCTCGAGCAACGCATGGAAGCGGAAGGACACAAGGTTGCCCAGCTCAGCGGTGGTCTGGAAGGCCCGGACCGTGACAGGATCATTGACCGTTTCAGGTCGGGTGAGGCCAAGGTGCTGATTACGACGAATGTTCTCGCACGTGGGATAGATGTGCAGTCCGTGACAATGGTCATCAACTACGTAAGTTACGAGCTCACAGCTGTGCTATACATGTTACTAACATGTCCTAGGACGTTCCCACTATGGCTAATGGCATTGACGCTGATCCCGAGACGTATCTGCACCGCATCGGACGTACCGGACGATTCGGCCGTGTCGGTGTCGCTCTCACCTTTGTGCACGACAAGCAGAGCTGGTCGCAGCTGAACGCTATCGCAACGTACTTCAAGACCGACCTTGTGCCTATCGACACGAGCGACTGGGACGCTGTCGAAGAGCTGATCCAGAAGGTCGTCAAGAGCTCGCGCGCTGGCAAGACCACCCAAGAGATGAACGAGATCGTCAGTGGAGACGCTTGAATGGCCGCACCGGAGACCTCCAGAAGCATCAAAGCATACCGATAGGGGCTTTCACGACGACGACAACGATATATGAGCATGTGAAGACGGATGATACACTACTGCGTTGCATGTACAACGGTGGAGGCATTGTTCCTCGGCGAGCATGGATGGACCACAAAGGTCAGGAAAATAGACACGATACATGTAAATCTTGAGATACCCACAGAGACCGTCTTGAGGCCTTCGTATGTAGTTCGAGACTCGTCTGCTTTGTGATTCAATCTCAGCCTCCATCGTACGAAGCACAATCGGTGTATTTCGGCGTACTTGCACAACAAGGTAACCTTTCGGGTCTAAACACATCCACCATCCGAAGGCAGCCCAATCCAGCATCTACGCCGCGCAGACGACGAATAACGTCATCGCGCACAGACATGCGCCGCAGTTCGTCCGCTGCGACCGAGGCTTCGACTCGTAGACCCCGACGAATCGCAAATCGAGCCAGTGCATTTCGTAAGCTGGGTAATACAGACTTGGCCCAGAAGCAAGATATTGCGGCCCTGTACGCCTAATTCGGATCGTGATGGGGGGGTTTCGCAGGATTTCACATGACATGATCCGAGCGGCGAAGTCTAGTGCCCCGCGCATCGCGACAGGTGTGCGACGAGGCGCGCAAGAGCGACAGTTTATAACAACACGATCCTGCCGTACAGTATCTACATTTACGCGCCGAACCCTGAGCATCACTCCTACACAACCAGCTAGACGCACTTTCTGGAACACCAGCAACGACACAGACATGGCATCCGCAACTACCTTCTTCGACTTCAAGCCCAAAGACAGTACGTCCCCGCCCCCTCCTGCACATAACAGCTTCCGCCCACGGCCAGACCCGACTAACTCCTCCCAGAGCGCGGTGTCGAGTACCCGCTGTCGAAACTGAACGGCAAAGTCGTGCTCGTCGTCAACACCGCGTCCAAGTGCGGCTTCACACCGCAGTTCGCCGGCCTTGAGAAGCTGTACAAGGACCTTAAGGCGCAGTACGCCGACCAGTTCGAGATCATCGGCTTCCCGTGCAACCAGTTCGGCGGCCAGGACCCCGGGAGCAACGACCAGATCCAGGAGTTCTGCCAACTCAACTACGGCGTCTCGTTCCCCATCCTGGGCAAGATCGATGTACGCACTCCCCTTCTCCCGCGAAACCACAAGACTCCAGCTAACGCGCCCTGCAGGTCAACGGCGACGGCGCAGACCCCACCTTCGAGTGGCTCAAGAACGAGAAGGCCGGCCTCATGGGCCTGAAGCGCGTCAAGTGGAACTTTGAGAAGTTCCTTGTTGGCAAGGACGGCAAGGTCAAGGGCCGCTGGGCCAGCACCAAGAAGCCCGAGGACCTCAAGGCCGACATCGTCAAGGAGATCGAGGCGAAGTAGGCTTGCTGCTGTGCAGTGCAGAGGGACAGCGGAGGGCGCGGAGACGGCGTGAGAGCCGAACTATGATACCACAAATTGCATAGGAAGGGATAAATGACATACATGTTAATGATGGTTTTCTGATGCACGACGTGACTTGTGGTCTTTGGGGATGTCTCGGTGAAGATGCATGGACGGTACGCACTTGCGTGTCTTGAGATCAATGCGTTAACCCACTATAAGCGTCTGAGACTGTGATGCACTCGTAGTCATTGGAGTGTCGCAACGCGGGGTATTGCTTGTCGCATGGCTTGCACAGCTGGCCGGCTTCCTGCTGACCTGAGGTAAAGAGAATCGATAGCTCCCACGTGCTGAAGCGAGAGCTTCTAGGCACAATTAATTTCGACGCACGTGGTAATTGGAACAAGCACCGCGCGCCGGTCGTCGTCATCGCGCGCGAGTAAACAGGTAGAGTACGATAATTAATGTGACAACAAAAGCGCAGTGTCTTGTACACAAACCCGTTTTGAACGGAATTAACTACACAACTTTGATACGAGATGCGGTCCCTTTTGAAGAGGACAAACAAATCAGTAACATTACATGACAATCACTCCATGTGATCTTTCCAACAGCTACATACAATCTCAAAACAAGTAACCATAAACTCCAGTAAGCATCAATGTGAGCCAAATTTCAAGAATCACCCATGTCTACACTCATGCCATTCCTGATGCAATGAGCGGGACCACCGTCCCTCTACCCCGAAGGGCAAGCTAGCTCTCACGCAGCGCGTTCAAGCAGTCCGGCTGTCCATGGTATCCAGTCCACGGCAGGGACATATCCTGTGGGCAATCCTCCAGGGAAGGGCATCCATCCGGCATGTGGGAAGTCAACATCCGCAGGGGCGGGAGATCCATCCAGGCATGTGGAGTAAGCTATAAGATGCCAGGCACGTAGGGTACAAACATGCCAGGCAGTTGGGAAAACAAGAATGTCGAGAAGATCCGGAGCGCGAAACAAACCTTACTCAGGCGTCGAGCAGACCAGAGTCTACTGATGTTGTGAGCTTCATTCAGCCGCCGTAGCTGCTTCTGAACTTGGTGCTGATCTCGTGCAGAGCCATGACGTCTTGGCTAAGCTTCAGATCGTCGGACAGCTCATCAGGGCCAGTGAGGTTGGTGAGGAAGTCGATGATGTGTTGCTTCTTGCTCACGAAGTCCTGGGCGAGCTGGTCGCGGCGCTGCTGCAGCTGTTGCTCAGCAGTGAGCTTAATGACCTTCTGGCGCTTCTCGACCATGTCCTCTGTTGCCTTACGCTTACGAGACACAGGCTTGCGCAGCGCGTGACCCTGCATTGTAGGTGGGGAGGGTTCAGTGGTTGGACCTTCGAACTGGTGGACGCGCTTCATGTGGTCGAAGAGGTTGTAACGGCGAGGGAAGCCGTGACCTGGCACAGCGCGCTCACAGTCTTGGAAGTGGCAGAGGTGGGGCCTGGCACCGTGTCCGTGCATGCCGTGGGCCTCACGCTCGTGGCGGAGCAGGCATGCGGTGGAGGAGAATTGGACGCCGACACAGGTCTTCTTGTTGCAGCGGAATGGCTTCAGGTGCGAATCGACGTACTTGTCGTAGTTGCACTTCAGAGGTGTGGGCTTGTGGGTGCAGCCAGGCTTACCCTCCTCTGGGCAGTGGTATTTACCGTCCTTGTCAGGGCCTTGCTGGTAGAGAATGTGGCTACGAGCAACCTTTGTGCGCTCTTCCTCGAGCGTAGCTTCAGTAGCGTCAATGGGAGACTGTACTTCCTCCTGACCGCTGAGGGACTGTGGTGCAAGAGAGGTGTTGGCGCTCTCCTCGGTATCGTTCCTACATGCTGTTAGAGATCAAGCTGACACATGATGGTATGCTGCCTACCTCTGCTCAACGTATTGTGACTGTGTTTGCTCAGACTCGACAGATTGAGGCAGCTGTACGCTTGTTGTGCTTGGGGAAGCGACAAATGCACTGAACCCTACATCGTTGGAGGAAGCACGTCGCGATGCTCCATGTGCAGTGTAAGATGATGAGCTGCGTACGGTCGTAGGGCGCGCGCTGCTCCATTGCTGAATAGGCGCTGCTGTGTTGAACATTGTCTCATTCGAGTCTGTGGGGTAGGATGTGAAGTTATATGAGACGTTCTGGAATTGCGAATGGACGGGACCCCAGATGTTGACTGCGGACGTGGGGTTGAATCGCGAGGCGGTCGACGTCGAGTATAGGGGAAAGTCCTGCCCAGTAGAGTAGTTAGCAAATCCCATGGATCCTTCCTGGGCGTCCCAGGCAGCGGGAAGTTGCATCTGGTTCATGTCCTGGAAGGCGTTGTAGCTATCTGAGCTCATTGACGGCGAGTAGATGTCGCCGCTAACAAGCTGTGCACCCATCGTGCTCTGGCTCTCCTGGGGGTAGAGCTGTGGTCTCTTGGTTCCGCGCTGGCTTGCGCTAGTCTGGCTCTGGTATGCGCTGTCCATGCTGCACTGGGAGGCAGTGTCCTTGAAGTCAAAGAGTTCAGTGCTGTGCATGTCCTGGAAGTCTGAAGAAAAAGAAAGGTCCTGTCCAGAGCCAGGGGGTGTAGGGATGTCTTTTCTCCACTCGGTGATGTTGGAAATATAGAAATCAGCCTCCGGTGGTGAGTCGAAGAGTGATACGCTGAACGCAGGGGTTAGTGCCTAAACCAAATCGCAGTGTGTAGAAAACAGATTCGTAACAAATGAAAGCGCCGTGTTAGTGCTCCAGAGCCCAGTCTGCAATCAATGTTAGTATACATTTGGGTCACGTAGTGTGGAGAGAAGACGCACCAAGTGCAGGCAGCGTCGTGGAGTGACAGCCAGGTGAAGGGTCGTTGCCATGTGCAATCAGGAACCTATGGATTAGATGGTCCAGGCCTCCGTTGGTGGCTGCTCGGCAGAGCAATGTCGAAGTAGTCCAGTCAGAACAATGGTCCACGTCCGTTAAGCCAGAATTAGTGTGGGATCTGTTTTACAGATTGGCCACATCCTTCAACACCGCAACAAGTCAGTTTCAACGATCAAAAGAGGTTGGGCAGACAGCATAGGCATGCTTGAGCCTTCTGTACGTACTTTCTCCCTCTCCAAATTGTTCTCTCAAACGACACTCGGTGGTCGGTCCGTCTGCTATTTAGAATCCGTGGTGCGAATAGGACAGGCGTCCTCCATCCTGGCGGGGAAGAACCCTCATGGCATGCCGGACAGCAATAGGATCCAAGGGTTGTAAGCATTCCAGGGTCGAGAGGATCCAGCGACGGCAAAGTCGAATGTTGCAGGCTTAGTCGAACGAAAACATAATTGAACGACGTTGCTGTGGGCGATGCATGTCTACGAATATTGCTTGGCACTGCTGCGAAGCGATGTCGGATGATCCGCGGCCGGAAGCGAGAACCGCCCGGTGGTCAATCATTGAGATCCACGGCGTGTTCACCGACATTTCGAAAGCTCTAATTTTGAAGCTCCGAACTCGGTGTACCGAGAGATCGAGTTGCCGAAACAAAGAGCGCAGTGCTGCTCTGATGTTGTGTCTACGTGATGCTGAACTCCTTGGCAGAGTCCACCGGGAAATTGGTCCTCAGCCAGCCGGGGAAAGGGTGAGCAAACGTAGTTCTCCAGAGATCCATGGGAACAGGAAATCCATTGGGGGTTTGTCCGTGGTGTGGATGTCCATGTGGAGCTCCTGTAGCCTGGATTGCTAAATGGCGGCGAGACGCAAAGAAAACATCAAACGCGACATGCATACATGATTTGAGCGCAACAGAATCTTTTGAACAAAAAACAGAACAAGAAGCAAAACAAGACAGTAGGGAAAACCGTTGGGCAGTAAGTACCTGGTAAAGGCTCCGTCTGGGCTCCGAGTTGTCATCCTGAGCGAGGGCTCTGATAGATCTTGTTGATGGGGTAGAAATTTGGTGATTGCCGCACGAATCTAGTGTCGTAATAGCGGTGCAAGTGATGGCGATTTTCGTCGAGTACGGTAAAGTTGAGTTGAGAAGGGGAGGGAAGTGAGTTGAACAAATGTGGGCAGGAGATGCTGACCGGTTCGCTTCCTGGGCAGGAAGTGACAACGCAGCAGTGGTAACCAAATCCAGGCTAGCGTCCAAATTTGATACGGTGTGAGGCCATCTCACGTCCAAAATCCTGCTGCGGTCCACGGTTGTCGGCCTTTCCGGACAGGATTGGTTGCAAATTCGCGCCCGGGTCGAGGGGCAGTCACACTCTTATGACCCTGCGCGGACCGAACACGTAAGAGGGATCCCCTCTTTGCGAGAAGCGCCGCAACGGCAAGTTTTGCTCGGCGAATTGCAAGTGATGATACGGGAAGAGAGACAATCTCTTCCACTTCGAAGTGCTGCGGATCAGGGCCGTGTCGCACTTGAAGTGCTTAGGACCGCAAAGCGGAAAGGATCAACGTTGACGGACCGCCAACCGCGCCCAGGGGCATGCGGCGCGCGGTTGGCGCAAACCTACCGAGATTCAACCTTTTCCCGTTGCGCGTACGGAGGAGTTCAACACAGACTCCTTTCTCGTTCTGCATCAGATCTGCAAACACAGACGCGTGGCGGAGTAATGCCGCCGACAATTTGTGATTCAACGATAGCGATGTGGATAAGCGGGGTCTGCTGTTGCGTTACAAGGATCACTGGATCAGAGCTCACTCGAGATTGCTTTTGCTTCCCAACGGCTCCGGCACATCAAATCACGCACCGAGGCAAGAAACCGTGTTCACCAAATTACCCGGCAGCGAAGTCGTCGATGTTCACAGCGAGGCTCAATCTGACAGCGCCTCATGACATGATGGTGGCTGCAGAAGGGAACACAGCATACAACGACTAAATGGAGTACGCTTCCGATACCGTTGTACCAAGCGTCGGAGGCTGTAATTGAACAACCTCGCACGACAGGTTCAGTAGTGAAGACAGGACGTTGAAGGAAAACGGCAATGTTCCTCAGGGTCTCGTACCAGACCAATTGAGGGTACGCTCTTCTCACACTAAACTTGGTGGATCACGCTTATGTTCTAGTTCTGTTGGTATGTCAGCTTTTATTCCGCAAAGAAGGCTGTGCAAACAGATTTGTGTTTAATCAGATAGGAGCGAAAGACGTTGCTGATTTGTTTCCACAATGACCTAGTAGGCCTTCGGCTGAACTATGCTTATGAAAGGTGTATCATCATGTAAAAGGGTGTGCGTGATAGCGAAGTTGAAATTTGTAACATACCTTGTGGATGCATCAAAGATGAGTGTTGGCCGAGGCCTCGAGCAGAAGTACCTTGACCTGGAGTCAATCACAGGATGATCGACTCTCAATTGTTGCCGAGCAGTTGCCAGAGAAGGTTCGCGTCGACCCAGTCGGTCCCTGAAGATCACTGACCTGAAGCCGCGTTGCTGCCCAACTGCGAGCCTCATGAGCCGTACATAGTTGCGCGCATCCCCCAGGCGCTACTCAACCATTGCGACTCGTTCGCAGTGTCGTTGAATCATGAACAGGTGAGCATGATCGGCGGAAACCATTATCCAGCATATGTCGGACGAGCAGAGCCTGCGGAGTTGTGAAGGGTGCACATGATGGAGGTGGCTTAAGAACGCGAAGAAAATTGCAGAGAAAGATCGTGTCGCTAAGCGCTAAGCGACGGAGCTCCAACCCCCGACGGCAAGTGCCATCCCTTGGCATTCAGTGACATCATTCGCTTTCGAGAGCAAGCGATACAATTTTATCACGACTGCACCACCATAACGAATTCGCCATGATTTGAGAATCTATTGTGAAACGCGAATACTGGAACACAAGAGATGAAATCCAAGATTGCACCCGCGCAGATAAGCTTGGGGTTGGACGGCACGAGCGCCACTCGTCATCGGGAACTTACGCTTCTCATTCGTCAGATCCCCGATCGATACCTGAGCTCCATGTTGCACGTGATCCTCAAACCGTAACCATGTGCCTACATCCCACGAGTAAGCTCACGGTCGAGGGATCTAAGTTCACTCGACCCGTTCTTCTAAAAGCCATTTCGTCGACTCCAATCACATCGACGCGAACTCCGCAGTGGTAATCACTCACCGCACCATCAGTCGGGCCGGATCCGCTTCCCACATGCTTGCAAGAAGAGTTAGTGCGATCGTAACACTTGTACCAGCGCTACTCGATCTCTCGGAGGAGTCTATGAGGCTCATGTATGCTATCGAGGCCTTGTGCCAAAGCTCTGAGCCTCAGTGAGCTCAGCCCTGCGTTCGGCTCCAGGTTGATGAACCCCGGAACGGCCGCATGCGGTGATAGCCAAGGAGGATCTGTTTCCTTTCAAGCCTTTGATTCGTCGAACCTTCCGATGGTCATGCCATTGCAAAGCGTGTCAGCCATGCTCACTAACTCGAGTCGTCCCATTGTTACAGACTCAGGGTCCAACAGCGTGGGCGAGTGCGGGGAAGCGTTATACCATCATTGATTGGTACGATCACGCATCATCTGCGTAATACTTGGATGGCATGCGATCGGAGCTGCTCTCGAGGGGCTTCAGCTCAGCTCGAGAGGGGTTTATTTACTACGGCCGCTGCTCATATTGGTATCTCTAGACATCCACAGCTGCCCCTTAGTCAATTACCCCAAGTCATATAACAAGCATCCATCTTTACGGCCGATATGCCTTCGCCATTTCACCAGAAATACTCCAGCCAGAGCCACAAGGTCTTCGGAGACAACACCATTCCAGCCATGCCAGACGCCCCGAAAGACGACGCTCAGCGTCGAGGTTCAGACAGTTCGATGGCCGAACCCTCCTCTCCGGATGCACGACGCAGGGTATGTCATTCACATGATGGTTCTGGTCAAGATGTTCACGTATTGATTTGATATCTCGCAGTCATCCGCCGCCCAGCGCTTTGGCAATCTTGAGATGCTCAAACGACCTAACGACCCAGCAAGTACTGAGAGACGTTCATCATTACAGGACGCGTACGGTAAACCGGGTTTCTTGGGAACGATGTGGAACAAGTGAGTCTACCCTAAGCACATATATTAGCTGCACACTCACATTCCGCACAGCTTCACTCGCGGTCCTTCTGGAAGTCCCCCAGCGCCGAAGGTCGCTCCACCGAAGTCCTCTGAGCCCCGTGACACCACAACCCTACGCGGTTGAGAACAAACAATAGTGAATATGAGCCGTCTCAATCTCTGAGTAGAGGACGAGTTCTACCATATTTCCTTTGGCACGGACGATTTTGTGGAATGCTTTCAGCCGGCGTAGTCAATTACCATGTAAAATATATTTCACAATGAGCTCACGGAATCTCTTTTTGCACAAACAACCCTTGCGTGAAAGACTGTAAAGCCATGGTATACAGACTGTACAGAGTTGATGTTTTGAGCATTGACCAAATGTGGGGTAACAGGAGCTAACGACTGGCTCTTGTTGGAGTCGCGAACTGTGACGTTGCGTCCGTGAACATCTAAAGGTGTCAACAGAACACTCAAATCTACAACCACACCATAGATACAGCTACCAAAGCACATCGTCTGTACAGGCTCAAAAACGTAAAGCGACATCGCACAATGGCCACTGCCAGGTCCCGATCGCCGTCTGGGTTTCCCGATGCAACACCCATAAACCTGGGTCGGTTGCTGTCAAGGCTGGAGCATACTGTTCTTGTCGAGCCTTCGCCACAGCTTAGGAAGTCACCTTACGAGCGCGCGCGTGTCAGTGCTGTAAGTTCACACGCTCTACACACTATGGACTGCCAGACTGGTTGCTGACTTGGTCTAGAATATTGAACATGCACGCACTCTCCTTCTCAACCTTGAGCACTCGGCCTCCTCGCTACCCTCTAAGTCGAAGAAGTCGGCGCTGCAAGCGGATCTGCAGCAGAAACGTGAGATCATAAAGCAGTTGAACCAGCGGATATATGAACTCAATCAGCTAGATGACACAGAGTCAGAGGATTCTGTGGATTCCGACGCAGACGAGGACCAATTCCCCTCGTATGCGCCGAGGATACAGGCGAACGAGGGGCTCGACATTACGTCGAAGGACGGAGAGAGCAACGAGGCACTTCAGAATGCTGCAAGAAATTTGACTTCGCAGATTCGGCGGAGAGGACAAGCAGTAGAAGCAGAAGGAACGCAGACAGCGTCGGGAACCTCCCTGCATCCAGCCAAGGCGACTACAACGACGAGCAATACTTCGCTAGCAAATGCGGAAGCGCTGCTGTCGCATGATCGCAATGAGCAAGAGAACTTGACGGAAAGTCTCTTTCAAATGGCAAAGCAGCTCAAAGCACAGTCGATACATTTCAGTAATACCCTCGAGGGCGACAAAGGCATTGTGGACCGAGCAATATCAGGCCTGGATAAAAATCAAATCAACATGGATGCCGCCAGCCAAAGAATGGGTACACTTAGGCGCATGACTGAAGGCAAGGGCTGGTGGGATCGTATGAAGCTCTATGCAATGATCGGCGGGCTTTGGCTGCTGGCTTTTGTCATCGTCTTCGTCGGGCCCAAGATACGGTTCTGATGTTGCCGCTACACAGCCCTGGCGAGGCGTTTCTGCGACAAGATTGTTCCCCAACGCATCCCGTTCAGCCAATATCAACATTCCCAGTTACGGTGCATCCGACGCATGCACGGCCTCGTGGCCTTACCCAGTGCAGGTGCGCGATCGTGAATTGATCGCGAACCCCGGCGATCTGGGCCCTGCGCAAGCTTGTTTGCTTTGAGCCGCTTTAGCGCCGAGCCGAGCGTTGTGCTGCCATTGCTCAGGAACAGCAACACATCCTCACACCATCTACTTATACACCTTGTGCTACTTCAGACATCCTCATCGGGGTATCGCTTCAATATGGCTGCCATGGAAATGCTGTCAATGGGCGCGCGCTGTACGCTTATGACCACTCCACACCACCAGCAACTAATACCTCCCAGCGCTCAATCACTCCAACAACGATGCCGAAGCAGAATACGATCGCCTCCGTGATCTCGCCCGACAGGAAGCAGCCAAGCGCGGTTCATGCTTCGATCGCGCCCACCAGGCCTACGAATCCGGCGATGGCGCGCGCGCCCACGAACTGTCTGAAGAGGGAAAACAGCATGCTGCCAAAATGGAGCAATACAATCGCCAAGCGCGCGATTATATCTTCCGCGAGAACAATGCCAATGGTCGTGTGCAGGACGATACCATCGACCTGCACGGCCTGTTCGTCGAGGAGGCCGAGGATGTGCTCGAGGAGCGCATCAAGGCCGCCCGAAGCAGGGGTGAAGATCATCTGCACGTCATTGTAGGCAAAGGAAATCACAGCCGCAATCATGTGCAGAAGATCAAGCCCAGGGTCGAACAAGTCTGTCGCGAACTTGGCTTGCAGTATCAGACTGAGGAAAACGAGGGTCGTATCTACGTGAACCTCCAGGGCGGCGCCGTGCACAGCATGCCTCCGCCGCCGCAGCATCCGCAGTATGGTGGCGGTGGATACCCTGGGCAGCAACAGGGCGGTCAGCATGGCGGTCAGCAGCACGGCGGCCAACAACATGGTGGGCAACAGCATGGTGGGCAAAACCATGGACAGCAGCATGGCGGCCAGCATCAAAACCAGCAAAACAACCAGAACGACGACGTGGAGCAGATGGTACGGAAGGGTCTGCCAAAGCTGCTCAAGAAGTTGGGCTGCTGTAACGTCATGTAAGGCGTTGGTGAGTGCGATGATACCCTTTGTTACATTAGGAAACGCCATATATAATTGAATCTAGTGCAGACATAGTGTATACAATAATTTCCACTGGCATTGCTTTGACGTCAGCGTTTGCATACGATTTGTAGTGATGCCAACGAAAGTACGGACTAGCAATGGCTCGTGAGACGGTATTGTGCAGCCTGATGTATGTGGATACTCACGAAGGCGGTCTCACAGGTACCATGGTACTGATGACAACGGTTCCAAAACCCTCTCCCCCCCTCCCCTATCAAATCTTGACCCTGGAGTCTGGGTGGAAGGAGACGCATTTTTCGTAGTGTTCTATATCAGAACGGGTAATTGTGAGCATATGCAAAAGCGCAGCCTCTTCTCCTCGTGGCTGTGATGGCAGATCCTGGGATGTGCTGATGAATGCTGTTGGTTAGGTATTCAATATGTATTCTGTTCGTCATGATGTCCCTGATTTTGTAGTACCACGGTCCCAATTCATCCTCCAGAGGTGGAAAGCTAAGTTACGCGAGGGGCTATCTGCCTTGTGCAAAACATAAATCGTGTAAAGGGCGCTGACAACGCTCAGCTGTTCATTGTTGACCTGCGATTCGAACTTGCGGAAACGTTAATTGGTACTGAACTACGTTGACTTTCTCGTCATCCTTCCCAATTCATTTGTGCTGTCCTCCCCCTTGGGCTTTCGACAATGTCCTACCAACAACATTCATATGTCCCATCTAATGAGATGCAACATGATGCGCATCGACTACTGCCAACTGGATTCTGCGAGTATGCAACTTCTGAATATCCTACCTGACCTTTCTAAGCTAAGTGTAACTTTCAACAGTCAGAAACGGCACACGGTTGACTCGACCGCCACAGATGACTGGAGCCGAGCAAACGAGATGGATCAGCACATCATTCCACAACATAATGGTCTTCTTGTAAACCACTGGCCAGTTGAGATGCAACAGCCACATCCTCTTCCTGAGGTGGAGAACCCCCATAACTGGCAAAACATGGTTGCTGCAGCTGATCTAGATTACTCAGCGAGGCGACCGCACACCTTGGAAGCTGCTAGCCAAGCATTGCAGCCCATAGCATCTATCAGCGTGATGAAGGAAGTCGTTGTGGAAACACAGCCAGCCTTCGTTGGAGTGCAGCGATCAGCATCCATGATTGCACTACGACAGCCGTCAGTCACTACTGAGGCAACAGGGCCTTTGACGCCCGCTGTGCCAGACCAATCTTGCGCGGTTGCCATGGACCAGATAATGGCAGGAACCGTGAGTTGTGCAACCCAATTGGTTAATCAGCACTGACATTATCCAGGGAGGAGACAAATCAAGTGATAGCATAAGGTCGGAAAGAGATCTCGACATCGTTTTCCGAGATAATGCCATTCCCAAACGGCTTTCCAAGCCCAACCGCAAGGCGTCTTTCAAAAGGACCTTCGGACGCGCAGGGAGCAAGGTGTCGAACGCGGTCCTGGCAGCACTGCGTCCAAGTGTAAACGAGCCGCCAGTGAAGTTGAGGGCGGAAGGAGTCATGGCTGAGTGGCAGCTGTTTCTCTCCGAGCGTAGACACGAGGAAACTGCAATGGAAGGCGCCTTCGACCCTTTCCAACATGTGATGGAGCAAGCCATGAACCAGAAGTATAAGGAGCTCAGAGGCGAAGGTAATTTCCTGGTTGATGACGATGCAGCTGGCTCAACAGCCGCTGCTGAACCCGTTGAGCTACCAGTAGAGCAAGAAGTGCTGGCGGCCACGAATGATGAAGAGTGGACATGGGTGTCACATCTTAAGAAAGAGGAACATGTCACAGAGTTCTGTGATCCGTACACTGGCAGTGTCAAGCGAAATTCGCCGTCTGACTCTCCACGGGTCAGTACAGATTATATGATTTGCCATCCCCCCAAACCTCGGACCTATCCGGCTGGTCTCCCGTGTCCAACAAACACGACACAGTCCGAGGAGCCTGAGCCCGTAACAGACAGCCAGCACGACTCGACACCAAGTCCCAAGGCTGGACCTCAGCCCACATACTTGGGGGAGGTGAACGACAAAAGTCTCAGGACGTCCATTCCAGCATCGGAAAGGGAGTCCAGGCTTCCGAAACCCACAAGATCGTGGTCGGGTGAAGCACGTACAGCGCATCCAGTGGGGGTACCCAGGTCTCGGGCGCCGGTCAAAGGACGCCAGGATTCGGTCCAACCAGTGGCTTCTCAAGCGATGCAGACCGAGGACAAGCATGCGACGTACCAACAAGCAGACATGAACTGAGACTCTCGACTAAGCGTTCCACCGGACTCCAATCACCAGGTAGAAAGTTTGCTGTGTCTCAAGGAACCAAGGTTACGAGTCTCCAAGATTACAAATTGAGGCAAAACACGCATTCCTGAGGTCCATGATCGAGCAGTATCCCTTCCTCGGGGGACTTGTGTCAAGGCGCGATCCTCAGTTGTGATCGAATGTAAATCTGGCGACCAATTGCTTGGCTGATTTTGGGGATAGTCTTCTATCGTGTTATCGACGTGGAGAGCGGGGTACATGAGAGGAGTTTCTTCTGGTAACATACGGAATTTGAGATACGAAAGGAGACGTTGAAGGAAACCTGGTCCGTTACTTGAAATGTTGAAGTATAATGCCGTGTAACGCGAATAGCCGATGAGGATCGTATTTGGGCAGTCGGTCCCGATGGTGCCGTCCGAATCTGTCTTTGCACGCGACCGAAACAAATGCTTAGGTAATGACCGAGGCAATTCGAACCGAGATTGTGTAGCGGTCGGAATGAGCTCACCTCTTCCAAGGCCTTCGTCCATTGTTGAAGCCCGTCTCTCGCTGAGTCCAAAGAGGAATAACTTGTGGCAAACTTGTTGAGTGACGCGAGACTACTCCCCTGGAACGCTGCCACGATGTGGTGTTCGCAGCCGCGTGACGAACAACTGTGTCGCCTGATCGCACAGAGACCTCTACACATAGTAATCACCCGCTGGTTGATTGACTATCAAACGTTACATTGCAGAATCACCGTGATGTACCCTGCAGCTTGCGGATGCTGATCCGTCCCGTTCAATCTTGACCCCAGATTTTCTTCTCCGCGCGCCGAGAGAAAGCTGCCGAAGTAGGGGCTGGCCTACCTGTACATCCCTGAACTCATAATAAAGTGAATGGATCCTTGTGACCTCTCCAGTCTAACAAGCAACCAAGATCTTGCTAGCACTGCAAGGGGGCATGAAGCTGCAGCCAGTCAGGCTGAGCCTTGCCGGCAGGAGGAGTGCTCTGATGACGTCGCAGAAGCGGTAACGGCGTTCGTGACAGTACAAACTGCTGCGACGTGCAGGTGGCTGTTGGAAGGTCGACCGAACAAGCGGGAAAGAGTGGGTGAGTTGGTGTTGTTGATCGTGGCTTGTGACCTGCTGGTAAGGATGGCGGTTCATCATCAAGCTTGCCCCTTTGGGCGTGTAGAGTGGAAAAGACGGTAATGTAACATTACTGCATCTGGTATATGAAACGTGTCCAGGGCACTGTCTGGCAGCACAACAGAAGTACCAGACACTTGTGAATTGCCAACAGATGCATCCTATGGCCCCGGGTCTTGCATCGCATGCCTTGCACGATGTTGCACAGAGGTATGTGTGGACGTTTTATGGGCGAGGCTGGCACGTGGCTCCGTGAGGCTGTTATTTACCCCACAAGATTACACCAAAGCAACTCTAGCTCCGGATAACCCCATCGCCAATGCTTAGCAGAATCGTCCTGACCTCCAGCAGACCATTATTGCAGCTTCCACTATTGCAGCTTCCAGCATATTTCCAGGAAGCCAACCACTCACAACTTCTGGTTTCACGTCGACGACCTAATTCGGAAGCTGCGTTGCACCACGAGCTACGCACAACTGCTTGCCCTGCATGGCCCCGGCAATGGCATCCTCGAATATGCTGGATGCACTCGTGACGAATTGTAAGATCGGCATCCACCCTGAGTCGTGGAACAGTTGGCACATGTCGTGTTGATTCTCGCGATCATGTTGATCGCAAAGACCAAGTGCTAAGGAGCATTATTTAGTAAACTATATAGAGCAGACATGGCTTCCTCGTGGCAATGGCTCCCTGACATCCACTCTCACCATGCCAGTCTCAGCAACGACATTTTTACAGAGTGTATTCCTACTAGGGGCGACCTTCTTTCGATGGGGAACGGCGGTGCCCTTAAGAAGAGCCGACGACTGTCCTGGTTATAGGGCCAGCAATGTCATACGTTCTGACAGCAGCATTACAGCTGACTTAACTTTGGCTGGCTCAGCTTGTAATTTGTATGGCCAAGATTTAACCGACCTTAAGTTCCTAGCAGAATGGCAAACCGGTACGCGACCCCTTTTATCTCGACTACAAGTACTGATGAGAAAGACTCTCGCCTCCATGTAATGATCTACGACAAAGACGAGCAAGTGTACCAGATACCAGATTTTGTGGTACCACGACCATCTGGATCTATAGATTCTGATGCAGCATTGCTGGATGTCTCCGTTGAGGAATCCCCGTTCTCGTTTACGGTGACGCGCAAAAGCAATGACGAAGTAATCTTCAGCACAAAGGGATCGCAGATTGTCTTTGAAACCCAGTACCTAAGGTTACGAACGTCCTTACCGGATAATCCGTTTCTTTACGGCTTAGGCGAGCACACTGATGCATTACGGCTACCAACTTCGAACTATGTCCGGACCCTCTGGGCACGCGACTCTGGAGCTGTACCCATGACAACGAATCTTTATGGGACACACCCGGTTTACTTTGAGCACCGAGCCAATTCTGGACTGTCGCATGGCGTGCTGATGCTGAACAGCAATGGAATGGACGTCAAGATTAACAACGACAATGGTCAGTACCTGGAGTACAACACGATTGGTGGGGTCGTTGACCTTTACTTCATGGCTGGACCGATGCCGTTTGATGTTGCTCGCGAGTACAGCGAAATCACCGAGAAAGCTGCCATGATGCCGTGAGTAAATTCGAGTGTTGCGAGATGCATATTTACTTAACATACTACAACAGATACTGGGGTCTGGGCTTCCACCAATGCAGATTTGGCTACGAGAGTATTGGTGAAGTTGCAGCAGTTGTTGCAAACTACAGTGCAGCTGGTATTCCGCTGGAGACTATGTGGACAGGTACCGTCGAGGCCTAAACTTGGAAATGGAGATTTTCTAACGATATTAGATATTGACTACATGGATCAGTTCAAAGTTTTCACGCTGGGCCAGAACTTCCCACTTGCTGAGGTACGTAACCTCGTCAGCAGTCTGCACAGCAACTACCAGCACTACATCGTCATGGTCGACCCGGGTAAGTGGCTTAGGATTATGGTCTTTCGCATCTTGCTTACAGATCTCAGCTGTTGCTGCTCAAGATTACGGCCCTTACAACCGAGGCATAGGTGCAGATGCATTTCTAAAGACCAACGCTGGTGTGCCTTGGAAAGGCGAAGTGTGGCCAGGGACCACAGTCTTCCCGGACTGGTTTGCACCAAAAACGCAGGCCTACTGGGATGACGAATTTGCCTCTTTCTTCGACAAAGACACCGGGGTCGATATCGATGCACTTTGGATCGATATGAATGAACCCTCAAGCTTCTGCGACTTCCCATGTGATCAGAACAAGACTACTTCGGCAAACCTTGGCGGCATCATTTCGCGGCAATCAAATGGGGACAAGAAAGGCCTTCCAAACCGAGATCTTCTCTTCCCCAAATATGAGATCAAGAATGATGCCGGTGGGCTCAGTAACAAGACTGCGCAGACTGATCTCATTCATTCGGGTGGCTGGACCGAATATGACACACACAACCTGTACGGAACAATGATGAGCGAGGCTAGTCGTAATAGCATGCTCAAGCGGCGACCTGACAAGCGGCCCATGGTCATCACCCGCAGTACCTTCGTCGGTGCTGGCAGCTATGTTGGCCACTGGCTAGGGGACAATGTCTCTGCTTGGGACCAATACCTGGCCTCCATCCGTCATCTTCTCCAATTTGTCGCATTCTTTCAGGTTCCGATGGTATGAACTGCACTGACCTCCAATTACCTCCAAGGCTGACACTTCACAGACCGGCGCTGATGTCTGCGGCTTTTTAAACGACGCCACTGAGCATCTCTGCGCACGATGGACTGTCCTGGGTGCTTTTTATCCATTCTACAGGAATCACAATGTAGCCGGTGCTAGATCACAGGAAGCATACCGATGGGAGTCTGTTACTGCCGCAGCGAAGAAAGCCATCGACCTTCGGTACAGACTCCTGGATTACATCTACACTGCTATGCACAGACAGACCGTAGACGGAACTCCAATGCTTTCGCCTTTGTGGTACGCAACGTCAGTATTCTTGAGTGTCTCGAGCTTACACCATACAGGATGCATTATCCCAAGGACGCCAACACCTACGCGATTGAGACACAATTCTTCTACGGCCCTTCTCTTATGGTGAACCCCGTGACGCAGGAGAGCTCATCCTCAGTCTCATTCTATGTACCAAACGGGGTTTGGTATGATCTTTCCACGCGCAAAGCTGTAGAAGGCACCGGGAGCACCGTCACATATTCGAACGTACCGGTGACGGACATTCCGGTCCTTGTCCACGGCGGATCCATTGTACCTTTACGTCTCGAAAGCGCAAACACAACCAGAGCGCTTCGAGATAAAGCTTTCGAGCTCCTTGTTGCACCTGAAAATGATGGTAGTGCAAGCGGTTCGCTGTATCTCGACGACGGCGAGAGCCTCGTGCAGTCTGGCACGAGTGAGATCAAGTTTACAATGAGCGGATCAACGCTCAAAGCTGAGGGAACCTTTGATTTCCCGACGGTCTTGCAGATTAAGAGCGTAACGATAATGGGCACCGATGACGCACAATCGTACGAGTTGAATCAGGGGCTCGATGGTGGCTGGAGTGTAGATGTTGGAAGTTTGAAAAGGCTGTGACCGACTCACGGAGATCGGACTGTGACGTCACCCTACTAGCGCGAGTCGTCCTCTATGAATACCTTTGCTGCGCTCCCAATCGCCTGACAGCAATGCAATTGTTGTATACACTATGCATAAATCAAATTCTTCACCGTCCTCTCAATTCCAGTCTATACTTAACATCGACCCTGCGTTGCAGGCCATGAGAGTTTCCAGCCCTGCATTCGCGATCTTCTGGATGGACGCGATCGAGGTTCTAGATCCCGCGGATCGTTTTGCCTGGCGAGTGAAACGATGGCATGTGGTTTAGTTTCGACGTCACATGGCTGGTACGCGGCTGCGCTGGCCCAAGACATCCAGAACGACAGGAGCGACGGAAACGACGAAGGGAACGTCTTTAGGGGTTCAGAGAGCGTGAAGAGGTGGTGTGGAATCATCAGAGCTGCCAATACAACGCGCAATAGTCTAACCTTGGTCAGAGCTCCTGGTAGGGCTCCGGCGTATTGACGTTGCGCTTGTGGCGTCAACAAGCGCGCTGCTTCTTTCCTACTGCCCAGATTGTCGACTACGAAAAAACCGGCTGAATTTGCCGACCGCTACAATGCACCCTCCAACCGCATCTTTCTAGAGAAAGGGTTTGCATTGACCTCCGGCATCATTACCATGGACGACGTGCCGCTGGTTGTCACAGCCTCGGATGACGCGCATGGTTCAGACGAATCGAGCGCTATCGAGGCTATGGCATTGCAGGAGCTCGACAGCCTGAGCCTGAAGGAAGTGCTGGACGAGGACTCCCGGCCAACCTTTATCATCGACCTAGACCCAGACTTTGTGAACGAAGATAGCACAATCCATCCGATCTTTTGCAATGCGGCGCTAAAGCTGCACAGTCGGCTGCTGGACAGCATCACCGAGCCCCCCGTGGCAGTTCATAGTAGCAACCCCACCACAGCAACGCACGATGAATTTCGAAGCTGGGTCACAAGCGTCAGCAGATCCAACAGCTCGAAGGACGTTTTCCCACTCACGCTTTTGTATCAAGGCTTGTTGTGGACTGCTTCCACTATTCGCCGAAGATGGCGAATAATCTCCGGAAATGCCTTGTATCGCGCATCCGACATTCCCAGGAAAGGCCTTTCGGATGCACTGCCAGTACGCCCTAGGCTTATCAAGCGTGATTCTGAAGCTGCAAAGGCACGCAGAGCAGCCGCTCCTGCTGCTACAGTACCAACGAATTCACCACCATCCATTTACCCAGCACCTGAATCAGCTTCCACAACTTTGACCAATACCCTCAGCAGCAAGAGCAATGCAGGCAGTGGTGCTGCCGTAACGATATCCACACCAGATGATGTTGTGCCCGATTACACAGCCGCAAAACCCAAAGGGATTCTTACCGAGCACATCATTTTCTTCCGGAGTTTTGACTGGGCAAGCACTCCACTAGGTGATATGAACACATGGTCATCATCACTTCGGGAGATTGTCAATCTTGTTATTCGAAGCCCGTATCCATGTGCATTATTCTGGGGCGAGGAGTTGTCAGTTATCTACAATGAAGCGTACAAGATCGAAGTCGCTGGAAACAAGCATCCAGGACTCATGGGTACTGGATTCGACGGCCCATTTTCCGAAGTCTGGGACGGCGTCAGTTCGACCTTCCAGGACTGCGCACTTACCGGGAAGGCAGTTAGAAGAGAGAACGACTGTTTCCCTCTCGAGCGATTCGGATATCTGGAAGAGACATTTTTCTCATGGTCCATTACGCCCGTGTATGGCGGAACTGACAAGATCCTGGGTTTCTACAATGCGCCTTTTGAGACAACTTCCAACACAGTCAGCAGCAGAAGGATGCACATGCTAAGATATCTCGGTGAACGACTTAATTCAACACGCACCGTGAAAGAGTTCTGGAAGCGCTGTCTGGAAGGACTCGAGCTCGACACTATTGACGTCCCTTTTGCACTACTGTATTCGATCGTTGATAACGATGACACGGATACGGCATCTGCGTCCTCTGACAGCACCATTTCGCTAAAATCCTGCGTGTTGGAAGGATCGATTGGCATTCCTGAAGGACATCCTGCGTCACCACGAAGACTCGACCTGAAGCGCAGCCAAGAAGGTTTCGTCCCAGCATTCAGGGAGGCAATGCGGACTCGCGAACCCACAACGCTGCAGACAAGAGACGGGACATTACCAGAGGCGCTGCTCGAAGGCATCACGTGGAGGGGATACGGAGATCCGTGCAAAGAAGCAATCATTTTTCCCGTCCGGCCGACAAATGGGGAAACAGTGTTCGCGTTCTTATTGATAGGCGTGCAGCCTCGCAGGGCCTACGATGAAGAATACAAGGCATTTGCAAGCATGCTCAACAGACAGTTGGCAACAACACTCGCGTCCGTCATTCTTTTTGAGGACGAGATGAAACGAAGCAGAAATGCCGCGGAGCTGGCTCACATTCAGCGCGAGCAGCTGAGTCGTGAGTTAGCCTTGCAGACCAGTCGCATGCGACGTATGACGGAGCTTTCCCCATTGGGCATGTACCTTTACAGCCCAGAGGGTCTGCTTCTGGAGGGCAACGATCGATACTTTGAATTGACAGGACATGCTAGAGAAGCTTACGGTGAATTTTCATTCTTGGGCATAATGGCAGATGAAAGTGTGCAGCCATGCCAGGAGATGTGGGAACAGCTTGTGCAGACCAAGAAAGCTTGTACACGCGAACTCAGGCTGAACAATCCCCACGTACAACCTCGTGATGTCAGTGGTAATCCCATAGCATTCTGGGTTCTAGCAAACTCTGCCCCTGAGCTAAATCTGGACGGCGAGATAGTAAGCATAATGGGGTCCATCACCGACATTTCGCAGTTTAAGTGGGCGCAAGGGCTGCATGAGACTCGCCTCCGAGAAGCCGAGGAGACGAAACGGCAACAGAATGAATTTATCGAGTAAGCACACACCACCAGTTCGTACACGTCAACTAATAGGAATACAGCATCACTTCTCACGAGATGCGCAACCCTCTCTCTGCCATTTTGATCTGCTCGGACGACATTCGAGACACTCTCGCTCAGCACACGTTCCGTGAAGCGGACAAAGGACTTATAGCAGACTGCATCGAAGCGGCTAACAATATCGCGCTATGCGTGCAACATCAGAAGTCCATCGTGGACGATATCCTGACTGTCTCCAAGCTCGACTCGAACCTTCTGCTCATCACACCAGTACCAGCGCAACCGCTTGCAGTTGTCCAGCGCGCCATGAACATGTTTAAGCCAGAGGTGCAGGCCAAGAATATCGACTTTATGTTCTATCCTGACCAGTCTATGGAGGATCTCAAGATTGACTGGGTTCTATTGGATCCAAGTCGATTGCTTCAGATAACGGTAAACCTGATCACCAACGCTATCAAATTCACACAAGCTGCATCGCAGCGTGCAATCTCAGTGCATGTCAGTGCGACTTCGGCTGAGCCTGACACATACGGCAAGAGATTTCAATTCGTGCCTGCAAGAGAAGGTCCTCTCCTAGATGTAACAACAGGTGAAGACTGGGGCACTGGCGAGCTACTCTATCTGCGAGTCGAGGTTCGGGACACTGGTTGTGGGTTGACGCCCGAGGAGAAAGACCTGCTTTTTGAACGGTTTGCGCAAGCATCTCCACGTACGCACGCACACTACGGTGGAAGCGGCCTCGGCCTCTTCATCTCGCGTCAACTTGCAGAACTACATGGTGGGCAGATTGGCGTGGCTTCTACAGCAGGCGTGGGGAGCACCTTCGGTTTCTTCATTCAGTGCAAACGCACCATCTCATCAAGCCGGCCAGTCACGCACCGAACATTGACCAGCCAGAGCACAGATCACGCTGAAAAGAACAAGGACCTAGCAGCATCGGTATCAGGAATGGACATTAAGCCGCCCAAGCCCGCGGAGATACTGGCCAAGACACCAGGTACCGCGATATCACCAGCTACAGCATCTAAAGATGCGAAATCCCCATCCCCAGATTCCGGACCTCTTCATATCCTTGTTGTAGAAGACAACATCGTCAATCAGAAGGTCCTTGCCAAGCAGCTTCGCAAAGCCGGCTGCATCGTCTCCACGGCCGACAATGGATTCTTCGCGCTCACCGAACTCAAAAAGACAGCATACTACACGCCCGACGGCCCACCACTGTCTATCATTCTCATGGACTGGGAGGTAAGTCGCGAACTCTAAAAGTTCCTGCGCAGAGCGACAAACACAGGCTAATTGCTACAGATGCCAGAGATGAACGGGCTGGAGTGCGCACGGGAGATCCGGCGTATGCAAGCCGAGGGCGAGATCGAAGGGCATGTGCCTATCATTGCAGTCACGGCAAACGTGAGAGGTGAGCAAATTGCAACGGCGCGGGAAAGCGGAATGGATGATGTTGTCAGCAAGCCTTTCCGGGTGCCAGAGTTATTGTTGAAGATTAAGGATTTATTGAACAGCTTTAGTAACGCATGAGGATCAGATGTAAAAGCATACATATAGCGGGAAGTACAGGCGGCCTTCTGGCGCGATGAGCTTCGCAAAAGCCATACCCATTTGCTTTGAAAGCGCGTTTACGGGTGGAGCATTAGAGTCGTGCATAAGACAGCGTTGAGAAGAGTTCTATCGCATTCATTGGCGTCGGAGTATTAGACTCATTTCTTTGTTATAGTGGATCGCGCGGTTGATTTTCCAGATGCTCTAAAAGCGGTTTCACTTCGTGGCCACTCTATCGCAATCCACCTCGCAGTTTCTTGCCTGAGCCCAAAGTGATACCGGAAAGTCAGCTTTCTCATCTCCGTACTTGCAGGGCGCCCGGAATTCTGACAGTGAGAGAAACTCAGTGTGATTTATCGCAGTTGTAATCGCAAATGACGCGGCAAAACTTGTCTTGCTGAGAGAGCAGGCACTCGCAAGCCTTCTTGCACAACAGAGCGCCCTCACAGCCCTGCATCATATGTTAGCAAGGAACCACAGGACTGTAAAGGCATCGACCAGCTCCACGAGATACTTACCTTGAGGCACCCTGCTATCCGACCAGGACAGTCTTTGCAGGTGGTTTTATCGCCACCGGCGGTTGCGGTAGCAACGAGTAAGGTGAAGAGAACGATGTGGTGAAGACGGAGGAACATAGTTGCGACCAGGAAGGGGGTGTCTGAGATGTTCGGATTCTTGAGAGGTTGGGAAGTAGAGAATAGCAGTGCGCAGGACGGAGGGAGAAAATTTTTATATAGAAGAAGTCTTTGATCTTCAGGGTCTAAGGCGCAGACAAGTGAAGGGCGCTCAGGGTTTGGGATTTCAGTGAAGGCAAGTTCGCCGTGCATCAGGCTGGTACCATGGAAACAGCTAGTATGAAGACGCGAGCATACTTCACGATAATGTTACCGATTTCCACGAGGTCGGTGATGTTCAACAGCTTCAAGATGATCGATCCTGAGGTATTGGCAATCAAAAGTCCATCGCATATTCTGTGAGGAAATGAACGTAGCGCTTTCCATCAACCTCTATCATTTTGCCAATCTTGTAGTCGTACATTGCGATATGGAAAATGGCTCGTACCGGCTCTTAACACTGCTTCAACGATCCATCTTATCTTCTAAGAACGTAGAGCCGATCAGCACGAATCGTCCACCAGACTCATTACAAGGTTAACTCGAGAATATCCAGTCATAGGGGCCATGATGTATTAGTAAAAATTACTTCGAATCCCTTCCCCCACTCCCTCCGAGGGCATACAGCTCCCTCGGCGTTCCCGCACTATTGCAGCTCGCAAACTTCCACCATGCCCAATTCCAGCTGCCTGCCACATTCACAAGTCCCCACCTGACTGGTGCCGGCATCGGCGGCCAGTTAGCCCACTTGCCCTCCTCATATGTGGCGTCCAGGTTCATCAGGAAGAACGGCACAACATCTGTTGTACCAGCTTTGGTAACAGTCTTCTTGCCCCAGGCTTTGAAAACGACTACCGCTTGGTCTGATTCCGGTGATCCTAACACTGGTGCGGACGGCAAAGAGGCGAAGGAGGATATGTGCGTGATCTCGGAGTGGAAGTGGTGCTCGAACGGGACTTGGAAGGTGAGCATGATACTGCACAGTTCCTTGCCGTCGAAATGTGCAGGAGAAGCAAGATGCGACAAGTAAATTTCGTATTTGCCCAGGCCTTGGAGGAAAGACTCGTGTTCCTTGTGAGTCTCTTCCCAGATCTCGTTGTCCTGTCCGTGGAGTACTTCGGCCACTTTCGGGAACAGCTCCGCTTCTTCGTCGTCGTGGTGTGATTTTACGAATTTGAACCATGTCAGAGCGTATCCGATGAAAGCCTCCTTATCCTCATTTCTAACGTGTGGGGCTTGTAGAAAAATGGAATTATAGCCGCGCAGAATGGCATTGTGGATATGAGCCATATGCGTTGCACCGGTTGTGAAGATGTCTGTCTTGTCCGTGGCATACAGTGGTGTAGTGATAAGCTTGCATGGATGATCTGCCCACGAGTTCTTGGTTGGTGGTGTTTTTACGGTCATCATGAATGGTGCTCGTCCAAGAAACAGAGCGATTAAAACAACTTGAAGTATTAGAATGAGGGCGAACTGATTTGTGCGAGACATCGCAGATGTCGCACTTTCAGTCTCAACATCTCAGCATCTTTATGTATTATCACGCTGACTGACGGAGGTGCAGGGTTGAATCGCGAAGGTGATAGTGGTGTGATCTGGTCAGACCATATGGCGGTGCGCTGATTGGCCTGTGTTTCACGTCAAGGGCTGCACGCTCCGACACCACCGTCTTTCAGGATATACATGGAATTGATAGGTGCCTTGTCGTAAGATGTAAGAATTGCTCATCCTCCAACGACATCTGCGTGCATTGTGCGGTAGACTGTCGTCAATACTCCCCAGACCAGAAGGTGAGCGAGCCGAGCCGCTGCGGTCAACCAGCGCAGCAAGCCATTGCTTACCATGCAGAATTTATGTGAAGATAGTGGCCGGCACTTGGTATCGTTCACGACCTGCGCGTGCAGCGAATTGCCTACACAACCCAACCCTTCATCGCTGCCCATTCCCGACCGCCCCAACCACCATGATCCCTGGGTCGAACTCTGAATGGCTTTATGTTTTCATAGTTCCCAGTCATCAACAGCTCCCATTGATCGCCGTATGCGAGGCCGTAGAACCTCATGCCATACCTGGATCCATCTTCCTGAGCGGGGGTAAGACAACGCTGGTCACATGATAGATCGAGAGCCGTACTGATTCGCAGATCGTACGAGTTGCCAAGCTTCGCGAGTGTGTCCAAAGAGGGCTCCGGTAGCTCGTTCATGAGAGCGAGTACTTCAATATCCGCGGCGTCGAAATCTGCTGCAGTTGGTGCAGGCTCTGGTCTGTACACTTGGGCTGGTGGGGGCCAGTTAAAGACATTGTCAACAACCAATTTGGATGGTTCGGCAGGCTTGGGATAGCATGAGGTTTTTCTATGCGCCTCGTGTATCGGCGCAGGGGGTGTCCAATGCGCATCGTCTGGGTAGATGTCTGCGACTGATGGCATAGGACCCTGATCTATGCGCTTCGCTCGCGATGCGCGCCGAGAAAACCGCCTACTCGATGGGACGCGCTCATGGTGTCGATAAGAGGCTGAAGATGCTGAGCTTCGACGGTGTTGATGCTGGAAAGTTGACGGGCCCATGGGGATGGAGATCGCTTCGTTAGGAACCGGCACATCAACACGGTGGCGTGTAGGCGTCTCCGCCTTCTGATTCGACTCAACGTCATGCTGTGGACGGTTTACCTCCACGTTCTGGTGAGCAAAGGCCTTGCTTGGAGAGACGGGCGCAAAGGCTGGGGGTGCAGGTGGAATAGCCAACTCTTGATTCTGTAGGAATTCGGCAAGCCCTTTTGCCGTGAGAGGCTTATCGAGTGCCCAACCAATCAGCTCTCCATACAGTTCGCCTGGACGCGCCTGCGAGGTTTGCGACTTGTGAGATGCTGATGGAGATACGACGTCGTCAGTCTCAGCCTTCGCTGCCGGAAGACCCAGTCCGGTACTCAGTTCGTTGAGGCCCACCATGGTGTAGCTCGGCCGAGGGTGCTGCGCCGAGAACGTGAACGGGGGCAAACTAGAAGGTGAATTTGCAGCAGCCTCAGTGGCTCGAACTTGTCCTGGGTCTGGCGCGTAGGTTGCTCGAGTATCTCGAACGTCGACATGGTCTGTCTCTATTAGCACAATCGTGATCGAGGGATGTGACTGCTACTCCCCTTCTAGCTTCTTTACCAGAGCCTGGGCTTCCGGAGATAGAAAGGCTTCCAGATGGACTGGCGTTGGTCTCAAAGGATCGCTGTGGTAGGGTGGGTTTAGACTTCCTTCGCTACGAAATGGTGAGTCTGTAGCAAATAGGTTAGATGTTTTCCAATCAGAAGCTTTGGGGCACGCTACAATTGAACATTGGCGCCATTGGAAACGTTGGGCGTGTGATTCCTACTGTTGTAGGCGAGCCCAACTCAGTGTGATGCGGAGTCAGAGAGCTGGACCCTGGACTGAAGGTGGCAGCTTTGGGGTTAAACGACGTTGCTCGCTGCCGTAGCACTGAAATGGGGCGATCCATGTTGCTGACGTTACTATATACAGTTATTAGTAGACCGCCTTTGAGACTTGGATGATGGCACAGCTCGTACATGTGTGCACACTTACGCTAATAGTTCATTATACAGCCACCTGATGAGAGGGAGCGGCAAACGAACCTGAAGCGATCTCAACGGTCACGTATGAATGCGACTGACACTTCGTGAACAATTGCTGCAGATATGTTGGAGATGTGGCGATGAAGAGAAGGTGACTTAGACTTGAGGACGTAATATATGGCGCCCAAGGAAGCTTGACCGTCGCTTCTATTGAACAATAGCTAGAACATCCGAGGTGAAAGAGTCGGAGGTCAAACGGGTGCTGGAGGCAATTACCGTTGCGAGGGTGACGGTAGATCGAACAAATAAATGGGCGACGCCCACCAGCTGCCCTTGGCGTCGCAGTTTCATCGAGCGATGTGCGGATGTGGCTCGTGTCCGTACCGTGACTGTTCGCTTTCACTCCCATTGCTGCTTGTGCTACTCACAAAAGGGACAGTGGCGCCTCGCGTTGTGGAACACCCTCTCACCCATCTGCGCTTTCTTACCACAACCAGTATTGAGCCACCTCCCACTTACGGCATGCATCCCGAGAAAATCGCGAGCAGATGTAAACACAGCATACATCCTTCTAGTTCACTTCGCACACCCTCGTGCCCTCGATGCGTCACCTCCACAGCTCAAGCGGACCTTGAGCAGATTCGAACGGAGTTCGAAGCTGAAGGAGGGGTAAACGCGCCCGCGCGTATGCGCAATCAAGCCTGGAATATAGCGCGACTTCGATGGATCATGATAGAGCGTCGAGCAAAGAAGACAATGGAGTATGACCGATTGCGCCAAGAACGAGAAGGAGCTTGGGAAGAAGCGCACCGACAGTACCTGGTCCAAGAACAGCCTTCACTCGATGGTGTATCTGATCCAGCTTGCGAGGTGTGTATTGCACGGAAGAAGCCTGACTGGTCGTACGCAAAGCCAATCGTGCCTCTAACAAGAGCGTGGTGGGAGCGAGAGGGCGCGCTTGTGGTTGACCAGATTATCATGCCTGGAACGTCTGATAAAACGACAAGTAAACAGCGCCCACCAGAAGCGCAGTCGAAGCACCCGTCATATCTGCGCGATCTCATACAGAGCTATCGGAGCTTGAGGACTGTCTCTGATATCCACAGACGGTCATGGGAGAACCATTGCAAAATCGATAGAGCTGTCCGCCGAAAGTACGACCTGGATGACGACTTCGATATTCATCCTGGGTTCTTGGCTCTTCCGATTCCAGCCTCACATGCCAGATACCATCATACGCAGACCCAGAACGACTTGTTTGCAGGCGAGCGGCGTGCCAATAGGCTCAAGCGACGCAAAGAAAACTACAAGCCCTCTCGTAGCTCACTTGCTTTGTCCGAACTGGCTGATGCCGTAGATTTGAGCGAGACCGAGCTTGATAAGTTGAGATTGGCGGAGGAAGTTGCGAAGCTCCAACGATTGACGAACGTTGTTGCAACTGAAGTGGGGTTCTTGTATCTGGTAGGGGACACTGATCTCTTTAAGAAGTGGAAGGCCGACGTGGAGCAAAGTAATCTGTCTTTGATCTACCGAAAAGAGGGGCCGGCTATGGAGGGACAGTCGGACGGGGATCACGGTGCAGAGGACGAAGATGAAGACGAAGATGAAGACGAAGCGTTTTAGCGTGGAAGGCGTCAAGTACGGAGAACACTGTAGACAAAAGCAAGGGATCGTGAAATAACAAACCGTTCAATTACCAATTAGTGTTGTACTATGTCGAGCCGCATAAATATATATAGGAAGGACTGTCGAGAAGATGGAGCAGTCGTCACGCTAGCGAGTGTCTCAGGCGCGTCATCTGCTTGGCGCGAATCCAGTCTTCAGCTTTTTGTCCAACTCGTCCACGTCGCTCCTGCAGCCAGCGCTGCTACTACCCGACAAGATGGGCAAAGGAACCGACAAACTTTACATCACCCACTCCGAATGGTCCTCCGCCGACTCCTTCGGTAACGCGCGCGGCGCCAACGGCGCAAACCGAGCCTCCGCTGCTGGTCTCTCTTCAACCTTCAAGCGTCTCCCATTCAACTACTGCGCCGTCTCACTACAACCTTTTACAGATCCTGTTTGTACCGTCTCTGGTACGATCTTCGACCTCACCCACATTCTTACCTGGCTTGCAAAGCATCCCGACACGAATCCCGTCGATGGCACACCGTTGAAGCGCGCAGACCTGATCACCCTCAACTTTTCAAAAAACGAAGACGGCGAATACATTGATCCAGTGACCTTCAAAGTTTTCACGGATAACACTCACATTGTTGCGCTCAAGAAGAGTGGGAATGTGTTTGCATGGGACACAGTCGACAGGCTGAACATCAAGGCGAAGAACTGGCGAGACCTGGTCAGCGATGATGAGTTCACACGGAAGGACATCATCACACTACAGGATCCCCAGAATATCGACTCGCGAAACTTCGGCGCATACAAGCATGTACAGGAGGGCGAGACCGTCATGCCGGGCTCTGAGAGCGGCGTCAATAAGGAAGCGCTAGGCAACGCTGCAAAGATCTTGAAGGCAAAAGAAGCGGTTGCGAGAGCACGCGCTGAACGGCAGGCGAAGGCGCATGGCGCCCAGCCCTCGAAGGCCATTACGACGGTACCAAAAAATGGCACATCGACGCCCATGGCGACAATGGCACCGAAGAAGCCCGCCTACAACGCTGCTGTGTATACATCCGGAAAAGCTGCAGCTTCGTTCACGTCGACTGGTGTCACGCCACATACCTCTGGCGAACGTGCTCTCCTCTCGGACGAAGACTACATGCTAAAGCCAAAGCGCGTGAAGCAGAAGGGTTACGCGCGCATGTCCACATCCTTGGGCGACCTCAACATCGAGCTGCTCCCCGAGCATGCGCCCAAAGCCGTGTGGAATTTCGTCAAGCTTGCACAGAAGGGTTACTACAAGAACACCATCTTCCACCGCAATATCAAAGGCTTCATGATCCAAGGTGGCGATCCCAGCGGCACTGGTCGAGGTGGACAGAGTGTGTGGGGCAAACCCTTTGAAGACGAATTCGAGGGTCCAAACCTGCACAACGCGAGGGGCATATTGTCTATGGCGAACAAAGGCAAGAACACGAACACATCACAATTTTTCATAACATATCGCGCGGTACCACACCTCGATCGCAAACATACCATTTTCGCACGTGTCGTTGGAGGGCTTGATACGACTCTAAGGTCGATGGAGCTCGCAGAAACAGGCGAGAAAGACAAGCCGGTGAACGATATCGAGATTTATGACGTTGTTGTCTTTGTTGATCCTTTTGAGGAGTGGCAGAAGGAGCGCAAGGACAAGGAGACGAAGGATGAAGAGGACGCTGAAATCAAGAGGCAGGGCGGCACAGCAGATGACAAGACAACATGGACCGGTAAGCGGATACGCGCCGATGGCACTATCGATGGTGGTGATGGCGACGGGTTAGGTGTAGGCAAATATCTCCATGCGGCGAAGCAAGAGATCATTGACCAGGGTGGCGATGACGAGGTTTTGGAGTACGTGGACGACGAAGAGGACCTTGCGCCGCCGCCAAAAAGGGCAAAAACAGGCGGTTTTGGCAACTTCGATGCATGGTAAGCTTGCGTGGAGCTTGACACGGCCAATTTACATAAATGATACCCCAAATGAAGCAATCACGAGCATCGCATGTGGCGGGGCGATGCCTTTATACGTCGATCAATCTGAAGTCAGCAATCCACCTTCGAAACAAAGGTGTTCATGCAGAACGTGCTTGAACATGTCATCTGGGGCTGTCGAAAGCTACCACGCCCGATAGATGAATCAGCTATATGACGTGTTTCGACGATTGACAGGGCAGCCGCGGTTAGTGATGTTCATAGACATGCAAGCGGTCAACACAGGCTGAGTTTTCACGCAACTTTCCAAGGCAATTGCATTCGTACAAGCTGCACAAGAGTGACAAGACTTGGGGATCAAAGCTTTGCCAGCTCTTGACGCTGCGTGCGAATCAATACCTTTCTTGTGCAACGCAACTGAGGCGGTACCTAGCCCCGTGTAACGCCTAGCCAGCCAATGCGGTGTCGGTATCGCCCAGCGCTAGACCCTGGCCCATCAAGGCTGTTTCAGAATTGCCCATCATTCGCCGTCCTGCGACGGGCAGCGCACCTCACAAACCTATTGAGCGCGTGGTCGTGGTCTTGGCCATGCGCCATACTCCCTCCGCGATTAGGTTTACGGAGTCGCGCGTCCAGCGCAGCCTTCCCTGTAGATGTGCCTTAAAGACGAGCCACCCGCGGCATCGCCTTGGGCCGGCGTCGAGGCGGAGTGTCTATCAACGACCTCAAATGGTATGACTGACGGTACATCGCACTTTCGCACTTTCCTTTTCTGCTCCGCTGCTTAGAAGACGCTGTGCGTCATATCTATCTGTGCTTTACACACTCTCCTTCAAATCAGCTTCCTTGCGCCGGCCGCAACCGACCCCTCTCGTGTTTCAGTCACTCTCTTACCTTGCAGCACTCGAACTCGGCGTCGCGTGTAGACATTTGGCTTAGGTCACATAAGCTCTCCCTTCACTCTTGTACCTGTCAAGACAGTACGTCAGCAATTGTCGGCTGCCTTTCACCAAGCACCATCTTCACCGCGGGAGGAAAGAAGAACACCGGATTTCGTCACGCGGCAACCTGCAAACGGCGAGTACGGACATTCATTTATACGGTACCGGGTACCAACGCATTACGAAACTCTATATCGCGACAGCGCACGTCTCAGGACACCTTTACTGCGATCACTTCATCCCACACCACTCGTCTTAGGCGTAGCCGCTCTTCGACTTCCACCAAGCATTACGCACCTGTTGCGCAACACTCAACAAAGAACACTCAGGCGCTCCTTGAGCGCATTGCCCACCCACAAGCGCTCGACCCACTAGTTTGTTCGACACAAGCATCGCAATGCACACCTCTTCGCTGAGTGCAGCCATATACGGCGTCCTGTTCGTTGGCCTTGCAGCTGCGACAGGCGGCGAAATATCCCTCTCGAACTTCACACCCCGCATCGACAACCTACCCACACAGTGCAAGACCGTCTACAACACCAAAATCGATGCCTGTGTTTCCTCGGACTTTACTCTAGGCGCGACCTGCAGCTCGGGCTGTTTGGCTGGGCTTGCAAAGATCGCAACCGCGGTCAAGACCGGATGCGTGGGTGTCGATGTGGGCGAGACTTCGATCATCGGGGTCTTCCAGAACAACCTTGGGGTTGCCGCGCTCTGCCCCAACAACAAGCAGTCTTCGTCTTCGACAAGCTCTAGCTCCCCGGCGACGACCAGCGCAACTCTGCAGACGAGCACAAGAACATCAGCACCCGCCACGACCACCGCAGCGCCTTCCACAAGTACAGTCCGACCTTCAAGTGCATCATCATCTGGCCTGAACCTCGACACGACTGCGACCCTCGCAACATCGACTACCATCGCAGCGCCTACAAGCAGCGCGACGATTGGAACCGGTGTCAACAGTCAGCTATCGAACTCAGACTCCGGAGGCGGTTCGCCGTTCGACGTCGTGGCCACCGGTGCTGCCCCGCAACTGCACCTGACCAAGACTGCGTTGTCAACACTATTGGCATCCATCCTTCTTGTGGTGTTGGCATGAGCACCAGGCCGGCCTTGACGATTCACTGTTTTTTTTGCTGTCTTGCATGAAGGCTACAAGTCTATGATCTGGCATGGCGTTCGGGGTGGGAAATGATTTGTTCAATATACCCAGGCAGCGGTAAAGACCGCTCGAGTACGATAGAGACTGCTGAGGAGGATGGCATGTCAAGACGTTGGCGACAATACTTATGTGAAACGTGTTTGCATGTACCAAAGCTGGCCATGAAAACTTCGACATGAATGAATGAATAACAATCCGTACCATGACTCCCTTGCTTCGTCCGGACGTTCACCTCAAATGTAGCTTCTGACATCATCGTCCATTTGTCCAAAGATCACCTCCACCTCCTGACGATCAATCGTGGTCCCCGCAGCCCGCAGCTTGCCAGTCGCATATCCGTGCGCGCTTGCCTGCAGCCACCAATCGCTAGCCAAGGCAGCCGCAACCCCAGACGACGTAATCACCTGCGCACAACTTGTGCTCTCGTGCCTAACCCCGCTATGCAGGAACACAGTCGCGGACGGTAAAAGATGAGGAAGACGATCCTGTTGTGTTTTATCCACGGCTTCAAGGTACGTATTCCTTACGCTCTTACGTCATTGCGTGCGTGCGAGATTGACCAAGGTAACAGGGCGGCGACGATACGTTCGGTGAGTCCGAGATCGCTGCATCCACACCAGATGGCAGGATTGAGTGCAGAGATTACAATGACAGTGCCTAACCAGTCTAGGGAGCTTCCCTTCGCACCTCAAGGCCCTCCTACAGCACGCGCTGCCCAAGACCACAATATTATCCATCACATATCCCAAGTTCGACACGAGAGGCGATCTCCATGAGTGTGTCGGGCGCTTCAAAGAATGGCTACAGAACAAGGTCATCGACCTCGAGGTCGCCAACTCGACGCCTTCGCCTACGGTTGATCCCTCAGTCCACACGATCCTTGTGGGTCACTCTATGGGTGGCATCGTCGCAGCCGAGACCCTCTTAAGCATCATCGGTGAGCAGCCGGTACCTTCGCTGCAGAATTCACAGATCCAAGACCGATCCACCGGCTCACTCCCTGAGACCTCGACTCTGATGTTCCCATACATACAAGGCATCCTCGCATTCGATACACCGTACCTGGGTATTGCGCCTGGCGTGGTAGCACATGGTGCGGAGAAGCATTGGAACACTGCGAGCTCGGCATATTCTGCATACAGCAATCTTGCCGGCGCATTCGGTTGGGGTCAGAAGGACAATGCTGCCGCCACTGTCGATGCAAGCAAGAGGCTACCTGCGCCCAGCTCGACGGGTGACGCCGCCTCAGCGCCGCTTTGGCAGCGATACGGCAAAGTGGCTATGTTTGCCGGAGCCGCAGGTGCGATTGCGGCGGGAGGCGCTGCGGCTTACATGAAGCGAGATGAGATATCGCAGGGCTGGCAATGGGCGACATCGCATCTTGAGTTTGTAGGATCGTTAGCGCGGCCTGAGGAGTTGAAGAAACGTTTGGCTGCTATTGTGAAGCTCTCTGAAGATCACAGCCTGGGATTTGCGAATATTTACACCACGCTCGGCCACGCTGTCGATGCTAAGAAGGGGGAGTCCTGGACTGGAAAGGTCGCGGGGAGGGACCGTACATTCTGCAACATTCCCAAGGGCGAACTGCGGAACTACTTCATCTCTGCTGGTAACGATAAGGTAGAGATGGAAACACTAGCGCATGTGGGTATGTTCAACGCCAGGAGCAATCCTGGCTACTACACGCTGAGCGAGGTTGCAAAAGAGCAGATCATTGATTGGGTGGAGAATGAGTGGTACCACGAGAGTGAGGGACCACTGAATAAAGAGGACGAAGAGGAAGCAGAATTGGTGATGAAGCCTGACGTCGAAGAGGTGCTGGGGACTGAAGACTTGGATGAGGATTTCGAGCATGTGAAGCGTGCAGCAAGTGCAGAGCTGAGTGACGAAGAGCACAGGGACGGCAAGAAACAGGAATTGTGATTATTCTGAAAGGAACGCGCGACGGGTGTTCAGTGAGTTCAGTATACCCCTTAACGAATTCACCACCCTTTGACGAAAGACTTTTTTCCCACCGCACAATCATGTCTCGCATTCATGAGTGATGTCGGGAGTCGACACTCACTTGCAGGCCATCACGTCCACAGGTGTTCACCGATTTTTTAGTGACATACAGCCCTCACAGTGTGGTTCAAATAGGTATAAAGTCATTTATCGTACCAACACTCAAGGCCATACCTATAGCACAGAACGAGAATTCAACGCAGATAAGCACTATGTGCACCATGACCGAGAGTAAAATAATTCAGATCCTCTTTCAGAACACCCCTCAATGCCCAGAAAATCCTACACCAATTTCAAGCCCCATCTGCCAACCTCGTCCACGGCCGCGACCACCAACACGACCGCGGCCGAATGGCCCAACGCCAGTCGGTTGGTACTAAATTCATTCCCATTGTCCACCTTGATCATCACGTTCGTGCCGCGCGCCGCCTTCGACTATATGGCACTGAGAAGAGAGTACGTGCGTCGTTGCTGGCATGACGAGTATTCACGCAAGGTGAAGGAGGGTTTCGTGAAGCTGTTGCATAACAGCGTGGTGAATGCAGTGAGTATGGGCAAGTGGAGTGCGTGCATGAACCTTGATGCAACTGTTCACAAGATTATACAGCATTAGTATGTCTTTTCATCCTAGAATAGATCCTTCCTGTCTCACGCACATCTTCAAAACCCTGCACAGTTTGCCATCTCTACCACCTTGTTGCCCGACTAGTACGTGATGACTGCATGGGTAAATGCAAGCTCTGTGCGTGTGTGTGTGTGTGTGTGTGTGTGTGTGTGTGTGTGTGTGTGTGTGTGTGTGTGTGTGTGTGTGTATGTAGGCACAGAGACAACCCTCTAACATTACGTGAAACGTGCCTGGCTCTAGGACAGATCTGGTAATATGTACTCGGTAACCGTGAGAGAGCACAGCATCAGTTGCTGTTTCTATCACAGATGTATCAGGTCGTACCTGCCTACATCGACTTGATCCGTTGATAGACCCCCTCGTCGTCCCTCATCTGTGATCTCGAACACTCTCGCCAGATCTACCTCGCCGCCACGCATATTCAACCTTGCATCACTGCAGACTCACCACTCGCCCCTGGTGTATATTTCAGTATATCGGTCGGGAGATTCGATCGAAGGAAATGTGATCCTCATACCCAAACAAAGTATGAAACCAGACAGCATACTCGTATCATTACTAGGTCGGTCCACCGTTTTCGCCAGTGTTACAATCAACACGACATGCGGTTCTTCAACGCGAATCTGGATTGACAAGGCTCCCATATTGGAGTTGACCAAAGAGTCCTTGGCGGGGTCAAAGGGAGAATCTCTCGAGCCCGGGGAATCCTACAGTTTCCCTTTCACCTTCTGTATCCCTGTCAGTACTTCTGCTATCCGTGACAGTTACAGGAAATCAGACGATCAGCGCTGGACCACGGAACCTCATGTCTTGCCACCGACGTTCTGGGAGTCGATGTCCGCTTCGAGTGGGGGCAATTTCGCAAGAATTGACTATGGCATCAGAGCTACAATGATTTGTCCAGGCATCGGTACTGTCAATCACAAGACCTTACATGATTTGACTGCGTCAGAAGTGGTCATGCTGGCGTCCAGTGACCATGAAAGAGAAGATACATGCTCAGTAACCTTGTTGAGCCGCTCAGCCACATTCGCTATCAGATCGAGTACCCTTACAAACGGTCAACGCGGGACTACGAGTATTCATCGGCGACTACGGAGCAAGTTAAGATTGGACGCACCAGCAGCGGACGTCCGAGTTTTGGTTGAAATGCCTGATGTAGTGAAAGCGGGTTCGGACGCTCAGTTCAAGATGTTGTCCACGTTTGTCAACAAGTCACCAGATGACAAGCACACGCCGACAATCCAGATCATGGTCTTGGAGTTATCTCTAAGAAGCATCACATACATGCGATCTCCCCCCTGTTTTGGGTACGCACATTTAATGACGTCCTAGTCATAGCTGACCATGTAGATACGCAATGGTTGGCTCGATGCATGAAGAACGTCAATTTTTCGCGAAGAATCCTAATGAACCATTGACAGAGCATCGAAACTCAGGGCTCTACCTGCAAGCTGATCTCAATGGCTCCGTGAAACACAGAATTTCTCTCACCGCAGTTCCATGCTTTGCCACATTAGTCTCAGAGGACTTTTCAGCCAGAGGGTTGGTAGATACAGAAAGTGCGAGCAAGCGCGAATTCTGTTTTACAGCCCGCATTCCTGAGACTTTACCAGCAAGTTTCAAGTCGTACGCAGTTTCCAGAAGTTACTGTGTTGAGATGAAACTCAAAATCGACGTGAATGGAAAGAAGCTCAAGCTGAAAACAAAATTCGAGCTGCGAGGGCTGGAAAGTGGGTGTGCACTACAAGGTCCTCCAAGCCTAAAGGGACATTCACAGGCGTACACTTGAGAAGTACTGTCATGTCTCATTTGTTCGTAAGTCGTTATGTGTCCCACTTAACCCTCCCACACGCTTGTCTCTTATAGTCTCTATTAGACTCGTAGCGCGTTCACATTCGTCTTCAAGAACGCATATGAATCCGCTCTGAAGTTATCGTCCAACTGTCCATTGCTGTTCGCCTTGAACTCAATCAACTTTTTACTCGTGCTCCACTGCGGCCAATTCGGCAGTGAGATGCCCACATTGGGATCCAGATCGTAGATGAAGTTGTAGTAGTAAGCTCTGATCGATTTTGCTGCGTTGTTTGGCAAGATGCCATAGAAGACCTGTAGCAAATCTGAGCCGTGAAACGTGCCCAAAATCGGGGTTCCGTAATCGTACGTCGCAAGGTACGACCACGATTTGACGCCCGGGTTCACCTGGGAAGCCACCTCAAGGAACACGCGGCGTGTAAGGGTAAAGGTCAGGTCTCCAAGAATTGCGGACACGCGCTTGAATTGCGGGTACAGGTTATTCAGCAGACCCGTGCGGAAGGGACTTCCGTCCTCGATGCCGTTTTGGTAAGTCCCGACAAGCTGGTCGATCTGTGAAGGCTGTGCATTCTGGAAGAAGATAGTTGAGAGGTATGTAGACACCTCGCGGGTGGTCGTCAGATTTGGAGTGAAAAGGCCGAAAAGGGTGCCTTCGTCTTCTTGGTCGCCGATAATGAAAGGAACTTTGGCGTATTTGCCAGATGCAACGAGGAGTTCGGGGGACTGGGTGATGGATCTGCCATCTGGACGGGGCAGGTAGGAAAGATTGACGGTGAAGTAACTGAGGATACCTGGAACGGAGTTTGCTGCCTGGAGATACTTGTTGTACGGGACCTGTCGGAGGCACGTAAGTGTGTCGGCAGAGCCAGAGCAGCCTGCAGCACTGACAACCTGGAAACATGTCAGAAGAGGCAGATTATAGGTGGAGGGAAAGCATACTGTATCGTAAATCAGCTGTCCTTTCGGGCAGTCGACGGGATCCGCAGGCACGATCGAGCCACTGTTCATAATGCCGCCCCTGAACAGCGGCTTGCCCTTGTAAGTGTGGTCTCCATTGTACAGAAGCATCTGATCCATGACTGAGATTGCACCGGCGCTCTCACCCCAGATAGTGACTTTGTCAGGGTCGCCTCCAAAAGCTGCAATATTTTCTGCGACCCATTGCAGACCCAGTCGCTGATCCAGCAGACCCAGATTGGAAGATCCATCTGCAAGAATCTCTTTGCCAGGAAGAAAGCCGAAACCTCCAACGCGATAGTTGACAGCCACAAATATGACGGGCTTGCCTTGGGCAACTGAGTCTGCTACAATAGATGTGCCATCGTACATGGCCGTTCTAGCACAAATAGTTAGGATAAAACGTAGGGCACCCTTTGAGCATGCACACTCACCCGCCGAGTTCGAATCCTCCACCAAAGATCCAAAAGAGCACCGGCAGTTTGGCACCTGCCGCGGTACCTGCTGGCCGCTGAACATTTATGGTCAAACAGTCCTCTCCAGCGTTACTGACAGCTTGGAACAGCGGCGTGTTCAAGATCGTGCCAATGACGTTGGTGGGGAATGCCGATTGATCCACAGAGAAGAAGAATTGAGGGCAGGCTCTGGCACTACCAGTCCCATCAACTGTGCCAAGTCCAGAGGTTAATGGCTGTGGTGGCTTGAGTCGAAGCTGTCCGACCGGGGGTTGGGCGTAGGGAATCGCATTGAAGGACTCTACGTTGGAAGCGCTCTTGCCGAGTACTGTTGCTTGAGGGGAAGGCGCAACGACCGTAGGCCCAGCGCGTTTTTCAACATGAGCCGGAGCAGCGAAAGCAAGGGGCAAGAAGGATAGAAGAGCGACCAGCTTCATTGTGAATCAGCGATGCCCAAGGCGTGGTTTTCCTGTGTAAAGGCGAACCGCTTGATGTGATGGCAAGCTGAAGCTCACTATCTAGGTTTACACCAGGCTTAAGTATGGCAACCACGATATCTTCACGAGCCAAATACCTCAAACTTTCCTCAGGCTGTTCGGCATGTAGACGGAGTTGCGAGATTCAGGTGACTGGGTTCCACAAGCAAATCCTTACATTTTCCGTAGGTGCAGATAATCCCAGCTAGCGAGGCTTCGCTCTGGTCGTTGTTTATTGAAGATCTGCTCCATTTTCGGGTCGTGAGCTTCAATAGTGGTCCGGAAATGTCCATTCGGTATGGACATGGACTGGTCGACCTATAGAATTACGCTATAATCCGGGGCTGCCAGGGGTAGTAGGTAAAGGGCGCGGCGGAAAGAACAGCGCTCTAGCGTCAATGTACTAATTGTGTAGGTCATGAGGCACTCCCGCTGCTGTCCATCGGTGAGATTGCCTGACGAATCATGGCAACACGTACCTACATTGGCGCTTCGTCAAGAGTGCTACTTGCGGCTAGCATACCAAGCGATACGTTCGTCTTCGTTGTCCACACTTGATTCCCAGTAATCATTGAGGTTGGCGTTGACTGTGACTGCGAATGTGCGGTGACAGCATTACGTGCAGGCCAATCTAAAAGTGCCGAGCTCACCGTACAGGATACGGCTCCTCCAGCCTAGTATCTGGACTTGGATCCGTTCACGCGGAGCGAAATCTCGGAGGTACCTCGAATTAGGTATACTGACAGCCCTAGCCGTCGGTGTTGTTGCCGCTCAAAGGCTCCTGGTACTTTGCGGAGAGGTGAAATGCGGGGTATCGATAACGCGAGTCAGCCTTCTCACCACACCCACCATCGAGGACGCTCGTATCCAGCGAATACAAAAGCACGTCTGAGCCTCGGAAGTACATCGAGATCGACATTTCCACACTGAATCCCATGTGAAGAACGTTAAACAACGCAGCACTATCGAAATATTGCTTTACGGTGGCTTTGACAGGGCTAAGAGAGTCTGTCCGGAAGGCCTCGCCAGCCAGAGCGAAATTTATCCGCAGTGAGTATTGAAGACGATAGTAATCGCCAAGACCGGGTTCTCATCGGCTTGCTGGGCAGCATTGCACGACGTGCTGCACGAAAACATGCCGCTGGCACGGAACTCTAGCCAGCAAGTAGGCAGGTACAGACTGAATGAGTTTTTGGTAAAAAGCAGTCGAGAACGAGGTAGTTGTACATACCTACTACCAAAGCTGCCAATAGGAAGCATACGGTTTTGGTGATGTGTGCCTGAATTTTGGCTCTGGGGCCGTAGAGCTGCTTTGGCGCCCTCACCTGACGAAGCTAAATCGTCACTCAAAGTGGATCCGTACTCTTGCTCCAGCCACGCCTCGACCATGACAAACCATCAAAGCAGGACCTGAACACATCATTGGAATACGTGTCACTGCCACAGTATCTGTGAAAAGGTATTGTTACTTTGACCACCCCCGCGAAACTGATCAAGGGAGCGCTTAAAAGTCTCGATCACGGGACCAGCCTGACAAACCTACCCCGGACTTGTTCTCAAATCTACCACTCAGGTCTGGTAGCCATGCAAAAGAGGTGTGGAGAACAGACCATCGTGTCCAGACTTCTTTTTACGCAACAATTGACCAGTATGACTAATGATAATCGCAAAGATAAGGCGGTTATCAACGGCGCCGGTTACCCTCCCGGGTTCGGCGACAGAACGATGGCGACTTCGAGATGGTGAAGATTGATGAACAAAACACCGTTTCTGAACCATCACAAACACCACAAACCATAATCCCCGGGGCGAACCTCACGACATGGCCCAAACCCTCCATGTAGCCATATTCAACACTGATATCCCCGTCCCCGAAGTCTTCACCCAGCGCGCTTCCAGCTACGGCCAAATCTTCCACGAGCTCCTGACTGCTGCCGCGACCCGAACACATCCTGAATTGGAACTGAGGTCATCCGAGTACGACACCCGGAAACTCGAGTATCCAGAGTCTCTCGATGATGTGGACCTGATCCTGATAACAGGTTCCATAAGCTCCGCCTATGACAACTTCCCGTGGGTGCGACAACTGGAGCAGTACATCATCGACACTTACAGAGACCATTCGCACGTGAAGTGGTTCGGGAGTTGTTTCGGGCATCAGATCATCTGTCAGGCGCTATTGAAGGAGTATGGAGTGCGAGTTGACGCCGAGCCGCGGGGCCACGAGATTGGCGTGAGGGAGATGGCCGTGGACTGCAAATTCCGCTCCGACTTCGCTCAGCTGGGAATGAAGCTGCCCGAGAAGATTAAGCTGCAATATGTCCACGGCGATTTTGTGGTTGTGCCAGACTTGAATGCCCTGCCGGATGATTGGTCCATCATGGGGAGCACGGAGTGGTGCGCCAACCAGGGGATGATGGAAATTGGGCGGGTCCTTACGTTCCAGGGGCATTTCGAGTTCGACAGATTTGTGAACAGTGAGACCATCAAAACGTTCTTTGCGAACAAGCAGCCCGAGTGGCTCCAGGACAGCTTGAAAGCGGTAGATGCGGATGATGATTCAGAGCTGGCGGCGGAGATGGTGTTGCAATTTGCTGCACATGAACCGCCTGCTGGGCAGAGAGAGACTTATGCAAAGGTTGGTGGTTTGGTCACACCACCAGGGGAGGAATGATGTAACTTTTGAGATGGATCAGATACCGCTCACGTGAAAGAGACTGCCCCAAATGCAAATTTTGTGCCATTTCCCCTTTGCAGAATGGCGGCAGCGACTGTAGCAAGCATCGATTGAGCGTTCAATGCGCTTATAGCAATAGAAATCAATATCGTTCTCAGCTTGTTATCTAAGACGTAGGCCAAGATAACGAAGAGCACATCAAAGATAATATAAGCACGATTAGCAATGGTGAGATGCTCCGCAGCGTCTACGATACGCACAACACCGGGAGACATGGTGCCAAACGGACAGTGCGAGCTGATGCTACTTATCAGGCGTTTCGCATCTGACGCTGCCATAGCGCTGGCTCTATTGACCATCGTAGTGGCGCTCAATGCGAACTTCCTTATCTCTTGGAGGATGGAGACTCGAGTAGGGAAAGGGCAAACGGTAGGTCGTTAGACTTGATAAAGCAAATCATAGCGCGGCATCAAGCCACTGTGACTTTCATTTTGACATAACGTTGCACGTGTCGCGAGAGTTGGGCAGCAAATGCACCCAGTCGGCTCTGATCTCCCAATTCACATCGGGAAACTCTTCCATGCTCTAGATGCAACGAACAACTGACCAGTCTCGAACATTAGAACCCATCGAAAACAAGTATCCTTCAAAATCGAACCCACAATATGATCATTGCATGTTTGTTGTCATTCTCGTGACCACCCGCTGTCCTTGGCGAGTACATCCCAGCCCACAAGCCGCCACACCTCCTTCTTATACCAGTCTTTCACGTCCTTGTCGTCAACCCTGGCAACGTTCTGTAACGACCCCAATCTCATGGATGGCATGGGTTTAGTCAGTACATCAAGAAACTCGTCATCGACTTTGTCGCCATACATGCAAGTAATGAGAGTCTGCTGAAGGCGTTCCTTGGCGATCGGACTCAGACGAGCTTTCGACGCGGCTGGTAGGGTTTTGAGACTTAGAGTGCGGCCTGGTCTTTTCTGATTCCGACCGGCGTTCGAGGATTGAGAATTCATGTGATTTGGTGCAAGACCCATAGCGCGCTCCAGCACTAAAACGAGAGCCTTGACTTCGAGGTGGGTTCCCAGCGCTTCCACCTCACTCTTCTGGGTTTCTTCCGGGGACAAAGTTTTGGAGGATGGCTCAATATCACCCTCCACTGTAATACTGCGATGTCTGCCGAATGTACAGTAGAATAGCTGCCGCCCTACGCGCTCGAGCAACAGGTACACAAACCCGTCAAAAATCTGCTGATGTACTGGATTGGCCTTCTCAAGAAAGCCGAGAAGGCCGATAAGCAAGTGGGCCAGAGCGCGAGCGGGCACAGATTCCTTGACAGTTTTGACGGGCGTTGCTTCTTTGGATTTCTTTGGCTCGATTGCCTCTGCCGAGCTTAACTGAGCCGTTCGCCGGGCAACAGACTCGATCGCAACAAGGACAGTCTTGAACATCTCAGCCAGCTCACACACCACAAGGCTTGAAGGTCGAGGATCATCAGTGGATTCAGTCAGTCGTGTAAGGCCGACGAGTACCGACATGAAGCCACGAGCGCAAATTGTCATTGCGTGAGCGAAGTTGGATCTGTCTCGATCCAATGAAGCTGACTCGGAGGTCTTCTGACCCTGTCGGGACAACTGCTCGTGCTTATGAGCAACCATGTGGATAGTCTTACCCAGTGTATTGGATGTTCGGACCAATGTGAAGCACAGCGTGTCGACGCTGGGATCAGTACTTCGGCAAAGCTTGTGAGTCGTGAACAACGCCTCGGTGAGGTTCATTCCTTCTGTCGCTGCTTGTTAGCATCTCGACTAGCGTATGCTGGAAATAGACTGACCCTGCCCGAGTCCATCCAGGAAATCCATGTTGTCGTCGATGTCCTCCTGGGTCTCGGTCACTGATCGCTGGACTGGTTGGCTCTCTTTCTGTCGCTTCACGTTCCTTGTCGGAGAGGACGTTCGCGCCTTTCGCTTCGAGGTATTCATAGCGTTGACGGGAGCCGCGTCAGATGTGCAGCTCGAGCGATGCGTGAGGGAGTGATTTGAGCGTTCAAGTCTGCTGTTCTCGTGCCGCAGGTGATCGCACTCGTCCTGCAGTTTTCGGCACTGCTCCTTCCAGTACGCAACGAGGTCAAGATAACCGCCATGCTCGTGGTGTTCGGACGGCGATGAACCGGGCCGTATCTGATCTCGTAGCTGCACAATGTAATCTACAAGCTTAGTGACGTCTCGTACTTTTGTAAGTAGGTGCACACTCACCTCGCGCTGAAGTGTTAGATGGCTTGGTCCTGATGAGAGCAATCGCGAGTGCAACATGCGCGCTCGATGGCGCAATTGATCTAGGCACAGGCTGTGCTTTGGGCGGCATTGGCGCAGAAGATGTTACGTATGAGGGCAGAGATGTATGCGGAACCCGATGTTGCTCCGCTGTGCAGGAGACGCATGCAGGTGAATTTGCCAGATCAAGCTGTGACGACGGAAGGCAGCCTGGATCTTGCGGCGGGTTGAGGGCAGAGAACGATGGGAAGAGCTTGAGTAGAGAATAGAGAGACAGGAACGCTCGACAGTGTGAAGGTAATAGGCGAACCTCAGTAGGAAAGTGGGGATAGAACGTGGAGTGCTTAGAGAAGCGGAAAGAGCGACTGAGGCCAACACACCACGTTGAGATCTGCAGCAGATAGTGCTTTCATCAAATGATATGTCTCTTCTGCACACTGCAGCATATAGTACACCCACCAGATACTTACAGTCATCACCTTCGCTAATCCAACATTTAGAATAATCGTACAGCTGCTTTAACGCATGCGCTCCGTCCGCCTCTTGTATGGTAGCGGCTCGACCCTCTTCCTCTTGTATTCGATGCTGGCCTGGTCCTTCAGTCCAGCGCGCTCCAGGACACCTGCCATGCTCTCGTCCCACTTTGTCCTGAACAAGGTAGCGGTGAGCGGCTTCAGCTTCTGTGACCCAACGAAGTTGCGAAGGTTGAATCCGTCCCGCTCGATCGTGCTGAGCTTGGAAACATCGAACTTCTTCGCCTGATTCTGCTCAAGCACAACAATGGCCAGACGGTGGTAGGGCGCGCCCTTGTGCGCCCATGGCGCCATCCACGGCAGGGCGACCTTCTTGTCATTGGTACTCTTCTGGTCATCCTCAGCAATGCGCTGCAGGGGGATCGAAGTCTCACTGGGTGAGATGCGGATGTTCGAAGCGATGAAATGACAGCGGGTGGAGAAACCGTCTTCCTCGGGGACAGGGACATCGGCATCCACAACGGCGACGGTCACTAGCTTCTCTCCTGGGGTGAAAGTCTGCACGTGCAGGGTGGGCATCTTTTCGCTCAAATACGACTCGACGAAGTCTCCCGGGGCAACGGCCTTTCGCCCGAATGAAAGGTCGATGTCTGCAGCGAGGTCCAGCGATCCGAGCAGGTCAGGGACGATGTTCAATTGGGTGACACGCTGCTCGAGCACCTTGCGCTTGACCTCGCGCCACTTCCTGTCGGCCAGATGGCGGTAGATGGGCTTGTTCATATCGCCTGCACGTCTGTTAGACTGGTGGGCTGGCGCATATTCGTACGACATAGACATACCTTGCCCGTCCTCGAACTTGCGCTTGACGATTGGGTCGTTGATGTCGGCCGCGATGATCAGGTCGTTCATGTGCGACTGCATCCGCGCGATGCTGTCCCGTTTCGACTGCTCGCTCGCCTTGGACGCGGCGACGGCCTGCATGCGCTGCTGCTGCGTCTTGATCTCCTTCAGCTTCTCCAGCCTGTCCTCCTGCAGGACCGCGCGGGCCTCCTGGAAGCACTGGTAGGGCAGCTGCTCAAAGGGAACCTCCTCGGTCTTGCGGATGGCGGACAGGCGCAGAGCAGCACGGCGACGGCGGGAGCCCACAGGCTGGACGCCGTCTCTCCGGAACAGACGGCGCTCCTGCTTCTTGTTCTCGACCGTCTCAGGGTCCAGCTTGCCCCATTTCTGCATGTACTCGGGCACCTCGCGTGCGGGCGCGGCGGCGTCTGGAGCGGACGGCGGCGGCGGCGGGGCGGCGGGCGAGGAGGCAGCGGGCTGGGTCTGCGCGTCTTCGCGGACGGCGGGCGACGACGACAGGAGGCGCTGCTGCGCGCCATTGGCGGCGGGCACGTGGCGCACGCATCGCAGACACGTGCTGAAGTGCCGCATCGACGGCGTGAGCGACGCCATCGGGAGTGCTGGGAGATGGGTGGGGGGCGTGCAGGGCGGGCGTGGTGACGGTGTCGGGTCGAAGAATTGTCGACGCCGCACGCCGCACGGACGGCAGAAGTTCACGAATCTCGAGCGCTCCGCACCACCTCCGCGACGACACCAGCACTCTACAGCCCGCCATGGCGACCTCAAGGATCTCGGCGCCGCTGCGGGGCGTCTCACAGCAACTGGGCCGCCTGTCGACACGGCCGACTGCGCTGCCCGCCCGCTGCCCCGTCCGTTGCGCCCTCGGCCGCCCCATGCCCGTGCTAACGACTGCATAGAAGTCCATCGCCTCGTCCTTCGCCCGCCCAATCGCCACCTCGACCCCCGCGAGGGCCGCTGCCGCTCCCATCACCACCTCGGCCGACGCCTTTGTGCCCGTCACGCCCTTCGCCGAGCAGACCGTGCTCGCGACCATCCACCAGTTCCCTTCGCTCGAGCCATTGCGCTTCGAGCAGTTCCCCGCGAACCACCTGTACCTGCCCGTAAGGAAGGATATCCTCCATCGCGCTGTCGTCTATGAGGGCGACATGACGCGACTGGGCACCGCCTCGACCAAGAACAGATGGGAGGTCCGAGGTTCGGCCAGGAAGATGCGCCCGCAGAAGGGCTCCGGTCGCGCTCGTATTGGCACCGTCCAGTCGCCCGTCATCCGATCTGGAGGTGTTTCTCACGGACCCAGGCCCCGCGACTTCTCCACCGAGCTGCAGAAGAAGGTCTACGATCTGGCGTGGCGGACAGCACTCTCGCACCGCTTCCGCCGGGGCGAGCTGATCATCGTGGACAACGCCATGGAGATTGAGAGTCCGTCGATCCGCCTCCTGGAGCACGTGCTCAAGTACCAGGCAAAGCAAAGAGGCGGCAAGGGCAAGAGTCTGTTGGTCACGCTCGAGGAGCGGCCCATGCTCGAGATGGCGCTGGAAGAGCTGGAATCTGGCGACACAACCCTCCTTTGGGACGAAGTTGACGTGAAGAACCTGCTCGAAGGCTCGCGCGTTCTGATCGAGCGCGCTGCACTCAACAACATCCTACTGTCTCACCAAGAGGACCTCACACACAAGGCCATCCAGCCATGGCACAAGGGCCTTGTCCAGGCGTCGCCGGCAGAAGAGCTCGAATCGACTATTGGCTGGGCCGAGTTCCGCGGTCTCATGCTCACCGATCCTGCTGAAATGGACGCAGCCCGTGCAAACGCGTACGAGAGCGTAGCATCAACCCGCTACGCCCACGCCGAGTCGCTCCCTGAAGGTCCCAAGCGCGCAGAGCTCATGATTTCTGCGTACAAGCTGCTCGCCGAGGCTAAGCAGTACCAGTTCGCCCAGCGCACGGGCATGCCATTCGCCGACTACGAACACATCCAGAACCGAGAAAACGCCCCATCGCACTTCCCGCGCATCCAGGCCCTTGACTACCAGATCACGACCAAGATGCAGCTCGGCGGCACAGCAGAAGAGACGTCGCGCGTGGCTGCTGAGAAGCACTACGTCGAAGTCCGTGAGCTGGAAGTCGAGAAGCAGGACATCATCTTCGAGGCCGCGCTTCTCGCAGCGCAGGTACAGGAGCACCTCGCCGAAGCAAACAGCTTGACTGGCGACGCAGCAGCGGCAGAGATTGCGCTGGCCCGCGCCAGTGTCCAACGTACCAATGTCGATACGCACGAGTTGGAGCAGTTGTCGGCTCGAGTCGAGCTTGCGAAGCAGAAGAGGTCGCTGGCGCACGCCCAGGGCAACTGGAAGGCGCAGCAGCAGGCTCAGGAGGAGATCACACTAGCCAACCAGGCGCTCGAGACAGCCATGGCTGAGCAAGAGGTTCTGAACGAGGTTGAGGAGACGGAGTGGGCGGAGCCGGAGCCTGAGCAGAGCAGCCAGGAAAAGAGATAGAGGTCAGCGGTTGGAATTGATGGTTGTATTATTGTACATTGTGTCTATAGGTAGACGGTCTGGGTAGCTGAGTGTATGATACCAAGCTATGGGCTTTTCGCTTCCAATATCTCCACTGTCTCCCGGGTGATGTTACATAGTCTTACAGTATGGTACAGGTCACTGCTCGCTCTGCTTCTCGCCTACTTCCTCGGCCTTCCCCTTTTCCTCCACCTTCTTCCCCTCAAACACGATGATCATGACAGCGCCTACTTCCCCCTCCCGCTTCACCTCCTTTGCACCAACGCACTCCTCCACAGCCTCAGAAATAGCGTTGAAGGCGGCACTCGCCTCCTCGGGCGTTGCCTTTTTCCCTTTCTTCTTCGGGCCGAGCAGGAGCTCGACCCTCCTCCCCTCTCTCAGAAACTGCTGCAGCTTGTTGAGGCGGTGCTTGAGATCCCCGGGGCCAATGGCCCAGTTGAGCTCGAGGTTCTTCTGCGGCGGGCCCGTAGTAGCTAGGGCTTGCTTCCGGGCGGCGTCGACTTTGCGCTCGTGCTGCTCGCGCAGGTCGATTTTGGAGACGACGCGGCACACGGGGGGGTGCGCGGGGTCATGCTCGCCGTATTCGTCGACCTGGCCCGGCGAGACCTCGACTAGGTGGTGGGTGACTTTGTTGTAGCTTCGGAGAGCGTTCGAGATTGCGACGTCCTGGGTGAAGACGCCGTTGGCATCGACAAGGTTCACGCGCGGCGCTGTGATGGCGTTGTCGATGGTGAAGTAGTCCGACAGCGCATGGCGGCGGGTGTCCTTCTTGGAGTAGCTCTTGCTTCGGACCTGGTGTTGGTGGAGGGGGTGTGCGTTGATGGGGATCGAGGGCGGGCCGAAGGTGGGTGCGAATGCAGGCGCGAACTGGACGGGGATGCCGTTGGATGACGCGCGCAGGTTGGGGAGCACGAAGACGCGGTACAGGGCGCGCGAGGTGCTGGATATGTGGTGGGTGGGCGGCATGGCGGCTGTATATGTATGATCGACTATGTATATGTATGATGGCAAGAGTCGTGGACGAGGGCATGCGACACGGACGGAAGCTTTTCCAGCGCCAGCACAGACGACGTCAGCGAATCGGAGCGGGAAGCCCCCCGAGCCACCACCCCGCGGGCTGACTGTCTGCGCGACACAGCACCTGCGCGCGGCGATGAGGCCACGACCATGCCGCCGACAGGACACACACGCGCGCGGCCATGAGCAACGCACTCGCCGAGTACCTGTCTGCGCTGGACGCCCGCGACGCGCGCGAGCGGGCGCACGAGGCGTACATCCACGCCTGTAGGCTGCACTCGGCACGGCACGGCACGGGCTGAACTAAGAGCATGCAGACACCAAGCTGGCCGACCGCACGGCAGCACAGGCGCGCCCAACGGCCGCCGACGACGACGACGACGGGCCTGCCCGCGACTCCACCAAGGCCAGCGACTCCACCAAGACCATCAAGGCGGCCAGCAGGGGCAAGAGCTCGCCCGCGCCGCCCGACGCCGCAGCACTCACGCAGCTGCGCGCCGAACTCGCAGCCACGCAGAAGACGCGGGCCGGGCTGGAGGCCGAGCTGAGCACCGTCGCGGCGACGCTTGCGGGGCTGCAGGCGGCGGACGCGCAGCAGAAGCAGCGCATCAGCCAGCTCGAGAAGCACCGGGCGCATCTCGAGCGGCGCGGCAAGGACAAGCAGGAGGAGCTGAAGGGCAAGGGCCGGTTTGTCGAGGAGATCCAGGACGAGATGGTGGCCATGAACCTGCAGCTCAACATGACGGAGCAGGAGAACGCGCGGCTGAAGACGGAGAACGAGGAGCTGACGCGGCGGTGGGTGAGCAAGATGGAGGACGAGGCGCGGCGGATGAACGCGCAGATGGGGTGGGAGGGGCAGTGAGCATGTACGGGGCTATGCGTGGGTGCAGCATGGTGTATGTGTGTGTTTGTGTGTAATGTGTGGTGTTTGTGTGTAATGTGTGGTGTTTGTGTGTAATGTGTGGTGTTTGTGTGCACGCTGATGCTGCTGCGTGGTGTATCTGTCTGTGTTGGCGTGGATGGTGCTGTGTTCACGTCGAATGTCTGGTGCACTGTCTGGTATCTGTGTTCACGTCCACTGTCTGGTGTTTGTATGTACTGTCTGGTGTTTGTATGTACTGTCTGGTGTTTGTATGTACTGTCTGGTGTTTGTATGTACTGTCTGGTGTCTGTCACGTCCACACTCTGGTGTTTTTGTGCTGTATCCATCTGATGCTGCACTCGATGCACTTTGACACGTGATCTGCTGCTCTTTCACTATCGATACGGCCCTCACTATCGATATGGATGATGCCTAGTGGCGCCGTATAGCTACCATAGCTAAGCTCCCCCGCCACCCACTGTTGCACGACACAACACCACCGCCGACCATGGGCACCGCACTCAAGAGCTGGGGTAAGGCCCGCCCCCGCCCCCGCCGTCCCTACTGACCGCGCAGAGCTCGAGAACTCGGTGCAGCTCGTCGACCCCACCAAAGACGCCCTCTACGCATACTCGGCGCCCGCGCAAAAGGCGCTCGACAACGCGCACCCATGGCGCGCCGACCCGCACTACTTCACGTCGGTGCGCATCTCGGCCGTGGCGCTGCTCAAGATGGTCATGCACGCGCGCTCGGGCGGCTCGCTCGAGGTCATGGGCTTGATGATGGGCAAGATTGAGGCCCACACGTTTGTCGTCACCGACGCCTTCCGCCTGCCCGTCGAGGGCACCGAGACGCGCGTCAACGCCCAGGACGAGGCCAACGAGTACATGGTCGAGTTCCTGCAGCGCGCCCGCGACCAGGGCCAGCTCGACAACGCCGTCGGCTGGTACCATAGCCACCCGGGCTACGGCTGCTGGCTGTCGGGCATCGACGTCAACACCCAGAAGACCCAGCAGCAGTTCTCCGACCCCTTCTGCGCCGTCGTCATCGACCCCGACCGCACCGTGTCCGCCGGCAAGGTCGAGATCGGCGGCTTCCGCACCTTCCCCGACACCTACGTGCAGGACAAGGAGAAGGGCGCCACCATGCGCAACGGCGCCGCCGGCGTCGAGACCGACGGCTTCCAGACCATCCCGCTGGGCAAGATCGAGGACTTTGGCGCCCACGCCAACCACTACTACCCGCTCGACGTCTCGCACTACAAGTCGACGCTGGACGCCAAGCTGCTCGAGGCCCTGTGGAACAAGTACTGGGTGCAGACTCTCTCCGCGTCGCCGCTGACGGCCAACCGCGAGTACGGCACCAACCAGATCAGCGATCTGGCCCGCAAGATGCAGCAGGAGGCCGGCAACAAGCGCTTCAAGGGCGCCCCCGCACCCTTCTCCAGCGAGCACAAGAAGGACCCGCTGCCCCGGTTGGGCGCCGCCGCCAGCAAGATCGCGCGGGAGGAGGAGATGGGGCTGCTCGCCGCCAAGGTCAAGGACCAGGTCTTCAACTTCAACAGCGCCGCGCAGCCGCCGCCGGACAGCCAGGAGGTCGAGATGAAGAGCTGAGCTCGCCCAGTGTGACACTTGACGACGTTACGATATGACCCTCGCGGTACGAGCATGGGCGGGCGTTTGGCGCATACACGGTCGAGCAGACGGTCGCTGCCTGCGACACATGAAACATGGCAGCGGGACAGGTCGCTCGGTGTGCATCTGCAGCATTGGCTGCTACATAGATATATGAAGAGCTCGTAACAATGCTTGACACGCTTGACATGACGCTTTGCTCGCATCTCATCGTATTCCTACAGTGTGCTATCTTCTCATCGTATTCCTACACTCGTGCCTCTTCTCGTCATATTCCTACACTCTGCCATCTTCTCGTCGTATTCCTGTGCTATCTATACACTCGCTGTACACATCCTGCAGACACCCTCACTGCGCTGCCTTGTCCATGCCCAGCCTAGCCAGCGTCTCCTCCCGGCCCAGAATCAGCATGACATCGTACAGCCTGATGCCCTTCTCCTGCCCCGTCAGCGCCAGCCGCAGGTAGTGGTACACATCCTTGGCGCCCGCCTTGCCCTCGGGCCTCCCATCGATGATATCCCGTACTTTCTGCATAAGCGCCTCGCGGTCCCACACGTCGACGTCGGCGAGCATGCCGCAGCGCTGCACGACGTCGGCGGGGGAGTCGGCGGTCAGCGAGGCCGTGGTGGCGGGCCGCAGTGGGGCGAAGAAGAAGGCGTTGCGGTACAGGAACTCGTTTGCGTTTGTGAAGTTGTCGGCGTCGGCGCGGACAATTTGCTCAACGTACGCATCCGGGGTGGGGCCTGTAATGGGGCGCCAGTCGGCGGGGTTGTAGGGGCTGTCTGGGCTGGTGAGCAGCGCGACCACGTTGGTGACGATGTCCTGCAGGGGCTTGCCGCCGGCGGCTGCACGCAGGGCGGCGTGCTTGCGCTGCAGGAAGTGCAGCTTGCCGAAGGTGACGGTGGTGTTGCCCTTGGTGAACTTGAGCGAGAACGAGTCGGCGAGCTGCTGCAGCGTCAGCACATCGGTCCTCTCCTTGTGGCTCCAGCCCAGCAGCGCGGCGAAGTTGGTCAGCGTCTCCGAAAAGATCTCCATGTCCTTGAAGGCGGTGATGTCTGTGTCGAAGTTGCGCTTGGACAGCTTGTTGCCGCTCTCGTCGACCAGCAGGCCGACGTGGGCGAAGGCGGGCGGCGTCCAGCCAAACGCAGCGTACATGGCGATGTGCTTCGGGGTGCTGGGCATCCACTCGGAGCCGCGGATGACGTGGGTGATGTTCATAAGGTGGTCGTCGACGACATTGGCGAGGTGGTAGGTCGGCAGGCCGTCGCTCTTGAGCAGGATGGGGTCTTCGTAGGACGTCTCGGTGACATGGCCGCGGCGCTTCAGGGGCTTGAAGGTGCCGTATATGAGGTCCTTGTACGCGGGGTACTGGTCGGGGACCTTGAGGCGCACGACGTGGGGCTCGCGGCGGTGGGCGCGGTCGTCGGACTCGGCGCGGGGGACGGAGGCGCAGGTACGGTCGTAGTCGGTGGCCAGGCCCAGGCGGTGGCGGTGCTCGGCGAGGGCGTGCAGGCGGTCGGGCGAGCAGAAGCAGCGGTAGGCGTGCCCCGTGTCCAGCAGCTGCTGGGCGTGCGCGCGGTAGATGGCGCTGCGCTCCGACTGCTTGTACGGCCCGCACGGCCCGCCCACCTCGGGGCCCTCGTCCCACTGCAGGCCGGCCCAGCGCAGGTCCTGCAAGAGGCGCTGCTCGGCGTCGGCCACGGTGCGCTTCTGGTCCGTGTCTTCGATGCGCAGCAGGAACTGGCCGCCGGTGCTCTTGGCGAGCAGGTAGTTGAAGAGCGCCGTGCGCAGCGAGCCCAGGTGGAGGTATCCGGTCGGCGAGGGCGCAAACCGCGTGCGCGCCGGCGACGATGGCAGCGCCGCATTGCTCTTCAGCTCCTGCGCCGCCCGGGACGAGGCAGTGCGGCTCGAGGGGCGCGACGGCCGGACGGAGCAGCTCGTGTGCGCGGGTAGCCGCGGGCGCAGGCGTAGGCGCAGAGAGAAGGCCATAGTCGACACAGGCGACGCAGAGGACGACGACCCGCGCCGCGCCCGTCGACTTTCGGCGGCAGAATCTGCGCAGCGCCGCCAATCAGCGTGCCCGGACGGTGGCGGCCCACCGCCCGCCGGCTAATCCTGCCGCAGCGCTCGGCGGCGTTCGTCAGCGTCTGGGGAAGTTTGCTCGACTTTTCTGGCCAGCCCGGCGCTGCTCTGCTGCTTCTGCTGCTCCCCTCGCACAGACCCGTGACCCCCAACGCGTGCAGCTCCTCCCCGGTCCGCAAACAGTGAGCTGCCTGCCTGCGCCGCCCGGCCCCGCCAGCGCCCTGCTAACGCCCCGCAGTGAACGACGTCGAAGAAATCGATCTCTACGGTACGCAGCCCCGCCGCCCGGCCGCCCCTCCACGCGCAGCCGTGACGGGTACTGACGGACACAGAGGTGCTCGGCATCGGCAACAGCGCCAGCAAAGTCGAGATCAAGAAGGCCTACCACAAGGTCCGCCGCCCCGCCACGCCCGCCCCGCCCCGCTGACCAGCACTGCTAGGCTGCACTCGCACACCACCCCGACAAGGTCGCCGTCGAGGAGCGCGAGGAGGCCGAGATCCGCTTCAAGTCCGCCAAGCAGGCCTACGAGATCCTCTCCGACGATGACAAGCGCCAGCTCTACGACACCCACGGCATGGCCGCCTTCGACCCCGCCCGGGGCGGCGGCGGGCAGCCGGACATGGACGACATCCTCGCCCAGATGTTCGGCGGCATGGGTGGCGGCATGGGCGGCGGTTTTGGCGGTATGCCCGGCATGGGAGGCTTCGGTGGTATGCCCGGTGGCCCTGGCCGCAACGTGCCCAAGAAGGGACGCAGCGTAGAGCAGGAGTACGAGGTCACGCTGGAGGAGCTGTACAAGGGCAAGACAACCAAGTTCTCCAACACCAAGAACATCGTCTGCAACCAGTGCGAGGGTTCCGGTGGAAAGAAGGGCTCCAAGAGCCACGACTGCGCTGTCTGCAACGGACGCGGTACGCTCTCCCCATATACCAACGCCTTGCTGATTGCTAACGAGCCATAGGCGCAAAGCAGATGCTCCGCCAGGTCGGCCCCGGCCTCGTCACCCAGGAAACCGTGGCCTGCACCAACTGCCAAGGCTCCGGCCAGATCATCCCCGAGAAGCAGCGTTGCAAGAAGTGCAAGGGCAAGAAGGTCGTCGAGTCCAAGAACGTTCTGGAACTGTACATTCCCCGCGGTGCACGACAAGGCGAGCGCATCGTACTGGAAGGCGAGGCCGATCAGCTGCCAGACCAGGAGCCCGGCGACATCATCTTCACCCTCGAGGAGGCTGAGCACGAGACATTTGAGCGTGCTGGCGCTGATCTGCGCGCCATCTTGAAGATCTCGCTCGCCGAAGCGCTGACGGGCCTCAACAGGGTCGTCCTGACACATCTCGACGGCAGGGGCATCCAGCTCAACATCCAGCAACCAAGCGGCAAGGTTCTGCGACCCGGCCAGGTTCTCAAGGTCCCTGGCGAGGGCATGCCCATGAAGCGCAGCGACGCAAAGGGCGACTTGTACCTGCAAGTTGACATTGAGTTTCCCGAGGACGGCTGGCTTGCCGACGACGCCGCGCTGCAGAAGGTCAAGGATGCTCTGCCAGCGACGAAGACATCGGACGAGAAGCACGAAGAGATCGAGGAGGTCGAGCTTGACTTCGACGCCGACATGGAGGACTTCGGTGCCGGGTCAGGAGACCCTCGCGCCGGCGGCGCTGATTGGGAGGACGAAGAGGAGGAGGCTGGCCCCCAGTGTGCTACGCAGTAAGGCGTGCCCGCAGGCAACCGAGTCATTTGGTAGCAAACCATCCATCAACTAGAGGAGAGCGTGAAGACGATGGCATTGTGAGCGATGTACGACGTGCATGGTTTGGCGTTGGCGGCGAAGGCCCTTTTTTGAGGACATAGATACAGCAGGCTGAGGCATAGATCCACCAGGATCTGAGACATATATCTACCAGGATCGGAGGCATAGATCTAGCCACGGAACAGTCGCGCGAGCATTGTGTCGCGGGGTGACGAGATTGGTATATTCAAAAGACTGGGATATCACATAGCCTCAGTGCACTTGCTATTTGCTAGTGTCGACTCGTGAGCTTCAATGCCAGGTAGTATTTGACAAAAACGTCATGTGTCCTCATCCAAGTCCCACAACCTCGATCTAACCGCCTTGCTCTAGCCTCTGCCAAAGTCGAAAGGGCTGTTATTCACATGAACATGGCTGGCAGCAGGAGGCCCAACCTCGACATCGGGACGCTTCGTGAGATCAGCAACACGTCTCTGGTCCGCCAACTCCAGCATGCGCTTCGCCTCTCTCTCCGGAACATGCACGGTTGATCCCCACTCTCTCGCCGCATCAGCAAAGTTGATGATTTCCAACCGTTGAACTACAATGACGAGTCAGCTTGGCTACTCCATGAGTAGGAGTCGACCCACCATCAGTCAAGCCGCCTCGCCCGTTCAGTGCTTCTTCACGCTGCTGTGTCACGGGATTCAGCGCCATAAAGCACAGTGGGTACTTCCGCTGCGCCTTCATCCTGCCTGCGATCCTCGGGTATGTGTCCAAGTAGGCCTGTTTCGCAGACCCCGTTACCTTCGCCAGATCATACGCGACATCGTAGGGTCCGAGGAAGTACTCTACCCATTCAATGTCATCAATCCGCTCGGGATAGTGGTCGAGAGACTGAATGAGCGTTCGCGCCAGGCGGAGAGCGAACAAGCCGATGATGAGGAAGTCGGTATCTTGGGCCGGTGGACCGCGTGGGTCGAGGTGAGATCGTGAAACCACTGGATGTGGTGCGGGAGCAGGTGGAGGAGCCCATGCTGGGTGAAAGTCTGGCGGAGGGTAGGGAGCCGAATGGTTTTCTGACATTGTTAGGACAGTACAGTCTGCAGCTCCGATGCTCGACTAGAAGACTTGGATGAAGTTGCTGCTGGACGAAATTAGTGACAATGACACCAGCTGTTGTTGTGCACTAGATGCGATCAAGTGAGTGAAGGGCGCCCGCTTGATTACGCAAGAGCAAACGGACTCGGCAGCTGCAAATCTTTTTCATACCCAAGTCCGGACTCACGGCTTTTCACTTCTTAGTCACAAACACAGACTCATACAAAACTTACTCAGCTCATCCTCCCTGACTTTACCTTCGCAATAACCAATCCTACAAAGTAACTCCGACATTGTCACCACCTACCAAAATGCGCTTCAATATCACTTTCGCCATCGTCCTCTCCATGCTAGCCGCCGTCATCGCCATGCCCACCAGCGGCGTGAAGATCGAGTCTCTCAACTTCCCCACCACCGCGTTCGCCTCCATGCTCGAAACCCACAGCTTCAAGAGCCCCATCGCCTGCCCCGCTGGCGAAGGCAACTGCGGCGTCGTGACGTTCGAAAGCGGTCAGTACGTCACCTTTGGCCAGGGCACCTGCATGCAGCTCAGTGGCAAAGTGCAGTCCATCTACGTCGCCAAGTGCTTCTGTTCTCTCTGGACGTAAGTTCCCCCATTATATCTGCAACGTGGTTGGGGCTGATGGTATGCTAGGTCTTGCACTGGTAATGCCGAGACGGATATCTTCGTCGACGGCATGATGATGTGCGAGAAGCCTAGAACCATGGACACGTTCGCGAAGAAAGTTAAGTACATCTCCTGTGGAGGGATGAACTAGGCGACAGCTCATTGGTAGATCGTTCTTACGGCATGTCGGGCACAAATCCAGTCACTTTGGGATTGGAGATCACACTTCAGCGCATGTTTAGGATATTACGGTCGATGCCCTCACCCTTTGTGGGTGACTTCAGAGATCGAAAACGGGGAGCTCAGTGCCTGGTCTACTGTTTTGGATATTCTTCAAATGTGACAGAGCCTGGCATTCATGAGAAAGTCGGCAGTTGTGGAAGATACTTTTGTGATGAATTACAATGAAGTGTCGCATGCCATGCTTCTCAAATATAGAGTGACACATGTCAAAGTCCTCAGAGACGAAGATCTCGTATGCTAAAGCCGCCAAATCAAACATTGTAGAGGAAGGAAAGCATAATGGAAAATCTAACGATCTCCTTGATAACAATTCATCATACCGAAACTTGCCACCCAGAACAACCTACGCGTCATCGATCATTCTAAGTTCATGATCACTTTCTGATCAAACCGGCGAATACTCCCTAAAGTTCCCAAATCTACGCAAGTCCAGCGTCCGCATTACCAACGCCATCGTCTCCAGCGTCGTCACCAATGCTGGAGATGTCGGGAAGGCTTGAATAGTCGAAGCCATTGAGAAGCCCGGAAGGCTGGACATTGTGCTGCGCGCCGCTTTGAGGGTATATAGATTGGCCCTGGAACTGGTGCTGCATTTGCTGGTATTGAAATCCGTTTTGTCCACTGGACAGTGAAGGGAGCGCCGTCAATGACTGTGGATTTTCGAGGTCGAATGGTGCCAACGGAGACAGAGATGGTGTGTAGAACCGTCCTTGCATGTTCCCTCCCTGGCTGAAAGGATGAGTTCCAGCTCCTGGGTGGTTTGGTAGCATCGGTACACCGCCACCAGGGTAAGGTACTCCATGCAATTCCTGTTGGTGGGATCTTCGAGCGATGACATCGTTGAAGAGTGGTACAACGTCTTCGGGACTCGCTGGAGGCAGACCGGAGTTTGATCTCAATAAATTCGTCTGTTCAAAGAATTTCATGAAATACTGATGGTATTGAGGGCTCCCAAAAAACGGGAACGGCGGCTGTGTTTGAGCCTGGGGTTGACTGTATGGCTGAATGGGGCCTGGGTACATGTTCGCGTGCTGATAACGATGAACATTTGAGCTCTGTCGAGTTGGTGTCATAGAATGATGTGGAAATCGGTGTTCTCCTCCTACGGAGCCTGTCATGGGTGCTGGACTACGGCCACCCGAAAACGCTGACCTGCGCGGCGTAGAGTAATTATTCAGGCGTTCGACCGGAGTGGCACACTCTGTGCTGGACCTCCTACGCTTGGTAGGTGTCTTTGCTGGTACAGAACCGCGTTGAGACTGCACCGGAAAACTGGCATGAATGCCTGTAGCTACTTGTGAACTCTGCGTACCTCCACTCTGCGCGACTAGGCGCTTCGAGTGCGCTTTGTACCACTCTAACGTCTCCGAAGTTTTTTGGAGCTGTTTCCTGAGCCCTTTGTTCTCATCCGTGACGGATTGAAGTGATTTCTGGATCTGCAATACCCTCTCGTCGGCTTTGAGCGAATTTTCGTTCATCTTGTCCTTCAGTTCGGCGAGGCGTTGGTCGCAAATTCCGTGCGCCTCCAACGTGCCTTGCGCTTTCTGGGGTTCAGTGCCATTTGGGAGCGCTTGGATGGTATTCTGCGCCTGGGTATGTGTCTGGGCAGTAGATTGTTCCAGTCGCGCAAATGCAGCTTCAACTGCAGCGTTGGCGTTCTCCAGTATCTTTAAATGCTCATCACAGATTTCGGTCTGTTGCGCCTGTGCGAGAGACAATTTGAGGTGCTCAGCGGTCATTTTGTAATTGTTGATGAGCATAGAAGTCTTCATCTGATCGCTGTGTCTTTCGCTGGTGACTGATCGGTCGGCGTCATGATTTGCGTGCGTCACATCTGTGTAGGGCTTTGTTGCTCGCGCTACGGCTGCATCTCTTTCAGCTTTGAGCACCTCGTTAGCGCGCTTGAGCTCTACGATCTCTTCGACTTGCGGCGTGCTGGCGGAAAGGACAAGACGTTCAAGCGTCGTTTCAGCGACGACTGGGTTCTGATTGGCATCAGACGGCGAATGCGGTCGGCTCATTGTGCAGAAGAGCAACTGCTTGTGGCGGTATAGTGTTGACTCTCCTCGAAGGGCTATGTTAGAAGTATAGCGTCTGTTGTAGTTGATCAAGGTGGTGAGAGTGCAAAATATATATCTCAGGTGAAGGGGATATTACTGAGGCTCTCCAACAAAAGCAGGGAACCATAGTTAACGTCGACGCTACCGTTGTTAACATCAACACTGCTGTAATTAAGTTCGACACTGCTATGTTTGACACTGTCGGGGATGCTACTGCCGAATAAAAAACTGGCAGAACGGCTAGCCCTGCCTCTTCGATATGGTGAACCAGTGATGAAATTGACTCCTGGACCGGATTTTGGAGGTGGCAGAAGACTGAATCCTGGCAGTTGACCCTGTTGGCGATAGTATTGTACGTCTGAAGGTGAGAGTCACTCTTGCGCGAATATGGAATTCAAACTCTTTGGTATCACAACTATGTAGTTGCAACAGAGAAGTGCACATGTCAGTCTAAAGCTAGCCATAGAGATGGCCAAGGTTGGTCTCATCAATCGCAGATTACAGCTCACGGTGAAAGTGAGCTGAGCTCCTGGAATATCTATTATTGAGGTTTGTATGTACTGTCGTTGACTGGAGTATGTTTGCAAGACCTGCGAGAAAATATATGAGACAACTCTGATGCGTTGCGATTGTTCATGTTGATTTTTGTGCTGCAATGACTGTCTTTCTCTGTGCTGGTCATCCGCCAGCAGCGAGACGCGGGAACGTTGGTCAAGAACAACATTCGGTGCCAAGCGATTTTATAGCTGAAAAGTGGGGCCGGACAGGACTGGCTCAGCTAGGTACAGAACCTGCCAACAGACATACACCTGTTTTGTTGGCGAACGAACCTTTGTGCATCATTTCGATCAGAAATCGCGTCAGGAACTCGCTCCACAGTGATCAGGGATATGCGCATTTTTATGATCCTACGTGTGGGAGATACCCTCGTAGACCAGGATTGAGGGAAGAGAAAGCAAGCATCGCAAGCATCGCTAGCTTCGCTAGCATCGCTAGCATCGACACGGGGCGCCACACGAGCGCCTTCCCGAAGATGTGCCAGCCCAGGGTTCCCCGCATTTACGCCCAGTCTTCAACACCAGTCTTTTCTAGGCAGCGTGAACACTGACGAACCTACATTGGTACTGAGCAGATTCTCTGGCTTGCATGAATGCCTGCCAAGCGCGCAATGAATACGCACTATACGCACACCATTTGACGCCTCCACCAGCATCCAGTTCCGACTCTGAGATCTCGACGAATGTCAACTGCCGGCGTTTGGTCCCATCGCGTCAGTAAACCACGCTTGTGTCCTCTATACACCCGCGTCGCTCCCGAGGTACTCCGCTATGCCTCAACGCGAAGCGCCCTCGTGATACGTTTCGGAGGAAGATGAATCCCCGCCCGGCGCGAGCACAATCATGACGCCAGAACGTACACAATACCTGGTGATGCGGGGTAAGACATCGGTAGTGAATATAAAAATGGGTGCAATGGCACAAGTGGTCTAAAGCAGCGACATCCTGAGCCGTGTCTAGTTGACCTGAATCAAAGATGCTACGAGCATTGAGTCTACTTGGTTGTGCCGCAACTATCGCGGCCCAGTTCAATATCAATCATACCCAATATGAAACAAGTCCTCCAGTGTACCCATCACCACAAATAAGCGGAGTTGGAGGCTGGGATGCAGCTCTAGAGAAAGCCAAAGCTTTTTTGGCCGAATTGACAATAGAAGAGAAGGCTCGGATGGTGACTGGTACGTCATATCTCAATGGATTTCCCAGTGTGGGCTACAGGCAGATGTTAGTAACGAACGACCTATCACAGAGCCCGTGGACACTGTTCACGGAGCTTGGTCCGCTCGCCAACAAACATGTGTTTGTTGCCAGCTCTGGGCTTTCTCGCTTTGTAGATCTTGAACGCTCACTATGACAGGCACTTCTGGACCATGCGTTGGTAACATAGGCCCAATTGAAAGACTCAACTTCACTGGTCTTTGCCTGCAGGATGGTCCGCTTGCCATTCGGCAGGCAATCTATGTCTCTGTATTCTCTGCAGGATTATCGGCTGCGGCATCATGGGATCGGCCGTTAGTCCGCAGGCGAGGAGCCTACATGGGTGCGGAGTTCAAGGGCAAGGGTGCTCACGTTGCCCTTGGTCCTGTAGTCGGCCCTTTGGGACGTTCACCGTACGGTGGACGGAACTGGGAAGGCTTCAGTCCTGATTCCTATCTCTCTGGTGTGCTCGTTGAAGAGTCGGTCATGGGTATCCAGAGCGCTGGCGTTCAATCTTGCACAAAGCACTACATCGGTCTGTAAAATGACGCTACTCCGTTGACTGTGCCCTGACTTGTCCAGCCAACGAACAAGAGATTCAACGGAATCCTTCGACAATAAACGGAACCACAATCGAGGCCCTCAGCTCTAATCTTGATGACAAGACTATGCACGAGACCTATCTTTGGCCTTTTGCGAACGCAGTCCGTGCTGGAACAGCCTCAGTCATGTGCTCGTACAACCGAATCAACGGTAGCTATGGTACGTTGTCCCACAGTCAAGACAGCTTTGGCAACATGCAAATATCTAGCAACTTCTATAGGGCCGTTTCGTCTGGTCGTTGTCGGATATTTGGTTGTAGCCAAACCTGGGCTACAAATAGGACTATCAGCTCACATCAACAGGTTGCCAGAATAGTAAGATCCTAAATGGGTTGCTGAAGGAAGAGCTAGGCTTCCAGGGCTACGTGGTTAGCGATTGGCTTGCAACTCACTCTGGTGTTGCTTCTATTGAGGGTGGTCTGGACATGAACATGCCAGGGGGTATTGGGTTCTTCAGTCCCACTCCGTCATTTTTTGGTGGCAATGTCACCAGCGCTGTCAACAATGGCTCTCTTTCAGTGGAACGAGTTGATGATATGGTCCTGAGGATCATGACACCGTACTTCCACTTGAACCAAGACGTGGGCTTCCCAGCCATCGACGGATATACTTCAAAGATTGGATTCTTTGGGCCTGGGCCGTACGCATTCAACTATACCAGTGGCCCTATCGTCGATGTTCGTCAGGAGCAGCACGCACAACTGATCCGCGATCTTGGAGCAGCCGGTACCGTATTGCTGAAGAACACAAACGGTACCTTGCCGTTGGGAAACCCAAACAACATCGGTGTGTTTGGCAACGACGCAGCCGACTTTACGAAAGGCCAATACTCACTGGTCCTTAGCGGCACGAGCTTATTGGACGGTGACTATAACATTGGTACACTCGCTGTCGGTGGAGGATCAGGCACGGGTCGCTTTCCCTACGTTGTATCGCCTCTGGAGGCTATCAAGGCCCGCGGTCGATCTTATGGAGCCATCGTCCAGTACATCACCGACAACGAGTACATTGTGCAAGGTGGTCTTGCTGCCCTTGCACCTGTACCACCAGACGTCTGCATTGTGTTCTTGAAGTCCTGGGCGAGTGAGGGAGACGATCGATCAACGCTGATTGCAGAGTGGAACTCTACAACTGTCGTCAATCAGACTGCTGCGATCTGCAACAACACTGTTGTAGTGCTTCACGGCGCAGCACCGAACACCATGCCATGGCGCAACAATCCCAACGTTACTGCCATTCTCGTCGCGCACATGCCCGGACAGGAGTCTGGTAACTCTATCGCTGACATATTATGGGGTGAAGTAGACCCTTCTGGTAGACTTCCGTACACGATTGCGAATGAGGAAACCGACTACGCCAAAAATCTTCTGAATAGCACAGAATTGGCAACTACTATTGACCCCGATGCCTGGCAAGCAGACTTCATTGAAGGGAACCTCATCGACTACAAAGAATTTGATGCACGGAACGCCAGCGTAGCCTTCGAATTTGGATTTGGACTGAGCTACACATCGTTCAACATGTCCAACTTACAGATTAACATGAGTGCTGGCAATGTCTCAAGGACGCCCAATTCAGCTGCCCCGATCCAACCAGGTGGCAACGTAGAGTTATGGGCAACACTCGCTACGGTCAGCGTCTCTGTCAGTAACACTGGCTCTATCTCTGGCGCTACCGTCCCTCAGCTGTATCTCTCGTACCCAGACGAGGCTGATGCACCTGTTCGTAGCCTGCGAGGATTCGAAAAGATTGCCCTGAGTGCTGGTACATCTGGCACGCTCCAGTTCCCGCTCACTCGACGTGATCTGAGCTACTGGGATACTACTGCACAGCAATGGACGCTACCAACCGGTCCTATCGATGTCTATGTTGGCTTCAGCTCTAGAAATCTACTTCTCCAGGGTAGTCTGAGCATTTGAGGGTACTATCGTTCTCAACAACAAGCACAGTTTCGTTGAGATGACCACACCATGACTACATATCTCTTGTCGACTAAGATGCTGCGCGCATTGTTTGGTGTCCATTTCCTCCTGTTGAGCTATTTCATCGGCGAATTAAATGTAAGTGCGCCTATGCGAAGGACAAGATATCACCCTAGTCAATGGTAGTTGAGGACGTTCGTTGAGTAGCTTGTTCATTGACACACATTATGATTAAGAAATCCTAGCAACTATTCTCGCTAACAAAGATTTCTTGGAATGCCTTCTCACCACCACACCTTTCTCATCTCCAACAGCCAGAACAATTCAGTTGGCTAATTTATAGAGGAGGAGCGTTGGGGTCCATCATGCACTGGTCGACACGCATCAGCTGCTTGCCAGTAGCCTTAGCGATCTGAATAAACTGCCTCAGATAGCTAACAGTCGAGGGGTAGAGGTAATGGAGAACGACCAAGTTGCCGCCCTTGTTGACGTCACGCTGGAAAGCGGTCATCTGCTGCTCAGGGGTATCGGTCTCAGCCCACAACCAGTCCTCAACATCGACGGACCAGTTGGTGATAGTAGGCTTGCGGCCGACAGCCTTTGCGAGACGCGAACGCATACGAGCACCCTCGTTGCCGAAGGGAGGGCGGAAGTAGGAGGTGTCAAGGTTGAACTGGCTCTTCATAGCCTTGATGTCCTCGTTGTACTCCCAGTCGATGGAGCCGTAATCAGGAAGACCCTCCATCTTTGGGTGGGTGAAGGAGTGAAGCGCGAGCTGGTGGCCAGCTGCCTGCATCTCCTTGTAGACGTTTGTCAGGTTCGTGGTCTGGTCGAGAAGGGGAGCGCCAACTGTGAAGAAGGTGACTTTGATGTTCTCCTCGCGGATGATCTTGAGGACTTCTTGAGCGAGATCTGGGATACCATCGTCGATAGCGAAAGCAAAAGAGTTGGGGCGCTTGCAAGCAAAGACAAGGTCGCCAGACTCCTCATCGTTGGGAATGGTGGTGCCAGCAGGAACGGAAGGAACGATCTCCATAACAGTCAGTTTGACGGTGTCCTGGCTGTAGAAACCCTTGAGCGCAAATCCGATCGCCTTCGTCAGATCGATGTTGAAGTGGCTGATGGGGATGTAAATGTGACCGTTCTTAGCATAACGCGAGGCCTCGACGGAGTCCCAGGTGGCGGGGTACGGGGCGATCTCGGAGTTGCACGCACTGTTGTGCTGCTGGAAGGCGACCGTGAACTTGGTGCTACCAGTGTACGCAATGTGGAGGTAAGAGCCCTTGTATTTGCTGAAGTCGCTGCAGGATCCAGAGACCTGAGTGTAGAAAGAGTAGTCAGCGTCAGTAGACTTGATTGTCAGTCCGCCACTGTAAGTCAAGGTCATGCCATCATCACCTCCGTGCCAGAAACCCTGCGCATTGCTGGCAGCACTCGCGAACCTGTCAATGACATACGCAGCGGCAGTGCCAGAGGGAGCAGCGACGGTAGCAGTAGGGGCGGAGTTAGGCTCGGTGGTGGTGACGATGTACTCGCCAGTGTTACCGCAGTAGAAAGCCATGGGACCGAAAGAAACAGTCTTGGTGATGGCAGAGAAAAGGATGGTGGTAAGCTTTGTGGTGTCGAGTCCATTGTACTTGGCGAACGGAATGGTGTACAACTTCTCTGTGCCGTCAAAGGTCCAACCAAGCTCAGTCGACGTTTGTGTAAAAGCCTGCGCAGCGGTCGGGTCGCAGCTGCTCGAGGAGTCAAGTTCGATGGAAAGTGTGGTTCCTGCAGGTGCCTTGATGCGGAGGGAGATGCCAGTGTGGCCCTTGGACTTGGCGTTGAAGCAGCCAAATTGGGAGTAGAAGTACGAGCTGGTATCCTTGGAAACGATCTCGACGCGGTTCTTGGAGGGCTTGCCAACGGTGAGGGAAGTCATGGTGCCATCAGAGGAAGAGGCCAAGTTCATAGCATTGTAGAACATGAAGGTGAGACGTGACTGCGATGTCCAGTCATCGATGAGGGTTGCAGCGCAGGTTCCGGTGGGAGCAGCGGAGGTCGCAAGGGTGGTGCGGCTGGCCGAAACAGTGGAAGCAGTACTGGGACGGACGGTAGAGCTGACAGCAGTGGTGGAACCGGAACCCCCAGTGGCGCCGCCGCAGCCGAGCTGGATGTTGCTCAACTGCCAAGTGGCAGTGGTCGAAGAGAATCCGGACCAGACAAAGCCGGTGATTGCATTACCGTTGGCACCTGCGAACTGGCTCAGAGGGATGGTGACGGTCTGAGAGTTACCAGTCAAGCCGGTGAACGATGTATAGTACGAGGTGTATGCAGAGGCCGAGCAGGCCGACTTAGTCTGGATCTCCAAGGTACCAGAACCCCCAGAAACGCCTTTAATGGTGAACTGAATGGAGTTGTAGTTGTTGCTAGTAGCGGCCTGGCACTCGAACGTCTCGTAGAAGTACGAGCCGGACTTGGGTTTGAACGAAAGTACACCGCTGGCGGCGGAAATTGATGTCATGGAACCATCGTCTAGTATCGTCAGTGGGCAGGTCGTGGAAAAAGCAATGATAGCATACCGCTAGTCCACGAGTTCAGACTGTTGGTGTTGGTGGAGTATTTGGAGAAGTCATCGATCTTCAAAGCGGAGCTGCATGCAGCATAGGCCTGGCTGGCAAAGCCAGCCGCAAGGCCAATTAGGATTGAGGAACGCATATTAGTCGCGATATAGCGAAAGTATGGGGAACGAATGTACGGAAGCCGAAGACTTCCAAGTCGGAGTGTCGAAACTCTACGAATCGACGAGGTTGATCAGGACGATAACTCGTACAGAAGCACCACCCGCGGGCTGCACAGAAGATATATCCGTCGGCGGTACAGGGGGATCAGCCATGACACAGGCGAAATTTGCCTAGTTTACTGGGCGTGCAAGCCTTTCGCAAAGCGGCCCTGGTAGTTCGGGAAGACATGCTTCTATTTAGAGCCGCGTAGTGCCTGGGCAAGCGTCGATCTATCGTTCTTTTTGGCCATGTTGAGTTTAGGGGCTGCTGACAGTTGACGCCAATTCGGTTAAGGATGCAAGGCCCCTGAATGCGATGTTTCGTTCCTGTACATGTGGAGCAAGCCTTCCTTCGGGTAATAAGGGTGCTGGGGGCTACTTCCAGCACTCCCGCTGGAAGCGATGACGCTGTTGGGCCTCAGCAACGCTCAGAAGCGCAGGAAGCCGCACAGGGCCAGAAAATCCTTGTCTACTTGCATATGCACGCACCCGAAGGTCGCTTCCCGGGTTCAGTAAGTAGATATCAGACAAGACCGCGCAACGCGACAACAGTCGTGCTGGGATGCTTCTGAAACAATAACCCGGCCTGGTTACCTGGCGTGAGAAGCAGAGTTCCGCGGTGAACAAATTGCGCTCGTGCGACGAAGGAACACGAGCGTCGCGCTCTTACTTGGCTGGGCAGGCAGGATCGCGGCGTACTTGGCCCTCACTGCCGAGAAGTCGATGTGGATGCCGTCAGCATGTCGACGTTTGGGAGGGTAACATCTAGCGAATGGGGAACGGACAAGGCGTCCCGTATGGCGAGAGGGGAGCAAAAGACGACATCACGTGGGTCTTTCAATACGACATTGCAGACACGAGGCAGTCGCGTGGACAATACACAGCATGCGATTTGTACAACCAGATGGAATGATGAGCAGCGAATTGGCTCGCCAGGTTCTGGCTAAGCCTATTGTGACTCACGCCTCCTTACAACCTTCCGTTCTCGCGTTTCTCCACATTTGCTATGTTCTGCCCATGAGCTACATCATGTGGCTACCTCGTCACAGTTATTCCTTGGTCGCGCGCATACGATTGCAATTTATTTTCTGACTGTGATAGCTTGCCAAGCCTGCCCCTGCCAAGCGAGCAGACGGCGGAATCGCCACAAGCTCGCTGTTTCAACCATACCGACTCGCTACCGCTGTATCTAGTTTCTAGGGCTGACCGGTCCCGCACGATTTATTGCCGTCAAAGCCTCTTGTGTGGAGTTGGACGCCTCAGGCCAAGTATCGATCACGATCGGTAATCCGTACCTTACCGTAATGCGAGATGAGCCACAGACCCACCTCACACCATCCAGCGTTCTGCAGATGTATTGAACACTGCAGGATTCTGCAGTGTCGTTATTGACAGCGGGACAGCTATACGGGGCTTCGTCAGGAACATCAGGCTCACTGCATGATGGTAAATTTTCATCATTTGCAGGAACAGTGCAAAGCTCGGTCAGGTCAGTCTTCCGGCTATGCAATCGCAGAATCCAATGCGAACCTGGATATCTGCCCTTCACAGATTCTCATCGACGGCGAACTGTCCGTATAAGCGTAAAGTCGATTCGCCCCTTCGAGGGGCTGAAAATTGAAGCGGAAATGTGCGTCACGTTTTCAAGATCAAACTGAACCAATGGCGAACACGTTCGCATTGCTTGTGGCCCGGGTTGCAGCAGACTTGCTCTGGTGCATTTTTTCCATGGAGGTCAAGCTCAAAGATAGACAAGACGAAAACGTGGGGCTTCACCCCGCTTCCGCTCATTCCGGGGTAAGCACGCATCATCACTGCTTGACAGGACTTCGATATGTGCAGAATCGCCTGTTGCACTCGAGTCTGACCTCTGTATGCCACTCATCAAGTAACGATCAGGACACTCTAATAGGTATCACACTATGGCCAACAACAGCGAGTCCGTGTTACCGTCGCAGCAATTTACACACAGACTGACTCGGCAACTGCAGCCTCGTAAGACTGGCGCAAAAGCTTGCCTCTACAGGCGCTTTCAAAATCGAGCGAACACCACGCAGAGTGCGAGCGTTGTTCAATGGCAGATACGTTGTTGATACACTCCATGCCTATCACGTATGGGAGCATCCAAACTTCCCGCAGTAGTACTATCTGATCCTCAGCCTACGCTGAGCTGACGCCACGCAAGATTCTATGTCCCAAAATCCGCACTCCTCAAAGCGGCCGATCTGCGAGTGGCCCACGCCGCCATCGAAGGCACTGGAGATCGCGCTCACTTTGGGACTCTCACGGTCGGTGAACGCATGACGACTCGTGTCGTCGTCTTTAACAATATTGTGAATAATCTCATTAAAATTGATTTCCATGCCATGGATCAGTGGTTCGAAGAAGATGTCCCCGTTTACGGACATCCAAAGGATCCCTACAAACGCATCGACATCCTGCATTCTACACGTAGTGTCAGGGTAGGCATTGACGGCGTCATACTCGCCGACTCTTCTGCACCGTTGTTCCTACTGGAGACGACACTGCGTACTAGACATTATCTACCGCCAACAAGTGTTAAGTGGGAGTACCTGCGAAAGAGCAACACTGAGACATTGTGTCCGTACAAGGGCAGGGCGAATTATTACCATGTTGTGGTGGATGGGAAAGAGTACAAGGACCTTGTATGGTATTACAGATATCCCACGCACGAGAGTGCGCCGATCGCTGGGTACATGTGTTTCTACAATGAGAAGGTGGATGTATGGGTGGACGGAGAGAAGGAGGAGTGACGGGAAGCTCACGGTCACAATTCGTACAACGAAAGATTTGCAGCGTGCTATCTCCAAATGGCAATAGTTGGGCACGGAAGAGTGTGCACACGTTCATCCGTAGCTGTCTGCGGTGATGAAACCACCTGCCTGACTATGTTAGATGTGAATAATGCTGCAGATGTGACTGCATCATGTTAGCATTGTGAACCGACAGGAAGTGAAAGAGCTCTGCGCGTGCTTGCACAATAACATCGTTAAATGACATTACTGAATTCCGCTCAAAATCTTATCGCGCACACGTTAAATAGGGAATACTGCCTGACGTGACCCGAGTGATAACCAGCAACGAAAAGAATAACAACCATAAGATCGTATCATGCTCAGACTCAAGCGAACACTTGCCGCAGTGCGAGAACGCACACGACAGATACTTGCACAGCCAGACACTAGTCAACAACAACAATGTTCCAGTGACTCGGAAAGCTCACCCATTTCTCCCTACACCGCTGTTGCAGCGCTCGCACCAGTCCTCTCGGGTGCCGAACTAAATACTGATCAGCACACCACATCTATACCACTGATGACGATCCACAAGGTTTCTGCAACTCTCACGATCACCACTGACGTCATGCGAGCCTCTGAGTTTTCCCATGGCTCTGGTCTGCTTGTGTATATTAACGGAACACTCATGAGCGCGGCGTGCGTAGCCCTTAAGACCAATATTGCCACTATGAAATTGATCAAACGACTGCCTCTGGATAAGCCAGGTATGTTCGGAGCACGTCTTGGGGCTGCTTTTGCTGATGACAGGAGTGAAGTGGAAATCACCTGGGCAGAGGTGGATGATGTGGCGGAACGGGACTGGCGCGAGGCGGAGCGAGTCTGGGCACCATTTCCTGGAGGACCATATGGATCATTGGGATCAGACGATTGCGACGATGAATTCTGTCGACGATATAGTTCGGCAGATGGGGAGGATTGGGCAGCGTTCTCAACCCGTCGGCAATCAGTGTCCAGCTATGGGTCTCTTTCACTGCGGCCTGATCGTAGTGCCTTCTCTTCGTCGTGCCAGTATACTGATACTGAGGATGCGTCTGGCACAGCAGGGGCAATGAACCAAGCCCAGACTGTTGTGACTGGTGCTGAGTTCGATACTCTGTCGTACTGCTCTGGATCCTTCAGTGGCACGTCATCACGGTGTGAGGATCAAGACTCGATCGAGCTGACGACCATACAGCGACCACAAGCACCATGTGAAGTGTTCTCCAGATCGCATTTGGATACAGAGTATGTCTCATCCTTGTGGTCTCCAGGGAAAGGCACAGGACCTATCATGTCTAGTGACGAGTTCGACGCACTGTCAGACTGGTCTGACGGTGGGAGTGACCCGGAATGGAATAGCATTCTGGAAGAGCCACTGGACTGCAATGGGCTTGTATGTGAGGGCAGTGTGCAGTGACAGTTTGGATTGCGACGAAGAGACGTATGGAAGCAAGGTAGGAAGATGGCAGAGCAGATTGAAACTTAGGTACCTAATGCACAAATTTGGATAAAGCTTTGCGTGACTATGGTTGTGAATGCACGTGGTCTCTTCACATAAGCAGGCACATGTATTGATATGAGGGAGGAAGATAGTAAAGCAGACCGACACTACCTTGGTAGTAAACAAGACCGGATGCTCGCCGCGACTGTGGTGGATCCATACACGTGATTCCTTCCCCGAGCAGGCGCGGCGCGACTCGACCAATAGCGGGGCGCGCTGAGCTTTGCCGCGGAAAGCTCAGGGAGCCGCCTGGACGGGATTGTTGAATCTGGAACTCCAGCATTGCACCACCACGTACGCATCATCGCCGCCCCCTCCGCCCCGCCAGTAGCGTCGACCGGCCGTCCAATGTCCCAGCCCACGGCTCCTCGCTCGTAACCGCCCATCCCCCTGCGCACCGCGTCCCGCGCCGCTCCTTTCGCCGTCGCAGCCAGCCGCCCCGGCGCTCCGCAGCGCTCCGCAGCATGGCGACGCTGAACATGCTGGCGGGCCGCCTCGCCCGCCGCCCTGGGCGCATTCTGTTCCTCGTCGCCGTCTTCTTCTTCTTTGCCTACACGCTCAGGGGCCGCGCCCCTAGCGCGCCGCACCCCGTCCACCACGCCAAGACCAAGTCGTTCTTCCCACCGCTCGAGCAGAAGAGCGCCAACAGCATCGAGCTCGACTACTGCCAGAACTTCCCGGCCGACCTGCTGAGCGAGGTGCAGGTCGTGCTCAAGGTCGCCGCCGGCGAGACGGCTGTCAACAAGGCCCACCTCAGCACCGTCACGAGCTGCATCTCCAACCTCATCATCGTCAGCGAGGCCGAGGACCGCCTGGGCGACCGCCACGTCGTCGACATCCTGGCCGAGCTGCCCAAGAGCTACGAGGTCAGCAACCTGGACTTCCAGGCCTACATCAACCACAAGAAGGCCCACTCGGAGGGTGAGACGCGCCAGGAGTCGCAGCGCAGCTTCAAGCTGGACCGCTTCAAGTACCTGCCCATGGTCGACAAGGCCTACATGACCAGCCCCAAGGCCAAGTGGTACGTCTTTCTCGAATCGGACGTCTACTTCTTCTGGGACACGCTATTCCGCCTGCTTAGCCAGCTCGACCCCACCGAGCCGCACTACCTGGGAGCCCCGCACAAGGGCAGCGAGGGCCGCTGGTTCGCTTATGGCGGCGCCGGCTTCGTCATGTCCAACGGGCTGATGAAACAGCTGATCCCCGTAAAAACCCCGGGCTCAACTGAGATTCCCCGCGAGAACCGCCTGAGCGTGCGCTTTGAGAGCTGGGTCAAAGAGGAGGCTCGCGGTGACGCTGTGCTCGCGTATGCCATTCAGAACGTCACGGGCCACCGACTGGAGGCTCTTGATCCCACCTTCACCAGCGACGAGCTGCGGAAAATTACAACCTACCGGGACCGCTGGTGTGTGCCACTGCTCTCGCTACACCAACTGTCGCCTGAGCAGATGGAGAAGCTTTGGAAGTGGGAGCGCACACGACCTTATAATTTGGTATGTTCTACGCTCCCGTGGTGTGTCTAATGCTGACATTCACACTAGAAACCGTTCACCTATTCCTCCCTCCTCTCCTATACCCACTCCTTTCTCGCAAACGGTCCCTCTCGCGAGTGGTGGGACAACCTCTCCGAGGCACCCGTACCCAACGACCGCCCTGCCCACCGCAACGCCGGCATGTGCGGCTCCGAGTGCCATAATGACCCGAACTGTTTACAGTGGTCTTTCTCCCAAACTGTGTGCCGCCATTCAAATTACATCAGATTGGGTGACGGGGTTGACAAGGAGAACGGCGGTCAGGGCGAGTTTGTGAGTGGTTGGGACGCCGAGAAGTTTCGCGACATGGGCTTTGGAGCCTCGAATGAGAGGGGCGAAAGGATGTTCTACGAGGGCTGCGACGAGGCCACATGGCTTAGCCCAAGAATGCTGTAGAACGGCCGCATTGTACTGCATACCGCGATACGACTTTCGGATCACGCGCACAGGATAGCGCACACGCTTTTGTTTGAGTAAGACCAGGACGATGGTTCCGATGGCGTTGTGATGGATCGATTATGCATGGCGTTCTGGATACACACCACTGTTGGATATGAGTGAAGAATACGGAAAGGCCGTTATACATTACGCTACAATTAGCAGTTCGCGTTGATAGGATTAGTGGAACAAGTAAGAGAGGGGGCATCAGTCCCTTTGCATATAGCTTGGATACAAAGCAGCATGTCGACTACTTCATGTACGCATTCGAAGAGGGTATGGCAGCGCATGCCCACTCGTCATCCTCTCTGCACTGGAATCCAAGGTCTGTTACTTCTGGAGCCTTTCCCATGCTCGCTATTGTCCAGAGTGGTAAGCACTACGGAGATTGACTCTGATTCGATCTTATTTAGCTGTGTTGAAGCCATTTCTGGCATGGACACTCTCAAACCACGTTCCTGGGTTGTATGTGCCTGCTTCCTAGAACATCTGCTGTCACAGATTCAAACCTTGATGACGATATTAATGGCGAGCAAGATAGCAGCCGTGGGATATAAGCGTTATGAGCTAAAGGGCTCGCAGTCTAGCACAGGCAAACGACTAGACTACAAGTGGAGAAGCAAAGAGAAAGAAATGAAGGAGGCGTGAATCCGCGATGGCGACAGTCAGCTGACCTCTATAAGGACCGTTCAAAATAGGGGCTTTGGCCAGTGTGTACGAGAATGATCTCTCGGAAAACAGGAAATACGATGTGAAATAAGGTTTGCCCTTCCACGTGGATATTTGCAGCATCTTGTACATAACATGGGTACCTACTTTCCCTCAATCCTTCCGACTAGCCAATCGATGTGATCATCTAACTGCTGCGATGATTTTCGCGAGAAAGACAACACCCACCCGTTACAAGCATGTTGCCATAAGCATAACGTGTGTGAAACGGAGCCCAACCGTGTCGAATCGCTCCTTTCGCGGCTCCTACTCGGCACTTGATTTGCCCCTCCCGTTCTTGGCCAAAACAAGACATTTAGTGATCGATCTCTCACTAGCAAGGCCAATTTGAGAATGAAGAGGGACGAGGAGCGATCTGCAGAGTGTCATTCGTAGACGAAGGGTGTTCAAACCTCGAGGCGCCTTATGAAGATCCAGAAACCAGGTCCCGACCACAGCGCCCACCCAACATCATGGAGAACGTGATCAGCGTGTGGTGATCTTGGGAAGTATGGGGCCGGGTTAACGGTCCGTTTGACTTGTTTAGGTTTAACCTGAACCCTAGACCCCGTACATTATGTCACAGGTAGATTGGCCCTGCCGTGTGCTAACCAGCGTCTACTACCTTCGAAGCTTCCACCGGCAGTTCCCGGTGGAATGTACGGCTGCGTTAGATGAAGGGTTATGATACCCATAGTGCATGACCTTGGGAACACATAAACAACGAACCGGATGCCAGCGCATAGTGCAATACCAAGAAGACTGGTCGAACATGCTGAGCAATGTCACTACTTTTGCAGGCCGTGTCTATTGAGTACAATCTCATTGATGAATATAAATCAGGACGATCTCCCCGAGACCTGTGCATAACCAACCCACAGTCACTCGTTTCTTCCCTTCTAAGATGTACACTGCTTCGATTCTCACCACGCTGCTAGCAGCTCCCCTCGCCCTGGCGGCTCCGCATGTCTCCATGCGTGCAGTTTCGGACAATGTCAAGTGCCCAATTGTTCTTGACGGCCGTGTGTCCAGTGCGCTTTCCAAGACCCCTACCGCGTTTGATACCTCCAACGCTCTCTTCAACCCGGACTACGTCAAGGGCAACAACATTACCTGGTCGCAGATCCTGAAGTTCCCCGCCACTGAGGCAAGCCGCTTTGATGGCTCAGCCAACACTGCTGTCGAAGTTACCATCTCCGACCAATCGATTTTCCAGCAACAGTTCGGCTTTCGCCGTGCAGGTCTGCAGTTCGCAGCCGACTCTCCCCAAGACCCGAGCGATGAGGGCATCAAGACTCTGCATTTCTCCGTAAAGCAGAATCCTGCCAGACCGTTGAACCTGACTCACGAGTACCTTAACGCGTGGCACGAAGCAGCAGACTACAGTAACAATCAGATCCAATTTCAAGTGGGCACTTTGATTGACAACCCCTCTTCCAAGAAGAACAACTTTAAGATCCTCGATCGTGCAGGCAAGCAGATCTGGGGTATCCCGATCGACTATAAGAAATGGCAGAACTTTGCCATCAAGCTCGACTACACAAAGAAGTACGTTTTGAGCTCACTGAAATGCCCAAGACCGAATACTGACTGGCACAGCCAAACCACAGTGTACTACTCCGCCGGCGCGGCAAAGCTCGCCCGTGTTGCCGGTCCCACAAGCGTTAACCTTGCTGGTGGTGGTCAGTTCCAGATCGGTATCCTGAAGAAGCCTACAGGTACTTCTGACGTCGTCAACGCTGGCTACCAGTCACCGAACCTGAACGAGGGCCAGATCTACGGTGGGCTGTTTGTTGAGGATTCCGCGAATGGATGTGTATCGCTTTGAGCGCGTACATGAACTCTTGACCTCATGGTGCACATAATTTGGCGGTTTGGTGTATATACTTGTACGGTGTGCCAGCGAACGTCTGGCGCGAGAAATATCTGCTTTTCACGACTGTACATACTGGGTTTTTGATGCCGAAATACATCGTTGAGCATATTCTAAATTCGCACTTATCTCCAACGACTAAATCTACTATTTACGGACACTGGGGTCCGGGGCTGAGACAACTCCGCTGCCGCTGCCGCTGCATCTTCTTGCTTTACCACTGAGCCACTGATGCCGCCCAAACTGGACACCGAATGAGCTCCGGTAGCTGTCAGATGGCTAGCTGAGCTCTCTGTGCTCGGCAAGACCCCAAGCCTGTCTCTTGTCTGTTTCTCCCCATAAGCCTCTGTCGAAGCCAGATTGATCCAAGTGTCATCTTTGTGCCAATTACGTCTTGAAGAGTTCTCTTTCGGCATGCTCTGCACTGGTGTCACGTGACTTGAGTTATGTGTGACCTCTGTAAGCCAACTCTTGAGTCTTTTCGGTATAATCTTGACAACCAAGACGCGAATGGCGGGAAGCGAAACGCACGCAAAGGCAGCGGTAATCTCGAGCTCAGTCCAGATCACGATCGGTACATAGTCCCAGGTTGGGTCGACGGAAAACGTGAAGGTTAGGAGCGAGCGGAGACGGATGATGGTGGTTATGCATCCACTGATAGCAGGTTAGCAAAGTGTTGCAACAACTACAGTAACATGACAGTACTTACAAACTCCCAATGGAAAACATCACGGCCACAGCGAGTTTTCTTGATTTTTTCATCTGCAAGTTCTGCAGGTAAAACATTGGTAGTACGACCAACAAGACATCTTGGACAATTGCAGAGATGCTGTTGGCGTAGCCCAACATCTGAATGTCCATACACTGTCGTTTACCCGTCAGTTTGTTATGGTGATAGGGTCCTTTTGCAGGCTGGCTCACCTTGCCCTTGAGATCTCGATCCCAAAACGCAGCCACGGGTGTGCACGCGAATATTGTCAAAAGGAAGATGATCAGCGTGTTAACAGTGATATACCAGAACAAAGTCCAACCAGCGATCTTAAAGCTGCGTGTAGGGAAGACCTCCAAGTAGAACATGATCAACGAGAGCTTGATCAGTCCCAAGATGGCGACGTAGGTCGACCATGCGATGTAAACTACCCTTGGTTACTGATTAGGTACAAAGATTGTTTGAAGATATCAACTTACAGTATCGTAAAATCGGCATGAATGTTCCGTCGTCAAGGTTCCAGAGGTGCTCACCAAAACCAATGTTCGCCACTATCACCGGCATCAGCAAGGACACATCCCGAAGTTCATGTCAACTCACTGGCCAGCACACATGCAATTGGCACCGCTGCTAACAGTAAGGCCGCTACAATTGGCGCGTCGTTCCATGCTAATTTGCTTGAGGCAATTTTGCCAGCCACGCGTAGTACTACAAGAGTAACAGCTACAGCGTACACTGTGATCGTATAAACTATCACATCCCTGCGCTGCGACTCATCTGATAGCACACACATTTGTGCATTGACACGGGCAGTGCCTTTACCACACGTCAGTATTCTGATAGCAGCACATGTCGGGGTAACTTACCGAGGTTGTCTGCCATGGTGCAGTTCGCAAGCATACATGCACTCAATTGCTGATTTAGTGCCGCGTTGGTACACACACAGAGTGTGTCGGTGAGGCTACAGCCGCTTTCAGGAACATACTGGATCAGGCATCTGATCTGCGTATAGTGTTAAATTAATATGGTAGAAGCGCGTCGTAAGTGTGCACCCACTCCACATGAAGGTATATCTGCTATGCCCAGTTCTCTGGTCTGACTTGACGACCTCGCGGAAATATGGAAAGACGAGGACACCTCCAAACCTGGTGAACTGTTGGCAAGGTGAAAGGCGGATGGACGAGCATGAGTGAAGCAAAGCATAAAGCTAAGCAGCAGCCATACGATGGATGAACATGTCCTCATTGCGCCGAAGAGGATCCTGCCCGCGAAAGAATCATCAGTCAAACCTGCAGAATGGGTACAGACATGGTATTAAAGCTCCGCGTGGTGTTGGCGTAACGGCATTGTCATCGAACTCTATTATGAGGAGGGTTTTCTCGAACTGGTAGTTCCCCGCGGACGGACGAATTATAGGCAGTTGTGGCGTTCTCTGAGGGTGCTGAGTGGTGAAATGCCACGAGTCACCTGCATATTCCACTACCAATCTTTGCCGCATCTGACTCGGGAGGGGTCCAGGGCTAGCCACTTCGCATGTTTTCAGGGCTCGCGCTATGCAGGTGTAACAGCGGCTCCACTGACCGTCGCATCTTTCGAGGTCTGCCGAAACCCCTGACAGCATTGGCCGATGATCTGCCGCTGATAGCGGCGGCCGTAAAAGTGATGGTGTGCGATGTTGCGCGATGGTGCAGCGATCGTGAGACCAGAACACATACTGTACGAGATAGAAGGCGATGATCTGTTTCGAAACACCCACATCACGACGCCGATAACCTTGAAATTGTTGGCCTTCTCTCATGAATGTGCGGCCGACGCCATTTCTCCATGACGAAAGAGGCGACTAAAAGGAACACTGTGTTTGCCGGCTTGGGCTGAGCGTGTGATCGGAAGGATTATATACCTCGGTTCTCTACTTGCAAGGATGCATTTGCCCATCTGAACGCTTAGGCATCGTACAATCAGTACTTGCAACTGCCTCCCACAAGTTTTGGCTCTGTGATGCCGCTGATTAAAATATTATGGGCAGAAGTGAGGATAGAAGCTGCTCATCCTATAGTGAACGTAGTGCCTACAGAGACGCTGGTGTAGTGTCTGAGTTGTGGTGTCTGTGATTAAACATGCCTTTTGTGAAAACGAAAGGATGTATTATTTACAGCTGCCTCTAGGCCGCTACGATAGCCTGAGCGGCTGATTAAGGAAGGTCAAGCTGAAAGAGATTTAGTTGGTAGTCCCGTCCCCAACGTCGCTTGTGATCAAGCCGATGGGTAACGAATGTGTAATAAGGTCTTGGTGAGTAGATGATGGGAGGATTGTCGGACCAGTTATCGAGATTATAGATGGCATCGACGACTATGGACCGTGAAAGTCGAACCCCGTGGCGAAGCCAGTATTACAGGCGCATGTAAGAGCGTACTCGCCTCTCAAGCACGCGTGCGGACTAACCTTGAGTGTCAAGTGGAGTCATAACCCTGCAATCAGGAATCTTGATGAGAACATCGCCTCACCTATCGCCATGAGCTTCTCTGATCGTCCCTCAATCATGGTGGACAGTCCATAGAAATGACAGTGCCACCGTGGGACGGACAGACTGAGGCATATACATCCATTGGACCGCAAGCTCTGATGGATGACTTGAAAGGGAACACCCCAAGAAACAAGCACCTCAATAACGCCGTCGCAAACCCTAGGGAATCCACAGTAAGGACAGAAGAGTATGAGAAACACGAGCCCAGTGAAAAGATCAGAGCCACAACGAGGATCATAAGATGTCAAACTTCTTGACGACCATGAATAGCAGCATCGCAACGACGCCCCAGATACACGTATCGATCCAGGCCAATGATCGGTCAGGGCTCTGCTGGACCGTTCGTTGCAGGGGAGGTGCTGGTACAGTCCTTGTGGGCCTTGGCTTCGGCGCAAGAGATGCTGGTGCTACTGCTACTGGCACTGTAGTCGTTGGCACAACATGTGCTGTATGTTGCTTGGAAGGTTCCTGATGCAACTCAGTATCAATAGCTTTGCCCTTCCCCTTGTCCACATTCTCGATTTCGGCATTCTCCGTCTGACCCAGTTCATCGCGGTATGCGAGCCTTAGCTCCTCAGGTACTTCCTCTTCTTTCCTCTTGCCGTCCTTTTCCTCGATCTCTTGCGCAGCCTCCTCTCTCTCTTTCATAATCTCAGCATTACTCTTCCCACACCCAGCACAGGTCCACTTGCTGCTATCCTTCGCCATTCTCTCCCTCGCATCCTTACTGCACTCGATGCCACCTAGTTGTCCCTTTGCATCCGTATCCATGAAGCTTCTGATTGCCACCAGGGCCGTCCTTACACCCCATGCGGGCTGCCAAGTCTCTTCGTGATGCCCAGAGATGCTCAGGCATATTTCGCGATTTACTTCAAATCGACCCGTAGGCGTGAGAAATCGGAAGTTTGGTGGTCGCAGAGGGTACTGGGGTGGCAGTATTATGCGACCGTGGTAAATGCCGCCAGCATATGCGGACGGAGACTCTGGGCCTTTGATAGTGAAGTGCCATTCGAAAATGTTGTCCTCTAGCGGTTCGGCGTGGTAGTCTGGAGAGGGGGAGACAGAAAGCTCCGAGGCTTCCTTTACTGAGGTGCGTCAGATGTATGTAAGGGGTGTTGGATCTGAGGCTGGCTTACATATCCGCTTGATAGTAGGGTTCTTCGTGTTGAACTGCCCGCGGATGGACATGGCCGTGATGTGGGAGGCAGGCGACAGAGGTGTTTGGCTAAAAGCAGCTCTACTCTCTGTGAGGAAGTGTTTGGTGTGCTGTATGTAGAATGTGGTGCTGGAACGTAAATGTTGACGTGGACGCTGCGACTGCTTTCGGGGTATCACAGGCCGCCCGTATCGTAACTAACCTTAGGGGCTTAGCGCCTTAGCTCGCACGTGCATGCCTCCCGATGTCATTATACTTAGAGTCTAAGTCTTAGATAAACGCCCACTTCTGCCGCGGAACCAGATGGCCGTGCGAGCAGACATGGGAGTTTGCAGTTGGCAGGTTGCAATTGGCAGTTGCAGACGAAGCTTGACCCCAGGTCGTGCGCTGTTTGGGCAGCGAGAACGACTGCGTTCCCGGGCAGGCTCTGGCCGTGCTGCGGTTACGGTGCGCTTGCACGAGTGCGGCCGAACACACTACAATAACGAGTCACGACTTTGTTGTCAAGATGGAAGATCACGTACTTCCTGTGTACAAAGCTCACTCATCGGTCCGTTTGGCGACGATGCTGTCGCCGAGCCGCACGGCCCCGATGTGGACGCTGTCAGCCCTGTGACGGTAGCACCCGCAGATCGTGCATCCACATGTCCAGCGCCCCATGATCTTCATGACCCTGCCTCGCTATGCTCTTGCTACGCTCTTGTCTCAACATGCCCGTCACGTTGGTGGCCGCGCTGCCGCCACAGACAGCAGGTCCCCCGGTGGCAAACTTGGTCCACGTCGAACGCCACTCGCTTGCACGTGGGTCGCGCGCAGCGCTCCAGAAATGACACCATCGACCGATCGAGACCGCCTTCCTTGTCTGCCTGCAAGAGCCCTCCGTCCAGGCGCATGAGTCCGACACGCGACGTGATCTCCACGCTACTTTGCGCGTGGACTGTCCGCATGAGCAGCGCATTAGGGTTGAAAACGGTAGCTTTGCCGCACTCTGCAGCCGTTATCAATCGTCTGTGAGCTGCCATACGCCGCTCCGCTAGAGTCGCCATTGTCACAGCCGCTGCCAGTTTGTGCTACCACTCGTTGCTTGGCCATGCTGGAAAGCGCCAGAGGACTGCCTGTGTCGTTGCCGGGCGAGATCAACGCAGCGACTCGGTAGGGCTCCGCGCCTGCATCTGTCGCCACTGTGCAGTACTGACGCTTTGCACAGCACCCTGCATACCAACCTCAACCGTCTGATAACAAGTCGCCTCCCGCTGGGCCTCCCGCCGCACACGCATGACTCCGCCCTCTATGCCACCGGTCTCCTACACTTCGCACATGTCTACCTCACCTTCGAGAGCCTGTGGTCAGATCTCATACGCGACCACGTCCGCCCCAGCTCTCCGTCTGCATCTGCCGTCGATCTTCCAACCCTACCAACTTCGCCGCTTCTCTCGTACCTTCTAGTCAACCCCTACGACTCGCCCTCCCTCTTTACATCCACACTAGGCGCTCCCACATTGCCCTCGCCGCAGCTTGCCGCCTTCCTCTCCACACTGCGTCCTCGGGGACTTCCGCGTTCTGGGCCTCTGAAGAAGGATCTCGAGTACCTGCTTGGCCTCCAGCCCACGGATCTAGAGGTTCTCTTGGCCAAATACCCCGGCGACAAGACAGCAGCTTTCTGTACGCACGTCCGGAGGAGCGTTCACGAGAAGCCATGGACTCTTGTGGCATACGCGTGGTGCTTTTACATGGCCGTTTTTTCAGGAGGGAGATGGATAAGAGCAGGACTTCTCAGAGCAGGCAACGATTTCTGGCCATCCACACACGAGGAAGACGGTGCGACACTACAAGAGCGTGGACTGGCCTTCTGGCATTTTCCAGGCCTCCATGATGGCGAAGACATCAAGGCCGAATTCAAGCTTCGGCTGGAGGAAGCAGAGCACCTATTCTCGGATGATCAGCGCGTGGACGTGATTGAGGAAGCCAAGAGTATCTTCCAGCTCTGCGCTGAAGTCGTTGACGAGCTGGATGACTTGGTCAGCTTGACTCGGGTTCAACAGCTGCAGAGAGACAACGAAATGGCACAGACTCTACAGGACAAGCCGATCAACAAACCCCACTTCGCAGACCCTTCCAGTTCCAACCCCAGGCGCGGATTGGCGTCGGCCGAATCACTTGCCGTGTTTGTAAGACGGCCGGAGATCACCAGTACTCTAGTTGCATTGGGTTGTTTGGTTTGCGTCGCGCTATTGCCGGCTTGGAATCCGAATTTGCTGCAGGACTGGTAAGATGTTCCTGTATGATCGCAGTCGTCTTACAATGATGACGATTTGTCCGGATTGTTTCTTGTCTCGTAAGGTAGTGTTAGTTTTGAGCTCATGTCGTGGACTAAGATACCCAAAGCGCAATTCGCAGCATAGATGATATAATCAATTAATACACTGCTCTAACTTTGTATCTTATCTTTGACTTGGACAGTCACAGTTCCGATCGGGCAGCTTGCGCTTGTGCTGTCCGTAATACAAGAGGAGATGGCACGTGTTGCTGACTAACATAGTTTCCACCAGCTTTGCCGAACATACTGTCTCACAACCGCATTTCAGTCTATCAGTTTCCATCAAACAGCTATGGCAGAACACCCCTCATTTACACTTGCTGGCCTACGTAAGCTCAATGATGTACATAGCCCTTCATGACCATGACGAGCTTACAATAGTGTAGTTTCCGTAGGCGGAACAGCCGGCTACCTTCGCACGCGGTCAACACCATCTCTAATCGCAGGTCTCGTGCTTGGCGCGTCTTATGGCTACTCTGGTAAATTTGTCAAACCCGATTCATATTTCGCCGTCTCCAAGTAAACTCACTGACCAATAAAAGGCTACCTGATCAAGGAGAACAAGGACTACGGCACTGAGCTTGCGCTAGGAAACAGCGTGGTTCTACTTGGATCAGCGATCCCAAGAATCATCAAGACCGGTGGACGGGCACCTGTGCCAATTGCGCTTGGTGCCACCGGGCTACTTGCCACATACTACTACCAGAAAAAGGTGCGCGAATTCAGGTACGGCGTATAGGCACCGTGGAGATGACTCTGCGTGCACAGTAGTATACAGTAGTGTATAATAGTGTACAATAATGTACAGTATCTCTGCTCGGCCATTTATCGAACACAGCACAATCTGCGCATTGTTTGTTGATCTCGGCAATCTCTGTACTTGGGGTAGCTTTAATGTTGAGCCCTAACTACCTGTTCTGCTTGCTGCGAGGAGAGAATGGCAAATTTGCCTCCTAGAACAAAGGCCATGCAGGATTACTTTAGCGCTTGTCGGTATTCTAGTGCTGAGCAACAGGAGGTATTGCTGCACTATTGTTAGTTTTTTGCTGACAGTCTACTCCAGAATTGATGCCATCGATCAAACAACACATCAAAATAGCACTTGACTGAGTCAGCAGTCCAGATCAAAGCGCTATCAGATTGCTGACGCTTGTAGAGGATCCATGCACCATTGTGGCGCTTATTAGCTCTATTATTTCGTACTGCTGTTGCGCACGTTCCAAAGTCCTGCATGCCTGCGAATTCCCACACAAAATGCGTTAGAAAAGCACGTTGAGCCTGTATCTCAAAGAACGATTCGGATGTCTGTTTTACTGGCTAACGACTGAAGGATAGTCGCGACACCCTATACACCCAGCGTCAAATACACTCTGAGTGATACGGCATGAACGCTATGGTAATATATCTTGGAGCATTGCCAGACATGCATTCGATCACCCGCACACCCAATGGTGGAGCCTTATCTCGGAACCGACGTACATACCAGGCCGCAAACCCCGTGAAAGACGTCCATAATAGGCGAGTAGGTGACAGAGGCTTTGCTGACAGCACACACGTGTACACCCGCTGCACTATCCAAGTGATAATAATCAACTTGATCTGCAAGTGCCGCACGAAAGCCTTGCAAAGCTTTGGCTTCTCGACGTCTCATTGGTGGATCTTCCGGGTGCGACTGTCTTGGCTTCCCCATACTACCCCAGATGAAGCAGGGGATTTAATTCCATTGCCTGCTAACCATGGTCTCTGCTCTAGGCGCTACTCTGAACGCTAGGCTAAATCATCAGCCCTCCGGGCGAAGGGCACATGTAGCACATGTCTGTCATACCTGCTAGGTACCCTGGACAAACGTCCTTAAAGCCCCAATGTGCAGCACACATGGATTCCAATATCCAGAACGCGCAGCCTTGAACTCATCGTTAGTTTTGCGGCCTGGCAACGTCCCATCATCTGATACCCACTGTTGCCACAATGTGGACTCCGATCTTCATTCTGTCCTGCGGTCTTGCGCTCGCGAGCGCTGTCGTACAACAACCAATCGTGAAGTCGCAGGCCGGCATTTTTCATGGGCGCTATCTTCCTGAATTTGAGCAGGATCTGTTCCTCGGAATCAAATATGCGCCCAAGCCAGTACGCTTTACCCCTGCTCAATTGACCGAAAACACACCCACGACACACTATAATGTCACACAATACGGTCTCGACTGTACGGGCTATGGATCAGATACGACAAGGCTTGTCAAAGAGGGCAGAACGAGCCTTGGAGAAGACTGCCTTCACCTCAATATCGTAAAGCCCAGAACAGGTGCCAAACGCTTACCGGTCTTGCTGTGGATTTACGGCGGTGGGTGGCAACAGGGTGCTACTAGTGATCCAAGGTAGACAAAGCACTCCCGGTCTTGTGGTTCTGAGATACTGAAATGATATCAGGTACAATATGAGCTACATTGTCGAGCAGTCGATGTTGAATAACAAACCCGTCATTGGTATCTCTATCAACTATCGCATGGCCGCTTTTGGATTCATATCGAGTGAACAGATCAACGCAGAAGGGGCGCAGAATCTGGGCTTACGCGATCAGCGCTTAGCGTTTAGATGGGTCAACAAACACATCTCTTCGTTTGGTGGTGATCCCGCCAAGGTCACCATATGGGGAGAGAGTGCGGGTGCATACTCCGTAGGCGATCATATCAACGCATATGACGGCAAAACCGATGGCCTTTTCCGGGCTGCTATACTCGAAAGCGGTGGTGCGATCGGCCCACCCCTGAACGGGACAGACTGGTACCAAGGCTTGTACAAGAACCTCACTGCTGCAGTAGGCTGCGCAAACTCAACGAACACGTTACAATGCTTGCGTGAAGTCCCGTACGAGACTATTGCGCCCTACGGTTACGTGGGTCTCGAATGGTTCCACGTTATTGATGGCACCTTCGTACCACGCTACGGTCAAGAGTCGTTATTGAGCGGCAAATTCGCGAAGATTCCTTTGATTCTCGGAACGAACACAGACGAAGGATTTGGGGTGAACGGCGTCAACACCGATGCTCAAGCTGTCGAACAGTTGCTGACTTCAAAGAGGTGGAATGTGAATGAAGAGCAAGCTAAACGCTTATTAGAGCTTTACCCAAACGACCCAACTTTGGGAATGCCTTACGGCTGGGGAAATCGAACATGGCCGGAATTCGGGTTGCAGTACAAGCGGTACCAAAGCATCGCAACAGATCTGACCATGTACGCGCCAAGGAGGCTATTAGCGGAAAGAATGAGCACATTTGTTAAGAACGTTTACTCCTATCGATGGGATGCCCCAAAATTCAACACGACCACTGCTATCGGAGTCAACCACTTTTCCGAGGTTTGTAGAGAACCCTTCAGGCCTTTGTCGTACCCTTGTTAATTTCCAACAGATTCCGTTCGTGTTTGGTAATACGGAGCAACAGATCACGCCCTTGGGAAACAGTACTGTCAATTTAAAGCTCTCGAACCTGGTTATCAGGATGTGGACATCGTTTACATACGATTTAGATCCAAATGGCCATGGTGGTACGGTCAAAATCATTCCCAGCTCAAAACCCTTCACTAATGATTATCACAGTTGCAAACGTTACTGCATGGCCGCAATATGGCAGAAGTGCGTCGAACTTTGTTTTCAGAACAGATCTCAGCTACGTCGAGAAAGACAACGACAGGGCCAAAGGTGTGGCGTATATCAACACAATCGTACGATGATCTCAGGGCGCACACGTACTACATGGTACCATAGAGAAAATGTACGCTTGATGGTGAATTCACCAAGATGATAGAAATATGCATCGAATCGAAATGCTTGTGTTGTGGACAGCAGTTAGCAAAGTCAACTCAAAATTCTTTGACTTAACATTCAGCGTTTACCGTTACTAGACAAAACTGAAGGCTTCCTGGAGATTACTTGGGAATGCCTCTTTCAGCCTTTTCGTTAGAGACCGCGGCATGCTGAGCAACGATGAACATCCAAAGTAGCTTGGTCCCGTACGCTAGTTGGTCATATGAGGTCAATTAAAGGATACCGTCCTTTTCACTAAATCGCTATGGGACCTGTAATGACACAGGCTACTCGAGATGGATGCACCATCTCATCACATAACACTCAGTCAAACTCTGTCACCTGGTCATGCTAGAGTCCTTTGATCATATTCTACGATTACATGCCACTTGACAACATCGACTACACGGTCCTACAATTTGGTGCGCTGCCTCTACTATGCTGGCTCAGACTTTCTGTTCAATCTTCGCACCTTACGTCAAGACCTTGAGTGTGATGTAAGTCACCTCAGACCGGCTACTTCAGTCGTAATGTCCCAGCTTCGTAAACTACCTCAAAACCTCAGTTGTGGTGTAAGCTTCCTTCTCCTCATCGTCTGCATTCTTGGCAACAAGAGCGGCACCAGTGTGGCTGAGTGGCACTCTTCCGCGTCCGAAGGCAACAAACCACTTGTTTCCATCAAACAAGGCGTTCATCTCTTCGAGGGGCCTCTTAGCCGTCTCCGGAAGTGTTGCCCAGAAGAACAAAGCATTAGTGAAGTTGCAAATCACAAACGTTAAAAAGTATTTCCACCCGACGCTCTCCATAGCAATAGGCGTCATCTGTCCAATGAGTGTGTTGAACGCGAAACTTGTCATCACGCCGATAGAAACACCTTTTGAGCGTGTCTTGGTGTCGAACACCTCGGCGGGAATGATCCAAGACAAAGGCCCGCATGTGAAACTGAAGGAGACCTGGTACAGCCAATTGATTGTGATGAACACCCATCCAAGACTGTGTTGCAATTCCTCGCTTGCTGTAGGGAAATTGGCAATAGCAGCTGTAACGATAATCCAGCAGATGCCATTGACTACGTTGCCGATTATAAGCGGCCAGCGGCGACCAATGCGATCGATAAGTGCAACAGTACAGGCTTGTGCTACAACAGAGAGCACGTTTGATATGCCTTGGTACTTGAGCGCGTCGCTGGTACCGATGTTCAGGCCTTTGTAGATCTGCGGGGTGTAGTATTGGATGGCAGAGACACCAGTCATCTGAACAGAGGCTTGGATGGCGGTAACAAGGAAGAGGCGACGGAAGCTAGATCGGTCGGTGAACAAGTCCTTGTAGCCCTTTGCAGATTGCTCGTGCTCGTGCTCAATAGTTTGCTGAATCTGGTGGAACTCCTCCTGTACCCACGGGTCGTCGACATTGCCATTAGAATGAAGCCGGGCGAGAGTCTTGAGGCCTTCCTCTCCGCGTCCATGGTCAATGAGCCAGCGGGGCGACTCAGGAAAGAGGAATATCAGTGCACCTAGAACACCTGCTGGAATGACTTGGATGCCCAGCGGAATTCTCCATTGGTTGTTGTCAGTCGGGGAGATGTCGGTATTGGTACCGTGGGTTAGCCATGCTGGAGCGGTATCAGCACATGCGAAACATGAAAGGGATGGGAATGCCTACTCGCAACGACCGCGCCAACACCAAGCATAAGTTGCTGCAAACCGGTGACCCGACCACGGATTGAAGGGTGCGAGATTTCAGCCTGATATAACGGGACGATCATGACCAAGAAACCAACGCCGAAGCCTGCGATAGCGCGACCAGAATACAGGAATGACAGATTCTGCGCAACGGCTTGTAGTATGCCACCAACGATGAACATTATGGCACCGAAGGTGATTGTGAGCCTGCGCCCAAGCCTGTCGGCAAATGGGCCTGCGATAGCCGCACCGATAAAGCCTCCGCCAGTAAACAGCGACACGATAGCGCCGGTCTGGTCATCGTTGGGGCTGAACGATGCATTGAACGATTCTGCTGCGACGCTACCACCGATGACACCGAGATCGTAACTGTTGCAGGTCAGATATGCGATGCTATAGCAGCGAGTCCTGCTTGGCGTACCCATAGTTGAATGATCCGAGGGAGGCGAAGACACCGACCAAGAACTACTGTATGATTAGCGCGAAGGAGATGAAAGACTCATGTTCATCTTCACCTGGTATGTCTTGGGATTAAGAGGCATCGTGAAGGTCGCGGTCCTTGAGTCTTGCAAAGATTACAACAACGGGGGGAAGCCGTCGCCTTGATCAACCTAAACGATGCCTGTGAAGGCAGGTGCTTCGGATAATTTATACCTCACCACGGAATATACGTCGGGGCGTTGGCCACCGAGATGCTTGTTTTAGTGGCTAACAGCTTGGATGATGAAGAGACGGGATGCTGAAAGTGGGGAGATAAGACGCCACCTCGGACATACTATGAACTGCTGCCGCCCCGGTGACCCCAGAGTCTATCCGCATTCTGGGCATTTCCGTGCGGAGAAGGTTAGCGCAACTACTATGTGGGATGTCCGCAACGAAATTTCCGGCTTTGGTGTGGTCCCATTGACCATCAAGCCGAGATCTCGGAGAACCCGCCGACAGCACAGACCATGTCATCATAATCTGGGGTCACGTCGTCGTACGAACGTGGTCCGCACTACAAAGTCTGGCTTTTGAGCCAACGACAGATAGCGAATGCCGGTATGTGACTTTTGTTCTCTCAGAAGTACGAGAAGATGGCACACTGCGTTGACCAGTAATCTCGTTATAGGTTGACCAAATGCTCCGTGTGAGCTAATCTTCGATGATATCCGACTGGGTCTGCATAGGACATGATGGTGGTTGGGACAACCAGCGGAACCGTTCGTCATGTGAGGTATCCTCCCTCAACGGAGAAGTGCCTTAAGGACCGTCGCTGGCGAGCCTCCAAGTTTCATTCAAATATATCTATTCCACGGCTCTCCAGACATTGAGCACCATTCAATACTGCAAGAATGGGTGATGCTATACCCACAGACATTATTCTTCGCCATGAAGTACCGCACATCAGACGAGCCGCTCGTGGCCACAGCCTCATCGTCAAGGGCGAGCCATTCCTGATGCTTCCAGCTGAGCTGCACAATTCCTCCTTCAGTTCGCACGAATTCATGGAACAAGTCTGGCCAGTGTTGAAGGACTCCAGCGTGAACACAATACTTGCCAATGTAACCTGGGAAAGCATTGAGCCTGTTGAAGGGCACTTCGACTTTGCACACCTTGACCAAAGCATTCTCAACGCGAGGGAACATGGATTCCACCTTGTCCTACTGTGGTTTGGCGCCTTTAAAAACGGTAAATATGCCTAGTGCCAAGTACGATATTCCTGAGCTGACAGGGGGCGGCAGGTAAGTCGGACTATGCGCCGCGATGGGTGAAAACCACCCCTGCGAGATTTCCTCGTATGACGTTACTCTCCGAAGACGGCACGCCGAAACCCCAAAATGTTCTCTCCATTCTCGACCCTGAGGTTGTCCAAGCAGACAGCGCGGCTTTCAGAGCACTGATGCGACACATTCGGCAGATCGATAGAGACTATTCTACCGTATTGATGGTACAAGTAGAAAACGAGGTTGGACTACTAGGAGGCTCAAGGGACGTGTCGTTGACCGCCACTTCTCGTTTTGAGGCACCAGTTCCGGCTGCATTGACCGAATGGATTGACAAAAGTTGGAACTCTTTGCACAGCTCTTTCAAGAAGAATCTTGAAGTCTATCGCAAAGAAAATCATCTGTCGCAAGCCGGGTCCTCTTCGTGGTCGCAGGCTTTTGGTGCCTCTTCTACAACAGATGAGTTGTTCATGGCATACCACTATGCGTTGTATGTCGACCAAGTTGCACGAGCCGGGAAAGAGGAGTACGCTCTGCCACTCTTCGCAAATGTCTGGCAAAACTACGCCGACGAAGATGCAGATAAAACTCAGCCAATTGTCGTCGGCGGCGGAGGCCAGCCGGGTGACTACCCATCTGGAGGGGGTGTTATCAATGTCCTCGATGTCTGGCATTTCTTTGCGCCGACCTTAGACTTCATCGCGCCTGACCTTTACCTCAATGACTACAATGCCGTGTGCCGCAAATATCGACACGGGGGTCAGCCTCTCTTCATCCCGGAGCAAAGACGGGATGAATATGGTGCGCGCCGTATCTGGAGTGCGTATGCTACACATCACGCTCTAGGCGCGTCCCCCTTCGCAATTGATTCGCTCAGTGCTGCGGAAAATCCGTGGCGACGACATTTTGGTTTGCTAGACCAGATAGCACCATGGCTGCTAGCAGCTCGCGAATCGAACAGCGAGACATTCGGATTCTGGTTTGACGAGTGTGTCGATAACGAGTCGGTCACGGATGCACATCAGGTGGTCATGGGTAGCTGGAGGCTAACAATCGAGCGATCATTCGTGTTCGGTAAACCGGGCCCAGGTTTTGGTCTGATCATTCAATTGCACGATGCAACATTTCTCCTTGTTGGCGAAGGCTTTCAAGTCAGTTTTGCGTCCACCATAAAGTCGTCTTCGTTCACTGGGTTCCTATCTTTCGCCGAGAAAATCAGCGATCCACACACGAAGCAGTTGAGAAATGGGAGAATGCTCAATGGCGACGAGACCAGGAGTGGGCAGCTTGCGATCATGCCTAGTCCGCAGCCGGATTTGGGTACATTTCCCATTTGCATTACTATTCCGGCGCGGTCTCGCATAGCGGAGGTTGAGGTCTATGAGTTTTGAGTGTTGATCTGCATGTAATTAGGTCTAAAGGATAGATAGGTCTTTCACTTTCAGTGGGCTCAATCGGGATGTATTTCGGATACCTCCCTCCTGTCTTGAGCTGATGTAATGTTCGTGCTGACGGACAGTGTCGCTAATACAATACAAGCTCCCAACTCTGCTGCAGGACACGCCCACCATCCCAGATCCCACCCCTTTGTTCCAAGTTGTTCATTAAAGTTAGTAGCAAGAGATTGAATGAGCTTTCAGTGGTTTTGTCATACATACCTAGGTATGTGTTCGGGTCGCAGAGAGTCAGAGTGGGAGGTCGTGGCTAGCGCCGCTGACATAATACAAGTTCCTATGTAACCGTGCTGAACGATACCTCCACCTTCCCAGACCCTGCCTCTTCGTTCCAAATTGACCCACCTCGTTCCTAATACGGAGATCAATGATTGCGCACTATCGCTTTGACGCGCAGATAGCAACGTCGAAGTTGTGTGTTGTTATGGTCATTGACCAAAACGCATCGCTCTGATGCATTGATCTGAAGACCAACAAGCAATATGAAACATGCAACAGCTTGTCCTCAGTGCAGATCCACAAAAAGAAAATGCGCACAGGATCCGGCAGATCTACAAGCGGCTTGTCTAGCTTGCCAAAGTCGAAAGATCGAATGCTCAAGGCCGTGGAATAAACAGAAGTCTCATCGGTCGATGTCCTGGAACAATCACAAAGCACGGTTAGCACCATCCATAAGTGCGACCGAGCAGCAAGATAAGCTCCCAGTGGCGTCTCCTGAAGCTATCGAAAGCTATGTGCAACTGTACTTCCGCTTCATACACGATCGGCCTCACAGCCTCTTTCATGAGGCATCACTGTGGACTGCACTTAGGAATGGCACGCTTCCTGAGAGTTTGAAAGCAGCTATTTGCGCACTCGGCTGCCGATTTTCATCAGAACCTGATCAACGAGAACTTGCTACCACGTTTGCTGCAAGATCAAAGACTTTGCTCGGACAGCAGCTCGAGAACATCTGCGTTGCCAATATACAAACATGCATACTACTCGCCAATAGCTATGCGGCAGAACGGAACCATGGTCTCGAGGCTGTGTATTTTGGTAATGATATCAAGACCTGTAGCGTTCGTAGCTCTAACAGCGCTTAGGTATTGCCAACCGCATGGCCTATGTGCTTGGTCTTCATCGGCAAAATTATACGGACCCACCGATTCTACGAGAAACAAAGCTGCGGGTCTGGTTGTCGCTATTCATGGCGGACAAGTGGTGCTCCCCGGGACTTGGTCTTCCACGCGAGATCGTTCGGTCTGACCCAAGCTTGGACCTCCCTCTGGATGAAGTCAGATTCCAGTCACTACGAAGTGCAGATGACGACTATCTTCCGGAGCGTAGCATTGGCATTTGGGCTTACAAGATCACTTTGGCCGAGATTCTCACTTCGATCCAGGATGTCAACTTATCCTTATTGCACAATCATGTAGATCGACGAAAAATCGACCAAGAAGTAGACGATATTGCAACTCGCCTGCTCACTTGGCATGATAGGTTGCCACCGTACATGACCATGAACGACGAAAACCTTGAAGCACACCGAGCTAAAGGTCAGGGTGGCACCTTTGTTGCTCTACACTTTGGGTATCATCATTACTCAACACTACTGTACTTTCAGTTCCTCGAGCCAGATCGAGAGCGAGACGAGAAGATCCTTGCATATGCAAACAGATGTAGCTATCATGGTCTAGCGTTTAGCCGCCTTCTGCACACGGCTCGGAAATTCGGTGACTGTCATGTGGTCTATTTGACCGTCGCTCACATGACAATTGTTTCGTCGTCCGTCTTGCTTCATATGCTACTATTTGGCGATGATGCCGAAGTCGAGGTCGCCAGGCTACAGCTTAGTCTTAACTTCGAAGCTCTGGAGCACTTGAATGACTACTGGCCTGGCGTCAAGCAGCTGAAAGAACGTCTGTTCGTTTTTCAAGACGCCTGCCTCCGTTCATCAGCAGCCAGAGCGTATGCGGTAGACAGATGGATTGTCAGATTTCTGCTGGAGTACTCACTCCCTTTTGAGAAAAGAGAAGACGACGCGGCAACAACTCCTTCATCTGTGCATAGTACCCCCATCTCGCTTGAGAGACGAGCCTTTCTCAGCAAAGCTCTTGAAGATGTGGGTTGGTGACAATGAGACTTGGTATAGCTCGTATTAACAGAGGATTCTTGGCTCTATTGTTGCAAGTCGGCAGTTTTACCGGGAAGGGCTCTGGTTTCTATCGGGGGTGTACCTGGAGCGGTATCCGCCCCGCGTTTCCCCAGACTAAAACCCACTCTCTCCGCGGGAAGGACCAGGTCCCCACATTTGAGTGCTCAAGACCCCTCACAATTGTCGATCATCCGGGATATCGACCAATACACGTCGCTCAATGCCGGCAGACAGCTCGAGTATGTTTGAACCCAGGAACCTGTAAGCTATCAGTCGTCTTCAAATGAAGACATGCCATCTAGTTATAAATCAACTTGCTGCTCGCAATTCAAGGGCCGCACAAACCAAATCCTGCAGAAAGCAACGCTGTCGCTTGGACTATGAAGGTCACGCCATTTATCTCCGCCATCATTGGCTCACTACTCCTGCAGCGCATCATTGCAAAAGCAATCCCAGAATCTGCACAAACACTCCAGTCTTCCAGCAATTTTACGAACAATGTTGTGTTTCGGCCTCTGCCGGACCATGAGTCATGGGGAACAATATACGCTCGCACAGTCCAGTTGCCTGATGGCTCACATCTGTTAAGCTGGGAGGATTATTCACCTGAGCCACCCCTTCTACCATTCCCAATATATCGATCCGAAGATGGCGGTACAACATGGTCCAACTTTTCTCAGGTCCAAGATCAAGTCAATGGCTGGGGCAATCGCTATCAGCCTCACTTCTTTGTCCTTCCAGAGACGTTTGGTCAATACCCTGCTGGCACCGTCATTGTTGGAGGCATGTCTGTTCGCAAGGACCTTGCAGAGGCATGGCTGGACATCTATGCCAGTACCGACAATGGCAAGACCTGGACTTTCGTGAGCCATGCTGTACATGCACCTGGGCCAGAGACGGTCAATAACGGCGACAAAGCAGTCTGGGAGCCTTTCTTCCTAGTGCATCAAGGTCAGCTTGTTCTCCACTTCTCAGATCAGCGCGATGAGAGGTACGCCCAAAAGCTTGCCCATATCACTACGACAAATCTCAAGGACTGGTCTGAGCCTGTCAACGATGTGACTTACCCGAGCTACGGATACCGCCCAGGCATGACCACCGTGGCGCATATTAGGTCAACGGGACAATGGATCATGACCTATGAGCTCTGTGGCTCACCAGATCCTGGTTGTCCAAGCTACTACAAAGTCGCTTCGTCGCCCCTGGCCTTCGACACAGTGCAGGGTCGTTTGCTGAAAGCCGACACAGGCGAGAACCCAGGCTCCGCACCATACGTCATCTGGACCGAGCACCCAGAACGTGATGACGGATCCGGCGTTATCATTTTAAACGGTGCTCAGAACCAGGCAGTATACGTGAATGAGGATAGCGCAGAGCCCGATGGATGGAGACGTGTGAACACTGAGCAGCATAGCGCACACTCCAGATCGCTAGAGATAATTGTCAGGAATGGTCAGAAGAAGCTTATGCTAGCTGGTGGTGGACATATGTCTAGCGGTGCTGACAACTTTGTTTCGGTTGGCGTTATAGATATCCCATACTAGGCAAGAGCAAGACCTTTGCTGAATCTTACTTGATGAATAGCTAGTGACGTGTTTATAATATGCTGTTAAAGGTGCTTATTTGGAGACTGCTTGGGACAGCCTGGCGTACCGCAGATCGTGTAAGGTGCTACTTGACTCAAGTAAGTGCATCAGCAGGGTTGGGTAGTTCCATCCCAGACCGGCAGCAGCCAATGCGGTCAGACTGGCCTGTTGTTCCCTCCCAGGTCTTCCAGGCCCCGTCATGTTCTGGCATTGCGTTAGCTATGGCATACCATTCAGGCAATTTGCAACTGACAGGTTTCATGTTTACGTCAAACAAAGCAAACGGCGACGACGTCCCTTTCTCAAAACGACGAACATCAATTCTAATGGGAGCAGTACACTGGAGTAGTTCTGCCACATCGACACATTGGCGCTGGATGTTGCGGTAATGTGGGTCAGCTTCGTGCTCGCTCTGGGAGAGACACCGGGAATTCTGAAGAACAGCAACGATGCCGTTGTATGGCGCTATGCCTACATATGGTCAGTATGCACCTCGGAAACCGAGTTCTCTGATATCTCGACTTGCCCTTAGCGTGATTGAAGCGCTCAACCACTGGCATCGCCCAACAACTGTCATGTCCCAAGGATGACGAGGGAGGCATGACCGTGACTGTAGCTTCCTGACCGGCGAGGAAATCTTCGACGATGACAGACGCCTTCTCTATCAATAAGTCGTGGCAATGTTTGTTTAGCTCCTCCGGAGATCGACAAACTTTGACGCCGTAGCTGCCTCGACCTCGAACAGGCTTAGCAACTACAGGGTAATGTAAATCCGATTCGAGAAGGCGAACAAGGCTCTCCTCATCACGGACATCGTGGGCACCAGGCAGGGTGAAGCCACCATGGGTACGTAGCAGATTGTTCACGAAGGACTTGTCATCAAATTTCTCAACCAACCTGGGCGGCTGTCCAATGATCTTCAATGACTTGGATGCTGTCGTGAGACTGTCAGCAGTTTGTAGTGGGTGATTTGCGAATAGAATTGTGTTTGCCCAGAGATGTGTTGCACCCATGGACACGGCTTCTAGAATTGCTGACTCTGTGTCACCAAAACACCAATCATTGTCGTCAAGAGGATCTGGGAAAGCGGCCGGGGTAACTACATCGATCTTGCACTGGTGCTTCAGCACGTATGCTATGTCTGCACCAGAGTCTCTGTAGCCTGGAATGGTATGTTAGTATCGTGCCGGTCCCAACATCATCTGGCTGCCTGCGTACCTCCGGGCTTCTTGGGCTTGCGTACCCCACGGATCAATGGCGGCTCAAGCTCCTGGAACAATACCGCAACGCGTCGCTTCGAAGCGGTCGAGATAGATCTCGACATGGCAGTACGTGGGCGTGATACGATTCGGCGATGCACACGGAACATTGTTAGACTGATCATAATGATCGAAGAAGCCCTATCACTCGCACACGGCATCAAGGCCGTTATTAGAGTTAGGGCGGGACGGGCACGGGCTTCGCCGGAGGCCCAAAGCTTGCTTAGCGAGCCCTATTAATTTACTAATGCCTAGCAGCATAGGCCTGTACAAAAATTCCATATGTTGATATTAAGCCTGAATTAGTCTAATATACTACTATGAGTATACTCTAAGTGAAGCCTATAGGTACTGTTTATTTGACTCTTAGAGATAGCTAGAAATTGAAAACTCTAGAGGTCTTTCATAGGTATAAAGATAAATAGTAAACAACAAAAACTTTATGGGTATAGTAGTAAGTTACTATTATTGCTTAATTAGGACCCTTTATAGGGTCTTACCAGCACGGGGCATACGACGTATCTCGAGAACACCAACGTTGTCAGATCTACTTTCGACAACGCCGACGCTTGAATGTTCTGCAGCATGCGTCTAAGCCGATTTTCTTCCGCGCACAAGCCTTATTCGACAGAGCGTCGCAAATACACGACCCAGAGTTATTTTGGTAATGCTTGTCAAGAGCGAAGTCGCAAAAGTCGACCATGTGACGCCTGTAGGAAACGGAAGACCGCTTGCGTCATCGATAACGAACCGCCCTGTGAGTCGTTTCACTACGAGGCACTGTGACTTTGGTCACTTAGCGCTTTGCATTTGAAGGTGCATTCTGTAGAAGTCGTGGTCTGACATGCATCGCGAACGGAACACAAACCAGCTATCAGACTGCACACCCCGACACACCATCCAGCTTGGTGTTGTTCCAGTTCGATATCGCATCCCAGTCTTCCGAGGCTATAGCGATTTCACCGTCGTCCACAGAGCACGGACGTCTTGTCCAGGCAAGCTTTGGGGCGTTGCACCACGCTTTGGCACTGTCATCATTGGGCCCCATCATGATGGCACAATAGAACCAGAGAATAATCGACTGATTCCCACATGACCGTTCCATTCCAGAACGAATATCTCTACGCCGCCTTGAGTGATGCAGCGGGTTCCGAAGGCTCTCAGAAGGTTCTGTGCACTGTTCCTGACTTAATCTCGATTCTAGGGCAAGATGGAGAAGGTATCGAATCACAAGATTTCCGTTATGGTCTGCGCGTAACAGTAATGCACTGCCAGCGCATCCGCTTTGGAAGACTGATGAAGGCCTGGCTGTAGGCGGCCCCGAAGGCTTTGGGTTGAAAGTGCCTGTGGTGGGAATAGACGTTGATTTTACTAAAGCCCGGAGCGTGATTAAAGAGTTCAACTGTAAGCTAGGCTAGCTGGGGTTTATGGACAGCTTGACAAGGGCTCCTTTCTTTTGTTTTGCCCGCCATCTCCACTGCGCGCTAGCAAGCAACAAGTTTAGTGCTGTGTTTGCTGCTTGTTCTGCCGACTTTTTGTTCCACCCAGACTGAACACCATGCTACCTCCTTTTGACCCCAGATCATCATCTCAGCATTCAGTAACGGTAGCACAGCAGCGGCCCGGTTGTACTCAAGACATCTTTCACCTGCACATCAGGCGCAAGACCCAACATATTCAGCGTATCGTTCAAAGACACCGGAATGAAGTCCTTGCCACCCCAGGGCAAGTGCTGACCCTCATACTCCGTCTCGCGCTTCGCAGGATTTTGCTGCTGCCACGTCCAGTAAAGGTGGTCGATCTGTGGGTGATGGAGGAAGAAGAGGGGTTCTGCTTTGTGTCAGTCACTTGGACCATGAACCACCACGCTTGGATTGCTAGAAGATTGCGACGTACCATTCGGCGATGTTGTAGGATTCATCTCACCCCCCAAACTTGCATGAATAGTCCCATGCGGGCTTCCCTCAAGGTTGGGCGCAAATTCAGCATAGTTCTTCAGTTTCTGCTGCTCCGCCACATACTCCGGCGTAAGAAAGCCTTTCATTGTTTCCCACGCCTCAGGCTCGTTAGCCTCGACAACGCTGCGGAAGAAGCAATGCCCGCCTTCAGTAATTTCAGTGGGCGAATTGGCCAGATACTCCGGCCGCAGGTCTTTGAAGGGCCCGTTATCGACACACTGCACCGTTTCGGATGTGGCGGAAATGTACTCCGAGCGGTTGGCCGCGCCGTTACCGCCGAAGCCGGTGATGGGTGACATCACAGGAGAGGCGAGCAGGGAGTCGTGGTCGAGTGTCCAGTCCCAGTAGCTGCCATTCTGTCAGTTGTGCTGATACTGACTTTTCGCTGTGGGTATACTTACGTTCCTGGACCTGTGAAGCCGCACTCGCCCAGCGCGTCGAAGTAGATTTGGGTGAAATACCTGTGCCATGGCAGGAACGGCGCTTGGTTATGAACTATCATCAAGTATTAGCCATTATTCTACCGTCACCGAAGACTCTGACTTACTGCTGCCTGCCAGCTGGAAATGAACGTGGGGAAAGTCATCATACAAAGACTTGAGTCCAATCCGCGACGGCTTGGTCTTCAAGCAAAGTACAGCGTCGATGTATTCCTTCTGCTGAGCAGGCTCAAGCTGGCGCCACTCGATCCTCTGAGGAGGTTCGGTGCAGTGACTGCCAGTCTCGGGCTGTCTCTTTGGAATAACACTAGCCTGTGCGAGGCTTATTGTCCCCAGAATTGCAATGGTGGGAATGATCATGGTAATAGTCGGTAAAGAGTGTTCAGTTGATAAGGAGTGATTTGAAGGTGATGAGCGAAGTAGAAGAAGATATTTGAGCACAACAACTTATAATTAGACCTATTGATTACGACCCATGGTGGTGATCGACAGGGACATTGTGTTCACGCAGTACTTGCAGGAAGGGATATCTACGCACGGTTACCAAAATGCAAATGCCACATCCCGCAACACGAAAGCTTGACTCGATGTACATACTGCGCTAGTAAAGCTTAGGGTAGTACGAACATGAACGTGGGGCAACGTGATTTCAGGAACGCGAGCGGCTTGGTGAACAAGGTCTGCTCTCCAAAACCTGACTCAATGTGAAATGATCGACGAAAAGTTGTCCTCGTATACACCCTGGTAGTGTTTCCCTGGGTTCGGTTTCTGTTTCGGATGAATGTGATGTGCCAAGCTTTTCGAAGTCGTCATTCTCGTCTAGCTCTCACGGCACTGCCGGCTCCGTACATTGACTAGGTAGTTGGGGATTGTTCAGCGGGCACGTCCCAGCTCCAATAAGACCAACGCTCATGTCTGTCTTAGAGCAGATCCTTACACCTTTAAACTAAGAACGTCTACCTATAGAAACTACTTAGAGCGTTCGTATCCACGCGTTGAGGTGTGACAGGACACGAGATGGACGTGGTGCAGTAGCAAACACGCAGCAAACAAAGATCCATCAAACAGTGCGCAGGGGAGAAGCAAATAATAAGCAATCTTCCGCACCTGGACACATCCCGGTTACCACCCTTGTATAAGATACCCCACCACCCACAGCCTAGCAAAAGATCACTCCTACACGCGATGAAACCGTCTAAGCAACAGCGTTTAGAACAACACAAACATTTGAAAAAGCCCTTTGCATCGCACACACAACAAGAATGCTACTATGTAGACAAATCCATCGTCCCATCCAACTAATCACACGTCCGAAAGCCCTCCGCGGCCTCATCAACCTTCCCAAATGCACGCGACCCAAAAATAGCATCCTAAACGGCGCCACCCCGTCCGCCGACAGCGAGGCAGCCTTATTTGGAAATTGACATGCTGCCTTCCTTAATGCGCGACTTTCCACCGCGCGCGACAGCATTAATTTCTGATGGGTTGATTGATGTCGGAGTCCCACTGTAAGCGTGCGCGAATACGAGCTGCTGCAATGCAGCGTGGAGCAGGGCGCGGATGAGTTCGTGCGAGGCATGCGCACCGTACGATGCTATACTGTGCTGCAAGGACGCAGACCTTGTATACGAACGGAGGAAAGAGGAGGGGGCTCCACACTGACATCAACTACCCACCTCCAACCAGGTATAAATCTATGCTTCCTCACCCTCCCACTTTCCTCCCATCCACCCAACAAGTCACCTGATCCAGCTACCGTTCCTGACCCCACACACTCGCTACAATGCACTTCTCCACCGCCCTCCTCCTCGCACTCACAGCTAGCGCCTCCGCCGCCGTGCTCCCCCGCTCCCAACTTGGCTCCTGGGAATTCAGCCTCTACAGATCCGCGTACGCCAGCGGCTACCAGTCCACCATCGCCACCGCCGTGTACACATCTGAGTCGTACCCCGAAGGCCTGCGAAAGGAGTGCACGCACATTCTTAATCCTTTCGCTGAGCCAATCCAGACGGATAAGTGCGATGAGGGGTTTTCGTACAGTTATGATGGACAAAGTAAGTTGCGCAATCGATGTGGAAGGGTGAGGGAGGAGCTAGGCTGACGTGTGGGTGTAGCTGTTTCGTTGAGCCAGGTTGTGCAGAAGCCTAGTGCGAATACGACGGTTTTTGGGAATGCACCGTTGGAGCTTAAGGTTGCTGATTCTGTGGGCCGGTCGTGGAAGGGGGAGGCTACGGTTGAGGTTTCTTCTGCTACTGCCTGAGTGAAAGGGGGGATCTGGATTAGGGCACCGTCAGAGTCGTTGACATGATATGAGTATCGTTAAAGTAAAACGTTTTGCCTATTTCGTTAGGGCGGCTTGTCCTATAACATGACTTTGAAACTTGACTGTGTGCAATGTATGTATGAATGATACCAGACGTCATCGCCGATAGGTGGTAAAGTACGCGTGTGACGAGCCCCAGTAATCCAAGATCCCTTCTGCCTGAGTGTGCTGCAGCAGCTACGAATAATTTGCGCAACGCAGTAGCAACACTAGGGTACAAAATCGGGTTAAAAACACCGCACTTCTGACGGGTAAAATACACAGGAGAAAGGTCGTTAAAAACACCGCAGAGGGGGTGTATTTCACCTATTCACGTAGTGTTTTTTCACGTTATACTTAATATAAACCTACTTAAAATATAAAAGCTTCTTTTAAATATAAGGTCGACATAGGTTCTAATAGTATACTGGTTTATATTATATATTTATTTAATATTAGACTGAAAATACGTACTATAGGTATTAACTTTAAGACTTTAGTTAAAGTATTATAGGTGTATTGCTCTAACGTACTATACATATACTAGGTGAAGGCAACTTCAAAATCAGCTGTGTCCATGCCCCAGATCGATATCCATTTTACGCTTTCCCGGCTGACTCTCTCTATGTGCCTTACCGGTCCAGCTCGTTTCGCATTCATGCTGTTCTCCGGGCTTTTGGATATGTCAAAAGTGCCCTTTGGAGACGAGATAACTTTGCCAAGCTTATAAACCAGTCTATTCCCGATGCCTACAAACTTCACGTTCTTGTACTCCGGTCTCCACATCTCAGTGGCAATGGCGAATGCATGCATGTCTTCTGTTGCGTCAATCTTGTCTGCCAATTCGCTCCCTGGTCTGACCAGGAGCCGGATTGCCCACAGTTTTGGCACTAGGCTCATAATCTGGCGTAGAGAATCAATACTAGGAAAACCGGAGCTGAAACCGAACTGTTCGAGATTGGGCAGGGTCTGGCAAGTCTTGTATAGTGCATCGTGCGTAAGCTGCCAAAGATCTGAAAGCAGAAGGTGTCGCAGACTGCGGTGGTTCGATCCAATAACTGCGAGAAAGTCACCACCGATGCCGCGGCACAGGTGTTCACTGATGTTCGGGGTACCAGCCGCGCTCGTGTTCCCGTTGGTCATACCTGGGGTTGCCGAGGATGGGGTGGTTGGTGTTGCGGCAGTGCTGTCTGACTTCGGGGTTCCTCGCGTGCGTTTGGCATTGACTATGTATATGCGCTCAAGGCCCTGGAAGTCTTGAAGCATGCGTACACCCCCTTTGTCGATGGTATCCATGCGCATCATTTTGAGATTCGAATGCACGGCCTGCTTGTGCCCCAGCCGCCAGGTCTCGTCCAGGAAAACGGTCATGGGATCGGAAGAGCCCATGGAGTTCATGATAGTGATCTCGGAGACTGTCAGAGGGTTCACCATCTGATGCTCGACGTCGCCGGAAAAACGTGTGTAGAGATTCCACATCTCCATTCGCTTGATAGGCAACACAATCTTGCCTGCAGCGCAGCGCGCAACCACAGACATGAGATTGATGGATTCCTCGCCGTTCTCGCGCATGCGAGGGCTCCAGTGCAGCTTCAGGTTCTCCAGTTGCCTTGCACTCGCCAGGACCAGGGATATGTCATCAGGGTAGCATAGCGGGTCGATGTCGTAGACAATAAGGGTCTTCAGGGCCGGCAACGGGGGGATTGTGGTGGTCGGGCGGGGTATTCGATTTGCTTGGCAGCGTAGGGTGAAGGAGGTGAGGGCAGGCTTGCCTTGGAGGCCATCGTAGATGGTCCTTAGCGGCGGGGTATTGAGCTCCCAGCTGGCGTGGATCAGCAATGTTCAGGAATGGAGGGACGGCACACGCACGCAAAGGAGCGAATGTTCTTCATCTTGTCGAGAGCGGCGCGCATGGCGATCTGCAAGACCATGCTGTTGTCCGGCACGCGGCCTTGCTTGTAGTCGTCGACATCGTGCTCGCGCCACTCTCCCGCGACGCGAAACAACTGCACGTAGTCGGTGAAGCTGCGCGACACTAGCGTGTGCAGGCCCGAGGAGAACGGGCTCCCTCCACCGAAGCCCTCGGGGCGTCCGTCGACGTAGCGAATGTCGGCATATGATCGGAGGGTGACTTGCTCGTACAGCCGCGGCAGCGTCATGTAGTAGAAGAGCCGCGACGTCCGCGTGATGCGCGCAAGGTCGGCGACATCGTCGAGCTGCGACACGGGTCAGTTGGGTGCAATGAGGTCATCGGGCGAGCGCATGGGTGCGCCGCGTACGCACGTGTGTGAGGATGAGCTGGATGAGATGGAGCGGCAGCTCCTTGGCCTGCGCGGCATTGGGGTGGGAGCGCGCCGGCGACGTGAACCACGAGTGGCGTGGCGCTGTGATGGGACGCTCGGCGTTGTAGAAGATATGCGAGGCAGTCGTGGCCGCGGCCGTGGCCGTGGCAGCCGCGGCGGAGGCGGTCGCGGTAAGGGCAGGCGCGTCCGCGGGTGTGACGCGGGCAGCTGAAGGCGTGCTGCTGGGCATGGGCGGCTATACAACCACGGCAGGATCTTGTGGAGAGGAAGGGCTGTGCGACATGGTCAGCGTGCCCACTGAGTCTATCACTGCCTGCCTCTGACTGCTTGGTGATTCCTTAATTAATCCCTACGGCCCGTCGTTAGCTCCGTTTTGCGTCGGTACCCACAGATCCCGCCCTCCGCCGCATTGGTCCGCCCGATCCTTCCCCAGAAGTTCGGAGACGAGCCAGGCATCCTTCAACGCCGCGCACATATTCCGTACACGGTAAATACGGTGACGCCATCCCGTCCATTCTCGTCCACTACTCTTGGCAAACGTACCTTCCCGCTGTCCCAGTCCCATCATGCAAGACTCACGTTTGCTGCATTATGACTCATTGTGATCCACACCCATTGTCCTAGACTGACAAATGCCCATGTGCGCTCATGCAATTCCACCCTGTTCTTTCCACCCCGTCTTTCCCACCCTGTCTTTACTGCGCCTGTGCTCGGCTTGGCCTGCCGGCCTCAGGCATGAAGCATCTACTGTACACTAGGTGTCATTGGACTTCTTTCCTACGAGATCATACATGCTTCTGTTGAATCGTTCCGTATTCCTGCAGTCTGAGTGCTGCAATCATTGGTCCGGGTCCTACAGAACCGTCCGGCAGCTGCCTGGGTACACTGAACCGTCCAGTAGTCTACCAATCCTGGACCCATGGCATCCGTCCTCTGTATGCCTCCCCTGGATACTGCATTGGGACCTCGATCGTGCCTTCGAAGATACTCATTGGCGGTACTTCATCATCTTCAAGTGCCAGAACCTTGAATTTCTCTTCTGGCACCGGTACAATAACACCGCTCTCCCAATTTCTCATCGTGAGCTTGCCCAGCTTCCCACTCTTCAGCACTTTCTGAGCCCCCCAAGCCGACTCTGAAATGTTTGCTGAACCTACGTAGACCCACGCAAATGGTCTGCCGTCTTCGTGTCGGCCTCGTGCAAACAGTAATTTGTTGTGTGAGATCATGCCTTTGCGCGTGGACACATAATCACGCAGACACTCGATTGGAAACGAGGCAGAGCTGAAGTGCGTTCTCTTCAACGAAACTATTCCGGCACAATTTGGCCCACCAGTACTGGCACCAATGGTCTCCGCAGTCGGGTAATAGATGCGGAAATGATCTCTCCAGTGTGCTGCTGCTTTCGAATCAAGCTCAAACGACAAGCCTTGCGCAGCCAAGTAGATACGCTGCAGCAAAGTCTCATCAATTGCGCCCAGAGACGATGCTGCATAATCAAGCTCAATAACCCGAACTTGATCAAGCTTGAGGTCTTGGATCGCTTTGGCGAGTCCAGGGAGACCCGTAGGGTGCGTAGAAACGTCGGAAGAGCAAGCACTGATAAATGTAAGCCATTCTCCTCCGCACAGTAGTCAGCAACGTACATAGAATGGACGAAGGCAAGATTTGCAGTCTGTGAAAAGTCAAACTTCAGCACGCCTTTGATAATGAGTGGATCGAGTTGTTGGGCCTGTAAGAAATGCACCAGCTCCTTCCCGAATGGCGTGAGGTCCTCCATACTCCCCACAGCAGCATCGGCTCTTCTGGGAAGATCAATGACGAAGATAGAGTTTTCCAGAACACCAGTCTGCCAATCATTTCCGACCTCTCCCCAATACTCTCGTTCCATGTTTGCTGTGGATATGACCACCCTCATTTTGTTCTCGCTGACGAGTAACATATATTTGCTGTGCGCGTTTCCGACGACAGTGTTCATTGGCGGAAAGTGAATTCGCAGATTGGGAATGCCGCACTCTGCAAGATCCCGCCTCCATCTCGCTTGCGTTTCCGCGTCCCTTGCGTTCATGACCCAGTGCTGTTTGATCTTGTTGTGACTGAGTTTGCGGCCTAACCATTCGGCGTCCCACTGGAAAGAGCTTATGACAGCAATACTGACTATGGATGCCTGCAGCAGTTCGTCGATAGTCAGGTCGTCGGTTCGGGGAAGTTTGGCTGCGAACGTCCGCTTGATAGTTCCTCTAGGATATTGCAACGACTCATTTGAACGCTGGTGTGAGCCGCTTGGACAGTGGAGCTTTGCAGGCGCTTGTGCTTCTTGCAGTTGTCTAGAGGGCTGATCCAGAGAGGAACTTCGCTTGCGCTTCCGTTCTGCGAGTCGCTTGAGCCGTTCCGATTCCATAGACTTGCGATCCATGACGAACGAATTACCTGCCAATGTCTGCAATACCGAACTAGGCTCGGCCGCCTGGGGAGTCAGCACTGCTTGTGACGAGGTGACCGTTTCAAATTCCTCGTCAACAACTAGAGGCTCTGTGGACTCTGTAGAATACACATCGTCTTGCAGTGACATCGCAATTGCTCGCTTGAGGTCCTCGTCCTCGTCCTCACCTTCATTGTCCGATGTAAGGTCGACCACCGCCTTGGTTGTGGCGGTAGAATACTTCTGATGCATGGACAGCGCCTTTGCCAGCTTGAGGTCTTCATCGTCCGAAGATGACATTGCATTGCCGGGATTCTGCGTCTTCCTTAGTCGTGGCTGTTTATGGGCTCGTGGCAATAGAGGTAGGTGTTGGTGAGTGATCACACAAGCAAGAAGCTAACGCGAAACGCGCTTTCGCGACGACACGTGACTATGACTTTTCTTTATTACGATTGGCCTGTCGATATCAACGTCGAGGCACATATAATTGACAGTTCATCAGAAATCATACTTTTCTTCGTCTAAGTATTTCTCGGTTTGTGAATGACCTAGTGCAGTTGCTATCCTCCATGCAGGGTAGATACAAACATGATGTGGTCGCCCCTCTGCAACTCGTACTGGTCTTCTCCTTCTAGTTCCCAATCTGCCTCGTTGATGAGGACCAAGATACCAGGGCGGCTGCCTCGTGCATTAGAAATGTTTTCGCAGAAGTTTGTTGCCAGACCTACACAGCATCGTCAAGTACGAACATGTCTTTCCGTGGATCCTTCATGACCTTGTCGCAAAGATATCTCACCAAGTGGGCTACATTCGAAGGCGCGCCGGAGTCATCCTTGCTTGGTATCGACAGAGCATACTTCTTCTGGTTTGCAAAGAGCAACTCGAGACCCCCGCTATAATCGTCAGAGTTGGCCTCTAATGAGATTTCTACGATCGTACCTGAACTCGACGTTTATGAGCAAGGTATCGTTCTCCATCCTCGATGTAGCGTCTTGAGATCTCGTTGACATAGTCACGAGCGTAGAGCTTGCCACGGTCTGGTGTGAATAGCACTCAAAAGGGAACTAATCCCAGAACGGCGTGCTAAGCGACATTAGTGCCCAAGAAATCCCTTGACAAGATGACTATAGTTATGCGCAGCCTACGACTCCACATTACAAGGTCCGCAGGATGAACGTCTCATCCGAATTCATATCAATAGGCGGTAACAGAAACCCAGCAGCCGCAGACTGGGACGTGAACGGTTCCGGTATTCTTGCATTCGGCGCGGATAGTGGCATAGCACTGTGGGATCCTCAAGTGAGCCGACTTGCGAAGCTAAGTTGTTAACACCTGACAAAATGCAGGATCAGAAGCTCGTGGGAGTGCATGCTGTTTTGAATGGGCACACTAAAGCTGTCAACGCCGTCAAATTCTTCCCCTCGACATCTTCAAGTGTTTCTGTCCTTCTCAGTGGTGCAGCGGACAATACCATTCGAATATGGCGGGCCCAAAATCACGATCCTTACAAGTATACATGTGTAAAAGTGCTCTCTAGTCATAACAACCCCATCACCAAGCTTGTTACCCTACCCGGCTCCAATATATTTGCCTCCGGTTCATCCGATGGATCGATCAAGATATGGAAGCTGATACACGACGGGAACTACACACCCATAGACGTCGAGCTGCTACAGACCATTGTGCTAGTGCCCAAATACTTCCCTTTGATTCTTGCACTTGCGCAGCTCGACGCCGATTCGATGGTCCTAGCGGTTGCAGGCACTCGACCCACCATCCAGGTCTTTGTTTCCAGGAATGACCAATTCCAACTTTCGGCAACGCTCACTGGACACGAGGGATGGATCCGTTCTCTAGACTTCACTCGCGAGACGTCGGACCCGACCAGCGACTTGCTGCTGGCATCTGCAAGCCAAGACAAATACATCCGCCTTTGGCGATTCCATCAGGGCAGCGAGCTTCCCATGGCAAGCGGGGCGCTTAATGATCCCGCTCTCGGAGGCTTGATAAGGTCCTTGTCGAACAAACCTCACTGGATTCAGTCTGCAACATCGAAGCATTCCATCACCTTCGAAGCCCTGCTTTTGGGACATGAGGACTGGATCTACACTGCTCTGTGGCGTCACCGAGGGGGCAAACTGCAGCTCCTCTCCACGTCAGAGGACAACTCTCTCGCAATGTGGGAATCTGACCCAACATCAGGCGTATGGGTGTGCGTCACTAGGCTGGGTGAGATCAGCGCGCAGAAGGGATCAACAAGCGCGACAGGAAGTGCTGGAGGTTTCTGGATTGGGCTTTGGTCTCCAGACGGCAACTGCGTGGTATCGTTGGGGAGAACTGGAAGCTGGAGGAAGTGGACATACGCTGCGTCTGAAGACATGTGGGCACAGCAAGTCGCCATCACAGGCCATGTTCGAGAAGTCAAAGGAGTCACATGGTCACGAGATGGTTCCTACCTGCTTTCTACATCTCAAGACCAAACAACACGGCTGCTATCAGAGTGGAAGCACGATGGAACTTCTTCATGGCACGAATTTTCAAGACCCCAGATTCACGGCTACGATCTCAACTGTGTTGACGCGATCAGCGATACAGAGTTTGTTTCGGGGGCTGACGAGAAGCTGCTACGGGTTTTTGGCGAACCAAAAGGGGTCGCGGACATGCTGACCAAGCTGTGTAAGATTGACTTCAAGGGCACTAGCGATCTTCCAGACGCAGCAAACATACCCGTACTCGGTCTCTCGAACAAGGCCATCCAGGCTGTCGATGACGACGAGCACGTACAGGACGGCGATGAAGACGAACGCGATGCCGTCGACCCTGCTTCTATTGTTCGCAAGTCTGCGCTCGAGTTCACGCACCCCCCATTCGAGGACCACCTAGCGCGCCACCTCCTCTGGCCGGAGACAGAGAAGCTCTACGGCCATGGATACGAAATCTCTGCAGTAGCAGTGAGCCGCGATAGTAGCCTGGTCGCAACCGCATGCCGGGCCAGCTCCATTGATCACGCAGTCATTCGTCTCTACGATACAAAGGAGTGGCTGGAAGTAAAACCGGCGCTGAAAGCACATTCCCTTACGGTCACATCGCTGCAATTCTCGCCGGATGACAAGTACTTGTTGAGCGTCGGCCGCGATAGACAGTGGGTCGTCTGGGAGCAAAGCGAGGAGCAGTCACAGTACGTCTTGAAGCATCTGAACCCCAAAGGACACTCGCGCATGATCTTGAATTGTGCATGGGCACCGCTCGAGCAACCAACTTTCCTGACAGCAGGACGCGACAAGACCGTCAAGATCTGGCAGATTGTCGGCGACGAGGTGCAGCTCAAGGGCACAGTAGCAGCGAATGCTTCTGTCACCGCGGTCGCGAGCAGTGGAAGCGTGGTGAACAACGCAACATGGTTTGCATTTGGGACTGAAACCGGAGAAGTTGGTATTGCCAGCGCGAGCGTGGACGCGCTGGACAGGATCGAAGTGACACAAGTCGTTGCAGAGTTGGCCCCCGTTAAGACCATCAACCAGATCGTGTGGAGGCCGGGTCGGAGTGAACTACAGGGGCAGCAGATTGCGGTAGCGACGGATGACTCCTCGGTCCACATCTACAATGTCGCAGCAGAGCTGTCATGAGCTAGCAGGCCGGGAGCATAATTAGGTACGTAGCAATCAAACCATGGATTGACCGTGTTGTTCAGCTGCGGATAGCACTTCGGTGTGCTTTCTTGACGTGGACGAGGGTGGGGCCTGACTACCACAATGGATGGCAGTCCCTGGTTCCAAGCTGAAGTGGCTGCATAACCTTCGATGTATGAAAACATCCAAGCCGTCTTCACTAACAAGCTTTAGGCTTTGATTAGACGCAGCCGGACTTGATCATGGTCTCGACCCATTCCTAAGCAGAAGTTTCACGAGGAAAGCGACGCAGCGTGTGGGGCTGGTAGTAGCTTTCCATTCAACTTGTGCACAACTTTGAGGCAGCTCTGGTCCGGTAGTACACGATGCATGACGTTCTATCCAATCAATAGATACGGAAGACGTTCAACGTGCAAAGTAAGCGCAACGGCCCGCCTTCCAGGGGTTCCTTGAAAATAGGCTATGCATTGGCGAGGCTGGGGGCCTGGGGCCAAAACAAACACGAGGCTACCGGTACGAGGATTGCGGGGTTGAGGAGAGCTTGCAAGACTGCGGCTCAGAATAGCCGCCCTTTCATTCGTCCACTTCAAGGGGTTCGCCTGCCCATGAAGAATCTCCAGAGGTTTACTCGTTCCACTGGCGGACGTTGTTGCGATTTACATCAGCCTCACTGCATGGAGACGTGGTGGCTTTAGCTTACCAGCCTATCATTTCACTCAGGCACGCCCTCCTACCATAGGCAGAACAGCTGTTGACTTGGTCGCATAAAGATAGATGAATGGCGTCTACGAAAGTTTGACATGCTCGACTTCATCTTAGCACAGCTGCAGTATGCCAGAATTGGATTGATGAGATTGGCCGGTGATATGTCCATCTCGACTAGAACATGTCTTGAAGCGAATGAATGCGGGCAGTGGATGAATCTCGACCACACGACTCGTGGAATAGGGTCTTTGCAACGCGGGTCGGGTCCATGCGTTCCCTGAATAGAGCAGGTGGAATGGTGTAGGCCGGTTTCCTCGCTTCTGCGAGCTTCAGCTGAGATTACCAGCAGTCTGAGCTGGGGTTGATCGTCACAGACCGAAGTATAAGTAGTCCACGGTTCCCCTTACTCAATCACCCATCACTTCCTTTCCGCGATTCCCCCAGCTCCAGCAGATTACAATACCTCTCTTGCTCAGCCAGCCATCACCACTCCCACCAGCTCAGCACCCGTCCACCTCACACGATGAAGCTCACCCTCATCATCGCGACCATTGCCGCCACGGCCTTTGCCGCGCCCCGGGCGAGCGGCGAAATGTCTCCTGCTCTGGCAGACATGGAAGGCCGTGCCGACAACTGTTTCTTCCCATCGCAGTGCTCGGCTTTCTGGTCTGGCAAGTGCGAGAACCACTGCGGCTCCCGGGGCTTTTCCCACATGAGCCGTGACGGATGCAAGTGGAATCCAATCAATATCACGCAGAAGTGCTGTTGCATCAGGAAATGAGTTGAAGCGCTTGATTCCTCCAGGTGCTGGAGCGGGCTCGTGGAAGAGTTCAGATGATCAGATATGTCTTTGTTAGCAGAATCAAAATACAATGATAACTGTGGATCAAGAGGCGCTATGTTGGGGACGCAGCTGGGCGGCATGCAATCCTATTGTGATATCTTGTCTGTTGCTAAGGGCTCATTTTTGGTCGAGCATGTGCTTGAACTTTTCAATCTGCGGGCTGGTCAGACGTGGTCGGAGGCAATGGATGTATGCAACTCACCTTGGTGCTCAAATACTTCTCGACCTCCTCGCTGTTGATGCCCTGCTTGCCGCCTGTCTTCCAGGCTAACGGCACCATAGCGACGCGCTCCCGGACGACAACTTCTCTGTTGGGCCCCTCGACGGCGCGCACTTTGTCGGGATTGTTCGTCAGCAGCCTGATGCCCCTCTCTCCGCCCAGGTCCAGGTCCATGAGCATGGCGGTGGCCAGCCCGTAGCTCCTCGCATCGGCGGGGTGCCTGAGCATGACGTTTGCTTCGTACGTGTCGTTGCCCAGGTCTTGCAGGTTGTAGGCCTTCAGCTTCTCGCCCAGGCCGATGCCGCGCCCTTCTTGGCGCAGGTAGATGATGGCGCCGCCGGAGGGCGAGAGGGTGGGGTCGGCCATGAGGCGAGCGCCCTCGTCGAGCTGCTCGCCGCAGTCGCAGCGCGCAGACCAGACGGTCTCGCCGGTGTAGCACTCGGAGTGGATGCGCACGAGGGGCAGGTCAGAGGCGGAGGCGCCATCGCCGTTGTCGGACGAGGCCGAGGACGGTGAGGCCAGCGCGGGGTCCGGGGAGTCGGCGGCGGCGGAGTCGGGGGCGCGGCGCGAGGGCACTCCTTCAGCGCGCCTGATGGCGTCGACGCGCGACGTGGTGCGGCCGGGGTACAGGCGGCCGACGTATGCGCCGCGGGTCATGCGGTCGAGCTCGGTCTCGCCCGGGCGCTCGGCGTCGAGCGAGCGCGAGCGGATCTGGTTGCCAAACACAATGGCCAGGTGCTCCTTGGTGTCGACGTTGTTGCGGTACACGTGCAGCCACATCTCGTGGCCGGTGGTGGTGGGGATGCGCGCGCGCACCTCGCACTCGACGACGGGCAGCTGCTCGAGCAGCTCGGGGCGCGGCGAGTCGGTCGCCCGCGACGTGTCGACGGGCACGGAGCGCGGCGGGCGGCGCGGCTGCGACGGTGTTGCGAAGCCGGGCGTCGCGGGCGGCGTGAAGGCAGGCGAGATGAGCGAGCGCGGCGGGTCGGACCCGCGGTGGTGTGCGGCCCGGGGCGCGGGCGCGGGCGCGTGTGTGGCATCGTCGCCCAGGGCGCGCTCGGGGCTGTCGAAGTCGAAGCCCTGCCGGCTCGGGCTCTGCGGCTGCGGAGTGTACAGCGGCGGCAGGCCGGGCGACGAGTGTGACGGCAGGTCGGGCATGGGGGGCGGCGGTGGGCACGTTGCTTCAGCGCGGAACAGGCGACGGCGCGGCGCAGCACAGGAAGCGGATTCGCGCGAGGACACAGGAGACGAGTGCACGCCGGACGGTGAGGGCGGATGTCGTGATGAGGGCCGAGGGTTTCAGTGGGGTCGTCGACTCATGGTCTAATTCCCAATTCCCGAGGCCGAAGCCGCTCCAGCGTGCATCATGGACGGCGGCGGAAGAGCGCCGACGCTGCGCCGCGGGGGCGGACCGCGCTCTTGGTCAGCATGATGCGCATGTAGCATGTTCTGTGTCAGCATGGCATACGCTGGAGAGCAGTCGAGGCAGCTGGAAACGGAGCGCATGGGGGTCATTAAATTTGTGTAGCCTGCAATGCAGGTGCTCCCGAGCCCGTGGCACCCACGTCATCCCACGTCTGCGTTGGAGCCTCAATCGACCCTGCGTTCGCGGCCCCAGACCTCGTCCGCGTTCTTCTTGCCCTTGGTCTCGGGCACGTACCACGACAGGAACACAAAGAAAAACGCCGAGAGCGCTGCAAAAATGAGGTACACCTTGCCGCCCAGCTGCGCGCTCAGCAGTGGGAAGAACTGCGCCACAACAAACGTCGCAATCCAGTTTGCGCCGAGTGCAATGCTCTGCGTGGCATCGACCGCCTCGGGCCCGACTAGCTCGCTGGCCAGGATGAAGGGGACCGGGCCGAGCCCTAGCGCAAAGCTGGCCACGAAGAACAGCACGGCCACGGCTGACAGTACGGGCACCGCCTGCATGATGCCAATCGCCAGGAGCAGTGCACTGGTGCCCATGCCGGCGATGGAGCCAAGCAGACACGGCTTGCGCCCGAACCTGTCTGGGAGGAATGCGCCTGCAGCCGTCATCACGATGTTGACGGCAGACACGGCGAGGTTGAGCAGCGCCGAGTTGGACTCGAGCAGCCCTGCCAGCAGTGACACGCCGTACATGACGATGCTATTGATGCCGCTGAACTGCTGCGCCAGCATGACCATGATGACCGCAATGGCGGCCTTGTTGTAGTCAGGGTGGCGGAAGACCTGCACGATGCTCAGTGAGCCCTCGTGGTCGGGCGACTTGGCTGCGGGCTGCGAGGCGCCGCCTTCGTTGCGCAACAGCGTCTGCTCCTCTTCTGGCGGGGCGTTAGTGTGGGTGACAACGGGCATGGAGACGTCCAGACGTACCGCTTGCATCGGAGCCTTCCGCTCCCCACTCGCTCATCTCGCCGTCAATGTCGGCCCCTTCGCCCCTGATGTGGCGCAGCGTCCGCCTCGCCTGGGTGAGGTTGCCCTTCTCAGCCAGGTACTTGGGGCTCTCGACGGAGAACAGCAAGCCCAGGCCTTGGGCCAGGCCGACCACGCCGCCCACGGCCAGGATGAGGCGCCAGTACGAGTCGTGGCTGAGGAAGTAGCCCAGCAGCTGGGTGACCAGGATGCCGACGTTGCACATGATCTGGGTGAAGGCGCCGAAGAAGCCCTTGTGTGCAGGCGGGGCGATCTCTGAGATGTACAGCGGCACGATGACGACGGCGGCACCGGCGCCCACGCCGGACACGAGTCTCCCAAAGGCCATGACGGCGATGGAGGGCGCCAGGGCCTCGAAGACGGGGCCGACGGCGAAGAACAGCGTCGTCAGCTGCATGGCCCTGAGGCGGCCGAACTTGCCGGCCAGCGGTGCTGCGGAGAGGGCGCCAACCAGGCCGCCCAAGGTGTACATGGAGCCCACGACTCCCCACTGGGTCGGCGTCATGGCGATGCATTGCGGCAGCGAGGGCGCGGCGAGGCCGGCGGACGTGATGGACTTTCGCTTGCAGCGGATAACGTCCTCGGGCGCGTTGAGCTCAGACTGGCAGGGTCAGCGGGGATGCAGCGAGCGGGCGCGGGCGGGCGCGGGCGTAGGTACCAGATGGAAGCCAAAGAGCAGCGGGCCCAGCGTCGCGACAAACAGGATGTACACAAAGTAGCCCGTGAGGTCGCCAAACCACGACCGCGGATCCATGGCGGCGACGGCGGGCGGTAGGCGGTGGGTGGAGGTAGTGGGCGGTGGGTTGCGAGAGCTACGATATGGGTGGGCGTGGTGCAGTGGGGGGCTGGCGGAGGAGGAGCTGTGTGGTGGGTGCAGCGCTGCATGTCAGCTCCACCTCGGAATGCAAGGGTGCGCCATCGCGACCGGCCGTCCACCGCGGTGCTGTACCTGATCGCCGCCAAGTGCCCCGTCCGCCTGCAACGCCCACGGCAGACGAGCCACCACTGCGCTGAGACTTCCCCGTGACCTGCCGTGACCTGCCGTGACCTGTCGTGACTCCCGGTGGCCGTGAAGCCGAGCAGGCGACGCGTGGGGCTGGCAACGTGCGTGGTTCTTGCGGCTCTGCGGGGGAGCCTGGCAGCCCGAGAGAAGCTCCATCGCCTCCTCTCTTCCGCCGCGGCCGCCACGGAGACTGTCCGTCAGACGCCGCATGCGCGCATGCGCCAGCTGCCGACGACACGCGGATGACGTCCAAGTCATGTCCCAGCCGCCGTCGAATCCCCCGTCTGCGTGTGGCCCACCTTCTGCTGCCGCTCCAAACCCCCGAGCCGCCGCCCTGCGCACCACTGTGCAGAGAGCCCTCAACGGTCGGTAGCCTTTCCACCCCTGCGTCTCGTGCCACTGTTGCTCCTTGTCGCCCCGTTGATCCCATTGTCTGCTCGCGTCCCTGTCGTCTCTGCTAGCATCTGTCTCGGCAGAGCACTTGCTTTTGCTGCTCGTGAGAGTCGACTGCTTTCGCTTATTGTTGTCCCCTTCTGCCGCCAACACCACCTCGTCTCACCCATCTTACATCTTTGATATTGGCATCCCGCCACTCAAGGCTGCCGTCGTCACTACATTAGATGAAACGCTGAGACACCATCTGTACAGACACTGCAGACTCGTCACCAATGTTTGCCGGCTACAGCTCCAAAAAGCGAATCAGCGAGCGCTACAAGATCGTAGGCTTCATCAGTAGCGGTACCTATGGACGCGTCTACAAAGCAGAAGGCAAAAATGGCCGCATTGGGGAGTTTGCCATCAAAAAGTCTCTTGTTCCCATCCTGTCACTGTCATCGTGCTGATGCTTTTCCAGGTTCAAACCGGACAAGGAAGGCGAGCTCCAATATTCTGGCATCTCACAGTCCGCTATAAGGGAAATGGCTCTCTGTACCGAGGTTGCACATCAGAACGTTATACACACATCTGAGATCATCCTCGAAGACAAGTGCATCTACATCGTCTTCGAATATGCAGAGCATGACCTTCTCCAAATCATTCACCATCACAATCAGCCTCAGCGCCAAGCCATTCCTGCTCGGACTATAAAGTCAATTCTGTACCAGCTTCTGCAGGGTCTTGTCTATCTCCATCGCAATTGGGTCATGCATCGAGATTTGAAGCCTGCAAATATCATGGTTACCAGGGACGGCAAGGTCAAGACTGGTGATCTGGGTCTTGCGCGCCTCTTCCACAAGCCGCTCCAGTCACTGTTCTCTGGCGACAAGGTCGTCGTGACTATCTGGTACCGCGCTCCTGAGCTGCTGCTTGGCAGCCGCCACTACACTCCAGCAGTTGACCTCTGGGCTGTTGGTTGCATCTTTGCCGAACTGCTGTCCTTGCGACCAATCTTCAAAGGAGAGGAGGCTAAGATGGACAACAAGAAGACCGTGCCCTTTCAGCGGAATCAAATGCAAAAGATTGTCGAGATCATGGGTCTGCCGAGTAAGGACCGTTGGCCACTGCTGACTTCCATGCCTGAGTATCCGCAGCTTACCTCGCTCATTGCCGGTAACGCAGCACGTTACCCTCGCCCACAAGGCGACGGCCTGGAACGATGGTATCACCAAACCCTGAACAACAATCACTACCCTGTCGGCACTGGACCAGACACGCCTGGCCAGGAAGGATTATCCTTGCTCAAGCAGCTGCTCGAGTACGACCCACTCAAGCGCTTGACTGCTGAGAAAGCGCTCGAGCATCCATACTTTACCGTGCACGGTAAGCCAGCAGAGAGTTGTTTCGAAGACTCCAAAATCAAGTACCCTGTTCGAAGAGTCAGTCAAGAAGATAATGACATTCGTACCTCAAGTTTGCCAGGAACCAAACGAAGTGGGCTGCCCGATGATTCTTTGATCGGCCGACCTGCGAAACGCCTCAAGGAAGGATGAACTACTACGACCACACTGCTGCATGCTGCAGTCTTGACCTACTTTGGCAACATTTGGAGCTGGTCGTCCTGACTTGGCGAAGAGCCATCGCCATACTCCGGCGCCCAAAGTGGGGACCCTGCCACAGTCTGGCTCGTGATGGCAGGAAATGTCGTGACCTGACTTGACAAGGGCGACCTGACATCATGAGCAATTTTGCAGGGTGCAAATGTTGCACGGCGGAGTCATCTAGACGGCTGTCGTTTCCATCATCCACCGACAGCATATCGCACCACTTCTAGGCATATGAGCCATGCGAGACCTGAAATGTAGATCGCTGATTCGTATCTTTGAGAGATGTAGCACAGAAAAGCTCAGTCGAGCGTACTCAACCGTTTCAAATCAAACGCACACCGGGATATCCAATATCTCTTTAGATGTGGACGTTTCAAGTCACTGCATGAGTTCCCTTGACAGCATCGCGTTTCTACTAGCATGTTACAAAGCTCTCCATTGTCTGCTTTGCGCTCTGCGTGTGTCGCTATTCTTGACATGATATTGATTAGCGCTGCTGCATCAACCCAAGGTCTGTTACCTCATTTCACCCTCCTGATCACTTTCAGGCCCCTCCGCTTAGCGACATGACATGTCTTGTCTTGGGTTTAACTTCACATATGCATCATGCTCTCTGACAGAGGTGGGTGACGCCCGTTTGCAGGCGCCCCCAGATCCGCGCTACGTGACACTCGGTTCGTGTCTCTCGACAAAAGTGGTGAAGTTACAAACGAGCTAGCCATCACCAGGCACGAAAGCACCGCGACACAAGCCGGTAAATCCGGTGGGCTGATTCGATGCATCGTCGCTTCAGAGTCAACAGTATCGTATCGTGCTGGGTGCATCCGTTCCTTTGGTCATATTGCAATATGTCTATCTGTACTTGCCGCTGCCCTTCACTTTTCTATATGTTCTGACGCTGCGGACGAGTACACAGGTCCACGGCAGGCAAGTGAAGGTAGGCGCGCCTCGCCCACACGTGTACCCCAGTGCATGGGCCACTCTCCGTATAAATACACCGCTACCCTGCCCTTCCACTTTCTCCATCTTTTCCATTCGCGCTCCTCACTGCAGTCACTCTTTGGTCCCGCCACCTACGTGCACAACATCCTCGAGCAATTGCACAATCTTACCTACACCCTCCGTTCTCCGAGATACCCATATTCATCCACGTTGGTCGTTCCTTACGAACAACGTCACTAGACATGAAGCTTTTCGCTACACTCGCTACCCTGCTTGCTGCTACTGCAGTCGCTGCGCCCGCTCATGATGTCCAGCCCCGTGATCTCTACAACGACGATGCTCCTCACGCTGAGGACCCCAACTTCATCAGTGCCGTGATGCGCGCTCACTGGTACTGGCGCCGCCTTCACTGCGCCCAGGATCTGGTCTGGGACCAAGACCTTGCTGATACTGCGCGCCGCGACGTCTCCAAGTGCGGCGACAAGCCTGAGCACGTAAGCCGCAGCATTCTTTCCGCTTGGCTTGCCCGGCTGATTTGTACAGTTGCGTTCTGGCAGCAACCTCTCGTCACAGCAGCCAGCTCCGCAGAACTATGCGGAATGGATCGAGTTCGCTCGCACCGCCTCTCACGGTTGGCACGAGGAGGAGACCAAGTACCCTTACGATCGCCCCTACTACGACGACGCTTGGGGCCACTTCACGCAGATGGTGTGGCGCAACACTACCCGCATCGGCTGCGCTCTCGGCAACTGCCACCCGGAGAACGTGCAGTGGCCTGCCCGCTTCTACTGCTGTAAGTGATACTGAAGCTGTGCATGGGCAGAGACTGACTGTGACAGACTACGAATTCGTCGGCAATAACATTGCAGCCGGCCAGTTCGAGGCTCAAGTCTGGGGTCCAGTCTGCGGAGACCCTTCCGCCGGCGAGGTCACAAAGCGTGCGGAGATCAGCTACGACTGGACTCGCAAGTGATTCTTGCTTCTAGTTGCGACGCTTTGGTCCACTCGAGCACGTCGCTGATATCCCTCCATGCAAGATATACTCGGCGATGATAGCTACCAGTATAGCCACCGCAATTGGTACTTTGGTACGGGCAGTGCCGCTTGTTTGCTTGCGAATTTCCACAATACGGCTGCATCTCTCAAGGGTCATCTCTTACGGCGTATCTGGGCGAGCTACCTTTTACTATCGTTATCAACGAAGACCAACGACAGAATTACTTCGGTCATGGACATGCAGTAGCTTAGCCTTGCAGGTGTACACTTGGGTCTAAATGATTTGTTACATTTGATGAATCTTCTTGATCTCTTCTTGCCCACCGAACGGCGCTACATCGCCTCCTTGACCACCTGCTTCAAGATCTTCTCATATTCTCCGACCTCCTTTGCCCCGATAAGCGTGAAATCCCTCCTCCGCCCCTCAAACACAACGTAGGGCACGCTGTCTACCCCATTCCCAGTCTGCTCCTGCACTGCCATGCGCGTCTCCACCGCATGCACGCCCTCATCCCGCGCCACCCTTTCCGCCTCCTCCCCACTCAACCCCGCCGCAAGACACACCTCGACCAGCGTCGCATTACTACTCGGATGTGCCCCCTGCTCAAAATACATGCTGTACGCCTTCCCGAGCCCCTCGAGCGCAGCCTCCGGCCCACGCGTGGCCTGCACGTACTGGAGCACGCGGTGGGCGGGGAATGAATTCGCAATGTCCCCGCTGGCAAAGTCAAACGCGATGCCCTCGTCCTTGCCCAGCGCGGACATGTAAGCGGCGTATTTCTCGAATCGCGCCTCGGAACCACTGTATTTCTCGTCGCGGTACCAGGCGTGTTTATCGGTGCCTTGGCGCGGGAACGACGGGTAGAGCTGGTAGGGTGCAATGTGCAGGGTAAAGGTCACGGGCGATGCGGGGTTGGTGGTGCGGTGGGTGGCGAGGGCGCGGCGGAGGCGCGCGAGCGCTATGTATGTCCTAGGCGCGTCAGAGGGGTGGTGTGAGGCGATGGGGATGTGTGGGGGTAGGGCGCGGGCGGGGCGCACCAGGGACATATGGTGTCGAGGGTGAATGTGATGGTGGAGTCGTAGCCCATGGCGGCGGCGGCGACGACGACGGCGGGAAGGTCCGACGATGATGTGCGTGTGTAGAGCTTCCAGTGTGGATCTGGAAAACGAGATGGTGGTGGTAAAGGGTCATGGAGAGTCGTGTCTGCATGTAGCCGAGCTGGTGGAGATATGTCGTATCGCCGACAACGTCATGCGGGGAGGTCGGTGGATCTGCGCTAGGATAGAGATGCCGAGATGTGGCTGAACGGGAGACGGCCGTGGACGACACGACAAGCACGAAGCCATGGCACAAAGAGGGCATGTGGGTGGAAGTATTAATATGTAGTCTGAAGTGTAAGCAATGCAGCGCGTCTACCATGATGCACTCGCGCGGGCTCGTCTACTCAACTCGGCTCCAGCAAACAGAACAACAGGTATCGTTATGGGAACAGCAATATATTCCGCCGATGCAACGCCTAATTCAGCTTCACGTAATTACCTGATGTGTGTTAGCAATGTGGGCTCTGGAAGTGTGGGTGGATTACGAACCTGGGAACTGCCCCGACTTGCCCCGGACCTTGCCTGTCCACCACTCGTTCTCGTTCTGCGTCCGCGTGATGATCTCAACGATGTCGCCAGCCAGGAAACTCAGGTCGCCTTCGGACTGCGCTTCAAAGTCGTACAGCGCAGTGCAGGTTTCTGCGGCGGGCATGCCACTCAGGCGCGAAGGCTTTGGTTTTGGCGGTGGTGGAGCGCCCTTTGCCTTCGCGGCGGAGCCCCAGGACCCTTGCGATAATGTCGGCGACTTTAGGTCTCCGACGACGCCGGACGCGCCGGGAGTGTATGGTGGCGGGGGCGCCTCTTCGGAGATTGAAGCGCGGCCAGGCTTTGCCTCGTTCGCCTTGGCTTCCTGCGCTTTTGTTGCGTACTTGGATACGCCTGGCCGCCCAGCTCCTGGGCCCGTGCGGCCGCCTGTGGTCTTGAACTTGACGACTGATAGCTTTTCTGCCTCTGCCTGAATGTCTCCTCGCTTCTTCTCGTAGGCAGCCTCAATGTCCAGCTCCAGGTCAAAGTAGCCAATGTCCAGCCGCTGCATGCGCTCGTGCAGAGTGTAGAAGACGTTCAGCTGCATGTAGTAGAAGGACTGGAAGAGAGGCTGGATGAACTCTCTTTCCAGTGCAAACAGCTTCGGCAGCTCGTCCTTGAGGAGATCGTTGAAGTAGATGTAGTCCTGCGTGGCCTGCTCGACGTCGTTCTCGGCACGGTACATGGCCTTCTCGTCCTTGAGCGTCTTGTCTTTCTTGTCCTGCAGCTTCTTGAGGGCTGTGCGATGACGGTCGTAGTCGAGCTGCTTGTGGTCGCGCTTGGCGCCCAGCTTTCGCACGGCTTTGATGATGTCGAGCAGCTGGTTCGCAGGCGAGATGACGCGGGACTCGATCATCTCAAGCTCGGGCTTGAGCGTCTCCTGCAGTTCTCCGACGACCTCCTGGTACTGTTCGCAGGCCTCGATGCCGGCGGTGTTGCCTTCGTCGTGGAACGAGGTGGGGTCCGACATTCGTCCGGAGATGGGTTTGTAGACCTCGGCGATGGCCTTGGAGAACTCGATCTGATGTGTGAGCATGCCTAGGCGGGGTGTTGTTAGCAGGAGGCAGGGCGTGGGCCGGGGCATGCGCACCATTTATGGCCTCGAAATACCTGTGGTGGGTTAGTCGCGGGCGGACAGGGAGCATGCGTGCAGGCGGCGTACTTCTTGGACTCTTCGTGCAGCTTCTTCGTCTCCTTCTCCAGCTCGGTGAAGCGGCGCTCGGCATCGATGTAGATGGCATCCTTTGTGATCTCGCCCTGCAGACGTGTTAGCGCGTGGGGCGGGCGCGCGGAGGACGGCGCATGGCGGCAGCGAGAGCGCGGCGGGTGCGGGCTGGGGACGTACGATGTTGAACTTCTGCTTGAACGTCTGCGGCGTCTGGGGGGCTCGTCAGCGACACGGCGCAGGGCGGGGCGCGGCGGGCAGGCATACTCTCACGACCGACTTGGTCAGCCCCTTCCAGGACATGGCGGCGGGAGCAGCGGGTTAGAGTGCGGTGCGCGGGCGGGGGGTCAGAGTGCAATGCACAGGCAGGGCGGCGTGGCACGGCGGGAGCGGGTGGGCGCAAGGACGAGCAGCATAAAGAGGAGAGTGGGCGATGGCGCAGGCAGCTGGTGGGTTAAGCGGGTCTTGTCCGTCACTACCGCGCTCTCGGACTACTGACGTCGTTCGCGGCGCGCTCAGCCACATCCGGGCGCTGGTACTGTGGCAAGGCGCGCCGCGGGGATGGCCTCGCTCTCGCAGCAGCCCTCGCAGCAGCCCTCGCGCGCTGAGCAGCGCCGTGGACGCCGTGCAGCCGCCGCCGCCCGGTCCAAAGCAGCGCTGGCAGCATGGCGACGGCGGCGCAGAGCCCTCAGCACGCTGTGCGCCCCGCTGTGCAGCGCGCGCCCGACTGATCCGGGCGCAGCTCGCCTCGGCGCTCGCATCATGCTAGCTCCGCTCTGGCTGTCGAAAGTTGCGGCCGGCACCCGCACCTGTGCCCGCCGCCCACCACCACCACCACTACCACCACCGCACCATGTCGAGCATCGCCCCCACCGTTGCGCGACAGGCGCTGCGCATCGCGGCGCGGCGCTACCCCCGCGGCCAGCGCCCGCTCCCCGCTGCGCGCGGCCGCCCGCTGCTACGTCTCCGAGTCCAAGGCGCACAACGCCACCGTCAACGTCGACACGACCATCCAGGCCGAGAAGAAGGCCTTCCTGCGCCAGACGGGCGAGCAGCCCGCCGACGCGACCATGCCGACCACGGGCATGTCCACCGACGCCATGATGAGCCCGACTGCTGGTGCGTGCCGCCTCCCGCGCGACGTCACTGCCTGACTGCGTGATATTGACTCCCCCAGGCATCCTGAAGCAAGCCACCGTCATGGACCAGGGCTCGCGGCCCATCTACCTGGACATGCAGGCCACCACCCCCATGGACCCGCGTGTCGTCGACGCCCAGATGCCCTTCATGACCGGCCTCTACGGTAACCCGCACTCGCGCACCCACGCCTACGGCTGGGAGACGGACAAGGCCGTCGAGGACGCCCGCGCCCACATTGCCGCCCTCATCGGTGCCGACCCCAAGGAGATCATCTTCACCAGCGGCGCCACCGAGAGCAACAACATGAGCATCAAGGGCGTCGCCCGCTTCTTCAAGCGCTCCGGCAAGAAGAACCACATCATCACCGCCCAGACCGAGCACAAGTGCGTGCTGGACAGCTGCAGGCACTTGCAGGACGAGGGCTTCCAGGTCACCTACCTGCCCGTGCAGAGCAACGGCCTCGTCGACCTGGCCCAGCTCGAGGCTGCCATGCGCCCCGAGACCATGCTCGTCAGCATCATGACCGTCAACAACGAGATTGGCGTCGTGCAGCCCATGGAGGAGATTGGCAAGCTGTGCCGCTCCAAGAAGATCTTCTTCCACACCGACGCCGCCCAGGCCGTTGGCAAGATCCCCCTGGATGTGAACAAGATGAACGTCGACCTGATGTCCATTTCCGGCCACAAGATCTACGGGCCCATGGGCATCGGCGCGTGCTACGTGCGAAGACGGCCCAGGGTCAGGCTTGATCCCATCATCAGCGGAGGTGGCCAGGAGCGTGGTCTGCGAAGTGGCACCATTGCACCAGCTCTCGTTATCGGCTTTGGCGAGGCTGCCCGGATTTGCAAGGAGGAGATGGAGGTATGTTTATATTCTCGAGATGGTCCACACGATCGCTAACGCATTCCTAGTACGACACCAAGCGCATCACCGCTCTGTCGAATCGTCTCCTCGAAGGCCTGCTTGCCATGGAGCACACCACACTCAACGGCGACCGCGAGCGTCACTATGCTGGTTGCGTGAACGTCTCGTTCGCCTACGTTGAGGGCGAGTCACTGCTCATGGCCCTCAAGGACATTGCGCTGTCTTCTGGCAGTGCTTGCACATCAGCCTCGCTGGAACCCAGCTACGTCCTTCGTGCTCTTGGCAGCAGCGACGAGAGTGCCCACAGCAGTATCAGATTTGGAATTGGGCGCTTCACCACAGATGCGGAGATTGATTACGTTCTCAAGGCCGTGCAGGAGCGTGTCACATTCCTCCGCGAGCTCAGTCCGCTGTGGGAGTTGGTACAGGAGGGTGTCGATCTCGACACGATTGAGTGGAGCCAGCACTGAGTGATAAATTGAGGATACCCGGAGGATTCATGTATATTATAGGGGCGTATTTGGTCGCGAGAGAGGGATGAGGCGCACGCTCGCTGAGGCGTAAATGAACAAACCTAGTCCATACTGCGGCTAAAGCCAGGACATTTGTGATGTGCTAGTTTTGGCTACTTGTTGATGTTGGCGGTTGAACAGTTGATGCTGTGAAGGGATCAGCGTGAGAAGTATGGGTTTGGTCGCCTTTGCACCGTCTCAAAACTCCCAGGTGCACAAGTCCAGCTATTACCAGCCTTGCATGCAGATTCATCGGCCATGATCAGACAGTAGCACTGGCAAAGCAGGCGGTGGCCCTTGGCGCAGGCACAACACGTCCCGAGGTTGTGTTCCACGGCAGAGCTCCCCCACCAGACCTCGAACATGGCCGGCGTTCCGGAAACAACGCTCAACTGGCTGTACAGCGTCCTGACCAGCGTAGGCGTCCGTCTATGACCTCGCAGCCGCGGGCTTACCTGTTGCCAGAACTACACAGACGTCAATCGCACCTATCACGACGCAACAGAGGCCCTCTCCCACTACCCGTCGCTGTCGGTGCGCACCGACGTCTACAGTACGTAACGCGACGCGCAACTCGCCGCTGGGCACTGCCCGCGAGGCGCACTGCGACTGACCAGCTCAGCATACGACAACGGCGCTTCCAACCTCCTGCTCAACCTCAGCGGCACGCTGCCGGTGACGTTCCGCGGCGCAACATATGGCTTCCCGGTCGCGGTGTGGGTGCCTTACGCCTACCCGCGCGAGTCCCCCATTGTGTACATCAAGCCCGACAAAGACATGCTGGTGCGGCCCGGCCAGCATGTGAGCGGCGACGGGAGGGTCTACCACCCCTATCTGGCACAGTGGGCCAAGTACTGGGATGTGAGTACTGTGTGTGCCGGCGCACAGCAGCCGCGGGCACCGCTGGCCAGCATGGGCCTTGGCTGACGACTGCGCAGAAGTCCACCTTGTTCGACTTTCTTGCTGTGCTGCGAGGCGTCTTTGCGAAAGAGCCCCCGGTGCGCTCGAGACAGCCGCAGCCGCAGCCCCCGCCCGCGCAACAGGGCCCGCCGCCCGTCCCCCCGCCTCCAGCGGAGTATCGCCAGCCGTTGCACAGCACACCAGGCCCGTCAGCATCCCCGGGCGCCTCCCGCCCCTCGCAAGCGCCCCCAGCGCCTCCTCCCAAGCCGCCAAAGCCAAACGAACCGCTCCGCCCGACGCCCCAGCCGCAGAGCGATCGATACTCGCAACCGCCTCCGCTGCCTCCGCACCCGCCGCAACAACAGCTGCCGCCACATCAGCCGCAACGGAGCAGCTACGGGACGCCGCCAGGCTGGCAACAGCATGGACCTCCATTCGCCCACGGCGCTCCATCGCGACAAGGGAGCCACGACACCAGCCCGGCGACACCACTCTCGTACAACCCACAGCCCCAGGCACAGGCGCAGGCACAGGCACAAGGCTTCACTCCTGCGCCGTATGGGACGGGAAGCCCTGTCAGTCCCATCTCGCCCCAGGGGCAACGGCAAGCGTCTAGCTTTGGAAGACAAGCGCCCCCGCAGCCCCCCGCCAACGGCGCGCCTCCACAGCAGTACGCTGGTCAGCCGGGCGCTCCTCAACCTTACGGACATCCCTCATCAGTGCAGCAGCAGTACCGACCACCGCCGCAGCAGTACCCGCCGCAGCATCCTCAACAATACCAGCAGTATCAACAGCCACCACCGCAACAAGCCCCACCGCAGCCCAAGCCAGCACCTCCTGTCAATCTCCTCGACGACTCGCTCGAGGTAACATTGCCGTCTCAAGGAGGCAGACAGACATCTCTGCCAGTACCTCCCGTACCACCAAACCCGCAGAAAGATGCCCTCTTGACAGCTCTCGGTCAGGCTCTTGCCTCGCAGACACGCCAGGTAGTGGCCTCGAACCAGACTGCTGTGGCCCCACTTCGGGCACAACAACAGGCGTTGCAAAATGCATACTCACGGCTACAAGCCGAACTGGGCGAACTGCAGCAATTGGACGCGGTCTTAGCTTCTAACGAGCAGATTCTGAAGGGCGCAATGGTAGATGCGGACCGCGCCATGGATGATGCGCGTAGAAGACACGCACCGGACGTCGACGACGTGCTCGTGGCACCTACAGTAGTTGGACAACAGCTGTATGCGCTCGCAGCCGAGGAGCGAGGAATCGCCGATGCGCTGTTCGTTTTGGGTAGAGCGCTCGACAAGGGGAGGGTCACAGCAGATGTTTTTGTCAAGGTAAGATCCACGGCATTGAGATGATAATTCCATGCTGACGGCTCCACAGCAAACGCGGAGCCTAGCTCGAGAGCAATTCTTGAAGAAGGCGTTGATCAAAAAGATAGCCAGGGGTATGGCACTGGACGAATACCAGATGCGGTGAAGTCTGTGGCAAGATTTGCCCACCTGTTTTTGGTCCAGGCAGACACGAGCACATGACATAGCTCTGACTGTGCTTGCAGCCATCATGCCACGATTGTACCAAGGTCCGTCGTCCAGACCTGATAGGGTGTCTGTTTTGTGCCGCACTCACGAGCCGCGACCATACACTGCTGAAAGCCCGACGGGGATTTAGCGGAGAGGTCCGAAAAGTATTGAACGCAGCTAAGCCTCTGGAACCTAGATGTTTTCGCTGCTTGACTGATGGTGAGGTCTGGATAAACTCGAGGTGTGGATGCGACGATCGATCAGGTACGAGCGCACGGTCGCTGCACATTGGCCTAAATTAAGTTATCTATCGCCAAATCCGCGTCTAGCGTCAGGCAACCATTGCGCCAGTTTCGCGGCAAAGCAGACAAAGGAGCGTCAATTGTCGCGCAATTTCTTACTTCTCATCTGTTGCATCCCCCTCTTCTGACACTCGTTTTTCAACTATCACGCGACTTTCGCGTAGCCATTCGCTTGAATATCTCTCCGTTGATAATGTCTACACCACAAGCTGCACCCACGTCGCATGCGCCGCAGATTACAACTACCTCCCCATTGGGACACACAGCAGCGGTCCCTAACTCGCCTGTCGCGCACACCAATATGCTAGCGCATCCTACTGCAGCCACACCAGCTCCTACATCGAGTGCGCCTACAACTACTCCATCGGCCGTACCAAACCCAGTGACCCCAGCCCCGGCCGCCTCTGCTGAGCCAGAGAGTTTGTCCTACAATGAGCAACTCAATGCTGCTGACCGTCTCTGGAAGTTTAAGATGGCCCTGACACTTGCCCTTTTTCTTGTTGATATCATTGGCATCGGCTGTGTAGCATGGGCCATCAGTGAGGGTGGCAGAATGACATCCGACTACGGCTACGGCTGGGACAGGTCCTGGGCTCTGCCATGGGGTTTAATCACCTTTTCCATATCTGCGGTATGGTGCGCCCTGTGCATAATCCTGTTCATCGTCCGCAAGCGCCCAGTCCACCCTGGCCTGCGCGTCACCATGGACCTGCTTCTTTGGCTGGGCTTCATTTTTACCGCCCTTCTCACCATGGTCGCCCTTTTTGACGTACTTTACTGGGGCGAAGACGGCACGCTGGGCTATTCTGAAGGCTGGAACACGAGGGACGGCGATTATGTCCTCCAGAGGAACAACACCTGGTCATGGGTGCAAGACACTGACTACTCGGGTGTGACGTACGAGCGTGTTTGCAACGGCTCGTCGTCCAATTACTATTATTCCTCCGGCGAGCCTAGGTTTCAGAACTGCGCCGAAATGGACGCCTACGTCAATCTGCTGTGGAGCGAGAAGCCGAATCGCGCACGCGTCGAGCTCACAGCTGTCGTGTGCCAGTGGCTCGGTGTAGTCTGGCACTTTGCGCTTTTCGTATGGGCATGTGTCAACTGCCACAAGTACCGCCGCACCAAAGTGTCCACGGATGCGGAGAAGCTCGCAGCGGGCATCGTCCAAACCATGGTCCAGAACGGTGCCCTCGTACCGCCGCCAGGCCAGGGGCAAATGACACCATCATGGCAGCACGTGTATCAACCGTTGCCGAGCCAGTCGAACAGCTTCTCGGGTCAGGGCGGCTATGCCATGCAGGGACAATATCACCCAGTGGCTCCTCAGATGGGCGGGCAGGGCATGCAGCAGATGTATATGAGGGGGCAGCAACCACCTGTTGCTGGTGAGCAGCCGCCTCCTCTTCTACCGCCCCGACCCGAACAGACGCACGCCGGGCCCAGCAATGAGAAAGCCCCCGTTCCGGGCGTTGCAAATAGTTACTATGAGCCAGGCCGGTAATGGGGCGGCTTGGGCGGTTGGATCGGATGAAGCGATGATTGAAATTGTGGCTGAAGAAATGCTTCAGCAGCGATGAACCTGTACTTGATATATACCCCCTACATCAGCGATAGAGCATGATATAATCACGACTAATAGAGTGGCCCCCGTGTAATCGAGCAGATGGCACTTGTCCAGAAGTCTTCAATTGCTTAGACTCGAGACTTGTATATGTAAAACCGCCGATGGGGTCGAATCGCCCTCCTCACTCTCTAACGTAATAGAACCTCTCGCGGCCAGCAACGAAAGATATCCTCCACGCTGCCGCAGCGCGAAGCCTCTGTTGGCATCATTCAAAAATGACTCTGGACATATATTCGACCAGCGAAAACGCGACTTCATTCTAACCGACTCAAGATCCAGGGTTGGAATTTCAGATGACAACAGTAGCCTCGGCTATTTGACTGGAAATCCCTGGGCTCACGTATGAATCCAGGGTTTTCGGTGCTGAATTGCACATTCTCCAGGCACTTCCAATGTTCCTGGGCTCCCGCTGGAACATCGTCCCCCCCCCCCCCCCCCCCTTAGTCGGCACAGTCGTAAATGCGCCATCAATGGCCTCGGAATCTGTCTCCAAAGTACCCGTCAGATCATTGGGCTCTCTATTACGCGACTTATTTCAAGAATTTGCCTTGTTTTTTGGGGGCCTAAGGCCTACTCTGCTTCACGGTGGGGGCCATCGTTGTCTCGAGCCACGCAATATACGAGCGCATGTATTTATCCAGGAAGGTCAACGTTCGAAGCATCGCAAGTCTGTATCTCGACGTACAACCAGGTCTCTTTCGCTGACCTATTACTGCAGAGCAACCATGCGATGTTTATTCCAGACGTTGAAATCTTCGGGTTCTAGATGGTCAGCGTTCGAACCAGTTGGTGACACTTGCTCAGTCTGGACAATGCAGAGCTTCGAGGCAGACTCAGAGAATCGCGCAAACGAGAATTGTCATGCTTGGCAGATTCGTTTCAACATTGCAGAACATTGGACCGAACTGCCTTGCCGTGGATAACAACTCATAACATATAGCACAAACAGTACAATAGTCTTGTGGAATTGATTCTTGCTCTAGTTCGTGTTGAATTCTGAAATGGGGTATCCTTGTTGAGAAGCCTCTTAACGCCTGTTGAAACCCAGCGGTCTGCGTTGTTGAAGCAGACCCGCTGCACCTCTTGACCGCATTCTATGTCATCCCTCTACTCTTTATCGATCTTCTTCTCGGCACCGTACCCGCCCTTGCCCTCGAGATTCTGGTATGTCTTGCCCTCGGAGCGAGGAGCATTCCTCCCGTTTCTAGGACCTCTCTCGTCGAGATCTTCTTGCAGCCAGTTGAGCACAAGCTCACCGAGCTGACTGTTTCCAGACAGTACTCTGGAATCGGGATCGTTCTTCACACCCATGTCCTCAATGCTACCCCACTTCTTCACCTTCCCTAGCGACATATGAACAAGGTGCGTGGGCCACGACGCAAGGTTGTCCAAGATATGTGTTGCGTACACGATGGTGCATGGTCGTTCATTGGTCTCCTTCTTGAGGAAAGCCAAGAAGTTTGATCGCGACAGCAAGTCAAGATCAACGGTGATCTCGTCGAGGAGGAGGATTGTCCATGGTCGCAGGAGACCCATTGCTAATTGTACTCGCCTCCTCTCGCCGTCAGAGACAGCGTGCATGCGCCACGTCAGGTCGATGTCCAGCACCTGGACTAGTTCCTCGCATCGCTCGGAGTAGTATTTGCCGCCGACTGAGTTCAGGAGGGTAACGACGTCAATGTCTGTGCGAACGATGGGGTTGAGAACCCATTCGAGGCCGAGGTAGGTGACGCCCTCGAGACCGTGCTTGAAAGGGTCGACGCCTGCGATAGCCACGGTATCGGCGGGGGCCATGCGTTTGCCCGAGAGTAGGCGCAGAAGGGTCGTTTTACCGGCACCGTTAGCTACTCTTTGTCAGTCACTGCATCAAGAAACGACATGCATGGTCTTCTACCTCCGATCAACAGTGTTCTGCTGCCCGGCGGCAGGTCAAGGAAGACGTCTTGCAGGCCGCTGGAACCATCGGGGAAGGCATAGCTCAGCTTCTTCACGTCGATTGAGGGCGCGAGCTTCTGTCCGTTGGTGACGTTGGACATTGTATCGGAAATGTTTGCTAGTATTTGAGGTAGGTCGCGAAGACCACGCAGCGGTACGTTACATTTTGTATTGTAGACTAACGTGAGGTGGGGACTTCGCGCACGCCGATGACAACATCAGATGCCGAACTGAGCTAGTGCCGCATTCGGAAGGTCTCGCCATTACGTTCTCACCTCCCCTGCTCGGCACTTCAACATTGGCTCATCTACTATGTAGAGAGCTGGTTTCAGTAGTGGGATGTGCAGCGTGTCCCACCCTAAGTGTACTTCAGCACGCACGCTGCCCTTTGTCCAATCATTTGACCAACACTTGCCCGACCACCCGCAGTGTGCACAAAGATTTTTGACTGTTGTACCTAAGTGTCGAGGATGTCAATGATTTCAAAATAGCATTCTGGGTGCTGGTGAAAGCTGCATACTCCTAAATGCGACACTGCCTTGGCACGCACGATGTGTAACAATGGTACATTTAGTCTAGAATAAAGGTCATAAGATCTAGGAATGGTAGATTTCAAGAATGTATTCCATACCATCTGAACGATTATTTGCATTGCTTATGCTTGCATTGTTCTTACTCGTTCGTCTGTTGTTTGTTGTTCAACATACCCATCTCCACATCCATCACGTGCAGTAAAATTCAACGTGCAATACGTTAAGCTTCCCTTTACGATCAAGAAGGCTGTCGTCCTTCTGGCCGTCCTAGAAGCCATAGTTCTGTTGATTCACTGACACCGCAAGTAGCTTCTCGAGCTGAAAATGCGCCAATATATCCTCCCTGAATGTTTCTTCACTCCTGCTGTCGGCTGCTTCGCTGCTTGGCTTCAAGCAAAGCTGCCGTTTCTAGTTGCAAACTTAGGCAACCGCGATTCACTTGGGCTAGGCAATTGCGCGGTGAAGTGAAAGACTCTTGTTGCCAGAGCTCTACGCACCTTTTGCTCATCTCCACTTTGCTTCCGTACACGGTATCGCCACAATGTCACCACCAAGCTTCTGGTTCGGCCTTTGGATCGGCATGTGTCTGATCTCTTATACGGGCTCGATGTGGAGCTACCCAGGTCAGTCGAAATTTGTATCCTCTGTACCTGCACTGACACGCGCTTTCGGAACGTACAGTATATGCTATATTCATCGTGTATGCTATCACACTGTACCTCAAAGTTCGCCGAATTATGCTTCACGGCAAAGCGATCCGCAAGACCAAAGGTATTATCCTCACCTCTACTCACATGGTTGCTGACTTACGCGTTTATTCAGAGCTCGCACGGGCAGTCTACCCAGATTACACGATGTCCGACGTCGTATTCCTCAAGGCCGGCATGCATAGCCCATACCCAGGCTCTCACCACTGGTTTGCCGGCATCTCAGCCTTGGATGCGCCGGCAGAGGACTGCATGTTGGTCAAGATGCGAACGCCTGCTCCGTCCAAAGGCGAAGCGCTTGTTGAGCTACAGCAGTTTCTGGAACGTGAGCTCAGGGCGGCAAGGCCCAAGCGGAAGAATTGAGCGCAGCGTGCTCTAGCCGAGGCCGAGGGACGTGAGAGAACGTGTAACTGGACGAACACTTGGAAGTTTGTTTCAAGGTCTTAGGCCGTGTTACGAGAGATGTGACAGGTGGTTTTGTAGGCACTACACGTAGCTTCCTCAAGCTTCAAATCAGATCGCCCGAACCTGGCATTTCCCTTCTACCTAGGCAAATCGTTTGGCCGTGACCCAATCCAACATGCGTGATAATCAAGGCAGTTCAGGTTGAAAGGCACTCCCGCGCGCATCATCCAACGATTGGCAGTGTCTAGGTTCCGAGAGATCTAGCCACCAGTCAAGCACAGGCCATCAATCGTCCTCTTCGTGCCGGCCATTGGCGCGGGTGCACGCAAGTCCTGTGTTGGAAACGAGGTAAAGGAGAGTGGCTGCAATGCCCTTTGGACCTGGACCCCTCCACCGTTTGGTGATGCCAAATTCGCTGCGGCGATGCCCGCATGGGCCAGAGGAAAGATACTATCAATTTGTATCAGTCTGCTATTCATCTCGGCGGCGTCATTCTGCCATTGAGCAAGTGACTTGTGATAGAAGTGATGAATCTTTTGTTTCGCCAAAGTGTAGGAAGTGCCAGCGCTTCTGTCTGTGGTGCATACGTATTCTTCGTACGGTTTGGCGAAGTTTTCAAGATATTTTCGTACTTCTCCGGTATATGTGAATCGCGCAACAATCTGCGTCGGACTCGATATGAACGCAGCCATGGCCTGGCATGGCTGACAAGTGCAGAGTGTGCCGCTGCGACTGGAGTAAGGTCCTCCGGGTCTATCAACATAACTCTGTGGGCGACGCGCCCAATCACGGGGCTCTTGCGGCCTGGAACGACCGCTATGGCCCAGAACAGCGTCTATGACCGAAATGATGAAAGGCCTTGTTGAGTCAGCCAGGGTTGGATCGTTAATCCAGGAGATCATGCCCGCAAGTCTACTAAGAAGGTCAAACCATGGTCTCCAATTGCTCCATTCGGTTGACATGGGATTTGGGACGTCTGGCAAAGATGCAATGATCAGTCTCGTAGCTTCTCTGGGCAGGCCAAATCTCAAGTAGTTATCAATGAGTGTCAGCACGTTATTCAGATGCGCGCTGTTGTGCCCACTGATGAGATCTTCGGCCCTCAGCTTCACTACCTCAGTTGCTGCATCAGCTAGTCTCTCGTACGCAGGCTTCACAACAAGTTCAAAGGGTATGCTGTCGTTTGCACCAACGAGTTGTAGAAAGTGCAAGAGACTTTCACGATGGACTTGTCCTTGGATGACCGGGATGACTCTATTCGCATAGATATGTCAGTGTGTCTCTTAAGCCAGATGACAAATTTTACTTACGTCTCAAGATACGTGTCCTGGGCAATGTATGGAATAAGATACAAGAGAGCTCCTGCGTCTTCCATGGAAAACAAGGTCACAGTACGGACGACACGATTGAGTCGTGCGATCTTCCACTCTTTGAAAGCTGGAATGCTTGCTGATGGAAGAAAAATATCAATGACATCAAGGGCGCAACGCTCTACTTTTGCAGAGGTATAAGTTGAGGCGGGTGAAATGGGCGTCTCAAGCCTGAAGGTTGTCAGTACTGTCATTTAGTAACACTTGTGTCTTGGTACCAGCTGGTCCACACATCCTCTTTGCCGATTGAGAGCTCTCTTGCAATGTGTGCTTTAGTCATCCCAAACAACTCGGGCGATTCAGTCCACGCTGGATTTATAATCACGCTGCGAAGCTCCTCGCCGATGATTTGACTCATGTTGTTCGTGTGACACAGTTCGGAAACTAGGTCAAAGAGTCTAACGTACTTCAGACCTGCTTCGCGTGGACGATTGTAGTTGACCATTCCAGCAATATAGGGCCGTCGCACAATATACCACCCTGTACACGGCTCTTTTCCCCAAGTTCTGTCAGAACCTTTCCCATGATCGTAGCAAGATGCTTCGCGTGTGCCGTTATTAGAACAGTACTATCTTTGAGTATGAGGTTGTACAGTATTGTCAGATTCCCACACATATCACCGTGTGCGCTTGATATCCTTCGAAAAAGATCGTCCCTTCGCATCATGACGAGCACTGAGTCGTGATAACGAAAGGTTGCAGGCATGTTTTCGTTGCCTGTATACTCTCCCTCGTCTTCGCTATCAGCAGCTCGGTCGCCATGCAGATGGTCCATATCTGCCAGAATACTGGCAGGATCTACAGGGCTAATAAATATCGGGATTTCCAGTCCGGAAGGTAATTTTGCATCACGGAGGAGGAAACTAACTTCCTCTTCCTCCTCCTCTTCTTCTTCCTCTCCATAGACGCCCCCATAGTAGTTCCTTTCACGACTCTGCTCCGTCATTCGAGCGAGGAACCAGTATATACCATTCTTATTGCAGAGTTGTGCAAGAGTGAGACCTTTGGCGGCGTCTGGCCCTTTGAGACTCTGCAAAGAGAGATCGGCGGTATATTTGTGCTCCAGCGGGTATACTAGATACTCCGAATCAATATGACGCCGACTCCAAGCCTGGAGGGTTTGTTCAAACTTCGACATGTTCTGGTCAAGAGTAGCTGCAGATTGCTGTGGCTGTGGCTGGTCCTGGACCAGATTATAGGTGAGCACAAGCCTGTGACCAGATGTCACCGGCTTGATTTCATGCTGCACGTCGGAGTACCAAGCGAGCACAGTAAGATCGAAGGCAGAGGTATGGGCGGTTTCTAAGGTCCGCTCGTTGCTAGCGTGTACTAAGCGCACCTCGCCACCGGTGTGCTCGGAGGGCAAGCACACCACAAGGGTTCCGAACATACCCGGCGCCTTCTCGGTGTCTCAATGAGGTTTAAAAAATGCTCCTTCTTCGTAGAGCAACAATTTGTACGGTTGGGCGTTCGCTTTGACCTGCACCCCAAGGCCTTGGATAGCCTGCGACACCAGCTGCTGGAGGGCAAACTGCCATTTGGGGTTACAACACTCGAATTCTGTCAGATCTAGGTCCCAAGTCTTCCTCACGCTCTCGTCGACAAGTGTTTCATCGCCTTTGCCAAAAGGAGATTTTTTGGAGACGCTTGCAATCGCTTTAGCATCTCGGATCGAGAGAGGAAGGCCGACGGTTCCTAGCCCTTTGATGAATAGCCCAGGGTTGTGCGGATGATCAGATTGAGTGATGAATGCGAACTTCCCGTCGTACCGGATGCTGTTCAAACATGCTTTCAACTCATTCTGCCATGCCTACCTCTTGTTTGTCCCGTCCCCACGATTTGCAAAATTATTGTCTGCGTCCTCAATTTCAAGTTGGCGCTCATTTTCCGACTCGTCGCTGCTGATCTCGACAACGTTGTCGCTCATACTCACTAACGTGATGGACAGGTGTGAAGGTGCGGTGCTTCGTGGAAGTAGCAATTTGCCCCGCAAAAGAAACACGCTAGCGAGTGGTTAAACGTGGATCAGACGCGACCGAAGTGCCATCCGCTGTAGACGTGTCGAAATATGATGACGTAGCGTCAGTATGATGTGCGGCTGTCACAGAGATGAATGCGTGAGACTGGGGGCAGTATTGGATTTGTGAGTTTGTAATCTATGTAAATCTCGGCAACGTACTGTAGCAAGAGCCGGGCCGTTCTCACACCATTCCGAACACTCTTGCCATGCACTCGTGCTTGCTGTCCGCTGGCAACAGGCGACTACTGTGAACTGTGCCACGAGATGATGGGTCCTTGTCGTGGATCGTTTTTGAGACTGTCCCTGGCGAAGACTTTTCTGAAAGGTCCCGGTGTATATGCTGCTTCTTAAAAATCCCTCGAGCGAGTTGAATACTTGCTTCACAGCCTTCAATACTGGTGGTAGATCGCTCGACCTGGGATCGTTCTTTCGCTCGGGATTCTCCAGAGTGACACTTGACTTGCTTTCGCTGTCTTGTTCTGGCGGAAACTATAACTTGAGATCGAGGGAGCGGCTTCACACCAGTGATCTTGTGCTGCAGGACAGCGTGTAGTCTCGAACCAGAGAAATCGCGGACCTTCCTAAAATCTCCACATCAGCGGTGGCTTCACAGAGAAGTCATTCGCTGGAGGCTTCAGAACAGAAAGCTTCGCCCAGCCCCGCCTGTAGCCTTCACCATGACCCCAGCCCCTCCAAATATACTGCGTCTTCATCTGGTTACCATAACCGCACTCTCCGGAGCTATCCTCTTTGTACATGACCATGCCGACAGCAGGCTGCGAGGATTGCTTGTCGTTGCGCCAGCGCTCCACTGCGAGATCTAAGGGCAGAAGATCGGAATGGTAGTTGACGTTTATGTGCCTGTTGATTGCGTAGTAATGGTAGACGCTGACTGCAGAGTCATTGGGCCAGCTGGGATCAGGTCTACGCGCGACATCAGGGTCAAATTTGTAGATGATAGTGTCGCCGCGCGCGTCGAGGTAACGATGGAATTCTATCGGCGCCATGGTTGCGATGCTGCGGTAGCGATAGTAGGTGACCGAGAGGCTGGTTGGTCGATTGATAGAACGTGCGGTGTGGCAAAGATTTTTGACCAGTTGGAGGGAAGCACAGGTTGTTGTGTGTTTAACACAGGTGAGCTTAGATGCGGTGGTCGTACGTAGGTAGCGACAGGCAACATACAGAGCAGTCCGTGCCCGGTGTGAAAGTGACACCAGGCCCTCAGGCTGCTTTCACTCTGAAAGCGCAACCGTGGATCATCAAGGCACGCTCCTTCCAATATTGCATATGGCAGATGATGCGTTGGGAGCCTCTACGATTGCCGCTGCTGCCTGCTGTTAGCAAATATAGAAACTGCGTCTGACTATCACAGTACGAAACACTCTCCGAGCTCTCCGACCATTACGAATTCAGGCACACAGTCGCTACGCAAACAGCGTTACTTACTCTCACTACCTTCTCTATCATCAGCAATACAACTGCATAACCTAATGAAATTTCCCCCAGAGTGTTTTCAGCTGTTGCTGCCTGAGGCTGCTGAATATGACCAGCACCGTACGTACAATACGATTATTGCGCACTCGCATTGTCTCGGTGAAGGCTAGGTGCTACAAAATGAGCGGGTTTTTTGGGAGATCCATCCAACTCAATATGCACAAATTTCGAACATCTGGCGGTTGAGCCAACAAGGCGACTGGGCTACTTCCAATGGTGCGCCGCGTGAAGTTGGTCGGTCTGGATCAGTGGAGGTTGCAACAGTCGCAGATGAGTCGCAGGAGACCCCTTGGAGCGCAGAAAGAGTCCAGGAATACCGCGAAAGGCATCATCGCCTCCAAGCACATGGTGTCGGTGCCGACAATGCTCGGATTCGGCTCGACCATCTTCGCGCACTCTGCGCCATGGTATCATCCAACCTGATGCTCTGGAAGAACCCCAGGTACGATGACCTGCGACGCTTCGCGGAGGTGCCAGAGATTGCAACACCCTCATGGCTAGGCCCTGCGTACCGAGAGTCTCCGCGATCTCTTTCAATGGATGCAACGGCGTGGATGTACCGAGATGCCTCAGCAACCCCCTTGACAGGACGGAACACTTTTCGGGATAAACGGACGCTGCGCTTTGCACCCTCTGACAAGGCTCCGAAAAGCTCAAAATGGCGTAGTTGGAAAAGTCGCCTTTTCTGCCGAAAGAGCCAACAAGCACGGGTCCCAGGCTTCGTGAGCGCGGCGGAACGCTCTCAACCCTCGAGAAGACCTCGCAGCCCGACGAGAGGAAAGAGACCGCAGCCAGACCAGGGCGGCTTAACTGAGCACCTGGGCGAGAGTCGAAGATATCGAGACATAGTGGAGAGGGCTTGGCGGGGGGTAGAGGTCCTGAGAGCAAAGCGCGACGTTAGGCAGGAAGGGGAGGCTGTGATTGAGAGCATGGTGCCTGGAGTCAAGGGCGAGACAAGTGTTGGCATCAAAGAGGCAGGCATCACGGACGGTGGACAGGACGAGGTTGTGAAGAAGCGAAGGAAGAGAGACGTTGCAACGACGATCCTCAGAGCAGTGTTCGGCTTTCCGCCTCAGTCCTGTGGGTGTTGCACTTTGGCTTCGGCGTCGGTGGCAGCAAAGGGCGGCGATGCACGGGGAAGAGCGAGGGAAGTGTAGATGTGGCAGACTAGCAGAATGCAATCTTGCTGCGCTCCTTCAGACTCCGGGAGCGAAGTACGTAAGCACCAAATATGTAATGGCATCTACATGGCGGTGACGTGCGCAAACAGGGCGGCGCTGCGCACGGTCTGTGGAGCGGCGCGCCGAAGGCTTATGTGCAGTGCTGACAGGCCCAATGCATGCGGCCCTCCGTGAGGGAACCGTCCAAGCAGCCCCGCGAACTGCTGAGAACACAGCAGCAGCTCGCGCACACTGCCAGCCTGAAAAGCCTGCAGCGTCGCCACACGCACACGACGCGCGCATCCGAGCGATCCGCGTTGCAGCACGCTCGAAGGCTCGAAGCTCCACCCGCCGCTAATACCTATCTCCGGGCTCTAATAATCGGCCTCCCCGTTGAGCCACGCTGCGACTCTCCCTCGTCCCACAGACTCGATGCGCGCGCGGTCCTAGCTCTCCTCGACCCCCTCGACTATGTGCTGCAGGCCGTCTCTCGCATCCCCCCAGCACCTCGCGTGCGCCCGCGCAACCTACACACGATAGCCCGCACCCCCCAGAACCCCAGCGCAGTCAATGGCCGCGGGCTAAGCTGCACCCATGGCCTTGCCCTCGCTCCAGTTCCTGGCCGGGCTCCTGCTCCTGCTGTACCTGCTGAGCTTCGTGCTCTTCGCCTTCATCCGCGTCGTCACTGGCGTCTCCATCCAGCGCCTGGGCTACTCGGGCCTGCGCCGCATCGCATTCCACCCCAAGGATGGCCTGCGCATCGAGATCCGCGGTCTTGGCTTCTCCCTCCACCGCCCCACCTTCGCCCAGCCGACGTGGGTCAGCATTGTCCTGACCGAGCTCAAGGTCACCGTCGACCTGAAGGCGCTGGGCGAGAAGCCGCAGCGGAAGCCGCGCTGGGCCAGCTGGCCCCCCGGCTCTGCGCAGCCGCCCAAGAGCGCGACAAATGCGCCCGACGCGCCGGCCGAAGACGACGACACAGACGTCAGCGAGGAGCACAGGCGCAGTCTGACATGGAAGCGTCTGACCGACGTCAAGGAGAAGATCAAACGCCTGCACAGCAAAATCAACTACATCTGCTTGGTGGACCTGCTGGCCTACTCCACGAGCATCGTCGTGCGCGATGTTGGGTCGGTGCAGGTCGGCAACATGTCGCTTGCCGTCGATACGAGGCGCAAGACCGTCGACCGCAGCCGCCTGTTCAACCACCGCAAGCTCAAATCGAACCAGGAGCAACGCCCCGCCGAGTGGTACCTCACCTTGCGCAGCGTCTTGTTCACACCAGAGGGCGGCGAGTCGACCGAGGTCCTCGATCACTGCACCTTGAATATACACGGCTTTCTCAAGAAGGAGCTGGAGGGTCTGCGGGACGCATCGATTGCTCTCAAGCTGGGACGTCTCAGCATCCCCTACGACGATGTCAAGTTGTGCGTAGAACGTGCGAAGAAATGCAGGCCGGTGCCCACAACAAAAGAGAGGGAACACAACACTAGACATCCCGAAGTTACGCTCACCGATGTGGTGGAGGAGCTCGACCATCCTGGGAGCCGAGAAGAGAGCATCGTGCAGACTGTATCCGACTCTAGAGAGTTCGCCAGCTCGATTCTGCGCGGTATCCACGAGTTCCAATTCGCCATCAGCTTCGTTGGGCTCACCAAGCAGATCAGAGCCTGTCGCAAGGACGAGCCCGAGGTCTACCTTAACGTGGCCATGAAGGAGGTCGGCATGGACTTGCTACGACTGGACCCGCGGAGTCCTGCACATCTCATGTACTTCTCGCCAAACGATATAGCACATCAAGCTCTACTCGCTGCCATTTCCATTTCGGTTGGCATCGACGACGGCTCTGGCCACCCAGAACGCCTTCTTTACGTTCCCATGGCTACGACCACACTGAACACGACCCTTCCTTCCAAGACCATTCAATTCTCGAGTGATAAGAACAGCGCCGAGCGCAACACAAATATTCTCTTTGCTAATCTTGTCGTTACATCCCCATCGCTCGATTTGGATCCTAAGCATCTACCATTACTACTATCTATCTTCAATAGCTACGAATCGCGCAAGAAACCAAAGAAACCCGGCAACAGTAAACGCTACCTGATCCGGAGATTACTGCCGAAAGCAAACATCAAGATATCCATCCATGAGCCTGTCATAAGAGTAACGTTGCCGCCAATGGATCCTGAACGACAAGGGACCGATGAGTTTGACCTATTGATTTCTGCGTCTTCATCCTTGTCGCTGGACGTAGAGTCGTCGCACGCTGCCGATGGCGAGCTTCATTATGCTCTGCTCTCGACCTTCCGTATGAATGCACAGCAATTGTACTACCAAACTGCGTCAATTGAGAAGCATAGTCTGCTCCTTACAGATTATCTCGAGTTCAAAATGCAGCTTAGTGCTTCGCCACACGTCACGGTCGAACTACGTGGAATGGCTCAGACATTCTCGTTCTATCTAGTTCGACCTGAGATCAGCGAGGGCTTGCGACAGATTGTGACACATCTACAGAAGGATAATCGCAGAAGACGCGGCGTACCCCAAAAGAAGGGATTCAATTTTCTCCGCAAATTGCCGCAATGGTTAGCGTACATTCATCTTCAAGGTTCAGACTTCAACATTGAAGTTGCAGGCGTTGACGAAGGTGTATCCAAACATAGCCGCGGACTCGCAATACATCTCGAGTCGTGGACGGCTGAGTACAAGCACAGTCGAGACGAGGAAAATGAAATGAAGCCAGTGCGCCGCCGCGCTCCCAGCAGAACAATCAACCGAGACGAACACCTGATCCGCCCTCCCGCATCACCCTCGTCAAAATCACCTCAAAAGTCTCTAGGTGACGCAACTGATGGAAGACGACTAGCACTCCACTTCACAGGTCTGGAAGCATTCGTCATCGAGACTGAGGATCAATGGGAGCAGGATCCTTCACTGTCATTGCCTCGAATGGAAATTGCGTTCAGCACACTCTCTGATAAGCAGGGACCCATGTTTCATGTTCATTCCTTCTCCCAACGCCTATACCTGCGATATTCACTCTATCGTCACTTTGCAATGGGCATGGCTATGCAAGTCTTGAGGCGTTCGTTTGTAGTTCCACAAGACCCTGTACTGTTTGACGAGCCTATGTCTCCAATGTCGCCAGTCCTATCTCCTATGCATCTCGCGGTCCCATCGATAGACGGAGATTTGTTTGATCCTACACGGACTGGCTTGGCCCCAGAGATCGTCACCATCGACTTCAAGGCACAATTTGTTCAGATCAAGGCCGACATGCCCTCAGATCCTCCGCTCATGTTACAAATATACGGCATAGATGCGGGCCGACATAGGTGGCAAGCGCCGTTCCTGCGATCACGCCTCATTAGACTTTACGCCGAGAACCCCAACATCAAGCGGGTGTGGAGCCGAATTGTGAGCGTCAAATCGCTGCGGTTGGACTATAGGCAAACGAAACGAAGATATGGACATACAGTTACTGATGACAAGTCAATCGACATTGCCACAGACGCTATCCGTATCGCGATCCCGCATCAGTTGGTCGTACACAAAATCTTTGATAACGTCACCAACATCACGAAGGTTGCCAAACAGATGCAGCACCGTTTCAACACAGGCACGAATGAGTACGTTTTGGACAAGGAGCCCGAGGGCCCGAAGCATGTTCCCAAGATCTCCTTGCGCAGTAGGGCCGTGCTTTTCGAACTTGAGGATAGCTCCTTCGAGTGGAAGCTTGGCACCATTTACCGCATTGGTCTGATGGAACAAAAACAACGACTAGCACGCGAGCAAGCCTTTGAACTAAAGGTCAAGAAGTTGCAACAGGAGGATGAGCTCCGCAATGGTGGTGGCTCGCGGCACCGTGCCAGATCTGCACACAATGGCTTCCACGGTCATCGCGCACGCAACAAGTCGAAAACCAGAGATACAAAACATGGTAGGTTCCATCGCCGAACCAAGAGTGCGGACTCGTCTGAGCGAGGCTCACTTGACGAGGATCGACCGATGCGCTACAACAAAGACGGCTTCAGTGGCCTGAGTGGGTCCAGTCAGACATCTGTCGAGGTCGCTCTTGAGAAGCTCAAGATACTGAACGCACAGACGTGGAAGAAGCGAATTGACCACGCACTTGCGACTCAAACACATTCGATGCACGATATTCGGTCCATGTTTTGGGGCTTGGATGAGTTGCCTGACGACATTGAGCAGACAGAGGTCATTCTCACCATTCCCCAGCGCCCGGCACTGATGGCTTTAGCTATCAGTGATCTTGACATCCTTATCGACAAGCCATCTTTTCCCATGTCAGAGTATCCCAAGTTCCTGCAGCGTGTAGGCAAGGGTATGCCGACCGATATGCAATATTCGTTGCTCATTCCAATGCACGTGCAGATCAATGCAGGGGAAGCCAAGCTTCATCTTCGAGATTATCCTCTACCACTTGTACACATTCCTTCAATAGGTAATATCGGGTCATCTCGACTGCCGAGTTTGTCACTGAAGACAGACTTCGTGATCGCAGAAGAGTTCAGAGACGTGGAGTCATCGCGAGTTAGCAGAGTCGTGGTGGTGCCTAAAGAGGAGACCTTGTCAGGAGAACCCTCAGGAGGTTTCGCTGTTGATGTACGCCGGACGGTCGCTCCTGTCAAGACCTATTCGGATATGAACGTCGACATCAACTCAGCGTACCCTACACGCATCACGTGGGGCACGTCCTATCAGCCAGCTATCCAAGATATGATGCAGATTATTGAGAACTTCACTAAGCCGGCTGTCGATCCGTCAGAGCGTGTGGGCTTCTGGGATAAGATCAGGTTGACCTTTCACTCGCGTATCAACATCTCCTGGAAGGGTGACGGCGATGTTCATCTTATTCTCAAAGGTATGTACCATCGTTGAAAAATTGACGCAAAAGCTGACAATATCTAGGTTCTCGCGATCCATACATGGTCACAGGTCACGGTGCCGGATTTGTCATGTGTTGGCAGAACGATGTCAGGCTAACCCTTGCAGAGGACGAGGATCCTCGCAACTTCATGGTCGTCAAGAGCGGCAGCTATGTCCTTGCCATTCCTGATCTGAGTCATTATGCAAGACACGAATCAGACGCAGAGTCCAGCCGTCCCGAGACCTCGTCCAGTTCCTCAAGTCGCAAACAACTTGCTGTCTTCAAAAAGACTGTCATGAAGCTCAATGGCAATGTGAGGTGGGGTGTTGGGTTGGTGTTTGAACGGAATTTGGACAGTGGAGGCCGATCATTCGATTTCATTCCTCATTATAACGTAGCGTTGAAGAACCCGAAGTATGCGAAGCCGTCAAATGGAAAGGTGGGTACAGACGTGTTTTTAGTATTACCCCAGCTGACAGCAACCAGGAGTATGATGCTTTCCGTGGCTTCCGCAGCCACCACATTCACATGTCGATTGCCATCGCTGCACCGTACGATCGAGAGTGGTCCGTGGCGAACCAAGAGGCTTCTAAGACGTACAACAGCGTTCACCTTACACCCAGATTTTTCACCCATTTCTACAATTGGTGGTCAATGTTCTCAGGCGCCATGTCACTACCTGTGCGCCAAGGCCACCTGTGGCCTGGTGTGGAAAAGTCAAGCAAGAAATTCGGCCGACATCTTGCGACGATTAAGTACAACTTGCTGCTCTCGCCGTTGTATATGAGCCACATATACAAGCACAAGGACGCTGAAGATTACAACTCGGGCGTCGTGTCTGCTACCGGATTAAAAGCGCGTGTGGACAGCTTCATGCTTGATTTCCATCAGCGCCGCGAAGAATTCCGTACCGTCGTGCAGGCACCACAAGGCAAGGAAGACAGTAAGCAAAACCAGACTACTGGTATGCGAATCAACCAAGTACAGCTGGACCTGATCAAGACGGATGTGCGAGCGGTGTCAGCAAGCATAGCGGGCACTGACTCAGACGATGTCGAGAACGGCGCAACCGAGGAGACCCCAAGCTTTGACCAGCATCATCTCAGCGCAGATCTCTCAAAGTTCACAATACCCGACAACGACTGGGGGTGGGTTGACATGGACGACTTCATCGAGCTAGGTTGGATCTTGCCTTCAGACCGTCATCCTGAGACACAGATTCTCCCATTGGCTTTCGCACCTCACTTTACGTACTTCCGTCAAACAGATCATGCCGACAATATCTCGGGCGATGTTCACAGAACAAGCGCGTTTGGTAGCGAGCCCACACATCACTGCGTCATGTCAGCACGCAATGACCCCCGCAGAATCCAATGTGGCCTCATCGAACAGCGTATTGAACGCATCAAAAAGCAGATCGAGCACAATCACAGTGCGATCGGCGAACAAGAAGTCAAGGTCGTCCGAGAGCTGGACGAGAACCAAAAGGAAGCTGAGCGGCGTCTGAACATGTTTAAGAGCCACGCCATTTTCTTACAGCGGAAGCTTGAATTTCTGACATCTATGCATGAAAGCCTACTCGAACGGCTGGCCGCCAACGAGGCCAACGCCGTACCAGAAGGCGAGCCTGATACCGATGACGAATTCTATGATGCGAATGGAGAGGACCCAACGCACGACCCAGACAACAAGGGAGCGGACACAAAGCCCAATATCGATTACATCAGCGACTTCAACAACCGATTCATAATCCACAACGTGCATCTCAAGTGGGGCAATTCGCTGCGCAACATCATCTTACGCTATATCCATCAAGTTAGCCAGCGCCGGGGATTTGTGTACTACATGTCTCGAAGAGCAGTCAAATTTATCTTGGACGTCGTGGACGAACAGAACAAGTCGCGTGGACCCTCAACGTCCTTCGAGTACGAAAGCCCTGACATGGACCCAACAACTCCCAAGGAACAAAACGACCAAGGTCTGAGCATTGATGAGACGATCCAACAACTGCTTGCAGACGGCAAGAAGTTTGTTGCTGCTGACGAGACTGAGGACGATGACAAAAACAAAGAAACGCAGGACAAGCAGGACTCCGCAGAGAAAGATGTCAACACTGACTACGTTCCGCAGAATGCGTACATCGTTCGTCTCATTGCCCCACAGATCCAGCTTCAGAGCGAGCGGAATACTAAGGCTGCTGTGCTGGTGACGGCAAAGGGCATGCAATTGAAGGTTCTGCAGATTATGGACAAGGACCGCGTGATGGACGAAGTGTCTGGCCTGGTGCAGCGCAGGTTTACCGCTGCTATGGACAGTCTTCAAATTTTCGTCACTAATGCTAAGATCTTTAGTGGCATGGATGACATTCACATGTACTCAGGAAGCACATACGGAACACCAGCGGGCTCAGCCTGGCCGCCGTGGGTGCCGTTTGAAGTCATGTTCGAATTTCACACCAATCCCTACGGCTTCCAGAGAGTAGTACAGAGGACGTCAGCCAGTATGCGATACGACAAGTACAACACCCTACGTCTAAAGTACAACGATGACGTCTCTGGAGACGCTGCATCATCGAAGAGCGCGCAGAACATGGAAAGCCGCATCGATCATCTCTGGGTCGACTTTCCACACGTTCGTGCTTTGTGCGACTCACGGCAATACTACGCCGTGTATGTCATCGTGCTTGATTTGCTACTATACCGCGAACCACTTGAGAAGACACGCAACGAACGCCTCGAGAAAATCATGCTCGCATCCGATTTCAGCGATCTCACGGGAGCACCCAACCTGGTCATTGGGCTGCAGGAGCGCATTCGGCAGCTGGAGGAGATCAAGACCGTCTTCCAGGTCAATGAGAAGTACCTTGACAAACAAGGCTGGGAGGACCGTGTTGAAGTCGAGAAAGACCTGACTGTCTACGAAGATGAGCTGTTCTTCGTCATGAAAGCTATCACTACCGCTCAACGTAAACAAGACGATCGCGCACAGGCCAAGCAGTCAACTGGCTTGCTCCGATGGTATATCTCAGCGTCAGAGATCGTATGGCACCTCCTGCGCGAAGGCCAAGAGTCCCTTGCCGAGTTTCAGTTGAAGAATGCGCTGTACGATCGCACCGACAACAACGACGGCTCCAACTTCAATACGTTGGAGATCGAGGACGCTCGCGGTCTGAACCTGTTACCCAACGCGCTTTACCCCGAGATGATCCTTCCCTACCTTGAAAACAACAAGCCGCTGCCAGAAAACGCCAAGTGTTTGAAAGTACAGTTTGTCATGCTTGAGGCCATCGCTGGTATCCCAGTCATGGAGCACTTCGAAGTCATACTGTATCCGCTCAAAGTACAACTGGAGTGGGAGATTGGCAAAAAGCTGTTTGAATATGTCTTCCCGGCCATCAAAGATAAGGACGGAGAAGCCGGGAGTTTCTCGCCATTCATGATCAAGCACACACTTCCTCAGGACGGAGAAGATGACGAGCTTAACGGCAGCATGCTTTCGGGTGTCAGCAATAGTCTGAGCAGCTCCATGTTGCAGGATGAAGCGGCCGCAGCGCTCCAGTCGCGATTGACACCAACGCTCAACCTCCCTGACCCGAAGACTAAGGCCGCGATCAAGGTAAAGAGCAGCCCACAAAAGAGACCTGGCTTGAACAGCTTCCGGTCCTTGTTCCGCGACGACCATGGATCTCGCAGTGGCAGTGAGCTGCGTCGGACGCTGCATCCCAGCTCAGCGGCGACACCTACAAGTTCTTCACTCAATGTCACGGGCAGGCCTGGCTCAGTGCGTTCCAATATGTCGTCCATGACAGCAAATGAGTCGGAACGTACTGCGAAGAAGTTTACGCTCTATCGCACTGGTACTGGGATGACCATGGCCGACAAGCGAGGAGACAAGAAAAAAGAGCGTCACGACGATCTCACACAGATGATGAATCGTGCAAGTAACTACATGACGTTGGCATACGTGCGTATCCCTTCCATGACTCTCTGTCTATCGTATAAGGGTAAAGGATCGCGCAACTTTGAAGATGTGCACGATTTGGTGTTCAAGATGCCGACACTGGAGTATCGTAATAAAACCTGGTCGAACCTCGACCTAGCCCTCCAGCTTAAGAAAGACGTCATCCGCGCACTCATATCGCACGCTGGCGCCATTGTGGGCAACAAGTTCTCGCACCACCGACCCAGCAAGACTCAGCAATTACGCTTGCGCCAGATAGCAAACTCAAGCGCCATGCTCAACGCCTCCCCCGACCCTTCCTCTGATGGAGCCTCGGGGCGTGACCATTCCCCCGGCGGCTCGTCCACCGACGGCGTTCGACGATCCTTTACATCTGGCCGCCAGGGCAGTTTCGTATCCACGGTATCCGAAGAATCGTCTCTACGGCCTGGCACGTCCGCCGATGGCCGCAGTACCCACGGTTCGATCCTTGGCGGTATACGACATCACCAGAATGATCATGGACTAGGTATTGAGGATGGCCGCGCCTTCGCTGACGAACTCTCCCGCGTTGATAATACGGAGCCCGGGCACGCGAACATTATCCACAGTCTGAGCAAGCATATCACTAGTGTAACACCATTCGCAAATCATAGCCGCCGCGACAGAGCGAATAGCACGGGACATAACTCCAGTTTCCCTTTCAGCAGGAATGGCAGTGTCGCAGAGATGGAGCATGACAGGCCTGTCACAAGTCATGGGGATGAGGGTGAGCAGCTGAATAAGAAACAGAAAGCGCTTGCGGGAGCCATGAAGTTGCTGGGCAGGACGAAGGCGGATCGATTGGAGTAAGAGCTTTTATTGGCGGGATATGGATATGGAAAAGTGGTGGGTTTTTGAAGATTTGGAGGAGTGTATCCACTGTATGCATTTTCAAGAGCGCGGCATTTTGGGCGTTCTTGCATTTGTCCAGACACCTCGCGGAAGTCTGTTTGCTTTGTACATAATCATTCATTCGCTTGGTAGGCGTTGCCGTGTATCCCGAGCGAGGGACTGTCGGGCGTTCCAAGCGTTTCAGGTTAGATGTATAGACAGCCCGCTAGGGTATATCATCCGGGCATGATCACTCTTCGACCTCAGGATGTCCCATGATTGAGCAGCTTACCAACCCATCGCATCGCTAACCTGCTCCGCGTATCCGCTGCTACTCTTTAGGCACATCTAGCTCCACGTGCTTGTTAGCCTTTCGCAGCACCAGTTTTGCCAGCCCTGCGTGCAGCGAGTTCACCACCTGTTCCCTTGACAAGGTACCCGTATCCGTTTCGACTAGTACCACATCTTTCACCTTCATATCTGTCGTGATGACGGAGGCAGTCCAGCTGTAGTGCACGCATGCGTCAATATACTGTTTTGACTCGACGACTTGGACGGCCAACTTGCCATGCTGGCTGAAAAGCAGCTCTGCCAAAGCTGCGCGAGTGGTCAGTCAGACAAGAATATTTGAGAGTGGTGCGCAGACCTTGGGTTTTGCTGAGGGTACCAGCGTATTCGAGGGAGCGGCTGATATCGGAGAAAACCTCGTGGCTGAGTAGCAGTACTGCGGCGGCAGTGGAAATGGCAGCTGGAACGTACTGTTAGAGAAAAGCTAGCGTTTAGGTGATGAGCTGCATACCTAGGAGAGGACTGAACGCGCGAAACAGCGTAATGGCGGCAAGCGTGAGGATGGCCGTGCAAAAGCCGTACCAGAAACTTGGTTGAGCCATGCTTAGTTTTCGGTGGAGAAGAGAAAGAGAGAAAGAATTGGAACTGAACAAAATAGTCACTCATCCACTTTCACCTCAAGAGTCCAGATACGGTTAGACTGGCGCTAGCTAAGCGACCCACCCGTGGTTCACTGCCTAGGAACATCCATTATTTTGCCGCGCTCAGCTTCTCCAATGTTCCTCGCAAATTTCGCAACATTGTGTATAATTACACACGGCGATCATATTGTATGTCTTGTCTTATAGCAAGATGTTTGTCGTTATCTTGGAGCAGTCACGCATACCGCGCATGAAATCCAAATGGCTGCCCACCAAAAAGCAGATTTCAATTGAAGTTCTAAATCAAATGTCCCGGTATATCATCTGAGACTTGAAAAATCTTTTGAGTATTGCCCTTCTATCTACAATAGATTGGTTGTATAACCACAAACACATCAACTTAAGGATAGCTTTGTAAGTGGATTTATATTTCAACCTTGATGAGAGAATATATCAGGTCTTCCATCCTGTCACACGAAATTCGTTCTATCTCAGATTATTGTGAAACGAAGTGCAGCTTATATACAGATAGACCTAGGCCGGCCCGTCATATAATCCTAACATGAGAACTTGTTGCTCAGATCATTGTTTGCTGAGAAAAATTTATTCATTTGGGTGTCTGTCAATCACCCTTTCTAGTACGATACCGTCGTTTACAGGTGAGCGTAACTATCTAGGTGTCTCTTTAGACGTTTTGTCGCCCAATATCAATCCAACTCTGAATATTGGCCGTGTTCACCGACTCACTGGCGTCCAGGCGCGCCATAATGTCCGTGAACTCCTTGACGTACTCATGCGCTCGTTTTGCTGCCAGATCGGGGGCAACGAAAGGGCATGCGAGCAGACCAACTGCGACATCACGCACCTTGTAGACGAGGTGAAGTCCATTCGGCTCGATATCCTTTTGTGGAATGTTGTGCAGTACCTGGAGTAGCTGGGTGCAGATAATCTCTCGATCATGCCAGTGCTCCTCGGGAGACGTGAGGAAGCCCAGTTGATCGAGAAGCAAGCTTTGAAGCCACAGATGAGTGACGTGTATGTTGGCGCGTAAAGTAGCGATTTGCGATGACATGATATGACCGGAGTCGGGACTTGAAGATGGTAAGGCCCATTGCTGAAAAGAAACGGGGATGTCGTTCAGAGCTTGCTTCAGCTGCTTGAGCCGGCTTTTTAGGTGCATGATTTGTGCGTCAGGCGAGCGAGAGCGACAGCACAGACACTCGGATTTGTTCTCGGCATACGGGTCTTGTAGAGCTTGCCAAAAGATGCGGGAATGAATGACGAATCCAGAAACCAACTTCAACTGCGGAACAGTCGAGGTACTGATGCAGTGCTTCGAGATCTGCTCATCTTCAACTTCAAAGGGCATCAATGCCTCTAGATTGATAGCTTCCATTGCAGCGTGGTCCAGAAAAGAGAGCTTCTCTTTCCGAAAATTTTGAACTTCTGAATGGATGTAGCCATAGAACAACAGCCAAAACGCCTTCTTACGAAGTTGTGTCTCAATACAGTCAAGACCACGATATCTCTCGATTCGATGGAGGTCAAGCAGTCGTCCTAGCTGCATGTTCTCCACCTCAATCATGCGAGCACGATTCTGTTTGCCCACCTGAAAAAACGCAATGAGCATGAGATATGAAGCTGCCCATTTTTCGAAGCCAACTTTCTCAAAGTAATCTGGGCCGCGCAGACTGTTAAGAAGGTCGTAACATCGGTTCACTACATCGGCGCGTGACTGTGCGCATAGTGAACAAGAGGCAAAGTTGCGGTAGTAGTCAAATCTGCTGGGCAGGAGACTGATTACCACTGCGCACAATGCTACTAGTAAACCAAGAAAGTCGTCATCGTAGACATCTCGACCTTCTTCAAGATTGATAAGGAAGGAAGGCCGGTGAACCACCGGTATCAAGGGGTAGATTGAGGCCAAATAGTCGTCCAGGATGACCCGTAGAAGTTTTCGAGGGCAAATAGCATCGGTGGGATATGGCCTTGAGGGTTCATGGCTCACTGTAGTAAGCCCAGTGGGTGACACATTTGAAGTGTGCACAGTGGTGTCATCTGGACTGAGTGGAACGTCGTCTCTTCGCTTCCTGCAAGATTTACTGTAAGCGTTCATTTTCTTAACTTCGCAAGGCGTATTCGCTGAATGCCCGCCTTTTCATCAACTGTACAGTCTCTAGACGTGTGTCCCAAACTCTGTTTGCTTTGAGCTATGCTTGTTCGATTGGCACACAGTGAATATATAGAATGAAAGTTCGACAAAAACTCGTCCCAACTCACCTTTTGGGCCCCCTCTTCTCCGTCACCAGATCAAATGTGCATCGCAACTGTAGACGTCGGCATCGTGCACATGCCACATCAGATGTGAAGTTATCGAGGTCGCAACGAGTCTTTCGTAGCCGGCACGCATCACAGGCTCTTGACAGTTGTACTGTTTGAGTACAGTTGGAATTGAGGGGTGGAGAAGACATGACGTGGGGTGCCAGTCGTCCGTTACGCCCTCATTTGATGCGTCTGCCAAGACACGCTAGACGTATCACCTCGGTTCCTTCATTGGGTACCTAGGAATGAAAGTCGATAGAGTGTTGTACTACATCAGGTCGAGTGAATGAAGGGGATGCTTATTGATCACATACAGGAACACTTCAACATTACAAAGTTATTTGCTCAAATCTATCTTTCAGAATAACAATTCGGCCACAAGATGCTCAAAGCATATACGAGGGTTCCTTGGAAATTCTATCTCCACTATACTACACGTAAATCATACCTTCTCTTCGTGCGCAGCAGTGGGTTGCTTTCCGCTCTCGGACACAATACTGGTTGCCCTGACTGCGGCCTCTTTCGTATCAGGCACAGCATCATCACCGTCGAAGAGCACTGCCATGTGCTCCAAAGTGTAGCCCCGAGTCTCCGGATAGTAGAAATATACTGTAAAGCACATGATAATAAGCACAACGATGAAAACAAAGTAGTACTTCCAGCCAATTGCCTCCAGAGCGATAGGGTTGACGAAGGTGTTGAAGAAGATGACTGAGATAGCAGAGAGCCATGTGGCGGTCAAGCCATGGGACCGAAGTCTGTATGGCCAGATCTCACAGGGATAGGCAGTCAGCATCGGTGTCCTGTGATGCATGTGTTAGCAATAAGCTCTTGATTGCAGGCGACTTGAGGTACAAGCTTACAAGGCAATGTCGTAACCAGCAAAGAATATGAAGAGAAATGGAATCACGGCAATGCCAGTGGGGCCGTTGCCTGACTCTGCAAAAGCACCGCTGAGAGCCGTGACAAGGATATACGCCACAAGCATTATACCAGCTGAAGCAAGGAAGAGAGGACGACGCCCGATTTTGTCGACACTGACGGCAGCACCGACGGCGAAGAAGAGATTCCAGACCTGCAGCAGGCCAGAGATCAATGTTTGATCTGTAACACTTGTGATACCCACAGTTCTAAGCACTAGAACGAGATAATATGAGACGACACCATTTCCCGACCACTGTGAGAATGCACCAAGGGACACCGATATGAGAAGACGACGTCGGTTGCCTGGTGTACTGAACAACTCCATGTAGCTCGCACCTTTGAGTGTCGATTCGAGTTGGATTGCGGAGATGATTTCGTTCATTTCGTATTCGACTAATGCGGAATGGGCGTCGCCGCCAGCATGCGTTTTGATCAACATGTTACGAGCCTGTGGATCCGATCAGTGAGAAAGGTCTGGAATTGTAGATTTGAACGTACCTGCTCAATGCGGTCTACAGAAACCAACCAGCGGGGACTTTCAGGTGCCATTAATAGCCCTGGGAGTGCGACCAAGGGAAGCAACAGCTGCAGAACAGATGGGATTCGCCATGCCCAGTCGGTGACATAGTTACGTGTACCAAACGTGACGAATGCTGCGATGGTGCCACCGACGTAGTAGCCGCACATAAACAGAGCACTCAGTACACCTCTGTACGATGGATGTGAGATCTCGTTGATGAGCAGTGGGACCGCATTTGCGAACCATGCCGAAGAGCAGCCGACCAGAAAGCGAGAAAGAATAAAGGCAACATTGTTGTCACTTAAGACAATAAGAGACCCAGTGACTAGAAAAACGTAACCGATGTAGACTCCAGGCTTACGTCCGAACCTGTTTGCCACCAAGGCTGTCAATGGATAGTTGGCACCCATCCCAAGCCAATATAGAGCGTTGAGAAAGCCTAGCCAGGAGCCAGTTGGCTTATCCATGAACGAATCCCATTGAGGAAGGGCTTGTAGGCCGTTCATAAGGCTGCCATCGTAACCATTCGCCGAAGCTTCAAACGTCAGAGAATCACAGTAAAGACCGCAGTCGTATACTTACAAAACAGCACAAGAGACAGGATGGAAAAGTGCAACTTGACAAGATGAGGCTTCGTGTACCATGATTTGTTGTCGGGCAAAACAGCCGAGAGCTCGTCGTTGACAGCATTGATGCGCGATCCTGGCTTGGAGATGCCCATGGTAATGAAGGAAGAATTGAAAATTCGTCGGCCAGAACAAAGCTGCTTTGTGATATGAAAGGGGGGTCATCCAGGTCTATATTTATACAAAAACAAGAAGTGCTAAGTCAGTCCATGGCACGCGCATCCGAAAATCATCATGCCAGAAAGTTGTCCGATAGTAGGTAGCCCAGCCACGCGCGTGGGAGCCCCAGGAAAACCGAGTTGCGGGAATTCGGACAGAGCGGAGGACTTTGCGGAGTAGCGCGGCGGGGAATTACACTTAGCGGGCATCAATGAGTGGACTTGCACGGCGAAATAGAAGACGGTGAGTGGAGACATAATGCCGTTCCTGTTGGCGTCCGAGGTTTCGCCGCACTTAGCACTCCTGATTCTCAATGTTATCCCCACAATATCAATCGTGCATCAACCGATTCAACGATTTCAGCGCGCTGGTCCATATGCACGGACATGAGTTTGTGTGCATGTCAGATGCATATCCTGACGTTGAGTTGCTTTTAAACGATGGTTGTCAGACTGCCACTTCCAATACATTCATTCCCCATTCGAGACTCATATCATGACGTCTTTTGTTGAACAGCCCCTAGAACACGGAAAACCAGCAGTATTTGCTCCCTGGAGTGTCGAGGATGTGCTCAGTCAAATGACAATTGATGAAAAGGTCTCACTTTTGTCGGGTAAGTTCTTTCGTGCCGCTTTGTGTTTGTTTCTGTTAACGTGTGACAGGCAAAGATTTTTGGCACACACGCGACATACCTAGGCTGTCTGTCCCTTCTATACGTCTATCAGATGGACCCAATGGTATCCGAGGTACCAAGTTCTTCGGCAGTGTACCTTCTGCATGCCTTCCATGCGGTACCGCTATAGGAGCTACCTTCGATCCGAGTCTAGTCATTGAGATTGGCCACTTGCTAGGTGATGAAGCTCGAGCAAAAGGTGCACACGTCGTTCTTGGACCAACTGTGAACATCCAGCGTGGACCGTTAGGCGGCAGAGGATTCGAGTCTTATTCCGAAGATCCCTTCCTGTCCGGAGTTCTGGCTGGAAGCTATATCAATGGTCTTAAAGACAGAAACATTGGTGCCGCCATCAAGCATCTTGTCTGCAATGACCAGGAGCATGAAAGGATGGCAGTCAGTGCTATCGTGACGCAACGTGCGCTGAGAGAGATATATCTCTTGCCCTTCATGATCGCATTGAGGCTTGCAAAGCCTGCGGCAATCATGACTGCTTACAACAAAGTCAACGGTCTCCACATTGCAGAAGATCGAAGCATCTTAGAAGACATCGTGAGGAAAGAGTGGAAGTGGGATGGCCTTTTCGTCAGTGATTGGTGAGCAAACCTCTAACGATAATACCTAGGCAACTCTGACGCTTCTTTTAGGTTTGGAACATACAGCACAAGCGAAGCAATCAACGCAGGCCTCGATCTTGAGATGCCAGGCCCATCTCGATGGCGAGGTTCAGCATTGGTCCATGCGATCTCCGCAAACAAAGTTTCTCCCTCTGAGCTAGACAACCGAGTTCGTGCAGTCCTCAAACTTGTCAAAGATTCGTCGAAGGCGGACATACCTGAAGATGCACCGGAGGGACAACTCAACCGCCCAGAAGATCGGCGTCTTCTCCGCAGAGTCGCTGCCGAATCAGTCGTGCTACTCAAGAACCAAAACGTCCTCCCATTCAGCCGCGAGCGCAAGATCGCCGTTATTGGGCCTAACGCGAAGCTTGCAACATATTGCGGTGGAGGAAGTGCATCGCTCAATGCATACTCTACAACTACACCGTTGGAAGGTATTGAGGCGCTCGCTAGAGGTGAAGTAAGTTTCTCCCAAGGAGCGTATGGATTTCAAATGCTGCCCCAATTGGGGAAAGAACTCACATTCAATGGGAAACCTGGCTTCCAATTGCGTTTCTTCAATGACCCACCAACCCACACAGGAAGAACTCCCCTCGAGGAACGAATGCTGGACGATTCTAATATCTTCTTCTTGGACTACGATCATCCAGATCTCAAGGAGGTATGGTACGCTGAGGCAGAGGGCTACTACTCGCCGTCTGAGTCTGGTACCTATGACTTCGGTCTCTGCGTGCAGGGTACTGGAAGATTATACATTGACGGCGATCTCTTGATAAACAATGTCGAGAATCAGAGGCCCGGGCCTAGTTTCCTGGGATCAGGTACTCTTGAAGAGACTGATGCTAGGGAACTTGTTGCCGGTACGTCTTACCGTATCACCGTACAATGGGGTTGTGCCAAAACCAGTACAAGGAAAACCCCTGGCACTGTTGACTTCGGCCACGGCGGACTACGATTTGGTGGTTGTCTACGACTGGATCCGAAAAATGCGATTGCTGCTGCAGTTCAACTAGCTAGCGAGGTTGACCAGGTTGTTATATGTGTCGGCCTTGGACCTGAGTGGGAGTCTGAGGGTGACGACCGCAAATCAATGGATCTACCACCGCACACTGACGAGCTTGTCGAACAAGTTCTTGAGGCAAACCCCAACACTGCTGTTGTCGTTCAATCCGGCACACCTGTCACGATGCCGTGGGCTGACAAGTCGAAAGCCATCCTGCACGCCTGGTATGGTGGTAATGAAGGAGGTAATGGGATTGCTGATGTGCTCTTTGGTCTAGTAAATCCCTCGGCGAAACTTCCGCTCACATTTCCTCGACGGTTGAAAGACAATCCTACGTATCTTAACTACCGCTCGGAAGGAGGCCGCGTATTGTACGGCGAGGATGTTTACGTGGGATACCGCTATCATGAGCAGACTGAGATTGCGCCTCTTTTCCCTTTCGGCCATGGTCTTTCGTACACAACCTTCTCGCTGTCGGATCTCAGGCTCGATATGAAAAGCAGCAACACTCAGCTTACAGTGCGATGCACCGTTACCAACACAGGCTCAAGAGCAGGGGCAGAGGTCGTTCAGGTTTATATCGAGCCCGTATCGCCGCCGATACGCCGACCAGTGAAAGAGCTCAAGGGCTTTGCCAAACAATTCGTCGAAGCTGGCGAGAGCGTCGAGGTTGAGGTCTCAATTGACACCATTCGGGACACGAGTTTCTGGGAGGAGAAAAGCGGGAGATGGTGTAGTCAAGCTGGGACGTACAATATATTGGTGGGTACAAGTAGCGCAGGGGCTCATCTTTCGGGTTCGATTGTTGCCCCGAACACAACGTTCTGGCTGTCTTAGCGCGCTCTCGTAGACTGACCGTGCGAAGCGGAGTGCAGAGATAATGTTGCTATTTTCTCTTAGTAACACAAGCGACATCGGAGAAGCAAAACCTACTAAGATTTTGCAAGGTCACATACAACCCGCTGCATGAGGTTCAGGAAGGTGGTAGATAAGCCAAAATAAGGTGCGGAGCTGTGGATCCTCTCATTGGCAGGACCTTCGGCCTCCTCCGTCGAGGGGCAGCGGGGTAGCTTGGGGGATAAGCACTCCCAATGCAATGCAATTCTTCCACATCTTTCCCTTCACTTCTCTTTTTTGTTGGTAGTGTTCGTCGCTTCCGTCCTTTCCCTGGAATACAGCCAAAGCAACTCTTGGTCTCCCTCCTCTTCAGCGCCCACGTCACGACGACTCAAATCCTCAGGTGGGGCCGAATCCGCGTTCACGAACATACTCTGGTCTCTGCAACATGTCGACTGACTCGATACCCTCGACGCAAATTGCTGCGTGGATTGACGAGCCGGGCCCAGACTGCGTCCTCCAAATCCGTGACGACGTACAAGTCAAACAACCCGGCGAAAACGAAGTTCTTGTGAAGATCGAATGTTCCGGCATCTGCCACTCGGACTGTCACGCACTGCAAGTCAAAGGCAAATATGAACAAGTTCCCGGACACGAGGGCGTTGGAAGAGTTGTGAAATTGGGAACGGGTGCTTCCGAGGATCTACTTGGCAAACGAGTTGGAGTCAAGTGGCTGTGGAGCGCATGCAGGGAGTGCGGCAGTTGCAAAGTGGGCAAGATCAATCATTGCGCGAAGCAAGTAAACTCCGGCCGTCAGGTCTGGGGCACACTACAGCAGTACACTGTTGCACACGCGGACTTTGTCACGCCTATCCCAGACGGTGTCAAAAGCGAGGTTGCTGCACCGCTGCTGTGCGCTGGTTTGAGTCTGGCGGGCGCAATCTCGAAGCTCACGCCTGATGTTGTGCCAGGTGACTATGTTGCAATTGTTGGTGCTGGAGGCGGACTGGGCCACATTGGTGTACAAATCGCGAGCCTGAAGGGGTACAAGGTCATTGGCATTGACAGTGGTGCGGACAAGGAGAAGTTGTGTAAAGAGATGGGCGCAGTAGGCTTCGTTGACTATGCGAAACAGGACGTCGTACAAGCTGTCAAGGACTTGACAGATGGCGAAGGCGCGCATGGTGTAATCTGTGTTGCTGGGAGTGAAAGGGCGTACCAGCAGGCCCCCGCGCTTGTGAGAAACAGTGGTGTCTTTATCTGCGTTGGTCTGCCTCCGGACACGTACATGTTTCCCATGTCACCGATCCATATTGCGAACAGGGGTCTGACTATCAGGGGATCATCGACTGGGACTCCGGAGCAGATGAAAGAACTATTACAGCTGGCACTGGAGGGCAAGATCACACCCAAGATCGAGGTGTATGATTTTGAAGACTCACCGAGGATCATACAAGAGTTGATGCGCTACGAAGTGACTGGACGGAAGGTAGTACGTGTACCATGATTTAAGTCACACGAAAAAGAGAAGATATCAGAGAACCCACATACCATGATACCATGCAAAGTGCCTATGATGGTGTTCATCCTCATCATCTTGACGGAGGAGGGACGCGCCATGCCAGATCACAGCAACTAGATCTCGCCTGAGGTTCTTTAACCATTGTCGCAAGGATTTCATACTCTCTCTATACACGCAAGCCATCGTCCCTCTACATCAGACACGTCCAATCTAGGCACACTCGGGACCGCTCTTCATACGCGCAACAGTACAGATTTCTCTTATGTTTAGGCTGTCCTAGGCTTAATCACACTGTCTGATTCAGATTGTGATAAGAGAATCAGTACAATGCAAAGGTGGGCTTGTCGCGACCCGCACAAGTCAATCCCCTTCCCCTTGAAACGCCAACTTTTCTACTCGTGGATCAGGCAAAAGATATGACGTCATTGGTGCTGCTGATACCGTTGCGCTATGCATTGCCAGATCAATCATGATCTCCCAAACACAATGACATGTGTATTTGCAAGCTTCCCTATGTGTCCACATTTTTTCAAAACGAAGCTTAAATTCCTCTATCGATGACCATGCAATAGCTTTTGTCCTCGGGTATCTCGTGCCTAGCTCGTGTTAGGTTTAATGCTGTCATAGCGGTGTCTAAATCTGCTCAAGGGATTGGAGGCCTGGATTTTCCATCACTCACCTGAGCAGCAATAATCAAACTTCAACTCACCAGATGGTTTTGCAACATGCTCGCAACCATAGCCGCAAGGGACCAGAGACTGAATAGTCGACCTACAGTTGCTGTACAAAACCCCAACACTGGCCACAATAGAAGCCGAACAGTCTATGTCGACCTACGAAGCCCACATGAGTTCTTCACTACCGGCGACGAGGTGTGCGGTCATGTCCGTGTGCACCCGACGGAGAGGCCCAATGGTATCACAATTGCTTTCAGCGGGCAGTGCAAGATGACGATTGTTACGGGTGGATCTCAAAAGACTACATCAAAGATCCACAGGAGTACTTTGGAGCTTTTTTCAGCCTCACGGTCGTTATTTGACTCCCAAACTTCAGGAGAAAGCTACGAAATTATCAACAAGGGCCTTGGGGCAGACGGCAACGTGGAATTGCCCTTCAAGTTCACGTTCCCGGACGTAGTCAAGATGAAGCCTAGTGACACGTATAAACCAAGGTACGGATTCGAGCATGAAGCAGGCCACCAACTTCCTCCTTCTTGCTTGTATGATGAGAACAAGGTGGAATACCTTCTCGAGGTTCATATTTACAAGACGGCGAATCGGTCGCTGTGCGAGATCATCCAATTAGCGCTGCCTTTCCGACCGACTGCGTCTTCGAGACCTTCCCCGACAACCATCAACCTCCCGAATAATTCTGAGATCTGTATGAGAGGGCACCATTTGAACCCCAAGAATGAACAGAATCCGGGGGTTTTGACAAAACTCAAATGGTCGACGTTATCGAAATACCAGCACGCCATTCCAGAGGCAAGGTGGAGAATCGCCGCAAAGTGCCCTTTTAGACTAGTCGCGGGAAAGGTAGTTCCAATATCTTTCTCAGTCTCTCATCTTGGCCACACGCCTGACATTCCCGAGACACCTATTGTATATGCTCGACAAGTTCGTGTCAAGCTCACATCAATCCTAACCGTCCGCATTCCATATCAAGGAATAACTGGTACCCGTGACACTATTCGGGAACATGAGAAAGTTATCACAGATAAAGTTTTCGTTGTTGGCGAACAGGTTCTCCGCGATGGACTTAGGATGGATGAGATCGGCAAATTGAAATTGCCGCCAACCATCCTTCCAAGCTTTAAGACTTACGGACTGCGATTGTCGTACCGTATCAAGATTGTGGTTCAAGGTAATTGCGCCCTTGAGAGCTTCAGTGTTACTACGTTACGTGATCTCTGCGAGATTGTCTGTGACGTACAGCGACAAGAACGAAACGCGCCTATGACTGTCACCGCCGGTGCAAGCTCAAGCACACCCTTGCAGCATCAACAAGTAATCGACGGTCAGCTTCCAGCTTATGATCCAGCTCCAAGGTACACGAGAGAAGTCAGCTCAGTATGTGCACAAATGCCCAGTGGGCCATAAGCGAGGTGCTTCGGAGATGTCTTCAGACTTGTTGGTAGCAGAGGAATATTGAGGGGTCTGAAGTCTTTTTCGTCGCTCAAGGATTCCACAGAAAACATACACGATCATGAGAGAATCGGAAAGAGACCTGGGCATTTCTATCGGCTTTACGACTGCAGACGTCTGTCCGCTAAGTCCCATCAAACTACATCAACCACAATCTCGTTCTCGCCAGTTGGATTCTCGAAGCCCTCCCAATACATATCAAAAGTCTCCCTGCTGATATCCAGTGCATTGTCAGCCGCTTTTTCGACTCTAGATCTCCTACAGATCCTCTCCCACAAGACCTCTTTGTCAACAGCTCGCAAGAACACAAGTACTACTCTGGCGCCTCGCTCCTCTGCGATTCTGCGCCACTCGTCTCTGTCTTCTTTGGCATAGCATGATCGCTCAAATGCTATATCTTTCCCTTCGGCCAGCAGTGTGCGAAACGTTTCAAGGTAGATGGCATCAGCTTCTTCGTTGTATTGTTCATACACAGTAGCAGATGCTGGATAGTCGATGCCGTAAATACCGTGCGTTTGGAAGATGATATTGTCGATTGATATTCTAGTGTAATGTGGATGGAGTTCGAGGATAGCCTTCACGAGCGTGGTCTTACCAGCGCCTAGCACTATTAGTCTGCGTAGATGCTTGCATACTGTTGGAAGGACTACCTGCAAGACCACACGTCATGAGTACTATTGGACGTGGATCTGAGGAGGTCCGCTGCAGATGCGGCAAAAGTATTGCTGGCACCTCATGTCCGGTCACTGCCATTATTCTGCTGATCTCTTGGTGCCTCTCGATCAGGTTCCAGTTTCCGTGCCGATAAACGATGTGAGAGGTTGACTTCTTTCTCAGCGTCCTAAGCAAATGTTCAGCTGCCGCAGCAGATTGTCGGTCGGTGTTCGCGCTTGGCGGTGACCGGGCGGCCGGTCATGCTTGAAATTGCGTCGAAACACCATGCGCCACATCCGTGACGGTGCTGGTTGGCTGTTCAGGAACGCGGGTGCGGGGAAGCGAAACCACAGTCAGATCGATCGGCATCCTGCGCCCCATTGATGCGCCATCCTACCATGACGATCTAACATCTCTCACGTAAGCTGTGTGGCTCTACGGATGTGCTATGGGCATCAAGTAACTGGTGCGTTAGGCGGCTGCGCAGGTACGGTCGGTGTTGAGATGTTCGCTCGGTCGGTCCACGGCAGGCGTCCACCGTAACAGCTTAGCCTCCCGCTATTCTACGCCTTTAGTCGAAGCTTACACGGTACTAGGCCAGGAACAAGGCCAGTACCATGCTGCGGGTGGTCTCCATCGTGGACTGCGCGCAAGTGCCTGCCGCAGCGCTCAACTTGCACCATTCTATGACTTTGGGACTTACGGGGAAGCTTAAAACAACGGCTATTTCTCTACATACGTCTCGATACCATACGACATCTTTTCAGTGATACTTACTCCAGACGAATTTTCAGTAGCAACAACCATGCTTATGTACCACTCTCTCACGGCCCTCTGCATCTTCACGGTTACTGCGCTAGGAGCTTTACCTCCCATACCAAGAGACACCACTGTCATACAGTCGACTAAGTTCCCTGGCGTAACAATCTCATTCAAAGAGGTAAGAGGCCTCAGATTTCACTATGGGCATAGTGTTGATGACATTCAGACGAGCATCTGTGAAACCACAGAAGGCATCAAAGGCTACAGCGGCTTTGTGAATCTTCCGATCGACCCTTCGAAGAATCGCAACTATGAAAGTCATATTTACTTCTGGTTCTTCAAAGCTCGACATGACGCAGAGAATGCGCCACTCTCCATCTGGCTTCAAGGTGGCCCAGGTGTGCCTTCCACTCAGGCTGCTGTTAGTGAGAACGGCCCTTGTGTCGTTCTTGAAGATTCCAAGACTACGGAGATAGACCCATGGTCATGGAACGATAAAGTCAACATGATCTACATTGATCAGCCAGTTCAAGTAGGCTATTCCTACGACAGGCTCGTCAACGGCACTTTGGACGTGGTTACGTCTCCATTTGCGTACAGGCCCGCCAACTTCTCGCAGACTGGTGTGCCAGAGACAAATTTGACCTTTTTGACTGGCACATTTCCATCTCAAAATATGTACAGCGCTCCGAACACTACCGTCGCAGCTGCGCCTTTCATCTATGACTTCATGCAGGCCTGGATGCAAGAGTTTCCCGAGTACACGTCCAAAGACAATCGCCTTAGTATTTGGGGCGAGTCATATGCAGGCCATGTGGGTAACACCTGCTCAACTTTTTGTGTCTAAAACGATACTGATGCACGAATAGTATAATCCTAGCTATGCCGACTACTTTGAACAGCGGAACACTCTCATTACCGAAGGGAAACACAACGGATCTGCTATCGAGATTCATATCGATACTGTTGGACTCGTCAATGCTTGCATTGATATCGACACTCAGATCGAGTTCTACCCAGAGTTTGCCTACAACAATACGTACGGCCTACAGCTCATCAATGACACGCAGTACGAGTCAGCTCACGCAGCCCTACCTGAGTGCAAGAGAATGACTGCAACCTGCAGAGCATTGGCAGACGCGAAAGACCCCAGAGGCTTGGGCAACCAACCTGACGTGAACAAGGCTTGTCTTGGTGCTTTCCTGTACTGCTTCTCAAACCTACACGACGACTTTTATAAGTCGGGTGTAAGTAGGACCCATTCCTAGTACGAGCGATTACTGACGAACCTGCAGCGCAATCAGTTTGATATCGCTGTTCCTGCACTACCAGAATCATTTCCTCCAAAATGGGCTGCTGGCTACCTGAACGATGCCGAGACGCAACAGGCTCTTGGTGTTCCGTTGAACTGGACTGGCCAGTCAATTCCAGTCGCGGTTGGCTTTAATGCCACAGGCGACTTCATTCTCGGCGATGGCCTCAACAAGCTTCGCGGCCTCCTCAACAAGGGCGTCAAAGTGTCGCTTGTCTACGGTGATCGTGACTACCAGTGCAATTGGCTCGGTGGCGAAGCTATCAGCATGGCTCTGGGCTCTACCGATTTCAAGAAGGCTGGGTACGCGGACATTGAGACGAATTCATCGCATGTCGGAGGCGTGGTACGGCAGCATGGAAATCTTTCGTTTGCGCGAGTCTTCCAGGCCGGCCATGAGACGCCATACTACCAACCTGAGACGGCGTACCAGATCTTCAATCGTGTCATGTTCAACAATGACGTTGCAACAGGCCAGTCATCGTCTGCAAACTATTCTAGCTGTGGACCAAGCTCGGCATGGACTGAGTCGTTGTTGCACTCAGATGAGGAGCCAGCACAGTGTTATCTATGGGACGTCTTTGAGACGTGCACGAAAGCTGAAGAGGCAATTTTGAGAAGCGGCAATGCCATCGTTGAGAACTTCATCTTGGTGGGGGAAGTTGGTGGCAACAGCACGAGCAGGTAGATATTAGGACAGTGTAAGCTAGAATGCGATGTGCCTTGTCAAAAGACCGGTGTTAATTCTTGTGAAGCCAGCGAGTTTTACACGAATCTAACATGACGGGAATCGGGAAGCTTTGACGTGCTAGAGTGCCTCATGGATATCACACGACAGCGAGCGTAACAAAGAGGACCTACCCAGATTCAAGCCTTACGACCAATCTGTGAAATCTCAGCGAGTAATCCGGATTACATGTGCGCCTAATATTGCGTGTCTGATAGCAGCCTACCGAGAGGACTGCTACTTACAACTAGCCACATTCTTCCTGCGAGGCATTTTCGAGAGGAGGTTCGAAGAGATACAACAAAGCTTTATGTACAAGAGCCATTCTTACTGTAGGGGAAGCAAGGTGACGATCGATACGAAGTGCAGGTGTTTGCTAGGCCGTGATTGGAAGAAGTTGAATTGCCATGCAGCCCGGAGTTGGCCTTTGGCTGAGCCAGTGACGTGCGTTAGTGGAGATATTCAGTGCGTTTCACTCAACTGCAGAAAATAATTTCTTCTTCAAGCCCCAGCACGAGACCAGGACATGACCAGGAGCCTCGACAGCGATACGCTACTGACCTAGAGATCAAGTCACAGGTTCAAAAAATGCGCAGCTCAACAGCACGGTGAGCGTAGGAATTGCAAGGCTGCAGGAAGAACCAGAAGGTTGGAAAGCCATCATTTCAGGACTGATTAGGAGCTGTAGGTGCTTCGCTGCAATTGCCACCCGGACCGGTCTGTATTTGGCGCGCCTATAACAGCTATACTTTCCACGTAACGCATCCGGGCCGCTTTTTCCACCTCTGCCACCGCCTATTCTTCAACATCCACCTCAATTCCCGCTTTCTTGTAGAACGCGACAAATCCCTTGATCTTCTCCATGCCCTGGAGAGGCTCTGGGTAATACCATGCGGCGTCTTGCATCTCTGTCTTGTTCGTGGTGACGGTGTAGTAGGAGGCGGTGCCTTTGTAGGGGCACTTGGTTGTGGTCGATGTAGGGGTGAAGTGGTTCTGGGTTATGGAAGAGGGCGGGAACTGAGATGATATCAGAGAGGGGGCAAGGGGGAGGAGAGAGTAGCAAGGGAAGAGGGGGAGAGAGACAGACGTAGATGTTTCCGTCTACGACTTCCCAGGTCTCGGTGCTGGCGACTTGGACACCGTTCACTGTGGCGGTTGCGCGGGGCATGGTGGTCAATTGCACGGTTCCTGCAATTTTTACGGAGGGAGATGTGTTTGTCGGCTGAATATTCTGCGCAAGTCGTTCACTTTATGTGAGCAAGCTGTCCGCATCTGTGAGCTGGTCATCATTCCGCTGCGTGCGGAGACGTGCTTATCGATAAGAGCTCCATGAGTGAAGGGCGTCATCATACAGCTATGCTTGCGATCACAGCTTTGTCCAATCGAATACTTCGAGATATCGTTGTCAGCCTTGGATGTGCGGGATGAGGCTTTCACGTCCTGTGGAGAGCACATTGCCGGGCTGTCATCAGCGACGTGGAGCGTTCGGCGATGCATCGAACGCCGCACGGAGATTGTACAGATCAAAAGCGCAGATCCGAGGTTTCGCCGCCCGAATGTCCTGCGAGCGTCTGCGGTACCGAGATGCGTGCGTGCGGTCGATTGCTTGGCTGGCATGGTGCACAAGGCACAGGCAGCTGGGTAGTGAGTTTCATTACAATCGCTTGATGTAGCAGCCATCGAATAAGTATCTCTGTGTTCGAGACGAACATTTCAGATGAGAAAGCTCGTGTGAGGCGTGGCAGGTGGGTGTTGAGGCTCGGTGCGGTGCCGCGCCGAAGCTCACCCACGCTGCAAACATAGACAACACGGATTTGGACGGTCACCAATTGGTGCGCAGTGGCAGTCCAAGCTTTGCTGGGGCGCTGGCATTTACAGTTTCAGGGGCGGACGGTTTGATACAGGCAGGGTCGAGCAGGACAGCATTGGATGAGATGGGTGAAAGGCGCTGGGCTGGTGGATGCACCGCGTAAAAGGATGACTGGACTGGCCGCTCACCCAGCGCGCTCGCCTGTGGACCGAGGGCGCGGCGCTGGAGCCGAGCTGGGTGCGACAGTGCTGGTGAGACGTGGACACTGGGCGGTCTATCTCTCAACACAGCGTGCAGGCAGATAGCACGGGTGGCTATTGGACGTCTAAATATGTGTGTAGTAAGTGGTACATGCAAGCGTGGGCATGCAGCCACAGGCCGGTCCCGGCGAGGCGGCAGCTTATCTGGGGGCGCAAATCGCATCCTGGCCTGCGCTCGTCATCGCAGAAAAAACGCGGTCCTGTGGTCCACTTCCGCCCGCCCTCGCATCGCCCTCATATACGGCAGCATCGCCTGTGAAGCCCAGAGTCGCCCGTTCCGCTCCCTGACGCCCACACAGCTCAATGGCTCCCCCCATGCGGCCCTTCGCGGCGACGGCCCTCCAGCAGGTCGCCCGTCGCGCCTACACCACACAACGTCCGTCGCTGGCCGCCCGCGCCCGCTGGACGCCGCGCCCTGTGCAGGCTCAGCTGGCCCTGCGCCAGAGCATCCGCGCCCAGAGCAACCTCACGCCGAACAAGCCGCAGGTCAAGAAGGGCGGCTTCCGCCTGCTGCGCTGGACATGGCGCCTGACGTGGGTGTCGGCCATTGCAGGCCTCGCCTACGTGGGCTACGGCATCTACGAGACGCGCCACCCCGTCGACCAGCCGCCGCCGGACCCGCAGAAGAAGACGCTCGTCGTCCTGGGTAGGTCCCGTGATCCTGGCCACCGCGCCGCCGCTGACGCTCGCAGGCACCGGCTGGGGCTCTGTCTCGCTGCTGAAGAAGCTCGACACGGAGAACTACAATGTCATCGTCGTGTCGCCGCGCAACTACTTTCTGTTCACCCCGCTGCTGCCGTCGTGCACCGTCGGCACCATTGAGCACCGCTCCATCATGGAGCCCATCCGCAACTTCCTGCGCCACAAGAAGGCCGCCGTCAAGTACTACGAGGCCGAGGCCACCAAGATCGACTACGAGAAGCGCCTCATCTACATCAACGACGAGTCACCCATCAAGGGCGACGTCTCGCAGACCCAGATCCCCTTCGATATGCTCGTCGTGGGTGTTGGCGCCGAGAACGCCACTTTCGGTGCGTATGCACCCCCCTCTGTGCTTGCCCTGCTAACGTGCCAGGCATTCCCGGTGTCCGCGAGCACGCCCTGTTCCTGAAGGAGGTCGGCGACGCCCAGGCCATCCGCAACCGCATCATGGACTGCTGCGAGACGGCCACCTTCAAGGACCAGTCGGAGAAGGAGCGCCAGCGCCTGCTGCACATGGTCGTCGTCGGCGGCGGCCCCACCGGTGTCGAGTTCGCCGGCGAGCTTCAGGACTTCTTCCACTCGGACTTGAAGAAGTGGATCCCTGAGATCACCGAGAAGTTCCACGTCACACTCGTCGAGGCCCTGCCCAACGTGCTGCCCATGTTCTCTAAGCAGCTCATCGACTACACCGAGAAGACGTTCAAGGAGGAGACTATCGACATCCGCACCAAGACCATGGTCAAGAACGTCACCGACAAGTACATCGAGGCTGAGTCGACCAGCCCCGACGGCAAGAAGCAGCTTGAGCGCATCCCCTACGGTCTGCTCGTGTGGGCCACTGGCAACGCCATGCGCCCGCTCGTGAAGGACCTCATCAACCAGATTCCCGCCCAGAAGGACTCGCGCCGCGGTCTTGCCGTCAACGAGTACCTCGTCGTCAAGGGCGCCGACAACGTCTGGGCCGTCGGTGACTGCGCCGTCGCTAACTACGCGCCTACTGCCCAGGTCGCCGCCCAGGAGGGCGCCTTCCTCGCCCGCATGTTCAACCAAATGGCCAAGTCCGAGGAGATCGAGACCAAGCTGGCCGAGCTTTCTGACATCCAGGAGAAGGCCCCCAACGCCGAGGCTCGTAACAAGGCTTTCGACGAGATCAAGGATCTGCAGAAGCGCCTGAGGAGGATGCGCGGTGTCAACCCCTTCGAGTACTCCCACCAGGGCTCACTCGCCTACATCGGCTCCGAGAAGGCCGTCGCTGACATCTCGTGGTTCTCCGGCAACATTGCGTCCGGCGGCACCATCACCTACTTCTTCTGGCGCAGCGCTTACCTCAGCATGTGCTTCAGCACGCGCAACCGCATCCTGGTGCTGATGGACTGGGTCAAGGCGAAGGTCTTCGGCCGTGACGTATCACGCGTCTAGACGCCATACCCCAAAAGTTCCATTGTCCATATACCACCATCACCTCCCAGCGAATCCCCTCTGTATTGTATCACTGTAGTACTGCGTGTATCACTGTAATACCGGTCCGGCGGAATGATCTTGGAGAGCTAGGCGTTCAGCGGTTGATAGATTCTTTGTATGTCCGGGGTCGGGGCAACGAGCACATTCAATGCAAGGCTTTTTTTAAAATGTCTGACGTGGGTCTGGCGGAAGCAACTGTCGTGAGGTAAACATATTTCTGAGACGTCAGCCTTCGAGTGGCTGTCACGTCTGCGGCTCCTGCAGGTCCACCCGAGACTAGGCTGTCCTGAGGAAGGTCCCAGCAGATCTTTCTGCAAGAAGTAACGCGTAGTCACGTGCGCGGAACGTCGTTCCGAGGCACTACTACATTCGACGTCGTTCTGCGCCCTAACAGTGACAAGTCCAGTCAGAAACATCCATTAAGAGTTTATAGAGTGTGAATTCTTAGTTTCATTCCTTAAACCGTTCCATCTTGTCAGTTTGAATTCTACCTACCCTGAACACCCCACCATGGACTCAACGCAATTCCGCGCTGCAGCCACTGCCGCCATCGACGACAGTACGTCCTCCCCCGTTGACTCTCCTCGCGTCAGCTGATCGTCCAGTCGCCACCTACTATGACACAATTGCTGACCGCCCCGTGCTGCCTTCTGTCACGCCCGGCTACTTGCACGCACTGATCCCAGATGCGGCACCCGAGGATGGCGAGTCCTGGGACACCATCCAGGCGGATATCGAGCGTGTAATCATGCCCGGGTTGACGCACTGGCAGTCGCCCCATTTCATGGCCTTTTTCCCTTGTAACTCGTCGTTTCCTGCAATGCTGGGTGACATGTATTCTGGTGCATTCAATGCCGCAGCGTTCAACTGGATCTGCTCGCCGGCCGTTACGGAGCTGGAAACAGTGGTTATGGATTGGGTGGCGCGGTTGCTGGGGCTGCCGGACGCGTTCTTGAGCAAGGGCGAGGGTGGGGGCATTATCCAGGGCACCGCGAGTGAGGTTATAGTCACGGCGGTGGTGGCAGCGCGCGAGCGGGTGATACGCAGGCGGCTGGCGCACATGCCAGAAGGTGAAGAGAAGATGGATGCTGCAGCCGATCTGCGCGGCAAGATGGTCGCGCTGGGGTCGGAGCACGCACATTCATCGACGCAAAAAGCTGCCATCATCGCTGGGACCCGGTTCCGCACTGTCCCCGCACCTGCAGAATCGAACTACAGCGTCACCGCGGCAGCACTTCAAAACACCATTCGAGAGTGCGAGGCCAAAGGTCTAATCCCGTTCTACTTCACCGCCACCCTCGGCAGTACTGCAACCTGCGCTATCGACGACCTGACCGGCATTGCCGCACTCGCCCCCTCTCATCCCGACCTGTGGATCCATGTCGACGCCGCCTATGCCGGCTCTGCGCTCGTGCTGCCCGAATACCAGCACCTCTGCCCTCCGATGTCTGCCTTCTCCTCTTTCAATGTCAACCTGCACAAATGGTTGCTCGTAAACTTCGACTGCAGCGCCTTCTTCATATCGCGCCGCGCCGATCTCATTGACACCTTCTCTATCACACCGTCGTATCTGCGCAACTCGTACACTGAGTCTGGTCTCGTAACGGATTACCGCGATTGGCAGATCCCGCTTGGCCGCCGTTTTCGCGCACTCAAGGTGTGGTTCGTGCTACGCTCGTATGGCGCAAGTGGGCTGCGCGCTTTCATCCAGTCGCATATCAAGCTGGGCGAGGGCTTTGCTGCTCTAGTCAAGTCCCGACCTGACCTGTTCAAGCTCACCACCGACGCTGCCTTCGGTCTGACTACATTCCAGGTCCTACCGCAGAGTGCCCCGGACAATGGAACGGTAGATCAAAGCGCGTGCAACGCAGCGACGCAGCGCGTCTACGAGGCTATCAACGCCGCGGGCGAGTTTTACATCAGCAGTTCGGTCATATGCGGGACGTATATAATTCGTATTGTGAGTGCGAATACTGCGGCCGAGGAGAAGTATCTGACAGCGGTGTTTGAGCGGCTTGTTGACGCCGCTGAGGCGGACAGGCGGGCACTGGTAGTCGATGAGAGCGAGGGAAAAAAGTGAGAGTGATGCGAGTACGGAGATTTGAGCGCCGAAGAAGGACGGAGTGAGGTGTATATGGACGAGATGCATGCAAAAAATACATACTAGAGACATATGTCAGAGGCAGGTGCTAGAGATGCATATTAGAAACACGTACTAGCAAGACTAAATACATTTACACGTACACATACACATACACTTCTTCCCGATCGACATCATTGGCTCGCCCCAAGCTCTGCAAACTCGACGAAAGTTGCACTTCAGCAGGATGATCTACCGAGCAGCTCGGGTCTCAACTGTTTGTGACAAGGTACAAGTCTTGCAACCATCCATCTGAAGAAAGTCATAGCTTTTCTAATTACAAACGAGGTATCACATCCAAACACGCTCAAATAAACAACCACATCGCAACAGCCCCAACAATAAAATACAAAACCCCCTCAGTCCCCCTCCTCCCCGCCGCATTCGGCTCCGGCTTCTCCGTCGGCGCCCCATAACTTCCATTCCCAGCCGTCACATTATACAACCCCACCCCGCGCTCAACCCGCACCCCGTCCACCCCACCATCCACGCTGTCCAGCGGCGCCACAAACGCCATCTGGCTCCAGCTAAACACCGTGTTGCGCCCGCCGTACACAAACACCTCGAAGCGCCCCGCGAACGCCTCGTTGACCCACACCCGACTCCCGTTGTAGATGTCTGTTTCGATGCGCAGGCGCACGGGCAGCGTGAGCGGGACGGGGCTGTGCGGCGAGGTCGACTGGTTGGCCCAGATGCGGCCGGGGTGGCCGGGGTCGTAGTCGGCGTAGGACACGTTGCGGAGGGGGTAGGGGAAGCCGTCTGCGGTGGTGAAGACAAGGGTCGTCAGGGAGGTGTTGGTGGCGTCGGTGGTGGTGGTGAGCGCGAGGGAGGTGTCCGGGCCCGTGAGCGAGAAGGGCGAGGTGGCGTTTAGGCTGAGGGTGTACGGGGGGCCGAAGGAGCCTTTGCTGAAGGTCTGGGCCATTTGGCCGTCGCGCTGGTTCCAGGAGATGATTGGGCGGGTGGATTGGGAGGTTAGTAGGGAGGCGGGGCGGCGGTCGAGGTTTTGGCCGGGCGCGCGTGAGGCGAGGAAGTCGATTGTTGCGTTGGTGTCTTGCGTTGTGATGTTTAGGCCTCGTCGGCCAGTCCAGGCTCGCGCTGCCATGACGGGGATGCCCTCGCGCATGGCGTAGTATGCTTCCAGTTGCGTAGTCGCATCGGGTCCGTTATCGTTCCAGGCAGCGAGGATGGCACCCTTGTTGCCGCTGGCGTCGGGGCCGAGCTGGTCCGATGTGTTGACGGGGTTGAAGATGGACGGATCCCACTGCCAGCCAGGCACGTCCGCGAAGTTCAGGGTCCGGCTGGTGTTGTAGAACTGCGGGTATGGCGCGGGAAGAATGGGTGTGTGGTCGTTTTTCAAGCTCATGTACGCCCACCAGTCCTCGGAGTTGATGAGACCGTAGCCATCATTCTGCAGCTGAATGGGGTCAGATTGCCCGTATTGCCAGTGCTGAATGATGATATCTTTGGAGATGGTTAGGTTCTCGGAAGGCTCATGAGTGCCCCAGATTCTGATTCGTTTTCCAGCCGTCGAGTTCACAAACTCCGACATCTCGTTCACAAAGTTGATGTAATCGTCGGCGAGCTCAGGGTCGTACTCATCAGCACCAATATGCACCTCTTTTGTCTGGAACCATGGCAGGAACTCGCTCCAAATCGCCTTTACGGTCGGTATCGCATCCGGGTGTGTCAGGTTCAAGAGATCCTTCTTGGCAAGGGCGAGCTCTGGCTTCCATTTGGTGATGGCAAGAGCGTGTCCTGGTGCTTCGATCTCCGGTATGACCGTCACGCCACGTTGTGCGCAGTGGTTCTGGAAATCTTCGAATTGCGCTCGCGATAGCGTCTCATTCTTGCGCTCGATGATGCCCTGTAGCTCTGTGTTCTGTTCTGGGTAGAGTGAGAAGTGCGAGAAGACCTTGTTCCATGTCTCGTTGAGACCTCTGTTCAGAGGCGCGTTATCACTGCTGTGGTAGTGGAATTCTGAGATCTTGAAGAAGGATGCGTATGTACACAACTCCTTCAGAAACTCAGGCGCGTACCATTTGCGGCCCGCGTCGAGCATGTACCCTCGCGTGGCATATGCAGGCGCATCGACTGTGCGACCTGCAGGCAGAGAAGACCCATTGGCGATCATTGCTTGCTGCAGTAGCGTCCTTGTACCCCAAAACATGCCACGGGCCCCCGTCCCGCCGATGTAAACAGTACGATTCGTGATTTCGATCTCATAGCCCTCTTCCGTTGTCTTGCCGTTTTCGTAGGTGATCTCATCTTCTGATCCTCGGAATGGCCCGAGGAAGATACCCTGCACGTTGTCTGGGAATTGGTCGACTCGCTGAAGCGTCCAGTTCGCGGTCGTCCAATTGGAGAGATCTTGTCGGAATGTTTCCGCAAACTGGAATGCGGTCGGGGGTATGAGCGTCAGGCCTTCGCTGTCTGCAGTATCTGCCCACGCGCCATCGATGTATATTATCTTGGACGAATTTCGGGTCGCGAATCCACTAAAGCCGTTCGAGAAGGTATTGGCGTTCGTCCATTGTACTGGCGGTAATGGCTGCAAAGCGACAGCAGTGCCGGCGAGAGCCGCGAACGTCCGTATAATCATGCTGTTGAGTGTCGAAGAGGCAAACCGCGTGAGATTGAGCGGCAGCGTCGTATTACTTATAAGGCACGCTACCTAATTCCAAGGGATCGTCAGGCGTGCGGCTGGCTTGACAACCCACTGTCATTCGATGCATCCCCGCACTCCAGCCCCACTGTTCGGTGTCACTCCGCAGTAGATAGCCTAGGCAGTAACAATTGGGGCACATTTGAACGAGAACCTCGCGAACTAGCTCCAACTTTCAGATGTGGCGTCCCAGAATCTTCGTGCTTCTGCAGGGCAGACGGCAAGCGACGCGTCCGGCCTTCAGGGTCCGATCTTCAGGTCCCAACATAAGTACTTCGTCATCGCTGAAGCAATGTGCCCATTGAGGCTCTCCCCCACTCTACACTCTCACTGAGTCAAGTCTCTTCTGTTATCTAGATTGCCAGACTGACGTCCCGTGCGGATGGCATTGATGGAACCTTGAGACGAGATGAAAGCTCAAAGGGGAGCGCTACCGTGCACGGACAACCAACGCCCGGCGGCAACCAACGCCCAGGGCACCACATGTTCATCCCAACTTCGACGCGTAATAATTCAACACCATGAAGGGAATTGATGCTGCGCTTGCAGATATAGATAGTTTGGAACCTGGAGAAGAGATTTCATATACTCAGATAGCGAAAAAACATGGTGTTGATCGCTCAACGTTGGCGCGTTGCCATCGTCGCGTGCAGGTCCCTCGCGACGTCGCCAACACAAACTAGGCCAAACTTAACTTATAATAAGAGGAGGAGCTTGTGAAGTATATAGAAGAGCTTACTAGCCGTCACTTAGCACCTACACGAGAGATGATACAAAATTTCGCGTCTGCAGTTGCTAAAACTCCCTGCTCCGAGAGGTGGGTAAGTCGGTTCCTCAACCGTCACCACCACCTACTTATCTCTCAATGGGCAATAGGTATAGACTCTAATCGGCACCACGCTGAGTCTGAGGCAAAGTATAGCTTATACTTTAACCTTCTGCTGCAGATCCTCGTCAAATACGACATTGAACCTGCGCACACATACAATATGGATGAGAAAGGCTTCGCGATTAGGGTACTTGGTAGGAGTAAACGCATCTTTAGTAGGCAACAGTAGGAGAAGAAGGAGGTTCAGCAGTCACTGCAAGACGGTAACCGCGAGTGGGTAAGCCTATTGGCTTGCATATGCGCGGATGGTACTGTTCTACCTCTAGGCGTCATATTTGCGTCCACAAACTCCACCATCTGAGCGAGGTGGGTGGCCGAAATTAACCTAGAAACGCATCTAATTCACGCTACCTCGTCGCCTACTGGTTGGACTAACAACGATATAGGTTTGGCGTGGCTCACGCAGGTATTTGATTGATATACTAAGAGAAAAGCGCTGCAAAGGTACCGTCTACTCATAGTAGACGGCTACGGCAGCCACCTAACTTGAGAGTTTCTTGAGTATTGTTACAAGAATCAGATTATTATGGCTATACTACCTCCACACAGTACCTAAACGCTCTAACTGTTGGACGTGGTATGCTTTAAGCCGCTCTCGTTAAACTATAGCAACGAACTATCCAACTACCTCTACGCCTCTCAAGGCCTATCTCCTATAGGAAAAACTGAGTTTCTGCACCTATTCTGGCCAGCTTGGATGAATACCTTCACCGAAACGTTGGTACTGAGTGCCTTCAGAGCTACCGGCATCTCACCACCAAACCCCAACGTTATACTTGATAGGTTTCGCCACACCTCTCACAGCCGCTTACTATCTATATCATCTGGTACCTCAGCTTATAGCGGAGAAGACTGGCTTAAAGCTTGCTCTCTATTGCGTGCTGAGGTGAGAGATCTACGCAGTAAAGGCGCGCGGAAACTGGGTTAAACTATCCACCACCTATCAATCCAAAATGAGCTTCTTAACGAGGAGGTAGCTGGCCTACGCACTACTCTAAACCTCTAAAAGAAGAAGAAGAAGCACCTGAATAAGCAGCTACCGCTTCCACCCAACTAGGAGTATAACGGAGGTGCAATAATGTGGTCTCCTTGAACCTTCCGCGATGCCCGCGCTAAGATGGCTTAACAAGCTGAAGAGCAGAAGGCAGAGGAGCTAAAAAAGGCAGAGTTGAAGGAGTTGAAGGCTGCTAATAAGCGATACAACGATAAGGTTGTAGAGGAGAAGCGTGCAAAGCGGTTGAGGGAGAAGGAAGATCGGGCGAGGCTCCAAGCTGTGAAGGCTGCTGAAGTAGCTAAACGCAAGGCTGAAAAAGAGCGTTAAAAACAGGCTCGCAACGCTGAAAAAGCTATACAACCTTCCTAAATAGGCAAGCGAAAGGCCTTACAGTCTACAGTACCTAGAAAGAAGACAAAACGTGGTGCGGTAGGTGGTGGTAGTCAGCCTATTGCTCGTGAGCGTTCCCTAACCCCACCACTAAAACTCAACCGCCACGGCCGCAAAATCGCTCTACTAAAAAGATTTCGGTAGCAAGGTTTATCGCATAGACTTATAGTTCACTCTACTAAAAATTCCCGTGATATTATCTACTGTGTGTGGCTCTATAATCTCATTTCTGTGAAGCTGAAAATGGGATGCCCCGGGCGTTGGTTGCCGCCGGGCGTTGGTTGTCCGTGCACGGTAACGATAAGGAGACTAGTGTGCCGGCGCAGAAAAGCTGAGACAGCCGCGCTCGACATCATGAGTCTGTAGCATCATGTATCAATAGAAAGCATTTGCATTTGCCGGAGTCTCTCATTTCCTTTTCCTTCTCCGTGATGGATCGCCATCAGCGTATTGTTGCGCAAGTTGCCTCAAAGGTGAAAGACTACTTCGTACGTAAGGAGCCGTTCAGGATATCACATGGCTCGACCAACTCCACGCGTCCGAATCTCAAGAAGCGGGTCGTCGATATCAGTGGCCTGAAAAATGTTGTCAAGGTTGATAAGCAGACGCGTACGGCTCTTGTAGAGCCCAACGTGCCGATGGACAGGCTCGTTGAGGCTACTTTGCCACATGGCTTGGTACCGCCCGTCGTGATGGAGTTCCCTGGTATCACAGTAGGAGGAGGCTATGCAGGCACGGCGGGCGAGAGCAGTAGTTTCAAGTTTGGCTTCTTCGACCGGACAATCAATGAGGTCGAGATGGTCATGGCGGATGGTGAGGTTGTCAAGGCATCTGAGAAGGAGAATGCGGACCTCTTCCGTGGAGCTGCTGGCGCAGTCGGCACGCTTGGAGTCACCACGCTGGTCAATCTTCGGCTCATAGAAGCAAAGAAGTATGTAAAGACGACCTACTACCCGACTAGGAGCATAGCGCAAGCTGTCAAAGAGGTCCGTGAACACACTGAAGGCGAGAGCGGTGAGAAGAACGACTACGTGGACGGTATCTTGTTCTCCAAAGATCATGGCGCCATCGTTACTGGCGAGATGACTGACCACCTACCACCGAACATCAAACCCCAAACCTTTTCTCACGCTCTGGATCCCTGGTTCTACCTCCATGTTGAAGAAGCAACGCGCTCATCTGACAAGCCTGTGATTGAGTACATCCCGTTGGCCGAGTACATGTTTCGATACGATCGCGGTGGCTTTTGGGTCGGAAGGTCTGCATTCAACTACATGAAATTTCCGTTCAACAAGTTTACCCGCTGGTTCCTGGATGACTTCTTACACACGCGCATGCTGTATCGAGCTTTGCACGCCAGTGGAATCGCGACACGTTACATTGTCCAGGACATGGCTCTTCCCTATCCCAACGCCGAGAAGTTCATCGACTACACTGAAAAGGAGTTCAACATCTGGCCAATCTGGCTCTGCCCATTGAAGCAGAGCGAGCAGCCCACTATGCATCCACACACCAAAGGCGAGCTGAAAGATACACAAATGCTCAACATCGGCCTCTGGGGCTTTGGACCCCAGGAACCGCAGCAGTACCTCAGCAAGAACCGCGCGCTCGAGAAGACACTGGGTGAAATGGGCGGCATGAAGTGGTTGTACGCGCACACCTACTACAGCAAGGACGAGTTCTGGTCGCAGTTCGATCGCCAGTGGCACGAGGGTCTGCGGACGAAGTACAATGCCGGTGGCCTGCCCGACGTGCACGACAAGGTTCACGTCGACATCCAGAAGTACACAGACATGGCGCAGAAGGACTGGGGCATGCGACTGAAGAATGTTTGGCCGCTGGGCGGACTCTGGGGCATCCACAAGAGTATTCAGAGCAAGGATTACATGATCCACCGCAATTCGACATGGAAGTGGAAGAGACTAGGCGCTTCGAGGAGATGGTGGTGGTGGTGGTAGATACGTCAATGTGTAAGATTACGGGAGTGAAGAAGTACAAAGCCTGAATGTTTGGAAACTACAACTTCGTAGAAGCAACCAGCAGCGTTACAGACATAAGATATAAGAGTTGCGGATGGGAACAGCCGGATGTCTGTTGATGACCATACACCTTTGTGGTTGACGACAGGAACTTGTTTGTGTACCAGGGAAGCAAGCTGATATCATATCATAGGCTTTTGAGATAGTTGTGGGCTTTCGCGTCCGCATTGCTTGGCAATTTCACACACCTTCACCCAAACTTCTCAACAACTCCAACCTTGCCATCGCCATCGACCTGCCAGTATCACCACCAATCCTGTGCTTCTGCCAGTCGCCATCACGATGTCGACCAGCGACAGCGACCGGGAAGATGAAGTCACCACCTCCAGTCCATTGCGGTCCATTGACTGCATGGAAGATGAGACCTTCATCTTCGGGGCTACGCAGCTGATCCAAGCTCTTCCAGTCAACTGCGACGATCAGGATGCCCTTCGCACGATCCAGTTCGTCCTCACCACCGTCAACAAGGATGTCTCTAAGCTCGGAGATCTCATCGATATCATCTATGACCACGCAGACCCAAAAGACCCGCGCGATAACAAGACACTCTTCCTGTTCACGAACCTACTGCGAGAATTGTCAGGAACAGACTTTTTCGTGAACCGTTATACCACAAGATCTACCAAAAGATCTGCCTCAGCATTTGCGTTGGAGACTATCTCCGCAAGGTGTTACAATGGCTTTAATGCGACAGCGGATGCTTTGGGCTGGGATTGTCGACCTTTCTACTTCATTGAGGAACTCGCTGGTTTGGGAGTGAGGCAGCTCGTCAAGGCCAGGGTCAGGGTGGCCGTCCAAATTATTCTAGACACGGCATCTAAGTCTCAGTTCCTTTTTGAGCAGTGGAACTTCAGACTGTTTGTGCGTCTCATGACAGCTCATGGGTCCTTGGTCAACACCGAATGCATGTCCGTTATCATGAGTCTGGTCACTCAGCGAGCCAAGGAAGAGTCACTGGGCACGCAGCTGATGGTCGCCGGACTTCTGAGTGTGCGCGACAAGGAATGGTCAGTGGCTACTGCACTCGGCCAAGAGACATCCGTAAAGCTTAAGGACAAATAATAGATGCCACGTGCCTAAGGATGGCGGGCAGCAGGAAAGGCACGGCAGACTTGTGCTCAATTTCAGAGGCACTATTGGTGTGAAGTCACGGAGTCTACTCTTCGCTCGCATGGTGAGAAAATGCATGGAAGCAACATACAGCACGGCCCGTTTGATGTAGAAAGCGCAATCGAATTGCATAAATTAAGGTTTCCAGAAGGTTCTCAAGTGAAGGTGAAGTGAAGATGCGCATGTGCCAAGCTCGCAAACAGCAGTCCCGGGTCCGTCCTTCCTTTGCCTGACCTTCTAAATACCTCCCCGCTTCATCAACCTCTACCTACACATCGTCCACTCCCAGCCAGGCTCGCGACCATGGCCACTGACACCTCCAGCTTTGAGGTTTTCAACAAAGGCGTGGCACAGCTACTATCAACGCTCACACACGACGTCGACGATGAGACGATCATCAACACTGCACGTTTTGCTTTGCAGGCAGCTGGCGAAGACAAAGTAAAGCTCGAAACTCTTGTCCAAATGGTGTACAGCCTATCTTCAGCTCACGTTACTTGCTTGGCAAAGTTACTCATTGCTCTTTCCGAAAACGCTGAAGACGACGACACTTTTATAACAGGTTGGGGACCAGTTAAGGAGCTGGTCGACTGGTTGATATGGAACGATGGGAAGTGTGAGTTCACGACTGCCATCCAACGCGCCATTTGGCCATCAAGGTCAGTAAACATTGTGGTCGTACTGTACCAGACTAGGGAACCCTTTCTCTTCCCCAGCAAAACTATCGGAGTTATGCTGCAGCAAATGGCAGAGTCTGAACACCTATTCAAGCCTCCAAACTTTCATCTTTTCATCCGCGCCTGCATTGCTTGCGGTCCGAAGTTGGCCGAGATGACATAATCCGATTATGTCGCAGGCCCTCTCAGTCAAGTGGCTGCAAGAGCCTCTTCAGAATCGCTTACATTCAGGCTTGCGATTGTCGGCCTCATCCAGATCCGTGACAGCGGCTGGAAGATAGAAATGGACGTCTCCACGAATCCTCACTCTGATTGAGCGTGAATTGATCGCTGGGTCAGAGGCGAACATTTGAGGAAGCCTGGTCACATCCAGGGTCGTTGGAGAAGGTAGTTACGGGAACACGGATGGATGGCAGGATATCGGCCATGAGTGATTCAGGAAAGAAGAAAACGTATTACCATAATCACTTGCCGCCGGTGTTGAAAGGCCTGCGCAACTATGTCTCGCTCTTCAGCTGTTGTTGCCTGTTGCAACACCCCAGAAGTACGCTGCCCAAGCCCCCAAGATAAAGACGATGAGCGAAATAAACAACGTCATGCTTATTTTCCTGTTCCTCACACCTGCCTCTCCTTTCTCGGAATGCAACCTCCTTTCGTTGATGACCTCACCCTTTGCCATACGCTGCTTCTTAGTCCACTGCAACAGCCCCAGATCCACAGTCCGATAGCTGCCTACAAGCAGGGCACAGCCAACGATGACCGATCCAGCGGCTAGGAAGACATAGCCCTTGACAACGTTGTCGTATGAGTTGTTGTCACGATCCTGAATGACACCGGTGATGATGCGCACGAAGATGGTCATGCCGTTGTTGACCGCGATCTTGACAGCGTAGCCAGATCCAAAGACTTCCTGGTACCACATTGTAGTGCGAATGGCGTCGATGATGACGGTCGGTCCAAATGAAGTTGCAACTGCGTAGATACCAAACGATGCAGCGGTGCCGCCGACAGTCGGACCCCAGGCGGCCAGACACATAGACAGCAGCATTCCCACTCCACATACAACCATGAGCGTGATTCGGTTGCCTAAAAGATCAATGAAAACGCCGATGAGTGGTACCAAGAAGAAACCCAGGTATTGGGACATCGCCGAGTACCAGCCAGCCTGAACTGAGTCGATGTTGAAGCGCTGCTCGGCCAACTCAGTAGCGTTCTGATTGTAAATGCCGGCAGTGCTAGTTTGGAAGAGTGAGAAGCAGACAACACCCCAGAAAGTCCACGGCAGACGTAGCAATTTGCCAAACTCAAACTTCTTGTTGCTTTCGGTGAGCTTCTCGCCAGTCGCGGGGTCGACCATGCCAGAGTAGGTCTTATTGCACCACTTGGTGAAGAACCAGAATACCAGTGTCACGACATTAGTGAAGAGGTTCATGAACACGGCGGTCCAGTACACCCAGCTGAAGTCTCCGGTATTCTTTGCGATGACGTTGGCTGTGGCTTTGCCGACGAAGGATCCAATCTTGCCAATTCCGAGTTCAAGGCCGAGCGTCGAAGCGAATCCATCAGAAGGAGCAAACCAGGAACTGAAGACCTTGTACTGAGCGACTTGCGTAGCGATGTCGCCAAAGGCCTGAACGATGACACCAAAGATCATGAACTTGTACGATCGTACGGTCGTAGCTGCCGCAATGAAGATAGCGCCGACGCTGAATATAGCATTGCCCCACAGCATGGCGCTGGCACCTCCGATTCTGTCCGTGACCACGCCACTGAGCAGGATCAAAGCTGTTTTCATGAAGTCCTCGGATGCCTCAAGCACCGCATACTGAGCGTTGTTGATGTGTAATTGCTGCTTCTGTCAGCTCCGTCCGACACCCTGGCGGCATCGTATGTGCGTACCTTTTTCAGCGTGCTCTTCATCGCACCAGTCACACCGCTGCTCCAGTGAGATCCAAAGCCAATAGCTGTGACAAGCAAAATGGAGATGAGCTTCATCCTGACAGGTACGAGCTGACTTCGTCCTCCCTCACTTCGGACCGAGGAGCCGCTGCTGGCGACCACCACACCTTGCCCTTTCTCAGCGGAGGCCATAGTCTGCGGCTGACTCCCAATCGAGCCATTGTTGTGGGCACGCTCTGTGGAAAAGCGCATATTGAAATTGATAGGACTGACGACGCCTCGAGGAAATGTGAGGATGAAATCAGATAAGATGGACATGGTTTTATCTTATGCCCCGCGACTTGCTCGTATTTTTCGATGCTCCGAGTCGTGAGAGCGCACACCGACCCTCAAACATCCGATAGAACGGAATCTGGTCCCGCTGTCTCGCGTGGCAGGGTACAGTGCTAGACTTGTCTTGTCTTAGTACGACTGTTGAGGTGTAGTTCCCGCAGGCCATGGTGGTAGCAGCCTTCATTGCCGATGATCATTGGCATTTCCGCGGCATTTAGCTTGGACTAGTATGTAACATGCAGTCGGAGTCGGCCAAAAAGAGTTAAGTGTACGCGTCGCGGCGACGAGGCATGGGTATTGTACACGGTACACGAGAGAATTTTTATCAGATCATCTTATCCAAGACTTGGCGGCCGCGACGTCGGACCGATCGAGATTTTCTTTGGCGGTTATTGTTCTAACAAGTTGACATGCGCCAATACTCGGGGCTAGACGAGGCGTCGTGGATTCGTCGACTAAATGCTGGTAAATAACATTGCATCGTGAATGCACGCAATGGATGCCTAGATGGAAGATGATCACGTGATTAGTATTCACAGCCTTGGAGGTCCGTCGAGCTTCCTCATTGACGCGTTATATGATTGTAATTGATGAGACTAGGTATACAATACTCTTTTAAAGCTGCCGCTAGGGGGTGATTGCAACTGCGTCGTTCGCTCACGGGCCTAGTACCATTCGCCTCCTATGTCGTTCGCTTTGACCTTCTTAGGATTCATTGTTACGATTCTCTGTCCGGGTGTCGTATCCGTGAATGCACTCTCGAAAACACCGCTGATAGCCCTTCTTCCGATCTCCTGGAAACTATCGTATCCTTCGTTTTCGCCAGTGATCGCTGCCCACTCAGCATCCACGGGGCTCCGTCCGGGTCCGAGGTCGCTCCATCTCGTGACTACGAGCGCCTGCTTGAATCGCTCGATACCATTACTCTTCACCGTCTTGTCTTCGACCATCTTGAGCTCCACCAAGTACTCCGTAGGGCATTCCGGACAGCGGCGCATGGGCCGACACGTGTGGCACGAAGGCACATTACCTACAGCCTTCTTAGGAGCTAGGTGATCTTTGATCCCATTGAGCACATTTACTTCCGATACAGGAATATGATCAATCGCACACTTTGGGATAGACGTTAGCACGCCATTCCTCCAATGACTGCATACACTGAAGTAAGGTGTGTAATCGTCTCTGCTGAACAGCAGCATCCGTTTGCCTGCCGTTGTCATGCCACCCTGAACATACGCTTGCGATTTGACCCGCATCAATACGTGTCCTTTGTCGGTAACATGGTACTTGCTCTCATGCGCCCAGGGAGAGCTCGTGTCCTTCCAACGCCTTGCAAGCGAGTGATGTGGGATGCCGTACTCGGGCCCGAAGGCCCAATGTCGCCTTGCTAGCTGCACAAATGCAAATGGCAGTGTGCGCCCCTCGCTGATGCGGATCCTTGGAGGCGGAAGAAGATTGTTTGTGAAGTTCGGGCACTCAAACAGTGGATTAAGTACGTTGTGAGGTTTAAGTGTTTCAAGTCCTGGCTGTATTCGTAGATGCCACTGAGCGCATGGAAAGCAAAGGAGATGTCGAGGGAGCTTGTGGTCCATTGCTAGCAGAAAGTCGAGACGATCGGGACGGTTTTGAGGTTCCAAGAGCAACTTATAGGGCTGGCGACCCAGCCGGGTGAACATCGTGCGACAGGTGGAAGAGAGATGTGCAACGTCAAGAGGTGACATATATTCTGCCACGTGCAGCCATATCTCCGGAGAAACGGCACCCAACATAGCTGTTCCATCGGGCTTGGTAGGGTCATAGAAAATCTCATCGTGATGATGGCTCACTTCATCGACCGAGTCAAGAGCATCGTTGTAAGTGAAAGCGTGCATCATATCTGTAAGATCCTTGCGTTCACCAGTGTCCTTATCGAGAACGTCATCACGGCGGGCAGGCGCTCGGTGAGCCTTGCTTAGCTTTGAAGGGGGTGGTCTCTGGTTCGGTGTTCGACTCTGATATTCCGATCGCTCATGATAGATTTGCGGTAAAGAACCCGTTCTTGCGGAGTTGGCGGTGGTGGTTTGATACAATGGAGCAGCAAATTGTTGTAGCCCTTCTGAGTTGCGGCGATACTCGGCATCGGATTCCACGTACACCGGTACAGCGCTGTGGGATCTGATTGCTGTATAAGGGTCGTCTCGGAAGACATGAGGCGCATCACCTGTGACATCTTCATATGCTGGCAGGGCTGCGCGCTGTCTAGCGTTTTCTCCGCTATATTGGCTTGAGAAACTCCCCGAGTCCTGCCGCCGGCGATCTGTGACAGCTGCTGACATGTCCACTCGCGAGCCCTTCTTTGTCAGTTTTCTGCGTGTCCCTGGCTCTTTGGAGCTACTGGAGCGCATCCCAAACATAGCGCGGAAGCCGCTTTTCTTCGGGGTGGCGTCAACCATCGTGAACAGGCGGATGTGGTGTTGGTGACGGGCGATGGCAACGAGGCTGTCGCTATTTTAAGAGCCCAGCTCCTTGTATGAATGTTGAGACCGGGGTTTGATGTTGGAACAGAGATGCACTTCGAGGAACGATAAAACCACTGAGGTTGGGATAATGATCGTCATCGTGGAGTTAGTGCGGCTGCGGGATGCTCCGGCAAGAATTCCCCAGCTCCGCGGTCATCCGGAAATTCACAGCGAACACAGATGCGAAACGTCATCGTACAGAAGGTTACTACAAGTCTCGCATTGAGCGAGAAGTGTCTATGCTTTCACATGGTCTGCGCATGTGTAGTTTGGGTTCACGACGCGTGCATTTCGCGTTTCGCCAAGAAGCCTAAGCCTCATTAGACAAGCTTGTTTGGAAACCAGCAACCATCTGATCTCAACCTCTCCATCTCTCTTGACACTGTGACAGCAGTACTTGTAGACGAGTCAGTCCATTGTCGCTCATGCTTTAAAAGAAGGCCCTTTTCGAATTGTTAATGTTGCCCCGAAATTGTTTGACGACCCTGTCGCAGATCCAGCATCATCATTGCTTGCAAACCTCGTGTTTTGAAGACATGGGACAAATTTGACTGCCAGTAACTCTTCATTGCCCAACATACGTCACCGTGATCTGGTCACATATCTTCTGCAGTCTTATCTTAACCCGCAGTTGGGACGTCTTCTGCTGCAAACATGTCCGGCCGCGTCTGTGCTATACGTTAAACTACCGCCACAACCTCCGGCCTGAAGCAATGTCTCCACCACGTTTGCGAGTCGATGTCCTCGCCTGACGTCGCATGTTCTCCTCTGAAAAAATCAGTCGCACTGTCCAGCGGTTTCATATCGTTGTCAACCCATCTCCGATCTAGGTTGGAAACAGGTACGCGTGGTTGGTAGTTTGCATATCCAATCCGCTCGAAACGTCGACCTTGTCCTGTTTCACAGGGTCTTAAGACTATCATCTGATCGCTAGAAAAGTACGCATTCTGTCTTCTATCGCGGATCAGCAAGACCTTGATCCTGGGCAGTGACTCGGACTGATGACTCGGAGGCACAGACCAGTTGACAGGGCAGATGTAATAGATCTGAGAGTTAAATGGGATGGCCACGCCCTCAATGCTGACCATGGGTGATGCATAAGTCTCACCGTGCAAATACAGCTGTTGGGAGGCGTCGGAGCCTGCATCATAACTTGGTCGATGGGTCAACAGCGATTGTCGTCTCGTTCCCGTCTGTATATCAACTCCACAGCAGCTTGCCACATGTCGAAGGTTCGACATCGGGACCTTAGCGCACTTTATCGCTCCTTCCCAGCCAATTGGACTCCAACTGGGGAAACCATGTCGACGTCTCGCCTTCCCTGTATGGTACCACATCAGTGCAACACCATTCCCGTGTTCTGTTGTGCAGGACAAGGTTCTACTACAGGGGTTGAATACAGTCACAAGCCGAGAGAGGTTTCTGGGCCCCGCGTACGGCACCCCCCACAGGTGATAGATCCCTTCTTTCCTGAGCGTATTGAGCGCCCCAAGTATGGCATTGAGAGCGTCGACATCGTAGGATAAGGTGCGTGTACTGTACGTCTCGAGATGCATCATAGCAGTCAACATTGGGTCCTGTCCCTCCTGACGGGCAAGCCAGCCGGTATTTTCGGGCTGGACGAATGGGGACCTATCGTCTGCCTCAATCTCGAAGCGGGTGTTTGTGTTGCAAACAAATACTGCCTGACGATCAGTCAAGATCAGTCGACGCCGAGACAGAATGCCTTCTTGCAGTGTCCAGCCTCGTGTGGACCACGCTGACGAGGTGATCTTTGTAACATCGTTCCCGATTGGCAGCACTGTAACATATGATGAGTCTATCCGCGCAAATCGAACGGCTCTCAATCTTGTCGACACTCCAGGCAAGCCATAATTTGGATCATGGCCAATTGCAGCGATGATTGTCAAGTCTGCTGCATCGTAGATGTCGCCCATCTGCGCAATTTGAACATGCCGAATTTCAGCACTGTCCTGGGCTATGCACTATGGACGTTAGGTTATCTGAGATGTCAATAATACCTAAGGACTGATGTACATATCGATCAACCCATAGGTATTGATATCCTAGATCCTTTGTGATCTTAATAGCATCGAGGATGGTCCTGGGCAACTCGTGCAGAGTCTCTGGGGTCACGCTCGTTGGATAGCTGTCTCCTCTACCCCACACATACGACAACGCAACATACCGGCACCGCTTTGGTGCAGACACAACTTCTTTCCGGTTACAATCGATCATTTGTAGCTTCTTAAGGTCGTGTTGAGGATTTGGCGAACATCGATGGCCATGCTGGTCTCGGCAGTGAACAATCCAAGCCTTAATCTGGCCAAGGCTTATTGATGGTGGGTACAAATTATCCAGACCAGTGGATCCTAGTGGGTCGTACGGATGCGTTTTGGAGACCAGGAGTCTTGTTGTCGCAGAGTATGCCCACGCGTGGCCTGAAGTTATGTAAATATCGACTCCTTTGATCAAGTGGGGCCCCGGAAAGGTATTGGAAGAGGTAGGTAGGCTTATTCGTTTAGTCGAAGCAATTGTATTTTGCAGAAAAAAATACCCAAGTAACTGGCAGATCCGGCATTGAGATTGGTGCAGTTCGTGGAGCGACTCGCTGACAATGATCTGATAACGCTCATCAACATGCATCAAAGATTCCCAGTCTATGGCGGAGCAACGGTCACATATCTCAGGACCCGTGAGTTCAATGACCTTACTCTGATTCATAAGTGGTTGATCCTTCTGAGTTGTAATTGGCTTCCCAGCCTCTTGGGCGTCCGCGCGGGCACCGTTCACCTGACTCAGCTGTGTCCATAAAGATCTCGATCCGCCTGCCACCATAGCTGGAGTAGCTCCGAGTTTCCTGTGAAGCCAGCTCATATTCTCGGTGGATGTGTCTGTTCAAGGAGTAGAAGCAATTCTGCTGACGAGGCTGAAGATTAGGCAGCTGCGTGTCACCCACCTGCAGCTGTGTGTCACCGCTAACCGAGAGTGGCATGATGCAAAAAGAAAAGGTTCGTGGCTGTGAGCGGAATCGCGATACAGGTATGTTTTGGTTTAGCTTTGCATCAGAACGGGTGGAGTGCAAAGGATACAGTGAAGTTAGATAGATACATTAGTTTGAAAAGGGTAAAGCTCAAACTAACTCCCTCGACTCCTGCCACGATGGAACCAGTATATTTCTATTTGGATACTCCAGTCTTCAAGCCTTCGACTCCGTCAGCCTTACAATAAGAGAGGGTTTTTCCGATAGATTAAAGGTCCTTTGATCCGTCCAATCCTCGCTGTCAGGACAGAGCTCCAAATCGAAATTGAAAAGAACGTTCGCCAGGATCAGGCGCATCTCATTATTCGCCATACTACTGGAATTAGCCAAGAGCACCATCATGCAGCCTTAGACCGTTGATGTGGTTGTTGATATGGATGTAGAAGGAGGTCAGGTACCTACTTTTTGCTCAAACAGTTTCTCGGGCCAACGGAAAACGGCTGCGACGCATGCCTCTGGTCGCTTTCATATTTCGGATCACCGAGCCAGCGCTCGGAACAAACTTTTCTGAGTCTCGGCAATTGCATGGGTCTTCTTGCTATGATTCCACCACTACCATGTTTATCAGAAAGATAACATCCTGTAAGATGTTCTCTGACAGTTTCGGGGCGATATTTCCTGCTAGGCATTGTTGTAAGAGCGGTCTTGCAACAACAGCAGCGCGACAAACAAAATTACAAGAGACAAAATAGTACTACAGGCTAAACAATACTAACTGATGATCATGAACGAGAGCGCTGAGAAGTATGAACACGCAATAATGGTAAGGATTTAGTGGTTTTCGGAAGGTTAGTAATCTCGATTTTCCGAAAGAGTTTAGTTTTGGGATAGGGGGTGTTCCGTGTGGCCAGACCTGAGTAGGGTCAGGGCTGATACTGAGCAGGGCCTTGGGATGGAGCTGGTACCCAGCGTCCAGAAACGAGGGGCAGGAATCCAAGACTCATTTTCCTGGCCCTACGGCAAGAACTTAGCACTTAGAGACCACTCAGCAAGATCAGCACTTATTTCCTTGCCTGCGGGAGCAAGAAACAGAGCTTTTGCCCCTAAAAGCTGTAAACCAACACTTTCTCAAACATCTCTGCACCTGAGCCTAAAGTCTTGATAGTGTTCAAGTACTAGTCGCCTGTTGGCAGTAGAGCTTTCATGGCCTGTTAACATGACGTGCAAGGCAGGTTTTTTGAACAGGAGGTTCTTATTCAAAATTAGACAAGCGCCTGTGTATAGTGATACAACACATAACAACTGCATCCTAGACCTCGCTTGAATAGCTATCCAAACACAAGGTCAGGCTTGATTTTAAGTACAATCTTTCCCAGGTCTTCATCATCCAGATACTGCTTCTTCATCTTGCTCAGCTCGTCTACATCCCAGGCACTCATAACAAAGCGTCCGTGCAAGAAAGCTGCTTGCGGACTCGCTAACCACACCCCAAATCCTGCTGGTAAGCTAGCATCATCCCACGGCAAGCTATTCTCATCCATGCCTGCCTCCTTCGCGGGATCCGTTAGCACGCTTCCTGGGTTGAAGCTGTGCACACGAAGCCCCGTTCCGTGGTACTCAGCGACAATGTGGCGCAAGAATGATGTGAAAGCGCCCTTGGTGATGCTGTACAAAGCCATACCCGGGTAGACCATGTGGGCGGCGTTGCTCGCGACCTCGAGGATCACTGCATCCGACGTGTCCGTGGTATTCAGGAAGGCGCGTACGATGTTGATGTTGCCTAGGATGTTTGTATCCGTAAAAGCGCGGATCTGAGAGGTTGAAAACGAGAGGGCCTTGCCGGCTGGTAGGCCCTGCGCGGCACATAGGACGAGGATGTCAATTTTCTTTCCGGGCTCGAGGTTTTTCGTCACCTCGGCGAAAGTGCCATCGACAGCTTCGCTATCTGAGATGTCCAATGGGTAGCCTAGAACCTGGGCCGAGGGTATCTCTTCGGACAGTCTTTTTGCGCTTGCCTCAAGCACATTGGCTCTACGACCGGTGATGATTATGGTCGAGGCACCAGCAAGCGCGAATCCGCGCGCAATGGCATAGCCAATTCCTGTGCCTCCACCTGTGATGAAGACGGTCTTGTTTGCTGCCGTATTTGCAGGATTGAGAGGAGATATGGCGGGATACTAAATTGATACTCCTGTCAGTCTATCCGCGCCTTGTGGTGATTGTGAAATGAGTACTCTTACCTCTTTCTTGTGAATTGTTTTGACCATATGCTTGGTATCTGGGAATCCCTCCATGCTGTATTTTGTGTATTGATGCAACGCTTTGTAGGTGATTTTGGTGCTGAGGTAGAAATTGTTAGTTGTGCTATGGAGGAACGCTGCTCGGTCATATTTATAATGGCTTCAGCTTTCTTGGGAGGAAACTTGACTATCCTTATTGATGTTTTAGCGTCTTGTCTTGTGTCAAGGTTTGAAAGTCACCATAGTGTAAACCTCGTTAGGATGGCATTGGATGTGAGCAAAAGCCTCCCCGGAAAGGTGTCGTTCCGGTAGAGCATGACTAGAACGTTGCATACAATTGTCTTACAAATGCTCCAAATGCGGGGCATCAGGCCAAATCATCCGTTGTCATACCTACCTGGAGGCTTTGCGGTGAGGCTGCGATAGAAAGTCCGCTAGTGCGGAGATGCAATTGCCAATTGCTAGGAAACTCCGCTAGTGCGGAGGTGTAATTGCTACTTGCTGATTAGAAACTCCGCTAGGCCACTTGGCACTATCACTACTCGAGACCGGTCATGAAATACAATGTTCAGGCTTTGTTACCGGTATTGCAGCAGGCATACTCAGTACGCGTGGTCCACAAACGCTAGCGGACTTGTAGCGGAAGGACAAAGACCGAGTTCGATCTGAGCCGTATGAGCTGTGCAACGGACAGTATAAGACCTGGGTCATGTTCTGCATGTTCTACGTACAACACCGCTCTGCCGCCTTCCAACGAGTACCCTAGCTCAACATGTACGTGATGCCATTCGTTGCTGCATATTATGCTCACAACCAGTAGCAGCCCGAGATGGCAGCCCAGCAACAGAGCCTCAGTCAGTGGGTGACAGAGCTGAACAACACTCTGTTTATTCAACCAAATGATGAAATCGCGCTCAAGGCCGTACATGAGCAAGTTGATTCAAGTTTAGTAGTCAAGTACGACACCGCCTCAACGCATCTCAACACATACGTCTGACACAGTGGTGCCTCTAGGATTAACCATCACGTCTACCGATACGACCAATTTCTACCCGGCCTTCAATACGCGCGCGGAACAACTACATCAATCCAGGACACCTTTTCTGTGCTACTTGAATGGGAGAATCCAGACCGTCCTGACGGCGTAGTGGCAGTTCTCAGCAAATGGACAACCAAGGACAAGACAACCGGCGCCGAGACGCAAAAGACCAATGTGATTATCTGGGAGGTTAAGTGGATTGACGGGAGGAGAAAGCTCACCGGACAAACCGAGGTCGAGACAACATGATCTTGATTGGGAACAGGGTCAGATTAGCGCAGGCCTTTCGAGAAGTCTTACGCGTAGATACAACTCGAAGCTGGTCAGGAGAAGTCGACTGTAGCGGGTATTGCAACAAGGAGTGCTTCATAGCTCGTTTCGTGTAGTCAAACGCTTTGCTTTCTTCTGATTGTGCCAGAGTCTGCAAAGGAATTCGGTAACTAGATCAAGGCAATACAAGTAGTTACAACGTTAAGTGCAAGCGTAGTGTCTAAATTGCGGTATCTGGCAGATAATGCCTGAAATCTCCTGCTCAACGGGCTACTGCGTCGTTAGTCAGAGGGGATTTAGACATAGACCATACGTGCTGCCATCAGCGCTACCTACCTACCTCGTTTTCGACAGGAATCCCAACAGAGACTGTCCACGAGAACGGCGCAGAAGCGCTATTAAGAGGTGTGCTCTCTGCTGGATTGCCTGTGCGGTTGGACATCACAGCCCCAATTCGCGCCTAATCAACAAATACACAGTAGGCACGCATGAAGCCCGAGTCGTGATGTCTGCATGGAGGTATCGATAGGTTTAGGCTACTCTTAATTAGGGTTGTAATCTAATAAGACATGATATGGACAGATGGATAGCAGCGAGGAGACGTGTTCAACCTGAGATTCTCCGCAAGGACTTCAGGGCGGTTCTGCGGGGTTTCGTGGTGAATTGGTCGACTTGGGTAGTTGGCTACGTAGGCGCTCTAGTATGCTGGGTCTGCTGTGCTCTGCCTAAGCTATGCTGTTGGGTTAGGGTGGGAATAAGTCAGTGCGTGGGACCGGGATGTGTGTGTACCTTAGGTAGGCAGGCTCGGGGGGAATAGTATACTCCTGGTCGACTGGATGCGGACATACACCCAACAACCAGCAGCACAGGCACAGACGACCTCGCAGACGACCTCGTAGACGGGGCTGAGCGGAAGTGCAGAGCCAGATAGCTGTGCGCAAGTCGTGTTGAAGAATGAATGAATTGAACGGCGGGTATAAATCCCTTTTCCCTCTAAACGCCAGCAATGCACGACAAACCCGGTCTGGACCTACATCTCCCTTTACAAGGGTCCTTTTGAACCACCCCTTCTCTTGCACACCACGCCATCTACCCCATAACCATCGTATCGTCCCCCCCAACATCCACCGCCGCCTCGGGCTCCGCAACCACCCCCCTCCCGCGCCCCGCCAGCAACTCCCTTCTTACCTCGGGACTAATGCCCGCGTGCCCGCGCGACAGCAGCAGATCCAGCAGGGCCTCGCGCTGGTCCTCAGTGACGTCGTTTCTGTAGCGCTGCGCGAACGCGAGCAGGCACTGGTGCCAGATAACCGGCAACTTGGCGGCGCCGCCGAGGGGCTCGCCGTCGACGTCCATCCCGCCCGCTGCGCCGGCGACGCGGAAGCGCAGGAAGTGGAACACCAGCGCGTCGATGACCTTGTACGGCAGCGCGTACTTCTTCTCCAGCAGCGTCTTGATGAAGATGTTACACGGCCCCGCCGCGTCGACGTCGGCGCTCATCTGCGCGGCGGCGATTTCACACAATCTGTGCAGTGCGGCGGCGCTGTGCAGCACGGGGACCGAGACCTTGGCGACGACGGAGGCGACGATTGTGGCTTCGCGCTGGGAGCAGCGGCCCTCGGTGAGCAGGGGGAACACGATGCCCTTGAAGAAGGCGGAGGGCTTGTAGAGCGCCTTCTTCAGGGAGTTGTACAGGTGGATGTTCAGCTTCTGGGTCTCGGCGATGTCGGACTGGATGGCCGGGAGCAGCACGGTGTACAGGAAGATCTGCGCATTTTGGGGTTTCGACGACACGAAGATGCGGGTTGCGGCGTACACGGAGTTCGGGGTCCAGTTCTCCGGGCGCGTGATGGCGAGCAGTGTCTCCCAGGCGGGGATCGAGGGGAGGATCTTGAAGGGCTTGGGCAGCTTGCCGGCCTTGTAGCGCGACAGGATCAGGCCGACTTTGCTGTAGACTGGGGTTGTTAGTAAATATACATAGACAGAGATTACGGAGACGCACCCTCGACGACTTTGGCGGGCAGCTCGACGGCGTCCTCGGGCGCGCCGCCGCCCATGATGTCGCGCGGGCCGTCGGCAGCGGCGGCGCCCTCGTGGGCCGCGATTTTCTCGAGAATCAGCGCAGCGAGATCCGTGCCGGGGCCTGTGGGGGCCTCCTCGGCGCCGGGCCACTGGATGGGGTTGTCGTCGGTGGGGATGAACTTGTTCCACGCGGCGAGGTCGTTGGCGTCGAGCTCGACCTCCTCGACCTCCTCCTCCTCGCCCCAGGCGTCCTCGTCGTCGAACTGGCCAGACACGTGCTCGAGCTCGTCGTCCTCGGCCAGGCGTGCGTCGAAGTCGAAGGCCGGGTTGGCGGCGGGCGCCGCGGTCGCGTTCTCGCGCGCATCTTCCTCCTCCAGCTCGCGGCCAATGTCCAGGATTTTGCGCGAGCTCTTCGAGTCGACGTAGCCCTGCTCGCGCTCCTCGGGCTTGGTGCGCTTGGTGCGCTTGGGCTTGTTCTTGTACGGGTCGGCGGGGAGGTACTCGTCGGCGAGCGGGTTGTGGCGCTGGGTCTGCGGGCCGGGAGATTTCGGTGCTCGCGGCATGTTGGTATATTATTTGTGGTGTTGTGGTCGGAATTCGTACAATCGCCGTCTGTAAAAATAATTGTTGGACCCCGGTAAAATCTGGTGGGGTCCAACGGCGAGGCCCGTGCGGATCGACGTCGACGCCGACGCGCCAGAGCCAACACCACCACCTTCACCGTCACCGCCAACATGGCCGACGCGCCCCGCCCCGACACGCCCACGCTGGCGCCCCCGCTGCGCCGCCCGCTCGACGAGGACCATGTGCCCGCCGTGTCGTCGCCGCTCAACCCCAACCCCAGCGATGCGCCGCGCCGCGCGGGCGTCCCCCCCCGCGAGCGCGAGCGGCGCGAGAAGCGCGAGACGCTGAAGAAGCGCGAGGCGTCGGGCCAGACGCGCGCCAGCACGCCCAACGCGCGCGCAAAGAAGGAGAAGCGCGCCGTCGCCGACTCGCCCATGCGCTACTCGATCCCCGAGCCGCGCGCCGCCGACTACAACCCGCCGCGCGACGGCGTCTTCCTGTCGCGCGAGCCGCAGCCGCTGTTTGCCCCCTCCGGCGCCGAGCTGCGCAAGCCCCACGACTACGCCTGGAACAAGAAGGGCTACCGCTACACCCACTGCGTCGCCGACCCGCTGTTCCGCCACAAGCAGTTCTACCGCCAGAGCGACTCGCGCCCGTACGGCCCGCGCATGAGCCACGAGGACTCGGACAAGTGGTTCTACTTCGACGACACCGCCACCATTGTCTCGCAGGAGAAGGGCTGGCGCATGGGCCGCGCCAACGTCGTCGCCCGCGAGGGCCGCCTGTACTACGAGGTCAAGATCCTGCGCGGCATCCCGCCCGACGGCCCCAAGGACCCCGTCGACCCGCGCACCGGCGACACGCGCCCCGGCCCGCACGTGCGCATGGGCTGGGCCCGCCGCGAGGCCCCGCTCGACGGCCCCGTCGGCTTCGACGGCTACAGCTACGGCATCACCGACGCCCGCTTCGAGGCCCAGCACCGCTCGCGCGCCTCCAAGATCTTCAAGCCGCTGCCCAAGGGCGCCAAGGGGAAGCACATGAAAGCCCGCCCGCCCCACGGCAAGCCCGTCCCCGTCGAATACCTCACCGACCAGCACGTCTCCGAGGGCGACGTCATCGGGCTCGAAATCCAGCTGCCCTCGCTGTCCCTCCACCGCAAAGTCGTCGCCGGCATCTACAACCCCGCCGTCGACCTCGGCGACGGCTTCGCGGCCCCGAACACGCCCCCAGACCCCTTCGACGCCCCGCTCGACATCATCCGCGACCGCATCCCCGTCCCCTACAAGGGCAACTTCTACTTCGAGCAGCTCGACTACCAGCCCACGAAACCCGTCGAGGCGTACCACGACCGCGGCCCCGTGCCGCGCGTGCACCCCTCGCCCAACCACGACGACGTCAGCGTGCGCTCGCTGCCGCACTCGCACATCCGCGTGTACAAGAACGGGGTGGAGATGGGCGTTGCGTTCGACAGCTTGCTTGCGTTCTTGCCGCCCGCGAGCGCGCCGTCGGCCGAAGCGGTGAAGGCGGGTGCGAGGACGGGGTTCGACGACGGGATGGCGGGGTATTTGCCCGCGGTTAGTGTGTTCAACGGGGGGGTTGCGCAGGTCAATATGGGTCCGGATTTCTGGTGTCCGCCGCCGGGGCTGCGCGTTGATGACTTCAACCTCTCCACCGCCTCTGGTCCTGCGACCGCCGCTGACACCGCAGACGCGGCCGCAAACACACCGACGCCCGATGTCATCGAAGGCCGCACCCTCCGCCCCATCTCCATCCGCTACAAGCACCAAATCGCCGAAGACGTCGTGTGGGACATCATCGACGAAATCGACTTCTTCGCCCAGGACGGCGGCTGGGAGTACAAGGGCGCCGCGCCGCAGGACGTCGGGGGCGGGGCGGCACTGAAGGCTAGGGGGTTTGCGAGGGATCCGGATGAGGGGCTGGGGGTTGAGGTGGGGAGGAGGTATTAGTAGACATGGAAGGGGGTGGGGAGGGGGGTGGAGGGGAGAGGGTGGAGGCGGTAATGTGGGGTTGAAGGTGTGAGAGGGTTCAGCGGGGGAGCATGGGAGGAGTACGAGGGTAGGCGTGTGCCTGTGTTTCAGTATCTGTCTATCTATTCACCTGTTACCCATCCAGCCGCCCAGGAAGGGCAAAGGGATGGGTGGTGCCCGTGGACTCAGATACGGGCATGGGGATGGACACAAATACTGACACTGACAATAATATCGACACCGACACTGACAATAACGTCGACAAATGGAAACGCAAACAGGAATAGAAATGTGTTCGTGGATTCGTGTATCATGCTAGCTGTGCCTCGCCTATACTCGCAGTCGCAGTCTCGATTCTCCCTCGCTTCTCCCTCGCGCTCAAGCTCAAGCTCAAGCTCAAGCTCAACATCGCCCTAGTCCTCGTTCATACCCGTACCCGTACCTGTGCTCGTAATGCCATGACCGTAACCTATCCGAACCCGAAAACCCGAAAACCGAAACCCGAAAAACGAAACCTGAAATCCAGACGCCTGCCTGGCGCCGTTGATGCTCTAGTCCGTCAACATGGAAAAGGAAATGTGGATGCGAGAAGCGACACCCGTCACTTCAGCCCCGTCGAGCAAGCCCCGTCGAGCAAGCCGTCCGCGACGACTCACAACAGCTCGTCACAACTCGCCGTCTCGCCGTCTCGCCGTCTCACCGCGGACTCCCCCCCAGCGCCCCATAACTACGCGGACTCGCGTGCCGACTCGTGCCCAGCAGCGCGCGCGCCTCGTCCAGCGCCCGCCCGCCCGTGCGGATCGGGATGCTCTGGCTACTGCGGCGAGCATCCGGTGCTGAGCTGGCTCCCGCGCGGCTCCCAGCCCGACTTCCAGCGCGACTACCAGGGCGACTAGCAGGGCGACTCCCATCCCGCGCCGGACTCCCTGCGCGGCTCTCGTCCACAGGGGACCCCCACCCGGGCGTCCCCGCACGACTCACGCTCGGCGTCGCCGCGACACTGACCGCCGGCGCCCATCCGCGCATCCACCCACTGACCCTGCGCCAGTGCAGCCTCCTCCTCTTCATGACCCCGTGCTCATCGACCTCGACCACGATCTCATCATCTCTAAGCACCATGCGCCCACGCGCGTCCTTCAGCTCCCCGTCGCCGAAGACCGCGAACTGCACGCCCACAGCCGCGTCCATGATCAGCACGCCCGCGGCGCCCAGGAAGAAGGGCAGCGCGCGGCTGATCCAGACCCCCCGCGTGGAGCCGTCGGGCGCCCAGCCGCTGCCGGCGGGGAAGTCGGTCCAGGCGCTGGGGTTCGTGAGCAGCGAGGACGAGTAGAACAGGTTGCCGAAGAAGGCGGCGGCGAAGAGCGTGGGCGACAGGCCGGCGGTGCTGCGGCGGCAGTGGTTTTTGTAGAGTTGCGGGAGGCGGCTGCCGAGGTAGAGGATGGTGGAGGACCAGGAGAAGATTTTGCCGAGGATTTCGCGGGTCGTCATCGGAGGGGTGGAGCTGAGGGGGGATAGCGCGGGCGAGGGGCCCGTGGGGTGCGCGAGCGTGCCGTGCGAGAGCACCGCGAAGACCACGCTGATGTAGAGCAGGGTTTTGGGGGACGCGAGGGGTGAGCTCGAGGCCGCGACGCGGCGGATATTGCGATTCGAGGGCGTGCCCGGGGAGTCGAGGATCTGCGGGCCGCCAAAGGGCGACACGGCGTACGACTCCTTCACATTGCCGGGCGAGCGCGCAAAGTTGGGGATGCGGAAGGCGTCGAGCGGAGCCGAGTGCTGGACCTCAATATCCTTCTTGTCCGGTGTCTCCGGCGTCTTGCCTTTCGCAACCTGCTGCATACCACCACCACTCCCGCCATCGTTCTCGCCGCTCTTCCAGCGGCCCCAGATCGGGCGCAGCGGGCGGCCGTGGTGCAGCAGCTCATACCAGATCCACTGCCCCGTCAGCCCGCAGTCCACAAAGACATAGTAGCTGGCAATGACAATCTGCCACGTCGCCTGCCCCGTGAACAAACAGCCCAGCAGGTTCGTCAGGTCCCCCAGCAGCCACTCGCTGAGGAAGTACACGCTGAGCCCCGACGTCGACTTGAGCTTGTAGTTCTTGTAGATCTGCGGCAGCTGCGCGAACAGCCACGACACGATACTGCACGTGCCGAGCAGCGTTGATACGAGCGCGAGGTACGACGGTATGCAGGTGTTGAAGGTGATGGACAGCGACTCGAGCAGCTCGTCTGTCGGTTCGCAGTTCAGCGGCAGGCTCGGCTGGTCGAACTGGAGCAGTCGGTAGGGCAGCATCGCCGCGGTTGACCGTGAGGAATGAAGGGTCCGTCTGCTTTGTGTGTCGCGGCCGGTCAGGTGCCTCAGCGCGTGGACAGCCACGCGGCAGCCGTCTTATGTCTTGAACGTCTCAGACTTCACCAGAGCATCGATCCTCAGCAGCTGGTCCGACTTGCGTGGTGACGTCGGCTCGGCTCACGTAGATAAGAAGACACGCGAGCAACAACGCCGGAGGATAGGAATAAGCAAAGTGCAGTACAACACGCAGGTGAGAGAAGAGTCACTCGAGCAAGAAGCAGAGAGCAAGAAGCAACCAGAGAGTCATCGATACCACACCAGTCAACCACCCACCAGACGATCCCCGGGCTCGCATGCCCGATACGAGGTAGACCGCGCCATGCGGCAAACGGCGGCGGCGCGCTGATTCGAGGCCGTGTCTGGGGCGGGTGCTCTGCTGGGCGACAATCCCACCCGCAATGTGACACTCAAAGTGATAAGAGATAAGCGGCCGCTTTGCGCCCGGCAGGCACGCGATCAGCAGATCCCCCGATGGGCCGCTTGTGGCTTGGCGGTGTCACGTCTCCGCCGCACGCGCTGCACACAGCAGTTCTCAACTGCGAGCGCGCGACTGGCTGGCTGCGACATCTCGCAGCTCGATGTGCATGGTACAATACCCGTTTTGCGGGGGCAGGGATGCGCCCCGCCTCCGTCATCGGCAGCGCAATCGCTACTAAACTCCACTAAGGCGTCCAAAACGTAAGGGAAACGCGAGCCACTCCGTCACGGGTCACACGCACACATCGCGGCACGATGGATTGTCACGAGAAACACCCCGGCGTTCCTATCTAGTGTACACAGCTCTGCCTACGCCTCGTCACCGCCTTCGTCGACCCGGGCATACGCCTGTCTGCGCCATGTCGGACTGCAACGCGTCAGCGGCCGCGATATCTATAACCGTACAGCAACATACTAGACGTAGTTCCTGAAGCCCACAATGCCCGCCGTCATCGCCGCGTACGCACCCAGCAGACTCCCCCAGCTCGACCCGGCCTGCCCAACCGCCAGCGCCGCGAGATCGTACACCAAGCAGCCGCCGAAGATCCAGTCGCTGACGCTGGCGACCGCCGCAAACCCGACGCCCGTCGCGATCTGCACGAGCCCCGAGGGCGCCACGCCGCGGTAGTACGCCGCCGACGTGTTGTGCAGCAGGTCCAGCACGCCGATGCCCGCGAACGTCTTGGCGACGACGTGCGTGAGCCAGTTGGGCGTGGAGCGGGTGTCGAGAGGCTCGAGCGCGGTGGAGATGTAGGCGAGCTGCGCGACGGTGTTGATGATGACGAAGACGTTTGCGGTTGCGAGGTTGTCGGCGTTCCAGAAGAACATCCACGCTGTGCGGGTCAGTCTCGAGGATCACAAAAGCGACAAGTAGTGAAAAGGTAAGAAGTAGGAGCTCAGGACGACGTACTCCCAATACACACGTTCCCCAGACTGTACACCCACGCAAACCGCTCCATCATCGCCTGCTCCTTGGCCGTGCCCTCGCGCCGGCACAGCTTCCACAGCCACGCGACCTGGAACAGCTGCTGGGGGAAGAAGAAGCCGGCGATGGCGTAGGGATACGGCGAGAAGGCCGCGGGATTGCGGTTGTGGATGTCCAGCATGTTGGGCGACGAGAACATGCCGTACTGCTGCGCGGCGAAGTCGAACAGGAACGACGCCGGCGCCAGGTAGTGCACGGTGGAGAGGTTGTTGCCCATCGTTGCAAGTTAGAAAGCTTAGTGGTGTTGGTGTCTTGACGTGAATTCTAGATGTGAATTCTAGATGTGTTGTTTAGGTGTGGTTCTAGATACATTGGGATTCATATCCATCAATACCATAAAGTCCACGCGCATCCGACAACCCCATGTTCGTAGTCGTGCACGTCATGCGTAAATGCATCTCTACGATGTCATGTCAGGGTCCAGGCCAGAAGCGGAAACGGCGATACATCATGATCGGGAGTCGGTATACTCGGATGCCGATACGCGAACGCGGACTAACTTTGTAGATACTTACAGAATGATGTTAGCTGTGCAGAATCGAGATGTTGTGGATGTAGTGTGCAGCGACTCGTTCGTGGGGAGCATACTCTACTGGGCACTCGAGTGCCTACGTTGAGAGCTTGTCACGTGGTATGTCGTGGAGATATGCACACATGTTTGACGCATTCACCGACGGTGGATGATAAGGGCTAGTGGGGTGGAGCGACCATACTCCAAGCTCTACTTGCTGCTGCTGCCGTTTTTGCACTTTGATTCATCGGAACGGCAATATGCGTACGACCCGATTCAATATCTTGTGAAAGTATACTGCATAATTCTGTACATTACAACGACTGTATCCTAATCGAGCACAATTGTGGTATCCATGCAACATAACGCCGTCTACTCCTCATCCCACCAGCACTACCAGAGCGCAGCGTCCTTGTCGAAACGCACCATCTCCTTGCCTGCGTCCTCGACATCCTTCCTAGCCTTCATGCGCATGTAAAAGATGGGGCAATCTCTACTCGCGCAAATGACTTCGCAGTGAATGCTACCTTGACACCGCTGGCACTGCGTCCAGAGTCGCGAGAAGCGGACTTCCAGCTCGCTGACCTTGCTGAGTTGTTTCTGGTACAGCTCGCCAATGCGCGGACGGCAGTTCTCGCACACTGCGCCCTCCTTCTCGTGCGCGGCTGTGAGAGGCTTCTTGCATCCCATGCACGTCTGGGTCTTCTTCGCAAATTTCATCAGTCCGCCCACAGTCGGTACTGCAACGGAGATGGCTCTGGTGTGTTCACCCGTCAGGAGCGAATTGGCCCTCTTCTCACCGAGAATGGGCTCGAAGATTCTGCCCAGCGGTTTCGCGAGCTGATTGTCGAGGTAGTATCGCGTGTCGATGGGCAGGTTGTTCTCCAGCACCCAGATGGGATCTTCAGACTTCTCGTAGTTCTTTGAACCGCTGGCGGCCTTGACCATGACATATGCAACACGGTCACCGAGTGCGGGTGCGGAACCAGCATCGCGCTTCTTCATCCGTTCGGCCAGCTCGACGTGGGCTTGCTTGTTCGCGTAACCGCCCTTGCCTTCCTTGTCTTCTTGTTTGGTGAGGGCTTTCGTGATCACGAGGTTGGACATGTCGACTTTGTTCTGCAAGAGGTCCGAGATGGTGTCTTTGACGAATCTAATCTTGGTTAGTGACGACACGGAATGGTTCGAGATTTGACCTACTCTTGGGCGCCCTCGGGATCTTGGTCGATCAACAGCATACGCAGTGACGTTTCGATGACCGTCTGCACAAGACGGCAGTTGTCACGACGGACAGTCTCAATGCCTTTGGTGTCCATCTTGTCCCACTTGTCTGGATTCGTCCAGTACAGACCAGCATAACGCTTCTTGTTGATCAAAAGGTAGGGGAAGTATACCTTCTCGAACTCGAGCTTGATCGGTTTGACGAACTTCGAAGACACATAATCAGCTGCCTCCTGCCCCAGCTTCATGGACTCCGCCAACTCGGACGTGCCGAACTTGACCATGACAGAATCAGTGTCACCGTAAATGACCTCTGCATCGTGGCTGTAACCGTTCGCGATCGTATATTTGGCTTCAACCTCCGCCTTCGTCTTTTCGATCATTTGACGACCGAAACTGGTCGTACTACTGGCGATTGCCAGACAGGGCAACTTGCCGTTGGTGGCACCCGTGAGACCGTAGACAGAGTTGGCGCTGACCTTCAAAGCCAATTGACGACCGTTGAGCACAGCTCTCTTGAAAGCATCCGGCTCGACAGCCAATTCTCTCTTCGCTTTTTTACGGGCAGACAGCAATTCTTCGAGAATCTGCGATAGTAACCCTTTGCGTGTCTTGACCGTGCAGAACATGTCGCCATTTGGTGTCACGATGTAGTCCTCGTCCTTCTTCATCTTCAGTTTCTCTACTGTTGATTTGTCGAGCCAGGTCGTGTAGCAGAGGTTGTGGGCTTGCATGATACTCGGGTACAGCGAGGCAAAATCGAGAGTAGCAACGGGCTGCTTGTAGTATCCTCGCTTTGGCTCGATGACGGTCGCACCTTCGTACTGATCTTCGCTGCTGCCTTGGTTTGGCAGGTCGGGGCAGATAAGCTGGTGGTCCAGAGCTTTTCGGAACAACTGGCTGATGAACCTGACCTGCTGTCCTCGAGCCAAGAGATAGTTGAACGGTACACCCGTGACCCTGGCCATCTCGGTATAGTTGACCAAACACATGAGCTTGTCCAGAAGTCGTTGTGGAAGATACGCGTCCTTCAAGCAATACACCGCCAGTCGCCGCCGAGAGTTCGAATCGCCATTGAACAGTTCTGTGATCATGCTGTGGTGCACATCCTCTTTCTGCTCTTTCAGGAAATGCGCACACACAGAGTTGAGTGTGTAACTTCGCAGTTGGTGGTCTCGTTGAATGAGTTGTAGTAGATCAAGCTGAATCCGACCGTTGGTGTTGGTCGTTTTCGTGTCACGACTGCCCAACTGCTTGCTCGAGAAGTTCGAAGATTCCACCTTCGACTGCACTGTCTTGAGTCGGGTCCAGTAGGGGAACTTCGCGAGCTTGAGATGTTTGGCACGATCCAGTAAATATGGGAAATCGAAGTTGGCAATGTTGTATCCGATGATGACGTCTGGGTCAACCTCCTCAACAAAATCGCGCCACTTCATCAGCATGTCACCCTCATCAGCGAAGGAGAAGATCTGTGTTGCCACAATGGGGCTGACGGTGTCCAGACAGAAGACGTTCCTCACGAATGGCTTATCCTCGCCATTTCTGGTGACAACGTTGGCAATCTGAATGACAGGGTCGACGTTCGCCTCTGGAAAGACACCTTTGCGACCAGCGCATTCGATGTCGAAGGAGAGGATGCGGAGAGGCGCCGATTTTGCCCACTCGCCTTCCGATTGATGAGCGATGAGGTCTGAGTAGTGTATTTGCGCCTCAATCTGGCAGTTGGAATGCTGGTCTCGCGGATGCAAGAGCTTGTACTTGCCGGCAGGCGCTTCCACCCATGACATGCCCGCAATCTTTGTGTCGATCATGAACCTCAAAACATATGCAATGTTGTCGAAGGTCAGAATGCCGTCCTCGCGAGCAGGCCAGAGCCTCTTGTAGTTGGCGTTGCCCCTTTGTACCATCGTCCGTACGCGGTTGATCATTTTCGGGTCGTTGACCGTGATTTTGAGGTATGGGCTCTTCTGGTTGCCCTGGAAGCGGAGAATATTCTCTCGCATGCACATCTGCACCGAGGCAATGACCGCTGAGTGCTGGTTGAACTGTTTCTGGCATTCGCTCTCGAGGAAGATCTGATATGGCTTGCAGTCTTCCTTGTTGAAGTTGAGTGGCGCGGCGACGTAGAAGTAGTGAAGGAATCCAGTGACGTGTAGGAGTACTGAGTGGCCGTTCTACAAGCACGCTGTCAGCACCGATACCTTGCAGCGGATAACGCGACTGACCTCTGTAACGCCGAACAGCTTGACAGCAGGCTTTCCTCCATTCAACACGCTCTCCTCGGCTTCAATCTGCTGGAAGACGACTTTCGAAGTCATCTCGCTGAAGCCCGTGGGCAACGCTGGTCGCTGCCATTGCTGGTCCCTCTCTGTGTTCTTCGTCTTCAGGGCTTCGATATCCTGCGTCATCTGCTCCAGCGTGCTCTCGAACTGGCTTGGCCCCGGCTGGCTCGAGTTGAACGACCCATTGACCTTCTTGATCGGCGGCCCTCTTGTTGTGCCGCCATTCTCGAGTTTGAGCTTCTTCGCGGAGCGGGGCGATGCATTGACGCGGTTGTTCGAGGCTTCAGTGAGGGCGCGCTTCGCCGGCGTTTTTGTTACGGGCCCGACCATCGTGACTGATTCAAGGAGTTGTGGACACACGAAGCAGCTACACAGGCTGCGTTGCTGTGTTGTTGATGGCGCGTTCAAGGGTTGTGGAGAAGACGCGGAAAGTACCACTTTCGGCTAACGTGTGAACGCGGAAAGCGCGACCGCGTCATGCACGTGCGCAACATCCCTGTACGTGTTGATGGGCCCTGCACCAGCCACATTTACGGGGTTTCGCGAGGCTCAATGTCCGTTGTTCTAGATTCTACATCGGGGCGCTGTTGTGATCTCTGTATTGAACGATGATGGCCTTGGTGACAAAGCTTCCAATTCTCGCATTGCAGCATGGTGGAGTTCCGACGTCCATTTCATCAATAGTCATCCGAATGCTCATCAAACCCCACGCATTCGACTGTACCGATGCATTTACTTAGCTAATAGTAGGCCTGATCCGCCCGCCAAGGCATTGGTCCGCCTCCGCGTCGTCACTTGTTCGTGTCTGTACCTTAGAATCTGACAAATACATCAGAGATATAATCGTAGCGCACATCTATAAATCGGTCAACCGCCTCTCACACTATCCACATCAAGCACCATGTCTACCACTCAGAACGACATCATCGTCGAACCCGTTGAGACGGAGCAGGATATCCGACAAGCGAACTATTGCGTATCAGAAGCATTTGGCCGTCAAGCGAAGGATGCTGTGTGGATCCTCGTGAACCCAGGATGGGACACCAAAGAAGGGCAAGCTGTTCATGCCGAGGGTCTGATCCAACGTTGGAAGTCGGGAACCGTCAACAAGAACGGCCAGCCCAACAAGGTCTACCTGAAAGCCACGCTGCCCGATCCGGAGAACCCTGGGCAGCGAAGAGTTGTAGGAATGGCAGTCTGGCAGCAATTCTCCGAGATTGAGGGCTGGGGCGACAAATATACAGGCGATATGACTGAGGCACTGGCACAGTTGGACGGCGCAGAGAAGCGCTTTGCGGACCAGATGTTCAAGTCACTGTGGAAGAGGCGCACCTCGTATATCAAGGAGATTGCTGCCCAGAAGGACCGCAGCAGCCCGCCTGCCATCTTCACCCTGGATCTCTGCGCAGTCGACCCAGCATTTCAACGACGAGGCATTGCAGCCAAGCTTGTGCAATGGGGGTTGGATGAGGCTAAGAGGCGAGGCAACTTGGAGTGCACCACAGAGGGAAGCGCCATGGGAAGAGGAGTTTACAGGAAGCTGGGATTCAAGGACGAGGGCGAGGGCGACATCGTATATGAGGTCGACGACGAATTCAAGGACTGGGATAAGCCACCAAACGTCTTTCTGCGGAACGGCCTTTGAGAGGTAGCAATCTGTCATAGAATACCGAACATCAAGACATGATTACAGCCGCCGATACACCCTGCTTGACGATGACTAAAAAGTGGCTAGATATCTGTGCGGACATCTCCGTTACCCGCCTGCTCCATAGCTCCACGCTTGTTGTGGAAGGTGGGTGTGACGATGTGGGGCCTTCGTCTGAAGCTACCCCGCCAGCGTTCAAGTTCACGATAACTGCGTCGTCTGTCAACAGACATTTTGACTATCTCAAGGCTGCAATTGCTATTCAAGAGACTGACCTCACCACAAAACGTCTCGTAGAAGTTACTGGGGACCCTTTCTTCAACATGGCGCCAATTGTCGACATCCACACTCATGTGTACCCTCCCAAGTACATGGAGCTGCTGCGTTCTCGAACGACAGTTCCCTACGTTCGCAATTTTCCAGATGCGCCCGAATCTTCGCGTCTCATCATTCTTCCTGGTGAAGATGATCCCTCCATGCCGTCAACCTCGCGCGGCCGCCCCATTGGCTCCGAATACTTCGACATTGCCGAGAAGATTGCGTTCATGGACCAGCACAAGATTGACAAGAGTGTGATTTCACTCGCAAACCCATGGCTGGATTTCCTGCCTGCAGAAGAGGCAGGAGAAAAGGCTATCGAAATCAACGACGACGTAAACGAGCAATGCGCACTGTACCCCGGGAGACTGTACTTCTTCGGCACACTGCCTTTGTCGAGCGACACCGCCACCATCGTCAAGGAGATCGAACGTCTATCAACACTGAAGTATGCGCGCGGCGTCATCCTCGGAACCTCAGGTCTCGGCTCTGGTCTTGACGACCCAAAACTCGACCCCGTTTACGCTGCGCTGCAGGAGCACAACCAACTGATCTTCTTGCACCCGCATTACGGTCTCCCCACATCTGTATACGGACCCAGGGCTAGCGAGTACGGCCACGTCCTGCCACTGGCGCTCGGGTTCCCGCTCGAGACCACCATCGCAGTGACGAGGATGCTGTTGAGTGGCGTGTGGGACCGGTTCACCGGCCTCAACGTTTTGCTCGCACACAGCGGCGGTACTCTGCCTTTCCTCGCCGGCAGAATCGAGAGCTGCATCCTGCACGACGGTCACCTCAAGGCACATGGCAAGACTCAAAACCGCCGCGATGTATGGGATATCCTGAAGACGAACATCTACCTCGATGCGGTTATCTACTCCACTGTCGGGCTGAACGCCGCAGTCGAGGCGTCCGGAGCTGACAGGCTGCTGTTCGGTACGGACCACCCGTTCTTCCCACCGCTTGAGGAGGATGCGAAGGAGTGGCACAGCGTCAATGCGAACTACGGGGCGATCTCGAAGTCGTTCAGTGGTGGCGATGGGAAAGCTGAGGGAGTGCTCGGCGGGAACGCCGTGCGGATATTGAGATTAGAGTAAACGACACAATTGACTTTCACACATGTCACGGCCAGGGTGCATCCAACTGATTACCAGCTTCTTTCCTGTGACTAAAAGGAGGTTTCGTCTCCTTGAATATCTGTCACGCCACGCAGTGTGCGAAAAGACTCGATCAGAACAAAGCCATCTGCTATGCGAAATGACATTGACGATCGTTGCATCAATTCACATGGACGTTACAGACGCATCGCTTTGCGAGTCGTGTGCTCATACAACACAATTCAACAGGTGTAGCTGCCTAATCGCGATACTGATTGCAATAGGTTCTCAATTTCGTATGCCAATGCTAGCTCAAGGTATTGGAGGCAGGTGTATGGAAAGCAAATCGAAAGTGTATCACTTCTTCTTCAAGGCGCAGCATCAAAGCTACAGCATCGACGAAAAACTCTGGACCAGCTGCTCAGAGGAGCAACTTGGTGTATGATTTGCGGGCATACACTCCCTAGCCTGGACTTTGGTGCCTTCGAAGGGAAGGATTACTCAATCAACAAGCCTTGGAAAGAATCATCAAAAGAACCCTCAACCTCCAAGGCTTGGGAAGCAGGGTTAAAAAAACCACTCAGCCTCCAAACCATCGGAAGAAGATAAGTCAAGAGACCATTCACCTCCAAGACCCAATTGAAAGCTTGGTTTAAACCCACTCACCAACAAGGTCACCGCGCTGCGCCCAGTGAAGCTGCTGTGAGGTGTCTTGCTCGCTGCACAGCAGGTGATCTCCACTGATCGAGGAAAAGTGTCAGAGCCGCACAAAGGATAACGAATACCCACTTAACGCAGATGACTGGTCACCTCGTCGCCGAGGGACTCATGCGCAAACACCACGAAAGGTAAACCGATCGCGGGTCTGGCAGGCGCCAGACTGAAAGTTCAGTCCAACTCACTGGATCGAGGGAAGAATAACGAATACTCATTCGCGACGAGCAGTGTTTGCCTCCCTCAATCGCAACCGCAGGAGGATAACGAATACCCACTCGTTGGCTGCTCAAGAGGTGACAGGCCCACGATGTCAGAGGATAGGAAATGGTGCAGGTCTCTGCACAGCAAATCCGGTCCCCCCATGAAGGACGCAGTAGACACGTTCGAGCGACGAGACTGGAAGACACCGGCCGTGGCAGAACTGTCAGATCCAGAAGCGAAAATCTCTGCGCGGATGCGTTAGTGGTAGGATAACGAATACCCACACACACCAAACGCTGTCGAAAGCAGTGGCGAGCTGCAGTCGTCCAACTCCAACCGCACCAGACGCCTAAATCCGTCCGAGGATGGCGAAGAATCCTGGCAACAAGCGCGCTACCAACAGTACCTAGGCGGGGATCTGGATTGAATGAGAAAAGTGTCGTGGAGAAGAAGTACGGAGGAGCGGGGAATCGCCAGCTTATATGGGCGCGCAGCTCACGCTAATCAGGTGAGCAGGTGACTTCGCACGGGCGTCGGCTGCTTGTCTGCTGTGGTGAGGTGAAGGTGAAGATAAAAACTTTGCGTGAGCAAATATGCGGTCAGGCTGCAAAGTCGACTTACTTTATTTCTGGTGTCACTCGTTTCAGTGTAGCTGAGCGGTTCTGAGCAAGTAACGTCATACCATGCTGGTGAAGTGAACAGTTCACCGTGACCATTTGCACAGACCATATATGTCGGTCGCCTCGCCGCCGTGTCCCTCTCCAGGCTCCACCACCTACATCACAATTTTCGTGTCTTTATCATCAAATCACTCCAATCACTACCAGACGCCAGCCCAGCAACGCGCCCACACTCACGCTCACATCCACCCCGCCGACCATGTCTTCTCCCTTCGAGCTCCCTATCCGAGGTGGTGGCTCCAGGTCATCGGCCGCCAGCGAAGACGCCAAAGACAAGGAGATTGCTGCCTACAAGCTGCGTGTTGCCGAGCTGGAGACTTCGGAGGCAGATGCTTGGGAGGTGTCCGCGGAGTCAGAGAAGAAGTGCGAAGAGCTCGGAGAAGTAGAAGCGCAGCTCCAGACTGCAACCAGGGAGCTCGTCCAGCAGCGCCAGACTGCAGCCAGGGAGCGCGCCCAGCAGCAGCAGAGGGCATCCGACAGGCGCCTGGAGATAGTCCGGGCGGAGTGCGAGGACAGAGTGCGCCGCTCCGAGGCCAAGACCGCCGTCAAGGTCACCGAGATGGAGGAGAAGATGGAGGCGAAGGACGAGAGGATTCGCCAACTGGAGCTGCAAGTCCGTCTGCAGGACCTCCCTCGCGTGCCGCAGTTGACCCTTGGGTCCAGCGCACGCGCCCTGCCGGCGGACTTGCAGAGTCTGGAGGTGAGAATGAAGGCTCTGAGGGCGCCAGATGCCGACGTAGAGATGGAGGATGTGGAGACGACGGAGCCCGCCATGAAGAAGAGGAAGAGACCGGGGAGGATGAAGGCTATGTGAGACGGAGGTCCCCAACACAACCTGGCTGAGTCTGCACACTGGCATAGATAGCCAACCGAATGCGATGTGCTATACTCTCGAAGAAAACGTGCCTAAGATCACTTGTATGTCTCCTAGCCATCATTTGTGAGCCAATGGAAAGACGCAAGTCGTTGTGTTGGTCGTGTTTTGCAAGAGGCTGTCGCAGTGACTTGACTCGATCTCGACGAAGTGATACGTACAGGGTAGAACAACACATCTTGTGCTATCAAGGGTAAGAGTGTCAGATAAGTTGAATGTATTCTAGCTGTGGTATGTATTTACATGTGAAGAGGCTCGATGTTGTGTTGGATGTATCCTGGTAGAAGCTATCGTAATGATCTTGCTCAACCTGATCGAAGCCATCGGTAGCAAAGGGAACAAGACATCATATGCCATTAATATGATATACATAGGGCGAGTTGAAGCTCTCCTGGCTGTAACATGTAGATCGATATGAAGAGGCTCGTTGTCATGTTGGGTGTATCTTAGTAAAAAGCTTCACATAGACTCGGCAACACTTGGTCGAAGTCATCGGTAGCGAAGCGGACAAGACACCATATGCTGCCAAAACAAGGAGTACCATATGAGTTGAGGCCCCCCGAGTCGTGAAAGTAGATTGATGCGAAGAGGCTGGTTGATCTGCTGAAGTAGAAGCCTTCGCAGTGATTCGACACCACCTGGCCGGAGTCACAGATAGCAACAAGATTGAGTACAACGTCCCTACTGTCTGTGGATTAGAGGAAGTCCGGAGTGTACTGAGCTTCTCCTGGCTACGATGTATGAGTAAATCCGAAGAGACTTGTCGGCGCGTTGGCTGTACCTCCATAGAAGCCCTAACCACGTCTTGCTTGAAAACATTTAATCTGCCCCCCTGATCTTTTGCAAGATGACGGATTTATTGCTGCCGCTCAAAATTGGGATGTAACGAAAGCTGTCGTGGGTTGTTCACGAGTTCGCCAGGGTAGAGATTGAGTTGATCGAACTCGTTCTTCTTCCTAGTTCATGGTCTGCGCTCATCATCGGATGACCGGCACGGCGCCATGAATTCCCTCATAAAGTTCTTAAAGGGAGCAGTTGGCGGCTCGGATTCCAAAGACTACACCTTCTGCGCCAGGCCGAGAAAGAAGCCTTGATCCGTTACACATACACCACTGAGAGGGATCCTGGTAAAAGAACCACACATCTCTGGACGCTGTTGACTTAGCATATCCTAGTCGTGCATGCGCATTCAACATAACCGAGGAAGTGTAGACACCATCGATGATGGGATAAACATTGGAACGCACGATCTAGATGCATGTTGAGCAGACCGTGGAGAGCGAGCAAATCCCGCAAGATGCAGAAACAAGTACCGAACTGAGGACAAACTGAGGGATCGGATGCTCGTCAAACCACGATGATCGAGGGACGCTTATGTCTTAAAGAGTCTCCTGGTCCAGAAAACATACACACTGGGTCGTCAAGAGATGAGTTCTGCTAGAGCATCTCTTCCCATCTGGCTTCTGCTGCGGTGATGTATGATGAGCGAATGATGACGTCCTTACCCGAGAGTTAAAACGTTCTGTACGTGGAGTATTGAGACTGTGTTAGTCGGTTGAAGATTTAAAAGTCGAGTGTAAACACAGAATCAAAAGTCTGATTGTCTCAATGCGCGCGAGACATGCGGAAGTTCACGATGTTGTCTTGGTGTTGATATGGTGCCCCACCTTCCCCACCAACCCTTATCGCAGCTCGTCTGCACCTTCCGTCCCTGGCTTCAGCCCCTCATTGTCACCTCCGCGCCGCTCTCCATGGCAAAGCGGCGGCGGGCAGCTCCGCCGACGGCGCGAACGTCGGATGATGCTGGCCTGAACAACGCCTGCTCGTATCTCGCACCCTGAGGCCGTATCTTTGCTGTTTGTACCTCTTATAGCCTCCGGCCCACCATTCGTGCACGCGACACCCAAGCTCAACATGGCGAACATCAATTCCAGTCAGGCAGTCGCCCAGGATGACTTGGTGATTCCAGTATGCTCGCATGCTTTCTACACTATCTTTTTCTAACCTCTAACAGCTCATTGACTTCGGCTTGTTCCTCTCCGGAGACCCTGCCGCGAAGAAGGCCACCGCCCAAGCTGTCCTCGAAGGCTTCCAGAACGCCGGGTTCGTATACCTCAAGAACCATGGAATATCCCCCGAAACCTCCAAAAACGCCTTCTCACACAGCGCTAAGTTCTTCGCGCGACCTCAGGAGCAGAAGGATGCTATGGCATGGTACTCAGCAGCCGCGAACCGAGGGTATGTCGCTCAGGGTCGCGAGAAGCTCGTCCCGCTGGACGAGACAGGAACTGAGGAGGAGATGCGCAAATCGGTGCCAGATCTAAAGGAATCGCTGGAGATTGGGCGAGACGACCAGCCGGACACACCAAACATGTGGCCCAGTGGGGACGAGGCCGCGAAAGAGTTCAAGCAGGACATGCTGGGCTTCTTCGAGACTTGCAAGGGTCTGCATATGCAGGTTATGCGCGCCATTGCGATGGGTATGGGTATCGAGGAGAGCTGGTTCGATGGATTCACGGATGCTGGAGACAACACTCTGCGCTTGCTGCATTACCCTGGCGTGTCCAAGTCGATCTTCAAGCGCACTGATGGTCAGGTGCAAGTCAGAGCTGGTGAGCACAGCGACTATGGTAAGCTTTGTGTACAATCCCGAGGATGAACATTTTCTAACCCGCTCTAGGTTCTATCACCTTGCTTTTCCAGGACAAGCGCGGTGGTCTTCAGGTTCGCTCACCAAAGGGCACATTTGTCAACGCCACACCTATCGAAGGTACCATCGTCGTCAACGCTGGTGACTTGCTCGCCCAGTGGTCCAACGACACAATCAAGTCGACGAAGCACCGCGTGGTCGAGCCACCGCCGAAACCAGAGGATGAGGGACTGGAGAGCTACCCACCACGATACTCAATCGCCTACTTCTGCAACCCCAACTACGAGCGCATGATCAAAGCCATTCCAGGTACATACGAGGAAGCAGGGAGAAAGTACCAGGATGTGCAAAGTGGAGAGTACATCATCGGGAGGTTGACAGCGACGTACTAAGGCCACAGCATTACAAATAATGCAATCTGAACGAGAACTGCAAGTTCACGTCAAAAGTCACAGTGCCTTTATGGCAGCATGTTGAGATTTGTATAAGCGATCTCCCCCATGATAGCGACACAATTTCTGAGATTGACTTGCATATCAGAAACTACAACATTACCATCTATCTTCATGCGCTCTGATTTGCAGTGTTCGGTTCTTCTAGAGACTTGCATAGCTTCTAAAGCCCTGAGAGCACTTCACAAACGCTTCGAGGACTATCGCATCATCATGTACTTGTGGTACCTGCTTTCAGGCGCTCTTCACTATGTTACCTAACTAAGTCTAGTTATCTGCGTGATCAACGCGTATATTCATGTGGCACTGATGATGCATTGCACAATAAGTAAGGATATCACTCAGCTTGTTGGTTTGCTTCGGCCAAGGTGAGTGAGAGCAGATTGTTAAAAGTTGGGAAATCTTCGAACGTCATTGCTGTTTGTGTCTAACCGCGATTAGGGGCTCAAAGCGCCTACGTAGCGGTAAAGCTGAGGGTAAACGGCGGTGGAGCACTCTCACGTCTAACGTGAGGCACTGCGACCACGATAGAACGTCACTCAAGATGAGGAAGGAGTCGACTATCAACTGCCGCGCCGCGCTCCCATATGACTTCGTTTACATTTCCGTAGCGGCATGTCGTCATGTATTCTACTGTCTTCCGCGCCCAGTCATCGAGGCCGCTCAATTACCCACAGCCCTCGATCTCACCACTCTGCGCAAGAAAGTCATTGTCGTAAAGATACTCGGCCAACACCGCCTTGAAATCGAGCGTAAATCTCTCCTCGCCATCAAGGACACCGCCGGGCTCGACACCGCCGAGATGCGAAGCCACTTCCTCTTACCACTGCACTCATCCACGACATCCACCTTGTCGGCTTCCCTCGCATATCTCGCACTCCTTGCAGTTCTACTAGCAGTCACTGGACAGGGATAGTCCCTTTGACTTGCCCGAACTTGTACTTATCGACTTCGAGCAGATGAGAAGTCTGGTGGCGAGATGTCGAGAGACTACTGCGATTTGAAGGCACTGATGGGTATTCTTGTTGATGGGGCGAAGATCAGATCTGACACGGAGTGGAAGCGGTTCTGTCGGAAGTTTATGGATGTGACGGCGGAGCAGGAGGTGGTGCTGACCATAAGGATGCCGGTCAGGCGGGTTGACGCTGTTTGGGAGAGATGGCAGGCGGTTGCAGTTCGAGAGAGGAGCGATGCTTGTGGAGGAGCTGTGCGGATAACGCAAAAAATCTTCCGAGATGCTGTTGGAGAGAAGAGGGAGGGCGTGACAGGTGACGATCTGCGCAAGGTAATGGATTGAGAAAGGTAGTCCCCTCCATGCGAATACAGAACTACCATTAACATATCTACTACAGACACGCAAATTCTCGGTCAAATCTTCAATTGTCCTTCACTGTGGGTTGCCAGCGTGTACTTGTCGCGCTAACTCAAACAGGGAGTCATACGCCACGGCTCTCGAGGTGAAGGAGTGTTTGTGCTCAATCAAACGCAAGGCAACACTCGAAATTGCGCCATAGTCATGAGTCTGGCTCTATGGTTCCTAGAAGGGTTTGGACTTCGCAATTCACCTAGCCGGTGTGACCCCTTGTTTATATCTATCAACTCCACGCTGCTCGTCCCCAAACCACAACACATCCTTCACCATGGCTACAATTGGTACAGCTCCAAAGGGATACGTCATGGTCTCAGAGGCCGGCAGGGGCGTGACAGCTCGCGTCTACTATTGCCTGCCTGTTCCGCAAGTTAGCTTCATCACCAGCGGCCGCACTGTCACGATCACACCCGACTCATTCGGTTTCGCAGGTCTCAAGCGCTCCATCGTCGCCCTTAAGGTCTCCCCCAGTAAGTCTCTGATCACCCGCGAGGACAAAGCGCTCCATGCAATCCGAGAGTCCACCTCCCCCAACGCGACCGCGATGAGACGCCACTTCCTTGATGTCAAGAGCGTGGGTACATTCACCGGCCTAGGTGCAAACCACAGCTGCGCTGTACTCGAAGCAGTCATTCCTCCCGTGACACTCGGAGATCTCCTGCAGGCATTTGGAGGCGACGTGAAAGCCCCGATTCCGCTCGTCTACAACCTTTTCCTATCGCTTGTTCCTGCGCTCTCCTTCTTGAAGGGCGAGGTAGAGTGGGCGCACAACGACGTCAAGGAAGACAACATCATGTGCCGCACTTACGAAGGCCGTCCATTCGATCTGCCAGAGTTCGTGTTCGTTGACTTTGGCATGGCTTACGGTGTGCGAGGTGTCAAGAACGACTCGGGCGACTGCAAGAACTTGCTTGGTTTGGTAAGGGAGTTGGCTGAGAACGCTGAAGAGTCAAATGACCAACAGTGGCTTAGTTTCAAGCGCATGCTCGTTGGCGAGAGGAACAGGACTCGATGGCAGGTTGACGACGAATTCGGCAAGATCTGGGATAGCTGGAAGGACATCGCAGAGGTGGCGAGGAGCAAGGTCAAGGTCGGTGAGGTGGGCAGAATCGACGATATGTTCGAGCAGGTGGCGCTGATGAAGAAGAGGATCACGGATGAGATGGTGGTGCACGCAGCCCGCGATGGCCATGTGGGAATGCTAGTGGATTGGGCTTCCTGATTTCTTCTGGCTCTGCTCACAGTACCTTGGTTCGCATTCACTGGAACATCTCGTCTGGTTAGCAAGAGACATTTTGACTGTCAGCTTCACCGAATCTGACAACGGAGTAGGTCAAGTATCCTACCAATACAAACTGAATTATTATTGACTAATCAGCTTGAGTTTGCGGATGATGAGTATATTGCAGATAGGATAGGTTTACTTAGCCTCGCCAAACCTATGCACAGGCTGACCATGGTAGCAAATCCTCACGTTTTGGCTGTCCCTTCTTGCTGGATCAGCAAACGATGCCTCTCGCTCATAAAGGAAGCACTGCTATCGACGGCGTGCTGCTGGGTTTCAGAGAAGAAATCGGCGGGCGCGAATAACTTCCTCGCTTGATATGCTCAAGCATAGATCCAATCTCTCAAGATTGCGAGATCGATGGTGGTTGCAATAACTATCACATGGAGGTGTCGCATTCCGTGATGACCACGCAGACGCGCTGTGCAACTGCCACAATACCTACTTATAAGTCACTTCTACAAATACGACTAAATATATGCAACTCATCAGACTTTGCAAAATCTTTACTCACACACAGAAGAAGCAGGCGCAACACCGACTCCGTCGCAGAAAATCAATGGATTCCTGAACGAGTTTAGCGCCTCCTCGCTTGAACAGCAACCAGTCATGGCCTCATTTGCCCACCCACGCATCGTCCTCCAGCGCGGCGTTTGACAGCGAATGTATGCTTCATCTCACCAGACTATACAGTACTCTCAGGATGGTGCAAGCGCCCAAGCAACCCCTCATTGCCATCGTGGGCGCAACGGGCACCGGCAAGTCAGATGTAAAAATTCATGCCTGCTCTCAAGCTCCAAGGCTGATCACAGCAGGTAGCTGGCTGTTGAGATAGCACGCAAGTTCAATGGCGAGATTATTAATGGAGATGCTATGCAGCTTTACCAGGGCTTGCCGGTCATCACTAATAAGATCACTGCTGAGGAAACGAAAGGTGTGCCGCATCACTTGTTGGGCTGCATTGGGCTTGAGCAGGAGACGTGGACTGTTGGCAAGTTTGTGAGCAACGCTTTGGGTGTTGTGGGTTATTCATGTTCAAGGCTTTCTTCAAACGCTGATCTGGGTAGATTGATGAGATTCGAAGCCGAGGCAAGCTCCCCATACTTGTGGGAGGCACTCACTACTACACCCAGTCCTTGCTGTTCAAGGACGCACTCTCGAAAGAACCCGCGCTTGACTTGAGCAAAAACAGTCAACATTTCCCAATCTTGGATGAACCAACTAGCGTCATTCTGGAAAAGCTGAGAGAGGTCGACCCCGTGATGGCGGACAGGTGGCATCCGAACGAAAGCAGGAAGATCCAACGGTCTCTAGAGATCTATCTGAGGACAGGCAAGCCGGCCTCGCAAGTCTACGATGAGCAGCGCATCAAGCGCGAGATCGAACAGAGCGCCCCCAACGACGATGCAGCTGAGACCAGCACCGGTCTCCGCTTTCCAACGCTGCTCTTTTGGGTGCACGCCGACAAAGACGTGCTAAACCCCCGTCTCGACGGCCGTGTCGACAAGATGCTCGCCAAGGGCCTTCTGGATGAGGTAGACGAACTGACGCGCTTCCGAACCGAGCACGAAGCGCGCACAGGAAGCGCCGTCGACCAAAGCCGCGGAATCTGGGTTTCCATTGGCTACAAGGAGTTTCTGGGCTACCAGGGCGCACTCATCGACAGCGCCCTGCCGTCCACCGAGCTCGAGAAACAGAAGACCGCTGCTGTTGAGAAAACCCAGGCCGCGACGCGACAGTACGCGAATCGGCAGGCTCGATGGATCCGGATCAAGCTGCTCAACGCCCTGTACGGCGCGGGCCACAAAAGCAACATGTTCCTCCTCGACGGCAGCGATCTCTCGAAATGGGCTGAACACGTCACGCAACCAGCAACCACCATCACCAACGACTTCCTGTCCGGACACACTCTCGCAGACCCCTCGACACTGTCCGCCGCCGCCGCGGAAAATCTCACGCCAAAACGCAGCTACGACCTCGGCCAGCGGCCGGATCTGTGGCAGAAGAAGACCTGCGAGACGTGCGGCACGGTGTCCATCACCGAGAACGACTGGAAGCTGCACGGCCAGAGCCGCGCCCACAGGCGCGCGGTCGGCATCAAGAAGAAACAAGCGAACGCGCAAGCACGGCAGCCCAGGGACCGCGAGGCGCTGCAGGCAGAGGTTGTGGACGTGCTTGAGACGTTTCTTGACGGCCGGGCGCGCGGGGAGTCGCCGGCGTGAGACGGGCTGGTTGCCACCCCCTTTGGAGACTGGCGAGATCGTCGAGCCTTCTGACTGATTGCGATGGCGCCCAGTGGCGTCTTCGAGTATCACGGTGTTCTCGGTTGCTGATGCGCACAAAGAACGTGGTCGTGGGATTTCCCAATTGGGATGTGAATAGGTCAGCCTTGGCGACATCGAGTTCGACCTGTCACCGCGAACTTCTGGCAATATATTTACAACGGGAGACTTGACCTGCGCTTCTCATTGTAGTTGGGGTTCCTGTCCTAGATCCTCGCCCTACTCTCGGCTTCTGGCAATCCCACGACCACGCTTTCACCACCGACATCTCGGGTTCAGAGACATGGCTTTCTCATACGGCAAAGTAGGCTCCAACGATGACGACCAGCACCCCGGACCCGGCCGTGTCACGCTCCGGAGCCGCGTCTGCAACATGACCAGCAAACTGCGCTGGCCATCGACATACATCCTGCTCCTCGTCATCCTCGCCGCCCAACTCCAGATCCTCCACCGCCAGCCCCCTTCTATGCCGCTCAGCAGCGAAATAAACGGACTCATACCAACCTGCAAGCCCTCCCCCAACCCTCCCACACCACCACAGACTAACACCCCCTAGTCAGCTCGCAGCAGAAAAAGTTCCTTAAAGATGACCGCTACAACTCGGACCACCGCACGGCGTCGTCCATCGCAGCCACAACAGCAAACTGGCTGCGCCTCGCGCCCAAGGGCGGCGGCTTCGTCCAAGTCCCAGACCACCGAGACCACAACCTGCCGCCGCCGATGCACTTTGACGAAATCGCCGTGCTGCGCGGCAAGGACACGTACTCGATCGCCGTGTTCCACCAGATCCACTGCCTGTTCCACGTGCAGGCGTACATGGATTCGCTGGCGCTGCAGATGCGGGCGGGGAACACGACGCTGGACGAGCGGAAGCTGGTGCACAATGATCATTGTTTTAATTACCTCAGGAATGCGATTATGTGTGCGGCGGATACGACGCTCGAAGGGCAGATTGAGGGGGATATGTGGGATGGCGAGGCGGGCACGGACGGGACGGGGGCGACGCATGTGTGCAAGAACTGGGACGAAGTGGTGGCGTGGGCGGAGAAGAATCGGTTGTATGATTTAAGGCATCTGTGAGGAGCGTCGGGGGGTTTTCCATGTGTGTGGAGTCGTCCATTCTGTCTTAGGTTGATCGCTAGTCGGTGGGAACAATTTCATCTTCGTTGTCAGAGCTCGTAGTGCTGGATCTTGTGTTCGGGAAAGCAGTCTACGGGTCAGAGACCTGACAGATGCTAACGACAAAGATGAATGTGCATGTCCGATGCTATGATGCATAATGATGTAGCGAGTCTCAAAGCTTGTGGGTCTGGGGAACGGAATTGGGATCGCTGGGAGCGGTGTCGTGCGATACGTTTGGGCAGTGGGTGGCGCTGACGAGCGGATTATCTTGGTCAGTGTGCCGGAGTCTCGGGAGTGGCTTGAGCTTGGGCCGGTAAGCTCAGTAAAAGGGGAGGGAGGGAGGCATGGGTCGGGTCGATGCAGCTAGAGAGAGTGAGTACGGGCCCGGCAACTCAGGAGCGCTCACCTCGTCTGCGCGCGCTCGCTGCAGCGATCCTCGACACAGGGCACGAGAGGCATGCAGGGACGTCGAGGCAGTTTCATACAGATCCATATACTCGTCTATCGGACCGCCCGGTGCTCGTACTGTACAAAACAAGAGGATTTACATGGGGTGGTACAAAAGGTGGGCCAATCTGAAGGGGTATCTCACCCCGCGCGGTGCGCGGACGGAAGAAAAATGCAGCCAAATGCCGAGGCTGGTATTAGAAAATCATACGGAGATAAATGCAGACGTTAGACAGAAAACCGGGTATATGCAGAAATGCGCGCGCATGTAGTCGTATACGGCGAAGGTGAGTGCGAGGAGAGCGTCGATGCCTCACTTGGCGCCTGGTGGGAGCTTGACGTTGTTGCTAAGCCATGCCTGGGTGTGTCAGTGGGTGCCTTCGCAGGAGCGAGTCGCGTGCTTACCAGTCCCTCGAAGATACCCTCGCCTGTAGTCGCACAGCTGGGCTCGACCTTCCAGACGTGGTCCTTCGCAATCTTCTCGAGTTGCAGCTTGTCCGAAACCTCCTTCGGTCGCATGGCTGGTATGTGTTAGCGCTGTTTCCCTTCCCAGAGCTGTGGCAGCGCCATGACGCACCTCCTGCCAGATCCTGCTTGTTTGCGAACACCAGCAACAGCGCGTCCTTCATTTCTCTGTCTTGGATGATTCGGGTAAGCTCCTGGCGGGCCTCGTCGATGCGGTCGCGGTCGTTGGAGTCGATGACGAAGATCAGACCTTGGGTTCCTGCAGCACGTGTCAGCACGTGCATCACGAGAAAGCTCTGGTGGGGCAGGTGAGGGCAGAGGCATTGCAGATTGCGCATGCTCGCCTACCCGGGACAGACTCTCGCTTTCCCAACATACCGGAGAAGTAGTGCCTCCACAGGGGACGGATCTTGTCCTGGCCGCCGACGTCCCAGACATTGAACTTGGTGTTCTTGTATGTGACGGTCTCGACATTGAAGCCGACGGTGGGGATGGTTGTGACGTCCTGGTCGAGCTTGAGCTTGTAGAGAATGGCTATGCAGGGCGTCAGTAAGCGGTGCATAGTGGGTGCATGCAGGCCGGCGTACTTGTCTTTCCAGCGGCATCAAGACCCAGCATCAGCAGGCGCATCTCCTTTGATCCGAAGATCTTGCCCATCATTTTCGAGATTGAGCCACCCATGATGTGTGTGTGATGTGTGTGTGTCGGAGACGGCTCAGCTACTGTGCAGAAACGCGGTGTTGCTGCTCGTGGCGGGACTTAAGTGGAGAGCAAGCGGTGGTGATGCTCCTGATAACAGCGCACGCAAGGGTCGGTGTCGGCGCAATTGGCCGATATGAAGGCGTATGCTCGGACTGACAGAGGTGATTGGGCGGCGGCGGCAGCACTGGCGCAGGCTTCACAGGCTGGACGGGCGGCGGGAGCGGTGGAAGGGAAAGTGAAGAGGACAGAGCGGGCGCGGACGACACACGACAGGCGACAGACGAGATGAGGTTCCAAAGTTAACGGACGTTAGTTCAGATCGGCAACGCGCCTGCTTGTTTCAACCGCACCCCTGTCACGTCAATACTGCACGCGAACAGGCCGCTACAGCGATGCACAAAAGGGGCCGGCATGTGGACATGACGACTTGCACGGTCTGACACTGTTAAATTGTGTCAGTCGGTTGGACTACGCGCCAGGATGCCCGCAGCGCGCCCGCTCCACTTGCGCATGCAGTTGTGCTGCAGGTTCGTTGGAGCTAATGCACCTCGACGCGCTGAAACCGCAATCTAATTGCCAGGCACCTGAGACCTGAGGTTCGCAGCTTCGCGCAAGCATTATTCCCTCCGCGAGCCGGCACTTGGCCATCTTGTCCAAGGGCGTTCGGAGCAATTCGAACCGATCGTGGGCGAGCGGGAACACTGCTCGATCGAGCGGCTGGCTGCCGGCCCTGGATGGCGGCGGCGACCATGACAAGCGCGCGTTCGACGCGTCAATAGAAAGGCAGTTCGCTCCACGCTTGGTTTTATGAGAGCTGAGATTTCTGCACCGAGCTATGTATACTGGAGCCTACTATATGGCTCGTCCGTCCCACGACGCTGAAAACCTGCTTTGTTCAAGCATCTTCCCGACCGCGAGCTGCTGAATGCTTCTATTGCGCGCGGACTGGCGGCTTGGCGCTTGCCCTTCAGTGCCCTCCAGTGCCCGCGTGCGGCTCCTGTGCTCGGCCCGTCATGGGTGGTGTTGGAATCCTGTGACCTTCTCCAGGCCTACCGAGAATGCTCATTCGGGCAGGCTTCTCATGATGCCCTCAAACGCGACTAGAGCGACAGCATTTGCAGGGAACGCCCGTAGGAAGCACGGCACAAAGCCCCTCCAGTATCCCTTGAATCCATTCTCTTTATACACGGCTTTCGCCGCGTCTCTCCAGCGTGGGAACCGCCTGTCAGGGCCCAGCGGGTCTGTCATGATGCGCTGCTTTACTACGTCGCTCGGATATGACGTGATCCAGAAGACCTGTGCTGATAGTCCACCAGCCCAGAAATTGACAGCCGGCGTCGAGAGATTGGTATTGTTCTGCAGCATCCTAGTGAACACATCGTATGAGCCCCACCAAAAGCAGAAGAATGTGCGAAAGAGCAATGTCGCCGAGAGACCGTGGTACAGGCCGCGGAGACCGTGACCGCGGAAGATCTTCGTCAGGCAATCGATTGGTCCGCTGTAGAGTCGCTTGCTCTTGTCGGCGGAGTACTGTATCTGCAGGCGGGCCTTTATATGCTCGACGGGCGCCGCGACGAACGAGACAGTCCACCCAGCCATCATGCCGGCCATTGCATGGCCGACGACCGGCAGTCTAGCCTGCTCGCGGCCCTGTTGACGAGGATTGAAGAAGCGATCGTTCAATTCGCGGCGGTACATGCTGAGGGAGCCGAGCATACTGTAGTGTGTCAGATATTGTGTTTCAGATAACATGTTACGCGTACATCGAGTCCATGAACATCCATCCGACCAGCGGCGGTGTCGCTCCCTTGTACAGCCCTGCGAAGCCCTCCTTCCTTACAGTCTGCATCAAGCAGTCAAGTGGCCCGCGAAAATGCGACTGGTCGGTAGTCTGTAGCCGTACCTTGACTGTGTCGAATGGATGTCCAACTGAACTGGAGTCAGCCTGCTTCTCTCGTTTATTTGACACAACACACCTGACAGCTTCGCGATACCAGAGAAAACGCCCGCAACAAAGCCACGATAGTGTGCCGGCTGTTTCTTGTCGGCTGGATCTACAACAGCAGCCGCCGCAGGCATCTCGCCCGTCTTCATCACTGTCGTCGCCATTGTCGTGGTGTTGTCGCGTGTTTAACCCGCACAATCATACCGGTTGAGCAAAAGTCACAGAAGTCACAGAGGTTAGCAGTAAAGTGTGGAGACACTGCATGGAGATCGAAGAACGACCGCGTCGCGTCTGTCAGCAGTCAATAGCCCTGCATCACAGCGTGGCCGGAGACGTACAAGCGTCCGCGAAACGGATGGTGACGTGCGAGATCGGCGGATGGACCCTGCGTCTCGATCTTCGCGTCTTTTGTAAGAGGCTCCGCCAGTGCCGCAGTTGTTCCTGGCGCGGGGCTACGCCAGACCCGTCGTGTATCAAGTAAACATGGCGGGGTCTGCGATACGCGTTTCTCATACCAGCCGAACGCATATATACTGATAACGCATATTCGTACACTCACTTCACACAACAGCAGACATGTCGAGCACACAAGCAACGCCAACAGCGCCCGTAGAGTCGAAGAAGGGTAACGTCTTAACGCGGGGTAGAACCCCTCAGGCGCATTGCTGACAGCAACAGTGTGGACGACCTTGATCACCAACACAGACTACCTGACCGGCCTCCTCACCCTCGACTACAGCTTGAAGAAGCACGGCACCAAATACCCTCTTGTCGCACTCTACACCGACAGCTTCCCCGCCGAAGGCCACGCCGCCCTCGACGCGCGTAGCATCCCCAAAGAACACGTCAAGTACCTGCTGCCAAAGGTCGGGAAAGACTACACCAACGACCCTCGCTTCTACGACTGCTGGAGCAAGCTGACGCCCTTCTCCCTCGAACACTATGACCGTGTTGTGCAGCTCGACAGCGACATGCTGGTCCTGCAGAACATGGATGAGTTGATGGAAATGGAGCTCGACCCGCCGAGCGCAGCTGGAAAAGGCAACAAGGTCTTTGCCGCAAGCCACGCATGTGTATGCAACCCACTGAAGAAGGCCCACTACCCGAAAGACTGGGTTCCCGAGAACTGCGCCTTCACGTCGCAGCACTCCGATCCTGCGACCGCACAGCACACCGGTGCCGGTCCCGCTGTCGGACTCGGCATGCCCAACGGCGGTCTGCAGGTCGTCAACCCCAGCAAAGCCGTATATGACCTGATCCTCGACCAGCTCGCGAACGAGTCGTCCATGAACTACGACTTCGCCGACCAGTCGCTGCTGAGCGATGTCTTCTGGGGCCGCTGGGTCGCGCTGCCGTACATTTACAATGCGCTGAAGACGATGAGGACCGAGGGTGTGCATCACCAGATCTGGCAGGATGACAAGGTCAAGAACATCCACTACATTTTGAGCCCCAAGCCTTGGTCCGAGGCGCCTGATAAACTCAGCAACGAGAATCACCAGTGGTGGTGGACGGTCAACAATGAGAGGCTTGAGGCTGAGAAGAAGTCAGGGATAGAAGACGGGTTCTGAGTAGTTCAATGATGGGAACGACGGCGTTGGTAAGGCAGAAAGTCTGGACATAGAGCACGGTGTTGGTGGTAAAATGGAGATATCCATCGACGGTATTGAAAAGTCACTTTGTTTAACGGGCCATGTCCGCTAGTTTCAATGACAATTTCACTTGCAGGACCTTGCGATTCCTAGACCCTAGGTTTTTGCCAAGACGTTGCACGGTATTGACAATCAATCGCTCGTTGCGCTGCTATCGCCGTAGATACGGATAGTCATTTCATTCGTTCCTGCAATCGTCCAAAAAAGGCACTAGGTACAGTACAGGAGGGTCACACGTCGGGCTGATACAGTGTGCCGGCGCGGCATGCATCTAGCAAGTCAAAAGCTCTAGGAGGGTGTTGCAGCTGTTGCGGATTGGCCAAACTTTCGATAGTTACCCGTGAGCTATCAACTGGAGGAATAACCCCCCTGTAGGTCTAGCCTTCGGCTATGCGTCACATCCTCTGCCAGATTGCCGACGACCAACCTTCCACCATCAAGATGCGATGGATTCACCTGCCGCAGTGCGACGTCGTCGCAGACGCAGGGTTCCAGACGAGATTCGAAAGAGAGCTCCACGAGCATGCATCCGCTGCAAGGCAAGAAAGAGCAAGTGTATTGAAACATCTCGCGGTGTATGCCAGCGATGTGCAGAGAGCTCTGTGAATTGTGAGTTTGAACGCGAGCTCAGCCATGAACCCGCCGGTCCCTCACTACCACGCGAAAACCAAATCAGCCCATCGGCAACCTTCGCTTCAGATAGTCCAGCAGAGCGGTTCATGTGGCCTCGATTTCTTTCCAGACTGAGGGAGACCTTCTCGCTCGATACGGAAACCACGCCAGAACTACCGTCTTCAATATTAACACAAGTCCAAGTACCAAGGCATTCCCCTGACTCAATCAGTAGAGTGCGTGAAGCAGCTCGAGGCTTCCCGCCGCGAGCAGTCGCACGCTTCCTCGTGTCTGTCTGCAACGAGCATGGCACTGACTCTTTCCACTATTTCAACACGGCTCAGTTCTCTGCTGAGTTAGACGAATTCTACGATAACGTCCGCTCACCATTACGGATCGATAGTGCTTTCATATGTCTTGCGCATGCGACCTTTGCACTGGGAAGCCAATGGGCTACTTTAGTCCGACCTGAAGGCACAAGAACAACCCTTGCTGCACAGGATGGCGATCCTGGCCGGCTCTTCTATCGACAGGCCCGGCTCCTGGTCCCGGATATCATCGAACTCAACTCAGTCCGTACTGTCCAGGCGGCCTTCGTCATTGGTGTGTACCTACTGCCTGCCAGTGCTATCAGCTCGTCGTATGTCTACCTTGGTCTCGCTCTCCGGAAGGCTTTGGCACTCGACCTGCATCAAGAGACAGAGGAGACGCAAATCAGTGACACGGAGAAGGAGCTTCGTCGAAGACTATGGTGGGCTGTGTATTCTCTAGAAAGGTTTGCGCACGCACCAGCTATAACTAAGCTTCAATTAACATAAGGCGATATAGATGCACGACTGTGAAGCTCAACAGACCAAGGTCCATTGAATCAGCCATTATAACCGTGAATCTACCATCACAGCTTCCGGCTCTCGACACACAGCAAGCTTTCAACAACGTCGACCATCAAGCAGCTAACGCACGGCTCATGTTGATTCTGGATCGAGTCGAAGAACCCATGTAGGCACACAGCGATTCCGCTTTGATCGATAACTATATCTCGATAGCAGCGATGATATGTCATTAAAGCTTGAGGTCTGGCTTGGTAATATCATGAGCTGCTCCGTTGGCCCAGACACTGCATACAGTTGGCCACCCAAACATCTCGCCTACCCTTAAAATTTTTGTCTGGTCATACACACAGCACTATATCGCCATGTTCTAACTCAGGTATAGTGTAACACGAGAACCTCCGACCGAAATCGAAGTCGCACTGAAACACTGGAAGCGCTCTCTACCGTCGACGCTTAGACTAGAGTCAATACACCCGCGATCCTCAAGCTACCGAGCCACCTTCCACCTATATCTCAACTACTATTTTGCACGGATTGCAATGGGCAAAGTAAGTGTCGTGGTGCAGGTCCGATGTTACCTGAAGAACCGCCTCGGCCGAGACACACAAGTGAGTCGCACGCTTCCTCGGGTTGAACCAAAATGCGGCATACAGTTCCATGGTTCGTCGTTCTTGCGCTTTGTATTTAACCCCGCGCGCAACTCCTTCTCTTACTCTTACAGCACTTTCTACTTACCACAACAACCGCAACTGCAAACATGAGAACGCTATTTGAGTTGTTTGTCCCGTCTTACGGCAACCTTTCAGCAACATACATAGTACTCTCACTACGCACTGCAGAAGTACCACCACCATCGCTAGTCAGAGCTCAAGACATTACTAGCAGCATGTCTAAGGGTAATCTACATTGCTTAACCTAGATATTTACCTAGAACTAACTCTTCTAAAGGGTCAATATTGTTTGCGACTGTTCGATCCTGGTTTTCGTCAGCAGCACCTACTGTAGGCACGGCTGCAACTACAGTTGCCGCAAATGTAACTGCAGGCGAAATCTCGCACCACCTCCACTCAACAGCGTCAAATGCAAAAGATCAGTTGTTCTCGCAAATTATTACCGACATGCAAAAACAACATGACCTTGAGAAACAAGAGATCCGCAAGAGTTTTGAAGCAACCATACGACAGCTGGAACAGCAACTGGCTGAAAGCGAAAAAGCTTCTAAGGAGCGCAAGCAGTGATGGCTCGCATGGGCCGACTGGATCGCGGAGCCGAACGCCCTTCGATATGGGCGATCTGTCGTCGCACTCAAACGGCGAACTTCCGGATGCCCAGCCGGCGATGGATTTCGCGACATGGGATGGGGCTGCTGCGTTGCAGCAGCTCTCGATACCGCCCATACTGCCGCCGTCAGGGGGACCTCAGTATGATATCGCCAATGGTCAGGCGGAGATACTCGATCCAACGATGTTTTCGACGGACTGCTATGATGATACGGATACGATGTTTCTTATGGGGCTGACTGGGTTTGATATGATGGGATTTGGCTTTCAGGATTGAGTGGGAACGTACGTATGGGTGCCGTAATTCTCTGCGCATCTGCATCTCACTCAATACATTCATAGCACGAGAGGAGATCCAGTGAGCCGTATGAAGTATAGTGTTGAGTGCCAGGGTGTATCATCTGCCTCCACGTACGGAATTCCTCCGATGCGACTCTGATCGACTGGAAATATGTTAAATATGTTTTCATCTTAATTTACAGAGCGGGCCTTAATCGAACGGCTGTAGAGTCCTCGGCAATACCAGCCCAGCGACTCTTGTACACCCGGCCTTCTTTCATCACGGCTTTCACATGCGTCTCTGGCTTGTCAAGGATCGTAATGTCGTCTAGTGGGTTTGCAGCCAGAATCAGCAAGTCCGCTTCAAACCCTTCCTTGATCTGCCCAAGACTGTCCTCTCGGCCAAACATCCGCGCTGGATTGAGTGTCGCGCTCCGCAGAACCTCGATAGGTGAGAGTACTTTCGACCGCAAGTTGAACTCGTGTGTTTGTGCAGCGCCCAGGGGACCCAGCAGATCGGTCCCAAAACAGATCGTCACACCAGCGTCCGACGCGACTTTCAGAGCCTTCAACCCCGCATCAAGAACCTCGAGGTTCTTCGACGTCTCCGAAGGTGGAAGGTAGCCTTTCCACTTCGGCGACGCCATCTGGTCGTACGTGATAAGCGTCGGCGTCAAAAAACACCCCTTCTCCACCATCAGCGCCGCCGTCTCAGCATCAAGGAAATTCCCATGCTCAATCCCCTTCACCCCGTTATCAATACAATGCCGAATCGCCTCCGCCGTGTACGCATGCGCCGTCACATACGTCCCCGCATTGCGCGCACACTGCACCATGGCCCTGATCTCCTTGGGCGTGAACTGCAAATCCGTGATCTTATCCGTGGGGCTGCTCACGCCCCCAGACCCCATGATCTTGATGAAGTCGCTGCCCGTCCGTATCTCCTCGCGCACGGCCTGCATGCACTGCGGCACGCCGTTGCACACGCGGCCGATCCCCGTCGCGTGCCCGCCGCAACACGCCTCCAGCACGTGTTTGCCGCGGAAGTCGGCGTGGCCGCCGGACTGGCTGAGCGCGTGGCCTGCGATGAAGAGCCGCGGGCCCGCGAAGACGCCGTCGGCGATCGCGTCTTTGATCGCTGCGTGTGCGCCGCCGCAGTCTCGGATGCTGGTGAATCCGCGGTGCAGCATCTGCGCGCACACGTACGGCTGGCGCAGCAGGCTCACGGACTCTGGGTTTCCAAATGCGGAGGCGAGCGTGTCGAAGCCGGGGACGGCGATGAGGTGCACATGGCTGTCTATAAGGCCCGGACATACGAATTTCCCGGTACAGTCGACGAGCGTGTGGCCGGTGGGGGGTTGGGGGGTTGCTGTGGCGGGTGCGATGGAGGTGATTTTGCCGTTTTCAATGGTAAGAGAGGTGTTTGGGTGGATTTCACCAGAGGAGACGTCGACGATGGAGGCGTTGTGGAGAAGATATGGGGGCGCTGCTGTGCGGAGCCATGGCTTGATGTCTGTTTCGGAAAGCATTGTTGGTGATTGGTTGTTTGGTTCCAAAGGAGAAGGTTGCAATGCTAGCCAGCGGGCAAGAGTGAAAGGGCCAAGGGCCTTAAGACTTGGCTGATAACTACCCTTGACAATCAATAAAGATGACTAGCATTCGGCTAAGCGCCATGCAGTGTGCAGACAGCCGACGGGTATCTCCCTTCGACGCCGGATCCCAGCACCATGGTGATCGGACACACGAGCAAAGTGGATCTAATCACGCAAACGCTCTCGTTGCTACCCCGGTGTCTCTTCTGCATGACAAATCAGTATCCATGCTGCGGCCCACCGACTCCGCTGTTGTACATATAGTGCCACCTACGCACCCGGTGCAGGAAACCACTCATCATGAGCGACTTGTCTGAGAAGCACGCGCTGGAGTCTGGAATGCAGCCGGCAGTTGAGGAGAAGGGCAATGCGCTCGATGCCACTGCGACGTATACCCCCGAGGAAGAGAGACAGGTGCTGCGCAAGATTGATCGGACTATCTTGCCTTTGATTTGCATTGTTTTCTTTATGCAAGTGAGTAGCGAGAGGCACGACCATTTGACTCTATCACTGACCGTACATAGTATCTAGACAAGCAGAGTCTCAGCTATACATCTGTAAGTACCGTGTCGTACAGTTTAGGACCAGACTTACGCATACAGGTTTTCGGCCTCCTCACCGATCTCAACCTCACGAGCACTCAGTACTCATGGTGCTCATCCATCTTTTTCGTCGGACAGCTTGTAGCCGAGTTCCCATTCATCTACCTGATGTCTAAGCTCCCGCTCACCAAGCTTGTTGGCGTTACCGTTATCATATGGGGCATCGTCTGCATGTGCCTCGCCGCACCGACGAACTTTGCGGGCTTCGCTACAGTTAGATTCCTCCTGGGTTTCACCGAAGGCGCCGTGTCCCCAGCGTTCGTCACCATCACATCCATCTGGTACCAGAAGAGCGAACACGCCACCCGCACCGGGTAAGTCCCTCGACCCAACACATGCCATCGTAGCTAACCAGCCCCAGACTCTGGGTCACCATGAACGGCCTCGCCCAAATCGCTGCCTGTATACTCATGTACGGCATCGGCAAGAACAACTCCCTAGCCCTCGCACACTGGCGCGTAATGTTCATCGTCTGCGGCGCCATGACCGTGGCCTCAGGCATCGCCTTCTACTTTCTGATGCCCAACGGCCCGAACGACGCGTGGTTCCTCAACGCGCGTGAGAAGGAAGTGCTCTCGCTGCGCATGGCGCGCGACCGCGAGGGCGGCGACAAGACGTCTTTCTCTGTGCGGCAGCTGCGCGAAGCCCTGCTAGATATCAAGACGTGGTTTGTCTTTGCATTCGGCGTGCTGATCACCATGCAGAGTCCCGTGCTCACCGTACGTACCAACTCGAACACACAGCGCCCCAGTTAACAGTTCTAGTTCGCCTCCCTCGTCATCAACACAATCGGCTACGATAAGTACCAAACCATGCTCTACACCGCGCCCTCGGGCGCCGTCCAGATCATGCTCCTCTGGGTGGGCATGCTGGGCTGCAGGCTGTTCCCGCACAACCGCACACACGTGATCCTCGCGCTCATCATCCCGCCGCTGATCGGAAACATCCTGCTCCTGCGCCTCTCGCTGTCTGCGGGCTGGGGCATGATCGCCGCGTCGTGGCTGGCGTCGTGCCTCTCGGCAGCGATGTCGCCGCTGCTGTCGCTCACCGCGTCGAACGCGAAGGGGAACACAAAGCGCGCGGTTGTCAGTGCGGTGTTTTTCATCGGGTATTGTGCGGGGTGTATTGCGTCGCCGCAGTTGTGGACGCAGAAGCCGAGGTATTTCAACGGGGTGGTTACGGCGTTGGTGACGTGGTGCACGTTGTTTGTGGTTGTCGTGGCGTATTGGCTGGTGTGTAAGAGGGATAATGCGAGGAGGGATGCGAAAGAGAGAGAGGGCGGGAGTGATGAGGGGGCGCTCGACGTCGTGCTTGATAAGAATGGGGCGCCGGTTACGGATTTGACGGATAAAGAGGATTCAAGGTTTAGGTATAGTTGGTAGATGGTGTGTTGCTAACCCTATACGTACGGGATTTATATACGCATATTGGTTCTTCTGCTGGAACAAAGCTGCAGGCTCTTTACTGCATTGATTAGTTGCTTGCTTCAAGTAATCATGTCCTAAGTACGCCAATTACTCAGCGTCGACGCAGATTTCCTCGGCCCAAACAATAACGGACCAATATGGCATGATAGCTGGAAGGTACCAAGACGCTATTTTTGATGAAGGTCTCGCAGCTCCATAGGCATCTGTCGGTAGTGTTGGGGTTGTCCAATTCCTGAAGAGGCGCATAATTCCTGCTCGGCAGCGCATTATACGATTACGCTCCACGCACGAGGGTCATAGACTGCCGAAATCATAGCCAAAGGGTGTGAAGACCAGTTCGTTTTTGCGTTTATCTGACGGCAGAGAGATGTGGTCGGGTTCTTAGGGACTTGGGAAGCCTGACACATTTTGATAAAATTGTGAAAAGTTGTGCAGTCGACATCAATCGATACCAATCGATACCAATCGATACCAATCGAAGGTGTAGCAGGTAGAAATATTGAATAGGTTCGATCCAAGTACCTGGCAAGAGGTTCTAGTTGTCGATTGTTGTGCATCATGGCTTGCGAGGCTGTCTGCACTAGTGACTACGACCTTGACCGTCGCTGCGCCACCCGCAATCGAACCTTACGCCAATGCTTACTTACTTCGTCTTAACACGCGGGTGTCAGTGCTGATCCTTGCATTGCAGTGCTCGGCTACTTGAGATGCGGGCACAACTGGCATGACTTACGTCAGATTTGAACGGTGTCACTACTGTCAGACAGTCAGCTTATAATCTTTGGCTAGCAACTCTCTGCAAGCTCCCAACCAGACATCTGCATTCTACTGATATGACCAGCATTTCTCCTGGATGAGACTGACAAGAGGTTCATGTTGCCTTGACAAACTAGAGGATTACTTAGACCCCGCATGTCGTACCACCGAGGTCCCCGCAGTAGTCCGAAGTATCCGTAAGCTGCATACGAGTCGAGCGATTATTAATGCTACAACCCAACCTATTTATCAACCAAACACTCTACACCCACAATCTAAACAGAGACCTAGCTGCCATCATGGACGCCTTCAAAGCTGGAGACATCACACACAAAAACGGCCAAACAACCCACTACTACGAGGCAGGTACTCGTGATGGAATACCTCTCATCTTCATCCATGGCTGGCCGGACATGGCTGAGTCCTGGAAGCACCAGCTCAAACACTTTGGATCAGAATCAGCTGGCGCAGAATATCGCGTTATCGCGCCGGACATGCGCGGCTACGCCGGCTCCTCCGGCCCCAAGGACAAACGCGCATACTCGCTCGAAACACTGGTGGGCGAGCTTGTAGACTTCGCTGAGCAGCTCGGAGTCACAAAGGCAGTATGGGTTGGCCACGACTGGGGCTGCGGCGTTGTCAACGCGCTCGCTGCACACCACCCTGAGCTATTTCTCGGGCTTGCAGTTCTCTCAGTACCCTACCGATCGATCGAACTGGGAGTCGACTTTCTCGTTGCCAATGTCAATCGAGAAATTTACCCTGAGGATCAATACAAATACGGCCAGTGGGATTACATGAAGTTCTATGAGCTAGATCCAGTCAGAAGCGCTCGAGATCACGAAAGTGTCTTGGAGAAGCTTTCCAAGGCGCTGTATCTCCCGCACAACCCAGAAAACTACGGGAAGCCAAGCGCGCTGACTTCCACGGTAATCAAGGACGGAGGTTGGTTCGGCGGAAAGCCCGAGTCGCTCCCAGACGTGCCGCTCGAGTACACCTTCATTGATCAACAGCTCTACGACAATTCAGTGGCTAGCCACAAGAAGCACGGGTTCTTTCCGCCAACTGCGTACTATTTAAACCACGATGTCAATGCTGAGTATGCGAAAAGCGAGAAGAATGGAGGCGTGTTGGAGTTTCCAGTGTTGTTTATCGACGCCAAGCACGATGCTGTTTGTTCGCCGAGTACGATGCCTAAGATAGCTGAGAGCCAAAGGGGTGCAGTGAAAGATCTGACTTATGAGACCATTGAGTCGGGACATTGGGTGCAGCTGGAGAAGCCGGCAGAAGTCAACAAGGTGTTGGAAACATGGCTCGACAACAACGTGCAGTACAAATGCTGAATTGCGGGACGGAATGGGGGTTTGATAGCACCGTTCTAGCCTCCATTAACAGCGTACTCAACGACTGTAGCAGCTTAAATCCCGAGTTGTTCAGATTTGTGGCTAAATCAGAATTGTATGTGAAACAGTAGCAAAACAAGGCGAACCAATGGTAGCCATGGCACACCCTGATTTGTGATCTTCCTTGGTACACGATGTGGCGCACAACAAGTGGTCAATTCAAAAGTGTAAAGAGTTTGGTCCCCGGTGCGGCAAGTGGGGTTCACGGGAAAGCCAACCGAAGAAAGACGTCACGTCGCCCTCGTTCCGGCCGAACCGTGGTTGGTTATTCTAACGTCAACCAAACCACGATATCTGCACATCAATAACAGATATATAATATCAATCGAATCCATCCGCGGCTTCACCCGCATTGAACAGAGCTGGCATACGATGCTCCGCGAAATAATGCAAGAGACAGACATTTTGATCCTGGGTGCTGGTTGGACGGCAGGGTTTTTGATTCCGCAGTTGCAGCAAGAGGGGATCACGTACGCGGCAACGACTACCAGCGGCAGAGACAATACCATCCCCTTCAAGTTCGACCCCGAATCTGGATCCGCGGAGCCATACAAACGTCTGCCTTCGGCCCGTACTATTCTCGTGACCTTCCCATTGCGGGGCCACGGGCAATCCAAGGCGATCGTTGGCCTGTACCGCGCCGCCCACGGTGCAAAGAACAATTGGATCCAATTGGGCGCAACAACCATCTTCAACAAGCTACCCAATGATTGGAGTGACGACAATGCGCCCTACGACAAGCACGACATTCGAGCTATTGCTGAAGACGAGCTTTTAGGTGAGCACGGCTGTGTGCTAGATCTTTCAGGCTTGTACGGCGGCGAACGCGTTCCATCGAAATGGTTGCCGCGTCTAGCAAAGAATAAGGAGGATGTGAAGAAGCGCGGCGCGGTGCATTTCATACACGGCGAGGACGTGGCGCGTGCAATCATCGCGACCCATCGCAAATTCACGCATGGAAAGAGATGGATTATTTCCGACATGCGAGTGTACGATTGGTACGACCTGATTATGAGCTTCAGCGCAATGGCTGAGGGATTGGAAGCCAGCGCACAGGAGCAGGAAGAAAGGCTGCAGTTCGCAAATTGGGTCGGTGAGCTGATGATTGAGGAGGGGATAAGAGCTCTGCCGCGAGACATGCACTTGTTGGGTCGCAAGTTGGATTCCAGAGGGTTCTGGCAATTTCATGGGGTTTGGCCCAGACATCAGAGGCTGTGCTAGGTATGAACCAAAGAAGACATCGTAAAATTCATACTGGCAGTGGATCACACAGCAGTCGACGGACGTAGAGTGCTGCTGCTGGCAGGTATCCCCTCAGACGACTGCAAAAATTCGCCGTCCCCAATTACTCTGATGGCGATTTAGATACTGGTAGAGGAAACGAGTCCCAAGTAACGATGCATGCGAATTTTACCAACTGCTACAAATGTTCTTCTGTTGCACTCTGTAACTGTATTCTCACATTCTCCAAAGCCAATCTCTCCACGCTCCGATTTTCTCACGCTTTGAAGCTATTTCGAGTATCAACACAACTGCACATCCTCTCCCATTCCACATCACCCAATTAATAGCAATCTCCAAGACACCATTACAAGATGTCTCTTCCCACTCCCTCATACCTGATGTGCGTTGGTCCCAACTACTACACCAACCTCATCACCGGTCAAACGGCGATGCTGTACCCTCACGATGTGCAGCAAGCATACCTGCAAGAGCAGGCTCAGATGCAGCAACGTAAGTTACAAATTCCCTTGAAGTCCATATTCCCTAATGCAGCCGTCTAACTAATACAGATCGGCAATTCGCCATGAGCAATGGCTACTTCTTCGCTCCTCAAGCCCAAGCACAACCACAGGGTGCTTTCAGTATGTATCCATCGTAATGTGCTGAGGCTTTTCTAACATCAGAGCAGACTTTGCGCCGCAGGGCTTCGGCAATCCCTGGCAGGGCACAGCAGGCCCTCAAGCTCACTATGGTGGCTACAATGCCCCATATGTGCCGGTACAGCAGGCAATGGCCACCCCTGCTGTTGTCCCCGTCCCTGCTCGGGCTGCTATCCCTGCCCCCGCTCCTGCTCCGGCTCCTTCCTCTGCCCTGGCCCCTGCCCAGGTTCATTCTCCTCCCCGGACTCCGGTTTCTCCCCCTCCTCAAGCCCCCGCCTCTTCCCCTCTCCCAGCCCCTACTTCTGAAGATGTGGTCGACCTCACCCAAGAGACATCGGCTGAAGAACCTGTGGTTGCACCAGCAACCAAGGTGAAGGCTAGTTCTTCCTTTTGGAAGAAGGGTGAGGCCAATCTGAAGTTACGCCTCAATACCCAGGGTGGTAGCAATCTCTTGCGCCTCTTCGACTCCATGTCGAATTTGGGCCCTTCACAGGGCAAGTACAGGTATTGTGAAGCCCATTGGCCCACCGAAGAAGCCGCATATGAAGATATCACTGAGATGTCAACATATTTCATTGACGCTCAAGAGATGCTTATGTACGCTCTGAAGTGGGATGGGTTTGCCGGGTTCTGTTCTCTCGAGAACCCGAGCGACGAGGATCTTGTGGAGCGGGAGAGACAGGCTGCGGAAATCGCTGCCGAAAAGCGCTGTCTGCGTATGGACTTGCCAGAGAAGGTAAAACAAAAGAAGGCGAGGGAAGAGCACGGCCAGTGGATAAACTGGGTGGACAACCTGCCGCGACGCAAGTTCAAGGAGGTCTTCAAGTTGCCAAGAACACCGAACAACATCGCCGAGGTGAAGAGGGAAAGGGCGGAAGAGATAGAACGGGAGATTGCAGAGAGGGTAGCTCTGCTCGCAAGGGAGAGGGCCAGAAACGCCGAAAGCTTGGTCAAAAGATCGAGCAAGAAGAGGAAGGCCAAGAGCTTGGTCGAAGAACCAAGCAAGAAGTCCAAGTCTGCGGATCTGTCCTCCTCAGGCAGCGACATTGATGCAGAGGGAGAGACTGATGACGAGTCTCAAACTCTTCCGGAAGCATCATCATTGCCCGAGGAGTCAATGGACATGCCGATGTGTGCCTTGAACAGTCCCCCTTCTCTTCCGGCCTCCCCTCTCCTCCGACCAACATCTCCACGGGAAGAAAATACTGTGGTGATTACGGAGGAGCAGGTCGCGGACTCGTCTGTGACTAGTGATGAGGCACCATCGATGTCTGAGGTCGATGATACGGCATCTTTGTTCGAGGACGATGATACGGCATCGTTGTTCGAGGACGATGACATGGCATCGTTGTTCGGGGACAATGATGAGGAAGAGGAACAAGTGATGCTCATAGAGCTAGATTCTTTCGACGATCTCCCCCCTGAACTGGCCTCGTATCTTTCAGAAGAAAATACCGTGGTGAATACCGAGGAGCAGGTCACAGCCCCAAAGTACTCTCTTGGAGCAGGTCACAGCTCCCCCTCTACCGGAGCAGGTCACAGCTCACCTCATCGCGCCACCAATCCCTCTGAACAGGTCACAGTCCAGACAGGACTGGCTCTCTCGACATCGCCACGGGAAGAAAATACCGTGGTGATTGCCCAAGAGCAGGTCACAGCTCTTCCTTCCCCGGAACAGGTCATATATCCCTCTATGTTCGAGGAGATCGATGCCTTCCTTGCGCAGCCGGCCAGAGATTCCATTCTCGCAGACTTCTACGCACCACACCTGCAAGGAGATAATACTATCTCTGTGAACAGAATCTCCGATACCCTCCTCAATAGCGCCTTCGGACTATAAGACGGTGTGGGTGCTGTTTAGCGTGGCGTTTTGTAATGTCTTAACGATACCCTGGGCTACTTTTTTGTTGCGTTGCGTTCGAGCGTTCGACTTTGTATTATCAGCGTTGTTGTTTAGTCGTCAAGTAGGCAATTTGACTCTGATTGAATGGCCTATAGACATCCAAAATCCTGCCCTTCTATTTTGGTGATCAGTCTGAGGCCCTCCAAGCCCGCACTTCATGTTCCGTCGCGTCTACACACCTTACTATGAATGCACTGTCGGACGAAAGTGCTGAATTATACGAGGAGCAGCCATCTCCATCGAAGTACATGTAGGATGCTCACTGATTCTTGTTTTAAACAGTTGGCAAGAATGTATACAATTAACTACAACATCATATATTTAAAAAGACCATTAAATAGCGCGAAGCCGACACGCGTCCAACCAAGCACCGCCGAAGATCAATGCGCACCATTCCCATACCTCTCAGCCGCTCTCTGCCTCTTCTTCTTCAGTACAACCACCAGCGTCAAAGCCGCCACAACCCCATCGATGATGCCCTCATCAAACACAAATGCACCACCCGTAGCACAGCTTCCCCACCACTTCTGGCTATACTTACCTACCTCGATTTTCTTCTGATGCTCACCAGACCCAAGCACCTTGTACAGCGTCATGTTGTACGAATGCCACGCGCTGTCCATCTGCCAGGAGAAGAGCTGCGAGTTAACCGTGAACGACTCCGTGCGCAGACCCCACCTCTTGTTCTTCAGACTGATGGGGTGCGAGGAGTGCGGCGAGTCGGCGGGGAAGGTGAGCACGGCTTCGCCGGCGGAGAACCACGATTGCGACCACTGCGCGATGGGGTTGTGCTGATCGTCTTGGATGGTGTATTTCAGGCCGATCCAGCTCTGGCGGTGGCAGGTGATGATTGGGGTGAAGGAGTGGTCTTTCAGGGTGGTTTTTATAGCGGCTTTGTAGGTGTCGGTTAGGCCGGTGGAGGGGAGTGGCATATCGTGGGTGAGATCGAGGATTGTGATGGCTTTTGTGAGTATGCCGTGGGGCGTGATCCAATAGATGGAGGTTGGAGAGAGCGAGGATGAGTCGAGAGGTAGGGCGGAGGAGGAAACGTCGTGGGGTGAGGAGATCCACGCATTGTCTTGAGATGAGTCGGCTCTACGCTGGCGAAGTGTTGCTGTCTCCTTAGCATCTATGCTCTGCAAGGCGATTGCTGTCGACATATTGATTGTTCGATTGTTAGAAGATGTATTTTAACAGTGTGTGTTGAATAGTTTCAACAGCACCTAAGGTAGGCATGATAATTCACTCCAAGTCGAGGCAGAATCACTCGTCTTTATGGCTGGCAGACTCACTGACCGATCTAAATCTTACCCTCTTCCTCCTACATCGAGGTCGTCGGTCTGTCCCAGGAAGGCAGACTTCGAGAAGCTGCCTGGTGCACCACCTGTGATTGGCCGATGGCAGCATGGAATGAGCCTGGTGTGGGGCGATGCTCGCTTTCTTCGCTTTGGCGATTCTGTGCACCGCCACAAGCTTTCCTATAGATGATCAGGGATCCCTATGTCAGCTTGTAGCCGAATGCTTGATACAACGACTCCTGCGTGTCATCACTAAACCTTGCTATAAGCGGTGACCTCACGGCCGCAGTGATAGATGGCAGCACAGCAGATCGTTGTGATAACGACATGGTTGGACGAGGTGGCATGCGAACGGAAGGATGCGCCCCTTTGAGACGTTCGTGCTTGTGCGTGCCTTGGTTTGCATTGCAAGGTCTTGGAACGGGAAAGGGCGAAACGGGCAGGCACGCGAGTCAAGTGACACGGCAGTCGGCATGTGGCGCACACATCTTGGCACCGTCATGGAACAAGGGTTCGGTACTGACCTGTGCCCCACAAACGTGGACCTCTTGATGCTCCTTCGATGGAGATCTGAATACTCAGGGATTGAGACATTCATGAGGGGCGTCGGCCGTTGAGCTTGTTCACCGTGCGAAACAAGTGCCAGGCGCTTGATAACGGCGGGACATGCCCGGCGCTAGTACGGCACTGCTATTGCGCTGGCCACCTGTGTTTGGCTGAGCGGTGACGAGAGAGGCGCTGCCAAGTACGTCGCGCCGAATCGCCATCCCAGGGTAAATCTAAAACACGTCGACCTTGGAATCATTCAAACAATGCCCTTTCCGTGATCTTTGTCGTTGTTTGCTTTGTGCTTTCCTTTCGCCTCTTCACCTGCGGAAACCCTTACTTCTACCAACGACCCTTTCGCTTCCCCACCACACCAATGGCCTCACACTACTAGCCATAGGGGCGCCAACACTGCTACGCACACCTACTGCGCGCAACACACACACCGCAGATAGCGCTTACATAGCGCCTTACCCACAAGATGTCGGGAACACAGTCGTCGGTGTCGTCGACGGAGAGCAGCAAAGCTCAGGACAGGGAGAATCAGAGCATCGAGAACTTCGCTGCCTCCTTGGCCGCCGCTGCTGTTGTTTTCGGTGTGCAGATGGGCGTTTTCCTGATCCTGAGCGGCAACTGGAAAATCACACGGTCAAAGAAAGGCTTAACTGAAGCAAAGACGCAGCGGCAAAGCCTGTTCCAAAGGATATAGTGCGTGCGACCTCATTCTTTTGTGATCCAGCTAACAGCCTGCAGCTACTACAAGACCGCCTATGTACCGCAAGCGAAGCGCATCGCAGCCCCCGTCACCGCCATCGAGTCTATCAAAACTGTCTTTATGATTAGCGACCGAGAACTTATTCGCATAGCAGGTGTCGATGGCTTCCTGTTCCTTGAATACCTGCAACTGTTACTCCGCATATTTATACCCATGGCCTGCGTCATTCTTCCTATTCTGCTGCCAATCAACCGCGCTGGAGACGTCGATGGTGTATCTGGACTTGATTCGTTCGCGTGGCCAAACGTGGGCGTGCAGAATAAACAGCATCGGCTGTGGGCACATCTGATCTTGGCAGTACTTGTTGTGTGCTGGGTCTGCTACAACTTCTTCCTGGCCTTGAGGAAATTCGTCCGCCTAAGGCAAACAATCCTCACTATGCCAGAGCATCGCATTCGCGCATCTGCAACCACCATTTTGGTCCAGAGTATCCCGCACAAGTGGCTTACTGTGGCCGCGCTGGATGCGCTTTACGATGTATTTCCCGGCGGCATTAAGGAGATCTGGATTAATCGCAATTATGATGAGCTGCAGGACAAAGTCAACAAGCGGAGTAAGATCGCAAGAACCCTTGAGGGTGCTGAAACGAACTTGATCATTCTGTGTACCAAGAAGAACAAGGAGAAGATGGAAGCAAAGGCTAAACAAGAGGGCAAGAAGAAGAAAACCAAGAGAGAAAGAAAGGCAGAAGAGGCGCAAATGGACCACGACATTGCACAAGAGACTGTCGACCACGGTATGGACGCTGGTAACCCTCACCAGATCGAACAACAATTGCAATCTGTCCTGGAAGAAGACTCGTCATCTTCATCCTCCGACTCGTCCCGCTCTTCGTCGCATTCACGCAAGAAGCCTATGTTCCCGATTCCTTTCGTGGGCCAAGGCCTGCATGCTGTAGGAGACGGCTTTCGCGATGTGGGACAAGGTGTGGGTAACTTCAACAAGAAACTCTACGGCGGTTTCAGGGGTGCATTTGCTGGTAAAGACAAGCATGACCAGGCGCAGCCCCAGCTCGATGGTGGTGTTGACGTACCAATTTCGCCGACGTCTGCAGAGTTTGTGCAAAGGGGCGCTAGCAGCGACACCTATTCGCCTTTGGCGCCTGCAGACCAAGACCCGATGGACTCTGAACGTACCGTAACGCAGACAAGCGCACCAAACGAAAAACAAAAACCCACGAAGAAAGAGAAGAAGAAGTCCAAACATTTCAATCCGTTCCGATCTCTGCGACGCATGAGCGACGACTTCGCAAGCCCTCAGCCTTTCCGCAAACCTGGCGAAGTACTGCCAGACGAGTTGAGTGAGCCTATAAAAGTAAAGTACGACCTCAGAGGTGTCTACAACGAGAGTATAACAGAGGACGACGAAACGGCGCTTTGGAGATCGTACATCACGCCAAAAGACCGTGAAACTATGCGTCTCCCTCTGTTCAACTTGGATTGGTGGCCTTCTATTCCATTGATTGGCAAGAAGGTGGACACGATCTACCATTGTCGCAAGGAGCTGGCGCGACTCAACGCAGAGATTGACGAGGATCAGGCTCATCCTGAGCGTTACCCTCTGATGAATTCTGCCTTCATCCAGTTCAACCATCAGGTCGCCGCACACATGGCTTGTCAGTCGTTAAGTCACCATGTTCCTCGGCAAATGGATCCTCGAACTGTCGAAGTCAACCCCAACCACGTGCTCTGGGATAATCTTACGATGAAATGGTGGGAGCGATACCTTCGACTTTTCGGTGTTATCATGCTGATCGTTGGGCTCATCATCTTCTGGGGTATTCCAGTCTCATTCACCGGAGCTTTATCTCAGATCTCCACACTGACCGAGGAACTGCACTTCTTGCGCTTCCTCAACGATATGCCAGGTTGGGCAATTAGTTTCGTGCAGGGTGTCCTGCCCCCAGCGTTTCTGGCCATTCTTTTCGCTGTTTTGCCGATCATCCTGAGATTTCTGGCCGGAGCCACAGGTACGACGACGTCCGGAGAGCGTGAGCTTCTGGTGCAAAACTTTTACTTTGCCTTCGTCTTCGTCCAACTGTTCCTAGTTGTGTCGCTTTCCACCGGCATCACCGCAACGATTCGAAAGATTACCAACGACCCTATCAGTGTCCCTCAGACTCTGGCCGAGAACTTGCCTAAAGCTGCAAACTACTTCTTTTCGTACATGATCTTGCAGGCCCTCAGTATCAGCTCTGGTACTCTGCTTCAGATCGGTGCTGTTGTCATCATTGTTCTCTTCGGCTTCTTCGACACGACACCTCGACAAAAGGTCTCCCGGGTACTGAATAGGTCAGGCATGAATTGGGGTACTATGATTCCGGTCTACACCAACTTTGGCGCAATCGGAATCATCTATTCGATCATCTCGCCTTTGATCATCATCATGATGTTGATCACATTTTCCCTCTTCTGGTTTACCTACCGGTACCAGATGATCTACGTCTCATACGCTAAGGCCGAAACGAACGGACTGATCTTTCCAAAGGCTGTCAACCAGCTCTTTACCGGTATCTACTTCCTTGAGCTCTGCCTTGTTGGTCTGTTCTTCCTACAGGACAACAAAGCTTGTGTGCCTCATGCGATTATCATGATCGTTGTGATGATCTTCACTGTGCTCTACCAGTTTGTGCTCAATCGAGCCTTTGGTCCGCTGTTCACCTACCTCCCCATCACCTTCGAAGACGAGGCTGTCGAACGTGACGAGGAGTTCCAGCGCGCCCAAGCCGCACGATGGACCGACGCAAACGATGCAGAGCATCAGTCTCTCATCGGAGAAAGCGCAGCCAAGACTGCAGAAGACCGTGAACGCGCACACATGGAGGCAATGGACCGCTTGAATGCACAGCGAACACCATCGGGCGGCAACGGTAATGAAACATTCGAACTCTCGAACCTTGATAGCCCTAGGCCAGACCGCAAGAACAACTGGAAGAGCAAGTCACGTACATCCGTCCACGCCAGTCGCTCTCGCTCTCGCTCCCGTGCTACGCCTAAGAAGCACAAGCGTAAGGATCCCCTCGATGTCTTTGCCGACACCCTCAAACGCGGTCTGGATGATGTCACGGACGGTATTACGCGTCCCGTGCGCGACATTGAATCCCAGGTCCTGCCCACGGCCAACTTATTCGACAACATCGACGACGAGCTGCAAGACATAGAACCCGAGGCTCGCCAGAAGCTTATTAAGCGCAGCTTCCAGCACCCCGCGACACGCACGATTCAGCCTGCTGTATGGATTCCGCACGACGAGTTGGGTATCTCTAAGGACGAAATCCAGCGCACCAGTGTCTTCAGTTCGAGGATTTGGATTACCAGCGTCAATGCTAGGCTTGACGGGCGTGGTAAAGTCATGTACAGGGGACTGCCGCCTGATCGCGATCCTTTCGAGAACATGGAGGTGTAGAGACGCATTGTAGCAGCGTGTCTTTTCTGATTGTTAGCGAGCATCATCATATTCATTGTCTTCTCATACATAGCGTGCGCAGCTTGGGGGTACATATGGCGCTTGCCGCTCCACTAGATGGAGAGCGGAGTTACATCCTGCACTGCATAGTTCGTGGGACAGAAGATAATTTACACATTTCGATTCATTTCAACGCAAAATTCGTATGATGTTCACGTGGCGTGGTTCTCATGACCGGACGGATGATTCATCTGATGCGTCTTTCAGTCTCAGGATCCAGCTGGGTATCTTACACAGGTGTCGTGCAATTGACGCAATGAAAGTACGGTCACGTGTTCGACGTGTCGCGCTAACTTCCCCACAACGCGTCTGGCGCATCTACGCAACTCTACACAAACTTTCTTACCTGACATCAACACAACGTCACCGAGATGTCGAAACAAGGCACCGTTGTAGAGCAGAAGCAGTTCTTCCTGCAAGCAAAAAAGCACCACCTGTCACGCCCGATCGTGCCCTCACAGCGACTGAAGACAATTGCAGAGGATGGAGGTATTGAGCTCGGCGTGGTCAAGGGCGCCTTGGACAAGGTCAACCGCGACCTGAAGCAGCACTCGCGCAAAGTCTATAGCCGGCAAATGATTGACCATATTGTTGACCAAATTGACGAGCTGTACTGGCAATCGGGTGCTCGAGACATTGACGATGAGGATGACGACGCAGCGCCTGAAGATGATGGCAACACACTGTACCAGAACGACAATCTTACCCTCGACGAGAATATTGCCAAGCTGCCCAATGTCTGGGACACTTCCTCGGATTCTACAACCTCTCGCGACGTCGATCAGGATGACTACACCGCCGCCCTCGCCCGCCTGCAAGATCTCTCAGCGCAGCGCCTCTCCCTGCAAACGAAGCTGACCACATATCGCACGCTCCTCTCGCTGCTCGAACCGTACCGCAAGCCGAAGGAGAACATACAACCGAATTTGGTTTGGAGGGATGCGCCGCTTGCGCCAGAGCTGGCAAAGACAAGGACGCTGGCCATACGGGTTGCTGGGAGGGTGGGCGAGAAGCTGGGCGATGTGCAAGTTCCAGCTACCGCAGACGAAGATGGTGATGTCGATATGCTGGCTTTGAAAGGACAGGGCAAGAAGAAGCTAGACGCAATTCTAGCTGGCTGGTGATGTGGTAGACAAGCGGTGTTCGTTGTACCGCCGTGAAGTAACACTCGCACTTGACCGGAGTTTGGGCTGGATTTAGGCAGGCATGTCTTGCTATTGCTATCTTGAGACGGCGGGCGCGGTCGTCCACTGTTATAAGTCTCCCGTTGCGTTCTGCAACGACAGGACCATTCACACACGCCCATCGTTAACGCCCACTCTCACGGCTTATTCTTAGTCTCATCGCGCATTCGTTGTCATGAGAGGTATGTGTCCGACTCGAATGCCTGTAGCCGCTGCTGACCCAATATTAGTCTACGAACGTACTCCAATCACTTTCTGGAAACCGAAAACAGCAAAAAGGTCCAAAGACGCCTCTCGGTTGCACTCCGGATCGACAAGCATGGGCAGACGGAGGGAGCGCTTGAGGGCGACCGATGCTTCGCCGCACTGGCTGGGACGACTGCCGGGGTTTCGCAAGGCCAATGCAGATCTTGCGACGCCTCCAGACGGCGCAAAACGATTCTTGCGACATCAGGCAGACAGGAAGGAAAAGCGGCGCGATGCGAGAAGGCAGAGACGCCAGGCTTCAAGTAGCCGTAGGTCCAGCCCACTGCCCAGAATCACCGTACCTGAACCAGCTGCCGGCTCGGGTACACCAAGACCTCGTGCAGCTGGCGTGCCCATCGACGCGATTCGCAAAGCACTCAACATGACGAAGATTAGCGACATGCCCGAATCGTCCTCGAAGGCTTCAAAGGCGACACCTCGGCCATCTCCGCCAGCTGAATCTCATATACGCGACCGCGCAAGCTCCGACCCTGATCGCTACGGAGCACATGAAGTCGTGACAGAGACAAGGTACCGCGTGCCATAGAAGACACGCCACGAACCACCCACCGACGACGACGGAGAAGCCCGCCTGAACAAAGCCGTCATCAAAGCTAAACAAAAGCTCATCACGCACCCGCACGAGGCCTCGGAGCGCATGGTCGCGAAACTCACAAATGAGGTCAAGAAGTACCTGGCCTCGAGAAACGGTAACGATGAACCGCGACCTCGAGATCAAGACTCCCCGCAGCCGAGGACAGTGATCGACGTACCACTCAGGCACCAGACTTTTGATGCTGAATCCGCTTTCGACGGCCCCTTCGATGCCGACGCCCCCGAATTCCCGTCGCACGAGACAGATCCCCTCCTCCCCAGTGACAGTGACAGCGACGGCGACGGCGACGTATTCCACACACCGCCGCAGCGCCGTAGCCCGCCCGGTGAGATCTGTGGATCCAGCGCGATCCCGATGCGCACGTATACGCCGGGGAAGCATCCGATGACTGGGCGAGATAATCCGGAGAGGGAGGGGTCGTGGTGGCGGTGCTGGGAGTGGCGGTGCTGGGAGTGGCGGTTTTGGAGTTGTGGGTGGGGCAGGGAGGAGAGGGAGAGGAGAGGGTCTTTTGGGTCGTAGATATAGGATCTGAGGAGGGAGGATCATCAAGGAAGATACTGTATTAGTCTCCGTCAGGGTTGTAGAGATATGCAGACTAAAGCATGCATGCACAGCACCCGTTGAGGCAATACCATGGCATTGCTGATTCTCTAACACCAAACGCCTCGCTATGCAATACCCGACCGAACCACACACCGCTCCCCCGTCCCTCACGCCCCCTCCTCCTCATCACTACTCCCCGCCCTCTCCTCCCACCCCGCCAGCCGCCTCAACACCCTATTCTCCTCCCTCAGCCCCTTCACCTCCGCCATCAACGGCTCCTCCGCGCGACTCTGCACCTTCAGCGCCTGCCGCGCATACTCCGCAACCCTCCCCAGCCCCGCCTGCCACTCAGCATGCTCGAGGCGCAACTGCATGCTCGTCGCGCGCTCCGCGTCCAGCAGCGCCTGGTAGTGCTTGTGCAGCGCCAGGATGGACGAGGTCTGGGTGTACGCGTAGGGGCGCAGTTTCTCCAGCAGCAGGGTGAGTGCGTTTTCGTAGTCTGTGATCAGGGATGTGAGGGCGTGGGCGTGGGTTGTTAGTGCCGCGGTGTGGGATTCGGCGGTCGAGAGGCGGGTTTGCAGGGCTGTGAGGTCGGCGGCGCGGGATGCTGCTTCGGGGGGTGTTAGTCCGAGGTGTGGTATAGTATAGTAGGATGTGGCGCAGCAAGAAGCCATGGGAGAAGCAGACATACCGTTTATCTCGCCATTCACCTCGCGCGCGCTCGTGTGGTTCAGCACCCCGACGCCACCCTCCTCGCTCGCGCGCTGCTGCAGCGCCTGCACGCCGTTCAGCACGCCCTGGGTCTGCGCCTTGTTGTCCTCGAGCATCTGCGACAGCTGCTGGACGACGCTCCACAGGTGGTTCATGTCTGTCTGCTGGCCGCCCGAGGGCAGGCCGTTGACGAGCGGGACGCCGTTTTGCTGGGGCGCGCCGTTCATTTGCGAGGTCTGGCTGGGCGAGGGCGAGGGGGCGGAGCGCGGCATCGCGACGTTGCCCGTGCTGTCGAGGAAGGAGTAGTTGTTCATGGTGGCGGGTGGGGTGGGCCGCGTGGTGGGCGCCGCGGCGCGGTGGAGTGCACGCGGGAGCTTGTCGGGCTGTGCTTTTGGGGGTTTTTGGGGCCGAACGTTGCGATGGGAGTGCGGTAGGGTGACTGGGGCGTGGATTTGCGCTGCGAGTCCCCGAATCGTACGTCAATTACAATGCGCCTGGTCGAACTGTGGGGGAGTTGCACCGCGGAAGTGAGCAGCGCGCAAGGCTTAGCGTCTTGGCCTGACAGGGGTTATGGTGTTGTCTCTCTTTCACTATTGATCAGAGGGCGCGTTCATCGTCCCATGTATGAAATGTTATAGCACGTACTGCTCTGCGTTCTTGCCGTCACGGACCTGCCTAATGAGGAAGGTTTGCTGCAGAACCATCGATCGCAGGACACGTCGTGTACGCCCCAGGGCGCGCCGTGTCGTTGTGAAGGGCGCGATGCGACGACCTTCACCTATGGATGACCTGTGCCTCCCCGCTGATCAAGCGCTGCAACATTCCCGAAGAAGCAGTTTTTCTCAACAGTGTCGAACGTAGTGGCCACTTGTACATAACAGGGCGTGGTTCGCGTGCAGGGCGCAGTGGTCTGAGGGTCATGCATTTCTCATCATTCGTGATATGCTATGGATTCTCACTAAGTCGAGTTGGGAGCTTTCAGCACGCTAAGTCATCAAGCTAGAATGTGACGCTATGCAGCTCTCCTACAGCTTCTGCTTTGCCTCATCAAGCTGGCAGAAAGCCTTGAACGTCACCAAGCCTTCCGCGTCGTCTGTCTCACTCTCAATGACGACCTCGGCGGTCGCGCCGACAAAGAAGACATACCCCTCCTTCAGCTCCTCCTTCTTGGGTCCCACGCTAATCGTGCCCTTGCCCTTGGTGCACAGCACGATGCTGGGGCCATCAATTGGGTCGAACGTGGTCTTTGCGCCGCTCTTCTTCAACGCTGTCCTGACGACCGCGAATTCTGGAATCGGTGGGTCGTACAGAGTGTTCGACGAGTTCGACGAGTATGCAGCAGCATTGAGTTTTGCGTAGGCGTAGTCTGTCGGGTCCATCTTCTGTTCGCTGATGGGCGCGTACGAATACGTCAGCATCGTGGTGAGGGTCTCGACGTCCTTGAACTTGGGTGTGAAGCCGGCGCGCACGACATTGTCGGACGAGGCCATGCACTCGATGATGTCTCCGGAGAGGTAGGCGTGGATGTCGTCAGCCTTGAGGAACATGGCTTCGCCTACCTCAAGCTTGACATAGTTGAGGAAGAATTGGACAAACAGGCCGATATCTCCAGGAAACTGCGAGTCCAGGCGAACAACAAGGTCAGCAAGCTCCTGGCCGTCGTTCGAAGGGCCGCCATTGCCAGCAAAGGACGAGCCCTCCGAATTGGCAGCAGAAATGAGCTCCTTAGCTGCAGAGACAAGAGCGTCATGGTCTGTGTTCATGACCTTCGTAAACGCCGACTGCAAAGCCTTCTTGTTGGCCTTGACGTCTTCCCCCTTGTCAGATGTCTCCTTGCCCTTGATCGTTTCTTCGAAATTCTTAGCCTCCTCCTCACCAACGAGTCTCCGCAGCGATGGGATGGTCTGGAGGAAATGCGCAATCTCGGCGAGGGGTCGGAAGCCGCAGAGTCCATCGAAGGGCGTGACGGCGATGGTCATCTCAGGCTTATGGTTATCATCTGGTGGCATGTTAGTCTATGCAGTCTAAAATATGGCTATACGCCTGACCTGGGTAGTTCTTGGGGTCCCTCTTGTGCAATTGCTCCGCAAGCTTCTTGTTTGGGTGGGCCTGGATGCTCAGCGCCTTGCCGATCGAGAGAACCTTGAACAGGAAGGGCAGCTTGTTCTCGTAGCGCTCTGCTATGTCGGTGGAAAGGAGAGCTTGGTTCTCCTGGACGAGGTCAAGGAGCGAGCGCTGGGTCTCGAGATCCTTCGAAGGAAGGGAGGGGTGGGTGCCCATCCATAGCTGGCGATGTCAGTACTGGAACAAGCTCGATCATGTTGAAAATGTACCTCAGCATAGGGCTTGTCCTCTTGGATAGAGAAGTCTTCTGAGGCCGTAGCAGCGTGGAATTTGGCGGCAGCAGAGTCCTTGCCGACCTTTCCTGGAAAGCTTCAGCATTCGCTGGGTAACGTCAAGCGCGGAGCAGCGCACCCCAATCGTAGCTGTTTACACCTGAAGGCAGTCAGTCTACGGCCTTAGCTTGAGCTTCTATATTTTCTGGCATACCGCACTGAAGTCTGATCAAAGGTACACGCATTTTGTCTATTCCTCGCTGTGTTATGGTGGAAAGGTGGCAACGTCAGAGCTCCAAGGGAGTTTTGGTGGGGTCCACGAATGCCACTACTGCGGAAGCCCCGCAACCGAACCGGACGTCGCCAGATCAGCGGTAGGTTCAAATAAGCAGCGTCCCACCGAACGACTATTCCCTTCAATCGCTTAGTGCCTCGGTACCGGTACCTGGAACTCGTGCTTAGCCTCGCATAACCATCCTTCTCTTCTACTCGCTCGCTGAAATAACCTCATCCTTATGCACTTCAGCGATCAACCCCTGCGGTAGTCGCGCTGGCCTGGCAGCAAGAGCTCTGGAACTGTTAGGGCGCACCTCCCTTCAACATGGCAGCACGCAGCAGGCCCCGTGGCGGGCAGATGAAGGACGAGTACGACGAGGAAAGGTCGCTCTGGAACCAGATCAAGGGTGATGCACGCCACATTGACCAGCTCATGGTAAGCAAACTAGCACTTCCAGCCCCGCATTGCTACATCTACATTACTATATGTCTGCAAGAGAAATTAGCAACTTGGCAGACTCGGAGGGATTCATAGGTGCAGCTCCTAATCCTTATGTCTCTCCTGGGCATCTATGGACACGAATCAAGTCCATGGCTAGAAAGGTTGACAATCTGGCGGTAAGCGGCTGATCTGTTGCACGGTCACCGGCCGTTGATCGATGCCCTCAAACGATATCAAACAGATTGTCAACGCATACCTTTTGTCCAAATGATGCCTCTTCTGTCCGTCTCTAACATTTATTACAGACACAAGCAGAGACTGTTCGCAAGAAGATACTGGACCTCGAGGCGTCTCAAAATGCTCGATTAGGTTTGATTGCCTGCAGATGCTCCACTTAATACTCATACTGACCAGAATAGCTCGAGGAGCGCAGCCCTCTGAGAGAATCGACGATGAGCTCGAGACCAATCTTCGTGAGCTCATCAAACTAGACAACGAGATGATTGGCCATTTGAAATCAGAGGACGGCGGCAACGACATCTCCACACAGATGGGCATCCTTTCAGCTCTGAGAAGCTCAGACGACACCCCAACATCGGCATCGCGCGCCACTAGTGTTGGCAAGTCGCGCGACCGCCAGGGTAAACGCAAAGTCGCCGACAGTCTTGACGACCGCGACAGCATCGCCGCGGACAGCCCTGGGCCCAGCCCGAAAGTGGTAATCAGCCAGAAGGACAAGCTGATTGCGAAATCGGCCAGCAGCAGGGCAGGATCGGTTCCCGTGCGCGAAGGAAGCGTCAAAGCCGAGGACGACGACAATGGTAAGGGTAAGAAGGGTCGCTCTTCTGTCCCCAGGTCTTTTCCCAGTTCATCGAAAAAAGGGTCCGCTCGTTGAGCGCGCATGTCAGACTTTCTGCTCCATTCCGGCGTTACACACGATGGCAACGATACCCGCTCTAGCATTTCCTGTACGTCTGATGGGTACACTCCTAGCCTAATAGTCTAGCGAGGTAGTTCATTCAGAACCATGTCTTCCTCATGTCATGTCACCGCAGCACCATTGTCATCATCTTTCCCACCCTCGATTCGCCCCCGCCCCATCCCCACCCCACAACTAACACGCACCAGACAACCCACCGCGCCGCCTCTCCCCCAAAACAGAAGTCCTCTACCGCAACAGCAAACAGCGCGCCAACCAGGAAGGCGAAGGCATCCTATGCCGCGTCACCAGCGTCATCGGCGACGGCAAACAGCGCCGCTACGAGATCATCGACGCGGACCCGGATCCGCCGACGCCGAACCAACCCTACCGCGCCTCCGTCGCGCACCTGGTCCCCATTCCCTCGTCGTCGGCCAACGTCACGCTGCCCGACTTGCCCAAGAAACGCGTCGTGCTTGCGCTGTACCCCAATACGACGACGTTCTACAAGGCGGAGGTTGTGGCGAGCTGGGTCGCGGATCGGGTTAAGAAGGAGAAGGATGATAAGGAGGGGGTGGCGGATGGGAAGGATAATCTGGTGCGGCTGAGGTTTGAGGGCGAGGACGAGGCGGATCGCGAGATGAGTGTTGAGCGGCGGTATGTGTTGCCTGAGAAATGAGGGTGGTGGTTAGCTTGCACGGCTGCGGGAGTGCGATGTTGGGGCTTGAGTATTTGTGAATAGGTGTTGATTGGATAGGAGCCCGGACTCGGGCCATTGATGTTTTTTGCTGTTGTAATGCATTGGTTTTGTGTGTTTACGTCTGGCAACAGGTGCACCTCTGGTGGTGGTTGGTGTTCACTGGCTGATCTCAACAGAGCGTGGTATCCAAGCATCGAATGTAAATACTAGGAACAGCCATGTTCTGAAGCAAGATCCTGCCAAACCTCTACGTCCCTCCATCACCATCACCCCTCATCCGTCGTATCGCCCTCCTCGATCAGCGTCTTGAACTCGCGCACCTCCTTCATCCACATATAGCTGTGATACATGCCCTCGAGGTCGTAGTACAGCGTATGCTTCTCGCCGGGATCGACATCCACGAGCCCCTTGCGCACCAGGTTCTTCAAAAACAAGATCAGCAATCTAAGAGCCCTGGTCTGCGCATCGCGACCGTGGGCGTCGTCAACAGCAACCCCAATATCGGTCTGCGGCGGGGGCTGGTGGTTGATGCTGGGGGGCTGGCCCATGTGCTCGACGAGGCGCAGGGCGTGTTGGATGAAGCACAGCACGACTTCCTTGGCGTCGATGTTGTGTGTGGCGAGCGTGGAGTTTGTGACGAGGTTGGTGAGGAACTCGAGGGCGGGGAGGGCAATGGGGAGGCGCGTGAGCTGCGCGAAAATGAGAGTGGGGTTTTGGTCTAGGGTGGACAGCACCGAGGCTTTCCATTCCTGGAGCGTCGGACGCTGCGTTCGCCGTTCGTTTTGAGGCGTGGACTTCTGGGGTGCATGGGTGGGGGTTTGAGGCGTCGCACGGGGACCAGTAGGAGCAGGAGCGTCGTGCGTGGTTGTAACAGAGACCGGCGGCGCGGGAGAGGGCTCGTAGATGCCTTCCTCCTCCAGCATGCGGACGTATGGCTGCACGTCAAAGGGTGTGGGAGGGTACCGCGCCTCGTACAGTTGCTGCGGCGTTGCGAGGGCGATGGCATCCGCGTCTGAACGCAGCATGCGCTTGATCGTCTCGAGCCGGGTCGCAGCGATGTCTCTGGCCGAGAGGCCTTCTGTCGCAGGCTGCCCGCGCTGCGGCTGCGCGGCTGTCTCGAGGCGCTGTACGGCCTCGACCCAGTGTGATAGGAATGGATTCAGACGGAGCGGCGTCTCCGCATTCAGGGCCCACAGTCTGTATTCGCTCCGGACCAGTGCGGCCAGCATGCCCCAGCTAGGCTGCCGCTGTGCCTCTGCCTCGAGCGCATCGATCATGCCCTTGACGCGCAGGCTCTTCTCGAAGGCGCCCCCGACGCCGTCCTCCTGCAGCGTGGAGACGTGGCTGAGGTCCTTGACAACCGTCGCATTGTCGCGGACCACGTCGGCCAGATGCTCGAGCTCGACGCGGGCGAGCGCCGAGGTGAGGCTCATCGTTCGCGGTGTCGCGTCTTGCGGCTCGGGAAGCGGTCGTGGAACGGGTGCGAGGGGCTCGGCGTCGAAGGAGCCATGGATGCGGATGGCTACAGACACGCAGACGCTGAGGTGTCACGATGCCGGCGTTTCGCGATTGGAAGCTGCGGTCGACGCGCCAAGCATCGTGCTCGACTCAACTCGCTGGCTAGCGGTCCCACCCGCAGACTAACAGACGAGAACAATGGGCCCGCCCGGGGACGTGTCCGCACCCTGCAGTCCTAAGGGCAGCGCGATTGAACGTCAGTTCCAACATCTGGGCTGGTGTTCCCATCAGTTCCGTCGACTGCAACAGGAACGCAGCTCCGGGACCCTGCACTACCTCAGCACCCTCGACCGCCGCAACTGCCGCCCCAACAACCATATCACGTGCATAGACCAGCCCTGCTGTGTTGCCAACAACGTACATGCAGCGACATACGTGACAAAGCACACACAAACGTGCTCGGGCACATGCTCGTTCGTTGGCGTCGACTACAATCATGTCGTTGACATCATCGACGCTGGTGGAGTCCCCATCGTTGGCATCCACCTCGATCCTACGCCCACCACGGGGGACCCCGTTCTGCACCTGACTGTCACGCCCCGAGCCATCTCCACACGCTACACGGTCATTTCGCACGTCTGGTTTGATGGACTGGGCAATCCCTCTGCCAACGCCCTCCCGGCATGTCAAATCCAACGTCTGTACACACAGCTGGTGTCCCTGCCGCGCGAATATGAATCCGGCGTTTTCTCCGTAGCATCTCTGCAGGTAGACTGGTCTCGTGGGAGTTTTGTGCGTAACCCTGAACGCCAGCCGCCGTTGTTTTGGATGGACACTTTATGCATTCCTGTTGACCCAAAGCACGAACACCTTCGAAAGAAAGCAATCAACCAGATGGCGTCCATCTATGCTGCAGCTATTCGGGAGCTCGTGCTGGATGCAGAACTGATGCAGTATGAGGCAGCCACGAGTTCGGCACTGGGGATACTCGCGCGCGTGGCATGCTCAGCGTGGATGACGCGCAGTTGGACATTGCAAGAGGGCGTGTTGGCGCGGGAGTGCATCTTCCAGTTCAAAGACTGCGCTGTCGACCCGATGCACGAGTGGTGTCAGCATGGACCCAGACCAGGAGTGCCGGCTGCAGCCCGAGGCGTGAGCTTTCCACTCCCTACGGATGAGGAGAATTGGGCTGTGTATGTGGAGCTGTACGATATGCTGTGGAATACCTTGCATCAGGACTGGAAGAGCAAGTACCATAAAAGCCCGCGTCAAACGAAGGCAGGGAACTTTCAGCGTCTGCGTGGCGGGAACATTACGGGCCACACCCTCACTCTCCCTCCCATCCAAGGCCTCTCGAATCGGGGCGCGAGTGGCCTAGACGAGACAGATCACTTCACGATGGAATTAGGAGAGGCAACCAGACTGAAGCAGCTGGTCGATACGTGGAATGAGCTTGCGCATCGCTCGACTACAATGCCAGAAGACTTGCACATCATAATCGCCAATCTTTTAGACTTCAACGCTGGAAGTATTTTGAGTATACCAGCGCGCGAAGAGCGCATGAGGGCTATGATTCTGAGCTTCAACTCACTCCCCGTTTCGCTGTTCTGGAACACTGGACCGAGGTGGCGTGGTGATGGTGGTGCAGATACTGGAAGCAATAATCGATGGATTCCCACCGAGCCAAGCAAGAGTAAATTATCTCTAACACCGGTGATGGAAGTCACTGCCGAGTGGCTCAAGTTGGATCTTCAGCCTGGAATGAGAGGCACGCAGGTTGCTCTCCTACACGAGAACGGAGTCAGCATCGCCGAGCAGATGAGTTTTGTGTGCTCGATTTCACCACAGCGCGCGTATCATGTGACAATACTTGACAGCCAAAGTGAAAGAGACCAAGGGGCTGCCGATGTCAGTACCCCTCACTACCTCATCACTGAGCAGTCCACAGAAGCGACCACCAAACTGATCAAAGGTGCCCTGTTCCGCGGTATCCACTCTCCTGGACTGGATACAGACGGCGTAGTCAAGCTCTCATATGCGTGCCCCGTTACTCTGCGCCCCCTCCAGAGAGACCTCAACGCAGCCGAGCAGCACGTCGTAGCCGAGTATCTCTCGTGCAATACAGAAGTATCGGTGAAATACGGTTCGTGGCCCTCCACCACTCCCGCAACGTTCATCGCCCAGGACGCCACTAACCACACCCAGACCCCATCCCCAACTTCACCCGCCACCCGCGCCGCATCCAACGCGGCTCCTGCACCCAAGGCGGCGTGGCAATAATCATGCTCCTCCCGATCCCCACCGTCCTCGGTCTGCTCTGCCTGCTCCTCTTCATCGTCACGCTCGCGCGCCCCCCGCACGCCTTTACTCCCACCGCCAAAGGGCTGCTCGCTGCCTTTGTCGTGCTGTACGTAGGCTGCACGCTGGTGGGCTTGGCGTGGCTGTTCTTCGTCGAGACCGTCATGTATCGCATGTGGCTCGCGTCGTTTGAGACTGCGTGGGTGCCCGAAGAGGAGCGCGGGTGGTGGGCGAGGTACATGGCATTTGAGCGGTGGCTGGGGCGGGTGGAGCGCGCGGTGTATACGTGTGTGAGGAGGGGTGTGAGGGCACTGTGGAAGTAGAGAGGGTGTGTTCAGATGTTATGATTTTATTGATGAAGCACGAAAAACAGGGGTATATCGCGAAAAATCTCACAAAACAGGTCAAGGCCCTCTGCCTGTGGCACAAAAGTCGTCACGTACTTGTTGCAGCAAAGTATATTCCGAGGAGTTCAGATGTTATAGAAGGGGGGATGAGTGCAGTCTGCAATTGTAGAGGACCTGATGGCTTGTTGATCGCACGGCCGGGTTTCTGAAGCTGGCCCTTTTCGTGTGCTACTTGTGAGTGTTAGTTCCTTTTGCAAGACTCATCTGCCTCGGTGAAGATTAGGTTTGGATCTAGTACTGCGCGTCCCGGAGGTTGACGGGGCATGCCGGAGTCTCTGCAGACCACTGTACCGTTTTCGACCGTGCCGTCGTTAGAGCCAGGGTCGTTAGAGCCAGGGCTGGACACGGTCAAGATCAAGTGCATCAAGAGTGACATGGCCTTAGCCTCCAAACGCATGCAGGCATGTGCTGTACGTCACAACTCCAAACTTTCTGGTCACCACAGCGCCACAGTTGCCCCAGACAGCAGCACACTCGCGCCCGCCATTGGCCGCCGTGCCTCCAGCGCCCCGGCAAAAGACGGTGAAACCGTAAAATGCAGCCGCTTCTTGCTTGTCCACGCTACACCAACGGCTATCACGGCACGCCCGCGCTCCAGCCTCCGCTCCAGCCACACGCGGCGCCGCAATCCGCAGACTCTGCCACAGCGCCATGCCCCCGTCGCCCGCGATGATGCAACTCGCAACGCGCGGACCTGTGGCGCGGTGTGGCGCACCCGCGCCGCCGAGTCCCGCCTCGCGACGTGCGTGTGACGCAGCGTGCTGCGGGCGTTGCGTGGCTCGAAAACCGGGCTCTTGCGCGCGGTCCGGTCTGGACAGGCTGGTGTGGCTGGGCAGCAGGGCCGCGCGCGCCCGATCGGGCGGTGACGTAGCGCGCATGACACTTTCCGTCACTGCCGCATTCCTCTACATAAGCGGGCGCAGCGCTCGTCTGCTGTCTCGTTGCAAGCCACACACTCTCCAGTACTCTTACTCAGACTCATACGCATTCCATCAACCAACACTCTAATCTCGATATCCAACGAGACTCTCAGCAATCATGCCCGTCACCGCATCCGACCTCTGCAAGATCCTCTTCGCCATCTTCCTGCCCCCGCTCGGCGTCTTCCTCGAGCGCGGCTGCAACGCGGATTTCTTCATCAACATCCTGCTCACGATCCTGGGTTACATTCCCGTACGTCGCACTCCCTGTTACGGTGCTGCGAAACGCATGCTAACGTGCCCCAGGGTATCATCCACGCGCTCTACATCATCTTCAAGTTCTAAACCGGGCCTGACGGACGCGCCTCTGTCGTCGAGACGGCGCGGGTGCGAGAGACGATCATACGATACCCATGTCTTTTTGTTTCAAGGGGTGGTAATGGCGGAGCGAGCGTGCTTTGCGCGGTGGTAGTGTAGCGATGAATGGAGAGTTTTGCATCAACCATCAATCGTGCCTCAATCATGACGTGAACCGTGCTTCGATCGTGAATGTCGAGGCTGTGCGTTCTTGAATTAGAGCTGTTGAGTGAAACCTTGGGTGAGACGTGGAGCAATTGGGTGCGTAAGTAAGAAGGGACTCGTTACTTCGGAGTCTTGTGGCACGAGGCGCTGCGGAGTGCCACGGAATCGCGTAACGTTGTTAGGTATACACTACCTTCGGCAGTACCGGGAACGACGCGGCTATCCTATCGTTCAAGACACCAATGTCCCAAAACCAGTCAACACGGAACCAATCCGGCCCGCTTCCACCCACCATCCACCGCTCCCTCACACATCACAGACAACAGACATATCCTGTACTGCAAGTAATGATGATATGATATAACAGCACCCGCTAAATACACCCCAGCCTATCAGGCCCCAGAAACACTGCAACCCCCGCAGTCTAGAGCCCCAACACGGGTATTGTCCCCCCCCCCCCCCCCTACTGAGCCGCCTGTTTCTGCAAATCCGCCTCGACCCCCCTAACCCTCGCCTTCCCATCCTCCCGCTGCCTCCTCGCCTCCTCTTTCTGCGCCTCATTCCCCACCACTCCCGCGACCGCGCCCCCAATAACCCCGCCAACGCGATCCTGCACGCCCTTCCCCAAATCCCGCACCTGGCCCTGCGCCTCCTGCCCCCTCCCCTCCGCATTTTGTTGAATACCGTCTTGCTTCAATCCCTCGGCGCCCACGAAGCCGCCGATGCTTTCTTTCAGCGCGCCGACGTTCTGGTTCCACGCGCCGGCGCTGCGGTCTGGGTTCGCGGTTGCGAGGCCGCCGGCGGGGGTCGTGGTTATGGGGCCCGCGGTTGCGGAGGTGTGGGAGAGGGTGTGTTCTGCGGTGGCGGTGGATTTGCGGTTCTCGCCTTGTGCCTGCGGGGGGGTGTTAGTTGGGGGGATGGGAGGGAGGGAAGGGGGGGATGATGGGGAAGAGGGAGGTGGTAATGTGATGATGATGGCGGGAGGGCGTACTTTGTCGGCGGTGCTACCGGTTAGAGAGCCGATGGCGCTTTGAATGGTGCCGGCTGCTTGGTCGAGGTAGCTCTGGGCGGTGGAGGTTTGGTTCTTGTCGGCCATGGCTGCGGTGCGTTGATATACAGAATCTTAGGTTTAAAATTGGGTTGAAGAGTTCAAAAATTGCAAGATGCAAGAGCTGTGATTCAAAAGTGGTATCTGGTATGCAGTTCTCTCGCACTGCGTGTAGTCTTATATCCTCCGTCCCCAACCAGGCCTGTCGCGACGCGACATGTGAACGGCGATGACGTCACCCCCCACACGGCGCGCGAGAACATTCGCGATCGGGCTGGCAGGCCAGCACCCCTGCGCAGACACGCAGCACCTGGTGCCCGAGGCAGATCCTGGAGATCCGGCGATCTGACGGAGGTGGCGCTGTCAAAAGAGCTTGTTTCGCGGTCACGATCCATCACAGTCCCACCCCCGGCAGGTTCCGAGTGTGCACATGGTCACTTGGGTTTGCACGTTATAATTACACGCACGGCATGATGCAATGGATCTGCAAATGCAGAGTAGGTATAGTGTCTCGGAGACACGAACAGCGTGTGTGAATTAAGTTTTGTGTGGTATAAGACATACCAGCGTCAAATGAGTGTGCGGCAACGACAAGGAGATCGTGAAACAATGAAAATGCCCGAGAAGCCAGCCCGTACAGCAACGTCTGCGGGCACACAGACGTCTGCAGGCATGCAACTTCGTGAGGTCGAAACCTCGGTGTGAGAGCCCATGAGCGCTCTCGAGCGAGGCTGAAGAGCCGTCGCTCACCAGTGACAGACTTACCAGTGGCAGATGCCGCCCTCGCTGTCGTCCACGCTCCAGGTGCCAGCGAGACCGACGACTTCCACCGCGCCGTCGAAGCCCTCCTTGACCTTGCCGAGTCTGGCAACACGGGCGTCGCCGGGGCCGTTGCCGAGCAGACGGCGCGCCCAGGCGTCGATGGTGGGCTCACCGGTCTCGTCGCGGGCTTGCTTCAAGAACGGGATGAGCGCTGTGCCACCGGTGCCGCGGAGCGCCTTACTGCCACTGCGCTGGACGGTGTTTGCTAGGTTGACTGGCTGGGGTTGGTTCATAGCCTGCTTAGGTGCTACGGTCTTGGTCTCGCGAGACTTGATGATGATGTAGCGTGACACAAGCTGGATGTGCTTGTCGCGGAGCGTTCGCAGCATGGCCAGGCACGCGTCGTATGCTGTAGTTAGCGCGCGGTTGTTGCGGTTCGCTTCGACAAACTCCCGGATGTTGGCCACGCGCTCAACAGCCTCGAGGAACCTGCGGTGCGGTCCTGGCATGTAGTTGCGCATCTCAGCGATGAAATTGTTGTTCGTTGCGCCGACAGCGGGTGCATCGGTTGACTTCTTGCCAGTCGGGTGATGCTCCACACCAAGAACGATGTCGAAGAACTGGATCACAGAACTCTGTGCGTTACTGCCACCGCCGAATTGAACGTAAGGCTGCTGGCCGGTTCCGTCATCGAACTTGACTCCATTCGGCAGTCCCGCATCTGCCATGTTCTTACTACCAGCAAGGAACGGGCGGATGCGATGGTAGAAGACGTGCGGGTCGCAGCTCTCGTACATGCGCTCCAGCAAAACGCCAATCTCATCGAGTCTCTCAGCAAACGTGCGGAGACACTCCGAAACCATGGCAGCATCATTGTTCCTGGCAGCTGCAATCGCTTCGATCATCATAGGAATGACCGGTCCGGCACGTGCTTCGATCGCCACCGACACCAAGTAGAACCACGATTCGTCCAGCGAGCCTGTGAACGTCATCTGCGTGGCGAGGTTGTCCAGGGTGTCAGCAGGCTCGTTGCTGAACAGTGGTCGCCAGTTCCAGAGGCAGACGCCTGCGTAGGTGGCCACGGCTGGCATCTCGAGGTGGCGGCAGGTCTCCAGAAAGGGAATTGAGACGGATGGAGGCACTACATCAGCAGGTCTGTCGCCTCCCCAGATGTACGCGTGGGCGAAGAATCCGAGGATAGAATACGCCCGCTGCCACTCGGCTTGTGAGAAGAGGAGGTCAGTGGACAGCACAGGCAGAGCATCAATGGTTCGTCGAAGGCGCTTGGTGAGGATCAAGCCCTGGAAGTTGCGCGCGATTACCTCCCATGGCTGGTAGTACGGATCAGGAAGGACGTCTAGTGGAGTGTCCGTAGGTAGGAATCCATTCTGTGGGGACACACCAAAATCGCTTAGCCGGGGCAGTGGCGCAAGCATTGTGGAGAGGAAGTGTGTGGCAATAATCTTGAGGTGAGCCCAATATTTGAGGGAAGAAGGAACGGATACGGGCGGGTGTGATGTAGCGCCCGCTGCCTTGCTAAGCAGCTAGGATTCTTAGTCCAACTTCGAATCGCGTGATGGAGGATGACCCCGGTGAGCGTTTTGTATAGGGCAATCCTTGGCGCGGCGGTATCCGAGCACGATCGGTGAAAGGCACGATATGTCCCGCAAAAGGTATAAGCAGGCAGGCAGGAGGACCGGACGGCCCTGATTATATTGTACGGAGAAAAGGAAATCCTGAGGCGCGTGGGGAATTACTGAAGCGGAGCGGGCGGTACCATAGTTTTAGGTGTGTTAGTGCGCCTATAGCTGGAAAGACCGGACTCAACGAGGCAAGAGGCGCTTGTGGAACAAATATGGGACAGGTGCTCAATTTGAAAGCAAAAGAAACACATGCAAAAAGGTTGCACTCTCACTTAACAGGTCCGCGGCCGATGAAAAGGAAAACCTGCGCATGTGCAATCGGGCAATCGACCGATGCAAAGAGGGATGCGAAGGCGTCAGAGATGGCTTGATTTGTTATTGCCAGAAACTCCGAAATCTAGAGCAACATTAGCAATCCTGTTACCTAGCGGCAACCGTACTGTCTATGATTCTAACGTTTACAAGTGGAGACCAACGGGCCTGCGGCGAAACAGGCGCTAGGCACGCATAGGGCTCCCGCGTGCCAGGGTCCAGAGCAGCGAAGTCGCATGCTTGGCGCAGCGCTGTTGAGAACTACACGTGCCAGTGCAATGCTCAACAGAAAGCGTGGAGGCCATTTGGTCCATACAAGAACACCTCCATGTATTATCTGCAGGGCTGAAGTGACCACAGCTCTGCGTGGGGTTGTCATCAATGCCATTCGTCCGTGCGCTACCTGGTATAGAGCACGCTAGAACCACCACCGATCCTGCAGATCAGGCACACAGCACCGGGGCGCAGGACAGCAGACGGAGAGACACGCGAGCAGCATGTCGCAGTTCATAATTCTTTGTAAGATCCCTTTGGGCCGTTGCCACGTCGTCATGTCCTGTCTATCCAATAGCCGTCGGTCATCCATCCATCCACGTGAACATAAAGCCACAGCTTTTCTGGGTATAAACATCTACAACGAATGCATGCGAAAGGAAGATACATAACATGCTCTGCAATGCGCAAAGCTAACCCATCCGCGCCACGCTCAAACCAGTATTAGATAGTTGTAAGTACTCATGATATGCTGGTCGGTGCCATAAGGTAGCACTGATCCTGAAGTCGTAGCGGCTAGCGCGTTTTCTGCTTGACATTGTTAGTGGTACGACTGCAACATATGGGAATCGACTTACCAGGCTGGCAACGGCCGCCGCTGAGGCAAGATCAGGCTTGCCGGACACGCTGCGTTGTGCAACCCGCGGCAAGTTACTTAGGTTGCTTGTAGCGTTGGCTGGAGCGCCGTTTGCCGCTCGCTTGACAGCCGTTCCTCCGGGGCCGGGCGGGCCACTGACTGTGGAGTGGCGTCGAGGCCCGTTGGTCTTGATCGGGGAGCTACTAGGCCCTCGTTGGTTGTTGAGCGCGATGCCGTTCTTGACGCTTGGCCCGGGAGGCTCAGGGAGGGGTCGCACGCGGGCCTGCGGAGCCTGAGCAACCGGTGCTCGTTTGACGGGCGATGCAGTACTCGATGCAGAGTTGACGACAGGTCGTCTTCCAGCATTCTTGCGGAGTCCAGTGATGAACTCGTGCTGCATTGCCTCGTCAGGACGCATGCGGCGCTCGGGGTCCCAGCGTAAACAACGTGCAATGAAGTCCAAGAATGCTTCGTCGTCGCATTTGAGGGCTTGCTGCAAGGTCTTTGAGCTTGGCCTGCGACGGCGCCCTTTGGTGGAAACCGTGACTCTCGGTTTGCCCAGGGAATCAAAGAATAGCTTCTTTCTGCTGCTCTTTTCGATCAGATGCTTCTCTGGAGGTCCGAAAATCTCCATGATACAAGCAAGCTGCTCTTGCTCGTTCTCGCCGGGGAAGATGGGGTATCCAGTAAGAAGCTCTGCAAGAATACAGCCCAAGCTCCACATGTCGATCGGCAGGCCGTAGCTCATACCCAGGATGACTTCCGGTGAGCGGTAGAAACGCGACTGAATGTATGTGTACACCTTCTCGTTCTCGAAACAACTGGATCCGAAGTCGATGACCTTGATTTCGGAGTGCAGTGGATGCGCGAGGAGGATGTTCTCGGGCTTCAGATCGCAGTGAATCACCCGCTGGCTCTTCAGAAGAACTAGAGACGCTAGCATCTGCTTGCAGAATCGGCGAATGAGACGCGTCGAGAAGCCCTTGAACTCGTGGGCCTTGATGAACTCGTACAAGTTCATGCCGAGAAGTTCGGTAGAAATACAAAGATGGCCACGGAAGTAGAAGCTCTGCGTGAAGTTGATCATGCTGTGCTTGTTGTCGGGGTCCTGGACGCGTGTTAGCAAAATGATCAACAACTATCAATCAACGTACCCATTCGCGCAGCTTTTGCAGAATGTTGACCTCAATCAAGGCCTGCTGGTGGAACCGCTTCTTGTTGCGAATGATCTTGATAGCCACAAGTCCTCCTGTCTTGTGGTCGACGCAGCGCACAACTTGTCCGAAGCTGCCCTTGCCAAGCAGATCAACAACCTCATATCGGTAGGCGAGATGATCGCCAAAGACTATGTTGTAGTCGCCGCGGTCATCGTCATACCCGAAATTTGCAGTCTGCGCGTTGAGATCGCCGACATGCTTTTTGGCGTTCTTGGTGCCGCAGAAGTAGACCTCCTTGTAGTCGATGATCTCGCCTCTCTCGAAAATGTTCAAGTTGACCATCTGCAAAGCTTGCGCCGGCGTCACACGTTCTTGGGGCACAGCACGCTTGCGCAGTGCATCGACATCGCGCGCCGCGTGCTCGAAGTCCTTGCGTTTGGAGGCAAGCTTCTTCATCTCCTCATCTGCCATCAGATCGTCCCTGTCTAGGTTTGGATCCAAATGGCGCGACCTGAGTACATTGGAGGAACTCTTAGAACCAAGCATTCTCTGCATGGACGGCAAGATCGACGAACTCGGTTTCACGGATGGCTGGCTAGCCCCTGATGTGTTGTAGCCTGTCGTCGTCTTTGCAGGAGCATTCTTTGGCTCCTTGCGTGCTACTGATGCATCCGAATCAGTTTCGCTAGGGATGGTGGCTGTCGATGGCTTTCGTCGACCGAAGTCAAGGGAAGGCCGCAGACGACTGGCACTTGGTTCAGGGGTCGGGCTCGTATTGATAGCGCCACTCCAAGTAGCTGAGGCTGGCAGGCGAGGTGGCGGCATGTCGGCGTGTTTTGGTGGTTGCGGAGCAGGTGCTTCTGCCTGCTGGGTGCCTTTCCGAGCTGCTGGGTTTTGAGCAGGATGGGATGCAGCCTTCGACCCTGTTCGTCGCCAGCCACCCAAGCTCAATTTGCGCCTAAGTGATGTGCCTGACGAAGGAGTTTCCGGATCGGTCGAGGAGGCCGTGTGCGTGGAGTCCATTGTGTTACTCTTCTTCAGCGGACGTGGACCGGGACCTTTCATGTTCTGCAATTCAACGTCCTTTTCATTAGACTGAAACTCGCCGCTTGGGCGGGATTTCAAGCGGGAGAACTCGTCACTACCCTTTGGCAATGAATTCGACGAGAAAGGAGTTGTGCTCGCCTGTCGCCCTGGATGCAGAGTCGGAATTGGCATCGCAGCCATGCCACTGTGTGACTTGTCCTTTGTATCCGCGCTACCTCGCAAATTGATGGCAGAGCTGCTGCTACGGATGTGCTTGCCAAAGTCGTACCCATTATAGCCGCTGCCGGAGAAGAAGCTTGTCTTCGAGGCCGTCATGGGCGTGCTGGGAGTCTTATTCGTAGCACGCTTTGGTGGAGGCGTAACATTAACATCGCGCTTGTCTTCAGACGAAGGTTTGCTGAACGAGGAAATCCGGTTACTGACAGGGGTATCGAGAGGCAGCAGGTTCAGCGGTGGCAGTCTGATCGGCTGCAGATCTTTCTTGCTTGAATGCTGCATCGTCGGCGTCCGGTCAGCCTCCGCATTCCCCACTGTCAGTCCTCTTCTATGTCTGATAGATCCGGTGCTCGAGTTCAGCTGCGACGCCTCGTTTGTGCGTTCGCTGCTTCGAGCTCCTTGCGTGTGCTGATTGGTACCGGCTGGCAAACTAGGTCCACACGACGGAGTGCTAGGCTTTACACCTGCAGTCGAGAAGGAAAATGTTTGGCGCTCGGGATCCTTTGGAGATTCGTAGGCTTTGGGGATGGCCGGGACGGGCGGCACATCTTCTGTCTCGCCGCCAGCTGAGCTGTGAACGTTTCGTGGCTTCGCTGTGGGTAGTCTAGAGCTTTGCAACGTCGGGTTAGTACGCAGTGGTATCGAAGAGCCGCCAATTTTCAAAGAATTGATGCTGGATGTTGATGATAAAGAGATGCCTGAAGCGTACGATTTACGGTTCTGATCTGGCGTTGCACGCGCAGAAGACGGTGTCTCGCTCTTCCTGATGGAGATGCCAGGAGACTGGCTGAAGGCCTGATCGTCGAAGGTGAAATCGCCCTGTGGTGTTGGGGGTCCCACTGGCCCGCCGGGGATTGGCATGTTCGGGTTCATCGAGAGGCGCTTCAGTCTGCGTGCGTCCGTCGGACTAATGGTGCGCGCACCCAGGCCGAAGTGGTGGGACACAGTAGACTGGCGCTTGCTCGCGGCCGACGAGGGCGTGAATGCACGCTGCCCCTGGGCCGGCGATTTGCCTGGCGAGCGACCGTTGAATCCAGGCATGGACCCTTGATCGGGCGTTAGCGAATGTGCGGACAGGTGCTGGCCGGACGTTTGTCGCGAGGGTGGCTGCAGCGACTTCGCCTTCACAGTGCGCGCTGCACTCGGCAGGCGCTGCGTGGCGTTGGGGGGGTTTGCGGCCAGCGTCTCTCGCCGATTTGGCTGGCTCTTCGACGGCGAACGGCCGAGGGCGTTCGGGTCCATGCTGCCGCTCGCGGCGCGCGGCATCTCGCTGCGGCCCTCAAAGGAGCCCATGGGCAGCATGCCGGGACCCACACTTTTTCGGGGTGCACGTGCCGCGGGGTTGGGCGGCGCAGGGGCTGGGAACTGGCTCTGTCGCCGCGTGCGGATGGCCATGTTGGTGGGCGGCAGCGACACCACGGTGTTCTCGGCGGGCGCGGGCGGGCCGGCGGGCGGCTTCGAGGGGTTCGTGGTGCCGGGCGTGCGTGTGTTGGACTGGCTGAAGCGGCGCATGAAGGAGTTGCTGCGCGATGGCCGCGAGTCGGCCTGCCCGGCGGTGAAGGGCTGCATGGGCGGGGCGGCGCTCGGTGGGGCGGCGCTCGTGCTCGTGCTCGCGCTCGCGCTCTTGAAGCTGCCGGGCGCAGGGAAGTCGCTCAGGGCGGGCTCGTAGGCGAGGCTGTTGGCAAAGTCGTCGAAGTTGACGGTGGGCAGGAAATCGTACGACCCGCCGTGCTCGGCGTCGGCGGGCGGGGCAGCGGCGGCGCGTGGCTCGGGATTCGACGTGGGCTGCTCGTGCCGCGTGGCAGGCAGGAACGGGCGGTTCTCGAGGGAGGCTCCACTGGCGACCCTGTGCAGTCAGCGCCTTCCGTCCAGTCGCGGCGAGCCGGCGGCCTCGACCTACCTGTGCTTAGAGAAGTCCTGCGGCGGGCCGCGCGGGCCCAGCGGCACCTTTGCGATGCGGCGCTGCGAGCCCAGCGGGCGCGTGTCGGGCGGGCCGGGGCGGGCAGCAGCAACGCCGTTGGACGCGCTCGCCTTGCGCAGGCGGCTGCCGTGGTCGCCCGTCTTCTGGAACTTGCGCACGCGGTCGTCTGGGTCCGTCAGCACAGTCTCGCGGGCGCTCGGCAGCGCGGGCGTACCGGTCGAACCGCTCGAGTCCTCGGACACGTTCGAGCCCGGGTGGTGGGCGTCCATGGCGGCGGGGCGCGCAGGCAGCGCAGCCGTTCAGCAGCAGCAGTGTCCGGCTCGGCGCCGTCCAGCTCCAGCACGGGTCCGCCTCGTCAATGGCCCGCGGGTGCGAGTCGGGTCTCCAGCGGCGGGCCTGGGAGCACTGGGCTATGCGGACATTTCGGTGGCAGCGGTGAGGACAGATCGGGGCGGGCCAGGCGCGGCCGCGGTGTCTCGCCTGCGTAGTCGGGGGCAGCAGTCGTCGGTCGCAGGCACACGGGGGCAAGGTGCACGGCAAGGGGGCGCGCGTTGCTAGCGGACGTGTCTATCAAAGTGCTGCGTACAGTCGACTTGACTGCCGCTAGCACAACCCCTGTCGGCCCTGCCCAAGCCGCGCTATGATTCGGCGCTTTAGCCCAGCCGTCGCTATCAAAACACGCCCTCACCCGGGGAACGAGCGCTTTGTCCACGCCCTGATTTCTGTCTTCTGTGTGCGCTGGCTGCACAAGGGGCCGTTTGCCGTTGCCGAGCTCAGCGTCGAACACTGCGAGGCGCGTCTGTTTGCAGTGCGACGTCGCCACCGACCAGGCCCGGCTCCTGCGCCGGCAAGACATCTAGTGCTCCTGGCGGTAGCACCGCACTGAGCATGTGCACGGCATGTTGACCCTGATCGGCATCTTTATGTGTTGTTTGATCTCTGCTCGCCATGCTCCAGTTGGGCACCAGCAACACGTGACTGCCGCCTCTGCGCTGCCGGGCGACTCTGCAGCCCTGTTGATACATGCTTGATCTCAGTTGCGAGACGCAGGGCGACATGTACCCGTCACCGTTGTCTCCGTGGTGTCACCCGCCGCTGGCAGGGGTTTCGCGTGGCTGCCGAACGCCATCGCCAAGGCCGTCCTGTTCACATGCAACTGCGTCATCCATGCCGTGCACTGCTCTTCGGACCACATCTAGAGAAACAGAAGAACAAAGAGCTGAGACACCACCGTTGTGACCATGAATGGACCCGTCTGAAAACAGAACAACGCCTCCAACAGATTATTGCATGAACGAGGCAGTGCCTTCCTCCGACATCAGACCTCTGTGACCTATCCACGCACACGCATCAGGTGTTGCATTGGAAACATAGGCATCAGCCGCCGGCCGAGACAGCCACCATGAGCAGCGAAAATACACACACACTCGCAAATAGCGAGACGCCAATCCCCGTGGTTCAGATTCACCCAGCAGAGTCGCCCGGGGGCCGGACTCCGAGTACAGGGAATGGCTCACATCGGCTGTCTGCGACCAAACTGAAGGACAAGCTCGAGTCGCTCGGCGACAACATGAGCCGCGAATCGTCAAGTAGGATGGGCGACCGCATGATCAATCTGTGAGTTGCAGTCCGATATCATCAACATCAACGCTCACAGTCGTAGTCTGCTTGCGCAGGTCCTGCCCGGCGAGGACCCATCATCGACATCCCCTCCAGAAGGCAGCGCGAATCCAACTCCTCAGATCAAGGACCGGCGGTCACGGAGCTATGTCGAGCGTCCCAACTTCAGTCTCCCCACCATGTCCTCGAACTTCCGGCGCTTCAACTCCCGCATCGGGGTAGCATTTGTCTTCCAGAACCGCCTCATCCACCTGTTCACATGGAAACAACCCACCCAGACGCTGTCGTTCCTGTTCATGTACACCTTCATCTGCATCGACCCGTACCTACTCCCTGTCATCCCGCTAGCATGCTGTCTCTTCTTCATCATGGTGCCGTCCTACCTAACACGGCACCCACCTCCGCCAACCTCTTTCCCGACCGACCTGTACCCGCTCGGGGGCCCGGCGCTCGCAGACGCACCCACCATCAAGCCCGCCCCCGAGTTCAGCAAAGACTTCTTCCGCAACATGCGCGACCTGCAAAACTGCATGGAGGACTTCTCCCGCGGCCACGACGCCGTCCTCCAGTTCCTCACCCCACTCACCAACTTCTCCAACGAAAACCTCAGCTCCCTGCTCTACATCATCCTGCTCCTCTCCTCGTGCGCGCTCTTCCTCGCCTCGCACCTCCTCCCCTGGCGCGCCATCTTCCTCGTCCTCGGCTACACCCTCACCGCGACCGGCCACCCCGCCATCGCCGACCTCCTCGCCACCCCCGAGAACGACGCGCGCCTCGCCGCCGCCGAGCACGACGCCCGCTCGCTACTCCTCTCCGCCAGCAAATCCGACATCGAACTGCAAACCACCCAGCCCCCCCGCGAAGTCGAGATCTTCGAGCTGCAGCACCGGCCCCTGCACACCCCCGCCGCCGAATTCGCGCCCTTCCTGTTCTCGCACTCGCCGTACGCGCCGCTGTCGCCCGCCCGCATCAGTGGCGACCGCCCCCGGGGTGCCGCGTTCTTCGAGGACGTCCTGCCCCCCCGTGGATGGCGCTGGGGCGACAAGAAGTGGGGCCTCGACCTGCTGAGTCGCGAGTGGGTCGACGAGCGGTGCGTGACGGGCGTCGAGGTGGAGATTGAGGGCGAGCGGTGGGTGACGGACCTGCACTACGAGGTGCTGGGGGACGAGGAGGGGGGGTACAGCAGGGAGGGCAAGGGCGGCGTGGGCGAGCAGGAGCGCGAGGTTTTGAGAAGGGCGTGGGAGGTCGGCCGGCCGAGTCGCAGGGGCGAGTGGAGACGGCGGCGGTGGGTGCGGATGGTGGAGCGGGTGGGGAGCGTGTGAGCCGTGTGGAGTCGTGCATGTCCATTCAATCACAACTTGCGAGTCGTCCGTTGCTCTCTGGTTTACTCTGCGCCCATCCCCGTCTCCCTCTTTCCTCCCCCAATATGATGACCATTGCCGTCCCGTCTCTCATCGCAATCACGTGATGGTCCTGTGGTCTAGTGGTATGATTCTCGCTTAGGGTGACTAAGCAATTTGCGAGAGGCCCCGCGTTCGAGTCGCGGCAGGACCCTTTTTTGCTGTTGTGGGTGCATGGGGGGGGGGGGGGGGGGGGATAGAGCGCTATGCGTTGGTGGAGGATGTCAGATGCTCGGGCAGGACAGAACATGAACACCGCAGAGGCAGCGCGGCACCCACAAGACAGACACAGTCTCACACCCAATGGCACTGAACGGTCTCGATGACGAGTTGATATCTTCCACACCTACGCCCTCCCCACCTTGAAGCTCAGAATATCGTTCCGCCCCACGCTCACCACGTCGTCCTCGCCCACCCGCCGCGCCCCCTCCGTCTCGACATATGCCAGCGGCGCATCGCCCATGACCTTCCTATACACATCGCCCACCGTGCTGCCCTTTTTCACCAACACACAGTCCCTGAACACCGCGGTGCTGGCGGCGCTCCCCGACGTGAAGCTCTGGATGTTGCGCACGGGGAACACGGGGACGAGGCCGAGCAGCTCCGCCGCGCGCGAGAGCACCTGCACGACGCCCGTGCTGCCGAAGCGGTACAGCACCATGTCCTTGAGGTTCTCGATGCGCTGGGCGAGCTTGTCGTCGAGTTCCTTGAGGCCGCCGCCGGTGGGGTCGCCGTCGGCGATCAGATCCGCGCGGGTGTCGACGAACTCGCTGCCTTCGGTGTACTTGACGAAGCCCTGCTTGGCGAGCTTGCGCAGGAAGACCTCGCTGATGGCGCTGCACAGGACGATGCTCTTGGGGTCGGCGGTTTTGGCGATCTTGGCGATGTTCTTGTCGGCGTCGGCGTGGTCGATTTTGTTGAGGGCGATGACGGTGGGAAATTTCTCGTCGGTGAAGGCGTTGACGACGCGCTCGATGGTCTCGTCGTCCCAGTGCTCGAGGGGCACTTTGGTGGCGCCGCTGAGCAGCCCGAGTTTGTCGAGACAGCGGGCGACGACGGCGCTGGTGGAGCCGTAGCCGGAGAACTGGTTCTGCAGGGTTTCGATCGGGGTGGCTTTGACGGCGATGTGGCGCCGCTTGATGCTGCCCCATTTCTCCATCAGGTTGCCCTGGATCCAGCGCACGATCTCGCTGCGCAGCCACACGATGTCCTGGCTGGGGTCGTAGCCGCGCGTGGCCTTGCCTTCTGCGTCGGTCGTCCCGCTGACGTCGACGACGTGCACGAGCGCATCTGCGTGGCGCAGGTCGTCGAGGAAGCGGTTCCCCAGTCCTTTGCCCATGTGCGCGCCGGGCACGAGACCGGCGACATCGAGCAGCTCAATCGGCACGGAGCGGCGGCCCTCGACGCAGGCGCCGTAGTTCGGTTTGCAGCGGTCCGCCAGCCCGAGGCGCGCGCAGGGGCATTCGATCTGCAGGTAGCCGATGGCGCGTTGCGGGTCGATTGTGGTGAAGCTGAGGGCGTCAGGAGTGCCTACAAAAGGGCACATGCAGTAACGTCCGACTGCATGCAAAATCGGGTGATTCGAGGTCGTGGGTAAGGCACGCACTTACGGAAAGTTCCCTACACATCATCAGCCTGCGATCTCACCCCGAGATATCACTGTACGGACCAACTTTGGACGTGGCGTCTGTCAAGCTGCCGACACTTAGCCATGCGATCCATGGTGGGGGAGGGGCAGAGCGCACCTGTTGAGTGTGGTGGATTTACCCGACGACGGCTTGCCCACGAGGCCGATCAGCGGGTCGCGCGGCATGGCTGAATGATTTGTGCGAAAAACAAGTAGGGAGCTGTCAAGAGTCGCGAGGGCGGCGCAGAAAGACGATGGCGTCGTCAGTTCGGAGAAAAGCTTATCGATAACAGCCTTGCCATCAGCTCCGTGTTGCAGAGAAGGAGACCATACACCACTATCTTCAGATAGACAAAATCCTGAGCAGCAGACATTTAGATACTCCTACAATCATATGGGCATCCTGGGAGGAGTATAGCAGGATGCAAAACAAGACTTGACATGAACTGCTGCATGAGGTGGTTTTGGGTTTGCGTCCATCAGGCTGAAGCACGTGTTCTATGTACGGTTAGGCAGGTGCGGATGCATTTCCCCCGAAATGCGTCCCTTCCGGCACTTCATTAGTCTTGCTGTCATTTAGCAGCGGCGTCTTCGCAATACCACGCATATAATTCTCGAGCTGTCACTATTAAGGGACCAACGAGCAGCGGTCGTAGACATCCCACTTGTCGTAACTTCCCGTCACAGCTCCCATCATGAGTGCAGTGCCACACACACGCACGAGTTCATCGCCGATCAAAAGCACGACCTATGGTGAGTAATTCGCTGTGACTGTCGAATACCCAGTCCGACTTATCTGTACAGCATCGAGAGTTGGCTCTTACTTCAGATACCTCTCCAACATCGTCCGCTTCACGTTCTCTGAACGGGTCACAGATGCAACATTGTGCTATGGGTGTCAGAAGTTAAAGCGCCGTCTGCTTAGACCTGAGATCTATCTAGGAAAACGCCTTCTCATCCACAAAGATTTTGAAGAATTGTCGAAGTGTGCAGACAGCTTTTGCGATTTGTGCAAGTTCCTCCGTCGCGAGTATCTGTTTCAACCCGAGTTTCTGTTTAACCAACACCCGTACCATCGATATCGCGTTAGCGAGAAACCTATCTTTGTGTATAACGACGCTGGATGGCACGCGAATGCAGATCACGACCTGAATCAAAGATTGTTTGAGTTCAGAAAACATTTTTACAGCACAACTACAGAAGCCAGCTTCCATGACCACGAGACCCTCCGCAATGCCCAGCCTGGCACATCTTTATCACTTGAGCACTGTAGGCGATGGCTGGCGATCTGCAGTGACACCCACAAAATATGCGGGCCTCTGTCTGAAGCCGGCTCGAAATTTCTTCCTACCAGACTCGTTTACGTGGGACAGAAACGAAAGGACACCCTCAGGCTAGTGATCACCGCAGATCTTGCAAACACCACGATCGACAATTATGCCACGCTTAGTTACTGTTGGGGCCAGGCAAACGTCGCAGCGTGTACCACGAAGGCTAATTTTGACGAGAGACTCCATGGGATCCCAATTGCTTCATTGCCGGAAACCATATTGAACGCAATCGAGATTACGCGCGCGTTACGAGTAGGGTACATATGGATCGATGCGCTCTGCATCATTCAAGACCCCGATGGTGCAGACTGGCAGCGCGAGGTCCATAACATGGGAAGCATCTACAAACAATCGTTGTTCACGATCGCAGCAAGTTCGGCTCGTGATAGTAGTACGGGGCTCTTTGGAAGAAAAGACTGGGCGCTCTTGCCAGCCCAAGAATACTGTCTCGAGGACACCAAAAGTCACAATCGTGGCTACTTGCAACCCAGTCGGCCACAGTGGCACATGGACACAGAGCCACTTGCTCGAAGAGGTTGGGCAATGCAAGAACGTCTACTTGCCTCACGCACATTGTTTTGGTCAAGTAAAGGTGTCTTTTGGGAATGTAATCAGATGAGAGAATCTGAGTTTTCATCTTTTGAACGGGAGCCTTTGCATACAAGGTATACCGGTAGTCCGGAGTTACCAAGTCTTCGGAGTCTAGCCTGGGCAATCTTGTTTCCGAAGCTCCAGGTCACACGTTGGATACATCTAGTGGTCTTGTTCTGTAAGTTGGAACTCACTGTACCCTCAGACAAGCTCCCAGCAATATCCGGTTTAGGATCAGAGCTTGCAAGGATGAATGGACAAGAGTTCACATTGGGAGTCTGGACAAAAAATTTGGTCGTGGAGCTTGCCTGGGCATCTAATCACTCAGATACATCTATCATGGCACATGCGATGTCTGTAGGTAGATCCGCAGTCCGATTCACAAATGCGCCGTCATGGTCTTGGGCATCTGTCAGCGCTCGGCCAAGATTTGTCGTTGAGTGGCTGCACGAAGCAGGTAGTAAAATAGAGAAGCCCACTATTCTAACCAAGATACAAGATGCACAATTGCATCTGCGTGGCCGGCTTGGTAGCCTGGATTTGGTCTCTTTAGATACCACGCGATCGACTCATCCCAGTCGGTCGTTCATATTCACCCCAAAGAGAGCCCCGAAGGATCGACGATCACAAGATTACGTCTTAGAGCACGCTACATTTGACACTCATGTAGACAAACTTCCTGGAGAGGGTGGGACCGTCCGATGCCTCGAATGGATGAGTTGGACTGGGTATCGAGGTCAGCCATATTGGGCTTACGGCAACCTGACTGACACTATCGATACCACCATCCGTTGGATTCTTAGAGTAACTGGAGCCATCATCCTGGCTCCAGTTGACGGACAACAGCATACATTCCGCAGAATCGGCTGGCTGGAGGTACTTGATACGGACTTTTTTGACGCCGAACCTCAGGAGATCATTCTTGTCTAATCTCAGCGTTCGCACTCAGCGCGCAGGGACAGGAGCTTGGCCGGCACTCATTGCCTCACGCGACCTTCTCCAACGATCATACAGTCGTTGCTGGGTCTTAGCTTCAAGGAAATTGCATAGTGCAACGCTCTCCAAAGGCCGGCATCTCTCGGGAACGACCTCTATGGGTGAAAATATGTCGAATTCACCAAGATTCCTCACAGTGGTTGATGCATACCCACCGCATTGCCGGTTCCGAGGACACTGGATTCAGATATACTATCTGGGGTAGCCTTCTCGTTGACAATAAGCTGCACCTCTGATGCGAAGCCTCGAGGGTTCTTGACCTGTAGAATTGTGTGAGGATGGCGCCACTGTTATCATCACAAGCCCCGTGAATCCACCACTTCGCGAATTCCTCACAGCCTAACACACCGTTCTCTGGAGATCCTGATAGATAGATGCAGTGATAGCGGAGTCGTGGAATAGTATTGGTACGGTACCAACCACGGGCAAGTATCATCCGACCCCATTCGATCTCCACAACGTAGACCAACCAGCCGTATTCATCTGGCTTGCCGCTCCAGACTTGGCCAGGAATTGATCGGGGAGACCTGATGTGCGGGGGTTCTGAACGGTGTCTACCTACTATTTAATCCTGTGGTTTAGAACCGGGACTGCCACTTGTCATGATTTAAACATGCATCTGAACATCTAGCCATACACCTTGGCTATGAATACTATCCAGGCCTCACGCCCCAAATCCACAAAATCCGACCCTCCCGCTCACCCAACACACGGAAACAAGCACCCAGCACGAAACCAGTCCCCACAGACGCGCTTAGCAGCATCTATGTCTCCTTAGCAGACACCCGACACTGACATCACCCATCTCACTCCCCCCTTACCAGTACCTCCCGTATCAGTCCCAAAGTATCTCAAAGCCACGCTCTCCACCCCCGCACGCCCAGCCGCGTACCAAGCGCCAGCGCATACCCCCCAACTTTCCTCTCTCCGTATACGTAGACGACACAGCTCTGAGCGTCCTCTCCGGGACCCTGTAGTCCTAATTGCAAACGCGAGTTTAGGTTGAGGCTTGCTTGTGCGGCGTAAGTCCTGTTTGCTTGTGCAAAGGGAGGGGATGGGATGGGAAGCTAGTGGTGGATTCTGGGGACGGGTGGGTATGTATACATACGCATGGGTACACGTATGGGTATACGTATGGGTACGCGTACGCGTATACTACTACACACTCCCCACGTGCAAAGGCCTGGTATATATAACCTCACCCTCGAGTGCTAATCTCGCGCTTCCGAGGATGCGTTTCGGTTTTAGTGTCAGCTATACACACATCCGCAATCGACTATCAGCTCTCCATTGTGACCACACCCACCCACACAGCATCTCTTCGCACTCTCAATGCCAGCCGAACACCTCTTCCTCGCCCGCGAAACACGACACCATCACAGCAGCATCCACCCACAGCGCCTGATCACATACAGGGCTTGAGCTTGAGCACAGAAAACACGTCTAAGAAACTGAATTGATTGAGACTAAGAAAACGTGCCCGCACTGGGTCTTTGCATTAAACGATACAAGCCACTACGCGTCTACTGTACACCTGCATCCACTCTCCCACACTCTCACTCTCACTCTCAGCTCTCCACGCCCCAACCGGCGCTTACAACACCAGCGCGCCGCCAAACAGCATCGAGCTCAGGACAACAGCGCCCATCGCCAGCGGCGCGAGCGAGAACTCGCCGGCGCGGAACGACGCCGCAGCACCAGTGCTGGGCGACGACGACCCCGACGCGACCGAGCCGCCAGCCGCACCCGAGGTAACCGCACCGGAGCCCGCGTCAGCGACCTCGGTCTCAACCGAGCCGGAAGACTGCGAGCCGGAGCCCTTGAGACCGGGACCGGCGCCGGCGCCCTTCTGGAGGAAAGTGGACGCGCCGCTGGGGAACGCGGGCAGCTTGTCGTCGCTCATGGTGACGTTCCAGGAGTCCGACTTGGAGGGGCAGGACGAGGCGCCGCCGGACTTCTTGTAGCCGCCGTCGCCGGAGGGGTCTTTGGCGCCGGCGTAGGCGTTCTTCAGGGTGGTGAAGTCGGCGAGCTCTTCGACGCTGGAGCCGTCGATCTGCACGAGGCCGTACTTGGATTCCTCCATCGAGTACTCGTAGACGAGGCCGCCCGAGTAGACGGCCGACATGTCGGTGCTGTAGATGGACTTGACCTCGTTGAACTGGCGCTTGTTGGTGTTGCAGCCGAACTCGGAGAGGCTGATACGTTAGCATGAACAAGTCAGTGTACTAGATGTTGCTTACAAGATAGGAATGCTGTAGTTGCTGAGCTTCTCGACCTTCTTGTCCCAGCCGGAGCCGGTGAAGTCGTTGGGGTCGCACCACGAGTAGTCGTTGAAGGCGTAGAAGTCGGAGCGGACCGAGTCCTCGCCGCAGTTCATGTAGTCGGCCATCTCGTAACGGTTGGACTCGACGTCAGCCGCGCTGTAGCCGACAGGGACCTTGCGCAGCTTGCGGGCGTTCATGTACGACTTGATGTCACGGGTGACGGCCTTGACGAACGGAGCGCAGTTAGTGGTCTTGTCGTCGTTGATGACCTCGTTTCCGGAGAAGAAGAGCAGCGTGTTGGGGTACGCGGCGAACTTCTCGACGGTCGCAAAGACGCTCTGCAGGTAGTCCTTGTTGTAGGAGACCTGGGGCGAGGCGCGGTTGATCGAGTACTTGGGGGTGTTGACGTCGAGAGCGAGGTAGATGCCCGCATCGGCGAGGGCGTTCATGCAGGTGTCATGGTCGGCAGTGTTGTCGACGGTGTAGACACGGACAGTGTTGATACCGAGCTCCTTGAACTTGGCGACGTCGCGCTTGCAGCCCGCCTCGTCGGCAATGGGGTCCTTTGCGTCCGATGCGCCACCTGAAGACGTTAACATATGCTGGGCAGGAGAGCTGTTCACTTACCAGGCTGGTAGTCGACACCGCGGATGTAGAAGCGCTCGTTGCCCTTCCAGAAAGCTGCGAACGTCAGTACTAAACAACCACCTCAATCGTACAACGCACCATTGCCCTTGACGGTGATGGTTGTGACATCAGCACGCTTCTGGACAGGCGTAGCAGAGCCAGCAACAGTGGACGCAAGCGCGCCAGCAACAGCAGCAATAGCAACAGACTTCATTGTGTTGTGAGAATAAACTGGTGGTGAGAAGAACAGCCAAACAACGCTTCGTAGAGAAGAAGCGACAAAAACGGCAGTAGCGAGTGAACCGTTGAGCGACTGAAAGCGAGCGTGAGCGAGTGTATTGAACAGGAGGTTGAGCGTAGAAACCAGAACCAGGACCGTGGAAGAAGAAGTCGCGCACAAGAAATCACCCTAACACGCTCAAACGCCCCAGGGCCACTCCAACTTATCATCGCAAATAGCAGCAACCCAGCGGAATGCACGCCCAGCACCTGCGACCCAATGAGCCCCCACGGCGCCCCTGCGCTCTACACACCCCAGAAGCTTTCTCGCCCAGCCCCGGCAGCGCCCCTGACGCTCCTGCCCAGCCCTGACAAGTCACAATAAGGCGTGGCCGAGAAGACTGGGGCGCGCTGCTCTAGCTCGGCGCATGCTTGGTTTGGGCTTGGTGCGAGCGGCGCTAGCGCGCCTCAGCAAGGCGTTGAAACGCGCGTCGCCTGTTTGTTGATGCGGCGATCGGTATCAAAAGCCTGCTGCCGCTGCGGCGCTGTGGGGAGTGCGTGGGGCGCGCGAGATGAGGTCATCAGTGTAATCTCACGCATGTTGACGGTGTGCTGGGGGGCGTTGAAGGACATGCTGGTGGTTATACGATGCTAGATTGAGTTGTGAAGAGCCGGGATTCGGTATTGGTGGCGGGCGCTGCAGAGCCGCATACGGACGCCAGTGGCGCGCCGGATGCAGTATTTGTTAGTTTGCCGGTACCGTGTGTGGTGCAGTTCAATGATTTCCATTTAAAGATTCAGGTACGAAGGCTCCGTATTCTCGATCACATTTAGCGACTCAACACGATCACACGATCACGAAGCATTCATTTGTGATCAGCAAGCTCACCACACTCAACACACGACATCGTATCGTTGTGTCTCTTGTTTCGAGTCAACACAGCCTCCCAGTGACGAGCATCGTGATGGAGATCAGCGCCCAGTTTCGTTGACTGGCTATCACAAGCATATGTTATAGTCGGTGTTAGTCTTGCCTACTGCTTGGTACCAGTACGAAGTCTCCGTAATCTCGATCTGCACTCAATGATCGTACGCTGCGATTCGCACCTGGGAAGCTCACCCACCACGTAACATCGAGCACACTACACGCACCCTTGCATCTTACCAACACCGCCCCCCCGCGACAAGCATCCTGACGAGCATCGTGATGACGATCAGCAGCCGCGTTTCGTTGACCAGCAATCACCCAGATGTATGTTGCAGACTCTATTACCCAGTCGAGCAGCACCAGACACGAGGGATATCCGAATGCGGTGTACTCCAGCGATCAACGTGCGCGCCCACCCACTCACTACACACTGCACAGCACATAGCCCACGCACCGCCGCCTCCTGCGAACTCGTGAACGCCGGGCCCTTTCCGACAGAGATCGTGGCAAGCACTGTGATGCAGACCAGCAGTGCCTCGAGTCTCACTGCAACCATAGACACAGCTCAGACACACATCACAAGTGACGGTGCTAAACTACTACCAACGCTAGATCGCATGAATTCGTACTACCTTACCGACGCTCATTATATACATTAAGCCATTGCGCACACGCAGACGTGAGCCGCGTGCGTACGTGCACTGCAGGCCTGATTAGGAATTACCGACATCGTCATCTACTTACAACTGCGTAAACATTCAACCAGGGGGGGGGGGGGGGGGGGCTGCGGGGGGACACAAGCGGCAGCGCAACCAAGCGGCGGCGCGGGATATCCTCGTGTCAGTTGGGAGGAGAGGGGGATGTGTCACATGGCTGCTCGCCCGCCCTCGCCTACTTCTTCTTCAACCCAAAGTACAGTCCCAGCGCCAGCGCGATAATCGCAAGGATCAGCACCACCACAAACAGCGTCCACCACTTGAGCTTCCTTGCGCGCCGCGCCGACTTGATCCCCTGGTCCAGCTGCGTGTTGGCGTGCTTGGCGTCCTCGTTGACCTGCACCGTCTGCGCCTCGACCTGCACGGTTTGCTCCTCCTGGAACACGACTTGCTCGTTGAGCTGCGTGAACAGCGTGGCCAGCTCCACCATCGTCTTCTCGATGCGCTGGATGTCGTTGTGGCGGGCGCGCACGGCGCCGAGGACACTCGAGGCTTGGCCGCTGCGGTTACTTTTGAGCTGCGGGGCGTTAGCATAAATACACAGAGATGTAGGGGGGGGGGGGGGGGCGCACGGCGGTGGTGAAGATGCCCTCGTCGCCCCAGTCGGCGTTGGCGGCTTCCTGGACCTCGGCGTCCGAGGCCTCCGGGTTGATGACGCGGTACTGGCGCGCGATGGCCTCGCGGTACCGCTTCGAGTAGTCGGCCTCCTCGCGCTGGAAGTCCTCGAGCTGCGCCTTGAAGGAGCGCTTGAGGCTGTCGACCTGGGTGCGTTTGAACGCGTTGGACGGGTCGCGCGCGGCGTCGCGCTCCAGGAACTTGATTTCGTCTTTGATCTGCGTGTTGCGGATCTGCGTCTGCGACACGACGCCCTCGAGCTCGGCGGACGAGCGGCTGTCCGGCGACGCTAGCATGCGCTGGTGGATGCTGGAGATGGCGCCGATGTCCTGGGTCAGCTGGCCGATGCGCGTCTTGGTGCCGTCGATGCGCTGCAGGAAGTCCTGCTGGCTCAGCGGGCGGGAGCCGGGCTGCTCGAGCCCGTACGACTGCTGCTGCTGCTGCGAGTTTCCGTGGGCCAGCGGCGCGTCGTGCTGCGGTGCGCTGTGCGTCGGCGCGGCGGCCGAGTATTGCGAGGGCTGCGAGTAGTTGGAGTCGCCCTGGGTCAGCTGCGCCGGGCGGCTCTCATCATACTGCTTATTGTCAGTCCACGTCGCGCGCGCGCAATTGCCGTGCTTACGCCGCCGCCATACGGGTTCGACCCGTAGCCCGTGTTGCCGTACGGGTTGCTGGCGCCGCCGTAGCCGGCCTCCGCCTGGCCGTAGGGATTCCCGCCGTACTGCTGGTAGTTGTTGGACATGGTCGCCGCGGTTGTTGTGATGCACAGGAAGTTTCGGAACGCCGCACGTCAGCTGTCAGGCGATCGGAAGCGACGGAAAGGAGCTCAGCAGCGCGCAGGGCGAATATCAACTGCGGCAGATAGCAACAGCGATGCGAATTGATGCCGCGGTGGGTGTGAGAGGTGTGCGCACCGGCTCGTTGTTGAGATGAGTGGAGCAAGGCCGCCGGGTGTAATCTTAAAAGCTGCGAAATCCCGTAGGGCTCTGCCCAGAGTCCAGCAGACGTCACCTGCACGCTGCGCTAGACTTGTCGCGGTTCCGCGCCCACCGGCACGACGTTACGAACCAGTTCCAATTCGACGCTCACGCACATCAACCACTGATCTGCTCGCAGGTTGCTAACTTCCGTGCAGTGGGTCCTAGATGCCGTGCTCCACATGCTAATCACGGGTGGAGGATGGCCCCGACCAACGTCACAATCAATATCAAACAGCAACTTCAACACCAACATTAGCAAATCTAACAGCGCTGCCTCATCGCAACGTTTCCCATAACAGTCAACCAAAAAGTCCGCCTCGTGTACACCAGACCGGTCGTACGCATCTGTGCAGCGGGCCGCATCCTCTTGTCGCTCGGGGCTGAACGCGCGTCCGTGCTGGGCCTGCACAGCCTCCGCAGATTACCGTGCTGGTATGCGTACATCATGTTTGGCATGCTAGGCAGTCACGACATTGAGGCGACGCGAGTGATCCGAGACCTGCCAGACACTTGCATGACGCGAGGTGACGAGACGGCGTTGGAGAGAGACAGTACACGCACCAATATCACATTCGCTAGAAAACCATGACATCGCGCACCCCTCATCTCACAAGATAGCAATACACTCTGCATCCCAACTCCCGCGCCCAAACACCGCGCACACCCACGCATCTACTTGCCCAGCCCCAAACACCTCCCCACATCCTCCAGCTCCCCCAGCACCCGCTCCTCGAGCTCATTAAGATCCCCCCTCTTGCGCCCCAGCATCTCCACCTCGCGCTCATCCACCGCCACCACGCGCTCGCGCAGCGCACTCTTGCGGCTGAGCCAGCTCTCCACATCCTCCTTGACATTCTCGCGGTCCCAGTCCAGCAGCGCGACGTCCTGGACACCCAGCTTGGGCGCCTGTTTGCGCGTGTTCTCGAGGATCGCCGCGATGAGCGCGAGGCTGTGCGTCTCGGACGCGACGGCCAGCGTGATCTTGGTTGCGGTGAAGCGCGACGAGGGGCTCGCGTTGATGGCGGCCGAGGCGCGGGCGAGCTGCTCCGGGAACTGGTTGAGGAAGGAGGAGATTTCGGCGGCGATGGGCGGGCCGATGGACAGGAGCAGGTTGAGGCACAGCGGGAGGAGCGCCTTGGCCCAGATAGAATGCAGGCGGGCCGGGGTGTCGAAGGGGCCCATGCCGGCGGGGCGGCGGTAGTAGGTCATGATGTTTGCGGTGTTGAGTTGCGAGAGGACGCCCTCGACGGCCATGGTTTCGGCGAGCGAGGGGATTGCGGAAAGCGAGAGGAGGAAGAGGAGGGCGAGCTCGCCGTAGACGGGGTCCGCGACGCCGTTCTGGGTGATGGTGAGCCGGTCTGACCAGGAGAATAGGCTGGTGGCGTAGCGGATTGTGCCGCTGTTCTCGAAAACCAAGGAAGCCTGCGTCTGCCACTTGCTCATCTCTGGGATGGCGATGATGCGTTGTAGGATGGCGGTCAGGAGAGCGAAGTCCGAAGGTGAGACAGTCGCTGGGTCGGCATGCAGTTGGTTTGCTAGGCTGCGGATGCCCTTGGCGATGGCATCAGAAAGGATCTCGAGGAGGAGAGTCGAACTAGATGTCTCCATAGTATTGTGGCTGGCAGGCATTGTGCCGCGGAAGCTGGAACGGAACTCGGCTTCCTCGTTCTGCTCTGCATCATCAATGAGGTGAGGCTGCAGAACGAGGTACAGGATGCGTAGCTGAGACCGGTAGTGAAAGACCGCATCGCCGGAGAAGACACTGTCGAAGTCGGGCGTGGACGCTCTGATAGCGTTCCAAACAGGGACCAGTAGCTGCCGTGCTTCTTTTGTGTGGATCTTGGCTTCAGCCAACCTTTTCAGCAAGCCAAACGACAAATCAGCACGCAAGACGTTGAGCTGACCAAACAGAGCTTCTGGCAGGTTGCTCTCGGCGTTGGCCTTCATTGATCTTCTGACAACATCAATGACGGTCTGCACCAGCCGCTCATCCTTGCCTACGAACTGGCCGAGCTCAAGTGCGAGCAGCTTCCAGCTTTGTAGCAGTTGGACTTGCGACTCTACAAGACCCAGATTGTAGTTTGCCTTTTCCACTTCACTGACGAAGCCAGTGCCCTCCCGAGGCCCCGCCCATCTGTTGTCAAAGTCGAGCAGCTGTTCGGCAAGCTCGAGGTCGTAGAAAAAGCTTCGGCCGAATGACTCGGGGTATAGTGCGGTCCGCTTCAGGTTTGCCAACGTAACGCCAGGAAACTGTCGCTCGAGATTCTGCTTGAGGTTGCTGTGCAGAGATTCATTGTAAGCTGGAAGCTCCAGAGCGTTGTCTTGAAGATACGCCAGGGCAGGGACGACGTCCTTGAGTGGCGTGATGTCGCCAGCCTGCCGCGAGCTGTGGAGGTACATCGCGAGTACCTCACACGCTAGAGATGCGAAACGATTTTGGTGGGAGCGTTGCAGGATTTCGGTATTTGTCTTAGGGTTCCTGAGTTGCCGTGTCATCCAAAACAAGAATTCGAGCAACTTTTGGATGAGATCCTTGTGCTTGCGCAGGTCGCCCATCGCCCACGACCAGTTATTTTGGGCTGATGTGATGAACTCGAGCTTTGCCGTGTACAACGGCCACGAAAGGTCGGTAGGGGCCGATGGCGATAGATTCATGTTCGAGACGGACTGTATCGCCCATGTGAGGAGTGCCTTGTGCCCTGCTGCAGCTGCACTGTCGGGCTTTGTTCGTAGTGACTCTTTCGGCGTGTTGCCTGTGAGCAAGTACAACGAGAACCACTGTTGCTTGCACGTCACAACAGCAGACAGCAGGTTCCACACATCGGTCTGAATGTCGACTATCCTGAGTGGTTCGTCCAACTCGGACAGGACGCTTAAAAAGTTCTTCGCCGTTCGAGGGCCGAGGTGGCCTAGTAGCGACGGAGGCTCTTGTTGTTCAGCCGAGCCGTCAGACGATTGTGACTCCGTAACTCTAACGGCACCCCGCACAAGCGTCTCCAGTAGTCGCAGCACAGGGGACTTCCATCTGTCGCTGGTAGCATACAGGCGCGCAAGGAGTGGTGTGGCCTTGAACAGTTGTTGCTCCAAATGGGTCCAAGGTCTGTCCAGTAGCAGGGCCACTCGCACCAACGTACTAGCCAATTGGAGAGTGGTTTCGGTTTGTTGCTTCCAGAGCGCAGCAGAGCTTGTGAGTAATGTCGAACCGTCGGACCCAGCTCCAATGACGAGTGACGCCAGAATAGGGTTTGTTGGCAGATTACTCTCGGACTTCGCCAGGTATTGCTGGGTGATGTATTCTGCGATCGGCGCAACAAGCTTTGTAAGTTTGGCGGACAGCTGGGGTGCATCGTCTACACCGTACGCGAGCTTCATGATCTTGGTGAAAACATCGCAAATGGCGATGTTGATTTCTGGCCGGTGATCTGGGCGCGTGTATTTCCAGCTCAGCGAGCTCTCGTAGATGCTGGCCAGCGTGCGACCGAATGTGAACAAAGTTGTGCTCATTATCTTATCCGAAGTACCGCTTTCTGCAACGTTAGATGCGTTGAAGCGGCTGAGTGCTCTGCTTGGATTTTTGCGAGCGACGGAACGGTCGACGGCATCCGTGACCAAGCTATCATACAGTCGTATACAACCGATGAGGAAGTCGTATCGCCCAAGAACCATCTCAGTACCGATCAGGATCGCGGCGAGGCTACCGCCGTTGCCGTCTCCTTCAAGCAATCGACTGCGTGCCAGGAATGGCCAGACTCTATTTGGTGCGACGAGCACAAGCGCCTCAAGGAAGTGCGTGCAGTTGACGAGTAGCTCGAGCGATGCTTCGTTGCCTGGTTCTTGGCACAATCGCAGCAGTTCTTCCTCGAAAACAGCTAGCACAATGCTGACGGTATCTTGACCTCCATCACTGTTGATGCTCAGTGCCTCTAACAGCTCGACTGAGCATGTGCCTTCTGATGATTGGAGTGCAGAATGTAACAAGTCCGCAAAGAGACCAACTATCTCGACAGCATTCTCCTTTGTGGCAGGCTCTTGCGAAGTGTACTCAACTCGTCCGCTGCCGCTCGGATACGATGACAGTAGCTGAACCAGATATGTCAAGGTTGAATGTCGGTAACGCCACACCGCCACGTACGGCTGCTCACTATCATCGACGATGACGCCTTCGGTACCTGCTGGGATGGTCATGAGGCCTCCAGAGCGTTGCGTGTTGGAGGACGTCAGCAAGCGACGCCCGCCCCGAACGCTTGAGTTTGACCCTGAAGAGAACAAGGGAAGGTCTTCAGTGAGCTCGACCCAGTTTGCATTCTCTTCTTCGCGCGTCAAAGCGTACCCGGCGAACCCTTGTGGGAGTCGCTGCATCAATTGATTGGTCTCGGTGAGTTTTTCGACGAAGGTCGGTAGCCCGTTCTGCACCGTTTTGTCGCCACGCGTAAGAACGCTGAAGAACTTGAGGAAAGGCGTTGACTCATAGGGATAGCGGAGACGCGCTTCGTTCAGAAGGAGAGGTCGCAGAACATCTTCGTCTTCCAGGAAGAACGATACAACGGGATCGGCTTGATGGAACGACCCTTTGCCAGCCCAGGCACGGAATGATCTGTCGCCTCCGAGGATGGAGTACGCTGTGACGATGAGGTCTGGACTGTACACGACCACTTCACTACCAAGTGCAGCACGAAGCAGCTGCAAGAAGGAAAGTCGAAGCCTGTCCCTTGAGATCTGATCAACCGGGGTGCCGAACGCTGTTAGACCAGTTTCAACCAACTGATCTACGATAACCAGCACACCGGCAGCTGAACTAGCTTCGGCGAGCTCCTGATAGGGTGTTTTGCCTTCGAACAGTTCGGAGCCTTCGAGGCGCCCGACAACCATGGCTGCCTCCTCGATAGCAGATGGTTCGGGTAAAGGCCTTCGCGATGCGTCAGGTGATTCGAGCAGACTTTCGCGTTCTTGCTCTTCGAGAGTTGCTTTGCTGGTGAGCTTCCACGTCATGATAGCCCAAGCAAACATTGGTGGTGTTGCGGGACTTGGGCCCAACATTCGTGCCTCGCCAAAGACATTGGTGATTGTCTCGAGCACACCGGTGTTGAGGATGTAGGCTGAGGTCTCCCAGTTTTTGCAGTCATCCGAGTCAAGATCATTGACAATGGCGTCGATCTTCAGGATCGCTAAGGAGACGAGGGAGGTCAACAGCTGTATGACAGGCACCAACGGCTCCTGGCGGGGAGTGACAACGGGAAACTCTCTGAAGAATCCGCGCGTGCTGAACGTCGTGAGCCATTCCTCTATGGTAGCTGCAGGAACGAAGCCCTTTGTCACCACATCCGCATGCACATGCGCCAGATGGAGCAGATGCAGCAGCTCGACGGTCTGTGCTGTCACCCATTTTTCTGATGCAGCTTCGATGATGGTCTCGGCGACATCCCATGCGTAACCTTCGTCAAGTGTTTCGCACCTCTTCTTCACAGCCTGGAGACACTGGTCGAGTGCTGTTGCAGGACCGCTGATTTGTGCTGTTGTGATGTTCTTGCCAAGCTCTTCGATCCATCCGGCGCCCACGGTGTGGTAGTCGTTGCCGTAGATGGTCTGGCTGCGCAGCTGTGGTGCGGCCCCCCACGAGATGAGCAGCTGACTGATGCGAATGATGGAGGCGCACGTGGAGTGGTAGATTTCGATGATGCGCAGTCTGCGCTGGTCCTGGGTGTCGAATTGGGTGGATCTCGAAGCCAGCGGCGTCATAATGGACGAGTTTGGGACGAAGGTGGATGCGCCCAGGTTGGCGAGTCCAGCGGCGTCTTGCACGCTCAATGCCTCCTCTTCAGTCAGCCCACTCAGCAGCTGCACCGTCGGCCTGCTCTGCCACTCCTGCGCGACGACTTGCAGCGCCGCATACTCTGATATCTGCGCCTGCCTCGACAGCCACAGACTGTCCGCCTTGATCTCGTCTAGGCTGAAATGCGCCTGCTGGGCCGGCGCGACGCTGATGGGCGCAGTCTTGGCCTCGAATCGGCTTTTCTCCTGCGGCGACGGGTCTGCGAACGGCTTCCAGGGCCGGCTGAGAATCTCGACATTCTCGCGCACGGTGAGGAAGTCGCGTAGGGCCTCGCTCCTCGATGCGGTCCGGGGTTCGCAGAGGGCGCGGTATGCGATATCCCAAGTTCTGCCATTGTCAACCAGCGCTCTGCGGCTGGGCGTGCCAGTAAACATACACAAGCTGCTGCTCGCCCTTGAGGCACTTGGCCAGGTCGAATTCGGTCGATGGGATGGGAGCCATGGTAGCGCTGCGGTGCGCGGGGTGAGCGTCAGCTAGCCAAAGGCCATGAAGGCGGGTCGAGTGCGCGTGAAGGAAACGGAAATGTTTGGGCTGGTGCTGTCGCGCAGAGCTTCGCGCGTGGGTGCGAGTTCAGATGTCGGCGAATCAGAGCTCGGAGTGCCGATGCACTTCCGCCCGCCCTCCGCAATGAGCACTCAATAAATTAACTGAGTCACTTTGTTCGCATGCTGCCGTCGCCCCTCGGTCCACCTTTCCCTCACCTCCAGGGAACCGCATTTGTACGCTGGAGCTTCACATCGCACATTGAGCCCTTGCACCGTCCCCACTGACTCAGCGTCTGACTGCACGTCGTCTTGATCCCCGCCCACCGCATTCAGCATAGCAGTTGGATCCTACACGTACTGCAGATCCACACTTCAGACGACACGCACCGATCGTAGGAGCCCTTGGCCTGCATACGCCGCCGACATGCCTTCTCTCGCCCTCATCGATCACTCACCCCGCCAACCGAACCCCTCCCCGCCGATACCCACTGCCTCCAACGTCATCCTCATTGACAACTACGACTCCTTCACCTGGAACGTCTACCAGTACCTCGTCTTCGAAGGCGCCACCGTCACTGTATACCGCAACGACGAGATCACCCTTGACGACCTCATTGCGAAGAACCCCACACAGTTGGTGGTCAGTCCTGGGCCAGGGCACCCGACCAAGGATGCAGGAATCAGCAATGCCGCAATCCAGCACTTTGCTGGAAAGATTCCCATCTTCGGCGTATGCATGGGCGAGCAGTGCATCTTCTACTCCTTCGGGGGCACAGTGGACGTGACAGGCCAGATTTTGCACGGCAAGACATCACCTCTCACCCACGACGGCAAGGGCGTCTATGTCGGTGTCACTCAGAAGGTCCCCGTCACAAGATACCACTCGCTCGCCGGCACTCATGCCACCCTGCCTGACTGTCTTGAAGTGACCTCGACAATCCCAGCGAATCCTGACTCAGACATCAAGGAGGTCATCATGGGAGTGCGCCACAAAGAATTCGTGATTGAAGGTGTGCAATTCCACCCGGAGAGCATCTTGACAGAAGACGGACGAATCATGTTCAGGAACTTCCTCCAAATGCAGGGCGGAACCTGGGCGGAGAACGAGAAGCTGCGGAAGGAAGCACACGCAAAGGCGACTGGTGTCGCGACAAACGGTACCACCGCCGACACCAAGAAGGACAAGCAGACATCGATCCTGGAAAAGATCTACGCACACCGCAAAGCCGCTGTTGCTGAGCAGAAGAAGATTCCGTCTCAAAGGCCGAGCGACCTCCAGGCTTCTTACGACCTGAACCTCGCTCCGCCGCAAATTAACTTTCCCGAACGCCTCCGTCAGTCACCTTACCGCCTTTCCCTCATGGCTGAGATCAAGCGCGCATCGCCATCCAAGGGCATAATCTCGCTTTCTACCTGCGCGCCTGCTCAGGCACGAACATACGCAAAGGCTGGCGCCAGCACCATCTCTGTGTTGACCGAGCCTGAATGGTTCAAGGGTAACATTGATGACCTCAGGGCTGTGCGCCAAAGCCTGGACGGTATGCCCAACAGGCCCGCAGTTTTGCGCAAGGAGTTTATCTTCGACGAGTACCAGATTTTGGAGGCAAGGTTGGCCGGTGCAGACACAGTTCTCCTGATCGTGAAGATGCTCGACCAGGAGCTCCTCGAGAGACTGTACAAGTACTCGCAATCACTTGGCATGGAGCCTCTTGTTGAAGTCAACAACGTCGAGGAGATGGAGATTGCTGTGAAGCTTGGGTCAAAGGTCATCGGCGTCAACAACCGCAACCTCGTAAACTTCGAGGTCGACATGGACACCACTAGCCGCCTCATGAGCATGGTCACAAAAGACATCATTGTCTGCGCCTTGAGCGGAATTGCTGGCCCCAAGGACGTCGAACCCTACGTGGAGAACGGCGTTGGCGCAGTCCTGGTCGGCGAAGCGCTTATGCGAGCGTCGAACACCGCTGAATTCATTGTGGAACTCCTCGGCGGCACAACAGTAAAGCCGGCACGAGTCTCTTCAACACCCATGGTCAAGATCTGTGGAACACGGAGCGCTGAAGCAGCGAAGACAGCTATTGAAGCAGGTGCCGACCTGATCGGTATGATTCTGGCGATCGGCACAAAGCGCACCGTTTCTGCAGAAACAGCCCTGGCAATCTCAGAAACAGTGCACAAGACGAAGAAGCCGCAAGTAACGAAGTCAGGGTTGCTGGCAGATGCGAAATCTGCCTCTGACTACTTTGACCACGCCACGCAGCGACTCGTGTCTGTCGATGACCGGGCTCTGCTTGTCGGTGTGTTCCGCAACCAGTCATTAGAGTATGTACTGGAGCAGCAGCGATTGCTGAATCTGGACATTGTTCAACTTCACGGCCAAGAACCGGTCGAGTGGGCCAAACTCATCCCAGTGCCAGTCATCAAGGCGTTCAACCCCCACGATCACGGCATCGGAAGCCGCGGTCACCACGCGCTGCCGCTTCTTGACGCGGGGTCTGGTGGATCTGGCAAGCAGCTTGACCTTTCCGAAGTGAAGGATGTTCTCGCAAAGGATGAGGGTCTTAAGATCATCTTTGCAGGTGGTTTGAACGCCGACAATGTGCAATCCACGCTGGGCGGTCTTGACGAGTACCGAGACAGAGTCAAGGCGGTGGACGTCAGCAGTGGCGTAGAAGGCGACGATGGTCAGCAGAGCTTGGACAAGATTCGAGCATTCATCAAGGCAGCGAAGAGTTAGACATAGGCTAGTTCGAATTACCGGCCTGCGAACCGACTCATTATTAACACCTCGAAATCAAGTACACCATGTTCGATGCGCCTGTTAACACTCATGGATACATCTAACTAACCATCAGGGTACGGCAATGGAAGCGCCAAGAGCAACGTAGCGGACGGAGTGGGAGCGGTGACCGGTCGCACTCTCACCTGTCTTAGCGTTGAATCGCGCGATTAGAAGTAGTCTTACTTCAAAGTAGGCACACCACTAAAAGGTGAAGTACTTGACTGTTGCAGAACCTGTTGCCTGATAAAGAGTCGTCACCCACAGTTGATAGCTTTGGATTTCTTCCTTCTACACCCACCTCTAACTACAACTCACCTAGACCGTGCCTGTGGTTCATTCAAGAAAGCACCACCAGGGGAACCCGAACGCCGTCATGGCCATCCTCAAGAACCTCGTCATTGCGGTGACCGGCAGCCTCGAACACGAAAACACACAGCTCAAGAAATGGATCGAGGCCAACGATGGTCGCTACTCCCCGAGCGTACGCAAAGGTGTCACGCACCTCATCGCCGGCCAGGACGCCTGGAAGAAGTCCTCAGATGCAGTACAGGCAGCCACAAAGCTTGGAGCCTTCGTTGTCAAGTATGATTGGCTCGAGGATAGTCTGCAGAAGAAGAGGAAGCTCGCGGAGACGAGATACACCTGGGAGTATCTGTGGCAAGAGAAGAAGAAGAGGAAGAGGTTGGCGCGAGTGGGACTGCTGGCTGATGCGAAGAAATTCAACGACGGATGCGAAGAGGCAAAGAAGGCTACGGGCACATGTACGTCCAATCCCGGTCGCGCACAGTGTCCCGCAAGCCCAAGCAGTCGAAGAGCTTCTTCTTTGGAGACGTGGCCAACGTACCATTTGTATCTGCGGCGGACGACTTGAAGCAGGGGCGGGAGGAGCGGGAAGCAGCCCAGGCGAAGAAAGCCAAGGAGAGGAATGTGCAAGCAAAGACTGGCCATTCTACCTCAGCGCCCCCCGCCGCTCAGCCCTCCACCTCCGCTGAGACCGTCTGCTCCGCGTCGTCAACCTCATCGCACACTCTCAGCGCGGCCTCCGTTTCCGAAGCCCCTGCTAAGAAACCCTCACTCAAAGATCTGTATCACTACTACCTCGACACCACGGGCTTCGAGTACAAGATCACGCTCACACGGTGCAACCTGCGCGCCAACCAAATCTCCCGCTACCGCCTCAGCATCCTCGAGAGCCACACGAAGCCCCACGTCTACTGCACGTTCGTCGAGTACTTCCCGCCCAGCACCGCGCCCACGCCCGCGGCGAACGCGGCCTGCATCCAGGCGCTGCTCGACTTCAACACGACCTTCGAGCTCGACACGCCAGACCCCGATCCAGCAGACAACCACTCCTCAACCCCCGCCCCCGATCCATCAGCAGCCCACCCCGAAGCCACCCGCCTCACCGCCCTCCTCCACCCGCCACCCCCCAGCGCCTCGCACCCCTACAAAACCCTCCTCACCCCGCTCTCCTCCCCCTTCCCCCCCGCCTTCCACACCTTCCGCACCGCGTTCCGCGACCTCACCCTGCTGGCCTGGGAAGAGCGCCTCGACACCTCGCGCACCCTGTACAAGCAGCGCGCCGCGCGCTTCCGGGTCGAGCCGTTCGTGTACGTGAGGCCGGGGGTGGGGTTGCCGCTGGGGTTGCTGGCGCAGGGGGGGTGGGGGGTGGTTCCTGCGGTGCTGGCGGCGGGGGGCGCGGATGGACGGACAGGCGCACAGACATCGGGTGTGGGTGCGGGCGCGGGTGCCGCTACAGACCCGAACGTCTACATCTACCCAACCTTCCGCCTCCCCGCGCTCGCGCACCCGCTCGGGACAGGCATCATCGGCTCCGCGGTGCGGCGCGACGCAGACGCCGCGCTGAAAGCCGCGACAGCCGCCCAACAAGCCGCCGAAGCAGCAGACAGAGCAGCAGACAGAGCAGCAGACAGAGCAGCAGACAGAAGAGCAGACAAAGCCGCCGCTGCGCCCCGAAGACCGGATTTCAAGCGTCCGCTGTTCAATGGCGTGACGGGGGTGCCGGAGGTGGATGCTTGGGGGCGGCGGACGGGGTTTGCGAGGGGTGGTGGAGGGGGACAGTTCGATCGCAGTGATGGAGGGGGACGGTTTGATCGCGGTGGACAGTTCGATCGCAGTGGCGGCATTGATATCGGAGCGCGTGGTCGTGCTTGGGGTGGCTCAGGAGGCGGCTCAGTAGGCGGTTCAGGAAGTGGATCAGGACGCGGTTCAGCAGGAGATGCGGGATTTTCGGATATGCGGATGCGCCACGCGCGGCCGTTTCCTAGAGAAAGGGGGCTTTGAGGGGGCTCTGGGGGGGCTTTGAGGCGGCTGTGAGGCGGATATCTGGGCGGATATCTAGGGCGGATATCTGGGGGATATCTGGGGCGGAGATCGAGGCACGCTGCGTGCTAGGCGTGACAGCGCGGTACTCACGCTCTCTGGCGCGCACCGGCAGCATGGACATAGTTCTGATGGCGTGCGTCCGTGATCGGGGACACACGGGGTAGCGGCCTAATATGAGCAAGCCCGTTCGTTGTACGGCGCTGCGTGGATGCTTGTATACGTCACTCTCGATTCGGATTCGGGATACACGACATGCACCAGAAGCAGGTAGCATTTTATAGTCTATCTTTCTACATCAGCTATACGCCGTCATACTCATCGTCGTCGTTATCGTGTGCCGAGCAAAGCTCCCAGGCACGTGTGCAATCTGTCAACTGGTACGCCACATCCATGCCCGTGTCCATATCCATATCCATACCCCGACCACCAGGCCTTCAGCCCGCCTCTGCGTCCTACACACTAACCCTCACTCCGCCACAACAGCCCACTCCTCCTCCTCAGACACCGTCGGCGTCACCCCGCCCGCCAGATCGACATAGCTCGCATGCTGCACATCAGACTCATACTCCGAGTCCGACTCGGTCGCGCACCCATACAGCTCGTCGTCTTGGAACATGTCGCGCTCATCACGCAAGGCCATGCGCTCGCGCCACAGATCCTCCGCGATGGGCGTCAGGGGCGAGATAAAGCGCGCGCCGATCCTGGACGCGGGGTGGTGCACCACGGGAGCCGGGGCCGGGGCAGACGCGACGCTGCTTGGCTCGGACAGGGTATCGTCACTGCGTGCGATGCGGACGAGGATGAGTGCAGCGCGGCAGGCGGAGTACAGCGTCTCGTCGCGGGCGTCGGACGAGGGCTTGAGGAACACGAGCGCCTGCGGGACGTGCAGCGCGCACAGCCCGAGACCAATGGGGAGCTGCAGGCGAGACAGCTCGGCGGCGAGGAAGGTGAATTCGTAGTGCAGGAGGGCGTACAGGGCTGTGTTGACTATGAGGCCGCCGGCGGCGATTTTCTCGTCGGGGTTCAGGGCGGCGATGGTGGTGCGGAGGCGCGACCAGATGTGCGCAGCCTTGGAAGTCTTTGGGGTTGGTGTCCGGCGTGGGAGGGGAAAGGGGAGGGATAAGCGCACCGCGAGTAGGTAGCAGATGCTGAGCAGGTGTTGCAGAATAGTCAGCACGTTGATGATACGGCTGTTGATGCGGAAGACCTTTTTCCACGGGTAGGTCCACTTCGATACCTCCTTGTTTGCCTTCACGGCAGCTTCGACCAGCGTCAGGCCGGTGGCTGACTTGTGCGGCCCGGTGTGGTTCAAACGGCAGAGGCCGTCCGCTATGCAGTCCAGTCTGAAGCCCGCAGGCAATAAGGGCACTTCGAACAGCTTCGTGGTGTCATGGAGCCATTCGAAGAGCTCAAGAATGGGATCATCTGTGGCAGGCCGAGGCTTACTGCCACGGATCTTTCGCCGCAGCAGTGCAATCCTGCGTTTGGCCAGCGCGAGAGTCTTCTCAGCAGACGATCGTACGTTTGCCATAACCGACCAGAATCTAGAGGGATTCGGAGCGTATACTTGAGGCGTGTAGAGCAGTCGACCGCAGTTGTCAGTGACCCACTCCATAGTCTTGTCGCGAACGTCGGGATAGACGGTGTAGTCTATCCCAAGAAAGATCTGATCAGCTTTAAAGAGACCCCGAGCCACGCAATGTTCATAGCTCTCCTGGTATTGTCGTGCCATCGCAATGCTGTGAAGTGCGTACAGCCTCTCGTACAAGTAATTTTCCATGGCCAGGCCGCCCAATGCAGAGCGGAGCTGCGTTTCAGCCTGGTTCAGACGGGGCTCTGTATAGCCATGGATGAATCGCAGACCCAGATCGACACCAAGGAACTGGAGCAGCAGATAGGACACGCAGGCGACGAGTGTCAGGAACTGTGGCCGGGAACGTCGAGCTTTGCTGCGGATGGAGCCGACTTTCTCTGGCGGAACGTCGGCGTTCTTCTTGTTCGGAGCTGTGGAGGCATTCGCATCATCTTTGGCAGGGGCGACTGGTGACTGAATCGGGTTCGGGGTAGGTTTGTTGTCTGAGCAAGCAGCCTGCGATTCTTGAACGTGACCTGAGGCAACCGGTCCATCCGTGGGCGCGACAGAAGAGATGTCGGCCTCCTTCACAGGGTCTTCAATGCCCGAGTCCATAGTGGTTAGATGGCGCTCCATTGCAGGTGTGGAGCTGGTTAGGCGTGGCGGTGAGGGCGAGCGCTGGTTCTTGCGCCACAGCATGTCGTAAGAGCTACGTTGTGATAGCCGCTGAAGCTCGATTGATAAAGTAGAGGAACAATTGCGGAGGCGAGTGAGAGATTTATAAGGTTGCAGTTTGGTGAAGTGGGAGCAGGGACCTCGCTACCGTGGGAGATGGACCAGTTGAGGGCTTAAGACCAGATCGACGAAGAATCAAGCGGGGTGAAGTGAGAGGTGAACAAATCGAAACATTCTACTTGCCTTCTGCCCCGCATAGTAGCAGAAAGTGCATGCTATGCAACTGCCCGTGCCCGTTTGCTGTTGCCATCTCGAGCGCGAGGGTGTCAGGTCTGGAACGTGACGTGTGCAACACGAGAAGTGGAGCTTATCAACGCAAGGATCATTCCGAAGTACTCGCCCCATACAATGATCAGGGTCTGCTCCGTGAGGAGCGCTGGTGAGGTGCTTGTCCAATATCCTCTATATCCCCAACAGCGATATCCACATCCTCAGCCTTCACCTGACTAACCTCGACAGCGACCGTCTCTTCTTTGACCAATACCTCTCCAGGCTCAGCTTTTACAACAGCTTCCTTCTTGACTTTCTTCTTGATCCCTACAACCGCACTCGGACACAGGCCTCGCTCACTCAACTTGCAGTCTCCACACTTTCTCCCCACCGGTAAACATATCGTTTGCCCATGCCCGACCAACAGATTGTTGATATCATGCCATTTGTCTTTTGGGAGCCAGCTTTCCAGCGCTGCTCTTGTTTGCTCGGGATTCTGTGTCTTGTGCCACCCCCATAGATTCGTGATGCGGTGTACGTGAACATCGACACCGATGCCCTCGTCGCGGCCCCATGCAGCACTCAGTGTAAGATATCCCATCTTAGGACCGACTCCGGGGAGTGAGACCAGACCTTCTATTGTGTCGGGAATATCAGAGTTGAACTTGTCGCGCAGGATCTCGGCGGTCTGCTTGATGTACTTAGTTTTGAGGTTATGGAAGCCAACCTTGTTGATGAAGCCGTTCAGTTCAGCGGGTTCGATTGCGAGGACAGACTCGAGATTGAAACCCTGTGTCTGTTAGTACTTTAGAGCCTCTGATATGTGCTCGACTTACGCCCGACATCCGTTCCTGCATGCCTCGTATGGCGACAGCTGTAACCGTGTCCTTTGTCTGGCTACTCAACATGAGCGCTATGAGGGTCTGGAAGCGCTGGTCGCGCGGACTCCGCTGTCTGTCTGCTAGGCTCTCGCAACCCATTGTGTCCACTGGCGCGACGTTCTCGTTGCGCATCTCCCGTGTCAAAGCATAAATCTCCTCCCAATTGGGTGGCGGCTCAATCTTCACACTTCCATCTACACCATTGATCTTCTTCGCAGGTATACGACGTGCCTTTTTTGGCTTTGCTTCCTTCGGGGACGTGATGCTGTTCAGAGTCGCCTCCTTGGTCTCGTGCTTGACTTTGACCGGTGTGTCGCGTACGGTCCTCCTTCTCTTAGGCGGGGGCGTTGCGAATTCGCCATCTGAGCCTACGTCTGTCGGCACAGAGCTCAATTCCGAATCTGAAGGGTCGTGGACCGGCGGGTTCGCGCCGGAGCGGGTCTGACGTAGTGTTCGGCTTGCGGCGAGGATGCGCGACGTGTCGCGCGATATGCGTGAAGTGCGCATCTCGAGACGACGCAATTGGGGTCTCTTGTAAAATCGACAATTCGCGACGCGTCCTGGCGCTGTTCTTGCGTGCAGGAGAGTTGATGCGCAGCATGGACAGTAATGTCGTCAGCATCATTCGTCGAGGCGTTGTTAGCCAATGAGAACGCAAGGAGGCCGAACGCGAAACCACATGATCAGCAGTGATCAGTATTTCGAGTCGATCGATACGCGAAGTGGAGGACAGACTGGCGGCGGTGGTGGTGAGGAGGAGAAACCAAGTCGATGACCGAAGACCAACACTGGAGCAATGGAATCAAAGCTGCGCGAGTGCGAAAAGGCGAAGAGGAGAGACTAACACTGGAGCAATGGAATCAAAGCTGCGCGAGTGCGAAAAGGCGAAGAGGAGAGACCAACACTAGAGCAATAGAATTAAAGCTGCGCGAGTGCGTGCTTTACTGTTGTGTTCGTGATGTGCTTTCCCGTTGTTAAGTGGTGCTTTCCTGGAGCGTGAGTGCCTTCCGTGCGTCTGATCTTGGATGAGAAGAACGTAGGCAGGTAGGCAACTAACTAAACAATACTCGTTGAACAATATCGAAAAACATTAGAGGTCCCGTATGACCATCCATGGATTGCTGCACGTCTATCCGCAAACCGCACACCTCCTACCCACGACTACAGGCCGTCAAATTTACACCGTCTCGTTCGCTGGCTCATCTCTCACAATGGTGCATCTTTCTGACGCCATGTCCATATATTTCGACTTTGCAGCAAATCTAAACCGATCGACCACTGCAGATTCTCGCGAGACTTTTGACCCTGTCAATACAACTGAGCGCTCAACGTCCTATTCCACAAGAAATGGCACAACCATGGAAAATTGCCTGCTTAATTCGGTCCGAGCAAACGTATGGTCTCCGATCTGGCGCCAAGGATTCGATCCATCGACCGATTTAGAGCTCTGGCCACTCTCTGTCTTTGAGCGTCTTGATCCCTATACTGCCTTCAATGGAGAGCGCGTCATAAAGACTCGCTCCCACTTTGACGCTGAGGTAGCAAAGGAGCTACTGATCAACACCACAATATCTGCGCTGGCGCTTGGGCAGAACTTCGAGAACGTCAACGGGACTGTCTTTCGGTCTGTCAACGTCTACATCTTCCAAGACAAGCTCGCTTTCTTTCTCCCCTATGCACTGTCAATTGGGCTTGCTATCCCCATCATCGCACTGGGTCTTGTAGCATTCTTCGTTCACAACCAAGGCGTATCAGCCATCACCGGCGGCTTCTTCCAGCTCCTCATGACAACGACAGGACGCACACTGCTTGAGAAGCAGATCGTAGGCGCTGCGACGTTAGGAGGGCACGAGAACGTGACCGCGGGGCTGAGGACCGCAGAGATCACGTTCGGGGAGCTGATTCAGGTTGATGACGTGCTGCCGAATGGCGTCCTCGCGGAACAAAATCAACTCGAAACGACGGCGGAGCAAACGAGTAGCTCGGACACAACGCTTCTTGACGGTTTGGATGTTGGGGTAGATGCTGAGAAGAACGAATCTCGGGGGCGAAGAGCAGGGTTCGGGCTTGCGCAGGAGGTCAAGCGGGTCAGAAGGAGGATCGTCTAATGCAGATCTATCTTTGAGATGTCTCTGCTTTTCGTATTCTGCTAGGATGCTCAGGGAGTACTGTCTAGAAGGACTGACAGTCGTACTAATGAACGAACAGGATCTCATCATTACGCATGTGGATGATCTCTTCGTCAGTATGCTGCATCAGATGACGTTGGGGCACTTGCAAACGGGCCCCTTCCACTGGTCCTCCGCCCGCTCGCGACCATCAACGCCTACGATGTCCCTTTAAAACAATTATTGAGTTGCTGTTCCATCACTCAGCAATAAGACCTGAGATAAGATATGAACGACGTGTCTCGTATGCTGCAATCCTGGACGACACTAAATAACAATTGGGCGAAGTACTGGCGGATAGACATGTGTGTGAAAGAGCATGATGTGACCACCCAAACTCGCGAAGGCTCTGATGAAAGGCTTGTAGGTCAATCCATGCTGGAGAACCGCAATTGATAGTTTAGGTTGTGTAAAATAGAAGAAATCAAAAGTGCATAGTAATCAGTAAAAAGTTATCCAGCTCAAAGGCTGTAGTGTCAAGGTAGAGGAGGCTTTACGAGTGTTATTACACAGACAAAAGAGCTCCGAGACGTCTTCAATGCCTTCTGATCATCTCTCTCCCACATTTACCTTGAAGGTGATTCGGATGAAATGGCATACGTTGGGCTTCACCCTAGCGATGATGTTGAGCACAACTCTATCTGGTGGGGGAATTGGGCCGGATCCCACGAAGTTTGAGGGCTTGATGAGGTTTTCGATAATTGGATTATTATCAGTTCGCGAGACAGTAGCAGTAATGAAACTTGTAACGCCGGTTCTCTTGCTGACATCAATGTCGATGTCGCCTAAAACCTTAGGGTAGCCAGACTACTCACGTCCTGCTTAGACGGCATCTTCGTTATACACAACTAGCAGAAGTGCATATTCGTAGTTTCCTCCTTGAAAGGTACCTTCGACTTGATGGATAAGCTCCTTGTATGAGCCGATGCCGGTGAATCCATAATGGAGCACATACGTCGTGATGATCTGCTGTTTCTCTAATGAGAGTTGCCCTGGAATCAATTCGCGGACAGAAGCGTTGTCCGCCCAGTATTTAATCTTGAGTATATCAACGTTACTTAAAGCCGGTGTAGTATTACCCCGTGTGCAAGTATGTGAAAGGCACGCTGGATTGATGCCATTGCAAACGTAGTTGTGGAAGCGATTTGTATGTTAACCAAGAACTGAGAGTGGATTATTCTTTACACTAGAGGGACACAAGAATAACTAACACAGGCCATCGGAGGCACGGAAGATGATACTGCGGCTTTAAGGTCCGGATATAATGCGTGTAGGATCGCCATACTTTCCCTCGATGTAGTTTATGGCGGAACTATGTCATATCCGTGATCCGGACTACCACCCCACACATCTAGATTACCGTTTTAAAATTTCTAGACCGGTGCATTACCTGTGAATTGTACAGAGGTTTTGAAAAATTTAAGAGGTTATAATCTAATCGTGAGACTACGTTAGTTCAATGAGGTTGACGCAAGATGCTGAAGTGCAGATAGCCATAGAGATTGAAGCAAGCGATAGTCATCTTGTGTTACCAACTAAGCATCTCCCCCTCGCTCTCGCCCAAGCCCGCTCGACCTTGGTGCGCATCATTCTATCCTACTTATTGCTAGCAGAGATACTACTATCAAAGATTGAATTCCTGATGGATGAACCACCCTAGCGCAGCGTTGATAGAGAATACTGGTCAAAGCTGCCTTTTGGTCGTCTTGGATTAGAGGTCTTGCCCCTGTGCACTTCTTGTCTTCGCGGGCTGCCTCCCAACAACCGCTTATCCGCGACGGCTCGATGTGCCCTAAGCGTAATCGCACTCATGCTGTGTACAAATAAATGCCTTGAAAGGTACTCCCAAACATCGCATATTGAAAAGAGGCGTATTATAGAGCAGCTATACAAAGCTACAGATATCGTATCATAGTAAAAGCAGATAAACTGCTTTCTCCTCGTGACGGGCTATAAAATGCAGTTCTTTGCATTACCTACTTCTCCTAAGGCCATGGAGAACGGGTCTAGTCAATACTACACCAGTAGAAGCGTTGCCGTGGCTTCCAAAGTTGATATGACTGGACGGCCACAACGTCTCCTAGGCCACTCATTTGGTGGAATCACTCTTTCGGCCAGTCCTGCAGATTCTTTACCAGAGCCACTTCTAGTAGTTTGTAAAGTAATCTGGGTCTAGTTGTTATTGATGCACGCAGCTCAATCCGGATGTGCACAATTAAGATTCAAGATCAGACTCTCATCATCAGGTTCATTCCATCCTACCGGTTGACAGCGGGTAGTCTCTCGGATGGTCCGAACCTTCAAGTCCCACAATGTTGCCGTTGTGGCATTGATAGAGATTAGAATCAAACCATGGCTCAGGTATGAAAACCATCCCCCCGCATCGCTGCGTTGAGGTCGACAGCTCCAGTCTTAGCTAAGACCTTGCTGTTAGCGACTTAATCGCCTTCTACGGATATCACAATATCACCCACAATGCCTACTAAACCAAGCGGATCGACTTCGGTGCTAATAGACGGCGTACGGACCTTTTCCGAATGTGCTCTAGACACCCGAAGCGACATGCTGCGTTCACGGCAATAACGGTTGCATTTGCGGAATTAACGGAACAGAGTTACCGACGACAAAAGTTATAAAGGCACGAGAGAAGGCCGTCGAGATTCCTCAGTACATTCAGCAGACCAAAACAACCAGTTCAAGTTTCAAATATGCTTTCATACATTTTTCTCGGCTTAGTTGTCTTGTATGGCATCCATCGCCTCTTACAGGTTGGATCAAGACCTAAAGGTCTCCCTCCAGGCCCACCGACAGAACCAGTATTTGGGAACCTTCGCCAGGTAAACGACTCCGAATTTGAACAGTTTCGAAGTTACTTACATGCATAGATGCCGGTATCTTTCCAATGGGAGATTTTCAACAAATGGGGCAAGAAGTATGGGGGTGTCTTCTCATTCATGAAAGGATCCAGGCCTTTTGTCGTTGTGAATGACCCAGAAGCAGCACGCGAACTGTTCGTCAAGCTGAGTCAGAGCAGTTCAGGGCGAATGAACACTCACACAGAGCTTGCTATAAGAGCAGGTAATAACTATGGCATGACCGACGGCCCAATGTGGCGAGTTGCTCGCCGGCAGTGGCACACTATGCTCAATGTGACTGCTGCTAAGAAGTTCCTCCCGTACCAGACTCTGGAAGTAACGAAACTTCTATGTGAGATTCTGGAATCTCCAAAAGACGTTTTGAAACATATCCCGAGGTACAGCAATTCTGTCTCGCTGAGCATGACTGAAGGATACCGGGTGGCGAGCTCGAATGATCCTATTGTGGCAAAGACTCTTGCCGAATTCGATGGTTTTGCACTGTACCTGCAGAAGGCTGACTGGGCAAACTTCTTCCATTTTCTTTGGAAGCTGCCCAATTATCTGTCGCCCCCTAAAAAGCAAGGATGGGACGTTTACAAGAGTTACATCGAAACCAACTGGGAGCGTTTTCTGAAAGCAAAGGCCTCGGACCTTCCATCGTTTTATCAAGTCATTGGCCAAGCACAGCAAACGCTTGGAATCAATGATGAACAGGCACTCCCAATAGGTGAAGCCTTGCTTCTTGTAAGTCGAGAGCATCGTGCGAGATCCGTTGAAACTAACACCTAGAATCAGGCAGGCACCGAAACCACAGCAACCTCAATCCGTGCTTGGGTGGCAGCTATGGCATTGTTCCCTGAGAAGCAACGTAAAGCTCAAGAAGGTACGGAGCAATTGCCTCAAGCAGCCTTGTTGACAATCACTGATCAACGCTAGAAATCGACCGTGTGATTGGTCAAGATCGCCGGCCAGGCGATGCAGATGCTGCCAACCTAGTCTATGTCAGACAGATGGTTCAAGAGTAAGCTTAGTCACCACTGAGTGCTTTCTTCACCGTTCAACACCGTTAACAATCTTCAGATTACATCGCTGGGCTACTGTCGCGCCCCTTGGCATTACGCACGCAGCGTCCAAGCCGATCGAGTGGCGTGGGTACACGATCCCTCAGGGCACCGGCTTGATCCACAACACGATGGCGATTCACTTCAACGAAGAGAGGTATCCCGAGCCCCAGAAATTCATTCCTGAGCGATGGGAAGGTAAACTCGAGATGGCGGCGGAGAATTCAGTCGGTGCTAGCTCGGAACTTTTCACCTTTGGAGCCGGTCGCCGTATTTGTCCTGGACAGCATCTCGCCGAACGCAGCATCTACCTTGTTGTTTCGAACATGCTCTGGGCGTTCCAGATATCTCAAGCAGTCGATGCACATGGAAACAAGAAGCCTATAAACACAGACAAGTCGAAGCCGGGAATTGCTAGGGCGTTTCCCGATTTTGAAGTATCGATCACGCCACGCAGCGAGGAGAGAGCAAGGATTATTAAGGAGGACTGGTCGCAGATGAGAGAGGAATTCTTGAATGAAGACGAGCAATGGAGGAAGACTCCAGTAGGCTTTGAGGAGATTGTGCAAAAAGCAAAAGCACAGTCGCATAAATAGAATACTACATAGTGTTGACAACTAACCTTTCATCACTAGATACTTGTACGCTATTCTCAAAGACTTTATCTAAGTCTTGGCTTAGACCTGTATTTTATTGTAGCAACTTAGAAAGAAAACCCCGCCTCAGGAGTAAAGGAATTCGCTATCTGATAGTATTTAGCCAATTAACTCTTCTACACGCAGTGCATATCCAAGTCTCTAAAGCAGCTACTCAGTCTAGAACCCACCATTCTACCAAGATCCCGACCGCCAAATCCCTGACCATTCCCTGTGCCACTTCCTATCCGTGCTCTTCAAATAGGCAGACTCCAAACCGCCCAGCACCGCACCCTGCCACAAACCCCAGCCAATCACACCTCCAGCCCACCTCCCCAATCCAACCGCACTAGTCCGTATCCGGCAACCGCCCTGGCCAAGCCGTGCGGCTCAACCGCGTCAGCCTCGCGCGTCCGCATCAGGACACTCGACGACATACACACTTCAGCGCTCCAAACCCTCCCAGGGCGCCAGCGGCCACCAGCGGATTCGGGAGCGTGAGAGGGTGGCGCGGAGGGGTTGCCGGGTTGGGAAGTTGCGAGGGGGGCGGTCATGCGCGGATTTGGCGCGATGGGGTGCGAAGCGTGGGTGAGGTGAGATGGGGGTATACGAAGAAGGGAGTTTGTGGGTTGTGGTCGTGGTGATGCCGGAGATGGGCGGGGCGGTGGGATCGATATATATATATATCGTGGAGAGGGAGAAAGAGATGGTTGACAGCAACACTGGATCTTTGCTTCGCGCTTCGCTGAACAGTCTTTGTAAGAAGGTGCATATCTGGTTTTTGTATATTGTACTCCTCTCACGGGTTCAGAACGCGCCGATTGCGGGCTTCGCTGCACCAATACCAGAGTCACAACCTCCCGACTGAATTCGCTCCAGCAGGACTACGTCCACGCATCGCACACGAACCATCATTTCCTGCCTCCTCATTCCAAGATCAAAAGCCATCGATTTCGGAACTGCGAACACCGCAAATTCCAACGGTCTACCAGCACTGCACCCGCACTGCACCGCACCGGCCTCCCTCACCACATCCACCCCGCCCGGAACCTCTCCATTGATCCGTCCGAGCAAAATCAGCGTACCCCAGCACGCCGCTCCAGCACACATCAAGAAACAGCACCATCACACGCCTCGAGCAAAACCCGGGCTCCCGCACCCCGCGCCAGAACCCCAGCTCAACATCCCCTGTCCCAGGACACAGGACAAGATTCAGCACTCTCCCGACCTCGCGCCATCCCAGACATTAGATCTGGCATCTGTCGCCTGCGTCCCCGATCTCGGTCTCGGTCTCGATTCCAAGTCCCCAGAACCCGGGCCGTACCGCTTTGGCCCGGAGTCCCGAGTCCCGAGCCCCAGTCCCAGTCCCAGACCCCAGCCCTCCACCCACACCACCCTCTCTTAGAATTAGATAGAAGCCATGGTTCCACTAGCCTTCACCGCCGGCCTCGGCCCGCGCATGCACAGCCCCGGCTCGGCGCCGCTGTCGGCTTCTCCGCCTTCTTCTGCGTCGTCGAATGGGGCGTCGCTGAATGGTTCTGCGTCTGGCTCTGCGTCTGGGTCTGGGCCTGGGTCTTCAAGCAGCACGACGCCGGCGACGACGGGGGGGCGGTAGGCAGGGTATTAGTGTTCCGTGGCAGGCTGGGGTGGAAAGGTGTCTTGGTAGCGGTTGGGGCTGTGGTTGTGGTGTAGTGGTGAGGCGGCGGTTGTGTGTTGGTGGTTGTGTGTTGGCGGCTGTGCGGAGGTGGATGTGCCTCGGTGGTTCTAGGAGGTGGATGTGGGGTATGTCGACGGGGACTGGGGAGGCGACTAAACACGCAGCGCAGACGAAAGACAGAGACCGGGAAGCTACGGGGCAAGATAACATCGCGTCGGCGGATAGCCACAGAATCTCACACGCGCAGACTAGAACACAGGAATACACGAGCCGTACAGACAAAACGATGCGCGAGCACGTGGCCCAGCCGCACAGGAGCATGCAGATACAAACACACACTTGCAAAGCTCACCACCACATCCCCCCCTTCCCCGTGCGCCATCTGCGACACGCCCCCACACCCCTTAAGTAGCAACTAGAACACTGGTTTGCCGGGCTGCGGGGCACATTGGAAGGCAAGGCGTGCTTGCGACAGCGTCTGCTTAGATGGAGGCACGTAGACTTGCAGACTTGCGTGGACTTAAGTACGTACCTAGGCTTGGATGCCTTATGTAGACTTACACGGAGGTATAACCCACGTAGACTTTAATAACTTATAACCTACGTAGGCTTGGCCAACTTAACACAGCCCTACAGACCCACAGACTTGCGTATTACAACTTCCACAAACCGCTTAAAAAACCAACAGAAAACCCACACACACAAAACCCGTCCCCACTCTCAAACCCCCGCCCCTGCGCTAGTCTCAGCGTATGCATAATCTCAGCACTACTTACCAGAGACATGGAATTTATATGCAGCGGGGCGTAGATACAGCCGTAGAGGTACCTAGTATAGATACGTGTGCGCGTCCGCGTACGCACAACGTGCACGCCTGGAAAAAAGATGGTGCGAGTGGAGCAGCGCACGGCAGAAGAGGCTAGTTGTAGTAGAAGAAGAAGAAGAAGAAGAAGAAGGATGTGCGGGACCGGAGACCCGCACGTCGCACACTCGCTTAAACAGTACACCCCCTTAGTGCAGTACACTTACCCCTACCTACGTTTGTGATTAAGATTGTCTAGCTCTTTGTCTATTATACTACTTTGTGAAGTTGTTTTATAGTAGACTACGTGTCTATGTGTGTACCTAGTAGTAGCTTCTTCTCTAAAGGAGTATGCTGCATACTAGGACAAAGAATCTATTCTATATAGAAGAAGACAAAGGTACCTACCTACCTCTAACTTCTAAAACAGTAGAAGAGAGAGAGAGAGAGAGAGAGAGAGAGAGAAAGAAGACCAAGACGAACTATACAAGCAAGTAACTATGTACACAACTTCCTTCCTAGCTAACTGTACAGTTGGAAAACTTAACCTCTTCTCTCTTCTTACCCTACTTTCTCTTCTCTCTATAACATGCCATCACGTATTCTTTTTCTTCTCTTGTACTCTTGTTAAGTACACCCCCCTTATTCTATAACACCCCCCCCTCTAGACTAAGCCCTTGGCAAGATTTCACTTAGTACACCCGGGTTTTATACGTGCGAGTTTACGGTATTGAATATTGCTGTGCGTGCGCTGTGCGGGACTCTTACACGCACGCATCTGCATCTGCATCTCGATCTGTATTCCATCTGCATAAGGTTGTATCCACGCACCGCGCACCTCGCAGCCAAACGCGGCACCTTGGTATCTCGAACGCGCCCGTAACGCCTGACAGAAAACGCCTGCTCTGCTGCTCGCGCCTCGAGCACACTCTCTCTCCCCTGTCTCCGGTACTATGGGGGGCACCGTTCTGCACCGGTCTGCACCACCACCACGACCACGCCTCGCTCTCCCGCTAGCTTGCCATCACCGCCTCCCGGAATCCAACCGCCACGCGCGTCCACGCTTGGCTACCGCCACGGTTTACGGCCGTCACAGCCGACTTCTCACCCCCTCCAGCCGCCACTTCACCTCCTTGAGTCCCTTCCCCACGGGTCTCCACTCTTCGAAAGCGCCCAGCAGCTCCGCCACTTCAGACTCGAGATCCGCAGCGCCCGATGCCTCGGCGAGGAGTCCGCGCATCGCCCAGGGGAGGAAGAAGGGGTTTGGTGTCGCGGGCGGGGGAGGCGGGTAGGAGGAGATGCGGAGGGAGTGGGGGTCGAGCGCGAGAGACGAGGACGAGGGGGGGGACTTGGACGGGGGCTTTGTTGGAGTTGGGGACGAGGGGGCGCCGACGACGGGCACACTGATGCCCGCGAAACTGCCGCTGCTCCCTGGCCGCTGCGCCGGTGCAGCAGGCAAGCTAGTCGTCTCCAGCGCGCATCTCACCGCGAGCATGTACACCGCGGGGTCCTCGTAGACGCGCGAGTGGCCGTCGCCGGCGTACAAGCTACCTGCCAGCGCGGGCGAGAGTTCGCGCAGCAGGTTGTGGTCGGGCAGGCCGCGGTTGCGCAGGGTGAGGGCCAGGCTGACGAGGTGGGTGAGGAAGGAGGGCGCGTGGAGGCGGGTGTCGATGAAGACGGCGCGGTGGATGTGGGGGTGGGTGAGGGGGGTGAAGGTGGAGGACTGGGGTGGGTTAGGGAGGTATTCGGTTAGATATAGGGGCGACTTACCTCCAGCGACACCAGCTGGTCGTCGATGCTGCCGACGTACAGCACGTGGACGCCGGCGCGCAGCACCTCGTTCAGGGCGGCGAGGTACATCTGGCTGACGAGGCTGTCGGGGTTGGAGAACTCGAACAGCTCGGCGGCGGTGGGGCCGAAGTACTTTGTCTTGTACTCGATGAAGGGGCCCATGTTGACGCCGGCCATGGCGCACACGCCGATGCGCGCGCCGCCGACGCAGCCGAACTGAATCAGCTTGGCGACCAGCATCGTCGCCACGGGCACGCCCTGCGAGTGGCAGGCGACGAGGATGAAGTCGGCGGCCTTGAGGTGGTCGATCCAGTTCAGCAGCAGCTTCCACAGGGTGTTGACGCGCTCGGCTACAAAGCCCTCGCCCTCGAGCGCGACCTGCTCGATCTCGGGGCAGTAGCCGCGCGCCTCGGACCAGTCTTTGATGGCGGCGGCGGCGGCGTTGGCGAAGCGGATAGACGTGCCGGTCGGCTGGCCCATGATGCGCTGGAAGATCGGGGCGGGAAAGAAGCCGTGGACGCCGATGGCGACGGCCTTGCGGATACGCGGCGGGGTGGGGTTGAGGGAGAGGTGCGCGGAGGCGGGCTCGCTGGCTAGGAAGTACCGGCGTACTTGTTTCCAGAGGCTCGGCTGCTGGGCGAGGCGGTAGGTGGAGGCGAAGTCGGGGAGGATGAGGTTTGGCGGGTCCTGTTTCTTGGCGGCGGGAGCGGGTGTAGCAGCGGGCGGGAGGGTAGGCTCGCGTTCGGGGGAGGAGCGGGTGGGCGTCGCTGGTGCACTCGCTGTGTCTGCTGGCTCGCTAGCAAGGTCTTTCGTGGCCGCCTTTCTCGTGCGTCCCCGCAGGGAGCCCAGCGACTTCTTGACCAGGGACTCGTTCGCTTTCGGCTTCGGCTTCGGCTTCGGCTCTGGGGCGTCTGCCTTGGGCTGCTCCTGCTCGTTGAACTGCGCTGCCTCGGGATGAGACTGCGAGGGCGTGTCGAAGACGGCCACCTCGCCGACGTGCTTCTGCGCCTCGCCCTCGGCATGCTGGGCGCTGGCAGGGTCGCGATACCAAAAGGCCCAGCCCGAGGCTTTCGCGGGGGTCTTTGCTGGAGTTTGGGGAGGCGGCTGGTCGGTGGATGTCTCTGCGGGAGGCTGTGGTACGTCTTGCGGTGTTTCTGTCACGCCTTGTGGTGCTGTATCTTTCGGTGCTGTGTCTTTTGGTACTACATCTTTCGGTACTATATCTTGCGCCAGCTCGGTCGCCTGATCTGAATATGTGTTCGGGGTGAAGAACTCGCTGGCGGGCTGCTGCGGCGGAGGCGAGTTGGCCTGGACGTTCTGCGCGTTGCTCCACAGCCAGAACCAGGAGCCGCTTGAGTTCCGCGCGGTCGGCTTGCTTGTGTCTTTCGTGTCGGGGTTCTCTGGGCGTACTGCAGGGCTGTCGACCTTGTTCTGGGCCTTATCCTGACCCTCCTGGCCCTCCTGACCCTCCTGATCCTTCTTGTCCTTATCGGCGTCCGTCTCCAGGGCGCTGTCCAGCCCCTTGGCGGCCGCGTCCGGCTCCTCGGACGGCGTGGTCCCCGGCAGCGGGGTGCTCGAGGCGTCCTGCACGCTGGCCTGTCCCGCGCTCTTTGCCTTGGCGGCCTCGGTGTAGCCGTCGGGCCGCGACCACCAGCTCGTCCAGCCCCAGGTGTTCGCTACGTCGGGCTTCGGGGGCTCGGGCGGCAGCGGGGCGTCGGCGGCCGGTGCTGGCGCTGGCGTGGGTGCTGGCTCTGGCGTGGGCTCGGCTTCGGGCTTTGCCTCCTCGACGGAGCCGTCCGAGGCGACGGTGATGTTGGTGGTGGAGGCGAGGGCGATGCTCTTGCTCGACTTGCGCTTGGTGAGGAAGCGCGCGGGCGAGGCGTCGCTGGGCGTGCGGGCGGGTGAGGTGGGCAGCTCGGCAGTCGCGCCGCCGCTGACGCTGATTCCAATCGTCTCCTGCGCCGTCCGCACCACGGCGGGGGCCTTGGACCGCCAGCTGCCCGTGCCGCCCAGCCATTTGCGCCCGCTCTTCGGCGTCTGCGTGCCGGGCGTGGCGGGTGCAGAGGCGGAGGCGTCTGTCACGGAGACATTGGCTGAGGCTTCCGACGCGGGCTGGCTCGTGGCCGTCTCGTGGGAGGTGGTGCTGGCATCGAGGACGGGCTCGGGGGTGCTGGCATCAAGAACAGGCCCGGTGGTGCTGGCAGCGTCGTCGGTGGGCGCACTATCCCCAGCAGGCTTGCTCTTCTTGCGGCCCATGGCTGGCGTGGGCAGCGGCAGGCAGCCGGAGCGCAGGCGGTGTCGGGCGTTGCATGTGAGCCAGCGCGTCCCCGTGAGCTGGCCGTGCTGCAGTCCGCGCTGCCGCCACCATGACGCAGCCACGGGCCACGAGCCACGACCCCAGCCGCGGCTGTGTGGCGCACGCCCTAACCGCAACGGGACGCTCCACTTAATTTCTGTCCCGCGAACTCGAACTTTCGCGCCCACGCTCCACGCCGGCCACCATTCACCACCACCGCCGCAGCCATGGCTATCCAGAAGAAGCACGGCAAGGGCCGTCTCGACAAGTGGTACCGCCTCGCCAAGGAGAAGGGCTACCGTGCGCGTGCCGCCTTCAAGCTGATCCAGCTGAACAAAAAGTACAACTTCCTCGAGAAGAGCAAGGTCTTGATTGATCTTTGCGCCGCCCCGGGCTCATGGTGCCAGGTCGCCTCTGAGGTGTGTTCCATACCCGCTCTTGCATTGTTCTTGTGGAATATCTAACCCCCCCAGGTCATGCCCGCGGGCGCCCTCATCGTCGGCGTCGACCTCGCCCCCATCAAGCCCATTCCCCGCTGCATCACCTTCCAGAGCGACATCACCACCGACAAGTGCCGCACCACCCTGCGCTCGCATCTCAAGCATCTCAAGGCCGACGCCGTCATCCACGATGGCGCCCCCAACGTCGGAACCGCCTGGGTGCAGGACGCCTTCTCCCAGGCCGAGCTCGTGCTGCAGTCGATGAAGCTGGCCACCGAGTTCCTGGCCGAGGGCGGCACCTTCGTCACCAAGGTCTTCCGCTCCAAGGACTACAACGCCCTGCTGTGGTGCTTCCAGCAGCTGTTCATGAAGGTCGAGGCCACCAAGCCGCCCTCGTCGCGAAACGTCTCCGCCGAGATCTTCGTCGTGTGCCGCGGCTACAAGGCCCCCAAGAACCTCGACCCCAAGTTCCTCGACGCCCGCTACGTCTTCGCCGAGCTCGCCGAGCCCACCCCAAACAACGAGGCCAAGGTCTTCAACCCGGAGAAGAAGAAGCGCAAGCGTGGCGGTTACGAGGAGGGCGACTGGACCCAGTTCCACGAGGCCACCGTCGCCGAATTCATCGAGACGCCCGACCCGATTGCCATGCTGGGCAGTCTGAACAGGCTCACCTTCGAGCAAAAGGGCAATGGCGACATTGCTATTGCTACCATCGACAAGCTCAAGGAGACCACCAAGGAAGTCCGCAACTGCTGCGCCGATCTCAAGGTCCTCGGCCGCGCCGACTTCAAGCGCCTGCTGCGCTGGCGTCTCAAGGTGCGCGACATCTTCGGCTTCTCCAAGAAGCAAAAGGACGCCGCCGCCGCCAAGGAGGCCGAAGAGGCCGAGGAGGCCAAGGAGGGCGAAGAGGAGGCCAAGATCGAGGACATGGACGAGGAGATGAAGCTGCAGGTCGAGCTCGAGCGCCTCAAGGACAAGGACTCCAAGCAGAAGCGCAAGCAGCGCCGCGTCGAGAACGAGCGCAAGCAGAAGGAAATCGTCCGCATGCAGATGAACATGGCGACGCCGTTTGACATTGGTCTTGAGCAGGCCGGGCCCACCGGCGACGACTCCATGTTCGCCCTCAAGGCGGTCGAGAAGGACGGCGCGCTGTCCAAGATCGCCCGCGGCAAGATGGCGCAGATTGTGGAGAAGGAGAAGGAGGAGTCCAGTGAAGAGGAGTTCACGGACGATGAGGAGGGCGACAATCTCGAGCGCTACCTCGACTCGCAGTATGACGAGTACGTCGAGCAAAAGTCCGCCCGCGACGCCAAGTACCGCGCCAAGCGCGCGCGGGGTGACAACGAGGACGGCGAGTGGAACGGCTTCTCCGACGGCGAGAAGGAGGAGAGCGACGACGAAGAGCTGGTGCAGGACGCCGACAGCGACAGCGACTCCAGCAGCGACGAGGAGGGCCCGAGCAAGCTGACCACCACGCTCGAGGGCGCCGAGAACGCCGACGGCCTGACGCGCCGCGCGCAGCGCTTCTTCGACCAGGACATCTTCAAGGGCATCGACGGGCTGGACGGGCTGGACGAGGAAGACGACGACAGCGGCATCGACATCGACGCCGAAGACGTCAAGATGGACGGCGAAGACGTCACCATGGCCTCCTCCTCCGAGGAATTCAAACCCGCCAAAAAGGCCACCTTCGCCGACCCCGGCGACTGGTCCGACGACGACGCCTCCGCAATCGAAGAAGTCGCCCGCGACGAATCCCAATGGGAGCACGACGACATCCCCATGAAAAACGGCAAACCGGACATCGACATCATAACCGCCGAAGCCATGACGCTCGCGCACCAAATCGCCACCGGCGCGAAAAAGAAACACGACCTGCTCGACGACTCGTTCAACCGCTACTCACTCCGCGACGTCGACGGGCTACCCGACTGGTTCCTGGACGACGAAAACCGGCACTCGCAACTCCAACGCCCAACCACGGCCGCCGCCGCAAACGCGATAAAAGAGAAAATGAGAGCGCTGAATGCGCGCCCGATCAAGAAGGTCCGCGAGGCCCACGCCCGCAAGAAATTCAAAGCCGCCCAGCGCCTGCTCAAGCTGAAGAAGAAATCCGCCCTGCTCGCCGACGAAGAGGGCATGACCGAAAAGGAAAAGGCGCAGAGTATTGCCCGGCTCATGAGTCGCGCCGCCAAGAAGAAGCCCAAGGGTAAGGTCACGGTTGTGGTGGCTGGAGGCGGGAATCGCGGGATCAAGGGACGCCCGAGGGGGACGAAGGGCAAGTATAAGATGGTTGATGCGAGGATGAAGAAGGATAAGCGCGGGATGGCGCGGGCGGAGAAGAGGGAGAAGAAGAGGCGTTGAGGATGTAGTTGGGGTTAGACAGAAGGGGTGGTGGTGGGTTAAAATAGAGGGAGGTGGTGGGAGGAGTGCATTTCGCGGCGTTTGATATCTGGAAAATCTTCAAATTTCATGGCGTTTTGTTGCACTGCTTTGATGTTTCTGGGCCTCATGGTCCGTCCTGCCAGCTCTCCTGTTCATCCCATGGCATGTCATGTCGTCCCATCCTATCCCGCCACATTCTCACCCATAGGATACCATCAATCTCATCCTGCATCCACGGCTCCCGCACAGCCCGTCTCAACCACCTTCTCAACCCCCTTCTCCCGCTTATGACACCCCCTACACCTCATCGTAGAAAATCGCCTTGTGCCTATGCGTCGCCTCGACCACCGCATTCGCCGCGTTGAAATCTGTGTGTTATGAATCAGCGTCGCTCTGATCGCTGGTGTGTGGGATGCTGGGTTGAAGTGGTTTGGAGTTGATTGGAGTGGGTTGGATACAGCGGGGAAGTGATGTGGGAAGTGACGTGACAAAGCAAGGTAACAAGATTGCGAACACTTCAGAAAGTACATAAGGAAGTAAGAAAGTAAGAAAGCAAAAACCCCACAACCCCGAGCGTCAGCGTCCAAACGCCGAGCTTCGAAAGCGGGGGCGCGGGCGGGAGTGCTGTGCAAAAAGCAATGGTATGCAAACGCAAAAACAACGAAGACGAAAACGAGGACGAATTCGTGGAGGTGAAAAACTGGCAGCATGCCCGAGTAGAGCAGCAAGCGAAGACAGCACCAAGCGAAGAGACCCGCAAACCACCAGAGCACCAAGCGAAGGGACTAGCAAGCGAATAGAGGAAAACCGGACATACCAACACCACTCCCAAAATCCGTGGCGGCTTGCACTTTGATGGCGAGGTTGGCGTCGACTTTACCGATGATTTCGACGGCGTTGTTGAGCGTGAGGTGCGCGTCCTTGGGTTGCGTTAGTGTGCTGGCTGTGGGGGCAGGCTGTGGGAGGGGGCCGTGGGAGCAGGACGGGAAACGGGAATGGAACGGAACGGGACGGAGAAGGGAGATGGGAGAGGGGAGAACAGAGAATGTAGAATGAGGAGGGAGGTGGAGATGGAGATGGAGATGGGAGATGGAGACAAGAAACAGGAATCGGGGATGGAGAAGTGAGAATGGAAATGAGCATGACAATGACAACGACAACAAAAACCAGAACACACAGCCAAAACACCAAAACCCAGCAACAGCCAGTCAGAATGATAATGAGAACAACAACCCAACCCCACTCTCCGCGGATAAAACCGCACATATGCAAACAAACCCACTGCAGCACCAACAACAAGAGCAACGATTTGAGAAAATACATACCCGGTTCAACAAAACATCGATATTCCCCCCCGCGTCAATCACCGCCGTCTCGCCACGCAGCTGCACGACCTTGCCCAGCACGCGCACGATGCGGTGCTGGAATTGCGCGAGGTGCGGTTGCAGCACGCGCGGGGTTTGGGGGGCATCCATTCTGGTGTGTGTGGTTTGTAAAGAGGATGGATATTGGAGGGGGTTTCGTGTGCGAGTGGGTGGAAGTTTGTTTGGAGGTGCAGTGCGATGGATTGGGACGGCGAGACGCGTCGCGTGAATACCTGCGTGCTAGCGCGGAGCGGTGTCACGTGGCACTTCACCTCCCGCGTCGCCGAAATCCACCTTCAAGTCAACAAAAAACACATTAATTTCTAATAAACCCTAAAACAACCCCTACAGCAGCGCCAACCCCGTAAACGCCCTCTCCTCATCCTGCCAAATCGTCCGCTTCCCCCGCCCCTCCAAATCGCACTCATACACCCCGCCCCCCAGATCACTGACATACACCCGCCCCCGCTGCTCATCGACCCGCAACCCAATCGCCTCGTGAAACCGCCTTGCGATCACAAACGCCCGCGCCGGCCGGTCCGCACCAATCGGAAACCCATCTGTGTCCAGATCAACCCGGCACAGCGCGTTGCCCCACGGCAGCTCGCCCCGGTCCGTCCAGTACAGCCGCCCATGCGCTTCGTCGAGCTCGAGATCAATCGGCTCCGGCAGGTTGGCGAGGACACACGTCGCGTCGGTGCGGGCTGCGGGGTCGGCGTCCGCGGGCGTGGTGATCGGGGCGCTGAAGATGCGGCCCGTGCCCGATTTGCTCGCGCCCTTCTGCGTCCAGTAGAAGCGGCCGCGGGCGGGACTCACCGCAATGCCGACGCACCAGTTGGCGGGGTCTGAGGGCGCGTCGGCAGTCTGGGCGGGCGGGTTGGAAATCAGTGTCTCGAGGCCGGCGCCGGAGTACGCGCAGCGGTGCACGGCGCAGCCCTCGCGGTCGGAGAAGTAGATCTGCTGGGCTGCCGTGTCGAGGGCGAGTTGCTTGGGCGTGTTGATGGTGCCGGGGCCGAGGAGGGTGAGCGGGTTGCTGCCATCCAAGGCCGCGGAGTGCAGGGTCCCGTCGCGCGCGCCGGGCGTGCCCATGCAGGTCCAGAAGATGCGGCCCAGGGCGTGGTCGATGGCGATGCCGTCGGGGAGCTCCTGGTTGGTGATGAGGGGGACGGGGGGCGAGCCGTCGGTGGTGAGGCGCAGGATGGCGCCGGCGCCGTCGTTGGGGTTGGTGGCTGAGAGGCCGACGTCGAGGATGAGGAGGGAGGGGTCGGCGGGCGTTGGAGAGGCGGGTGTGGGCTTGGGGGGGTATAGACCGCCCTTGTCGCTCTTGTTGCCGAGCTTGCCCTGGTCGAGGTAGTTGGCCTTGAGGAAGTCGGTGGTGTGGGCGGATGGCAGTCCGCGCTCGGCGATGTAGTGGCTTTCGATGAACGCGACGGTGTCGAGCCCGACCTGGTCCATGGTCGCGCACGGCTTTGCGCCGGCCTTGACGAACATCTCGGTCCAGATGCTGTCGATCTCCGCGGCATCACTGACGCCTTCAGACAGGATCATCAGCGTCTCGCGCTTGACCGCTGCCCAGAGACGGTTGAAGATGAAGCCTGTCGACTCTTTCCTGGCAACGTACGGCTTCGCACCGGTGTCTCTTAATTGTTCTGTCAAGAACGAGATGACTTCAGCATCGGTCACTCCATCGGTCATGAGTTCGACAACCATGTTCTTGGGGGGCATGTAGTAGTGCGTGTTCAGTACGCGGCGCTTGGTGTCGTCTGAAACCTCCGTGATCATCTCTGACGACTTGTAGGAAGACGAGTTGGTAGCCAGGATGCAGTCGCTTGGTGCGAGTTGCTCGAGCGTTGCAAATGTCGAGATCTTGAGTGCGAGCTTCTCAGGGACAGCTTCCACGACGAGCCAAGCATTAGCTACGGCCGGCTCGAGGTCCTCAAACACCTGCACCGTTCCAGCTGTTGCAGCCTTTGTGAGGGCTTCATATGCGGCGATAGTCTCGTCAACATATTCTAGGCATTGAGCGCGCTGCTCTGCACTTGGGTCTCTGACATAAACATCCCACCCGCCGGCTGCCCACGAGCATGCTGTTTGATATCAGCGGAGAACTTGTGTTGTTCTTTGAAACATACCGATACGGCGCCCAAGTACGCCAGCGCCCAGTACTACAACTGGACGCTTGCGGTGATCCGTCGGTGCTTGCCACGACATGGACTTGTTTGATTCTAATGAGGAAGTTGCTCGTGAATGATGATGCAATGCGCAGCGTGTGCTTTGAAGACACGGCGCATCTTACATATATAGGCAGTTGGCCGATGATGTCTTCCACACCGTGCATCCGCCGCCTTCCACCGCTCACAATCTGTATACAACAACGTCATCCCGACCGCATACATTTTGCAAGTGCACTGTACGCGTACTTCACAAGTTTCGTCTGTGGGTATCGGCTGCGGTCCGAAACCAACACTGTTATCTGTGATCCTGTCCAATAGCATTAAATCTGGTCTGCAATCTGCCCTATCAGAAGTTGTAAAATTTTCCGATCGCTAGTCACCCCTGTCCGTCTACAAATTCATGCCCGGACGTCTCGGTGGTTCGTACGAGGCGCCTAGTAGCACCGAACAACATCGTCGGCAGACCTGCAGCATTCTGGTGTTTACGAGGCTGAAGCGTCTGCATGCAAGCGCGAATTAAGACTCGCCGCGGTGACAGCCTACCGAGGTGAGCGCCCCCTGCCGATTGGCCGCGCTGATTTCGTGGCGAGTTGACGTGTGGCCGCCGATGTGCTCAGTGCTCACGTTTGATACGCTGGGATGTTCCCGGGATCGATCTCTTTACCGAGTCTTGGAAGGCGGCCCGCCGACACTCAGCCAAATCCAACGTCCGTGACAACACAAACACCATTCGAGCAGCGCCTTGTCATTGGATGCAGGGGTGAGATACGTGGATGCTATGAAAGAAGAGATGTCATTCGCTATGCTATGGACAAAAGAAAGAGAATACGAGAGCGAATGCGGAACATTCGGGTACCAACGTCACACCTCCCATACAGAGCGCGCGTCGAGTCGCTCAGAAGCAGAAGATCTCATCGGACATTTTCGCGACGGCTCCTGGGGCCTTGAAACCTAGGCCCTCCAAAGCCTTCTTCGACGCATTGACCATCCCCGGAGGCCCACATAGCATAACCTTGGTGTCTGGCGCTGGCGCGGGCAGCTTCTCCTTCATCAAGTCTGCTGTTACGTAGCCGCTGCCATAGGCCCAGTTCTCCGGCGGGCTGTCCAGCATGTACCACAGCTTGAAGTTCTTGGGGTACCGCCTCGCGAAGGTCTCGAGCTCCTTGCGCAGGAGGATGTCGTCTTCCGAGCGGTTGGCCAGGATCAGAGATACCTCTGTTGTGTCGTACTCGTCCTCGCATATCGCGCGGATAAGCTGGTACATGGGTGTGATGCCTGTGCCGCCTGCGATCATGCCAATCTTCTTGCACTGCCCGACTGTGTGGGTGTAGGCGCCCTTGGGTCCACGGAACAGCACCTCATCTCCGACCTTCAGGTTTGCGAAGAACTTGCCGGTGAGCTGGCCATCGGGGTAGATCTTGATGACCAGTTCCAGCAGGCCCTTGTCGAGGTTGTTGGAGGTAGGGGTGTATGATCGCGAGACGGCCTTGCCGTCAATGGTGGCCTTGATGGCAACGTGCTGGCCAATGGGCAGGCCAACGACGTCCCGCGGGTCCGGCAGGTTGAAGCTATACCTGAAGACGTTCGACGACAACTGGTCGATTTTGGCTACCTTCAAGGGCTTGTACTCCTTGGCATCGAGGAATCCTCTTGCTAGATGCGGGTTGGCCGGCTTGACGCGATGACGCAGCTTGCGGCGAGGAGGGTACTTTCCAAAGCCAGAATCGATCTGTGTAAATTTGGAAAGCTTGTTGGCAACAACAGTCGCGCCGATTGTGGAGATGACGCTGGCGATCGCGAAGCCACCGACAAAGGCGCTGTTTCCGCTCGAAAGAGAGGATGTCGGTAACTGCGGGAGTTTGGATACGAGAATGCGCGGTGACGGCCCGTATGTTGCAGCGCAGTAGGCAGCTCCGGCAAGAGCCATAGACCCGGCAACAACTTTTACGACAGCCGAAGCTGCAGAGCTCTTCACTTCCGGTGTCACCGGCGCTTGTTGTACAAGCTTGATGTTCTTTGAGCGCTTCACCTTCTCGGGGGTGGCCGCGATGCCAACGGCGTAGCGGGCCATGATCTCGTCTGCATCCTCAGAGTGCCCGGTTTCGACGTACTCCTCGGTTGCGTCCTTTCCAGCGACATCGATCAAAACATCTACGCCACCTGGATGGTCGCGCACGTAGTCTGTAACATTGTAGACTGCGCTCCTGGGTCAGTTGTTGAAAAACATGTGAGCTTCAGTGAACGCACCTTTGCCCTGGATGGTCATCCAGAGGTCGTCCCTGGTTGAGTGCGCTGCGACATCAGCCGCGCTGTAAGTTGGTAGGTCAGACATGCTGCAATCGAAGATGGCTGAAAAGTTGTGGTAAGAAGATCTCGGGGCAAGCATCAACTCTGAACGAACGGGATGAGTCCTATTATGCACACCGTTATCTCTAACTTTGCGCAGCCTCGGTTCATCTACATCATGCTCGGACTATCCTTGCGATGATGCTCGACCGAGCATTATTTTCCCTGAGCTGCATGACAACTTTGACCATCTGGTGTCACGTCGGACCCACGCAAGGAGATTAGGGCCGGCAGGGCTTGGGATGCCGAGGTATGCAACAGTGTTGCGCCGATCAAATTCTACGACAGCCAATCGGAAACGTCGCAATGTGGGACTTTGTAAAAACTACGATCGGACACCCCTGCTCGAAACCCTGCTAAGCTTCGGAGGCTCTGCAACGTCGGCCGATGACGATGATGTGGACGACGGATGTGGACGACATGCTCCGCGAGGTGCGGATACTCAGGAGCCTTGTCAACTTATATGCCACCTGTTTCCAACTCGCTTCTGGCACACTGGCTCGTTGAACACATCACATTCACACACAATGTTGTCGCAATCGTTTTACCTGCTCGGAGAAGCTCCGACATCTGCGAAGACTATCGAGGCCGATGAGAATGCTCATCTGGACGACCTCAAGGACTTGATCGCCTCCCACTTTGCAATTGTTGTTGCCAGCGGTACGTTCGCGCGACATTACACAATAAAACCATGTAACTAATTCAGACAGGCGTTGGGTTTACTCGCAATGATGAAGTCCTCGAGAGCGTCAAAGACATTTTGTCGTCTGAGGAGGCAATTGCCATTTCGATAGATGGACGTGAAGTCCGACAAGTTCCCGGGCCAAAGGGTCTTCCCTACATTGGCAACTTCTTTGAAGTGTTCCCCGATCACTTGGGCAACCACCAGCGTCTGTTTGATACCTATGGCCCGATGTTCCAAACTACCAACATGGGTGGCACAATATACCACTCCAACGATCCTGACATTGCGGCGATCGCATTTGCTGAGTCGGACTTCTTCACCAAGAAGATTACCGAAACGCATCCGCTGTATGGTATCAAAACACCCGAGGCAGGTGTATTCTTGGGTGACACCGACACAGAGGCTTGGAGAGTCACACACAAGTTCCTGCCACCCGCACTGGGTCCCAGGGCCGTACGACACTACGCTCCTACCATGCAAAAGACCATTGAGAGCGCGTTCAAGGTGTTTGACGAGCTCGACTCAATCGGCCAGTCGTGGAACGTGTACATCTACATGCTGAAGCTTGGCTCGCAAGCCGTTGCAAAGCTGACGCTCGGCATGGACATGGAGCACTTCGCACACAAGGTACGTGAATGAAATCTTACGGCAGACGTCTACTAACTTTGTATAGGATGCTCCTGTGCACGAGATGGTGCGGTTGATTGCTGAGACTCTTCACCTGAACAAGAAGATCACATCATACGGAAGCTGGTACGCCAACTTGCCTTTTGGTGACCCCAAGCTCCTGCGAACAAAGCAGGCTCGCATGGAGGTCTTGATCGAGGAGCAGATTGCAAAGGCCAAATCTGGCGGTGTTGAGGACTTGCCGCTGCAGGAGGCTGCCGAGCGCGCCGCAAACATGGTCGACTACGTCGTCCGTGCCACAGACAACAAGGGTGAGAAGCTCCCCAAGAAGAACCTGAGGGAGGCTCTTGTCGTCGCCACTGGTGCCGGCTTCACCACAACCTCTTCGCTCCTCTCCTGGCTCATCTACGGTCTCGTCACATACCCTGGCGTTCAGGAGAAGCTGCTTCAGGAACTCATCGACAATGACTTCAGCGACGAGATGGAAATCACGAGTGACTTCACAGATAAGCTTGTGTACCTCGACCATTTCATCAAGGAGACCCAGCGCCGCCACAACCCCTCCTTCCAGCCCGGCCGCACCGCAAAGGTTGACATGGTGCTGCCCGGTGGCTACAAGCTGCCCAAAGACTCCGTCGTCATCCCTGCGCTGCACCACATCCACAACAACCCCAAGCTATGGGACAACCCCGCACAATTCAACCCCGACAGGTGGGACACCCCAGCTGTCAAGAACCGCTCCAAGACAGCCTACATCCCCTTCGCCGCGGGACCCCGCATGTGCATCGGCTTCAACTTTGCGCTGCAGGAGGTCAAGATCTTCCTGCCCAAGCTGGTCTACCGCTACAAGTTCACAAAGGACGGCGACGACGCGGTCGAGTACGACCCGATGTTCCAGCTCATCCGGCCCACGAACCTGTTCGTGCGTTCTGAGAAGCGCGTCAAGCTGCCTCCCAAGACCGAGGTCGAGGCTTAGTGGAGACGGCGGGCCGCTGCGTTTTCTTCCTTATTGATGATCTATCTGTAGCATAGCATGGCGGGAGTCATTTGAGATACCTGAATACACTTTTCTTGTTAATGTGCGTTTGCCTTTACATTCATCACCAATCTTTGTGATTTCACACAGGAACAATGATCGAGAGTCTGACCCGCGTGATGCGCCATATGTTACGATTTACCTCCGAGAGTTGCATCGCTTCGAATAGGTGGGGCGAAGTCGCTTCAAACAACAAGTCTCCTGGAGTGATCGCCCATCCTGAGTATCGAATTAGTACTATCTCTGTACCCTGTCTTGTCAGCCCGAAGATAGGATACTCGGGGCCGAGCAATCTAACGTGATCCGTGCAACAGAGTACAACCCTCTGATTGGTCAATTTCAAGGATGCGATGCGGCTGCTGCAGGACAATCTGACGTGACCTGTTAAGTTCTTTCCGATTGTAGAATAAACTGCTTGGAAGCTCCACAGATACATGTCAGCACTACTGGTTCATACAATGCGGGGTAGGTCTGGTAGTTCTAGCTCAATTCCTATATCCATGACATTCGGCTCAAATTTCGACAACATCGATTCAAAAATCCAAAAAGGTCAAACAGCTTGCAATGTTCCAGATTCTCCCAATTGCGGCCTTTTCGGTCCTGCTGCTGTGTTCGATAGCGAATTGCTTGCAAGTTGGTCGCCGTCCGAAGGGATATCCCCCTGGGCCGCCAACTATCCCTATACTGGGCAATCTCCATTTGGTCGGTATCAGCAACTTGAACATATGGAATTCTCCCTGACAAATATAGCTACCAAAGGATAGACCCTATCTCCAGTTCACTAAGTGGGCGCGAGAATATGGGTATGCTGACGACTGAACCCTTTTTTGTTCAAGCGTGCCGCTGATCGATACAGGCCAATCTACTCGTTAATACTTGGTACCCGCACCTACATCATTCTATCATCTCCTGAGGTGGTCAAGGACCTGCTGGATAAACGCAGTAACATATACTCGTCTCGTCCCGATATGTATGTGGGACAAGACATTGCCAGCGGTGGTCTGAGGATTGTAGCCATGGTATGTACATTCTGAGCTATGTATAGACCTCCAAGCTCCATCGCTGAAGAGCGGAACGAATGCTGACTGAGAGCCAGAAATACGGCGCTCTGTGGCGGAAACTGCACAAGATGATCCACAACATACTCAACATACGGGCTGCAGTTGCGTATGTACCCTACCAGGACCTGGAGAATAAACAGATGCTTTTCGATCTTCTGAATACACCAAATGATTTCGAGGGTCACCTACGTCGTTATAGTAATTCGCTCACCACGCAAATGGTTTTCGGTTTTCGCACTACCGACAACAATGATCCTAAGCTGAAACAGCTATTCGACGTGAGTTTGCAGGATTTTGAATGCAAGGCTCTTACCACTAACCGTACCTGCAGGGCTTTCAGAAATGGGGCGAACTGATCCAGATACCGAGTGCACAGTTGCTAGATTTGTTCCCAATACTCCGGAGATTACCTGCGTCGCTGCGCCCCAACTTTCAGCACGCTCAGCAGCTTCACAAAGATGAAATGGGTTTGTATCTGGGGCATTGGATGAAAGCAAAAAGGGGTCTGCAATCAGGGAGTCGCATTGTAAGCACACACACCGTATGACCCGGCAACATGCTGATGCCCCTGCCTTCATCTAGCCCTGTTTCTGCAACGACGTTCTCCGTGTACAAAAACAAGAAGAAATATCTGATGAGCAGGCCGCCTACCTAAGCGGCTCGCTCCTAGAAGCCGGCTCGGACACAACATCCTCCATCCTCATCGGCCTCGTACAAGCCCTCCTCGTGCACCCCTCCGTCCAGAAAACCGCCCAAGAAGAAATCGACCGCATCGTCGGCCCCCACCGCCTCCCCACCATGGAGGACTCGCCAACCCTCCCCTACATCCGCGCTATCGTCAAAGAAAGCATCCGCTGGATGCCCACCGCCGTCCTCGCCATCCCCCACAGCACAACCCAGACCGACTCGTACCGCGGCTACACGATCCCCGCAGGCGCAACCGTGCTCTGCAACGTGTGGGCGCTGCACATGGATCCAGAGCGCAACCCCGACCCGCGCGTCTTCAACCCGGGCCGCTTTGCAAACGACGCGCGCACCGAGTTCGAGAGCGCCACGGGCGAGCCCACGACGCGCAACAATTACATTTTCGGCGCGGGGAGGCGGTTGTGCCAGGGCATGCATATCGCGGAGCGATCGCTGTTTCTGGCTGCGGCGCGGCTGCTGTGGGCGTTTGAGTTTCAGCGGGTTGTGGATTGCCAGACAGGGATGCTGAAGCCGCTGCCGGATGTGGATGAGCTTGTGGGCGGGCTTACGGTGCAGCCGGCGCCGTTTGAGGTCGGGATCGTGCCGCGGAGTGAGGATAGAGCCGTGCTAATCAGAGAGGCGTGGCGGGAGCAGGAGGAGTCGATGTTGGATGGGGTTACAAAGCAGTGGAGGAAGGTTCCTGAGGGGATGGCATTCAGCACTTAGACCCTGGTCCTCAAAGGACGTACAAGACATGCACAGCTCAGTGGTTTTTAAATTGCACCTGGCAACGTTAGGTTCCCATCAACAAGCCCATTGGATCCCTTACACGAAACGCTCGTTGTTGGATATGTAGCATCAGAGTTCCTGCGCAATGGCCTGTGTTCGTCTAGAGATTTTCCGACCAAGGTCTTCGACTTCCAGGGCAAGATATGGAGTGAGGTTATCTACCTACCTAACTCCAAGCGTCCGCATAAATTCACGAAAACTCACTGTGTAGACAGGCAATTGGCTGAATCTTGTCCAAGTGTGAGTTTCTTTACTCAGCTTTTCTTTCTTAAAGTTGCTAAAGCATGGGCTTAGGCTGGGACTCAGAGAAAGTCTCCAAGCATACCGTATTACTGTACTGTAGGCTGGACAACAATGCGTACGGCGGTTTAACAGTCTCAATAAAATGAACGTTCAGTATTATATTAAAAGGAGGTTCTCCTCCACTATCTGCATACCTGCAAACTGGTTGCTCGGTGCCTTGAGACTGAGAATAGCAACCTCCTCTTACAAAGAAATCCATCGAAGCATGTTGATCTGTCATGTACGTTGCATGACTGATCATGTTGACAGACGAGAGAAGAACACGTTGATAGCACAACCGCGAGAGATGGACTCAAAGTGCCGGATCTCCAAAATGACCGTAGTGTAGGGTATCATTCGACAAGAAAGTGAGTAGTCCTGTTGATATCAATCAATGCACCCACAAGCCTTCATTTTTGCCTGTGACTCACAAGACAAGACAAAAGGAGGTTCCTCAAGCCTGCTTGTCCGCAGAATCAGCCGCCGGAGGTCCGCCTTTGATAAGGCGTCTGTGAGAACTATCCTGAGCATGCAACACATCCATAACGCACGCACACACCGCCGAAGCCCTACCAATCGTCAGTGAATCCTCAACGACCACACACCGCACTTACGCCGCAAGCCCCGCAACAGCCGCCGTCACCCCCTGACCCGCGCGCCGATCGCTCGCGCTTTGCGCCACGCGCTCCGCTACGTCGGGACTTATGCCCGGCTTCGGCGTCATGGCGTCCGCAGCGAGCCTCCCAAGCGTCGCCATCAGCGCAATACACGCGACCGCGTACACCGCATTCCCCACCACCGCGACAATGGAAGCCGCCTTTTCGATCTCGTAGCGCAGCCGCGGCGTCGGGATGGGGATGTCATCGCGCTCGAGGACGAGCAGCGAGACGAATAGGAGCGCGTTCCACGCCGTGCCGAAGATAGCCTGGGGTGGGGTCAGCGGTGTTCATGTGCGGTAGGGGCTGCGTACTACTTGGTAAGTGATGCTGAAGGTGGAGACGGCAGGGCTGAACTGGTTCAGCGTGTTGGTGGTGACGCTGGATGCCGTTTCGACGATGCCGTTGGTCCAGAGGAGCGTGCAGAGGAAGCCGGCGGTGAAGAGCAGGACGGCGAAGAGGATGGTAATGCTATGGGAGTGCTGCCATAGGGCTTGGCGACCGAGTGAGGAGCTGGCCATAATGGGAGCTTCCAGTGGACAAGTAAGAGATTGGTGTGGATGTTTACACTGTGAATCTACAGTGCGTAAGGGATCAGGCGAATTGAATATACCAGTTAAAGCATGCTTCGACTTATATTCGGGCATCATGTAGGACAAGGCTGAGGCAGCGACCATGTGCTCATGCGACTTACCGATGATCCCGTTTCGAGCCTCACAAGTTGGCTGAAGGCATCCCGAGCTGACCACCAGACCACCACCTACAACGGACGAATTCACGGATTTCATCCGTCATGGCCTTCATGATAGGTCCTAAACCTGATATTTTACGTGCTGTGCGAAGAGTATCTGGCTGATATATCGCAAGTTCAGCCTGATCCGCAAGATTTGGGGGCCCAAAGTAGAAGCAGAGGTTCGGTTCCCCGCGTGGCAGGATGCGCTTACGCCGAGCCACGTCTTCATTGGTAAGAATTGAATATCATCTGCACGATAACATCAGTGGGCTTCAACCCGACTGCGCAAAAATGTTGACCGGTAGCCCTGTGGCTGCTACCTCATCGCCGATCAAGGCTTTCTGAGAAGCCTGTGACAAGTTTAGCTCTGCGCTCGCCCCTTCACAGCTTATGCATATACCATCAGGCTGAGCGAGCATACATCTTTGAACTATTACCTTTGGCTGTTGCCGTCATTTCAAGACGCGGAAGTATGCCTTTTCTTTCCAACATCTTTACCCGGAACCCAGACAGGGAGGGCAAGTCGAGTCCACGGTGGTCAAGGTCGCTCGGATCACCGAAATCGCCCAAATCATTCGAGTCTTCCGAGTCTCCTAAGAGCCCCAGAAGTTCCAGAGGTCCTGGGAGTCCAAGATCCCTCAAACCACCTAAACCTCTGACGTCCACGGAACGGAACACGGAGTATCTCAACCAATGCCTTGGCTGCAACAATGTCGCAGACTTGATCGGATGGAACACTGGACAGCAGCGGAACGGCGAAGCTAGGGTGACGTCGACCTTACTACACAATAGTTTCGCCGAGCTGGAACGTTGCGCTCACCGATGCGAGATTTGCCGCGTCTTTCGGCAATCCCTGCTGCTCGAAGAGGTCACCTATGAGGGCGTAAGGAAACTCCAAAAAGACACGAAAGAAAGCGTGATCGTGCACTGGAACGATACGACTGATGTGGAAGGCAAATCTGACGCCCACCTGACCGTAGAGGTCAAGGATCGCCCACGATGTGCTGGAGTAGTCAACTGCAACAGCAAGAGTGATGTTGCACATCTTGCACTGCACTCTGATCCTGGTAATACTGTTGTGATTGATCAGGCGAGAGAATGGCTGAATGTGTGTCTCAATAATCACACTGGCGATTGCGATAATCTGCGCTTCAGCAGAGAAACTCCTCAATTGCTTATCGAGATCTTTTCGCCTGACCTGATCCGGCTGTGTGAGAAGCAGGCGGTCGATTATGTTGCGCTGAGCTATTGTTGGGGCGTGAAGAGTGAAGAAGTGAAGAAAGGAATGACCGTTCACAAGAACATAGACCGCCGGCGGCAGGGGTTTGGTACCGATGAGCTCCCCGCAACTGTGCGCGATGCGCTCCAGATCGTCCATGCGATGGGTGTTCGATATGCATGGGTGGACTCCCTGTGTATCAACCAAGACACCGGCATAGGCGTGGAAACTATGCACAAGGTTTACTCGAACGCGCTCTTCACTATATGTGCCTGCGCATCGAGTGGAGCTACTGGGAATCTGCTCAGCCAGCGCGAAGCATGGACCTTGCAGACAGAACCATGTCGACTCGGCGGACAGTGGCTGACAACATCCGACATGTCTCTGAACGAGTTGCGTCTGAGGTCACCGCTGGCAGATCGGGCATGGACACTCCAAGAAGAGAGACTGAGCCCCCGAATGCTGTACATTTCGAGTAATCGGATGTACTGGTCCTGCGCCATGGCTAGTGAGATCGAATTGAAGCCCACATACGAACGGAAGAGGGCTAAACTTCAAAGACCAGTGTATACAGTGTCAGACCGCGATGCTGAGACGCCCCGGGCTCAGGAGTTCTTGATGGCTTGCTACGACCGAAAGCGCGACCTTCATCCGTTCTGGGCAGACGTGGTGAAGTCGTATGCGTTGCGGGACATGTCAGACAACAATGATCGGCTGAACGCATTGTCTGGCCTCGCCGTGAAGTATCTGAGTGCGAATAGTCCTGACGAGTATCTTGTAGGTATCTGGGCAAAAAATCTGCCAGAGGGCCTCGCGTGGAAAGTTCAGAGCGCAGTCGGAATTGATCGAGCCCAAGGAGACGCGAAGGCAGTTGTCTGGCCTTCCTGGTCGTGGGCTGTGCTTCCGCTGAAGACTGCACTCGACACAGCAGCAAAGAATTCACGAACGACTTTCTTCCAACGACTGGTTGAAAACGGCACCGTGGACCCGGGGGTCGTGGTCAACGCGGAGAAAGCCGTTAAGGTTGGCGTCGATGTCAAGGAGCTCCGCGTGAGAGGTCGCTTACGCTCACTCTGGAAGCCCATGTCTCGCTGGATTGACTGGTCGTATGTCAGCAAAATAGTGGACGGACAGGAAAAATTTACATTTGCGATTCATCCCGAACAAAAAATGCATGCCATAGACGTCGAACTCGGCCGCGTTCTGGTCTACGAGGACCGACAGAAGGAAGTGGTCGGTCAGCTGGATTTTCGGCGTGACGTCAGCAGACTGCAAGCCGAACATTTGCACTTGATGGCTCTGGAGATAGGGGAAACGACCATGCTCTTATTAGAACGCTGCGGCAAGGGAGTATATCGGCGCGTTGGAGTGGCCTGGAACGTTCGCAATAATTATTTTGCGCTCGCGAAACAGGAGGATCTAATTTTGCGGTAGACAACCGCCGTGTCTTCAGATTTGCGACTGACGACTTCTGGGTTCACACATTGCAGGGCTTGGAATTGACCCATCGTTGTGTTGGAAGCACATCATCTGGTGTTGGGGTATTTCTGTCGCGTAGAGTACGCGTTGAATGTACCTAGGTACCTGGGGATCATGACCAAGCAGGCAGGAAGCAGCCGCGCACAGCCGGCACCGAGATAATTATGGTATTCTTAGTCACACTTGCTCGAAACGAGTGCTTCCCAGCGAAGAGGTGCACGCATTCGACAGTCTATTTAACCACTATCGTGTGTCACGCAGAGCAACGCATCCTACGCACAGTTACAGGATGAGCAGCAGTACAGCTCAACCACATTGCGTTCCGATCTACTGAAAACGAGCGATACTTCGCAGGTGTAGCATGTGTGACTGACGCTCTGTAGAGTATTAGTAGGGCTGTGTAGCGATCATTTCGCTTCTCTCGAACCAAATTCTGCTACTCAGGATCACGAGGCGGTTCCTAAAACCATCGTTATGTCAATCATAGCTTGACCACCACTAGTTCATTTGTAACCGTCATTTGTACTGTTTCCTTGTACAATTCACTTATACTATTTGCTTGTATGTTTTGCTTGTACGATTTATCTGGAAGTGCTCCGCCCTGTGAACAGTGCGGATGCTAAGGCTGCGCCCCTGCTAGCTAGCGGCCGAAAGAACGAGTTTCCACGGTGTTAGAACTTCGGTATTTGGATGAGTGATTTCTTCTTTGCCCTGTACGCGTGCACACGCGTATTTAGTCTCCCAACTTAATTGATTGGTTAGAGATCTATGCGGCTAACACTGCTGGGAACACGAACCCTGATACTTGTCGCGCCGTGCAGTAAGCTCTATATAAGCTAGGCCACTTTACTACAAATACTCAAATCTAGCTTACATGCTCTAGTCCTACTTTCTCTGTTCACATTGCAAGCGTGCGACTGTGCGATATTGTGTGTTGTGTTGTTGATAGCGTCCAAGCTCAGTCTATGTCGAGTTCATCGCACGGCATTACCGTGGCGCCTTTCGGGGTAATTTGGAGGGAAACTTAGTCATGCTGGACGCACCTACATCAAGAGTATCCGCTTCCTGAGTATCCGTTGGCTAGTCCGTAAGAAGAAAAAATGTCATCGAGCGAACCTTAGGCATAGGTACACACCGGAGATGACACCTCATGCTTCAAGTACAAAAGCGTGGCTCGTCTGCATATCTCAAGTACTCACCTTTATTATTTTCATCTCATCAACAGTACACTCTCTTCTAGCGACTTCGACCTTGAAAAATCAAACATTGTTATTGTTGTTACATCATGCGGATCGCAATCCCCAGGGGAGCGGCCTTCCACCTCGGAAGCATCCTGCTTCTCGCCAGTACTGTCTCTGCGATAGCAGCAACGGACAACTCGGTCGACACTTACGACTACGTTGTAGTCGGATCCGGTCCTGGAGGCGGCCCACTCGCCGCTAATCTAGCACGATCCGGCTTCAAGACTTTATTGCTCGAAGCCGGGGACGACGACAGTGCTGCTATGATCACGAATGCTATTGCATTGGCGAACACGGCTGATACTACTGCTTTGACTTGGACATATTGGGTTCGTCATTATGACGATGTCGAGTTGACGAAAAAAACCAACATCTTACATGGAGGCTTCCCAACGGTAATCTGTGGGTTGGTCCAGGCAGCTCGGCTCCCACAGGAGCAGAAATTGTTGGTATTCAATACCCCCGTGGCGCTACACTCGGAGGATCGTCCATTGTCAACTCCGCCTTGACTGTCCTTCCTGCCAACAGCGATTGGGAATACATCAAGAACCTTACAGGTGATGATTCATTCAAGTAAGTTATCCTCGACTCCTTTGGATCCTCCCAACTTTTCATTTCAAGAGAGTTGATAGCTGACCAACTGGATTATAGTGCCACTCATATGGGAGAACTATTCATCAAATTAGAAAGGAACCAATACAGGCCACGCGGTACACCGGGCCACGGCTTCAATGGATATCTTGAAACGGTCTTGGGCAATGGGACTGTCTTTCTCTCTTCACCTCAAGCAACGGAAATTTTGAAGGCCATAGCTGCTGAGGCGGGCCAAGATCCAGAGGACCTGCCCAACATCCTGAACATTGATCCCAACGCAGTCTTGAACCCCAATCGAGATCAGATGACAGGCCTCACAGGCCTACCTAATCACGCCAATGCCACCTGGGCCCGATACAGTTCCAGGAACCGCGTACTCGATACCTTGCGCGCTGTGGATAAGAAAGGTAATAAGAAGTATCCCCTGGAGATCCGCCTGAACTCCTATGCTACAAAAGTACTCTTTGAAAAGCCTCGGGGAAAGTCATTGCCTCGCGCCATTGGTATACAATACCTAGAAGGCAAAAGCGCGTTCCAGGGCGATCTCCGCTATGATCCGACAATCAAGAAGATCTCACGCCAGGTGTTTGCTCGAAAAGAAGTTATTCTTAGCGGTGGATCTTTTGGTACACCTCAGCTATTGTTACTTAGCGGAATTGGACCGGCTGCAGACCTTAAGGCCCTTAAGATCCCCGTTATTGCCGATCGGCCAGGTGTTGGTCGCAACATGCAGGACCACAACGAAATTGCTATCATTGGACACGGCGCTCAGCCTTTTGATTTCTCCGCTGCTCCTGGAGGTCCTCGCTCCCAATGCACGTACGGAGCCCCTAACGACCCATGTCTTGCACTTTACTATGAAGGTCAGGGACCATATGCTCAGCCCAGCCTCACCCAGCTCGCTTTCCTCAAAACAAATCACACGGTCAACGACGAGCGTGATATTGCTATCTTTCCTGGTTCTTTCGGATTTCGGGGCTTTTGGCCGCGCAACACCGGACAGTCGTGGGATGACCCCCCATCAACATGGGGCATGCACAGTGTCCACATACATGGCAACAGTACAGCTGGATACCTTAAGCTTCGTTCAGCTGATCCAACTATGACGCCTGAGATTAATTTTCGACACTTTAATGGCACAGGTGCTGCAGGCGATATAGCTGCTATTAAGGAGTTCCTTGCTTGGGGTCGCCGTGCTTTTAACCGCGTACAAGCACCATTCGCTCCTTACAACATCTCTTGGCCACAATGTGCAGGCACTGTGAGTGCTGATGGAAGCTGCTCTGCTGCCAATAACGACGAAGACTTTATCCGCGAGAATGTCTTTGGCCACCACGTTATTGGTACTTGCTCTATTGGCCCTAGCTCTGATAAGAACGCAGTTTTGGACTCTAAGTTCCGTGTCTATGGAGTTTCTGGCTTGCGAGTTGTCGATGCTAGTGCTTTTCCCAGGTCCCCTGGAGCCTTCCCGGTCGCCGGTGTCTACATGTTAAGCGAGAAGGCGTCAGAAACTATTCTGTCGGGCCAGTAACTATTCTGTCGGGCCAGTAATCTTGTGCAGTATTCTCCTGTTCCACTATCTACGCTAGCAGATAGATACACCTGTTATAGGGGCAGGGTAGGGCCTGTACAGGCCTAAGATAGCGGCAGAGTAGAGTAGTAGCAGGGTATATCTACCTCTAGTATAGGCAGAGACAGTATTAATTATAAGTCATGGCGTGGTTGTACAAGTAGCATTGATGGGATCACGTGCTGGCTAAGAGATGTTGGGTAGACCGATCTGGGCCGATCACGCATGGACCCGGCCGGCCGGATCCCGAACCTCTCCCAACTTCACGACTCTACCCTCCTTCAAGCTTCACATCAAGCGACGTCAACGTAACGAAGATTGGGCGGTCGGCATTTCGTCAACACCCGCCGTTTTCTGGTCGCATGACCTTCTCATGCCGGCTCAACGCCGCCATCGCTCGACAGTTGCTTGTCAGAGTTGCAGGCGACGGAAAGTGCGGTGCAGCGTTACCGTTACGGGGATTCCATGCTCGAACTGCACCCAAGATCGCACCACATGCACTATACACGAGGGCAGTCATGAGTTGTAAGGCTAACATCGAGGCCCGCAGCCATTCACCTCAAGCTGACCATCACGCGACCACAATATAGGCCCCGACAAGCTAATCTGATGGAATCGCAATTCCCTCACTCCGAGGAGCCCTCGAATAGTGTCACTGTCAACGAAAGCTATGTCTCTGGAAGAGATGGTATCCGGGCCTCTTCTTCGAGTCATGCGAATCGGGTCCACACTCCTCGTCAGCCAGTATTGCTAGCAGTGAGCAAAAGTATTGACGATGGCTTCAATCCAGCGCGACAGAGAGACTTGCACGAGGAGCAGAGCGGAGCCGAGCTTTCGCTCGCCGCAAGAACGAAAGGCGACTCGAACTCAGGCACACCGTTTTACACGGGTAAGGATTTTGTACAGGCTACCTGATGCATTTTGATTGATTGATTGCCCGCGCAGGAGAACAGCCAGGTGTCACGTCTCTTATTGATGTTCATGAGCCTTTACCGAGGCATATCATGCTAAAATCAAACCCTCCCAGAGTTCTTTCCCAGGACGACCGAGACTTCCTCTATCGCAAAGGTGCGCTGAGCTCTTTGCAAATGTATTCGCATCAGGAACTTCTTCTAGCGTACTTTCACCACGTGCACCCTGGGCTACCAATTCTGCATCTTTCGAAACTGCTTGAGCTGAAGTCACCAGACGCAATCCCAACCCACGGCATGTTACTATACTGGAGTATGGCTGTAGTGGCAGTCAACGTAAGGTCTGAGACCCAATGACCACACGTCAGAGCTGATATAGTCTTCGTAGTATGTTCCTGATGATGTATGGAGGACCGAGAACTTCACGTCTCGGAAGCATATGAAAGATACGCTTTATGATCGTGCGAAGGCAAGAAAAATGTGTAGAAGTCCCTTCAAAGCATTGTGCTGATCGCGAAGATAGTGCATGTACGATAACTCAGGTGAGACTAACAAGGAAGTTTTGTTGCAATCTGCGTTACTACTATCTTTCTGGCATTCGGAATCAGACAGTCACTCGCAGCCGTGGTATTGGAGCGGTAAATGTATTGAATCCTGTTACTCCGGAGTCCACGCTGACATGTCTCTAAAAGGTGCTGCAATCAATTGGTGTCAAATCATAGGTCTACATCGCGATCCAGATACTACCAGGTTGAATCCTCATGTTACGCCCGAGCGCCGAAACCTTTGGCGGCGACTGTGGGCTAGCTGCTTGTTTCGGGACCGCTGGCTGAGTCTTACACTGGGGAGACCCCTTCGAATCCGTCTCAGCGACTGCGATATGCCATATCCAGTGTCGCAAGACGTCATAAACGACCTAAGCATGTTGCCAGTCAATCTGCAGAAGCTCTGGGTGCCCAAGGGCTTTGATGTCATGGTCGAGCACTGGATTCTGTTGATCAGGCTCAGTAGACTACTGGGCGAAATATTGTCTCTGTTCTATCAACAGCTGGGAAGGCTGCCAACAGTGTCACAGTTTGATGCCCTAGAGTCTGAGCTGAGCGCTTTCGTCATTCCTGAGCTCCACGACACTCACCGGAATCCGTTGGCAACGTTCAGTTACTACAATCTTCAGCTGCACCTCCAGTAAGTCCCCGACTGATATGCATCATCTAATTACTCTGACGTTATCAGAGCGACCTTGATCACACTGTATCGCCCGTTCGTGTCGACAGTACCACAAGGTCTCCATCACGGAGCGGAAGAATCATGGAGGGCTCGTGTACATCGACGCCTGGAGACAGCGGCGACACAGGCAAATGGATTTGTGGACTGTATCGCTCGTGAAGGACTGGTCGGCTTTGCAACTCCAATGACGTGAGTCTTATGAAAACACTGAGAGCACTTCACATCGTCCCCTGAGGTGTGTGCAAGATCAAAACTGACGAGTGTAGTCCGCCACTTCTTGTGCCAGGCATGCACGTCCACTTACTTGGCTGCAAATCTGATAATCGCTTGACTCGTCGTCTGGCTTTCAACAAACTCGAGATGTGCATGACGATCATGCGAGAGCTACAGAAGACACACACTTCAGCCTCATTATTCTGCGGCATCTTTGGCGAAGCAATTCGACAGCTTATGCCCGGACCATTGGACGAGACTATCTGGGGTGTCCCTCAAGTTCGACGACCCTCCACATCGGGAACAACCGCGCCCGAGGACGCCCCAACCATCAACATCAATGAGCTTGGTGCGCCAACATTAGTTACTGACGATCTTCTTGAGTCCCTGTTGAACGAATCCTCGGTGTATAATTTTTGGGAGTCGATGAATATGCCTGATCAGGCGTTCATTGACTACGGAAGGCAATAGCCATGAGAAATTGTATTGTTTGGGATTGCGTCTGTGATTTTCTCAAAACTCATGTTCTATGCGACACGGTAATGGCACGACGCTTGATCTCTCTTCAGCGTTACGAAGTGCAACAAAGACATTGTTGAAACCCGGAATCAATTACAAATTGGCCGCATATCATGCTCAGAAGCCGAACGCCAGCAAAATACCGTGTCGCCAAATGCAATGTGACCAGAACTCACAGTCCGAGCCTAACACTGACATACAGCTTCCATACCTGATCTTCGTTGGATGGCCACCTATATCGCCGTCATTATCGCGCAATCTTCTCACACATCAAGAGTGTACCCGTCGAACATCGCGCCATAGTATTTGCGCCTGGTTTCCTGATGGCTCCGAATTTTTATTCATCAGCTGCGACTCGCCCCAAATATCATACCTACTTTACAAGTTTGTATGCATAGTTTACTTTTATAGGCTTATCAAATTATTGGTTGCAGTTTCTAGAATTGAACTATCTACCTAGGTAGTTAGGTACTTCTACTACTGGCCCATTTTAAGCCCACGGGAATCTAATGATAATCTTCGTCTCCAGGTGTTCGTTGAAGCGCTGGTAGTATTCCGGAGCATCTTCGATGTCGATAATACTAGTGACAATGAATCCAGGGTGAGCAACTCCAGTCTCAATCAATTGCGTCAAATATGGAGCCTCCATCTTGGGATCTACCGGTCCAATTCCGTAGGTCAGTCGCTTTCCAAAGAAGTCCACGATGGGGAATTCGACTGTATCCGAGATATTTCCCAGCGGGGTTCCCGGCGTCGAACCGGGTGAAGCGTAGACGCCGACCGAGCCAATGCCTCCCCGTGCAGAGGTTACAGCAACCATGTCTAGGATGACCTTATTGGGCTGACGTTCCAGATTCTCATTGACTGCTTCATAGCCTACGCAGTCCACGCTACGTGTCACGCCCTCTGGCTCAAGACGGAGAATTTGTTCCACAGCCGAGAGATCAGTTCCATTCAAGCTGATAGGTATAGCACCAATGGACTCAGCCTGAGCAAGACGTGAAGGGATCCAATCTACAACATAAACTCTCGATGCACCGCGGATCAAGGCAGAATGAGCACTCAAAAGACCAACTCCTCCAGCGCCAAAGACGGCTACTGTGTCACCGGCTTGAAATCCAGCATACTCAAGAGCTGCCCAGCCTGTGGCGAAGATGTCCGATGTGAAAAGGTAGTCGATTTCTTTAGTGGTGTTGACACCACCGTCCGAGGGGATCTTCCAGAGAGTGTGATCTGCGTAGGGTACAACCACATATTCGCCTGATTTGTTATTAGATCAATTCGAACATGATGGAGGCACGAGAGGTATGACTCTACTAACCTTGACATCCATAGTAGCTCCCAAAATCTTCACCAAGCCCAAGACCTTGGCCATACTGACCCTCTGGCACAGCAAGATCCATGTTGATAGCTCCAGTATGCCAAGCATCTGGAATTACAACATGGTCTCCGACTTTTAGATTATTTACTCCGCTGCCAACAGACTCGATGACACCGGTACCTTCATGACCAAGAACCCAGGATGGCTGTGTGCTTCCCATGAGACCATGGATGACGTGCAAATCCGTTCCGCAGATCGCGGCTGTAGTTATACGGATACGGACGTCGGTATCAGCTTGGAGTGTCGGTATGGGTACGTCTTCTACGGTGACGGCATTGATGTTGGAACCATTCCATACGACCGCCCGCATGGTGGCATTGAGCAATAGTGTCGTATTGAGAAGCATGATGACAAATGTAGAGAATGATGGTGGTGATGTGTTTGGGTCTTGTCAAAACACTTTATATAGGAATCAAGTCGAGACTGACGCGTAATGACACTGACGATAACCCGATAACAATGTTGCTTCGTCCGTTGCCAATATGCTAGAGACTTGGTACTGCGTTCCGTACAAATTGCTGGGCGAGCGCTAGTTTAAGACCGGTTCCGGACTTAAGATTTTCCATACTTGTCAGGTAACAAATCTAGCAGAGCATGCTGTTATTGGCATATCTAGAAAGCACGGCAATATCCGGACCGGAGGAATCGAAATTCTATGCTTTGGTGAGACCGAGACGATCGGTTTGACCATCAGCCAGGCCGAAGAGCTGAAGCCAAGGCCGTAGATAGAAAGGGTAAAATTGCCCTATGGAGAAAGAGAGACAGATTTCGTAAGCAAAGATAAGTGTAACTGTATTGAGACTTGCGTCATATGAGCCGCCGTATTAGAGTCCTTATATGAGTCATACCAACATACAGGACCTTGAGTGATAGCAAGAGCAAAAACATTCGGTAGCGAGTGCCGCATTCTTGATTACAATTTCTCAAGCGCCGACAGTAGGCTTAGAGCCATTTTAAATAGTGAGCGGGTATACCAACAGCAAGTCAAGCCAGACTATCTCGTTCTGAGCCGTGATATGCAAAGCTCGATGATGTTCCGACAGAGGGTAAAGTTGTATGATGATAGTCTAGGAAGGAAGGCCTTGGTGCTCAAGGATCTTCCTCATAGTGTCTATATGCTATGAATGATACCATATGCATACAAAGCTGGGAGAGGGCGTGGACAGAGTTTCGGGTCCAAGCTATTGCACACTCTATGCGCAAGCAGTACTACCTAGATTTGAAAGTGAAGTATTTCATTTCCCCGTCTGAGACCCTCCTCTGGCACTGCTTATGACATCATACTGCAAAGTTTGATTGTGTCCGTATTTAGTGGTCCGCATATGATCGAACGTGTCCTCGAGCCTAACGATAATAGGTGCGATTTTCATCGCGTCGACGCCGACGCCTACAGTCAGCAAGCAACAACCAGGAAGATATGTATATCGAAGTTGCTTTCGTGGCTTGGTTGCTTCCCACATCAACTTGAATCCTAGCGCAGGAAGGGTGGAATTATGCATGCAGCCACAAAAGAAAATGGCTTTACGGACATGGCTTTAAGACAGCTGCTGAGTGGAGAAATTCGTTTTGTAAAGACGGCGTTCAATCTGTTCCTGCAAAACTGATAATAATGGCCCTCAAGAGAGGTAAGTCACGCCCGTGTAGATTATGAATAGATGTCGGTAGATGTTGACAGTGATTCCTACCGTTTCTGTGCAATCCAAATCAAGAAACTTGTCTCTCAGACCTAGGACACTTTAATCGCACAGCACGTATCATGATTCGGTCCGGCTCATTTTACACGGATCTTTATACCCAAGCAATGCGTACGTGTACATTACAGATCAATTTCGGATTCCTCGGACTTAACGCGATGCTTCAGCTAGAATTATGTATATTGAGCGGCTGTCTTCTCTTCATCCTCGGCCACTTCTACCGTACATCAACAGCTCCTATGCATCTACAGTGGCTCCCCGCGTTGTTGGTCGCTTTGTCCTCCACAGGCACCGCCTTCCCGAATTCGCAACCGTTTAAAGAAGCATTAAGAGCAACACGATCTTCTGGAAATGAGTCTCTTGAGGTTGACCTAGGCTATGGAATTTACCAAGGTTCAACTAATACCACTACTAGGATCAATACATGGAGAGGGTAAGTCAGCGTTCACAAACTGGCCAAGACGCTTGAGTAACACCATCAGAATTCGATACGCTGCACCCCCGATTGGTACTCGGCGCTGGCAGCGACCAGAGCCTCCAGCAATCGATCGAAGCGCGACTATCCAGGCAGATAGATATGGTCCTATCTGCTATCAATCTCCGTTCTCTGGAGCTCCTAACTTTGGCGCAATCACCGCCGAGATATCCGAGGATTGTCTTTTTCTCAACGTCCAAGGTCCAGCAAATGCGACAAAGCTGCCTGTTCTTGTTTGGATCCACGGAGGTGGATATGGAGTCGGCAATGGCCAGACAGACTTTACAGATCTCATTACTGTTAACGACAACCGCTTTATAGTCGTTTCCATACAGTACAGACTTGGTGCATTTGGATTCTTGGCTTCCGATGAACTAGTAAGAAACGGCGTTGCTAATGCAGGGTTGCTCGATCAGAACTTTGCTCTACAATGGGTACAGGTACGTGCGAACCTCCAAGCTGGCCTAAGATGACCCACGAATGCAACATCACAAATCTCATACCACACAGGAATACATAAGTAATTTTGGCGGGGATCCTTCATCAGTAACAATATCTGGAGTCAGTGCCGGAGGCGGCTCTGTCATGCTTCAAGATATGGGTAAGATATTGAGTCGAAATCTTTGGGCATTACTGATTGACCAACAGCCTATGGTGGATCATTGGGCGAGTCTTTGTTCAGGAGCTCAATTGCTGCATCTCCATATCTTCCCAAGCAATACGCTTTTAACCACTGGGTACCTACGCAGTCTTACTACGCCTTTGCCGAAGCAGCAGGATGTCCGGTGGGTGCTTACAGGAGCGCAAACGAGACAATCTTCGACTGCTTAGTCTCAAGAGATACGGCGACACTGTCGAACGCATCCGCAGAGGTCAGCACTACGGGTACATTCGGTACATGGGGTTTCCTCCCCGTCACAGATGGAGTCTTCGTCCAGGATGTACCAAGCCGTCAACTTCTTGACAAGCGCTTAAACGGCCGCAGTCTTCTAGTAGGAAACAATGCCAGTGCGTACAAACGACACAAAACAAGCCACTTTTCAGACGAGAACGAATCGCTAATTCTGTCTAGACGAAGGTCCTCTCTTTACGCCACAAAACATCACATCAGAATCGGACTTCCTCGAGTGGCTCGGAAATGTGTTGCCTGAACTTCAAGAGGACGACATTGCTAAAGTTCTAGATTATTATCCAAGCATCAGCAGCGTGGACAGATCCAGCAGCGATTTATTTGCAACCTCTGGGTACGCTGAGCCAAGTGCGTTGGGCCAAAGCTCGATTGCGACTGGCCCACAGCAGCGAGCGAATGTACGTTATACCCCGCGGTGACACTCGGGCTCACGCTAACACTATACAGAACCTCTATGCTGAGTTGACATTCGTATGCCCGTCGTATTGGATGGCCGAAGCGTATTCTGGCCAAGGGCACACAGCTTTCAAGTACCAGTTCAGCCCTTTACCAGGAACCCATGGCGCTGATCAGGAAGGCTACCTGGGCCCGCTCGGTCGATCGCTAATTCTCAGCGCTGACTTTCAACGAGCCTTCATGAGCAAGTCACTGCCAACTATGTTTGCTAATGATATGTATTGACTGTCTTTCTAGCAATGTGGGGCAATTTTATCACCCACCAAGACCCGTCCATCTCGAACGAGCTAGCAGTTGGAGCTCTGTCCAACGAGCCAGTGCAGGCTAACCCTGCCTCGACCTGGCCTATGTTCTCAAATGCATCACCCTACCAGCTGAATCTAAACCAGACAGGCGGCATTGAGGCTGTAGGAGGATTGGAAGTCGGCTCACTAACCCCCACTAGCTACCTGACTGGTCCAGGATTGCGGAACAATTTCACACTTGCGAACGCGTACACATGGGAAGCAGGTCGTGGCATACGATGTGATTTCTGGCGAGGTGTAGCCCCAATCATTCCGGCGTGATCAAGGGATCAAGTTTCGGAGCCTACAGCTTACGCTCCGTGTTAGCTCACTTCCATTCTCTGTCACATCATGTAGCATCTAGTAGAGGCTAGAAACCTCATGTTTAGCTTCTTCTATACACTAGAGTTGCCTTTGTTCTTAGGATCTGGGAAATGGATTAAAGACATAGCTTCTAGTAATGTGATTTTTCATTTGTGAAGTTCAAAATCATGCCGCTGAAAGGTACTCTTATGCGCACATGATGGTTGTTGAGTGACGTGCGGCACGCTATCGACCTTTCAACTTGCCTGCTAGCGGGATAGCACGACATGAAATGACTTTTTAAGTCCCCGGGACTCTAAATAGGATAATGTACCTTCAGCAGCAAGAGCACCTTAGAGCTCGCTATGTGTTCCTTGATCCTGCGCATCCGTTCCATCCTGCATGACCAAGCAACACAACACATCGGAAAACTATCTCGACATCTAGAAATCGTGATGGACAGTAGTAGCTTGTTGTGATCCCTCCTTACAGGCTTGGTGTTTGAAGTTCTCTTGTAACAGTAACATCACCGCGCGAACGTAACAACCAGTTGATATAATCTGTTGCGTTGGTACACAGAATCTTCCTTTGCGTGGTATTTACATGCCCATTGAATGTGCGCAAAACACTGTTTTCACTTGCCATTCCAAGGCTGGCTTGCTGTTCAAAGGTCATTCTCGAAGCTCAAAACCACTACACGAACGTAGTAGCCACGCACTACTGTTGTTAACCTGCACCGGACTGCCAGAAAGCCACCGCTCTTTCGGCTGGCTCGAGCATCAGTCATTTTCTCTCAAGGACTGTGCCTGCTGTATAGACGTTTCCGTCATGCATGCTTTAGTTGCCCCATTGCGCGCATGATACATAGGGATCGAGTCAAGGCTTAGCGTGGCTGAGTTTGCGCGCAATCATGCCCGTGTCGCTGTTGGCTGGAGACGGAAGTTCTTGGTGAATGGAGGTTTACCTGTGCGTATCATGGTCGGTTTAGCGTGGATGTTCAGTAGGGATGGGCTGGCACGGCTCGGCCTATCCTCGGACGGATACTGTGTCCGTGCACCCAACGATCGGAGTCAGGCAACGATCGCTCCGATCCCTGAGGCCTACTACAAAAATGAAGCTGTAGAGCCGCATATAATAGCTATTATTGTCAAATAATTTGGCGGTTTGTTCTATAGGCCTAGCAGATCATTATTCTCTATACAATCTATCTATATAATGTGGCTGTGCGGCCGCTGCGGGTCGTGTGAGTGCGCGGAGCTGGGGGAGGCGTGGCAGGCTTTGGGTGACTACGAGCACCCACAGCACGACGCGCAGGCTTTACTTTGACTGCAGAAGCTTTTGAGGTTGTAGTCTTGCTTCTTTGGGACTGTTGTATAGCTTTTGTAGAGTCACGAGCCTGTTTGCTGGCTGCCCTGGCTGCCTTCCGGGCGTCTATTGCTCGGCGTTCCTCTGCCTTCATCCTGACACGCTCTTCCTTCTCCCTTGCCCGCTTTTGACGCTTCTCTTCCTCAATCTTCTGCTTGTATAGCTTATTAGCAGCTGCTAACTCCTTCATCTCTGCCTTTCTTAGCTCTTCTTCCTCCTTCTCTCGCTCAGTAACTGCTATGCGGACCCGTGCCTCCCGGATAGCCCGAGGAGACCACATCATAGCTCCGCCGTGATACTCCTGATGCTGTTGCAGGTCTAATTGCCTGCTAGGTTGCTTCTGACGCTTCTGCTTTTTGTGTAGCGTCTGCCGCAAGCTATCTAGTTCGTGGTGAAGGAGTTCAACCTGGGTTGATAGGTGGTGGATAGTTTGGCCGAGCTTCCGGGCACCTACACTGCGAGGATCCTTCACCTCTGCATGCAAAGTAGTGCAAGCTTTAAGCCAGTCTTCTGCTGAATAAGCTGTAGAACCAGAGGCAACTGAGCCTGAGTCAGTAGGTGTTGTGTGGCGGAATCTATCGAGTATAACGTTGGGGTTTGGTGGGCTTATCCCCGTGGCTGTGAAGGCGTTTTGTACGAGCTCGGCCGTGAATGTAGCCACCCAGGCAGGCCAAAATAAGCTACAAAAGTCACCTTTTGTCAACGGGGATAGGCCTTGAGACTTCTGGAGGTAGTCATCCAGCTCGGAGGCGTACGCGGAGGAGAGTGGCTTGAAGCAGACTACGTCCAACGGCTGCAGCGTCTGGGTACTGTGAGGGGGTAACACGGCCAGTATAATCCGATTCTTATCGCAGTAGTCGATGAAGTCCTGCGTTAGGTGACTGCCATGGCCATCTACTATCAAAAGCCTATAGCTCCGACGCGCCTTTGCCTTTGTATAACGATCAAATACCTGTTCAAGCCAGGCTAATCCAATGTCATTGTTCGTCCACCCAGAGGGCGAAGAAGCCACGTGAATTAGGTGGTTTTCTGCCTCTATATCGGCCACCCAATGACTCTGGATTGTGGAGTTTTTCGACGCAAATATGATGCCTGGCGGCAGTGCAGTACCATCTGCGCAGACTGCTGCCAATAAGCTCACCCACTCACGTGAGCCATCTTGACGAGCCTGTCGAACCTCCTTCTTCTCATATTGACGCCTACTAAATATGCGCTTTGTCCTTCCTAGTACTCCGATCGCGAAGCCCTTCTCATCCATATTGTACGTGTGCTCAGGCTCAATAGAGTATTCGGTGATCTTCTTGTGTAGGATGTCAAAGTACAGCTTGTACTTATACCCAGACTCAGCTTTGTGGCGACTAGAGTCCATGCCGGTCGTCCATTTGGCTACAAGTCGGTCGTGGTGACGGTGTTGGAAGCGTGTAACCCAGCTCTCGGAGCAAGGTTCTTGAGCGACCTTAGACGCGAAATTTTGTATCATGGTCCTTGTAGGTGCTATATGACGGGTACTTAGCAGCTCTATATACTTCACAAGGTCCTCTTCTTGTTGTGGAGTGAGCTTGTGTAGGTGTTCGTTGGCGACGCGTCGAGGGACCTGCACACCACGGTGCGCGCGCGATAGAGTATTGCGATCAACACCATGCTTAAGCGCAATTTTTGTATAGACAGGTTTATCGCCAGGGTTCAATTTACGAATCTCTGCAAGCGCATCATTAATACCTGGCATGGTGGTTGAATTATTACGCGTCAAAATTGGGTGTAATTGTTGTTCCCCGATCGTTGCCTGACTCCGATCGTTGGGTGCACGGACACAGTACCGTGTCCGTGCGCGCAATGCGCGGATTCGCGCAATGCGCGGGATCACCAAAACACCTCTATTATCTCAGCCCCACAACAATACAACGCGATGGGATTAGAAGAAGCCCTTCAAGAGTGTGATACTTTTGTATCTCAAGATGATATTCCTTGGTCTAAAATAGCTGAAAAGTATGGTGTTGTACGCTCAACGTTGACGCGAACCTACCGACGCGAAACGCGATCGCGTCAAGCGCAGGCAGTTGCACAGCAAAAGCTCACCCTACAACAAGAAGTAGAGCTTGTGAAGTATGTAGAAGAGCTTACCAGTCGTCGAGTTCCACCTACACGAGAGATGATTCGAAATTTTGCGTCAGCAGTAGCCAAAGAGCCAGTCTCCGAGAGCTGGGTTACGCGCTTTATCAACAAGTACACCATCAATCTTATCTCTAAATACTCCACTGGAATGGACTCTGATCGTCACAACGCTGACTCACACTCAAAGTACAAGCTCTACTTCGACCTGCTGCAGGCCAAGATTGATGAGTATAACGTTGAGGTTGAAGATACATACAATATGGATGAGAAGGGGTTCTTGATTGGTATCACCACTAGGACCAAGCACGTGTTCAGCAGGCGTATGTGGGAGAAGGGGGAGGTTAAAGCAACGCTTCGAGATGGTAATCGTGCCTGGGTGACGCTCATAGCCTGTGTGTGCGGTGATGGATCAGCACTGCCCCCAGGCCTCCTATACGAGTCTGCCAATAACACTATTCAAAAGAGCTGGGTAGAGGAAATCAAGGCAGGCGAGCACAACGCATTTGTTTCCTCATCGCCTACTGGCTGGACCAACAACGATATAGGCCTTGCCTGGCTCAAACAGGTCTTCAATCGCTTCACCAAGGCCAAGGCTCGAAGGAAGTACCGCCTTCTGATTCTTGATGGCCACGGCAGCCACGTAACGATGGACTTCATCAACTACTGCGATAAGAACAAGATACTCCTAGCCATCTTACCTCCCCACTCAACCCACACGCTCCAGCCACTTGATGTGGTGATGTTCAAGCCTCTATCAACTGCATACTCAAAGGAGCTCACAACGTACCTTCACCATGGCCAGGGACTGGCAAAGGTCAAGAAGAGTGACTTCTTCCACCTCTTCTGGAAGGCCTGGGTAGGTACATTCACCCAGGAGTTGATACTCAGATCGTTTGAGGCAACTGGGATAGCCCCCCTCCAACCCAACGTTATCCTTCAACGATTTGAGAAGCCATCCCCAGAGGCCTCTGATAGCAATTCAAGCTCTAATTCAGTCTATTCTGGCAAGGATTGGCTCAAAATTGAGACCTTACTGCGTAAGGTAGCTAAGGATGAAGGTAGTAAGGAGCTGAGGAAGATCAGCCGTTCACTCCACCACATTTCAATTCAGAACTCACTACTCCACCACGAGATAGCAGGCCTAAAGGAGGTCCTAAAGACCCAGAAGAAGCACAAGAACAAGAGCAGGACTCTTAATCTGCAACAGAAGAAGTGGGCACAAGGTGGAGCAGTTTTCTGGTCGCCTCGGAAGGTAGAGGAAGCTCGTCAGCGTGAGAAGACTAAACAACAAGAGCAGCGCGCAGAGGAGCTTAGAAAAGCTGAGATGGCTGAGCTTAGGAAGGCTAATAAGCTATACAAGGAGAAGATTGCAGAGGAGAAGCGTGTGCGGCGAGCAAGAGAGAAGGAAGAGCGTGAGCAGGCCAAGGCTCAGAAGGCTGCAGAAGAAGCCGAACAGAAAGCTATAAAGGAGCGTGATAAAAAGCTTCAGAATTCTCAAAAAGCCATACAATTATCCCAAAGAGGCAGAGGCAGGCCCTCAAAAGCTGCAGCAGCTAAGAAGAAGCCTGCGCGTCGTGGTGTAGGTGCTCGTAGGGCACCTAAGCCTGCAACGCCTCCTCCACCTCCTCGTACCCATAAGACCCGTAGCGGCCGCACTGCAACTCTATATAATTAAGTTATATAGCAAAATCTCTTTATATATATCTACAGAACACTCTACTACATTATTATATAGTAATAGCTATTGTACGTGGTTGTGCAGCCTCATTATTACAGGTACCTATTAGGTGGGTTCGGCGCATTGCGCGAATCCGCGCATTGCGCGCACGGACACGGTATAGTAACTTACCATACCAAGGCTACCCATACTGACTTTATATAAACATGCTTACGTGATGTCCATGCAGCATTGAAGTTTCACTAATGTCCGGTGTATCGGAAATAAAATACTTGGCTTCGTCATAGGAGGCTGGTTTCCAACACAGCTCCTCAATGCGTAGTAACCGTCGCCGTGACAAGCCGCCGAAGTCTTTGAGTGATCACAAAGCAGTGTAGATTGGAATAGACACATGTATAAGTATACACTATACGACGCACCCATTTGATATTCACAGGCAGCCTACTTGAAAAGCTCAATCCGCTAACATGCAGTCCCTTACGACGATCCTTCACGCTGCAGCGCTTCTGCTACCTGCAGTAAGCGCTATCAATATGACCTTCTACAACCCACAGTGTGGGGTTGATTACGCTTTTGGGCCATTCTACGAAGAGTAAACCTTCCCTTTTGTCCAACAAACCCCTTCCACCCTTATGTAACCCCGTGATAGGCTCCTCTTCCAGGCAGAAACCCCTACGTCAGGATCCAACTTCACCGACTTTTTCACCCCGATCGGTACACTGGCTGTGTTGAACAATACCGCATCAGGTATCGAGGGCGTTGGCGCACTAATGGATGCCATGCTGCCGGATGATGGGTCGGTTGTCTGGAACGTAAGTTGCTCTCCTTCAGAACAGCGCTAGGATTAGAAGCTAATATGAATGATCACGATGCAGCACTATCCAAATATCACGTTTGTGGCCAACGAAACGGATACTATCAAGACCTACCAGCTAAATGGTATCCTGCACATCATCGCTGCGGGCGAATGCTCTACGACTTAGTACGTATACTAGTGGACTCTGTTCTGTCTTTTAATTCCAAGCTTGGTTCCTAACATAAGGTTCAGCTTTTCGACTCGCTTCACGGTTACGAAGAATTCGACGACGGGCATCCCGAACTTGCACCCTCACTCTGGAAGCTTGGTCGAATACAATGGTTTCCGTGTTGATGCTTCGGAGGACCCGTGTTTCGCCCCATACTAAGCATGAGTTGCAGAGTGCTTACGGTGATGCGGTGTGGACCGTGAACATTTAGCTGCGATGTCTTCGTAATGGCATATTTTGTTGGTCTCATGATTATTTGTAGATATTGCCTGTAGTTTCGTAGCAGCAAATATATAAGCTAAAGGTGACGTGAGCTTGTAGTTACGCAACCGGCAAACGTTTTAACCTCATTAGTGTTCAAAGTGTGCTGAGTCTGCGCAGATACAGCCAGTTTCAAGCCCTGACGCTAAAATTGTGATTTCAGAGCTTGCCGTTCATGCAAACACAGGTCTTCACCGCCTCGAAGCACAAGTTTCGATCTTGTAGTTAGGCTACTAAACCTATTCATTACCTGACCTGTTAGGTGTGATCGATTTTTGCTATGCTCTAATTGAATTCTAAAATTTATCCACAGGATAAGGCCGCTAGAGAGGCGAAGTTTGTATTGTCAGTCTTTTTTCACTACATACGTTACTTATTAGTACTAAACATGCTATATACAAGCCTACAACAGGACGTACCATAGATTGATCTAGTCTATCCTCTGTCAGAGTTTTAAATAGTTGGAATATGTGGTTGTTAAGCTATTGTACTCTAGACTGCTCGCGTTATAGTAGGGAGGCCCGGTTGTTAGTGTGGTAAGCTTGTTGGTAGAACACGTTATCCAGGCTATTGTACGGTACGATTATAGTTTATACAGCTTAAGTTTACACAGCGCTTGGTCCGCAACAGTTGTTAACCTATTCCCACTTAATCTAGGTACCTATCGAGGACTATATGTAAGAAATTTGATTACTGATAGATTGAGCTAGAGTAGCTTGGTTTGATGGATCGTTGACGAGTCTGCAAGTCACGCCATTGATGTGCAATGAACGGACTCTCCTGACCGGAGTTAAGATCTGTGAGCTCTCTATAGGGTTTGTCAGAATCGTGCTCTTCGCCTTGGCATTTGGCATTTGTCAACAGCCTCATGCTTGACTATCTCCGATCGTCAGAACCTATTAATTACCTGCACGGTCCATTAACGCTAATTGCTGAGCAAGTGGGACATGTCTCGCAAGCATAGAGATATACAGCTAATTGGGCCGGGATCCCTGTAATAACTAGTCATGACGATCGTTGTAGGACGAATCTCGGGGATGAAGACTCTGTACACATATAAATTATCACTTCCCTAACGTATGCTGCTTAACATCGTCCGGTCCACATCCACACAAAGCGGACAGAATATTTCATAACGATATCTTTACAATTTGGTCTTAAAGAAACACTCAAGGCTCTGATAAAACATCATGTTCAAATTGAAGAACAAAATTGCGCTTGCGAGTTTTGGGCTGCTGATACATTCAGCGGCTGCTATTGCCATTTCAGGTCTTCCAGTTGTGGATCTTGGCTACGAACTGCACGCAGCAACCTTCAATGTAAGTTAAAATCCTTCTGGTGTCCATAACCACCATCACAGATGCACTTAGTGACACCGATCGGATAGGAAAAGGGGAGCTTCTACAATTTCACTAATATTCGATACGGAGCACCTCCTCTGGGAGATTTGCGCTTTGCCCCTCCGCAACCTCCGGCTGTGAATAGATCTACAATCCAAGATGGGGGTGTACCAAGGCTCTGTCCACAGGCTCCGCCGGCTTGGTCTGTCAACGCGTTTCCACTTATGTCCCAATATACTGCGGGCCTACCAATCACTGCGCCTGCGCCTAGCACTGGCGACCAGCCATTGGCTCCAATTGACCCGAGGACTACCGAAGACTGTCTATTCCTAGACGTCATGGTGCCTGAAAAGCTATTCAAGCCTGCAGAAGATGGACATGGTGCGCCGGTTTTGGGTAAGTGGTGTTTGTCATGAGAATTTCATCTTTGACATTCACCCGCTCGCTATTCATCGGCTGATACATTGAACAGTTTGGATCTATGGTGGTGGATACACTTCTGGTGACAAGACCACTTCGCCCATTGCCAACCCTGGTGGTTTGTTGCGAAGAAGCAACGATTCGATGATCTACGTAGCACTGAACTACCGCTTGGGAGCATTCGGCTGGCTTTCTGGTCCATCCTTTGAACAGAATGGTACCTCCAATGCCGGACTTTATGACCAACGCCTCGCCTTGCAGTGGGTACAGCAAAACATCGCTAAATTTGGCGGAGATCCCAAACGAGTAACGGTCATGGGCGAGAGTGCTGGCGCAGGTGGTATCACGCATCAAATAACGGTACGTTATAACCCCCCACATTACGAATGGATGGTCCTATTGACGGTTCTAGGCTTTCGGCGGTCAAGCAGGCAAAGGTGCCCAGGACGCTGGTGCTCCGTTCCAGCAAGCAATTTTGCAATCAACTGGTTGGATTCCGCATCCCTCGGTTGATGAGCAAGAACGAGTTTTCAACGATTTTTTGGCCCGATTGAATGTCTCAACCATCCAAGAAGCAAGGCAACTCTCAACTGAAGACCTTGTAAGGGCTAATATGGCCGTGGTACGCGACGCTCAGTATGGCACTTTCACATTTGGACCGGCCGTCGATGGAGATTTCGTACCCGCTGTTCCGGCCGTCTCCTTCCGTGATGGCAACTATGATACCAACGTCACTATCATGATCGGTCACAACCCCGACGAAGGTGTACTTTTCACACCGGCCAACGCCACAGATGTTACCACTTTTGCGGATTCGGTCCTCGTCTTATACCCCTCCATGACTCAAGAGAATCTTGATCATGTAACAGAGACACTCTATCCAGCAGTTCTTGATGGGACGCATGGATACACGGATCCGTATGGTCGCGCTTCTAACATGAGGGCTGACGTAATCATCGTCTGCAAAAAGTTACCTCTTCTCAATGCCTTCCCACAAAGCGCCTACTCCTACCAGTTCAGTCTACCACCTGGCATCCATGGCGCGGATCTTGAGTACACATTCTACAATGATGAAGGGCAACGTCCGTTTGATCCGGTCACACTGAGTGGTGTCGCTAGTGAGCAGGCTGCGCACACTCATCAGCGTTGGATTGGAGACTTTGTCACGAGTGGACAGCCGAAGAACATTAATGGCAGTTCATCTTTGCTATATCCTGGCCGCCAATCGAATTCATCCACCGTTAACCTAGAGATTAACGGTACAAGCGTTATCCAGGAATACGCTGCAGGCCCTAGGTGTGCATTTTGGGTGTCGCTTGAGTTGTAGCTGCCAGCGTTAGCTTGTCACGTAGGCAATTTTAGTTTATTAAATAACAACTCAATTAAGAGAGTCTAAACAGTATTATTAGTAAGCGAGAAGAGTTTTCGTAGCCATGCCTCTTAGCTACAATTCATGTGATTAGATTGTAGTATACTGTTAAACAAAAACTATTGTGCAGGTAGCGTGTAGATTCTCTATATACGTAGCTACTATTAAGACTACGCCGAAGGCTAAATTTTTCAAAAAATGTTACTAGAGACACGATGACAATAATAGCAGAGATGCCTAAAGTCCAGCGGCGACCGAACTTATTAGCGACGTAGCCTGACGAGGCAGCGCCGACCGTCTGCATACCGACACCAGCGCCGCCCCAGGCACTACTACAGTCTGTTTTCATAACATATCCGACTTGGTCGTCCATGAAGTCACCAAACTGGCGACGGAAGGCGGGTACACCGATAGTGAAACCAACAGGGGTGTTATCGGATAGTGAGGATGCAGAGGTTGGGTAATGAGAGACTTGGTACGCATGAGCTCTAGAACTCACATGCACGAAGAATGACAGAGCTCGTGGACCGACTGATGACGAACCTTCTGCACAGAAGGAGCAAAAGAGCCTCATCAAAGTCATATATGAAGCGCTCGTCAGAATTGGACCTAGGGGCTCTCAAATCTTGACCCCTCAATCTCCTACTCAATATGTGGCAAAGACAGTATTCCGCTTCAACTTGCAGGGAGTGTACTCGAACTTCGTGGAAACAACTGTCGTCACCGAAGCCGGGTTCCGCCTGACGGACGCGTTATACGATGCCGCTGCGGTAGTGTCAGCTCCCAACGGGGAAAGGTCTCAACACGGTCTATCATCAGATCTTAAACAACTTCGTGCCAAAGCACCAACCAAGATCCTAACTATAAGTTAGACTTCAACAGCGCAGGTGGTGGCCAAGCGGACGATCCCGAGGTTTTGCGGGCCTTGAATACCTAATGTCGTTTGCAATGAAAACCCATTCGTGCGGAAGGTATCGCGTATGGAGTTTGCTGGTCAACGTATCCGGACTCTTTCAAGACTCAGATGAAATAGGAGCTTCAGAGGGACTCCATCATTAGGGAGGCCATGTTGTCCAAGGATCCAGTCAAATTGGACAAAGCTACTTGTAAGCTTGCGCACGTCTCGTTAACCCAGCAGAATATCCTGGCTATACATAACGCCAATGCAGTCGTCAGGGGACACTCACATGTTGTTCGCAAGGCTTTGGGCCATATCGATGCTGCAATCCCTGCCGAAATTCTTCAGGACGCGAAGAATTTTTGCAGAGCCTCTGCAATCGCCTCGCTGTACAAAACGCTTTTGTAAATATCCAGGTATAGTGCAGCCTCAGATGTGTGTGTAGAGGTAAGGAAGAAATATACTAAGAAGTTTAGTGAATTATTGCTGCCGTGACTAGACGTCTACATAGTAAGTGATTCTGGAATCTTAAGAATGTGTATTGTGTTCTGTTGGTGCGATCCGCCAATCATTTGCAGAATTTCGAATAGATTGTAGACATTAAACATATTGGGCATGCGGAAGAGAACAATACCATAGTAGGTGTCGGGCTACTGTAGTATTCAACTTTGTCGACATTATTCGGTCCATTCTTAAGACTCTTACACGGCTATGAAATAGGCTACAATAAGACATTGGATATAATCGCAATAAAACATGTTCAACTCCACAGCGCTGTGCTTCTATTCTCTTACAACAATTCATACACGTGTCGGGTTTGCTGTCTCAAAAGCATCATACCATCCCTTCATCTCCCACCGTCGCGCTTGCAACCATTGCTTCGTCTTGTCGTTGTTATAGATGTATGGCTGCGTCCACCACTTCTCGTGTAAGCTGGTTAGTCCATGAGCGATGTCATTGTCGTTTGGACAACGGATGTTCCAGGTATACGCAATCTCTCGCCACGGCATGGGTCCGTCCCAGCGATGTGCGTAGTTCATCAGGTTCTGTTCAGGATATTTGGGGTCAAACGAGCCAGGTGTGTTAAGCAGCGATTTATAGTATTCGAAGACAGAGAGCGAGGGAGCGAGTATAAAGAATCCAGCGTTGAAATAGCCGGGATTCTTGAGACCTGTGCCGTGCGTCGGCGGGAACGTGTGACTTGAGTCCCAGACTTCGGAAATGGATGCGAGGAGGTAGTTTGAAGGCAGATCAGTCTGACTGGAGGGCTTGGTAGCGAGAAGTTGGGCGCCGGGGTCGTCGAAGACTGGGTCAAGATTCTTGAGCAGCATCGAATCGCCGTCGAGCACGACAATCCGGTCGTATTGGGTCATTTCCCAAACGCGTAACTTGGTCATTACGTCGTCCCAGCGGTGCACCTCGGGCTGGACCCAGCTGTCGTTGACAGTATGCAGGAGCTCGACGGCATGGACAATCGCGCCATCCTTCTTCAACCGATCGCGTCGTGCCTGAGAGACGGTGGGTGTGACCATGACGATAACATCATGCTTAGTGCGCGTCTCGGGTTTGTGAATGAATTGCCAGAGGAGTATGCGGATGGCCTGGAAGTATTTGTCCTCCTCCAAATCATCTGCATCTGCGTTTGGCGTGAACAAATCATCGCCTTCAGCAACATTTCCCGTAAGAAAGGTCACGTATGCGAGCTTTTCTGGTTTTTGGATCGTGCCAGCGACGTTGGCTTCGAGGTAGGACGGCGGTGCGGGAATCGGTGGCGGCTCTTCGGGTTCGGCCACCTTGGGGCTGATGAAGGATGGCACGGGGATGTTATCGAAGGCACGCGTTTCAACGGCGAGGAAGATGCATGTCGACACTAACAGTGCTGTAGCCAGTGCGATCCGGATCCATCGAGGATTCGTAAAGATGTTCCAAGAGTTCAAAGACTTCGTCCAAGCGGGCTTCAACCCAGCCACAGACGATCGCATGCTGGAGAAGCGAAGGAGCACAAAACCACGCAAATCCACAGCAGCGCAGCGCATCTTATTTCGATTTGATTTCATCCAACTTCGATCCCGTAAGCCCTGCCGCATTTGGTAGGACAGCAGTCAGACCCTTTCGGACGATGGCTGGCCTGACATGCACAGCTTTGAGGCAATGCACGAGTTTGATTACTGCGTCCTACTGTGTACATACCAATGGGCATCTTGGCAATGTGGAAGGATTGGTGTAGGATTTAGTGTGCGCAACGATCGTACGCCTTAGGCGGGATGTTAAGATGCACTCAGCCCTAGCAGACATGGTGCCATAGGAACCTTGGAATTTTTGCCTCCTTGGAAACGCTGATATAGAAGCCGGGTATTCTGCTGATCACGACCGCCTTGCAGATGACAATCACTCCTTGATTCTCGCATGCCTTCGTCAACCATGTAGTGGTCGACGTGAACTTTAGTCTGCCTCGTATTTGCATCCACGTTGTATTGCCGAAAATGGCTAAGCTTGACTTGGTCGTGCTACGTTGTTAGCCTTGGAACACGGTATAGAGGACGCCTGACTCGTATTGAAGCCGCAAATTTGCAGGAACACAATTTTTGCAACAAGCGAATCCTGCACCTGAAGAGCGGGCTGCATTCCCAGAACCTCGCATTTATCCGATTGGTAGCAACATACATATGCATGCATGAGCAGATTAGTTTGGCAAAGACATGTAGATGCGCACATTCAAGTTAGATAACACGGCCAAGCATACGCGATACTCTCGGAAAAGAAATTTCGCGTCCTCGCTTAGCTGTGGTAAGTATGAAAAGAGAAGGGCTGAAACTGTACCTGCTTGCTATGCGGCCCATATATAATACGCCTCGACTTGTCTCGCCTTTTACGCGCGCGGCAGGTGGCTCTTTGCCATGTGCCGAGACAGCCGCGTCTTACCCTATGCTCGACACCATCGTTATCGTGAACAACTGGGCATCCCTGCCCGACGAGCTGGCTTGGAAGCTGTGCGCCTGGTACAGCCTATAGCTTGGCATTGGACGTGCCAATCTACTTGGTGCTTACATACCTACGGTGGGAACAAGGTCAGAACGTCTCGCTCTTTTACTTCTCCTGGTCAACTATGTCGATTGTCCTCCTCCTGGAAGGATGTCGCATCTCTGTTCTTGCACCTATCGGACGCGGCTTGTACCACGGCACCGCAAGCTATAAGCCCTCCTAAGAAGGCATCAAAGACCCTGGTGCTCCAGCATGCATTCATCCCAGCTAGTCCTTCAACAGATTGTGGGCGTGATTGCATTGTTTGGTCGAGTTTGCGAAGCTGCCTGTACTGTGCAGACACAATGTTTATGGAGTAGACCTAACGAGGCGCAGCAGAGACCATGTTCTAGATGATTTCATCGAATGCCATGCGGAGGATCGATCGAGGGAGTGGTAGTAATTGCTGTGCATCGACGCTACCAGCAGGCAACAGTCATGAGCCTCGGCAAGCCGCCAAGAAGGTCTTTGCCGCTGCGGCATAACGGCAGGCGATGAGTGGTCGGAAGAGTCTGAAGTGCGGAGACAAGAACATCAGGCATATAAGTAGACTATCTTTACTATATAGAATGATATTCCCCTTTGTATGCGGTCAAGAGAGTCCTCTCAGCGTTGCGTCGGCGAACGATGTGACGTGGACTTATCTGTGGATTATCTCTGACGAATGTATCTTCCCGCGTTATGGGTGCATATGCTCCAGCAGTACAGTTCTCAAATTCCTGTGGCCCAGGTCAGATCACTGCTGTCCCGTTCAAATTTGGCAGCTGCTTAGTCACGACACGGTCCCCGACATTTGCCTCTCCATCGCCGTGGCTTGACGAGAATGCAGGTCGCACAGCTTTCAAAGCGCTCGGGGCGTTGATTTCTAGTGCCCCACTATTTTTTGCCAGTGCGTCAGCATGTGGTCGCAATAGGGCGCAGGACTTTGAGGGAAAGCTACCTTCAGCTGCAATTGACTACCAATCTTTCTCCAGTCTCTCGGGTCTAACAGTCCTGACAACGAGGCTCAGAGTCTCTTCGTGTCAAGTTGATTGTTGAAGCATATCGCAGGGGCTTAGTGACACTGGCCAATGCTTATGGATTAAGGTGGCGACTAAATTTGTTCGGAAGTTGCTTGGACACATGAAGAATGAACCAAACAACACCTATCCCTTCAAGTTACAAAAACGCTACAGGCGTTCTCATTCTCATAGATTCGCGTTTCGTTCCACTACAGTGCTAAGCTGACGCCTTTGCTGCATGGTGTTGTTGAGCCGTTGATAGAAAAGCCGTTATAAATCAGGAGACCGCTGTTTTGCAGACTCAAGTTCGGGACCTTGGTCGTTTCGTTTTTCTCCAGGGTAAACAGAGTCTGGAAACTATTTGTATGTCAGTTGTATGTTCCGTGCCCGTAGCATTGAGAACGGAGCGATTAGACGTACTAGGTTTGTGTACAGTTCCCACCGGCAGGGGTAGTGATCTCGAGAACACCAGATACCTGGTAAACCTTCTCAGTTGATGATTCGCTCGCGACAGTTGTCGTGTTGGGAAAGTGCTAGGGTGGTTTTAGCCTTGTGTCTTCGCATGGCTAGGTAGAAGCGTACATTCCATATAACAGAGCCGTTGGTAGGCAACATGGCGCGACGAGAGGTCAGGATCGCTTCTGCGCCAATAGAAACGGCTCCTAGGACAACGAGACTGCCATTAGGAGCGAAAAATTGAGCGTACTCAGTCGTGATGTTAGGTGTTTCGTTGTTCCTAAGCAACCTATGCACGGTGCATGTCAGTCTTTGACGTTCAACATGCTGGACAATTTGCTAACTCTGAGTACCAATGGACAAAGTCAGGTTCGACATCGCAGCTGGGAGAGTAGTCTATCATGGATATTGCTTGCGCAACCTGAAGGAAAGCGACGAGCGAAACGGAGAGGAAAGTAATGAGCATGTTGGCTTGAAGACGCAAAAAACGGTCCTGCAAAGGTGGATTCCTGGACGGGAACACTTCTTTACATACAAATCTACATTATCACGAAATCTTAGTTCTAATAATTGTATAATCTACACAAAACGTTGGACTTCTACGGGCGCTCGACTGGCTCTTAACACCGATACGGAGTTATGCGGAGGGACAACGCTATTGGTGCACGTAAACGCATCTGTTAGCACACTGTACATCTAAGAAAGGCCGAGCACAGATGTAGGCCCCCCTGCGTAGAACCGTAGGCATGCATGAGGTCATCACCTTGCTACAAGTGATTGGACAACGTTAATGGACCACAACACGCCATGGGCTGAAAACACGTTGTTAGATCACACTTGACGAAATTCAGGTATGCTATGCATACTCTAGAGATACAGTAAAGTGAGATTTTCTCTAGTAGCCGTGGAAAAGAACGAATAGGTTGTCTGTCCTGAACCTTGACACAAGTCTTTAGGTTAATCGTGGCCATTCACATCTCACGCTTGGTACTCGGAGGACCTCAATGTGACATCTGCTGAATCCTCGAGCAGGTACCCCATGCAGTAGGTGTATGTACCCCTGACTACATATGCTAGTGAAGCATGCAATAGCTTCAGTTCACCGTGTTGCCTAGCAACAGAGAAATTCACTAAAATTCCGATAATCTGCTTCTATGCGCAGAGTGGTGTGATTCAGCAATCTTCCGAGACGTAATGCCCAAGAAAGCCAAGAAGCTATTCGAGCTACATTACACGTCTGCAAAGTTAGGGATAGCATATCTCCGCCGTGGACTGATTGTTTAGACGCCATGTTTGTTGAGCATGCTATATAGTCTGTACTGCTTTATCTCAACAGAGTCCAGCTCAATCATCTACTAAGCCAACTCTTATTTTCCTCATCCAGATCGGTCTCGCATTTCAATCATGTCACTCATCAGTATCCTCAAAGGCAGTCTCCACCTTGCTGGCATTCTCCATAGCCCTCCAATTTCTACTGGAAGATCTCCTGCCGTCGTCGTTGTTCATCCCGGTGGTGGCGTTAAGGAGCAAGCCGCCAATCACTACGCCCAACGTATTTCCCAGGAGGGATTCGTGTCAGTCGCATTCGACGCACTCTATCAGGGTTCTTCAGAAGGACTTCCTCGTTTTCTTGAAGATCCCGACTCCAGGACTTCTGATGTCTCTGCAGTAGTAAGCTATCTCCAGAGCCTGGACAACGTGGACCCTGATGCCATCGCCGTCGTAGGCATATGTGCTGGCGGCGGTTATAGTATCGCTGCTGCCACTGTCGACCACCGCATCAAAGCGGTGGCTGCGGTCAGTCTTGTCAACATTGGTGATTCCAGTCGTCTAGGATGGCTGAACAACCTAAACCACTCTGACGCTCTGGCTGTCCTTGATGATGCCCAGGCACGACTTCAAGACATGGCTGTCAGCGGAAACAACACCTTTCTCCCGTACATCCCAACACCTGCACCGGATACCCCGCGCGACCTCGTTGATGCATATGACTACTATCGTACTCCTCGAGGCTACTACAACACCTCTCAGAACATTATGCATGGCTCGTCAACGCCCCTGCTCATGCGCTTCGATGCATGGCAGTGGGTTGATCGTTACCTCAACCAGCCTACACTCCTAATTGCCGGAACCGACGCCGACAGCAGATGGCAGACTGACAAAGTCTTTGAAAGAATCCAGAATACGAATTCTAACGCTACTCGCCTTCTTGTGCCCGGCGGTCGCCACATGGATTTCTACGATCGCGAGGAATACGTTGGTCCTACTTTATCCAACATCACGGCGTTTTTGAAACTTCATCTTAGTGGATGAGATCTTACAAATCAATCGGAGAGGGAGATGCGCAGAGAAGAGCGGGGAAAGCGAAAGACGCGAGATAGAGCCTAAATAGTAGCGGGCAACTAGGTAGATTTCATTCAACATGTTACCGACAGTATTATGCACTTTCGTTTTCCGAGTTCTACAACTTCATCCCAGCGTACACACTGTGACCTATTGGCAATATCTCTATGTCTTGTGTAGGGAGATTTCTTACTCTAGAAATCAGAAGCTTATAATAAGATTCGAGAGAGGCGCTATTGTAGTGTTTGGGATGGATAAGAGTACTGCTAACATTGATGTTACTCTGTATACCCTAGACCTGCAAGAAAAACTCGAAATAGTCCGATGTATATAGCATGCGCAAAAGCGCGGATTCTTATCCTGTTTATGAGGACCACGGGAAGTAAACGCCGTCACTTGTTCGCAAATACAGCCAAATAACATTAGACACCAGAGCGTTCGGCTTCGGGAACGTGGGCCTTTGTTGACACGCTGTGGCTCAGCCACAATCCTTGCAAGTCCTAACTCCGCCGGGACATGTGGAAGACGCCCGAAATCACACCCTGTCGTAGGCTCACGGAAAGGAAGCTCAGAACAGCGTTCTTTACAAATTCCAGCCTAACAGATTTAGTGTGAAGCAGTTAGATTACCAATTTTGCTCATTTTATGATATCCGTACTAGTATTAAGATCCTTGTGTCGGTGCGTATGTGGCACGAGACCTCTGCAGTCGCGGCTGTCCGGTATTCAGCAAACCTCTTGCCAATCGCTGCCATCACGTACAGGTGCTCCAGCTTGCGAGCTGTGAAGGATTGGGCAAGCAAGGTCTGACACGTTCTACTGGCTGTGTGGTACGGTAGGCGAAGCAGAAAAGTATTTTGAGATCCACTAGTAGTATCAATAGGTTGATTGCGTTTTCGAGTCATCAACAGCCCCGCCAACGAGGTCTCGGAATTTTTACTCTCATACAGATTGATGCTGGGCCGTACCCAGAAAGCGAGAGCTACAACAGCACAAGCTCGCAGCGCAGGCGAGTGGAGCCGTCTTGTACTATTTGTTTCCGTATTGATACTCCTGGTCTTGCCTATCAATGATCCAGACCATCGCTCACCTTCTCCCACTCCTCAAGAAGCTTCAGATCAGAGTTCACCCTTTGCTTCGCTCCGCTCCAAACGTCTGCACCCAACATCAGGGTGCCTGGGAAACCCTTACCCTTGGCAAGACCTTCTCCTTTGACGACATCAATCACACGATTTGCTCCTTTTTCAGGGTCGCCAGGCTGCTTGCCATCTGCTGACTTAAACTGCCCGTATGTGTTGCTCACGATCTCCTTGTAGTCATCGATATCTGTGTCTATATAGGCGGGGTTCATTTCGCTCAGGAACGCGGTTCGGAAGAAGCCCGGCTGAACGATCAACGTGCGGATACCGAAAGGCGCAACTTCTTGGGACAGTGATTCAGCAGCGCCTATTCATGATCAGTCAAAAGTTACTTTGCATCCACAACATTTCAATTGCATACCCGTCAAAGCAAACTTTGAAGCACAGTATAGGCTCAGAAGCGGCATTCCACTCAACGCTGCAGCGGAGCCGATGAAGACTATGGTTCCGGACTTGTTGCCGCGGAGGTGGGGCAGGAAGGCGCGCGTCGTGTTGATGGCACCAAAAACATTAGTATCGAACTGCTTCTGCCAGTCTTCGGGTCTGGAAGATGAGTCAGAAAATGCATAGACCGATCTTGAGCGTACAGAAGCCCTACCTGGAGTCTTCGAACGTCCCAAAGTGTGAGTAACCAGCGTTGTTCACCAAGACGTCGATCTTGCCATAAATGTTGATAGCTTCTTTGGCGGTGTTCTCAAGCTCTTTTTGTGATGCGGTTACGTCGAGTTGTATAGTGGCTGCACCTAACTGCTTGAGATGCGCGATCCTAGATGTATTGCGAGCTGTAGCAATGACTTTGTCGCCACGGGCGAGAAGATCCTTCACGAACGCCTCTCCAAATCCAGAGGAAGTGCCTGTGATGAGCCAAATCTGTGAAGTTGACATCGTGAGAGGATTGATCTTGAGGCACGTTCTTCGGGGATTGAAAGAGATAGATTGAAGTCAAGATCTTGTCATGACAAAGCTGTCTGCCGGATCTTCTTATCAGAATAGCTGCTTGCAGAAAGCTTTCTGTTCATTCCAGCAGCATCAAAGATATGACTTCATTGAACATGCTTCGGTTTTAAGCCTTTTACAGAGAGCCCTGTGAATGTTCTAGTGATTAAAATGTTCGATCACAACTTGGGGAGGGCGCGAACAGATTATCTCCGACGATTCCGAGCTACAGTTAAGCGTTCGGTGACAAGACTCTTAAGTCCACAAGCGCACCCTCGCTTAGGTATTGCAGCAATAGGAATTCTCGCAGCTGCTGAGTGCCCCAATCGATTTACCCAGGTCGGATTTATGCGGGAATACCTAGTTTAGCAGTATGCGGAGTGGCAAAGCTTGTTCTACATGCTGCTCTAACTTCCCCAAATTTGCTCAGCTAGTTGATCAAAGACTATCTACATAAAGACCCGGCTTTAGGGGAGTTAACGGGTGCCACCATGCTAATTAACATAGTCATCGATCTGCATCAACCAACGATTAGCCTGAGCAACTCTTACTTTTATGAGGTGTACTCCTGCTCCATGTCGATTTTTTGAGACAGCATTAGAAGTTCGGAAGACATGTTAAGCGACCCACATGTAGCGTCAATGCTGCGTCGGTAGTGTTTCGGAAGGGATGAAGTAGGTTTTTCTTGGCGATCTAACACCTTGCCCAACCTGGAAGCGGCCAGGGAGGTATGACGTAGCCAATGAATCACTCTGTGTGGTAACGGCACTGCCCGTGCCTTGCCGCCCTTGTTTCTGCTGAGTAAGCTGCACGTTCAAATCGGTCAACCGTGTTAGTCGGTAGACACATGTTGCATCGCATTCAATACCCTCGCAACGCCCAGATCATTTGTTACGACACGCGACGGAAGTTTCTTTATGTATCTCTGATCTCGCTATCTATCTATATATCTGCCAGACCGCGTCACTACGTGATCAATGTCAGTATGATCCCGCAGCCCTCATCATCTGGCGCCCACTCTGGCATCAAATTTTCCGATCAAGGATACCGAATAGTCAGAAAGCGAAATCGAGTCCCCATAAACTGTTATCAATGTCGTAGTCGCAAGTCAGTCTGTTCGCATGGAGTCTGTCTTGCTATAATTGCTAACGCCCTGTTGTAGATTGTGAGGAAATATGTCTGGTGTAATGTATTTCCGTTCTGACCCCTCCATAGGAAATGTGACAGGAAGCGCCCATGTGACAATTGTGTCAGACGTGAGGGTGCAGATGACAATCCATGCTTCTACGGAACTTCTGGTAGGAGAGCAGACGATGAAAGTGCAAATCGCACAACCGTTGCTGAGATGCAGATTCAAATTGACCGCCTAGAGAATCTCGTCCTGTGTCTTGCCCAAGGAGGCGCAAACGTTGGTATGTCGACGACTACAGATCGCCCGACACAATCCACGGATCCAAATTCTGGCGATAGCATAGCTCCGGGCTCTGTCGAGGTCAACGACGATGTGAATAGTAATTTGGCCAGCTCAGTTGGTGTTCTCAATCTCGATTCGGATGGAGGAAAGTCCATGTATGTCGGTCAAGAGCATTGGGACATAATTTTGTCGGATATTGAAGAGGTTAAGGCTTTCTTTGCCAGCCACAAGAAAGATTTGGAAAAGAGTTACGAGAGGGTCGAGCGCTCAGAACCATCAAATGCTAGAGAAGGTCCAGTCCTACTACTTGGGTGTACAACCGCAACAGACTCGGAGCTAAGGTCCGGGCTGCCAGCTCAATCGGTCGTCCTCGCTCTGTGCTCCAGATACTTCGACTGGGTGGGTGGCAGTGTCAACATCATCCACCCACAAACGTTCTACCTCCAGCTACAAGCCCATCGCCGAGAACCCTCCAAGACCCCCCTCATGTGGCTAGGACTGCTCTACTCGGTCCTGTGCAATGCGATGTTGAATTACCACGACGTTGGAGACGAGCCGCCTGTGTATAAAGGGCAGACTATGATAATGGCGAGAGAGTTCCGACTACGGACTGTTCAATGTCTGATCACGGCTGACTACACGAATCCGGTAGAGCATACATTAGAGACAATGTTGCTGTACTGCTTTGGGGAATTTTTTTTCCGGCCGAACACTCATATGGGGCTTTGGTTAGTCGCTTCAATGGCGACAAGGATTGCGTTTCGAATGGGATATCACCGTGATGCGAAGTGGTTCTCATCACTGACGCCATTCCAAGCTGTACGTGCGTGAAAAATACTCTCGTCGGACACACAGCTGATCAAATATTTTAGGAAATGAGACGCCGAACGTGGGCCCTCACTAGACTAGCCGATATCATGTTCTCTCATCTAGTGTCGTTGCCCAACACCATCAAAGACCACGAGTGCGACACAGAGTTCCCGAGTAACATCTACGACGAGGAATTCGGACCTAAATCTGATGTTCTGCCTCCGTCTCATCCGATAAATGAGCCTACACCTATTTCGTATGTGATCACCAAGGTTAGGTTTTATGTCAAGATGAGTGAGATTATACAAGCTACAAATAGAGTGGGAGGTCACGTATCATACAACGATATCCTGGACATGGACGAACAGATCTGTCGCTTATATGCTGCTATTCCTCCTCACTTACAGGGAGCAGTCGTACAAGGACCCTTCGAATCAGTTACAACAATTATCGCAAGATTCAACATTAATTCGTTGTATCAGAAGATTGTATGCTTGCTGCACAAGAAATATATGCTACACGCACAACACAATATTCAATATTCCCACTCGCGCCGAAGAGCCGTGGAAGCTGCGTCCCAGACTTTGCGGCACTTGGTATCTTTGCACCGCGAATCCCAACCTGGTGGCGCCCTAGGATCTCATCCGCGGTTCGTACATTCCATATCTCCCAAGGACTTTCTTCTCTGCGCCATGATCATAGCGCTCGATCTCCACCATGATCAATTGGAGGCAGCTGATAACTCTGTCGGTGCTACAACGACTCAGCCTTTCTGGACGATAGAACAAAAGGTGGAGATGATAGACACATTGGAAACCATCAAGGACATATGGAAGGAGCTCGCATCTGCAGAAGCCTCTAAGGCGTCCAAGGTTCTTGAGATTATATTGAACAAACTCAAGAGTCCAAGCCATGCGCCGATTGGAGATGCCAATGCCAACCACAACAGAAATTCGAATCTCCGAGGAGATCTTGAAGCTGCTTGGACCTCGAACAGACCATTCAAGGGCTCAGAATTCAATACAGCCACCGCGAACGAGATTTCAGAGCCTTTGGACACCTTTGGTCACCAGAACATGTCCAATGTGAGTATGATGCCGAATACCAACATAAGCGAGATTGGAAACATTGGCTCTGAACCTGCATTCTCGATGCTCACAGACTGGGACTTAGGCGACGAGTCTTTTGAAAACCTGAATTGGGTGAGTTTGAACAAAAATCTGACGCACGTGTTGCTAAAAGCGATCTAGAACACCTTCGAAAACTTTATGCAGACTCCAGGCTGGAACAGTAGCCGCAACTTTTAGGCACGCTGTGAGGGATGTTCTGTTCTTAGCACCTGGTCGCCCCCAAGGAATTTCCTGGGGCTAAACCGGAAGCCCACTGGCCACATTCATATAGTTCTACCAATATCGCGAGACTTGACACATCAAGAGTTGGACTGTTCTCAAAACGATCAACACCTTTCGTCCCATCTCAACTCACCAGTCTGCAACTCCGCACAAGCCTACTTGTTGAGACTGGGTGAGGATATCACTTGCGCATGGACAACATATCCGACAACGTAAGGATCGAACTTTTCGATCGGACCTATGAGGTATCGAGGTTATCTTCCCCGGAGCACGACCGAGTAAGGGCAATGGAAACGAAGGTCTACCACCTGTCATATGGTCCCTCCAAATGACTGCGTGATGGCATATCTGACGGTGAAGGTTGGTTTTCAGATAATCTCTTCATTCAACCAGACGGATGCTCGTGCTACCTAATTGTCACTGCAGAACACCTTGTACCTTTGTAGTTCACTCCAAATCTTATGTCGTGACATATGAAAAATAAGATGGTTCGATCGCCAATCTGGGTGCCTGAACACACGATCGAAGTAGGCAGACGCGTGCGTGCGCGATAATCGCGACTTCGGCGCACGGCAACCTCGATGCGTGTTGCGCGTGACCCCGTGACCTCGTGACTCAGCACGGGCCACAAACACGAAACTTGCCCTCATCTCGGCTCCCAGCCCCCTCCTTTAACATCGACACCTCTTGCTCCTGCACCGCACTCGCTTCAACACGCCAACGCGTGTCTATAACCATCATCTGTCACGAACCGATTTCGCATATCTGTTCGCATACCCCTCCGTCCTTACGAGCCTCTGTTCCCGCTTTCACTGGTTGCGCGTACCGAGTACTTGGCTTAGGCCTATCATCCTTGCGAACTTTCACAAGGCCGCTGGCGGTAAAGGTAGGCGACTCTGCCCTCGAGGGTACTGTGCGTCTGTCGGCTGTCATCAGCGGGATAGGCTTTCGATCGTTTACTAGGGTCGGGTACCCGGTGGCAGTGGCCAACAGAGAGCGCCGGAGTCAAGGCTGCTCTACTTGCAAAGCCTGGGCGGGTGGGTTCCCTTGCGCATCGCGTTCGCTGCAGTTGCGCCAAGGGGGTTTTGGTAAGTTGCGCGTATCGCTAACAATATGAACTTAAATCTCGATTTCAAGGCGCTTGCCTATCCTGCATCAACTTCCTCAGATCCCGTGTCACCATGCTCGTGCTCCCTTGTCTTCAGGTGTGATGCGGTCTCAAGGCAGGCAACCGTCTTGCTCGTCGCTAGAATATCCACAAGGTGCGACACACAGGTGTACGCCCTGCAGTACGACGCCAACAACCTGCAATGTGGAACTGCAAGACTTAGCAGTGGTCACAACCTCCCGCAGCCTCAGTCACACGATCTCCTGCGAGACAGAAGCAACAAACACCTCGACATCAAGACTCTTTCATTCGACCTTGTTCAACAATGTCCTCTCTGGTGTCCGGATGCTGGAGCTTTTGGCCCCGCGCCCAATCCTGAACTCGTCCATCCGATTTTCGAGCTTGCAAAAGCAACCTCAATAAATGTTGTGTTCGATTACAAGCGTTTGCGCAAAGAACACCAGGGCATGTTCAGGGCCTTCAGCAAAGCGGCGAGGGGTTTGCGCGGCTACCCATGTGAGGAATTGCTTACTGATCAGGGATTGAGAAAGGCGAGCTTGGAAGTCTTGAGTCCTGTTGTTACTACTGGGGCGCCCCCTCCCTACGATCGCTCCCGTCAACGGCAAAGACTGAGTGAGTAGATGACATCCTTCAAGGTTCAGTGTACAGCTGACTGACACACGCAGCTACCCCCAGCCCCCCAAAATCGCCCCCGCTCGAACCTGCCGTGCTCCAATCGCCAACGGGATCGCACTCGTCCGAAAAGACTATACCTTTCAGTCCTGCCGCAGCGGAGTCGTTGGAGAGAGCACTTGGACAGGTGTCGCCAGCATTTGACTTCCAGACTGCAGCCATCAACGCCGCAGTCAGACAGCAAATCTCAGCATATCTTGACCAACACCAGGCCGAGACTATCAAAGCAGCCTTGAACAGGGAACCACTCAGTGATGTCATCAACGCTGCGGTCAGCAAATACCTCGAGGAAAACTTGCCAACTATACTTCCACAAAGTCTAGAACGCATCATTGCTGGCCCATTGAAACCTCTCCTGGGCTCACCAGTCACCTCCTTCAGATCCTTCGACTCTGTTGGCAACTGGTACCCAAAGCTCCCACCTCTAACACAGGTGGGCAAAATCTTGATCCCCCATCTCCGCACCCACCTCGCTGAGCAATTCCGTCGTGACCTAGCCCGTCGAGAGCAATCTTTTGAGAAAACACTTGCTAAGAGAATGTCTGAAGTGGAGAGCGATGTGCAGGGAGCGTGCGAGGAAGAGAGGGAGAAGCTTCTTGAGGACATTGGTGATCAGCAGGCTGATTTTGCTTTGTTGAAAACCGATGTCATGACAGATCTCGAGAACGAGATTGATGTTCTATTCAAGCAGAAACTGGAAAACTTCGAAGATTTGATTAATGACATGGAAGACCGGATGTGTGACGCGTGTACCGAGACGTGTATTAAATTCAACACAGTAGGGTTGCAGAGGTTGATCGCGCACGAGGTACGGAGGTACGAAAGAAGAAAGAGGATGAAGAAGGGTGTGCATAGAGGTGTTGGGAAGATGATAAGAGGGGGTACGAAGAGGTTGTTGGGGAAGAGGAGAAGATCAGAGGATGCAGATTGGGTGGACTGTTGACAGCTGGGGGCAGCGGGCGGCGATGAAGGGCTTAGCGGTAGGACGTCGGGCTTCTGGATGATCTACGGTGTTTCTAGACGCGTCTCTCCCTGCGTCAAACTGGCCATATGCCTCGCATCAATATTCATGCCACCGCACCTCATGTACTCGAATTTCAAAACCATTGCCAGGCTGCATGTGAGGCGAGACCATAGCGAGACTTCCACCTTGTCCCGCCTCCTGTTGATAATGATTACCTGCGAATGTATATGCGCTCGCGATGATATAAATCTCTTCGCCGTCTTGGAAAGAAGGCTGGTTCGCACAGATTTGACTAGTTGTCGACAGGGTTACCACGCACACTACCACATCATGGTGCAACCATGCCTCCGTAACAGGTCCAATATCTTTGCGGCCTGTTGAACTCGTCCAGTTGGCGGCTAACGCGACGGTGGGTGCGGTTTTCTTTAATACTTTGTAGACTGTAGACAGTGAAGTTAACGTTGCAATCCGCTACTGGGCTCAGCCTTCTCCAGCACCCTAGCATATAGGTTCTAACACTGCTTTATGCTTAGCTTTACTAGATTGCCAGTATAGCTACAGCGCGTTAACTGATTCTATACTATTATGGTTAAAGATTACTATTATTCAAATAATAGACAGTATTTTACAAAGGCGCTTACCTAAAGGGATCTGGTGTAGAGTCTATAGGCTCTATGCTTCAACTACTAGGCACCCCAAATACCTATTAAAAAAGGACTCGAACCATAGATCACTATCTGAAGCTTTATCCTGTCCAACGTCTAATGCTGCTTTGTTGGATATCTCCCCATAATCAACAATGAATCACATCAATACCAGAACATTCTGCGTTAAATTACTGTCCTTCCACTGTGGATTTATGAGCTGACAAAGAGCTAATGAGCGATCAACAGGTAGGTGAAGAACAGAAACGTAGGTCTTTCATCAAGGTTCACATGTACTTGAAATATGGGTTTGGTCGTGAAATGTACGGCAACATGTTTGATCAAGGAACACCAAGCAAGCTCCAAAACGAAGACTTGTCCCGTTTTCAGCCCAGCTCATCGCTGACATGTGCGCTGCCGGTTTTGCATAAGCCATGTTCCCTAGAGGCATCTCGCTTACCAACATTAACCTAGTGTCTCTCTCAAGACTTTCATGACAACCGAATTCGTGTTCGTCGTACTCGTTCTCGACGCTAGAGGAGTGAGGTACTAGGATACGTGCATAACGCCGATCAGCATTGGCCTGGCGCTGTTCGTGGCTATCATGGGCGGTACTCGAGCCTTATCAAAACCTGATTCTGAACAATTTTATAGACAACCTGTAGGTGTTTCTTCGATCGGATGGAACTATTACTATACAAGACCTTTAATCTAATATATGCTAAGTTTATTATAGACGCGCGTTGGCGCGTTGAAGTGAGTTGCGGTGCAGGGGCAATGGGTGTTGATGTGGAAGGAGGGGCAAGTTCCGTGTTCGTGGCCCGTCGGAGCGCCGCGGGGTCAAGACCGGGAGGCAGCCGCCCGTGTACGTACCGGAGTCGCGATTATCACGCTCGCGTATGGAGCTATGCGTTCAGACACTCAGATCGGCGGTAGAATCAGTGCGTGTTGCTCGCGTGGTACTCGAATCGAGCTTTGTTGGGCTTAACCGTCCTCGCGTTTTTCGGCATGTCGACGTTCTCGAACGCACGTGTCGGCCACTGTCTTATCGCCGAACACAATGTGGATTCTATCGCCGAAAACTGTGAACGGCGTTCGGACAGCCGGTCCAAGGACCTTGGCTGTATCAAATCACTGAATGTTTCCTTTGGAGAGAGCCGTTAAGTGTAAGTACATGTGTTCACATTCAACTATATAAGTATGTATATTCATCGTCACTTTTCGGTATCAACATCCAACAAACTCTATCGATATCGAACTTATTGAACTCCCTTTCCAGCACCACAGATCTCTTGTTGCTTCTATTCCACACTATGCCTCCTCACGGTCAATATACTACCGAGAAGGTGACCTACCCATCTCACGGGGAGACAATCACTGGGATTCTTTACATGCCCAAGGGTGTCGCTAATCCACCTGGCGTCGTTGTCCTGGGCCCGTATTCGTTCGTCAAAGAGCAGGCCCCATTGCAATACGGTACGCGACTGGCCGACGAAGGTTACGCCGCCTTGATCTTCGATCCACGCACGGTCGGAGAGAGTACTGGATTGCCCCGGCGTCTCGAAAACCCCCTAATGAAGAATGAAGATGTCGTGTCCGGCCTCGACTACCTCGCCAGCAGAGGCGATGTGGACGCCAAGAAATTGTTTCTGGTTGGTGTTTGCCAGGGCGGGCCCGAGTGCCTGGATGTTGCCTCATACGACGATCGCGTCATCGCTGTGGCTTCTGTAACAGGATACTATCGCGATCGCGAGACGGATGTCTACATGATCTGTGCTGGCTGCGTGAACATCGAGCCAGGCGTTGATGTGGGAGATTTCAAAATGCCCACACCTGAGCAAGGAGAAGCTCTCTACCAGGCGCGCATGGAGCGAGCCAGAAAAGCTAAGAAACTGTACGATGAAACAGGGGAGGTTTACCAACCTCTTGTGGACCCCAAAGCTGCAGATCCCAATGTTGGCTCACTCGCTGGTCTTCCGGGACCGATTCCATGGGCATGGTATGGTCCCTGGACATTGAAAGGTTTCGAGAATCGGTACGCGGTCATGAGTGATCTAGATCACTTTGGCTATTCGACCGTTCCTGGTGTGGCAAAACTCAATAAGCCAGCTTTGGTAATTCATGGTGATAACTGCATGAATGCGCCTGCGGCGAAGAGGCACTTCGAATCGATCCCAACAAAGACCAAGAAGCTGATTTGGGACAATGACGTGTCGCATTTCCAACACTATGAGCAACCGGATGTTGTCGACCGTAACATAGGCGAAATCGCAGCTTGGTTTGGAAAAGTAATGATGTAGAAATAGAGACCGGCTGGTATAGCATGGAGCGGATCAGCCTTGATTAATCAGTTCTCTCGCTCTTTGTCCTGATGAGTAATGGAATTGACTCAACATGACGCCTCTTTCATGAAAGATTATTGAAATAAATCTGCTAATGCTTCGCGTGGACGCTGAACTTTTCAATGGCTGCGAACTGCTGATTTCTTAGAATGGTGTTGCAGAACAGAGAGTCTTGTCTTGCTTAGATCCACATCAGATGTTACAGTAGGGGCAGGCACAATAGATAAAAATGTACATCATGCATTAGTTGTACGTCAGGTGGTCAACCGGACGAACCCCACGAAGCTTGTGCTCGGGGCGTCTCCTTAAGCAGAAGCTCTCTGATGGGCGATTCATGATTCGACCGGCTATTAAGAAGCCGGTAGGGAGGGCTTTGCAGTTCCTAATCGACCAACAAACTTTGGTACACTCAGCGCCGTAACACCAGGCCCCTCCTAGCCATAGTAAAGTGGGGTTGTTTAATTACGTCATCCTAGCGCCCTTCGGAGCCAAGCGGCTTATTCACAGTCCAGCTCATCTCTGTGCATCTACTTCTTCATCGGCCGACCGCATCTGATCGAAATCTTGTTCTTGATAAAGTCATATCGTAATGCCAGGCGGAAACAAGATCACCGAATCACATGCGAGACGCAGCCGCCCCACGATATCATGCCGAGAATGCCACAGACGTAAACAAAAGGTAGTGCTCATTACCTTCAATGTAGAAAACTAGGCTAACTGTACAGTGCGATCGTCGGCAACCATGTGTGCATTGCATGAAACGCGGCAAAAGTGTATGCTATCGTCTCGGATTGTGTCAAGTCGCTAACAACATAGGATGCTTGTCTTTACCAACTGAATCATGATCGTGCGCAACCCGCCAATCTTAGTCTTCAACATGAGGATCAGTCGAGTATACCCACTATCGCCTCACAAACTCACAATGCAATTGAGCTTTCCCCGCCATCAACTGTCACCCAAGCTGCGATCGAGCAGCTTGGCTACGCCAATGACAGTGACGGAACCATGAGCATCATCCGTTCCGTCGAAGATCTTACCAGCGCATCGAACAACTCCCAGCTTGGCCAGGCCCCACAGCAAATCAGTACAGAATGATTATTCGTGAACTTCCATCTTGGGGCCACATCAACTACTTAGTGCACGCGTTCTTTAGGAACGTAGCGTGGCACTATGATATAGTGGACGAAGCTACGTTTCTGAACCAACTTCGCCACTGGAGAAGTCTTTCGTACAATCAGCTGAAGGAAGCACCACAAAGTTTGACGGCCGATCTCTGGTCGTTTCCTGCGTTGCTTTTCCAAGTCCTGGCACAATCTCTACTATTCCAGCCATTGAACCATGACGACAGTCTCAACGACTTGAAATATGCGGCAAACATGAACCTATCAGATCGAGCAGTAGAACTCAGTGATGCAGGCCTACAACTTGACTCCTTGGTCGGCAAAAGGAAGCTCACGCTCACAACGATTCAAGCTGGATTACTGCGCGCTTCATTTGAGAAAAACACAGGGAAGGTCGTAGAGGCGTGGCATTCTGTCGGAGTCGCGATTCGTAATGGTCAAGAACTTGGTCTTCACCTGGGGACTCCAGAGCCCATGCTGACTTCCGAGCATCAAAATCCAGCAGATCACAGCTTGGGATGTAGGATCTGGTTAATGCTTCATCTTTGGGATGCCCATATGGCTGTGGTCCTGGGAAGACCAATGATGACCAGATTGAACCCCAGCAACATCCCCCTCCCTGCATCATGGAGCCACAGCCCAATCGAGCAGGAGCTGCTGCAACCACGCGACGTCATCCTTTGTGGGTTCCACACGGCCTACAAATATTTGCAAGACATACCTGGGCTCGAGAAAAAAGACAACGGCTTTCTCCTGGTTGAAGAAATCCACAAAAAGATCCTCGCCAATATTGCGAATCTCCCTGCGTGGGCCACGCCCCAGAGATCACGTTTGAATGAATCAGCTTGGCTATCCGCAGCGCTGGAGACTATGTTTACCAATGTCCACTTTGTCCTGCTTGCCCTCCATCGTCCCTTTGTGTTCTCGTCTGCAAGTAGTCGCAGTAAAGCATATTACTTCGCGACGCAGATTATGGAGTCACAGGCCCGTCTCTTCGATCGAACAGAACCTCTGCAATACAAGAGCTTTGAACTGGTATATTCCACGTTTGATGCTACGGTACTTATCGCAGCCACACACATTCGATTCACAGACGAGTTTTCAGACCAATTTCCCGCAGCAAAGAGAAATCTAGAGTGGGGTTTAGACAGGCTGAGAGTTCTACAGTCCACGAATGACCTGGCTAGTCCAGCTTTCAATGTTATTCAGCAGCTGTACCAAAAGATGTTGGCTAGCGTCTGCCCTTCCCAGTCTCTACCCTCCTCTTCTCAAGGTGTGGAAGGTGAGACATCTGTAGGGTCAGAATCCGAGCTGTTTTTGTTTAACTGGGACGCCATTCTACAGCCTGTAGAAAACACGATGCCAGGAGGCATGTTCAACGAAATAATTTGCGATGGTGCTTTCGGATTTCCATCAGGGGGCCATAGGCAATCCTTTGTAGAAACAGACTATCTGCCGCTTGAGTTGCACAATTATTAAGAGATAGAACGAACGTACTGTAGAAAGTCGAGTCGGGGATGATCAAGCTCACAGCGCCGCTAGACTTAACTAGGCTGAATTCATCGAGGTCTATATCACAGCTCGCGCAAATCAGCACAGAGATTTAGCATACCACGGTGTTGCTGAGCTTTTGCACTCTCTACGTTGACGCTTCCGCTTCGCCTCTGCCCAATCTCAGGTTTAATTCTGCGGGCGTACGGAAAGTGCATAGCCTCTGCTGGGTGTGGAGACAGCTTTAGCTAAAGTATGGGTAGTAAAGATCCTTTGACGGGCAAGATCGAGACTAGTCTCAACTATGGTGAGACTGTTGGCGGGGGTTCGGAGGCTGGCCCTGATTGGCACGGTGAACATGGACGAACACCAAGATGCGGAAGTCATTGAGAAGGGGACGCCAGTAGTTGCGACAAGGCATGAGGTTGCGCATGGTACAGGTGGATGTGGGAAGCTCCGTGGTGGCGACGGTGGGATCTCTGAGGTTGAAGCACGAACACCGCTACGATTCAGCATTCCCAGCGGTCAGCGCGTCTATGAATCATACGGTATGAACAGAGGAGGTCCGGGTGCAGTCGGGAAGAACTATGCCTCCCGATGGAATGAGGATCACCCTAAGCTTGAGAAGATTTTCTTAGGAGGTAGTGCCGGAATTTTGCTGCAGCTGAGAGAACGCTTACCGGTTAATTCCCCTGCTGGAGGAGGCTGGGGAAAATCTGAAGATTCCAAATTGACCGCTATGTTCGATTATATCAGCCTTCAGTCGTGATGACAAAGTAATCAACAGAGCTGTTACAATACTTCTACCAAGTAGATAGTGAGTAACAGTCCATGTCTGAGTAAGATAAGCGAACTAGATTAATTTGTTTAACGATGGAAAGATTGATGTAGCAGCGTTCAAGCTGAAGCGAGTCATATCAGAGACGCTTTAAGTTCAGCCTATTCGCAGTGCAGTGCTCATTATATGTCCAGTGGTCTGCTCGTTGTATTGGAACACCCCCTCGCATCTTGTGTAGTATGCCCACAGAACTGACGGACACACAGCCGAAATTGCTGCTTTCGGAGCCGGTGCTCTTGCAGCCGTGTGTAAAAGTAAAGTAGCCTAACCCTCATACATTAATAGGGAAGACACCATAGACAGTGTTATTAACGCACCGAGTGCGATCTGTAAAGGAAGAGCATAGGCACTACAAAGAGGAAGAACATCAGTCAAGAAGACCAGAGCGAATATAGTAGCCAAAATACTGCTAGCACTAGATCAACGACTAGGAAAGGGCTGCCAAGATCCATGGCGAGACTTTCCAAGACAAATGGAATACACACAGTACCTTGCACTTCCCAGAACGTGGAAACTATGAAGTTATGACGATTTGCATGTATTGTACTGATAACAGTCCTTGTTCACAATGTATTAGCTGTGCAAGATGTGCAAACGCAGTCGTTTGATATTGCTATGCATGGATCTGAAACTCTAACACTTAACTATTTCTAGCGTGCACCTGGCGTACTTTAATGTATCTTTTTGGCCAGTTAATCTCCCCTAGTGGCTCTCGGGTACATCTATTCTTTGAAAAACTTTGGCTTTTAAACTTTCCCCCTATCAACTATCTCTTATCATCTACACGATCAGGAGTAACTGGGTGACCATGTACAATACTTCAAGAACTCGACTCTTTCTTATAAGGATTAAGTGGCACATTGCCGTCATCAAGACTCGACCAAGCTGTGCCGTCTGCCTTCCGGATGTATCTGAACAGTCTTCCAGGGTGCACTACTGCAAATACCACAGTGCTCGTGAGTAAGAGCGTCGCATCGAACGCATACATCATCCACTCTGACTTCAAGATTTCTCCGTCTGGACCTTGAGCGAATTCAATGAGTCTGAACAAACTTCTTGCAATGATCAAGAAGCTGACAGCGTACAGCGTCCACATGTGCTTCCTCCATCGCACCTGTGGCCTTTCGGAAACAGCGGTGGGGCCGCTGTTGAGTCTCATGTGCAGCACCACAGCCATGAGCAAGAACAATCCGAACGCGGCTAGTTGAATGCCAAGGCCTATCTTGACGATGAAGATTCCCTGCTTTGCGCCTTCTTCACCACTGGCCTGGGCCGCGGAACCTGCCATCTGGCAACCGAAACTCGCTACATCGATGAGGATGTAGATCTTTGACACCCAAGTGGACCTGATTATACAATAGTTTGCCGCATCAAGATTGCGAGCCAAACGACCAAGGGTCATGTAAACAGTTGCAGCGAGAAGAGGTGCCGATCCTAGGATGAGCATCATCTGGATGAGATATGGTGTTCCATTACGGATATTATCATGAGCCCAAGCTCGTCCGTAGTAGCCGGCAGCTTCTCCTGGAAGCAGATCAATGGCTGATATACCATGGTGGAGAAATTTCTCGACTTTGCGTACCTATACACCCCAATATAAAGGGGATAAAATACCAGCTACGGTACATGATCATCAAAATGACATGGATTACAGCTGTTATTCCGAACATGACGAGGAATGCGTATCCAGCGCCGGCTGAAGGGTTGTACGGGAACAAATCGAAGTCGGCCTCTCCTCGGGGAACTAGATATAGCGACGCCATGTTATCGTGCCCAAAGGTTTTGCGGCGGAAATTGGTAAGAGGGTGAGGAGCGTTGGTTTCTGAACAGGGAGAGGCAAAAGGTAAAGAACCTCTCGTTCACTCGGGCAAGCGTTGCATTTATGGTTGAAGCATCGCCTTGCCAAGATCGCGTAACTTGGCGTACTCGTATTGTAAGAGCGCAACTCTTCAACACAGCCTCTACGGTACGCATGAACGTTGCTTCTCGGTCTGCAGTCAAATTTCTGCCGACTGAGCGGTTTGATAGCTCCGTAATCCGTGCGGATATGCGAATCTACATGACACTTCCCTTCGCGAGAGATTCGCGTTGCCGTAGGAGTGGCAGTACAACATCATGGCATACTTAACACTTCCAATGTGTACATGAACGTGTAGCGTTGCCACAAGACGCACGATTGTGAGGATGTCATGAAGGGGAAAACATCACAAGCATCGCGCAACTCCACAATCGCGAGGTCAATTACCTGGGTAGGTATTGCAGAAGATTTAACCACCGCGATTTCATGAGGCGCTTTGGTGCACGCACGAACTATCTTTAGGGATGTATGGACACAAAATTCTCCTATTTTAGGACATGAAAGGACTAGCTGACGATTGAAACTTGTTTCAGAGTCGAGGGGCGTATCGTAAACGAGCCTCGTATCGTAAACGAGCCTCGTATCGTAAACGAGCCATGCGTCGGTGTCTAATCTACACTTGCCGATAAGAGGCCTCCTCAAGTATCTACAACCACAATTCAGCACTACTCTGACCGTCCATGCAAGCCTTCATCACTATTTACCGGTTGGATGAGACGTCCTAAACCGTCGGCAACCGTCTTGTTTCCATCTGGTTGTTCAGGTGGTTACAAAACGCAAACATTCTTCCCACACCGCTAGGTATAGCTAGGTAATTACTCTAAGCATCACCAGTCGCGCATGGCCGTGGTTCGAGGTTACAAAAAACTTCTTGAGCTCTCCTAGTAACTTGCTTGATCCGTAACTTTTTTCCTTCAGATCTAATTATAACTTGCAGCCTTGTGATTTACACTACCGCTCGCCTTTGCCAAGTCTCAATTTTGCTCCTCATTTTGCATTTTACCCATTCCAGGAAGGACATTCTTCCACGTTGATAGTCTAAAGCCGCCCAAACACAGCACAGGAGTCCGTTGGAATATTGGATCCCGCCGAACGATGCGTGATACGTCAAGAGAAAAACGTCATATTACACCAGTACACCACCATCGCAGCTCATATTGCACAATTCGGCACTTCGTTACAACACCACGCGCCTAAATGCATTCTCTCCCAATACACACATCAGGCAATAGTTTTCAGGATCAAAAGGCACTATTATGGTTCTATGCCGTTAATTCTCTTAACTCCAAGACAACAAAGATGTCGTCTGAAGGTCGGTTTAAGGTAGTTGCTAGAGCCGGAATACTCGACTTCACTCCTGCCTTCGAGAACGCTGTACGTCGCATCGCCCCTTCCGGCCTCTTTCTTGTCTTAACTGGCTAGCTGGACAACCTTGCAAGGTCGCCCAAAGCCTCCAGCGAAATATGAAAGTGGCACGTGTTGATCTCCGCTCCGCAATCTTGGGACTACTCTGCCTCTATCGTTTGCGCTTGAGCCACTGACTGATTTGGTAACTGCAGCCTTTTATCGGTGTCTATACAGTCCTACAGTTTGCAGTCTTACTATACTCGACTCTGAATAACGAGAAGTGGTCTATTCCTTGGTTGCTGACGTTAGCTGCCGCCCTTGCCTTTGTCGATGCAATCCTACTTATATTCTTATCCCACGCCAAACACACGCGCACTGTGTGACCATCGAATATTATTAACGTCTATCTGCTTTTCACTCTGCTTTTTGACTGCGTTGTCGTCAGGACGCTCTAGCTTGTCTAAGATGATTTAATCATCTTGAGCCTCTACATCTTAACCGTCGCGACTAAAGTCTTTGTCCTGGCCTTGGAAGCCTGGGAAAAGAGATCCATACTCCTGTTGTAGTACCGTGACCTTTTGCCAGAGACGACCAGCGGTGTTCTTGCCTGGGGCATCTTCTGGTGGCTAAATGCACTGATGCGGACTGGGTTTACTCGGCTGCTTACCAACAGGGACCTGTTACCTGTTCACCATAGCCTAGCGGCACGAGTACTGCTGTCAAAAGCTCGAGATTCTTTCCTGGCATCAGACCAATCCAACCGCTATGCCTTGGCCTTTTCCACCTTGTGGGCTACCGAAACTATTTTCCTGGCTGGTGTATTCCTCGGCTTGTATCGGTGCTTGAAAGAATGTGCAGACCCCCTCAACCATGGAGCAGAGATGTACCTATAGGTGGTGAAGGCCTCTAACTGGCTACAGGAGTCTGGTAAGCTGTCCTGCAGGGCAAGAATGTGGGAATTAACCAATTATAGGATGATTTGCTGCTTGCTACCATGGTACGTTCCTATATCGTGTAATCTGTTCCATGGTTGTAGGGGTCTGCACAAATCGCCAACGACTATATTAACAGTGTTCAAATATGCACTGCCTTTTCTGGTCACCAGAACCACTGCTTGGGCCTCAAATCCATCGCAGTCTGATGCGATTAGATAGGGGTTGACGGGCGCATGGTTGCTAGTCTTCCTCAGGCAGGCACTCTTGAATAGCATCTATTACCACATAACATTCTAATTTGTTACTTTAGTTTGTGGCAGTCTTTGCAGTTTAATCTACACTAAGACGCTGGAGCTTAGTAGTGTAAGTATCAACAAGTCTGTGGCAGTCTCCCTTATGTTAATAGATACCAAGAGTATCTGTTATAGCGCCACAACGTTGCACGAGCTCCAGGCCTTACTAATTAACTCTATTATAGCTGTTTTTCTTCTTTATTAACAGCTTAGCCTTGCCACTTTAGCACCCGTTGCTGTAGTAATCACAGCTACTACTAGTATATTATAGCTTACTTAGTATATTAGTGTGGCTAAAAAGAGATAGATAAGAGGCATCTAAACTTAGGTAGATATAACAGCTTCTACTATTACATCTATAAAGGTTAGAACTTAATAAACAATTTTTGTCTAGTTTTACACTAATTATTACTATAGAAAGTAAAGATACTTAGCTTGTTAGATATTGTTACTAATATAATCTAAGGCCTCTAACTAATAGAACTATAATTATCTAAGTAGTACTATAAGCTTTTAACTATATAGACTCTTATTAGTAAGTAACCCTATATATATATAATAGTATTAGAATTTCTCTACTAACTATTTTAGCTAAGCAGTAATAAGTATAGTAGCTACTACTCTATTAGTAATCTTTATAACTTCTATAGTTATCTTAAATACTACTAGATAGTCTTTAATCCCTAAATTAGCTTATACTTTACTATTGCTAATATACCTTTTAATAAGCCTTATAGTTATTATATGTTATACTATTCTATTTATTACTACTACTCTTGCTTATTTCTTTTATATTTAAAGTTATATACTAGCATATAGCTATAATAACTATAGGCTACCTATTAGTAAAGTAAATCTTTATCTAAGCTAGCAGGATAAGAATTAATAAACGCTTATAGCAATATTAGGAGCTAGTTTTAGCTAGGTAACTAGCGAACCTAATATCCTTAGTAATGTTACTATTAATATTTAAAAGGCTTCCTTTATATTTATTATTAGACTTATAGGTTTAGGTAAGAGCACTCTTATATAAGCTATTCTAGGAGAAGTTCTACTCTAATTAGGCTATATTTTTAGTAACCCTAGCAATATAGCGTTTATAGGTTAGGAGCCCTAGATTTAGAACTTAGTTAATAATTTGCTAGAACATCTTAGGTAACTCTAACTATAATATAAATTAGTTTACTAAGGTTATTTATATATATATTCTAGAGCAAGATATTAGTTAGTTTCTATAAGAAGATATAATAATAGTAGTTAGCACTAGATTTTTATAAGAATCGACTACTAAAATCTTAAATCTTATAAACAAGATACTACCTAACTTAAACAACCTCTAACTCCCCTCTAACTTAGTCCTAACTTACCTCTATTGCTATTTCTTATCTATCTATAGCTAACTAAGACTTATAGGTATAAAAGGCAAGCCTATAGTAGTTCTAGGATAGATAGTTTTTAAGTATTCTTTATATAAGACCTATAGGAATAAGATTCTCCCTAGTTATCGACTTTCCTAGTGCTCCTATATACCTTATAGTAGAATTAGAACTATATTAGAGGGTCTTATTACCTGCGTTATTATAATTTTCTTTAAGTAGTAGTTAAAAGCAGTAGCTTACCTTAGCCTAAACTATTTATACGCAAGAATTAACAATTCTAATAGATAATATCTTTATAGCTTAAGATACTATAACTAAGAAGCACTTATATTATAACCTATTTACTAAAGTAGGTCTCTTTTAGTAGTTAAGTATAACTATAGTATATGCTATAAATACTATCTATAGACTTACTTATACTAATTATATTATTACTTTTAATAGGAGTAGTAATATAGTGCACTAAGGTTTATTTACTTAACTTTAGTTTAATATAGATTACCTATAAGGGCTAGTAGTTAAATAGAATAGTATATCTAATATATAGAATAATATACTCTATAGGTAAGCGAATTAATAGGTAAGCAAATTACTTTTACTAAGCCTCTACTAAAGTATCCTCTATATACTAATACCTTAATAATAACCTAATCTTAACGCGTTAAAGGAAGCTTAAATATAGCTTATACTTTAAGCTCTTAAATAAGACGCAAAACTCTTATAGTAACGCACTATAGCTATCTATAATGTTCCTTAAGCTATACTAAGCTATTAACTTACTAGACAACCTTTATAAGGTAATACTATGCCTAACTTATAAGGGCTAGATAATCTAGAGGAGTAGGTAATTATTAATTACATACTTAAGCTAGATAAGTAAGGATTTAGCCCTTAGCTAGTAGATATAGCTATAATAGCTAATTCTTTGCATATAGAGCACAATCTAGGCCCTATTAGTATAAACTAGCCTAGTACGTTTATAAAGCGTTAACTAGAGCTTAAAGTAAAGTTTAATTATAGGTATAACTATAAGCAAGCCCTCTATAAGGATTCTAGAGTTATATAGGGCTAGTTTTCCCTAGTATAAAATATAAAAGCTAAGTATAGTATCCTAGATAATAATATATATAACTTTAATAAGATAGGCTTTATAATAGGCTAGATCTCCTAGAGAGTAGTTATTATAGCTTTAGAGAGACAAGGAAGGCTAAAGGTAGTCTAGCTAGGTAACTAGAAGTAGATAATAGTTATATAGGGTATTAATGCTAAAGGATAGGCTATTCTACCCTTTATTATCTTTAAGGCGCGCTACTACCTCTCTAGCTAGTATAAGGAGGAAGACCTGCCCTAGGATTAGGTTATTATAGTCTCTAGTAACAGCTAGACTACTAATAAGCTTAGTTTTAAGTAGTTAAAGCACTTTAACGTGCATATAAAGGAGCATACTACTAGTACCTACTAACTACTAGTTATTAATAGCTATAAGAGCTACAAATTACTCTAATTCTAGAAATACTATAAGGATAACAAGATTATTACTCTATATATGCCTCTACACTTATTATACCTTCTATCGCTACTTAATATAGGCTATTTTGCCCCTTTAAAGATAGTATATAGGCGCTAAGCTAAATTACTTATATATAACTAAATTAGCTATATTATAAAGACTAAGTTCCTACTATACTTTAAAGCAGCCTATAATGCAGTGTTTACCTCTAGTAATATCTAAGGAGAGTTTTAAGGTGCTAGATTAGTCCCCTTTAACCTAGAATAGGTTATATTAGCTCTTAATATAAAGCTTTAGACTCTATTACTACTACTCCCTACTAATAACATACCCTAGTAGTTATAAACCCCTAGCAACACCCTAGAATTTAAGTTACAATTAACTCTAATTTAAGAGAAGTATAAGAGGTAGCAGGGCAGCTTACTAAATTCTATTCTAAGCACGCTTAAGCACTATATAAAGAGGGGAGCAATCTTATCCTATAAGCTAGTTTTAGCTTAACAGGAAATTAAGGAGCTTTAAGCAGCTAATAAGGCTGCTATGCAACAAAAAATATACAAAAGAAAGCAAGTTTAGAAGAAAGGGACCCTAATAGTTAAAGATAGGTAGCAGCTAGCAGCTCTAAAGGAGTTTAGGGCGCGTAGTAATAGAAAGAGGGCAAAGAAGTAGGTGTGCACTTAAGAGGGCGAGCTAACCTAACAGTACTATAGAAGGTGTAATTAGATAGGACATAATGCATAAACGTGCAAGATTAATATAGAAGAGGTCTCTAAATAATATTCTAGCCTATACTATACTATGCAGGACTAAAGTATAGTATTTTAGGCTATAATAGGTTAAGTTTTAGTAAGGGCTTAGCAAAAGTAATTTACTTGCCTATTAATCTGCTTACCTATAGGGTACGCTATAGCTAAGGTGCTAGTATAGTATTATAACTAAGATAGTCCTATAAGTTAATTTAAGTAAGACACTAATTAGATTAGTAATAACTCTAAATTACTACCTAAGGTTCTTAGAGAGTTTATTATATATATATATTACCTTAGTTCTATTTCTATATAGTAAAATATAGTATTTATTACTCTTATAGTTCTATATATAGGAAGCTTTTAAGTAATAACTCTTATACTTAGCTTCTAGATAGGTATAGATAATACTAACTAGAATATAAATAACTACTTTCTAGAGCTCTTTAGGATCCTTACTAGTCTTATAGTTTATAATAGTATAGGAGTAGCCTATATCTTTCTAGTTATTATAGTACCTTTAAGTTTAGGGGTCCTCTATACTTAGCTAGTTTAAACTATAATAAGTGCCTCTATAGCATTCTTTTTGCGCACTAATATTAGAGTTACTACTAATTACTTTAGCTAGGATATATCTATTATTAATACTAAGTTACTCTTTGCCCTAGTAGACTTCTATATTAACTTTATATTAATTATTATATTAGTAATTCTAATATACATTTTCTCTAGGTACTTTATAGCTATAATCGCGCCTTTCTTTACTTTCTACTAGAATAAGTCTAACAGCTTATTCTCTAGTCTCTTGTTATAATATAAGAATATTATAGCATAACTTAAAGCTAATATAATATAGATTAATAGTCCTATAGAAGTTCTATATACGTATGTTGCAATAGATTTAAATACCTAATATAGAAGCTAGATCTCCCTTATTTACTTAATTTCTTTATCTACTCTAGAGCCTATTAATAGTATAGGTATTAGTATAGGGGCTATACTTTACTAAGAGGTATCTAGACTATCTTAATACTTTATAATAACTATATTACTTACTCTTCTATATTTAATGCTAGCTAGGTCTTATACTTAATCTAATAACTACTATTCTTATAACTATTATAATAGTATTAGTTATAAAATTATAGAGGTAACTATCCTTGCAGTTTATAGCCCTAGCATTTATATAGATTATATTATTTAGATAGTCCCTAGCCTATACTATATAAGACTAGACCTTACTTAAGATATTTTTTAGTGCTATTATATATATTAAGACGTTCTATACTAATATAGAGTTAGAAGCCTAACATACTAAGATAAATATAGTACTAAAGAAGTAGCTAGCGTATAGTTATATTACTATTAAAAGTCTTATAACTTCCTATAATGCACATAGTAGTAGCAAACTAGTCCTTTATAAAGTAAGCCTACTTCTATATAACTACTATAATATAGGCTTAATTTGTGCCTAATTTAGTATAGTACATAATTATAGCCTTAAATTATCCCCTTTTAGCCTTAGTCTAGAGTTAACCCCTTTTAGTATTCTATTCTAGTCTAGCTCTACCCTATATAAATATATATGCTTAGATATACTACACCTATAATAGGTTCTACTTTATACCTCTACTATCTATTTCCCCTATACTTACTTAATAGGACTCTATAACCTACTAGATAATCTATATAGGTAATCTAAGAGAGAGCATACTAAATCTACTATCTAAGTACTATGCTAATATAGAAATTAATTATGCAGGGTACTTACTCTCCTTTATTTATTCTAGAAAGAGTAGAATTAAGTAGTAGCTAGCTTTATCTAAGAATAATAGGTTATATATAATAGAGACGTTTAGGAAACTACCTACGCCTACCTAATATAAGGTAAAGGTACTAAGAGTAATATTTTCCTAGATAATAGTTATAGCAACGTAGGTAATAAGATCCTCTAATATAGTTCTAATTCTACTACAAGGTATATAGGAGCACTAGGAAAGTCGATAACTAGGGAGAATCTTATTCCTATAGGTCTTGTATAAAGAATACTTAAAAACTATCTATCCTAGAACTACTATAGGCTTGCCTTTTATACCTATAAGTCTTAGTTAGCTATAAATAGATAAGAAATAGTAATAGAAGTAAGTTAGAACTAAGTTAGAGGGGAGTTAGAGGTTGTTTAAGTTAGGTAGTATCTTGTTTATAAGATTCGAGATTTTAGTAGTTAATTCTTATAATAGTAGAGTATATTAGATTTTCTAGTTTATTGCCTATAAGTTTAGAGAGAAAATTAGTAATAGGTAGATTAAAGACATTAAGTATTTTTACATGCATAAGGATTATATATATAGTATATAATTTTAAAACATTACCTATATAGAAAATAGTCTTATTATTAATCTTAGCTAGAAAAGATTTATTATATATTAAGGCTATAGCATAGTAGGTATAGGTATAGAGCAACTTATTAGTATAAGTTAAGTAGACATCTACTATAAAGGAAGAAGTAAAGAGACTAATAGCATTAGAGTTAAAGAGGGTATCTATTATGCTAGGGAAGATGTCTATAGCTTTCTTAAAGACTATAGAGTTACTAAGATTAAAGCCTTTATAGAGGGCTAGGCTAAGAAGGGGACAGGCATTTAACAGAGATAGGTTCTGTGTAGTAACTGCTTAGAAAGTAGAGAGGAGGAAGGCCTATAATAAGAAACGCATAGTATAGAGAAGAAGGAACAAAAGTTTTATAATAGAATATAGAGTATATCTAAGTTAAAGTGCTTATATACCTACAGTCACGACACTAGCATCACTAGCTACATCAGTAGGCTTTCTAGTGCGGGCACGAGATAACGTGTGAAAGCCCTAACAAGGATAGGAGCGCCTTATGGCCACATCAAACGTACCTCTCATGAGTAGCCACTATCCTCTTCGAGCCATATTGACAAACAACTAACAATACCGGACTAAAAGCTTGGCCAGTGTATATCCCAAATAAAGAAGGGTGTATAAGCACTACCACGTCAAGCAACATGCTACAAATATTATATACTTAAAAGTAGAGAACAAAATAAGCACTAAAATAGCTCAGGTGGATGTTGTTTAGAAGGAATTTAAGGCTAAGATTAAAGGTCTCCATACGCGCTAGTCGAATTAGGCGGAGGGAGTGGCCAAGCCGCGCAAGGCCAACCAAACATTAAATTATTGACGTAGACATTACAAAGTATGTATGTATCACACAATCTCTTCCACGCACCACGATTCTATCAAACACCAACACAGAAGAATGTGTTCGCCCACATCGTCCTGCAGTCGCTTCCAACTCCTGGGTTCCATTTCACAAAGTCAGCCAGGCTAATCATGTTGTAGCTGGTAAGCTGGCTGCAGACAACGCCTGCGGCCGCATAATGAAACTTCTTGCAACTTAAAATCATGCCGGGTTGCGTGGGCTGCGGTGTCTGAATGCCGTTGCCTGCGCTCGTGGTAGGTGTTGGCGACAATCCTCCTCCGATGACGCCAACGCAAACATTGACATCTGCCCACATGCCGGAGCAATCATCTTTCACGGTGGGATTCCATTTAACAAAATCTTCGCGAGTAATCTTCTGATAGCTGGTCACCTGGGTGCACACTACTCCCTGGTTGATGAAGTGGAACTTGTTGCAGTTTGCGACCTATTGACGAAGTCAGTGTATGCCTCGCATAGAAATTGTACATAAAATCCTCACCATGCCTGGCTGCGTCGGCTGAGGGGTTTGAATTCCGTTTCCCGAGGTGATGGTGGTGCTGGGCTTGGGTGTAGTTGTTGTGGCGCCAATTACGCGGACGCATACGTTCACCATTTTCTGCAGGCCCGTGCAATCGGCGTTGACCGACGGATTCCATCGGTAGAGATCACCGACTGAGATCTTCTGGTAGCTGAGAACCTGGCTACAGACAGTGTTTGGGCCGATGTAGTGGAAGCCTGCACAGTTGGAAACCATGCCTGGCTGGGTTGGCAGAGGGGTCTCTATGCCATTGTTACCCTTGGTAGCGGTGGGCGTAGGCGTAGGTGTAAGCGTTGGCTTGCTTGTAGAGCTTGTGATCACAGACTCTGGGGAAGTCGTGAATGTCGAGGGTGTGGGCACAACTGACGATCGTAGAGATGAAGCAGAGGTTAAAGCAGCAGAGCTCGAAGCCGAAGCTGGAGCCGAGGCTGCTGGCTCATCGGTGGTCTCAATACAGTACGACTTTCCGACAGCCAGGTTGCCACAGGCCGCGTTTACAGAAGGGTTCTATATGTCTCATCAGCGTGGTCGGAAGTACAAGAGGTCGCGGAGCCCTCACCCATCGACGAAACTCCTCGAGGTTGATATAGTTGGCCTCAAGCATATCTACACAAGACCCGACAGACTCGTAGTCAAGCCACCAACTACAGTACTTGGTAGTGTCGTCCGCAAAAGGCAACGCTGGAGACGGTCCGTCGCGAGGCAAGATGCGGGCTGCTGATACGGCTCCCTGGAGGAAGCTGCCGATTAGGAGAAGACTAGTGGTTGAGAACAACATGGCTGCGAGTGCAGGCGTGGGCAGAGGAAAACGAATGAATGCCTGGACGTTGATCTCCGCCATACCCTCATCTTCTTATATGCAGCCGAAGCATATTCTTCTAGAGGCATATGCTGGATGAATCCGCACCACCGGATTTGAGCCCAATTCTGACCTCGGAATATGCTATAACGCTTCTACCACAAGCAATTATTTCTGAGTTGGTGAGAGCTCAAGCGGGCTGCAACGGCTGTTAGACTGAGAATAGTACCCACATAGGTGCTCCGTGGCTTCGCTGACAGACAGTTCCGGACCCAGTCGAAAGATCCGTATACTGCGTAGGGCAAGGATCCATTCACCCCATGGAGTGGTTATACGCGCTAGTCGTCCAGGGCTCCCGTGCAGTTGATCGGACAGGGATCACCTGTGGTTGTTACAATACCGGCGGCGGCGTTGCGACTCCATCTGGAATGGTCATCAATACTTGGGTAGGCAACATTGTGTCGCACGTGGAGTTTTATTGCTCAACGGCACTAACTTTGATCTAGAACTGGCTCTATGCAAGAAAAATTGAAGAAAGACAATTTGATGTAACGTCTTGGTACTGTAAGATTGAGGCACAGTTCCCTATGTAGCGCCCTTGTGACCTCGCAAAGCTTTGACCCCGGGGCATTGGATTTTGCCGATACCAATCTAGGGGCGAGGGCCGGGTTAGTCGAGACTACTCACTACCTACCTGCCGCCATCTACGACGGAGATCAACACGGATTTTAGGAAGGTCTGAACACATATTATCGTAGATTGGAATTCTGAATGGATTTAGAGTGCTTTTGCGCGACAAACCTGTCTATTCCGCTCAAAGCCTGCAACACAAAGTACCCGTGCGAAGAATTCTACTGTGGTCTCCGGGGTATCTTCATCCACTAAATTAAATGAGCTGTACGATAACAAACATCCAGATAAGGCTTAGGTAGTGCATTTACCACTCACTTTAGGCTGCAAGATGTTTCTCTCGGACTCAAGTCTTGTCGACATTCATCGCCCAGCTTTTTTGTAGCGGTGCCAAGCAAGACCCTTTCCCCTGGCGCCGAGGAATATGACTACATCCTGGTTGGTGCTAGGTCCGCTGCATATCTTATTGCGGCACGTCTCTTATAGCAACTACCTAATTATTAGGTCCTGATTCTTGAAGTTGGAGAACATATCTGCAATAATCTAAATGTGCAAACGCCTGGTCTATAAGGGAAGTTGTTGTCGAATCCTGTCTATGGCTGGCAATATTTTTCTGCGCTGGAACCAGGCTTGAATAATAGGAGTATTAAGCTTACAAGAGGGAAGCTAGTGGGCGGTACTAGTGCAATTAATAGTCACAGCGTGGTGTTTCTAAACTACGAGTATCAAGATCGTATTGTCGAAGCGCATTTATCTAATTCTTGGAGTGAGAAATGGAGCTCTCGAGGCTGATGATACGAAAGGGATACTCGCGATCAACTCGGCAACGAACTATAATCCTTGCGGGACTTGCTCAATGATGAGAGAGGATCTAGGGGGTGTGGTTGATGAGTGGTTGATAGTGTATGGGACGAAAAATGTGAGAGTCTGTAATCTGAGTATTTTGCCTATTATACCGCGGGGAAATATTTTATCTGCGGTTTACGCTTTCACTAAGAAGGCGGTGGAAATATTCTATAGGGAGGCGGAGTTTGATATGTCGCGGGCCTGATGTATCTTCTGCGGCACATATGACAGCGAAGAGATAAGCATTTAGCCATTCCAACTCTGAACAAGCAATCGCCCGAACATCATAAAAGTATATTTACATCAATCGAGCACGACTGTCGACAGAGTGTAAGCTAGAAGTCCATCCCAAAAAGAGCCCTGTTCTTGCTAGCGCCATTGCTTGCGGCAGCGGCATTGACACTCGCGCTCTTAGTGACAGTGACGACTGGCGCAGCGTTCTGCAATGCCTCGAAAACGTTGACAACGCCCTTGCCTCCACACATCTCCGCCTTGTTACCAGTACAAGGAGCGTGGCAGTCGGTCTGATTCTTAGTCCACTCGCCGCCGACGTAGCTGCCGCACCAACATTGATTGCCTTCCTGTACACCTGCGAAGTTGAAGGCCCGACGGTAGCAGCTGTTTTTGCATTTGGGAATAGTCAGGGATGCGTCTCCGTTTGCATTCATGCTCTGTTCGAGGATTGGGCGGGCCGAATTCTGAGTGTAGCATCCCAAAGCATTCCAGGCGGTAGGGGAAGGCGCGAGAGAAGGAACTTTGCTCGTGCTGGTGGTGGTCACCTTGAAAGAGGTTGTCGTTGGTTTGATGCTGTCCAATTTTCTTTGGGTGATGACGCAGTAAGATTGCCAATACCAGCCCTTACAATCAAGGCCGACTGAAGGGTTCCATTCGTTGAACTCCACGGGAGTGACTGAGTAGTGAGGTGCGAGATCAGTTTGGGTAAACATGAACTACAAAAAGGGAGCTTACTGCCATAGAGCTCGCGCACGTATTCACAAGTTTTGCCTTCGCCGTTGTTGTACCAATCAATACAGTCTTTGACTGTATCGGGGTCCCATTGGAGCAGCGGACTACGTGTTGAGACGGATCGCTGAGCGAGCGCCGCAAAGAGCAATGCTAAAGAAGTCTTCATGATCTAAGGTTGCCGGCGGATAAACTTCAAGGAATATGTCTTTGAGAATGCGAAAAATATTAGAGGGGAGCGTACATTACCCATTGTGAGATCAGATAGAGTACAGTGACTCTGACACTTGCCCATGACACAACCTGTTCACTCGCCCTGACTCCCTTGCGCCTCAGAGATTAGGGTTCTAGAACGCAATAGGTATGATATCGAGCATCCTTCGGCTAGGTAGGTCATATGCTCATGTACAAGGGGGTATAATGAGCGGACTGGAATACAAATCGCCCCATAATTTCCAGCAGGATATGACTGGTATCAGAGAGCGGCAGTAGTACTTCGTATTCGAGTTTGCTCATGATTTCCCCTTGTACAGCAAGGTTCATGGTTGCAAGGATTATGGATAGACGCACGTTCTTCGTCCAGATCTGTCGACCAATTTGAAAGGCATCCTTGTCTTGAGGCGTCGCGGCTGGGGATGCCCATACCTGATGGCTACGGACGCCCACACCCCTAATGTGGAAGCGCTAGTAGCTAAGCGAACAGCGACGTCTTGGCAAAGAACATCAAGCCTCCGCCAGACCTATCCTTTACCCTCTACTCTTAGGGTTAGTTCTTAAGGTCAGGGTTTTGGAATATATCAAGATCTGGCTGTGATGCACAGGTTTGAAGTTGGTGCAGTAAAGGTGGGTGAGCGTGAAGGAATCAAGCTAAGTCTGCTAGTGTTACTGGTTTGGTCTCTTACGGGTGTGGGCGTCCGTAGCCATCAGGTGTGGGCGTCCCCAGCCGCGACGTCTAGAAGTGGCTTTTCTGCTTTGCTCATCTCGGTAGAAAGATGCGCGCAACACGATGGAGACACCTTGTGCCTGCGCAAATGTCGACCCATGTTGCAGCCGCGGCCCGGTCCGTCGACGTTCACGCTACATACCTAAAAGTATGGGTCACGGGGTCAAGACGGAGCAAGTCTATTTCAGGAAGGTGCCAAGACCATGAAATCTCGGTCAAAGATAGTTTGTTCACAGATTTGTGAATTTCAATGAGGCAAGATTCACACTGTGACTTTAGCGTAATTTGACATGCGATCCTCATAGTTATAGGGCTGTTGTTGTTGTCGGAAGGTAGCAGCGGAGCGCGTGTGGAGATCGCGAGCTGCGGTGTGCGGGAATCAAAGTGATGCTACGTACCTAGCCCATGCTCGTGGCCCCTGCTCATTGTACCTGCATCAGTCTTGGCGCGGAAGCAGGCCACCCAAAGTTAAGCCCAATCCTCCAAAAGTTCTGCCAACCACTGTCATCACATTGTGTTCGGTCCGCATTATCCTATGGTGTAAGGCTGACCGCGGAGCGCTTGGGAGTAAACATACTTCTTGGTGTTATGCCTAGCATTTTTACTTGCTCTCCATAGTATAGCAGCTTTTTGCCGCTCGCTCTTCCGACTGCTAGCGATAGCGTTAGTGCTCAGTCGCCATCCTACACCATGATCACTTTTCACCCATTTCCGCGGCTTCCCCTGGAGCTCCGAGAGCAGATATGGAACGACACCGTCGAGCCCCGCACCGTCGACGTCCGGCGTGTTCGAGAGGGGACTCAACGCTATGGCCAGCTAGTCTCATCCACGCCAATACCAGCCATACTACAGTCCTGCCGGGAAGCCCGGAACCTTGGACTTTACGAGCGAGTCTTCTTTGAGGTTGCTGCAGTAAAGAAATCCACAAGCGACAACGCATCCCAGGTCGCCGTTGAGAGATTCTTCATGCCCGATGGGCAGGGGGAAGAAGGGTCCAAGAAAGGAGGCTCCCCCGACACCGAGCAGCGCTATGTCTGGTTGGATCTTGACATCGATATGGTGGACATCGGAGCTTCTGAGTTCTGTAATTACAGATCGATCGCATCAGCAGTCAAGCGTCTCAAATTTAAGCGGGAGAACGGGGACGAATACTTTTACCATACTGAATCAAATGAACTCATGGAGTTTGTTAGTGTGGAAGAGATTCATATCGTCTGTGCAGATGGTTTCTGGATGTGGGCTGGGGCTATCGATGATCATGCCTGGCCCTGCGCCGAAGAAAAGCTGGTATTCATTGATGCATTGGATGGTCGAGTTGTGCGAGGCACTGAATTTGAATTTGTTTGTAAACAGATGCTGAAGAAGGCTCGTCTAGAAGCTACTGGCGAAGCATTCTCCAGCGACGACGAGTCTTGAAGCTGCACCAATCGTCTTCTCTTATTTTAGGCTTTCGCCAGAGGCATGGTTCTATCGATGAAATACTGTTGATTACTCAAGATATCTGAAAGTACCGTGCCCCGGGATCTGAGACTTGAAGCTATTCATTGAACTTTAATGACAGCCCTGTCCTCCAATCAACGACCGCAGGCAATTTGTTGATCTCGGACCCGCTTGAATGAGTTGATCACCTGCCTGTGATCTCTCGCGTGACTATCACCTTCGGCGGTGTTCCCATACCACTCTTTCAAAAAGCTTGTGATTTTCGTACCCGCATCCTTGTCACCTCCCTCGCGAGCTTCTCGTTCGGTCTCGGCCCAATCAACTGTTTCCCAGTTGTTGTTACTGTCAACCTAAATGCAAACTAGTAAGCAAAAAGAATTTAGATATCGCTATGCCAAAGAAATCTGAGTTAATCGAGGAGTCCAGTTTGCATCCACGTACCGGATTTTTGCCTAGAGATGAGAATAGGGTATCAGCTGTCGTGTCTCACAGATGTTGGTATCATACGTACCCATGACCTCGATGTTGATGTCCATCCCTGATAGCTTCTTCCGTGCTTGATCGATGAGGAAAGGACCATGGTCACCTGTACGCGCATTGATGATTAGGTCTCTTGTGGAATCTAGGCATTCATAACATATCAGTATGTAGTGTTGCAATTAGCATACAATGATGCAGATGCGACCCACCAAAATTCTCGAACAACTTCTTTGTAGCATCATCCATACCGGACGATTTAGCCTTGTACGTCCGGTCTACGCTAGATATTCACATGTAAAGTTAGCGAGTGCTTGGCACCCCTTTTGAGAGAGTTCTTCTTACACATCACCAGCTTTCATGATGCACTGGTTCCATTCGAATGCGTCCTTCACGGCTAACTGTGCACCAAAATTCTTGACCTTAGCAGCACCCGCGGCTTGACCAGGCTGTGGCGTGAGGTACTTGTTGTATGTGTTCAAAGCTGTTGCTTTTGCATCAAGCTTGCCTTCTGACATTACGGCCCATCCCGTGCGATCTTTTGCACCACCCAAAGCGAATATGAACTGGTCATAGGACAACGTCGAACCTTTCTTGCTTCCTGGCTAATTTACGGGTTGCCAAATGAGTCAGTCTGATCCGGGAGTAGATTTATGCAGATATATCATACCATTCTATCCCATTTGGTACAAGTTTTTGTGTCTTTCTTGTAGTTCTTGCCTTTGCACTGCAAACCGATTGTTTGATCATCGTAGTCGTTGAGACTGTCAATTAAGTAGGCTTGGTACAACCATACGCGTTCGAGGCAGCCTTGATAGCCGCCAGCCCATGCGGTAGCGAAGAGGCACAGAAGAGTGAACATAAGAGAGCCTCTCATTGTGTGATAATATACAGCAGGAATTGTAGTAATGACAGTACTGAGTGAACGACAGAAGATAGACGCCCTGGAGAAAAGACTACTCAAAGTTCGAAACGGAGAAGGAAACGTGGGTAAGTAGTATACTAGCAGGTAGACTGATTTCCCTGTCCAGATTCTAGATGCATGAAGTTTACGGGTTTTCCAACAGTGGCATACATCCTTGTCCCAGTTTTGCTAATCAAAAGCTCAACGTAGATAGCGCGATGACTTGCTCATCCTGACTGCGGTCCGATATGTCTGCAGAAGGATTGACCGGATCTAGACCTAATCATCATGCCCCTGGGGCGTACAGGATGTACTATCAGCGGCGAGCATGCTTGATTGAGATTGTATCCGGATGCAAGTCACTGACCACTCATCCTGTAGGCTGTAGCTAGGTACTGACCTTGTATGAAGCAGATCAGTGTCGCTTACAGAAACTTGATGTGTCTGTGTTTGGTCGTCCATCCCGTCTTGGCCGATCCGATACATAGGACTGTGCCGCACGCTAGCCGGAAATGAGGCCTGGGACAGATGCCGCAGGGTCCAACCACCCCTGCATCTACGACTACATACGATAGCGTGTCTTGGCAACTATTATCGGTGACTGTTCCCGAAACGGTCTGAGGCTCCTACAAGATACGCGCATTATCACAAGCGCATATTTATGGTAGCATTCCAGGATATGAGTTCCGAGGCAGACTGCCCTAGCTGTTCAAAGGATCCCACGGCTCAAGTCAGATGCATACCTTTAGGCCCCGGAACTGTCGTCCCGGGAGAGGGAAATTTACATGGTCAGTGTCCCGTGTCGAGTTCTTCAGTGTATGACGCACGTGAGCACCTGAGTCCAGATTGCTTATATGTACTTAAAATCTACACTCTTTTGAACATCCTACATTCGCTCTCTGTAAATCAAGAGCGGCTTACCTTTGTTCTGAACACATCTCTTTTGCTTTTCTTAAATACCATGAGGGCTTTCTTCCACTCTTTCGTTCTGTTAGCCTGGCTAGGTGTAGACGTTTTAGCCACCAAATCTGCTGGCCACATCGCCATTCGAGTCGAAGATGCGGGTGACGACCTCGATGAATGGCTGGCAGCAGCACAACGAGTATCAGCAGAGGCTCTCAAGGCTTGCCCTTCATCCTGTAGCACGGCGAGCAATAAGAACTATAGGCTCAAATGGAAGCTTTGGTTGCATCTTACTCACCTAATGCAGTGACCTCGAGCGCTGAATGGTTCTTATTTCCCGATGCTTCGAAGCTGTCACTGTGTAACGAAACTATGCTACTCGACATGGTAGTCAAATCAGCTCTCAACGATAACGCTGCGCGAACAGTGGTTAGGGCCTGCTCAGCCGACTACAATTCCGGCGTCAAGGCTGCATTTGAAACCGAAGAGGGGAAAGCGTCTCTTTGTACGACTGCCAACCGAGTCTTGGAACAGAATTTCATTTACCTGCACCAACCGCAAGTAGAAGCCGACAACGAGTTCTCCATGAGTCATTTCCTTTCAGCTGGCCGCCAGATCGCCAATCATCTTGAGGTACAGAAGCCTTCCTGTACTAACAATGCAATGGAGTTCGCATACTCTCAGTCGTCAAGCATTGGTCTCTTTGCTGGAGCTGAAGTCCATCAGCACGGGATCAGTAAGGTCGTTCTAGAGAAGCTTCTTCAAAAAGCGCAGGACAAATCCATCTCGAAGACCACCGTAGTACAGGTAAGGATTGATGCACGGAGCCGCCGCGATACTGTTGCTGACAAAGTCTCATTAGCTATGCGAATCCGATGGCCGTGGAGCAGACTATAGTTTCGGAATTATCGCCACGAGTTCAAAGAATCTCGCATTGGTTCAGGAAGCTGTGAGGACCTGGGCCAGTGGAGCTTGCATGCCATTCACAGGGGGCGAGAAGTTGATGAACATTGATCTCCGAGTCCCCGGCCCTACTATTGGCGCCTCAAACAGTACGAATACCACAGATGCATCGATGGGAACTAGATCACGTCTCAGCATCAGGGCTGATTGCAGGACCACTACAGTCCAGTCGGGCGATGGCTGTGCTGTAGTCGCAAGTCGGTGCGGAATAAGTCAGATTGATCTCCAAAAGTTCAACCGCCTTGATATCTGCAAGACACTTGTAAAAGATGAAAAGGTCTGCTGCAGCACAGGATCTCTGCCAAACTCTTTACCTGCTGGCAATTCGGACGGTACCTGCAAAACGATAGAGGTAGTAAGCGGCGATAGCTGCGGCTCTCTTGCTTCAAAGTGCGGCATCAGCGCAGCAGACTTCATGAAGGCGAATACGAAGACTGATCTCTGCTCGAAGTTAGGCGAAGGTCAGAAGGTTTGCTGCTCGAATGGCAACTACCCGGATTTGAAGCCAAAGAAGGATGCCAACGGCAATTGCGCCGTATACACCACAAAAAAAGACGACTATTGCTCTAAGATCGCTGTCTCTCGCGATCTTACAGTGACTGAGCTCGAAAGTTTCAACAAAAAGACATGGGGTTGGAATGGGTGCGACCGTCTTTTCCCAGACTTCAAAATGTGTGTCAGTGAAGGCAGCCCCCCCATGCCTGCCAATGTTCCGGTATGTATCGACCTTCATTCTGCTTTCGAATCGATACAAGGCCGCAATAACTGACAAATTCACTTTCTTAGAACGCTGTGTGTGGGCCAACAGTAAGAACTCATTTCCAACTGTCGACGTCAGAGCATACAAGACTGACGAGATAAGATGAATGGCACGACTCTACCGTCCGCTGGAACAGACCTGGCTACCCTCAATCCATGCCCACTTAACGTTTGCTGTAATATCTGGGGCCAGTGTGGCATGACTGATGACTTTTGCGTTATATCCAAGTCCGAGACGGGTGCTCCCGGAACTTCTGCTCCTGGTAAAAATGGCTGTAAGTGCCCCCATCTATGGAGGAAGATCTAGACTTTTATTTCTCACGATATCGCCGCGTGCATATCCCCGGAAGAGATTCTTCAACTCGTCATTATGTCGCGTAATGACTAATCGCGACACAGGCATCAGCAACTGCGGCAGAGACATTATCAAGGGTTCAGCTCCAACAAGTAAGATCAAGCTGGCATATTATGAGAGCTGGAATTTTAATCGCCGTGAGTCTTCTATGGGACCAATACATTCAGTACCTACTGACTAAAATGATTCTTTAGCTTGCTTGACAATGAACGTCGACGAAATAGATACGTCCATCTATACCCACATACATTTCGCATTTGCGAATGTAACTCGGGGCGACTACCGAGTTGAAATTACCGACCCCAAGGTCCTGGAACAATTCGAAACTTTCAAGGGTATGACAGACGTGAAGAAGATTATCTCCCTTGGTGGCTGGGCATTCAGCACTGAGCCAGGAACCTTCCAGATTCTCCGCGAGGCCGCACAACCTGTAAGGAAACACGATGCGTGAAATGATCTGGGAGTGTCACACTGACCTCATACTTTCACTTCCAGGGCAACCGTGAGAAATTTAAGAACAACCTTATTTCCTTCATGAACGAACACAATCTCGACGGCATTGACCTCGATTGGGAATATCCAGGGGTCAGTATTATCTGCATTTTAGTATTGATTGGTCCGTGGGGCTCACAAATGATGCTCAGGCTCCCGACATCCCGGAGATTCCCTCCGACGATCCTGTGAACGGCCTGAACTATTACAGGCTTCTCTCTAGCCTGAAGGCCTCCGTTGGATCTTCCAAATCGATCTCTTTCGCAGCACCGGCATCGTATTGGTATCTGAAGTCTTTTCCTATCAAGAGCATGGCCAAGGATCTGGACTACATCGTCTATATGACCTATGATCTTCACGGCCAATGGGACTACGGTAACAAGTGGACGTCACCTGGTTGCGACACAGGAAACTGTTTGAGGTCCCACATTAATGAGACTGAAACCAAGGATGCCCTGTCAATGGTCACCAAGGCAGGCGCAGCTTCGAACAAGATTGTGGTTGGCGTTGCTAGCTATGGGAGATCATTCAAGATGGCTCAATCTGGGTGTGACTCTGAAGAATGTAGATTCACTGGATCGTCTAGACTGTCAAACGCTGCGAAAGGACGCTGCACGGAAACCGCAGGCTACATTTCGAACGCAGAGATCGACGAGATTATTGAGTCTGGTAATGTTAAGAAGAAGTGGACGAGCGAAGGGTCAAACATCATGGTCTATAACGACACTGAATGGGTGGCGTGGATGGACGATGCCATGAAAGAATATCGTGCACAGTTTTATGACTCCTACAATTTTGCTGGCACGACTGATTGGGCTGTAGACCTGCAGACATTCACTGAGTATGCCATCTAATGCTCAAGCTGAGTAAGTCACATCAGGCTAACATTACATAGTGGAAGCGGTGGCGTCGACGACGACGAGGGTTATACCGATCTTAATTACTGGTCCGAGTGCACAGGCAAGTACACTACCTTGGAGCAGCTCGAAGCTGGTAAGAACGACTTACCCGCCCACTGTGTTGAGCAGTACATGCTTGATGTAGAGATCTCCAACTATGAGGGCGCCCTGAAAAAGTACAAAGAGTTGATGGAAAACGACTATGATAAGAAGTTTAAGGTCTACGAAAAATATTCTCGGGTGAGATTGATTCCTGCAAATGCTTGCGACATAGACTGACCTGGCTTGTTTGCTTACTAGGACCAAATACCGGAGCAAATCAACAACTTCATGGCCACCGATAAGGTCGACAAGTATTTCAATTGCAAAGAAACTCGCTACGTTACTTGCTGCTCAACTTGTAAATATCCTGGTTGCATTCTGGACTGCTTCGAGGGCGGGAAGAACTGTAAAAACGGTCGTACGACTTTAGACATCGCATGTCCGAAGATGGAATTTGAAGGCAAAGGCCTAGATGTTGATGAAAGAATCCCTAACGCTACCTTCAGTTTCAAAGACGAGAGAGGCTTCTGGGACGACCTCGGAGAGACTTGGGGTATCGAAAAATCATGGGTATCGTTTGGAACAAGGCGCATGCAGTACAGTAACGGCTGTCAGTATGCGGAGGACCGTGTCAACGAGTGCATGGACGCTGCGCCTGACTGGTGGTACGACTACCCCCGAGCGAGCGATAACATCGAGATCTACAACCCAAAGAAAGTTATTGGGGATTCCTACGACACAGCGAGCGGTACGCTAGATCGATTCAAGACGATGAGAATTGCTGGCCTTTATGACGGTAAGACACCCTCTGCCCAAAAATCGTGCAAATTACGCTGACAGGTTACGCGCAAATCCAGAGCAAACGCAGATGGCCGACTTAGTTGATGCCGCTTCTATCCCGTCATACTCAGCCGTCGAGGCTGTCGAGGCAATGCAGAAGATTGCTGGAAAGGCAGATGAGCTGAAAAAGCAAGAACGGGAAGAGATGATTCTCAACTTCATCATGGGGATTCTCTTCTTCATCCCCGTGGCTGGTAGTGCTGCTGGTGCGGCGGGCTTGACAGCGGTCCGAAGTATGCTTCGTCTCATTGGTACAATTGGTGAGGCTGGTATGCTGGTGCATAGCCTGATAGAGAACCCTGAAAACGCTTTTATGGTTATCTTCAGCTCCTTAGCTAGTGCTGGTGTTGGTCGGAGTGGTTTTAAGAATGCTGCTAATGCTAGACGTGGCATGAGCTCCAAGGAGTACGAAAGTCTAGGCACTATAAAGGTAAAGCTTGACCAGATAACAAGCATTCGAGGAAGCTCGTGCAAGATCTAAAATAGTATAGCAGAGCAGAACAAGCATTATATAGAGGCTTAGGGTTTAATTATAAAGTTGCTATAACTTCTATTATAATATAAATTATAGTATTAGTATTTATTAGGTTCTATTCTATATAACTTAGAATAAAATAATAATAATATATATAGTTCTAGCTAAAGACTTACTATTAAGTAAGTTATAATCTTTTCTAGCTACTTAGCTTAGTAGGCTAAAGGTAAGGCCTAATAATTATAGTATTTTAATTATATATTATAACTTATAAATAAGCTAATATAACTTATAATAGCTATAGACTTTATTATAGCTTTATTAATACTAGATAGTTTAGTAGTTTTAACTTACTTTAAGTTACTATATAAATAGTAATCTTAACTTATAGTTAGTAATTATTATTTAGAAATAATATATTTTAAAGCTTAAATATTACTATAGTATAACTTAAGGCTTATAGGATAAAAAAACTTTATAATATAAAGTTAGCTTTATTAAAATTATTATATTAGAGGTAGTTTAGCTTTATATATTAATATTTATAACGTACCCCACGGGCGAGCGGATCAACGGGCGAGCGAATCACTTTTGCCAAGCCCCCACCAAAGTATCCTCTACATACCAATGCCTCAACAACAACCTAATCTTAACGCGTTAAAGGAAGCTCAAATACAGCTTGCGCTTCAAGCTCTTAAACAAGACGCGAAACTCTCACAGCGACGCGCTGCAGCTATCTACAACGTTCCTCAAGCTACACTAAGCCATCGACTCACTGGACGACCTTCACGAGGCGATACTATGCCCAACTCACGAGGGCTGGATGATCTAGAGGAGCAGGTGATTGTTAATCACATACTTGAGCTGGACGAGCGAGGATTTGGCCCTCGGCTGGCAGATGTGGCTGCAATGGCCAATTCTCTGCGCGCAGAGCGCAATCTGGGCCCTATTGGCACAAACTGGCCCAGTACGTTTGTAAAGCGTCAACCAGAGCTCAAAGTGAAGTTTAATCGCAGGTATGACTACAAGCGAGCCCTCTGCGAGGATTCTGGGGTTGTGCAGGGCTGGTTTTCCCTGGTGCGAAACACAAAAGCCAAGTATGGTATCCTAGATGACGACACGTACAACTTTGACGAGACAGGCTTCATGATGGGCCAGATCTCCCAGGGAGCAGTTGTTACAGCTTCAGAGAGACGAGGAAGGCCAAAGGCAGTCCAGCCAGGCAACCGGGAGTGGACAACGGTCATACAGGGTATCAATGCCAAAGGATGGGCCATTCCACCCTTTGTTATCTTCAAGGCGCGCCACCACCTCTCCGGCTGGTACAAGGAGGAAGACCTGCCCCAGGATTGGGTTATTGCAGTCTCCGGTAACGGCTGGACTACTAATGAGCTTGGTTTTGAGTGGTTGAAGCACTTTGACGCGCATACAAAGGAGCGTACTGCTGGTACCCACCGACTGCTGGTTATTGACGGCCACGAGAGCCACGAATCGCTCCAATTCCAGAAATACTGCAAGGATAACAAGATTGTTACTCTATGTATGCCTCCGCACTCATCGCACCTTCTGCAGCCACTTGATGTGGGCTGTTTTGCCCCTTTGAAGACAGCGTACGGGCGCCAAGCCGAATTGCTTATGCGCAACCGAATCAGCCACATCACAAAGACTGAGTTCCTGCCATGCTTCAAAGCAGCCTATAATGCGGTGTTTACCTCTAGCAATATCCAAGGAGGGTTTCGAGGTGCTGGATTGGTCCCCTTTGACCCAGAACGGGTCATATCAGCCCTTAATGTGAAGCTTCGGACTCCATCACCACCACTCCCCACCAACAACGTACCCTGGCAGTCGCAAACCCCCAGCAACACCCTGGAATTTGGGTCGCAATCAACTCTGATTCGAGAGAAGTATAAGAGGCAGCAGGGCAGCTCACCAAATTCTGTTCTAAGCGCGCTTGAGCACTACGCAAAGGGGGGAGCAATCTTATCCCACAAGCTGGTTTTAGCTCAACAGGAAATCAAGGAGCTTCGAGCGGCTAACGAGGCCGCCATGCGACGAAAATCACATAAAAGAAAGCGAGTTCAGAAGGAAGGGACCCTAATAGTTGAAGATGGGCAGCGGCTGGCAGCTCTAAAGGAGTTTGGGGCGCGTGGTGATGGGAAGAGGGCGAAGAAGCAGGTGCGCACTCAAGAGGGCGAGCCAACCCAACGGCGCTGTGGAAGGTGCAATCAGACAGGACACAACGCGCGAACGTGCAAGATTGATGTAGAAGAGGTCTCTGAATGATATTCCAGCCTGTACTGTACCGTGCAGGACCAAAGTGTGGTGTTTTGGGCCATGATGGGTCAAGTTTTGGTGGGGGCTTGGCAAAAGTGATTCGCTCGCCCGTTGATCCGCTCGCCCGTGGGGTACGTTACTTACTAAGTTTTAACTTAATTATAAAGTAAGCAATTATATTAACTTATATTCTTTTTACTATTTTATATTTATAGATTTATATATATATATTTAAGTCTTTTTCTTTAATAGCTTAATAAGTCTTTTACTATACTATTAAGTTTTTTTTTATAGTTTAGTAACTTTTTTCTATTTTTACTATATTTTACTATTTTTAAATAACTTTATATTATTATTATTAATATACTCTATAGGTAAGCTAGTTAATAGGTAAGTTAGTTACTTTTACTAAGCCCTTACTAAAGTACCCTTCCTATACTAATACTTTAATAATAATATAATATTAATATACTTTAGAAAGCTTAAGTATAGCTTGCACTTTAAGCTCTTAAATAAGATATAAACTTTTTATAATAATATACTAATATACTAGATAGGTAAGTTAACTAGATAGGTAAGTTAATTACTCTGCTAAGACCCTACTAAAACTTAACTCTCTTTTAGCCTATAATACCCTATTATAGGCCTATAAATAGTAATTTAGCATGTTATAGTATAGAAGAGCTATCTATAATCTCTTTTAATATATGCGTAAGTTATGCCCTATCTCCTAGCACTATTTATAGCGTCTTATAGTCTATTAACCTTTATTAGTGCATACTATCTTCTTTACATGTTTACTATTACTACGCGCTATAAACTCCGCTAGAGTAGTTAATTATACTCCCTCTTTAACTATTAGAGTCCTCTTCTACTATAAGCGCTTTCTTTTATATAATTTATATTATATTATAGCCTTATTAGCATCTTAAAGCTTAGAAACCTGCTTATATACTAATACTAGCGAATACGCTATTATCTTAGCGCCTTTTAAGAGCTTTTCTAGCGCATTTATAATAGAGGAAGGTAAGCTATCTATATACTTTTAAATCTTCTCTTAAACTAGCTTTAATTAAGACCTAAATTCTAGCGTGTTCTAGAGTATATAGAACTGCTAGGGCTTATTAGAGATAGGAAGTAGTAATAGGGTGCACAGTTAAACATTAAGGCCTATTATAACTTATTTAAGGTTAAATAGAACTAATCTAGCGCCTCTAAACCCTCCCTAAATATTACTAGGAGTTATTACTGCGTTATATGCGCATTTAAAGCATAGTAGGAACTTAAGTTTTAAGATATAGGTAATCTAGTTATATATAAGATCTTTAGCTTAGCGCCTATATGCCTTCTTTAATAGCGTAAAACAACCTATATTAAGTAGCTATAGGAGGTGCAATAAGTATAGAGGTATATAGAGTATAATAATCTTCCTCTCCTTATAGTATTATTAGAATTAGAGAGAGTTATAGCTCTTATAGCTATTAATAATTAGTAGTTAGTACCCTCCTACAGCATGCCTCCCTATATAGGCTTTAAAGTGCTATAGCTACTAGAATCTAAGCTTATTTATAGTCTAGCTATTCTTAGAGACTATAATAACCTAGTTATAAGGTATTATATCCTCTTTATACTAGGTAGAGAGATAGTTATAGCCTTAAAAGATAATAAAGGGTAGAATAGCCTATCCTATACTATTTACGCCCTAGATAGCTATTATCTACTCCTAATTGCCCTATTAAACTGCCTTTAGCCGCCCTTAATACTCTAAGCCTATAATAACTACTCCTATTAATATCTAGCCTATTATAAACCTAGTCTTATTAAAGTTATATATATCTTAGTTCTAGATGCTATACTTAGCTTTAGTATTCTCTATAAGGTAGAACTAGCCTTATATAATCTCTAGATTCTTATAGAGTGCTTACTTATAGTTATACTTATAATTAAACCTTACTTAGAGCTTAGAGTAGTACTTAATAAATATATTAGGCTATTTTATACTAATATAGCTTAGATTATACTCTTTATATAAAGAATTAGCTATATTAGCTACTACTACTAGCTAGGGGGCAAACCCTCTTACGTTTAGGTTAAGTATATGCTAAATAATTACCTCCTCCTTATTCTTATCTAGGTTCCTTAATTTAGGCATATAATTAGCTTATATAGGTTATCTAGTATATTAATTATATAGTATTGCATAAAATATATTATAGAGGGATATAGCGTGTTATAGGGAGATTATTATGTTTTATTTAATAGCCTAAAGCATAAGCTATATTCTAGCTTCCTTTAAAGGTCCTAATTTATATTGTTATTATAGTATTATATAAGAGGGTTAAGTTTTAGTAGGGTCTTAGTAGAGTAATTAACTTATCTATCTAGTATATTATATTATAAACCTTAGAAGAGGTATAGTAGAAGATAAGAGATAGAAGGATTAATAATACTTTAGGATAACCTAAAGGTCTTTAAGAAGGCTAGTATTTAAGAACTAATAATAATAGAACCTTTTCTATTCTAAAGTCTTAGTAGAATAATACTATAGAATAAGTTATATACTATTCTAAAGAATCTTATAATATCTTAAGCTATTCTAGTCTAGTATAATAATAAAATAATAGAATAAGTATAAAACACTATACTTACTTAAGTATATAGTTAGTAGGAATATAGCCCTTATAGTTTATATTTAACCTAAGTATTAATCTATAATATTAGATTTTAACTTA